ATTTAAACACTTCACTTTCTACCATTCTATTTACGCTATCCGAGCTATTATTCTACCTGTTCAACTAGAAAAAACTATGTATACATACTATACACTATTTAGGACTTCTAGGGAATTGCTAAGACCCTACCCTAATTAATGGTATAGGGTCTTAGCAATTCCCTAAACATTTAGGGCGGTATAGGGTAATACTAAGACCCTATACTATACTACCCTAACTAGTCCTAATAGGAGGTCTAGTCCCGCTATTACTAGAAACACTACTAACAGCTTAGGCAATAATAGCTAAATTCACTAGCTAACAATCGACATCCTTAGGGATCCCCCTAATGTCTATCCCTAAGCTCTTAGAGAGTAACTAGATGCTCTAGTACGAACGGATGCACGACTACCTCGTACTAGCTAGATACTCGCGCCTCTACGACCCTATAAGACAGCCGGCTATAAACTAACAGGCCTCTTAGAGTGACTCTTAACTTAGGGCCTATATAGCTATCCGCATAAGAATTCCCTTTATCGCTCGACAGAAGGTAAAGCTTTCTATAATAGTCCTAGAACTCTTTACGGCTCTTAAAACAACATATAAACTAAGAGGCACCGCGGCCTTCTTAACATTAGCTAGGAAGCTTAAGACTCTGTCCCTTAAAGAACAGTTAATATCTAAATACGTAGACAAATTTAGATAGATCCGTACCTCTCTACTAGTAATATATCTAGAACTAGAAATCTACGACGCATTTATTATAGAGTAGTTCCTTTAGGGACTAAGCTCTAAATATAACACCTTTGTTAGCACATTTACAAGCACTTACTAGCTCCTCCCCTCTAAACTAGGCCATAAATAAGCGACTTTTAAATAGCTTATTTAAGCTGCTCTAAACGAAGAATAGGTCCTAAAGGGAAGAGAGGAAGCTAAACAATCTACCTCTACCTTTATAGCACTTAAGAGTAGAGCCTTAGGCATAAGAGGTAAGGTCCTAGTTAAGGTAGATAAATGTTTACACTATAAGAAGCCCTTCTATAAGGCCGAAAGATGCTAGGTTAAGAACCTAAGCCTAAGACGGAAACTAGGCGGAGATAGGCGAAGAGATACTAAACGCCTACGACTAGAAGACGTAGAAGACGAGGGAGACTCTCTTAAACTCTCTAGAGACTTACTTAATATTAAGGGCGCTACCGTTCACGCAAAAATGGCGTTCCCCTAGCGGTCTTAACTTACAACTCTTCTAGATACCTAGATCATTAACATAGGCTACTCTGTTTACATCACTAGTAAACATAACTTCTAGCAGTATACGCCTTTCGCATTACCTTAGTTTATCGGCGGTGTAGGTAGTAACTAAGTTGCTGCCCTAGGGATCGGGTTAGTTAAGCTATAATGTAACTAAAACGGGCGGAAATTTAGTCTTACTATTAAGGGAGTCTAGTACTATCTAGAAGCTGGCTACAACCTGTTATTAGCAACTATGCTAATAGATGCTAGTCTTAAATGCTATTTCGATAAGGGCATCTATTAACTAATCCTCCCTAGAAAGAGGGCACCTCTTACTATAAGAAGAGCAGAGGGTGTCTACTTACTTAACCTCTAGAATTAAGCACTACTAAAGCTAATTGCTTTTAAAGCAATAGCTAATACGGCACTTAGTCTTTAACATATAAGGCTTAGTTATATCGGCTAGGCTATAGTTAAAAGAACTTAGTTAATAGTTATAGGCATAGAAGCTAGTAAACTAGACGAAGTTAACTATAAGCCTTACGTTCTTACGAAGATGTAGGAAGTACCTTATAAGACTACTATTAAACAGGGCAATTACCTAATAGAGTTCCTACATCTTAACATATTAGGACCATTTCCGGTTACCGGAAATAAGTAGGAGCGCTACTAGCTAACCATCTTAGACGACTTTACTAGATACGCCGACTACATCCCTATAGAAAGGAAGAGCTAGGCCTTCGTAGGCCTAAAGGCTTAGGTAGCGCTTAATAAGAGACCTAAGTACAAGATTAAGCGCCTCTACTACCGCATTAGACTAGACTAAGGAGGAGAATTTACGTCTATAGCAATAAAGGACTAGGCACGGCTTAAGGGCATCGCCCTTAAATTCTTAATAACTGCTTAACACTAGTAGAACGGCAAGGCTAAGGCCTTAAACAAGGTCATCCTTAATAGAGCTGCTTCTCTACTTACCTATTCCTACCTGCCTAAGAAGTACTAGCCGAAGATGGTTAGGACTGCCGCCTACCTACGAAACCGCTCGGCTATTACTAGAAAGGACGTAACACTAATCGAAGCCTAGATAGGCAACAAACCATTACTAGCTAACTTAAGAACTCCTAGCTGCATCTGCTATGTTAAGAAACTAGAAGGAAAGTTTATTAAGCTAGTAGGAGATAAGGCTATTAAGTGCCGCCTCCTTAGCTACGAGGGAAGCACTATCTACCGTATGCTTACGCCGGATAATAAGGTTATCCGCTCTTCTAACGTCAAATTTTATAAACTCCCGTTCTTATAATAACATAGCCTAACATAGACTACTAAGTCTAGGAGGGAGATTAATATAGGAGATAGTACTCCGCTGTCTATATTAGCTACAACCTAACAATTACCCTTAGAGGTTATAGACTGTTCTAAAAACACGATTACCTAGGAACTAATACTAGAGGAACCTACGGCTTAATAACTAATTACCTAAGGAGACATTTAAATGTAGGAACTGCATCATATAGTGCTACTAGAAGCACTCTTAAATCACCCTAAACTACAAGTCCGCTAGTCCTTAAGAGCTAATAAGGGCTAGAAGCTACTTTAACCTAATAAGATTTACTAGATCTTCCTTGCTCTACTTACTATAAGACTAGAGCCGGAGACCTTTAAACCCTTAACCCTAAAACAAGCATAGGAAGACTTCTACTAGCGACAATGGCTATAAGTAATGTAGGAAGAATACGACTTACTCCTTAAGAACAAAACCTAGACTCTAGTTAAACGCCTAAACGGATAGAGAGTTCTTAGAGGCAAATAGGTCTATAAGATTAAGCGAGGGGCTAACGGAGAAATTACTAGGTATAAGGCTAGGTAGGTTGTCTATAGCTTTAAACAGTTAGAAGGAATTGACTATAATGAGACCTTTGTAAGTGTCGTTAAGCTAATAAGCTATAAAGCTCTCTTTGCAATTGCTACTACCCTAGACCTAGAGATTAAACAGATAGATGTAAAGATAGCTTTCCTATATAGAGACATTAAGGAAGTCATCTATGTAGAATAACTAGATGGCCTTAGTGCTAACTCTAACAAAGTCTATCGTTTAAATAAGGCCCTATATAGTCTTAAATAAGCACTAAGAGTCTAGTATAACACTCTAGCTACCTTCCTTAAATTACTTAGATTTAAACCACTATTAGTAGATACTAGTGTCTTTACTAAGGGACATACGTTTATAGCTATATACGTAGACGACCTCTTAATTGTTAGACTAGACAAACTAGCTATCTAGACACTTAAAGACAGCCTTAGTGCTAGATTCTACATGTCTAACCTTAGACCTTACTACTTCTACCTTAGAATGAGAATTACTAGAGACCATCAGAACCGTACAATTAAGCTAGACTAAGAGACATACATTAAGAAGATTGTTAAGGACTTCGGACTGTAGGAAGTAAAGCTAGTAGCTACTCTAGCAGATGCTAACACTAAGTTAGAGAAAGCTTCCTCTAATTATACAGCTCTAGATGACTTTAAGCTTTAGTACTAACGAGCAATTAGCTTACTAATGTACGCAATGCTAGGCACTCGGCCAGACATTGCCTTCTTAGTCTCTCTTATTAGTAGGTACTTAGCTAACCCTACTAAAGCACACTAGAAAGCAGTTAAGAGGATCATTAGATACCTTAAGACTACACTCTCCCTAAGACTCACTTATTAAGGAGAACTACAACCACTGTCTAGATACACTAATGCTAACTAGGCTAGAGACACTAACACTAGAAGGTCTACCTCTAGCTACACCTTCTACCTTAGCAGCGGAGCTATTAGTTAGCAATCTAAGAGATAACCGACAGTTGCTCTCTCTACCTATAAAGCTAAGTATATTAGCTAAACTTAGGCTACTAAGGAAGCTATCTAGCTTAGAGGCTTAATGTAGCAACTACTTAAGGAAGAAGCTAAAGACTCTACTACTAGCATTAGTGCAACAATTATCTATTACGACAATTAGGGTGCAATTGCTTTAGTAAGGAACCTAGAGTTCTATGCAAGAACAAAACACATTAATATTTAGTACTACTTTATAAGGGAGCATGTGATAAAGGGAACTATTAATTTAGACTACGTACCTACGGCATAGCAGATAGTAGATAGACTAACTAAGGCACTAGCAAGGCTAGCCTTTAAGGTATTTAGAAGGGCCCTAGGACTCATGTGAAGGATAGCTAAGGGAGTGACCCTAGGTTGCTAAGGGAGTGACCCTATAGAGGGAGTGCTACTATTACTGGAAGTGTGACCCTGCCTTGTTAGAGCTAAGACCCTATCATCTTAGTGGCTAGTTCAAGAGGGAGTGTTAAAATTGACCTGTCACTGCTACATAAGAGGGGCCTCACCCCAACTGAATTCAATCAACTTTCTTACCACTCATTACTCTGCTCAGTGTCACCTTTCAACACTCGCTTGTATGATTTATGGCGGAGGTTGTCCTCAAAGATTTTGATGGGAGTGGATTGCTGAGGACGTTGAGGATAGCACCCAGCGACTGGACCGGGTCATCACAAGCATCCGATTTTGGTCAGATAGTGATTATCATGGTCGATAGAGCCTTATACAACATACCAGTTGTCCCTGCAGACATTTTGTCAAACATGTGTTGTTCTGTGTGAGCCCTTGAGCGGCATCGCAACGTCGGCACGGTTGGAGATATTGTTTGATCATTTTGTTGATACAGAAATGCACGAGTGTCATGCTGCATGGAAGCATCCAACAACGCGGTCTATCACAAAGAAGCTTGTAACGTGGATATTTTCTTATGGGTTGATATAAAGTCTACATACTAGCAAGAAAAGTGACCTGTCGAACGATGTTGGAAGCACCAAGACAGGGTGACCCAATTGGCAAGGCTAACTAGCAAGCAAAAGGATGTCTGCCGAATTGACTTCTCTCACCAAGCTCCACACCATGTTTTTGACCCTCTCTCGCACGTTTCATGACTCTACTGGTGTATTCTTCCCTGTCAATATCTCCGGCTAACCACTCTCCCAGCGTCAAAGCATCGAAAGCAGCCTGACTGGTGGAAGCAGCAGTGTGAGGTCTATAACCCGCAAGAGCATCCCCGACCAGCAGTAGTTTCCCACCGCAAAACTCGTTTGTAGGAGAGATGTTGTCTGTGATAGCCTGGACAAAAGGATGTACTGTCTTGTTGACCAGCTCGGCGAATTGAGGTGGCAAAGTTTCCTTAGCGTCTTGTTTTTGCCTTGTCCAGACATCGTCTTTCATTTGATCGAGAGGCAAGGTGATACGGTGTCGCGATCCGTCTTTGCCTGTCATTAAGTCTTGCAGCTCAGGACCGCCTTCCTTGAAGTTCCTGTACCAGACCCAATTCGTCAGTCTCTTGCCAGGCTCCAGGGTACCATTCTCTCCTGGGATAATATAGGCCAGAATCTGCGTGCCTTCGGAGTGGAAGAACGTAAATTTCTGGACGAAAGCTTTGGTGGCTGATTCTGAGATTTGGTCCTCAGGTACTGTGCCTCGTAATGCCACGTACCCAGCGTACTTTCGTTCGACGGATGGGAGCAACGCTCTGCGCACTGATGAGCTCGCTCCGTCTGCGGCTATCACCAGATCTGTTGTCAATTCTTCCGCGCCCCCAGACTTGTTGATCCAATGTACACGAACACCTCCAGAAACCCCTAGATCATCAACAGACCGGAAATTACACCCATACTGATAATCTGCTTTGCCGTGGCTGTAGCTAGATAGTCTGTCCTTCAGGTTCTCGAGGTTGGTTCCGGAAACATAATCCTCAATATCCATGTCATCTGCCCTCCATCTCAGAAAACGGTACAGAGTATCCCAGCTAGTCATTCGTTGTTCTCTGTCTTCGGCACTTCGCTGAATGACGTCTCCATTGCGATCGAGGTATCGTCTCTGCGTACTTGGAACAGCGAAATCTTGACCAGGGCACACATACTGGGAAAAGAAGGCTTGCGTGTCGGAACCAGCGACTACTCCAGCACCTTGATTGTGCAAAAGCGCGGTTGGCGACCGTTCCAGAATGGTGACTTTGGTCGTTGGGCAATGTGTGAATATTGTGAGGGCGTGCATCAGACCAGCAAGCGAACCGCCGACAACAACGACATGTCGCAATTGGGAGGGATGTGACATGATCGATGTCTTTTGCAACAGTTGTTGATGAGAAAGGAGAAGACAGAGTGTGGTGAAGAGTCCACAAGGTACAATAGCAATATATAAAATTCGGTTAACACGTCATTGCGATATACATGCCGCTTCGATCATCGCAAAGAAGGTAGTCGACCAAGGTCAGAAACTCCACCGATAGTGAGAACCAGTCTTTTCTTCTTGTGAGCGCTGCTCCAGTGCACAGAACTAATCGAGTATGGCTTGCGGTCGTGAAAAGCCGATCTGCAAAGCATCTACCGTAAAAGCGTCGTAGGTGACTAACGACACGATGCCCATCATGTTGTAGAGGACTCATTTCGGGGTTTGAGAGAGCAGGTGGTCCTTTCTCTAAACGGGGTGATTTGACATGTTTATTAAAACAGGATTGTAATCGTCTTGCGTAGCTGTAATGTCTGTGGCAATCTCTTGTGCATTCGAATTTGCACAATTCGAATTTTGATTTAACGATGCGAAATCGCGTTACTTCGTCGTGTCTCTGTTCTACATTTGGGAAACATGATATACGATCGCGTATATAAAAGAGTTTGGATGCTATTACTTGTACATAGGAAAATGTGCATCTGCTGCTCCAAGCAGGTGGTATGATACATGCGCTTTGACCTCGGCCGGTGATGCCAATGTTGGAAGAGCGTAGACGATATTCTGCTTAAGCGAGCCACTCGCCAGCGACCCATCTGTTGACCATCTCCAAGGAAGCGACAGGTTGGTCGTAGGGAACCATATGTCCTCCGCCGTCAATTCTGAGGAATGTAAAGTTTCCGGAGCTCTTGATGGCACCGGCAACGGAGCCGTCTTTGAGGAGGGTGTAGTCCTCGAGGGGGGCCTTTTTGAAGTCTTTGTGGCCAGGCCACTCAAGAGCCTCGGTCCAGGCTTGGTTTCCAAGCCAGTTCTACAAATTTTTGTTAGCGATAGAGATGACAGCGCAGGATAGGAAAGTCTACCCACACAAATAAAATCTCTCGAACCAGCATAGATGAGGACAGGGATCTCCTTAAGGATGCCAGGGACGAGACGGTGGAAGGGTTGCATCCAGTCACCGGCGAAGAGGAAGTTTCTGTTAATGTCAAAGTTGCAGGAATCGTACTTGCTAACCTCAGCGCCGAGAGCCTTCATGACCTCGGGCTTGTTGAGGTACTCGCTAATCCAGTCGAGCTCGTCGTAGCAGAGGCTGTTACTACCGCACTTCTTGGTGATGTCGTAAGGGTTGCGACCGGTCTTTTGGTAAGGACCGATCATGGCGTTGTTACAATAGATGGAGGCAGGGACACAAGACCAAACGCTCTCGCTGTCGTAACAGCTCTGGATCAAGCTCAAGCAACGGGGCAGGGCATTGTCCATGGCCTGGCACTGTTGAGCGTCGAGAACGGCGGGAGAGCCACCCTCGCCACAAGCCATAGGACGGTACTCAGGGTACTGGGTAAGGCCATCGGTAAGACCGTTGCCGATGAGAACGGACTGAAGGTTAATGTTACGCTTCTTGTGAGAAAGGATCTCGGAGGCGAAGACGGGAATGTAGTGACCAGCGTAGGACTCGCCAGAGATGTGGAAAGGCTGGCTAGCGTACTCGGGGAACTGCTTGAAGAAGAGGGTCAACAGAGCGTAGACATCCTTGCCGGCAGCGACAGTGTTGGTGACAGAGCCGCCACTGTAAGAATAGCCGACGTTGACGGGCTGGTCAAGGAAGATGACCGAGGCGTTGGCGTTCCATGACGAAGGGTTGTACTTGAGGCTGCCATCCTTGTTGATGGATGAAGGGCCAAGCTCCATGAAGAGACCGGTCAAGGACGAGCAACCAGGGCCGCCGTTGAGCCAAAGAATGACGGGATCGTTCTTGGGGTCGTTGCGGGACTCGAAGAACCCTATATCGTGTTAGAGCTAAGCTAGCTCGAAAGGCGGACAGGCGATCGCCACTTACAGTAGAACAAGTGCTTGTCATCCTCTTCATCGTCAAGATAACCGCTGTATTGCTTGACCTTGTCAACATTGAGATGGCTGGGGTCAACCTTCTTGGTTCTCAGGCTGTAGTTCTCGAGCTTGCCCTCAATCTCTCTCTCCTTCTGGCCCTGGGCGTTCTCGACCCAGACGCTCTGGACGTCGGCACCCTTCATGATATGGTCCCACTCGTTGTCATGCTTGCGGGAGTGGGGCTTGGGCAGCGAGAAGAAGCTGGTCTGGTCCATGGCTTCGGGGAACATGAGGGCGACCTCATCCCAAACCTGGCGAGCCTCGCCGGTCAAGGACTTGAGAGACTCCTGCAAGTTGTGCAGAGGCTTAGACCACGCCTCAGAAGCCTGCTTGGGGGCCTTGAGGATGGACTGGCCAGGAGTGACAGCAGCCGTGGCGGCTCCGATCAGGGAGGCGTATGCGGCGACCTTCATGGCGGCGCAAACAGATGGGGATGATAGCTGTGGAGCTAGTTATGTGACTTTGTGCTATCAATGCAGCACGCAAACGGTAGATTGGTCGAAAGAACGAGAGGAGAGAAGCAGCGGACCTCGAGGTTATCAAGGGAGGGCAGGTGCGTGGAGGAAGGAGGAGAAAGAGGGTGCCTGAACAGCGGGACGGAAAGCATCAAGGTGCCTGGTGAATCATGTCATGTGCTCCTTCCGTATCGGGAGCTTATCGTTTCCCCAGTGACGTTTTCGCCAGCGCCCGTCGCGCTGAACGGCTTTAGCAGCCTTTGCATGCCGGACTTGGGTTGCAAGAATTATCCCAGCCTCTTTTCGATAATACATCCATCATCGTCCCACTATCAGAATGCCGTCGGCTCAGATTAACCAGGTACGCCAAATCTCATCTTTCAACTTTGCTGTTTGCTAACAGCCCTGTGCAGCCGTCAAACCAGATCAGGCTCACAAATGTCTCTCTTGTGCGCATGAAGAAGGGTAGGTTCCATGTTCCCTTGCACGCCGTCTATCTTCGTGTCGCGCATTATATTCATATCTACCCGTCGAATTTTGTGCTCATGTTTCTTAGGCAAGAAGCGTTTCGAAGTCGCATGCTACAAGAACAAAGTCCTCGAATGGCGCTCAGGCGTCGAGACCGACCTTGACAATGTCCTCCAAATTCCGAACGTATTCCTCAACGTCTCCAAAGGCCAAGCTGCTCCCTCAGCAGACTTGCAAAAGGCCTTCGGAAAGATGCCCTTGAACGACGTCATTCTGGAAATTCTGAACAAGGGAGAGCTACAGGTTGGCGAGAAGGAACGACATGCCCAGTTGGAAAGAGTGCACGCCGAAGTCATCGACATTGTCGCAGGCAAGCTGGTCGACCCCAAGAGCAAGCGCGTCTACACTACTGGTATGATCGAGAAGGCACTAGATCAACTCAGCAGTCAGAGCGGAAAGGATACCACCACACCCAGCGCAAGCGCTAGTGGCACTGCGACACCCGTGGAAGGCGAGAGCCATGCCGAGCACAAGTCCAAGCCCATGTGGACCGGTGTTGTAACCACTCGTGACGCCAAATCTCAAGCACTGAACGCTATGAAGGCTTTGATCGCGCATCAGCCCATCCCCGTTGCTCGTGCAAGAATGAGATTGAGAATCACATGTCCTACATCGGTCCTGAAACAAGCAGTCAAGAGCGCTCCCAAACCTGGCGATGATGCAGAAGGCGAGGCACAGTCAAAGGGTACAGTCAAGGACAGGATTTTGGGTTATATTGAGCAGGTCGAGAGTCAGGACATGATGGGCGAAGAGTGGGAGGTTGTCGGCTTCGTCGAGCCCGGAAGCTTCAAGCCTCTCAGCGAGTTTGTCAGCGGACAGACAAAGGGCAGAGCCAGAGCCGAGGTTCTGGACATGGCTGTCATGAATGAAGGCGACTAAGAGAGTGTGAACGATGCGTGGTTTGGTCTTCCTGTCATTGCGTTTGTAGCGAACATACCCCGGGAGTTTGGTCTATTAAAAGTGCTTCATTCTTGCTCGGTTTTTGAGTACTTTGATCCTGACTTGCGTGCTCTCTTTCCACAATTATATCAACATGAAAAGAATCGATCCTTCTGATATTGATTAAGAGAAACATATCGACCGCCGAGAGCTCGGTCTGGGATTCTAGACCTTCTGCTGTGATTTCTGTGCCCATACATATACGCAACTTCATGACCGAGACATGTTTATCACTGTGTTTGTGCTGCGAGGGCTTTTTGTAGGATTTCGTTGATTGTCTTGATTCGTAATCACTCTGCAAGAAGTTCGAAACGTTGGATCGGGGCGGCAAGGAGCATTGTGTTTGTCAACGAGAAAGAAAAGGATTTTATTTTCTTCAACAGCACAATGTCATTGAGAGCGGACCACCACAACAACCATAGTCTTGCGCCATATCCATGAAGAAAGCCGAGAGCAGACTGCCTTGGTATTTTTGATTCGGCTGTAAAACGCTGCACCACCACACGCCCCAATATCGTTCCGGGAAAATGCTGTAGGTTGCGAGTCGTTTACTTCTTCTTGCTGACACCGACGGTGCGACCACGGCGGCCAGTGGTCTTGGAGTGCTGACCACGGACGCGGAGGCCCCAGTAGTGGCGGAGACCTCTGTGGGCACGGATCTTCTTCAGTCTCTCGAGGTCCTCACGGAGCTTGGAGTCGACACCGTTGGCGAGGACCTGGAAGTCCTTGCCGTCGACAATGTCGCGCTGTCTGTTGAGGAACCACGAGGGGATCTTGTACTGGGTGGGGTTCTGGATGATGGTGACGATACGCTCGAGCTCTTCGGAAGTGAGCTCACCGGCGCTATGATGCTCGTGTTAGATGCGACTTTTCTTTCCTGTCCGTCCGGGGGCGAGATATGCGTACCGCTTGCTGAGGTCAACATCGGCCTTCTTGCAGACCAAGTTGGAGTAGCGGCGACCGACACCCTTGATCTTGGTCAGGGCGTACATGACCTTCTGCTTGCCATCAACCTGTAAAATGTCATGTCAACACTGTTCTTCTCTGGTTTCATGTCGGCCTCGAAATGCGTGCGCCTGCGACTCTCCGTGTCTACACATGGACGAGGGCAGAATTGGGTATTGGATGGTGCGCGGGATCGAGGCGGATCGTGGGGATGCGTACGTTGGTGTTGAGCAGACGCAGGATGAACTGGAAGTTCGACTTTTCTCCGGAGACGAGCGACATCGTGGCGGTTGATGAGCGATGTTACTGTTTGGGCGGCGCGAATACAGGTCTCTCGAGGTGCTGAGGATTTTCCAAAATGCAAGCGACGCGCGCAGTGCGGTGCCAAGCCCGAGCTAATCGCGCTCTTGGCGTTTTGCTTCCCCAGCCCTTCACTTGTCGACCGACTCCAGAACATCACCCTTGAACATCACCACCCTTGAACATTACCAACCCTTGAACATCACCACCCTTGAACATTACCAACCCTTGAACATCACCAGGAGAAAGTATTGATGCGTGAATTGCCAAAGACTTCTCTCTCATAGCATTCATCGAGTAGCACCTCAGTATCGGATTTGCACCCTTAAACCAAAGTTGCAAGTTCCAACATGCCATCAGCAGTGATCATCCCTTCATTGAATATTGCAGAGGTTTAAGATTGATCAGGTAATTACCGAGCGCTCATAAGAACTGGCGAAGCAATGGACGTGTAGTGTAACAGGCCGATCTCGAATGTCTCAATATCGCTATTGTACATACCTTCTGGCTCAAACGATTGCTGACAGATGTTGGAACAGGCTTTGAAAAGGAGTTGAAAAGCAGTTGGAATGTCACGTCGTCTGAAAAACAACGTTAGGCAAAAGAGAATAGTGATTTCAGATGGTTCATTCGTCATTAGCTAATATACATATTCTGCTTGATCTCCCATTCGGATCTGCATCTCAACCCTCAAATGGTCGGATTATAGGGACTATAATACAAGAATGCCAGCGCCCTGCTTTCAGGTCTGTGTCGTCATTCGCTCCGAGTGACAGTTGCCACTTGATGTATCTGCTGAGGCGTCCCATCGTTAGATGACGAACTTTTCAGGATGGCATGCTCCAAAGTCTGCTCTGCTGGGGGCATCCTCGCGCACGTAGACGCTGACGCTCTTGTCAGCACACTTGAAGACACCATAGCCTCTCTCGTCGATGGTGACAGTGTGACCAGAATTTCCGAGCACATCAGTCCAAGTCTGACCAACTTTAGCGGGACCAACGAACATGCTGCTCTTAGCAGCATTTCCGATGCTCATGATAACAGCGCAGCCATCGGCTCTGTCCCAGGTACCGTGGCGAACCCAACCAATCGAAGTTCTACTCTCGAGATAGTCGGTTTGCTCACCGTAAGCAAAGAGTTTGCGGCTGAGGACAAGAGTGGGCAATTTGCCTTCGCAGGCTGCCGAGGCGGGGTGGGGACCCTTGATTCCGTAGACATCGCCCCAGAAGACGCAGGGCAGGCCTTCACGGCGCAACAGCATGATTGCGTATGCTAGAGGTTTGAAGTAGGGTGCGACGGGAGTCTCAACGGTTTGACCTGGCTGAGTGTCATGGCTGGTTACGAGAGTCTGTGTGTGCTTGTTAGTGATGATGCACTGAGGGGGGGAATGGAAGAATTCGTACGACTGCATTGTTGGGTCGGTGCTGGATCAAGGCGTTCTTAAAGACCTTTCTCAAGTCGACGTCGAGCTTGCTCTTTGCCATTGAGATTTTGGCAAAGTTGCCCAGAAGCGGGATGTCGTAAGCGTAGACGCCCTGTCCCATCCTGTCCATCCACTGGAGGATCTTGGAAACATTCCCGCTATAGAACTCGCCCATGATGAAGAGATCGCGGTGCTGGCGCTTGGCAGCCTCCTTTGCGATGCGGATCCATTCATGGGTGAACATCCAGCTGAAGTGAGGCACGGCGTCCAGTCTGAAGCCATCGACGCCAATCTCGCTCACCATCCAATCGCCCCAATTCTGGACGTCTTCTCTGACTTCGGCGTTGGTGTAGTCGACGTTGGAAAACATGAGATAGTCTCCGTTGCCCATGCAGTCGTCCACGTCGGTAGCCCAGTCCTTCTTGCGCCAGTTGGGGTCCACGGGGGCACCAGGGCGCGGAAGTGTCTCTGGTGCATCGACAATCTTGTAGACGGCGTTCTTCTCGGTGCGCTGGTCCCAGTCGGTGCCATTGAAATGCTGCCAGTGCCACTTCAAGCTGCTGTAGCGGTCTCCGCGACCAGGGAAGTAGTAGTGGATCCAGGGTTCGATCTTCTTGGGGGCGCATGTCTGGATTCTGTGGTCTGTAACGTCTCAATTAGCCCGTGTTTCGCATGTGGCAGCTCTACACATGCGTACCTCCACGATCGACCTCAACGGCCCAGCACTCCTCTTTGGCGTCTCCCGCAGTCTTGTGGTTCAGAACAGCGTCCCAGATGACCTTGACTCCCAAGCTCTTTGCCTTGGCCATCATTTCGTCTAGCTCTTCTCTGGATCCCCATTTTGTTGCGCGTGTCCACTTCTGGTCAAATTCGCCGAGGTCCCAGAGATCGTAGCAGTCGTACCCGTTCCCCTGGGGTGAGTTGGCCTTACAGCCAGGCGGGAGCCATAGTGAAGTGATGCCGAGGTCACACAGTGTTTGTACGACCTCTGCGAGACGGTTCCAGTGGTCGCCGGGCGTGTGCCATTCAAAGGCTTGGAGGAGAGTTTGGTTCTGAGGTGTCGGTGTTCCTGTCTTGCCGGTTTGTGCTGGTTGCACCGCCGGTGCGCCTCCGCTTGTGGATGCTACGTCATGGTCAACACTTCGCCAAAATTTCGTTTCGGCACTTCGTAGAACTTACTCTTTGTCAAAGAGTCCAGTCGACTCTCGACCTTTTGAAGTTTGCTGCGGAACCAAGAAGAGGACATGCTTGCGACGTTGATCAAGAAACTAGAAGAGAAGGCCTTCAAGATCAAGTCGATGTTTCGGGGTGTGTACGGACCAACTTATTTATGTTTGCTGGACTCGAGTCATTGATGCCTTAATTTCACCTGTAGTACTCCTCACTGATTCTTGGTGTTCCAAGTGAGTCGGGAAGAGATGAAGGCGCAGCAAGCAGGTGTGAACAACTCAAGTGAGCCTGAATAAGCTGATGGATCAGGCAAGTGAGAGTGGTGGAGCTTGACGATGAATAAACACGGTTGAGGAGGCTTGCGTAATCATTCATGTGTAGACGAGAAGTGAAGGAAAGTACATCGCGTTATGGGGATATCAAGGTGAAAACATTAAACACTAATCGCCAATGAAAGTATCGTTGCATCAAGCAGCATCCAGCCTCCCCTTATGCTAAAATCTGTCACTTCCAGCCATCTCCTGCGGCCACGCCTGGAGTCGTCTGGCATGTAAAAATGCACAATGTTTTTCAGATCGGTATAAACGTCCGCAGAGAGCCGCTAACTACCACGCTCTCAGGGGAGGCTACCCCTAACAACGCTGAAATTGTGCTGTTGTATAGTTGTACGCGTGACAAAGCTTAGCATACGGGGGGAGAAGGAAGAGAAGAAATTACGAGTGAAAAATATAAGGAGGAATCCGAAGCGCGAGAATGGCGTATCTTGTCTTTCAATACCTGAGCTTGCCGACAAGGCCGAAGGTATATGCACATTCGCGTTCCTATCCATGTTTAGTGATTAAAGATTTGACACTGAATGAGAGGAGACAACTTACAGTCTTGTGTTGAACCATGTAGGTGTTTGCTTTTGAGGCAAGGACTCCACCAGTGTTTCCTGGTCCGACTCTGTCTTCCCACACGCTGACTGCGATACCGGTCCTGGCGACCCTCTCAAAACAACTCTCGCCCAGAGTTACATCCAACAGTGTCTCACCTCTAGTTTTGCCACTGACCAGAATGCGTTTTTCAAGGCCTACTGTTCGTGGACTTACTGGCTGCCCAGGGGGTGGCCTTGGAGGAAGTAGAATTGACAGCCGTGCTGAACCCATGTCTCTCCATTTGTTCTGTGATTCACGTATGTAAAGTCGGATCTTTGCATTTGTGATACCAAGTGGAGTCCCTTGCGACGGATCATAGACAAGCGGAGTTGATGCTCCAGAAGAGAGTGACTCGCTTGTACCACTCCGACTACCCTGTCGAGATGTGATCGTGCTCTTAGCAATGTTGAAAAGTCGGCTGTTGCCGTTAAATCTACGCAGAGCAGAAAAGGCAGTATTCATGGTACCGACAGAAGAATCTGTTATTGCAGATGGTGCTCGAGATGCCTTGGAGCGGTACGTGTTGCTTCTTCGTAGAGGATTGTGGAACCATGAGCCATTCGAAGCGCGCTGGTCGTTACGCTGATCCATCGCGGCAGACCATGTACTTTCAGTGACGGGTCCGCGTGCGTTCTGAAGAGCAATATATGTAGGGTTGTTAATTCGAGCCATGTTGATAAATGAGTACAGCACATCGCATTCTTCAGCGCTGCGAGAACGAAACATGACATTATTGCTTGCGCGTATCAAAGAGCTGGGTGTGGGAGGTGATCTTATCGAGATGTCAAGCGCTGTCCCGCGACGCAAAGGGACCAAAGGCGTGACCTCAAACGCTATCAGGGGTTGGACGCCCCTGCCTGAGGGGCTTGTCAGATCACTTCCAACTAATCCAGTTGGAACGGCGTCGTTCATGTCAAAAGCTTCAATCAGTCCTGGAGTGACAACGATAACACACTCATCGGGGTGCAATACCTCCCATGCACCGCGATCAGACCACGAGAAGATTGACGCAACAGTTTTTGAGGCATTTGTCGCCTGATGGGGAACGGTTCGATAGGGTGCTTGGGAGGCAGAATTGGATGGACCAAGTGTAGCTGTTGGCAACGATGCAAGTGATTCTGGCGGTGTCGCTTTCGCTGTCTTCTCAATGAAAGGCAAATTGGGCGACACAGCGTCCTTTGTACCTTCCAAAGCATCTTCGGATGAATCAGACGTGATAGACTCATCGTCGTCTTCGTCCTCGGGATAAGACGAATCACTCTCAGTTGACGACGGGGTTGTAATCGACGGTTCGTACTCATGTTTGAGAGGGGAAGATGATCTACGATGTCTCTTCAGAAAGTGGGGCGTAAAAGAGGGAATGGAGAATCGTTTCGGCTTCGGAGGTGGCAAGTCCTTATCCTTGCTAGAAACATCACCCAGTATGTCATCAAAGCTGACGCCTTTAACGCTTGGTCGGCGTTTTTGCAATTTAGAAGGTGCCGAAGAAGGCTCCCTCATATGTGCAGCCTGCACTTGATCTGTACTGCCAAACAATTCAGGAGGCTGAATTGGTGAGTTTGGCTCGCTTGTTTGGCGCCTTGAAGTACGAGGGGGATCAAATGTCGGTACTGACGATACTCTGCGATGGAGCTGTGGCCGTATCTGACTTGTCGAGGCCATATAATCGTCCTCTTTCTCAGATTCGTCAGATGAGATCGTTGACGAAGGCATCCAAACGCTGTACTCGTTTTTGGACTGCGAAAGAGTGGATTGGCTCGAGAACGAGCTCAAAGTGGTCCCAGTATTGGACCTCGACGTCTGATGAATAGGTCGCTCTGGATTAACTCGGGTCTCTTTCTCAAGAGGGAAATGTAACAAAGACCGAGATGAGCTGGGTGACATAGGCGGAGACGATCTGTGGCGTGTTGCTTTTGATCTTCGCAGGCCAGAGACATCTGCCGAACACACATCACTGACAACGGATATCGACTCTCGAAGCTGTGAGCTAGGCAGGGCAGAGGCCCTTTGAACCTCTCTGGGGCTTGAGGGGACAGATTCATGTTGTGGTCTGCTGTCTGGCATGGACGGATCAGACGCTCTGCCATAATCGGAGGCGGCCGTGGCTGCGTCCTTCACACCGTGGTCAGAAACCCAGCTCCTTGATGAAACCGGTCTTTCGCCGATCGGTATCTCGATTTCTTTGGTCCAATCACCACTTCGACGCGCAGGGCTCGCAACAGGTGATATAGCCCCTTGTGATTGGTAGCTCAAAGGTTTCTGAAGATTAGCAAGGAAGCTAGATTGCCTTGCCAGAGATGGAGGAACAGGGCTGAGCCCAAGCATATCCACCCACTCAGGCCCTGTGGACTCATCACCGGCGTGTAAGGACAAGAGTTCATGCCAGTCCTGACCGTTAGAGTTCCGTCCCCGAATCATCATGACTATATCTCCGGGACCAGTACCAGCTCTTGCAGAAACAGTATTTCTGCTCAAAGGAGGGAAGAGCAGCCAGCGGCCTGTGTCTGAGACTTCGCAGATGAGGACATCTCCACCGTTTCCTCGACCTGGAGAGTCATCGCGTATCACAATCTCAATCCTGCAATCCAACTGCTGACCGCTGGAGTGGATGATATTCAAGTCGAAGTAGTCTCTTGCATGGACACATCGAGTGGCATCGATGCTCACACCTTTGAGTAGGGCGAGACTCTGTGGATCTCTGGCGCGAGTGGGATCGATGCCCGCTGCCGCCTCATCTTCTAGACGAGCCCGTTCCTCGTTGGATCTCCGGCGGGCCTCTGTCACCAGCTCTTGGTACTTGTCGGACATTGTACTCGCCAAAGAGGATGGGGCAAGGAAGTTGATGCCCTAGACTTGTCAGTATCTCGACAACACGTAGTAAGTAGTGAATCTTGTTCATATATACCTTGAACGTTTTGGCGAGGTACTTGAGACGTACAAGGGGCCTCTTGAGTAAAAACGCAACATCCACTCTCTCGCCATCGCCATTGATTAAGTCGCCATCGCCGTTCCTTAGCAGCCCGTCGTCCCACCGACTACTAGAGTTAGTGTCAGCAGGTGCAAGATTGACCACGACATCCTGGAATCCCATCCTCCACGCCTTTAGATAGTCTGAGTAAATGCGAGTAGCTCCTTGAGCCCATGACAAAAGCGCACTGTTATCACTCTTCGGAACTCGACGATGGTGCGCTTTTAAACGTTCAAGAGCAACGCCCATATCTACGATAGGCTTCGTGATAGTCGCGTCATCTGTAGCGGAACGACCGAATAGACCAGCAGCAACTGCTGAGTCTGACTTGGAAAGGACGCATGACAGAAGGACAGGAATAACTCCATCCACCAAGGTGCGAAGTTCCCGCTGATATTTGACCTCATCTGCGGTAAATTCGTTCCAGAGATCTTGAAGCGTTGCCTTCTCGAGTCTCGTCCGGTTGGTTCTAATACTACGAGCTGAGACAATGCTCTTAGCATCACCCATGGGCAGTGATAGAACAGACATGAGGTCATCATGGCGAGTCAATCTACGCTTGAGCCCACTGGTGCTTCTCATGGATCCGGGATGCTCCGGCACGATTGTATCTTGCTCGGAAACCTCTGATAGGGTTGCAGTCTCTTGCAACGTCTCCGCTGAAGCGATGGTGGACAGTCGTTTCCCAGTCGTGGGGAATCGGCGCCGAAGATTTGCACCTGGCGCGTGTTTGCTCATATGAACGTCTGGAGGCAAGGTGTTGATAGGTACTGAAGATGTAGCATAAGACAAATCCTCACTGCAAAAGCTTGAGGGTGTAGACTCAGATATGGTACCAAGAGTCTCCTTCGGTCCAAGAACTTGTTCGGAAGGGCTTCGAGATGCGATTCGACCAGTAGCTTCTCTGTCGTTGTTATGAACACCTGGAGCAGCGGAGTCCTTCCGCTTGGATAGGTCCTCTTTGCTCGATCTCTTTTCCGACCGGCGTCGTGGTGCTGCAGTAACTCTATCATCGTCCTTGTGTTGCACAGAGTTGTCCGAAATGAACGGATCAGGGGTACCACCAAGCCATGCTTCGATCCTGTTCCCAAAGACTGGCACTGTCGCGGGTGCTGCGTTGGAATGAGACTGTCCAACAAAGTTTTCCGCTTTTGGATTATCGACTGAGACGTCTTTCGGATCAAGCGTTTGTGGAACAGTAGATGCCACTCGTGGTTGCTTTCGAGTTCGAGCATTTCGAGTGCTGATACTGTCATCCGGGTCTAAAGTCTGCGCAATGGACCTGTTGTCCGTCTCTGCTTCAGAAGCCGTGGGCGAACCATGGCGGCGACGTAACCTGCGTCGACGGTCCGAATTGTCGCGGCTTACTTCGCGAGCACTCCTTCTGTCTTTGTCTTTTCTTGGCTCATCTTTGATGATCTGGTCGAGTTCATGTCGTGATGTACGCTGTTTCGAGCCGCCTGAGCTGTTGGGTCGATCACTGTCGCTTTTGGGTGTGCGTTCCTTGGGACGTGTGCTGGGGGTTTCTTTCATAGGTGTCACTCGGATACCGTCGTCATCTGGTCTCATGGGCCTAACTCTGATGCCATCGTCGTCCTTCTTTAACTTCGGAGAAGGCTCATCAGTCTTGTACACGGTAGTTCTCTTGATGGTATATGATTTGGGGTCCGACTTGGGCGTGGCATGTGGTGTTTTGGTAGGTGAGCGGTCTTTGCGCCAGTGAGCATCACTGACCACACGCTTTATTGGCGCGCCAGCATGTTTAATATCCGAATCCAGGTCGTTCCGAGGGGTACTCTTCTTTCGGATCCAAGCTTGTCGCTCTGCGTCCAGCTCTCGGGGCGTCAAAGGTGATTTGGTTGGAGACGACTGTCGGCCTCTCTTGTCTGAGTCCGTCCGAGGCTTATCCTGTGGGGGCTTACTCGTCCTTTTGGCTGGCTTGATTGCCTCGGATTCGTTGTCGTACTCGACCGTAATCACATTGTCATCATCTTTTGCAAGCGCGACTCCGGCGCTGTCAGCCTGCCATTTGCAAACTCGTTGGCGAACTTTCTCCGTATCGTATGGGCCGGTTTGCTTCCCGATGTCAAGGTCGCCTTTCTTCATGTGTGATCCCGTGCTTTGAATCGACAGTTCCGTATTGAAGGGATTAACTATGTGCCAGGTGTGTCGCTACTGGGGATTGGCGATCAGGGACAATGTACATGGAGAAGGTTGCTCAATTGCGGAATTGAGTATCAGTCTAGGCCAGAGCGAGCAATTGTTGCATGAATCTACCTGGCGACACTGATGTGCGCCTGCGGAAAAAGTGATTCGAGGGTTTGGGCAGTGAGGTTGTGCTATCAAACATGTCAGCAGTCATCGCACACTCAATTGCTCATGATCGGTTTCGATATGCATACGGTTTCAACGGCGAACGTGGAGAGAGCTGGACCCTGACGGCATGTGGCATGTGTCAAACGGCGGGGAAAATGGTCCTTTGTTGTCACAGCACTTCAGGCCTGACCGAGTACAGTGATTGACGATAGAGCTCGTGAACGGAGCAAAACCTGGACGGCGCATGGACTGTGGATGAGGGCGAGGCTTTGTGTTTACACACCCCGGGTCGGAAGGTGCGACCGCCAGCCGCGCATCCACTCAATCCCAGCCCTTCGCAAACGAGGCCACTAATTAACTACCTGATGCATCTGCATCTTTTGCCTTTTCCTGCCGGACAACCTGGCTAAACCTGATCCAAGCCTACTTGCAACAGTGCACTCGTTCTCGACAATTCTTTAGTCATATATCATCCGACTTTGATATGTTCTTTCTGACACGGTCGCACATCACCAATTCCTTGACAACACACCGGATGGCAGAAAATGTCTGTGCGTATCTAAAAGGTCGACAGTCCAGCTTTGATCTGATTAAATATATGCAACTACACATTAGCTCATTCTCTCTATCGACACACACTCCCTCGCATTCTATTAATCGCCTTAGATGGTCTTTTTCGAGTCTTGAGACGCCTGGACTTGTCGAATGGCGTCCGCGCTGGTCCTGATACTATTGTATAAGAGTACTGCATCACTGTCAACAATGTCCGATCCCAACAACAAACTGCCGATCCAAAGTGCTTACCACCAGGTATCACAATCCAGAAAAAGTTGGCACCAAAGTAGTATCCCCAGAAGTAGTACGCCTCTGGTCGCGAATACTCGATGCCTAGGTAGTAGTGATCTGCCATACTGGTTGCATAGTACAGCATGTCACCATAGCATTGCCCAAGACTCACTGCCGCTTGCAATGGGTGCCTCAATGGATGATCGATTGCAATCAGCACCGCAACTACAAAGCTCAATGGGCCCCAAAGTACCTACGGCGAGTTTCTTAGTTATGCCGCTGCTACCGAATGAACGAGGAAGAGGGTCAGAGCAAAACTTACAGCAGTCATAGCCTCAACACAGAAGACAAATGTATTTTGTGTCAAGTATCTCGAGTCCGACAATGCGTACTCCTTCCACAGCTGCCCGAAGAAAGTCTGCAACCCTCCCAAATTCGCGTTGTTGTACGCAAAATAGCCTACAAGAACAGTCAATCTTCTTGGTTGCGCTCCAGCAACCACGTTTTGGACGCACCTTCAAAGAACAAGTGTATGCATCCACACAGCACAAACCACATGACCGTGAGCAGTTCAGAGGTAGGCAATCTTGGATTCACCTTTTTGACAGCGAGATATGTCAACCCAAAGATGGCAACGCATCCGGCTACGAAAGAGCCCAAGAGCGACAAAACAGTAGATTCATTGGCCGAATAACCGACAATGGTTGCATCTGATGGATAGTAGGGGTGTGCGGCCTCATAGCCAGTCATGTTGTTCATCAAAGCCTGGAGAGGTAAAGATATAGTAGAGTCCCCAGAGCCCGCCATTGGACACAGAGAAGCCTTGTTGAGCAGATGGCAAAAGGAAAGAGACCAGAGACGAGAGTCGAATGGAAGGAAGTCCAAGGACAAAAAGAACATTAGTTTCGATGAGACCCGAGATCATAATTGCCGGTCAAGGCACCCAACACACAACGGCGTGTATTCAATCATAAAATCACTTCAAACAATGATGACGAATCGACGATACCATCACTCGACCATTTTGCACGCTATGGATCAAGGTTGACAAATCGGAAGGACAGGGAATGTGATCGGCCCGCGAAGGTGCCTGAGATCGATCGGATGGGGCTTGATAATGCGCCACGCTGATCAGATCATGGGAATCGCTGAATTCCATACCGTCAGGTCTTGTGATTTCTCATAGGGAGCACAGAAGCAGAAACAAGAAGCCGGTGTACGAGTAGGTATTATTGTCTCGAAATTGTTTGCTGCGAGAGAATCTTTTGCAACCCCAGGTTTGAACGGGCAGATGTCATTGCGCATGGCTGGGATTCCCGGAGAGGAGGTCCGTCGACTGGTATTTAGGTCGAATCAAAGAAGACTTCTCTCACCACATTCTGGGGATCTGTCACAAATGTAGCTTCAGAAATGCACAATCGTGTTCAGTCCGAGTGTCATGCCAATCGAAAGCGTGACAAGCATATCGTCACTATGGTCGGCCGCGCTGACCACGAAAGCACCTTGTGTCTCCGCAACCTGCAAGTTCGAAGATCTGAATGTAAACGCACAGCTGCAGCGTTTTGCTGCGGAGTGCACGAGATATAAGACAGTTTCCGTGACCAATGCCGATATTCTGTTGAAATCCTAGAGTTGGCATAAACGAAACGGAAGAGGCCTCATCAAGGAGGGCGAAAAGATGTGCATAAAAGTGGTCATTTCCAACGCTCAAACTGCACTGTATCCGCCACGACTGCTATGACCCTGAACCATACCAACGATTGAACGTCCCCAGTCCTTGACAGTATAAGGGAACTCCCGCCAGAAATCGGCATGGGGAACAGAGTCAAAGCCTTCTGCGCCGTACTTGCTGCGGTTCAAGAAAGAACCCATGATCAAGTACGTTGCGATCAGCAAAAAGGCGCTGTAAGGAACATTAGCAAAAGCGCAGTTTCGAGGATCAGCGAATCTTACATGATAAGGAACCAGGTGAAAAAGCCCCAGTGACTGCTGGACTTGTTGCCAGAAGAGGGCTTGTGTTCTGTCATGCCTTCGCAGGCGTATTTTGTCTTCCACTGCAACCGCAGGACATCGAACTCATTATCACCCTCTCCCTCGGACTTGTAGCTGACGAGCTGAAGACTTGCATCCTCGGCAGGCTTTTCCTTGTCGTCCTTCTTATCATCCGTATCGTCGCGCATCAGCAAGCCTGCAACATTTTCCTCCTCAAGCTTATCGCGCGAGTCACCCTCAGCACCCTCAAGTCCGGTTCTGTTGCGATCACATTGGAACTCGATAATTGCCTTTTGCTGGCGACCATTGGACTTTTCGAACGGGTATTTTCCTCCGTGTAGCTCAACTCTTAAGCCTTCCTTGTTCGCATCATCGTGGGAGGCTGAGTTCTTCAGGCGGGTCCACTCCGGGTCCAGGAATCTGCCATGAGAGCCTGCATACTGGCCGGCGATAGGGATGACTCTCCTGATGGTACTAGAGTTGTCGGCAAGATTGTAGTCGTATTCAATACCACAAGCTATGACGCATGAGCACCAGAAATAAGAACAGAGGTAGAGTTACAAACCGTATGTGCCAGTCTGGCATTCGTTGTCTTTGGGGACGCCTTTTGTCCTCTTGAGCGGGTTACAGATGTCGATGGTAAAGGTGGTGTTGGAAAGGCTCGGGGGCGTTTCTTCGATCAGATGCACAGCATGGGGACCGGCAAGTTCGGAAAGGTCGAAGTGCTGGTCTTTGACCAAGACGTCCTTGCAATCAAGGGTGATAGCACTGGTGGAAGTTGCGGAGAGGAGAATCAAAGCGGGTAACGACCCGAGCATGCCGCGTGCCCACATGGTTCTGAGGACTTGTCAGAAAAGGTCGCCGATGTGGATTTCCGCAAAGTAGATGGACCGCCTGCGGTAAGACGGGCGAAACAGAAGGGCAGAGAAAGAAGGAGAAGGGGAAAGTATGAGCTGTATAGGAAATTAGAGGAGATTGGAGATTGGAGATTGGAGATCGGAGAGAGTGACAAGACGGCAATATGGCGCGCCAAGAGCCGGCTGGGACCCGCAATGAGGAGGAGAGTGCTCTCTCTAGACTCTAGCATCACACCTGTGTCCTCCCACATCTGCCACGACCAAGGCATACACCCAACACGCACCATGTCTCGTCATGCTCGCATCGAAGAAGTGTCGGACAGCGACTCGGAGCCGTCCGAGATGGATCCCTCGGACTTTGACCCTGGCCTTATGCAGTCCATCATCCAGCCCGCCAACATTCCATCCACTGCGCCTCAGCAATCGCAACAGCAGCAACCTGTCCTACAGCCTCACTTTCCTGGCCGTCCCCCGCCAGATCAGAACGCCGAACTCGAGCGTACCAAGCACTACCAATGTCTATACCCCATCTACTTCGATTCAACTCGCTCGCGCGCCGAAGGAAGAAGGGTTGGAAAGAATGAGGCTGTCGCAAACCCCCTAGCCCAGGACATCGCCAATGCCTGCTCGCAGCTACCTGTCGGTGGTCGCGTTGTCTTCGAGCCTGCAAAGACACATCCCAAGGATTGGGCGAACCCTGGCCGCGTGCGTGTCTTGGTCAAGGAGGATGGCAAGCCCTCAGGGAACGGTTCCATCAAGAACAGTGCGCCATCCAGCTGACTCCACGTGAACGTCCCAGAACTAACCTCACACAGAGCATCAACTATACAAACTAGTCGCCGATTACCTACGGGCACATCCCACCACAGAAGAGTCGCCCATGCGTATGCGCATTGCCGGCCTTCCACCACCGACCAAACCCATCCCGCCGCCAGCTGCACCTAAAGGTTGGAAGATGGGTACGATATTACCATTACATTCGCCCGCTCTGAGCGGTGGAGGCGTCAACGAAAACTACTTTAAGGATATGATGCAGGAAATGCAAGGCATGCAGGGCCAGCCAGGTATGCCAACCCTGCCCGCCGGTATGGAAAGCATGTTTGGCGGAGGCTCCCCTGCGCCTGAGCCACCCGTTTCAAAGAAGAAGGACAAAAAGAAATCCAAAGCCTAAACGCCTAGCCAGTTCCTGGAATGCCCAAGCACCTCACACCTTTCTAATATACATAATCTTGACATGAACGCTTGATATGAACATTTACGACGTCTTGATGACCTTGGGTGGGGTCATGGGCAGCTCGGTCTTGAACACCCAATCCCAGAAGCGGCTGGTGACACCAAAGCCGTTCTCGTAATCGGCAAAGTGGTGCGCCAAGTGGTACTTCTTCAGCTCGCGCCAGTAAGCAGGGAGGCTACAAACACGTCAGTTCGAATCTTCACGAGTTAAAGAGTGATGCGACTCACGTCTTGTGATGCAAGAAGTAATGCGTCAGATCGTAGCAAATGTATCCAAAAATACCACCACAGAAAACCGCAGTGGCAGCGTTCCAGTCGTAGAAAAAGACAGCGTGTGCGAGATACCAGAAGGGTGTGGCGAGAACGAGGAAGAGTGTTGGTGGCATAACCAGACGCAGTCTATCCATAGGTAGGTAGTGGTGAATGCCGTGAAGTAAGAAATGCAGAGTAAGGCCAACGCGATTGTCAGGTAGGTATTGGTCCAGATGGAACAGGAAGCGGTGCAAGACGTACTCGACCAGCGTCCAGATGCAGAGGCCAGTGATCCAGTAGGAAGTAAGACCAACAGTGGAAAGTCCTTGACTGGAGAGGTAGGTGCCGTAGGCGACGGGAGGCACCCAAACGGTAGGTACAACCCACCAGGGCGTCTTGCTCAGGGGCTCGAGGAAGTTGCCGAACAGAGGGGCGCTGTCTCCACCCTTGTAGTGACGGGGACGGTGGACTTGTTCAAGGTAAAAATCCTTGGTGAAACCACCCCTCCATACCTGCATCAAGAGAGGCTTGTTGAGGTCGAGGAACTTGTGTGTGCGGTAATCAGATGAAGCATCCGTCTCTTTAGACAAGTCTTCTTCGCAAGACATTCCAGTGTTCTCGTACAAGGGCTGGTTGACGCCGTCTTTGCGCAGCTGCTCGGCGCCAGCCTCTGAAGGCGGAAGGGGTACAATGTCGGCTGGGTGGGTGCTATTGGTGACGGACTTCATGACAGGCTCAGTGGCAACAAAGCCGACGAGGTAGTCGTCCAGAATCTCCCAGGCAGATTCCGAGTGGAAATGGGAAGCCGTGTCGTCCATGATGTCCTTGACATCCTTGCCGCCATAATCAACAATCAGGTCGCCGCCGCCGGGATGATCCTCGAGGAAAGGAGTAATGTCGTAGACCTTTGTGCCGACAGTGACATAACAGGACTTGGAGGTGTTATGCGCGGCGACGTCGGCCTGAGGAATGGTGGGCAATGTTCTACCAGGCATTGTGTCGCAAAGAGCCGATCAGGTGTATGCCGGAGAGCGGCGGGCGGAGCGAATTGGATAGAGAAGAGAACAGGCCTTTGATGGATACGGCGATTGGCGATTAGAAGTCAAAAACAAATTGAGAGTGGAAAGAGGAAGATATAAGAGTCTCCTGAAAACGTAGGCAACAAGGTTGAAAACTAAGTGAGGTGATGGGTGGCGTGCCATGTGAGGACCCTTCTTAGGGAAATTGAAATCGGACCCAAACATCTCGCTCGGGCCGCAGCTTTCCGCTGACTCTTGCCGCTTCGTCCGCTCTTTACTGTTTACAGTATCAAATGCACATCTGCCTTGCTTCAGCTTGTCCGCCACTATTGGAGTCTTGCGGAGAGGGTCGCCGTCCTCGACAACTCGATCGTCGCATGGTAGTTTTGCAGGTCTTGTTTCTGCTCGAGAAGGCGATTACCGTTTGCTCTCATTTGTTTTTGCAGATGGAACTAGAGCGCTTCGCCAAGCAAGCTTCGCGACTTCCCTCGGATTGAATTTGCTGAGCTGCCGCCTCTCCTCTCTCTTCACTGCCGACAGCTATTATCATTTTTGATCTTGATTCCGTGTATATCCATCGTCTTCATACTGCCTATCACACTCCAATCAGAACCCACTCTATCTTTCAGCCCAACACGCGTGCCAATCACTGAAGCGCATCCACGCCGCAAGTCAGCGCAAGCCTTTGCTCCACTTAGTTTTCTTACCAACCAGACACTATGGGCGCCCTAGACATCTCCGTCGAAGAACTCCTCGAATCTGCACAGAGAGACGCTTCCGCTCAAGAAGCTCAGAATGCCACCACCAACAAGGATGATGATGGTGCCCGCTCCCGTCGCGGCACCACAGCTGATGTCGACATGAAAGACTCGGACAACGTCTCTGCTAACGGAAGCACCCGTAGTAGACGTAGAGACCGCAGCGGTGACCGCTCTTCACGCCGCCCTGATTCGCGCGATCGTCGTGAGCGCTATCGCTCCAGCGGTGGTGACTTTTACCGCGGAAACGGTCGTAACAGAACTAGATCCCCCTCAGACGACGACAGATACTACCGTCCTTCTGATCGCTCCCGCAGAGACGACGACCGCCCACGCCGTCGCGACAGAGAGCGTGGTGACCGCCGTTCGCCCCGTCGTGATCGCGGCGACTCATACCGTGGTGGACGCGCTGCTCGTGATAGATCTCCCCCTCGCCAAAGAACTCCCGAGCCCACCGACGACGAGCGTGATCGTCGCACAGTCTTTGTTCAACAACTCGCCGCTCGTCTACGCACCAAAGAGCTCGAAGCATTCTTTGCTCAAATTGGTCCGGTCAAGGAGGCTCAGATCGTCAAAGACCGTGTCAGTGGTCGCAGCAAAGGTGTTGGATACGTGGAATTCAAGGAAGAAGAGTCGGTTCAGAAGGCACTTGGCTTGACCGGTCAGAAGCTACTTGGTATCCCCGTCATTGTACAACTCACAGAAGCTGAGAAGAATCGCCAGGCTCGTGTAGCAACTGGCCAGCCCACGCAATCTAACGGCATACCTTTCCACAGGCTTTATGTTGGTAACATCCATTTCTCCGTCACCGAGGAAGATTTACGCGACGTCTTTTCGCCATTTGGTGAGCTCGAGTTTGTCCAATTGCAGAAGGAGGAGAACGGACGCAGCAAGGGTTATGGTTTTGTGCAGTATGTTACCAAGACCACCTAACATTTGCTGCTTATGCTGACCATTCTAGATATGTTGATCCCGCTCACGCAAAGGCAGCACTCGCCGACATGAATGGTTTCGAAATCGCCGGTCGCCCCATCCGCGTCGGTCTTGGTAGCGACAAATTCACCCCTGAGTCCACCGCAAGCTTATTGCAACGCTTTGGTAGCCAGAACCAGGCTGCTCAATTCCAAGGATCGTCTTTCTCTGGCGCTGGAGGCCGTGGTGCGCATGCTGGTGGTAACAACAACTTTGATCGTGCCGGCGCCCGCGAAGAAAAGGGTACTGGCGGTGCCAGTGCTCTTGACGACGCCGATGTCGGTGGCGTCAACTTTAACAACTTCAGCAGAGACTCCCTTATGCGCAAGTTGGCTCGTACTGAAGACCCTGCTCCACAGACTCAGGCCGCTTCCTCCCGCCCTCATGCCGATGCCAAAAAGAATGTCCTGCACACTCCCGCCCCCAGCCGCTGTATTGTTGTGAAGAATGCCTATGACGAAGCCACGTAAGTTTCGTTCTTCTCGCTCTATCTGACCTATATGTTGACATGTCTACCAGGCAAACCGACCCCCATTGGGCCAAAGACCTCGAGGAAGATTTCAAGGAAGAATGCAGTTCCAAATACGGCAAAGTCGTTCATATCGGTGTCTTCCGCGACAGTTCTGACGGCGAGATTTATGTCAAGTTTGCCGACATTGCTGGAGGCGATAGTGCCCTCAAGGGCCTCAACGGCAGGTACTTCGATGGCCGCACGCTGACGGCCACGCCAGTTGTTGATGCTGTCTACAACATGAATTTCCCCAAAGCTGCCAGCCTCTAGGAGTTGCCTGTCATACTAAGGAGAGAAAAGGATACTCGATGAAAAGAAAAACCATACGATGGTTCATAACTAGTGCTGACGGCGCAGATTGCGTTCTCCCACCCGAGCTAATGCTCATGGCCCACATTGGATTATGTCTGCTCAATCAAGGTATAGCCACAGCACAACTTCTTCGTCGCTTCTCATTAAGAATTGCGCACTGCTGAGCCAACAGCCCTACAGTCTATTCCGACTCATTCTGACTCGGTCTTACCCTTCTCACATAGCGTCTAGTTTGAGAGTGTTCATACGATGGTATTGCGGGAAGCAGAAAGTTCTGGCGTTCTAACGAAATGCATTCGAAGAGCATGGCAACAAAATGATTGGCAGGAGCGAGAGAACAGAAGGAAATATGAACAAAGAAAGACAGCTTGACAATGTATGTCGATTGCATAGCGAAACACAACCTGTGAATATTTCTGCACGACCACTCCTCTTTACCTATTGCCATTTTCAGTCAACTCTGTGGTACTTGAGCACCTCTATGGTGTGTGCATGTTCCCTTTTTACTTGTTTCCTCCCTCGCTCACAGTCATCTTCTCAATCCTTCTTCTCCAGAGAGCACCGACACCCCTGTCGCCGCCCAATCTAGCCAAGGTAGGCACAGGACTCAGGCCGTCCTTGGAACGATCGGCGGTAGAACGTTTAGGTGAAGCAGGGTAGATAGGGAACGGTACAGCTTCTTTAGGTGGACTGCTATCACTTTCCGCACGCCGCCAATTAAAGAGACGAAATGGTAAATCAGGGGGTAGTCCTGCAGTGTCGTGGCTTGGCGGAGAGAAAGGAGAGGAGCTGCCATCCAGGAAGGGATTTGTGACACACTCCGAATATGAGGACGAGGGCGGGTTTGGCGAAGGCGTTTTGATCGTATCTGGGGAGATGATCTTTAGGGAGGTTGTACTGGTGGGACGATGACGTGGTGTCAAGTTGGTAGAATCTTTTCGACTTGCTGTACTAACGATGCTTGCATCGAGAAGGATGTTCCTCTCCTCCCAAGTTTCTGACTGGACTTCAGGCTGACATTGTCTTCGAATTGGCTGATTGGACTGAGGTGGGGGTGCGGGCGACAACGAGGCAGAAGGAAGGCAATGCTGAGGGGCGGGTGAGCTCTGAGTAGAGTAGTATTGTTCAGGCGAGTACAGATCAGTGGAAGGATCGTGGGCCGAGATCGGTTCAGGAGGGAGCTGTTCGGGCGAGTAACGTTCAGAGACTTGCTGCCCTACTGTGACAGCTCTTTGGCGACTGTGACCTTCGCCTAAATGCTGTTTTTTGCCTCCTCCAATGGTGTTCAATCCAGTTCCATCAGAATCTTGGTGACCGGTTGTGGCAGCCGTCTGGCGACTGGACACTCTCTTTGGCTGCACATACGGCATGCCTCCTAGCCCAAGATTTCTGTCCGGTCGCTCGCTCGTAGCCTCCTTTCGCTGACGAGCCCACCTTCTAGCTTCCCGGAGTTTCGTGCCCATCTTGTCCATTTTGGCGAGAGCAGTATCGACACAGTCGACATCGCCCACGATATACCTCACCCACTCGCGACAAAAGCAGACACGAGTACTGAGCATATCCGATCTTCGCATCGAACCAAGCAGCAAGGCACCTAGGGCCATGATAACCTCCAGATTTCCTCCCATTCGTGCCAGAATGCAGGCCACGCAGCCGTCAGTCTGATATCCGTATTTGGGAGTAGGCAACCGATTGAACTTTTGCATGAAGTCGGCAGATGAAAGCCATAGCGCTTGTATCTCATCCATCAAGGCAAGCTGCTCGGTTTGAGAAGCTGACAAGCCTCCAGCGAGTGCAACAGACTGCCAGATCTCCTGGGTCCTGGTCTCAACTTCGTACCGCAAGGCGGCAAAGATGTCTTCTAATGGCTTAGCGTTGAGACGGCGATGGAGGCTGCACAAGCTGTGGTTGATGGACCAGGGTAGGAAAGATGGGAGTGTAGTAGCAGCTCTCAGCTTGGAGCCGAGAAGGGCCATGCGTTCGTTAGTGTGAGACACGTAAGTTGTCCAGACGGCTCCATCTCGAGGAGTGCTGATAGGCGGACCGTGGCAAAGGACAGAGGCCAGTTGGCTGACTTCGAAAGGAAGGAGGTCAGCGTAGCTTCTGGCACGACGGTGTGTCGGCAACATTGGTGGAGGTGCGTGCCGACGGCGAGGAATCCATCGTGCCGGTCGGTCGAGAGAAGGCGATCGAGTGAACGAGAGGTAGGAAAGAGAGGAAGATGTCGACGCCGCTGAAGAAGCTCGTTGGTGGTCGCTGAAATGGTCTGTCATGTTCTCGATGATCATGGTTGTGATGACAGGATGATCGTTTGTTGTTCGAGCGTGAAGTTACAAGATGGGGTTGCCAGTGCGAAGTTGTCGTCAATGACAAAGTTTGAATCTATGCTGGACATGCGTGCCGTCTAGAGATGCGATTCGAGTGCTTCAGGTTCGAATTTGATTAGGAGAGTTGGAAGACAATATCTTCGTGAGGACGTAGATGAAATACGCTGTGGTCCAGAGTCAGCTACCTCCACTCGAAGTTTCGCGTCCACATTTCTACAGAAATGTGTAGCATACTTGGGCTCAAAAACAAAGACAAAGACTCGCCCTGTCTTGGGTATTCTTCGAGACCCGAGTCGAATATTCCAACTCTTTTTGCCGTCATCGGGACCCGGCTAGCATTTTCTATCCGAGACACATGTCTTCCTTTGACCTCGTCTATGAACTGTGTGTCTACAGACTTCTGCAACAACGTGGACTTGAAATCTCCGTCAAATTGTGACACGGGTATTGAAGAGAACGTTTCAAGCCCATAGGGCATAATCATAGTATATGAGATACCTATCTTGACAATTGCTACCCATCCTTTCACCCCGTACCATGCATCACACAACTCCTGAGACGCTCTTGCTTAATTTGATGGGCCCTTTGGCACGAAAACACTTAGCTCGCTAGTATCGCCCAGACGCAGAAGAAACAAGATATGATCAAGGGACAGACGCTCGCTACGTCTGTCACAATGCAAGCAAAAACGAAAGTACCAATCAAAATGATTCAAACTTTTCTTAAGTAGAGGGTCATGACTCTGCATTTCAGCTGTGCCGATATTTGCAGGAGCGTCGTTGAATCGGCACCAAGTCAACCTCAGGAATTTACTCCTGATGGTGCGATGAAGTGTGATTCTAGTCGAAGGTTACAAGAGGGGGACGCGAACCGGGTATTTCTACTCGAGGTTGATGTTCCTGCCCCGCAACATCATTTGGTTCGTTTATTCAACACAGGAGGACGAAAAATGCCTCGTGAGAAGTGTGAGTGTGGGTGTGGCGTAAAACATGTCTCAGCGTCCAGGAACGGTCCAAGCATTGAAACTCTGCATTGAGCTTGACCGCACTTGGTGCCCGTATTGCATAGGGTTGGCGCTGACGCAGAAAGAGCAGACGTGTGCATGTTGTGAGGGATCGAGACCAACGCAACCAGAGTGCGAATACATGGCACAGAGGTTGCATTGGATCATCCTACCATCGTCAAATGGAATTTGGCAAATGCATCGTGTCATGGCACTCATGTCGTTCGTGAATTGTTGTTGTTGTTGTTGTGCGGGAGGAGCAAAAGAAACGGGGGTGTAATCCATGGTGAAGGAGCCGCGAGGATCAAAGACGGGCGCTGTTGAGGTTGCCGTTGGATAGCTGACACTATGCGACTTTGCGTGTGTATGTGTGTATCCTTGGTTGTTTGGAGGCAGTTGCTGGGTCTGTATCTGTTGGACATGCTGCATGTGTTGGGGCCTCTGTGGCCGAGGTTGCTGTATCTGTTGAGCTTGGACGGATAATTGTGGTTCTGGCGGCTGGTATGTTTGCTGTAGTTGGTGTACTTGCTGTAGCTGATGAGGACGTTGTGGTTGTGACATCTGTCGGGGTCTTGAGACGGTGGAAGGCATGGTATCTGAACGGACTGCGCGATTGACTTGAACTGTGATATAATCAGTATAAGCTTGGCTGAAAGGTCAACGGCCTGGCTTACCGGGTGGAGAGACGCGGTTTACAGCGGCCTGGCGAAGGGCGGATCCAGCGTCGGTCTGCGTGTGCATGTCGTCCTTGTTGAGATCCATGGCGGCCAGATTTTCGAATGAGCTGTTCAACGATGACAGAGTGTTGCGCCTGCTTTGCACGCTCGATGGTCGCTGCTGCTTCTTGGCGCTTCCCTGACGTCTAAGTTGAATGGCGGCGGCATAGGCAGCTTTGCACGGCGTTTTCAGGGAAGCCGTCGAGTTGGAACGGTGCAGCTGCGCCATTTCAAGGTTCTCGGACGACTTGTCGAGCCTCGCCATTTTGGCCGATCGCTCTTGTCCAGCATTGCTCTGGGCAAGGGAATCGTGGCGGTTGGGCCACTTGTTAGCTGATACAGTGTCCGAGTCGCTATCTGAGTCGTCCCATAGATTAGGGTATTTGTCCTTGATTGACTGCGTGTCCTTTCTCGGCTGGGTGGGGCTTTCCTCGATAACTCTGGTCTCTGTCCTTGCCGTGCCGTTGGCATCGATGGTTAGGACGACAGATGTACGAAGCTGAGGCCGCAACGTTTCGGCAATCGAGGACAGAGAACCCCGAGCTATTCGCTTCAAGGGAGAGGACCGACGCGAGAGATTACAAACGGAATTGCTCCGAGCAAGGGAGGCTGCTGTATCGGGATTGTTCGACCCCAAGTTGGGACTCGGCTTTAGAAAATTGCCTACGGTGTTGCTTCGCTGCAGACCACCGGTCTTGACAGGCGAGGCAGGACCCGAGGTCGAAGGGAAGGCAGGGGCCAGACACGGCTTCTCGGGTGGCACAGGCCGCACTTGAGGAATGCTAGGGAAGTGAGTGCTGACAGGGGACGAGTACAGGTGGGTTGATTGCACGCTAGATGTTACGGATGGCTTCTTGATAGTCGTCGGGGTAGCATATGGCACGTTGTTGGAACTGGAGGAGCGCGTTATGACAGGACGTGACGGAGCCGATGACTGAGGAGGAGCACATTGGGAGGACTGGGGGAGGGCGGAGAATCGAGCAGACTGGGAGGATTGAGCGGACCAGTGTGAAAAAGGATCGTCGGCGTTGGCAGTCCAGGCAGGAGCGGACAGCGGGGCAGAAGCAGTTCCTGAGGGCTGGCTCCAAGAGTCGAAAGATTGCTGCGGGACGGTGAAGCTGAAGGCGGCAGCATTGAACTCGGGCTGGCGTAGGCTAGACGGGTCCGAGACGGAGTTGTCCAATCGCTGAGGCCTGCGTTTGATCGAGGAGCCACGGGTGGGAGGGGGAGTGTGCATCTGGAAGACCTGAGACTGGCTCTGGCTCTGGCTTTGGCCCTGCTCCTGGCCGTGTGCAAAGACCGGACTCGTGGCATATTCATATGGCTGGTAGGCGTGCTGTGCATGCTGATGGTGATGTTGATGTTGGTTGAGTTGCTGCGGATAGGCTACATAGCTCTGTGTGGTGCTGTCTGCCGATGTGGCCGTCGATGCTATCGAGTCTCTTTTCTGGTAGACATGGTCGTAAGTGGGAACTGCATCGTGAAAGTGCGTCTGCGTGGGTGTCGCGGCATTGGCGTTGGCGTTGGCATTGTTGTTGTGGTCGTGGACATTGATGTCAAAGACGGTCGTGGTCGGGGTTGATGACGGCGTGAATTGCTGCCAGTCCCTGGACAAGGGTCGTGTCAGCCCTGGACAGGCATTTCGTGCCGCCTGCTTATGCTTGCATGTCGCTTGTCGACCTACCAGTTCATACTTGATCCTCTTGCTTCAAACTGGCTCATGTTTCCTCGCCGCAACAACAAAACACACGTGTAGAGCGAGTCGCTGTCAAACGGCAGGCCCAAGGGTGTATGTACGAAACCCTACGGTCCAGTCCGCTTCTACAAACGTCCCTTGCAGTCCGCCGACACATGCCACGCCCGCAGCGCACCAACAATCATCAAAGAGGCCCATAGCTTGCCCAGTGCCCACCGCGCAGCTGCCGAGACTGTCAGACCCGTTTGCACCTCTTGATTAGACTTCCGCCAAACGAGTCTGCTTCCGCCGCTCCGCGATGCCCACCGGCCACTGTTCCCTGGGTGCAGCCGTTGCCTTGTAAATCTTGTCTGCCTCAGGGTCCGTTCTGCGAGCCTGCGACCATATGACAATTGCGTCAGCCCTCTATGCTACGAACACCCTAAAATTGTCTACCTGTTCGTGCGAGGTACACCGCATGCCCATAGCAGACCTGCCCAGGTGACTAACGTACAATAGTCTACGCTCAAGACTGCATCTCTATGCCCTGTCTGCTCCAGCGCTCTCTCCTGATCATTACGTTACCACCGCCATCATCATTTGACCCCTTTTTTTTTCATCCAGCCCGTGAATGCTGCTCTTGGCCCCAAACTACTGTTGGTGAGAAGCTTCTAGTAAAATGCAAAAGAGGTAAAATCCAAAAGCTTCCAAATTCGCCGCGCAGATGAGGCAGTCGCTAGCCAGGCACAGGCTGGGCTTTGCTCGCTTGAGCACGGTCGCCGTACCCACTGCCTTCCCATTCGGTCTCAACACTCCCAAGCCTGTAAGCCACCGCTGTCTTCTGTATCTGGTATTCTTATACGATCGCACGTGGCAGTGGCAGGGTTCTTGCCCTTTGCTCTGGAGTTGTCTTGATAGGGTTCGAAAAAGCCTCGGTTGGCTGCACCTGTTCCAAAGTCCCACTTCGATATCTCCAACCTCTTCCGTTTCTTCGCTCTGCACCTCAGCTTTCGGCCTAATGAGGAAGTGACTCTCTCCAGCCTATCTTGTTGGCTTTGCATGTCTATCTCGGCTGAAAAGTCCTCCAAGCTACTGGATTAGTAAACGGCGTCCGTATCTAGCAAATGTCAGATCGCTCGATCACCGATTCACCCAACCAAGCCCTCTGCAAAAGCGCCGGGCAATTGACTTCGACTGCTCGGACGGGATTATGCATGTGCGTTGCTCCGAGGCTCATAATCCCACACTATTCCCAAGACGAACTTCACGCCTGATCTTATTCACGGCACGTTTTCATGAACCCTCACTACTACGACGTGCACTCGCGGCTTGACTTCACGAGAGGAGAGTAGGCCATCTCCGAATGAGCAGTCGTTCATCAAGCTCTCGTAACACGGGAAGATTGGACGTTTACCCCTCATTCAACACCCTTTCTCCAGAGTCCAGCTTCGTGGCTCGGGTGACGACGATCTGCCGCTCCCCAGATCGACACTGCTCTTACCTCTGTTGAGGCTGCTTGGCTGCTCTATGCCGTACTATCCGTCTTGTAATTCACTCTGCCCGCAGATATTCGGTCAAGTTGCATGCGAGGATGGCTCGTCGCTCAAGCCTCCATCGTTCCTTTGCCAACATCTCCATTCTTGACACTTCACTCTCGCCGTTGGCTCCTTTGGTTGATGCTCTTCTGGAAGGCGATGGCACAGTTGGCACCAGATGCAAACGGGTACCACCCCAGCAAGAGTGCACGCGGCCACGAGAGAATTAACCGGAGTGACATCGATGCGCGATTCGTATTGGAAGAGGAGCATTCGCCTTTTCCATACTCTACATCGCATTCAAGTTCGCAGAGCCTCAAAGAAGTCATTGCTTTCGCTCCCGGTGACCAAGACAATCCCCACAACTGGTCTAATCGAAAAAAATCCTTCGTCGTGTTCAATGGAGTAGCTCTAGTCAGTGTGGGTTCTGTTCGGCGTGTTTGTGTTTCTAACAGAAATTCAGGTCATGTCTTCGACGATAGGGTCGTCGATAGCAGCAGGAGCGTCGCACCAATTTGCTACCTTCTTCAACATCACGAGCCAAGCGCAGCTGGTCTTGCCGACATCCTCGTACCTGGTCGGATACGTTGTTGGCCCGCTACTGTTCGGTCCGCTAAGTGAATACCATGGGCGGAAAAAGATCATGATACTCACTTTCGTAAGGACTCGTGTTTTTGATCAGTGTTTGACAGCTCTGACGATGCTCCGCACCTAGGCGCTATTTTCTGCTTTCACGTTGGGCTGTGCATTAGCACCCAACTTTGTTGGTCAGTCTTATCAGGCTCTGTTACCCAGCTTCGTCTGACTTTGCAGCTCTTTGTGTGTTTCGACTTTTAGTGGGTATAGGTGCTTCCTCGCCAATATCGGTGGTGGGTGGGTGAGCATGCAGATCCACAAACGTCTTGAAATGCCCGGACTGAACTCCCATGCTAGCATCTACGCAGACATCTACCCAGACCCTGTGACTCGAGGTCGAGCCCTGACAATCTTCATGACCGTAAGCCAGTTGCATTGCATATCGCCCCACTGAATAAAGAAGGACGCTGGTATCCAGAATCACGATATCTCCGAGACCAATTGACAGTCGCTATCTCTTGGCAGAGGGTCTTCTCGCCAAAGACTGAAGAGAACGATCACCAACGATCTTGATCTTCAGACGGTCACCTGCGTCTCGTACACACGCTTCTACCTCGTGGTAAACACGACTGGTCGCTGTGGAAGCTAGGAGTGTTGGGATTCTCGATACTAGCGTCCAAGCAATTTAATGTCGAGCAGTGAGGAGCTAACCACTGGCGCAGGCAACGACGTTTGGCCCAATTCTAGGACCTATCATGTCAGGCTTCATCGCTGTCGTCTCCTGGAGATGGATCTTCTGGCTTTCGTTGATTATAGCAGGAGTGACGTGGCCGATCCTCTTGCTCAGCTCAGAAACTTACGCACCCGTCATCCTTGTGACACGAGCACAGCGTCTTCGCAAAGAAAACAACAACCCCAACATCTTTGCACCGCTTGAACTAGAGCATCGTGACATGAGGCAACTGATCACCGTCGTACTTACGAGACCGGTCCGGATGTTTCTTTCCGAGGCTCTTGTGCTGTGCAGTTGCCTATACCTATCTTTTGTTTACGCGATCTTCTACATGTATTTCCAGGCCTACCCGACCACATTTGAGGGAATCTACCATTTCAACTCTGGTGAGGTTGGATTGACGTTCTTGCCAATCGGAGTCGGAGCCCTACTCGCGTGCGGTCTCTATCTATATTGGGATCGTGTTCTGGAAAGAGCAAAGGCGCGGGATCCGCCCGCTGCATGGTCGCAGAGTGAAGAGTATCGACGGCTCCCTCTGGCGTGCATTGGAGGCCCGCTGCTCATGCTCAGCTGCTTTTGGCTTGGATGTATGTGTAACGGAGATACATGTTCCATGAGCCCACAAACCATCAGGGTGATGCCCCCACCGCCTGCAGTCGTCGCAGGGCAGAAAAACAGAGTACCTGCAGCCTTAGAACATTCTCGTAGCGGTGCCAGTGTACTTTGTACCTTGCGACGTTCGGATAGTGCGACTGATGACCTCGTGGTCGTGTATCTTCTGTCCGCGATTAGCATCAACCTGACTGATACTTTCTTTCCAGGGACAGCTCGAGAGAGCATTCATTGGGCCGTGCCTGTCTTGTCCGCCTTGCCTTTTGGCATGGGGTTTCTGTTGCTCTTCATGTCTTTGATCAAGTAAGTCGCCTTGTCCGTCCAGGTATCCTGATCTTATCATCTGACCGGTTCATCTATAGCTACCTGGTAGATGCCTACGAGGTATTTGCTGCAAGTGCCATGGCAGCATCCGCTTGCTCAAGGAGCTTGTTCGGTGCAGTCTTGCCGTTCGCGGCAAGACCGATGTAAGTACATGTGATTCGAAAAAGGGTGTCCCCCTCTGAGCCTTCTAGCGGAGTGTTGATCCGCCCCGCACAGCCTCTGTGGCGTTATGCAGTACAGTAGTATCGCTAGGGACATGCAGGAAGAAAGAGAGTCATGTCCAATCATGATCAAATCGCTAACCTCAGTGGCCTTGTTTGGTAGGTACCAACGCTTGGGTGTCGCATGGGCCTGTTCATTGCTGGGCTTCCTAAGTTTAGCAATGTGCGCCATCCCTTTCGTTTTCATCCGCTACGGAAACACCATCCGCGAAAAGAGCAGCTTCTGCCAATATCTGAAACAGTGTAAGATGCAAGAGAACGAGCAGCGGCAAGTGCAGGAGCGAAGAATGCAGCAAGAGGGTTGACGAGGCCATAGCTGTGGAGAAACTGGTCTAGAGTGAACGGACACGCATACAGAGAAAAGTTGTGGTTGGTTCAGACAGAAGAATCACATTCAACGGGAAGGAACTTTTCTGTGTTTTTGGTTAAACGGTCTAGCATGGAAAATGCATGTGTGTTTTTTGGGCTGGGCAAAGTAAGGTGGAGTTCGGTTCAACCACACCTTGCACGTTGGGTGAGCACTATGGATTGCGCAAAATCGGTTCGCGGCATGCAGGTACATAAAAAGCGCGAAATTTATTTTTATGGGATTGGCATTCCATGCATGAACTTAAGGGATTACGAGAGCTTTGTAAGTACTATGTAAGAAGCAGTTTGTGCAAGATAGCGTTTAATGATACGCTCGTCCCGCTTTGCCTTTTGTTGAACGCTTTGAAGTGTCTGTTCTCTCGGATTGAAGATCACGACTAGCGTCATCTCTTCACGGCCGAGCGATTATGATCACCAAACGAACGCCGTTCTTCACCGTACGTACGGGACTAAGGGCTCGTTCGGTTCGCGCTCAATAACTGACTTTGAAGGGGGTGGATTGAGGCCAATAAAGCTCGATGTCGTAATAGTAGTCGATATCGAGGGTGTCGTTCGGTTCGAGGGCTCGGTTTCGAGGGAAATATGGCGATGGGCAGCTTCATTCTCAGATCTGGCTTTTTTAGCGTATTTCCCTGCAAAACGGCGTGATTTACCCTGTTGTTAAAGATGCACCCCCCTACCCTCTGTACTTTTCAAAAACCTGGCCTAAGCGCTTTAAGACTTAATGGATTTCGACGACGACTTCGAGTGGCATGCCCTACGCATGTAATTAGCTATATATAGCGTTAGCAACTGCCTTTAAGATAAATTAGAGGGCGTACATACGGTGTATATAGATGTTAGTAAAGGCGTAAGGTAGATCGAGCAGCTCCGCGAGGCCGAGGGCAATAGTCGTATATATAATTTTACGAGGCTAAATAAGTATACCTTCGAGGTGTTACTCGACTAGCTAACCTCGCGAGGGTTACTAACTAACGGTAGAGACATTAGATCTACTAAGAAGTTAGCTATCTTCCTATATATAGCATCTACTAGTTACTTATATCGACAAATGTAGGAGGTCTTCTAATACTCTATAGCAACGCTGTTAGCAATTATACATTAAGTAATAGTTAGCCTACTTAAATTGTATAAAGAGACGGTTAAGTTACCCGATAAGGAGACCCCTACTTCTAATAAGTTAAAGCGGCCTAAATTTAAACACTTCCGAGACTATGTTAGAGCACTCGACGGTAGTTATGTTCCTACCTATGTTACTAGCGACGAGTTAGCAGCGTATAGAGATCGAAAGGGTAACATATTATAGAACATCCTAGCTATTTGTAACTTTAATAGATAGTTTACCTATATCTACGTAGGTTAGGAGGGGTCTACGTATAACATACGAGTACTTAAGGCCGCGAAGTAGGAGGAAGGGTCGCCGCTAATATGTCTATTAGGCAAATATTACCTTAGTAACGTAGGATACTCGAACAGCGACATAGTATTAGTACCTTATAGAGGAACTAGGTATTATCTACGCGAGTAGGAGTTAGCATCGAGAAGGCTATCGACTAAAGAGGAGCTCTTTAACTTACGCTATTCGTCGCTACGTAATTACATCGAGAGGAACTTTAGTATCTTTAAGATAAGATAGTAGGTGTTTAGAAAACAGCATCGCTATTCCCTTTAGTTCTAGGCGTAACTAGTAATGGCGCTAACCGCGGTAAGTAATCTAATCATGTAAGAAGGTTAAAATGACCTAGTATTTAAGGACTAGGAGATAGATACTAAGAACAATTTCGAAGGCGCTAGTGTCGATAAGAGCTCCTTGCTAATAGCGTAGAGGCGCGAGGCGATAGCGACAGCAATGTAGACTAATTATTAAGGTTACTTAGAGGCAATAGGCCTTTAAAATCGATGAAATCGGTGTGTTAGAGCAGAAGTTAATAGTTCTAAGAATTTAGAGAATTTAGAGCTCTAAGCTCTAAGCTCTAAGTTTAAAGTCGATGGATTAGCGAGCAACCTTAGAAGAATAACAACAATTTTTTATTAACTATTTCTCTAACATTAACCCTCGCGCCTTATTCCCTTACTAACTACATACCTACAAGCTTACGCCTTATAGTAATAGTTGCCTTAAGGAACATCTAAGTAGCGCTGTCGCTAGTTGCGATAGCATTAAGCACCTTAATATGCTAATCTAGGTCCATTTCTATAAACTCCTCTTTAGTCTCTATAAGCTTAATCTAACTAGCTATAGCAGCTCTAATAGGGTTAGCATTAGCGAGTCTCTGCTAAAGGAGGTCATTACTACGCTTTAGTTTACTAGTTAGTCCTCTTATCTCTCTTTAGTTTAGCTTTTGTCGCTTTAAGCTAGTAACTGCGACAGCAATACGCTCCTTAACAACATCTCGAGTAATGCGTACATCCTTAACTAGGTCGTAAGTAGTATCCTACGCCGGATTACTAGTTAGATTAGTCTCCTCGACCTCGCTATTAGCTAGTCCCTCTACCGTAGCTAGAGTCCGCGAAATTCTACCTACCCGACGGCTAGTTATAGTCCTTCCCTAACATAGTTTATATAGCTCGTCCTAGTAAGGAAGAGGCCTCTTCTTAAAGTATTAAGAGCCCTTATAATGTTTAAAGAAATTAGCTATAACTTCCTTAGATGCGACGGGCAGTCCGGCATTACTAATTAACTACCTAGATAGGTTAATAATTACGACCTAAGCCTTCTAAAGTTTCTTAAACACCTCGAGCTTCGACTTTATTCTCTACTTAGTTACGAGCAAGCGTAGGTGCGTAGGTATATATAGTTTAATGGCCTCGGCGACAGGGGTCTAAGTAGCTAATTTCTACCCATTTTCCTGCATTAGACCTAGTCTCTTTTAATGTACGAGTTCTTCGACAAGGGCCTACTCTATACGAGGTAACTAATTAAGACAATTACTAGCCTCTTAAGTCGATGCCGGAGGCTTACGAAACAACTAACTAAGCACTAGCAGCTCTAGCGACACATCGCGATTAGGTTAAGTCTACGACTAAGGGAAAGGGTCGCTATCCTAAGTTGACTAAGGAGCAATAGCTTAAGGAGCAATAGCTTAAGAAGTAATAGCTTAAGAAGGTACGTCGTCGACGGTAACTTGTTCCTAAGAAGACATAATAGGTTACTTTACTGTTTCCTGTTTACTAACGGTAGAACTCTAGTGTATTTGTAGGCTAATCTATACTACGCACCACCTCGAGCGTCGCCATTAACCCTCTTAAGTCACCTCTTCTATCGCTATTTAACTCGTCGAACCGAACAACTACCCTATCTTAATGTTGCTCGAGAACAAGAGGAACTACCTTAAAGAAGCCGCTGCCAAGAACTAGTGCCGCCACATTACAGAGACCTTCGATATCGCGAACCGAACGAGCCCTAAAGAATGGAAGATCTTCGAAGTATCATGACAAAAGTCCCTGGTTGGCAGTTGCTTGACAGACTTTCGGCAGGATCGTGGTGCTGATGTTTAATAAACAGATACGCTATGCTTTGCAGCCCTGTGAACCTCCTCGGCCACTAGAAAATAACCATCAGCCTTCTCACAACTCTTGCCTATATCACCCGGCAGTGCCTGACGGCTGAGGGACAATAAATCAATGTTGTGAGCTTGCAGAGTATTGAATGATCAGCAAATACTGCCTACGACTACCATGTTACGCCTGGACCCTGCTTTCCCTAATGTTGCGATTCCACCCGGGAGCGTACATAATATTTCTGCTCCTTGAATAGCTTCGGAGTGTCCATAAGTTCCGTTTTGTCTTCCTCCAGTTTCTCCTGGCCTGTCATGCCGACTAATTCCCTTACTCCCAAAGTGGAGCAACCACCTCAACAGCCCGTTCAACCACAGCGCGGATCCTGTCAGCCATGCTCCGCATGCTGCATTCTACCTCGAGTGTCTCGAGCCAAACCTTGGCCACAATCTTGTCTACTTTAATCTCCAGACCCGGTACGGGAATGCCTGCATTGTGAAGACGCTCCAACTCTACCATCTCCAGCTGAGCTCTGGCCTTTTCCGCTGCGATGGGATCGTCAGAAGAACCACTGCCGTCGTCCTCGGAAATGTTGAGTTTGGGTCTTGAGATAGGCGTGATGGCATCTTCGCCGAATTGAGCTTCGAGGAACATGCATAGACGGGATAGTCTTTCTGATGGGCTGATGTGTGCGTGAAGGTTACGCTTGTTTTCATGGTGGTCGTGTGAGTGTTGACTTGACGATTCTGCAACTAGGTTAGAATGGTGATTCTCGTGAAGTCAAGGGAGGTCGAAACTTACGCTTGACGGCTGCAGGGCTGCTTTCGACCGTGAACAGAACGGCAAGAACAGCATCTGCGATTCCGTCATTGGCAATATTGCCTTCCCACTCAACTTCAATCTCGCCACGGCTGGCAATTTGAACTACGACTGATCCCATGACCTCGAAGACTGTCGCCTGGTGTCGTTCGATCTCTTCATCGGCTTCTTCGAATTTAGCACCGCCATTGGTCTCCGCCTTCACATCTTCAGAGGGTGATGAAATGGTTTTGATGGCTCCAAATGTACCCTCTAGAGCCCATTTGATCAGGTCGAGTCCAGCGGCCGCAAGTGTAAGCCTTTGGCGGCAGAGGATTGTCGTGGTTGTCAAACCAGCATACTCCTTCAAGTCCTCGGGTGCCATCAAGCTGAGTTTGAAATCATTCTGTACCAAAACTCCAGATACGATCTGATCCTCGTTGGCTGTCTTGTACTTCTTCTCACCCCGTGTCACGCCGCCTTCGTCAGAATCAGGGGGCGAAGGAGGAGCGTTCGATATCTGGATTTGGTTTGCGAGTCGACCGACGACTTTGGCAACCTTGTCTTGTCTAAAAGGGATGCGGAGCTCTTCGCAGTTGGCTGGAGAAAAGACCTTGACGGGTGTCGATTTGTTCGCGTTAAGTGACAATAGCTTGGACTTTAGTCTCATCATGTTGGTCTTCTCTCCGTGGACAAGGATCTGTTTTGGATCGGTTAGTGAGGTTCAAGGAATTACACCATTTGACAGTACTTACCACGACAGGGGCCGCGACTTCCTCGATAAACTCGCGATTTTCGGTTCCGTCGACATGCGCTGCGAAGGAGTATTCTTGAACAGTACATCTCCGGGGTATCATAACCTTTTCTCCTTCTGTGCCGGGCTTTCCTCTGCCGCCTACGCCCTGCACTCTACCGCCAACCCTGCCAGTCATGACCGCTTGGATGCTTTCTGGTTCGGTCAAAATCATCTTCGCCATGGTACCTTCAACACTGTAACCAGTGACGATGACACCATTCTTCGGGTCTGGCGCCCAACGCTCGAGGAGTGCACGAGACACTCCATTTTGAAGCATGCCAGGAGAAGCAAGCATGACACATCCACCAACGTCATCGAACCTGTCGAGAGACTTCAGGTTACGGATCCAGCGGAAGTCCCAGGGACCTCCAGCGCCAGCTTCGCCGCTGCTACCGTCAGCTGCTTGGGCTAGCCTGTTCTGAAACATGGACTTGATATTGTCGTTCATAGCATCAATGTACGTTTGGTAGACAAGCATACATTTCTTTGCGAGATTGCTGGCGTAGTAGATGGGATATTTTCTGTACTCTGGGTGACGGTTCCAGTAGTCTTCAAGAATGAGAAGAAGCTCTTGGGCACGGCCAATAGCGAATACTGGCATGAGAACACGGCCACCACGATTCAAAACTCCAGTCAAACTCTTCATCAAGGCGGTCTCTCGCTCCAGCCGGGGTATGTGGGAGGCAACACCGAAAGTTGACTCGGTGATCAGTACGTCGACTTTGACACCCTTTGGAGCGGAAGCAGGGATCAAATGGCGGTCATGTTCTCTGGAATAGTCTCCGGTGAAAAGGATGTTGAGGCCAGCAATCTCGATCACGTACATGGCGGCACCAAGCACGTGGCCAGCTGGGTAAGGGGTGATTTTGATACCTGTATGGGTGTGTGTGGTGTGGAAGGCAATGGTCTGGATCATGGGAAGAGTGGAGAGGACATCGGCTTCAGTGTATAGTTGTGTTGGTTGTTCTGCAGTTGCGTGGGTGTTCCTGCTCAAGAGTCAGTCCCACGTCATAAGCTGATTGGGGCGACGGACGTACTGCACACGAACTGAGTCTTGCATCAGCCATTTGTAGATGGCTTTGGTTGGGTGCGTCATGAAGACGCGACCCTTGAAATTGGTCTTCGCCATGACATAAGGCAGAGAGGCAGCATGGTCCAGATGGAAGCTGTACGGCGCGTTAGCCATCGGAAAGAGCAGGCATGGGGCTGCAGAGCATAGACTGGTGAAGCAGAAGCCGAAGGCTCAATGAACCAAGCTCACGGTCACCGGCACACGACGAGAAGTGGTGGAAAAAGAATTCGATTTGGTTTATATACATACTGCGGGTCAAGCTGCCTAGGTGTGCAGGGTATGGCGTGCAGATGCAGGCAGTCAAGGGGACGGGGTGAGGAGTGGAACAGTGTGCCGGTGCAATGACCGTGGTGGTAGTGGCTTCTTGAATAAAACTTACTGAGTGATGAGAAGAATATCGACAGTGCTCAAGTCGAACTCGTCGTAGAAAGGGAGAGAGGCCAGACCATCGTAGGCAGGATGCGCGCCAGCATCGAGCATGACAGTTTTCCCCTTGTATTGTATAATGTGACATGAACGTCCGACCTCATTTCCACCACCCAAGCACAGGAACATCAACTCGTCAGAGGGGTCGACGGGCTCTTCGGGCTCGGGCGTAGCCGTGTCGAGCTTTCGTTTTGTGGCCATGGCGAGGAGTGCTTTGTCTTGTTACAGGTCTTCGAGTCTCGCGTGTCCGAGAGATGGAGAGTATCCAGCAGCTCAATCGTCGCCTTGGGATGCGCGTAATATATCGTGTGATGCAAGGGTGTCGTTGGTGTTGATGATGTTGTTGTTTGGTGGATGATGAGGACGAAATAAGTCGACGTGATGGGCGGGCGCGGAGCTTGATTGAGGAAGTGACGGTCGAGACGGAAGCTTCCGGCGCGTTCAAGGCCGACCGTCGACCGACATGGCAAGCATCGAACTTTGACCAGCAATCCGATCATGACTGCACCAACCCAGTAATACCGCCTCGAAACAAGTCGATCACACGCTTCCACCTCACTTCACCTCTCTTCACCTCTCTTTGCCGCACTATATCCTACTCGTATACCGCATCATCACATACTCGACTGCTCCTCTCGGCATGTTCTGTTAATTCAGCTATCCATCTGCTACACCTTTAGCTGCGCAGCGGCCACGGCCGCAACACTTCCCCCGTCGCATACCTCTGCGCAGTCGCCATCATGTCGCACAACATGTCTCCATCTCAGCAACCTCCTCCGCAGTTGCCTCAGCATCCTCAGCAACCACAGCAGCAGCACCAACAACAACAACAGCCGCGACCACATCCGCATCTTCCTCAGCAACCACACCAGTCGCATCAACCCATGCAACCTGCTTCGCGTCCTTATTCCCCATACCAAAACGCTTCTTCTCCCACGGGAATCGCCCTTCCTCCTGCCAAGAGACCACGCCTTTCGCCCAACCCTCAGTCACCGCACACAGCTCAAAGCCCGTATCCTCCGCCGCCTGCTCTTCCCGAAAGTCCCTATGGCAACTACTCCCCCATGACGGCTGCCAGTCCACCCGCCTTCAACGCCCCTCAACCTTACACTCCTTCACCCATGCCTGGTGCCATGGGCCCTCCCCCACGGCCCACTCAGGAAAAGCCCGAAAAGGAGGACAAGGAAAAGATCACAGATATCAGCGACGTCACCGATGTCTTCCACGGTTCGGGTATTGACTTGAGGGAGGAGGAAAACTACATGACCAGCACCTATAGAAACGTGCACAAGAACCCTTCTTTCAACTCGTCCTTCGGTTCAAACACAACTGTCGCTTCGCCAAACAATAGCTTCGGTCTGGTCTCGCAAGGCTCTTTTGGAACACAGCCTGCTTTTGGAGGAAGTGGTCCCATCTCTCAACCCACCATGTCGGAGGAATCCATCCAGGAAGAGCTCGATCGCAAACATCGCGCTGCTGCGCTTGCCCTCAATGAAAAGCGTCAACAACACCTGAACGATCCTTTCTTGCAAGCCAACAACATCCGTCACCGCATGCACAGGATAGCCTACGATCAAGGTGTCGCTTTGAACGTGGAAGGCTTGTACGACAAGCTACCCGAACGTCCACCCGGTGTCCAGGGCGTCTCGGCAACTGGTCCCAACGGCACTGCTGCAGCCGTCAAAGCACATGGTCTGCTTCAAGAGACTGCTCCTCTAGCTGAAATTCTCACCTTGGTATCACTTGCTGCAAACGAAAGAGTGCGTTCGCTTGTCGATGAATCATATGCCATCGCACGTGGTAGACGCTATGGTAGCCACGGAGTCGTCCCTCCGAATCTGTCAGATCTAGCTATTGGCGACAACGAATCAACAGCGGCCTCTGAGATACCCCGCATCACAAACTCGGCTTGGGAGAAGGTCCCTGAAGACAACCTCGAGGGAATAGAGGGGGATGGTATGGCAAAGAAAGAAGCACCGGGTAAGTATGCGTTATTCTGACACCTTTTCTCTACCACTGACTCGGAGGCCAGGAATTAAAACACTACCGACAAAGTCATTTACATCAGCCATCTCTACGCACTTGTTGGACTTGGCCAAACAAGATCGTGATGCCGAGCGCGAGCGAGTGCGCAAGCGCCAGGAACGTGCTAAGCGTGCCAATTCAGCCGCCAATGCCGACAGTACCAACGGCATCGATCCAGCATCTGGACCTGCAACCCCTTCCACAGCAGCCGCCCCAGCTTCTGCAGATGCTTCCGGCCAAGCTGCTCCAGAAAAGCCCATGACGAAGAAAGAACGCGAACGACAGGCGAAGATGGGTCAGACCGAAGAGGTTTTGCACAAGAACTCCAACAGCACTGCCGCTCTTCAATTAGGTATGGGTAAAAAGAAGAAGTACAGTTGGTTGACAGGCGGTGCACCAGCAACCGCATCGAACCCTTACAAGCCAACTCCAAAGGCAGCATCGGCCGGTTCAGCTGCGAACGGCGCGAGCGGCGGGCGAAGTTCCTCAAGTGGCGCCGGCGGTACTGATAAGGCATTGCAAGCACGCGAAAGGAAATGGGGAAGCTGGAGAGAAGACGGCATCGAGGGCAGAGGCATTCAAGTCAGGGATTGGGTTGTCGTCCTTGAGAGGGATGGCAAGGAGAAGAAGGCTCTCCAGAAGAGCCTGCTGAAGCTCGACAGCTCTGGCGAATAAATAAATATGCTGCATGCTTGCACACTGCCTTAAGCAAAAGCCTCGGCGACTGTAGAAAAATTCCGATCAGGAATTCTTGAAACGATATCGGCATTCAGTGCTGTCAATGATGACATGAGACCAATTCAAGTATTCCTGATCCTCTGGGTTGACTCTCAAAGATACCAAAGACCTTTCTCTTTCGACGAGTTCCTCTTTCCCATATGGTTTCCTCAGTCTTTTGAGAGTCCTTTGCGTTGTCGACCTCTTCCGAACGTAACAGACTTTGGCACAAATCTCAGTGCAGCCATGGATCCGGCAATTTCATCCATTGAAGTATCTGTGGGTGATGCATGTCCTTCGGCTTTGGCTTTCGTGACCTCGGTCACCATATCATCTGCCATGGCCAATAGCGTGCGAGTGCTTTGGCCGGGACTTTGTTCACGGACAGCGTTTGTGCCTTGAGATCCGCCAGCTTTTCTACTTCTGCCCTCCGGTTTCAGTAATGAAGTGCGATTGTCAGAGCCGTGGTTCACAATGTAGAAATCATAGTTCTTGGGAAACATATGCTTGTCGACCAGATGCATACGTCGCTTCTGTGGGGTGCTGCAGACCTTTTCGCAACCCTCCACAAAGCAGCGATACGTCTTTTCGCCCCTGTCGCGTTTGATGGAGTTGAGAGGATCATGGTGTTCGGTGATATGCAGAGAGAGGAAATGACTCGAAGGAAAGTTCTTGCCGCATGCTAGACATCTGTTGACGTGTGACTTGAGATAGTGGATCTCGTAGTCGCCGTATGTGGTGAAGTTGACGACCTCATGAGGGGGGAGACCGCAAGTAATTGTTTGACTTGCAGTGGAATGACTGTGCGGGTCCAGTTGTGCGTATTTGCCAGGTGGTTGCAAGTTCTGGGTGACTGGGTGGTTGGTGGATGATATATGATATTCTTCAGAGTCTGAATCTGTTCTTAGGCGTTTTGACATGGCGATGAAGGCACTGGGGGATACTTAGACGATTCATCGGTTGAGCCAGGGTGTTGACATGAACGTCGAAGGAGTTGGCTAAAGCAACGCAACAGGTTTTCTTATTTAGCGTACGCAACTCCCTCTACTAGCATGATTGTCGCTAGCAATACAAATACACGGCATTTCTCAGACCGAAGGACCCACTGCGAGTTTGTAATTTCGACTTGCCTATTGGGCTTTTCAAGTCTCATGTGCTTCCAGATGGGTTGGTAAGTGGGCATGTCAATGTACCTTGAGGCTTGTGAATTAGACGCGCTGGAGCTACCGGGTCAATTTTAGCCGGCCCCGTCAGAGCCCTTCAGGATCGCGCCTGCCACAAGCACCCTTGACGAACATCGCGCACAGCGACTGTCGTCACCCCAGCAAGTCGTCTCCTTGTTGTTTATCTTGATCCCTCGAGTTCGCGCCATGGATCTCACCGGCTCCCTCGCAATTTCCGGTTATCACGTTTACATCTGACCTCTCGTACCACTTGGTCACCGCCGACCCGGTCAAAGGCGCTCTATGACGAGCGCCATCCTCTGAAAATGGAATCCACTGGCGATCAGGCCCTTGCGTATGCAGACATATAAACACCCCGAGGCAACCTGGCACTTACACATTTCGCAGCAAGGCTATCGCCCTCGACCAAGAATTTACACAAACGCTGCAGGCCGCCGACTCTGCTCTGGACCATGTCTTTCTAGTGCTGCAGCAGTGAGTAGGAAGACGTTTGCACACAAATATCAGCATGCGCTCACAGCGCCCTCGACACAGATATCGTACTGCAGCCGCGCATGCTCTCGCCAGTGACTTCATGTCTGCCCGCGCCGGCGACGTTGAGATACGCCTCTGGAACGCACACAACCGTCTGAATGTGCGTCTGCGCAAGCAGCTCAGCAAGGTCGGCTTCCAAGCCCTGATTCGCTTCGATGAGCTCGTGCTGACTTTAGCCATCAGCTTCGTAAAGAACGCCCCAGCAAGCCCGTAGAGACACGCAAATTCATCAAGCTGTATCTCGAGTTTCTGAAGGATAGCCAGCGCTTTTACCGGGACTACATCCAGAAGCTGAATGCCCGATTTGGTGGTATCCATGATCTGGAACGCATTGCCCGCCAGGTCCGATCTGACTGTACAATCTCCCTACTCTCGCTCAGACCACACAGAACTGACTTTGTATAGCCATGCAAAAGTCGCTGAAGAAGCCTTTGTCTCCTCAACTCAAGGCCGCCGTCATTCTATCTTGTCACCAAACCCTGATTTATCTTGGCGATCTGTTCCGCTACCGCGCTGCTGAGAGACTCGACAAAGAGCCTGACTGGGGTCCGGCCATCGGCTACTATGCCCTTGCTGCCTCTCTCCGCCCAGATTCTGGACTTGCTTTCCACCAACAATCGGTCGTTGCCTTCGAACAAGGCGACTACCTACGCTCTACATACTATCTTTACCGCTCCATCAACGTTGATGAGCCCCATCCCAACGCCATCCCTAATCTGGAACTGCAATTCAAGAAAATTACTACAGGATGGCAGAAAGGCGACCTGGTACCCAAGCACTCCCCTCAGGATCCCGTCGCGTCCCGCAGCGCTTTGCTTTCCTGGTTTATTCGGTTTCACAGCCTCTGCTACAATGGACAGCAGTTCCCTGGATACGACGAGCTTGAGCGTGAAGTTCTGAACGGTACAGTTATTGAGATCAAAGGCCGTACACTAGACGCTCTCTTGTCGAAAATGACTTTCATCAATTTCTGCGCCCAGGCAACTGCCGGAAACCAGTTCGAAAGCAAGCCCGAACAACACAAGTTCATGCAGTCTTACTTCTTTTTCCTGAGGTTGAACGTCAAGTATTTCACCGCGATACTGGACGTCTATTTCGAAGATCTGGAACATCACATGCAGGAGCACTCGGATCCTAAATTCCTCATCGACAATATTACAGACCTAGCACGACATGTCCTTCCTGCTTTGCGTCTTTACAGTACTTGGCTACTCAGCAACGCTCACATAGTTGCCGCACGCGTTGGTGACGAGCCAATCCAGAAGGCCATGGATCGCTTCTGGTCCATTTACGCTAGAGCTCTATCCCTTATGGCATTCAACTTCTCGTTCCGAGAGCTCACCGAAGTTCCGTACCAGCTAGAGGAAGATGTTGATGCTTTTGGCCTCATGCCTTTGGACTCGGATAGGTCGCGTAAACTCTGGCTGAATGCAGCAACCGGACAGGCCAAGCCCAAGTACAATGACGAAGGTGTAAAGCGCCTCAGTAACGACCAAGAGATGCTCGGAAGAGTCCGTGAGCTCCTCTTCGATGCCTTGCTCTTAGCCGTAGACAAGGTCCGTAATGTCATCTGTGATCACGCCTTGCCCATAACATACTGATTCCAATACAGGATATTCCGATCACTTTCGATGGATCGCAGTTCGTTCGTCAGGATTCGAGCTCAATTGAAAATGCGCCACTCACTACAATTGCAGAGGTTCAAACAATGCGTGATACTTCAAACGTTGCACCTCAACAGCAGACGGTCGTGCAAAGGCTGACTCCCCCGGCCATCGAAGCCTCCACTCCAGAGGGTACCAGCACGAAACCTATGAATCGAGAGGCCCAGCTCAGTCAGATGGTTGATGATCTTGTTGGGCCCGATGAAGACGATGACATGATTTCGCCAAACATGGTCGGGCAGTCTTGGGAATCCGCACGAGTTGTCCCAATAGAAAGAGGCACCTTTGGCACTAATGGAGATAAGAGCGGCGGACCTCCCGGAGGTGTCTCGCCCTGTGCCTTGCAGGCCGTGCGAACACCTGAACTGCGAACAGAAGCGTGGCAATTGCCGCTTAGCCCGACTGGAGTTCCTTCACAGCGCCTGCATTCCGTTTCTAGCATCTGGGAAGACGGGCTGGTTCGTGAGACAAGTCCTGTGACACCATTCGGAAGTGTACCTCCGGGACTGCCTCCTGTTTCGGCCAGCGCTAGACGATCAAATGCGCATTCGCGTGTGAACTCGACTCACTCCGTTCGAAGTCCTCTTCAGCAACCTGATGGATTGTCTTCTTTCGAGCCTACTCCGAACCCTTACAACACAATCGGCGCCCGTGGTGACCGATACCAGAGCTTCTCGGGCCATTACACGGGCATGCAGAGTCCTCTACTCTTTGGAGCAGGCATGTCACCCTGGAGCACTGGACCTAGAAAGTCAGTCTCCAACTTGACACCACCCAATGGCCAAGGCGGTTGAGAGCCAGGAAATTTTGCCTCTTGGGCAATCAAGCGTTGTACCAAAGCCCACGCCTCTAAGATGTGGGTGCACATCTCTGACAAAGCCTCGAGTAAGCTCGAATTGCGCGTCGCCGCCGAGGAATATCGAGCACGATCGAATGCTTCTTGTCTCGAAGCCCTTCAAGACTTCCACCATTGAAGTCTTTTGAAGCAGCTTGGCTTAAGTATGGAAGTCAAGCCGTTGGCCTTGGCCGGGTTACGACAGAAGAATCAAGCAAGATCCAATATGCGCTTAGTAGGGAAACAACCGAAATTTAGCAGGACACAGCGTGGTTCTCTTTGTATTTCATCAACATCATCTTATGTCTATATAAATCGCTCGTGCTGCATCTTTTTTCAGTGCCTGGTATGCAAGAATGCAAAGAAAGTGTAACCAACCAACAATGTCACGACCAAGATTGAATTTTCACTCCGCAACTCACCTCTTCCGGGCCATCCAATAACTGGGCTTGTACATGTTTTGCAACATGCTGCGTGGGTCTTGGATGTATCCCGCCTCCCAGACCACTGGATTATGCTCGACAATGTCAAACCCAAGATGCTCGACAAGCTTGACGACTTCATCGTCCGCAAGCTCGAAGGAGCCCGATTCGCCGATGCCCTGGTTTCTGTCTTGGTTCTCTCTGTCTGTCTCGGAAGACGAAGACGAGAAGGAGTTCTTCTTTTCTGGAGAGCCACTTTCAAAGTGCCAGAGTAGAGGTCCTAGGTTTATCCAGACACCACCGGGTTTAAGACAGTGCTTAACGGTCTCGATATACGCGATCAGATTCGGCGCCGTGTCGATGAAGAAACATGTAGTGACTGCATCGAAAGCGCCTTCATACTGCGGCTCTTTGTAAAGCACACAAAAGTCGCCCGAGGACATTGACATGCGTTGATGAGCATGTAATTCCGATGCCAGATTTCTGCAGCTCTTTTCCAACTCTTCAGCTGGAAACACATCTGGGACCTCGACTTTTTGCACTTGATGAGATCTGTGGGTATGGTTCGAGAAGCTCAATGCCCAGGGATAGAGAGAATGTGACTTGGGGCCTGTAGTGTAGTTGAGTATCCAATTACTCATGAGGAGTTGATGGTAAGAGATTTCATTCCCTTCCATGGCGTATCCTGCATTGCAGATCTCGAAGGCTAGACGCCCCAGTCCAGCACCTGGCACCAATACGCTAACATGTGAACGTTTGGCTGGAGCAATGTCTCCGAATGCTTCGTTGAGGCCAGCTAGAATAGGTCCGTAACATGCTTCTCGTTCGGGAGCACCTTCAGCCGCCCAGTCGCGATATAGTTGGCGGATGGTCGAACGTACTTTGTCCATGTCCTGAGAAGTTGCAGCTCCGCGCCACTCTGTCGAGTCGGGGTCTATATCGTACATGCTGAGGCCGAGAGCAAGAACGGTGTCGGCAATGTCGGCATTTGCATCAATTGCTGCATCCACGGCATCTAGGGTTTTGGGCAGACCAAAAGGAGTGGAAGCCAGAATCTCCATGTGAGCCGAGGGTAGTGAATAGAAAGATTGACGTCGTAAATGGGTTGTGTTGTAGTGGGCAGCCTGGCGGTATTGTCTAAGGGTGCCGTTTCAGAATACATTCTTCTCCATCCAGACCTTGATTTACTCCTGATTTTCCAGCCTCTGGATTCTTTTGCACATAGAAGCCGAGACTGAAGATACGATTCACTCACCGGAAAGAATCAAGAGCAGAATATAGGACCCTTCTTTCCTCAGGGTCAGAGAGCGGGTCGACCTCCGAACCTCCATCATCTGCCACTACCTCGCAAGGTACCATTGTCTGTTCGTCTATTTCATCCATAGCATTCGCGATTTTGTCGTAGACTCTCCTGATATCGAGTGTCAAAGTGTCGGTTGATAGACCACTGGTCAGTGGTCGCAGCCAAAAAGTAGAAAGGCCGAACAGCTCACAGCAAACAAATCAAACATGACCATCATGGCTGTCCAACCATCAATGCCATCAACCAAATCTTGCGTAACGGACAAACAGACAAACATCTGTAACATAGCAATTATGACCACAGAAACAAGCAAACCTCTTACGAACGGCACTGGCACAAGATCAATGACAATGGAACCAATCCAGTTCTCCATGCCCTTGCCCAACGCACCAGGTAGTCGCATCCACACACACCTGACCATTCTCGCAACCTCCGTCCTCCTCTTCTGCACCAGTACTACGGCCGAATTCTCCACCCCGCCTGTTCCCTCGCTTGGAAGCTTCGTCTATGCTATGCCTGATGTTTGTTTAACAGTTACAATTACCTACCCATCCAAGATCTAAACACTGACACAGTAACACAGCGCTACAACCCCTCGACACCTCTAAGCACGCCCTTGTATACACTCCCTTCGAGCTTGGACTTTGCAGACCGTCTGGCCAAAACGTTGGCTAGAAGGACGAATATGCCTGTGCAGGTAGGCAGCTCGGTCAACTTCTCATCCGCTGGCAACGGTGGAAGTGTAGAAGAGGAGATGGAAGCTTTCAGGCAGCTGGTGACTGTTGTGCTGAGTGAGGTTGAGAAAGCAAGGGCTGGATGAACAACAGAAGATTACTTTCGTCCAGTCACTGAACTCACGACGCAAGAGCACATGGGAAACACTCGGAACATGATTGCGACTATATTGCCCACCTAGTCGAGCGCCACGTCTATCCTGTCTCTCAACTCCATTGGATAGCAGCAGAAGACGCTTGTCCAAGGCACACAGTCGCAGATACAAGTCGGTCCGCTTTTTCCCTGGATTTTGACCATGGTTGTGATCGCGAAACGATGAACACCAGGATTATCTCGCTCGAGAGACTTGAGACAAGCAGCTTGTGCCTGACTCTACTCTCGAATTCCACCAAAGACAATAGCTGGAGACCACCGTTGGAGTCCCAGACTCAAATAGCAGAAGATATTGCTCTAATTCAAGGGGTCTACTGCACTTCCTCGGCTTCTGTTTCAGCTGGACGATGCTCTTCAAGGTCGAACGTCGCAAACAAAGGGACATGATCACTAGGCCCTCTCTCCTTCTCGGATGCTAAAACACCTGCATCGGTCAGACTTCCTTCCAACGATTTAGAGCACATTATCAAATCCACTCTATCGCAACTGCTTCCGAACTTCCTCCCACGGGGATAATAAGTATATCCCTTCTCGTCTCCGTGAATATGCCTATACGTATCGATAGCCTCCAGCCCGTCATCTGCCTCAAAAAACTTTTTGTTGAAGTCCATTCGGTTGACAACATGCTGTTGAGGAAAAGTGCGTAAGTTTGGATGACCATCAAGGCGGGAGCGAGCGATGTTCAGATCGCCAGCAATAATCACACCGTAACCTCGGGCTTCAAGCGCTTTGGCTTCTTCGAGCATATGTTTGTGCACCGCCAGCTTCCGGTCATGTCTGGTACCCGTAATGGCTCCAGTCTTGCTGTCTTTGTATGGATTGTCGGTCCCATTGACTGCGTATATATTCCAGATGCTGAGCTTTGGGTCCTCGGTCTCGACAACCTGGATTCGACCTTCGAGGTCCCAATCGACTGTTCGAACGCTGTGGTTGTGTTTGGTGGCAAAGTCTTTTCGAAGGATGGTGCAGACCCCATAGACTTTTCTGCCAAAGCCGCGGGCGTTGTGAGGGTCGCTGGGTAGACAGAAGTGAGCTTCATAGTCGGGCTCTTCTGCTTTTGCACTCTTGACAGCTTTTTGAACCGCCAGTTTTGTCGCTTCATCGTCCGGGCTGATTTTCACTTCTTGAAGGCATAGAATTGTAGGCCATTTATGCCGACGAAGGAAGTCTCGGAGAGATGCCGTTGCTTTGGTTTCTGCTTTTGCTTGCTTGGGGGATGATTTCTTTGGTTGAAAGAAAGAAGTTATTGGTTTTTGAATGAAAGGTTGTATCCCATTGACATTCCAGGAGTAGATTCTAAGAGGCTCGATCGTGGAGGTCCTGACTGATACAGTGGCGCCCACGTCGGTCTTGCTGTTGCTTAGGCGGCGTCTTTTGAGAGGAGGCGGACTGACGCTCATCTTACAAGAATTTGCCCTGTGTATTGCTGTCTCGAAACACGGCCTCAGACGCCTTGGTGTATTGGGAAACCAGATTGCGAACATGAGGTAAGTGTTACTCAGCTAAGGAAGCGCAATATGAGGCGTTGACTTTTCCACACTCACACACTTGTCATCTTCTACAAACCGTTCGACATATTGGTGAAAAGGTACGGTTGCGTGTTCAATCAAATCCGATGAATGTGTTCAAGCCATACTCGTACGTCCGATGACAATTGTGTGTTCGCAGATAGCTTTCCCGATCGAACGTGTTTGCCCGCCCCGCATGTCGAAGATGTTGTTTCCCGTCGCTTTCCCGACCCGTGGATAAATAAAGCATTCGCCCTGCATTTCTATTGTGGTTTTATCTTAGTGTCGAGTTGATAAGCATCTGGAAGTCATCAACATGGACGCATCTGAATCACCAAGCGCAGTCTTTCACCGGAGTCTTCACACCAATCCCATCCCCATAATCGGAGCCAGCGGGAATTACTTGCATTTATCAACAGGCGGAAAACTGCTCGATGCTACTGGAGGTGCTGCGGTATCATGCCTAGGACATGGAAACAAAAGAGTCAAGGAGGCCATCATAAGTCAATTGGATGTGGTCTCATATGTCCATTCTGCAACCTTTGCTACCGAGGCCGCCGAGAAGCTCGCAAGAGAACTTGTCGAGTCAACTAATGGAGAGATGTCAAGGGCGTACATCGTCAGCTCTGGTAGGTGGAATCTTTCGAGCTCTTGATGTACCGCAATTGCCAATCAAAACAGGTTCCGAAGCAATGGAAGCAGCTCTCAAGCTTGCAAGACAACATTTCCTCGAGTCCAACCCGCCACAGCCACGAAGAACCAGGTTCATCGCCAGGCACGAGTCTTATCATGGAACAACATTAGGGGCACTGTCGGTCAGCGGCCACAAGGCTCGTCGTGCTCCATACGAACCGATGCTGCTTCCGAACATGAGTCGCGTCTCTGCGTGCAATGCTTATCGCGGGATGATCGAAGGTGAAACCGAGGCAGGATACGTGGATCGATTGGCAAAGGAACTTGATGAAGAGTTCCGGCGTCTTGGTCCAGAGAATGTTTGTGCGTTTGTGGCGGAGCCAATAGTGGGCGCAGTGAGTACGCTGAGTCAATCTTGCTTGGCATCTACTGACCACAATCCTTGAAGGCTTTAGGTTGCGTGCCGGCGGTCAGGGGTTACTTCAAGGCAGTCCGCACCGTTTGTGATAAGTATGGGGCACTACTAATTCTTGATGAAGTGATGTGTGGCATGGGCAGAACGGGGACTATGCATGCGTGGCAATCGCCACTCATTGATGTGATTCCGGATATTCAGACCATCGGAAAGGGGCTGGGTGGTGGATATGCACCTGTGGCTGGTGTGTTGATCAGTCGCAAAGTGACGGATACCCTATTCGGAGGTACCGGAGCCTTTGCCCATGGACAGACTTATCAGGGACATCCTGTCAGTTGCAGAGCTGCGTTGGAAGTGGTACGGACCATAAATGAAGAGAAGCTGGTGGATAATGTCGCAGCCATGGGCTTGAAGATGGAAGAACTGTTGAAGCAACTCGTCTTACCGTTACCTCATGTTGGTGATGTACGAGGAAAGGGGCTCTTCTGGGGAGTAAGTCTTTGGAGAAAAAGCAGATTCGATGGACATGAAACTGACCAGCAAAGATCGAATTTGTTAAGGACAAGACAACGAAAGAACCATTTGATCCAAAAGAGAATGTTGCTATGGACATCCACGAGAAAGGTGAGCACGCACAGTCTTGAGATTGGTAGAAAATAAGCTAACCAAACTCAGGTTTAAGTGGCCCGCACAACATCACACTCTATCCTGGAAACGGCACGGTAGACGGTAAGGTCGGAGATCACATTCTCGTTGCTCCTGCATACAATGTGACGGCGGATGTCGTCGAATTGATTGTGCAAAAGACTGCGGCGGTCATTAAGGAATACTTCGAACAGAGCAGAGAATGATTTTGGGGATCGGTCGTTCCATAAACTCAATGAGAGTCTGTTGAAAGAAGGCCACCACCCTCCATAGACATATGACCGTTAGTTGCTTGAGTTGTCGAGGAGCCTGTTCATGATTGAAACACCAAACAAGATTTTTCTTTATTGGCCATTGATTCGAAGAACGCTCAAAATAACAACACTCAGTTTTGATGGAACCATTATGCGCCGGTCCACAAGTCTTGCTGGTATAATTAAAAATTGATGGACCGGGACGGAGAAGTGATAGTGAGCGGAGGCGAAGCTCTAGAACTTGACGAAAGGGTCCTCGGGTCTAGGCTTCAGCTCCTACTGTGTCTGCCATGCAAGTTTATCCCAAACTCGTTGATCACTCGCATTAACGTCAAGAGATTACATCAAAGGCGAAGAACCTACAGGAGTACACGTGTGTATCAGCGGGAGTTAAAGAGATTGCCGAAAAGGACATTGGGTGTTGGCTCTGAAGTACCACTAGGCGAGGTATTCCTAACTCGACAGGACGAAGCACAGAACGGCTCAATGATTACAAGGATGCGAGACGGCGCATTGAGATTTTGGAAAAAGCAAATAGTGAGGATGTTCAATCGAAATAATACAAAAACCATGTGAAGGGAGCCGGAGCAGATACAAGAGTGATGACTTTGGAGTTGTGAGAAGTTGCGGAGGATTCCACGAATGACGAAGCACACTTGACGAGCAGCTCCGTCGTCCTCTTGGTGCTGAGTGCCAACGGATTTCGGTCGAGCAGTCCAAGACACACAGTCTCAGCTTTTCGAATTTCGAGCCCTCGAGCAAGACGACAAAGACGCGCCTTCACGTCCAACAGGCCCGTCACTTGGCCTACTTCATCGGCTTGCACCCACAGCCGTAGTTAAGCCGCTTGTTCTGTGGGAGTGAGGTCTCTACGCCTGACTTCTTCTCCGCTCTTGCGGTATTGCAAAGGCTGTCCAACTGACGGTCGCTTGTTGAATGACTCCGGAATTCCCTCTGCATCACCCTCGCTGACCTCGAATCGCCCGTCTCGAGCGAGCCGAGTCCTGTTGATATCTGCCACTCTCGCTGCTCGCTGCCGACGACGACATCGACGACGACGACGACCAGACACCAGACCATGTCGACTCCTCAGACGGCTACTGCTACCCTCGCGCCGAACCATTACCAGCCTCACCAGTATCTTCCAGCCATGACAGAATACCCGTATCCCCCGCAAGCATATGCCAACGGCTATCCTCCACCATCACGAACTGCCACGACCACCGCTACCGCTCCTGCACCTTATCCCGCCCCGCCTTCAACTGCTGCTTCGTCCAACGGCACTGCCGCAAAGAGACAGAGGAACCAACCCGTCGATTGGAATGAATACTTTGGCGGCAAGCCTCCCAAAGAGATCATAGTCATTGACGATGACGACGAGGATGAAGCGCCCGCTACCAACCAGACCAACCAGACATACCACAACCCTCCCGTAGCCTCTGCCAGCACGAGCCAACAGCACATGGACAAGCGCAGAAAGACAACCAACTATGACGCTGCCTATCACCACGCCGAATACTCAAATACTCACACGCCGTACTATGACGCCGCCTCGACGGACCAGAACCCGACATCATACAAGACATCGGCCGCTACGTCTCTGGCTTCACAACCAAGCGCGAGTGCTTACGCCGAGGATGCCGCTACTGGCCAGAAGCGCAAGAGAACGACCCGCCAGGGCGCTGCCGACCAAAAGAAGCGTGAAGTCAATGCCCGTCCCGATCCATTCGCCGAGTATGTTCCCCCGCCCAAGCCGCCACTCAAGGCCAAGGATGTCTTTGTACCGCTGGTGCCAGACGTACGTTCACCCATTGCCTGATTGCAGGCGCAACAACTGACACGAGCGTAGAGAACGGCCAAGCGTGACCAAAAGGTTGACGATGATGATGGACATTATATTGTTCACGACCACGCCGACTTGACCGAGCGATGTAAGTCGACGAAGCTTCAATACTCGATCGCTCCTGTGCAGTACTGACTCGTTCCCGGCAGACTCGATCGTAAAGCTCCTCGGCCAGGGCACCTTTGGCAAGGTGGTGCAAGCGTACGACCGAAGGAGAAACGCCGACGTCGCCATCAAAATCATCCGCTCTGTGCAGAAATACCGCGATGCTAGCCGCATCGAGTTGAGGGTCTTGTCGACACTGGCATGCAATGACAAGCACAACCGCAACAAGTGTATCCACCTGCGAGACACGTTTGACTTCCGCAACCACATCTGCATCGTCACTGACCTCTTGGGCCAGAGTGTCTTTGACTTCCTCAAGAGTAACTCTTTTGTGCCTTTCCCCAGTACTCACATTCAGCAATTTGCCCGCCAGCTATTTACCAGCGTCGCCTGTAGGTCATCCCCATCGCTCTCGTCTGTCTGCCTCTAATTCTTGGCCATAGTTTTGCACGATCTCAACCTCATCCACACCGATCTCAAACCCGAGAACATCCTTCTTGTACAAAACCACTACCAGACCTTCACATACAACCGCAACATCCCCTCGTCATCAAACACAAATCCACGCTCGGCTAAGTTCCGCAGGGTGCTGCTTGACCCCGAGATAAGACTTATTGACTTTGGCTCGGCCACCTTTGATGACGAGTACCACTCATCCGTCGTCTCGACGCGACACTACCGCGCTCCCGAGATCATCCTCAACCTTGGGTGGAGCTTCCCTTGCGACATTTGGAGCATAGGCTGCATTCTTGTCGAGTTCTTCACCGGCGACGCCCTGTTCCAGACGCACGATAACTTGGAGCATCTGGCAATGATGGAGGCCGTGTGCAACACCCCTATTGACAAGGCCCTCGTGCGCTTGGTCACTGCTGGCCGTGGCAGTAACAAGAACTCTGCTGCAGCGTGAGTCTCCTGGTCCTCTCATCCTTGGTAGCCCGCTAACCTCCTCCAAGCTACTTCAGGCGTCAGATCCTCGACTACCCACAAAGCGACACCCCTCGCTCGTCGCGCAAGTTTGTCAAGGCGATGAAACCTCTTCATGTAAGACCTCCCCCTATCTCCAGACTGGCAGACTTCCCCTGCCCTCCTCTCCTCGAGCCCGGTCCAACCGCACCTCGAGTCGCTCGCCCAGCCAGTCTCAAGAAAAACCAATATGCACCATACTTATACACTCTTCAGGAAATCATCCCCGCTCACAACGAATTCAACCGCCAATTTCTTGATCTGCTGAAGAAGATCTTTGTCTATGACCCGAAGAAGCGTATCACTGCACATCAAGCCCTGCAACATGAATGGTTCAAGGAGCACTATGAAGACGACGGCACCGAAGCCGAGAAGATCAAAATCGAGAGACAACGTGCTGCTCGCCTCGACGCCCAACAACGAAGCCAACAACCCGAACCTCAGGTCGGCCAGGTCAATCGGTGATACTGTACAAAATCATGTCACAAATTCTTGGACACATACCAAACAAATTCGGAGTACATGCACCCCTTTGAGGGAACTGGAAAGACCGGATTGATCACGGCAGCCCGTTGCATTAGTGGGGATAATGGGAGGTGAATGGAGTTCTTTTTTCTTTCTTACAACAAGCATCCGAGTTATCACAACTATTCTCATCCAATGGGGTCACGATTAACACACGAAACTGGGAAAGGGGTTCTGCATGCATGGGTTAATGGGGAAGGGCTCCCCTTTGTTGTTTCTTACTTTCTTTTTCCTTCATCTTCATCAACTAGCGGGCTCATTCGACCGCCTGAGTTCTGCCTCCAAGGACCATTACCTTTCGAGAACCGCACTCCATTCAAGGAATCGCTGAGTTTTTCATTTTCACTACTTTCCTTGGGCATGGAGGATTTTTCTAGAAAACAAATCTCGGCGGGCTCAATCGGCCCCAGCCTCTGCTGCAGGGATGAAAATAATGTTCTTCAACTTCGCTTTCAATTTCACCGTCTCGACAACGTTTTCCTGTGTTCAACAAACTTGACACTTTTGAGTATGAACCCTCTTTCGGACTCTTCTCATCGATATCCACATCGTTGTCCATATTTGGTTGTAGAATAGAACCAGCATCAGCAACGATGCCATGTGAATCATCGGTATCGCAAATAGAGCTGGGTAAAAGTATTGAGCATGTTTGGAGTGAGTACGGCTTGAATTGATTGTTTCGATTTTGCTCAGTCAATGAACTACGGTTTCTTCTTGTTCACCAGAATCGATCATCCTCTGTTCTGTCTGAACCCCATGATACCCAAGAAGAAACAGGATAAAGAAAAAGAAACCCCCTATGTTTAATCTACACGAAAGTCTCGGAAGAGAAAAAGAAAATAAGAAGAACACGATTGCTGATGGATCGCATTGCAGGGAAAAGAGGTGAAAGGGTAAGAAAAGAAGCCTCGCAGTGAAGATAAGAACGAATTGTGAAGAAGGGTATAATAGACATTATGAAGAAAAGTAAAAGGCGGCGCTCAAAAGGCATCAAGAAAAACAAGCTTCATCTGCTGCTCTCCACAAGCACGCCGCTCGCTTTGCCATGCAAACTGGTGTTGACCCTGTCTCGCAGACCCTTCAACGGTGCAGAAGACGCTTGTGATACTGTCTTCTTTCTCGGGCTGCGACGCAGAACACGCTGTGCTTCACGCTCCTCGGCTGCTTCCTCAAGAAGGACTTCTACACCACCACCAGCCTTGTCATCCAGGATTTGCTGTCTGGAGCCTAGGGCTTGCAATGACGCCTTGCCTTCAGGAATGCTAGGGTTGAGTTGAGCTTGAGCTTGTTTTGCTAGTGTCGAAGCATTCTTTTCCTCCGATTCGTAGGGTGAAGGCTCGGCCTTGAGGCTTTGTGCGGGGCTCGAGTGAGAGATGTTATCTTGTTCAACCTTTTTCTGAGCAGCAATTCTCGACCTCTCGTAGCGGGCCGAGACGTCGCCACCAACCCATTTGGTACCAAGAAGGCCGTCCCAGAAGGTGAAGAAAGGCTGGCTGAAGTTGGTTTTGATACCCCAGCTCTGGTGGTGAATATCGTGATAGCCGGCGTTGTTGCTGGTGATGTGCTGGAGAGGGTCCCAAGGAAGGGCATAGCCACAGTGGTCATCAACAGTCTTGATGGTGCTGCAGGTAAAGAACCACATGGATTGTCTGCAGGTCATGCCTGCGAGCATGTAGGCAATGCCGGTGCCCAATGTGTCCAGAAGGAAGCCCTCGAAGGGGTGATTGTAGAGAGCACCGTATGCATAAGGTACATAGAGACGGTGGTGACGGGAGTGGAAGGTTGTGTAGAGCCACTTGTTCATATGCATGGCTCTGTGCCAGAAGTACTGCCATGTGTCGACAACAAGGACGGCGAATGTGAATTGCATGGCGGGAATGAGCATCCAGTAGACGGCCTTGGCAAGTGTGAGCTCCCACGAAGCAAAGGCTGGGACGACGTGACCCGAAGCAGCCTGTTGGAAGAGGTTGTAGCTACCACCTTTCAATGCGGCAGAGAGGATGGGGTGTGCAACGGCCTGCTTGCTGGCCATGGTGTTGGCGTCGAGACCGGCAAATGCGAGAAGGTTGGGGATGGCACGTTGGGCGAGACGGATTCTCTGAGCCCAGACAGCGACATTGTAGTCGTCCTGGCCCATGGTGGCCTCGGGCTCAAAGATTGTGATGGCAAGACCAACAGCCGTCTGGATGACTTGTTGGATGATGACGTCGCGGAAGACGTCCCATCGTGAAACGTGGTTTCGCTTGAGCACCTCTGCGGGAGTGTGCAGACGGTATTGAGGGAAAAGGTCGTATTCGTCGATGAAGTGGAAGATGAACGAGACAATCCAGTAGGCGGCTACGGGGAGAATCAGGGCCAGGTAGAGGTCGGGAATCCATGAGATCAGAGGTTGTAGCGGAGTCAGAGTGTATGTGGGAAGAGGGGGGAGCGGCAGCATGGTCGCGTTGGCCATGGTGGGCTGCATGATGGTGCTTGTTATGGCTTCGAAGCCGGCACGCGAGTTGAAGAAGTTGCGATCCGCGAAGCTCCGCTTGTTGTCTTGGGCGAGATGATGTTCAAAACAAACGCAATTGAAGAAGGAGCGACGGTCGGATGGGGTTGGTTTGGCTGGTGGATATGGATTGTCGAACAGGAAAGGATGTAGGAGGGAGGAGTAGGAAATGAGGCAGACGGTGCCTATTTCAGATCGTCATTCGATTTCTCCTGTTGCTGGCTCACGCTCTCGGCTTGATCTGTGCCCGTCACCCGATACGATGAAACCGATCAAAGAATTCCTCGCCACTCGGATATCCGTGACACGTCCATACGCCGTATTCTAGAACCCTGCCTAAACGAGTATAGCATTTGCTGATCTATGCCCATGATACTCGGTAGTCCAAGTCACTCGCCGCCTGAACGACATCATCGTGGCCAAACAGTAGGTCGCGCAGTATTTCCTCCTACCATCCTTGCGACTCCATTTTTGCTTGTGTGTCTTGCTGCCATCGCTTTCTTGTTCCTATCAGCCCTTCTCGTGCTTCACCATGTCAACTATCCCGGCTTGTTGCATCTGTTCCTCGGTGCTAGATACGATAGACTCAAAAACGGAAAAGCCTACTATCGCTGCACGCCACCTTTCGTGCTGTTCACGTCCCGTCTGCCAACGATGCATTGCCAACAATCCTCGCTACAACTCGTATTGTCCGTATTGCCAAATCTCCACAGATCCACGATCGACTCTTCCACAAGGTCTACGTGACCCACCGCCATACAACGACACACAGGCTTCTGCTTTACCGCCGTCTGAAAAAGACCAGGACGCACCTCCTGCATATTCTGCGCACGAATCATTGCAACCTCCTTCAGAAAAGGCTATCGAGAATGCCCCAGATGTGCTACACTTTTTGACCCCGACGGACACGGCTCTTTCATTATCCTTAGCCTATGGTGTACCTCTTCATGCTTTACGAAAGGCCAACAACGTCTTTGCAGACCATCTTCTTCAAGGTCGTAGAACCGTCGTAATCCCTGGAGATTATTACAAGGGCGGCGTGAGCCTAAGCCCAAGGCCAATCGAGGGCGAGGAAGAGGAGCTGCGCAAGTCCAAGTTACGGCGATTCATGGTCACATGCAAAGTATCCGAGTAAGGTTTCATGTCACAATCCCTCCTGGTCGCCTCTAATAGTATCGCAGATATGACGTTGCACAACTTTACCTGGAACAGAACGACTATGATTTGGACGGCGCTGTCGAGGCGTACAAAGACGACGAGAAGTGGGAGAAAGAACACCCGCTACAAAACAACGGCAAGGGCAAGATGACTGCGCGTACTGTTGGTAAAAGGCGATATGTTGGCTCCTCGTAGATTACCATTTGTCGATTTGCGTAGAATAACATGAGTTACGACACCCCTGCAGGATACCTCTGATACCTCACTCATAATGTCATCGTATTCTTTTGGTTGCTTATTCAAAGCGGATGAGCCAGCCATCTGCTTCCTTCTCACCTCTTGCGTTATCTCCTCCCCACATGACTACGCTTCTTCCATCGCTCGCAACGTCTGCTGCGAAAAAGCCTCGAGGTCCGGGGTGTACCTTGCCTTCATGACCACTCTGCTCTGTCGCTTGCACTTCGATTTCGGCCCACTCATAGCCACCGCTCTTGTATCCCAGCTTGTCCCTGATCGTGTCCTTGATAGCCGCCGGCTTGAAGTCTGTCCAGCTAGTAGGTTTGGTCGACTTTGATGGTAGTTGGTAGGTCCACAGATCAGATTCGAAAGGTCGAGGAGCCTCGCTAGACTCGACTGACTTCCCGGGGCTCTCGGCATCAACATGGACTTCTCTACTGCCAAAGAAGTAGACTAGGTACAGACGGCCATATCCGGTAGTGACCGGAATCAGAGATCCGCCGGTTCGCGCTCCAGGTCCTGCGGATGAAGGGACTTCCGTCGAGTTTGTGATTCGCTGCCATTGTAGTCCATGTGCCGATCCTGGAGCAGGAACTCTGTCACCAATTTCGAGTCTGTATACATGAGTGATGCCCTCAGCGGGCGAGTTGGTGATCATATAGAGTGTGCCGTCGGCAAAAGCTACACTTTCTGAATGTTCTGGAGAATCGGGAAGTTGAGTCCAGGTGTGAGCAATCATGTCGAAGAACCAGGTATCGTTCAGTTCGGTCTCTACGGACGATCGTCCGCCGTGAAGAAGAATGTGGCCGCCATAATGGAACAGTTCGTGGTCGAATCGTGGGCAAGGTTTTGGACTGGAGTGGGATCGTTAGCATTGACCGGTCGAATGACAAAAGACACGACATACCCTTCTGAAGAAACCTGGTGCCATTTTGAAGATTCAATGTTCCAGATCCACAAGGAAGAATCCTGATCTACAGGAGCATGCTTCTCGTCACAGCCTCCAAAGACGGCTAGCTCATGGCCTTGGACACAGGCAGCATGCCTGGTGCGTGCACTCGGCACAGCAGCTCCTTCATCGCGAGGAACGGCCGGGTAACAAGCATAAGCAATATCTGTCTCGTGTGTCTGCTTCAATGGCAGAGTCACAGTGTGGATGTCGTTGGATGCCAGCTTTCCATCAGTGGTCTGGCCTCCAAAGATGCATGCCTTGTCGTTGGCGATGCTGACGGTGTGATGTGAGCGTGCAAGAGCCAAGCTGTAAGGGTATTAGTCGCTGCAAACCTTCCAAAGTTCTGCTGTTCAATTACGCGGCGTCATCCTTGTCTGCGGTAGCAATCTGAGAGAAGGTTGCCTTTAGAGGTACGGTGGGTTTGGCAACAGCATATCCAGCGATTGCTGAGCCTTCGAGGGTTGTGGATACGACTTGTTCAGCCACAACAGCTCCAGCTGCTATTTCAGCCATTTTGGGTGAGAGAGTTTTGTGGAAGAGCGAGCATTCATCTTTGGTAGCTACTCGAGTATGGTCCCTCGCATAGACACCTTGTCATGTGAAAGAGGACCATGACGTAGCACATGAGCTACTTCGAGAGGAGATGATACCAAACGCAAGAGGTAAGCTTATCCAGCGCAGGCTGCGCATCTGGTGAGGTTTCCTACTGTTCCGGCTCACCAAACGGACTGGTATTGAGGACTTGGGGAGGGTTTTCTGAGCGCTTGCCCTGTCGACCTCCTCACTGACCACTCTTAGACGCACAAAGACATCGCGCACCTCTACAACAAGCCGCAGCTGTATCTCGGAGCAGCTGTTTCGTAGCAGAATCCAGACGTCCGGTATCGCCTCCCTTCGGAAAAGGGGCACGGGCTCTTGGCATCTCCAAACGACCCCAGAGTCGATCTCACGTCGCATGAGCAGCACCAGGATACCTTGGATGCATCGCACGAGCACCATTGCGCCCATCTGTCCAGAGCGGTAGAGCCAGCTACCAGCACTCGCCATGGCGACAGCGACGACCGCGAAAGCTGGGCATGCTCCAATGCGCCGCCCACGCCCGAGCATGGCCGCCCGTCTCAACACACGCGCCAACAACCAGGCCAACAGTGCCAGCGACACTCTGGTCAAAAGGATAGCCGAACCTCATGTCAGGAGCTCCGAGTACATCCTGCGCAAGTTCCGCGGCAAGCCTCCCTCGCTCACCATCCATCTGCATGCCACCTTCTTCCGCTTCGACCAGCAGGATGGCAGCTTTCCCTACGACTCGCCCATGAAGTTCATTCTTCAGCACCTGCGCAAACAGACCATCCCTCATGAAATGGTCCAAGATCTGCTGGAGAATCGTGTCGCCTTTTATGACGGTTGTCTCATTGTCAACGTCGTCAACCACAAGTCGTCTGTCGCAAAGACTCCTGCTCCTGGCAACCTGTCCGTCAGCTCGGCCGACCACAATACTCCCTTTTCCATGCACAACTACCACGACCATATCACTCCATCTCCCTTTGGTCCCTACCCGAAAAAGGCTTCAGACCGTTCGTCGCTACCTAACAAGAGATCCGAGTCAGTCAAGCAACAAGATGGTCTGAAAGATCAAGCCCATACGGGCCCTAGGACTTCGACTGTCGTACTTCATCCCACCGATCTTTCTCGCCATCATGAGCTGATGCACCTCGCGAACCAACAATCTAAGGGCGCTCTAGTCGATGAGACCAACTACTACCAGTTTGAAGCGACTATGCTCATTTCCTCCGAACCACCACTATTACTAGATCCCGCAAAGACCTTTGAGGAGGCTGAGATGGCCTTGAGTCTGCTCAAACACCCTCTGCATTCCGAAGCTCCTCCATCACCAAGATCCCGCAAGCGTACCCACGCCGAAATGGCTCTGGACGATGCACAAGCCTTCGAGGAAGAGAGACGTATGCTCATTATGGACGAACGCACAAAACCTTCTTTGCGTGGTGCAAATGGTACCTCGGCCTCCGAAGGTCAAACTGCTTCGGTTGCTCTTGGCTTTTCCAGATTCAAGACCCTCGAGACCATCAAGAAGAACCACGAAGAGAACGACCGCAAGAAAAAGGAGGAAGAGGCGCAGAAGGCTATAGAGAAGCGTCAACACGATGCTGCGCTGGCGCAAAAGAGAAAGCTCATGGAGGACAGGAACCGTCAAGAGCAAGCGGCCACACAGCAACAACAGAAACAGAAGATGATGATGCACCAGCAGCAGCAGCAATTGATGCAACAACAAGCCGTACAGCAGCAGCAGGCCGCTCAGCTCCAGCAACAGCAACAACAGCAACTCCAGCAGCAGCAGCAGCAATTGCAACAGCAACAGCAGCACGCTCACAATCTCGCTCAGGCTCAAACCCCTATGGCGACTAACCCTCAGCAACAGCATCTCCAACAACAAGCTGCCATGGCTGCCCAGCATTCGTCTCCCATTGTCCACAACCCTACGCCCATCATGGCCTCATCTCCTGTCATGCCCAACGCCTCAAACATGAATATGGGCGGCTTCCCTATGCAAACTACTGCTTCGAACCAAGGCGCTGGAAGCCCGGCTCGCCCTCCTTCCGCTGCTATGCAACATGCTAATATCGCCATGGCTAGACAGCTCAGCCAGCAAGCAAACCCGAGTCGTCATGCTACTCCACAAATGGCGCACGGTACTCCACAAATGGCGTCTGCTGTGCCTATGGACGGCAACCGCCAGATGAGCGGTACCCCTAATATGCAACACCGAAGCCCGATTCCTCCTCATATGCAAGGCACTCCCAATCAAGCAGGCTTGATGGCTGGAACACCGCAGATGAACGGAATAAACCAAATGAACCAGATGAACCAACTCACTCCTACTCAGCAAATGGCTATAATGCAACAGCAGCGCGCACGCTTGCAACAGCAGACAATGCAAGCTTCGCCAGGCCAGTACACACCAGAGCAGCTCACCGTGATGAGGAACCAGCAGAATATGGCTCTGCAGCAGCAAATGAATCCTCAGATGTACGCTCAGATGCAACAACGCATACAAATGCAAAACATGCAGGGAGGCACACCCATGATGCAGACACCTTCGCAGCAGCAACAGCAACAGCAGATGAATCAGGCGATGAGCCAACAGATGGGCCAGAGCATGCCAAATGCTCAGGCAGCTCAACGGGCACAAGCTGCTGGTCAAGCTCGTGCTCAGTTCATGCGTACAAAGCAAATGATTGTCACATTGCAATCTCAGGGTCAGCCAATACCCATAGAACTGCAGCACCGTTTCCAGCAACAGCAACAAATGGTTCATGCTGCCCAACAGCAGATGGCAGTCGCTACGGCACGAACACAGCAAGCGACTCTTGGCGATACGAACAACACGGAACAATACATGCAGAACCTTCGCAACCAGCAAGCACTTATAGCAAGGTTGCAACGAACTCCACAAATGGGACAACAGGCGGGCATGATGAATGGTGGAGGGCAGCAGCAGCAAAATATGAACATGCTGCAAACTCAACAAGCACAGATGCAGCAAATGCAATTTGCTCGTCAAGTTGCGATGAATCAACAACGACCCGGATCGGGAATGGGTCAATAGGAGCGACATGATACCCCTCTGCAGGAGTTTTAAAACGGCGTTGGTGGCTTTCGGGGCAGGGAAATGTTGATGTTTATACGTCAAAAATTAAATCGAGCTTATGTGCTCGTCCTTCGGCGCGGATGATTGAGCTGGTTGCTCTTGAGACACGCATCATCACAGAGCTTTTGAGAGTGGTGTGATTTGAACATTCGTAATACCTGTATTTCTATGCGTATTTTCTTCACATTCATTGCGCTTCTCACGTTCATGTCTCTATTTACCATAACTCGTTTTTGTCAATGAATTGAACCAAGTACTTTGTGGCTGGTTTTACTCCAACCTGACTCTTTTTACAAAATTCGTAATACCAACATGGTACTCCAACGACAAGTATGGCATATATGCAATCCAGTGAGACCACAAGCTCTCTACATAAGTGCATCTCTTAGTCTTTAATCACGACGCTAGACGACTAGGCTAGCACCTAGTCATTCTGCTCGAGTACAAGACCGGACAGTAGTCAAAAGAGCAAAAGGAAAAGGGTCGGCTCTCCCGAACTTGGCTTAAAACTGTCAAGAGCATGGCTTGGTTCCAAAGAAGGGTGTCTCACGTGCCTGACGCGCGGGAAAAGCGTGGGAGCGGATGTCCGAGCTCAGACACACGAAGGAATATAGTCAAGAGTATTCAGCACCGAGGCAAGCACCACAGAAAGCCCAGCTTTCACATCTTCCGTGGCGCAATTGGCTAGCGCGTTCGACTGTTAGGTCTCGCAAGAGACTCGCTATCGAGAGGTTGACAGTTCAAGCCTGTCCGGGAGAGCTGCTGTTCTTTTTGTTTCTTCTCTCTTGACTTCTCAGACTCTTTTGCTCTTTCCTTTCACTGATCAATCATTGTTTAGGTGGATGAGAAAGCGTCATAACAGTCGAACGCACTAGCCAATTGCGCCACGGAAGATGTGAAAGCTGGGCTTCTTGGGTTGTCGCTAACGCGACAACATTGGTTTAAGAGCTGGAGATGCAGTTAAGGTCCCGAGTGTTCAAATCCTAGCAATAGGACTGACATACAGCATGATGCTTACTTACATGGGCCGCTCGTCCATCCTCCCCGTGTGCTAAATTCTGTCACTTCTACTAGCCATCTCCCACGGCCATGTCTAGGGTTATCCAGTCTGTAGAAATGCACAATGTTTTTAAGATCTCTCTAGTCGTCCGCAGAGAGGCGCTGAGCATCACACTCTTGCACTGATCTCAAAAACATTGTGTATTTCTACAGGGTGCGCGTGACAAAGTTTAGCACACGGGGAGGATGGAGCGTGGTCGTCTAATACACATCCCAAGACTCCGACTTCGATTTGGAAGGGGGTGTGCCTTGTAAGAGGCATGCATTGCCTCTCGTCGTCTTCTGAGAGGGAGCAAGACGTGGATCAATTTTTCATCGAATAGCTTCATGTTGAAAGCCAATGATGGATGATTGGACCTCTCCTATCATTATGGTAGGCTGAGTGAATTGTTTGTGTTGATCACGGTGGCTGCTGAGTGGGTGACCCTGCTCAGAATATTTACGATCAAAAACAGTCGCAACATTTGATGTTTAGCATCTGATCTTCCCTCTGTCCAATGCTTAGATGCTTTGACGATCGGTCATGCCTTCTAAGGCTCATTCATGACTGGTAAAGGGGAGGAATTGCCATAGAAGTACGCTACAACTGGTCATGCAGTCATCGTGAACTGCGAGTGACTGACCATTCCTGCCTTCTGCGTTTCAATATTGTGTTCTACGCGGGACTTCAAGAGACGGTGTTTGAGCATTACTAGGAGCATGTGAATAACAAAAGTCTGATGGTCAGCTTCTGCGCAACATGGCAAAACAAAAACCGATTGGTTGGTTGTACACCTACCAAAAAGATGCTCATGCTGGGGATCGAACCCAGGATCTTCTCTGTGTGAGAGAGATGTCATACCACTAGACCACACGAGCCACGATGCAAAATATTGTCGCCGGGTATACCGAACAAAGTGAAATCAAAGCTGGACGCCACATCCATTCGACAGACGTTCTCCTCTACGAGTACCACTCATGTTTACGGGAGAACTTGAGGAAGCACTATGTGCAAAGAGCTCGTTAGCATGAGATAACAGCATATATGTGGTTGTACTAGTTGCCTCCCTCTGCAGTGCTTACTGTATGACGATAGACGTCGGACAAAGATCAGAAACAGCAGAGTGCAGTATCCGAAGAGCCTCAGCTGTGGTGGGGTAAACAGTACGACATGAAAGCCGTGATGGCCAAGTCGTACGGTTTGTGTTTAACCACTCAACGTGAGTCTGTCAGCGAACCAAGCCACTGGGAGAGGAAAGAGGTTGTGCTGGCAAGTAGAGTCGAAGAGTGGTACGAGGTGACAGACCTTTCCAGGTCAGACAGCGCTCAGATCCGACACAACCGGGTCCGAAATTCGCTAGACAGCTTGGCTGTGGGCTCGACAGTTGTTGTAACAAACGTTTGTCAATGCTATCATGCAACGAGATGGACAGAAATCAGCAGGAGCACTCTTCATAGCCAGAAAACTGGTAAAGACGATGAAGAAAAAAGATCATCGGCGAGCTACTTCAGGCAGTTTTGATGCAAAGGCAGATCACCGATACAAGGCAGAAGAAAGGGCACGAAAACGGCCGATGCTTGGAAGAGAAAAACACCGGAAGGGGTACGCAATCGGTACATGCGAGAGAGTACCGATGCATCGGCCAGCCTCGTGTTTCTCAAGAGTCGTGGCTTCCTTGCTGTGCGCAAAGATAGCCGAGTTGTCTCCATGATTATGAATCCGATCAGGTTTCTTGATGGACGTCTGTCTTGCACTCACCTAATTTTCGATAGTTTGGGGGTTAGGTACGGCTTGGCATGGAACTCCGCTCCGCTAAGGTTGATCGGGCTGCGGCATGCAGCCACTTTGCTCTTCTCCCGGGCCTTATGGCACAGACCACGTCAATGATGCATGTGAAAGAAAAAGCTTGGGATCTGGGCAAAGGACGACTGCAGGAACAGCAAGATCCTGGGACAAAGGACGCGGAAGCTGCTTGTTGAGCAAGGCCGAACGGATGTTGATCGTTTTGCAGATTTCACATGGTCAGCGGTCCGCGGCGTTTAGCAGTTGGCACGATAGATAGCTTGAACGAACATCGGCGGTGCGCGGGCGGAAGACTGCGGGCAGCAGCACGGGCATTGATGCTGTATGACTATGCGGTCATTCGATCGCATTTCTAATCCCTAGATCTCTGTTCTTCCTTTTTTACACTTGCCATCTCCTTCGGACCTTCGCTTTCTTCACGTCAACTAGTCGACACACCCACCCACGCGCGCCTGGAGTCGCTGCTTCCGTGGGCAAACAGACAAACATCTTCCGAGCTGGACTCTTACATCACTCGCGAATCCGGAACCCAACTCCCCTCCTGATCCGCAAACAGCAAGCATCATCCACAAAAGCTGACAAGCACTATTACGATGGGCGCAAGCTGGGACACCGCGAGGTGAGTCAGCCGTGTTGGTCTAGCATGTCCGGCCTGTTATTGACAAACCCGGCAGGACACTTAGCATGGTCGTGTCCTCACTCATCTTGACATATCATGCTGCAACAGCATATCTATGCACTTTCCTGACCAGCGATCCGCTGTACATGTCTTTCAGCGTGACAGCATATGCCTGGTATGGCTGTGCTCTCGCCGTGCTAGGAATCTACGGATCCTACAAGGTACAAAGATGCAGCCTTCACATGTGAATCCACCAGTTCTGACCCCAATCCAGAAATCACCAACACACCTCACAATCTTCTCCAACCACCTGCTCATAGACACGGTTCTCTCGCTCGTTCCCAAATTCGGCCTTGTCTATCTTTTCTACGATGTTACCGCCGATCTCTGCTTCACCAGCAAGCTCAACACGTCATTCTGGTTTCCTTCCACATCCGAGGACCTGCACGGCCCCGGACGTGTCATTCAGACTTCATCAACCGAACAGTCTCTCGGTGCGAGCATCAAGGCACGCCGCCATTGCGAGACAGATGTTCTTGTCGCTCAGATTGCCTTTGGAGCTGTCCTCGTCTTCTGGACAATTGCCCAGTGGGGCATGGGGCTGAGCGTGCGCCGCTATGCTGTCAGACTCGAACTTCAAAGCTACACTGCAGCCTCGTCAAATCAGCATATCGACGAAGAAAAGGCCTTCTACGAGGAGGATAGCCTTGCCGACGAATACCAAGATGCTGTCACAGTCGTCCAGAAATGGACCTGTCGAGAGAAAGACAGCACTACTTTCATCGAGGTTGCCGAAAAGCCCTCTTGATCACGACCCTTTCCTTTTGAATTCACTTATTGTTTATCCCGGACACGATTAGAAGCATCATGTTTTGCTTTTCCTCCCAAGAATGTCAGCTACCAGCACTTATTCCTCTATCGCACACTTCCCCTCTCTTCCCCTTGTAGATCTAAAGCTTGATGCTTTCCAGACTCGCTGAATCGTCACATTCTTGCATGAAAAGCACACGTATACTGAGAACTACCTGACTGACCGCTTTGCAGGGCGTCGCTCCCAGAACATGCAATATTTGAGCGTGGGGCTTCGCAGCCATCTAATTTATAATGCGCGTATAACACCACACCTCCCTCTTCCAACAAGATGGACACGAAGCCTTGCAGCCACATCTACCCCAAGTCAAAACCCCACCGCAATGCATGCAAGCATTTTCCACTGTCCAGCCCTCCTGCAGTTGATTTCTTCCTGATGCTAACCTTGAAATCCTACGCTCAAACCTCGCGCGATGCCATCTGCACACTCGGTTCTCGGCCTCAACTCTTCCATCAACTGTCACATGCCCTTGACCACTCATATCACCCTCATTTCCACGATGGTCACCTTGTCTCGTACCTTGATCCGGTACCCAAGAAAACAAAGCAATTGGATACCAGCTCCTGCAGATCACACAACACTTGCGGGTAGCATGCTCCTCTCTTTCCTCCACCGCTGTCAACACTGCTTTTCTCTCACACTCACTCAGCTTCTTCGATCCCTGCCTCTTGGCCGCCGGGATCGCAGTGTATAGATTCCGGTTGCTGAGTCGGAGAGAAACGAGCGAGTCGTATGGGAGATGAAGAGGTAGATGTATGGCCAGGATGTCCATCGGCAGTTGCAAGATTGGGAATGTAGTATGCTGCGCTGACTGGTTGCGAGACTCTTCTCGAGGTTTCTGTGGAGGCATTGTATGCTGGTGGGCATCGCGGTTGCTTTGCTGAGTTCTGACTGATGGAGCGTCTCGATCTGAATTGGTGATAGAGTGACAAAGCTCGACGAGGTCTGGAGGGAGCCACATGGTCGCGATCGTTTCTTCCTTGCAAGGGTCGTATCTCTGAAGTAATATTCGTATGCCCGCCCTGTTCGTGTTCTTGTCTTCTTCTTAAAAATCTAGTTCACAGACTTGTCGCGGTGGTTCTCAGACAAAATCTTTCGTCTCGAATATCGACGGCTGGGCGATTCTTCTGCGTCGCTATCGTTACAGATCCAAACACTAGCTGCGGCGAGAGCAGTAGCTATGGCCAATACAGAGAACAGGGTGAACATATTGCCCCTCAAGAAGTCGATGGTTATATGTATAAATCGACCAACCCGTTTTTCGTGGCTTTGTGCTATGACGAATGCTTGCTCGTGGTCGTTTGCTGATGAAACAAGGTTGAAGCCAATGATCTACTTTCGTGAAACCTGACTTCAGGTTCTCCCTTTTTGCGACTTGAGCTCGTGAGTGTTTGGATTTTGTAAGATGAAGACTTTAGGTACGGAGGTACAAGGACGTTTCGTGGGGGACCGATGGCAGCAAGTAAACAGACAAGCGCTTCAAGCAACCACAAATCACAACTTCTCCTTTCCAAGATCGAAAAAACATATGGACACCATTCTTATATCACTGTTATCATCGCCTCCAGAGGCTTGATGTGTTCAGCTGCGCTGTTGCACCTGTGGATCAAAGCCACGCTCACCTTTTGCGCGTGACCCATAAGTTAACGCCCGTCATCCTGCCAATTTCATTTTTGGTACGCATTATTCTGGAAGATGTAATATGATGACCAAGGTCATTAGCTCAGTTTACATGAAGCGTTTTGAGGTAATCTACCGGCCATGTCGTACGGCCGCAATATGATGCACCCCGTGTTTTGGATTCATGCAGGAGATGTGTAGGTTTGCTTGCAACTCTCGAGACTTGAAATTATTCAACAAACACGACAACTGACTCGAGTATCCTATACATTATGATATCGTGCTCTTTTCAAGGATTATGTGTCAAACTGTGCCTAGAGCATGCAGCTGGGCTTTTTGGCTGACCCAATCACGGGGTATAGAAAAGGCTGTGATACAAATGTCGCGTGACAAGGTCTGGAGCCATCTGCGTTGATGGATCAACTCGTGATTTGAAAATGTGCCTACACTTCTCATGCTCACAGGTTGAATGACCTGCATTGTAGAAGGTAATCAGCGGGGCTGGGTTTGCTTGAAACAAACATGTCATCCATCAAGTCATCTGTTAGTCAGGCCTAAAATCATGGTCTGGTTCAACTTGGTTCATTTATTATTTTGATATGGATGAGCTGGGTAGGTGATTCATCCATCGTGTCCTACGGGTCTTTGGTGGCAGTGACAGATCAACTGACCGAGAACGGATGTGTATCGCACGAGTGTCTGCGTGTGCGGAGGAGGGTGAGAGATAGCTCTGCTTCGATGGTCCGGCTTACTTTATCACAAGTTGCCAACGATAGTTGCTTCGAGAAGCAGACAGCACTGATGTACGGATTTATGCCTGGGGGTTTATCACCAGCGGAACCCGAATGTGTCGCGGAACTGGTTAGCTGCCTGTGTCAATACATCTCCATCAAACTTGTTTGGCACCAGAAAGACGACATACCATGATCTGCGATTTGACCACAGCCGCTTTGCTCCCGCTTCATCTCAGCGTCGCCCAACCACGACTGAATTTTCTCCATACGGTTGTGACTTGAGGGATGGGTCGAGAGGAACTGCGGGGGCGCTCCTTCCTCTGCATCGTGCATACGAGACCAAAGTCCCACTGCCGCTGATGGATCGTAACAAGCTTGTGACATCATCATCAACCCGATATAATCTGCTTCGGACTGTGGTTTCGTATTAGCTTCAAGTTCTTGGATGAAGGTTCAAGAAACGCGACACTCACCTCCTGCTTCCTGGACCCGGGCCGGAGGAAGACCAAGTCCACGACCATTCTAGTGAAAACATTCCCAACGTCGCCCAGGCCCAGCCACAGAGATGCGACAATCGCGACAGGTAGGAATATGAAGTAAGAGCTCATGCGCTCGGCGGAATGATGAGCCACATTGTGTGCAATCTCATGCCCCAACACTGCTGCCAGTCCCTGCTCGCCTTGGCACACATCAAGTATGCCCGAGAAGACGAATACCTTGCCGCCTGGAATGACGAAGGCGTTCTTTTGCTCGTCCTTGATGACATGGACTTCCCAATTGTTGGTTTCTGTAGGGAGCCCAGAGTGAGGAATCAGACGATTCAAAACGCGCTGTACGAGTTTGTGTTGAGGATGTGACGGAGGTAGGATTCGATCTTGATATTCAGACATGACCTGCTGGTACAATTCTTCTCCAGATTGTTGCTCAGAAGCCGCAGAGATGATGTTGAAGCGTCTGCGGCCAGAAACCTGTCACAAAATCAGTCACTTGTTTCCCCTCCATGCCTTCAATCCTCATCACGACATTGGTCGGAACTCACGGGTACAACTTCCAAGTTGTAGATGTAAAAGGCACCACATAGGCCAGACAAACCACCGACTTCGTAGTAGAATGTGCGTCTGTCTGTCCATCGCTTCATCAGTCCACCCACTTGCTGGAATCGATTATACTGGTAGCCGCCTCCTCTACGGAAGCCGTTGGCATACGTCCTTGACTGTTGCCGCTGCCATTGCCATGATTTGCTAGCCCCTCCATTTCTTAGCTGACTGAATATTGTTTGTCGCGGTGGTGCACGCAGAATAGGATTCGTGCTGAAGAAAGCGCGGGTGGTGTGGATGGTCCGCGCTGTTGCCATGGTTGTGTCGTTGCCTTGGGGTGATTTTATGTCAAAGTAGCGACGAGAAAACGCAGGTAAATAATCGCCTTGGGAGTGCGACGTGTATCTAGAGAGAACGTGTTTTGTCCTTATTGTAATGATACAAGTTCGAGTTGAGTTCAGGAATTACGCGGTATGAAAATGCGATGACGAAGGCAGCAAACGTGAAGCTTCATGCTTGCTTCTCCCGGTTTCCAGAAGCCAAGACTCGACTCAAAACTTGGTGTGGACCACCAACGTAGACTCGAGAAATTGAGAAAGGAGATCACAAACAACACGACTGACATTTGACATTCTTGAGCGTCAGTGTCTTGTGAAGAAGTCTTTTGCGGTGACAATAATAACTTGTAATCGTGTCTCGTAGTAGGTCGTTCAGACAATTCAGAAGATCTGATCTACTCTCCAAGTAGTACCTGCCTCTATCTCTCCACAGTGGGTGTCTCTATAACTTCATTGTACCATTTCCTCATCTCAGGTCCTTCACCAAGTACAGATAGTTTACGGCTTCCACAAAAGCCTCCTGGCAATGCCACCCTTGTCTTGTTCTTGTATCCGGCAGACACATCACCTGCGTGCATCGACTCGGGGTCGTTGCTCTCCCAAACCATATCTTCATATGATTTGCCCGCCTCCTGCATCCTTCTAGGATTTCTGGTCGGCAGATTAAGGGACCATCCGATCAGTTTGTGAAACGGGGTGTATACACGTTCGAATCGACGAGTGATGTGAAGAAAGGCAAGCGTTCTGCTGCTGTACGCGACTCTGATGTAGGGATTCAGGTAGATGCCGGTCGCTGTCAAGCCAGTATGATTGCTCGCTGCTCCAATATCAGCGTGTATCAGACAGCATTCTGATGCATCCCAGAAGGTGTCCGTCGAAGCTCGGAATCGAATTGGAAGTGTCACATTGCTTGCAAGATGTCGATTCAATGAGATGTCTCGCTCGGGTAGGGAAGTCGCTGGTGGCGTGAGACCCAAGGAGCCGGCACCAATGGGGATCAACACGGCTGAGCTCGGAGTCGTGGCATTGTGGTCCACCACCAAGTCAGCAACGCCTAGGTCCACATGCAAGCCATCTGGTTGGAACCATCTCGCATTGAAGGCTACCATACCACCCCAGCAACTTCTGACTCTTACGGCATCTTTCTGATCAAACACATCTTTTCGGCTCTCTGCTCTGCCCCTACTGCTGAACCATGGATATACAGGCACACCAATGCGGTTGCCCTCATGATCTCTTGTCGCAAACGTGTCGTAGTACTTGAAAGGATTGATGAAGTCGGCAGCGCACGCAGCATGGTATTGTGTTTTGCCGCTTTTGTCAACGTTGGTCGAAAACAAGAGGTTTGCAGCATCGATGGGATCGAAGACAACATCGTTGATGTAAAGCAGCTTGTCGAAGTGCGTCGAGTACGCAGAAGAGGTGGGGTCATCCAAGGGTGCTAAGGCGCGGTTGCGAACATGAGCGAGAAATTCGATGCGTTTCAACCTGTTCTCGCCGTTCGGAAGTTTGACATGGGGCAAAATCCCGCGATCGATATGTTCTGCAAGAACCGAGGAGTTACCTGTAGACTGGTCAACAGTAACCCATGTGAACACCAGGGATTTCCATACACTTGATCTGTTTCGTAAAATGCTGTAGAGCTGCTGTCGCCAAGGTATCCGGGTCATCTTCAAAGACACTGAGGAACACGTTGTCGGGGCCCAGCAAGTCCACCAAGGCGAGGACTCCTTTGCCCCATGCTCCAGCGGCTAGCCGGCCCTGCTTATCGTAGATACTGCTTGCGATAAAGATCTTCTCGTGTCTCGGGTTGGCGCGGCCTGGTTGTGTTGAGCCCAAGGCCCGTCCACGTAGGACATGGTAGTGATGCGGAGGATGGGAGTAGGACGGGTGAAGAGTCGCTATAAGGATTATGACGAGTATGACCAGAGTAGGAAGAGCAACAATAGTCATCCAGACGCATCGCCTGAATCGTACACGTCTTCGAATACGGAATGCTGGCTTCGACCAACCATGTGCTGGCTCTTGATTGTGCGTATCCATATCATCGACGTCGCTCAATAAGTTGTATGGTGTAGCTCCAGCGCGAGACCAGGCTGTGAGCCATCTCGACGCATTTGACGACAGGCGTCCGGGCCATGCCTGGGTAGGGGGGAAAGAGCGACCACAATGATCTTCTGTAAATAATTGTGGTTGTGAAGAGGCCAACTTGTATTCTACTTTGGGGCTATCCCAAGGCATTGCGACCGAGGATTCGGTCTGTGAGCATTCACCTCATCTTGGGCGCGCTTCCACTCGTTTTAAAGCAAGGCATCTTGTGTTAGCATTCCGCGCATCCGGTGAACAGAGTAATGCAAAATGGTCCGTTTGCGTGACGGTGACGCATGGACATTGCCCCGGATCGACAGCGCCGATCTCCGGGGTCCACTCATCGCATCGCATCCACGTGCGACTAATTAATCAAATCAGGAATGTTCGTGTAAGAGTCTGAGTCGGACAGGCCTGCGACTTTGTTGCGAACTGACCAATAGGCCAACTTCATGACGCCGGTTGTCTGACCGACCTCAAAAGAAGCCATAGCCCATAAGTTCAGCTTACGAGTAATCGTGCTGAGACCACTGAGCTGTATCTATGTGTCTTGTCCAGGAGTTGTGCCGATATGAGGCTCATTCTCATGATTTGTACCAGGCTTGAGCGTGACAGCGTTGATCGGCTAAAGTGCTGCCTACATGGACTGGATTTATGTGACTGCCAAGACATTTATTTGACGTCGTAGCATTCAATAACCTGTGAGAGGACTGGCAGATATTCGAACGCATGCGAAATCTGGCAGGCAAGACGCATAGACATTGCTCAATCATGTACCAGTTCTTCCAGAAAATTATGCACCCGATGTTTGAAGCCTACCGCCGACGCGTGCCAGTCCAGACCTTGGTACCTGTGTTCGTCAACCGAGTGTGAATGTCGAAGCCAGTGTCTATCACATCCACCAAATAGAGGCTACCGATTTGGGTCACAAGAAGAGTTGGATCTCTTGACCTTTGGTGGTATGGTCATGATAACACGAAGCCAGCTAGTTGTTAGACGAGGAAAAATGAATGAACCATGGAAGATTGCGGTAGCCAGTTCTTGAGTCCCTCAGACACTGAATCTCTTGAGTCCAGCGATCTGCGGAAATCTGCTGGTCAACTGGCAAGTGCTTCCAACACGGTTGATAGAATAGAGTCATAGGATGCGCGCAATAGTCATAGATCGCGCCAAGTGCTGCAGTTGGTGGAAAACCAGACTTCGCAAAGCACGTGTCCCTATGCCAGCCATGGTTAGGCCCACCACAACATAGGGTGATCGTGATGCCGTCTACACCATAAGAGAGCGTTATTCGACTTGCCCAAAGATTCCAAGTATTGTGATGTTGCTGGGATATTTGACCATCTTAGGAGGTGGTGTAGATGAATCCAAGGAACGAAGTCCCCACTATGTGTCAAATCTGACCGGCGGCGTGGATTGAGGTAGATTCCACAAGATCACAGCTACGCGGATATGAGTAGATAAAGCCATTCTTGTCTTGATCTATCCATCTCCATTAGCATTCGCCGCTTAGCAAGAATTCCTCTGCGTTAATACAGACAACTGCTCTAACAACAGCCTTTCGAGAGCGCCTTGATCCTATCGAGCATCGAGCAGCACGTAGAATCGACAAGACTCACCATCCATCACCACCGCTAGCCTGTCTTTTCCTCTTGATCTCATCGACCCTCTGTCCTATTGCTTCTTACCTACACATCCAACACAATGAGTGATCTCAACCCCATCAAGCGCATCACGGCCTCGGCGAAGGAAGACATTATCATCGACCTTAGCGAAAGTGTTGAGCCTGAATCCATGGAGCTTTACGATGATAATCCGATCATCTCAGACCACCGAGAGAAGAGGTCTCTTCCAGAAGGATTCCGCTTCAGCCTTCAACCCGGTGGCGACATCACCGACCTCTTGGCCATGGAAAACGACCAGTTCGCGAAAACTCGTACTGTCCAGCAAATGGACACACCATCCGCAGTAGAGCAGATCAACAATCAAGCCACCTTCATCGCCCCTACAATGCACGAGATGGCGCTGTATGACGATCCCACGTCAGAAATATACCGCCGTATGTTAGAAATTGGCGAAAGTGATGCAATCAGATCAGCCTCCAACGAATATCCAGGATACATACCAGCTGTTGCATCTACACCTTCTCAACAACAGCGGCAACCACAACACGTGCCAGACTGGGTCAGTCCTACAGAGAAGATGTTGTGGACCGCCCTCGCAGGCAACAGTCAGCAAGCAAGAGTCGAAGCTGACGACATATACGGCAATGGGACCGAGAGCCTTGCTAGCCAGTCTCTGAATGCCGACTGGTCAGGCGCCCGCCAGTCGTATATGCAGAACCTGCCCCATCGACCAGCACTGGTCCATCAGCATCAAGCTTTTCAGCAACTATTACAGCAACCAGTACTGCAGCAGCAGAGCTCCTCAATCCGACAAAACAATAAACGCAAGCGCAAGGTTGATAGATCCGCCAGCTTTACTCGCGCTCCCAAGAGGGGCAAAATCGTTATCGAGAGGGCCGTAACGGAGAATGGCGACCGCAGAGTCATCACAAGCGTCGTCACGCCAGCATATGCGGCTGCAGTGGAGAAGAACGAAAAAGACCTCTGCAAAAAGGTCAAGAACTCTAAGAGGCAAGGCTTGGCGAAGGGTCTCAAAGCAGCAAGATACCAGAAGCGCTGCCATGGCGACAGTTGTAATGAGTTTGAAACGGAATGCCGCTGTCCAGGAGGGTTTGTAAACTAAGATAGGCCGGCGTTTGGAGTACGGAGTCATAGACATCAGGACATTGTCAAGCACAGTGTATATGGCGTCGTCAGAAGAAAGAATGGAATCTTACAGTGATGTCTTTCATGCCTCACATGCCACCTTGTATGGCAAAGGACGACAAGATCAGAACCAGGGAATTGATGATGCCCCAGGAGAATGGGATCCAGGTGGACATGCGAAAGTAGCCAGCAGTATAGACACCGCTCAAGAGGCCACCGACGACGTTGCCGGCAATCAGGGCTTCAACGGCACCGATCAGGGCGAAGACGATGGGAGTGATCCAGATGAGCTTCCAGTTGCGCCATTGTATGGCCATGGCAAAAGCAGCAGCAATCAGGTGGATGCCAACGACATCAATGATGGTCCAGAGCAGGGTGAAGCGCCATATGTCATGCGAGTGGTAGAGGTATAGAGTCTGAGTGCCGCCGACGGGAAAGGGCCAGTACAAGGAGGGAAAGGGAGGAGTCGAGTATGAGAGCGGAGGAGTGTCGACGATGGTACGTAGGAAGGAATCTCTACAGTGGGACGTCAGAGAGGATACGCGAAAGCGTAGAGCCAAGGACGAAGAGCTACCTGATACTGCGAAATGGTCAGAGACTTTGCGAGAGTGAAGAGGGGACGAATTGCCATGTACCCCATGACTGCGCGTCTTGGTTTGCGACCAGTGCCGGTACGAGACGTCGGCGCTTGAACAGCTGGACTTGTTTTGCGAGCAGATGGAGTCAAAGTCGCGCTGTCAGCTTCAGCTTCTGCTCCTGCTTCAGAAAGTGAGATGGTCCGAGTCTGCTGTCGCTCTTGACGGTCGCGGGTGGACGCCTTGACCGACCTTCCACGTGCCTCGGCTTGTTTTCATCGGCGTACTCGTACTGACTACCGAGACTCCATCTTTACACACTCACATCCACCCTTGTTCTACTCGTACATGCCATAACTATATACAATCCGAATCATGTCGGCAGATAGATTACTAGCCACTTTGCTCAGATATCTGCAGTCTACTTCCGACCAACAAGACACTCCACGGTATGACCATCTGATTGCTCATCCATCATCGACTAATTACATCAAGACTGCTCGGCACTGCTCTATCACTGTTGACTTCGTTGAATAATCCCCTGAATATCACTCTACTTACCAGTCAACTACTATCCGCGCCAGCCTTGTGGGCTCGTCCAAATGCCTTGTCATCTTCGTTAACCTTCATGAGCCTGTTCCACTCGGCCGCCATTAAATGCCATGAACGCGAAGTCGCCGACCGACATGACCATCCACTTCCTCTAGCAGCCCGTCCACATCTCGAGTCCCATCTTCCTTTGGACCAATGGATCACAGCTGTCATCAAGGGTGCTGATGAGCATTCCTCTCCGGCCAACCACGCCCTCACCATAGGAGGCTTGATGGTCGGCCTGGCCAGTCGCCATCATGACTTCATGACCACCAACCTCGGCTTGATACTACGGACCGCCTTTGTTAAAGCCGTCAATCTGGCGCTGCTAGAAACCCAGCCCGAGGACGACTTGGCTCATGGCTCCATTGTTCTGCCTCTCAACCACGCTTTCACTCACCTGTCTGACTTGGACCGAGCAGCTCTTGATTACGATCGTCTTCTTCCCGTGCTCATGAGTACCACATTGCACTCGTCAAATGGCCTGAGGTCCGCCTACTTCTTGGGTGCAGCAGATGCTGAGCTCCAGCAGGTCTCGAGTCAACAGTTCAATTGGCCTTCAGACTCGCCGTCATACCAACAGGTCGACTCTATCCTTAAAAGTCCACTGATATCGTCTCTCGGTCCCTTGTCGAGACTGATAGCGCATACAATAGACCATGTACAAGACACGTGGCTGGTACTGTCTGCTGTTGAAGACATAGCAGACTTTTCGAAACGTCTCGGAATTCAATGGAGACAAAACAAGCTGTCAGAGATCGATGCTTCGGAAGAAGCCATCTTCCTTCATGAAGAAGCCCGTACGACGACCCTTCCTACCCTGTGGAGGCTGCTTCGATCCATCCTGTTTGCGATCGTCATCATGCTCCGTAGCGCTGTTGCTCGTGTAGTCGGGGATGTGTCTTTGGCAGCCCACAAGAGTAAGATGAACCCTTCAAGGCTGGATGATCCTATGCTGATTTCTCAGATGCACCTCATATTGCTCAAGCGACCTTGCACTCCCTCCGCAATCTTTCTTTCATCTTCACCCGTCTAGGCAACGTCTCGTTCTCGCAATATACCTTTACCTATCTCACCTCGATCGACATACTCGCCAATTACCCAACTCAGTCGTCTACTTTCCTAGATTCTATAGCACCTTCTGAGCCTGGTCAAATCCCCTCCCATCCCCTCGAGCGTAACTTTGACTTCTTTTTCCTCAACACAGCCGAACACTTCGCTCTCATCCTCTCACCACGTCAGAACGAAGACCTTCTACTCGCCGCGTCATCCCCCTACCTCATCACAGCCGGCAACCCCAACCTTCTCCCCATCTTCGAAGCCGCTCACAGCGTCACCCTATCAGTCTTCTCCGCGCCCCAAAACGTCGACCTCACAGCAAAACACCTCCCCTTCTACGTTGACGCCTTATTCCGTGTATTCCCACACAATTTGTCTTCCCGCCAATTCAGACTCGCTTTCAAAAATCTCATCAAGGTCGTTTCACCACCTAGTCGTACAGCTGTAGCACAACCAATGCTCGCCGCTACCCTCCTCGACCTTGTGCATGAACGTGCCATCCACGCCCCGACCGCTCCCTTACCACCAAGCTATGTGCCTGCTCAACAAACCGCACCAGAACTCGAGAGCGCCCCTAAATCTAGCATACCCGATCTGTCTGAACAAGCAGTACTGGTGCTCACTCTGATCGACGCTTTCCCATGCCTCTCTCTGGCTCTGTTGGAAGAATGGCTCCCCTTGACTGCCGCAGCAGCACAGACGATTTCAGACACAGATATGCGTGAATACTGCAAAAAGCATTTCTGGGAGGTCTTGGTCGGTGGCGAGATGGATCCGGAGCGTAGTCAGATCTGTGTGCGCTGGTGGACTTCAAGAGGAGGACAGGAGGCATTGCTCACGGCTGACAACCCGGCAGAAGATCAATTTGTCATGAGTGGTGGTTTGGGTGAGCAAGATAAAATCATGGCCAAGTTATGATGGTTCTGGTAATGCTACGATATTATGTTTGAAAGCAGTGGGTTCCTTTGAATGTTTACACTACGGCTCAAAGACTCGAAGCCTCCTAGGATGCGAAACAATTTGCAATTGACGACAAAAAGGCATTGCCGAGAATTACTTGGAAAAAGCTGTATTCTGATCATTCCGCTACAAGTTGAATCGCTGTATAACTTCTTGCTCGAAAGAAAAGACTCATTAATCATGATGTCGTGAAGCTCATGCGTATTTACCCTTCAGGTCGCGTTGCGATGCAGGTTGACCAGCGATGGACTCGCCGACTCCGCTCTCATAAGCTGGTGGTCCGCTGTGCATGCCATATCCTTCGACGCTACCGACATTTCCATAGCCTGGCCCTTGAGCAGGCTGTCCATCGTTTTTGAGGCCTGCTTTTCTCATGTCCTCGTCTTCGACCACGCCACCGTCTCCACCGCCAACAATGACTTGGCCGCCATTGCGTACTTTGCCTACAACCATGCCTTTGGCGACCGACTTCAACACGGCGCGACGAGAGACGCCAGTTACATCAATGTAGACGAGACCGACATTCTTGACACCGCCAGCCAAGCTGGAAGTGATAGATCCGGCTTCGGCACCATAGCGATGGCCAACGACAGTCGTTGCAGCAGTACCACTCTGCTCGAGCAGATGTTTACCACTGGTGGCTATACCATCAGCGATGGTAGAAAAGGCAATCATACTCCTGTTCAGAAGACCAGGCTTGTACTCTTCCTGCGCAAGAGGCCTGCCATTGACATCAAAGCCCTTCTTGGCACGATCTTGGTTCTTTCCGCCGAACCTGGCACCGATGTTCTGAGCGTACTTGGAGGCTTGGCCAACAGTTTTTGCAGACATACCGGCGGCACTGTTGGTGAAGGCGTTGATCTTGCGGACGCGTTCGTGGGCAGCAGGACTGAACTCCATGGGCTTGGCTGCGGGCTTGACCTTCTGTGTAAAGTTCTCAGCGCCAGCAGTCAGAATGTTACCGAGACGGCTGCTTGAGGTGACGATAAAGCGAGAGGCGGTTGCGGCGTTCTGTACCATGCCGCTGTCCTTGTAGGCGGGGTGACGGGCCATCTGCAGGTACTCCTCGCTGATGGGCATGACGCTGATGCGCTTACCGTCGGCCGAGATTTCAAGCTCGACCGGGTCTGTAAAGAAGGTCAGTCGGGCAAAGACGTCGGTATGGGAGGATGGGACATACTCTTGGTTCCCTGGTTAAGGGACGAGTCCTCGACAATGTGAGCGTCACCAGCCAGCTCGCCAATGACACTACCGTTGTCTTCGTCAATGAGGACGACTTGGCCGTGTCCAGCACCCTTGGCGTCGTGGTGCTTACCGCCGGGGGCGTAGTCCCTAGGGTCGTATTGTTCCAGAGGGCGAGATGGCTTGGGTGGGGCAGCGCGTTCGAGGAAAGCGGTGCATTGGGCCAGGATGGTTTCGAAGGTATCGTGGTCTTCGGACGAGATGTTCTTGTCAAAGGTGATTCTCGTGAAGATGCCGCTGTCGGCACCCAGGTCCCAGCGAGGGATCAGGTATGAGTGGGGAGGCTGGTGGTAGACCTGGGTGGTGGCTGGCATGGGAAGATCCAGCTCCGGGGGCAGGTTGAGGTGCAGGTAGAAGTCATTCTCGGGGATTTCGTTCTGGGGGATGGTCGAGGACAGGTCTGAGAAGGGCGACGAGGTGGGCACCATGAGCAGAGACAGGGTTTGCGGGCCAGAAGGAGTCAAGTCCTGCTCTTCTCCACCTTGAATGTGGTATGCCTTGACATTGGCGATTGTGTACAGAAGCTTCGGGTCGTGGTGGCCTGCCATGATTGCTGTTCGTTTCGCTGTGCGATCTGGGAGAGCTAGAGGTCAGATGCTTGGTGCTTGAGGCAGGTCGCGATGATTTAAAGTCATGCTGCTTCCCTGTTGTCCTGCATCTCGTCATTGGGGGCTGTGCTGCTGCACCCTTGTGGCTTATACTCGCCGAGACGTCCAGACACCGCAGATCTGCCAAGCCAGAGCTCTCTTCGACAGTTGTGGTTCGACTTGCAAGTCGCAGCGGAGCATGCGCCACACTGTGGCTGCGACATGTACAATTTCGCCCAACTCCAGTTGCCTGAACAAAAGTCCTCTTCTCACGGTCCATTCCTCCCGACTGTCCCGTAATCATTTCACCACCCACTTGACCTGCTAAACGTTTAGGCTCTCATCCTCGAGTGCCGTACCGTCCGCCCACTGTGCATCTGTTTGCACTTCCCCGTTTCCGCACTTGCATGAATAGGGAGCATCTCCATGGCCTACGACAACCAGCCCGTAAGCGGAACCGAAGGTGCAAACACCATGACCTATTCGCTAATCGTACCTTCGTTTTAGGATCCCCCCCAAAGCTACTAAGGCGTCGCCCAGAAAAGTAGATATCCGCTATCATTAACTTGTTTAAATCAAATCCTCTCTTCGATTCGCAATGCTGGGTCGACGCCTCAAGCTGCGCTTTGCTCGCCCCTTGCGAGCTATCCGTCGCGCCCTGCCTCCGGTCAATTTCATCACTCTGCATTATGCCTACTTCATATTCACCTGTCTTTTGGCCGCCGTCATCTTCTGGGCTTCCTCTACTGATACCCATGTTGAATTCACTGATGCCTTGTTTCTTTGTGTCAGTGCCATGACTGAGGCGTGAGTTGTCATCCCTGCACCCGAGGCTTCATGCTTGACATGACCGCTGGCCTTGCTAACCCTTCTCACAGAGGCTTGAACACCGTCAATCTCAGTGAACTTAACACATGGCAACAGATCATGCTCTTCGCACTCATCTTCGTTGGGTCTGCAATCTTTGTGTCCAATTTCGTTCTTCAGGTCAGAAGAAGAGCATTTGAACGAAAGTTCATAAGCATCATCGAAAGCAGGAAGCGGAAGCAACGGCGAAACTCTTCACGCGGATCTGCTTTCTCTATGTCCAGACTCTCGATAAGCAGATCTCGGGAGAACCAAAATCCGAATCTGGGACTGAATAAGTCTAACTCGACTGATGTGAACGAGGCACAGAGTCCCGTTAGAAGAGGCCGCGCTTCCATTAGCAAAATCTCCCTCCGTCTGAGCACGAGCAAAGACACGAACGGGGCCAGTGACCGCCCGAATGCTGCTGAGGATGAGCTGAACGATGCCACCTCTCCGGACCGTATCACTTTTAGCCCCGAAACCGTGTTCCGTTCCCAGAAACAACAAGACGACCAGATCTCGCCGACGAAGCCAAGACATCGTGTTTTCTCCGTCTCCGGTGTTGGTGCCAGATCTGAAGCGAGCCTCCACCGTGTCACGTCTGTGTCACGCACGTCTGTCGCTGAGGAGGGACCCGCTGCTGGTAATCAGTCTACTGCCGACTATTTTCCTTCTTCTGGCTACATTTCCCGCAACTCAACGTTCCACAACCTGACAGAGGCCGAACGTCAGAAGCTGGGTGGTGTGGAGTACAAAGCACTGTTGTGGCTATCCTGGATCGTTCCGTTGTATCTGATCCTCTGGCAACTGCTTGGAGCCTTAGGTTGTGCTGCCTGGGTCGCCTATAACCGCCCAGACACTGCTCGAGCTAATGGTCTAAATCCATGGTGGGTAGGTGCTTTCAACGCGATATCTGCCTTCAACAACTCTGGTATGAGTTTGCTCGACGCCAACATGGTCGCTTTCCAGACGTCGTACTACCTACTTCTTACCATGGGTGTCATGATTCTTGCCGGAAACACATGCTATCCAATCTTCCTGCGCTTGATCGTCTGGACAATTTACAAGCTTTTGCCCAAGACTGCCAGATATGACGACCATCGAAACACTCTGCGTTTCCTCCTCGACCATCCGCGTCGTTGTTACACCAATCTCTTCCCGTCAGAGCACACATGGTGGCTAGCCTTTGCCGTTTTCGTCCTCAATGGCGTTGATTGGGCTGCTTTCGAGATCCTCAACATTGGCAATCGCGTACTAAATGATACCATTCCTATCCACATCCGTGTTCTTGACGGTCTATTCCAAGCTTTCGCCGTTCGCTCCGGTGGCTTCTACGTGGTTTCCATTCCCACGGTGCGCATCTCACTCCAGGTCCTCTATGTTATCATGATGTACATTTCAGTTTATCCTGTTGTCATCACCATGAGAAACTCCAACGTCTACGAAGAGCGAAGTCTAGGCGTGTATGATGAAAACGACCCGGATGACTTGTCCGAAGCCTCGACAGACCCCAACAGCATCTACAGCAAATTTCGAGGTATCAAGAAACAATTTGCTACTGGATTCGGTGGATTAAGTGAGGGTAAGAGTTACTTTTTACAGCAACAGTTGAGGGCGCAGCTTGCGCATGATGCTTGGTGGATTGTGTTTGCGGTCTTCCTCATCATGATTATCGAGGGCGGTCAATTTGAGCGTGACCCGAAGACCTTTTCAGTTTTCAACGTCATCTTCGAAGTCGTTTCCGGCTATGGCACAGGTTCGTGATACCCTATTCCACTCTGCTTTGTTGTTTAACAAATGCTAATCAGAATGAAACAGTTGGTATAAGCGTGGGAGTCCCAGACAATGCATACTCTTTCGCTGGCTCCTGGCACAAATTGAGCAAGCTGATCCTCTGTGCTGTTATGTTGAGAGGAAGGCACAGAGGCTTGCCCATTGCTATTGATCGGGCTGTGTTGTTGCCAAACGAGAGACAAGACTTGGCCGAGGAGGAGGATGCAGCCATCAGAATGGAGAGGGCAGTGAGCAGACAAACTGTCAATGGTGAGGTCGTTTGAGATTTTCACCAAAAAGAGGCGATCCCCGAAGGAATGCGCGAGGGTTCGGGGTGTAGAAGAGGCTCAACGAGAGAGGGGCGAAGAGGAGTAAACGATATGAGCAAGGTGGAGGAGAGCGGTAGGGGATGTCTCGGGGTGGTGGGTGTGTGTCGAGATTGAGCATCAGAAGTCATCCTGTATAAGTATTATGCTGATAGTAATCATCTTCGGTGCCCTTGCAGCATCATTGAACGCTGGTTCAGACAAGGGGGGTTGTAGAAATGCTGCATCAAGCCAGGAGTCACCTCCCAAAAGTCTGGATTGAGGTCAATGTTTAGTGTGTCGTTGCCAACGCCAGCTTCCCCACAATCACGTTCGCCACGTCCGACGCTGTTCCCAACTTCTCGGCATCACCTGCCTGTTTTTAGCAAACACCCAGGCTAACTCGATTCAGCTAAAGCTCTTTGTTGAGCAGCTCTCGCAGAACTTTGCACTCGTCGTTAATGCTTCTCTTGGTGCTTGACAGGAAGTGAATTGTGGTCATGTAACACCTAAAATTCACGTGTAAGTTTCCAGAAATTGTCTTGATGAGCATATATGATACAGAGACTTTTTGTACAATTAGGACACACGGTGGGAATGGTCCACAATCTGCCCGTCGAACTCCTCCATGACGACAATTCGAAACATTCAGAGTCTGGACAAAATTACTGTCCATCACCACGAGCCTTCTGTGACTCCGGCTGCGGCTCCTCATCCGTCCAGATATACCTGTCCAAGGGCTGTTGGAATTTTGGCCAAAGGAACGTGCCCGACCTGCCACCGTGTTTGTACACTAGGTGTATTCCTCCAAGCTGTATCTTCTTGTCCACGGCTTTGCACATGTCGTATACGGTCATGCATGCGGCAGTGACTGCGGAGATTGCTTCCATCTCGACACCTGTCTTGCCATGTGTATGAACTCGTGCTTCGACAGACACCGATCCGTATCTGTTAGGAATTTTGAAGGCGGTGGGATCGCTAGGGGAATGCGTGCCGACGTTGACTGTGACTTTGGTGATCGGGATGGGGTGGCAGAGGGGGATGATATCAGAGCATCTTTTGGCTCCCATGATGCCTGCGATCCGTGCGATACCGAGAACATCGCCCTTTTTGTTGAGATTCTCGGTGATGAGTCTGTGGGGTTCTATATTGCTGAAGTGGACGAAGCCGACAGCCACGGCGACTCGATCTGTCGCTTCCTTCTGGCCGACATCAACCATATGGGCTTCGCCGGTAGAAGTGAGATGAGTCAAAGTGACCCCTGAGTTAGCAGGAGCGTCTTCTCTCGGTCCACTCGAAGGAGTTGAGGTGTCCTTTGATGCTTGCGCACCAGATTCTTGGGTCAATTCCGCTTCCAATGCGTTGTTTTGTTGTAGATCAGGCGAAGGCATCCCGTCCGAGAATGGGGACCATCTCTGCTCCGTCGCGACAGTCGACACTGCCTTGCGTAGATTGACTGATCTCGGCGAGGTGGAGTTTTCGGTATGTTGCCCATCTTGCCGAGATGGTGGTGATCCAGAAGCACTTGAATCGACCTTCCAAGTTGGTAGAGGCTTTGCTTGATTTGGAGCATGCCTGGTACGCCGCAGCTTTTGAAGCCGGGGTGAATTGTGTTGATTTTCCCATCCATCTTTGCTCGCCACTTTGTGATACCGCACTTGCAGTGGCGCAGATTTATGGGGTTGAGAGCGTGGTGGTGATGGGCCTGACGTCTCCAGTGTAGGTCCCAGTGAGACACCCGTATCGCTTCGTCCTTTGAAAGGCACGTTGACATGGGGCTGGTCGAATTTCTCACCCCCGGATGAAACATAATGTGCTTCTGATTTCTCTCTTTTCATTGGTAACAAGTCAGGGAGCTCGTCTTCGAACGGGTTGTTGTCAAAGTAGCTAACGACAGCCGCAGGCTGCTGCAGCGGGGCGTCTGAAACTGCATGGGCGTCCGCTGTCGTATCTGAAGGCTGAGACCAGGTCCTTTTCGGTGTTCCGAAGAGACCTCTGAGGCTTGCGAACTCTTGTTGCGGTTCGCTGTTTGCCGTCGATGGAGCGGGGACGGCATCAGAATGGTGTTCTTCGGATTCGGAGGTCTTATCATCCGCAGCTGAAGGTGGAGATGAAGACGATGAGGAAGAAGAGTACATGCGCACTCCACTAGAGTTGGAGATCCCTGGATGTAACAGGTGGAAGGGAATGGTACATCCTAATCGGCTAGAGTTTGTGGGACGAGCATTGAAGTTTCGGGGCGCAGGCCTCGTACGTTGGTCACCCTCAGCTACCACCAAATCAGTATCAGGTCCAGCATCGGCAAGGTCCATTTGATAATTCGGAAAGGCGGTCGCATGAAGACGATAACGCTACGAATGTCGGAAAGATCAAAAGGGGTTGTGGAACCTACCCACCAATAAGTATCATGGGCCGATTCTCCATGTTTTGTAGTTCCTCCATGCCAGCATGTTTTTCCTTCTTGCGTTTTACTGCCTCTCCGATGAGATTGAGTAGCTCCGTCTCTCGCTCAATCCAGCCTGGTCTTGAGTCTATTGTAGGCAGCCCTTGGCGTCTGTTCATCTCCATCTCCCTCACAGCCTCAAAGGCTTGCTCATCCATAGGGTCATTATTGTTGTTCTTTCGCATGAGGTCTCGTAGCGAAACCTCGGTATTACCATGAAGGCATACCTTTAGGTTACCATCGCCCGTGATGCGTAGGCGATTGCAGGTACCGCAGAAGTTATGCGTCATGCTGGTGATGAAACCAATCTTGCCGACAAAGCCTGGGATCTCGTATGTCTTACTTGTGTCGTTGAGATGGCCCTTCACGGAGCGAAGCGCAGGGTATTTCTCACGGATGATGTCCAGCATCTCCTGGTAGGTCAACATCTTGCGCTCACTCCATTTGTTGCCACCGAAAGGCATGTACTCGATGAAGCGGACTTCGACGTCTTTCTCCCGGCCCATCTCGACGAAGGGGACGAGCTCGCGTTCGTTGATGCCACGCATGACGACGCAATTGACCTTTAATTTGACGCCAGCACCCAGCTTGTTCACCTCCAATACACGATTTATGCTCTTCATGACGGCGTCGTAGCCTTTCCGTCTAGTCAGAATCTGGAATTGGAAGGGATCTAGAGTGTCGAGACTGATGTTGACGCCAGTCAGACCAGCTTCGATCATTTTGTCCAACTTCCGGTGTAATGAGATGGCGTTGGTGGTCAGGGCAAGTTCGCGCAGTCCCTTGGTCTTGAGATTTCCAATCTGTTGCATCAAGGGTAGTATGTCGGGCCGAACAGTTGGCTCGCCTCCGGTCAGACGAATCTTGGTGACGCCTTGGTTTACGAAGAGCTCGGAGAGGTAGACGATTTCAGGAGTGGTGAGAAGATGCTTCTGCGGCGAAAGCGGGACCCCCTCTAATCAGAAAGTCAGTCTTCTGGGACGGGTAGGCACAAGACATAAGATGCAGGCGGGTTACCTTCGGGCATGCAGTACAGACAACGCAAGTTGCAACGCTCCGTGACGCTGATGCGCAGGTAGTCATGCTGGCGGTTGTACTTGTCGGTCAGAAAGTCGGAAAAGGGTTTTGCTTGCTTGATAGCTTGTCGTCTGTCGTTGAGGCCGACATGGTGTGGCAGTTGATCGAGGCTGGCCGATGAGGGTGCTTGTGCCGTGGCCGTCGCGATGCTTCGCCTGGTCGGGCGGAGGCGCCTAGTCAAAGGCCCGAGGTTGCGACTTGAGCGGATCGCAGCTAGAGCCATGGTGTGTGAGAGGCTGTCATGTGCAGTGGCGCATCTTTTTATCTTTCTGACATGGCTGCTGTTGCTTGCAAATGGGTGCCAAAAGTTGCGGAGTTAAAAACGCCGCTCGCCGTACTGCCGTCTTCTCCGCCCCTCGTGGCCCTCCGCCTTATCTTTGACCCGCCAAACTCGTTTCTTCTTACGCGATATTGAGTCCTCCCTGTTACTATTCATTTCTCCTGTCATTATGAACCTTTTGTACTACTTTGTCTTCTGCTATCCTCACATTCCCAGCGCTTCCCTCTGAGCTTCAACAATCGCGAATATCTCCTTCCCATGCTCGCTATCGTAGAGTTCGTTGTCCGCCAGCTTCCCCACATAATACCAAAAGTCCTTCTGTCCCTTTTTGCCTCGTAGCCCGACGCTCAGGAGACCTTCCTGCTTGTGACAGTCGATGACTATTTGTGCTACTCTGTCCCACTCGTTGTTGCGTGCAAGACATTGTACCACGGCCATCATGGCTAGCCAACCTGGTCGCTTGCCCTCCTTGCTCATCCGATTCAAAAATGCCATCGTCCTGCCCACATCACCGTGTCTTGCAAATCCTTCGACCATTCGGTCGTAGAATATCACGTCCAGCGTGTGGCCCTTTGTCTTCTGGATATCATTCCACAACGCATCCGCCGCGAAGAGCGCAGGTGGATTGGCGTCGAAGTAATGCGTCATGAGGATGGTGTAAATGTGAGGTGTACATTGCACTCCGCGGGCCATCATGTGTCCCAGTACGCTTTGAGCAGCTGCCAAGTTCTCGTGCTCTTTGAGCATACGGTCGATGAGCAGTGCATATCCTTGAACATCGACCTTCAGACCGCATTCTTCGAACGAAGAGATGAGACCCATGATCTTGGCCTCTTGTTCCACCTTCGTCAAGTCGTTTAGCATCGTTGTCGACAGCATCGAATTGACGAGAATCGTAAAGGTAGACGAATTGGGCTCAATGTTGGAGGCTGCCATGCGCTTCAAGATGCTCGCCGCATCTGCTGCCTGCCCTCCGTTCAGAGCCACGGCAAGCAACATGTTGTACGTGTCTACGTCCGCCTCGATGTTAAAGGATCGGCTCCAAGCTAAAACATTGGGAATGTGATGTGCTCTGCTACCACGAAGTGCCGAGACGGCCGTGTTCAATATAGCGATGTTAGGAGCCGGTATCTCGGCCGTGATATTTGTGGCAGCCGACTTGGGGTTTCTTTTATTTTGAGATGCGAACCATTCTCTTCCCATTTCGTCCAGTGCAGACATGCCTTGTCGAATATCGCCAACACGAAGGTGGCCGTAAATCCTCGTACTCCAGGATACCACGTCAGGTTGAAGACCAGAGTTTCTCATTCGTTGCCACATGGACTCCATGATGTTAATGTCTCGTGAAATATGACAACTCTTCATCATGATGTTCCAGGTGCGAACAGTAGGTTCGAAGCCCGAGTTGAGCATACTGTTCCAGACTTGCAGTCCAGATTGAGGGCGTCGTAGCTGGAAGAATGCGCTCAAGAAAGCTTCGTACAAGCGAAGCGTGGAGGGTGCATTGTCAGTTATCCGCGATTCTTCGTCAGCGAAAAGATCTTGTGCTTCCGTCCAGAGTCGCTCTAGATTATCCAGGTTTTGCTTGTCGGCAGCATGCGAGACATAAGCAACTAGTCGCTTTGTTTTCTGTTCAACAGTCTCGGGAGCGACTGGACGATTTTGGTCCTTCAGCGTGGCATTGGCTGGCACATTGACTAGCACAGATGCTGAACGAAGGTTGCACAGTTTCGCGGTGAGTTGTGCTGATCCTAAAGCGTCATCCGGAGATTCTGACTTCAGTCGCATCTCAATGTGACGCACTGCGGCGCCAGAGAACTGCGCAAAGGGAGTGGTCCGGCTGAGGGCTCGGAGATGGAGTCGGTATTGCTCCAAGTCGGGTGGGAAAGACTTGGCACGACACAACAGATCCTGCACAAGCAACAAGGATATGACGAGACCTGAGGGCTTTTGAGTCGGCGCCCGGACGAGGGCGGCGCAACGACTCTGGAAAGCCTTGTGGTCCTTCGTCTCCCACCTTGGAAAGAAACAAAGGGGCCACAGTTCAATCAATTGGACAAGGACAGGCTTGGTTGTGGGGTCATGCAAGACATCGAGGCCTTTTGCAGCAGCAAGCTGAAGATGAATGGCCAAAGAGAATGCCAGGCTGGAAGTGATGGACGGAGAAGATATGGCGAGACGATCAAAGGCTTGGAGTACGTCACAAGGGGAGGGTGAGGCTATGTTTTCAGGAGATCCGAGAGATTCGAGTTGTTGAATCCAGTGACGAGTCATCAGGGATAGCAGCTCTGTATAAACGAGACGACTCTTATGTTTCGGGACGTCGATGAATGGGAGGCAGGCAGGATCCAAGGCTGAACAGTCGGGAGCGGTATAGTGGGCGCAAAAGTAGGACCACGCAGCATTCGCATCCTTTTTCGACACCAATTCCTGAAGGTTCGATGTGTATGAGACGAGGTGGGCGTCGGGTTTGCTGTTCGTGCGTGGTGACGAGTGTATACTGGAACTCGCATGCTGAGCGTCTGGTACGGTATTGCTTGGAGCAGGTGTGTTCCGGGGACGTCGAGCTGGCTGGGGGGTCGTCTTTGCGGCTACGTAGTCGTACAAGCTCTCGGGCCGGGTGGGAGTTGTAGTAGCAGGCTTTGGTCGAGGTCGTGAGTAGCGAGTACTGCGCGGCAGTTCCGAAACGAGATCATCAAGGTGGTAAGAAGAGGCCCGTCGCAGTTGCGGATGCGAAGAACATGGCTGCTGTCGAACAAGACGTACCGCTCTCCGCGCCGTAGTGCGACAACATTGAGAGCAGACGTAGGTGCTTGACATGTGGACCGTGAATGACTGCTGAGATGGCTTGTGACAAAATCATCTCCAAGTCGGACTTTGTCCGCGTTTCCAGCCCGCCAAGCCCCGACCATCTCTCGACCCCTCGGACGTCTTGATTCGCAACGAGACCCACCTCCTGTCATCACTCTTCATCCCTCGTATCTCTCCAATCCTTTGTCTCTTTCCACCTAAGTCCTACCTCTCTCGATCGCTCACCATGACGACCCTCGTACCTCGAGAGCCGTACACCGCCGACGAGCTCCACCGCTTGTACCCCAAGGAGCTCGCATTGCAGCAAGTCCAAGTCGTAAGTCGTTCAAGAGCCCAACTTCCCATTCGATTTGTATACTTACCTCGCACAGCTCCTCAGACATGGTTAGACTACTATCCCAATCCAAGATTCCCAATCATCTGACTGACATGGAAAGGCGAACGATCACCCGTCTCTGCCAGATTTAAGAATGTAGGTTCTACACAGAACTACATATATCAATCCTCAACTGCTGACATGTTCAAACCCAGGCTGGCCTCGTAGCTAGTATGTTGAACTCGAAAGCTTTGAAAAACGACCGACTGACTTGGATACCAAGATTGGCCATATTGCAATGCTGCACAGCATCTTCGTAGCGTAATCATGTCGGCGAATGATTCTTGGGACGAACTGGCTTACAGGCGGAGGCTCGAGACGTTCGATGAAAACGATGACAGCCCTGTGCTGTCTACTGGCCCAGGACGCGAGACTGATGGTATTTGTCTTCCTGGCGAACTTACCGATCAAGGTCGTGCTTCCACCCTTGCTCTAGGTCAACGCCTCCGGGGCTTGTATGTTGATCAGCTCGGTTTCATGCCGACTGTTCTGCAAGATGCAAACCACATGTACCTTCGGGCAACTCCTATTCCCAGAGCTCTAGAATCCGTACAGCAGACCTTTTACGGCCTATATCCCCCCTCATCAAGAGCCGCTGGCTTTGTCTCGCCGACAATCATCCAGCGCCAACCTAGTCATGAGACGCTGTTCCCTAACGAGGGCGCTTGTCGGCGGTTTGCTCAGCTCAGTCAGGCTTTTGCTCAGAGGACCGCAGATCGCTGGAATGATACTTCCGACATGGCACATCTTAACAAGATGTTCGGAAAATGGATGCCCGAGGATTCACCTACAGTCAAGGTTGACGGTCACCCAAGATTGAGTGGTATCATGGACACTGTCAACTCAACGTTAGCTCATCCTAACGAGACTCGCCTTCCAAAGGAATTCTATGACAAGAAGGGCAGAGAGATCATCGACAAGATCGGAGTCGAGGAGTGGTTTTCAGGATATATGGAGTCTAAAGAATATCGTCAACTCGGTAAGGGGCAAGTCTAAACGAGTCATGGTTGTCACTGACGATTGCTAGGTATTGGTGGACTCATGGGTGACGTTGTAAGCCGTATGATTGAAAAAACCAGAGCTCCGACCAGCAGCAACAGAAACATCCAGATGGCTCTTTCTGGCTGTCATGACACAACTCTGGCTGCTGTTCTCAGCAGTATGGGCGCCTTCCAGGGCGAACAGTGGCCCCCGTACACCAGCCACATCGCTATTGAATTGTTTAAAGATCGCACAATCTCCACAACTGCCCAACCTGCGATCACTACCGGCAGCTGGTGGAGCTCGTTCTTTCCTGCAAAGAGCATACTGACACCTAACGGCTCCCCTCGCACCCCGCTGTCAGATCTTTCCGAGTCTGATAAGCAGAAGCTGGACGGCTACTACGTACGACTGCGTTACAACGACCGCGCCATGAAGGTCCCCGGATGCAGACCAGCTGGAAAGCACTATGGCGATGATGAAAGCCTGTGTACCCTGGAAGCCTTCAAGGGCATCGTAGACAAGTTTACACCAAAGAACTGGAAACAGGCTTGTGGTGCTCGTCTGGGAGAGAACGCATTCCCTGAGAGCCTTGAACCTGCTGGTGTTTAAGGCAAAGCAGTGTTTATACATGTTATTGAGACCTGGGACATTAGATCTGGTCGTAAACAATTGCTAGACTAGAGTAGATAAGGCACAATCGAGTGGTTTGATTGGATCTTCACATTTCACGACTGTGGTTGTGTCGACTGTACGTTGCATGAGCAGGGTCTTATCGAGGTGCGGCAAAACGCCCACTTCGTCAGAGGCGGCCATGTTCTGTGTGAATACTTGGTGTCAATCTATATCACCATGATCCAGTCTTGTCCATCCAGCAGATCAAGCTGTTCGTCTGTTCGTCTGTTCCAGTTTGATGGAGATCTACGCGTATCGACGTGGAAATCAGGGTCCGTGTTGATGTTGACGTGGGCCAAGATGTGTTTCAGGGCTGAGAGGCGGCAATGTAATTGGTGGTTGGTGATTCCAGCCGTGGCAGGCGCGAGTTAAACCTTGATCTCGGTTGCGCTTGAGAGTTTGTGTTGGCGCCCAGGAGTCGGCAACATGTCCGTATGGCATACGGCGACTTTCTTGGAGACGAGTAATTACTGGATCTTTCCCACTCACTCCTTAGACCTGGACTTGATTGCCTTTGACACACCTACTCGGAACCCAACACGCCCCTCTACCGTTACAGTCGCTATCTAACGCGCCTTTTATCACGCCTGACTGACATGGGACGTTTCGTTCGGTCGTGAGCGTCTTTCTACAAGGAGCCTCCTTTTGCAGGAGACATAGTCTTTCGCCATGTCTGCAACGACCTCAGCGGCGTCATCTGCTACCACCAGTTGTGGCGGCGGTCTCTTTAACGCAGGTTGCGGTGCTGCACTCAGCGATGTTGGCCAAGATTGGGGCACCCTTCTCTCCTCTATTGTCGTTGCCCTGGTCTCTTTGGGCGCCCAACTTCTTGGTTTCGTCCTACTTCGCCTACGACTCAGCAGAATCTAGTAGGCCGCTTGACACGCATCCAACATGCCAACTCCTAGCTGACCAGAACTGCAGCCGTCCCAGATCCTATCTTGTCGCCGAACGCGAACGAGTTCCTGCCCCTCCCAAAGGTGTGTGGCAATGGACCATCCCTCTCTTCGTCACTCCGAACCAGACCTTTATCGAAAAATGTGGCCTTGACGCCTACTTCTTCCTGCGCTTCTTGCGCATGCTGTTGAAGATATTCGTGCCCCTTTCGGTCGTCATTCTTCCCATCCTTTTGCCCATCAACAAGCTCAGTTGCAGAGGTTGTACAACAGGTCCTGATCAGCTGGGTTGGAGAAACATTCAACTTTCTGACCACGCCCAGCGCACCTGGGCCCACCTGATTCTGGCAGTACTCACCATTCTTTGGGTACTTTATGTTATGTACACCGAACTACGTGGCTACATCCGTATCAGACAGGCATACCTGGCTTCTCCCGAGCACCGTATCCGCGCCTCAGCTACCACTGTGCTTGTCAGTGGTATACCCAGAAAGTGGTTGACCGTTGACGCTCTGAATGGCCTGTACGACGTCTTCCCTGGAGGTATTCGCAATATCTGGATCAACAGAAACTTCGATGATCTCGCCGATAAAGTGTCAGAACGCGACAACATCGCTCAGAACCTTGAAGAAGCGGAAACCAGCCTTATTCAGAAGTGTATCAAGAAGCACAAGAAGATCGAAGCGAAGAAGGCCAAGGAAGAAGGGCGCAGCAAGACGAAAGAAGAAAGACAACAAGACATGACCAGGGCGGACGAACAAGCCGAGCGCATTGCACAAGGAAACGGCGTTAGCTCTGGCGACCCTCACCAAGTCCCACACAACCTGCAGGAAGTGCTTGAGGAGATCGAGGAAGACGAGCACAAGCATGACAAGCAACGAGACTCGTCTGAAGGGCTACGGAACAAACTTGGTCAAGGGTTTGGTGCCGTCGGCCATGGTTTCGGGGCACTTGGAAATTTCGGTCGCAAGGTCGTGGGTGAGGTCGCTGACGACGTCAATCGCGTCATCCGCAACGTCAACGAGACCGTGGACCAGGCCAACAACATGACGGGCTTCTACGCAGACGTTGATGAGCTTAACAAGCCAGCGCCTGCCGAAAGGCTTGCTTTTGATTCGTCTGTACCTGCACCTGGACCCGCGCCTGCTCCTGCGCCTATGTCTGCACCTATACCCTCTTCTGCTCGTGTTCCCCCTAACCAAACTAATCAAACCAGTCGCGCCAGTTACCCCAGTGACCCTAGTAATCCTAGTTACTCAGAGATGGAAAATGATCAATTCGAACCAGAGCGTCCGACCGGGCTCAGGAAGCCTGACGATGTCGCAGTTTTGGATCGAGCCGACCCTTCAGAGACTAGGCGTTCGGATTGGAGCGAGCCTTCTTCTGCGAACACACAGACTCATAGCCAAGACAACTGGACGGATAGCCCGAAATCAGGCGTCAAAGGATCAACTACGCCGGACAAGGCCAATACATCGAAGCCGCGAGGCGCGCCTAGAAGAGCGTGGGATGCGATTCGGAAACAGGTGCAAGCCACTCCGATTCCTATCCCTAGCCCCCAGCCTCACGCTGTAGAAGAAGACGAGTACCCTCTCCGAACACTTGGGCAACCCAACAATCCTGATCCGAGCGAGAACCCTGATCAAGACATGTCTAAGAGCAAATGGGCCAACAAGTTTGGCTGGCTCAAGTTCTGGAAGAAAGGTGGACCAGAAGAGGAGAAACCGGTCTACCCAGAAGCTTTCGACCAGGAACTTGCTGATGCGGAGGAAAGTGAGCCCTTGTGGAAGCTGTACATTGATCCGAAAGACCGTGATACCCTTCGCGAGCCAATTTTCAAGTGGTCGTGGTGGCCTCGCTTGCCTCTGATGGGCAAGAAGATAGACAAAATCTACTACTTGCGCAAGGAGCTTGCTCGACTGAACGTTGAGATAGAGGAGGACCAACAGAATGTGGAGCGATACCCATTCATGAACTCGGCGTTCATCCAGTTCAATCACCAAGTGGCCGCACATATGGCTTGTCAGTCTGTCAGTCATCATATGCCACAGCACATGACACCTCGTCTGGTAGAGATCTCTCCCACCGACGTTCTATGGGACAACATGTCAATGAAGTGGTGGGAGCGCTATCTGCGTAGTGGCATCGTGTTCGCGGCTGTTGTCGGTATGTTGTTCCTCTGGGCGCCTGTGGTCACGATTTCTGGTTTCCTCTCGACTCTGAACACCTTGGAGACCATTTCATGGTTATCGTGGATCTCCAAATTACCACCCAAAGCTGTCGACCTGGTTCAGGGTATCCTTCCGCCAGTTTTCTTGAGTATCGTCCTCGCGCTAGTTCCCATCATTCTTCGACTCCTGGTTAAGCAATCAGGGGTCGCGACAGGGAATGGCAGAGAGATGGGAGTCCAGGTCTACTACTTCGCGTTCCTTTTTATCCAGGTCTTCCTCATCGTCACACTGTCATCTGGTCTGCCTGCTTTCTTCAAAGAAGTCGCGACCGAAACCACGAAGATTCCCGAGACTCTTGCCACGAACTTGCCGAGAGCGTCGAACTACTTCTTCTCTTACCTTACAGTCCAAGCTCTCAACAACAGTGCAGGTGCATTGTTGCAAGTCGCTGCTCTGTTGGAATGGTTCTTGTGGGCGCCCATAGTAGACACTACGGCACGCCAAAAGTGGGCTAGACAGACCAAGCTGAGAGTTGTGAAGTGGGGATCTTTTTTCCCTCCATTCACCAACTTCGCAGTTATCGGAATCATCTTCTCCATCATTGCACCTTTGGTCATGGTGTTTAACCTGATTGTGTTCTCGATCTATTGGATCACACAAAGGTATAACGCCTTGTATGTCTACCAGTTCCGACACGACACTGGTGGTCTGCTGTTCCCCAGAGCCATTAACCAACTATTTGTCGGACTATACATCATGGAGATTGCCATGATTGGTCTGTTCTTCGCTTTCCCGGGTGATGACAAATGTACAGCACAAGCAATTATCATGATTGTTATGCTTGTGGCGACAGCCATCTTCCAATGGCTCATCAACGATGCATTTGCACCTTTGTTCCGATACTTACCAATCACGCTCGAAGACGATGCTGTAATTCGCGATGAAGAATTCGCTCGCGCTCAGCGTGTCAAATGGGAGAGTATGGCGGAACAACAGGGCGAACTTGAAAGGCTACAAGCCGATCCTGAGATGACAATGGAAGAAAGAGAAAGAAAGGAAGCCGAAGAAGAGGAAAGGGCCCTTGCCGAGGAGCGTAGAGTGATCAGCGAGCATAGGCGCACCAGTACTCGCATGTCAAGCTACGGTTCCGGCGCACATTCAGATCATCCCCACCCCGCTATCATGGACACTAAGCCTGCCAACAACAACAGCGGCGATCGATGGAGAAAGGTCAAGCAGGTCAGCGAGCCCGTCCGCCATTTGCGCAAGATTGCCCGACCACACGCCCACGGCATGGACGGCCGCAAACCCACTGCCATCGACGTGGACCCTCAAGCCGTCCGCGTGGACATGGAGTCTCAAAAACAAGTCGGTGACGTGCTCTTCGGCGGTTTCAGCGATGAACTCGAAGACCTCACACCCGAGGAACGCGATACTCTCATCCGCTACTCCTTCCAACACTCCGCCCTCCGCGCCCGTAGACCGGTCGTGTGGATCCCACGAGACAATCTTGGAATCTCTGATGACGAAATTGAAAGGACCAAGCGCATGAGCACTGTGGAGGATATTGACCCGGAAACAGAGAAGAGGACGCCAAGGACGAATATCTGGATCAGTAACGAGGGTACTGCGTTGAATGCGAAGGGCAAGGTTGTGTTTAGAAGAAGCCCGCCCGACTTCGCCAACGTGGACTTGATTGCGCTGTAGTGGAGCAACAAGAATCGAAGGAAGAGAGGAAGGAGTTTATGGCATCAATTTCTTGATTTGCATAGCGTTGGGTTTGGGCAGGCATGGTCTTTTCTTGTTGTTGCATGTTCTATTTTTCTTTGAGCGCATCATATCGAGCAAGCATAACTTATCCGAACTAAGATTTATTCATTTTCCTAGGACAGCATCCTCACCTTGTGAATTACATTGCGAGGTACTGGCCCTCACTATCCAACCTTTGCAGGTTTCGAAATCGGAGTGGGTTTGATTGACTGCAGTCTCCCTTCAGTCACCTGCGCTTTATGTCTTCGAGATCCGGGAACATAGACAGACACGTTACATTTGAAGATCAACTTCCCTCCATTGCCGTTCTGATGTCTTTGGTGAATGTGAGTGACGCGAATACAACCAACAGAACTTCAAGCGAGGTACAGTTTATCTCATTAATTAGACGCTTCGAACATGAGTCGCGCGGAGGGGGCACGGACGAAATCGCGAGAACTCGTTCGAGCGTCTGAGGATTCAATGCACGATTTTGGTGGAAGGACTTTAGAAAAACGCACAACCACCACGTTAACTAAAACCTATATAACAACACCAATTATCACGTAGTAATTATATGATAATTTTCAGTGCTTCTATATACGCTATAAAGTAAGTCTATCTAGTTTCAATAACTATATAGCGACTAATCGTCGCGTAATAATTGTTATAAAAATCTGACACGTCGGATTGCGCCCGAAAAGCTTCGGGCGCAATAACGACGAACATCTAATTAATTGATAACAATTCAACAATAGCAGCTAAATAGCTAGGATCTAGAATTCTAAGTAAGTGCTCTATTCTCTTCCTATTCATCAAGAAAAAAGTCGAAAAAGTTATGTTACAGATTTTGTGCCAGCTAAACGTATATCTCTATATTAAGTTTCTAAGAGTGGCGCACCCTTTTATGGGCTAAAAAAATTGTGACTAATAGTAGATGTATAGCTAAATAATCTGAATGTCTAAAAAGCTAATGTGCAAACGTACGTGGTGGACTAGTATACCTTTTAAAATGGTCAAAATCGCGTCGAGTTAACGACTACTTAGTGGAGAGGGTGCAATGAACTCTCAGACCCTCTGCTAACACGCATCGATTTCTCTCACCAAAATTTGAAGTCATGTGACCTCTGACTCGAGTATGGCGGAGGGTCTGATTAATGAGATAAGGTACAGTAGCCGTGAGACCGCTAGAGGCACAGATGGCATGTACGCAGGGCAACCCTGTCAACTGACATCGACCGGAGTATATTTCCATGTCGTCCTTCTGCCAAACAATATAACAGATAGTGAAGCCTCTAAGATCGTGCAGTGTTGAGCTGACTCTTTCGGGTATCTAGTCAAGCAATTCTACTTGAGGGAAGGTCATGTATGTGCGTGATCATTTTAATTGTCGATTCTTTGTCGGCTGAAAGGGAGAACGTTCACCTTACTTCGCAAACCACGGAGTATAAACATATCAGCCGAGTTATGGAAGCACAGCATGGGAAGAAGTGAGAACTTTGGGGAAAGAACCTCTGATACGGTCGAAGCTGCCATATCTGCGGGCCAACATGCGATGTCCGAAATATATAGTCGGGAGCGTGCAAAACGCAATCACTCCACTATTATTCCCCTCCAGCGCCCAATGCAAAGTGAATACACCGCCATAACCATCGATCGTCAATTCCTGGAAGTAAGAGGTCAAAGAGATAGATAGAAGGCGGATTTTTACATCCACACCCTGCCCATCTCAACAGCGACTTGACACCTCAAGACCCTCATAACGTCCTCTGCCTTGACACTCTTGCCCTTCATATACACAGCACCGACCCTCCAATCCCACGCTCTGCTAACATTCAACCCTTGCAAGATATCTTGTCCACCTACATTGCTTTGACCTTCAGAGGCAATGCTACCATTACTGTTCACCATGTTCCAGGAGACACTTTGTTTCAGGCCAGCGATGGATTTGCTCAGATCGATGGTTGGGGGTGTGGCGGTTGTTGCAGCGGTTGAGGGAGAGGAAGAAGAATTGTAGGCGGAGATTGCTGCGGTGAAGAGGGCGGTATTCTGAGCGTAGATGCCGGGTGTTATTGTTTCGAGATCTTCGATTGCGCGGATCAAGGTGAGGAGGTGTGGTGTCTTGAGGATCTGCTTTGATTCTGTTTTCGAAAATCAGTAAATATGTTGTAATGGAAGGGAAGAAGAAGCGCTTACGATTCATAAGAGGCAAGGCTTCGCACAACAAAGCCATCAGAGCATCGACTTGTACCACGGATTGAGTGTCGGGGTCATACAAACCACCACGAATACTATCCGCGGCAGACTCAATAACAGCCATCAACGCTCTGGCGGCTTCACGCTTTCTTGCCAATGGTCTCAGCATGCCGGGCTTGCGACTGGCAGCAATTTCGTCATCCTCTACATCGGCTTCTGTGGCATCCTTTGCAGCATCCGCATCGCGCAGGTCATAGAAGCGACGCAGAGTTGCGTAACCACTGAGTTGTGATGCCAATAGTTGAGCAGCTGCAACGTCCTGACGGGCGACTTGGTGAAGAGTGGCATGCTGATCATTGAGCAGAGCATCTAACTGCGAGTCGATGATTGCTTGTGGAGGGAATGCTGCACTCTGAACCAAGCAAAAGGAGATGAGGAGATCGACGGTGCTGCGGAGCTTTTGCGAGGCGTGTGCGCGAGCATAGTAGACGAGTGCGCTACCAAAGTCCTGGCTAGAAGCTGCCAAATCATCGGCATAGCGCTCCGCGATCTCGCGAACTTGGTCAGGCAAGCCGATCTCATTGAGAACAGCGAGTACCTTGTCCACTCGTGTTGTAGAGTCGAGGGTGATCTGGTTCAGCAGCTCCGAGATCCTAGACTTGGCTGTCTCGAAGCTATCGAGACGGCCCAGAACACGGCAAGCAAGATCCCAACCTTCCTGCACAGGCTTGCCAGTCGCATTTTTGAATGAATCCTTCTTGGCGAGGGCGGTCGCGTATTGAATCAGCACGTCGTCGCGCCTAATCTCGTCTACTTTTGAAGGCTGGCCATGGCTCAATACCATCAAGTCGTCTTGATCGAAGGCATCCAGAACGTTGGTGGCTGCAGATGGCATCCAGCCTGCAGCACTGGCCAGCTCGACGACAGCCGATGCGATGGGCAAAGACCAAGACCTCAAGATACCAATGATACCTTGCATGTCATCTTCGCAAACGCAGCCGAGGCCAACGTGGACAGGATTGAGGGTGTTGAGATAGAATTCATCTTCATCAGGCTTGTCGGTAGTGGCGGCGAAAGCTAAGAGCAGTTGTTTCTTGTAGGCGAAAAGAGGAGAGACGTCGACTTGACGGATAGACTGCGATTGGCGCATCGAACGCCTGCTAGCAGCAAGATCATCCGAAATGACATCGTCGTCTTCACCGTCCCACCAGGCAGTCAGGAAGATGACAGCCTCTAGCCAGTCTTGAGTAGCGACCATAATCTCGTCTCGCTTGCCCAACAATTGGCCGTACAAGGTTTTCAGACTCTCATAGATCAGCCAAGGGACCTTGCTTTCGGCGCGACGGCTGGCAGTGCTGAAACTCAAGCTTGCTCTTCCGAATGGCGCGGCAGCATACTGGTCCTTGTCACGGCTATCGGCCTCGGCAAAGTCCTGCAAGTCTTGTAGTTCGCGGCGAACACGATGACGGAAGATGGCCCAGTCGGAACCCTTGACATCCCAATCGTTCTCGGTAACAGCGGGGCAGGTACTGAGCAGATCGACGCAGCGGCCGACGACTTCGCGGACAGCGTACAAGTGGTTGCCAGTGTATCCAGGCTCATCATAGCCGTCCTCAAGAGCGGATTCGGCTTGCGACCAGTCGGCGGTTTCCAACAAGCTGATAGCGCTTACGATGTCGCCGCGCAAAGTGCAGGCATAGACCATGTCCCAGAAACGGTCGTGGGCGACTGGAGTAGGACGGAAGCGCATTACCTCGGTGAGGTCATCGGGGAAGGGGTTGTGGTATATGACCAGCCAGTCGAGCAGGGCACGGGGGATAGAGGTGGGCTGGTCTGAAGACAGGGCGAGATTTGAGTAGCCAGTAGAGCGCTGGTAGGAGGACGGAGTGTTGGGAGTGGAGGAGAAGGGATGGTGCAGGCGGAGCAATAGTTGTGCTAGATAGTTGGCCTTGTCGAGGTTCGATTGTGATTTGGGCCCGATGGCGCCGGATTGCGACTTGAGTTGTGCGTGTTTCTGCCATAACTGGCCAAGCTGCTGTGCTGTGCGGTTGAGCGTGATGGGAGATTGACCACCTTGGCCCAACTTGATGTCGGCGTCCAACTGAGCCATGATGGAGTCGGTGCGCAAGACCAGATCATCCGTCTCGCTCACCTTCGCAGCAGATTTGCTTCCCAGATTCTTTGCGACACCCGGGATGGCAGTCTGTCTGTCCTTGTCCATGCGAAGGCCGGTAGACTGGCGCAAAGAATTGCCCATGACGTCTCCATAACGTGAACGCTTCAGACCTCGTGGTGATGAAAGCATGGTCGACTGTGGTAGCGGCTTGTTGACGCTGCGGAAGGCTGAGGGGAAAGCAGAATTGAAGGCTGGTAGCTGATTGTTGGGGAAGTCAATGCTCTCGCCGTCTGCATCCATTTCATCGTCCGACTCTTCCTGATGGTTGCGCGGCGGACTGCTGGGTACTGCGAACGAGGGTTTCGGTGCTTGTGCTTGAGATTGCAAGCGCGTGTGGAAGGTATTGTGCGATTCGCCAAAGAGTGAATTGCCATAGACGCTTTGCGGAGGGAGGCCAGCTGGAGTGAAGGAGGCATTCGTGTATCCTGTCGGCGGAGGATGTGCTGGTGTTGTTGATGGATGGTCATGGTCGGCGCGCCGTGAGCCGGGTGTCGATGGTGCTGAGTCGGGGACTTTGAACATGTTGTCTATCTTCGGATGGTACGGTTCGTAGCAGAGGCCTCTCTTTACACTCGCGTCCAGATGTTGAGGATTAATTGTATATTTCCAATACGATGCTTTGGTTTCGTTGCGCGTCTTGGACTTTGATCGCGAACTTTGGAGCTCAAACGCTTGGACCATGTCACACTGCCTGCTGTTTCTCCCATCGTCATGCTCACTGTCTCCTGTCTTCCTTGACAACACACAAGTAAAATGTAAGATTACTCCTTTCTCTTCTTCCTCTGGTACTCTGTCTCTGATGAAAGACGCTGGGGCCATATGATCCGCTTGTTCTAACAGCCTCACTTTGCTGGAGCGCGTTGGACGTTTGCTTGATTTCAAAACCAGTACACAACATCTTCTCACCTTCTGATCCTTCGACCTCATCCACTTTTGCCGTCACACTATCGATCGAGAATACATGCTGATGCCGACTTAGGAAGTAATCGAGTGGACTCGATCGTGCCTGATTATCATCATTATCAACAGACTCTCTTTTGACAAATCTAACCACTCTTCTCAATCTCTTGCTCCAACTTCTTCAGTCCCTCGTAGACACCGCTCCAGTTGCTCCATTCTTGCTCACCACCCTGGAACCCGCCTTGGAGCGGCAATCGAGCTCCCTCCTTGTCACCAAAGCCCCAGCACCTTGAAATGGCCTCCTTGATTCCGACAGTACCCCATCTACCGATCAATCTCTCACCTTCGCAGATCTTGAATTGAAGCTCACGCAGCTGCTTGTTGTCCGCTCCTTCTTGGAACAAGTTGAAGAGCTTGACGACGACGCGAGGAAAGATGCCTGCCAGTCCGTCGATGGCACCCTGACCGCCAATTGTCAGGACAGGAAGGAGGTTCTGTCCAAGACCTGAGAAGACTTTGAAATGCGAGGGGTCGATCTTTGGTGATGAGGCGATCAGAGTGTGATCTGGGATGTCTCCGTGCGAGAGCTTGCAGCCAACAATATTGGGGTGCTGAGCAAGGCGCTCAAATGTCGAAGGTGCCACAACGACGTTGTTTGTTACGCCAGGATAGTGGTAGCTGCGACCAATCAGTGGTTGCTCAAGCCTCGGGACTTCAATGTGATACATACATCATGATTGGGATAGGGCTCTTATCTGCGACAGCCTCGAACCACTTGGCAATTCCTTGCTGACTAGCGGCCGAAGCAAAGTAGCCTGGTGTGAGCACCATACCGTACTCTGCACCGGCCTTCTTTGCATCCTCGAGCTGGATCAGAGTCTCCTCGATGTTTTGTGTGGCAGTACCAGCAATGATGGGTCTATCCTTGAAACCGGCGTTGTCAAGCTCTTTACGCTGGCTGGTGATGAGCTCATTACGCTCCTTGTTGGTAAGGTGAATGGCCTCGCCGGTTGATCCGAGGATGACGAGACCGCGGACTCCACCCTTGACAAGGAAGATGGAGTGCTTGGTCTGAGTCTCGAGATCCAGAGGGTTATTGACAGGGTCGTAGTTGGAGGCGGACTGAGATGCGAAGAAAGTGGGGACCTTGATGCCGTCAATACCGTGAAAGCTGGAGCTGCGGGGGAGAGCTCAGTAACTTACAGGGACGTAGATGCCCGAAGGAGGAGGAGAAGAAACCATTGTGAATATGCAAATTGGGTATACGGATAGGAAGCAGAGAGAGCAAAAAGAAGTAGACGTTTTCCTCAGCAAGAACAAGAGGGGCAAGTCCACGTTCTTATTGCACCACAGTCCGAGTTGGCCGCAAAGAATGCCGAAGGATGGTGGAGGGCGAGCCCCACGTTCCCCAGAACTCTCTCGCTGCTTTCGGCCCATCGCACACCGAAGAACACCTCTCCACCAACATGTGTGTTGATAAAGACATGCCGAACCGGCCAAGACTGAACTCAACTCATCGGCTGTTGAGTCCATGGCTTCGTTTCAATCTCCACCGGCGCGACTTTTCCGCTCCAACTCAGACCGACCGCTATATCTCATACCACTGTGATTGAACATCTGCCATGTCGTCAAAGCATCCCACTCTCGACAGCCACATTCATCTCTGGCCAGCGTCAGCAGCAGATGCAAATGGCCACGCCTGGATGAGCGATCCACACTTCATCCTCTCAAAGCAACATATCCTCTCCGACTACACGAGCGCCTCATCTGCAAACCCACCAACCGGTGTCGTCTACGTGGAAACAGATCGTCGGCTCGAGGACCCATCTTCATCATCATTAGAATCCTGGGCTTCTGAAGCGATCAAAGAGTTGCAATTCCTACGCAGCATTGTGGAAGGTGATTATGGCTCTGAAGCCTCGGCGCTACTCCAAGGCATCGTGACCTGGGCCCCTGTACACCAAGGACAAGATGTGTTCTCTCAATGGTTGGAAATAGCCGAAAAGACTACTGGACCGGAGACCTGGAGACGAATCAAGGGGTTTAGATTCTTATTACAAGCCATCACGGACAAGACCGAATTTGAGAATCTGGTCTTCAGCGATGGCTTCATCTCGATCTTGAAATCCTTGGGCCGACACGAGAAGAAATTCAGTTTTGACGTGGGAATCGACCAACGAAGCGGTGCTACCTGGCAACTGGAAACGTTTACCAAAGTCGTGGAGAAGGTGTACGAAGGCGTGCCAGAAGAGGAGAGAACAGTGTTGATATTGAGTAAGATGACCGCGGGCCATTCATCCATGTTACAGGAAGCTAAAATCCATACGCAGATCACATGTGCAAACCCTCCTACACATCTACATCCTCGGACTCATTCGTTCGCTGGAAATCCTGCATCCAAAACTTTGCCTCTCACCCTCAAGCCTACATGAAGCTTTCAGGCGCCTTCTCAGAACTCAGCGATGATGCTTCACCGGTCAACACTGTGGATCCCAACGTCTTGGCGCAAAGGATGAAGCCATGGACCGATGTGGTCTTTGATGCCTTTGGCCCGCAAAGAGTCATGTTCGGAAGTGACTGGCCGGTGTGCAATGTCAAGGGCCCGAAGGGAGAAGGAAGTTGGCCAGTCTGGACAAGCGTGGTCGAGGAGGTTCTAAGTCAGCGAAAGTGTACGGAAGCCGAGAAGGCAAGAGTATGGAGCGGAACAGCCAAGGAGGCCTATAGACTATGAGCCTAGGTGACAGATGCCAAGCGAAGGGAACGAGATGTTCAGATTCATGGCGTGAGCATATGGACAAAATGATATAGATCGAGAGAAATCAAGAGGATATACGAAAACATAAGGAAAACATCCACCCAGATGAAGAGACATTAAGACTCTGGCCTCCACTGCTTGCCGCCCTGCGCCGAGATCATGCATGATTCATCTGCGACCAACAATGTGGCAGAAAGGAAAAGAAATCAAGACCCGCTGTCGTAACATCATGAACAAAAGAAATGCAGAAATTATGTGAAGCCGATGCAATATTCGCAAAGAGATTGCCCGCCTAGATTCTTGAATCTTGATAGATGGCTTTTGGTAATACCAGGGATAAGTGGAAGCTGTGGCCTGCTTCCAGATATGAGAAGGTTCTAAGATGCTTGGGCACCCTCTCTCGTCTCATTTGGAGTAGGAGGGAGGGAATGGAACGTTCCAGGCATGTCGAGTGAATCTTGGCTCTCGTTCCTCCGGTGTTGTTCCAGAATATGACCCCATGGGTTTCTCTCTTCACCAGGGCTAGGTGAAGGGTCGCCGAAGCCAGGGCTGTCAGCGCTCAATTTATCTGGGCTAGAAGGTACACTCCATTGAGGCTTGTTGGCCTTGAGGGGAGACTCTTCAGGGCTCGAAAGCTCGGTGGAAGAAGGACGCTGAGCTCCGGGTTCAGCATTGATAACTACGGGACCTTTGCCACGGTTGGGGTTGCGGGGAGGAAGCTTTGGTGTGATTCGTTTAGGCACTTCGACGAGACGAGCGCGAGAGATGAATTGAGGAGCGTTGGCTTTCTGGACCGAGTGCACGACAGGCTCTTCAATGATGGCCTCGTCAGCAGTGTCGTCACCATCTTCGTCGGCATCGTCAAAGCTTTCTTCGGCAATGTCCTTGTTTTCCGGCTTTGCTGGCGTTGCCTGCTGTGGTGGAGAATCTGAGCGCGAGTCGCTGCCACTATCCGTACGGCGGTGCGAGGAGCGGAATGAGGAACGTCTAGGACTCGAACGTGTTGAGCGCGAACTTGGATTGCGATCGATCTTTGGGCGTGGCTCTGAGAGGACGTTGCTGTCTTCGGCAATTTCGTGCAAACTGCTTTGGCGACTGCGGAAACTGCCCACGCGTGGGCTGATGGGTTCAGCAAAGTCCGTCTGGGTGCACATGTCTGACATGGAGCGTGTGACGCTGACGCGTTTGGGTTGCTCGACGGCTGTACTGGCGCTCGAGAGGGGCGTTTGCGACAGGTTTGAAGTCGTCTTGAAGGTGGAGTTGCTGCTGCTGCGGTTACGGTTACCGTTCTTGTCCAAGCTCTGTCGACTGAAAGTGTTGAAGATGGGACTTGTGGGAGCAGGCTGGAAGTTGAACTGCTCCCAGCTAGCTCGTTTTTGTGTTCCTGCTTCACGGATGCTCATTCCTTCTTTTTCAAGAGCCAGGACACCGTACGGGTCCGGATCTTCTTTGTCCGGGATGCCGAAAAAGTGGTCCGGGTTGTTGATGTCGAGGTCGCTCGGTGGCGGAGCTGAAGGAAGTATGGATTGATCGACGTCTTTGTCGCCTTGCGCGGCTTTGATGGTCTCAAGAAGCGGACGACACTCGAGGGGTGGATGGCGTATTCTGCCGGCTAAGATGTCGCCGACGGATATTTTTTCGTTGTAGAAGCGCTCGTTTTCGTCGGTTCTTTCGATGACAACTGTACCGTCAATCTGGACACCGGCATAGAAGCCTCGCGACTTGAGGTATGTGAATATAGGGGCTTGTCTCTTGTGAATCTCGGTTTCGATAAGACCACCGGCACCCACAGGTCCAGCGACGGCACTGACTTCTCCGCCTAAAGTGCATCTGATCTTGGAGAAGGCATCGAGAGCCTTTTGGGTGTTGATGACGACTACACAGTCATAGATGTCGACGCCGACTAGAAAGCCGAGACCGGCAGTGTGCAACATGATGCCTGATGGAGGTGACCAGCTGCCGTCGGCTGTCCTGCCTACCAGAACACCTGAACCGCCAGCGCCGGACACCCATAGACCGGTGCGCATTGTCGTGAAGATGGCGAGGCCTTTTGCATTCTTGATAACCTGGGTATTGTTAGACGAGCGTCGGCGGCGAGTGGACGAGATAGAGTACGCACTTCTGGAGGGATATGTTTCAGGACCTTCTGCTTTGCCTTGGGACCGTCTGTTGTCGCGTCGGTAGTTTCTTCTTGGTAGAAGCCATCCTCTGGGTTATGTGGTTAGTGGACGCGCGTGCCGTGTGGACTGGACTTGGTGACATACTGCAGAAGCTGCGCAAGATGCGTGCAGCCTTGTCGCTCTCCTTGTCCAAGGTGGTCGGCCAGAAGGCCTCGGAGCCCAGCTTGTTGCTCAGCTTGTTTACAGGGGCGCCCAGCTTGTCGACGAGATTCCAGGCCTTGTCGAAGCCGACCTTGCCTCCGCCGCTTACTCGAGACCACCAGCTGCTCTGTTGCCCCGTCATGTCTTGGGCCTAGGACGCATTCAATCTCCAGTATGCGTGTGAGTTTCGTACATGGCCAGCGCCAGTCTAGGGAGAACAAGAGAGAAGAGAAAGATGAAGATTGATCGCACTGTCTGCTCGGACTGGCTAGGGAAAACGGCTTCTTAGTTACTTCCTTGTCCATGTTTGGCCCTCGTTGACGTAGCCGATAGTCTGTGCGTCAAGGCAGCGTCGTCGGTCGTCTGAACTCTCGAGCATCATCCAAGCACCTTCCGCCGCCTCCGGCTCCTCCAATACTCACGATTGGGCAATCTCTCTCTCCTCCAAAGACTAGCTACAATGTTGTGCTCCATCCAACATGTTTCTGACTTCGCCCCGATGCTGTCAACATGCCAGGCAAACTCTCCCCTTTGCTTGCTAATTTATCCATTCGCACGCCTAATCTGCACCTGCAACGGTCTGCTGGCGTCGCTGCTTATGTCCGCCGCGTTTTTCCAATGTTATGCCCTCGAAAGCTACTCTCTATGGCTGAGACATTCAATGCAGATGTGCCCAGCGCCCGCTCGTATCAGCCTCGTGAGCCTCGATAACTCCGCTTTCTCTGCGACCCTTGTCTATCACGCGTCAATATTCCATCCTTCGTGATCTTCAGCTTCATGCTCGACTGCCCCTCTTCTCAGCTTTCTTCAGGCCTCCCATGCCGGAATCTCACCCGCCCTGCATCTCATTTCAAAAAGCTTCAACGCTTACCCCTCGGTCCGAGCCTTGAGCTCTTTTGACATCCACCCTCGACTGTCAGGGTTCACGCGAAAGAAAACCTCATCTCGTCGTCTTCTCGGTCCACCATCTTTCCGTTGCGTGAATGGTGTTGGCATTATACCGTGTCTCAGGTGGACGCTGAAAGCGTTATCTTACTCTCCATATTTTGCTAAATGCAACGGCTGAGATGTACCCGTTCGGAGATGGTTTGACCATGCCGAACCGCTCGTTCTGTAGATCTCTGGTACTTGACCGTTGATGAGCCTACAACAGGCACGCATTGATAGATATATGATCCTTGGTAACATCTTGTTGAACGGAGCGCACCAAGTGGCCAGCTCTGGTCACGCTGATGTCCTTGTGTCTTTCTGTCAACGATCGAAGTCCATTCCGACTCATGGATAAGAAGCCTGGGGACTTCGTTAACTATCTGAGACTGTTCGGTCCTGGACATGCACTCAGGAACGAGCGTGTCTTAGCTATCAAGCATGGTTAGCAGTGTCACGAAGGCCACACCATTACTACGAAGCACTCTCTGGAGTCCACATTTCATCTCTCGTTTTTCAAACATCGGTTGCACATTCGCGAAGCATGCAAAAGCCAAGAAATCATATCGGAGCTGGCCCTTCGTCGTTCTTCGAAGCACCCGAAGAAGTCTTGATTGTATGCAGGTGCCAGCGCTTAGCAAACAACGACGATTGGCTAAAAATCAGCCCTGAAACGTGGCATTTGATCTACACCTCAGGCGGCTAACGCAGACCAGGATAAAAGAGCCAACCATGCCTCCGAACACGTCTTCGCGACCGCGATAGATTCGTGTTTTTGGTGAAAATAGTATAGTATTAGACTCCAAGTATTATGCAGGTGCTTCACAAGGGTGTAACTCTGTAGGTGAGAAGATGAGGGGTCAATCACTTTGACAGCAAAGGTAGGTAAGATATAACTGGACGCTGATCGCGAGTCTACAGCTTTATCTCAGTTCTCTTTCATTACACCGATCTTAGAATCTTGAATTTGGAAGACGCTACAAGCTTGGCTTATATCACAGCATCATGAGTTCTAGATCTGGCAGTCTATCTGGCACCACCTTGACGAGCAAACCTTCCACTGCTTTCTCCGCGTCGTCGTCTGCTTCTCCTCCAGGTTCACGCTTGCTGTTTGGCGAGATCAACAGCTCTTGCAACCAATGTATGAAGATTGTGCCTTCCCAGGTTGTAGCTCGCACCTCTGACCTCACTTCTTGCAGCATTCAGAAGTGCTCGCTCAACATGCGGATTGATACTTTGCCCAAACCCTTCATTGCTTGAATTCTGGAATACGGCTGCATGTCGAGAGGCACTCCTTCATATGCTGTCACGCTCAGACATGTCAGCATTGCGCTCAGTGTGCCATGGAATCAGTGAGCGTGTGACCGTGGAGGCATTCTCTTCTATCAACATTACCTTCCGAACCAGAACTTTCAGTAAATCGGCAAGACTTTCAGCTCTGCAGAGAATTGGTCGTCATATCAGAGAAGTGACTTTCCGATTGCCCAGGGGTCTAGAAGCTACATTGCCGCCGCTGATCGACCCTTGGACTGGAGAACAAAAAGAGTTCGCGTGGAAACCGTCTTGTGCCCAAGGCCATGACACAACATCCAAGAACAAGGAGTCGAGATACGGTGATACAGAAACCACAGAGTTGCTGATCAGACAATACCCACCTCTCTTTCACGCAGCTACGAACTTTCAGTCTTTCGCCCAAGCGATGTCTTACTTGTCGAGCCTGGAGCATCTGAAGGTATCTTGCCCGGGAACTGTTGGGCAGGATACTCAGTCACGGGGAACCGATATCACGGAGATTGTGGTCACATCTCTTCGCCTCGCTGTTGAACAAGCCAAGCTCAAGCATCTGAACACCTTGACCTTATCACACGTCTATCATACCGATATCATGGCTCTATCACCTCTGGCAATGGGCTCACATCCAGGCTCCGCCAGACGCTGGTCCAACGTCCGTGTACTGGACATAAGCATGTACTCTCCACCTCCTTCACAAGCCAATAGCGACCAAGTCAAACTCCTTCGCGAATACATCCGTGGCTTCAAAGCGCTTCGGAAATTCTCATTCCGCTGGTCAGGCGCAAGAGGACCATCGCCACTGCCTGACATCCCGGCAGAGCAGAAACACACACATCCAGCTTTGCGAACCGCATCCTCTTGTGCGCCAATCTTCCCGAATCTAGAATACCTGTCCATCAACAATGCAATCATGTCAGCTCCACAAGTCGTCCTCTTGATCAAAAGACACAGATCCACGCTCATCGAAGTTGATCTCGAGAATGTCGTTCTGAAGAATGGTACATGGCAAGATGCTCTGGGAAGTCTGGAAGGCGTGGACATCAAGACAAACATTCCTCTCATTGCCGAAGAAGGAGACGTACCCATTATGCTCGCACCCAGTATGATGAAGCCTCTACCTCTGGCTCCATCTCCAACACTATCTCAGTCCAAAGGCCAAGCAAGTAAAGCAACAGATGTAGCTAGAAAGATGTTACTGGCCGAGGAAATCGGGCAGGGTGTCCCAGGACATAGAAGACATCGATCAACTCGAGAAATTGAGGCAGATGTCGGTGGAGATAGGAAGAGGAGGAAGGCGAGAGATATGACGACATGGTTGCAACCTCAGCAACTCAGAAGAAAATGTGGTGATTTGTTTGGTTGGAGGATGAAGAATGGACCGACGCTGGTCGTTGGATAATTTAGCTGGGATCCCCATGACTGGTATGACTGATGAGTTATGAAATTTCGACTTCCCAAGATTATAACGAAACACGCATAACAAGCGATGAGCCGCTGTGGGATATGAAAAGTGATGTGAGTTCGGAAAGATAACAAACAGGTATATACAAGTTATAGAAAAAGCTCTTTCTACCACACAAAAAGAAAAAACGCCATCGCTCAATCTGCAGTCTTCTCAACGTTCAACTCAATCAGCCTTGATAGCGCCATAGATCCTACGGACAAACGCGTACGCGGTCAAGAAGCCGATGGTTCCAGTCAGAAGAGCATAAACAGCGCATGCAAGACCGGAGTATGCGAAGAAAAGAAGCGACGAAACGAAGCCGTGAATATGCAGGTGGTTGAAGTAGTAATAAACACAATAGGCGAAGATCCAGAAACTGCTCGAGGCACCGACCATGAAACTGTGCCACCACCAATGGTAGTTCTATCAAAATTGTTAGTATGGATTCGTGATGAGAAGAACAGAGAAGACTTTACCTCAGAGCATAGCTGAATGTACACAGCTATGACTGTGACCTCCATGACAACTGCAACAAGCATGGTCGCTACAACAGCAAGGAAGCCAAACACGTAGTAATAGCCACTCTTGTCTTGCCAGATGCTCTTGAAGACGAACATCAGTTCGATGGCGATGACGAAAAATGCGGGCAGTCCGGCGAGAAGGATGCTCTGCCAGCTGCGAATGTACCAACTCTGTTGAGGGATCTGGCGAGGAATGGTGTTGGCTCGGATAGGATGAGACCAGGCTCCAACGCGCACAAAACCGTACCAGGAGCCGATGTAGACGAGTGGAAGTTGAATGAGGAGCCAGAGTGCGACAAGGCCAACGAGAGTTCCGAAAGGCAAAGCAGTGCTCGATGCCTGCGCCCAAACGAAAAGATTAAGAATGAATACGATTGTGAAGACCAGACCGGGGAAAAGAGTTGCGGTGACAAAGCAGTTCTTTTGCCAGACCTGACCGCCGAAAGTTTTGTAGACACGGGCAGAGAAGTAACCAGAAACGAGACCAGCGAGAACGAAAAGAGCGACGGCGACGCTGATAAAGCCCCCTCTGAAGGAGGGGTTGAGAATGCCGAAACAAGACAGAATGATCAAGCCAGCCACAACGAAGACGAGTTGAGTACCAGAACCAACAAGAGCAGCCAGAACACCACCATACGCAGGCGCACGGAAGACGTCAGCGTGGACCAGTTTCCAGCCAGTGAGATCTTCCACGGATTCATCGTCGGAGGAAATGTCATTGTCGCCATCGCCTTGATCCAGTAATCCGCCAGCCTTCTCTTCAGGCTTACGGGGTGAGCGAGTACCAGTTCTGCCGCGCTTGACCTTCAACTTGCCCTCCTCGACGTTCGGCGTCTTGAGGTCACCACGAATGGTACGAGTGAAAATGACAGCGACAACGGCTGTGAGCAAACCAGAAATGATGATCGAGTTCATGATGGCGAACCAGTGAGTACCAGTCGTGTCCTCCTGATCAGCGAAGAAAAGGCTCCAGCGGTTCTGCCACTCAACATGTAGCTCCTCTCTGAAGTACACAGAGTACGTGTAGGGAATTGTAAGAGTAGCATCCTCATCAACGTCGTCGATGGTCGCCGGGTGGTAGGTCGAGTCGGAGGAGTAGTAAGAAGCAGCAGCGGCAGCAGTACCGTTCTTGCGCATAGTCAATTCCATGCCGTTGCTGACGTCGGTGATGGAAGCAGGTATGCCTTGAGCATCTCTGTTACCAGCCTCGATGCTCTTTGCATAAACCTCAAAACCGACAATGACCTTCTTGCCTTGTTGTCCATCTCTTCCTGGAGCCATGTGGTATCGTATGACGAGGGTGACGTGGTTGTTTATGAAGTAACGAGGACGACCAGTGGTAGGGTCCTCGTCTTGGAAGCCCATTTTGAAGCCTGAAGCGTAGTATTTGCGAGTCTTGTCGGCCGACACGAAGTTTGTTGCGCCGGGCAAGTTGTCGACGACCCATTCGGCCACATAGTTGTCCTTTACAATCTCTTGCGCCTTTCGCAGGCCTGCCCTATCCACCTTGTGACTGCAGAGGTAGTGAACCTCGTCGTCTTTCCCCATTTCCAGCTCATAGTCGCTGACGATGATGCGATCGCCTCGGAGGACTTCACCCAGGTTTAATGCGATGCTCGAACCAGAGATAAGACCGCCGGCTCGTCGACGACCGCTGGGTGGGCATACAAAGGGGAGTTCCGAGTAGGCGTATTGTATTTGGGTCTTGTCTGAGTAGACCTTGTTAACGAGCAGCGGTATTACATCGCCGTCGCTATAGCTTTTGATTGACCATCCTATGTCGGGTCAGCGCACTTTCTCTGCACCCAATTCGACTAGCATACCAGGGATGTAGAAGGCCTGTGTGAGCGACAGCAACAGGAAGAAGGCAGCGCATAGGCTGGTGCGTGTCGACGAGGTGGTGGCCATGTGTGTGTGTGTATGTGTACAGTATTAAGGCGAGTGAATTAAACTATTCTTGACAGCAGACGTTTCGCAACGACAGGGCAGACATGGGCTGAAGCTTTTTTCCCCTTCGCCTCGGCCGATGGAAGGTTGAGCAGGTACGAGGATTCAAGTGTTGAATGCTGTTCCCCGTCCACAAACGAGGGTAATCGACACTAGTCTTACAATACGGGTGTCGGGATGGGAGACCAAGGGATCAGCAAATACTATGCCGACGGGAAGAGCGAAAGTCAAATCTGAGCGGTCGAAAAGGTTGGACGAGGGCGTAACGAGAGAATGGAAGGGAAGAGGAAGGCGGGACGTGGAAAAAGCGATCACTCGTCCATAAGGAAAGAAGGGGGTCGACCTTTCTAAAAATGCATGCGAGCTGCTGCGTAAGATAGGGAAAGCTTGTCCCGCCAATCCACCCTCGACCCCAGCATTTCAGGCACACGGCCCTCGACGACCAGACCAACAAAGCCACACTTGAAACCTTTCTTGACCTGTTGATTGCGCAACCCGTTGTCCTGTGCTGACCCCGTCTGACTCTTGTCCAAGACCGAACCTTTGTATTTCTCCAACATCACAAGTCGTGATTCAGTCGGTTGAAAGCGCACAATTAGGCGGCTCAACAGCCATATTGTTCGTATCACTCTTCCGAAGGACGTGAGACCACCTCAGATCCGTCGCGCTCCCGCCAAAATAGGTCATGATCGCGTTGGATTATTGACATGGAAGCGATGAAGATCCACAACGCTTTCGGGCATCTTCGCGTCCTTAATCACATACAAAACACCATCCGTAGATATTCCTCAAGTGCAATTTTGTATCGCATGCAGGAGAGACGGTACACAACTGGCCTGCGTCGTTTCAACGATCTCTGTACTTGTCGAACAATTTGCGACAATCTGATATCTCTTTCAACATGCTCGGGTGCTTGCATATTCAGGTGCATATTCTCTGGTCGCTCTGTCTCTTCCAGCCCCTCTTTGATGATGAGTTCGGTCGTTGAGAAGTCCGACGCACCGCAGAAGCATGCGGCTGACAAGACATCAACCTAGGGTGCAGGTCAAGCTCTCGCCTTTCTTAGCTTGCACCAAGCAAAAGCCTTTGTATCGCTTCAGCTTCATGGTGAAATTTCTCTAGCCATTGACATACCTGGACCGTCGTAGGTTCAAGATATTGGAAAGTACCGTTCTTGAGCGCATCTGCTTTGTCGAGAAAACTCGAAGTTCGAGTTTACCGCCCACCGTTGAGCTGCGTACTCGGAAACAAGAATCCCCGAGGCATGTCGTGCTCTGCAGGCAGAATGTACATGGTATAGGCAGGCAGGCTCCGCTCGGACGCGAACGAGAGCTAGAATACCTCAGACCGGCATGGCATACATTAAATCATTTGGCTTGAAGGGACGCAGTTGGGACTCATTGCACACTTCACAGCTTGTGTTGTTCTGTATGGCTTGAATTTCGATCTCTACCTCGCAGCAGTGACTCTCTTCTCCAAAATGCTCTCGAGTCGTCCACCAAGGTCAGCGTATGACACTGTACCGTCTGTGTCGTCCGCAGCTTCAGCAGATTGGTTATACAAAGCCTCCATATCTTCTCTCTCCACTTTGACCACCCATCCGCTCGTAGTGATCATGGTGCGATGCTGTCCTTGGCTTTCAAGAAGCAGCCCAGAAGCTCTGACCAAACCTTCGACCCACTCCCGGTTGACGCTTCCTCCGACCTGTCTCGCCACATCTTCGAGATCGACAACTGGTCTGGCCTCAAGACCTTCCCTTACGAGTCGTACGGCTCTCTCCCTTCTCTGAATCTCTTCCTCTCTGGCCTTCTCTTCTTTCAGCCTCTTCTCTTCCCTCTCCTTTGCACGCTTAGCCTCGACTTCTGCCTCCTTTGCCGCACGTCTAGCCCTCTCTGCCGCAAGCTGTGCTTCACGCTCCTCTGCTCCCTCTGCATCTCTCGCACGTTGAGCTTCTCCTTGCGAGCGCATAAATTCATGATAAGCACGACGTTGATCACGGCGTTGGAGTGATTTTGCCTTCTTGGCACCAACTGTGCGATTGTTGCCGCTGCCAGGAGGTGCTTGGGGACGTGGGTTTATGGGACCAGGCTCACCATCGTCATCTTGTGGTGGGTCTGCAGGTCCAGCGAAGTCATTGAAGGGGGCATCTGGCTGTTCTTGTTCGTCCTCTTCGGCGTCTTCAATGAATGGTCGTGGTGGAGGTACCGCTTGTTGACCTCCTTGTTCCGGTGCTTGAGGTTCAGGCTCGGGAATGTGTTGATCAGGTTGATGGTCCGGCTGTGGTTGATTCTGTGATTGTCTCTGGTCCTGAATGTAGGCTTGAATCTGAGGAGCATAGTATAACGCTGTACAAAGTGCTGCGAGATGGAGTAGATCCTGGTATAGAGGCGTCCCCGGAGTTGCGAATGGCAACAGAATATTCAGCCCTCTCTGTATCAGGGAGAAGGGATTGACCATGATGGCGGGCTTTGGAACCCGACCACAAAGTGCGAATCCAGACCTTCCCTTCTCGGAACGTTGCTGAAAGATGCTTAAAATAATAGATATGATCTCGCGAGTGCTGGCCCAGGATTGTCTTCAGTAACCGATGTGGACAGAGATGCCGATGGGATCGCTGTTACGTTGGCTGAGTATCAAAGATCTCGAAGTGTTTGATGATGATGCTCCCGACACTCCAGATTTTCGTCAATTCTGAAGATGTTCGAGTTGTTGATTTGGATACCTAGTTACAAATTGTTCCCAATTTGTCGCTTGGCAAAGTAGATCAATGAAGTCACGAAACGCACGGACGCGTTTTTCCAACTGTCCGATCATGGGATGACAGCTCCGACACGAAACGACTCTTTGTTTCTCTCCAATCTTCTCAGTGATTTCATCCGTCATTTCACAAGCATGAGCACGTGAAAAGCTCTTCTTCAGATTTACGACTTTATGATTTAACTAGAAAAACCGTATGGGCATCATGCATAACAACTTTACAGGTTGAAGTGTGTGCGTTACAAATATGCGATGAAGCAAGCCCCGACTTTCGCTCAGCTTCCGAGTTGGTATTTGGAAACTGCAATGCCCCCCTCTTTCGAGATCAACCCGAAATTGTGACCCTGCATCTACAAGCGGTGCACAGAAATACACTGACACACAATCCGAAATGCTCAACAATCAATCGACGGGATTTCCATGGCTACAGATTCGTGGCACGCTCGAGGAGTTCATCTCTCAACGCCATCTTTCAACAAGCAAAACCTTCATTAGCCACGGCAAACTTCCTCGAGATCGAAAAGGTGGTGGATAGAGTTGTGCGACTTCGCTCATCAAAATCCTGCAAAGAAACCGCCACCGAGTGGTGGTAAGCCGTAGGCTCCGCCGGTGATATCCAAAAGCATCTCTTCCAGAGTCAGGCCGGCAAGAAAGCCATAGTCTTCGACTTCGTCCGCCCTGGTCAACTCCATATCCCATTCCTCTCCCGCATGCCACGCAGCAGTGTCTGCAGCAAGTACAGCAGCGAGATCTTTGAGGATGGCGGAAACGTCGCCAAGTCTTACATCAATGGCGGGATCGGGAACATGACCGCAGGGTATAGATGTAACGACCACTCCATCTTTGATCAAGCGATCATCTCTCTGTTCCTGCTGGAATGCGGAGAGGGACTCGGTATGCAGATTGTAGAGTCGACAAAACACTAGGTTTGGAGCAGTGGAGAGCAGCTCTACGACATGGCTCCAATCCTCCTTATCGTCCAGTCCCAGGCCGCCAAAGGTGATACCAGTGACAGTTTTGAGATGAGGGACGAGGCTATCGATGGAAAGTCCAGGTCCATGGTGCGGCAGAGAAAGACCCAAGATCTTCAGGTCATGAATGTGGATGTTTGACAACCAGGTCGATGCGAGCAAAGCGTGGAAAAATCCGTGATACACGTCGGTATCGCTCAAATCACACAAATTCTCGCGGATGCCTAGAAAGCGCTCTGGGTGTTTGTAACGCACTTCCCACTGATCGAGATACCTGAGCTCGAAGCTCATCTCAGATAAGGAATGACGCAAGAGAGTCTGATCATCTGAGTTGGGATGGAGCAGTGCACCAAGCGGACTTGTACTTGACTTGCTTAGGTGCAGCAGATCTGTCAACACGGTCCAAAGCTCAGTAGCCCTGGCCATGGAGTCGTAGTGAGCAAGTCCTTGGATGTCGACTCCAACACCGCTGACGGTGCATCCTGCAAGCGCGGCGGCAAACAGGGTCTCCGACAATGTGGATCCCAGAAACAGGCGTGTCGAAAGGGCTTCTTGTCAACAAGTCTGCGGAGCCCAAAGCTGTTCAAGCAGTTGCCGGCCACACTGCTATCGTGAACTTCGATATTGATGCTGTTGCCATGTTGCTTGATGTTTCCAAACACTTGCACCATCAGCTTGCGGTACACAAGATCTGCAAAAAAGCGCTTGTGGGTTCGGACGTGATCGGTCTTGATGCTCTGATCGGTCTTGATGCTCTGATCGGTCTTGATGCTCTGATCGATCTTGCCGCTCTTGCGAGAGGCGCTCTTAGGCTTGGACGGCGTTTTGTCTGGTGATTTGATAGTAGCGAGAGCGCGGAAAGCGTTCATCCTGATCGTCTTGACGAAGGGACCGAAGAATGAGTGGGCAGAGATGGCAACCAGTGCATTGATGCTGTAGGGCGAGGCGACATGATCACGCGTAGAGAAGAACTCAAGCGCGAATGCGCGGTCGGCCGCCTTGCAAAACTTCTTACAGATGCTTCTGATGGCGACAAGGTCGGAGGGATTGGTGAAGATGAGGGTCAGAACCTCAGGTGGGAGGCTCAGAAGGGTTGCGCCTGCCATGGCTGAACCAACGATGGTGAGAAATAACAAGCTTGACAGAAATTGACAGTCGTGGGTCGCAGCTTCCCCTCTTTGAGGGTGTGGTGTGCAAACAGCGCTTGGTAGGATTTTCTGTAGCAACAAACGCCGAGTCCGCAGAGAAAAAGGATCTTGCCAACTTCCGCCTTGTATGCAAGACGTGGAAAGGCGCTGCAATGAAGACCTTCACCAAATTCTACTTCTCAAAACGTTACCATTCCATGTCATCCTACAGTATTGAGGTCCTGGAAAGCATTGCTGCACACACTGAATTTGGTCCATACCTCGACACAGTAGTCGTCTGCATATCACCTTACCAAGTCGAAGATATTTCAGACAATCAAGCCTCAAGCGATGATTACTCTGGAAATAATCTGTGGATCAGAATCAGTGACAATGTCTTTTCTGGACGGTCGCCTAAATCCACATAGGTGCAAACTTCTTAAATCCCAAATCCTAAATCCGAAGGAAATGGCCGACAGATTTTCACATCAAGATTTTATACGTTATGGCCGGTCTAGACTTATAGTACACATCTAACACTGCTATAATGGTATATATAGCTATGACTATATACATAGTTATTATAAGGGCGTATACTAAATTTTAGAGTACGCGCGTACATATAAGCACGGAGATTTCCTACTCCTAGAAATTTTTGAGCACTAGGGATTTTCAAGCACGGCATATTTTCGAGCACGGCATATCTTCGAGCACGGCATATTTTCGAGCACGGCATATCTTCGAGCATAGCATATTTTCGAGCACGGCATATTTTCGAGCACGGGAGATTTCTAAGTATAACATATTTTCTTAAGTATAAGATGTCTTCGAGATTTTCCCCGGGCATAGCGATACTGATGTGCTTATACATTACAGAAAAGGGCATCTTAGATAGGACAATTATGATAAAATAGCATGTTGCAACCTATACGATTTAGCAGAAAATTAGCAAAGATACAGCGTTGTACGATCGCCATTTCCTCCGGATTTAGGATTTGAGGAGTTTGCACCTATGTGGATTTAGGCGACCGTCTTCTGACTCGATGGAGAAAATCTTTGGAACCATCAAACGCCACAGACCGAGTGTTGCAATCGGGATCAGCGACCGTCTCACGATCAACTTCAAGACGGATAACATTGGCCACGAATCCTCTGTGCTAGATGAAAATACCGGACATCAGATTCATGCCTTTCTTGATGCACACACTGGACCAAGAGCAAGATGACCGCCTCGATTTTGTTGTGCACTTTCCAAACGACACCAGCACGATCGATCTCTATGGTGACAAGGTGTGTTCGAAACTACAGGACTTTGCAGCTTGTCTTGCCTCTCACAGAATTACGCTCGCCCAAGGTAATCAAGACTTCAAGGTCCCAAGAACTTGTTACAGGAGATACGCGGACATGAGCCAGGAGGAGAAGGATGAAGAAGAAAGACTGTCTTACAAGTATTAGTAGGGACAAGATAGCTCGCAGTCAGGAGGACTGCGTGGCAGATTGAGGGAGAGCGTTAGCTAGTCTGGTATTAGTGACCCGGGGTGGTGGGATGAACATAAGTGGGAGAAATTGTCAGACGAAGAATTCTGCAAGACCGACGTAAATCCCTTTACCGGCACAGCTACGAGTACGGGGTGGAAGCATGGCATCTTCACTTGCTGCAACAGGAACCGACTGTCGTGGGTGGGGAATGGGACGATGAAAGTAAGTACGTATTTGTACCCGGAAAAAGAGCTTCTTGGGTGGTTGGTTGCTAACAACTTGCAGATTGAATGACCTGGATGGATGAGAAATGTGGTGGTCATAAGATCGGCTAAAAGGGTGGTCAAGGCAAGATGTGCAAGAGACAACCGTAGATTACAATCTAGTCTGATTGGTATCTCGGCGAGCTGGGCTTCATGGACGGAGTGACAGTGGTAGAGGAAGACAACGAGACCATGGGAGTTGTGAGCAAGCCCACGAGATATGGGTTGCTTGAAAGATGAAATAGGAACCGAGCTCTCTCAGTCCGTCGGACCGTCTTTGTCGCAAGATGATCTCTCAAGGTAGCTACACGGTCCAAAGAGAGCACAAAAGAACAAACGCTCTTAGTGGACAACTATCCGGTGACCAAAGCCATCTTGCCTTTTGATAGCTACTTTAATGCCCAGTCTGCGTCCAGGGATCTCGATTCTAGTGCGATTCCTCTTCGTATGCGTACACGTTGGCACCGTCCTCAAGAAAGACGCCGAGTGCTTATAATCGGCTCGGTACGAAGTTGACTGAAAGCATATGTTGTATTGAATGCTTCGAACTGATAATTCGCTACACAAAGAACTATGAATGAAACTTTCGTCTATGACCTCGAACGCACAATACCCTTTTCAAGTGCAACAATACTCTCTTTCACTTGGGGACAGAAGTGGTGCCTCAAAAGTTCGCCCTCCCAAACTGTTGTTGCGAAAGGATTACTTCCCTCAACCTCGTCTCTAAGGGGATTGAAAACACCGTCTCCCTTTCTCTCTTCCGTGTACCATAGTGCTGCAATCTTCTTTCCTTGCACCTTGGCTACTTGTTGCAATAGGCCCATCATTGCTAAACATGACTTTTCGGGTAATTGTAGAGAGATTGTGAGGAGCTGCTTGGCGAAAGCGGCGAGACGGAGAGGCGGAACGGAGCGAAGGTTTTGCGGTGGTAAGAGGACTGAAGACAGAGAGCGGAGGAGTAGGACGGTTGTTGTTTGCACGTTGATCTTGTGCTTTGCTTGTTGAGGAAGGAGAGCTTCGTCGTCGTTGCCGTCTGGATCTCTCAAACGTAGAGACTTGGCACTCAATTCCAAGTCTGGGTTCATGGAGGATGGGAGGAGGGTCTTGTAGAGATGTGTGATGAAGAATTCGAGATCCAGGTGAAGCGAACCGACGCTCTTTACGACGTCTTGACCCTGGAGAAGGGCAAAGGCCGTGATGATGCAAAGGAGGGACTCGCGATTGATGTTTCTAGGCGCGGTAGAGGCGTCCTCATCTTCCTCGGCGAGTGCTTGTTCAGCGGCTTCTGTGTTGATGACGAGTTCGCGGAGAGCTTCTAGGATGTCGCCGAAGAAGTCCTGGTTGATGAGATGGGCGTAACGGGCCAGACCTTCCAGGACAGCACCCATGAGCTGAGGCACTCGTTGCTTGAGGATACGGAAGTAAGCAACAAAGACCAATTTCAACATCTCTGACTGGTTCTTGTCGCGCTCTTCATGCGAAACGGTCGCATCGGCTTCTCTGAACTCCTTCTCCACACCCTTGACCTCGCGCAGGCGCTTCCTCTCCTTTTTCGTTCTGAACTCGCGCTTCTGCTTCTGTTTCACGCTCGGCTCATCCTCATCTTTGTCGGTTCGTGTGCTGCTACTCCTGTGTGCAAACTCGGACAGGAGACGCAGGTGTAAGAAAGTGTTGAGCACGGACTCGTGGATGTTATAGCTTCTTGACTTCATCATTTTGCAGAGCAAGTCGACAGCCTCGCGAGAAGCATTACCATCTTCGTCGTCGCGGAAGAGTGTCTCTAAGCATTCGACACACTTGTGGAAATCCGGGTTTACTTGTCTGATACTGAGTCTGCCGACCAGGATGTTGATGAGGTCGCCGCGGAAGTTGAAGTGAGGAACAGTGTTGAGTAGAGTGCAGGCACATGAGATGGCGACGCTAGCTACCGAAGCAGCCTCCTTGTTCTTGTCACCACTCTTCTTGGCAGCTCTTGTCAGAGCCTTGACATATTCGTGGTAGCCACCAACGAGAGACTGTTCGAAATTGCGCAGCTTGCGGACATCCTTGGACAGTTTTTGCTTCAACTCTTCCTTGGACACAGGACGGATACGGTAGCCGGGGATGATGTCGCGGTAAATGGCAAGTTGAGTAGCCAGACACAACTTGACGACGGTTCTGTTCTGCGATGTGGCATGGACTTGCAACTTCTTGAGCTGGCCAATGTGCTCCTCTGGGTCTTCCGAAATCATGCTGGCAACACGCGCGAGTTCTTCCTTGGCTTGCAGGATCTGTTCACGCGGCGAGATTTGTGGCACCTCGGGCTGCTCATCTTCTTCGTCATCCTCATCATCCTCGGCAGCCTCACCCTCGTCGCCGCTTCCCAGAAAACTGTCGGCATCCTCCTCTTTCTGCTCAACAACAGCAGGCGCTTGCTCAACCCAGCCTTCCGAAGTCTTGATGGGCAGTCTTGTCTCCTCCTTCTTTTTCTTCAAGTTGCGCGGCCGGTTCTCGTAATCCTGTTCCAGGTCCCATCCAGCGGCGTTACGGTAGAAATCCTCGATCTTTTCCTCGGAAGAAACACCATTCGCGGTGTTGGCGGGAGGTGACTCGACTTCTGGGCTGATGCGACGTCTCTTTGCAATTGGCGCCATTTTTCAAGAATGGTTTCGATGGTCGATATGTTTTCTGATAGGGAAAGAATCAGCAGCTAGGAAGAAAAAGATTAGAACAGCCTTCCGCCAAGCTAGGCACGACGAGCCAATCAAAGGGCCGCATTTGCGGAGAAGTCGCGAAACCCCCGAGGGTCCGATCCTTCTCCGCGTTCTGGGAAAGCATCCGAGGATTCTTTTTTCTGCCTCGCTCTTTCCTTGGATCTATCCAACTATTGTCACTCGATCGAATCATTTCGCGCCTGCCCCGACTTCACTCGACCGCCTACTGCCGTTCGATCGTCTGCACATCTCATCCGCGCCTATCTCATCAACACTCGTTCGCATCACCGCAGACATGCGTCCTCTCACAGAAGGAGAATCCAAGACCGTCTTCGACAAGCTCGCCAACTACACCGGAAAGTCCCTCACAAATCTTTTGACCGACACTGCACCTGGAAAGGATGGAAAGGCCTCAAGATTCGTCTTCCGCGTCCAAGAATCAAGAGTCTACTACGTGCGCGAGGACATGGCCAACTTGGCCACCTCGGTAGCAAGAGACAACCTGCTGTGCCTTGGAAACTGCATCGGCAAATTGACCAAGACTGGCAAGTTCCGCCTTCACATCACTGCTCTGGACATCATCGCCCCTCATGCTCGCGCAAAGATCTGGGTTAAGCCCAACGGAGAGATGCCTTTCTTGTACGGTGGTCACATTGTCAAGGCACATGTTGGACGTTGGAGTGAGGACTGCCCTGAGCACCAGGGTATCATTGTCTACTCTATGAACGAGTATGTCGCATCTTCTCAAACTTCCCTTCTCGGCAAACAAACTAACATGCTCTAGCACTCCTCTTGGTTTCGGTGTCACTGCTCGCTCCTCGGCCGAGGCAAAACGTCTGGACCCTACTGGTATCGTTGTCTTCAGACAAGCCGACTGTGGCGAGTATCTCAGAGAGGAGGACACTCTCTTCCAGTCTTGAGCGTCCTGAATACATTTCGCTTCAGCATCAAGTTCTCGAAACAATCCGCCATTCACCCGCGCCCGCAGGAGCTCTTTTAAAAGTTGCATTGGAGATACCCGTCGATGGATCCGGGACAGCAGGAGTTCAAGGAGTTTTAAACTGGTCACAAAGTCACGTCAGATGGGAATGGATAGGCAAACCGATATCTCGCATTATGAAGATGATTCAACACACTAATTCGCATGCGCTGGTATGCAGAGCTATGGACCTGCCTTGAACGCGCGTCTGCAATTCTTTGAAGCCTTTGTGTTTCTTTCTTGCATTGTGATCATAAACTGTGCCTTTTGAACGCACAGCGCAGCTCTTTGTGCTTTGTGTGTGAACAAAGCCATCGACTCGAGACTTGCTGATGATCAGAAACATCTTCTGTCTTGACCCAATACTACATATAGATCTACGTCTTCGCAATCACTCGTAGAAACGTTTGATTTAACCAACCAACAAAGAACGAAACAGCACAGGTAAGCTACCTACCATTTGCTACTAACGAAATCTTCCAAGATGTCTGTAACACTAGGTCTAACTACAGGGGAATGCCAAATTTGTGGCGAAGAGTCAGCTCAGCTATTTCTTCTGCCTTGTGGTCATCAAGTTCAGTGCACACAGTGCATCAACCGTAACTTCACTGGTCTAAACGAGGTCAACCCGAGGCCTGCTTGCCTAATTTGCTCAGCCGCAATCCCTCTTGCTTCGGTCCGACACGTTCTACCTGCCAATGTCTTTTCTCACCTCGAACAGGAGTTTGAAACATGGACCATCCCTGCCCCTGAACGCCGATACTGTTTTTTTGCTCCTTGCAGTAGGTTCCTTGGCTCTTCTCGAACTGGCCCTCGTCTCCACTGTCCATCCTGCAACAACTCAACCTGCTCTGGGTGCAAGAAGGCCGCTCATGCCGGTTTCTGTACACCCAACACGGAATTTGCAGAGACCCTCAACAGCGTTGATACTAACTTCTCACAGTGCCCTCATTGTAACTACCTGCTCGAAAGGACACAAGGCTGCCCTCACATTACCTGCATTTGCTCATACCAGTTTTGTTTGTTCTGCAAATTTGACTGGGCAGTTTGTCAGGGTAATTGTGAAGCCGCTAGACACGACATTCATCAGCTTCACGAGGCGTTTGTCCTTGAAGAAGATCTTCTTGTTCATCAAGCAGAGGCTCGACAGCTCAGGAGAGCTTTCCGTGAATTGGTCGCTCGCCTCAATGAGCGTGCCCAGGAGCTTGAACGTCTTCAAATCGCATACGCACGTGCCGAGATGACCGGCAAGATCGCGATTCTATTTGTCATTCTGAGATTTCACTTGCGTGGTCGACTGGAGTATCTGTCTACCCTGACCTTTGAAGATGTTTTCCAAGTCGTTGAGCTTAGACGCGAGCTTACTCGTATGACAATTGATCTCTTCACTTCACCTGGAGAGATCCAAGAGTTGGCTGACAGAATCGCTGACTTTGGGAGGATGGTTGAGGTTGTCGAATCCACTGGGGAACAGCGTGCTGAGAACTTGCGCTATCTCATTCGAGAGCTCTACGAGCCTCTTGACCTTGAAAGTTGAAACTGATTGATCGGGGGGAGATAGCCACAAGGACAGGTTCCTTGATTCTACTAGTCATAATTAACCAAATCACATGCTGCCCTGCAAATGCCTAGGTTCCAGGTAGAACCATCCTGTGTTCCACTGTTGTTTTACTTTTGCCCTTAGTCACCTATGTTGACGTGTAATAACATCCAAATCGTATTTCTTACAAACGACTGTGCCACTACCCGAACCACTCCCAACTACAGTTAGTTTTAATTGCGTGAACGTGAACTAAACGTATGGACAGAACAGACTGCACAACGGAGTAGTCATCGAACGGCAAATCGCTTTGGATGATTGCCTCGGGGTCTACCAAAAGCAACAATTTCTTCATGATTTCTTTGAACGCTTACAACAAGATTGGAGATATGGTGCCTGTAGAATGCTATCTAGCTGAGTGTCCTACCAGGCTAGGCACGGTTTTGGTGTAAAGTTCAAGCCCCTGGTTTGATAGGTCCAGCACAGCTACTCTGACTCAATTCGATACCTAGATGATTATACATGTCCCTAAGAAAGCTAAACTGATGCCTGGAAGAATTCTTTGTTCAGTTTAGCCGCTAATGATTCGCGCTCTATTCTTTGTCTTACCATAAGAGATCAAAGCGTTTCCAGAACCGGCAGCCCTTCCAGTATAGATAGACAGAACAAAGAACTGCGAACAAATAACTCCTGAATCATCATGTCCTCTTGTTGATAGAAAGTTTGCACAACAGTCTCCAGAGATACATCCACTACAAAGCAATAATGTCACATGGCTTCAACGACGCAAGTGGGTTACCTGGCGGGAGATGGATATCTCCTGGTCAATATATAGCAGACGGAGGCCAAGGATCAGTCCACTATTGGGTTAAAGTCGACGCAACCCATAGAGTTATCGATCGTATTGTCATCAAGGATACTTGGGACTCTGAACCCACATCTGAGCCTGTAGAATGGGATGGGATGTACGAGGAACTCGTGCGCAAGGGTATGGATCTCGGTGTATCAAAATCCGGTGGATATGGGAATGCGCACGTCGATGATCGCTTCTACAAAGAGGCATATATTCAGGGGCTTCTCACACCTGCTGATGGAGAGTTATCTTATAACATGCCTCTACGTGGCTACAAGAGGGGTGATAAGCCTGATCCAAGACAAAGGCCTGACACCACTCATTGGCGACTTTACATGGACCACCTTCACTCTGGAGACATGCACACCTTCATCCAAAAATCTGTCAAGTTGGACGATTTTGGAACATACGAGCCGATACCAACGCCTGAGCCTTTCATCTGGTACACTTTGCAGTGTTTGACTTCTGCATTGATACAAATGGAAGAGGCTGCCAGAACACGGCCAAAGGCTCGAAAAGCCGGAGACGAAACGATCGTCATGTTGGACATGAAGCCTTCGAACATCTTTCTCGCCCCTCCAGGAGGGCCAAGATATCCGGTCTACCCACGTCCCATCATCGGCGACTTTGGCGGTGCACAGCTGACTCACAAAACAGCTGCGGACAATGTCTGGGGCGCAATGCAACAAATTTGCACGCGTGGGTTTTATGCTCCAGAGATGACTAGATCGACACAAATCGACGAAGACGATATGGAAGATCATCAAATCGAGTCACTACGTGTGGAAAATCTACCAGTGCATTCCTGGACAAATGTCTGGCAACTGGGCCGCTCCATTGAATGTATGATGCGAGCCACCGGATCCATGAACGATGTTGATTGGGCGACTGCAACAGAACTCCAACGAGAATCACAAATCAAGAGATCTCCGCCGAGATTCGATTACTCGCCTGGCTTCCAGTATAGTACCGATCTGGTCAATCTAGTGTACGACTGCCAATTGTTCAACCCAGAGGAACGTCCGACGCCTAGAGAGTTGATGGAACAGATTAACGAAAACATATCTGATCACACCAAATTCATGGACTATTGGGGCACAGAAGCATGGGTCCGTGAGCAAGAACAATACCCTGCTCAAAGAACCAAAGAAGAGAAGGAAAAGCTCAGACAGAAAAATGCCCGGCGCGTCCTGGATGGGAAGTTGTACTTCCTCCACGATTACCAGGATAAAGCTTTGGCTGAACGATACGCTGATTTGGACATGGACATACCCGAAGACTGTGCGCTTGTTTGGGGTGGAAACGAGGCGGAATACAAGCTTGGTCAGGTGGCAAGAGCGGGGGACACACCGCAGAAACCGGATAAGAGAAAGAGATCTAACGAGTCAGATGATGAGGACAAGTTGGACAGTCGACTGAGGAAGAAGCCGAAGAAGTGATATAGTTGAATGGGAATGTATGGAGTCAGTCTGAATAGGATATCTTACAGGCTCTAGAATGAATTGAAGGAGCAGGAGTGTCGCTCTCTGTGGACAGCGGCTAGATCATGAAAAGCATCCTGTTGTTTGACAACGTGTCTGCATACCTACAGGGAGTACAGTAGGGAGATCAATCATGGCATGACTTCCGCCAAACCCTTGACTCACGACCAAGGCTAGCGCCGCCGACACCTCTGTCCAATCCTCCGGGGTGCAAACAATTCTGATGCATCAATGTTGATCGATTGCATAGCCATGCAAGGTTTTGTCTGTTGGCTCCTTACACAGTGGCACAGTCTCTCCCTACATTACCCCTGCTTCTTGCATCCCTTTCCATTGTCCAGATACTCAGGAGCAGGGCGTTTGCGGTTTGGCAGAGATATCTTGTTGCAAGGCTCAGTGGAGGCAACCTCGGGCAGCAAGACAAGGTCCGGGTAAAGCGGCTTAGCAGGCGAGCATGGAGGGAGGAAATCAGGAGGAGGAAGCGTGACCAGGCCGTGGTTGGTCAAGACTTGAGGGGTGATCTTGTCCCAGGTATTCCAGTAGAAAGGCTTTGTGAGTACCTTTGCTTCGATGGCGAGAGGAATGGCTTGGTCGGACTCCTGAGTACGCATGTTAGTACAGCTGTTCCAAGAACTGTTTGCTATAGACCAAAATTTGTTGTGCATTGTGATAGGTACACAAGACGCTTGGTGCAGGCGTAGGTGGGGATCAACATTATCGAACTCACATGTATCAGGAAGACTGTTTCCTTCTCCTTGGCCTCCTTTAGACCTTTGTAGGTGGTATCGTTCAGAACTGTCCACTGCTCGCGCGCAGGATCCAGAGAGCTGAGTTCAGAGGCGAACTGATACAGCCACGACCCCTGGAGTATCGATGTGTTCGTCGCATAGCCACGGCGACTTCTCTGTTTGCAGCGGGCGATTTGAACCATGCCAGGAAGTATCTCCAAGAACTTATGATAGCCCATGTCGAGACCTTTAATCAGGGCTTCAAAGGTAGCTGGCTTGCCTCCGATCAGATTCAGGTGAGTAATGATGGAAACACGGAAGAAGAATCGACTTTGGAAGCTCCTGCACTCGCTGGGCTGATAGTGCTGATCAGACTTGATGGCGTACAAAACAGCACACAAATCATCTATCCTACTGCGTTTGTAGACGTCCGGGACCTGGGCTTCAGAGGCGAGGATGAGTTGTTTGAGCCTCGTGATAGCGTGACTGATTACTTTGGGATATGCTCTGCCCAGTGTGCGGAGAGCTTTGATGGCCTTCTGCGCAGGTGCATCGGCCTCGTTGATGATACACTTGGCCACGTCGATTTCCAGGGCGCCCAGGTCAAGGGTCATTCCTAAATCTCCGATGGCATCTTTCTTCATGTCGTGGATGCCGGCGAACTTTGCGAAGAACAACTTGATGAACGTGGTGAGACGCAGTTCGCCGAAACGATCATCAACCTGACGGAATATGGACTTCAGAACGGGATCCTTGGACATGACATGGATCAGGTCGACTTTCAGCCATTCTTCCGAGGACTCGGTTGCGGCCTGAACGTGACTTTGGGTGGAGTTGGCCAAGCTGCCAGGTCTCATGATCTCATCATGCTCTGCGAGTTCGTGCGGGTGCGAGGGCGTCTGGGTGTTGTAAGGCTCGCTGTCATCTGTTCTTGAGGCGAGATGACGGTAGTCGTCGTTTTGGTGCACGCTGCAATCACCATCTGGATCGTAGTCATCACCGTAACCATCGGAGCTGCTAGAGTGGTCGACAATGTGCTTGAAGTCGTCCATGACGCTGAATGCGCGATCGGTGCGTGCGCAATCGATTTGGATGGTGAGAACCGACAGGGTTTGGAATTTGGCTGCGATTTAGATAGAGTAAGCGAGGCGGGGCGCTAGGATGTGCGCGCAATAAGGAAAGAAGAAAGAGGTTGCAGTGAATTTCAAGTGCAAGTGTAAATGGACGCGCAAGTGGAAACATATCCACAACAAATTGGAAACGAGTGAGTAGTCAGTGCAGCTCAAGATCTCCACCGGGTATCTGCGGCCCTACCATCCGATGGCAATTGTAAACAAAATATCGATATGGGAAGAGCAGTAAACAAATCAGGATAACAAAACTCCAGGAGGGGCGCCTCCGAACTACAAAACATGCATGTCTGCCATGTGTAGCGAGAGTGGTAGAGTTGTGCAAAAAGAATAGGAATTGACCCACGATGGAATCGAACCAACAACCTAGTAGCGCAAGCAGTAGCGGCGAGCAACGCATTTCGGAACACAGCACCATTCCTGCTAGACTACCCAACTTCGGGACAACAGATGTTTCAACTCCATACAATATAGATCCACAGAATGCTGATTTCCAGTGCGATGATACCTGAGATCACCGTTCAGATTTACCAACATCTCGCACAGCCAGACGGATCTTTACGCTCATCATACACCATGCATGAGCAATTGAATCCAACGCTGCACGCTTTTGGGAGCATATTGCACCCCTAGTGTACTGATATATGCCACGTACACGGCTTTAGAGATGCACGACAAACATCGAACACAAAACTGAGCGCAAAGTGAGACCGCTGGGACGCAGCTCTTGAGGAAACAATGAGGTCTTGATCAAAATCACATCGCGCATCTCAACGAAGCATGACCGTGTCAGCGAGAAAGTTGGCGTGGTGGATTTCAGCACGCTTGGAGAGGAAGAGCTCGTCAAAGCTTGCTGGCTATGAGTTATGCCTCTCTCGTACGCTCTTTTGAACACACAGCGACTTATCCCAACAGCAAATGTGATGCTAACGATGTGGGTGAAGGGTTGGAGAAGCAGGAATTTCTGGAGTGTGCTAATATCTCCAAGTTCTTTCTATGATAATTACGAGAACCACGTACCAGAGAGGCCTTACCAAAAGGGCTATGCATAGCATGATGATCCGATGGCAAAAACGAGACTGTGAGCGCGCAGGTTGATACGCAAGGCACCGCTCGATCAGAGAAGCCCCCCCACCGTCGACCATCCGCATCTAGGGGTCATAGGAACGGAGACTTGAGCAAACAGCTCGTGGGAACAAAGGAAGTAGAGAGAGCGAGCGAGGTGAGGTTGCCCTTCGGAAAATCTGCTCCACATGCCAAGAAAGACGTCATCGCGCTCCTCGCCGTAGACGGTAGACCTCCATCTGGTATCCATCTTGCACACTCTAACCTCCATTATGCTCAATATTTGCATTTCACGAAACTCGTACACGGCGCTTAAAGCTACTTCTCTGCTCAGGGTTCCGAAACTGATGCGACTTGGTGTCATACATTGACGCAGTGTCAGTCAGCGAACATCAAGCTGACACCCAAGGCCGTACTGTGATGACGAAACCATTTGTACGGGATCCCGACCCTGTGTCATTGAGTATTTCAGGATGCTGAGAGGATCATGAATCTAGAACTTGTCGATAATCGACTTTCCGTGCCATCGGAATCTCCGTGGATGGTCCAAGGACACTCCGTGCTTATCATGCATAGCAGCCTGGAGTGAAAAGCTGACATTATAATGTAAAAGAGCAACACAAAAACAGGCATTTCAGCACAATCACCACTTCTTTCAGAGATCTAAATTCTACTGCACTACCGACGCAATGACATCTCTGCAACACGCCTTCGAAACTGTCCATGCATCTGGACAGACCTGTCTGCAAAACCCCGAAACTCGCGAAACACGCCTTCAGGCCCTATCTGCGGCGAGGAAGCTTGTCTGGGAACTCGAGTCTGAACAAGGTGCCGTGTTCAACCGCATTGGAGACCTTCTTTCGACGCTGGCACTAGGCTTTTTGGTCAATATCGGTGTTCCGCAGAGCATACCTCAACATGGAAGCATCTTCCTTGACGAACTTGCAGTCAAAGTACAAGCCGATGCTTCTTTCCTCGCTAGGCTCATGCGCTTGCTGTGTGCTTTTGGTATCTTCCAGGAGACGGACCGAGACACTTACGCCCATACCAAGCAATCCATCTTATATGGCCAAGCAGAGGGAGAGTTTGTCTCCCTCCTAATCAACGAACAGTTCCTGCCGGTGTTTTCACGACTATCTGAGTACTTTGCCGACCGTACACTTGAAAGTCCGAACGATCCAAAGCGTCATCCGTATGGCTGGGCTCACGGAATGAACGATCACCACTGGATCGAGGTTCTTGCCAGAGACCCAAAAAATCTGGCTTTGTTTGCAAAATCTGCAGGCTTCCTGGGAGACTTTGCGGCTGACGTCTACATCTATCCCTACGACAAAGAACTCAAAGGTGCATCTGACAAAGCGGTGACCGACAACTCTGTGTTGATGGTGGATATTGGTGGTTCCACCGGTGATACGATGAAGATTCTGCGTCAGCATTATTCCGACTTGAAGGGTAGAATTGTTGTTCAAGACATTGCGGACGTCATCAACAACATACCTGCTGGCTATTTGCCAGATGGAATTGAGGCAACTGTGCATGACTTCTGGCAACCACAGCCCATCAAAGGTGCTGGTGCATACTATATGCGTCGTGTCATGCACGATTGGCCAGACGAGCATTGTCGAAACATTCTTCGCCACATCGTCGATGCTATGGATGAGCATTCCAAGTTGCTCATTGCAGAGGCTGTTGTCCCCGACCGAGTTGACATGCGCGACCCCTCAGTATACTGGATGGATTTGGTCATGTTTACCTTTTCTGGCAAGGAGCGTACGGCAGCGCAGTGGAAAGATCTGTTCGAGTCTGCTGGTTTGGAATTGGTTAAGATCTGGAGCATGGAGATGAACACTCATTCTGTGCTGGAGGGAAGGAAGAATATGGCTATGAAGTGCTAGGATTTCCTGCTCTATTGGCGGGTACGCTATGGAACATGTTGTTCCTGACTTACTGCCAGGGCTTCCCATCATCTCCTTCCCCAGTTGCATTTAGTAAGATATTGACCAAAATGCAGGATCTTTTTGATACTGATGGAGCTGTCCAAAGAGAGGCTCCGTGCGCCATGCTCACAGTGATGACCATCCTTTTCCCAGACTGATTCGTGCTTTTTGACAGCAGTGTCGAAGAAGCTCTCACTGTTTCAGGGCTCTAGTGCGCATTTCCATGCCTCTCTGCTCATACTTCCTCTTGGCCTCCTTCTCCTTCAGCTTGTTCTCGGCCTCTTCCCTCCTCTTGCGTTGTTCTACCTGCTGAGTTGCTGTAAGGTCGCGTTTCGAGGGCTTTTTGAACTTGTCACCGTCGATGCCGAAGGCAGGCACGAACCAGGAAGGAACAAAGGGAACTGGTGAAGCTGATTCGACAGCGGTGCTCCTCCACAACACCCAGGTCCAAGTACCGAATTCAGTGTTTGCATAAAGGTAGGCCTGCTTTGCGTTGATGCTGGCGGAGATGTTGAGTTGCTTCTTCTGTGCTGATGTTAGCTTCAGTCGTGCTGCATGAACATGTTGCAGTTGCATGAGGTAGGGGGCTTCAGGGTCACAAGGCTGTAGCCGACTTACGTTCATGATAAAGCATTTGTCGCTTGGAGCATGTGATTTGATCTCATGTAGTAGTTCGACACAAACTGGCTTCCAACTCTGGAGAATCATCAGGAGAGCTTCTCTGTGGGCGGCGTGCTGGAAGTACCAATCGTCATCGTCAAGGTCAGTGACGTTGCCGACGCGCTCGGAGCCCGCCAGGTCGATGTCAACTTGCACGTCGCTGACCTCTTCGATGAGCTTCTGCAAAGATGCGTCAATAAGTAGGGTACGTTGGTCAGTCGTGGCTGGCTGACCACCGCAGAGACGCAGGTAAGTTACCACTTCAACCTGGAACTCGGTCGAGGCACAAGGAGATGAGACAGGGTTATCGTGAGGGAGGTAGTGGCAGTCGGAGAGAACGGCATAGAAGAGGTAGCAGATCGAGTCCAGGTTAGGGTAAGAGCCCATGAAAGGGGGAGGCTGGTACTCCTTCTCAGCCATGATTTGAATCATAAGGTCGCAGGCAGACCTGCTGGCATTGTTATCACTTCCTCTAATCTGTGCGATTGCAGTCCTACAGTCATGAGCCGCCTTAGCCATGCCATCGAGGTCTAGGTCGTAGAAGGCTGTGGTGGACTCCTGTGAGCTTTGCGACTCCGAACCTGAGCTGGGAGAAGACTGTAGGCGGTAGAGGGCAGGTCCTCCAAGGTTCAAGTTGCTAAGCCAGTCGGCGATATCGTTAATCTCCTTGTTGTCGTGTCTGATGTGTGTGAGAAGGAGGATTTTCTGGAAGTTGATGCGAACAATGTCGCCGATGTTGGTAGAAGCGCGTTCGTTGACTATTGTGAAGATCGTGATGAGTACAGGATCTTCGGTCTCCTCAGCATCAAAATTGTCAATATGATACGGCATCGTGACGAGGTATTTGGTTTGCTGGAGTCTTTGCGAAAAGGTTCGCTGAAGGATTTGCTGGAAAGATATGGAAGACTGTCGATGACAAAGGTTTGATGCTGTTGGCGGAATGGCAAGGGAACTTGGTGGAAGACTTGTTGTCGTTGCTTTCGTAGGCGACCGTGAAAGTAAGACAGGATCGTTGTGTGATAGAATGTTCTGACTTCACATGCGCCATTCGGAACATTGGAAACGACAATTGCAAAAAGACAAGCCAACGCTTTGGATCGAACCTTGGACTGTCGGTCCCGTTTCCATGATTTGGCCTGCCACCACTAACACAGCTGTTTCTTATTTAGCGATGATTGAACAAAGACAGGGGCCGTCTGACAGGGTTGAGAAAGGCAAAAAGGTGTCCACGAAGGCAAAACGAAATACCTCTTCAGGCCGATATCCCACCGATAGATACCGCATCGATCGAACGGCTCCCGTCTTTTCGCAGCTCGCTATCCGCTAATATGGTGACAAGATTTAACCATTGCGCCAATGAAGACGTTTTGACAGTTAATTGAACCCTGAACTGGTCACAATATATACTCATAGTTGAATCGAAGTCTTATTTCCTGATCAAATACTGTTGCTGGACTCAGTTGCACGCGCACTGTATCTGAAGGAGACCGAACTACTACGATAGTATCAGAGTGCATAGCACAATCATAGCTGCGGTACTGTGCTATGTGAGAGTATCCGGCCTAATTGAGCTAATCCTGCATGCTTTCATCTCCATCACCACCACTGTCCTCTTTGTAATTGTTCTCGTCATTTCCGTCTTTTCCCGACCCGAACTCCGTTTGTACTTGATTACACACACTCTGCCTGGCCACGACGATCAATTCCGGACCACCATTACGCCGCCGAAGTTCCACCACCTACCCTCTCTGTCTCTTTCTCAAGCGAATAGACAGGTCCTTCTTGGCTGCCTGCTCCTCCGGCGTTCTCATTGGCAGCTTTCTCTTCTTGTCCTTGGACGTCTTCACTACTCTCTGCAAGGCCGCCGAAGGCAACAGAGGAGGCAGGTCGTCGGGCTCAAAGGCAGGCATGTACAGCAGAGGAACATAGGGCACCTCCGACGCCCTTTCTGCCTCCTCTGTCTGCCAGATGGCCCATGTCCAGGAGCCATGACGATCATTGGCATGAAGGTGGCGCTGCTTCGCCTTGATGGCCCAGAAGATCTCGATCTGGCGTGTCTGTATACGTTAGCCTGCTCTTGGTATTGTGTGTGCCCCTTTTGTACACCGTGCAGCTATCCCTGGAACCTGTGCTCTCAACTATATATCCATCCAAATGCAAGATCATTTTCGAGAGAGTGTGAATGTCCAGTGAGAGACTGTTGACCCACCGTCTCTCAGTGGCAAACGTAGCATTACTCAATAACTTTCTGCATTTTGACAAGCATACCAAAAGGCGCGCTGGGCGAAGGGGATGTTTATGAACTTACATGCATGATAAAGCATTGGGCAGTGCGGGCAGCTGTCTTGAAAACGTCGAAAGTTCCAGGGCTAACCTTTTCCCAGCTTCTAGGAGCCATATCCAGGTGTTCGATTTGGGCAGCGCACTGGAATCGCCATCCTTCAACCTCTTCCTCGGCGGGAAGGTCATCCCAGTCGTCAAAGCCACCTTCCTGCAAGGTAGGGATGCTTTCCAGATAGTCGTACACGTTGCGAACAATTTCAATGAAGTCGTCGAAGGTAGTGCTGATGTCGCAAGGGTGAGGAAAGGAACTGGCAGGTCGGCCGCCGGCGAGGTAGAGAAAGTCTACGAATTCAAGCACGACATCGGTAGGCTGGTGGTCGGGAGTGGGTAGGGGAGCGCGACGGTAATATTCGGCTGATGTTGCAGCATAGAGGGATAGACAGAGGTCGTCCAGGTTGCTTTGGTGGCCGCAGAAGGGTAATGGAGTGCAGTTCAGCTCCTCCAGCTTTGCTTTGATGATGGTTTCGGCTTTCGCCATAGGCTCTTCGTAAGCGCGGCAGATGTTTTTCCTCAATTCCATGCATCTTTTGGCGAGCAGCTGCGTGCGGGTATCTTCGTGATCTCGTCTGGTGTGTCTCTGACCCACGGGAGTAGTTGGTTCTTCATCCGGAGTGGTATCGCCGGTCTCTGTGAAGTTCAAATCACGAAGGATTTCTGCTACATCGGTTCCGTCTCTGTCTCTCAATGCTTTCAGGTGGAATATCTTGTGGTAGTTGGCGCTGATCAAGCAGGTAATATGCACAGGGACGTGATTTGCCAAAAAGAACTCGCTGGTGGTTCTCTGCGTGACTGGGTCATTGCTGGCGCGTGACTCGAGGTGATCTTGCGTGTCCATAGTTGAGTGCGACACTGGATTGCTCGTGATTGTAGAGGATGGCGAGGGCAAAGGTTGAATGCACAAAGGCTTGGTTTTTCAGAGAGGAAGTGAAGTGTGTGTGTGTGAGATCGTGCAGCCCGCGAAAATGCGCGCTTCGCGCTGTGTTGACAATATTGGTCTACAGGCTGTGTGCTTGTGTATTAATTCGGTGCAAAGCGAGTTTGATCTTGGCTGACTTCCAAGATCACGGATCACGGAGCTTTGATCAAGCCGTGCAGCCGCAAGGGCAAAAAGATTAGCTACCGCAGGGATTTGATCCAGGGGCAATTGGTTCACTGCCGCCAAAACGCAGCTTTCGACCGTCACGTATATTACATACAGGGTGCAAAAAAGGGGGGCGAGTTGGTAATCGCAATGTTGGATTGCGCTTGGTGTATGTGCGTATAGACCTAATTAGCAGTGTAATCATACCTCTTGCACGATGCTCAGTCGAAAAGAGCAGACCTTTTTTGGGAATTGCCATGGCATGCTTCTTTGTAAACTACCAGGATGTCCGGACTCCAGTCCGGAAACGTCAGCATTGCCCACTGCGCCACAGAACCAACTCTATGCTCATAATTCAAATCTTATCAATATGTTTCCAACATCAAGCTGCGCAATCACACGATCTCTCCTAGACGCGACTCTCCGCCCAACTCCCGCCACATCATCTGCCTGCAGACATGCGCAGAGGTAAGGGCGGACGTTGACACTCTTACAAGCATCTGCGCACACGACACTGCCAATGTACCTACGACACAGCGATGTGACCAGCACGGAGCTTCCTTGCGAAGACTCACCAACGAGCAACGAGGTCCTTCGAAGCTGAATAGATCAACACTGAGGGCGGACAGTCCACACACCGTCTTTGAAAACACCTGCGGTTCTCAAAACCTTCATTACCTTTCGATGGTCTTGCAGTTGCTGCAGCTGTTGCGAGGTGTCTCGGCCTCGTCGCTGGCGCAGCATATTGTGCAGCTTCATCTTTGACGGTCGCATACCACCCCAGCTCAGGTGGTACATCGTTGCAACAAGAGACGCGTCGGGAACCAACAAGCACTCGCCATACCAGGAGACGCAGAGAATATCAGACCAGCGGCACGATGCAAGCATTCGAGATAGGCAGCGACAAGAAGGTTCACCACCAGCCTCCCAATGCCTTTCCTTCTCTTACTTTCATTTCAACAGACAAAGAGATGACAGACGTACCTTTTTGCCACCAACCGCCGCGATACCCCGACCTCGCTCCTTGTCTCGATCACATCGACCCCAATAACCCCAAACGCTTCCATCTCTTTCGTTGTCCTCAGAAGCTTGTGAAAGAGCAAACATACCCCTTTAGCAGTCACACACCCATTCTCCCAGCCACCGCATGCTGTTTGCTCGTCAAGCGAGGCCATCGCTCAAGCCACACATCAGTCAGAACCGTCAGATTACCTCAACCACCACCGGAGATTTCCCACGCCTTCGAATATACCAATCGCATCATTGTCGTTTACTATGGTCAAACAAAGGAAGAAAGAGCAGGAGGTGAAGTTCAAAGTTCCGCCCCACATTTTCCTTCTTCTTTCGAGACACTTTTGTACCGAGATTTCCCCATCCGTACTGTTCTATCGATGGATGTACAATGGATGCATAGGTGTTTGCTATCGGAGAAGTATATATAACTAATCAAATATATTGAGATGATGTATCGGTGTGCACTAGACGTGTCCGGACGTTGCTTGTGCTACCCGTGTATGTTTCGCAATTGCTCCCATAGCAAAACTTCTGCTTCAACGATACACCTCGGTGAATGAACCTTTGTCAGTGGTCGATAATGCCCAGCGTGATCACAACGGCCCACCAACTCTTATCGGCCATCGAGCTATAATCAACAGTGTCTGCAGTTTGACATGCAAATCATAAAGCTATTCAGCCATTGAGGAGCTGACCTTGCTGAGGTCGTTACGGAAGAACTTCGGAGTTTGGAGCAAGAAGAATATGGGGCAGCTTTTCCCAACCTCACTTCCTCCTCTTTCCCTTTTTATCTGTAACCACATCATACTGCTTGTTGATAGGATATAGATCGAACATAACTCAAACTTTGCGAGATTAATCTGTTGGCCTCTTTCGCTCATCTCGGGCATCCACGTCTCTAAAAACAGCCGAGGCTACAAGAATGCACAATGTTTCAAGAGCAGTGTAATCGTCTACAGAGATGCGATGCACAGCGTGCTCTCTCAGGGGATGATCTCTAACCCAGAATCTAGTTTTGCGTTCTCATAACTACACCTGCGCGTCGCCAGTGTACAGGAGCAACGGACTTTCTCATAATGTTGTTACAACTTTGACTGCCCCTGGCTGTTCCTTCTGGCTACTACTTGCTGCGTAGCGCCAGCTTGAGCTGAGTTCTCCTCTTCTTCCTTTCCTTCCCCTTCTCTTTCTTGATGGCCTGTTGCTCCTCCTTGGATGGGCCCTGGGGTGGGTGGCGAGGTGTCGACAGCACATTCATGATGCGACTGCCAGGGGTAATCACTGGGCCATCGGCGGCGGGCAGGAACTCGGGGGCAGGAGGGGCAGGAGGGGCGGTGAGGCTGGAATGCTCATTCAGAGCCCAGGTGTTCCAGTACTTTGGGCCATTGTTGGCCTTTTCCTCAATGCGTGCCGGCATCCCTAGCTGGTACTCCTGTGAGAGGTTAGTCTGGAGCTGCTTTCTCAAATACTACACAGCTGACTGGCGTGATGGTGAGAGGAAAGGCAGGGAACGCCCGAAGGTGTAGGCAGGGTTCAGTATGTACTGGCTATTTCCCATTCCCACGATATGTTGTTGGCCACCATCAAAATGCACGATGTTTTCCTTTGTAGGTCGAATGTCCATTGGGAGTGCTTGATTGCTGGTCCAGCTCGGCAGCTTCAATGGACATTGTACCAGCATGGAAGATCATCGTGCATTTTGATAGGGTACAGCACGACAAGCTCGGTGAGCTTGAAGACGAAAAAGATGTGGAAAACTTACGTGGATCAAGAAGACATGCTTGTCTTTGATTTTCATCAATGCTTTGTAGTTGCTCTCGTCGACAACTTGCCACGCGTCCCTCTGCAGCTCGAGAGACTCCATGTCTGCTGCGGCCTGCGACAACCAAACGCCACGCTCCTTCTGCTGGTGGGTCAGGTATCCTAGGCGCTCGGGCTGGCCCCTGCGACCACTTGCGAGGGTATCTAAAACCTTCTTCATGAAACCGGAAAAGGTGACGTAGTTCAAGGTAGAGAAATGCCAGGAGTTTGCGGGTTTTCCGCCGATGAGAGCAAGGTGGACGATGACGTTCATACGAAAGCGGTCTCCAGGAGGAAGCAGTTCTGTGACGGGGCTGGCTTCGTAGGTGGAGTCGGACGTCATGGCGATGAGAACGCCGGCGAGGTCGTCGACGCTTCTCTTGTTGATGACGGGTGGTATGTGGTAGCCGGTGGAATCGATGATCCTCTTGTAGGTTGCGATGACCTTCTTCTCGATCTTCCGTTTCGGTAACCGACGCAGTTGTTCAATGCAATCGCGAATGATATTCTCGAATTCGGTGTGTGGGGGAGACAGGCGTGCACTTTCGTCGGACTGCGCCAGGCTCACATTCTGCAATAACGAGGCAAGCTGAACGTCTTGGATGTCGCTGGCCTGAGCTTTGTGGATTGTGGCTAGCTTGATGAAGTTGATTTTGGTGTAATGGATAATGGCGGGATCTTCTGCGCATCCGCTGACGACTTCAAGGATCTGCTCATGGACTGGGTCTCTGCCGAATAGCTTTTCCAGATCGCTGCCGTGTGCCAGGAGGCTGCCGTCGAGCTTTATCAGGGTGCGAGGGTCTGCGTCCGAAGAGTCCATGATGAGTTAAGGTGACAGGGCGCGGTCGACGGCCAAGGCGCGCACAATTTGTTGGGTCGAGAGAGAATCAAGATTGGCGGAGGAAGATAGCGTGTTGTTTTAGTCACGAATGTTGACGTCGCGAACAGAGACGGGCTTTGACGAAGCGCTCTCACGGTTGGAACGCCAAACTTCCGACTCGCGATGGCATACAAGAAGAAAATCAAGATAACACCGTTCCGATGAGACAACGTGCAATTAAGGCATGACACATGGATACAAACTCAGACGACAATCAATTCAGGTCGCTGAATGCTCGAGAAACGAACGATGGAAAAGTGGAACATCTCGAAAAAGTGCAAAAAGAATGATCAGGTCTGGGATCGACCAGAAGTCCTGTCAAATCTGACCGTTCGGCGTGGTGGCCCTATCTATGTGTGGGAGCCTCAGCCCTACTAGACCATGTAGCTTTTCCATTGATACGGCTCTCATCCTAAGGAACTATATTCCCCCCCTCCCTCCGTGGCGGGAAAGTACTTGGCAACAATTTCTGTTCTTTATCAGGCAGTGCCCGCAGCAACATGGTTAGTTGTCAGAGCGGCGAACCAGTTAACGCGCTATCCTACATGGGATTTTTGTCACCACCCTCCATCACCCCCGGAGCCTATGGTTCCAGCACATGCCATCGTGGCATCGTCTTGGCCCAATCACCACGCATCTTTAAGGATGATAATGCAATACATTCTCTCTGCCCATCGGCAGGTTGCACAAACCCAGGACAGAAGTGAACAGAAACGCGCTTGCGGCACACATAGGCGTGTTGGTAATGTCATAAACATTATGTGCTCCTTTGACCACGATGATTCAGGATTCCCGTGTAGTGAGTATGGGATTCATGTGTCTACCACGCTCGACTGGTATCCCGCCTAGAGAGAAGCCAGAACACACAAAGTGATCTGGCGAAAGGAGAAACAAGGGAGTCTTAGATCGGATCAGGTACCTCAGCTTATCGCGGCGCCTCAAACATCTTGTGAGACGAACGCCTACACCACTTTGGTTTTAGTGACCGAAGGTTTGATCAACCATATAGCCACGCTATGACTATCTTGACTTGGTCACAATCACGTCTCAGCCCCTGAATAAATGACAGCACTCATAAATGAGCGTTTGTGCCAGTACGGAATTCTGCCACTGACATTGAATTCGAACACTTACCTTGGAGGTTTACAATTCGTGTTCCAACCTCACAGATACTCTTATCCAAGCTGCTGCAAAAAGACTGGTAAGTATTTTGACTGGCAGAATGATGATTCTCATGGGCGGGTGTATTCTTATATATCTGCACCTTCTTAGATATGCAGTAGATGAGGCAGGTCCAACTCAAGCGCTTCCCTGGCTATGCCTTCCTCAACACCGGCTGGCAATGTCATTTGCTGGCGGTCAACTTTGACCACTTGCCATCAACCATCCATATCCCATTACCACATCCACTTTACTACCCACATCTCGTCCAGCACTACGTCAACTACTGGGATCTACGTATCCGTGTCTTGCTACCGTGTCGGATTTGAAGAAGAAAAAGAAGAAGAAGAAGAAGAAGAGGACAGTCAAGTCTGCCCAGCCTAATGAACTTTTATCATGCCTAGAGGAAAGCTAAGCAGCGACCATCATGATAAATGTTGCTGACTAGATGCAGTCTCCTGATGGAAACCTTTCTGGCATCCATGTACCTGGTCATGGTCAGACTACCGGTTCTCTACCAGTCTGACGGCTAGATCCCCACGGCACTTCATCGCCGAACCTCAAACGCCCTCACGCCGAGATAGACGGTTACGACACCACAGACAGTTCAATACAGGTCTTACTAGAAGGCATCGGTGCTTCTTCTAGTAAGGTGTACATAAACACAAGCGATGCTACCATCATCAACGCCCGTTGCTACCTAGGCCATATACTGCCTCATGGGAGGCCAAGCCAGAGCGAGACAGACTATCCGGACTTCTGCCAATACGTGGATTAACGCCGTCATGTCAGGCGATGAAGACACGATCAAGAAGGCGGTCTACAAGATGAAGGCTTCTGGAGAAGTTAAGCACCAAGACAAACTGTCGAAAGCTTCAACTGCAGAGGCTTTGGAATGTGGAGTTGCTATCAAGGATCTGTCAATGAATACTGTCCTAGCAATTCGAACCAACCTCGAACTCGCGCCGATAAACGAACTCCAAAAGCGTTCGAAAGTCATCATGAAGAAACATCTGCCATATCTGCTCGGCAAAAGGGCCAACTTAGTTAAGTGTTCCAGCGCACCCTTTCTACCACAACGTTCCAAAATGAGCTTTAATACCACGCATTGACCGCTTGTCTTTTCTTATCGTCGAGCTTAGTCAATCATCGAGCAGTCGTAATGTATGTTGGAGCTCACATGCTCTGGCATGACAATGCGACTTCTTCTTTGCACATCGCTGGATGGACCAAACGTTCATCCTTGTCCCTTGAAAGAGATTCTCAGCATGTTTATGTTTCTACAAGCAATTGAATAGTCGTGCATTAAGGTGGCTGATGGGTAGTTATTATACAAAGGGCTTGTCAACAAGACACAAGAGCTTCAATTTGTGAATAATTGTCTCCTTGTGCTCGAGTTCTTGGTTAGCTTCTGCCAATTGCACAATTGTGACGTGCTCGCTTAACTACTATTCATCGTATGGACGGATAGACTACCTTGGAAGACATCTTGGACCTGTAAATGGTCACTAGAAGTGCTCGTCGTCCCATGTGATTGGTCTGTTTTGTCGACAACGAAGTGGTCGACCGTGTGACCCTGGCTATCAAGCCCCTGAAAGCGTTCACAATCAACACAGTCCACATTACTTGGAGACGGCACATGGCAGCACAGCAGTAGAGTGGAAAAATATCAGGGTAAAAGTACAGATTTTGGTGTTACACATCATAGGTAAGCGTCATTGCTCATGGATATTTAGATCATCGCGAGTTTCCTTCATCTCCCGACCCCACGCGAGCAGACCGAATCTCCAGAATGATCCATAAATCGAAAAACGCCCATGCAGTATGAGCAATTTATCACTAGAGTGCTCGGCAGGTCTCTACTTGAAGTCCTCTGGGTTGTATAGGCACGATTCGTAAGCAGATGCCAGCACTCCGACACCTTCAACATTCTTATAAGCCTCGCTGAGATCGTCTATTTTACGCCTTGCTGCCAAATCGTACATCTGCCACTGAAGATCGTGACTGAAGTGACTGTTAGCTTGCTCCGTGACTCTGGAGTACTGCATGTTGGCCTTGTCGAACCCATCGTTGTGGGCGTGAGGTGGCGATTGGTCATTCATGGCTTCTTCGAAGAGAGCGGTTTGCTCGGGAGTGGACGGTCTACGAGGGGCGATGAGACGAATTCTGGTTGGCTTGGCGACTGGCAAGGTAGGAGCAGGTGTGGCTGACTTGCGAGGACGGCCACGAGCGCGCTTGAGAGTGTCGGTGTCGGCAGCGACGTGCGTAGGACGGGCTTGGGTGAGCCTGTGCATCAACTGCTTGCGAAGGCTCTGAGTCGGATGATTGTCATCTGTGCCTGCGTCGCTCGCCTCGAAGTCTTCTTCCTCGGCGCCGAGGGTGGCATCGGGACTTGGTAGCCTGATACCTCTCGCAGCCCAGTAGAGATGCATCTCATGCGAAGGTGCAGCAACCACACTGTCGACATACTTCAGATCTTTCAAGCGCTTGTACTCAAAAGCAGTCCGGCGAGCAATAGGTGGCAGTCTCGGTACGACTGGGGGTGTCCAAATAAACCAGCCAGGGGGAACATCGTTGGGCTCAGTTGGCTGTAGAGATGCAAAGCCACGAAAGGGTTGAGTCTGGACAATTGCGTTTGAGCTTGCGGAAACCCGAGGTTGTGAGCCGATCGGCAGTGAAGAAGCGGTTGGCGATTTGGGCAATGGATAGGCATGAGACCAGACCATTGCGGGCATCTCACTGGGCTCGGTACGGATGATCCTATTGCACCAGGCCTCTTCGTCAGGGTCTTCGACATTCTTGGTCGGGTCGAAGATGTCGGAGATGATTGGCATTGTCAATTCTAGAGTGTACTGGCGGAACCAATAAGCTCTGAGGTAGTAGAGAGCTGCTCGCACTTTTGCAGAGAACGACACAGTAGTTGAGCCATTGGTTCCACGGTGCAGCTTTGCAAGGGAAGCAGGAGCCCCCCCGCTGAACAGCCATTCGGTGTAGAGACGCACATAGGTGGAGTTTTGATGATGGCAGTAGGGCTTCGGGCCAGGCTGGCACTCATACTCACACCTGAGTCGGAAGGGTCTCAAACCGGGCGGCATTTGAGCTTTGAACGGGCGAGAATCTTCTTTCCAAGGGGGCGCGAACATGAACAGGAAGAAAAGCGAACCAGGGATTGAAGAACATGTATAGCGAGGATCCAAACGGCACAGCATGTAGAGCCTGACGGTATCCGATGGCGCGCTGGGTATGCCGGTGAAAGGGTCGTTGAAGATTGGAACATCGGGCTCATCAAATTCTGACGATCGAAGTTCAGGGAAGAAGTGCCCAAAGGGTAGACCAGTGAGGCGGTCGAGACGTGTAACATCACGAGGAGGCGGTTTCGCGGGAGTAGAAGTGGATGGGCTGATGAGGGCTCCGGGAAGCGACTTTGAAGAAGGCGAGCCTTCCATTTTGCCGCTGCTATTGTTTTGGTGAGGCGGAAGGTGCGATGCTGCGCCGACTGACGATCAGAGGCAAGTGCTGTCAGCTTGAACGCGCTTGCAAGTTGTGATGATGCGCAGGCGAATCTGAAGAAACAACACCGAGTAGAGGGCCGCAAAGTCTTGACCAGAGCGCAAGAGAGTTGGCGACCAATCTTCAAGCCTTTTGAAGTGAGTGACAGCAAGCGCGCTTTTTGAGACACCTGTGAGATTCTTGGAAGAATCTCGAACGACATGCGCAAAACTATTACCGGCGAGACTGGAGCCGGTCATGAAAGAACATGCACGAATGGAGATACATAATGGAGACGAAATCTGTCATCAAAACTGGGCACTTCTATTCCGTTCCCTAACGAATCCGATAGGTTACGAAGCGGAATCCTTCTTTTTCCTGAAAAAACCAACACTAAAGAGAATAGCATCTGCACCCACCGTGGCAGAGATTGGAGAGGAGATTCGAGAACGGAACCTTGTAATTCGAGAAAAGTCGCTGTAAAAGAGTAAAAGAAGATTGATCCGTGACGCCTTGCAATGCCCAACCCGCGGTTCTTTTTGCTTCTACTGTACACATGTGAGGAGGGGGAGGTCGGGTCGAGGAAGGAGGTGATGATCATGAGAAAGTCATGACTGCAGGTCTAGAAGGAATGTCCTGACGGCGGCATGTTCGGCTTCAGGACCTGGCAAGATTATAGAGCGGAGGAGATACAGAAGTCTAGATCATCTGGCGAACGAACTAGAAAGAAGAGCAAGTCAGTATTTTGCCTGAAGTTCAAGAGAGGCTGTGCAAACTCACAGTCCAGGCACCAGCAGTACCAGCTACAAGACCGCCAGAGATCATCATGGGTCTGATTCCCTTGGTGCTCTTGAAAAGCATTCCGCTCAAGGCACCAGCAGCAATGCTGTTGGCAGCGTCGTGCTGACCACGGTAGTGGCCGATGAAGGAGTTGAAGCCGTTGTAGACCATGGCGATAACACCAGCAGAGTTGCCTAGGAAAGGACCGCGACGGGTGATGGCGTTCAGTGCCGAGTTGAGACGAAGCTTTGGCGGCGAAGATGCTGGCAATCTGTTCAGACCCTCTGCAAGACCCCAGGCACCACCAACAGTCAGACCAGCGAGGTATGTAACGCCAGTACCGTAACACAGGTCGTCGGACCAGCCGCGCGACGGAAGAGCACTGCGGTTACCGGGCAGCTCTGACAGCGCTTGATCGTCGAGCGAGAGATAATCGAGAGTGTCCTGGTTGAGGCCAGCGAGAGGATGTAGTGATGCTGGGTCGAAGGCGCCGGGGGTGTTGAAGAAAGAGTTGACGTCCTGGGCTTCGAATTGAGGTTGCGACGATGTCGTCACGGCCATATCTTGCATGGGCGCATCCTGCGGAGATTGCTCTGCTGTCTTGCGACCGGTGAAGGAGTCCCAGATACCCATTGTGGTAGTTGTAGTATGTGAGGTTGGTGAGCGATAGTGTTGCTTGTCGGCGTCCGTTCACGGCGGCGAGGGCTGTCTGACGAAACGATTTTTTGGACAAGCTTCCAGGTCCTCCGGAACTTTCCACTTCCATCCAGATCCATGCCAAGCCCTGACTTTGGCTGGGTATACCACTCCAGGTCAACATCAACATGATTTCGCACACTATATCTTGTACACGACACGGCCAATCATAGTCACTGCCCCGCACATCACGCCTGTTTGGACTTCGTCAAAGGCGATTGTGATATGCATGTCCACCTCTTGAAAAGACTGATCTGTACTATAAGAAACTCGACTGACCAAGCTGCTCATACCACGAGCAACAGTCTCGTCTAGACGGAATATTCATGGCAAGGTCGCGTTGCTTTGTTAGGAGCGACTCATCAACGACAGTGAGTTCCTGTTGGCTGACCACGTGCCTGCACAGTTACGAATTCACCACCCAAGTCGTTGCCTTCGTTGAGTCTGTCAACATCTCGTGATGGCTGATACGCGAGTTACTCGATTGATGAAAAGAGGCTTTGAGACATGGCCTTTCGGAAATTAATACACGATATCGCAAGATTTGCAAAGCTCTGACAAGCCATCTTCAGACCCTGACATGTGATAGTTATACAACAGACAAGTTTGTTCCTCCACCCACTCATCAAGACTTTGGATGGCTGGGTCTTTGGCGTCTACTGCGATGCAGCGAAAATCATGATGCTACGGCATATCATCTATGCACCGCTCGCAGGCAAGAAACATGCTCGGTATCACAACTACGAACGCTCACTACTTTGCTGAGGCTTGCCAGTGGTCTGGATAAGAAAGCCGTATTCGACAATAAGATGTGGGGTAACAGAAGATTGCGTGCCGCTGATTTTGTTCACTTGCGGTAGAGAGCGGGGGCGACCGCGTAGTAGCGCTGTTGATGGGGGTCGAGGAAAGGTGAGCAGACGACGCCTCTTATGATGGGCGCTTCGCTACAAGAGAGATCGACTCTGTCCGGCGAAGTGCTTGCCGCCTTGTGTAGCATCGCGTGGTCTTCACATGCCAACAGCGTGGAGGGGACAACCATCTCAAGACTGACAGAAGCACGACATGTTCGGTACAAGCGTGAATAGTACCAAAACTCGAGCATCAAACGATCAATATATCCAGATAGGTTTCACGGTCACGGACAAAGACATCGGAGTTGGTTAGCGAGAGCCTCCACTACCGTTGTGGAGCAAGAGCCGCCGGACAAAGCGTCTCCCAATCGCAAGCTCCATCACGAATTGATCACCACAATTGACCATCTTGTCGAGGGGACATTCGACGAGTCTTGGTGATGTTGAAGCATCATCATGCATCATGGCAGCCGCTAGGCGAAAAGAAAGGAACAAAAGTCGCGCGCTGGGAGGGTGCAGAAGGCGTACATGATGCATGGCTCGGTTCAATTGATTCCTGTCTTGGGTCTGACAGCCTCGGCGCGGCATTCTTGTAGCATTGAGATGAGCATGAACATCAAGCAGAGACAGATAGCTGCAAGCCCGCGACACAGGTTGAGATTAGATTGACATGCTGACAGAGAAGCTACCGTGACGGGGAGGCAGCGTTCGATATCAACACGGATGGCATCTTGTTGGGAGAGCGCGCGCGGCCAAGGGTGGAGGATGGAAGAAAAGGAGCCGGCAAACCCGCAACCGCAAATTGATGGAGCTGCCTTCCTTGAAGGAGGAACTTCTCATTTCGGCTGAGAATCGGGTCCAGCCGCCCGTCGTCTCCCTCGAGCGCACCGCCGAAGCAGCCCACGCCCACCAAAGGCTCTGATGATCCTCTTTTGATTGAATCCCACTCTTCCTGGCCTTGACCACGTCTCCCTTCTCCTCCTCCCTTTCTCTAGAGATACCCATCCCTCGAGGACAAGACTCGACGGCCCTTTCAGTCATTCCTTTTGCGCATAGTCTGGTAAGTTCCCGAAGCGTGTTTCCTGTTGTTTTCAGTCTTTTCTCCCCACGTCTCCCTTTGTCAAGGAGGAGGAAAAAATTGTTTAGGGTTTCAATGAAAGAGGGCGACGCTCGGGCTAGAAGCGGTGCACGCGGGCTTTGACTTTTTTAGCATGTCGACACCAACTTGGCCCGTTGTGCAGACCAGCGGCTTTGCTCTCAATCTTCCGCCATAGTTGTCCCTACTGTTTGCTGCTGCTGCTCTGCGACTTCGTCCGGTCCGTCGGTGTCAATCCCACTGTCCTTCCTTGCTGCCCTCGCCGTCGCCTGCTCTCAATTGCCCTCCTGCCACTCATTTTCATTCCTTGGGCCCTCGACCAAACTAACGGTAGCCGTTCAACAGTTCGCGTTTTTCTGCCCCCTTCGAATTTCTCACGACTCGAGTCTTTGCGATCCGGCAGTTACTTCGAACCACGACCTGGACTTCTGTACATAGTCAGCCTCGCAAGACACTCACATTGTTATAGCCGCCATGTCCGCCTTCTACGAGCAGAACCAAGCGACCGCTGCCACTGGTGCATGGCCTGCACCTGGCCGCCAGTCTTCCTGGGAACAGCCTGCCCCTCCTTCGAGATCCGGTTAGTAACCGCAACTACTCGTCGACCGAGGACGTATATCTGAGACATTATTCGCAGGAACCGCTTCCGCTTCGAGAGACGAGTCGGCCGCTTTCAGCTCCCAATTCGAAGGTGCGTCAAAGAAAGAGATGGCTGTCCAACAAGAGGCCAATGCCCTGGAACATGAGGTGGAAGATGCTCCAAAAGATGGGGATTGGCTCTGATGGATAGGTCACAAAGACTTGGAAACGGAGTGGCAGCTGACAGGATACTGCAGAGATTGAGCGTGCTACCGACAACCTCGTCAAGAGCGGCAAGTGGATGGCTGGCGGAGCACCGCAGTACAACAGCCGTCGTGAGTCCATGCCTCCCATGATGATGGGCCGTGGCTTCAACAATGCCGAATATGGTGAGTCTCTTGCCCATACCAAAGCTGCTTCATGCTTACAATTGGATGTAGCTGGATCCAAGTCCAACTCCCCCGCTGGAGGCCCCGGACAGACACGTCACCACTCGGTTAGCGAATACGACGGTATGCGATCCAACTCGGCAGCAGGCCTCCAAGGCTACTATGCGTCGCAGCGTTTCGCACCTCGTCAAAATGAGGCAGAGCAGATGATGCAGGCCAAGCGAAGGATGGCTGCGCAAAGAGAGAGGGAGCTTCGCAACTATCACCAGGAGCAGCAATACAACAGGAGTAAGAGCATCGCAGAGCAGCCTTAGACAATTAGAATGGCAAGTTGATTTCCGCCTACAGACACTTCCGCCCAAGGCCCCAAGCCCGACCGCGCCCTGAGCCCTGCTGCTGCTGCCACAACCATGAGTGAAGACGAACGCCGCGACCTCATTGCCCGCCAGCACCGTGCTCTCTACGGCAACGAATCCGCTCTGTATCCCACTCCTGAGGCTGCTGCCGCTGCCGCTGCAGCTGTTCGCCGTGCCTCGCAGGATGTCAGAGGTTCCATCTCTGGTGATGTTAGAGCATCTATCTCTGGAGCTTCCAGAGGTGGTGCCTCGCCTCTGGCTTTCGATCCTTTCCACGGCGAGCCTGCCGTCCAGATGCCTCCTCGTGATGGCGTCATGCTTCCCAAATCTCCTAACAGTGCCTCGTCTCCTCAGTCAAACCCTACCACTTTTGGCAGTCTGCTAGGTGAGACTCAACAGTCCAGCCGTACTTCGGTCTCTTCCCCGAGCGGCTCTCCCCCTCTTGGTCAGGGCTCCAAGGCTGCCGCGGCGGCACCCATCGGCACTCGTCCCGTATCCAACGCTGCGCAGGCTACTGGTCTGAACAAGCGTTCAACCACTCCCCTGCCCTCGCCTCTCAGCTTTGGCTTCAGTGCCAACGAGCAGGCTAGAAACGAGCGCTCGACCTCTGCTGGCCCCAATGGCTCCGTAGCTGACAAGGGAGTCAGCCTTGGCTCCTGGGGCTCCAACAGTGGAGTCTGGGGCTCTGCTAAGAACAGTCTCGGTGTCCAGGCTCCTGTCTGGGGCTAGGCTATGATCATGTTTCTACGCATTACTAATCCTCTCGACTTGTAAGAGGTATGCCGGAGTCTGTTTTTCTTTCATTTTCTTTCATCATCGTCTTATTGCATGATGGGTCATTGTTTTCACGCACGGCAACAAATCATCAAAACCGGAAAAGAAGGGTGTCTTCTGTGGGTTCATCTTGAGTTATACCCCGTTCATGCATCAAGTTGTGGGATTGGGCCATTCTTATCGACACGAGATGAACGACTGGGAGGGTCGGGAATTTGCAGTGATGTTCAGCAACTGCGACAAAGGCCCTCTTGTTCGGTTCTCGTGTATTGTGGAGTTAGTTTCTGCCATGTCAGATTGTCGTTGGACGGTGGATGGTGGTTGTTGCTACTGTAGGCTCCTTGCTATGACAGCAGGACATTAGCCTTCAGACATGTTTCTTCTTTCCTTTCAGGGTTGTCGGGTGGTTTGGTCAAGGGAAATTGGGGTTGGATCGGAGTCTTGATTCACTACAAAGGGAATGGACGGGTGGTTGTATGTGTCATGGGTAATTTGTAGGGACGCATAACACAGGATAGGCAGGGTGATCGTTGTGTTTATCTCGGGTTGTATCACAAAAAGCATATTTGGCTGGGACATGTTTCTGCTGTGACGTGAAAAGCAGTTGCAGTGAACTGTGGAGGGGTCTCTTGTTCCCCAGAAAGTGCAGGAGCGACTGGCGGTGGCCGAGGGCGAGAAAGGGCAGGAGCTCCCGCCAAGCGTTCAGATTGGCATCCGTGCACAGACGGGCCTGGGACGAACAGCTGGTGTCTTGAGGGCGTGGAGAGAGCAGGAAGCTTTCGACAGCACAACGACAACCTCGACTCCCATCAATTGCTGTTCTGACTCAATAGTCGCACTTCTTTACATCCGGCCCTCCTCGCGACACAGCTGCGACCTCACACTTGTCTTCCAACACTCGTCACATCTCAGCCATCATGGTAGGCCCACCTCCTTATTCGCCCATCGAAGGCTACAGTCAACATTTGTCCTCGCTGGAAACTGCTGCGCATCTGTCTATCGCCGTACCAATCCATTCGAGAGCTTTGGAAAAGGATGCAATGAGCGATCGTATAGGATGAGAGCGACAGCAGTCTGGCAGGGATACATGACACTGTCCCCAATCAATCACACGACTGAACTACTTCACCTTCTCGAAGCTGTCTAACACAATCGCGTTCAATAGTCGTCTCCTCGTGCATCCTCTCCCGTCAACGCCGCCGCCTCGACCGGCTCTACCACAGCCCGCGCCGCTTCTCCCAGAGCCCCAGGCGGTCCCGCAACTGCCATCCGCAGAAAGGCTGCCGCTGACCGCGCCGACCGCGCCGCCAATGTCAGACCCAGCAGCACTCGCGCCGCTGGTGCTGGTGGCAGCAGCAGCACCATGCTGAGACTTTACACCGACGAGTCACCCGGCCTCAAGGTCGACCCCTTTGTCGTTCTCGTCCTCTCCGTCGGCTTCATCATCTCAGTCGTCGCACTACACAGTACGATCTCTCTGTCTACCAGTCGCAAGCAAGAAAGAAAATTACTGACATGCGACTCCCAGTCCTGGCCAAGGTCACCAAGAAGTTCTCCTCGTAGACACATACCCCTTCTCAGTTTCGTGCTTTAGCGATACCGATCTTGCCCTTTTTCTGTCTGTACTCTTCCACCTTTTCTTGTATTTCCAATACGGTCGGCGTCGAGTTTTTCTTATTTGTGCTGGGATGGAAAGAGAGAGAAAAGTCGTCTTTACACCAGATTCCTTCGCCCAGGTTGCTTTATTCCCTTTTTCGATATCAATGAATACCAGATCTTCATCGTGGAACACGAATCTAGTCGCATCTTGATGGCGTTACTCCTCCGACTCGGTTGGTCAGCGAAGCATCCTCATCTTACATGCCAATTGACAGCATGTCAGAGTGTCTCAACTATGGAATGATACAACGACATTCTTGTCTTGATGGCGGTGCAAATTTCGGCCCTTCAGCGGATGGCCATGATTTATCCACAGTTTTATCCAAAGCCGGGTCTTCGTTATCGCTGGATCATTGTGCCGGGAAGCCCGTGGGGTTCCTCGAGATGCGGGCCGAGTTTTGGCTAAAAGACCACCCCACTTTGTTTTGGAACCCGGCATGCCCCTCCATGAGCCGCATCCGTTGTTAAGATGTCTCCGCCAGCCTACCCGGGTAGAAGTCTGTTGCGTATCCATCGGAAGAATGTACGATCTTCTTGCTCGAAGACAAACGGGTGAAGGAGGAGACGGGAAAGCAATCTGGCAGTTGATTGTGGGACAAAAATGTAGGCAGGCGCCACCAAGGTGCATGCAATCTTTCTTGAAGCTCGACTCTGATTTCTCTTTCTTCTCCAGAAAATCGAAAGTGACATCTACTCCATCTTTTCTCTCTTCCCGCCTAAAGTCGAAGGACCGCTTTGTCCACCACACTAAAACCTACATTGTACGCTGCCGCCGTTGGCTGCCAGGCAAAGACCATGATGAACGTGCTCAAGCCATTTGCACGGTAAGTGTATGAGTGTGCCATGTTTAGGCCTTCCTGCAGCCGCCAGATATAAAGCCTGAAGCCTGCCCCTCTTCAGACTGCTGATTTTACTCTTCTCTCTTCCCACAGATCTACTCCTCTACTCGCCTCTAGAGCTACCTTGCGCTACTCGGCTATCGCAAGACCTGCCTTTACTTATCACAAGAAGATTGAACCCATTGCATTCCGCCAATACTCATCCAAAATGCCTTCAGCCCCTACTGTCAAGCTGAACAGCGGCCACGAGGCAAGTCCTCTCTAGCAACGACACAGACGCGTAGAATCTAATCTCTGGAACAGATGCCTCTCGTTGGATTCGGTCTCTGGAAGGTCGACAACGACACATGCGCCGACACTGTTTACAACGCCATCAAGGTTGGATACAGACTTTTTGACGGTGCCTGTGACTACGGCAACGAGGTGGAAGTTGGTCAGGGTGTTGCCCGTGCCATCAAGGACGGCTTGGTCAAGCGTGAGGAGCTTTTCCTTGTCTCCAAGCTCTGGAACTCGTTCCACGACGCAGACAAGGTTAAGCCCATCGCCAAGAAGCAACTCGCCGACTTGGGCATTGACTACTTCGACCTGTACATTATTCACTTCCCTGTCGCCCTGAAGTACGTCGACCCTAGCGTTCGCTACCCTCCCAGCTGGACCGACGAGAACGACAAGATCACCTTCTCCAAGACTCCTCTTTCCGAGACATACAAGGCTATGGAGGAGCTGGTTGACGAGGGCCTCGCCAAGAGCATCGGTATCTCCAACTACAACGGTGCCCTCATGCTAGACCTCCTGCGCTATGCCAGGATCACCCCTGCTACCCTCCAGATCGAGCACCACCCTTACCTCACCCAGGAGGGTCTCGTCAACCTTTGCAAGGAGAACAACATCCACGTTACCGCCTACTCATCCTTCGGTCCCGCCTCATTCGTCGAGCTGAAGATGCAGAGAGCACACGATACCCCTCTTCTCTTTGACAACGAGACTGTCAAGAAGATTGCCGACAAGCACAACAAGTCCCCTGGTCAAGTCCTCCTGAGATGGGCCACCCAGCGCGGCGTTGCCGTCATTCCCAAGTCCAACAACAAGGATCGTCTCGCTCAGAACCTCGATGTCTGTAGCTTCGACCTCGAGAAGGATGAGATTGAGGCCATCAGCGGTCTTAACAGAGGCCTCCGCTTCAACGACCCTGTCAACTATGGCCTCAACATCCCCATCTTTGCTTAAGATGGTTGGCCTGGGAGACAGAAGAGTGTGGGCTTTCTCATACATGGACGAAGAAGATTCATGTATCTTATATCCCTAGTGCATACACAATACGAATTGAATGACTTTTAATTGCCAAATTTGTCCACCTTCGCCTTTTTGAACGAACTGTAATAATTTTATGAAACGTGGAGTTCGAAGTAACACTCAACAGCCACCATCTCAGATCGACTCTTCTTGTGCCGCTCCTGCATGAAAGATATGCCATAGCACCCTTGTCATTCGAACCGTGCAAAGTGTCTGGACCAAACAGACCCCCGCGATTGTGATCACCCGAGTGAACAGCTACCCCAGAAAAAAGAAACACTACGTCATATGCTTACATCCCGCACGCCGTACCCACCTTTATGTGTTCACATCCCTGCAAGAGCTTCTCCAATACAAAAGTGCCAGAGCTCCTGCTACTTTTGTTTCCTTTCTTCATTTACATCAAAGTCGTCCAAAAACACATCGATCCTAAACAATCTTCGACTTCGATCAAATCGGTTCACCAAAACAGCAACCACACATCACCACTCTATTACAAACAAGACTTCAGAATGTCTGACAACAACAACACTCAACAGCCCAAGCAAGGCGGCGGTGGCTTCTTCGGCGGTATCACCAATGCAGCCGGTGGTCTGGCCTCAGGTGTCGGTGGCGTTGCTTCTGGTATGCCACTCCTTTCCTCTTGCCTTCCTCTGTCGCCAGCCTCCGATTCTCCACCCTTCTCCTGAAGCTCTATCTGGTGAGACAAAGGCTAACACGATGACAGGTACCGTAAACACCGTCGGCGGTGTCGTTGGCAATGTCGGCCGTGGCGTTGGCAAGACATTGAGTGATGCTTCTTCTGGACTCGAGAACACTGCCAAGGGTGCTGGTGGTAGCATTAATGATGTTACTGGTGCCAAGAGTGGTCAGCAGCCCAAGAAGTAAGGATGAAGGAAGAAATATGAGGGGAGGATGATACGGCAAGGAGAGGGCGGGAGTATACGAGGGAGCACAGTCTTCTGCTTATGAGATTAATGACACTTTTTCCTTGATCCACCTTTGCGCTTTGTGTTTGGTCCTACATTCCCAAAAACCATAGACCTCATCACCACACATACCTCCATCTACATCATACCCTTGTCTTCATGCCCTTGTCTCCATGCCCTTGCCTTCATGCAAAAAGAGCTGCAAAAAAGAAAGTATTCTCGAGTCGCCTCAGTCTCCGGTAGTTTGGACTGACTTGAACCCGCCCGAATGGTTTCTGTCCACAATGTCTGTTGACACTGTCTCTTCAGCCCACCGCATATGGACGGCCGCTCTAACGGTTGCGCCATATGCCCTTTCTTTCTTTTTGATTTAATTCGTTTCTGCGTTTTGGCTATATAAAGACTTGAGCTAGAAAGTCCAGGGGTCTTGGCGGGTCTCGTCCGCGTTCACTGTGTCTTTTGTTTTGCGGATGGATGAATGATGAAGACTGGTTTTTTGTATCCTGACCAATCGATGGATGTGTTTTATAGAAGATGGAGTGTTTGGCTAAGTCATCTGATATATGATGTGAACAGTATCTTTCTCTGAGGACTCAGGGCCTCCCCGTGTGCTGAACTTTGTTCCGCGTATAGCTGTAGAAATGCACGATTCTAACATCCTTAGAGGTGACCTCCACTGAGAGCGTGATAGTCAGCGCATCCCTATGGACGAGTAAGCCGGTATCGAAAACATTGTGCATTTCTACACACCAAACAGTCACGATTATGGCCATGGGAGATGGCTACAAGTAACAGTATTCAGCACATGGGAAGGAGAGAGTGAACATCCAAGAAGAAACAAAATGCTATTGGGCTTACAGCCACATCACTACCTTCTACTTATCCAGTTCAGTAGAGGCTCATCTTGCCGAGCGCGTATTTATGTTCCAAGTCTATGCCCTCATCTCTCGTCCTCAAAGATGTCATGGCATTGAGATTTGTGATCTCAGCTCCAAGGAAGCCTCTGCATTGCTTTGCTCCGAGAGACATACCCCACTGGTGACGGTCTCTCAATCTTGACAGATTCGTTTGTGGCTTGTTATCCATGTCCATCTCATCATCGGTTGGCTCAAGGTTTTTGTCGAACGCAAGATTGCTGAGGTTGAGTCCTGGGCAAAGCACAATTTGAAGGAATCCCAGATTCTTCCGATCAATAAGACTTTTTGTGGAGTTGATGACTGTATCATGCAGGTACTTCTCAAAGCTGCTCTCCTTGATATTTATGGATCGGTGATTAACAACGATAATGGGCATCGATTCGATAGCTATCAATCGGCGATTTTACTACCACAAGTCCTTCTACTGTAAGCTCGTGACATCTCTTAGCTCCTGTAGCTTGTCGGGTGTATGAGTTTCCTCCTGAGCCTCTTCCTTTGCCTCCCTCTTCGCGACCTTGATTGCCTTCTTGCGTGCCCTCTTCTGTGCATTGTTTGAAGCGCTCTTTTGCTTCTTTTTGCGTTTCTCCTCTTCTTCCTGCTCTTTTGCCTTCTTGCGTTTCTCCTCTTCTTCCTGGTCTTTTGCCTTCTTTCGTTCCTCCTTCCATGCCTTCTCTTGCTCTCGGAAAGCAGGATAATCGGCCGGCGTTTCGGGAAGTTTGAACGCCTTGGTGTACTGCTCATCAAGCTCTTCTTGATCGACAAACTTGGCGGGCACTCCCAGATATTCATAGCCAAACTCGTCATATTCAGCGTCAGGGTTGTCCGAGTCATAAAAGCCACGCGATATGGCGTCCTCCTTTGCCTTCTGCGCTCTCTGTTCTGCTCTCTTGATCTCAAGTTCCTTTCTCTGTCTTTTCAAGGACATCCATGATTCAAAAGTGGAATCACCTTTCTGGGGCCGTTGTAGGAGTGGGTCGTCAGGCCTGTCCAAGCCACGCTCGGTGTACAGGCCGGTCTTGTAGTCATACTCGGGCTCCTCGTCAATCTCTCCTTCCAGCCAGTCGGGTCTCTCGCCACCCTCGTAGATTCGAGCGAGCTTGTGCTCCGGGTCCTTGCGATGAGCAACGATATCAAAGTAATAGAGGTCGTCGATCATGTCTTCGTAAACGGCGCGAGATTGAAGCGAGAGGGTGGCATTTTTGAACATGAGGGCGACTTCCTTGGTCTCTTGTCCGGGGTAGTCAGGGACAGCGCGAGCCCAGCTGCCACCCCCGGGAAGAGAAGCGGCGCTAGCCATATCTGAAGCAGAGTCCTGACGCATGATATCAGATGGGTGTGATGGAAGTGCTTTGATCTGATCAGTCCTGAATTTCGTAATTTGTAGCCGTGTTGTGGTTGATTGTTAACTTACAACTCGACAGCGATGAGTCTTTTCTGCACGCTCGCTGCGGCATGTTATGTGAGCGTGGTGGGACGCCAATCAAGACTTGCTCAAATCCAGCCTTCGCGTACGTGACAGCTTTTGTGGAGCAGACGGTGAGTTTGTTCGAATATGAGGTGGAAAACTTCGTCAAGGTTGGAGTTGTCTTGCATGTAAGGAAGCGAGATGCTTTGGGAGCTCCTGCCTGCTGAGACTTGACAATATCCGTGACAATTTCTGCCCTTAACGTTCAAGGTAAGAACGATTCTGACGTAAGATAAAGTCGCCTTCACTGATTGGCCCTCACAACCGCCTTCACTCTTACTCACACAATTTGATGGACGGGTCTTCGTAGCCACGGGCAAGAATGATTCTTTCTGGTGTGGCAATCCTGGAAATGCTTACTGCGGAAGCGGCGCGAGTAGTGTCATTGCTCAGGGAAAGAACACTTAACGCTCGCAGGGGGTATTGATATGTAGGGGGATATGATATCCGGCGGCGAGAATATGCAGCCAAGCCCGATTTTGCACATATTTTTATCATATCCCCCTACGTATCAATACCCCCTTGCAAGCGTTACCCCAAAGCTTGTCGTATGATTACGTTGATCCGGATGACACTGGTCATGAGCTGTTGGGCCACTTTACACAGAACCAGACTTATGATGCTGTTTTTAGGTGGTTGAAGAGGACTGCTTATAGATTGAAGTATGGGTAACAGCGAAGAATTGTAAAGAAGTAAAACGTTTTCATATGTATTGCACATATATCAATAGAAAGTAACCAGCAAGCCAGCGCTGCATCCACCTAAAAGATCACCAATCCATCATTCCCTCGACATGTAGTCGTCATACAGCATTTACTGAGCAAGCTTGCCGATACCAGCGTTGGAAGTGACATAGGACTTGATCTCAGAAGCAGGACCAGCAGTAGCAATGGAAGCACCGGAGAACTTGCTCAAGAAGTCAGTGTTGCTCTCGCTGAAAGTGCCAGAACCGCTGAGAGAGTTGGCCTCGCAAGAGCGTCCAAGAGCAGAAGAGCAAGCAGAGCCAGAGTCAGCGGTGAAAAGCTCGCCCTTGAAGGATGAAGCCTCGAGAGGAGCCTCGACGTTCTCGAACACATTACCCTCAGCGAGGACGTAGCCACCCTCGCCGATCTCGAAGGCGTGACCGGAGTTGTCGTTCCAGTAGTTGTTGACAGCGTGGAGAAGAGTGTCGGTCTGGACCTTGGGAGCACGACCAGAGGTTTGGTAGATGTAGTTGTTCTTGAAGGAAATTTTATCTCCGGCACCATCGAAATAAAGGGCCCAGTATTGGTGTCCATCGCAGGTGGCGGAGTAGTCGCCCGAGCCATCGATATAAGAGTTCGAGATTGTGACATTTCCGCACGCATCGGTGCCGAGGACGATGTGTTGTCTGGCGATGTTGGAGGTCTAAGGGGTTGTCAGTCAAGGCATTCGAGGTTTGGGTGGGTGCTGTTCAGATCATCGCATTCTTCACCAGAACTCGCCTGAGCACGCTCAAATCCGACTCCCAGCTTCGTATCAGGAATCACTTACGGTGACGTGGTCAATCCAGACGTTGTCGGTACCTGAAGAGAGACGTGCATTAGTATAACTGTTTGGTGGTGGTGTGTTGTCCAAAAGAAGAAAAAGAAGTTGTGAAAGATAGATTATGAAGAGATGAACTCTAGATTCATCACTGATATTCAGGTTTGACTCACCATCCAAAGTAATAGCATCACCACCCCAGACGTAGTGAGGGTTGATGTCGGAGATCTGGATGTTCTGTCGTTTTGTTAGACCGAGCTAACGTTAAGGAGACTCCATACGAACCTGGAGGATGATGTTCTGGAAACACAATTAGCAATGGCCCTACTCAAATGAATCATCCGAACCATACAGATGCGCCGTTAACAACACGGAGACCTTTGCCCTTGATGACTCCCTTGGAGCCATCACCGACGATTGACTTGTCAGAGGCGACAGTGATGCCAAGAGTACCGGCAGCGTCGTAAGTGATGCTGGAAACGGTAGGAGCATCGGGCTGGTAGTTGGTACACCAGTCATCCCTGTTCAAGATTAGAAAAAGAACAGAGCAGATAGAACTCCTTGGTTCTTACTTGTTGATAGCCTGCTGGCAGGCAGCGCCTGTGCCCCAAGGAGAGCATCCAGAAGAGGTAGTGGTTCCCTCGGTACCGGTAAAGTCAAAAGTCTTTGTGAGGACGATGACGCGAGGCGAAGAGTCACCAAGGTAGCTGACAAGCTCATCGGTTGTCGAGGGGTAGACAGCAGCAGTATCACCACCTCCAGTGGTTCCGCTGGCGAAACCTTCAGGCTTACCGGTGACACCAGTGACAGCGGCAGAGGCCACACCAGCCATCAAGGCGGTGGCAGAAGCAGCAAAACCAGTGTACTTCATTGTGAAAGAGAAGATCAAAGAATGTGGGTAGTTGGATGTATGAAAGAAAGAAAGTTTGGATAGAAAAGAAAAGATAGCAGAAGGACGGCAATGGTGGACCTACATATACTGCTCGATATTCGCTTGAATTTACCGCTTCAAGCGCTTGTTGCAGAAAGGTCAGAGTTTACATCTTACAGGGCTAGACAATGATGCTTGTTGAACATCAGAAGTTGCGATATGTCGGACATTGCTGCGCTGACGACGACGGTAAGAGCAACGACGATCTCAATGATCTGTATTCAGGCATGCAGACGACATAAGCCCTAGCTATTCACGAGTGTTGACGCCCACGGTCACTATTGGTGGGCCTGAAACCGATTCATGATGGCTGGAGCTGGGTTTAGCTTATCTGCACTGGCAGAGCCGCGAGCACGACGAGCATCTTGAGCGATTCTGTTGGAGAAGCTGTCGGACGAAGAACAAGGAAGGTGCAGGTGGAGAAGAAGTTTCAGGCATTCTGTTCGAAACTCAAGTGGTCTGTGCGTCGTTTCGGAACAATCGGACGATGATGCGATCGGCAGTCCACGGAATTTCTCGAACTGTCAACCTTAGGGCACGACAACGACACCTCTTTGATGCTTCATCCTTCTTCGTTATGAATAGAGATGAGGCACCATGTCACAATCCCTCCGACTGTGATAACATGACAAACATTTAGGCAGCTAATGTTGTTCGTTGAGAGCCCTGCCTATAGGGCACAGTATCTTTGTCTTTCGAAAGCAATTGTGTCGAAAATCGAGCTGGCTCTGCACACAGACAGATTTACCCAGTGTGCTAGATTCTGTCTCTTCTAGCCATCTCCTACGGCCATGCCTGGTGTTGTTTGGTCCGTATAAATGCACAGTGTTCTCAAAATCGCTCCAGTCGTCGACAGAGAGCCGCTTACTATTACGCTCTTAGTGGAGGGCTGCACCAATCTCAAAAGTATTGAGCATTTCTACAGCATGCGCGTGACAAAGTTCTGCATACGGGGCGGAAGTAAAGCTCGCTCCTGTGGCTCATACTTTCGCAACTTCGCGTACACTGACTGGATATGCCTCGTGGCGGCGACTGAGATCTAGCGAACAAGACCCGCAAATGAATTGCTGATATTGCTAGCATCACGAGCCGGGGTCATCTTGATGTCCTCCTCACCGCCAGGTCGCCCTTCGTCATCCCTCCATCTCAGGTGATTTTGACAAATTAACAAAGTGTGTTCTGCTACTGTTCATCTACTAAAGAGACTGGCTCTCGGAAACACGCACACCGCTTTGATCAAAGAAAACTTTCTGGCCCGTCCTCAGACTCTCCTGAAGAGCCATCGCAATACCGAGTGATTTCAGCGTGGAAACCAAGGGATGAGGCATTGGTGCTTCGTCAAGTACAGCATCTACCCAGGCTGTGGCCTCAGTCACGAAAGCTTCGGCATACCGATCATACCAGCCAGGATGAACGGGTGTCTTGACAAACCCATCTTTGTCGCAAATTTCGACGGAGTTTATCCTTGGTTGAAGATTGATCGACAGCTTGCCGGCTGTACCAAAGATCTCTGTTGCGTTGTCATATCCATGGGCACTAGTTCGCGAGTTGTAAAAAAATGCGATCTTGTCGTCCCAATACTCGCAAATTCCAACAGCATTATCCGCGTCGCCGATGGCTTCAAGCTGTTGGTGATGAGCGGAAGTACCCATGGCGGACACAGACTTTGGTATTGAATCTTCGCCGAAGAAGAACAACGAGAGATCTATATCATGGATGATGGTGTCGATAAAGATGCCGCCGGAGTCTGCCAGGTACTGTTGGTAGAACGGACTCATGTCGAGAGGTTCACATCCTTGTGATCGAATTATCAGTGGTCTTCCAATTGCGTCTTGTTCAATCCTCTTTCTCGCGTCTTGGTAGTTCGCGTCAAATCTGCGCACGAATGCAACCATCAAGGTCGCTTTGGGACACATCTGAGCTTGTGAGACCAGCCTCTCCAGCTACATGATGTTAGCCAATCAGGAATAAGCATATCAGACTGCACTGACCTCCTCTATCGTCTTGCAAATGGGCTTCTCACACAAGACATGGATGCCTCTTTCCAGACAAATGCTTGTTTGCGCAGCGTGAAACGGCGTGGCAGAAGCAATGATGACAGCTTCCAAACCAGGTACTTCAACCATCTCTTCGAATGTAGAGACGACTTGAACACCATGAGGTACCAGGTTTTCATTTGCCCAAGCAATATCGACTTCCAGAGGAGTGCATGCACAGATTAGCTCTGCTCGAGGCACTTTGTGGAGAAGATTGATCGCATGTCGTTTTCCCATCCGACCAAGTCCGATGACTCCCACCTTGAGTTTGGGAATCGACATTTTGAAGTTAGGTCGCAATTGGAACAATTTGTGATTGCTATCTCTTCCTGAAAAAGCGAAATGAAAGTCGATGTGGTTCTTTTTGCGAGCTTTTGGTGGTTCGGGATTTGGTTCCCGAGATTCACGGAATCCAATTCGCCGGTACGAACTCAATACGAAGGTTTGAGAACGACTGTTGAGAGGTATGACGCTCTTGATACTAGCTGAACAGCTGTCATTTGTAAGCTATGAGATGGAACAAGTGACGCTCTTTCGACTGACTGGTAGGAGTTGGTTTGTCAGCGATTGAGCAAAGCAAGACCCACCGACTGGACAAAATCCTATATGACGTCCGTCGAGATATACACCTGCTATCACTAGAACACTCAACTTTTCCCTACGAATATTATCATCTGATGGCGCATGCTCTCATCTACGGCGCATCCGGCATTAGCGGGTGGTCTCTTCTGAACCAGACCAGAATCTATCCAACACCCACGACATTCAGTCGCATCACTGGCACCACCAGTCGTCCATTTTCATTAGAAAAGGCCCAGATCCCACAAGATGAAAGAATCAAGATTGCATCAGGCATTGACCTCACAAAGTCGGCCGATCAAGTCGCTGCTGCATTGAAAGAGAAGGTCGAAGACATTTCCACTGTCACCCACGTCTTTTTCACAGGTACTGCTTCTCTGACCTCAATGTCTCCATCCGCTTACATCTCTGCAGCATACATTCAGGAAGATGATTTCGAGACTTTGAAGCAAACTAACACACGTCTGCTTGAGAATGCTGTTCGTGCCATCGAGCAAATTGCACCGAACCTCAAGTCTATCATTCTCCAGACCGGAGGTAAAGGGTGAGCATTCTTATCCAGAAATCCCAAGCTGAATAATGCTGAGAAACATGCACAGATATGGTCTCGAGTTTCCCAAGGAAGTCGGCATCGCCGACCATATACCACTGAAGGAGTCATGCCCGCGCATCCCAGAGCCATACGCCAGCAAGATATTCTACTACACTCAATACGACCTTCTCAAGCAGTTGTCTGAGGGCAAATCATGGACTTTCTCGGAAGTACGTCCTGATGGCGTAGTCGGCTTTGCACCTGGTACAAACGCCATGAACATGGCTCAAGGCATTGCCATCTACCTGGCAATGTACAAGGAAGTTCATGGAGCTGGCACAACGGTGCCTTTCCCAGGACACGAACACGGTTACAACTCAACTCACACCGATACATTTCAAGACATCCTATCTCAGATGGAGATCCATGCCGCACTCAACACCGACAAGTGCGGTAATGGCGGTGTCTTCAATGTAGCCGATGGCAAAGTCGTAACCTGGGCTCAAGTATGGCCTCGCCTCTGCGAACGGTTCGGCCTCGTCGGTGGCAGTCCTCAATCTGATGCTACCCCAATGCTCGAGTTTGTGAAGAACAACAAGAACGCATGGGTCACTATTGCGAAGAGACATGGATTGAATGAGAATCTTGTTTACGAGCAAGGCTGGGGACACACCAATTTCATGCTGGTGGACTTTGACTTTGATCGACAGTATGATCTTTCACGCTCGCGTGAGGTTGGATTCACAGAGTCTATTGATACTGCGGAAGGTTACTTCAGGGCTTGGGAGCGTATGCAAAAGGCAAAGATGATTCCTCCTTTTGAGTAAGGAATGAGTGTTAGGTCGTAATGTAGCTAACATGGAAGACATCACCGAATGACGAGCATTCTATTTGCATGGAGAAAATGAGGCTTTGACAGAGATGATGATAATTTTGAAAATCATTCACAATATAGCAAAATACTATTACAGAAAACTCGAGCATTGAAGCGAGTGACAAAGCTCGTAAGATAAGACAAAGGAAACATCTCAATCCCTGACCTTTTCATCGTTTGAATAGCCTCTACCACACATCTCTTGGTACATCTAGCCGGAGCAGACGACCTGATCCAAAAAGTCAGAAGGTGTGCACTGCTTTAGTCTTTCGAATTGCTTACCTGGTATTTGCCTACGGCACCGTCGTCGCCTTCGCTAACGGGAACATAAATGTCGACGGGCGAAGGCCCCTCGCTGAAGCCACCATGATGTTGGGTGAACAAGGGGTACCAGAAGAGGGTGCCTGAGGGAACCACATGAGTTAGTGTGGACTTTAGATAGTATCTCCCGACCTTTTCTTACCTGTCTGATCGTTCGCGCAGTTGTTATTGATGGTTTGAGTAGTAGAGGTAGACACGGTCTTCTCATAGCCATAAGTGATTGACTGGCTGGACGAGAAAATCGTGAAGAAGTCTTCAGACAGCGAAACACTGGCCTCAACCCTATTGGTTTGCGATTGCTCTGTGGTTAGTGCCCAGCTGGAGCCACCGGGAAGTGCACTCAAGACCTGCTGCTTGAAGTTTTCGGGCGCGGCGTTCTCAATGCGATAAGCTTCGGTCCAAGTGTTGTCGCGCTTCATCTTTGTTGGGTTTTGATCTGATGCATAGGCGGACACGAACATCGAGCCATCTTTGTCGGTGGATTTACCTCCCGCTCCGGCGTACTTACAATCGGAGATGAGGGTGTCAGTGGCATCGACCACCAGGAACTGAGGCACGGGCTTGTAATTGTCGAGACTGCAGATGGATACCTTCCAGAGCACGTCAGCAACATGCTTTTCTGAGTCACTGTGATGTACTCACGGCGCAGTTGTCTCCATTGAAGACGACACAGTTGCCACTACCTCCTGCTACAACACATGTCAGCAAATTCGTTTCCTTTATCTTGCGAGATTATCTTACTGAGTGTCCACTGATAATTGGGATCACTGTTTGCCTGAGCATTGATCTGGTCAAAGGCAGATTGACCTTTTCGCAACAGAAGTCAGCAATCTGCTTCTATTGCTAGTATTGCAATCTTGACCTACAGCCATTCCAATCAGGGGTTCTCGAAGCGTCACAAACAGCGTCGGAGCTGTAGCTCTGACGCTTGTCAAGAGCTCTGGCGGAAGACAGGGTGGCCGAAGCCAGAGCAACAACTGCTGCACCCTTGAAGGTGGAAAAGGTAGACATATTGTGATGACGATGAGTTGCTCGGGATTGTCGGAATGTTGGATGGAACGAAAGATGATGAGTTGTGATCGGTGGGTTCCCATGCTATCTTTATAGCCATCTTCGAGTTGATGGACCTCGGATCATTCGTGACAGATTCATCGTCTCCCCATTCGCATCTATGCAAAAGCAATGATGAGCAGCTGATCATCTCGAGATTGACTCCTACTCCGAGTACTCAGCATCTCAAGATCGGAAGATGAGCATCCAGTTTCCCTTATTTGGAAGGTGTGATACGAAGTGGATAGCAGACTCAGATCATGATGTGGTGTCGTGTTGCATGCTTTCCTCGTATACCATGCGAGGTGGTCCAGAATTTGTTCCTTCGTTCTGACGATCTGTTTCTAGATATCATCGCAACTTCTCACAGGATCTGATTGCGGAGATTTCGTATCCGTGAGAGAAGATCCCCAGGTGCTTCATGATCTTTGTAATGATAAGCTTCCTTGGCCAAAGATGTGAGGAGACATACGGGTTAGAACATCGAGACCATCGCTCAGTCCCTAGTTCTGATGCGGATAATGTCTGTGAGATCAGAGTGTTGCCACTCATATCCATTGCCAGCGTGTGCATTGTCGTAAAGTAGATCATGGGCGTGAGCGAGGACTTGTGGTTGCTTGTCAGACGATGAAGAATGGGTGGAGTAACGTTGGAGTAGCTCCAAGCATTGATGCTCAGGTGGACTACTACACATGATCATCCCCACGTGCTTGTTTGTGGCCTCAGGAACGGGAACGGTAGGCCTCGTGAATTAGTCCACATGCGGTTTGATCTCGCGAGATGTGATCCTTCGACGTTGACCAAAGGCAAAGATTCATGTCAGACATTTGAACATCATGGCCATGACAAGTGTCAAGCTTCGGGCTGGAAAGAAGCTGTGTATTGAGACTTGGCTCGCAGATCTTGCCATCTTTTGTTAAACCTCAATGTTGATCTTCAGCTGGAGTTCGCAAAGTTTGACCCGCCTTTCGAAATCCGGGGAGACAGATCTGCCAAACGGTTCGACCATTTGATGATCATTTCTCGATTCTGATCCGAATGCGAGCTTCCATGAGGGATATCCAGGAGACGTCGACACATGATTCAAAATCGTAGCAAGTTTGAACACCATCGCACAAAAGGAGCCCAGAAACGTCTCGCGAAATCCTACCTTGATGGATGGCTTTTTGCATTCGTCAATGGCCTATGAACACGTGCCACATTCTAGTTGGAGATGAGGCGGGGACAAGGCAGTAAAACTCGATCCTGATGGCTGGTACCCCTAGAGAATCCTTCACACTGTATTGTCGAGATAGTCGGATTCCATTACGACGGACGCTGATTCTGAGCCCATTAGATTTGCCCCTAGTCTATGACATCACTCTGACAGTAAGTAACAATGGTATATCCAGCGGTAAGATTGTAAGAGGTCTGTGAGGGTTCGGAGAAAGTCCAGAGAGAGTGTTAGAAATCCAGCTCCCAAAGGGCTCTCCCTGACTCCTCAACACCGTCGTCCATTCCGGAAGTCGTTGATAGCTTCTACTAAGGTAGAACGAGATAGATTTGACATGCACTGAATCGATGTTTGATAGTCTTGTGCCAGATTAGTGTATCATAGCTTTGTGACTCCATAGTTTGATCAAAACGAAGGAAGCGAGGACGCGAAGTTGGAAGGAAGGAAACGACATCGCCTGACCTCGGGCCATGACTTTTGGCCGTGACCAAGACTTTTGGCTACGACCCCCACGCTTTCGAGAACTTGAGCTCTTTCCTCCTGGCAACTCACTGCTACATTTGCATGTCGAGATTCAATCGAATTGAATTCAGCTTTGCCAACATATTCATCACTATCCAACTGGTAGTTTTTGTACGAGACTATGTACAGAAGGAATGGAAGCTCGACATGGACGCGATTCGGAGTGTCCAATTCGGCAAGGCTTCTATCTCAGCGTCGTTCTGATATATCACGGCACTTCAAGACAAAAACAACGCGACACCGTAAGCAAGGTCAAAGCAAATTCCCTGGGTATCTACAGGAAGAAAAATCGATGAACAACGGCAATAGCCATGCAGCGGGTACGAAACACAAAGATCCGGCGGGCAGAGCCACATAGTATATACACAAGACGAACAGCGGCAATAGCCATTTAGTGAGTATAACGGAAGAACAGCGACAATAGCCACGCAGTCAAAAAAATGGCGAAAGACCGGCGGCGATAGCCACACCGTAGGCGGGAAGAAAACACAGGCGGCCAGAGCCACACAGAAAGTAGGAAGAGAAGCACCAGCGGTCAGGGCCACAAAGTCTGAGCAAGATTCAACAGGAGTCGGAATCCTCTTCGTATGTGGCTTTCAAGGTGTGGACGTCAACACAATCGCAGGGTGACAAACTTCTTTCTGTCGGATAACTTTCGAAGTTGTCCGAACCATAGCCATATTCCTCGCCTGTGCTTCTGTAGATATTACGGCGAGGAGGAACCAGGTAAGCCCGAGGCCGGCCGCGAACCACTGCTGGCAGCATGCCTTCTCTGGCGAGAGGCTCTTTCTCCGAGACTCCTTTCCAGCCGCGGATTATCTCCGTGTCGTGCATTGGTACCGGCTCTTGTCCATTGCTAAGTGCTGACTTCTTGTCTTTGAGTGGAGGGGGTCTATGGCAGAATTTGTGGCGAATGGGCGCCAGGTGTGACAAGGGGTGGGCGGACATTGTATCTTGTGTTGTTTTCCGTGTTCGTGATGCAAAGAAGTGTTGCTGGTCCGATGTTGGTGAGTTGCGCAGAAGTGTTTGTTTGCGCTTTGCGTCATGATTGTTCAGTCAGAATCACTTCACTCGCACCTTCCACCTTGGCACTTTCAGATCCGCTCTTGGTTCTTTCCACGCGCCCTTGATTGTATCACAGCTGAACTTGAACTACAGTATCTCAAAGCATGAATAGCATGGCGCCGAGGGCCAATAATGCAACAAAGCACATGCTTCCACCTGGTTTAGCCATTGCACCAGAAACCTTGTGATCAGCAACCCGGACGCAGATAGGGGCGCTTCCACTGCTGGTAAAAAGCAGCACATGAAGACGCTGCACATCATGCTGGAACAGCGTATCGTTCCCAGCCGAATAAATCTCAGAAGTCGTGTAAGCAAATCGTGCTTCGCTTTTCTCGTAAGCGCTGTAATACTTCTGCTCAATATTGAGCAATGCTGTCGCAGAGTCAGAATTAATCTTGTAATCTGCGCGGACATGGGATAGAACTTACGAGCACTACCGATGCTGCCGCTACCCAACTTCCCCGAGCAGCTCTCTGGGATGGGAGTATTGCATCCTACGTCCGGAGCGAACCCTTGATTCTTGAGGTCTCTCGTACACTGCTCCCCCAACGCATTCGTACAATCACCGAGATCAGTCTCCTTATACGCCTTGGTTACAGAATCAGGAATAGGTCCCAAGGGCATAGAAACACAAAATCTCGGCTCTTCAACACCTTCGAAAGTCTTTAGTGTTTCGTTAATCGTTGTATTCCAAGGCCAGGATAGTTCGTAGATGGTGGCTGCCACGCGAGGATTTTGGAGATCTGTTGTTGTGTTGGCTGGAGGTTCGAATTCGGCGATCATGACATTGAGACTGAAATTTTTGTTGCCGATTGGAACCTTTACAGCGTGGTTTATCGTGGGAGCCGTGAAGGTCTGATTCAGTTCGCCAAAGTCGAGGTCAGCACCGCTGAAGGTTCTAGCCGCTGCTAAGACTGTGAAGAAAGCAAGCACGGGGATTTTCGAAGTCATGGTAGATCTTGGTGCGAGTGGTTATTTTTTGGAGAAATGGTCGAACGCTGCATACCTGGTCATTGACTACTTATATTTGTTCATGCTGTCCTCTACTGAGCATCTGCAGTGTCACCCGCCATGCCAACAATCTGATCTTCAAATCCCACGCATATGATTGGGGTAAGGCACCTTCGAAGGATTCTTGCATCCTCCTTGGCCTTCTTGGCGATGTAGGTATGCTTCAATATAGAGCAAGGCAGAACCGGTGACATGCTTGGCACGACGCAATACTGCATCACTATCTATTTATGGGGCCTTGCCTTTACCATCTGTGCTTAGGCTTGTCATCAGTGCAACTGTAGAAATGCAGGATACCCTTCTCAGTGAAGGCAACTTCCAGTGATAGCGTATCTGTCAGCGAGCCCAGAGGTGGGTAGTGGTAATTGTACGGCAAGAGGAAGTAATAAGTATCTGCTACATCTGTATATACTTCAGAATACGAACGCGACCACAGTCAAAGCTAATAGCACGGAGAAGTGGGAAGATCTTTCGAAGCTGCTTGCCCCACTGGTGACCGCGTTGCTGGCTTTCTTGAGCCAAGTGGTGTTGACACGACTGCAAATCGAGATAATCTCTCCATTGTTGCCATGGAAAAAGACCGCATGTAGACGGTCAGCCTCGCGCTGATAGTAGCTAGAATTGCCAGCCGAATGGACTGGAGATTGATACCACCCAAAACCAAGCGGGGATTCCTGGAATAGAGGGTCGGTTGTATCGTTTGTTGATAGACGGCCCACAAGATCTGCAGAATCAGTCATTATCGTTATGGAAGGATCAGAAGGTACACGGTAGACTTACTGTGGCTCAAGAGACCACCAGTTCCCAACCTTGATGTGCAGCTTTTTGGCATCCACGCTCCTGTACAAGAGCCAGACAGCTGGGTAGATGTCACGTTCGCAAGGTCCTTCATACACCGGTTTCCAAGCGCGTGAGAACAATCGCCGTCATCCTCATCTCTGTACCCGTTTGTCGCCGATAGTGTCGATGCGCCATTCGCAACGGTCACACAAAGTCTTGGTACAGTATTTTGACCGAAGGAAAAGGCGTTTCTGAGAGTATCATTCAGACTGTAGTCCCCATCCCAAAGCATGTTGTAGAAAGAAGCAGCGACACGTGGGTTCTCGGCATCCTTTGCGATAGAGCCAGTTGGTTGAAGTTCGGCCACATTGACTTGGAAGGTATAGTTCTGCGCGCCCAGTTGGAAAGGGACCGACTTGGTGGCATTGGGGTTTCTATTGCCCTCCTGAGCGTAGGAAGCGTTCCATGGGCCAGCCCCGAAGACACCATCAGATAGTAGTGCCCTGGCCGATGAGAAAGCAAAGGTCCAGAGCAAAAGCAAAGCTTGATTGATCATGATTGTAGTTATTCAAAGAAGTCAAATTTAAGTGGTGGGTTAGTCTTCGAAGCCAAAGGTGATTCGAGCATTCTCGACGGGATGCTCAACTTATAACTGTTTCAAAGAGCACTCGGAGGTTATTACGGCCGCAGTGCTGTGCTCAATATCCAGTTTCCATCATGTCCTACCTCGATGCCGTGCATAGTCGCCGCGGAAGGATTTGATAGCCCATCACTGTGCCACCTTGGCGTGTTTGGACGTGGAGGGAAATAGAGTATGGCGACCGAAATAGGGAGGGAGCTTCAGGCAGCGGACGTCTTGGCACGAACAAGAAATATGACATAGGGATCGGCATTGCCAACCTGACAGAAGGATTCGGGGTACCGGGAATAATCATCAGTCAGATACACCCTTGCTTTGATCTAGGAATCGTGTCTGATTTCGCTATGAAAACTTCTGGCTTGAATCTATTGCTTTCTGAACATTCACCTCACAGCTAAGTCTCTCTCCGTCTCACCCATCTGCATTGCATTACATCTATCTTGTGGCATGACTGACCAATCTCGCACCTTGGACACCAGGAGTTCTGCCAGCGCTAGTACGCTCAAGGTAGCAAGTGTCGCCGGACATGGTCACACCTTGGCAAGTGGGTGCCATCATAGCGCAGAAGCTCATACACTGCTGGAAAGTTGCTCCTTCCACTGTGATGGCGTCCAGGTTGACAAGACTTGCAGTCGTAGTGTTGTCGTCATTGCATTGGACTTCAAAGGTTGATCCTGTAGATGGGTCGGTGTACAAAGTGTTGTTACTAGCTGGGCAAGAGATCCCAGTTGCAGCAGGAGCTGGAAGAGTTGTATTCGTGGGCACGGTCATGTTTGCGAAAGGAGCTTGGGTGCAGATGGTGGAGAAGGTGGAAGACAAGCCAGCAGTTCCTGCTGAGATTATTGTTGAAGTAATGTTGATAGTTGCAGTCGAGACAGCGGCAACAGATGAGGTGTTCAGCGGCAAAGAAATGTTGACTGGCGGAGAGCTGGCCGCGGTAGTAAGTGGGATGGCAACGCTTGTCGAAGTGTTTAAAGGTAATGACACGATGAGCGGTAGAGAGGTAGCAGCTGTGGTGAGAGGAATGGCAATACTTGAGGAAGTGTTGAATGACAAAGAAACATTGACCGAGACCGAAGGGGCTGCAGCAGAGGGTCTGTAGGACGTGGGCCAAACGATGCTAGAAGAGTTTGAGGCAGAGGGAAATGCAGCCGACGGAGATGAAGCCGTGAATGATGGAGCTACAGCGGCTGAGGTTGAGCTTGCTGCTGCGCTAGAGACAACTGGGGGGCTTGCCGGTGCAGGAATATAGCGAAAAGCATTGTAATTTCTGTAACGGTACAAGAACTCCAAGATGATGGGTGTAGCATCTATTGGTGAACCAGTATCCTGACTGAACCAAGCGTGTTTACCGCCTGCAATCTTATAGTGGGTCACGATACCCTGGTTGTTTGCCGTGCCATACTCGTATCTAGTCACTTGTCCATCTGCTAGCGGCGTGGCGACATTGGCAGTGGAATAACCATTGCGAACTGACCAGTCAGAGATCCAGTGAGGAATAGTTGGTAGGCAGTAGCCGCGACGTGGACCACCGTCATAAGACACTGTACCATCTGCATCGCCATGGAACTCCAACATTGGAACATTACGTCTGCCGGGGGAGCACACGGGCTGCAAAATAGTGTTGGTGAGAATGGTAGAGGGGACGCTGCTGTTGTGAGGGCAGTTCGCAGAAGTAAGGTTCGTGTACTGAGCGCCAGAACTAATCGCGAAAGCACTGAATTGATTCGATAATGAAGAGTTGCAGGCTAAGATTCCTGCAAGACCACCGCCATTGGAGTAACCTGTAGCAAGGATACGAGTGGTGTCGATACAATAGTTGGATGTCATGTGAACAAGCAAATCTTGTACGAAGGTTTGATCATCCACATAGGGAGTCTGTTCAACAGCGTCCGGGTCGCTTTGCCACTGAGGGTATCTTCCAAAACCGAGAGGGTATACAACGATACCATAGGGGTTCCAGACTTCGCTAGAAAGGTCGGAATATCTCTCGATATTGACTGGGGTCTCGCTGCGGCCATGGAAAGCCATGATCAAAGGAGCTGCGCTGTTTATATCATACGAAGAAGGAACATGGATACTGAAGGAACGATTGAGGCCGCCAGAATTGATGCTGAACTGCGTAGTTCGACCTCCAGCTTGAACTCCGGCGGGCAAGGATGCGCCACAGCCGCGACCCGCATAGATATCGTTGCGTGATGGGACAGGGTAATTTGCTTTGTTGATGATATAGGCGCTGTTGACATTCTTTGAAGGTGTCGAATTTTCAAAGCCTTTTTTGAAGTAACAGGCAGTTCCAAAGTAGGATACTGAGACACAACCGTCTTTTGCATTGCATGCTTCAAGACACAGTGCAAAGCTAGAAACGTCGACGACACCAAAGGAGGCAGGCGAGGTGTCAAAGCCACAGAGAATCTGCCAGTTGTTGTCTTCGGTATCTGCATATGTCGTGAAGTTGTACAAGGGGCAGAGGTTGCCCGAAGTTGACGGTACTGCAGACGACGAGGATAAACTCTGTGCTGTAGAGGAGGACGATTTGGTTGTAGTACTAATGGCACTGCTCCTGGCCGAAGAGGCGATGGTCGAAACCAGACTCGATGTTGAGGATTGCTTAGAAGAGGAGCTAGCTGCACTGCTTCGAGCTGACGAAGCTGCAGATGATCGGATGGAACTCGGAATACTGCTGCTAGAGGAGGATGAGGATTTTGAGCCGCGGTCATCGTTAGGGGCATCAGAGACTCGGACGGCAGAAATCACGTTTGTGTTGGCGGATGGGTAGGTCGTCATCTTCTCTTTCAACCAACAAGTCCCCGAATTTGTGCCATTGTCCCCGCCGACGTAAGTGAATCCGACACAAGGTTTCGACGTGTCAGCATCGCAGGCTGTCATACAGTCCAAGTATGAAGTTTCGGCTCGAACGTTGGTGTACGAACCACGGTCGTTGTCGGCCGAGCAAGTGACGAGATAGCCGGCGCCATTGCTATCATAGATAGTGCGGCCATTTGCTTTAGGGCACGCACTAGCTGTGGGGATCGCAGTGGTGGTAGATTTGGCGCTTGCCAATCCGATCAATGCGGCAAGACCAAGAAGACGACTGAATTTGCCAGCCATGTCGATGCTTAGACTCGCTGTGTCTACACATCGTTATTAGGAACCATCAGGGATTTATATACTGGCCTGATGTGAGGCTGAATACTCAACAGACGCGTTGTGTTGGCATGTGTAGCAGAATGCTGGTCCAGAATGTCACCTCATCCATAATGTTCGTATTAGCATGCAAGGATGATATTCCGAAGTCTAGGTTGCGGATTCAACAGAAGCAGCAATGAGTCAGCTTCCGAGGAATGTGCCAACCAAGTCCCGGACCGACCGAACAAAGGCGTAGCGTTGGAATCGTGCCTATCCAAGAGTAGCTGGTGAAACTCACGATTACATTGTGATATCAGAGATCGTCCGATGAAAGAGCGATAAAGCTAGCTCTGTGGACGCATCTTGAGACCCTGAGTCCTTCACAACTTCCTCTTACCAGAATCCTTCGTGATATCGGATAATCAAAGTACACTTGATAGAAGAATGGCATGCGCTTGGTGCCATCTTCAGACCCCAGGAATGTCAATCTCGCAGCAAGGAGGCTTAAGTATGTGACAAGACCTTGGTTTTCTGGAAGTTCCATGGCCAGGCGCCAACGACGATTTCGGAGGAGATGCAGGTCTCAAGTTGATGCAAGATTCGATAATCAGCAGGAGGATGCTGCGACCCTCCTTGTTTCAATGCAACACGACGGAATGTTCAATACTGGTGATTTTTCATGCGAACTTCCCGACAAAACGGGAGTGCACATTTCGGGACACCAAGATTCATCGCGCTGGAATATCGAAGAATGTTTTGAGAGTTGGCAGAAGTCGTTTAGGGTGACTTGCATGAAGAGTGGAAAGGAAGTCGCGACGAGCGGAAATCGGGGCGAAAGTTGTTTCCCGAGCGGCCAAAAGTCGCGACCGCCAGGGTGCTACCAACACCAACCACATGAGCCACAGGAAGGTTACGACATTGCTGTTTTGTAGCATGCTTACTTCGATTATCAGGTCCGGGGAATTAAAAGGACAGCGCAAAATCATTTAAACTCTAGCTATGTGAAGAGGCTGGCCAGAAATGTGGTTTCAGCCACGTACCATGCTCACGACCTGTGGGCGTTACTGATTTTCCAACAGACAACCACGACTGTTTAGACGTGCCCGACGAGACATCACTAAATTCGATTGCGAAACCAAAGAAAGTGTAGAATCAAACATTATTGCAATACTGAGGAGATCGAAGCCTCGCTTGTCTCAGGGCTTATCCTTCCAGGCTTTGGTCAAGTACTCCTCTGCCTGAGTGAACTCGAGATCCGGCAGCAACTGGTTCCACTCGTCCGAACAAACAAACTCTCCGGCTGAAACGCCTAGAAGGATACTGCCAACCATGAACTTCGACAGTTGGTCAACCTGATCTGCTGGAATGGAGGGATGTTCGATCTTTGGGGACCATGAGCTTTTCCAAGACCCATCCTTCAGCTCTTCTACGGGAATCTTCTCCACCTTGGCGGATTTACCTGACAATCGAGAGTCAGTATAGACTTAACACACGTAGAGGGGTAAAATTACCTCGGATCTTCTCGCTGAGAGCGACCAACTCCTCCATGGACAATTCGTTGCCTGAGATACCACCAACAACAGGCCATTCGCTTTCAAAATCCAGAGCTCGAGCAACGACCTGAGCAAGGTCCTCGACTGTCGTAAAGGTGATGCTTCCATCGACCACGAGGTGGCGACATTGTTCGAAATCGAAAGGAGTTTCAGTATTCTGAAGATGTTTGGTCGACTTGTAAGGGTATGTCAAGTAGTTGAGGAACAGGCCTGGCTGGAAAAGGGTGTATTCCAGGACCTAGAAGCAGACAGAACGTCAGTAACAGCGTAGTGTCAGGCTTATCAGAACCCACCTTCTCTTTATCGTTCAGCTGCTGGAGATAACGACGTATCTCGCCCTTGTAGGCATACCAGCCCATCTGGTCAGTACCGGACCTAAGAGGAATTAGGTTGAGGAAGAATATCGAGTACTGGGACGCATGACATACGAGGCCCATTCATTGGGTGCAAAACGCTTGACTCCGGCTTGGACTGCCGCATTGATCAGGTTCTTCTGAAGGGGGCTAGAAGGATCATCCTGTTCAGAAATGAATGAGAGAACGGTGTGTACTCCGTTCAATGCTTTGGTCAATTGAGCTTGATCCTGGTAGTCTACCTGAACCCAGGTAATGCCTTGAGTGGCAACAGGAGCTTCCTGTTGGTAACTGTTAGCCAAAGACTTAATACATGGGTCCATATCTCCACACCTTTCGTGACAATAGCACAATCTCATGCTTCTGAGTCGCAACAAGGACATCAATAATCTCCGAGCCAACATCTGTTGTGCTGTTAGTGCTAGTGCAATGGTATAGGTGAAATAATGAAGGACCTACTGCCCGAGCCACCCGCGAATGCGATTTTGACCATTCTGATGATAATGTAATATGACGGTTCTCGAGGTTTGGTAACTAATGGTTGATTGTGTTCGAGGAAATGCTAGGAGACTGGAGCTTGTTTATGTAGGCTTTTAGTCCGGTCGAACGTTCGGTGGAAGCGACGGCCCATGTTTATACGAGAACATCACAGCTTGAAATTTGATCGTCCGCGCTCATACATTCTCCAGGTGCTGATGAAATGGTTGGTTGTGTTGGCGTGAGCATTGGTTGTTCCGCCGAGCTCGGTGGAAGCAGGTGCAATCTTTGCTGACAAACCCCGCTGTTTCGACCGAAGCCTCGAGCGTTCAGCCGAACGACCGAGCATCCAACATAATTTCCTCAACATTGCGACATATCTCGGAACTGCAGTTTCCAACAACAGACAATGGCGATATTATCGGACCACGATTCAGAACCTACACTTAAGCGTAGAAAGATCCGCAAGGGTACGCAGAGCTGCTGGGAATGCAAGCGACGCAAGGTTCGATGTTCGGGCGAACAGATCTGCCAGAACTGCCAACGTCGTGGTACGCCTTGTATCGGTCAGGACTTACCTGACGAGCCTCAATCTGCCGAGATCAGTGTTCTTACGCCAGAGTCGATTGGAATAACGGCGGTATGTGCCATTTTCATTGCAACTCCTCGTTACTATCACCTTTCACTGTGAACACATTTGGACATGATGAGGCTGTGAATATGCAAGATGATCTTCGTGTTGGGGCATTCATCCATAGAGAGGAGGCACTACCGGCGCCCTCTCGTTGGTCACGATACAAATTCGGAAAGAATTTTGCATATCTCAGCTGCAAGCGTGGCCGAGTCTAGCATGCACAAGAGAGCTTTGTGTTCAACCTTGGCGAGATGTTTTGTCTGACCAAGCCAGGATGCCAATTCGACCGCGACTACGCGCTCACTATATGCCACGCCTAGCTCGAACAACACGGGGAGTGATGATCTGGAACAAGCCCTTCGATCAGCGTGGCCGAGTCAACATGAGATTGACCTCATCACAAAATTGCCGATTGGCTTGTCGGTGTTCTTCCACAATGGCGTCTGCACATTGTACAACAACCCCACGAGTCAACAATCATCTCCAGAAGACATCCTGCAATTACCACCACGAGGTTCACACCCTGTGCTGATAGCACGAAGCCTTCTACTGCTCGGCAATTACTTGCAGGGAATCGTGCTCCCTGATGGCCGGTCATCACCAAAGCCGGGATCAAAGTACCACAACATCATGTGTCATGCTGTTGAGACTGCCATCAAGCTCGTCACAAAGAACGAAGATCTCGTCAATTCTGTCGAAGGCATAGAATGTATCATGCTAGAAGCCGCCTACCAAAATTATGCTGGAAATCTGCACCAAGCTTGGATGGCAGTGCGAAGAGCGACGACTACTTCACAAGTACTTGGATTGCATCGATGCGTCAGCTCTCCATCGCTGAAGTTCCTTGAACCGCAGACAAGGACATACTTCAACGCGGAGATGACCTGCTTTCGATTGGTCCAGATGGATGCGTATCTCGGTCTCGTGCTAGGACTGCCACGGAGTTCGCTCCAAGCTCATGGTAACCTCGAAGACTTACAAAAGTTTCAGCCAGTAGATCGAATAGACCGCATACACTGTCTAGTGGCAGATCGCATCCTCCGACGCAAGGGTGACGACCTGTCTGAAACTCAGGAATTGGATTTGCTCTTAGAAAAAGCAGCATCTGATATGCCATCTCAATGGTGGCTCATGCCTGATCTATCGCCTGGTAGCTGCACCGAAAGTGAGCTTGCGCGCGATACCAATCGTCTCATGACACAATTCTCTCAGTACCATCTGCTGATTAGGCTGCATCTGCCATACTTGATGCGCTCCTCTTTCGGAGGGTATGGCGACTATAGCAAGATGACAGCTGTGAATGCTAGTAGGGAGACGCTGAGTCGTTACCTGGCCTTTCGTGTCAACAACCCTGCGCACTTTTACTGCCGTGGGACCGACTTCCTTTGCTTCATCGCTGCAACGGTCCTGTGCCTTGCACATATCGAATGTTGTAGATCCCGGCAAACGCAGCCCAGCAGTCAAAACGCCTTCAGCCTACTCGTGCATACCCGATCTAGCGACATTGGTTTGGTGGAAAAGATCACCGAGATCATACAATCAATCGCACAAGACTTTGACGAAGATGTCATCGCATCCCAGATCCTTTGCGTCCTCAATCAATTGCTGAAAATTGTGGGCAGGGTCGCAAATGGTGTGAGTTATGGAGTTGAAGCAGGTGACGGTGTAGGCGAAGGCCTCGCATATCACGGCGAGGAGACGGACGGCGGTGAAGGGCTGCAACTGCAGATTCCGCACTTCGGCACTATCGAATTCCTTCGCCATGGTATACAGCGATCTGGGCCAGTAACGACCGTGTCTCAAGATCCGACTCTTTCAACTGGCGAGGGGCTTGACTTCCTGAACGTGAATGGTTCAAGCATGGCTCCTGTTCCAGGGATCGATGGCGAGTGGGACATGCAGGGTATTGACCTGGCATTATTCGAAGGGCTGTTTGGCGAGTCAAGCGTGCTGGATGCGACAGGCACATTGAGCTGGATGTAGACCGAACGTCGGGTGCATGGCGTTAAGTGACTGGTTGGCATTGAATAGGCGTGATTCTGGTATAAACTTCATCTAGGAGGAGCGTTCAGGATGTATGTATGAGCTTCACGATCAGAGCTTCAAGGCGGTCAGCATTCTGCCACCTCCGCTTTGTAACTCCAGCAAAGCTCAGTCTCAACTCACATCTCACGTTCCACCTTCCAAATGCTCAAGTACATCTGCGTGAAGCGTTCGTGCATCTCGACGTATGCTTAGTGACCCGATGTGTGTATCGAGACTGGACACGCGCCACCGGTTCAGGAGCTGCAGGACGCCCCTCGTGCCAAGTCCTTCGGGACCGAAGCCTCAAGCTCGCGACCGAGCCCCCTCCTTGCAACATACTGGCTGCCGTCTTGCTTTCGTTCTTTTTTCAATCTCAAAGTGTAAAATCTTCGGAAGCATTCCAAGTCCGTGACCGGGCCTCCTTCTTCTTTCCTCTCGAATTTGCGTTCGCAATACACGGCCTTTCAGCCATGTCTTTGCCGGAAGCCGATCCTCCGAGTGGGACATCTTCGCTGAAGAAAACCATCACCCGCGGCCACAGCTGTATGACTTGCTCGGCTCGTAAGGTTCGGTGCGATGGACATAGACCTTGTGCGACATGTACAAAATCCGCGGTTCCGTGTAGTTCAAAGCCGACCCAGCCAGCTCGGGCAAAGGCCGCAAACGCTGCAAAGCGAGCCCGGGACCGGGGAAATGTGTCTTCTACCATAGAGCACACACCGGATCTTGACAAGCAACAGTCGAGTGTTGCTGAACACATCAATGATCAAGGTCACTCGCATTATGTTGAGAAGTGCTTACCATAAATCATATCTCTGCATTGACCGAACACTGATACATCTTGCAGCACTATGTGGATTGGAGTAGGCAAAGAAGTATCACAAGTCTCGCCAGTGCGATCACCCTTCAGGACTGACGTCAATCACAGCTTCTTAGTCCGACAAATCAAGAAGACTCGGAGACCGATCTTGCCCCGACGCCTTCGACAAGCTCGAACCCGTTTGTTGCCGAGAGTCTCATCCTCGGAGGATCTCCAGTTAACTTGGCTGGCAAGCATCCCAATTCGGCGTGTCTGATGTGGCTATGGCAGACCTTTCTGGAGAATGTCAATCCTCCGGTCAAGATATTGCACACCCCCACTGTTCAAAAGATCATCTTGGGCGTGGCCTCTGGTCTTTCGAAAACGATGCCCGCAAATAAAGAGGCACTCTGTTTCTGTATCTATCTGATTGCTATTTGCTCCGTACCTCATTGCAACCATGACGAATGCGAGAGAGTTATGGGTCAGCCGATGGATGAATCAATCGATTTGTACACCGGGCTAGCTCAGCAGGCTCTTGTCAATGCACGATTCATTCAGAAGCCCAACTTCACCACGCTCCAGGCCTTTGCTCTGTTCTTGGTCAGCCAGAGGACAAGGTTCGAACCTAACGTCTTGTGGCAGCTGACAGGATTAGCAATTCGTGCTGCACAGCAGATGGGCTATCATCGGGAACAAGCGCTCAAGAGCCCATCTGTATCGATATTCCAAGCGGAGCTACGACGGCGTCTTTGGTGGGAACTTGTGCTTCTTGAGAGCTTTAGCGCTAAGCAATGCGGAGTCCGGTCCATCGTCTCTTCCAGGTCTTTCTGGGATACCAAGCGGCCTTTGAACATCAACGACACGGACCTTCACCCAGAGATGTGTCATAGTCTTGAGGATTATCGCGGTATGACTGAGATGAGCTTTTGCAGCGCGAGGTTCGAGATCGGGTCATTCACTATTGATCATTCCGGCATGGACAAGTCGTCTCAAAACGTCGACGAGGTTGACTCTAGGATCGAAGAACTACTCAAAGGACTGCATGATAGACTGCTGAAGTACTGCGACCCTTCGGTACCAATGCACAATATGCTTTTGCTATTCAGCAGAGGCGCGACAACTCGCGTCAAGCTGACTGTTCGTCGGCACCATATGTATGCGAGAGGTGCCGGCTTGTCATTGGAAGAGCGCGACAAGACTTTCCTCCTCTGCTTGCAGCTTACAGAGGTACCCAACAGCTTTTCAAAGAACAAAGAGATCCAGAAGTTTATCTGGCAGGCCATGGCTTTCTTTCCCCTGGACGCGCTTCTGTTTATGCTGGGAGAAATAGCATATCGAACAGAACAACCGCCGCCAGAAATCGACCGTGCCTGGGAAGAGATAGAGAGATCCTTCGAGCTTCAACCACGATTGTTGCACGATGAGAGTAATGCGATGTATAGTGCTGTCAGAAACCTCACCCTCAAAGCTTGGGATAGGTCGGTGAACAGACAGTGGATCGGCTCGAATGTGCCTCGATTTATACAATTGCTCCGCTCCAGGTCTTTGGCTATAAGATCCACGGACTCATCAGTTAACCTGATTGGCACATCTGGAGCACTGGAAATACTTGACGAGAGCCTGTTCAATTTTGATTCTGAGAGTCTGAACCCGAGCTGGAGCAAGATTGTTATTCCGGACGACCCCGAGTTCTGGGCTTATTGGCAGCAGTTTGACGCCGAACTATCTGGCGTCTGAGCAGTCTCGAATATAGCACTGCTGCCGCCTCAGATATGGCTTGATATCGCTCAGCCAGCAGCAACTCGGTCGAGCGCGGTCGAAGCCAGAAGGTTGTTATACAGAACTCGATAACCTTAGGCTGCCAGTGTCCACGGCAAGCACAAGAGTTTGGAGTGAATAAGATTGTCACAAAGGTGCAAGATTATAGCGCATAGAAGTACAAGCCGACGAGCACTTCCAGTCTTTGCTTCCTCAGTATCGATCTCCGCTTGGCAGAATACTGTCCCATCCCAACGACCAGCACAGAAGGATCATGGAGATGTTGCGCCGGAACCGAGCTCCTACTACGTCTCAAAATACCATGCTAAGTAGCCGGCCGGCACAAGGCAAGATGATCCTGCTCCTGATATGTAATCTGGACACAGCGTGCAGACATGTGGCCTACCATCAAAAGCAATGTTGCCTTTGGTCAGCTCGTCTGGTTGGTACTCAAGAGACTGAGATGGAATTGATGGTTTGGTGCTCGAAAGTGCCGACGTGGTTTGGCAAACCCACCAAACATTAATCGCGGAAGGCGTGTTTCATGTCACGAGCCGCTTCGTGGTTTCCACATGGGTCGCCGTAGAAGCTTCTAATTTTGGAACACTTTCAAGAACAGCCGACAGTTTTGCGTCATCGGCACTTCCAAAAAGTTTATCTCAAACATCAACATCGTCGCTTCCACCGCTCTTGCTCCTGACAAGACTATTCAAATGAGTTGCTTGCCACCACTGAGCGACTAAAGTGTTTCTTGTACATTTGCACAAGAACAACAGCTCCATTCTCTCTTCCGATGGGCTTGGCGTCGCCTAATCTTCCGACTTTCGGCATACGAGAGCCGTGCTTTCTCGGTTCTGCCATTTCCCACGCGACATCTCCATAGGCAAGCGATCTTCATCAATCTCGAGCTAATCTTCCTTGTTAACTGCGGACGAAATCGTACTCAACAACCCTGACAAGCGGCTGAAAAACTTAATGCGTGGTCAAAATTAGCAGTCAGTCAACATGGATAGAAGCTTATATACTTTGCTGGTGGTCAGTGTGCACTTCGACTGATTGACTGCGCATACATAACAAGACCTTGATTCTCTGGCTTACCTACTGTTTCGTCAATCCTCCATCCAACATGACCGTCACAACACAGGTACGGCACCCGTGTATGCAACAACGAACACAATCGACTCACACACTCAGTCTCTGCTGGCACTCGCCCTATTCAGTGTTTGTGAGGCCGCAAGCTATCGCACTATTGGATCTTCAGGATGCGCTGCACAGATGGTATTCGTGCCACCATATACTGACACGGTGGTCTTTCTTGACAAGTATGGCAGCAAAACGATGTGCGGAGATAGTTCCTGACAAAGTACAGCTATCACCGGAATTTTGGTGGTCCGGGAGTAGACCTGAAGACTGGCGCTCACTCAAAAGACCCATTCATGCAGGACAATGGGCTATGGGCCTTTGGTGTTGAGTACGAATGGCGCACAAACGATCTCCGCAAATTGACTCCGAAGTCAAATACGTTTTGCGCCGCGGGTGCCTTTGCCCCCGATGGCACGTTGATAAATGTTGCCGGAGCCGAACTGTACTCAGGAGACGCCAAAACTACAAATCTTCAAGATGGCCGTCAGACTGTCCGCAGATACAAGCCCGGCCCTTGCGACATTGATGGATGCAAGATGGATTTTGAAGTCAATACCAATGAGCTTCAATCAAGACGCTGGTATCCAACAAGCATAACTCTGACAAACGGCGATGTTCTTGTTGTTGGAGGCTCAGTCGTTGGCCTTCTGGTTACCAACGAGGCTTCCATCAACAACCCCACTTACGAGCTAATCAAAGCCGACGGCAGTCAAGCGCCGCCTCAGAAGAACTTGACCATCCTGGAGTTTGGTGCTGAGGATAACCAGAATGCGGATATGTCCTTCAACCTTTACCCCATCCGTGAGTCATTCTCTCAAACCGTTTGCGTTGTTCACTGACCCAGTCTAGTCCAGCTGCTCCCGAACGCAGACAAAGCCGATCATGTTTTCACTCTAGCTGGCAACAGAGCAAACGTCTACAACTACGCCACAGACGAGATTGTCAAAGAGCTTCCGAATATCCCTGGCGGACCTCGTACTTTCCCAGGATCGGCCGCTGCAGTGCTGCTGCCACTCAAAGCTCCTGAAAATGAACCTACTATTCTGGTCTGTGGTGGCAGCTCGGCAGATATACCAAACCCCAAAGCTTTGAGCGACTGCTACCGTATCAAGCCAAACGACCAGAATACTGTTTGGATTAGAGATGATTGGTTACCCAATGGTGGTCAGACCATGATTGAGCCTGTGTTGCTTCCTGATGGCACGATTGTTATGATGAACGGTGCACACAGAGGAAGCGCTGGTGGCTACCAAGCAGAAGATCCTGCACTGCAAGCTCTGATCTACGACCCCAACGCGTCCAAGGGACAGCGTTTCATAAAATCGGCCACATCTGAGATCCCAAGGATGTATCATTCCGTCGCTATTCTCCTTCCAACAGGCGAAGTTCTGCTCGCTGGATCCAATCCAGATGTTTTCTACAATCCTGTCGGCAATGTGTCATTGGCGAATCCAAAATGGCCCGAGTTCCAGAACAACGGTCACAAGTCATACCTTCATCAACAGCAGGAGCCAGACACAGCATATCCCACCGAGTACCGTGTTGAGATCTACGCTCCTCCCTACATGGATGAAGTCGGCTCTCGCCCCATCATCACTGCCTTCCCTGTCTCCGTCAAATACGGCGAGCATTTCAAGATGGCAGCCGAGGGTGCTCGCGAAGATGTGGTCGTCCGACTCAGCTACTCTGGCTTCCACACTCACGGTGTCGATATGGGAGCTAGAATGGTTCAATTGGAGGCCGTGTTGAGCACAGATGGTGATTATATCATTGATGTTACTGCACCGGCTGATGCTTCTGTTATGCCGCCTGGTGTGTACATGCTCTGGGTCATCGAGAAGGGAATTCCTTCCGAGGCTGTGTGGATGAAGTTGGAAGCTTGATTGTAGAGTTGTATTTCGCTTGCACATTTAGATATTGTAGTATAGTAGATCTTCGATTCTTGATGATAAAAGAAGCTGGCAAGAACTGTTTCTTCCGATATCTCCTTCACCGCGGGACAGCGTGGTTGGCAAACACTGTCGAAGTAAGCGCGACCCTGATTGTAACATACGTCATCGGCCAAGATGCGATATCCAACATCTTCGAGACATCACCCAGACTCCTTGTCAATAGCCCACCAAAATAATTCCGCCACGATGATACCGGTAATATGCACCGCAAACATCCCACCAGAGGTAAGCATCCAAACCCCATATCATCGACCATGCGCTTAACCAAACTTTTCCCCAGCTCATCAATGACTTCCTAACCACGACCTACGCCGCAATGACAGAGGCACCTCAAACTCTATGCATAATCACAAGCACGAGTTGGTCGATATACGAAAACGACGAGTCTGGAGGCCATAGTATAGAGATGTTATCGCATGGTGGAGGACCCATGCGGATACCTTCACGACCACCCTGGACAGTCAGATTCAAATCACCGTTTCTGAATCAGCGAGCGGAAGAAGTGGCTAAGATGTTGGCATCTACACAAGGAGAGGTAAAGGGTTTGGATATGAGATATTGTGTCATTATTGATGAACAGAGTTTGGAGGATAAGACTGTTTTGTTGGTGAAGACTTGGAGGGGTGAGGGGAGTAAATTGCCCAAGGACGATGATAGTCCTATTGTGGAATGCAGAGTTTCTTTCGAAGATGCAAATGCATGTTTGCAGAGTTTCAGTGTTGGAATCGGGTCTTTGGAAAAATTGGTGTGGAATCAGAAGGCATAGTGGAAGTTGTTCAGAGCAGAAAGTCCTCTCAGATCAATCAATCATATTCCTACTTTTCAAGGACTTGTGTCACATCAACTGGAGCTAATTGCGGGATAAGGTTCATGCATTCAGGCAGTAAGATGACTATGAGGAAGGAAAAACGACAACTTTATGAGTCAAACATCAGACCACGACCGAGCTGTGAATCCTGGAACGGCTCTCAGCGCTCTCAATTCCACCAGTGAGAATGGTGTTCTTGCGCTGCTCTTCGTGGGTAGCACGGTAGATGTCAAACTTGTGAGAGAACCAAGTGTCGCAAGAGATCATTCTGCCCTCGGAGTCGCGGAACATGGTTCCATGAACAGGGCGGCAGAAATAGGCGATTGAGTATCTGTGCGAATGTTCCATCTCGGCGACAGGCATAACACGGTGCAGAACGGAGCGGAAGCGCATGCCGGACAGGAAGCGGAGCGAGTCGCCAACGTTGCAGATAGCGTGACCAGCCTTGGGTTGGACCCAATCCCAGGCATCATCTTCCGGTTGTGCACCACGAGCAGGTACCTGTAGACCCCATTGTTGGGCGAAAAGGAAGGCGATGGAAGAGATGTCTGTATGCTTGTTGTGTCCGACGTTGTCACTGTCGCGGACTTTGCGAGATGGGTAGCGGTGGAAAGTCATGGACGAGTTCGAGGGACCATCGTCGCGGTGGGAGCGTTCATATCTTTCCTCGCCTTCGAGACCAGTCGCATCGGAGAGAGAAGACAAGATGCTGAGGACGTGCATGCGAGACTTGTTGATGAAGTCATTGAAGAGCTCCTTGGATGCCAGGACTTGTCCTGGAAGAGGCTTGACTGTCCAATCGAGGCCCTGCTGAGCAACCTAATTCATCAACGTCAGCTTCTTATGCCAAATGCGGATATGCAAGAACAACTCACCCTCAAAGTCTCAAATCCATCTTTGGACTTCTCAGTAGCGCCGGTCTGGAGTCCCAAAGGCTTGTAGCTGAAATTATGTGTCAGTCTGTGCGGGTGATGTGTTTTGCTGTAGGAGACTCACCCTTGAACGTCAGACCCATATGCAAACTTGACCTTCTCTTCCATCGGAGTCTCGAACCAAGACGCCATGACATCCAAGACACCTTGGTAATCACTCCAGAGGCCTTTGCTTTCCAAATCCGAGATGTTGAGATAGAAGAAACCATCCTGCTCGGCAGCAATCATGAGTCTGTGCTGCTCTTCAGGGTCGCAGCTGGCGAGCTTTGCAAACGAGATGGTCTGAAGCTCGGCGACCGAGCATTCGCGGTCGTCGGCGTAAGGACTGGGAGAGATCTGATGAGGCATGATGGAAAATTTTGCTGGTGGCTGATGTTGGTTGTTGATGTTCAATTGAGTTGTTGATGATGCAGAAGAATCTCCTGCGGCGATGCGACGAATTTTATATCTGGCAAGAGCAACCCAATCGAAGGCAACGCTTCTCATGGATGGAAGGGACCTGATCCGCAGCTGGACCCTGACAGGATGCACCTGCAATGTGGGGTAAGCGTAATATGACCATGCATGATGCAGGTCCTGATTCCTTCCCGCATGGCGTAATAACAGGAGCTCGCTAGTTTGTCCCGACCGAGCAGGTGTGTTCGGGTAACATGACCCTGGCGGTATCCGTTACCGCTCCAGAAAGGTTGCTCCGTAAGATGACAGTAATTGTAATCTACCGAGTGAGCTTATTCTTGACCGGTGTGTGAAATTGAAAATGGGTAATCTGACTTCTCAGGAGTTACACACACCCTTTCTCACTCCAGTTATAGTCCTGCAATAGCCGTCAGAATTGAGAACACATTCCTCAAGCAACAACCTCATCTGTGACGGGCTGCACTTTCCGGCATGTTCCACCTCATCATTCCCAGCTTCTTTGTTTTGTACTATGCCATCTCCTCAATTGTGCCGTCGGCTCTTCACAGATTGCGGTCTGTCAAGAAACCAGTCACAATCCCCACGAAACCAAGGAAAGCACCCTCCTCTGACAGAGAGTCAAACGAAGCTATCGACGATGAGCTCAACTTGTACAAAAGTCTCTTCCATCAGCTCCACAACTTGGAACTCCACGCCAGAGCATTGCCACAAGCCAGAGATGTTTTGGTAAGCTTTCTGTCTGATGCAGTCGGCTGCGCAGACCAAATCACCAAGAGCAACATCCTTGACATTTCAACTTTCGACGCTGAAGCTCTCGCGTCGTTCATTCGAGCCAGGGATGATGCTATTGGCCACCGATGGGAGGAATATGTTCAGAGACGACATTCTGGTGCCCAACGAGAACTATTTACCGACAGAGAAGCCGCGATTGAGTGGCTGAGGCAAAGAGCTCCGGTCAAATATGTTGACGGCGCATGGCTTGGTCATATACACAAGATCTCAACGCCCTTCCATCTTCGTTCTGTCACCAAGAATGCCTGGCAAATTCTGTCTGAAGAACTGGGTGATGGCGACATCGAGAAGAACCATGCGCATGTCTATCGCCAATTGATGAACGACATCGGTGCGAATCTGTCGGATGCTGACAGCATTGAGTTTATCAACAAAGATCTTGGCCTCAACAGCAAGCCGATCTGGAAAGCCGCCCTCGCTCAGATTATTATATCACTTTTCCCACACAACTTCCTTCCTGAGATTCTTGGCTTCAACCTTCACTTCGAGCTTCTGACATGGGATACCATGAGAGCCATCAAGGAGCTAAGAGAGCTCGGGCTCAACGACTACTACTTCCGCCTGCACATCTCAATCGACAACGCAGATAGTGGGCACACAGCCATGGCTCTGAAAATTGTCCTTGACTACATGCACACTATCAAGGAGACCGAAGGAGAGGAGAAGACTGCAGAAGCCTGGAGAAGGATTCAAGCCGGTTTCCTCATGTCCGAGATGTTCGATCACCCCGAAGCAAAGAAGTCGACCTCGTATCGGAGCACCGGATCACAGCTCACGCCAATCGAATCAGAAGTCATCCGAATCTTTAAAAGCAAAGCGGCCGTTTCGCAGAGACTGCATTGTGCCAGTCGTGTGAAGATGCTCGGGAGGTCATTGGCGGACTGGTTGGACCCTGCTTCTTTTACAGAAGATGGTCAGATAGCCTTTGTAGATGCTTTGAGCAGAGCAACCCCTTGGATCCAAGCTGGCGACAGCAAATCGAGCAGGTTCATTCAGCAGATCTCCTGGAAAGGCCAGATGTTTGGAGCGTTCACTCATGTCGAAGTCGAGGTGTTGGAACGTTGGATCAACTTGTTGACTCCTCAACAGCCTTCCGAAAGATATTGGCGGTTTGTAGGAGCTCAACACAACCAAAAACTCAGCCACTCGAATTACAGGGATGTATTTACCGAGTATCCGGTCTTTGAGAAGAACGGACTGCTGCAATGGCCAAGTGATCTGGATGACACCCCCTTGGAGATCAAGGTCGATTTTGGTCGGCCAGTGGACATGGATAAGTTCCTGCCTCTCTGGTTCGCTCAGCAAAGTCTGCTTGAATCATTCGTCTCTGTCCCATTCAGGACTTGTAACGAATCAGTATCTGCCATTATCAGAGTACTGCGGGTACATTATGGGTTTGCAGCAGAGGAGGAAAATGTTGCGGGTATGGATGAGTTTGTCCGACACGATGTGACGGGTCTTGTCGACATTGGCCTGCACATCATGGCCAGAGCTGGTCTTTCTAGGCCGGATTCATTGGCTCAAGTGATGGAAGGTAGGAACGCTGATCAGGCGGAGACCATGATCGAACTCTCCATGAGGCCCTTGGAGCATGCCCAAGCACTACTTGGAATGTCTGCCGCTTTCATCGAGTTGCACCACGCCCTGGCTTCTGATCCGAATTGCAAGTTGCTTGACGATCGTGTCTCTAGGATATTGAAAACAATGGCAACGAGAGAAGGACTTGGGCTGCGAGATTGTCGCGAGAGAGATTCGCAGGACCCAGTGAAGGACAAAGATTTTCGTAAAGGGGTTTTGTGGGCAAAGCTCGCGATTGAGGGTTGTTTCTGAGTGTGTTTGTGCCAGCATTATTTTGTCGATTTCCAGTTAGATCTAGAACAAAATTTGACGTTTTTCCAGAGAACAGATTAGTGCTGTACAATGATGACTTTCTTATGCTTGCTGTTCGTTGGAGGTGAAAAGGTCCGAAGCCATGAGAATCTCAAGGCAGGTGCGACTTTCGAGTGCTTCGTCAGAACAAAATTTGCCATCTGTACTTACACAGTCTGCGATAAATGAGTCGATCAAGCTGTAGAGATGCACGAGTCTTTGAGATCCGAGCGACTGTCCAAGAAATGACTGCCCGAGGTATTTTCGCTTGAAATGCTTCCGACATGGAAGGAACCGTGCATCTCTACAGCAGCACACGACAGACTTCAGCGCTTGAAGAGACTAGATTTTGGAGAGGTAGATCTAAGAACCAGATCTACGTCATGCAGTTCGGATCTGCTCCGAACTGTAATAAGATGCGGACGCCAGCCTCAAATCCAATGTTGACAGCAACATGCAATGGGGCTCTCCCGAGACTATCGGTTTCATCTATGACATCGATAGCCTGCCTTGAATGAGATAGAATCATAGTCAGTGCTGTCTCTCGGCGGTGACAGACTGCACGGTGCAATGCGGTCTGCATTTCGGCATTAGTTTTGTGGAGTAGAAGTTTCATGACGATCTCATCATGTCCCTGTATGATGGCGTGATCTAGCGCGGTGAGACCATGGCCATCTGGCTGATTGCACTCCGCTCCGTGGTCGATCAAAGCTTGCACAATATTTGCGTGACCATCTCGAGCAGCGATATGAAGTGGACTGAGAGACTGGGCTTGGCGAAACGACCCAGAGTCGTGCTGAAAGTCTTGAGTATACTGATTCTGAGAAGGAGTCCGCTGTGGAGTATAACGTTGCAGTGATTGAGGTAGCTCTGGCATCGCTGATGAAAGCATAGTAAGATCCAGAGGAGACTGCGGAAAGTGTTGTCTGGTGAAATTTTGTGTTTCAAAGTATCCGACATCGTTTGGAGATTTGTCAGAAACTTTTGGATACGGACTCAGCAGTGAAAGGATTTCTGCTGATGTCGATTCATCGATGCTGTCAGAAAATGGAAGCATTGCATCGCTCAAGCTTTCTGGCGCGATTTGATGGGACCAAAATTCGGGTGTGACTTCAGTACTGAGCTCAGAAGCCTGGAAATTTTCCAGAAGTAGATCAATCATCCCATCATCAGGGCTCGGCTCTGGACTGGAGCTCGAGCTTTGATACGATTCTAAGCTGCGCTGTGCACTGTCCACGCGTTTGCGGGATTGGCTCGACTTTGGGCCCTTTCGCTGGCTTTGCTTTCCTTCTTGATAATTGTGTCAGTAGTGGGGTCGAGACTATGTTGGTCTAGACTCACCTCTGAATCTACGTTGTGCCAGACGATTTTGTTCACGACGCCGGGCAAGAATCTCGTCACTGCTCATGCACATCATCGTCGATTGTTCGTGGTCGATCAGCGGGAGGTGTCAAGTGCTGTAAGAATCTCGATGCCAGGTAGTGTAGTGCCCGTGTCGCCAATATATATGTCTACCCAAGTTCGTATAGGTGGCTTCCTAAAACTCAAAAAGTTCCTTGTTATTGCACCATCCTTCGTGAGGAGCATAATACACAAGGCTGGAACAAACAAAGAGCCTATTCACCGGTGATAGTATTGCGATCTGCCATCCCGAGCAGAGTGAGTGCAGACGACTATGCATTGACGATGTGGGTCAGAGCATACCGAGCTGTTTGATAGACAATAGCGAAGCGCTCTGTGCCTCAACATTAAGTCGATTGAGGAATAAGGTACCAATGGTGTAAGAGCTGCCCGCTCGTGCGTCGTGCTGAACGAATGGGGCACGACGACCGCATTTCATGCTTACCCGCTACCTGCAGGCGGTGCGGTCTGTCTGTATATTCTGCAAGGTCTTCCCGCTACGACTGCAGGGTCCAACTCTTCCGGAGCTATCGCCCGGCAAGTAATTTGTTGATGCTGCTGTTAATGGCGGATTAATTGGCGGAAACATGTGCGGAGAGAATTAGGTTGGACGAGCTGCTCGACGCGGCTGAATAAGCTGGAAGCGAACAAAGCCAAGCATTTCGTGGAGCGGCTCGGGCCTCGCGCCCTTGATGATCACTTTTCTGAATCCTCCGCCCCACATTTCGGACATGAACCACGCCCTGCTTGATCACTGATAGTCGCACCCTGCTTGACATGTTTTGCTCACGCCCTGCTTGACAACTGCTGTTGCGCTTTGTCAGTATTTGGATCTTATCTGTAGGTATGATGACTACTATAAAGCGACTTGCCCACTCGAGGTGGGTGCGTCTTGTACACGCAGTCAAATCTTACTCAGTCCATTCATCCTGTCTACAATGTCGGAGAAAGAAGAACAAGTGCGTGGGCGTGAGACCGTCAACGCTTTGCAGGACGCCGACGGCACGACCATCCCAACAACAAGGATAGCCGAAAACACATATCCTCCTCAAGATGGCGGCAAACAAGCATGGCTGTTCCTGTTTGGTGCATGCATTATTGAGATCACGGCGTGGGGTATCGTTGTTCATATGATCTACAAGATTTTTGACACTAACAAATCCTAGGCTTCCCATATTGCTATGGTGTCTTTGAAGCATACTTCAATAGTCACCCACCATTCCAGGGCCAGAATCTTGTTTCCATTGGCGGTGTTCTGTCGAATGGCGTCTTGCAACTGTCCCTCCCGCCTATCATGTACTATGTCAACAATTTTCCTGGCCATCGCATTGCTGTAATGTGGGCTGGGTGCCTGGTCTGCACTTTTTCCGCCATCGCTGCAGGCTTTGCGAAGACAGTGCGTAGTTGCTGGTGCAACTCAGAGACAGAACGAGCTAACTAGCGACAGCCCTTACAGCTCGTTATGGCAATAGGTCTATGTTACGGTATCGGAGCTGGGATGTTGTTTGCTCCAAGCATCCATCTGATGGCCGAATGGTTCAAGGTCAAAAAGAGCCTGGCATATGGCTTCATGTAAGATCACGTTGAGCTTGCCACATTCCAATATCATGAGCTAATTTTCATTGTAGCTGTGCAGCAGGTGCGGCCGCTGGTGCTGGATTACCGCCAGTCTACACATTCTGCCTCAACCGATATGGCTACAAGGTGACATTGATAGGCTGGGGAATCATCACCTTCGTCGTCACATCCCTTGGTCTGCTGTGTGTACGTCCACGTTTGCCCGTGGCAGCAAAGCCTCCACCACCTTCTTGGAGAGACTTCGATTTCGCGAAAAAGCCGCTCTTTCTCATCATGCTTCTGGCGACAATTGTCCAAGCCATCGGTCATTATGGTCCAAGTCTGTATCTCCCATCCTTTGCAGCAGACTTCGGCATTTCCGCATCGCAAGGAGCAATGCTGGCTAGCTTCTTGAACCTCGCCCAAGCAATTGGTCAACCTCTGCAAGGATGGCTGGCAGATTGGAGAAAGTCCTACTACATCCCAATGCTGATCAGCACGATTGGCGCAAGTCTCGAAGCACTATTAATATGGGGATTCGCACGAAATCTCGGGTTGCTTTGTCTGTTTGCGCTGGCGTTTGGTAGCACAGCAGGTGGATTTGCTGTATTACGTCCGCGCTTCGCCGCAGAGATCGTAGGTGATCAAGATCAGCAGGACAACCAGAGTTTGCTCGTCTTCGCTATCCTTACAGCGAGTCGTGGATCTGCGATTATCGGATCTGGCTTCATCATGAAAAATCTTGTCCATGAAGGATCATCAACTGAGGGCTGGGGAGGCGGTCAGGCGTGGTCGCAGCTTGTCATCTATACCGGTGTCATCATGTTCACCGCCAGTTTCGGAGCTGTAGGCATGTTCGTTGGCCCGCAAAGAAGATACGGAGGTGGTCGTGCGAAGAGTATGACAAGTGAGAAGAGCTCGAACGCTGTCGACAACTTGAGCGAGCTTGTATAAGACTTGTGAGCCACTGTATCCTAGGGCCAATCTCGCAGACAGACAATCAAGGAGGTGTCCCTGATCAGGGATTCTCGGAGATTGGTAACTAGATGATTGACCTAATCAACATGTTCAAATCTTTCTTGTCCGATGCCTTGAAGCTCTCCAACCATGCCGAAAGCAGATATCAAGTTGTCATCCCAAGGTAGCATCATTTGTTCCAGAGCCAAATCTCGATCTTCGCTATCATAAAGACACGGCCATGTTTCAGAAGGATCAAATGCCAGAGAAAAGTTCAACTGCGGTTGCAATGTCTTCTGAAACAACCACTCGGCGACAACCAGTATTTCGCCCAGAATCCCTGCTTTTGGCCAGGGTCCAGCAATAGTCTCAAAAGGCAATGCTTTATGCAAAGGAACTGGTGAAGCAGAGAAACGCAAATAGTTTTTGGGGACAGGTCCGTCATTAGAGAACAATGCAAAAAGAGCTTTCGCTTGATTCTCTTGTGACAAAGCCGGCATAGAAATACCAAGATCATGGTAGACTTCGAGATCTTCAGCCGCAGGTGCTTGGGCCATATCTTCGGTAAAGAATGCGAGGACGTCCAGACTATAGGCCTTCTTGAAAAGGTCTAACCACTCAGGATGGTCAGCGGCGGTATTTGTGTCAGCACTTGACGAGCCGTAGGTGAGAAGTCGTGCTTGGTCTTGTAGTTCCTTGTCTGACACTGGACGACTTTGAGATGATTTCTCCTTGACCAATTGATATAGGCCGGCAACCAGAAATTCCCATGATCTATTTGGAGGGACACAAGACTTTCGTTTGAGATTTGATGCACTAAATGGGAATGGCCGGGTCCGTTCAAGGCCGATGAGAAATGGTGGCATAGAAAAAGTAACCTGAGCAGATGTTGCGCCATCTAAGCCCCTGCATCCTTTCCACATACCCATGTGATATCCATTTCGGAAGTGACCTGCAAGATGTTCGTTTCTCTCGCTCCAAATGCTGAAGCGGTCGCCGCAGAAGCCACAGCGACTATTCACCCAGACTGCTTCCAGAAGCCAGTGATCCATGTGTGCAAGCATGTCGCATTCGTGGACGGACCGGAGATGTTGCCTTAGATGGTCTTTTCGTAGGAATATCCTAGCGTCCGGATCTCTTGATTGGCAGTAGTCATGATTGTGAGATGCGATGTGTTCCGGATCAGGCGAGACCAGACCGCAGTAGGCGCAAATCTCAGTCCCGGTATCTACGCTCTTCTGTATTGGGGCGAAAGGGCAACAAATGAATCGCTTCAGCGGCAAATGGAGAGAGGTCTCATGTCTTGTCCACTCGAATTTGGTAGCAAACGTGTCAGTGCAGAAAGTGCACTGGAACATCCTCTGCTGAGGCTTCACCAAAGAAATGACATCTTGATGGCCAGATTTCTCAGAGCCCTTCTCGGGATGAGGGTCGGCGTTGACATCGTTCTTTGTCAAAGATGTTTGAGATGTCGCACTCTGAGTCGTGGGCTCCGCACTTCCATCTTTCTTCGCAGGTCGCCTACGTCGATAATTGGCAAACCATGTATTCAGCTGCTTTGAGTCCAATCCTGTCAATTCTTGTAATGTCGCTTTTTCCACAGCATTCGGGTAAGGATTGTCCTGATGTAGTCGAACCCAGTCAAGCAACAAACCGGCGACTGCGTTGGAGAAGCGAACCACATGGCGTGCGCTTCTGTTGTCTCTCTCTTTCTTTTCGACCTTTGCACAATCCTTACACATGTTGAAAAACTCTCAATTGGACGGACATGCGAAAATCAAATTGCGTCAACTCATGCTGAGTTCGATCAATGTCATGTCTTGATGTTTGGTGTCAAACCCCAGAAGTGGACAAAGGTCACAAAGGCGGAGGAATGCGGGCACTTGTGGCACGTGGCGCTTTAGACTCAGTGCACAAGCTTTGACAGAACTCCATGACACACGTTTGAGCCAATGAAAGATAAGCTTGCATAACAACGATCTGTCATCACCTTCTTCTCTGCTTCCTGTAGCAGCGTGTTAGGTTCTAGCTGTGATAGTACACAATGATATGGGTCTAAATTCTAGCTTCTGTACTCGATGCGCTCTCACTGGACACGACTCTGGTGTGGGGAAAGATCCTGCACATCTACAGCTACACCGGCGAGTGACTGTAACACTAGCATCAGGACTGACTTGTCGCATCCTCTTCTTCGTGTCTGACCGCTCTTTCCGCTAACACCAGTACATCTTGCAAGTTGCTGAATGGTGCCCCAGCCTGCACGATCCCGACAACGCCCTCCGTAAAGTGGCACGCACTATCGCACGTACAGCCCTTGGAAGGTAGCCAAGCCGAGTCTAAGCATACCAAAGGCTACAATGACTTGGAGCCACGTTTGTACCACCGCCAGGTTGATCTCCCAAAATCCGATATCATGCTCTTGTGCAGCCATAGCCAATGTGCCGGCAAAGCATAGCATCAACACAGTCGAGGTCGGCATGATCTTGAGTGTTCTTCGTTGGTCTTGGATGTCTTCGCGCTCCCGTTCACTGAGTGGGGTTTCGGTACGCTTGTCGGCGTCTCCTACAATCAAGACGGTGAATGGCTCGAGGAGTGCGGAGACGACCTTGGAGCCTGCTGTGGTGGAAGCGACAACGACTACGATTGTGGCTGCGATGGCTGCTCCGACGGACAGTGTGGACCAGACGAAGTCCATGCTGAGTGGTCTGGGTGCTTCGAAATCGAAAGTTGAGTGAGGGTTGACTGCGGCTTGTGAGATATGAGAAAAGAAAATACAAGGAAGCTCAGGAGATCCTGGATACCTTATAGGTCGTGAATCTTCTTGTGGCGCGATTGAAGAGGTAATATGAGTGAATTGACTCATGCGACGGTTTTTCACCAGACTGCGGAGCTGTGATATCGGAAACAGCTATTTGCAAAAGATTGCGCTGATATCAAGCCTTTGATTGCATGGCTTTCAATGTACCGGTGGAAATCTCAAAGGCTCTGGGACTGATGTTGTTGTGTTGGTACAGGGTGTCGACCGAAGTCAGCTTGAGTAGGTGGGGCTTGTTCGCTCCTTCCGCCAGGTTACGTGGCAAGTGAAGCATCTTCAACTCTTCACTACCTTTATATACCTTACCCCCGCAACTCCTGCAACATTGCCATCGCTTTATCAGCAAGCGGTGGTGGCCCAGCGGCAGCGAGTCACCAACTCGTGTTTGGAGTCTTTCTCCACTGAAGGTCATCGGTTCGATTCCCATCGAAGACAATGCCAGAGTCTTGACACTCCAAATTTAGCTCAGAAACGAAACTGGTTCGCTAGTTGCTTTCCACCTCCGAAAGGGGGCGTTTGTTTTGCTCGTGTCATGCTCACTTTTTGGTCTTGATAATGCGCGCCTTTTGCGTTGCATTGCATACCCAGGTGTTTTCTTGAGTCGGGACCATTGAGCGTGGAGTCTCTGAACTTTGCTTCAATTGTTCCTTTGCAAAGTGGTCGTCGAAATTAGGGCGCTGTCAGTTGACGATAGTATATTCCGTTTTAGATCAAGCCGTAAGGGGAACGTTTATTGGGCCTCGGAACCTTTCATCCTTATATCTGTAGAAATGTACTATTCCTGCTATGTTGAAGGTAGTCTTCCCTAACCTCTAGCGTGTGTCTGTGGACCACCGTACTGGCTCCATGGATATTGTGCATTGCTACAGCCTTGAGCGAATGCAACTGTGACTGCGATTGACGGCTTGAGGTCACAAAACTCAGCACATGAGAAAAGTAGGTACATAAGATTGTCATGTTTGACATGTTGTGAAGTTCTGAGGAAGGAGGTGCGGTCAGCTGCATTGCTGTTGCTGATCGAAACTTCTGACGTCACCGGTTGCTGAAATTCAACTGGCCATTTCTGGTCAGGATGTCTTCCTGGTTGCGAAGGTTTATGACTTTCGCCCTCTTTCTGCGTTCAGACTCGAAGACATTGAGCCTGTGTACATGCCGAATGATTCCAAGACTGGTGCAATCGTTCACGGAAGGGATTTCGAAGTACAGCGGCTCACCGAAGCTCCCCGGAAGAATTGTGACTCATGCCTATGGTTGGTCACATACAGTTCGTCGCTCGCAACCAATCAAGGATCACTACATTTCGGAACATCTCTGCTTGAGCTCGAGCATCCAATGAGTAGAAGACAAGCCGCAGTTGATGATCATCTGTTGATGGAATAGATACTGTCACAGCAGCTGCCTATCGTAGACACCGCCCAATCTGTTTTCTGGAGAAGGTAGGTTACATAACGTCGCGGCTGCCCCGACAGAAAACACACCCACACATCAACAATCTTGGGACATAAACAATTCACAATGTCAACAATTCAGATTCCCGTCATCGACTTCTCCGCTTTCCTTGATCCGGCCAGCAGCGACGACGCGAAACTCGAGACAGCACAGGAACTCGATGAAGCCTGTAGATCTGTCGGCTTCTTCTATCTCTCGAACCATGGAATCGACGCCTCAATGTTCGCAGAAATGCTATCCAATGCTAAAGAGTTCTTCACAACCGCTTCATCCGAGGAGAAGGATGAGATCAAGGTGAAGCCAAGCGGTGAAGGGTCCGGCGATGATTCAAGAGGATACAGAATAGTCGAAAGAGCTGATGCAGGATATGAAGTATGAAGCCAACCAAGTTGAAGAAATACGAACCGTAGACTGATCATCCCAATCAGGCCCTTGACTTCCTTCGCGAGCTTGATACAGAAGGCCCCCCATACACAAAAGGCTTGGGCCGTAATCAATGGCCAAAAACGCCAGCAAATCTCCAATCGGTCGCAGAAGATTACGCCTCACGTCTCGTAGCTCTGGGTGTCGCAATCATGAAGGCTTTTGCGCTCGCACTGGGTGTATCGGAAGACGTGTTTGCCAGTAGAGTCGACCAATCATTCTGGCAATTGCGCATGGCAGCATATCCTGGAGTGTCTGGAGAAGTCGATAGCTCCAAGAGTGGATTATATCAGCACAGTGACTTCGGTATCCTTACATTCCTACTGACTGATGAGCACAAGGGATCACTAAAAGTGCTTGCACCCAACGGAGAGGACTGGATGTCTGCAGACCCGATACCCGTACGTCTCATCAAATTTTCCACTTCTACTGAAGATGCCATTGGCTCTATCTTGCCGTTTTCTCCTCAACTCATGTACTGACTCATCGAAGGGCACTCTCATCTGCAACATCGGCGACATGCTTTCTGTCTGGACTGATGGCATCTACAAATCAACCCAACACAAAGTCATCCACGCAAGCAAAGACATGCGTGTCTCAATCCCTTTCTTCTTTGACCCAAACTGGGACGCAAGAATTGAGCCCGTGCTGGGCAATGCAGACGTCAAGTCAAAGGCCGAGGGTGTGAATTACAAGGACATCTTCACAGGAGCAATCAAGTATCCTTATTGATATGGGTGATACATCAACCACTGAAGACGCGAATACGATAGCCACCAGCCGATCCCTGTTATCAAATATCTCGCAATAAGATGATGGTTACACTTCAAAGAAAATATTTGTTACCTCATCTTCACCGCCATCGCCTTTGTACATCGTTCATAAACTTCATATCTTCCCGAGAGACGTCGAAGAGGATTCACCGCAGAAAAACAAGCTTGCTCATAGCAGTTTAATTTCGGGTGACTCTGGTCACGAAAGGCGACACGTATCGAGAAATAAACATCGAGAAATTTAAGAAAAAGATTTTTCTCGTCAGCACGTCAATCATTATCTCGTTACTCAAGCATTTCCTCGAGAGATCAATCTACCGTTCACAGCTGTTCCAAGACCCTGGACCTCCCACACTTCCAAGAGCATCACTCAGACTCTCAGAGTTACATCCCAGTCACCCTCCGGCGTCTCCTTCCACTGTTTTGTCTCCGGATCAAGCAATTTCTGTGCATCCTCCCACTCTTGCTTGACAATTCCTGCTTTTCCATCACGAGGGAGGATATTTGCTACGAAAGGTTCAGGTCTAGCAGCAATACCGCCGACGATCAGATTGTCCGGATCGGGCAAGATATCCTGACCTTCAGCATCTTGCTTTGGCGTGATGGAAAAGGCCCAGAGAATGCCAGAGACACCGAGGAACATGCTTCGATCGGCGACATGCATGCCGGGGCAGATACGTCTTCCGGCTCCGAACCCAACGGTGTCTCTCTTGCTTGGGTCTGGGTGGGCGGCCATCTCAGCTATGGAGACGTCGTCATTATCTTCGCTGAAACGATCAGGGTTGAAGCGGCGAGGTTCGGGGTAGCGTTCAGGATCTGTCATGATAGCCCAGGCATTCAAGATGACGGGCGCACCCTTGGGGATCTTGTAGCCCATGTACTCGTCATCTCTGGTGCAAGCATGAGGTACGGCGCCCAAAGGTCCGACGGGGAACCAGCGGACAAGCTCTTTGACGCATCGTCTGACATATGGCAGATTGACTGCATCGGCCATGACTGGTGGACGTTCAGAACCAACGACTCTGTCAATCTCCTCCTGAGCTTTTGCTTGAACGTCAGGGAAGAGCAGCATAGCTTGGATAAAAGCATACAATGTTGATGATGTAGTCTCCATGCCGCCTTCAAAGATGTTGCCGACTGTGTATGCAGCTTCTTCATCAGTGAGCCCTTCGTCTTTCTCCTGGGCTCTGGCGAGACCGATGCTCAAGCAGGGTCCGAGAGTTCCATTGGCGATGTTCTTCTTGACAGCGTACCAGTTCTCCATATGCACTTCATGACCAAGTTGGAGTGCGCGACGGATGTTTGCTTTGGCAGGGAGAAGTGCCTCCGGTAAGTAGCGAAGGAAAGGGAACCCATCGATAAGTGCAGCAGCTCCTGTGCTCATAGCCTCTTGCAAAGCAGCCAGCTCATCGTCAAGTTTTCGAATCCTTGGATCCGCACTTGACGAAGCCCTCCAGCCAAAGAGGATTGTGGCTGCCAGAGACGTCGTGTATCGCTGCAAGCTAGGAAAGAAGTCGACAGGATTCTCAAGCATTTCATTCAACATCTGTTTACGTTCCATCTCCTGATAGGCATCGTAGTTCTTGACGACCTTGATGCTCAACAGAGAGTGTGCGATCTTGCGGACTTTACGCCACAAGGGAGTGTAAGGCATAAAGACCATTCGTAGCTTGCTGATAGGGATGTGGTTTGCTGCATATGCCTCAGGACGATCAGAGTAGATGGCACTCCGTTTATCCAGTAGGTCTTTGACGACCTCGACGCTGGAAAGAACAATAATAGGTCGGCTGCCAGCAAGAATGCTGTAGATAGGTCCATATTCCTTTGCCCATTTGGCGAACTGCAGGTATTCATTTTTGCTTGGGATCTGGATTACTGTTAGTCTTTTGTGACGAGACTTGACTACTTTACAAACCTGGTGCAAGTTACCGATCAATGGTAAGGTACGGGGACCGGGCGGGTAGTTCTTTGGTCTCAAACCTAGACCAAGGAAATAACACGACCCAAGTCCAAAGACCAGTGCAAGGCCAAACAGAGTGAACAGAGCAAACATACTATGCGGTGGTAGGGAAGACTCGAAGAGTGTAAGCAAAGAATCAATGGATCTCTTTAACCTTTATCACAGGTCATGCTCCATCATGCCTGCATGCAGGTTCACTTTGACCATATATATTGGCGTTGCATGAACCCCCGCAACGTAGATCGATGACCTTAGTAGGGAAGGTGCAGCGAGCCATGCTGTCCGTAGAGAAACAATCATTCGCTATGCAGTTTGCGGCTTGCAGGTTGCTTGTTTCAGATAGGACGTCCCCCAATCAGCTGCTGATAGAATATGCAGTCGCATAAAAGCAGAAAATGCAGTGAGATTCGACCTTTTCCCTCAGACGGAGGCTAGGCAGCCTGCTGCATATGTGCGCCTCGAAGAGCTTGCGTAAGAGCGGGTTGATATCAAGCACATGCGATTTGCTTATATGGCGCATGCTCCACGTATCCGATGCTCATAGTTTCAGCCATCAAATTGCACAACGCTAATGATAGTTTATAGGACCTCCGGTGAGAGCGCAAAAACACCCAGCTCTCGGCGGAGCCTTCCTAAGTCCAATGACATTGTGCATCTTGATGGATGGCGACATCGCCCTCGTTGATCCTGGAAAGAGTTATAGTTGACATGCGGGGTATGGATATCCTTCATGTGCTTGATAGCAACTCCTGCATAATGGCTGATGTTGCCTCGGAAGATAGCTCAGAGTCCAAATGGTCGTCTTCGCTACGGAAGCTGTCCTAATTACTTTCCAGCAGATGGCATTTATCGATTCGTTTGCTTGCCTATCAGTCCTTTTTGTTCGACGATACTCTTTTAGCAGCCTGAAACTTTTCCACTTCGCCGCAGATCAATTCAGTGTAACCCTTCAAACTCTCTATGGTCTCTGCCCATGCATCATCCCGGCGTGTTCTCTGGAACTGGTCATCGCCCTCGTCTTGATCAAAGACTATGTCCAGAAGTCCATGGTCTTTGTCCGCTGCGACCTTCGCTTTGAACTGTCTGTCGAGCGCTTCAATAGCCTTGTCGCCATCGACACGCATTTGCCCATGGTCAGCAAGTCGATAGTAGACCTTACTGAACTCATCACTCAACACGTATGATACGGCCAAGAACAGGCCTTGTGGAAACTCAGTCATGACTTGGCAAAGTTCTTTCGTTGCACATCTGAAGACTTGAAGCTCATCCTCGCCACATTCATCAAACTGGGTGTCGACATCGATGATGATGAATCCAGTCAAGGGCATAGCATCTATCTGTCCGCGAGATTCCCAGTACATCTTCCATGCGATCAACGCGGCCATTACAGGGCGCAAGTCTTCAAAGGTATTCTGCCAGAATCGCACATGGAACAGGACCTCATGGTCCCGAAACAGCTGCTCTAAGTATTCGTTTCCGTAATCCGGACCGGCTGTCATGATGTGTCGAGCTGAGAGTACATGCTTCAAGTAATCGTGCGAGACGTCAGGTCGGTATTTGTTGAGGTAAGCCATAGCTGGAGAGTCGATGAATTTTGCAAGGTACTCGCCCAGACCCTCGTCAGGATCCATGTATTGTGCTTCGACCGTTGCAGCCAGATAAGCCCAGATGTTGCGCCTGATCTCAGGTGGCATCGAGGCAATCCTCTCAGAAAGATCCATCTCGATTCAAGAGTTATGTGGACTCGAGCGGAACAAAGACAACCGGTGCCAGTGTTGATGACGTAATGAATAAGCTATCGTGAGGTATCTGATGGAACTGTATGTCGGGGACGCTCGCAATCAGGATGGGAGTAGTGGTCGAGATAATGGGAAGCGGCACTCAAACGAGTCGCGAAAGTTTCGTGATCGAGCTGCCGAGGTTCAACCCCACATCAGGCATGTTTAGCCTAAAGAGGAAGGTCCTGTTCAACAAGGAACATCAATATGAGAGCCGAAAGTAATATCAACTGCATGCCTGATCATTGGTGAGCATCATGTCTCTTTTGGCAGACTGTCATGCGAATAAGTTATGACGATACATAGTGTTGTTCAGACTGTTGAAAATGTCCATGAGGAAGGAAGCTATTCCAAGCTTCTTCATTGAGGATGTGTCCGAATTAGAAACCATTGAGTGCAACTCCTTCATCTGTTCGGAAGAGCTGAATTAGTTGGGTAAGCATGGTATCAAAGAAAAATCGGGTGACCTGGCGTGGGAGGATGCCGCATCCAGACACGCATCAATGCGAGAATCTTCATATTCACGCGATACCATACTGTCGCCTTTGTGTCTCGGGGTCTGTGAACAATCAAAACTTATGCCACTGAGCCAGGAGAGTTGATAACACCGTGCCGACTATCTATCTCTACCTGGGACTGTTGCCGTCGATTTGCTGGCGCAGCATTCCAAGGAGTGCTTCAGATCGCGGAACCGTTTTCTTGTTGCTATTCCCTGCTAACCCGAATTCTGCTGCTCAGATCTTCGAGCAGATCGCTGATGTAGTCTGTGTATGATCTGATACTTTCAAGGGATGACGCACGTTCGGCATTCCTGCGATGTTGCTGGAACTTCAGCGGACCTTCTTCCTCCGGGTAAAGCGGCACCATGATGCCATACTCGGGGTCTTGCATAGTCTTCTTCTCGAAGATACGGTCTGCTTCATTGATGGCCTCATGAACAATCTTTCGAGTCTCTTGTCCTGGCCCAATAGGATAGCTAAAGAGCTCGAACTCGACGCTTGAGGTGTACTCGGCTTGCATAACAACTCTGCCCGGACTGAGCCTCTTTGAGATCTGGAAGAGGCCTTCTACAACAGCCGGTAGCAATGTCTTGTGTTTTGGCCAAGTTTCGACCTCATCCAAAAAGAGGCCAATTTGTCCCAGGTGACAGAGCTGGCCACGTCGTTGGAAAAGATCAATCCACCTCTCAAGACAAGTCTTCGCACGGTCGCGGTATTTCTCATGCCTCCAAAAGACACGTACAGGAATGAGCATTCTCTGAGACAGCAAGAGTTCCTCGAGATATTCGTCGCCGTGGTCGACAGAGCCAATGATCATGTGACGTCTCCTCAATCTGGCCATCATGTACTCTTCGGCAACAGCAAGATGTTTTGTGTAGAGATAAGCCATGGTAGGCGAGTACATGTGGAGAGCGACATAATGTCCCAGTGTGTCGTGGTCGTCATGACTGTCTTCTTCTGATTGTATCACCAGTCTCCAGATCATACGACGGATCTCTGAGGGCAGTTTCGTCATTCTCTCAGACAGAGAGGTCATGGACCTTGTCAACATGGCGAAACAAATTTGGCGAGTTCTGCTGCTACTCGATAAACATGATGCGAAGCAACACACGGGAAAGACGCGGAGTCGGCTTGCAGAGCAAGCAAACAGCACAAACACGAATTCATGACGTAGGTCAGGGTAAAGCAACCATCCAGAGACTCGGCCGCGACTTCCTCCTTGCTCACAACAACAAGGTCATCATGACTGTGATGTCTCCTCGTGGCACCATTACACATCCATCGAGCTTTCGCTTCAAGGCACCACAGATACTCCTGAAGGATTAGGTTCCTCCTGCTGAGATGTCGAGACAGAGCGGGCCTTGCCTCGCGAATTGTTGAGAAGAACTAGCGATTGACAGACACGATGCTATAAGAGTTGATGGGGTCGGCCTTCAAGAGCATCGTCTGATCTGAGTTTTCCCGCCCTTTGAAAGAGTCTTGGCTCTTTCTCGTGCATATAATACATCGCAGCAGTAAGTTGTCACACTGTAGCAGTAGGTACCATGGGGGTGTCGCTGTCAGAGCGAGCAACTTTGTTTTGAATTACAGGCAAAATCTAAAAGGCTGACCTTGGCCAAGATGAACGCCTGGCAAGCGTTCTCAGCTATGGCGTCGGAGACTGGACAGACACTGTCTAGAGGCGGACGTGCTTACCTAAAGCAGATTGACACGCTTTTGGCCTCAAACCATCTCAATGTTGCGAGCTTTCGGAGTCATCGTGCCCACCTATCAACCCCGCTCCAACATAATTTTTCCCACAACTCGCATCAATTCTCGCGCGTCGCATTTGACAGTAGCATCCTCAGCAATGTCGTCCCAGGATATTGTAGTACGCGAGCCAGTCCTGCTTCCGCTAGAGGACTACCTAGGAGCAACACCCATACCACATTTACCTCTTGAAAACACCGACAAATTCTATAAACTCTACATGGAGAGGGATGACGGTATCCTCTCACTTTACAACAGGCCCGGTGACGCAAACTTTGGCCACTGGGGAGGAACCTGGTGTCAAGCTCTTCCAGATGAAGCCGACAAGCCGCCAATGTGCCAGTACATCAACGAGTCGCTAGATAACATTGCACCGGTTGTGCTCCCTCAAGAACGATGGATGCGCCGCGCTACCGACTACCTGACCCATCTATGCCCATACGCATATATGCAAGTCCAATGTCGCGAGATGATGAAGATCTGGCCAGTCGACCAGATGCCTGCGTGGGTGCCTGTTCTCAGAGAGCGCTGGCTGATCGTCAAACGAGCCAAGAAAGAGAACAGAGATGCATGGGAGACTTGGTTGCAGAGAGGCGAGAGCAGCAACGACGAAAGCCTGCTGCAGGTGGCCAGAAAAGAGCGGGAACAAGAGGCTCGCCGTCTACGATATCAGGAGCTTGCGAAGGTGCGTAATCGCGATCAGTTGATTGCCAAGCATCAAGCAAGGCGCGAGTACGTTGCAGTCGTGCGGGCAGCCGAGAAAGAGCGTGAGCAGCAACAGAGGGAGTATAACGAAGCCAATCCTTTCACATATATGGACCCGAAGATATGGAAAGCAGAAGCGGCAGCCGAAATCCAGCTGTTGTGTCAGCAGCTGGAACTTGACAGCCAGAAACAACATCGGCCACCCCTACTTCTTCATCAACTCGGCGATGATCCTCTTCAACCTTCTTCCAGGAAGATAACCTCTGCCAACCAGTCCAATGAACAAGTACAGGACGTATCCTCACCTCCCAAGGATCGTCAGAGCAGCACCGAGAACACTTCAGAGCCCGATCTAGGACGACCCGTTACGCCAACTTTGATGACCGCCGGCGACTCCGCTAGCCGCTCTACAGACTCTTCTGATTCTTCCTATTCTCCTACGCAGAGTCTGGAAGTCGTCAAGAAAGGAATCAGGAGTCAACTTCGTGACAAAGGCAGGAGAGTCTCCGGACAGGCCAAGGAACTTGCTATGCGTTATCGACTGGCTTCTTTCATGGACCCAGGAGATAAGAAGAGACAGAAAAAGGAGGAACAAGAGAAGACCTCCAAGGATAGCCTGGCACAAGCGTCGCCATCTCAAAAAGGCAAACCACAGTCATCTGCCACCGGAAAGAAGGGAGGATGGCTTCGGCGAGGTAACATGGACATGGTCTGAATGCATACACGGGAATGGGGAAATGTCAAGTATGGGAACTAGGTGGAAGTCATAGAGTAGGAAGGGCAGTAAATCTCATCAACCAACCATGGTGAACCTGCTTACTGCTAGCTCCTTTGGTCTGATCTCACGGACAATCTGAGTCAACGTCATACGTAAACACTCCCAAGCTCTAATTGCAAATGATCATCATTGCATTCTGACTGTTGCAAAAACAAGCACAATCATCTACGTGTCCTATTCCAGCCTTTGCACCGTTTGTTGATACAGAAAATCTACTTAGGGCCGAAAGGGTTGCGCGAGACATATTTCACTTGTGGCAAGGATGTCTTTTTCTTCTGAGGAACACCGCTCCTATATAACATCAATGATCATATAACAAATAGCATCTTACTCAGACAAAAGCCCTTCGTCTTCTGAATCCGCGATCTCAGGACCGTGGGCATCAGGCCATCTGTCCTCATCTGCATGAAAGTCGGACAACAACACTGAATTCTCTTCCAAGCCCTCCAACATATCCAGCAGCTTCTCCGTATACTCTCGAGTAGTTTCGATAAACTTTTTCCACTTTGCATCGCGTGATGCCATGGCGCCAGGGATTTCCTCGTCCCAGAAACACTCCCGGGCGATCAAGTGCATTTCGTCTTTCTTGACCGCTTCCTTGAACTCGCGATCCTTCTCGGCGAGGGCAGGCAGTAGTCTTTGTCGCGACGATGTGGAATTCCCCAAAGTGCATATCGCGTTGAATCTTGCATACCCGGAAAAACTAAAGGCTTCGAAGAAAACTTTCGTTGAATCGCACTGGTATGCAGTTTTCATAAGCGACTTGAGCAGAGGTAGGTAGTCTGGGTCCGTGTTCCCCATGGCATATACCTTGACCCCAGTCCGTCTAGTAGTAGTCAAGCCGCAAGCTTCCAGCACTCGTATCCATTTTCTGACGCTGGCTGCTATCTTGAGAGATTCTGAGGTACTGTAGCGAAACAGGCCATGGCTGTCACCGAATATGACGTCTTGAGTGGCTATGAGCTCTTCCAGATATTCAGTACCGCAGCCAGACTCGATCCATGGATGCCTGCTAGCCATGCACTGTTTCTGGTGGTGAAGAATTGAGGAGGGTTGTTCCTGAAGAATCCATTTATCCTTGAGCTTGAAGATCCAGGAATGAATGTAGGTACTCAGACTGTTGCACGCTTCCAATTCTTGCCTCTCGATGTTGTCGATGGAGACCTTCCAGATCATGCGCCGCAGCTCAGGGGGTAGGTCCTCGATTCTGTCCAGGAGCGAGGTCATGATTTTGACGACGATGTTGTAAACACAGATATATTCTGATACGCGAACTTCTTGCCTGACGGCAACTCCAATGTTTGGTAGGTGAGAGGTTGTGAAGATCAGTCAACGGGGTCGGCGCTTACAGCATGCAGGAGAAGCTCAGGCCGCTCATGATCATCCAAGACTTGACCCAAATGGGACTTGTGCATACAAACCTGATTTGCGCTATAGATCAGCCTGCGCGTCTCGCAATAGTATGGATAAGGACGCGAGACGCCAATGTAGCCAGAATGGTGGAATCCGCAGATAGCTAGAATCGACCGCCACTTGTCGACGCAGGCCAGTATTCTTTTGTAACGCCAGAGATCGGTGGGGTTTGAACCCAGGGTGAAGACAACTTCGTGTCGAAGCAACAGCTCAGAGGTGTATTCCTTCCCATATGTGGAAGCGATTAGAAGATGTCTCGATGTCAGGAATACCGTAACGTATCGTTTGATCATAGAATGATCGTGGCGTATACACCAGGCTATGGCCGAGTTATCAATGGTGCGCAAGACGAATTTGCCCAGGGATAGTGGAAGTGCACCACGATTTATCAATCTGTAACCATGGTGGTCCTCAATCATGTCTGTCAGATGGCCCCATATCATACGTCTGACCTCAAGAGGAAGCCTGTCAAGGTTTTCAGTCAGATTAAATGCTGATCTCATGATCACACGACCTGATGAGAATCCCCGTTCTCTGTTTTCAACGAGAATCCTCATGTGTTAAGAGAAGAAGCACTCGAAATTGATGGGCGGTGAGGTACGAGCAGGATTGCTGGCTGTCTGTGCACATGCCACCACATGGCGAACGAAACACGGTAAGGTTCTCGAGACGCAAACTTGAGTCAGTGGTTTGTAGCCTCATCGTTAGGTATCGGCATTGATCCACGAAGATGATCAGTGATATGTACAAAGGGAGTTGGAGACTGTGTCAAGAGATGGCAGGGCGGCACGCAGGGCGACACACAGCACGGTCTGTCTTGGCAGAGAACGCGAGCTGGAAGCTTCACCAAGACGCGTCAAGATCCTCTTCTCTCTTCTTTAACGAGTCTATACAAATGTCTATCGCAGAGCCCCAAAATCACCTGCGGCATCGAACTATGTGTGTTAATGCCACGCTCTTCATGGGAGCTTTAATATGGCACGACGTCAGATCATGACCTTTGCACACGCGGCAGGTCTCAGAATCAGCTTGACCCGAGTATGGATCATGGTAAGGACATGCCAGCAATACTAGACATTGCGAAGTGTTGTCGCTTCGCATGATACGATGCTATACACACTCAAATGTCTTGTCGCGAAAAAGGAGACGAGGCAATGGCGCTCGGTGTCCCACGCTACTGCTCTTGGAAGTGTCGTTACTTGTGGCAGGCCATTCCCAGGCTTCTCCTCGAGGACTGAAGCGCGCTTCGGAGTACTGATTATTCGTAAGTACCGGTATGTCTACATCAACCACGATATAGTTTCTGAGTTCGGCATGTACGGAGTACGCTCCCCCTCAATTTCCCCGCTCTCCAGACTGATCTACAGAGAGGATGCAAGGATGGCTGATGATGGTCGTTTTTCCGTCTCCTCGGGTCAACATGGCGCGAATCAAGCTACAAAGCCAAGTCAAGTCAAGCATCTCGTTTTACGCCATGAGTTCACCTTGTCTTTCTAGTCTCGTTGGTCAGACTCGCCATGCGTCTAGTTCGTCCTGTTACGCTTACTGCCCTCGTTGGCTTCGGAACATCAGCCCAAGCTCAATCATGCTGGGAAAACTTGACCTGCACTGGACCACTCGACGCGGCGTTTCCTGGTGAATGGTCGACTAATATCTTTGCTCCCTCTTCTCGTACCGTTGCTCCAACGTCGATCCTATCTCTCGCGAACACTTCCGTCATATCAGCTTGGCCAGGTTCAGCCCACATCGCCGGCAATGGTTCGGCTCTCGTCTTCGACTTTGGAAAAGAGGTGGGAGGCTTGGCCACAATAACATACACGGCTCAGGGCTCTGGCGCCCTGGGTCTAGCGTTCTCCGAGGCGAATAACTACATAGGCTTGTGGAGCGATTCGAGCAACGGCAAGTTCGCTCCCGGTGGAGGCGATGGCGCCATCTACGACAACTTCACCACTGCTGGCAACCACACCTACACCATGGACAAGGCCCATCTACGCGGTGGCTTCCGCTACCTGACTTTATTCCTCATCACGAATGAGACGTCCTCCACCATCGACATCAACACCATCTCCCTCGAGATTGGTTTCCAGCCTACCTGGAGCAATCTACAGGCTTACCAGGGGTACTTCCACTCCAGCGACGATGATCTGAACAAAATCTGGTACAGTGGTGCATACACCTTGCAGACCAATGCTGTTCCAGTCGACACTGGCCGATGGGTTCCGACTCTAGCAGTAGGTTGGGCCAACAATGGCAGTCTGTCCAACGGTACCACCGTCATCGTGGATGGCGCCAAGCGAGATAGAGCCGTGTGGCCTGGTGATATGGGTGTGGCAGTTCCTGCAACATTCGTCAGTATTGGTGATCTCGATAGCGTAGCCAATGCTCTTCAAACCATGTACGACCACCAAAACCACGACGGATCCTTTCCGGAGGCTGGTCCACCACTGCTTCAGCAATCTAGCGATACATATCATATGTGGAGCATGATCGGCACCTACAATTATGTTCTGTATACCAATGTAAGTAAACACGCTCCTCACAAATGGTGAGGAAGATACTGACCATGCCGTTTAGGATACTGTATTCTTGACTAAGAACTGGGATCGTTACCTACACGCAATGGAATTCATCTACGCCAAGGTTCACCAACCATCGGGCTTGCTCAATGTGACAGGAATTCGCGATTGGGCTCGATGGCAGCAGGGCTTTAACAACAGCGAAGCAAACATGATCTTGTATCACACCCTGCAGACGGGTGCAGATCTTGCAAGCTGGCATGGCGATACCACCGGCCTTGCCGATACGTACAGATCTCGTGCTGTTAATCTCAGCGCTGCCATCAACCAATACTGTTGGGACGCACCGTTTGGCGCTTTCAAGGATAACGCTACCAATACTAGTCTGCACCCGCAAGATGCGAATAGCATGGCTGTATATTTCGGCGTTGTCCCTGCTTCGTCTTCGTTGTCTTCACGTGGGCAAAGCATCTCTTCTCGACTGCTTGAGAACTGGACCCCAATCGGTGCTGAAACGCCTGAGCTACCTAACAACATCTCACCTTTTATCTCTTCTTTCGAGATTCAAGCCCATCTCACCATTGGCCAGACGGATCGAGCACTAGATCTCATACGACGCACGTGGGGATGGTATCTTCATAACCCCAATGGCACAGGTAGCACTGTCATCGAGGGCTACCTTACGAACGGATCCTTCGGCTACCGCAACAGCCGTGGATACAGCTACGATGATTCCTACGTCTCTCATGCACATGGATGGAGCGCAGGGCCCACCTCAGCCTTGACCAACTACATCGTTGGACTGTCCGTGACTGGACGTCTTGGTTCTACATGGACTCTGAAACCACAGTTCGGAGATCTTGAGCATGCTCAAGCAGGGTTTGTGACATCGTTGGGCAAGTTCAGCGCTGGTTGGAATATTACCAATGGAGGAAGAAGCTATTCGCTGTGGTGGAATGTACCTGCAGGAACCATTGGCAATGTCACATTACCGACACTACCATCAGGCAAGACAGGCAAGGTATCTATTGACGGAAAGAGCTTCAAGAACAAGAGTGTTAGCAAGACGAACGGGTTGACATTCGAGGTTGGTGGTGGCAATCACAGTATAGTTGTCGTTAGCAAGTAAGGTCGACAATGAGGAAATTGCACTGTAGCCAAATATTATGATCATTTTATCCTCTCCAACACAGACTGGTCATCAAAATAGCGATCAAAAGGCAAGATGAACTGACACCAGATTCAGGTTCATAGAGAGCTGGTACTGTTGCCATCTTTACTCGGACAACCACACTTACTTGGAAATCATCTTGCCTTCCGTCAGGTGGTCTCAGCGTTGATGCGATGTAGAGGAGGCCTTGTGTTTTGCGTTATTTGATCATGATCTGGTTTATGCATTCCTCATGCGCAGATCACCCGCCATGTCTTCTTAGAGCACCAGCATGAGAGCAAGGTAGCTTATCATGATGTCTTGTAAATTAACCATCTTAGAGGCAGGGTGGCACCCATGACCTCTGAACTTAGTCAGCAGAACCTTTTCCAAACCGACAAATCTCCGACCAGAGTTTGTTCGCAACAGCTTGGTTTGATCTCATGTGCTGCGCACGCTTCGTACTCTCGTGCCAGACCCGAGACACGGTGGAGTCTCTTCGAGTTCCAGCCATGACGACTACATCGACATCTCCGAGAAATGTATCTCCAATCTTGAGCTTGTTGAAAAATACGCCGCCACCTTTCTGCGCTCCAGAATGAAAGTACCAGAATCAATACCAGCCACTCGATACTCGTATGGCCAATACTTGACATTGGAAAGAGAAGTAAAGGTCGTGGGGAAGGAGTTCTTTGAGCTGTCCGCAACGGACTGGGTTTGTCTTTGATAAACACAACGGCGTCAACGTCGGCAACGTCACGAACGGCTGTACCAAGAAGTTGTTACGACAAATCTCATAGTCTGCTTCGTCATACATCTCAATATTCTCACAGGATGTAGATGGTGCCAATGTGGCCTGCTCGACTCTATCACCATGATGACAAGGCTCGTGTACGGGCAGGATGCACTGACATGCAAGCATCTCATTCTTGAGATCTCACCGTCCATCTCAACGGCTCGAACAACCGTTCCACACGCTGTTGGAGAGGTTTCATCCTCCATTGCAGATCACGAGCGTCAGTTGTATCGATTGTGCTTTCCAGACTGCTCATTCGCACAATATGTGGCGCTTTCAGAGTTAACCTTTGGCTTGTGTCAGTCAATTGAAGATCAACGCTTACCCGGAGCTCGAGCCCAACCCTCTTTTAGGATAACACTCTTGATTCCAAGAATATCGAAGAGGCCTCGGCCATGAGTTTGCCAAATACTTTGAGTGGCAACGGCTGCTAACCCCTCGTACTCTTCCTCCGCATACACCGAGTCAGAGACAAACCTCGTGCTTCTCTGAGACATTGAAATCCTATACACGAGTCCTGCCTTGCTATATATTCACCATGCCCTTGCCACTCTTTCACAGGCCATCAGCTCTCCAACTTCATCACTCTCTCTACGCAGAACCAACTCTCCTCCAGTGCTTCGGTACTAGTCATTCTTTGGAACCCCAAACAACCAACTACCTCATTCATTCTTTGAACAACACACTTTCCACCTCTTTTCGATACCCCTTACTTCTTACTATACTCTAACTCATCAATCTTCTCAATCCATCAAGATGCGCACTACCTTCTCCGCCATTGCAGCTCTTGCTGCCGTTGCAGGTGCTCAATCCACCACCTCCATCGATATCGATGCAATTTCTGTTGCCATTCCCACCAGTGTGTTCGTTCTCCCCGTCGTCTACGTGACTGCCGAGAACGCACCTACTTTGACCGCCACCACTCTCGCAACTACTGCAACTCCTTCATCTGACCCCAAGGCCACAGCCGTCTTCGACTCAGCTGCCGATGTCACCGCGGCTATCGTGTCCGCTTCCGAGGCTGCAGCCGCTTCTGCCACCGCCTCCGTCGAGAAGCGCGATGGAACCTGTATTCAGCAGCCTCTGGGTATCAGCCACGCTTCTCTGCCTGACACCGCTGCTGCTTTTGCATCAGACGCTTGGTACGGTGTCCAGGCCGTTGCTGCTGGCACTCCCGCCGGCTTCGTTCAGACCTTCAGCAACTTGACTGCTTCCAACTCCGCTGATGGTTACATGGGTTTTACACTCTTGAGCTCCTACGATGTTCCTACTTGCGGTGCTAAGTGCTCTGCCATTTCTGGCTGCAACAGCTTCAACATCTACTTCGAGAGAGACCCTCAGTACGACCCCTCTGTTGCGGCTTGCAACAACCCTGCCAGCACTGTCAACGTAAAGTGCGTCTTTTGGGGTGGTGCAGTTACAAGCTCGAACGCAAACAATTTTGGTCAGATGCGTGATGGCTTCAACGTCGTAATTGCTGGCTCTAACGGATATATCGCCAACACCTACGCTGCCAAGCTTGCTGTACAGGCTACTGCTACTTCTTCGAGCTCTGCTGCTCCCACTGCCACTGACGCTGCCGGAAACCTCTACACTATCTACTACTCATCTGATAGTACTCAGGGTGCATACTCCAACGCTCAAGCTGCCAGCTCTTTCTCTGACTGCATGACTGCTTGTGACAACGCTGCTTCTTCCGGCTGCACTGCATTCACCTACGTTGGTGGAAACAACGGTCAGGGTTCGGGAACTTGTTGGCTCAAGAGTGCGCTTGGTAACGCTTCCCCTGCTGGTAACAACGTCGTTTCTGGTGTTCGTTCCGGAAAGGTTTCTTCGTCTTCCAGCATTGTTGCCTCGACCACTTCCTCTTCCAGCAGCTCCTCGTTCAGCTCTGTCTCGACTCCCTCTGTCTCCAAGACCTCGTCGTCTGTCTCTTCCACTTCCACCAGCTCGGTTGCCTCGACCACCACTTCTTCGTCCTCTTCGGTCATCCCCACCACCATGAGCACTTCCACCAAGTCAGCCTCCAGCACCTCAACCTCGAGCACTTCCACTAGCTCTGCTGCCGCCCAGCCCACTACCTTCTCCATCACTTCCGGCGACTTCTCATCCTGGTTGTCCGTCGCCCCTGGAGCCAACGGTGTCACCAGCTGGACCTTCAACAGCGCCACCGCCTTCGATTTCACCCTCGACCCTACGACTGGCTATCTTCTCGAAGGCCAAGGTGCAAGCATCGGCTACGCAGCCACTGTCAGCAAGGGTGTCAACGGCCAGCAACAAGTCCTCTTCAACGCTGCTGGTAACACGGCCAAGACCTATGTTACTTGCTCTCAGGTTGCTGGTACTTCTTCTGCTGCCGCTCACCTCGACTGCAAAGTCAACAATGTTTTGCAGCAGGCCTTTGTCTGCAGTGACAACTGGAACTTGCTCTACTTCATCAACAAGGGTACCGCTCAGCCCAGCAACTGCAACACTATCTCCCTGTACTACCAGTAGATGTGTTCGGCTTGCTGATCAATAGATATGTGGACAATGACGGACGGAGTTTGGATAGTCTGTGACGATCGGCGTATGTTTTGGTGTTTCTGGATTTTGGATGTTGCAGGTTGTATATAGAACGCATCATTATAACTTTTTTTATCTTCCATCGCCCGCTCCACAACCCTCGTTCTATCTCCAAAAATTACTCTGCATTCCGACAAGCTCTCGCTGCAACACTTTGGTGCTGGGAGATAAAAATATGCGATTGTTTATCTCAGCCCATCAAGGTGGATCCCGACCCCACAATTTGCATGTCACAGAAAAGGAGCATGACGTTCGTCACGGTCACATAGTCTTTCCTCGTTCATGCAGGCTCTTCATCACAAGTGCGCAATCATGAATCCTACGACGATAACAAGATCGAGTTCATTCAAAACTCTCTTCTCAGCTCACGCCAAAGCTGTCACATAACCTTCAATCATGCCTGACAACACGAATCAATCAGTCGCAAAGACAGCCATCATCAGCGGCGGTGCGCGAGGAATTGGTCGCTGCATCGTTCGCCGCTTCCTCGAGCGTGGCTACAAGGTCTTCATCTTCGACATCGATGAGGAAGAGTTGAAGCATACCACCACTGTGCATCTAAAGCAATACTACGAGAAGAAGCAGCTGAGCTCGGCCATCTGCAACCTACGCAGTGTCGACGAGATCAGAGAGAAGGTCAAAGAAGCTGCAGACTTCTTGGGTGGAAGAATCGAGGTTGTTGTCAACAATGGTGGCATTGCGACGCCGACGTGGAGTGACGGAAAGACCATGGCCGACTTTGACACCTTCTCTCAATGGCAGGCGTGAGTCTCGTCGAGATACAAACTGGCATCTGTCTTCTGACTGACATGATGTTTGCAGGTACATGGAGACCAACCTTACAGCACCATTCGCCGTATCGCAAGCTTGCCTTCCTTATATGAAGCTCGAAGACAAGAACGACTCGCACCACGCCGACAACTCGCACGCCGGCCCTTGTGTCATCCATGTTGGCTCCTTCCGCGCTGAGATGAGCGACCCCAACCAAGAAGGCTATGCCTCGAGCAAGTCTGGTCTGATCGGCTTGATGCACAGTATGGCCATCAGTCTCGGTCCGTGGGGCATCCGCTGCAATCTCGTCGCTCCTGGGCGCATCAAGGTCGCACACGAATGTAAAGAGGGAGATGAGAAGGGACTTGAGTGGGCACACCAGAACGAAGACAAAGATGTCGACGACCACGCCACAAACAGAGCTGGAAGACCGAAAGATATTGCCGATGCTGTAGAGTATCTAGTCAATGCTGGCTTCGTTACCGGTCAAGCCATCACCGTCGATGGTGGCGCTGTGAGGATGAAGTAGAAGGTAGAATACAGCGACGAAGTCACGAATATATCTATTAATCCTTGACAAGCTATATCTTCAAAACTCGGCCGAGTTTGAGCCATGCCGTTTCAGGAACACGCCACGTAAGAGGCTGAGAATTGAGTCGCATAGAACTTCACTTTCGCCCTCACCCAAGTATACAATGTTCCGAGCAGGTCTTCATATTACGACTTCCACGCCGGCATACATCTACACCATTAGCCGGAGAAACAATACCAAGCAATTCTATACCTCAACACGAACCGTTTCGAAAGCTTCTGGAGTATCACCCGACATCGGTAAATTGATGACAAGGCTGTACAGACACATCGGGGGTCTCGGGGGCTCCGGAGGGGTTTGTGGAGTAATTGTGGGGGCGGGGGATCGACATAATACGACCTTCTTTCACGAGCTTTTACAGGCTTGCTTTGCTCTCATACCGTCTAGCTCTTCTTGTTTTCTCCTTGACTTCATGCAATGATCTACTGCTAATTGACCGAGCCTTGTATCGGCAGAATGCACCCTCCTTTGGTTCGAGTTGCGGATGTCAAGCGTTGTTTCGAATTAACCGACAAGATGACCTCTTCTACTATATCTTCTCCACACATGGCCGTCTAGAATCCTTCGATCAATTCACCAACGACTGATTACCTGCAGTGTCTTCAGTATGTTGTACTCATCCCTATTTGTTTTGGCCTTGCAGTCTGGCCTCTCCATTCGTGGGGTCCAAGCTACTCAGTCCCCCTCCCATGAGAAGAGAGCTCTCGACACCGCTGCTATCGCCAAAAAGTACTTTGGCAACGACGCTCCTTGGTATCAGGACCGCATCGCCTACTTCGAATGTAGCGATACTCAGATTCAGGATGTCTTCTACTACCGCCAGAAAATCTTCAGAGCTCATCAACGCGATCTTGGAGCCAAAGGCTTCATCTCGACGGAATTCTTGGATGATGTAGGTTGGCAACTACAGCCTTACGCCAGTTTGAACGATGCTACTGGTTTCCACATCGGAGAAGGTAGATGGAACAGAGATCGCCGTTTCAAGGATGATTACATCAACTACATGCTCGGCGGTGGTGACGACCGACACTTCACCGACTACATCCAGGACTCTGTCTGGGGAAGTTACCTTGTTGATAACGATGTTCCCAGTGCAACCAAATGGATCGAACAGATGAAGACTCTGTACAATCAATGGAGCGACCACTTTGACACCAGCAAGGGGCTGTACTACATCGAACCATTGTTGGACGCCACGGAATATACCATCTCATCCATTGACGCTTCCGGCGGCCAAGATGGTTTCACTGGTGGTGATGCCTTCCGCCCAAGTATCAACAGCTACATGTATGCCAATGGAAGAGCTATCGCTAAGATTGCCGCTCTTGCTGGCCAAAACGATGTCGCCACTGACTACAACAACCGCGCCACCACCCTCAAGAACAACGTTCAGAAGAGTCTGTGGAACTCGACCTTGAGTCACTTTATTGATCGCTACCAAGTCAGCAACAACTATGTCAAATACTGGGACCCCATTCGTGGTCGCGAGCTTGTTGGCATTGTACCCTGGACCTTCAACCTTCCTGATAACTCTACTGAGTACGCTTCGTCGTGGAAGCACATCTTGAACGCCAATGAGCTTGGAGGACCGTACGGATTGAGAACTGTTGAGCCTTCATACCAATACTACATGAGACAATACCGCTACGAAGGCACACAACGTGAGTGTCAGTGGAATGGACCTGTATGGCCCTTCCAGACAACTCAGGCATTGTTGGCCATGTCAAACCTGTTGGACCACTACCAGCAGAACGTCGTCACCAATGCCGACTATTTGAGATTGCTGAAGCAGTACGCAGCTCTGCACTACCAGAGCTCCAGCACTCTCAACCTTCAAGAAGACTACGATCCTGCCACCGGAAAAGCAATTGTCGGCCTCGCAAGAAGCCCTCACTACTTCCATTCTGGCTACATTGATCTCATCATGACTGGACTTGTCGGCATCCGACCCAGAGCAGACGACTTCCTTGAAATCAACCCCTTGATCACAAGCGATATCAAGTACTTCCGCGCCGAACAAGTGCCCTACCATGGTACCAACATCGTCGTTCAGTGGGATGCAGACGGTAGCCGCTACGGTCAAGGCGCTGGTCTCCGCGTCGAGCGTGACAATGTTGTCATTGCTACTTCCTCAACCCTCAAGCGCTTGGTCATCCCCTTCCAAAAGAAAGCAATCATTGCTATCAACCGCCCCATCGCCAAGTCCGTCCAACTACAAAGCTCTACCAGCTATCCTGTAGGTTCTGCTTCCTCCGGCACAGACGTGGAGAATGTACACGATGCTATCGACGGCCGCATCTGGTTCTTCTCCGAACTCGTCAATGGATGGAACTCGGATGTCAACTCTGCCACTGCTCAGTGGTACACCGTCACCTTCCAATCCGCCACCCAGATCTCGCGCGCAGAGATTGCATGGTTTGACAATGGCAATGACTTTGTTGCCCCTACTGCATACTCGATCCAAGTCCTGAGCAATGGCAACTGGGTTGACATTGGTGGTCAACAAAAGAGCGCTGTCGTGGCTAATGGTATCACCAATGTGCAGTTCACTTCTACCAGTGTTACCCAGGTACGACTTGCCATGACCCAGCCTTCTGGCAAGAGAACTAGACTTGTGGAAGTCAAGTACTTCTAGATCAGGATGGGAAAAGCGTGGGATTTGGTTGATGAAATATGCATGATATGATTTACGTAGCTTTTTGTGAATGAGATCTCCTGTCGGTTTGAGTGTTTATTGTGTGCTGTTCTTGTTGGTGTTATATTCTGCCTTGCACACCGCCACTCAATCAGCCTGCTTGAGGAGCGGCACAAACAACAATCAGTCTGTCCTCCGAACCGAGGCCGGAAGATGCAGATAAGAGTGGTCATAGCTTTGCCGATGATTTTCCGCATGCTTGGTGATCAGGTAAGCCTTCAAAGACCCCGCCGAGCCAGCCACTCTTTCTTGTTTCATCGTTCTTATGTCTCACCACATGTACCTGTCGTGCTGCTCAAAAATCCAGTGCTCTGTTCCTGTATACCACACATATCCAATAAGTCCACTCCCAACAATGTTTGTCAACCCTCACGGCCGTAATGCAACACTGCAAACTGTATACGAAGACCCGAGAGGGGTCGCCAAGGCACAATCGCTCAATTAGGAAGCTAGGAGATCTACCCTCGCATCAGCCAGCACCCGAGCGTGACCCTTATCAAAATATGGAAGGTATAGTGCAAAAGGCTGAGCTATCTTCCGCAGTAGTTCCCCAATCTCACGGGTTATCATTGGGAGAGTGGACATTGTTTTTCATCTATAAGTAAAAAGGCTAAGCAGCGCACATTTTTTCCGATTGTTCTTTTCTTCCTCATCTTTCCATCACCACCGCCATCATGAAGAGTGTTTTGGCGTATTTTTCGGCATTCTTACTTGGCAGTGTGCCGCTTGTGCAGGCGTACAATAAAGACCATCATCAGGTGTATAAGGGAAATGATGCACGATTGAACAAATGGCGTACTTTCCATGTGGCTGGTGAAGAAGAGCATGCGCTTTCTGTTCAGTCGACTCCTACCACAGGGAATGCAACCTTTAGACAATACATCGATCATGAAAACAAGGATGTGGGAACTTTCGAGCAGTTCTACTTCTACTCGACTGAGTTCTATGGCGGTCCTGGCTCGCCTATTATTCTGTTCACTCCTGGAGAAGTCAATGCTAGCGCGTGAGTGGAATTTGTCATAACATTCTATGATTCTCCGGTTACTGACAATTTACTCACAGCTATACCTCTTATCTCACCCTCAATAGAACTACTGGTGTCCTTGCAAAGGAGATTGGTGCTGCCATTGTGTGTATTGAGCACAGATACTGGGGATACTCTTCACCTTATGCCGACCTGACCACTGAGAACCTTCAATACCTCACACTTGACAACTCAATCGTAAGTGAATTCTTCTCGATCATTTCCTATTATTCTGTTTTTCTTGCAAAGAAATTTTAATCTGACTCCTCGACAGAGTGACTTGACAAACTTCGCAAAGCATGTGCGTCTGCCATTTGACTACCACAGGAAATCAAGCCCGAACCGTGCGCCCTGGGTCATGATGGGTGGTAGCTATTCTGGCGCTCTCGCCGCTTGGACTGCTTCGACTCAACCCAACACCTATTGGGCATACTGGGCATCCAGTGCCCCCGTCGAGTCCATCATTGATTACTGGCAATACTTTGTACCTATCCAGCAAGGCATGCCCAAGAACTGCTCTTCTGATGTCTCACTTGTCATCGACCACATTGACAACATCTTGCTCAATGGAACGACCTCAGAGATCACTGCTCTCAAGACAAAGTTCGGCTTGGAAGGTCTCGAGCACAATGATGATTTCGCAGCTGCACTCCAGAACGGTCCTTGGTTGTGGCAAGGCAATCAGTTCTACAGAAACACTGGCTTCTTCGACTTTTGCGATGCCGTGGAGAATGTCAAGCCTAACAGCACTAACACCACTTTGCCTGGCGCCGAGGGTGTAGGTCTTGACAAGGCACTTGCTGGTTATGCTAGCTGGTTCAACACTACTTACCTTCCCGGTTCGTGTGCTAGTTATGGTTACGACGAATGGCAAGGCGAGCGCAATATCAAGTGCTTTGACACCTACGACGTCACCAGCCCAATGTACACCGACACCTCCCTATCCAACGCTTTCGATCGTCAATGGGTATGGATGACCTGCAACGAGCCCTTCGGATACTATCAGACCGGCGCTCCCGAAGACAGACCCTCAATAATCTCACGCCTTTCGACCCCCGAATACTGGATCCGCCAATGCCCCCTCATGTTCCCCGCTTCCAACAACACAGTCGTCGGTCTCAGCAGAGGCGCCACCGCCGCACAAGTCAACGCCAAAAACAAAGGTTGGAACAACTACTCACCCGGCCTCCTCTACGTCAACGGCGACTACGATCCTTGGAGGGAAGCCAGTGTGTCTTCTGATTTCAGACCGGAGGGCAAGCTTCAATCCACCACAAAGAACCCTGTTGTCATCGTCCCCGGCGGCTTCCACACTAGTGATTTGGTCACGCAGAATGCAAAGGCTAATGCTGGGGCTAAAGCTGCTATCGATGAGGCTGTGGGTATTATGAAGGGATGGGTTGGTGAGTTTGAACATGGCAAGCATTGGTTTGAGGGGTAGGGTGTGGTGTTGGTATGGCTTTCTGAGATTACCGTCCTCTAATGCCTCCTCGCACTATTCTGCAAATGTGTTGTTATGTTCTCTGATCAATGACACAATTAGTTTATGTTCTTGCATCTCTCGTTATATTTTGATCCTTTACACTGGCTTATGAGTGCTCCCCAAAACAAAAAAAGATCCTAACCTACTGTAGCATTGCTCACGATTTACTCGAACGCACGGAAAACCTCGCCGTATTGTGGTCACGTTATCTGCTACCAACAGCAACATGCTGTAGAGTACGTCCCTTCCAACGCACTTCCACACAACTGCACACCAACAGGCAGGATGTTTTCGGCCCTCCAACCATTTTCGCCGAGAGCGACAATGTCTGTTGCTTCCTTCACTTTAGTGGTCTACTACCGCTGTCGAGATGTCGAGAAGAAAGGTGTTTTGGACACTGTTGCTATAGTCTTTGGGAGGGGCGGTTCGAGACATGTCTGATTTAAACTGATGGGAAGCCAGGGTGGCACTCCCGACGAAGCGCCTTCTTCAACCGGATTGCTCTGGTCGCGACTTCTCCATTTCTGCCACGGTGTGCGTTCTGGATGCAGCACGCGAGATGTTCTGCAAGATCCACGTATAGCGAGAGTGATGCAGATGATGTTACTCCCCAATATCCTACATGCATGTAATCCGAGCCTTAACTCCGAACTGCTTGATGGCTATATAACACAACGGAGAAACATGTTGGATTGAATTATGTCTACGTACAACTTCAGACCATTGAACAGCTTGGAACCAAACAGCAGGATGAGGAGGACCACTTCACGGCATCCCGGCAACAAATCATGGCACGAACCCCATCACAACATCAAAGCCAAGGCATAACCACGTTCTCCTCGACCCACACAACCAAAACACAAAGGAACAGTTGCACCACCCGAACATCGGAGCAAAGGATCCAAAAAGACCCCAAACTCCAAAAAGCACGGAATAACCAACCCCTCCACCTCCAAAAAATGGTGATAAGAGTTTGTGTTGAGGATGAGGCAATCCACTGCCCACAATTGCGCCATTTCCAGGCTTGGTATGGGCAAAAAGACGCGATTGTAGATCTTCTATTGGAGTACCCCCCCATTATGCAAGAGGAAACCGCCGAGAGAAATTTATACATGAATACAAGTTTGGATGTCAAATTCGTCGTTTGTTGGTTTTGTTGTTTCTTCTGATCTCTTGATACCTTCTTTGTCGTGCTACCGAGAAATCTCCATCGTTTGGAAAACTACACCATGAGTACTATCACGGAACATCCTCGTACTATCGATTTGTCGCAAATCGAGACTGAGGTGTCAGACTCCCAGAACAACTCATGTGCGACCGAGGAGAAGGTCCGCAGAGCAGATTCGCCGCTGGAGAATGGGTTGCCTTTTCAACAGAACATTGCGCTTCTGCATGCTGCTCGCGAGCGCCTTGTCTATACTCAGGACTATCCGGTCCCTCTCCCGAAAACGGATGATGAGCTTGTCGTGGAGATTAGAGCGATTGGACTGAATCCTGTGGATTGGAAATCAATGTGCGCATGTCTGCCGTACAGCTTCCAGATGCAGCTAACGAGAAGTACAGCGATTACAACTTTGCGATCCCTCAACTACCTTATATCGCAGGCCGCGATTTTGCTGGGGTGGTCGTTCGCGCACCGACTACTCCTAGTCGTTTGCGTGTGGGTGATCTGGTAAGGAAACTGAGTCGACCATTGTTGAAAAGGCCACAGACTAAGAGATGAAACAGGTTCTCAGCCCATCAACAGACTACCGCGATATCAGAAAGTCGGCTTTCCAAGAGTACGCAATTTCGACACAACACAACGTAGCCAAGCTACCGCAAAACGTTCCAACCACGCACGGCGCATCGATCGGTGTCGCATACGTGGCTGCAGCACTTGCCTTGGGTGTCAGTCTCGGATTGAACCTACCGAAGGTCTCTGGTCAAGACCAAGCAGACCTGTGGGAAGCGGTCCGAAAACTGCCACAAGACGCGATCCCCATCGATGTAGCTGCGGAATGTCTGTCCAGCATCGAAAACTCCGAGCGACCTCAGCAGGGCGACTGGATAGCGATATACGGTGGATCATCCACAAGCGCACTCTTCATCTCAGAAATCGCACGATTGGCAGGACTCAAAGTCATTCTCCTCGCGGACTTTGCCAAACACGGCGAAAGACTTGGTGAGAGGGAAGGCAGCATTCTCGTCGACAGCCATGATCCCATCAGAGCGATCAACGTTGTACGAGCCATTACGAAAGGAAAACTCAGATTTGCAGTGGACACGGTGGGAAAAGAGACGGCTGGACACTTGGTGCAGATGCTGCAAGCAGACGCGCAAGAAGAGAGGAGAGCCCATCTTGTGGGTCTGACGGGAGTGCCGAAAGAGAAGGTCGATGGCATCGTGTTCCACTCGGTGCCCATCAAGCTGTTCCACGAAGTACCGTCCATCGGTCTTACCTTGATGACTTGGTTGGAAAAGGCTTTGGAGACCCAAGCGATCGCGTTACCCGAAGTGGAGCACGCTGGAGGAGGTTTGGAGGGCATCAACGCTGCGCTGGACAGAATGCGCAATGGTGAAATTTCCGGTCGGCGATTGGTAATCTCTGTCTGAGATTAGTGATTTCTTCAAGGGATGTCTGCTGTCGTGATTTTGGGAGCGATAAAGCTGAAAGGCAAGAGATTGGAGGTAAAGATAGCCAAGCAAACTAGACAAACACGGACAAAACAAGCGCCGTTTCCTTCCACCAGCTGCTCCACTACGCTCGCTCCTTCGTCGTTCTTGCCATCTGTGAGATTCACTAATGACTTGCTCCAACCGCAAAGTTCCGACCATCGCTGTGCAGGAAACCCCATCTTCCTTCGCTGCGTGCTTATCAACCCCGTCGACCCGTGATGCTTCATAAACGCGTGTTGAATTGCGATTCGCGCGTGTCGCAATCTGCAAGCTCTCATTCGACCCCGCCATATGAATACAACATTGCGAGCTCGCACGCCATATCATCGGCTGCGGACGAAAGCTATCTCGAGCTTGCACGCCATACCTTAGGTGCCCCACGATGCTAATGTAGGTACGCATTGCCGAACATGCAGGTATCTCAACGCTGTCATATCACATGCTCAGAGTAGACAAATATCCTTTGATTGTTCCTGTCACATTTATTGCTGTAATTGCTGCCAGAAGCGAAGAACTATCATGTCCTCAATCACTGTTCTTCAGCCCAATGGAGCTGAAGTCAGCCATAAAACTTTGGTCGAGAAGGCACCGCCCCTGATTGAGCTAGACACTTCTCAGGACGATTGGGTATACCCCTATCCTACTGACTTCAAGATTCATGAGCATCCTATTGATGAGATTCGTGAGCTCAAGGTATGAATGATGAGTGTACGCTATCGAAGCCGACTAACAGAACAGGTGGCCGTGATTGGAGCTGGTCTCGCAGGTATCATCGCAGGCGCACTCTTACCAGCAAAGGTCCCGGGAATCAACCTCACCATACTGGAGAAGAATGAGGATTTGGTACTTTATTTTCCATGTTCCATATCTGCCTGCGCTAACATGATCAAGGGTGGCACATGGTACGAGAACATCTACCCAGGAGTTCGTTGCGATATACCTGCACACGTGTACCAATCAACATTCTCACCGAACCCCCACTGGAGCGAAGAATATGCACAAGGTGCTGAGATCCGCAACTATTGGCAGAATGTGGCCAAGAAGCATGATGTTTACTCAAAAGTCCGACTGCAGACCAAAGTCTTGGGTGCCTACTGGGAGCCGGAGCGATCGCAATGGAGAGTCGAGACAAAAGATCTCAAGGGCGGAGAAGAGACAAAGGAACATTTCGACTTTTTGGTACCTGCGATTGGCCACTTCAATGAGTGGAAACTGCCAGACATTCCCGGTATCGAGAAGTTCCAAGGTCATCTGAGACACTCGTCCAACTGGGATCCTACCTTCGATCCGGAGGGTAAGCGCATAGCCACCATCGGAAACGGAGCGTCTGGCATACAGATCACCCCCGAACTGCAAAAAGTCGCGAGTCACGTCGACCACTATGCTAGAAGCCGAACTTGGATCGCTGGTGCCTTCTCTCCCGATGCCAAAGATAGGCAATCCACGCCCATGTACATCGCACAAGAACAGCTCGAATCTTTCTCAGACCCCAAAGTATATCTCGAATATCGAAAGAAACTGGAAGGATCTTTCTGGCGAAATTTTGACGCACAGCTCAGAGATTCAGATCTCAGCAAGACTTCGGCACAAAAGTTCAGAGAGCTGATGGGCAAGAGGTTGGCGGATAAACCTGAATTGCTGGACCAGATCGTTCCTGACTTTCCTCCGCATTGCCGACGCCTCACACCAGGTCCGGGATACTTGGAAGCTCTGACCAAGGACAACCTCACATTTATCCAAACGCCTATCTCAAATTTCACAAAAGATGGAATTGTCACCTTGGACGGAGTGCACCGCCCTGTTGATGCAATCATTTGCTCGACCGGTGCGAATGTTGATTTTGCTCCACCTTTCCCAATCGTTGCTGGCGAATATGATCTCTCCCGTGACTGGCGGCCAGAAGGGAAGTTTGGATTTCCTTACACATACATGGGTGTATCGACGCCAGGCCTCCCAAACTTGTTACAGTTGCATGGTGAGTGACCCGCATCACCCAAATTGTTGAGAAACAAAAAACTAACACTCGACCAGGTCCCCAAAGCTATGGTTCCTCTGGCACAGTGCCACACTCTGTCGAGACACAAGCTACATACATTGCTAAAGTCCTGCGCAAAGTCAGCAGTCAAGGCATCTCAAGCATTGTACCTCGCAAGTCTGCAGCCGACGCCTTTGTCGAATACTGTGATGCCTTCTTCCCTCGAACGAATCTTTCCAGAAAATGCAGCAGTTGGGCGAATGGTCGTCGTCCTGGTGGCCGAATTCATGGCTTGTGGCCTGGTAGTGCAGCTCATTTGACCAACATCAGAAGAGAACCACGTTGGGAAGACTATGAATACACATATGTTCACAACGACAACATATTTGCTTATTGGGGCAATGGCGTCACCAAGAAGGAGTTTGATCCGGAGAGCGATATGACTTCTTATCTGAGACTGCCTGAAGAGACGGATCTGAGAGATTTGCATGAGCGCTGGTGGGACCTGTGAGCAACTATCTTGTGGAAAGACGCAGTTGTTTGCTCTTTCACTGTACAGTCTTGTCTCGTTTAACATTGATGCTCAAGAGTTGGAGAGGAGTCGAGATAGACAGAAAAACACATAGTTGAATAGATATTTACCATCTAGGTTGACATTGAATGTCAACCAGTATGATCAGAACAGACTTCGTGATCAAAGGCCAGTCCAACATTCCTTCCCACAGTTTTGGCACGACTGACGTGAACCCAGTCGCCTGTACCTTCCCACGCGGATTACATGCGTTCTTTTCACGTTGTGTTTAATCTGATACAAGCACGCCATATCCCACAAGTGCACGTGTTATTGCACCTTTGATAATCCACACACATACTTTGCGATACCACCCCGCGAAAGAGGATCACCCTCAACAATCGTAATATCCTCCGACCCCGCTCGACATTACGCTATGCCTTTTCTTCGTTGCGTGATGGTGGGGTTGTAGCACGGGCACGTATGTTTACAGCTCCATCAAGGTACCGGATAGGACGTGCATTTCACGATGCTTGGATATATCCTGCAAGTTCCCACAATTTCTTTTCCAAGGTACGCTCGATTACTATCTCACCTTTTCAAACTATCTGAAACAATTCACAATGACTGAAGCAGTCGCGAACGGCACTCCTGCTAAGAAGCAGCTTATTCTCAATGCATTTGTAGAGTCTTGTAAGTAGAGCTCTCGCTCTGAAAATCACAACGATTGATCCTAACAAACTCCAGGCAGCGGTCATCAATCTCCTGGACTATGGAGACATCCCGACGACAAGTCTACTGAGTTCAATAAGATTCAACATTGGGTCAAGCTCGCTCAATTGCTTGAAAAGGGCAAATTTCATGGCATTTTCATTGCCGATGTCTTGGGCGCATATGATGTCTACAAGGGACCGAAGAACCCTGATCCGGCAATCATCTCTGGTGCTCAATGGCCAGGTAAGATATATCTTTATATCACTACAAGTCACTTCTAGCTCACGGGACTTCCAGTCAACGAGCCTTTGGCCACAGTACCAGCTATGGCAGCAGCAACCGAGAACATTGGTTTTGGTGTGACTGTGGCAACCACGTACGAGCAGCCATATCATCTCGCCAGACGCTTGAGCACTGTCGATCATCTTTCCGGTGGCCGCGTTGGATGGAACGTGGGTTTCCGGCTGCAACCCCCGATTGAATACAAATACTGATCACATTTTTCCAGGTTGTCACTGGCTACCTAGACTCCGCAGCCAGAAACCTCGGCCGTACCGAGCAACCTGAACACGATGACCGGTATGCCATGGCAGAGGAGTATATCGAAGTATTATACAAATTGTGGCAGTCTTCCTGGCGCGATGATGCAGTAAAGCTCGATCGCGAGAAAATCATCTATACCGACCCAGCACTTGTTCGTACCATCGATCACGTCGGCAAGTACTACAACGTACCAGGCCCTCATATCTGTCAACCTTCGCCTCAACGTACACCGGTCATTCTGCAAGCAGGAACATCAAAAGCTGGCAAAGAGTTTGGCGCCAAGAATGCAGAGGCTATCTTTGTTGCAGGCCACAGTCCTTCGGTGGTTGCGAAGAATATCGCGGAAATCAGAGCTCTGGCCAAGGCCAAATTTGGTCGCGATCCGAAAAGCATCAAATTTCTGACTTTGCTCTGTCCCATTATTGGCAAGACTCAAGAAGAGGCAGAGGCAAAGTACAAAGAGTATCTCAGCTACGGATCTGAAGACGGAGCAAGTGCCTTGTTCGGTGGCTGGACTGGTATCGACCTCGACAAATATGGTGATGATGAAGAGCTTCGCCATGTTCAATCAAACGCCGTCAGATCAGCTGTCGAGGGCTGGTCAAAGGCTACCCCAAATGTCGCGAAGTGGACGAAGCATACTGTCGCCAATCATATCAAGGTCGGAGGTCTTGGTGCAACTGTCATCGGCACTGCTGAGCATGTAGCTGACGAGTTGGAGCGATGGGTTCGTGAAGCTGATGTTGACGGTTTCAACATTGCTTACTCTGTCTTCCCAAGAACATTCGAGGAGGTCATTGAGCATTTGCTGCCGGTACTCAGAGAGAGAGGTCTGTTCTGGGAGGACTATGCTGTTCCTGGAGGCACATACAGAGAGAATTTGTATGGCAAGAAGGGTGTTGCTCGTCCGCCTCAAGATCACCCGGCAGCTGCATTCCATTGGAAGGCAGAATGAGATGACGCAGTGTAAGTAGAACACTGATAGTAACCTTCAAAAACTATTTTGAGATTCGGACTCTCTGGTTGCTGGACCCGAGAACTTGATCTCGTTGGTACATCCCAAGACAGCTGGTGGAATCTGCAGCAAGCCAAAGTTTATGGCAGCCACGTGGGAATATCTTCTGTTGATCTGTAGATTCACGTGATTTTTGCTGTTCTCAATACCATTTACCGAAATTTGACGTGCTCTGATTGGACACGATACCATTCCAAAAGTCTTCCTGCATTCATTCAACCACGAGTATGATCAATCTCAGCATACGGGAATGTCTGATCACTGAATAGGAATCCTTCCGCAGTCGGAGATGCCTGAATAATTGCTTCCAAATCACTGCTGTGTGCCGCATAACGCCATCGCCCCGGAATATCACATCAACTGCCACGACAGATGGACGAATGGGAGAAGCTTGACCTCGAAGATAAGCAAACCGAGTTTTCGCTTCGCATGTCTTACCATTTCTCCACATGTGCGGTCAGCCTTGTGAAAAACTCTACATGCGGACACATGTAGGTTTATCACGTATGTTGCCGTGTTGAGGATGATCCCATCGCTGGTGTTTTGCACGTCAGTAATCGGTAGTGGATACCTCCCTCCAAATTCAGACGTCAAATCATACTTGGAAGATGTATAACAATAACACATCCCCATGATACATGTGGTGTTGGCACAACTTGGTCTACAGTCAAGATGGCAGAAGCTCTTCTCAATCAAGCTCATGGCTATGGCATTATTATTGGCTTGTCGATATTGTTTTGTCTTATCATTCTCGCTGCTGTGCGGGTGCAGAAAAGATATCTTGCTGAAGACAGCGAGCAGTCTGAGATGTTCATGGTGGCCAACAGATCGGTAGGCACCGGTCTGACAGCCAGTGCTGTTTTCTCAAGTTGGTGAGTACAATACTGCGTGTCTATACAGATGAACATTCTAATATGGTCCCTAGGATGTGGATTAATGAGAGTGTCATATGTGCGGCTTACACTTACAAGTGGGGCATTGCACTACCCGTCTGGTGGGCAAGTGGTCTCTCATTCCAGATTGCCTTGATGGCTTTACTCGGTATCGTCGCTAAGTTGAGAGTTCCTTACGCTCATACGTCGCTCGAGTTCATGCGTATGAGATATGGAAAATATGCTCACTGCATCTTCATCTTGTTGAATCTCATCAACAACATTTTTGGTTGTGGAAGCATGATTTTAGCAGGCGCACAACTGGTTACCGGAATGACTGGTATGCATGTCATTGCTGCGTGTATCTTGATTCCTGCTGGAGGTGAGTACAAATTGTTGATCTTAGATTATGGATGCTGACGAAATCGAAGTTGTCATCTATACCGCTGTGGGAGGGCTGAAAGCTACCTTCATCACCGATTATTTGCATACTGCCATCGCCCTGATCTTGTTGATCTATTTCTCTCTAGCAGTGCTTACAAATGAACACGTTGGTGGAATCTCTGGTCTGTACCAGAAAGTCAAGGCTGCAGACGACTACATTGAGGGCAACTACATGGGATCTCTCCTGACCATGAAGTCTAAGAGGGGTATGTGTTGGAAGTTTTACCTGGTTCCAATGCTTTCGCTGACACAATTACAGCTGTGCTCTTCGGATTGGTGCTCAAGTTTGGTAACCTCGCACTTGTACTCATGGACACGGCATTCTGGCAGAAGAGTTTCGCTTCCGAGGTCGAATCGGTCGTTCCTGCCTACGACCTTGTCAGCGTTGTCATTCTTGCCGTCCCTTGGTGCACCGGTACCATTATCGGTTTGACTGGAAGAGCCATCGAGAAGACACCCATCTGGTGGGATTACCCAAATCTACTCACAGAGACTCAAGTCAATTCCGGTCTAGTCATGCCATACGTACTCCGTTCTCTCCTTGGCCAAGGCGCAACGACTGGACTCCTAGTGCTGATCTTTATGGCCATCACATCTACCGTATCTTCCTCGGTCATTGCCGTCAGCAGTATCATTTCTTTGGACTTCTACCGCGCCTATATCAATCCCAAGGCTTCCGATCGAAAGGTCCTTCAAGTCAGTCATATTGGCGTTGTGGGCCACGGATGTTTTATGGCAGCCTTTGCAATCATGTTACAATATGCTGGAGCGACAAACAATTGGTCTACTTACTTTAGACCCATTGTTGCTTGCCCTGGTATTTTCCCCCTGATGTTGACGCTTCTTTGGTCAAGACAGACCAAGGCAGCTGCTATTCTCTCACCTATACTGGGATTAGCTTCTGGTGTTGCTACATGGCTGAGTCTGTCTTACGTTTGGGGAGGAAAAATTGACATTCAGACGACACAAGAGCAGTTACCTGGTCTCTATGGCGCCATTGTATCTTTCTTCTCGCCAGCACTTTTCTCAGTCATCATCTCACTGGCACGACCAAGCCAATTCGACTGGAGAGAATTCCTTCGCATCGACCTCATCGAGGACAGCAGTCAACCCAGTACCTCTCTACCCTCACCTCAAGACAGCAAAGACGACATCACCAAGATATCTCCAGCACACTCCAGCCCGGTCAACGAGAAACACCAACCCACCATCGATGCAGAAGCAAAAGCCGGTCTCGTCAGTCCAGCACCTTCCATCTCAACGCGCACCGGAAGTCTCGACGACATCGTGCATCCTTTCAGCGACCAGACCATCCGCCACATCAAGAAATGGAGAACCTACGCTGCTGGCTATTTCGTCCTCAATCTCTTGGTCACGGTTGTATTATGGCCGGTCCCTATGTATCGAGATTACATTTTCTCGTCATCGTTTTTCAAGGGTTGGGTGACTGTGGCGATTATTTGGCATTTCGCTGCCATGTTGGCTGTGATCGTTTATCCGGTTTGGGATGGACGGTTCGTTATTGGTACGGTGTTCAAGGGTGTTCAGAAGGAGTGGAGTAAAAGTGGATGAATGAATGAATGAACGTTAGAGGTAGATTAGAAATGAACAAGACGACTAGAATATGTCATCTCCACGGTCCAACTGCTCTTTACTTAGATAGCTATGATGCATGTTGTTTTTCACATTCCAGAGTAAGTCTCGAGGGAGTCGACAGGGGCATGTGCCATCAAGGCGAGATCGAAAAATTTCTGCTCTCAAAGGAAAGTTCGAACAAGCTGAAAACCATCGTGCATTTTGACAGACGCAAACCTGCCTCCAGAGGCGGTGAAATGCTGCCAGGCAGTGTTGCTCTTACCTATTTCGCAGAGAAACTTTCCCCTTTTTTTGAGATATGTCCATCAACAAGTGGAAGGAGATTGAAAACTAGGTGCAGAAGATAAATGAAGTAGAAAAGGTAATACAAAGTCGGTATGTAAAACTACAAAATACTAGTACAAGTATAGAAGATAGAAAGAAAGTAATTGGAAGAAAATACGAGATATTGGGCTTCGAAAGCCCACCCCAAACCATAGAAACGCCAAATGTTCAGTCCTAATTCATATCATGTGTGCTCATGTCGTGTCGGACAAAGATTACTTGCGTGCAATGGTGGCAAGAGTGGTAGGAACAGCCTCGCGAAGGTTGAGAGCTCCAACACTGGCACCGAGCAGTCCGCTGGTGGGCAAGACGTTTGCGTTGACAGTAACGCCATTCAGAAGGCCCAGAGTGGCACACACCTTCAGAAGGCCTGATCCTGAGCAAGATGTGGTGAGCTGGCTGGGTCTGGCTGAGGCGGCTGCTGAGGCGGCTGCTGTAGTGGCAGGAGCGGTGGTTGTAGGGTTCAAAACACCTGCACTGACACCGACAAGACCGCTAGGGCTTCCGACCCCCAATGTGACTGTTGCGAGGGGTCCTACACCGAGTGTCAGGCAGGCTACCGAATCGCAGCTGGTTTGAGTGGCAGTGACCTGGGCCAGGGCGGAAGCTGAAGGAAGGACTCCGGCGCTCACACCAACCACACCAGAGGGACTTCCCACTCCCAATGTAATAGTGGCGAGCGGACCGACACCGAGTGTCAGGCAGGCTACAGAATCACAGGTGGTTTGAGTGGCGGTGACTTGGGCGATGGCTGAGGCGGAAGGCAAAACAGTGCCACCAACTCCAATAATTCCAGAAGGACTGCCGACTCCCAATGTAATTGAGGCCAACGGTCCCAATCCAATTGTCGCGCACACGGTTGCATCGCAGCTTGTCGTAGTTCCTGTGACCTGGGCAATGGCTGAAGCGGAGGGCAAAACAGTACCACCAACGCCGATAACGCCGCCTGAAGGGCTACCCACCCCGAGTGTAATAGTGGCGAGCGGACCGACACCAAGTGTCAGACAGGCTACAGAATCACAGGTGGTTTGAGTGGCGGTGACTTGGGCAATGGCTGAGGCGGAAGGCAAAACGGTACCACCAATACCGACGAGGCCAGAAGGAGAGCCCAGGCCCAGGGTGATTGTGGCTAGCGGACCGACCCCAATAGTAGCGCACGCAATTGAATCGCAGGTAGTGGTCGTCTGAGTCACTTGGGCGGAGGCTGAGGCGTCAGCAGGAAGAAGTGTTGCACCAACACCAGCAACACCGGACGGGCCACCGATTCCCAAAGTCACAGTTCCTAGCTCTCCCAAGCCAAGTGTCGCGCAAGCCAAAGCTCCACAGGTGGTAGTTGTGGCTGTGATCGAGTTTCCAGGAATGTTGGTTGGGACAGCGGAGGTGAAAACAGGGGCAGAAGTGGGATTTCCACCGCCAATTCCGAGACCGAGATCAACGGTGATACCATTGCCAATTCCAAGTGTAACACAGACGTCCAGATTAGCGCCTCCACAGCGGGTAGAAGTTGCAGTAATACCGGCAAGCTCGGAGGAAAGAACGCTAGAGGGGATGTCGTTTGTAGGAACGATACCGCTGGTAAGCGAAGCGAGGATGCTCGAGACATCAGAAGCGACGGAAGATGCATCAGAGACAGCAGAAGTGATGATGCCAGTTGGTACCGAGGTGACGGTAGGCAGGCCAGAGATCAGACTGCTAAGGGCGCTGGTATCGACTGAACCACCAGTAGAGATCTGCGATGCGAGAGACGACAGCTGAGAGCCTACGCCACCCGTGGCTGTGGCGGCGACAGAAGTCAAATCACTGATAGCAGAGGACAAAACTGGAGGAATTACGACAGAGGAGAAACCGGGAAGGGAGACTCTCGAGCTGGTAAGTCCGTTGTTTCCACCAGTACTGATGATGTTTGTAGGGATAGATGTAACGGTAGGCAAGGCGGAGATCAAGCTGCTTAAAGCGCTCGTGTCCACAGGCGATCCAGTCGAGATCTGAGAAATAAGAGAGGACAATTGAGAAGAGACAGCCCCGGTGGCTGTGGCCGCAACTGAAGTGAGAACGCCAGGAATAGAAGGTCTCGAAGTGTTGGCAGGGTCTGCAACTGCAGAAGAGATCAAACCAGAAGGAAGACTGGTAGCAGTAGGGAGCTCGGAGAGGATTGAGCTCAATGCACCAGTGTTGATACCGGTGGCAGTAGAAAGCTCAGAGACGAGAGAAGAGAGCTGACTTCCAATTACACCAGTTGCTGTAGCGGCCTCAGATGCAAGGCTGGAAATAAGGCCTGTAGGAACGCCGCCTGACACTCCTGCGGATGCTCCACCAGTGGCGCTGACTGAGACAGGAGGTAGAATGCCAGAGGAGGCAGACGAGCGGAGAGCGAATTGAACGCCATTACGAGTAACTCCGTTGGTGAGCGAGCTGTAGAAAGTACACGAACCGCTGCTGGGAGTGTATGCTGTTCCGAGACAGCGAGCGTTGGCTGCACAGACAGTGGCGCAGGAGTTCAGAGAACCAATGGCTTGTCTCTTCGATAGAGCGTTACCCAAGTTCAAGACGGTACCGCCGTAGAACTGGTTGCAGTAGCGGGTGAACTGAGATCCAGCAATCGTGTAGGTAGACGCGCTGGTGAAGGGGCAAGCGATAGGAGTAGCGGAAGATCCAGCAGAAGTGGCACTGCCAGGGTTGTTGATACCCGATGAGATGGCGCCGACGAGCGAGCTAACGGCGCCTGAGGGAAGAGTTGCTGTTGGGTTGGCAGCGATAGAGCTCAAGACGGAAGACAATGAGGCTCCAATAGATGCTGATGGGTTATTGGCCAGGGAGCTGATGGCTGATGATAAAGCAGGGGCAGCAGTAACGGCGGGGTCGGACAAGAGGGAGGAAATCAGCGAAGAGACAGCAGGGTTGGTGGGAGACGAAACTCCTACACCAGCACCGATACCTGCTCCGATACCTCCATTTCCGTTTCCGACGTTTGAACCAGACGTAGCTTGCGCGGCAACAGAAGAAGCAGCATCGACCAGCGAAGAGGCAGCAGCTGTGGGCAGTGCGGCTCCGGCGGTGTTGGCAGCAATGGAGCTAAGCAGAGAAGAAATTTCGGGGCTGGCTGTGACGGAAGGGTTGCCTGATAGGAAGTTGAGAGCTGATGAGGCAGCAGCACCGAGTCCGGATCCAGATGCACCATTGTTGGCATCAGGAGCTGAAGTTGCGGCGGCTGCAACACCGTCGAGAAGGGAAGACAGCTGGGAAGCAGCAGCGGCGGCAGCAGCATCTGTGGACGAACCAGTTCCTGATCCGGCACTACCACCCACTCCTGCTCCTACTGAGCCAGACCCTGAGCCTGAGCCTGAGCCTGAGCCTGAGCTTGAACCCGAACCTGATGATCCAGAGTTTGCAGCAGAAGATGCAGAAGGGTTGTAACACTCGGCAACAGCGCTTGCTTCGGTCGACAAAGCGTTGATGGCAACCTCAATCAGGTCACCAAGGAGTTCAATGTTACCATTGTCTCTAATGCTGGAGACAACATCATCAAGACTGGAGCTTCCAATGGAGTCAATGAGGGCCTGTCTCTTGGTAGGGATAGCCGAAGAGCTGGCCAGAAGCAGCGTGATAGCTGCGAAGCCGATATGCATCTTGTTGTTTGAAGATAGGACAAGATGAAAGAAGAAAGGAGATGACCAAGTCGGTGGTCGGAGAGGTGAGTCGCTGGGTGATGATTCTGGACTTGATGGGGAGTGTTCGTCTTGATATACCTCTCATCAGAGAGCAATCATGTTGTGATTCAATCTACCATTGCTGTTGCGTACGAGGCAGATCTGCATTGTCTTCGTTGTGACTATCGACTCCTCTCATTAGAATGTTTCAAATCACAATGACCCTCATCTCCCTCTCAGCCGGGTTCTGTGTGGAGTGGTCACCAAAGTGCATCGCAGTATGAGTATGCATTCGGCATCACCGCCGTTGGCAAATGTAAGACCCCTAGGAAGATTGGCGGCGATCATACAAGATTGGACAGTAAGGAAAGACAGCACAAGAACGAAGAGAGTAGGCGTGATCCTGACAACGGTTTACAGCATCCGTCTACCAAGCAGTGACCATGATGAGGTCTTCGACAAAGCGTACACCCTGTTGAGCCGTCGGACCCAACACGGTAATGCCTAGGAGTACTCCTCGATCGATCTGGACGCAAAGGTAAAGAGACGGCACGTGTCAAGCAGAATGTCACTCAAAATAGTCTATCGACGGACCAGGTACAGAGGACTAGGAAGCGGGGATGACAGGTGTCCGGCGAGGGCGTTGGAGCTTCTACCACGCACACGCATATCAAAGAGGATGATCAGTATTGAAGCGAACCCTAGAGATCGACGTTTGACAGGAGACCCTGATCATTTTGATAGGTATGTGGACCGCACAGATGACGATTAGGATCCCGGCAGACGGGTGCGGAAGCAAGACACGGTGATCCTTAAACGTGTTAACGTGTTCCTTGAACGTGAATCCCACGCTTGCCTCTATATGGTCGACTTCGAATACCCACTGCGGCGCCACAAGAGGGTCATATGGTAGGTAGGCGGGGCATCTAATGTGAACCTTGAAATTGATAGTAGTGCAGAAGTGCATATGCTTGAGGACCTGAAGCATACTTGCCAATGGTGGGCTTTCGATATAGGATCCGAATGCATGGAAGGCATTGTTAGAATAATACGACGTCAGTCCCAGTCATCTGGTTCGATTTCCATGCAGGTCCATCGGTATAATCGTTTGCTCGTCATTGTGGCTGCATACCAAGGCGTGTTTTATTTCTCACAACAAACACATGCTGTACTGGCAGAAGTCGTTTGTGGCGATGAGGTGTGATAGGACAATTGGTGGTGTGAGGTCGATGTTCCCCCACGGCTTGGCCGGATCGTCGGATATTGTCTGGAATCCTGCAGTATAACGGCGACGCTAATTCTAAGCGACAGCTCGTTCTCTCCAAAATTTGACGTTCGGTGATCCTCGGGCTTGTCACTTGAGCCGCCGTTGCGTGTGGCTGAAGGATCTATAGGGGATCTGCAAGGTAGGCAGATGGGGCTCCAACGCCTACTTTACCACCTTATAGGTAACACGGCTTCAGCGATGCGCCACCTGCGACATTTGGCTTTGCGATGTCTCGCACTCGGATTCTGATTCTCTCACTCCTCCCAGCAGGAAGGAAAGTAAAGAGTTAAAGTTATGGTATGCTCTTGTCAACAGCTTCTCGTCATCCTATCCCAAGCAGATGGTTCGCACGCGACAATAGTCAGGTCGTTGCGATTGAGATCCCGTGACTACATCACAATGACGGTGGGTCTCAAACATTCATCGCCAAGCTTGACAAGACCACCTGTGTTGTTTCGGCCTGTCCGATGGGGCGGGATTAAACAAACATTCAAGGTCGAAGACTTCAAGCCGAAGTTTGGCCTTTGGTGGGGTAGTAGGAGGATGAATGTCGAGTCGTGGGCACTGGTCAAGTGCACCAAGGGCCATATGCGGCTGCCATGTTGTTCTCACTGTGGGTCCAGTGAGTCTTTTTGGGTGGTGATGCGTACGTAGCAGTATGAGTGGAAAGAAGTTGTTGCTCCGGACAGTGCTCAGTTACATCGTGCACAACACTACCAAGTCTCTAAAACACCATGAATGACTGATTGAGAGGCTGTAGAGAAGAGGGCGGCGCTCTACATGATTATATAGACACCCCAAATCTCGACCCCTTTCTGTCTCGGCTTTGAGTCTTCCGTTGGATGTTGGATAGGCCTCATCGTAGGACTCAATGATCCTCTAGTCGATCTTGAAACCATTACTTTGATCCTCAAATACCGTTCCACGGCGAACTGTTGAAGGGTCCGGAGAGGAGGGCGGAATTCGATAGATGGAGGATTACGACTATGAACGGCGTTTGTTCGCGATATGTGGAAAATGGAAGCCCGAAAGAGCGCTCGGCCGTACGAAGGGCATGTCCTATCATAGTCACGGTGTGCTCAGGCTCCTTCAGCGAGGCTCTGTGGGTCATGGTGGGGTACATAGCAGTACAGGTATCCCAGCAGAATATGTGCTTCCGAGATTGGCGCATGGTTCTCGGGCGAGTTTACACATTCCTTCTGTAACAAGTAGTCTCTCCAAAACCGTATGAGAGTTGCGAGCTTTTCAACGAGAGAGCCCTAATCATTGATTAGGCTCCAGTTGTAGGATTTGATCCAAGTTGTAGTCGTGTTATTTGAGCCAGGGTCGTCCCATCAACAAGCGACCTGAGAAGCCTGCACGTTGAACGGCCGTCGTAGGAGACGGCCGAGCATCTAGACCTCCCTCGTCCGAATGTCGAAGTGTTCGGTATGGAACAAGCAAGCAAGTTGGTTACTGATTGTGGCGATGGCTCGAGGAGTGGCTTGAAACCCCCGGCTCTCAAATCGATTCGACGCAACGGTGTTCATGCATACACATGCATGCATGTGTGCAGCTCAAAGGTACTTCTTCGCTGCTCCAGCAACACGGCCCCTGAAGACCGGACTTGTGACAGGGGCATTGACCGTGTAAAAAGGGTTCATGATACACTTGACCCAGGCTTCGTAAACATCAGTCATGAACTGCCTCACTGCTTCCTCAGTCTGTGCACTGCCAGGATTGTTGGCAAGGAGCGTGCTCTGTCTGGCTGTGACAGATGGATGTTGTCGTGGCGGTGCAGCAGCTGGGTAAGTTGAATAAGTAGTGGAAGATGGATCGGGATTCATGAGTAGCATGAACTTGACATTTCCGCCGGTGATGAAGCAGTGGATGTGGTTGTTTTGAAAGCGGTCGATGTTTTTGAGATATCTACAAACATGGTGATTAGTTTATGAATATCATAAAGTATTCAAGAGAATGGAAAAATCGTACAGTCCGTTGTTTCCCCACTGGACTTCTTCCACAATGTCGAGACTGCTGTGAACGATGAACTGGTTCATATGTCTGGCCTCATCGCGAAAGCGGGCGATGCCGTCTCCACCAGCCTTGGAAGTACCAAATTCATGCTCGAAGAGAGGGTTGTCTCTCGTGCCGATGATAGTGAAATAGTATGACATTATGGTGCCTGGATATCTGAGCTCAAGCTGTGACAATTCGAAGGGTTTGATGGTAATGAAGACGTCCAGGTGATGACTGACTCCAGGGGCAGCGACAGGTTGGCGGAGAGGAAGTTGCGATTGGAGGGTCGGAGAAATGTCTTGGCACTTCCGAAGCATCAGCAACGACTCGAATCTTTTGTGAATTGGCGGGCAGTGAGCGCATAGCATCAATCATATACAATCATGTTCGGCGCATTCAAACCCACCTCGGCTCTATCAGGAGGCCTGCTATGGTATGCGCTCTTTCATTGCGACACATGCGACACGGATGAACTGACACTCCGCCGCAGGAAAATCCCATGGCGACTTTCAGCACCACAGAAGCTGCGCCAGCGCCGTCGCCTCCGTCGCGTCGATAACATCGTCTCCGTCCTCGATAGCGCTCTCCAAAGACAGATCCAGTCAGCACCCGCCACTACCGCCACAAAGGGGATCGGCGCCACCCAGGCCACTACCGAAGAGCTCGCTCAAACCGCCCAGGGCCAGCGCATGCTCAACGCAGAGGCAAACACTCCTCTCAACGACCGCAGACATGGTAGAGGCCCGAGGCAGGGCGAGATTCTGAGCGGAAGTTTGCCCACAGGCACTGCCACCATGACTGGAGATCAGGCTAGAAAGATGGGCACCATCAAGCTGATCGAGCGATGGAAGGCTGAGATGCCCACCGAGGCCGAGATGCTGCCAAGAGACAAGTACACCATGTTCGACCGCAAGGAGAAGAAGTACAGAAAGGGCATTCACAGTGAGTTATCACTCGCTCCATCTTTCGACCATCACGTACTGACCTCTTCAGAATTGCCCAAGTGGACCAGAGTTTCTCAACGCCTGAACCCTCCCGGTTTCTAGGCCATGTTCTTTTATCACTTTCTGTATATTCTATGCATAGGGCGGCGTTCGGCCCAGGTTGGCCTTGTAGGTTTTGTACAAAAATATTACATCAATGAATGTTGCCATTTCTATTACCTACTCATCAACCATGATCGTCGTAGCCTGTTGATCTAACTCTGTCTGCGGACAACGCTCTTGCTGCCCTCTGGTGGCCTTCTCTCTCCGAAGTTGTGGAGTCTCTCTCCAATGAGGTACACCTCATCCTTGATTCGACCTCTCCAGCGACGCATTCCCTCGGCCAGTTCCCACGTGCACCACAAGCCAAGCACCTGACTTGCGCATATCGGATAGCTATACCGGTATACCTTAGTGCGAATGCTCTCAGAGACGATATCCGTCAAGTCCAGCACCGAGGCGATTAAGGGGGGACAGAACAAAACGATCGAGAAGAGCAGCAGCGTCGGTAAGACAAAAGCGCGAGTCGCCAATTTGACGTTGGGATTGGTAAATCCGTCGCGAGTGATCATGCGCAATGCTGCTGCTGGTCGAGAGGTACGTGACAGTAGTAATAGACGCAGCACGACTCTTCCGTAGATGAACCCGAGCGTCCAGTCTTGCAGGATGTTGAAGGTGTGAGGCGCCACCATCGACTGCGAAAACTGAGCACCTGTAAAGGCAGTAACCGTTGTGTTCGCTAGGCTGACCTGGGCTCCAGATAGATCGTTCAAAGCGACATCGCCTCCTTCTTGAGCCAGAACCGCTGGGCCCATGTATGTTCGGAGAGGCAAGATAAGATAAAGCTCCAACACGAGCGCGAAGAGAGTTGGGACAATGATAACGGCGAATCCATATACGTATGCGCTTCGAATAAGACGCCATGTCTGTTTCTTGATAATGGCACTGACTGCTGCCAGATTCTGCTTGGATATGTTTTCTTGAGTACTCTTGAGTCCCTGGCGTCCGTTGAAAATAGCTTGAAGAGCGATTCCCAGAGTAGTGATTCCAACAGCAAAGGCATAGAGATCGTTAGGTGCGATACGATCCGAAACAGCCATGGAGAGAATCAGGCGTCCAAAAATCATAGGGACAACGGTGACTCCAAAGCCCATAGCAATAGCAAACATCCATAGGCATGAGATGAATGTAAAGATTCGAAGACGGAACCATGGAGGAATGTATACCTTGTTGAAATTATCAGGTTGGCGCCCGTGAATACCGTTGCCGGGATTTGTGCCGTCAATTCGTTCATCGGCGTCGCTGACTTCCAAAAACACCCTTTCGCCCCTGGGAATCCTAACTTGGTCGGTCGCAGGTGCCCGGACGTATTTACCATCGTAGACGAAGCTCCCGGAGTTGATGATGGCGTCTTGGTCTTTCCAAGGGTTGAATCTGGTGATCCAAGATTCATCGTTCGAGTAGCCCTCTTCGATCTTACGTCGCTCGCCAAATAGGAATTGCGAAAGGCGCAGCGAGCGTGCGCAAAGTTTTAGCCATGTTCCGAAGAACGTCTCCATTCCTTTCGAAGGGAATAGGTAGGATGCTACCACAGGAGCAAGGAGATTGTATCCTAAGAAGTCAATAGGAAATTCTAAATTCGCTTCAGGCCTCGCCCATCGGACAGGGAAAACTCCGAATCGAGCAGTGCCCCAGATAGCACCACCAAGACAGACGATTACTAATCCGCCGTAAACGAGGCCGCTAAAAGCGATCTTTCGGAGTTGAGTGGTGACGCTGCGTTCCAAGACATCCCGAACGGGGTGGAAGGTTGGATCGTCAGGATCCCTGATAAAGTAGAGAACACCACTACGCAGAATTCTTCGACACATGGATACAAAGAGAGCGAAGTGGAACATATAGCAAGTGCCAATGAACCAGTGCATGAATACAAACAACCACGGCGATCGTTCAGCGAATGCCAATCGAGAGGCAATCGAAGCATTCTCAAAGAGTGGTAGTAGAGCACAGTCCAAGAGCATACCGCAATAGAGCGGGAACGCGAGCATCTCGATGCTGATGATCAAGATGACCTTTAGTACACCTCCTGCTTGTTTCAAAAGATCGGCGAAACTCTTCTCAACGTTTTGAAGACCGGGGGAGCTGAAAAGCGATTCTTTGCGAAGTAGATACATGGCTCCGATCATGGCGAGAAGTACGTATCCAGCCAAGACGGTCAGACAACGGTCTGCAGATGTCCACACGGCCAAAGAAGGATCCAGAAGGCTGTCGTCACTTTTTACAGTGAAGGTGAAGGTTCCATCGTTTATTGCTTCCGAGAATCCCTCTCTCAAAACAGTACGAACCCATGCATAGCTCGATGCTGCTTGGTGGAAACAGCTTGCGGCTATTTCGTTGAGGATCTGGAGCAACTCTGGAGCCGTCGATTTCTGCAGGTGATATGAGGCTCCTGAAAGGCATTTGGCAAAGAAGCCAATTACTTGAGCGACTTCTGCTTTCATGCTGAGGAGAGATTGTCTTGCTTGAATAGACTTCATCAACAGTCCGAACTCCATGGGTCCATCTCCACCAAGTAAGTTAACCAGACGTCCAGAGGCTCCATTCGCTGCGTGGTGCGCGCGCTTAGCCAAAGGCTCCACGTAGCTCAGGCTGAACTTTCGGCACACACTACCGAACAACATAGAAAGCAGTCGTGTCAAAATCTCGGATCCAAAATAGGTAGCAGCACCGCCAGCGTAGACGGCGATGTCGACAACTGCATCTGCAAATCCAGAAACAAAGCGAAGAGGTGTCATGATCATAGAAGTTATTGGATCACCAAGGAAGAGTAATGCGATCTTGCCAAACAAGTATGGGACTCCAATAGCGGTCCAGAGTGTAGTTGTGATGAGGACGGCGCAAAACATGGCTGTTTGTCCTAGTCCGATAAGAGGCCCTTGCATACCAATCAGTTCCAGAATACCTTCGAGATCTTCGGCGTCTTCGATGGCTTCAGCATCGAGGCCAGCCTCAGCTGCAGCTTGGAGTACTTCAGGATCCTGAGCACCTTCATGGTCGTGGTCATGATCGTGGTCATGATCGTGGACGTGTTCTTCGTCGTGGAGATGGACAAACGGCGGCTCTACAGCCTCATTCCGAGCGATCTCTTCATCAGCAACTCCAGGTAAAGGCTCATTGTCCTCATCATCGAGTACTATGTCGGCCCAAAACCAGTCGAACAATCGAGTTATCGGACCTTTATGCTGTTCCGGATTTAGAGTTGCTTGAAGAGTACTAGCTTGTTGTGAGGATGTTCGATCTTCGCTAGGAGACTCGATCGCAGGTTCCGCAACAGCAAATGCCTCTTCATCCACGTTTTGGGCAGTGGTTTCGGATGGAGATTGTGACAAATCTCCGTTGATGGAAGTCTCACGCGATCTCGTGTTAGTTTCGTCGGATCGTGCACCTGTCGAATGTCCAAGCGCATCTGCATCGACGGTAGCCGTCTCCTGGGCGTCCGCAGGTTCTCCAGCTTGAGACGAGGAAGACAGCGGGGTCCGTGTGGTAGAGGGCGACTCGGCGTCAGAAGCAGAAGACACAAATTGCCAGCTTCCTCTACTACTATCACCATCGGCCTCGACGTCAAGCAGACGGCTGGTATTCTCTGGATTATTGGACGGCTCTTCGATTGATTGCAGAACCCTTTGTGCGTGGGAAGAGGCATCTCTTGGGGGCATGTTTGGTCGTCTCTGTGATTCTTGCAGAGTCTCGTCGTCACTGTCCTCCTGCGTCTCAGAATCAGTGGCCGCAGGTCCGCCAACATTCTCGTCGTCTGATAAGGCTAGCTTGTCTTGAGGAAAATTGCTCAACAACATGGTTCTGGTGGGACCTTCTCTGAGCAGGATGCCGCGCCAAAGGTCCCTTCTGGTAGGACTAAGGTTGTCCAAGATAGCCCACATGTTCTCCGCGATTTCAGTAGGGAGGATACCAGAATCCTCGGCAAGTTTGAGTTGCCCAAGAAGCAGCTCGCCGACGTATTGAAATCTTTCCATGAAGTCGTCGTGGTCTTCGCCTCCGAATCGATACGGAATACCTGCAGTGTCCATCACTTCCTCCATCTTGTGCCAGCCAATGAAGTGAGTACTTTCGTCTCCAGAAGCTTCGCTATCAGACGGCTCTTCGAACAAGTGCGTATAACGGTCTACATGGGGTCGGCGTTCTTCATCTTGAAAGTCTTGCAGATTCCGGGCAGCACGCTCAGCAGCGTCCAGCTGCAGCTCAGCATCACGAATATGAGCAGCGGCATTGATGATGGGTTGCTGTTGAACAACCCATTCCCGAATGAGGAAGACGAGGATGAAAGCGATCACGACGAGGATGGTGATTATCTCACCCTCAAGCATGTCGAGAATAAAGCGATTGACCCAGGCATGAGAAGTCAAGGAGTTTACAGCTTTGACATCAGACAAGAGGCTAGAGTAAGGAGAAGCGAATGACGTCTCAAGTGTTGTGTTCGTGGACGAGTATGAGCCAGGCGGACCTAGGGGCTTCAGCGGGTAGAAGAGAGCGCCGAGTAAGAATCTGGACAGACTCAGACCGAAAGGCTCTTTCTCGTCGATGCTGTCGGCGGTAGGTGTAGATGCGTTGGCTTGTTGTGCGGCAGGGGACATTCTGGCCAACCATGGGTCTCTTGCCCAGCCAGCATCCAGGACCCAGAAAAGGCCCCTCCATGACCAACGAATAAACCAAGGAAGCACAACGAGCCAGACGAGAGCGACGGTGACGGCACGAGCCCAAGTCAATAGGTAGTTTGCAGTATGTAGACAGGCTCTTTTTACGAAGATGGGCAGCGGCAGAGTGTGTGGCATGTGCGAGTCGTAGAGTTTTGTAAAGCGGAAAGGGGTCTTGCAGAGCTCGCAGTGTTTCTTGTTCGAGTGCGACAGCCATTCCATCAAGCAGTCTTGGTGGACGAACTTGATACTGCCACTGCACTTGCAGGGATAAAACAGCGGCTCTGCATCTGAGCCCTCGCTGCGACAGATCCTGCAAGTGTCTCCTTCGGCAGGCGACTTGTCACTGGCTGGTGTAGGGTCGAACTGCGGGTCGTTCATGATGTCCGGCGTGGACGATGATCGGCGGGAGGTGGACATTTTGCGATGAGAGATGCTTAAGGTGAGGCCGTCAAGGCGAGCTTGTATCCCAGGGCGACATCTAAGACACGGTCGGGTTGAACCTGGTCTGAGTTGGACGGCGGCTGTTCTCGAGAGTCGATTCACCAGGTATACGGAGATGGCAGGTAGATACAAAGGCAAGAAACAAGAGAGCATCAAGCATCAAGCATCAAGCACAAGACGCACGTGAACGCCAAGACGTCCGAACCGCATCTGTAACAAGCATCATCTAGCGAAGTTTGGGCAAGTGCTACGAGGGCATTTTGATTCGACATGGTCATTTCAATGGCTCTAATTGATCAGACGATCGAGTTGGTGGTGAGACTGTACATGTACTGTCTCGTAGGAAGGAATGAACATTTCGTGACAGGGGATAGCTGGACATCAGGCTTCTTTGACGGCAGGAGGGTCCTTGGTCGGCTGTGGCTTTCTCTTCCAGTGATGTCAGAGTGCATGAAAGCGTGCTGCGGCTTGCAAGCACAAGACAAGCTGCCTTGTTTGCGACTTGCTCTCTCCTGATAACTGTTTTTGTGGCATAAGACGAACCTGCCGTCTGTCAATCAATCAATCAATTTCTGCACGCGCTGCTCTGCTCTTTCCGACGAGCTCTATGCAGATTTGACATCCTAGCTGCCATACCGTCACCATGGCCATCCGAAACGAGAAGGCGCCAAATGGCTCCATCTCAACATCATCCACGAGAGCGCGACATGTTCAGCGACGAGGCTTTTTCTCAAGAATTTTCAGCATCACTCTGAGGTATGCCCTGTGCTCTACAATTCCTGTCAACTGCCCGGTACTGATTCTGCAACAGGCTGTCGATCTGGTATACCCTCCTGACTGTCGTTTTCCGCTGCCCGTCATCGCCCAAACAGCTCACAAAGGACTCACCTAATGTGTGCGAGCCTTACTTCCAGCTGAAAGACCTTGCTGTGCCTCACCTTCAACCCTACTACAATGCCTACGCCGCTCCCTACGTCCAACAAGCTCAGCCTTACTTTGACCGTGTCAAGGAGCAGGCCTACCTTCCCGCCGCCGCCTTTGCTCAGAAGCACGGCGCTCCTCGTGTCGCCCAGGCCCAGAAATATGCAGACAAGGAGTGGAAGCGTACCGTACGCCCTCAGCTGGACGTCGCACGCAAGCACGCCTCAAAGCAGTACGACTCGACTCTTGGCCCCCATGTCCAAAAGGTGCAGGACGCCGTATCGCCCTACTACAACACTGTCAAGGCTTCAGCCACCGACTTTTACGAGCTCGAGCTGTTGCCCGCTTACAAGCACACTGCCCCTTACGCCAAGAAGGTTTATGGCCACGCTTATCGTTTCTCCGTCAACACCGCCTTGCCCTACGCTCGCTGGGGCACTGACCTGACATTCACCTTTGTACGCAGACAGATCTGGCCCAGAATCCAGGTTCTCTATGGAGAGAATGTCGAGCCTCAAATCTTCAAGATCACCCAGAGACTTGGTCGTTACCGCGATGAGAAGAAAATTGAAGCTGCTGTCGAGTCTGCAGAGAGTTCTGCTTCTTCGTCCTCATCTTCCGTGTCGTCTGCTGCATCCGCATCATCCACCATTGTCACAAGCTCCCCCTCGGCCGCAGTCTCAAGCGCCAGCTCTGTCATTGAATCTATCATGACCAAGGCTTCCAGCGCCGTCGTTGCTTCGCCGTCCATGGCCCCTCCTGAGGATGAGCCTAGTGCTGCCGAGCAATTCTCCCAGGATTTGAAGGTTTGGGAGGAGCATGTCTCCATCGCCATTCGTGAGGGTCTTGATCACCTCCGCGAGCGTATTCAGGAAATTTGCGACCGTCAAGTCGAAACTCAAACCAACGGGGTTGGTGAAGCTTTGATCATTCAGCTTGAGGAGGGCTCCTCTTCGGCTTTCAGAAGTCTCAAGGCTAGGGTCGAGTCTGTCATTGAACATCTTCCTGAAGAGCCTTCTGAGTCCGACCTTTCCTCTGCACAAGAATCTATCAACAAGGAAGTCAAGAAGGCCGGTCAGACGATCAAGCAAAAGGCACAAAACGTCCGTGATTGGAAGCAGACCTTTGACAAGGATATCACCCGCCTCATCGAGGCTGCTGCCAATTCAACTCTTGAGACTATCGACAACATCCGTGATCTTCGCCTCCAAGAGATCGGCAGACGTTGGGCTTCAAATGCCGCCATCACTCACAGAGACTGGACCAAATACAACGACCTCAAGAAGGCATCTAGCAAGGGCCGTGATGAAGTCGCCGCTCTTGCCACTTCCAACGAGCTCGCCGAAGCCAAGAAAGGCGCCTACCAGGTTGAGGAGAAGGCCATGGCTGTTGCTGAGAATGCTGCCAAGGAGCTTGCCAGACTGAAGAGCGTTTCTCAATGGAAACTTGAAGCAAGAGATTCTTCCGATGACTTCAACACAAAATACGCACCTGCTGCAGCCGCTTGGGCAAAGCAACAGGTTGCTGATAAGATCTCTGATGCCAAGGAAGCCATTGCTGGAAGTTCTCAAGGTTCTGTTGAATCGGCCACATCGGTCTTGTCTTCTCAGGGTTCCCAGCTGGCGTCCAGCGCCTCTTCCCATGGATCCCAGATGGCATCCAGCGCATCTGAAGCTGTTTTGGGTACCAGCATCGGCTCTGTCGAGAGCGCTGCTTCCAAGTTGTCTGAGAAGGTCGTTGGATCCGAGCAACCTACCATCGAAAGCATCGCTTCTATTGTGTCCGAGAGCGCTAAGAGCGCAGCCACTGTTGCATCCGAGTCTGTCATTGGTACTCAACCCGGAGTCGCAGAACAAGCTGCTACCAAGGTGTCTGAGGCTGTCGTCGGTCGTAACACTCCCGTGCTCGAGAGTATTTCTTCCGCGGCTAGCTCGGCCAGCTCCCGCGTTGCTGACCAGTCTCTCGACCCGGAGATGGCGAAGAGCTTGAGAGCTGCCAAATCTAGTGCTGTGTCTGCTGCTAGCGACGTCTCCTCCAGCGTTGCCTCCGTTGCATCCAGTGTTTCGGCATCATCCATCGTGTCGGCAGGATCTTCCAGCATTGGTTCCGCTGCTCAGCAGGCTTCGTCAAGTGCTTCGTCTGCTGCTTCTCAAATATCCGAGAGTGCATCTGACGCATCTCAGAAGGCATCGAAGAAGGTCTGGGGCGGAGCCATGGCTCAAGCTGTGCCATCCGCACGTTCAATCGTTCTTGACGATGACATTGTTGACGATGAGTACACGTACTCGAGCAAACTTCAGGACATTCTTGGAAAGGCCGGTAACCAAGCCAGCCAGCTTACTCAAGCGGTTCAGGATGCCATGAAACCTGCTCCTACCCAAGGCAGTGTCGAGTCTGTCACATCTCTTGCCAGTGAGCAGTACGAAAAGGCTCTCTCTGCAGCGAGCAGTGTCATCTTCGGTACCGAGCAGGGTGTTGGGGAGTCCTTGTCAAGCGTTGCTAGTGACAGATATGCCTCTGCAGTTTATGCCGCTTCAAGTGCCATCTACGGCGAACCCATCCCCGCAACTAAGTCCATTGCATCTCAAGTTGCTTCGGTCGCAGCTTCCATTACCGCTAGCGCCAGCAGCACTGGTGATTCGCTGCAATCGCAAGCCAACTCTATCTACACCGAGGCACAATCTGCTTACTCCAACTCCATCGCCGATCCTGTGCAGTCTGCTCTTTCTTCCATCTCGGCGATAGCCTCGTCAAGACTTCAGGAGGGTCTTTCTTCGGCAAGCGCTCAGTTCGAGCACGCTAAGAGTGCCATTGGTGCTTCGCCCACCCCTGTTCAGCAGGGTGTCATGGCCGATGCACAGCGCAAGTACTACGAGATGGTAGGTTACGCTTATGATCGTTATTCAGCCTTTGAGTCTGCCGGAAAAGACATGGTTGCCCGTCCTACATCGACATCTGGTTACTCCAACGTACTCGCTGCTGCTCAGAGCCAGTACAGCAGTGCTATCAACGCTGCCTCGAGCAACATGGACGGCATCCTCTCATCTGCTCGTTCCGTTGTCAGTGGCACCACTGTGTCCCCTGCTCAAAGTTTGGTTGACCAGGCTTCGAGCCAGTATGATGCTGCAACCTCTAGCGCTTCCTCTTATCTTGTCATTGCCTCTTCCAAGGCCAGCGAGGCTGTTTACGGCACTCAACCTGCCATGTATGAGAACATTCTCGCATCTGCTCAGAGCCAGTACGATGCAGCTTACAGCGCTGCGAGCTCGAACCTGAACAACATCCTTGAATCGGCAAGCTCTACCGCTGGCCCTGCATTCGACACAGCCTTTGAACAATATGAGTCGGCAGTCTCGGCTGCTGGCGAGCAATATTCAATTGCCAGCGTCAAGGCAAGCGAAGCCATCTACGGAACATCTACTGGTGCTGTCGAATCGGTGGTCAACGCCGCCAGTACAGCCATCTACGGAAGTGAGACCCCTTGGACGGAAGCCGCTGCTTCGCAAGCAAGCGAAAACTGGGATTTGCTGGTTTCCAAGGCTAGTGAACAGGTTTACGGATCTCCTACCCCTTTCTTCTCTCAGGCTGGTGAATACGCTTCTCAGGCTACTGTCGCCGTGGTCGAACAATACGCTGCGGTCTCTGCTCTCTTTGACGAACTTGTCAACGGGCGCGAGCCTGAGTTTACCGAAAGTGTTTGGAACCGTCTCCAGTCTGCCTACTCGACTGGAGCACCGGCTATTGCATCCAGTGCGTCTAGCTATGCCTCGGACGCATATGCCTCTGCCTCCAGCTTCTACGAGAGTGCATTCACCCCACCACCCACTGTCGAGGCTCTCCTCGAGAATGTCAACGAGCAGATTAACTCTGCAGTCGATGCTGTCTCTGCTCAAGTTTACGGTACTACAAAGGGCAATGTTGAGCAGATGACTGAAGCTGTTGGCAGCGCGTACAACGATGCCTCCTCAAGAGCTAGCGAGGCCATTTACGGAACCACGACGGGTTACGCAGAGGCTGCTCAAAGTCAGATCTCAGACGCCGCTTCATCTGCCCAGCAAGCCATCAGTGAGGCACTGTTTGGGACTCCTTCTACTGCCGGAGCAGCCAGCATCTACACATCCATCGCCTCGGTTGCCTCTGAGAACCGTGATGCAGTTGTGTCAAAGGCTGTTGAGCAATACGAGGCTGCCACATCGGCCGCCAGCAGTGCCATCTACGGATCCGAGAAGGGAGCTTTCGAGAGCGCTCAAAGTAGGATCTCAGTCGCTATGGCATCCGCGTCTAGCAGAATGTCAGAGTTTGGCGAGACTGCAAGCAAGGCAACTGACGAATCTGTTTCCAAGGTTGTAGAAGCTGCTCAGGAGGCAGCATCTTCGGCTAGCAGTGTGGCCGAGTCAGTCAGCAGCAGAGTGAGAGATGAGCTTTAGGAGCATATTTATAGAATTCTGATGACGAAGGAGGGGTGAAGGAGAGGATGGGAAAAGAAGATCATGAGTTGTTAACGAAGCGTTTGTCTATTTTGACTAATATAACATGAGTCGCTATTACCGTGTTGTCGCTATTGCCTCCTTGATGTGGATATTTGAAGGATGGACAGCGCTCGGGCGAGGCTTCCCCATGCCCATGCCCCGACCTCGGCAAGACCCCGCAATTGATAGGCGACGATAAGGAAGGAGCTCCACTTTATGGGCATGCCGCATTGGCCGCGATTGCCGTCCATTTAAGCAGGTCGCACCTTCTTAGCAAGAACGTCTCCTCACGATCGATAAGAAGGAGCCGTCTTGAAACTTGATATTGTCACACAATGGCAGGTCGTCGAGTCGTGGCACGTCGTGCTCTACAGAGCCTGTACATCAATCCTGGGGTAAGCCGACCATCATTGGCGACAACAGCAAGACTCGGCCAAGCAGTCAACACATCCAAGTCAGGAGGCAGGAAGTTCCATGTGTCTAGCAGACAACTGAAGCCTGCTACTGCATCCGCCCTCCAATCGACGGCAACAGAATACCCCACCACGCACGAACAGATCCAGCAACCCATCGACACGCAGAACTTCCTCGACAACAAGTTCGTAGCTTCGAAGGCCACGCAACGGATCGATCTCCACGACCCCGCTACCAACAACCTCGTCACCCGCGTCCCTCAGTCCACCGATGAAGAGCTCAAGGCGGCAGTGGCTTCGGCCGAGAAGGCCTTCCCTGCATGGAAGGCTACAAGCTTGCTGGCCAGACAACAGATCATGTTCAAGTTCGTCGCTCTGATCAGAGAGCACTGGGACCGCTTGGCTGCTTCCATCACTCTGGAGCAGGGCAAGACCTTTGCCGATGCCAGAGGTGATGTCCTCCGTGGTCTTCAGGTTGCTGAGACGGCTTGTGGCATCACGACCCAGTTGACCGGTGAGGTGCTCGAAGTCGCCAAGGACATGGAGACAAGATCATACAAGGAGCCTCTCGGTGTCGTTGCCGCCATCTGCCCCTTCAACTTCCCCGCCATGATTCCTCTGTGGGTCATTCCCACCGCCACCATTACTGGCAACACTGTCGTCGTGAAGCCTTCCGAACGCGACCCTGGTGCCATGATGATCCTCTGTGAGCTTGCAGAGAAGGCCGGCTTCCCTCCTGGTGTCATCAACGTTGTCCACGGTGCTGCAAAGACTGTCGACTTCATCATTGATGAGCCTGCCATCAAGGCCATCAGTTTCGTTGGTAGCAACAAGGCTGGCGAATACATCTTCACCCGTGGTTCCGCGAACGGCAAGCGTGTCCAGGCCAACTTGGGTGCAAAGAACCACGCTGCTGTTCTGCCCGACTGCAACAGAAACGCTACCATCAACGCTATCGCAGGTGCTGCTTTCGGCGCCGCTGGTCAGCGATGCATGGCTCTTTCGACTGTTGTCTTTGTTGGCGAGACCAAGAGCTGGGTCGATGACATTGCAGACCGTGCTAAGGCCCTGAACGTCAACGGAGGCTTCGAGAAGGACGCCGAACTCGGTCCCGTCATCAGCCCTCAAGCAAAGGAGAAGATCGAGGGGCTTATTACCAGCGCCGAGAAGGAGGGCGCCACTATCGTTCTGGATGGCCGTGGCTGCAAACCTGCGAATTACCCCAACGGCAACTTCGTCGGACCTACCATTATCACAAACGTCACAAAAGATATGACATGTTACAAGGAAGAAATCTTCGGCCCTGTACTTGTCTGTCTATCCGTCGACACCCTCGAGGAGGCTGTAGATCTGATCAACAGTAACGAATACGGAAATGTGATTACCCTCCTGTCCACACTGATATGAAATACCTATACTAACAAATTTCTCAGGGAGTCGCCATCTTCACAAACTCAGGAGCAACCGCCGCACGCTTCCAACGCGACATCGAAGCCGGTCAAGTCGGCATCAACGTCCCCATCCCCGTCCCACTCCCCATGTTCTCCTTCACCGGAAACAAAAAATCCGTCGCCGGCGGTGGCGCCAGCACTTTCTACGGCAAGCCCGGTCTCGCCTTTTTCACCCAGACAAAGACCGTTACAAGCTTGTGGAGAAGCGAGGATGCTATTGCTACAAAGGCTGAGAGTGTCATGCCTACTATGCGTTAAGAGATGGTGGGGATGGAAGGAAGGTAGGGTTTATGTAGGAGGTATGATTAAAATGATTTAATTCTTTGATAAAACCAAAGGTGTTTACGAGGAGAGAAGGAAGGAACGATTGATGAATCAGTTGATCTTGCCGGTTTCGAGAACCCAATGCTTTCTTCACGTTGATTATCCCCCTCCTGTCTCATCTCAACTAGCCAGTCTTGACTCGTTTGTGCTACATGGTGATCGTATCGTCTCTTCTACTTTGTTCGTCCTTGCACGAAAATGACTATCACTCAAGTGGAAAAGAGCTATTAGACGGAATAGGAAGGGGTAATCGAGCAATTCAGGAGAGAGGAAGGCATGACCGAGCAATTTAGGAAAGAAGAAGGCAAGACCGAGCAGAAAACATGCAGGCACTACCGAGCGAACGGGGTTCAGTAAAAGAAAGGCACGACCGAGCAAAAAGAATGGAAGGCACAAGCGAGCAGAAGAGGCAAGAATGATCAAAGATAATGATCAAAGACAACCCAACCATCCTAATCTGAATCTTGAGCAGATATCACATTGGGCAATGACCACTTGTGTCTATGGAAAGCGATTGTTGAGCAAAAAGTGATTCATTATACCCATCATACAAGGCATGTATACTGATTATGCTTTTGAAACATCTAAACGTTCTCGAAAAGCATCCAGCAAGAAAGAGTTGTGAAGCAAGAAAGTAGCAAAGCAAGAAAGTTAAAAGTGAGAAGCAAAAAAAAAACAGAAAAAGCCGACCCAAGATGCCCCTTGATGCCCAATCCTCCAGGTTCCAGTTTCCAGTATGTGGTGGTAGTTTGTCCGTGTCCCAATTGTAAAGAACGCCCCTTCGTAAAAGTGATGTTTGCCGTGGATGTGATAATCATGTTCCCTCTTGTCATGCAACGAGGGAGGCAGCAGTGGCGGCCTCGCCTCCGTACTCCTTCTGCCATGTCATGATGTGTCTGGTCAAGACGTCCATCATTTCCCTGCTACTGAGCTCTTTGAAGTCTGGAGGCTGTTGAGCTTGTAACTGCGGGTTCAGTGGTGTGCGGTCACCAGCCATATCGACCTGTGCCTTCGCGATGTAGTCCATCATCATACCGGTCCGTTTCTTCATGTCGGTTATGGTCATTTGACTCTTGTTTTCGCGGTTGTCCTTCATCACAATCTCCGACTCTTGAATGGCAGCTTGTCGTGGGTTTTTGGCACGGCCGCCCCATTTTCCGGGTTTTGGTTTGGCGGGAGGAGCGAGGGTCACGGCGGGTATCTCGTTGTTACTGCTAGGACTGTTCTTGGAGTCGGTTGTGCTGTTCGTCGTGGGGTCGTCTCCGCTGCTGCCATTGGGATTTGTGGATGCAGCGTTCGCGTCTGACGTGTTCGCAGGAGCCTTCGCAGCTGAGTATTGGTTACGTCCTAGACGTTTTTGCTTCTTGCCAGTGCCCTTCTTGTGTGAGCTCTCTGGAGCTAGAGGTGTAGCTGAGGCAGGTGGGCTGGGAGGTTGTGATGTGGAAAGAACCGGTGTACCCATTGGCCTTGGTGTGTCGTCAAGAGGATCCGACTCTGCGGGTAAAGTCAGCTCAATCTTCTCCTGTTTGTAAGTCTTGTCTTGACATACCATCTGCTCTCCTCCTTCCAGCTCTTTCACTTCGTCTTCCAGCAGCTTCTTTGCGCTTCTCGTCACGGGTGCGCTCTCGCTCTCGCGCTTCTCTTTGTCTGATCAACTCTGCTGCAGCACTCCGTGCTTTCTTATTCGACTTGGGATGTGTGCCGTCATCGTCTGAGTCTGCGTCCAGCGAGCCTGTGTTCAATGTAGATGGAGGATCAGGCGACTCGGAGCCCGTTCGTTGGCGCTTGATTTCGTGTTTGGAGCTGCAGGCATTTCGTCAGCTGCTTGTTGTTTGTCTTGGGCAACTCGACTCACTCTTCGCTGTCGTCTCGTCCACGCTTTCCTTTGCGCACTGCTGGTGTCGACTCGCCGACATCTTTTGTCTCTTCGATAATTCGACGCAACGTCTCTTCGTCGTCATAAGCCTGGCGGCTATTCATAGTCGACCTCCTCTTGCCCGTTGACGACTCAACGCTGGCTCTGTTTTGGCTTTCTCGTTGCTCTCTTCGTGCCTTTGCAGACTCTGTTTCTTTCGTAAGAGAGGACTTGCGGCTGGTCTTGGGCTCAGGCTTCATAACGGGCAGGTATCGTGAGTAGAGTTGTCTGCGTCGTGGGTCAGTCGAGCTAGGCAGTGGGCGACAAAGAGGCTGAGACTCACCCTTTGGAGTCGGTCAAAACATTGTGCAGCTTCTTGTCGCAGAGCTCGCAAAAGTAGTTGTCGGGACTCTTGCTCTCGTCCATGATGCCTACGCAGCCACCGTGCTGCCAGACATGGCATTTGTCGCACTGAATGAACAGGCCACCAGCATCTTCAGCTTGTGAGGGGTCGGTGATTGTGGGGAAGTCGTCGGTCGATGGCGGGCCTGGGTAGTCTTGAAGACCACAGACACAGCGGGTGACTTCGTCGTCGCCATCTCCTTCAATGGTCTGGCTTTCTTGGTCGACGTCGTCGGCGTGTGTGTGTTGAGCTCTGGTAGCTCGACGAGTCTGACGAGAGTCGTCGGGAGAGTGAAGGGCGCCCGGCTGAGCATCGAGGTTGTCGTCGGAGAGGTTCGTGGGAGAGGGCGACTTCTGGCGGGGTGACAATTTGTTGTGCCATCTCGAGTTGCGATCGGCTGGTGTGCTGGTGGTGCGACCTGACCGCCGCGGGGAGACCATTGTTGTCGCTGGTTGTGAGGGTGAGTGGAAGAAGAGCAGATGAATACAAGGATATCAAGGTGACGGGTAGCTAGAGGAAGGGACGAAGAGTCAACCTGACGATGCCGGGGCAGCGACAAACTCGGTCGGCTTGTGATAGGACGGTCTAGGTCTGTGCTCGTCCTGCAAAGAAAGTGGAGTCGACCTGCCAAAGCTGTCCCATCCTCCCAGACCTTTCCTGTCCTTTTCATCTGCTGTAACGCATAGTGACTCTCCTTTAGCAGGCCTCATGTTTCCAAAATGCGCCCTCAATGCCCAAATCAAACTCGAGACTGAATGAATTTTAGCAGTGCGCCGAACCCGTCTGTCGCGATGACGCGCTTTGACGGGACGAATGCGGGGATACCGTCTTGACCGCCTTGACAATCACCAACCAATCCACTTCTGTACCTGTCTATCACTTGTCATACAGGTATGCTTTCTATGAGTTGATGCTGTAAATCATTTCGCTTTGCATGTCTATCGCTATGGTATTACTTGTAATTACATCCCATCTATCCCAGTAAGTCTCGTCAACATGAATATCCTATCCCAAATTCCCTTTCGTCTCTGATACTCGTGTCCTTCTCTTCCTGTCCTTTGTTCGTTGAATTCGTCTTTGTCTGTCTTCCTTCTCTACTCGAGCACCGGGCTGGCAGGTCTGCTGACTGCCGGTGTTACGGGCTTGCTGGAGCCAGGGGTTCTGCGTCCAAGCGACTTTCTGCGCTCAGGACTGGCAGGTCTGCTCGAGCTGGGCGTCTTTCTTCCAGGAAGCTTGTTCCATGTTTGTGTGGAGAGTCTGCGGATGAATCCAGGTCTCTTCTCAGGTGTTGCGGTACCGCTGTTTGCTGCGCTTGCAACAGCTGAGTCGGGGTGGACGGGCTCAAGAAGCTTGTGTACCTTGGCAGCCATGTCATGCTCCTGGCTGACACCCTTCTGGAGGTTGTTGAAGGTGTTCTGTGCTTCATTGAGAAGCGCAGGGTATCTACCCTTGGTGGCTCTGATAAGAAGCTTCAGCTTGGCCATGTCCTTGACAGCTGCTGGTGAAGGCTTGCTGTTGGGACCGCTGGCATGCTTGCCCAGGTCGCGAATGTCGCCAAGCAAGATGTCTTCAACCTTGTCGTTGATGTTGAGAGCCATCAGCAGAGTGTCGACTTGACGCTTGGTGGACTTGACGAAGTTGGAGAAGCGCAAAGTGTCGTGAATAACCCACTGCATCGCGCTCAACTTGGATGGTCTCTTGACAGATACCTTGTTGGAGCCGACATCGAGAAGGTGAGCATATGACTGCTCGAAGTTCTTCATGCGGGTCAAATCTGCTGCGGGTTGCTCAAGAGCTTGTGCGCCACCACGAGGCAGAGGTCGCAGGCCGGTTGTGTCGAGGTCGCTGTCATTATCATTGGGGTTGCTGAGAGTGTGGATGATGCTGTTCATCAGGCCCTCGAGGTTGACTCTGACTTCGTCGTCATCGAGACGAGGGTCGCGAGGAGTCATGGTCTCTCTGTTCTCCTCTGTCTCGAGGAAGGTGAGTGAAGGCGGTAATGAGAAAATTCCCATCTGCTCGCCCCAAATCAGGAGTCTTGCCTGCTCGATGCCGAGCTGAGCCAGGTAAACCTTCTCATCCTTGAAGTCGTTCAGCGAACTGTGGATGTTGTCGAAAGCCTTGAGGGTGTTGTAGAACAAGCTTGCTAGCACAAGCACGTTCAAGAATTCTGCTTCTTTGTCGAGGCCCATTGTGTGTATGATGATGTCTTGGGTGAAATGGAAAGTAGTATGCGATGGTTGCAAGAGGTTGACTTTACCATCACCTCTCGAGTCTTATCAGAGAATCGACCAGGTTATGACATAGATACTCCCCGCACGTTGAGCAGGAAAATTTCACCATCATCGCAGTTGAATCATATCACACTTACTGCAGAAGGCCAATACTCGGTGGAATTGTGAGTATCGGTCCTAATACACATAACCACCGAATCCTCTTTTTAAACGACCAGACGTCGGTATGCAAGTTGAGATACTGTGACTTACCAGTTCGTTGTATGAATCGTGAAGCTTACCCTAATGTTGAACGCCATTATTCAGACAATTGATATGTTCTTCATGTTGCGTGACTTGAGGATGTGAGAGATGGAAGTCCAAAGTCGCTGAAGCAGTGACGTCGATCGTAACCCAATCTGAAAGTCCATTCCTCGCGCCGGCATGACGCAAACGGTCCCTTTTCTCGGCGCCTCTTCGTTGCATGTGAATTTTGACCGTGATTTTGAGCCTCAAGAGAACGTGTTGGGCTTGTCGAGCACGTTGGGCACTCTCTTGCTCAAACGTGGTGGATGGCGAAACGAGGTTGAGGTTTGAGATTTCTCTCGCCATCAGGGCTGTGGTCGCTGCTGGTCTTGGAGTAAGACATTGTCCGGAAGTCCACTCCAATGGCATGTCTATCATAAATCACCTTATCATACAAGAGATTATGACGGAGCTGCTGTTCCGAGACCTTATATTTTGAATGTAGTTTGTAAAGATACTCCTAGAATAGCTTGTCAGGCAAGAGCGACTGCTGTGTTAGAGGGCAACACTTGATGCGTTGATACAGAACACGAAAGTTGAAATAGGACTTTCTTCACGCTCGATCTGTTCACAAATTAGAAACCTTAGATTTAGTCGAATATTTTGGTCATTCTAAAAGCCTTTGAAAGAGTTAGTTGGCCATCGTCAGAGCGATATAATGTTTCGAAAGCTTGGTCAGGGTCATATACCCAACTTGAACCCTCGAACACAATCTTCGGCCAAACGCTCGCAAGACGATCGACACAGCGTTGCTCACGTCGAGATTGGAAATAAGGTTGAAGTTGAAAATATCTTTCGTAAATTCATAAACTTGCTATGTACACATTACCAACACCTTTTACTTCTTGTAGTACTCATCGTGAGTACCGGCACGAGGGGCGCCGTTGTTTGGCTCGATGCTCGAGTCTGTGCGAACAGGGATCTGTCCATTGGCATACTTCTTGCTCTTGTCAGTGGCAAAGCTGTTGTGTGTGCCATTGAACTGAAGGGTGCTGATGTCGGCGTAGCCCTTGACACCAGTAGCCTTCTCGAGACGGCTGGCCAAGTCCTCGGAAACCATGCGGAAGATGGTAATCTGGCGCTTGATAATCTCCTCCTTGCGGCAGGTGCTCATGTGGCCAGAGACGTTGTTGATGAAACGCTCCTTAGCACCGTCGTCGAAGACCTTCTCCCACAAGACACGGGGAGCGTTGAAGTCCTCAGGACGGATCTCCGACAGGAAGGTGATGGCCTTGCCTGAGAAGTGTCCGTGAGTTCTGTCGAGGTCGAGGGTACGCTCACGGAACTGAGGAGGCGAAATCGAAGAGAGGTAAGCAGGGCGGGATCCCTGGTTGTAGAAAGCCATACCACCATCACCTGGAAAATAGTTAGCATCTTTTTCTTTTCATGACAGCAGGATATTGGACAGCACTAACGGTTGAAATTCGAAAGCCTGTAAGGTGTGCGAGGGGAGTTAACAGGCAACTGCTGGTAGTTGACACCGATACGGTGACGGTGGGTGTCGGGGTATGAGAAAAGACGAGACTGGAGGACAGGGTCGGCCGACGGCTCAATACCGGGAGGATTGTGTGCGGGGTTGAAAGCGATCTGCTCAATCTCGGCGAAGTAGTTCTTGACGTTCTCGTTCAAGAAGAACTCTCCGACCTTGCGGAGGGGGAACTGGCTCTGAGGCCAGACGTGGGTCAAATCGAAGACGTTGATCTTCTGGTTCTCCCAGAGGTCCTCGGCCTCCTTGGGAGTCATGGTCTGGACCTTGACATCCCAACCAGGGAACTCGCCGTTCTCAATGGCGTTGTAGAGATCCTTCTGGTGAGCGTCAGGGGAGTAGTTGTTAGAGTCCTCCTGAGTGATGAAGCCAGTACCCTGCTTCGACTTGAAGTGGATCTGAGCGTAAACCCACTCGCCCTTCTTGTTGACGAGCTTGGTGGTGTGGCCGTAGTAACCGTGCATCTTGCGCCAGTTCTCAGGGATACCACGGTCACCCATGAGAATCATGACCTGGTGGACAGACTCGGGGTTCTGAGACAAGTAGTCCCAGAACATGGTCGAGTCATCGGCGTGGGTCAAGTGGGTGGCGGGATCACGCTTCTGGGTGTGGATGAAGAGAGGGAACTTGGCGGGGTCTCTCAAGAAGAAGACGGGGGTGTTGTTGGCAACGACATCCCAGTTACCTTCGTCGGTACGGAACTTGACCGAGAAACCACGAGGGTCTCTGGCGCAGTCGTGCGAGCCAGACTCACCACCAACGGTAGAGAATCTGACAGTGATGGGGCACTTCTTGCCGGCCTGGAAGATGTCGGCCATGCAGAGGTCGTCGAGAGGGTCGGTGGTCTGGTAGAAACCGTGGGCACCACCACCCTTGGCGTGAACGACACGCTCGGGAATACGCTCGCGGTCGAAGTGGGAGAGGAGGTCTACCAAGTGGAAGTCCTGGAGAAGGAGAGGTCCATTCTCGCCAACACGCTGCACCTCATAGGGGTGAGGCATCGGGACACCATTGGTGGTTGTGTAAAGGGTGTCCTCGCTGGCTGCATTGCGGTCGTCGCTGTAGTCGCGGTAGAGATCACCGTTCTGCTTGCCGTCGGGGGCGTGTGTTGTTGCTGAAGGTGCCATTTTGTGTGATTTGTGTGTGGTAGTGAAGATGGAAAGAAGTAGGCCAAGGTAGGAGTGTCTGTCGATATATGTACCTCATATGATTTGACAATTGCCGCCCTCGATCACTGGAGCTAGCAACCGTCACCTCGAAACTTTGGCTGTTTCCTATGACGTACTCCTCGGTTTGTCCCGCTTACCCCTCCATTGACCAATCACGCTTCTCGCTTTAGACATCATAGATTTAGAGTTCGTCTTTGACATCGACATCCGCCAGATCCAGCGCTGACATAGCGATGCGTGTAACCGATGCGGACCAGATGCCCGGAGAATGCCAGAGCCTCGTCTTCCACGGCGTTCACACCCGTCTGTGAAACACCTCCTTGATGTGTGTTCACACATTTGCAGCAAAGCAGAACACCAGTTCGATGGAGATGCCCGTCGGATGGTGTTTAAAGTCTACGTAGAGCACTCTATGGCAATCTCCCCGGAAACGCTCATTCTTCATGGTCATCGAGTTTTGCTGTAGCAATCTGCACTCTTGCCCGTAGCACTTTCAAGCTCCTCGCCTCCACCCGCTTACATACCTAGATTAGGCGTACCATGGCAAGATCCGTTGTAAACCCGCTGCTGTTCTCTGGTTCTGTGACACCGCTTCCAGCCCCCCTGTTATCACGGCATGTGCCATATCTGCATCCAGGCAAAGATGATCGATTTGTTACAAAGCTGTTCACTGCTCCGTACCCCACGCTTCTCCGTGGCCACGCACACAGGGGAGAAGCTTGAATTGTCTATGACCTAGTCACCCTCGCTTACAGTTACCAGTGTCACTTTTAGCGACACATGTTTCAGTTGCGGCTGGCTTTGCTGACACGTTGAGGCTGCAAGTCTATATCGACGTAGACTATTACATTTGCTTGTGCAGACTGCCTTGCATACTATTCCATAGTAATTGCTGGTCATCAGCCTGCTTATCTAAGGTATTCCTTGTTGAAGGCTCTTCCGATGACCATCCTTCTGATCTCACTCGTTCCAGCTCCGATCTCGTAAAGCTTAGCGTCTCTCATGATCCTGCCTGCGGCAATCTCGCTCATATAACCCATGCCACCCATGCATTGAATAGCGTCCATTCCACACTCAGTTGCTCTCTCGGCAGCATAGAGAATGGCACCTGCGCAATCCTGGGTCTTGATCAAAGCATTGTCCGGGTCATTGTCGATTGCTGCAGCTACCGAGTAGGTGAATGCTGATGATGCCATGTATTTTGTGTACATGTCTGCGAGTTTCCCATGGATGAACTGATTTGTTGCGATGGGTTGGCCGAACTGCTTGCGTTCGTGAGTGTAAGGCAGAGTCACGTCAAGGGCTGCCTTCATGAGTCCAAGTGGACCTGCACTCAAGACCAGTCTTTCAAGGTCAAGGCCCTCCATCAGTACGCGAACTCCTTTGTTGACTTCTCCGAGTATGTTCTCTGTGGGAACAAAGACGTCTTCGAAGACGATCTCTCCCGTGTTAGATCCTCTCATGCCGAGTTTGTCAAGTTTGCGTGCGCATGAGAAGCCCTTGGCTGTGGTGTCTACGATGAAAGCAGTAATGCCCTTGGAGCCGGCATCTGGTGTGGTCTTTGCGTACACAATCATGGTGTCTGCGTCAGGACCCTGTCCAGAAGTTAGGTCTTGCTCAAAGTGCTGCTGAGGCAAACTTACGTTCGTGATCCAGAACTTTGTTCCGTTCAAGACATGACCACCGTCGACTTCCTTGGCCGTCATCTTCATGCTGACTACGTCGCTGCCGGCTGAGACTTCTGACATTGCCAAAGCACCAACTTTCTTGCCTGCAATCAACTCTGGTAGGAACTTTTGCTTTTGGTCCTTGTTTCCATTCAGCATGAGCTGGTTGATACACAGTTGGGAATGCGCGGCATATGAGAGTCCAATGCTGCCTGAAAGTTGTGAGCAACATGGTAGGGCAGGATCTCTAGCAACTTACCTGATGCTCTGGAGAGCTCTTCCATGACTGTGCAATGTGCCTGGTAACCCATAGCAAGACCACCGTAATCTTCGTCGGCTGTGATTCCTAGCAGACTGGGATTTGGATGTCAGCGGACACCACTCCCCAATATTTGATCTTGCGTACCCTGCTTCACCCATCTTCCGCCACATGTCTTTGGGAAACTCATTGTCGTGATCTGTCTTCACAGCAACATCCTCTGGGATTTCGCGAACTGAGACGTGAAATTAGTCGACCCGAGTTTACAACAGAGAGATCCACGTACGAGCAAACTCTCTAGTCCTCTCCCTCAATTCTTCAAGATCTTCCCGAGCAGGCGGAGCGTAACCATTCGGGTGCTTTCTGGCGAGACATGATTGAGTTGTTGATAGTGTTCTGTATTGCGACTGTGAGATCTGCGCAATGCCTCGAAGAAGAGGTCTTGACCGCATAGCTGTAGACATGATGTACCACGATACGTATACTCTGGTGAGCGAGGAGTGAATGGTCGAGTGTTATTGTGGAGGGTCTGGGGTGAAGGCGGGATGGATTCCGCATTTGCACGCCCTTTCACGCCCCACGCCCTTTCGGCAAGGGACCAGTCACATGCGGGGAAGGGACGAGCCGAGAGGGGTACTCGAATACAGACTCGGCCACCTGTGTGGACATGATAATAATCGCCCATCTCCAAAGGTGATGTAACTGTATACACTATGATTACAGCTGTGCCGGCCCGATGGCTGCGCGCCTCAACTCTTCAATCACCTTTGCTTCGAAACAGAACTCTTCAACAGCCACTTCAAACATCTACCTCAAGAACATGTCTCGGAGCCAGGACAGCAGCGACATACACATCTCGCCATCAGGCTGCTCAGATCTCAGTGATACAAACAGCTGTTGACACAAATTCGACAAGCTATGTCGACAACAAGAAGTCAATGCAAGAGCTTCTCGACAAGTTCGCTACTCTACACCGTGACGCTGCAGTAGGAGGATCTGCATCATCACGCGAGAAACATATCGCCAGGGGAAAGATGTTGGTACGAGAGTAAGTCATGCCTCGAAAAACATCAGTTCGTACAGAGAGTTAATTATCACAGTCGCATCACTGCCCTGGTTGACCCTGGTACTTCCTTCCTCGAATTATCTGCTCTGGCTGGCCATGAGGTATATCCTGGAGAAGAAGTTCCAGCTGGAGGTATTGTGACGGGAATTGGCACAGTCGAAGGCACCATGTGCATGATCGTTGCCAATGACAGCACGTAAGTCATCTTTCCAACTCTTAGGGGACATCTGTTAACGATAACAGTGTGAAGGGAGGCACATACTACCCCGTCACAGTCAAGAAGCATCTCAGAGCACAGGAAATCGCTCAACAGAACCGTTTGCCGTGTATTTACCTTGTCGACAGTGGAGGTGCCAATCTTCCTCACCAAGCCGATGTCTTCCCTGACCGCGATCATTTCGGTCGAATCTTCTACAACCAAGCCAACATGTCATCTATGGGCATTCCACAACTTTCCGTCGTCATGGGCCCTTGCACAGCTGGAGGAGCATATGTTCCTTCCATGAGTGATGAGAGCATCATCGTCCAAGAACAGGGCCATATCTTCCTCGCTGGTCCACCTCTAGTCAAGGCTGCCACTGGAGAAGTGGTCAGCGCAGAAGATCTGGGGGGTGGTAGACTTCACAGCGAGACCAGTGGCGTAACAGACTACCTCGCCGTTGACGATGCACATGCCCTCGTGCTAGCCCGTCGTTGTGTCGCCAACCTCAACTATCCTCCTTCAGTACACAAACCGGAGCCTTGGAAAGAACCCCTTTACGACCCTGCCGAGCTGGATGGCATCATGGGCACGAACCTGAAGACACAAGTCGACGTCCACGAAGTCATCGCCCGCATTGTCGACGGCAGCGAATTCGCAGAGTTCAAGCCTCTATACGGCAGCACATTGGTCACAGGCTTTGGTCGCATCCAAGGTCACCAAGTCGGCTTCGTCGCCAACAACGGCATCCTCTTCTCCGAATCATCACTCAAGGGCGCACACTTCGTCCAACTATGCAACAAACGCCGCATCCCCCTCGTCTTCCTCCAAAACATCTCCGGCTTCATGGTCGGCCGCGATGCAGAAAAGGGCGGCATTGCAAAGAATGGCGCTAAGCTCGTGACAGCCGTTGCTTGTGCCGATGTGCCAAAGTTTACTGTCGTCTTTGGTAGCTCAGCAGGAGCAGGCAACTATGGCATGTGGCAAGTACCTCCATCTCCCATACACTCAAACCAACACTAACATCCTCCCAGCGGTCGCGCATACTCCCCACGATTCCTCTGGGCCTGGCCCACAGCCAAAACCAGCGTCATGGGCGCCGAACAACTCTCCTCAGTCATGGAAGCCGTGGGCAAGAAAGTCGACCCCAAACTTCGCGATCGCATCGAACGCGAGAGTGAGTCCACATTCGCAACAGCCAGACTCTGGGACGATGGAATCATTCCTCCGTCGCATACGAGAAGAGTGCTTGCTATGGGATTGCAGGCTGCTATGTCCGGTAGCACCGAGGACAAGAAGACGGAATGGGGTGTGTTTAGGATGTAGTTTAGTCGCTATATTCTAATGAATCACTCTTCTGATCATGCTGGCTTGGTAAATTGTACCAGAACTCAGCTCTCAGCTGGGCGAGACATCTCATGAAACAGCTGTCAAAAGGCACAATATTTTTGGGAGCCATGTAGTTGTCCAAAGAGATCAAGAAGAAGAGCTGCTCTCAATGGACAAATACCCAATCATCAAAAGTATCCTGCCTTTTTACAGCGAGGTTAGAAGGCTTACAGGGGAGCTGGAGTTCGGGGACCGGGTCAATCCGTCCACATCATGTGAATGTCTCCCATCATATATCACTCGCAAGATGATCGTTCACATGCGTCTTCTCAAGTAACAAGCGATCATGAAATGATGGAGGGAAAGCACAATCACTTATTTCAATTTGTTCAAGGGGCAGAAGTAATTTCAATTTGATAGAGAAGTATCGATCGGCCCTCACTGCTCCTTTTGTTTACCTGCGCTCTTTCCTTGTCGACGGTGAAGAAGTGACAGAACCAGCAGTCACTCGTCGTCTCGACGCCCCGTTCTTGAATTACGTCAATAGTGTAACGTGAAGATGTTTGGAGCGAGAGCATCTATCCCTCGAGCTCCTTCTCCATGTCCTCCTTCATCTTCTGAACAGCAGCAGCCTGGCTCTCGAGAACTTCGAGCTTCTGCTCGAGCTCATAGTTGCGAGCGACCACTTCATCGAAGCGCTCCTCCTGGGGGTTGATGATACCCATAGCCTTGCTGGCGAAGGCGTTGGCGTGGTACTCAAAGGTAGCGGTGGCCTTGTCAAGGGCCTTCTTCTGCTCGTAGACACTGATGTTCACCTTGTCAGCAAGTTTTCTGAGATGGTGAAGAGAATAGGTCAGGTTAGAAAAGAAGATACAAACCTCTCGAACATTCCAATGTCCTCCTTGACGCCCTTCAACTCCTCCATCTGCACATCCTTCTCCTTGACCAATTCCTCACGGTCAATCTCGACTTTCTCGGCAACTTCAACAGCCAGCTCGAGCAGCTTGAGGGCGAATTCAGAGTCGCTGACGAGAAGACGCTTGGCAATATCGAATCTGGACAGGTTGGCCTCTGAGCGGATGGCGAAATTGGCCCAGTAGTCCTGACGAGAGCGGGCCTGGGTGGCAATGACATTTGCCTGGGCGATCAGGGGAGCGAGAGTGGTGTTAGTGGTAGACACGGGGTTGGAGCTGGAGTTGGAGCTGGGGTTGACCATCTTTGCGGTTTATGGTCAGGTCGTTGTTGACGTGGAAGAGAGTTGTTTGTGATGAGAAGATCTTTGTTCGTGGTTGAAGAGACGGTGTTGAAGAGACGGTGTTGAAGAGACGGTGTTGAAGAGACGGTGTTGGTGGAGAGGTCGGGTTGGGCGAGTGAAGAGATAGTGTGTGTCGAGGAGTCGAGGAGTCGAGGGATCGGGTTAGGGCGAATGACGAGATAGCGTGTGTCGAGGGGTCGGGTCAGGGCGAGTGAAGAGATAGCATGTGTCGAGGAGTCGAGGAGTCGAGGGGTCGAGGGGTCGGGTTAGGGCGAATGACGAGGTAGTATGTGTCGAGGAGTCGAGGAGTCGAGGGGTCGAGGGATCGGGTCAGGGCGATTGACGAGATAGTGTGTGTCGAGGGGTCGGGTCAGGGCGAGTGAAGAGATAGTGTGTGTCGAGGAGTCGAGGGGTCGAGTGCGCGGTGTTTGTTGTGAACGACGATGATGTCGTCGGGTCGAGAAGCGGTTTTTGAGAAAGCACGAGAGATTTGACATCGCACTGAAGATGATTCGCGGATCAATTGCATCCTGTGTCTATGCAATATCTTTCTCTCTTGCCTTCCTCCGCAGAATTCGATGTATGCCTTCTTGCCTCACCATCCACTGCCGTGTATTCACATGATGATTGACATACCATTCTCACGAAACATCTTCCATGTAGACGATACTAACAGATTGAAGATCTGTCTGGACCTTCTAGTACAGCTTCACGTCTGAACGGCCGGTAAGAGGACATAGACAACAGTCTGGAGCGCATGGAGGTCAGTGACATGAGCTTCATTCGTGATGTCTGAAGGAGATGCATAGGGTGTCGATAATTAATGTTATTACACACAGGGAGTCAGGAGATAGAAGAAACTAGAGCTCATCGTGAGTGGCCGACTCTTCCACAGGCTTCAGGTTGTGAGCATTCATCAACTGCTCGTACTGCTCATCGGTGAGCTCTTCCATCTGAACATCGACCTTCTCCTTAGCCTTCTCGGTCTTCTTAGCCTTCTCAGCAACGGGTGGAGTTGGCTTTGCGGCCGCCTCGACTATGACGCTCTCGGACAGCTTCTCTTTCTTGCCCTCGCCCATGCGAATGGAGTTAACCCAAGTGTCAATGGCGTTGTGACTGACATCAGAGACACCAGCGTAACGCTTGACCCAGGCCTTCTTTCCGTTGATGGCGACAATCTCAAGAGTATCGTCGGCCAGGCTCAGTGCCGAGCGCAGGTCGGATGACGCAGACGCGGGCACATTGTAGAAGGGGAACAGCTTGCCTCCACGCTTGGTGTGCTTGTGGTGATATTCAGACAGAGCATCGACAGCCTTGGCGACGGGCGAGTCTGTGGTCTGAACAAAGGCAGACGGAGCAAGGAGCAGGATGCAAATACCAGACTTCGAGGTCAAGCAGCTTTGCTGGAGAGACTCGGGGGTATCGAGAGTAGTGATCTGAGGAGTAACATCGGGGACCTTGATAGGCTTCTGAGCATCATCAGTGTTGACTCGAGGGTTCGGACTCTCGGTAGGGTTGCTGTTCTCCTCAAGTGTCTCGGCAGTCTGGGAGGCCTTGACACTAGCAGATTCGTCGGAACGATGAGAAGATGATGCCTTGGAGAACTGAGACGAAGCCTTGGAAGACTGCTTGGAGTCCTTCGATGAAGCCTTGGGCTTTGACTTGGACTTGGACGAAGGAGCAGGGTCAGGGTTGGGCTTAGCAACCTGAGACAAGAACGAGGTAATGGAATCCTTGGTCATCTCGCCTGAGTAGGGGATGGGGTCCTTGGTGCCGCCAGGAAGCAGAACAAGAGCGGGGTAAGAGCTAACGCCGAAGAGAGAGACTGCGTTGACCTCCTTGCTTCTGATTTGAGCAACTGAGATGGAACCCAAGAAGTCAATGGCCACAGCCTTGAGAAGTGCACTGGTGACACCCTTCTCGCTGAACAGGATGGCCTTGGCCGAAGAGTTGTTCTCGGTCAGCCAGTCATCCAAGTCCTTGTCTGTCACTCTCTTGACATGACTAGGAATCTTCTCCTTGACGGATTCAACGATGGCCTTTGCGGTTCTCGCACCCTGGTAGTCCTCGACCGAAGGTCTTCCAGCCTTCTTTCCGGGACGGACGATCTTCAAGGTGGGGAAGCCCTTGACGTCCATGCTGCCGCAGAAAGCCTTGTTCTCTTCTTCGTCGCAGTTGACGGCAGCGACTTTGGCAAGACCATCGAGAGATTTGGCGGCTTTCTCGTAGGCAGGCTTCAGACTCTGACAGTGACCGCACCATGGAGCGTAGAATCTAGATGAAATGAGATTGAGTGGTGAGAGTACAAGATAAACAACTTACTCGACAATCTATATTTCCATCAGTATGACGGTCAATATGTTAGTGAACGACGACTTACCGAAGTGTGGTTCGAGTTAGCAATCAAAGAACGATAGCTTCTAGCATCGAGGTTGAGCACGCCCGAGTTCTTGGTATAGAGGCCGGCAGCTTGCGACGAGGGCAGCAGTAGCAGACCAGCCGCGGCGACAGTCAATGACTGAAGATTCACCATGATGGCAACGGTGTTTAGGTGCTAGATGGAGTCTCAAGTCTGATGAGAAGATTGTCTCTGAAGTAGACAACTTGTCCTTTGGTAAATGAGGCAGGCATCAAGGTGACATGTGGCTCGAGCACCCCCGAAACCGAGGCTTCCCCGCGCCATGTCATGATCCATCACCCTGTCCCAAATCTTGGTACCTGATCATTCCACCTTCCTTGCCTTATCGCATACACGACCAAAATGGCCGCCTCCCTCCCAGCAAAGTTGAAGATCAAGGATATCACGCCCTTCGCGGTGCGTGCGGCTCAGTTGGAGAAGCACAAGCCCATCGTGTCATACTGGTGCAACTACTACATCATCGACCAGATCCTCTCAAAGGGCTTACACTCTGCCGACGATGAGTGCATGCAGTATACGACAACGCTCATGGACAAGCTGGAGCAGACCAAGACAGAGCAAGCGGGTAACGACGCCATCGTCGACGACATTGCGGCAAAGGCATACATCGAGCAGTTCGCACTTGACACGTTCCAACGCGGCGACGATGCCATCCACACCAACAAGGCCTCGCGCCAGACCATCGATACCTTCCAGGCCGCCGTCACTTTCTTCGATCTCCTGAACATGTCCATCTGGGCTCCCATCGACCCTGACATCACGGCAAAGTCAAAGTATGCAAAGTTCCACGCCGTACGCATCGCCAAAGCCATCAAGGCCAGTGAGGACCCCAACGACTCCAATCCTGTCGACGAGGAGCCTCCAGTAGCTTCCGCACAAGACTCGTACCAACCTCCCACCGTTGAGAGCGCCCCCGAGAGCCAATACCCTTCACGTCCTGCCTCGGTCACTCAGCCCGACCCCACCACTTCTCTACCCACTCAAGACCAGGTCTCGCCCATCGAATCTGCCACAAACCCTCGCCAGAACTCGGTCGGTGGCGGTTACTTTCCGTCCGCGCCTACCTTCCCCGAGGATTTTACTGCATCGAACGCCCCCTCAGCCAACCCAGCCACTCCCTTCATACCTTCGGCTCCATCTCAATCACTGGACGCCCCAGTATCGCCCTCGCAATACTACTCACAACCCACACAACCACCTGCTTCGATACCCATACATACTCCTGTAGCCATGCCGCCACCACCACCAGCTGCTCCTGTGCCACTTCCACCTGTACAAGCTGTGGCTCCTGGCACTTATCGAACAGACGATGATTCCATCACCTTGGCTCAGAAGCATGCGAAATGGGCCATGTCGGCTCTGAACTTCGAGGATGTTGATACTGCGGTCAAGGAGCTCAGGCTGGCACTTCAGACTCTGGGCGCAAGCTAGAGTCCAGTGCGTCCATGCACGTTAGTTCATCGCACATGATGTTTTTATTGTACAGATACCCATTTCCTTACGCTCATCATACCCCTGTCACAATCTTGGATTTAGTCCCATGCCTTGTGCAGCTGTTTGCTCTTGGCGATATGCGAGGTTCCGCGAGCTGTTCGTCTTGTGTAACATCACCACATTTTATCACAATTTTCCAACAACATTGATTATGATTTCTATCTGGATCAATAATTTTTGCCAAGTGCTGACGAAAGCATGAGCACAGTTTTTATTAGAGCGACACTAGTGTAAAGATGTGAATTATGTGTTTGTGACTGACTGTTTCAAAGGTGTGTTGTGCCATCCGAATTGACCGATTGAGACTCTTTGCAGATGTGTCGTTTGTGATGAGATGGCAGTCGCTGCCCACTTGACCTGACCCGATCCCACCTTCCGTGTTTTGATTCAATGCAGCCCATATCGTTCACGAGCCGCTCCATCCTTTGTATTGATCTTGCCATCCAACCTCCAAACACGTCAACCTAGCTGCAAGCTATCACATCCTCACACCGATTATCGAAGACATGCCGCCTCGCGTCTGCTTCGCCCCTGACGACCACCCCGATGGCTCGCATAACCATTTCCAGGATAATCCATTCGGACATGAGAACATCTGGATAGGCTATTGCGACGAACCGACACAGGCCTTTTGCGGATTCATCAGCCTGCAAGCGCTGGTCGAAAAGGCACAACACAACTTTGCCCACGGCTACAAAGACAGATTCCCTTTCTACCTGATCAGCTTTGGTGGTCGTTATGGCCATGCCGTATCATCAGACGAAGAACTGAGATATAATGCTCAATGCTCTGCTTGCACAACAAAGAAGCAATGTGACCACTCTCTGGTGCAGTACCTGCCTGTCGAGGTGTGGGACTACGCTCGTGGTAGACCTACAAAAATCTTTGTAAGTGAAGCACCAACTCCTCGAGCGGGAGCCGTGTAAAGCTGACCGCTCTGAAAGTTGTGTACCCTGATGATCACTATCAAGAATAAGCCAATGCTTGCCCTGTTGAAGCACCGAGGGCAAGGGAGTTTTGGCTTCCAGTACACAGATGGTTCCATTTCCAAGTCGATGAACGTCAACTTTGTCGCGTGAGCAACACCCATCGCTCTCTAGGGCCAGACTGACATACTTAGCGTCGACAATGAAACACACGATGCCATTGGAACCGACGACTTCGGAGACAAGACCAAGGTCTGCTTTCCTTCCCTCGAATTAGATCATACACAAACGATCAACAGCTGACATAATTTATCTGAAGACCGATGCCAACGCGATCGACCATCGCACCTTGCCTCAAAAGATAACATCCGACTACTTCACAAAATCTCGAGAGCGTGGCATTGTCATCGACCTGACCTCCGACGACGAAGAAGATGAGCTTCCACTCAAGAAAGAAGAGAGATTTGACTCCCCACCAGAACTCACGGTCGAACCTATGGAGAATCGAATCAACTCCGAAGATGCAGATAGTTACATGCCGACAGCTATCATGAAGGAATTCGGCAGGATGATGGCCAACATGGCCCGCGATTTCGGCATCGATGCCCTGAGCCAACCTGAGGCGAGAAGACTCAGGTCACGCATGGGTGAAGCGGCCAAACTCGGCAACAAGGAAATGCTCTATCATTACTTTGGGTTGCTTAGCGCTGCTGTGTTTGACTATGCGTAGATGGATGGGAACATTGCAACAGCGCAACATGCTGTAATGCTAGAACACCGAGTATATACAATATGTACTCTAAACAACGCCACGATGCTTTCTTCATCGTGACATACTATCCTATACCATAAGCTACTATGGTGGTGTGTCAGAGAAACCTGTTTCGAGCAGACTCGAACTCAACCCGGACGCCGATTCTGGAACACCAGCTCTTGCGCAGCTCAAACCTATGCCGGGATCGTAAGATTACCAAGAGATGAGCCATAGCCATCAGTATCGTAATGAACAATGACATAGTAATAAGGGTTACCTATTATCGGTTTCCTGATACTCCTAACATTACTCACCGTCAGTCATGGCACGATTCTTACGATTCGAAATCACAATATTCCACTTACTTAATAACAGCTCCGGTAGCCCAATCCGGACAGTTTTCCAGCACAACGCGCACGATTGCATTGCAAGCCCCGTTACCAAGTCGCTGGAAGCAATCACAAGAAGGAAATCTGACCTGATTAGCAGAAATCATTTCCCAAGAAATGGTAGGTGTTGATAGTGGCTGGCAGGGTAGTAGTAGTGGTAGTAGAAACACGGGAGGAATTTCAAAGTCGTTGAAAGTAGCCAGATGGGTTGATGGCTTGGAAAATGACTTTTGATTGCTGTTTTGGTTGGAGGGATATGGTTGCTTCTTTATTATGCTGATTATTTGCAGTGTCTGTTGGAAACTTACATGTTGGCTCTGGGATATAGATAGTAAGTTCTGACTTGCCAGTATCGGGTGTTAGATAATGTCTTAAACGGACAAAGACATTGCAACGATTTGCGCCAGCACAGAGAGATGTCTTGGTAGTGTTTGAAACAGGACTGAGACTTTACATTTATTCATCTTACTATCCCAGACGACGTTGCTCGAGGGTCTATCAAGGTAGGTGGCTGTACGATTTTAAGACCATTGACCATAGGAGTCAGACTGGTTTATGATAGAGAGGGCCTGGACATTGCATAGAAGACGGGCGTAAGCAAGCTGTCTCTGCAAGAGTTTATTCAACTTGTATGACAGGGGAATAGTATTTCTCTGATTTCATCAATTCCTAACACTCTGCGTCCACCAACTCGTCCTCGGCTTCGATATCGCGGCCTCGGCAGCCTTACTCTTCGTCCTAGACGCCGACCCAGGATCGAAAAATCTCTTGCCATCACCCTTCTGCGTTGTCGAAAAGCCCATCCTCTCCCTCGTCGGTAAAGCAGTCGTATACATGACTCCCTCTGCCCTGTCCACCTTATCTACCTGGCTTGCAGAAGCCACAACCTTTTCCGCCCCGGGTAGACTTATCCTTCCTACCCTCAGAGTGTCCCTGATATCTTCGAACAATAGACTCATGGCGCAGATATAAGTTAAACCTTGGCGTTCGGCAAGGACGTGACCGGCAACTTGTCCGGTTGTGTTGGAGACTATCCAAGCACCTGAGTCTCCTCCGACGCCGAAGTCACCCACGACAGTCCAAGAGAGGGAGAAATTTTTACGCCCTTTAATTTTCACAAAAGACATGGCTGCACTGATCGTACCACAGGCGAGACCGGATGTGCGGCCCAGACAGTGGACTGCAAGGTTTGCGAGTTGGGAAGAGGGAATGATGGAAGTAGGGTACCAGTCTTCTTCTGCAGCGTAAAGATTGTTGCGTCTGCAGATTGGCAATTTGAGATCTGGTTTGAAAGATACCGGAGACTTGCAGTGGCGTCGTCCGCCCTGGATGAGATTGTAGGGTTGAAGGCGGGGAGGTTCGAGTTCAAGGAGTGCCCAGTCGATTTCGAAGCGTCGGCCATCTTGGTTCCAGCGGCGGAGGCCGGAGGATGCGTAGACTTTGCCTAATTTGTAAGAGGCGAGGTGGTCTTCATCTAGTTCTTCTGTGGTTGCGTCGTCGGCGTGGAGGTCTTCGGCTACGGCATCTCCAAAGGCTGGCTGAGTCACCTGTATCGTGGTGAATGAGGACACAGTAACACCCGGTCTGTCTCCAGCACCTTCGTCTTCGGAGACGTCGCTTTCAAAGTCGGAGGATATATACCCGTCGTCGTCTGAATCTGCGCCAGAGACCGATGAGAGATCACTCATGTATCCATGATCATGGTTTGATCCGGTCGCCAAACGTGGCAAGGTCTGTCCTGAAGCTCTTGCACTTGATCGAGTGGCACCTTGATCGGCCTGTTCATCGATATCAGAGTCTGACTCCGAGTCGGTAGACTCTTCTTCGTCGGTCGGAGGTTCGAGCATATGGTGTACACTCATACCATACTCTTTGTCATCCACTTTGACTATACCACCGAAGGAGACTGGTTCAAGGTGGCCATGATCTGGCAGGTAGGCTCCAATCGATGCACCGCAAAGAGGACGCTCTTGCCAGAATGGGTTCATTGGTCGGGTTATGTTACTACATACAACTCGTCAGCCTCAAGCATGGCATGACTGAGATTCTTGAGCTTCATTGTGTGAATGAAATAACAGTATTGGGTATCAAAAAGAAATGGTATGGGTATCGAGCATGGAAACAAAAAGCGCCTGTGAAAAAAAAAGAGACAAGGAGAATCATGATGTGTACCTTTCGCTTCCGTCACCTCTTGCGAGACTTCGCTTGGCTGTATCACCCTTGCCGCAGGTCCTTGATTTGGCTCTTGAGAGCGACACACAGCCTTGACGGACTTTGAGGTCGAACATTGTGCGATCGTAATGGAACTTGCGTTTGAGTGCTGCTTTGACTCTTGCCGTATTGGTGCAAGTCACGATGATGGTTGGCTTTGCAGAAAAGGCATCGTGGCCAACGCTGACGAGATCGATGCTTGAGGATTCAGGGGAACCTTTCAATGCTCGTTCGATGATGCATGAAAGGCGAAGACCAATGTCTGAATGCCACTCTTCCACAATGGATTGCGGAAGTGAGACGGGGAAGAAGCGACATCTGCTTGTTGGAGCAACCGGTCGTTGATCAGTTTGATGTTGCGGAGGCTGACCCCCTTCCTGAACCTTGCGACACGCTTCGGCCTTTCTCTCGCGCCATCGTGATTGGATAAGCACGACTTTACGACGGTAGTCACGGAACGAGAAAGGGAATGGATCGGCTGCCGGCATTGTTTGAGTACCGGGAATAGCAGAAGAACGATCTGATTGTGGTATAGGAGTCGAACTTTGAGTTGTGGGTTGAGAAATATGCCTGACCGACTCCGCGCTTGTCGAATTGGATCTAATCGACTTTGCACTGAGCATCGAGAGGATCGGCGAGCGAGGTCCAACAGAACTTGAGATGGCGGACGGGTAGGATGCCACCGAGGCTTTCTCGGCAGCTTTGAGATCGAGGGACTCGGCAAGAGCGTGACGTGTAGGCGAAGCATTACGACGCTTCTTCTTCGTCGCTTGGAAGCCATCTGAGCTGCTTTGTGGCTGCAAGAATCCGGCAGGAATCTGAGTAACCTCGAGAGGTTCTGTTTCGTCTAGCAAGCAGCAGCGCTGGAGCTTGACTAGGATGCTGTCATACACGGCTTCGATACCGATACTTCCAACGTCATCATTATCGGCCCATCGCAAACAAGTCTGCACTGCGCGCATATAGAGAGACCCGCATTTGCTTGCGAGCTTTGGTATGTATAGCTTCTCCAGTCTGAGTTTGAAATCCTTGAGTGTGTACTTCTCCTTGAAGTAGTCATTGATAGGGTTCCAAAGACCGATCTCCAATAGAACAAGACCTATTTGATAGAGATCATATCTAATAGCCGTGACATCATCAATCTCGCCTCCGGTGTCTTCTGGGTGCTTTGTGATGTTGGATCTTGGTGAGGAGTCTCCGTATTCAATCCTGTTCCTGGAGAACATGTCGAATGCTGAGATCACAGGTCGATGCAATTCGCTTTGTCGAGGTTGCGATGATTGGCCTTGCTGGAGGAACACAATGCTCTCGCTGTGAATATTGCCGTGGACATAATTCTCGGCGTGCAGGTCTCTTAGTTTCTCAACAAGACGTAATGCTATTCGGAATCTGTCTTCCAAGAATGGTGTAGCATTCGACATGTCGACTGGTCTTGTGGCCTGTGTCGCAGACAAGATGAGATTCATCAGTGTGACTGGGCGGATATCCTCGGACTGGAGTGGCTGAACAGTGCGATAATCGTAGACCAGTCCTATGCGAGGTTGCTGTGGATCTTCCACGTAACCGAGTAGCCTCAGATTCCCTCTGTTGGATAACATGTTCAGAGAGGAAGCCAGCTTCTCTACTCGTGTAAGCGGTGGAGATACGCCTGTGTCACGGTACAGCGGATCGTAATTCTCAAACTCAACCATGACCCACACGTATTCATCCGTGATGTCTCTGAAAACGTTGCGAACACTTTCAGGTGCCAGAGACTTGCTCAGTCTACCCATCATCCTAGCAGTCGAAGGAATGCCGAGATATTCGTAAGGGGGAGGCCCTTCCACGGGCAGCATCAAGGCCTGTGGGTTGATACTTGCTGGGAGTCCAGCATAGGGAGATAGGGTCGGTCGGGTAAATTGCGTATTAACTAAGGTCTTCTCCGACGAGGCGAAACTCGCTGCGTCGAAGGGGATCTTAGGCATGTGAAGACCATGCTTAGCGATGTCGTGAGGGTGATCACTCAAGTTCGGATATGTGCCTCTGGCGATGGCTCTGCGAGAGGCTGAAAGGTCATAAAGGATGTCGACAGAGGAGGTCAAGTCGCGTAGTAGGTCTTGATAGCGATCTTGGTTGAAGACGACCTTGTCAGATCCAGAATTACATGATGAAAGTCTGTCGGCCTGTTCAAGGATTTCCTTAATGTTGCCTAGGACGTTTGTTACATTCTCGGTGAAACCAGCTCGTTCGATAGACTCGTCGATGCTGTCATTCGTTTCCTCTGCCCATTCCAGACCCCAAGTTACTAGGCGATCAGTCTGCGCATGGAGCTTGCGATGAAGCCTGGCAGAAGCGGGGCTCGGCTCCTGCTTATCTACATTGATGGCAGCCTTTCTTTTGGTGTCGTTGTAAAGGAGCGTGAGATTGTGATTATATCCTAAGGTCGCCATTGCGCTCGGTGGTTGTTATTAATATTATGGCGCAAAAATCATATCGAGGAATCCATGTAGAGATTGACGGACGACTTTTGCATCTATCAAGAGTCGCATGTGGAAGGCAGCCATATGAAAAGAGAGGAGGAAATGGCGACCGAAAGCTGCTGCCTACTGTGGCATTGTGAACGGTGAGAAAGCCTGCCCGCGTGGCGGCGTGGCTTCCCAAAAGCCAAGCAAGTCGCAAGCAGTCGCAACTGCCTCGGCTTGATCATCATCCGTCTGGGAAACATCCAACGCAGCCTTCACATTCATCTTTATTGCAGCATTCGCCGGACATGCCACATTTCCCTTCCGCTGGCCAAGCAAACGATGCGCAAGAAAGCGAAGTAGCGCACACTTTACGCATCCGTGTCAAGACTCGAAGGCGCAGATATCTGGAACAGAATGGCGACTACTTTGATTCGCCCAGCCTCGAGCTTGCAGGTGCTGACGCGTGGTGTGTATACGACTGATTTCCCTGATACCAACCAGTCCAACAGATCCTCTATTATACGATCGCATGATAAGGCGCTTCCAAAGCGCGGCCGAACGAGAAGCCGATGGACGCGAGAAGGGATATTCGGGCATGTTGGAAGCTGATCTCATGCGCTCCGAGGCCAAGATCGAAGCGTTAAACCATCCAGACCCCAACAGTCCCCTGATATATCGACGAGATGCATCAGGCGCCATCACGGCTGTGGAACAAGATGAGGAAGATAGACCAAAGACAAAAGAGGAAGGGCTGTCAAAGTGGCGCGAATACGTCGAGATGCGCTTCCTTCGTGGCGAAGACCAAGACTTCGACTACAAGGTTGTCGACGAAGACGAACGCTATGACGACTTGGACTGGGACAGAAGAGAAAGAGAAGAGAACTACTTCGAGCAAGAAGAAGCCGAGTTTGTAGGCGAAGGCGAGAAGAAAGGGGAGACGGGAGTTCAAGACTACTAGAGTCGTGGCTTGCTACGCGCATATATCTCATTGTGATAAGTTCTATTGACGGTATGATTTGGATGATTGTTATTTGGTATATGGTACAGCGTGTGGAGGTGGTTTTAGGGGAGCAGCGGACGGAGGAGGCACGTCTAGGCTCTGCTCTTGGTGTTGAGGATAAGGGCAACGATCAAGCTATGAAGTGGGTCAGTGTCTGTTCACGAAAAGAGAAGAGGCGTGTTGTAAAATACCCGTAAAGACCCAAGACTTCGCCGAAAATGAGGATCAGGACCATGCCAACAAAGATTCGTGATTGCTGCATGTACGATCTCACACCCATGTCACCAACGATGCCAATGGCGTACCCGGCAGCAAGACCTGTCAGGCCGACCGAGAGACCACATGCAAGGTGCATGAAGCCTGTGAACAAGCTGTAGTGGGTGCCGGGAGGAGGACGCATGTCACCAGCAATCAAGACGGCGACGACCAGGGCGTAGACTGCGATAATACCGGACATGACGACAGGGATAAGCGACTTCATGATCAGGTCGGATCTGAAGGTACCGACACCAGCGATACCGATACCAGACTTTGCTGTGCCGAATGCAGCTCCAACGCCTGAGATAGAGGGTCAGTACATCAGACAGAGATGAGGGATCTAGGGTGCATCGTACAGCCGAAAATCATCTGTTGAGCAAGGCGACACGTTAGTTGGATGTTCGTGAGATGTTGACGAGAAGTTATATGCTTACAGCAAAGGCAATACCAGCCTGGATCTTTGTCAGCTAACATGTCTGTTCGAGGCAATGGGATTCACATACCATGCCAAAGAATGGCGCAAAGGCAGGGGCGAGCTCGCGTTGAGCGTCCGACGACATGGCGAATGAGTTGTGAAAGGTCGCTTCTGGTGGAGGGGGCACGGAGAACGTGGACAAGGAGCAGTTGGGTACGGTATGGCGGACGGCGCGTGGTGTGTCGTCTCGAGAGCGATTGTCGACTGGAACTGGCTTGCTTGCGGCAGCAACGTCGGTCCGCAATGATGATGCTCCGAGTCGTACCTGCCTCATGAAACGCTGCACGTGACTAACATCTTCCTTCCCAAACAATGCCCACCTTGTTTCGGTGTTTATGACGGGAATGTGGAAGGAGCGGACTACTAGCACATGTGCTAGCTCTACAAACGGTGTGTCTGACTGCTTGATTGCAGGGAAGCATATTGACTCAGGATAACATTAGTGAGAGCAGACATGTTCCTGCAAGTGTGAGAGAAGACGCTCGGACCACTCCAGCGGCGCTGTCTCTCTTGTAACACAGAGCAAGTTGGCAGTGGCATATACAAGCGTCCGCCATCGCAGTAGATCTTCCTTCCACCAACTTACAGTCTGTCTAGTGCGAGCATCCAGACAACTGCCACCCTCATTGTTCCCATTGCGCAATCGCCCAGCCCTCTTGTCCATCGATAAGCCATCGTCTTTTGGGCCATCCTCAGCCGGCACACGTGGACAAGGACTTAAAGTTGAGCAGAGGGTCGAGTACGTGGGCCGCCTTGTTTCAAGACCAACTGGCACCACACACTCCATCGTCACTCGCCTGTGCAACCGGCAGCCCTCTGCTCCCCCTCGGATGTATTAGATGCTAAGCCGTGCCGCTCACAATGGCCCAATATTCGCAACAGCAGGGCCGATCCTCGTCGCAGCAGCGCGAGGCCGCCTATAACAACATCTTTGGCCCGCCAGGTGCCGCCCAGCAAGGCCAGGGTCGCTCGCAGACCATGCTGTCCCAGCCCATGAGACCGCCTGCCGAACGCGCCGCCACCATGTCGTCGCAGATGTCGGATTACATGCAACGAGCACCGCCCATGCGAGCATACCCTCCTCCGCAAAACGCTCCTCGCCCGACTCCTCCCCATCATCAGCAGTCTTACAATGCCCCTCCTACCCAGAACGGCGACTACCACCATCCGCAACACCCTCAGCAACACCAGCAGCCACCGCAACAACAGTACTCTTCCTCTCCGTCACCACACCGCCAGCCCCAGCCGCAGTACCTCCCACAACCTCTTCGTCCAGATCGCCGTCCATACGCAGCTCCCCAACGTCTCGATCCGCGTGGTCCGCCGCCCTCGCAGCCTTATGCTCGCACTTACACTGGCGGGCCTGCCATGGCGCCATCTCCAGGCCCTGCTCTCAATTCCGACAACTACCGCTCTCAATCCATGGCCGCAACCTCTCGCCCTAACTTCCCTGCTCAGCATAGTCAGAGCAGCTACAACATAGCTCCTGCACACGCCTTCCGTCAGCAGCCATACATGAGTAATCATCTGGCAAGAACAACCGCACAAGGCAGGGTTGTGCCCGATCGTCCCACTGACGAACGTACCATGTCTATGTCTTCGTACTCACGCGACCAAGATCACAGTCAGATTATGAGTGGTCGTGTCATACCTCAGCGAAAACGTGGCGACTCGGAAGTGCAGCAGGATCCATTCATCGCGGCTAAGAGTAGAACTCCTAGTCAGGGCAGCATCCAGTCGCGCTCCATGTCTATGGCTTCCACCGTAATGGCCCCTTCAGAATACACAGACACCACTGTAGGCGCAGCTCAGTCTCCGCGACCATCCATCACCGCTTCCTCCACTAGGTCTAACAGCCAGATTCAAGGAAACAACGGGCAGATGATAGCTCAGAGACGCCCTTCCCTCGTCTACGGTGCTCTTCTTTCCAAAGTCGCCGCCGCCTTTTACGATAGAATTCCAATGGCGGAGAAGGAAAAGGACGGCCTGGTCTACAAGAATGCCTTTACTGGCCACGATGCCGTCGAGTTGATTGCCTACATCATCCGTACTTCGGACAGAAACCTTGCACTGCTCCTGGGCAGGTCCCTAGATGCGCAGAAGTTCTTCCACGAGGTTGCCTATGCACATAGGCTGCGTGACTCGCCCAACGAGATTTACCAGTTCAAGGAAGCCGTGGTCGAAGAGCCAGCCGAGGTGAACGGTGTCTTCACGCTGCTAACCGAGTGTTACTCGCCTACATGTACCCGCGATCACCTGTGTTATTCTATCGCCTGCCCAAGGCGACTCGAACAGCAACAGCGTCTTAACATGAAGATTCAGCCTGGACTCAAAAGAGAGGGTTCGCAAGCCAGTCTACGGGATGAGCCGGAAGCCGAACAGAGATTATGGATCAACACTGTGTCCAAGGACGTTGCAGACAGTGTTGATGACGAGGAGAAGAAGCGTCAAGAAGTTCTCGCTGAAATCATGTACACTGAACGAGACTTTGTCAAGGATCTAGAGTACCTGCGTGATTTCTGGATCAAGCCTCTTAGAAACCCTAACATCTCACCAATCCCGGAACACCGGCGTGAGAAGTTTATTCGAACCGTTTTCTCGAATTGTCAGGAGGTTCATGCTGTCAATGTCAGACTCGCCAGCGCTCTTACTCGAAGACAGCAGCAGAATCCTGTTGTACGGAACGTCGGCGACATCTTTCTGGAATACGTGCCTCAGTTCACTCCTTTCATCAAGTACGGTGCCAATCAATTGTTTGGAAAGTTCGAGTTCGAGAAGGAGAAATCTAGCAACCCAGCTTTCGCCAAATTCGTCGAGGAGACAGAACGTCTGAAGGAGTCGCGAAAACTCGAATTGAACGGTTACCTAACCAAGCCTACTACTCGTCTCGCCAGATATCCCTTACTTCTCGACGGTGCCCTGAAGAAAGCCAAAGAGGACAATCCGGACAAGGAAGACCTTCCCCGAGCCGTTGTCATGATCAAGGCTATTCTCACAAGGGTCAACGAGGAGTCCGGAAAGGCTGAAAACATTCAACAGCTTGCGCAACTCAATCAGAACTTGAAATGGACTAACGTACCATACCAAGATCTCAAGTTGACTGAGGAAGGACGTCAAATGGTCTTCAAGGGTGGTCTCAAGAAGACGGCAAGTGCAGAAACGATCGACATTCAGGCATATCTCTTCGACCACGCTGTCCTACTGGTTCGACAAAAAATGGTCAACAAGCGTGAAGAACAAAAGGTATACCGCAAGCCGATTCCGCTAGAACTGCTAGTCATTACCCAAATGGAAGAGGTCTTGCCAAGATTGGGCATCACGAAAAGACCATCGTCTAGCATGATCCCTGGAGCTCGAACTATTACCAGCGCTGCGACCAAAAAGGAAGACGGATATCCTCTGACCTTTAAGCGACTTGGAAAAGGTGGTTACGAATTGACTCTGTACTGCTCGACACAAATTCAGAAGGAGAAGTGGATGGAGAACATTCACACCCAACAAGAGAAGCTTCGGGAGCGCAGCAACATCTTCACCAAGACAAATATCAGTCAGGGCTACTTCGCATCCAACAACCGCGTCAACTGCTGTGTGCCCATCGACGGGGGCCGTAAATTGGTCCTCGGAACGGATATCGGAGTATTTGTGGCAGAACGCAAGCCCAAGGACGCCTCACACAAGCCGAAACGCATGCTGGACTGCAAGCTGGTATCGCAAATCGACGTCCTGGAACAACATCAAATCCTGTTGGTCCTTGCTGACAAGGTCATGTACTCATATCCCCTGGATGCTCTGGACCCAGAAGACAATCAGCCAACTCCCTCTAAGCGTGGGCGTAAGATCTGCCATGCCAACTACTTCAATGCTGGTATGTGCAATGGTCAATTGCTCGTCTGTTGCGTCAAATCCTCATCACTGTCGAGTACGGTCAAGGTGTATGAGCCGATGGACGCCATGTCGAAGGGCAAGAAGAAGTCAGGTCTGGCGAAAATGCTCGCAGGTGGTCAAGAAGTGCTCCGGCCATTCAAAGAGTTCTACATACCAATGGAGTCGAATAGCATTCACTTCTTGCGGTCTAAGCTCTGTGTTGGAGGTGCTAAGGGCTTCGAAATTGTGTCACTCGAGACGCTCGAGACGCAATCACTTCTCGATCAAGCCGATACATCGCTCGATTTCGTCGTGCGCCGCGAAAACGTCAAGCCCATCTACATTGAGCGTACTCCATCAGAGTTCTTGCTATGCTACACGGACTTCTCATTCTTCGTCAACAAGAACGGTTGGAGAGCGAGAAACGACTGGAAGATCATTTGGGAGGGTGCGCCGACGGCATTTGCTACGTGGGGCGACAAATACATCCTGGCATTCGAGCAGGAGTTCATCGAGGTGCGGTTGACGGAAACGGGAGGGCTGGTGTGCATCTTGACAGCAAAGAACATACGCTTCTTGCACTCGAGCTCGAGAGAGGTAGGTCTTCATACTACATTACATTCAAGAGAGAGGCGTATACTGACGAATTGTGCTACAGATCCTCTATGCGTACGAAGACGAGATGGGCGAGGATGTTATTGCCAGTCTGGACTTCTGGGGTCGACCTCAATCACCAAGACAATGATGAAGATGATGTTATGGGATGTCGTCAACATTGCTGTCGTTGTATTCTGCTTCTTTTTCTCACCTTTTATCTTCTACTTTTCCGTATTTGAGACAGAAACTTGTCGGAGCGAATCGAGTCACAAAAGAACAAAGTGCTTTTTTTCTATCACCCTTGCTTCGTACCTCGATTGCTCGATAGCTCTTGTGACAAAATTTTACTATCTCATCGATTGTTGAAAACACTCCAACTTTCATGCTATTACAGTGTGACTGTGTCCCAGTGAATGTCAAAGACCCACAACATGAACGTACATGATACCGCAAATGCCCACCACATGGATGAAAGCTAATAGTCCTCAAACAGCACAAGCACAGTTCTGTCTTATGGCAAGCCTGTCCATCGGGAGTCAATAGACAGCATGATGTGACATCGAAGACAATGACAGGGTCACCCAAGCAGCAAACCAACAAATTCACACACGAAACATCAAATGATCGACGTCCATCTGACAAAGCAGCGGAGACTGCTCCTGTGTACAACAGAGATCGAATTTCGGGAGCGGAGAATTATAAAAGTAAAAGCACAAGAGTGAGCCATTTTTGGGTGATGGTACAAAGCGGGAAAATAGCATCACGGAGAGGCTAAACGGGATGTTGAGTTCAAAGTATGCGGTTGAGAGGGGAAGGAACGCAGCTAGGGACGTTGACATTGTCGGGGTCCGACAAGTCATCGACTCATGTGGATTGACAGCAACGTGGTTTGTTTGGTGTCTGCTGCTCGCCTTTTTTCTGCTACAGCGATCCAAGGGAAGGGAGTTTCTAGCCATTTGGAGCGAGCAGCAGAAATGACGGACGTTGTTTGCGCAATCTACAGTACGCCGGTGTTTTGAAACGTGGACAGCGAGAGCTGATACGCGGAGGGAAGGTTTTCAGAAGTGTTCTTGTTTTCCATAGAGGCTTGAGAGGGCTCGTATATTCCAAACTCTAACCGTCTGGAGTCGCGGACAGGGCGACGCACGCTTCGTCAGCTCTGCTGCTGATCCTATTGGAACACGAACACGATATTAACATGGCTGAGACCTTGCACATGATGACAGTAGCAGGCAGATGGATAATTATAAACAATGGCAATGACTCTCGGCTCTTTTGATCGTTGAGAGATGTCGTTTCTGGTGAGACAGCAATCCCAAAGATAACCCTTTTGTTGTACACGACCATGGCAGTGGTCAACGGTCAGTTGAGAAAGAGGAGGATGACTCGGAGATCTGGGCCGCGTCGGTCTGCACCAGCTAGTCGACTGCGGCAGTGGCTTTTCGCTTGTGCAGTGCCGGCGCCGCCCCTTAAAGATCCCAGCAGATCCCTCTGTTGTGGCTGCGGAAAGATAAGGTCACGACAGAGGCTCAGAGAGCACTGCTTACGCATTGCATGATGCTGTAAGAGTATTGCATGCATGTGATAGCGAAAGTCCGCGTCGTGATGGGACAATTGAGTAGAAGACGTTGCAGAAGCGTTCTTCTTGAGGGATAGGCAGGCGAGACACAGTCAAGGGCGGCTGGTCGTATTTATCAATGCCTTGCAGGGCAACAGGGCTATGACGCGTTCCTATGTTTGGTGTCTCGTCGCGCTTCAACCCACCCCTTTGCGACTCGACGTTTCAAGTCGTGGCTGTTGATAAAGTTTTGACGTGATACGGGCCCAAATTGAGGACAGTATTCCAACAATCAAACAGATCAACTGTCAGCCAACCCCTTGCGTCTGTCTACAGCGGAAAGGCTCTCGCTGCTTTCTGCAAGCTGCATAGATATCAGTCCGGCGGGCGCATCAGAAAGAACAGGGTTGTTCGTTGTTGGCAGGTAGCAGTCCCTGCGCGGTATCCACCCTGGTCCATCCCCCGATCGACGAAAACTCCCCACTCTAGGTTATATAGCTGCTCCGGCCCAAAATCTCGCCCAGTTCCCGTATTCCCAATCCGTTTTGCACACTCCCCGGCCGACTCCTCAGCACCTTCCTCCAGCTCACAGAGACGTGGCATGCCCGTCGCTCGCTGCTAATCCACGTCGCTTCCATCTTTTTCCCGCCCTCCCTCGATTCGCTCGACGACGACCGCGCAACATGTTCACGTTCAAGCGGGCCCTTTTGACGGCCGTCATTGTTCTGGCCTTCTTCATACTGCTCAAAGGCTCTCATTCGCAACCTACAGCGGCCTCGTTCAATGTCAACTCACCGAAACCGACGGGCTCATATTCAGACAACCGCAAAATCCAAGACCAACCACCTGCCGCCGCCATAACCTCCCGACCGGCAGCATCACAAGGCTCGACGACGCCGGCCGCCGCCGAGGAATTGAAAGCAAAGAACAACTACAAGAAGGAGCGCCCGCAAATATCGCTGCAGGACCTGCATGCCATGCCGCTACGACAGCAATTGGCCTACCAATTCCCTTACGACCCCGAGAGCAAGTTCCCTGCATACATCTGGCAAACCTGGAAGGTCACTCCTGCCTCGGGCAAATTCGACGAGGACTTCCGTCCTGGCGAGGCTGCTTGGACCGAGCTGCACCCTACCTTTGTGCACGAAGTCATCACCGACGATGTTGCCGCCCACTTGATTCGTCACCTCTACGCCGCAGTCCCTGATGTTGTGGCCGCCTACGACGCCATGCCCGTCCCTGTACTCAAGGCCGATTTCTTCCGTTACCTGATTTTGCTGGCAAGAGGAGGCATCTACTCGGACATTGATACACGCGCTCTGAAGAGTGCCACCGAATGGGTGCCTTCTGAGGTCCCCCGCTCCAGCTACGGCATGGTCATTGGCATCGAAGCCGACCCGGACCGTCCGGACTGGCACGAGTGGTACTCGCGTCGCATTCAGTTCTGCCAGTGGACCATTCAATCGAAGCCCGGTCACCCCATCCTTCGCGATTTGGTAGCCACCATCGCCCACGAAACACTGCGTCGCAAGGAGGCTGGAAAGCTCACCAAGTCGTCCATTGAGTCAATTGTCGAGTTTACTGGTCCCGCCATTTGGACCGATGCCGTTTTCGCCTTCTTCAACGACCCGGATTACTTCGACATGTCAACGAGCAAGGGCAACATTACTTGGGAGCACTTTACTGGCATCACACAGGCCAAGAAGGTCGGCGATGTTGTTGTCCTTCCCATCACGAGTTTCAGCCCTGGAGTTGGCCAGATGGGCGCTGGTGACGACGACGACCCCATGGCTTTTGTGAAGCATAACTTCGAAGGTACGATCTTCTTCTCAGCTCACGCCATGACCAAATTTACTGACTCCACTTGACAGGCTCATGGAAACCCGAAAACGAACGCCACATTGGCGAATCATAGACGTACGAGATATCATCGTAAAAGTACGCTGGAATGTTTTAGATTCTTTGTATCTTGTTTTCTTTCTTTTTCTTGTTCTGGTTTTTTTTTCCCCCTTCTGTTTCTTTTGATGAATCTGTTCTTTTACGACAGCCGGATGGATTTTTTCTTCGTTTTATTCCCCCTCAAACCAATCATCCATCGAGCGATTCGGTCCATGTTACACGGATTACTCCAGCATTATACAGCGGAACTAAAGGCAAAAACGCATTATAGATCATATTTGCATCACTCCCTTGCTTCTTGGGTTCCTCTCATCTGCTCTGTAGCATGTGACATAGGTGGTTGACATTTCGAAAGAGGACCAAGAAGGGATGACGGAAGAGAATGACGAGATCAAGGGAGTAAGGAGGGAGGAGCGATGGAAAAACACAGACGAACGAAGAAGGAGCGATCGAGTGTACATCATGCCTTTTTGTTTTGGGCATAGAAGCCTTCCTTCCTCATCCGTGTTGAGGAGGGCGAGCAAGAGGCAACTGACATCGCATAAGAGGGGCGACCTTGAATGAGAGAAAGAAACATGCGAGACAAGACACAATGTGCAAAAAGCGAAAAACATGAATTAAACAAAAATTATGTACAAAAAACCTCTATTAACCTTTTTCCGAAAACAAATCAATTACACTTACTCATCCTGTGGGAATCGGTCAAGGAACCTGAAAGTGCTCAAGCCGCATTTGAAGCTGTTGACAGCTTCAGCAGTGCCATTGGCAAAGTAGACACCGGGGCGCTGCTGGATACCAGCGACATCGAGAGCCTTTCTGGCAGTACCAACGGCTCCGACGGGCTTGCCCCAGCCATAGCCGTTCTTGAGGATTTCCATGGGGCGACCGAGAGGATAGAAGGGTGATGCTTTTTCGCCGGTGAAGATGGCTTCGGCACCGGCGGCCACGACGAGACCGTCGAAAGCGTGAGCGTCAGCGGCAGAGTAAGTGACATTGACGCCAGGCTGGAGAGATTCGGCAACGACGCTGACGAAGAGACCTTCGGCTGCGAATGACTTGGCAAGTTGAGCAGCCTGCGACATAGAAGCGTTGGATGTGGTAGAAGCCAGGATACCAATGTTAAGACCGACAATGGTAGGCAGAGTGGTGTTGAAGATGGAAATGTGAGCAGAGCTGTTGGTGTTGTAGAAAGTGTTGTCAGGTTCAGGGACGATGACATCGACCAGAGCGGCAGCAACGCGAGATGCGAGATCGTGCGAGATTCTGTTGAGCTGGATGACGAAGTTCTGCTTGACGACTTGAGATTGAACTTGGCTGACTTCAAAGCGAAGACTGTTGACGACAATCTGCTTCTCAGCGGCTGAGATGGAGTTCCAGACCATGCGTGCCTGCGACCAGTGATCGTTGAAGGTGGACGAGAGCTCGCGAACGAATGGTCCTGTCAAACGACGGTTAGGGGCGGTGAAGAAGCCCTTTCCGACAGTCTGGTTAGCTTGTTTGGGGAAGCCATTGTTGAGCGAGTTGGGCGAATAGGCATAGTTGTTTGTGGGGATGTATTGCTGACCACGACCGTCACGATTGTTGTTGTGGATGGGGATGCGAGGACGGTTGATGGGAATCTGCTCGAAGTTGATTCCCTGTCTGTTGACTTGAGTGTCCAAGTAGGAGAAGAGACGACCTTGAAGGAGAGGGTCCTCGCTGAAGTCAATGCCTCGGACGACATGTCCGGGTTGGAAAGCGATACTCTCGGTCTCGGCGAAGTAATTTGTAGGGTTGGCGTTCAAAGTCATCTTTCCAAGGATGGTAATGGGGACAAGCTCTTCAGGGATCCACTTGGTAGCATCCAGGACATCGAAGCCGAATGCCAGTTGTTGATCTTCATCCATGATCTGGACTCCAAGCTCATACTCAGGATAAGCGCCGTTCTCGATAGCATCCCAAAGATCTTTGCGGTGGTAGTCAGGGTTCTTTCCATTGATGGCTTGGGCTTCTTCCCACAACAAACTTGCGGTGCCTTGCTTAGACTTCCAGTGCCATCTGATGAGCTTGCTGTCGCCCTCTTCAGTGACCATGCGCATGGTATGAACACCAAAGCCACTCATGTGGCGGTATGAGCGAGGAAGAGAGTAGCCGGACATGATAAGCATGAGCATGTTCAGGGTACTGGGTTGCTGAGAGAAGAAGTCATAGGCGGTGTCGTGAGCTGTAGCAGCTTGAGGAATTTGCTTATCCGGCTGAGGCTTGAGAGCGTGTACCATGTCAGGGAACTGCATGGCATCCTGAATGAAGAAAATGGGAAGGTTAATGCCAACAATATCGAGGTTGCCAGCATCGGTGTAGAAACGAGTCGAGAATCCACGAACGTCTCTGGCAGCGTCTCCGCTTCTGTGATGATTGTTAGCATACACCCTCGTATCACGATCGCGTGGCTGGACTTACCCTCTTTCACCGATCACGGTAGAGAATCGTACAAATGTGGGTGTCTTCTTGCCCTCTTCCGAAAGGAAGTCTGCTGCTGTGATATTGGTGAAGTTACCATAACTTTCAAAGACACCGTGGACACCGGCTCCACGAGCATGTACAACGCGTTCGGGAATCTAGTCATGGTTAGTTACATGTCACATTGTGATTGACTGATTGAACATACACGCTCATGGTCGAATCTCTGCATCTTCTGTCTGAATGCAAAGTCTTCCAGCAACGTAGGACCTCTGGCACCAGCCTTCAAGCTAGTAAGGTCATCGATAGGGGTACCCCAGTCCGTTGTCAAGAAGCCTTGCTCATCGTTGAGCTTAAATTGACCCATGAACTCATTGGTCTGATCGGTGGTTTCCTTGAGGCCAGCTTCGTCACGCTTGGGCATTTCACCACTCATGAAAGGGCAACTACCGGCAAGGGCAGTACCAGCGATCAACGGAAGATATAATAACGAGCGCATTGTCGTCGTTTGGTGTCAAGAAGACGAAGAAAGGAGCTGTGTGGATGCAACGAATGATGGTGTTCAAAAGTGGCCATGCTAGGCTCTTATATAAACCATTGAAGATCGATCAAGACCAGGCTTTCGGTGAATTGAACGGGGGATCAGGCCATCGCGGTGCTGCACAGACTAGTTTCTTACCTGGTGTCTCTCTACAAGCTCTGCCATATGGGGGGCAGACGTGCGACAAGACTTTCATAGTGTTTCGATCTTACAGTACCGGGTTCCTTGGCCTGTTCGCAGATCGTCCTCTCGGCACGAGTAACTCCAGCCATGCTCGCTGAGGCCAGTTCATAGGCCTACTATTCCTGGCCGCATGGCCAAGAGTGGCACCCAATGCAGGACAATGTGCTGGTAGACAGTCGAAACATCCAGACGTGACCGTCACAGAGATTCGCTCGGCATCCAAGACACGATCGCTGTGATTGTGCAACCCAACGACTTGGCCGTCAATGAACGTGCGAAGTGGATGCTAACGGAATGGTCAGCGATGTGCCTATCAAACCGCGATGTTGGTAAGCGCGAGACGGAGTGAGCCGCGGCCGCAGGGTCCAAGCTTGCTGTTGACCACTGGGGTAGAGCATATCAATATCAAAAAGCTTAGCTCCAACCTCCTCCTCGAGCACATATTATCCGATACTCGCCTTTTTCTGCATTCGTATGGCGTGTTGTGCTTACCTCAACTTCGGCATATTATGTTGGCAGCTGAAGACTTACATCGCACAGATTACAGTACAGGCAGATCGTGTCTCCTTGCTCACCGGCTTGAGTAGCCAAGTCGTTCGCTGGGCGCCTACACAACGGAATCTTCCACGGATGTCACGCTGAGACTTCGGGCCCGGTCACAACCGTGCATGTCGCACGGCGGCACTGTCATGGAAGTAACGGAACGTACCGCGGCTCCGAGATGCTTCGACGAAACTTGCCAGGAAAGCACGAAGCAGGAAAACACAACACTCCACAAAAGCCCTCTCTCCCCATCCGAGCATCGAAGCCTGCTTTTCGGTCCTTGGGATGCGGTATAAGCCGGTGTTGATAGTGGGTCTTTATTGTACTGCGCACGCGTTGTCTGGTGACTCGCTAGGCATGCTCCTTCCTCTTTCGCGTCGCAGGCCTTGGTGACGTTGTTCGAGAGTTCGTTTCGACATTTCGCGCAGAGCTCGGGTTCCCTGACTTACACCATCGCATACGTATCGCAGCTCTTTAAACCCAAGGCAAGTTCCGGAGTCAATCTTACTGCCGCTCGGTTTCGGGTTTCGTCCGTCCGTGTTGATGCTCGATCTTGTTCGGTGATTATTCTATCCACGTGGTTCGCGAGCATCGCGTGGTCTTCAGTAATAGGGTCGTCTCGTTCCCTTGCAGAATGTCAGACCGCACTAGCTAGAGAGATGGCTGAACGCGTCGTAATCGAAAGCTCTTTCTAAGACCTCATATCATGTCACCCCTCAGCTTCTGGCATGTTCCCTCTGTGCTGTCACGTACGTATACAACCTTCGAACAACTCAGTTGACCGGAGGAAGAAATTTATTCTTGTGTCATCAAGTACATATAGTCCTGTTTTCCAATGCCTATGTATCGAAGCCTTCGTCAAACAGTTACCTTCCATCGAGAGAACTACTCCCGTCGTAAGTCGAGCTGTTTTGACTTTCGTTTCTTGCTCGAGTCTGAGGCACTGCCGTCAGCACCCAACGCTCGTAAAGTTTGTGCGGCACCAGTCTCCTTGCTCACGACTCCCTCTGCTGCGGGACCTTTGTTGCCAGCGCGAAAGGTGATGCCGTGTTCGCCAAAACTCGCTTCGCCGGCCGAAGATCGCAGACTATCTATGCTGCGCTTCGACTGATGAGACTTTGGGGAAGAAGTTGCAGTAGAAGTCTTGACTACGGCGACTGGCGAAGGTGCAGCAGGTGGAGGAGAGGACAGGCCGAGACCAGAACTTGTCTGGACTACTGGAAGCCTGCTCATTCTTCTTGATGCTGGCTGCTTGTCAACCTGGCTATTCGTGTCAGGTGTTCCAGGTTGCTTCTCAACTCGGCTGTTTGTATTTGGTGTTTCGGGTCGCTTCTCAAGTTGGTTGCCTGTGTCTGGAGTTGCAGGGTCGGATGTTGTACCTGCAACTTCGTCGCTGGACCACCAACCTTCTGGACGCGAATTTGTTGAACGCTCGGTAATAGCGGATGCTCCTGGAGAGCCAACACTGATCAACTCTGGAGATGTCTTACCGCTAGGATTCCTGCTCTTGATCGACGAGCGACGAGGCGAGCTCACACGGAATGCTCGGAGCTTCCTCCTTGTGTCTCTTGAACCATCCGGGTCTGCAAAGTCCCATGTTGTGCTCTCTCCTTCAGAGTAACTGGGGATTGATGCTGGCAAAAGGCTCTGTGGTCTGGCTGGTCTGAATGGTGAGATCAAGCTCTTGCGTCCTGCGTCAGTAGAGTATGACTCCAAAGCTTCAAGGACATGCGGTATAACCAGCTTGTGCACATCCTCAGCCCACAAGAAGTCAAGATGCTCGTAATGCGGGATCTCTTTGGCCACGGTATGTCGGGGAAGCTCCTTAAGCATGATTTTGATGTCGACCAAGCTGTCACTTCCACCATATACCAAGACGATCGGAGTCTTGATGTTGCGAGTAGGGTACTTGGCGACCTTGTAGTATTTTGCGCCAGATGCAATCGACAAAGGGGCCTGCACCTCGTCATCGAACATTTGGAAAGTTTCGTTCCTGATAATCTGGAGCCAGTGGACGACCGACTTGGTGCTACTGAAGGAGAACAAGTGCGGATAAGCTGCCAGCTTCTGGTGTGTGGTGATGTTCTTTGCGTGCCAGCCGAACAGGTAGAGCAGAGCCTTGTCGATGACCCAAGAGAAAATGCCGGGATAGAGCAATGCCTGCCACATGGTGGTACTGCTCAAAATTGCTTTGCGACCGAAAAGTAGGAACAAAACTTCTGGAGATGCCTTGATGAAGGAGCTGACAATACCCATAGCTAAGCCTGGAGGAGCCATTGCAGGTGCAAGAGCTACAAAGACGTTGACCTTTTCATTCAGATTAGGATGGATGGAGAGGGTAGCAAAAGCTTGGGCGGTTCCTTGAGAGAAGCCAACATAAGAAAGTGACTTTTGACTAGTCGTGGCAAGGATGTAATCAATAGTGTCCGGAATGTCGTGGAAGGCAAACTGGTCGATGGAGTAATTCCAGAAAGCAGCACTTGTGGGAGAGTGATGGACGTTCTTCTTGGAATACTTGTTACCACGGTTGTTGCCAAGCTAGCTCAATGTCAGTTGATTGTGCCCTAGGCGTCTAAGGGGAAGATGAACATACCCAGACATCATATCCTTGGTCAACGAGGACAAAAGGTAGGCAACGCTCCTTCTCAGTCAGACAAACCCAGACCTCGCTGTTCATCATAAGACCATGGTGAAGGTAGACGACCTTCTTCTGAATGCTGCCCTCTCCACTGTTGACCCTCTGATCCTCTTCACCACGCTTCCAGCCGAGACGGTGCAGACCCAGTAGGTACCCATCCTTGGTCTGGACAATATGCTCCTCGGCATAATATCCGAAGAGCTCACATAGCTCAACAAAGTCGGAAGCTTGTGCGATGGGTGATGAAATGGCCTTCTTCCGGTTCCGCGACCTACGGCCTTGGGCACCCGAGAGTGAATTGAATATTTTACGCGAAAGATTGTAGAAGAAGCGGATAATGGGACCTGGTAGGGCTAGGGTGATGCCTCTGATTATGACTTCCAGACCGATCAAGACAAAAGAACCAAGCAGAGCCAGATACTCCTGGAGGTGCAATCGCCCGATAAACGGGATGCTAGGCATGTTGCGGGGGTGCCGATAGGATGATTTTCACAATATGAGGTCCTGACAGAAGATCTTGAAGAGTCTAGTTTTAAGAAGGCAGCGTGCAGAAAGCTGTTGGCCCCTGGGTACGTGCTACAATGCCGATTCGAGACAAAAGTCGTTTGATCAACGTCATGCAAGCATGTGAAAGGGACAGTCCGTGCGCTTCCGGGGTTGGCGCCTCTTTCGAGAGATCCGAGAGACACGTGAGGAAGGAACAATTAACTGACTTCTAGTTGGTTAATCAAATACCGTACATTGATTGACAATTCGTTCAAAGAATTACTGTCGTTCTTTCGCATTATATACTGGCAACTGAGATCTGCTCCATTCGAGTAGCAAGACTTGTCTCTGAGTCAACCAGTCGAATCTTCCACCAGGCTTTCACTCCGGCGCAAAAGACTCGATTCACCGCAAATATGCCATCTTCATGCAAAGACATCCGTACGCCATTGCCAACTGTTACCCAATCTACCGGTCATACAGAGGCTGACTCATCCCAGGTGCTGCGCTAGCCGAATGCCTCCAACAAAGCGACTGTATCATGGTCCAACGCCACAGTGCCGCCGATTGCCTTCGCCCGCCGCTCGTGGACACCCTTCCAACACGATGCCAGCAACTGAAGAAAGGCTACGGAGAGTGCAAGCGCGGTCTGATCGATATGCGCAAGCGCTTCCGAGGCAACAAGCCTGTCGCTTCTAGTGTCGAGATCGAAGCCGGCGCCGACAACCCGAGCAGACAGCTTTATGCTGGTAAGAGCGCTTTCGGTGATATCAAAACCACCGAGGGCAAGGACTCTCCCGAGGAAGACTCATAATCAGACAAGAGCAAGGAGACCTAGGGAAGCGGGACACGAGAAAGAGAAGATAAGGAAAGGCAAAATTTCGCATCTGCATATACACGGCGCACATTGTTCTGGTTGAGGGGGATACCACGGCGTTTTTCTGTCTATACGGCACTCCACTCAGCTTACATACGATACCACTTTGACTCGGAAGTGCAGTATGTCATCATTTCCTAGGGCCGGCTCAGAGCTCCGCCATCTGCGGTCACCCTCAGTCCATCACTAAAGTTGTCGTCCATGGTATTCGGAACGCAAGGCAGTCCATGCTATGTCCCAAGGATCATGGCCATCACTTACAGGTAGCTGCTGATCACAGATGCACAACACGTTGTTCACTCCAAAGGCCTAGACCAGGAAGCGAAACGATGCCAAAGTTTTGCCATGTTATTTGAAGCATATTCAGTATTCATACAAACGCTCTCAACCATGAACCAAAACGCCAAAATCCCGGGTATAATCGTATCACTCATTCACAAAATCATCAGGATCAAAACAGCCATCACTTGCTGCGCATGGGGCCCTCGAAGTGCCAATCACCATCGCTGGAGATGAACAGCTGGTTCCAGAGCTCGCGGGCCTTGTTCGCCTTTTCAATGAACATGTCCATGGTGATGCCATCCTCGCAAGCTATCGCAGGCTTGGCTGCTCGGCACCAACGACGGGCAAGGTATAGCTCCGTGCAGGGTGGTTGGCACATATACATACGACGCCAACTAGCCTGTGGGTGGTTGATCACATCGTCGGTAGGAAGGTTGTCGCTGGGGTACATCACGTTGACGTCCCTACATTTTCGGTCAGCCCGAGCCACCAATAAGGCTTCGTCAATCGCAAAGAGATGTTCTTACCAGGTCCAATAGCTCGAAGGACTCTTCAGAGATCGAGGGATGCTAGCGATGTCGTCTGGGTTTGTGTCTGGAGCCTCTACACCCTTGTCCGCATATTCCTCCTCATCTTTGTCACTAGTCACTCGGGGTGTGAAGGTCGGATAGCGACCATCCAGCACTCGTCGCAGCATCATGTTGTTTCTGGGTCGTTCGCTTGGTCGGTTGGCTTCGCAGGGGAGGTGTGAGTTAAAGGGCTTAGCTTTGGACCACGTTGGTCTCATGAACAGCAGTTGTTGCAGCTGGGGTGAATTTGAGATCAGGTCGTGCCAGAGTGTGTTGACACGTTGGGAGATGAGCAATTGGGTGGGAGGAAGCTCTGAGAGCACCATCTCGAGAAGTTCTGGTGTTTCGAGCACGCGTTGTGCAGCGGTGAGAGAGTCCATGGTTGGTATCAATGTGTGTCAATTGGTGAGTATGAGGAAGTCGCAGGAGACGGAAGATGATATAACCGCGGCAGTATCAGGATAGCAACGACGACGGACGGATAATTCGGAATAATATACTGGCGAGTAGATTGGATTGTGGGGAGATGTGGGATGTGGAGAGGAGATCAAGATCTGGAGATTGGCATGTGAATATGAGTCAAACCACCTTCTCAGAAGCAAACGGGTTTATTGCCCTTGTGATGGAAAGAAACAAGCAGAGTTGGTGAGAGATAAGGTGCTGGGCAGGCAGGCAGAGCTTCCCTCTTTAAGCTCCCTCCGCGCTGTGTTTCATTATTCCGCGCGATAAACAGCTCTGACATGCCAATGACTGGCCAGGTACCACGACAAAGGAAAAACAGCCTCTCAGAGAGCTCGATCAGAAGCTCCTGAATGCAAAAAATAGAGATAGCATCCAGCATGGGCGCACGTCATGGGCGTGGCTGCATGCGGGAGACGCATGCACGCCGAGGTTCAGGGTCTTTTGGCGTGCATCAGCCGATCCAAAATGCCCCTGTGACTTCTGGAATGCTTCGTGCTTCTTCCTTTCGCCCGGCGTCGACCAACCAACATCAGCTTACCTTGTTCTGTTCGAAGAATAGCCAGTTCATCCAGGCTGCTTGTCCAACATCCATCAGCTTATTATACTGTAGCTGGAGAGATGTAGCTAGCTAAGCCTTGCTTGGTAGAGGATGTGTGTTGCTTCAGAGAGGCTTGATCGCGTTTTGGCAAGGCTTGCTTGTTTGCTTATCGCTAGGTTGCGTATCACAGGTAGCATGTTCCTAGACTCTGGTCATGGTTACGAGCTTGAGAAACAGCGACGACAGGCGTCTGAGCCAAATGCAGTCAAGCAGTGAAGTGAGATCTGGAGAGCCGAACTCAACGTTCGACGGACTCTGCTCTATTTCAGTACGACGTTCAGGCTCTATTCCTACTCCTACAAAATTGGAAGAAGGTGACAAACAATCGACAGTCAAACGTAGCTTCTTGAAGGACGGTTGCTCACACCGACTCGACCTTAACAGGATCGGAAGTGGATCCTCCGATAACACAGCATGGTAAGACACAGATGGCAGGTAGCGCGCATGAATCACTGACAGGTACCATACAATGTTCAAGAAGCATAAAATCATTCATACATTAGATTATCATAGTCATAGGTAACCGCTTCCGCAGATCCTTAAGCAACAACGAAGCCCTTCCAGCCGTCGAGGGCGCCCCTGCACTCCTTCTCATACCTGGGGAAGCCACCAGGGAAGTTGAGCTGCTCTCTGGGCTTTCCGGGAATGTTGGCACCCATGTACCAGGAGTCGGTACCAGGGAACAGAGTCTTGTCTGAGAGTTCTGTGACGAGCGCATGCCAGCTGGTCTCTGCATCCTTGGTGGCCTCGATGGTCTGCTTGCCGGTCTTCTGCATAGTTGCAATGGCATCGACGATCCAGTCACCCTGAACTTCGACACAGGTCGGGCCATTACTAAATGCCGTGGGACCTTGAGCGCCGTACAGGAAGAACATGTTCTGGAGAAGGTCAGTAATGCTGTTCGAAAAGAGTCATAGAGCATGGGAAACTTACGGGGAAGCCATTGCAAGTCATGCCAAGGTATGTCCAGGTACCGTTCTTCCACCTCTCTGCCAAATCCTTTCCCTCGGTATCCTTCAACCCCATGTTCTTCATACCGCCAGTGACGGAATCAAAGCCAGTCGCGAGGGCAATGATGTCGAACTCTCTGAGCTTGCCGTCGCTGGTAACGATACCAGTCTCGGTGAACTCGGTGATGGGGGTTTCCTTGACATTGACCACATCATTCTCAGCTCTGTCCATCAACTCATAGAAGTTTTGCTCGAGAGAAGGACGCTTGGTACCCCATGCGTGAGGAGCCTTGAGTGGTGCGAGGATGTCCCGCTTGCGAGGATCGGCAATACGAGCTCTAGTCTTCTTGACCCAGAAGTTGTAGGCTTGGTCGTTGGCCTTGCTGTCGAACAAAAGATCTTTGTAATTGGCCAACCAGAACTTGAAGCCGCCCTCCGCCCACAGTTCTTCGTAGAACTTCTCGCGCTCCTCCTCGTTGTCGTCGAAGGTGTTCTTTTCGACGAAATCGTACGAAAATCCGGCAAAAGTGGTCAGGCGGTTACGGTAAATGTCGGGATATTCTGACTTGGCGTTCTGCTGCTCTTCCCTTGTCAGATCACGCTGACGCATAGGAAGACAGAGGTTGGGAGTTCGCTGGAAGACGGTAACGCTGGCGGCATCCTTGGCTGTTTCTTGTGCGATCTGGATACCGGTACTGCCAGTACCGATGACGGCAACACGCTTGCCCTTGACATTGACACCCTCGTCAGGCCAGAACGAACTGTGGTGTAGCTCTCCCTTGTAGTCGGTGAGTCCCTTCCAGTCGGGGAAGTGACGCTTGGCGGCGAAACCAATAGCGTTGATCAGGTATTTGCAGTGGGCAGTACGGCCATCCTCGGTCTTGACTTCCCAAGTCTTGGACTCGTTGTCGAATTGCGAGCCAATAACACGAGTGTTGAAGCTGACGTCCTTCTTGATGTCAAGCTGTTCCTCAACATGGACGAAGTAGTCACGGAGCTCGTTGAAGTCAGGGTACTTCTGGGTCCATGTCCAGTCCTTCCAGACCTTCTCGATCGAGTATTCGTAGATGGGGACTTGTGTATCGACGCGGGCTCCAGGGTAGCAGTTCCATCGCCAAACACCACCAAGCTCGTTTGCGGCTTCGAAGATCTTGACATTCAGGCCGACTTCGTCACGGAGCTTGTGTAGAAGGTAGACACCACCAAAACCGGCACCAACGATGAGGACATCGCAGGTGAGTTCTTTGGCATATGTGCTGTTCTCTTTAGGATGCATTGGTGCGTTGGGGTTGGTTGCACCAATGTCTGTTCGTAGATGTACCATGTTAAAAGATGTGTGAGTGTTCAAATGCAGATTGTGATGTCAAGAGAGGACTGGATCGATTTTCTTCGAGTCTGTTGATAGTCTTTATATCTATCCTTCGACCATCGATCTACGGCACGGGTTTCTTTCGGCATACCTTCCCAGGAATCGTCAATATACCCCTCTCAACCTACTGGCCGTCCGAACAAAGCAACTTTAGCGCACCGTCTCGTGGTGTCCCCATAGATCCATGATTTAAACATCTCGGAAGACGGATATCTACTCCGCAATCGCGGAGGGGGATGCGGGGGAGGCGAAGACGACTGTGGGGTAGGGGAAAGTGCGCCGAGTAGAACCCTCGGCAGACCTGCCACTTTTGGATGCGCTTGTCATATTGGGCAGTTCCGTGACTGCCACTGGTATGTGTAGACTATGGAAAGACTGCTTGGCTGGGCGGAACGAGCCCGAAAGGATGCTGCCAACTGTCTGACAACCAGGGATGGATCTCTCTCGGCCGCAAATCTTACGAAAGGGTGGAAGGAAGCTAAGAACCCTTGAATCTCGGACAAAGGACAAAGGACAAAGGACAAAGGACAAAGGAACTACATTGCAGAATCACCCTCAGATCCCATTGAGGAAATGCACAGGCGTCGGTATGTCCAGCGCTCAAGGTCTAAACACATTCCTCCGCTGAGAGTATGCAATTCTGTTCCAAGATCTAAAAGGCCAACGAAAACTGCATTGAACAAGTCTGCGCTGGCCTGACCGACGTACGATGTAGGACTCGCTGTCAATGTCGTCACTCGAGATATGGCATGGCCTGATCATGGGGAAATGTGTATGAATTGTGCTATACTACCAGCTACGTTATGCTGGGCTGAATTAATCATTAGGGTAAGGGCCGATATCATCAATGAAAGTGGGTGCAGACTCTTGCTGCTGGCCAAAGAGGAAAATAACCAAGGAAAAGAGGTAACACAAAGGAAAGGTCCTCTTCTCCTCTACCAAACCTCTGATGATTGATCCCAGCGGCGGCCTTGCAAGTCGCAAAGATATGCCAGGCACCGGGCCACTGGAAAGTCTGGGGTACTGGAGTACAAAGTTGAAGATCGTACCAAAAAAGGAGATCCGGAACGCCGCCGTCTCTCAAAACCAAGCGACCACGCTGAATAAGGTTCCTTTACGCCGTATGCCTTGTGGTCTGATTGAAAGGCTGGAATTGAGGTGCAGTCGAGCTTCTCATCATTCTGAGTTACCTTAGAGCTGGATTCCGGCATTGGCAAGCATGTCGTTCATCATGCTCTCCATGTCGTTCTCCTCGAGATCGTCGGACTTGGGAATTTCAGGCTTCTTGACGGCCTTGACAACCTTCTTCTTGTCCTCATTGAGCTTTTTGGGAGCTGAGAAGTCCTCCGAATCGTCTTCATTGTCGTCTTCGGGCATGAGTGGCTTTGGAGTAGCCTCGCTCTGCTTCTTGCCCTTGGCGGGGGTCCTCTTTGCAGGGGCCTTTGTGGCAGCGGGCTTTCTCTTGGTGGCAGGGGCCGAGGGAGTTGTGACTGCCTTGCCGTTCTTGATGGAGACATCACGGGCGCAGTAACGCTTGGTTGACTTTCCAGTACCAGCCTTGACAGGCATCCTCACTTTGGTTCTGTTGCCGTCCTCGTCAAGCGGGCGATTCGCGTACTTGCTTTGGTACTTTCTAGAGCTCATTGCGTCGGCAATGGATAGGCGGCGCATCAACTCAGCTCTAGTACCGCTTGTGTCTTCCTTGCGCACTTGCAACAGATCTCTGAGCTCCTGGATGCCGATGCTCTCGTCTTCGGTGTTCAATCGGGAGATGATGACTGACTTGTTCTCCTTCATGCGGTTCAGAAGCATACCGCGGGCACGGAGAATGTCGTGCAATTCATCGATGGTGCACATCTCGCGAGGTTCATCAGGAAAGATGCTGGTGGCTGTTTCGCCATCGTCGGCTCCAGAGGGCTTCGTCAGAGATGCAGCCTGCTCGCTAACTGTGCCGACTGCTTGGACCACACCAGAGAACAGTTCAGCACGCGCCTCGAGGGCAGCTTCGGCACTGGCGTAATCCTCGTTACGGTTCTCTTCCTCGGTGTTCTTAAAGGCATATCTGCTCTTGGGCTTGTAGCCTGGCTTGGTGCCTTCAGGCTCGGGAGTGACCCCACCGTTTCTCTCCTTCTTGCGGAGTATGGCAGCAACTTCCTTGGCGAGTTGCTTGTGAAGCTTTGTAAAGAACTTGTGTTTAGTCTCCTCGTACAAGCGAAGGTCGCGGGCCATGTTGACTGCACTCTTCTTACGCTCTCTGGCGACTGTGGCAGTGGTAACCTTGTTCTGACGATAATCCTCTTGTTCCTTTTTCTTCTGTGCCCGAATTGCATCTTGAGCTGCCTTACGTGCGCGAGCCTCGATCTTTGCGGGAGTATCGTTCTTCTTCGATTTCTTCTTTGCTTCGGCTGCGGCAGCGGCTTGCTCTGCTTCATCCCGCTTACGCTGCTTGAAGGCAGCAATACGCTCTTGACGCTCGCGAGCACGGCCTTCGGGATCGGGATCACTCTCAGGAGGGCATCGGGCAGTGCCATTGGCCTTGGCTTCAGAGCGCTCCTTGCAAGCCTTGGCTGAGTAACGAGCCCGAGCAAGACGCCTGTTCAAGTTTTGGGCAGTCCAGGTCCAGCGCTTCCGCTCAAGCTTCTCTAGCTCGACTTTGTACTTTTCTTCGGCAGCGGCTTCGGCTTCTTCGAGGAGTTCGTCCTGGTTGGTCAGTAAGTTGAAACGCTCGACACGGTTTGTGATGACTTACTTCTCCCATGTGCCAGTCGGTAAGCTCTTCGTCGAGCAGCTTCTCCTCGTACTCTTGTGTCTTCTTGCGGATGCGAAGCCAACGGCACGAGACGCTTCCAGGCTCATACTTGGTAAACCCTTGAGCGCGGAGACGTTGGGCAATCGTCAAGTCATTGTACCCCTTCTGCTTCATGTCGACAATCATCTGATCTTCCTCATCAAGATCAACAGTGATAGGCTTAAAGCTTGGCGCGTACCCGCCTTCGACACGAGCGTTCATCTTGAATCTCTTATGGCGTTTGTTGGGCATGATCTCCTCTACAGCGACTCGCTTCTTCGAGCCATCGCCCATGAAAGGGTTTGCCTTGGGACCCTGTGGAGTATTAGCAATGCAGATTCAGTTCGAACTATGGGAGAAACTTACATTGCCGCCAACTTCATCGTATTCGAAGTCGTCTTCCTTCTTGACAACCGAGTCGAGAGCGTGGTTGTATGGAATGAGGACAGCGGTAGCTAGAGGCCAGAATAATTAGCCATGAAGATAGAATGCCACACGAAATTGCTTACCCTNGCCGCTGAGAGAGAAGCAAATTGGCTGCTAAATACGCGAGTTGCGGCGCAGCGCGTGATAATCTCCTGTAGTGAACTGCTGGAGAGAGAACAATCTGGCTGCTGAAAACGCGAGTCACGGCGCAGCGTGTGGAAGTTTTCTGTAGTGAGCCGCTGAGAGTGAAGCAAGTGAATCGGCTGAACACGCGAGTCACGGCGCAGCGTGTGAAAGTTAATAGTGGTGAGCCGCTGAGAGTGAAGCAAGTTGGTTCTCGAGCTCTCTCCCTGGCCAAAGAGGCCGACCAAACTATCTGTCAAAAGGCAAGATGATTTTCAGATTTGAGTGATTGTCCAGAGAGAGAGGTCAACATTGCTTGCTCTCTGCGGACATTTACTCGTTCCCGAAAAACTTCTTGCATTTTGACAGGCATTTTCGAAGCCCCGCAGGGAAGAGGAGAGAGTCGAGTTGCCCCTGATTCTACCTATAGTTTTTAGCATCTCCAGGTACAGATTGACTTCCGATTTACATATCAAAATGCACAATGATTTTCGTGTCAGGGTGGTGGTCCAGAGAGAGTCCGGCCGATACACGCTCTCAGTGGACAATTGCTCAATCACCAAAAACATCTTGCATTTTGACAGGTATATTCAGAGCCCTGTAGGGGAGGGGAGAGTCCAATTTTGGTGCAACTAATCATGGGCTCACGAAGTTTGACAGGAAACGAAGTTCACCAAAACCATCAAACAAAGCAAACAGCCTCCCAACCACCTAATTACGTATATCTTCTTCTACACCCACACGATTCCCGTACACCTTCTCACCATTTTCCTATCGCAGCTCTATCATCGTCCTCATCTTCAAGTGGCAAACTATTGATTCGGGCCGTCTTTCCGTCGGTAGCCTTTCTAGCAGTCTCGAATCTCCTCTTTGTTCAGCCGATACCTGCACCTCCAATCCTATGTCACGAAACTCAAACATGATCTGAGAATCATTCGATCATTCCATGCTGCAGAGGTGAAGTGGTAGTAGCTTTGGCGGCCCGTTGCATGAATATCTAAAGCACGATGGTTGGAGACTGAGATGGCACGAGCATGTTCCCTCACAGAGCTAACGAGTAGGTACATATCAATACGAGCTCAACTGCGAACAGGTGGGTAGTAATAGGTAACGGTATAACTGATTGTGTAAAAGCTCAAGCAAAGGCACATGCACATGCATGGTCGAGAAGCATGGACAATAGTCCTGTTATACTTTATACTGACATCTGAGGAACTAATGGTCCATCTCACACCGAGCTAGCTGCTGGAACACCTTGTACCTTGTTGACTCCGCTCAAGCAAATCGTTCCCTGATGCCTCTAGCGGCTCCTGGGGTCTCATCCTGCCGTCGACAGGACTGCAGGAAGTCTGCACGAAGCCTTCTCACCTGCGCCTTTATACTCTGCAAGTGAGTGGGAAGCCGGACTTGGTCGATCAGAGTTCTCCCGGTTTCATCTTTTGCTCCCGGAAATCGTTTTCCCTTTGCTCACCTCTTGAACATGGCCAACGTTACCATTACACGTAGACGTCAAAGGATCGTACGTGGCAAGTCGCAAGCACGTTCCTCCATTCTCTTCACGAAGGACAGCGGGATCAGAAATATATCCATCCAAAGCGTTCTCAGAGCTTTCACCAATCAAGTCCTTGTACGACTTCGGATAGTAACATCGTCCGAGGACCTAAAGCGGGGTGGCAAGATTGTGCATCAGTCATGTCAGCAACCGTTCATCTGCGGCAAATGATACAACGCTGTCTCGGGCGGTGGTTGCAGAACATCAAGGATGACGAACCGTCCATGAAGCGTCCGGATCAAGCGTTCTGCAGTTGTATCCGGATAGCTGCAGCTCCCGACTTGGGACGTTTCGGAAACTTTTTATGATAGATCGCCACCGTGCTGTTTTTCTTCCTGGCAAAGTAAAATTGCGTGGTCAATCAGTGGACGAAAGCGCACCCTGGTCATAAGCAAAATTTCGGATCCGTTGTTGGCGTCACCACGACATCCTCGCTGGTCCCAATCAATGCCGAATGATCATGAGCGAGCCAACGATTAGCATGGAATTCCTTGTTTAGGTCGCAGTAAAATCGATACGACTGACAGCTGGCGTCTGCAACGACGGAGAAAATACTCGAATTTCACAGTACGTTCCGTGGTGCTTCGTTACAGAAGAGGATAAGGATGACGGAGACGAGTATAAATGTCGGCAGGTCCGCAGCTCCACTCTCAACTATTCAACCCGACATTTGGAGCGACTCCAGAATATTGCCCTACTTTCCTACTCATCTTACTCCCTTTACTCATCCTGCTTCCTCAATCCTCTACTCATTCTACTTCCTCAACCCTCATCTCGAAGATAACAAGGCCCACCATGTCCAGCCCTCTCTCGGCTGAGAGTGACGCACTCGGGTGGTACGATATCACCAAGACGTACTGCATCATCGGCATCGAGTCAAGCAACACCGGCATTCTAGACCGCCCCGAGAATGATCGTTTCGTTGCCCAGATCCAGCCCATGACTGGTCTAGGAGATGGCTTCGACGAAGAAGAAGGAACACAATCTGGACTCGCGTTGACATTTGGCATCGACACGTTCACCGACGTGACCGAGGGCCATGTCTTCGGACGGGATGCTGAAAAATGCGACATTTTGCTGGACGAGGAGGATGGCGATAGAATTGATGATGTGCACTTTCGAGTGCAACTGGATTACACACAGAAGATTCCTGAGCTGGATGTCTACAACTGTAGCGCAAAAGGCACTAGGGTCGATGACAAACTGCTTTCTGGAATCGGGCAGAGAGCCAGAGTCTACCAGGGCGAAGTCGTCACAATCAAGGCTGGAAGCATATCACTCACACTCTTATTCCCCTTCATAGACCTCAATAACCGGAAAACGCGCTCCAGATGGGCAGAACTGCGAACAACAGCGTGGTCCCTCCTCCGCCCTTCCGTCCGTCAAGCCTTGATCCCCCACGACGCCCGCCAACTCTACCTCGACGCAGAAGAAGACAGCATATGGCTAGACGCGCGACCCTTCCGCCTCGAAACCGGCAGCATGACCGTCACCCTCGCCAAAGGCAGACAAAAGCAAAAAACCGGCTTCCCCGTCGTACTCAAAAAACTGCGCGACAGAAAGGGAGACGCCAGAGAAGAGCGCATAAACATTGGCGAAACGGCAGCCATGACACGCGTCCGTCACGAAAACGTCGTTTCCGCTTTTCGCGAACAGTGGCCACAAGGAAATGTGGTTTTGGTCGAATACACACCTCACTCCAACATCAGCGAGTTCATACGCAATCACAACGCTATGAGGTTGAAAGAAGACGCCGTGATGGATTTGGCACTGCAAACCTTGAATGCGTTGTCTTATCTGGGTTCTCAAGGGATATCCCACCGCGATCTCAAGCCTAGCAAAATCATGGTCTTTCGAACCGACCCTCCGCTTTTCAAACTTACGGAATTCGGCGGTGAGGATTTGATAGATGCGAGGAGTTATCTCAACGACCGCATAGCAGATGACACAATCGACTACATCGCCCCCGAAATCTTCGAACGCGGTGCCGGCGCGCTTCCCTCCAAAACCGATGTATGGAGTTTAGGAATAATCATGTGGGAATTGTTGGTCGGCAGCACACCGGTGCCGTTTTTGGAAGATATGAATTACATGTCTTGCTTCCGCGCGATTCTGAATTGGCAACCTAGAGTGAAAGAGTTGCAGGAATATGGGGTCAGTGATGAAGGTCAGGAATTGGTTATCAGGATGGTGGAGAGGGTGCCGAAATTTAGACCTGATGTTGAGTCCTTGAAGGGGGATGAGTGTTTTGATTATTTGGAGTATGTGAGGAAGAATGAGCCTTGCGAGTGAGTCGATCCTTCCAACAAACTCGTTTGAAACGGACATGCTGACTTCTCCGTCTAGTCTGCAAGATTGCTTGCTGTGAAGCAACATTCGATGGGATACAGGCGGTGGAGATCTCCTTTCAACCAAAAAGCATGGGTTTACTGATAGCATTACACTGCTTTGGCGTTTCGTTCGGATCTTGGGTGATCATGACTGGCATAAACTAATATCAAATTGCCTTCGGGAACGCATACATAGTGACCGGTAATCGATAATCAATAATCAAGACCCAAAATTCTTCCATTCAACAACCACTCGCCCTGCATGCCCTCCCCTAGTGCCACCAACAAGACCATAATTTTTGGTTGTTTACGGCTACCTGGATTGTGGCTTTGTAAGGTGCATCAGAGCGAACAAATGGGACCAATGATTTAGCAGTGGGCATAAACAGCAGCAATCACACGAGTGTTCAGCACAAGACCGAGAGACAGATACATTCATGATGAAAAGGGATCGCTCAATGCAATCATCGATACAATAAAGTTACATGTTTTTCAAAGAGCCAATGCGGAATCCTCCTCTGCGTTCGTCGTCGGGGGCATGATAGAAGTCGGAAAAGTCGTAAGAAAATGAAACGGGTCTTGTAGAAAGTCAATACAAATCAAGGCTGTCTGTCAGCGCCACCGTGGCCAGACCTGTCAAATAGAGTCAGCAACTTGTCAAGCAAGTGTTGGAAATTGAACATGGGAAACATACCAGAATTCCTTGCCAACCTTGTCACCCTTCTTGCTCTTGTCTTCTCCAAGCTTCTCGTTGGCCTGGTCGGCTCTCTCGTCCATTTCCTTGTTATGCTTCTTGACGTCCTCAGGAAGGTCTTTCTCGGCAGGTGCAGGGGCGTCGCTCTTATTGAGCGCAGGCTTCAAGCCTTTTGTCGACTTGGGGTGCTCCTCACTCATTCTTCTGGCCATAGTGGAGAAGCTCTTCTTTTGTTGCTTGGCTGCGTCGGTGTTGTTACCGGTGCTGGTGCCCTTGGTAGCACCGCCACTACCTTGGCCGACCTTAGGAGGTGGTGGGCCAGGGTGTTCCTTGTCGGCTGAGGGGTTTGCGCCTTGTGCTTGAGGGTCCTCGCCCTTGGGATCACCCTTGCCGCTACCGTAGTCTGAGGTGGCCATTCTTCTGGCCATGGTGGAGAAGCTCTTCTTCTGTTGCTTGGCTGCGTCGGTGTTGTTACCGGTGCTGGTGCCCTTGGTAGCACCGCCGCTGCCTTGACCGGCCTTGGGTGGGGGAGGACCGGGGTGCTCCTTGTCGGCAGAAGGGTTGGCTCCCTGTTCCTGAGGGTTCTCGCCCTTGGGGTCACCCTTACCACTGCCGTAGTCTGAGGAAGCGAAGCGTCTGCCGCTGACGCTCATGGCGGGGCTGCGGACAAAGGCGCGAGGGGCATTGCGGACAAAGGTAGTGCGTAGAGAATTCATGATAATTGATGTGATGTTTTGGTTGTAAGGGAGGGAAAGAGGAAGACGAGAATTGGAAAAACAATTGAAGCAATCGCGTATCGACCCTGCGGGAGAAGCATGACATAGCTAGAGCTTGCCCAGGTGAGCTTCCACGCATGGTGACATCATGGCTTTCTCCACAACGCTCGACCCTGTCAGCCAGACCACGATCAGCCATCGTGAAAAGCTTCTTCTAGATCGGGCGTCCTGGAAATGCTATCATCTTGACTATCAAAGTGATCAGCTGGTAGTCTGCTACGATGATTGTACGAGGCATGTTGTTTAGTCAATCATCACGGTTCGAGGGAAGCTTGACCAAGAAACGGATTGGAAGGCACGCTTGATGCAGTAGATTTCCAATGCAAGAGTTATCCTGCTCAGACTCATATATCCAACAGGTACAACGTACAACTCTGACCCAAAGTAAAAAATAAAAACAGCTCGCTATGTCAAAACGCTATGCAATCAATCCAATGCAAGAGTGGCCTGCTCAGAGAAGAAGCTCATCATCAAGCATACTGCCTTCTGCTTCCCAAGCTTGACTATCACTCCAAGTATGTATTTTCTGAGCACTTTCTCCAGTATGCCACGCCTGCGCCGTGCTCTCTTCCCTCCATTGTACATCATCCGCAGCATTACTACTCGCGTAGTACGCTGACCTTGGCCCCGGAGGTCCGATCTTGACTTTCGCAGCCGAACCCCAAGCGCCAGGACTAGCAGGGTAGTACTTGTATTTCTGCTGGCCCACAACGATTTTCCACAACCACACTGTTGAAGATACAAGTGGTGATAGTATCGGCATCAAGGGCCGTGATGCCAGAGTGGGCAGAACATAGGGGAAACGTGGCGCGTGTGGATCTACACCATATCCGCGCATTCTAGTCGCGTATCTGGGAGGGCTGACAATGGAGCTGAGGATCCATTCGGTGAGGAGCCAGGTCCAGAACGTTGTGCATAATAGGCCGAGCCAGGTGAGTCGGAAGCCCAAAGGTGCTCGAGCATCGCGACGGAAATACCAGCCCCAGTACTCGTTCCAGGCAGCGCGAAGCACACTGGTTGGACGACCACATTGAGCACACTGTGTGCCTGTCGTATGCTGATGAATGTTTTGGACGTTGTTCATTCGAGGTTTGGAACCTGTGGATGCGGATGCAATAGCTTCATCCAACGCAGTATTGTGTTTGGCTTGTGGTTTGGGTTCTGCTTTGGCACTTGTGCCTCCCATTCGTTTCTTGAGACCTTCTAAAGCAAACCATCTCTGCCGAAGGTCCCTATCTTGTTGTGATGTTGGTGCTGTGTCTACCGCTTCTTTCTCTTGTCCTTGGGGCCTTTTCTCGTTGTCTGTATGAGTCGTGTTCTGCTTTTCGGCAGACTTTGAAGACTCCGGCTGAGCAGAAGGTACGTCGGGAAGATCAAGCCTCATGGTATTATCAGCAGATGGAGCCATCACCTCCTCCAAACTGGCAATAGTAGAATCGCCAAGCGTGGGATCGTCCTCTTCCCTTCTCTTGCCATCGCGAATATCCTTGAGGACGGCGTCCAAGGCAGAGGCTGGAAGATTCGGCTCGCTGATTGTTCGCTGATGGGAACTTTCTGCAATTGGTTGGAGGGAGTCGGACGTTTGACGTTTGGTCTGAGTTGTTGTAGAGGCGCTCGATTGCCTGGCAGTCTGTGGCGTATCGACCCAGGCGCCCATGACTACGGGTGTTTTCGCAGGCAGTTGTCGCTCGGCTGGCCGTGAAGGAGTGACCAAAGGCTCTGAAGAGGCAGGTTCTGAATACGCAGGTTCTGGGCCTCTAGGCTCTGGAATCTCTACTACTTCTGGCGCTTGCGACGAGTCTCCTTGTTCGACATAGACAAGTTCAGGCCCTCTGACAACTTCAGGAGCTTGTGGAGAGTCGCCTCTGAACAGCGATCGCGTAGATTGTTTCGGGTGTTTATCCGACCAAGCAGTTTCCTGGCGGCTAGCAATGTTGACTAGCGCAGGATTTTGGGCAGAGGTAGGTGAGGGCGAAGCACTTGGAGTCCTTGACAGCCTTTTAAGCAATGCCAGGGAGTCTGTCTTTCGCTGTGCGGGTCGTGGAGTAATAGAAGGCATGGATGCTGAGGCTTCGACCGTCTTGTAAAGGGAGCGCGCGGAATGTCGTGGTTCTTGTGGGATGTTCTCCTTGTTGGAGACGGACCTTCTGAGTCCTTGGGCCGAGCTAGGTGCAGTGTATCTGTCTCGCTGCGAAAGCGATATTGTCTCATTTGTCGACTGCTGGTGTGCTTGGCGGCGTGTGGACGATGTGGCGCGGCTCTCGTATGTGTGAATTTCGCGCTCACGAATTTGATCAATGGTCAAACGGGATCGCGAGGGTACGCCAGGCGTGGAGACCAGCAGGGAGGCAGCACTGAAATCCTGGTCTGGGTCCCATTGATCAATATAGCTGTCCTGCTGTTCGACTATGGCCTGCTTCGACACGACGTGGGCGCGTCTCTGGGCTGGAGAGACATGAGGCGGCGAGTGCAAGGAAGCATTCGCAGCATCGGCCCAGTCTATGTTGGGACTTGAATGTATGTTGCTCGGACCCTCATCATGAATGGAGCGCATCCAGGAGTGATTGGGTCTTCCTTTTCTTCCCCATGCTCGCGGCGGGTTCAAGGGCGGGTCGGAGGCGGTAGAGCCAGAGGCACTAGCAGGATGGTGTGGTTCGGGAGAGTATGAAGAAGGATTGTGAAGATTGTTGCGTTCGAGGTTGTCGAGGTTCAGAGCGGCGCGAGGCAGAGGTTTAGCTTTCCTAAAGGCTTGCGACTGGGTCAAGGTCTGGATGCGCTGGGCGTCTTTTGTATGCTGAAGCAGTTTGCGACCAAATTCGTCCGAGCCGTCCAGGGAGCTGAAGTCGGAGAAGTTGGATGCCTCATCGTAGTGCGACATGGCCGCGACGACTTGTCGACGAGTTTCGAGCGTCGAGGCGCGTTATGAATTGAATTTATTGATGTTTATGGCAGCATGCAGCATTGACTGAGTGTTTTCACGTCCAACCGGCTGAGTAACATGGTCTGCTATACTTCATACCCACAAAAGAAGATGATGCGACCAGGAATTGAGCGAGGCGACAATTGGTATAGAATGTCTTGTCGAGTTGGAAAGTTGTTGTTGACGTCTTTGGCTTTGTTGATGCCTTTTCCGTTGTCCAGGGTCACATTCGAGGTCCGAGCTCGGCACCCCACGTCGTCGTCGGCGCCATGGCGTAGACACGCCCGCTCATAGCGACAGCAGGCAGACGACTTGAAGACTTCCAATCCACCTCCCCTCACGTACTGCAACCATGGCTCAAGTCAACTGGCGCTCAATCGACATCGACGCTCTCGACCCCGAATCCTCATCCAACTTCGACCTCTCCACCTTGACTCCAGCTGTCCAACCCATCAGCCCACAAGACGTACAAGCCCTCAGCGGTCAGATCAGACAACTATGGCGCGGAGGTGATGCTGAAGGTGCTCTCCGTGGTGCCTTGGAAAATGCCCCGTATGGAGCCGACGCTCAGTCAAAGGACTCGTACTTGCAGACTGTCACCGAGGTCTTGCAACAAGTCCGCACCGCCGACGTGGGTCCTTTACTGCAGCGCATCTACACATCTGAGGGTGGATCGGAACTCTGCGATGTCTTGATGAAGTACCTGTAATTCTACCCTTGGTATCAAGTCTCGTCAATGTATACTAATCCTTCCCAGCTACAAGGGCATGGCAAGCGGTGCTTCCACCAGCAACCCCTCCAAGAACGTCACACCACAAGTCACCGGTTTCTCACAGGTTCAGCCTCGCAACACTGCCGAAAGTCAAGGTGGAAACATGGGTGTCTTCTTGAGTTGGCACGAAAAGGTAAAGCCTCTTACCTGGCCTAGTCATGACATCTCTTACTGACGTGATTTTCTACAGGTAATTGAAATCGCAGGCCCCGGTACCATCGTTCGCGTCATGTCAGACAGGAGAACTGTCTAAAACTGCCAATCATCCATGTACATTACGAAAATACCCAACTAGAACTTTCTTCATATCGAACATCAGGCAATTCGATCCGTCAGCATCAAAATAGCGGCCAGCCGCGACCAGTACGGAGACTTTGCTTGATCAGGAAAGCTGAGTCATCACGATGGCGAAAGATGGACAAAAGTGTGCTTGAAGGTGTAAGTCAGGGCATTGAAGCTTTCTCATTACTCTTCATGCCAAATGTATGCTATGATTCTGTCGTCAAAGTTCCTCCAAAGAAAAGACGCCGTGCATGCAGTTTGAAAATCAACTCTAGTGGGTATCTGCTGCAAACAACAAAACAAAATCAAACAATTTCCCGTCATTAAACCAATCCGTGGATATGGTCATCGTCATTAATAAATGTCATCGACTTCTCGCTCCAAGCGAGCTTCTGATTCATCGTCCCGCTGGGCCTTTGTTTAGACGTGAGCAGGGTTGACAGCAGGTGCGCTGGAGTCAAAGCTGTGGTGGTTGCTCTGCATCTCCATTGCGGGCTCCTGAGTACGAATAGGCTCGTGGATGTGAGCAGGCTGGGGGTGGTTGGGGGCGAGGGTCTCGGGTTGCTCGCCAGTCAGGGGGTTGGTCAAGGGCTTCTCCGAGGGCTGGCCATTGACAAAGTTTGACTCAACATCGATGTTGTTCTTCTTGGCCTCGCGAACATGAGTGCTCCAGGGACCCATCTTCTCATCGTGATTCTTGCCGACGACAAGGATGACGGTGCTAGCGATAACGAAGATCCAGCCGATCCAACCAAACACGACTGAAGTGACGATACGGGCGCTGTGCTTGTAATCGAGAACAATCTTGCCGTTCTCCGTAACGAGTCTGTTTCCTTCCGCTGTGCTCACACCGGTCACGTATGCGCTGTGAGTAGCGACAATGACGGTCATGGCGATACAACTGGCAAGGTGGATGAAGATACCAGCAATGGCCGAAAGCTTCCAGCCAAGTCTGACACCGTGATCCTCATGTCTCTCGGGCCAGATCAAGTCGAAGAAGAAAGCACCACCAAAGATGGTGGCGACGTAGATGCCAGCAAAAATGTTGTAAGAAGCAACACCAACATAGTCGTTGTTGTACTCGTTGGCAGGAGCACCATGCGATTGAATGTACTTCTGCTGACTAACATATCTGGAGAGAGCATCGGTTCCGAGAGATTCTGATACAACACAGAAGATCATGGCGAGTTGATAAACGATGAACTTTGTTCTTCTCAGATGGTAGACTTTGTTCCACATGTTTGCATTGCCGAACTTCGACCATGTAAACTCGCTGAAGGGCAAGCCGAAGATGACGGGCGCCATCTTGATATGTTGTGAGGGGTGAGGTTGACCGAGAGTTGATGTGATCTATGCAACGTTCCTGGTAGAGGTATATAAGAACAATAGAAGGTGGCGAAGTATGGTTGCGTGCTGCCGATATGATTGATTTACAATCGTAAGTTGAAGACGGCAGTCGGCAAGGTAGATGGTCCGAGGTATGAAACGGAAGAGGAAAGTCTGATGGAGTGTGGGAGAAGGGCGAGTTTAAGAAGGGAAACAGCAGTTCATCATCTCCGTACTCCAAGGGACCACCCTCGTAATCCCACGCCTATCTAATTCGCAAAGCTTGCTAATCCGACCAAATTTTTCCTTGCGGCCGTGAAACCCCGTCGTCGCTTGACGCAGCGCGTGTAAGCGGATCGGTCGTTGATGAGCTTATTTTTCGGGTGGCTTGCCGATCCTCACGTCAGAGGCTTAACCCGCGAGGACATCTCCATACGATTGGACCTCGAGCACACCTCAGAGCCTCATAAAAAGCTTTTGTCAAGAAACATTCGCCACCTACATATACCAAGCTCAAAAGTAGCTTGTCACTGCAATCCTTCTCTCTTGTTCCCGGATGCTGTTTTGTCAGTTCGACTTTCGTTTCGGATGCGATCAATTTCATAGCCATCCAAGCACAGACGATCTTCAGCCTCCTCGAAAATCGACGTCAGTGGACCCACCTGTATGCGGCAGAGCCCAGCAGTGAATCACAACAAAATTGTCATGACGGAAGCGGATTCTTGACCGTAGGAGGTGCTAAGCAGAGGAACTACTCTTGTCCAATCTCTAACGTCTCATCGTCTTCGACGATCTGTGTGTATCTCCACACAGTCTTCAGAGATTTACTCAGATCAACTCCCGAATCGTGATCATATGGCTCGGTGGTACTATGTGTGCCTTGGACCCTAGGGTGGTTGACTGAAGTAATGAGACAACTACCCGGCATTTGTTCTCCTACAAGTTGGTTGTCAAGGGAGTGATTCCCTCCAGACATCATTCAGTCAGAAGCAGAAGAATACCAAAGGCCTTGTTTTTACAACATGCAGACCCCTGGAGTCGGTTGCCATGCGGAGACGTTGGCGGCCATGCCGACCCTTCGACCAATAACGGCGGAATTAACATAGCGAGTGGCCTTCAACTAGTGTCAAGACCTGAGCCCTGCGTGCTGCGTTTTCCGCCAGCCAATTCAAGTTGCTTCAACCAGCAGAAACATGAACATTGAAAGAGCACTTTTCGACAACCCTGACAGAACGGTGGACATCGTAGCTTTTCATCTTTGCCGCGATGGTCTGGAGAGGATGTTCAGATGCGCGCGAGCTCACTGCAGCCATGCCTACCTCCGTCCGGCTCGGAACATAAATTGGCCATTTATGAGCTGTACCATGTCGAAACAGGAGAAGCCGTCCGCAATGACTGCACGCTGCTTGACCATAAGTGCTGCCACTCAATTTTGATACGCTTAGCTCGACGTTCCCAGACCGAACGCGGAAACCACTGGCTTGCAGAGAACTATCTGTCATAGTTCTCTGTGAAGGCGGAAGGATGCTCCTCGAGGAATATTGATACATCTGCCGTCACTATTCCAAGTTCGTTCCGATAAACAATGTGATCGACGACTATGGTATGCACCAATGTGATCTCCGCCAAAGCGAGGTTCGATGGCAGTAGTCGTGTCATGCATAGCGATTTCGCGGCAAACATCGAGCGCTGCAGTCCACCGCCGTCATCAGCGAGGCATACACATGGCCACTGGGCGGACGTTTTCGTCTTTCAATGTTCTATCCTAACACAATCGCAATCAACCAGGTGACAGCTGGGAGTGCAGAGTCGACGCACCTTCGTCGCTCATGCATCTGAGCCGGATACTTCGCACTGCGATCACTTGGTTGAAGTTGCACTACATTGTGTGGTAAGGTAACCGTCATGGTTCGACGTTGACATGGCGCCATAAAACCAGAAATGAAGTGGCTGGTTGATGCCAAGACATTAACACAACACATGTCAAATGTTTGGATCGAGACGCGCGGGGAACTCTGGACTCTGGGGTCAGGCTAGAAACGCATCATATATTAAGCAGAGAAATGGGTAGAAATGATTGAAGGGGAGATGTGTGAACATTGGACTGCTGGCCTGTGGTCTCTACTGAATGGCATTGATAATCCTAGAAAGTGTCAGACTCGGAGTGTTCTTGGTGCTGCAGAGAACAAAGCAGAAATCAAGCTCGACAACGGGTTACGTCACTGGTGATCATGGATGGCGTTTTTGAGGTAGCTCCAGCTTTGCTCCCATCAAACAAAATCTAACGCGTGCCTCCTCCTTCCGTCCTTCTCATCAACCCATACCTAAGTTTCTTTGGTATTCGCAGATATGAGATTCAATTTCGCAACCGCCGCCGTTCTCGCTCTCGGCGCGCAGTCCGTTACTGCCAGCACATGGTTCAGCAAGGCTGGTAAGTGATGAATGTTTGTTGATGACAGCTGGCTCGCAACCCTTCTGTACACTGGGTGCGCTTCTGCGCGCTCCGTGGACGATCTGTGTTGGGCGGCACAGCTTTCCGACATGGCCATTGAGCCACATTGACACTGCATGCCGAGGATTGAGGCTAACAAATGTTTAGCCTACAACAAGTGGCATGAGACCGAGTTGGAGAGATGGCTCTCTGACCACGATGTCCCTTACCCCACCCCTGCCGACCGCAAGGACCTTGTCGACCTGGTCAAGAACAACTGGGACGACAAGATTGCTCAGCCCTACAACAGCTGGGACACCAAGCAGCTCCAGAACTACATCTCCAGCTCCGGCCAAGAGATCAAGAAGGGTACCGAGCAGAACAAGGACAGCCTTGTCAGCCAGGTCAAGTCGTACTGGCATGAGACTGCCGACCAAGCCTCGGACGCCTATGCGTCGGTCCAAGACTGGGTCTTCGACAGCTGGACCGACTCGCAGATCAAGTCTTTCCTCGACTACCACCACATCCCTAACCCCTCTCCTCGCACTCGCGACACCCTGCTCCACTCTGCCCGCTCCAACTACCAGTCCGTCGCCAAGAAGGCCGGTGAGACTACCGCTTACCCTGGCAACTGGCTCTACACTCAGTGGTCCGACTCTGATCTCAAGGCTTGGCTCGATGAGCGCGGCATCCCTGCCCCTCAGCCCAGCTCTCGCGACAAGTTGATTGCTGCTCTCCGCCGTAACTCCCGTACCGCTGCCAACCAGGCTCAAAAGGCCGCCGCCTCTGCCTCACAGTCCGCTGCCGGCGCCCAGCAGTCTCTGTCTGACCAGCTCCTCAACTCCTGGAGCGAGAGTCAGCTCAAGCAGTGGTTCGACAAGAACGGCATCAAGGTCCCCCAGGGCTCCAAGCGCAACGAGTTGATGGCTCTTGCCCGCAAGCACAGCGCTAAGCTCTCCGGTGACAACGTCTCTGCCTCGGCTTCTTCCCTCTACGGCGAGGCTTCCAAGTCGGCTTCCTCTGTCTACAATGCCGCCTCCGGTGCTGCCGGCAGCTCTGCCTCTTCCTTGTCCGGCGCTGCCGCCAAGTCTGCCTCTTCTGCTTCCGGTGTCTACGGCAACTCTGCCTCTTCTCTCTCGGGTGCTGCCGCCAAGTCTGCCTCGTCCGCATCCAATGTAGCCGGCAGCCAGTTCGCATCCGCTACTGACTCAGCCTACGGATCTGCTCAGTACTGGTTCGATTGGGCCAAGGCTCAGGTTGGTATTGGTGGTGAGCAGGCCAAGTCTTCGCTCGCTTCCATCTCCAGCGTTGCCTCTGCTTCCGCTTCTTCCCTTTCCAGCGTCGCTTCCGTCTCTGGCACTTCTGGCTACAGCGCTGCCACTGATGCCGCTGGCTCTTCTGCCTCTTCTGCTTCCAGCGTTGCTGCCAAGTCTGGCAACAGTGCCTACGATGCCGCTGCCGCTTCCGCCAAGTCAGCCACTGATGCCGCCGGCAAGTCTGCCTCGTCCCTCTCTGGCGCCGCTGGCAAGTCTGCTTCATCTGCATCCAGCGCCGCCTCGGTCGCCGCCTCCAAGTCCTCTTCCTCTCTCTCCAAGGAGGCTGCCAAGTCTGCCTCTTCCGCTTCGGCTTCCGGCCCCAAGTCTGCTAGCTCCGCTGCCAGTGCCGCCTCCAAGGCTGGTGCCGGATACGCCCAGCAGGCTGCCGATGCCGTTCAGGAGAACGCCAGCTCGGCCAAGCACAGAGCTTCCGAGGCTGCCCAGAGAGCCGCTGACTACGTCAAGGAGGAGCTCTAAGCTATTCCGTTCATATATCCACCAACCCCAGCAAAGTAAAAGGCGAGATGAATCTTTACGAATCATGATGAGTTGAGGAGGAAAATGACGGTCTCTGTACTTTTATCCTAGTTCAACGACACTGATGACCCCCCAAAAAGAGGGATTATTTGCTACTTTGCTTTTCTCCCCTTAGGTAGCTTTCAAGAATGAATTTTCTTTATTCGTTATATTCTGTTCGTAATGTCTGTTTTCGTGATGCTTGTATTTAGTGTGTGATGTAGCCGATCCTGTTATGTATCTTGTCATCACATCGTGGTGTGTTGAACAACGAGCGGCTCTCAAGCATCAATGTCATTGCTCCTCAGACCTGACATGTTCCTTGCTAACGTGCACAGATGAGCTCGTTTTACTTAAACAGGATCTTCGCACATGTACTTTACAGAGAATGTTTGCAGAGCGACTGCCCTGTATTCACATCTGAGGCTGTTGAGCGCATCACCCTGTCTTCTCCTTGTTGTCACCACCTCCCAACCCACAAATGTGTCTGAGCCGCAATCTATGGCTTACTTGCTGATCTCTGAGGGCTTAGGAATCTTAGACAGGTGCTGGTGAGAGGTTGGTTGTGTTCAATTCGATGTTGATGTTCGGATTCGTGTTTGGCGTGTCCACGCGTTCGAGATATTTGTTGCTGAAGAACTGACGAAGGACAAAACGCAAACTTGACAGGCGAAAGGGACGACAGTACAGGAAAGGGTATCGAGCGAGGCAGATACTATTCGACTATAAAATGTATGGCTGCACTTACGATCGCACGGGTAAGGACATATCCAAGATGGGGACATGTCTAACCTGGAAGGTATGGTGTGGACAGGGTTACTACCCACAGACTACGAGTGACAGCGATCTTTAGACCATTCTTTGCAGACATTGATTACATTTCAAGCTCCAATCATCTCATGAGCTCAAGCGATGTCATCTCATAGATCAAAGCTATATAATAATTGTACCCATCATAATCGTAAAGCTACGTCGAGCCAACACCACCCATGCAAATCGTTCAATCATCAATGCATCAATACCTCTCAATCAACCAGGCATGCCTTTCCTTCTCTTCCATCCCATCGAGCATTTCCTTTTCAGCTCTCTTCATGACAATGAAATCCCCAATCATTTTCTCATCTATACCCCTCTTCAACACTTCGTCCTTCTCAAGTTCATCCAGCGACTCATCAAGCGATACAGGCATCTTTGTCGTAATACCCAATTCCTCGCGTTGGGTGTCGGTCAGTGCTGCAGGATTGGCGGTGCAATCTTTCATCTTCATCTGCCTGCCCTCTTGTACACCGTCAAGACCGGCGGCAAGCAGAGCGGACAAAGCGAGGTAGGGGTTTGCGAAACCATCCAGACAGCGGATCTCCCATCGTCCTTGTTTAACCCTGCGCAATGGTGTTTCACGATTCTGCGTACCCCAAGCCACCCAAGCCCCACTCGTCCACATGTTATCCTTCACACGTGCATAACTAGCAGTATTCGACAGCAAGAAAGCACACATCGAAGGTAAATGCTCTAACACACCTGCGAAGAAGGAGAGTTCTTTCTTCTCCAGGTCTTCTGAGGATTGTGTGGAGGAATTCAGGGAGAGATGGACATGTTGACCTGAGCCTACGGAATTGAGAGGGACAGGGTGAAGCGTAGCGCGTAGACCGTGGAGACGAGCGATTTGGTGGATGACTTGACGGGCTTGGATAAGTGTGTCGATGGCTTGGAGGATAGGCAGAGGTGGTAGTACGAATTCGTATTGTCCCGGTCCAGATTCGGAGTGGAATTGCTGAATGTTGATGCCGATGTTTGCGAGCTCGTCGGCAATCTCTGCAAGCACTGGTAGTGCAATGTCGAATTGTTCGGGGGTGAAAGTACCCCAGGCGTGATTCGTTGTCCATGGGATGTATTGGTCATCCGTACCTACTTCCAGGAATACGACTTCGATCTCGAAACCAGCCACAAGGTCGATACTGTGATCGTTTGAGAAGCGATCTGTCAGTATCTTGAGACTGTTTCTCGGGCAGCAGGTGGATGGTCGGCCATCTTCATTGGCAAAGGACGCTATCGTGGTCGCAGATGCAAGTGGATCTTTCGAGTGTGTGAGTCTCAAGGTCGACATGTCGGGCTCCACGTAAAGTTGGCCGGTGGAGCTGACCGCCGAGGTGACATGGTCATTCTGAAGGGTACCCGTGTTGCCTCGGGAAATGCCTATCCTTTCGCCTTCTGTGACGAGACGTCGGTACTCGGCAATTGGTAGCATGCGAGCACGCAACGTAGCAAGATAGTCAAGCCATTGTACATAGACAAACTTCAAGTCAGAATTTTGGGTTGTGAATCTCGTGAATGCATCAAGGTCGTATGGCTTCTCATGTGCCTCAGGTTCTCTCCACGGTAATTGTAAAGGCTGAGGAGCTTGCATGATTCTAGCTTCGCGGTTGCTCTGTGCCCTGGTTCGTCGTGGTTGCTCACTCTGTTCAAGATAAGTCAGCGTCTAAAATGATTATGCAATTGAAAACGTCCCTGGAGATCATATCATATTCTCTACTTCCATCCCTGTCGGATAGTCTCGGGATGTGCGTTCATCTGTGAGTCTTACTGGTTCTATCTCTGGAAGGTCTACGTCCAGATTGTACACTCGCTTCGCGTTGTTGAAGTAGATGGCTTTGGCTGCATCGATGGCTTGCTCGATTGACAGATCATCGTTTTCCACATAGTCTACTAGAATCTTCTCAAATGCTTGTCTGAATTGCTTCAGTGCTAGCCAGTAGACTTCGCCAAAGTGGTGGGCGTCGGTGGAGAAGAGCAGTTTCGAGAAAGGAGTGATCTCCATGCACTGACGCAAGATGGTCTCTTGACCGTTCCTGCTGACTTGAGGGAAGACTTCGCCAAGGTCGAGGTACACATTCTTATAGACTGTTGCGAGGTAGCCGGCCTGACGCATGTATGGATACGATGTGTGGAGGAGGATGATCTGTACATCCGGGAAGGCAGTGATGAGAGGCTGAAGATGAGAAGGATCCGACAAGAGCAAGTCGATGTCAGCATCACCGAGTCCAGTGTGGAACTGGAGTGGCTTGCTTATCGAGTCCTGCTTGGCTGCTGCACTCAGGAGACGACAAGTCGAGATGACAAGACTGTCGTTGAGTCCCTTTGACTCGATACGGAAATCCTTCCGAGAGCAGTCTGGAAGATAACCGCTCTGAAAGGCTTCAAGACCGCTAGTGGCTACCTGTACATCACCGGCAATCTTAACGTCCAGACCAGTACGGTAGCAGATGACGGACTTGAAACCTGCCACGTCGGGATCATTAATCTCGGTGACGATAGCAGACTCAAACGCTTGTAGGAAAGTGATCCAGGCTTCAGCACACATGTCATCGTTGTGCAAAGCTGGACCGATTGGCAGATTGCCTTTCCTGTACATCTCGCGAAGAATGTCTGCAGCCACCGTCTCAATGCGAACAACACGCAGAGTCTTGTCGAGGATGAAGTCGTCATGCCAGTCGTAGAGATAGACGGTGGTATCGTCGAGACCATCGTCCATGAGGATGGTGTGTATTCCAGTAAAGCATCGTCTCAGAAAGCTCTCAAAGTTCCCGTGCAGAATGTCTGCTCTCTTCTCCATCAAGTCTTCCCATTGTGCGTCATTGTCGAGGTCGTAGAGTTCGCGTAATTGGCGTACGGCACGGATGTGCGAGAGCGACGTGTGCGTATCTGTGAGAGCGTCTCCTTGAGCTTCTGTTGTTGCGCTGAGCAGGTCGTAGGCTTCTTGCTTCGACGGTAGAAGAAGATTATGCGCGTGGTTGTCAATGACCGGGCAGGATCGAATCACTTTCCGCAAGTCGTCCAAGGTAGCCATCTCTGCCACGAAATAATGGCTAGGAAGGAGTTGCTGGCAGAGAGACACTCGGTAGGACTCGCGACCTGCATATCGGCGCGCCTGATTTCTTATCGATAAGCCTCGTAATCTGTCCTACGTCACACCACCTTGATTGCACCATCAACCTTCACTCTCACCTCATGTTGTTGAGAGGATATAAGAGACGAGACTCTCTGTAATAGTACCTGCAAATAACCCACCACATCTTCATCATGCCCACAGTCCTTGTCGTCGGCGCTACCAGAGGGCTCGGCCTAGAGCTCGCGAAACAGTATGCGGAACGAGGCGATACGGTCTACGGCACAGCACGTTCAAGCAAACCACAAGATACCCCTCCCAAGATCAATTGGATTGACGGCATTGACGTTGCAGAAGAATCAGCAGGCTCAAAATTAGCGAAAGCCCTAGACGGTCAGAAACTCGACACGGTGATACTCGCAGCTGGCTACTTCGGCTTCGAAACCTTCGACGAGCTCGACTTCGAGAAGGAGTTACTCATGTACAAGACCAGTGCTATCGGTCCTGTATTCGTTGTTCAGAAGTTGCACAAGGCAGGCTTGCTCTCAAAAGGCTCAAAAGTTATCATCATCAGTTCCGAGTCAGGAAGCATTACCCTGAGGCATGAGAGCGAGGGAGGAGGCAACTACGGTCATCATGCAAGCAAGGCTGCTTCAAACATGGTCGGCAAGTTGTTGAGTCTGGATTTGAAGGAACATGGTGTTGCGGTTGGGCTTGTTCACCCGGCTTTCATGAGGACTGAGATGACCAAAGGTGTTGGCTTCGACAAGTATTGGGATGCTGGCGGAGGTAGGCTTACTCTCACTTGCTTGAGATTGACGCGACTGACGACATGCTAGCGGTAACGCCTGACGTTTCGGCCAAATCTGTCATCGACTTTGTCGACACCTTTGACATCTCCAAGACCGGTACATACTGGGCACCAAGAGGTCCTGGAGACATTGGCACCGCAGAGGATGTATTGGGCCCGAAGGACCAACTATCAACACCTCTACAGCTTCCTTGGTGAGATAGGTTCATGGTGAAGCAGATCAGCATTGGTGGAAGGATTTTTGTTGGAGAAGTGCACTCAGCAGTTGCAAAATGCAGAACGAGGCAAGGTGATTGTTTCATAATATTCATTAGACGAAATCCAGCTCGTCATTAATTGTGTCCTCATCCTTATCCTCCAGTCTGTTTCCGAGCTCAGGTCTTGCTCCAGTCTACTCGTTCTTCTTGATGACCTTCTTGCCCATGGACAGACCCATACCATAGTCATAGACCAGAGTACCTCCCAAGTTGGCACCAAAGAGCAACATAGCTCCCAGCACAAGACTGGCACCCACCATCCAAGTCTGCGGCTCACAGGCCATAGGGTTCAAGCCTTCCTTGAGGTACTCCATACTGCTCGCACTCCTCCTCTTGTACCAAATCCAACCCGACACAATGATGACGATATCATTGATCAGAGCGTGTGCAACCAGGACCTTGGCCTTTGCCTTCATCTTTCCGTTTTGATCATAAAGACCTTGTGCCTGAACCATCTTGGCAGCTTGTGCGATTCCTGAGGCGGCGGAAGGGAGAGCAGTAAGGACGCCGAGACCAAGAGCCCAGTAGCCAATTCGTGTTGTTTCGACGACGGTGGGGAGGTAGCTGGTCAAGGTGGAAGGCATGTATGGGCGGACCACATGGAGGGCGTCGAGGCCATAGGCGGTGGTCAGGAAGGCCAAGGGCCAGTGGACGGTGGCAGGATGGATTGGGTGACTGAGCAGAGAAACAGGTCAGCTCGTCGTGCAATCAACAGCATATCATAGCACAAGCAATGGTCATCATCGTTGCTCAAGACAACAATGCGGGGAAAGCTCCAAAACAACTTACTCGACAGACATGATGAATCGAAGAAGCTGTGTATCAACAAGACAGAGTGTCAGAAAAGCGGAAGCAAAGTAACAGACACAAAGCTCTCGGAGATTTTAGAGCAAACAAGAGCTTGATCTAAATGTTGTTTCCTCGTCAAGATGCTCGACGGTTGATCGGCCCCTCGCTTTCCGACGAATTGCAGCGTCAAGAATGGTCACCTTGGTCATACTTTGGTCATCATTTGGATCCTGCAGCTCCACGCTCCTGCCGCTTTGCTTTTCGCTTTGCTTTTCGCTTTGCGTTTCCTGTGCGACCGTGATGGCGGCATGAGCAGGGCTTTTTATCTTAAGTGGAATTGATGTTCCAAAAGGATGATTCCACATGCAACTATGTTGATGAGGATTATGTAGTAGTCAGGCGGCAAGTGCATAGTGAAAGCTTGGCCAAACAGCTATGTAGGGGGCGCAACAAAAGGAACAGAAACAACTCCCACGCAAAAGCGAACTCGCCATTGGCAGGTGCGACGCTCGCAAAACGCAAAAAGAGAGGCAATTGCCCGGTTGTTTGAGGTCGTACTGGGGCTCGAACCCACTGGGACATGTTAGAATGAGGTTCAGATGATGATTAATGGTTACTGGTGTAAACTTACGGACTCGAGAAGATTTGATGATGTAATCAAAATCTCGCGTGCTAACCACTACACTATACAACCGTGTTGTTGAAGGATTTTTGAGTCATAGATTATATCGACCCTATGTTGTGCCATGATCATCGGCCATGCACAATCATCCCTTAACTTTGCATGGGGTTCGACTTGCCGTGCTTCTTCGTCTCCTGTTAACACACCTTCTCGCACGTGCTTCATGACGTGTGTAGCTGTAGAATTGCACGATCAACTCTACGCTGCCTGAAAGCTGGGGATAGGTATGAGCAAGATGCAGAAAGGCATATTGTTAATTCCTTGCTAGAAGCTATGCTGTTTCCCTAGCTATGTTCAACTGATGTAGGCATGCAGCAAGAAAGATACAGCAAAGTCTGAATTTTAACAAGAGCCCCCTTTGTCATCAACGTCATAGCCTCAAGCAATATCTGTCCACTTCTTTCTTCGGTCCCAAGCAGCAGTCATCTCCGCTCCCATTGACTTCAGCTCGGATCCTTTTGCTCATAGCGCCTTACAAGCTCTTCGACGAGCCTGTTTGTGTCAGCTGGGACAGTCTGAGAGCTTGCATGTGAGGGATACATACCCTTGACGACAGCGAAGTTCGCTTCATTGAATGCTAGACCGTTGTGGCCAGCGTCTTGAAGTTGCTCTTGGATTGCGCCAGCAAAGGTCATGTCGCTTCTAACAATTTGATCGAACTCCCCCCAGACGAGCACATCGCCTTTTGAAACGACCTCTTCGGCCTTGAGATGGCGAACGAAATCGAGGAACGAGAGGTCTCGCCAGTCTTGGAAGGCTTCTGGCGGTGCATCCCTCCCGTCGATGGGCACCTGGCATCTCCAAAGTGGGAATGAGACAATCTTGCGGCCTAAATGGTCATCTAAGCTCGGCTTGACGGCCACGATTATCTCAGGGAGCTTGGTCGAAGGGCGCTGTTCTGAAAACCTGGACCCGTTGAGGGCGGCATAGGTAGTTGCTTCTTTGATTGCTGCCTCGAGCTCCTCGTGAAATGGGATGTTCAAAACACTTGGAAGAACAGAATCGATGGGAGACTGTGAAGAAGTGCTGTTTGACCGGAGAGGCGAAGAGGAAGAGCCCATGGCATGGTAAGCAGGCAAGGTCGTGGGTTTGTTAATGGATTTGAACCCCGAGGAAGCGCTGCTTGTGGCTGACTGTTGGTGAGCGCGTCCACGCTTAACTGCAGGGCTGGCAACGACAGGACCCGATTTAGACGAACGTCCATCGTCCTCCGCCTTGCCGAGTGCCTTGTCTGGCTGCAATCCTGCCTTACGTCCAGGTGCACCCTTGCGCCCAGATCCAGGCTTGCGACCAGTGCCGTTCTTCTTGTTGAAGTCGAACACGTAATTTTGTAGGATTTTGCCGATCGACGCCCTGGTCCAATCGTGCGTCGTCTTAGTGAAGTTCCAAATAGCAGAGAATTGGGTGAGCAACAGGTCTTTGTGATGGGTGTACAACGCGTTGCGTGCGGTGCCGATTGGAGTCGGCGCTATCACTCTGGCTGAGTCACGAAGCGCTTTCTCGATGCGCTCCTCGTCTTGTTTTGAGAGGCCATGAGTCGTGGCGATGCGTTTTCCATTGTGGGCTGTTGGTACTTTGGTGTCTTTTGGCATAGTTGTGATGATGAGAGGGCAATAAGAAAGGAAGAACGCGTGTTGATGATAAGAAGATTGGAGTCAGGACTCAGATGCGCAGTTGTCGAGTTGAGAACTACTCACAAGGTGGAAGGTGCTGACGCCTGTTAGTCGGCAGTCACTTCTTCTTTGAGATCACAACACCTGCCGACTCGAACCGAGGAAGCTGCTTCCGTGCTCCTTCCCTCTCACTATTTGAAGTCGAGTGATGTCTCTATTGTTCATCTCCTGATCATGTCTGCAGAAGTTGAAGCTGAAGTGATGCAAGATGTTTTCTGAATCAGTGAGTACGTCCAAAGAGAAGGGACTTGCTGGTGTACTCTCACTGGAGACGACTGCGGTTCGAATATGTTCGTGTCTTCAGTCAGCCACGAGTAAGACGCAGTTCGACATAGGGAGAGGCCGCCGACGTCGGTCTTCGCAAATCTAGACCATGATTCACGATTGGACGGCGGTCAAGCCCTCTAGCGGAAAGCGAGAATCAGAAACAAAGTGCACAACAGGTGAAGAGAGACAGCAGAGAGGGGTGATACATGCTTTCATTTCTCATTGTGGCATCGAAGTTATCTTTACTATGGCTGAAGTTCATTTGGTCAACATCAGTTGATAGAAGTCCCACCGATCAATCTCCATCTTCGTGATCACCAGATTCGTGTCGTTCAACACAGATCAAACTGGAGAACAGTGATACTGAACTTGGGTACATCCCAAGACCAAGCAGATCCATTCGCGGAGCTAGCAGTCGACTCGACCTCCGCAGGGCGAGGAACAACCTCTGTCTTGTTGCCAACATAGTTGTAAGAGTTGAGATCGCTGGCAGTGATACTGGTGCCGTTGACGCCTGAGTAAGCGCTCGGAATGTTGACGCTAAGCGGAACGGTAGAGTTCAAGGTGTTGATGACCTTGAGGTAGATAGCATTATTCTCCTCGTCTATGCTGGCAGCCCAATACAGAGGGTTAATCTCACCCTCAGTGGCAGTGACAGGTAAGGTCTCGGTACCGCGGTAGTGTGCGAACAGCCACTGCTGCCAGTAGCTGGCACTAAGTACGGTGTTGTCATGCAGAGCATCGTAAGAAATCATATCGGGAGTCCAATTAGTGAAGTTACGGTTCTGGAGCGAAGGTGCATAAGAGGACATTCTAACAGTGTTAGGATTGCGCTCAGCACCAAGTGCATAGACACCCTCTGCAATGGCAGAAAGAAGACGAGGATACTGGACATGGACGTCGAGGGGATAGGAGTAGTTGACAATGCCGGAGGGGGTATCGATCTGGATGACCGAGTACTCGCCCAACAAGACGGTGACGCCGGTGTTGTTGGTCTCCTCTTGCCAGTTGTCCCACAAGTCGAAGTTGGCCAGGAACCAACTGGGCTCCTGGTAACCGTGCCAATCCCACATGTTACCATCAGGGATAGAGATGTTGTAGTTGGCGGCGTTCTCATTGAAGGCAGTGCTGATGTAGGTGATATTCGGGTATGCCTTCTTCAGACCGTCATACATGATCTGGAAGCGGTAAGGGTAAGTGACACTGAACCAATCCTCATTACCAATCTCAACAAAATTGATCTTGAAGGGCTCGGGGTGGCCGTCAGCAATACGCTGAGCACCCCACTTGGTCGAGTTGTCGCCCATACAGTACTCAAGCTCGTCCAAAGCCTCTTGCAGGATCTCGGGCATCTGCTCGGGAGGGTATGAGGCACCGTTCTGACCATAGACATCCAATGAGAAACCGGCATAGACGGCGAGAACAGGTTCAATGTTCATGGCTTCAGTCCATTCAAGATACTCGAGCAAACCAAGACCCTGAGTGTTGTAATAGTTCCAATCGCCAACACGACCAGGGCGATTCTGCAGAGGGCCCAAAGTCTCCCACCACTTCCACCTCTGAGCGGGACTATAGCCTTCGAGGTTGTTGCCACCCGGGAAGCGCAAGAAGGTCGGGTTGAGATCATAGAAGCCTTGAGCGATGTCAGGACGAAGACCATTCTGGTAACCCTTGAAAGTTTCGGGGAACACCGAAACCAGGTTGAAGTAGAAAGTCTGTCCAGCAACCTGAGCACCATCAAAAGTGATGGCGAAAGTGTTGTTGGCATCAGGCGCAGTTGCATTGGGGTGCAGAGTGGTCTCCAGCTGCTTGAAATCGATGTAGGTAGGTGTGACGTTTTTGAAAGTCGAGCTTGCCCATGTCTCACCCGTAACGTTCGAGCGGAAAGAAACAGTGATGTCGCTGGCATTGCCTTGGGTGTTACGAGGGTAGTTGTTTAGATACCACAGCGAGGTGTTGTATTGCTGAGGGTGAATGTCGAAACCCCACCAGCCAAAGTTTTGGAATCCGACCTCGCCAGTAGCGTTCAACGGGAAGTCAATCTGCAAAGAGGTCTCAAGAGCATCCGAAAGAGGATGAAGGATATCAAGAGTCATGCGAACTCCGTGGCCAATGGGTGCCCAAGCAGTCATGACAGGGTCGAACGGAACGACATCATTCTCAGAATCAGTTACGTAGGTGCCAACGTAGCCATCGAGGGTGGAGATAATTGAGTTGGACCCTGGCTTATATCAGTATTGATGCACAGACGCAGGGTGCTGTTACATACCTTGGAAGGCACGATTGGCGATCATCTCGGCATAGATACCACCATCACCGGAATGGTTGATATCCTCATGCATGATACCATACAGATAGGGAGAAGTAGCATTGCGCTTGCTGGTGTCTTTGGTGTCAATGTGCAGGACGACAGGAGAGTTGTCATTCCGAGTGGCATTGATGTAAGCCTGGTAAGAAGGCAGAGACGAAGAGAGAGCAGTATCATTGTTGAATTGGCGTGGAGCAACATGAGGCAATCTTCTGGCACTGACCATGCCAGCGCCGGCAAGGGCGAGAGTTACGAAACCAAGCATCTTCGTTTGCTTCAACGGCGAAGAACCAAGCTGTCAGTGATGAAACCATAGTGGGCATACTTCTCTCTATTTATTGAACCGCTCGTTATTATCCTTATTATACATGGCCAAGAGAGGTTTCTCCGCACAAAGGTGAAAGCATGCGTAAACACTCCAACAGTTCTCATGGAGACCATGTCATCGAGCATGCGAGCAGAGCATGACCCCCACCGGACAGCGTGGTTCCTGCAGACGAGAGGTTGGATCCACCAATGATAGCACCGGAAGTGCTGGCATAGTGCTCCTAGCTCGTCAAGATCGGGATACCCGAAAGCCAAGCATACCCCACTGCCCCATGCGGGGTCTCCTCAAGTCGACCTACATCAACGGCTAAATGCAGATCCTATACCAAGCCGATTGAAGCACATCTTGGAACAGATCAACGGGCAAATAGGGTTTGGCACATCGAATACTGGCTTGGAAACAGGTTACGGCAAGCTGGGCGCAGCATCGGGACACATCCTTGCTCAATATCCATGACCTTAACCGCGATGTGATGGCGGCGATATGTATGAACAGCACAAGCATCTCGGCTTGCAAGGATGCACAGTGGCGAGACAGGAATTGTAGTATGCAGGTCGGCTCATTTGCTCCACCAATGTCCCGGATCTTTCTTGTTTTGACCTCTTCGGCCTGTTGACGAGCTGGCAGTCCCATTGGCCTGAGGCTTTCGCGCTCCATCACTACCCATCAACTTCTTCCACAATTCTGCGATCGGAATCCGTTTTGCCGGGAGCATACTATACTGTAGGCTGTAGAGACTCTTCCGATGAATTGGCGGAACGAAGCGTCCTGTGAAGAGGCACAAGAAAACACTGGGCGAAAGGTAGTGTTTGCGGATGCGATATGCAAGTTGCGAGTATTGAGAGAAGGTCTCTGAGAACGGTAGAGGTACCGACTGTGAGATGTCAACAATCTAGACGACCACGCAAACCGAGTACTGGATTTCATTACCTGTAATTGTATGTGCGCAGTAGGTGCAATATCTGGTTTCACCGAACCACGCTGATGCGGAGAATCGAATGCAAGAGGGGTATCACGAAGTTCAAAGCGTATGCCACCTATCAAGATAGTCAGAAGAATGTCCGGATACCTGTGGCTGATGTCCTCTTACCTGGTAAGCGCCGGGAATCTTTGATCCTCAGCATGAGTGCGAAAAGAGGGAAATGGTTCAGACAAGCCAGCCACGTGTCTAAAGCAGCCTTGAAAGCAATTATACCCATACGTGCGCCCGCGAAAGTCGCATAGAAGACGCCAATTGTAGGAAGCAAAAATGTCAGAAGTGCGAATAAAATCGTACCCAAAAGCAGCTGATCCAGATCGTAATCGCATGAATCGATGCGATTGCGAAGAACATTCCGTTTCTTGCCACGGAAAAGATGGAAAAGCGAGACTATTATGGTGAGCTGCCAATTATATATGCGGGCCGAGGCGATGTAAAAAGCGTAAACATGGATGGTCAAAACAGAGAGTAGATCCGAGAAGAGTGAGATAGGCATGCTCGCACCGGCAAAGCTTGAGAAGCCTATAACCCGAATAACATGAGGGAGTAAAGGGCGTATACTTTGCATACACTCGGCCCAGTAATCGATGATCCAGAGAAACAGGTCACCAAGAAACTGTGCCAGATCTTCGTTGAGCTTCAGACCACCAGGGTATCCCATTAGCCAACAAATCATGCGCTGAAGGCCTTCTATGAACCAGGAATCGACAATGGATTCGACTTGGCCAGCAACATAGTCTGAGTTTTCGATGATGTATGAGCCGATAGCAATCCCAATGATTATGTCGTTTGCCACGAGCCATAGACTATTGTAGAAGCGGATGTATTCGGGATGGCTGTTTGTGACGCTTCCCCAGTCGGTGCGTCTCTTGCGTAGAGTTAGATATTGGATTGGCCAGTAACAGAACTGCTGCAGACGTATGTCAATCTGCTGTGCTGTGGCTGATACATCTTTGAGGGCAGCTGAATCCGGGATGGGGCGCCACTCGAGAATTCTCAGCCAGGCTTCACCAGCTATACGATGGCCGACCAAAGCCAGCACTAGCAACTGCGTGACGACAGGATAGACATAGGCGAAGAATGCATGGTGTACACCATACCTAGTGTAGTCCCAAAGATCGGCTGCCGACTCAGCCATGCGCTCGCTCACACTCATGCTACGTCTCGTGCGTGAGCCAACAAAGCCAATGTTTTTTCGAACTAGCTCGTCGATCTCATATGAGCAATTGATCTGATTCAATATCACAGGGAGGACAAGTTCCTTCGAGGTACGTGCATGGTGGACAACAGTGTGCATGCGCAATTTGTCGACAAGCTGTTGCTTGCGTGCCCGGTCGATCGCTTCATCTGCGCCAAAGCCTTCAGCGACTGTTTTGCCTGCTCTTTCTTGTGCATCCGATAAGGTAAGGGGTATCGGCGAGAGCGACAGATATTGCATGCGGTGGGGATTAGGGCGATCGAAGGTAACGATCTGAATTGAGATTGAAGGTGCGCCAGGGCAGTGTACTTGAGGGATGGCGTGGCGTTGGGTGTAGTACAACTGAATTGACGAAGGGTCGAAGTTGAGCGAGGGTGCGCGTTCTGGATTCAGTGTTCCAAGGACCTGTAAAGGTAGGCGGCCACATCTGTCAAGTATGCGATCGATAGGGTGGGGACTGCCATGAAAGAGACGACCCGATTTGAGGGTATTTCCAACGGCATGCGCCTATGTCTTGGTCAGCAAGAGTGTGATCCGAAGCTGCCATCTAGACTGACATCGACTTCGCGCAGGATGGCCACAACGACCATGTCCAGATCCGAGTTCCTCCATCCTATAACGACGCCTGCTTTGTCGGAGCGAGCAATGTCGGTCGGCCAGAAGATGCGCATCAAGCCATTTGGAGCGATCATGAAGGCCTAGAAAGAGCCTCTCCGTTTCAATTGTTCGCGCGCCGAAAGACCTAGAGCTGGACGAGGATGCTTCAGACTGTCAGGAGGGCTTCCTGCCGAGGACACGATTGCACTGACTATATCACTCTCTCTAGCAGCTATGCGCTCGATTGGTACGATCAGGACGATGAAGAAGATGGTAAGGACCAGGAAGGCTTTTAGCGACCGAGTCTGCGCATCGCATTAGCTGTGCACTGGCAGAGGTGGACGGGTCGAGAGACGCACAATAACACCGTGGTCCCAGGCAAAGATGGCCAGTTCATACAGCCGGGTGACGAGATCCCAGCGAGCGGTGATATACCCAGCTACAAAGATGCCAAGCGTGAGGACGGAGAATGGGTGCATGAATTGCCTCGCTCATGACCAGAGTCGATGTCTATATCGCGAATGATGGGCGGCCTCTTGGCAGCCAGGAGAGCTTGTCGAGTAGGTGAAGCGGTGCAGGACGGATGAAGAGATGGGTCTCAGCAGTAGGACATGACGACCAGCGAGCCAAAGTTCGTCAGGAAATTGCCTTTCTCCCTGTCAGCGTCCAGCCGCGCAATCGTCGCTCTCGTGCTGCTTCCTTCCAAAATGACGCCCGCTACAACTTCCACCCACTGACCCTGCCGACGGCCCGTGCTCCCATGCAAACCTCTATCCAAAAGCGGAAGCAGCGAATCGCGACAAAATCCCTTGTTTGCTCTGCCACGTTGACCATATCATCAGCCACGGACAGAAGAACTTGTATGTTCCAAAACTAGCAAGTCGAAGGTCGTGCTTGACGCTTGCTGTTCGCATTGTCGGATCAAGTCACTCGCTTGTCAATCTACTCCGACTATGCTTGATATTATGCAACAAGCCTATTAATTTTGCAACATCAAGCTTCGACTATCAACTTTGACAAGTACTATATAATCTCATGTTCGGTCGCGTTCAGCACGGCCAAGGAGGTGGCGGTGGTGGTGCTAGAGTGTGCTCTTTCTATCAACAAGGCAGATGCAAATTCGGAGGTGCGGCTAGTGGTTACTCTTCTCTTCCTGCTTATCACTGATCTCATCCAGACAACTGTAAATTCGAGCATCCTGGCGCCAATAAACCTCAAGACACTGGAAATCGCTTCCAGGCGCTAGGAAACAACTCCTTTGGCCAGGGAAACCGCAACAATCAAAGGCCACCTGCTCCAGGACGAGGAGAGCAATACAATAGCCAGAATTCGTAAGTTTTGGAGGCAATTTAACCAGATCTCTTGATTGCGAAGTGCCACACTCGGCGACATTTAACCTGCGATAGAGTACTGATATTTGCATAGCTACGCGGTAACGAAAGAGGGAATCGAGGGCGATCTCAGAAATGAGAGGCCCAAATGGCCGTTCTCAGCTTATGGTCCTGGCAGAGACACGCCATTACAGCTCTTTGGCGGATTTCCACTAGAACAGAGCCCTGAGGAGATGCGAGTGCTTTACTACCAAGCGATAGCGAGCGGTAATCCACAACCTGCTGTAAGTGACACAGGCTTTAGCTGCTCTTAAAAATGCTAACTCGGACCTTCTCATAGATTCAAGGTGAACAGGAACTTATCACACAGACAAATCAGCAAATAGAAAGAGCCCTTGCTGATCTGGACGGTGCGGTAAGGTACATTCTGGACGGAGAGAACCAACATCCAAACCGCATAGATGGGTGCCAGGCCGCTGTCGGAAACGTTTTCCACAAAGGTCGGAAACTCAACTCAAAGTTCTCATCAACCGCCGCACCTGCCGCAGCGAACCCGCCAGCCCAATCGGGTGGATTTGGTCAACCTTCTGCGATGGGTGGTGGTGGTGGAGCTTTTGGTCAACCTTCAAATCTTGGAGGTGGTGGTGGCTTTGGCCAACCATCCAACCTTGGGCAGAAGCCCAACCCATTTGGACAGTCTGGAAATGTGCCCGCGGTGGGAGGATTTGGTTCTGCTTCAACTCTTGGTCAAAAACCAAGTCCCTTTGGACAACCAGCTGCCGGTGGGTTCGGTCAAGCGTCCAACTTGGGAGCAAAGCCAAATCCCTTTGGACAGCCGGCAGCACAAGCAGGTGGGTTTGGACAACCTTCAGCGCTCGGCCAAGGAAGTGCGTTCGGACAACCGTCTGGTGGTGCACAACCAAGCCCATTCGCTCAGGCAGCACAGCCTAATCAAGCGCAACCATCTCCATTTGCGCAAGCTGGCCAGCAAGGAGGAGGCTTTGGTCAGGCATCGGTTCTAGGCCAGCAACAAAAGAGTGCTTTTGGACAGCCTTCTGGTTTGGGTCAGCAACCTCAGCCCGCATTTGGCCAGCCATCAGTACCTTCTCAACAAAACACCGCTTTCGGTCAACCCTCAGTGCCAGGTCAGAACTCGGCTTTCGGACAACCTTCAGCATCGGGTCAGCAGACATCAGCATTCGGACAACCATCAGCGCCTGCACAAGGGACACCGGCATTTGGCCAAGCGCCAGCACCTCCACAACAAAACAGCGCATTCGGACAGCCAGCAGTGCCGACACCACAAAACGGTGTATTCGGACAAGCTTCAGCTCCAGCACAGCAGCAAAATGCCTTCGGACAGCCACAACCATCTCCCTTCGCGCAAGCAGCGGCCAAACCGAGTCCATTCGGACAGCCTTCGCAGCCGGCAAACGGTCAGGCGGTCAAGCCGAATCCGTTTGGCCAACCTTCACAACCAGCGAACAACCAGGCAGGCGGTGCATTCGGTCAAGTGGCTCCGGCACCACAACCAGAACAGCAACAACAGTCATATGCTGAGCCAATGCCTCAAGGTGAATGGATCACTCGCCATGCCAATGGGGCGGTTCGAACCTTCAAAGGTGCAGCGGTACAGTATGTCGCCATCGGAAAAGAGGGAGAGCAGACGCAAGAGCCACACTACAGGGATGCAAATGGAAACATGGAAAGAATCTGGCATCCAGAAGGCAACGCATCATTCAGGGCAGAGATGGAAGCACCAGCAGAGGCTTACACGACTGAGCATGAAGCGGCGTACAAATTCATGGCCGAACAGGGAACATTCAAGGACGGCATCATGCCAGAGATACCACCAAAGTGCGAATGGATTAGGTGGGATGTGTAGAGAAGATTACACAAGTCCAAAATGTAGTATTAGATAAATGGCTTATCATGCGGAACAGTTCCGCATGAGGCACGAAGTTACTAGACAAGATCAAGGAAACTTGAATGCTCTGCCTCTTTCACAGGATAACGATTCATGTCAAACAGTGAATGCGAAGGTCAGGATCACACAGAATCGTACCTCGTCTTATCATCGTACGACAATGTGAATAGGGGGACATCTCCGATGACGGGTAAGGTGTTTCAAGAGGCCTTGGCCAAAAGTGGTGATGAAAGATCCCCACACAAAATGAACTGGACTTGTTGATGTCACGAACTTTTGAAGAATGGAAGTACGACGACGACTACCTCGTGAGAGGTCCTACGTACACGAACGACAAGAGGCCGCTCCAGTGCCGGATATCGCGACCGCAGACACTGGATATGGCGTGGTCAATGGCTTGCTGGCGCTACTTGGCTACCTGGTCCAACTCCTGAAGTCAATCGTCTATGGAGTCCCGGAGAAAGATGTACGACAAAAGGAAGATGTAGACGAAGACAAGAGCAGTGAAGAGACGGTTCTGCTAGGACACATGTGTCGTGGGGTGATAGCGGTTCATGAACGGCGTCGCAAGAGAAGCACAGCTTTAGTGCTGTCCAGCAGTCGCAATGGAGACAGACCTTCTGCACTCGAGCACGCTGCTGCCGCCTATGCCTTCCTGGCCTCGGAGACACACCCCAGACTCCTCGGGTATGCGACTTGCTTCTTCCCCAAGCAGACTCTCACTGACCAGGTGCACAGCTGCCTCTCCTCAGGCCCACCCATCATCCTCGAACACGCTCCTCTAGGCACCGTCCACGCTCTCCTCTCGACTACATCAACCTACCCATCTCTTGTCCACCCTTCAATCCCCGCCAACCGCTCCACACTCGCCCTCCCCCTCTCATGGCTCCTCCAAGCCTCCTCCGCCCTCCGCTTCCTCCACGACCAAAAAGTAACCCACGGCGCCATCTCTCCCTCATCCCTCTACCTCCGCTCCGACATGTCAATCGCAGTCGCCGATTTTACAAAATCCACAATCAACGGCCACAACAACGGTATCCCCACCCGCAAGCCGCAAGAATTCGCTTTCCCAGTCGACGCACTCCGCTACGATTACTTTGACGGCGAACTCTCCGCAAACTCCCAAGCCCTGGGTCTCGCAATCGACGCTTTCGATTTCGCTACGTTGGCGTATAAACTATTGGTCAGGAAACAACCGGATTGGAAGCTTCCCACTGGCAATGGAACTTGGGCGTTGGAAGAATTGCATGAGGCTTTGGATGAAGCTGCGCCCGAGTTGGGGGATGAGATTGTGGTGGGTTATGTGGTTAGGGATGCGTGGTGTTTAGTTTATGAGGAGGGAAAGACTTTGCAGGAGGATGTCGTGCATGCGTTGTTGAGGCATGGCTTCCAAGTCAGAGGAGATGAGGTTTTGGGGGTGAGGGAGGCGGTCAGGGGGTTTGCTGAGAGCTATACGCCTTCTTGGAGGTTTGAGAAGTGATAGAGTGAGTCTATGTGCAGTCCTAACGATACCTGTAGTCCATGCTCAAACAATGGACCTCCTCAAAAGGAAAATATCTTCACGCTGTGACGTGCATTGCGTCTCAAACGTGTATTAAACTTGGATACAGAAACTTGAGCAAAAGTGATAGGAAAATTGAACCATTAAGACTACTCATACCCCTCTACCAAGTTTCAGCAGGCAACAGACTATCCCCCCTCGACCTCCTATTCCTAAACACCGGATACGCAGAACTAGTCTCACTAATCTGTCTACTACCCCTCCTCGCTCTAATTGTATTCATATACCCATTAGCCCAAACGTCATTGCCGAAAACATCATCAATATCATCCATCTCGTCCAACACACTCTGCGGCGGCTCTTCATCAAACACATTACCCAGATCCGCATGCGCGCCAAAGGATTCCCAAAAATCGAGGAAGGCGTGGCGGCGACGGGGTCCTTGCTTGGAACTGCGTTGCCAGAGATATCTGCGTTCGTAGAGGGCGATGGCTAGCAAGAGAGGTGCGTTAAGGATGCGCACGGCGGTGACGTTTACTTTGTGGAACCAACGTGGGGTGGTGAGGAATTTGATGGGGAGGAGGATTATCAATGCGGCAACATTGAACGGAGGGCGATAGGCGAACAGAGTATCCGATTTCACACCTTCGAAAGTCAGGACTGCACGTCTGAATTGAATCTCGGCTGTGGCATTCTTTGCGAGATTGGAGTAGGTGTTGCTGAGGATGGAGACCAGGATGGTCAGGAAAAGCGTGTTTCCGATGAAGGCGAAGAGGATCATGAGGAAAGGTCCTAGGAAGCCGTGGATCTCGACACTTTTTGTGATGCCGGTGCCGTCGAGTCCGAACCAGATCCACAGCATCCATTTGGAGATTGTGAAGAAGCTGTGGGCAACGTAACCTTCTTGACTTTCACTAAGCCAGCGCATGGCGAGCAAGAAGCCGCCAAAGCACCACACAGTGACTGCTGTAAGGAAGGTGAAATCTCCCATCATAGTCCTCAGAGCAATGAACAGCATGTTCTCGGGCATAAGGCAGAATGCCAGTCTTGGCATCAGGATGGGTGCTCCCAATGACAAAATGTCGAGTGCTTGTTTGCCGACAGGTCCAGAGTTGGTCCTCAACCCGTGCATGCGTACTCCGAAATAAGCCAAATAGATGATAGAGAAGATGATGTCCATGAAGGCCCACAAGTTCTCGGTATGCACTGACCATCCATGCTCTAGAACTGACGCGAGTTCTTCAAGCACCCAACCAGAACCGTAAACACAAAAGATGAGCTCTACTGTCGTGAAGTGCAAGTGGCCTGGTCCTATCTCCTTTGCCTTGTTGAACATGGTGAGCAGATAGAGACCAAATAGCACCAGGAATTGGCCAATCTCAATGACCTTGCGATTGCGAGGGACAATGAGACGATATTGGTTGAGAATGGGCGCTTTGCGAGGGTCGTATAGAGAAATTCTACGGTTCTTGTAGCGATCCGGAAGAATGTCGATGAAAGCCGTCGGTGTATAGATAATACGCCCCCTGTAAACAGCATCGACAATCTTCTGGCAGGCGGATGCTGCCAAAAAGCTCTTGGACTCGGAGATAATGGCGACCTCAAGCGCAGTCAAGACACGCTCACGTCCAGACTGGAACCAGCCTTCCGCGAGAGCGGAATGAGGCCTTTTGCCACGATCAACTGAGGGTGGAGCATTCTGGAATGGTTCGAAGCCAGATACCAGCACGTTTGCAAGTGCCAAAAGTCCTTCTCGGCCACTGTGGTCTTCGTCAAACCGGCGCAGGATTCGACTGGCCAGGACCTCGCATAGATTGGCACGTGTGACATTGACAGTCTGGTGGTGGGCTTGGAACGATTGTTGGCGAAGGAATTGTACACGATTGACCAGCAGACACCAAACTGGTCTATTGTTAGGATAACTTTGGGCACTCGGTCTCTTTTTGCTTACCTATTGATACGTCGTCAGGATCGTACAGGTGGTCAAGCAAGGGTCTGACGACAGCGGTATTCATTCGTGGACTCTTGAGCTGATCAAGACTGTAGGGATCGTCTGCAAATTGTTAGTACGCTGCTGCGTACCGTATAGTCAAGATAGTGTACCAATGCATGCAATTACCAGTCTTCTGATTCGGTGAATGGTCGTATATACAGGAAGTTGTCTATGAGGATTGGGCTGCCAAGGTATGCTGTCCTTGCGAGGAGGGTAACAACCATCATCATCCGCTGGCTCATCATCGTCGTCAAGAAGTTGTTGTTGTTCTTCGCGTGACATAGCAAGCCTCACGGCTTCGCTGATGCTACGAGAAGATTGTTCTCTCGCGGAGAACCTGTCCGGCAATGATGGTCGAAATTGTTCCGGCGAAGGAGTAGTCATTGTGATGTGCTTATCGCCATTTCCATTGAACTGGTTGGACGATTCGCCAGTATTATCATCGTTGAGCGGCGGCGACTGGCTGCGGTCACGGTAACCAGGACTCACTAAGTCTGGTGCAAGGTTATACTGAATTGCACTCGGACTCGGACTAGGGCGATCATCCATCTTTGCAACTGTTATGCGCCCGTTGCTCAATGGCGCGAAAATATGGTTGATGATGATGTTTTTGTTCAAATCGCATAACCTTTGCTTGCTTGCCGTGATGACATCAAAACGTCAAAGCTTTTGTCACAGCCGAGATGAAGAGACGTTGGCTTCAGCTGTTAGCAACAACAAACCCGACACGGCTTGGAGCTTCGCTTCTCGAGCTCTCAGAGGCTTTTATTCTCAACTGGCACTCCCTGTCGCCATTGCACAAGACTTTGTCGAGCCATGCATGTGACGATTGAACCTGTCTGAGCTCTTGAGACAGAGTCGCTCTTCGTTTGCATGCGTTGACCTAGAGCGTCATGCATCGTGCGAGAAATATGTAGGTCGAAAATCTCGCAAAAACAGTCGTGAGCGATATCCTACGCTTGGATGAGAACGTCGATCTGATGCCAACATTCGCGGGATGAGAACGTCTCATCAAAGCTCGCGGCGGACTTCTGTTCATCCGCTTCTCCACGTCTTCCCGTCCGGCCAAGTTGGCCGAGATAGCACACGGCAAAGAGTTGTCCGGCTATCGATTGTCAAAGGTCAACGTATCCGTTCATAGGGTGCTTTCAAGTATTTCGAGTTCTCAGAATGATCTAGAAGACGACCTTTACTCTGACTCACGACTGTCTACCTTCACAGTGTAGCATCTGCCATATCAAAATCTCGACCATCTCGCCTTGAGTTGTTCGATTGACCAAAACGAATACGCGAAATGTCATCCTTCTCAGCACCTTCGTTCTATCCATCACCGTCAAAAGCCGCATTGCAATTGCAATATGTGGGCAAAAACGTCAAAGATATACCTGCGCCTGCAGCTGTTCTCGATTTGGCTCCGATCAGAAGGAACTGCAAGGCAATGCTCGAAGCAACCAAGGCTCTTGGACTTGGCTTCCGTGCCCATGTCAAGACACACAAAGTAAAATTACATGTACTCATTGGAACAATACGGAGGACTAATGATCGTGCAAGACTACCGAACTCACCCAGTACCAAATGGGTCACCAGTCAAAAGATATCAGGCTGATCGCCTCGACGGTATCGGAGATCGAGAACCTCGTTCCTTATTTGCTTGAAAGCAGATCGCGTGGTGCTTCTGTCAATGCAAGTTTTGTGGAAGTATTCTAATTATGATCAGTTCTGACTTTCGCAGATTCTCTACGGCTTGCCTGTTGCCGTTTCTCATATACCTCGTCTCGCAGCCATTGCAAAGGTTCTTGGTGAGAGAGCTGTTGGGCTCTTTGTCGACCATCCTGAGCAAATAAAACATCTTGCGAAGCTGGACGAGTCTGTGTGGCCTGGCACTATTCCCTTGTTCATCAAGATCGCCGCTCCCATCTCGCGAGCTGGATTGCTTCCCAGATCTGAGAGCATCAGTCCTTTGGTACAAGCTATTGTCTCGGCTCCGAAAGTCCGTTTGGTCGGTGCCTATGCTCATATGGGCGAAAGCTATGGTTCCAACAGTCCAGAAGAGGCTCTAGAATTTCTCATGCATGAGCTCAAGGATGCAAAGGCCGGTGCGGACCAGATTGCGAAATCTCTACCGGACGGATCATCCAGCAAGCTTACGATATCGCTCGGTGCGACACCAACAGCTACGGCTGTTCAAAACGCTCTTGTTGAAAACGAATGGAACGACAAGTTCCGAACCTATGTTCAAGAAGTAAAGAAGAACTATGATGTTGAGATACACGCAGGTGTATACCCTGTACTGGACATGCAGCAGCTTGCGACACGCGCTCGTCCGACCACTGCTGATGGCAAGCCGTTGCTTTCAACGGAAAACATCGCTTTGCGTATCATGGTCGAAGTCGCAAGCACGTACGACGAACGAGAAAAGCCCGAAGCTCTGGTAGCGGCCGGCTCTATCGTACTCGCACGAGAGCCTTGCAAGAGCTATCCAGGTTGGGGAGTAGTAACACCTTGGACGGGTGGATCGGCTCCTGCTGATGCTTCCACTGTTTATGATCCTGCGGGTTCAAAGACTGGTTGGATAGTTGGGCGTATCTCTCAGGAGCATGGCAACCTCACATGGGAAGGATCAACAGATGATATGCGTAAACTTGATATCGGAGAGAAGGTGATGATATGGCCCAACCACGCTTGTATGGCAGGGCCCAATTTCGGTTACTATGTTGTGGTTGATGGTGAAAGCTCTGAACCGGACAAGGTCCAAGATGTCTGGACCAGATGGCGTGGCTGGTAGTTGCTGTCGCGTACAACACGACAGAATCAGGTCGGAAATCACTGTCAGTCAATCACTGTGTGGTTATGCAAGTACTTTCCACTTGTGCATAAATTGTGTCAACTCTTGGCAAAACTGTCTCCTTGTTCCACGCGTCCAGGCATCATCCTGCAACCTTTCTTTACACAAAGAACACGATTGACAGCAATTGACCTGATTTTCGAGGCGTCCACACTGAAGTCTATTGAGAGCAGGTGCGATGTGTATCAAAGGTAGAACATGTTCCTTCTACCATGTATCGCTCGATGGCGTTGTAGGCAGACGTCCAATTTGCGTCAGTAGGCTGTAAAGTGGCCACTCTACCACTTGCTGGTAATTGTCAGAGCATCGGCGCGAGTTCCAAGCCGATATTCCCTGTGCTTGGTGCAGTTTGGAACAGCTTCATCCTGAAAACTACTAATACAGAGCTCTGGTCACATTTGAAGGTCGCTGATAATTCTCGTTGGTTGTCGAGATGGCTTTGCTCGATGCTCAAGACTTCCGTGTGTTTTCGTGTTTTCAACGTCCACATAGATGGAAAGAGCGACCTTGAGAATCAATAGTCCATGCCGGCAGCTCTTCCAGGCTTCAGACCGAGATTGACGGTTGATGTGGCATCTCTCAGGTCGCGACTTCCAGCACCCACCAATTCCCATCTGTATACTGTTGGCTTTGCAACTCGAGCTCCACTTCGCAGTAATACCACATACTCGTTCCATTGCTTACATCCCCTCATTTGATCAATTTCGATTTGGCGACCTTGGATAAGACGCACTGGCTGTTTGCCGTCACGATGGCTTTGCTGCGTCGACAGCAGTCGCTCGATGGACGAACCAGTCGTGCATCCATCACCTCTGCACAGTCGAAAGCACTTGGACCTCAAGTTTCTCAAGCTTCTGGCGACATACTGAACGCTGCTGCTCCTGGAGTACTTTCTATGCTCAAAACTTCGACTGATGTTGGTGATGTGGGCGAGTTCTCTCACAACACTGGTCGTCTTCCTGCTGCTCTTCGTCCGACTCATCAACGAAGAAACAATCCTTCCCGTCTCTCGAACTCGTCCAATCACTCTACGTACACGTACAACACCAACCACAGCCGCGTCCCTTCTCATGGCTCCAGAAAGGCTTCCAATGCCCAGACCTCCCAGGGATGGGATGCCGTCTCGGCCATATCAAGTGGTACAGGAAACGGTATGGGAGTCAGGCATGGATCAATGGTCAGCCTTCAGACTCTGGCAACGATGCCGCCGTACGACAACAGAGGTCCTGCAATGCCTCGCGGCCCTCCTCGGTCATCGCCATATGGCGCACCAGTGCCGTATTCTCAGGACGGACGCTCCTACTCGCTGACTCAGTCCCACCATGCTCCTTCGCTCAGACCAGCCAAGTCTGTGACTAGTATGAAGAGCCAAGGGGGCGGACCGTTCCAACCTCCGCGTCCGCCGTTCGCTTATCCTGCAAGACTCAAGAGACCTGGTTTTAGGACTCCGTCTCCAGCCTTGAGTGACTACACCGGCGGTGGATATCAAGGCCCACACGGACAACCCCAACCGTTCGAGTACGACCAATCTTCAAGCTACTACGCTCCAAATGATCCGGCACATTATCCTCATCTGGCCCAACCTCAAGAGTCCTACCAAGGTCCGTCATCGGGACGAAACTATGGGCCAGGGCTGGAATCTGGACCACCACCGCCAGGAAGAACCATGCATCGACCCAACATGCCAACCTACAATAGCGACTATCCATATGGCTTATCTGGACCGAGGCACCAGAATCAGCCTCAGCCAATGGTGTGTCATCCTACACAGCAAAGCTTCCAAGATCCCTACTACGCTCATTACGGTGCCCCAGTCCAGCCCGTACCATCTCTGGGATACGGATCAACATCGAGAGTAGGCACGCCGCAAATGGAGTCTATGCCATCGTCTTCAGGCCAAGGTTCTTCATCACCACCATCTTCGAACCCACCTACACCCAGAGACACAACTGCAGTTCACGTCACCGTCGAATCAGCTCTTGTACATCCAGCGCTCAGTGAGCTCCCAGAAGAACATTCGGAATACAAGAGTGTCCAGAGCTATCTCAGATACACAGAGCAATCCACCATGTACGAGCTCGATGCTTCCCAGCCTGCTGCTATTGAGCTCGAAGCAAGTACGCCTACTGTTACGCGCACCGGGCTGGTTCAGCGTATCAGAAACTTACTGGAAGATCGTGCTGCAAGCCAAGAACATCTCCCACCCATCCAAGGCCCGCCACAACAAGATGTATCGAAGCTTGTCGTTCCCCAACCATTCCAAGATGACAAACAGGAAGCTTTTGAACTTTCTACCAGCAAGCGCTCATCGGTTCACGAGCCTATAGAGCTTGATGTCCCTGCTAGGATAACAAGACAGTTGATCCAAGCCAACACTGCCCCTTCTTCTTCGGAGCACAACACGACGACGTCGCTCGCTCCCGATGAGACAGTCAAGGCAAATGGCGACCATGGAGTCGAAGACATCGTTTCGAAGCCTTCGACGGACAGCCCACTCAAGGATCCTGGTGGTGACAAGACCGGCCATGGACTATTCTTCAACTACTCCGACAATCAGATGTTGACTTCTCCGGAGTTGCCACCTGCTAATGGTGCCGGGTTTGGTGTACAAATCACACTCTCGGAGCCACTCGCTTCTCCGGATTCTGTCATTCAGCCCGCGATCAAGGTTGAGGACAAAACGAAGGAATTCAGCGAGTTCCAAAGTGGTGGTGTCAGCCCTCTACGTCCTGACGAAAGGGTGATCAGGGACTCGATTGTCAGTCCAATGGCCACTCAAACCATGCATCTCACAACGGTCCAAGAACAAGTCAAGAATCCAGGCTTATATTCCAAACCTGTCGATGACCCACAACCGGACCAATCCTCGAGACAGACTTTTGACACCACTGAGATGACTTCTGGACTGTCTTTGCCGACGGGACCATTTCAAACCTCCGAAGCCAGTCCATCGTCGAATCATGTCACCGATGTTGCTATCAAATTCTCCATACCACGCTCCTCTGACCACGGCAGAGCTCAGTTGGTGAATCTTAGCAACCTATCTGACACACCCATTCGATCTTCAGCGGAGATCAAGACAGCGCGTTCTGCAGATGACAATAGCTTGCAAGGCACTTCTCTTTCCAGCATCGAGAAGGTGGCTCCACTTCGTATCAGAAGGATGGAAAGCTTCTTACCTATGGCCACAGGCGCTGAGGGGGCTGACCTCTCTTCGTTCATCCGTCGCTCATTCCCTCGCAAAAGATCAATGTGGACCACCACTCAGCCCGACCTCAACAGATCGTCTACTGAGTCAACAACAGATCTTGGAACAGTGACATTCAAGGGTCGTCCTGGCTACCTTCCTGATCTCAACGAAGACTCCAAGGAAGACATAAGTAGCAGAAATACCAAGTCCTCGTACACCGGATTGAGACTTTCCAATACACCCTCACTGCAGCTCAAGCCCGTTCGTGAAGGTGTGAGACGATCTGAAGATGCGCCTCAACCAAGCTATCTGGCACCTCGTCCCCCAAGAATGTCGCTTTCAGAACTGAGAGAGATTCCTTCTTTGAATTTCAGCCGTATGGATCTCTTCGACAAGCTCAACGAAGAACTTGAAACACACATATCTCGGTCTTCGAAGTCCTTGGCTGGAGTCAGAGGAGAGAGGAAATCTGGCACCCGCCGTTCATCATTATTGCACCCAGCCTCGACCGATCAGATTCGTGAGAGGTACACAAGCTTCTTCACTAACCCTGAAGATTCTGAACTGCTCGGAGATTCGACCACCGAAGGTCTTGACACCAACACCGGCCAAGGCGAGACACAAACCACACACGAGAAGAATCAGAACGATGTGGACATTGTGTCGACCAAATCTTTCGCCCGTTCAGTCAGACCGATCTCTACGCAGCAAATGTTGGGTATGACTTCAGAGGTCAACCGTCTTCCTGTTCCCTCCGTGGCTGCTCTATCCGAACGTCTGTCGACGCTTCTACCCTCAATCAAGCATCTACACATCGAGTGTGCTCCAGGCGATCAGACAGCAATGAACGACGCCATTGATAGAATCCATCATCTTGGACGGCCCGAGAGTGAGGGCGCTCCACTCCTGAGATCTTCTACAGGGCTTCATCAACTAGCCGCGATCGCAGACAACATTGTGACGCATGGCACCCATGACTCCGCTCTTCTCGAAGTCCAGAAAAGCAGTAGACTGATGAAAGAGCTCCCTCCTTTGCCAGAGGACAGTGAGAGATTCTCACTGAGCGACTCCGGCCTTGACCGCAACACGACCCTCATCACCGAGGCCGTGACTAGCGCTTCTGAGCTTGAAACACCAAAGCCTGCCTTACTTCGCGGCAAGTCGCTGAACGTCATTGACAGCAAAGACGAAGATCTTCACCCAGGATTCGCCTCCAGACATTCTCTCGTGTTGTCTGCTCAGAACCTGAGACCTTGGAATCTTGACGAGAATTACCCATGGTGTGGTCACAGTCCTGGCATCAATATCGACTTCCCTACTCCTGTGTTACGTCGTCACTCCTCTCCTCCCAAGCTCGTTCAGAGGCAGAGCCGCGGCTCCAACAAGTCTAAGAGCGAGACTGAGGATACCCTGGATCCAGACAGTACTCTTCCGTCATCACCCATGGTTTCGAACAGCGAGACTGTTACTCCCACTGTACTGACTATTCATGACCGCAAGTCGTCCAAGAAGTCGCTCATTGGATCTTTGTCTCGTCGCATCGGTCTGAATGCACGCGCACAGTCCGGCTCTATTGCCCGAGAAGGTGTTCTTGCCGAAAGAGCAAGTCCTGGGGACAGGTATCCGTACACGAGCTTGCAGTCACCTCACACGCTCAACATAGAAGAAGTGCGTTCCTTCTTCTCGGACTCTACAGAAGAAGATCAGGGAGAGGAGCGACGTGGTTCGTTTCGTAAGCAGATTACGTCCTTTCGAGGAAAATCCTCAAGAGTGCCAAATACACATGGCTGTGCGCCTTATTCGCAGTCACTGGACATCCACAGGGGTCGATCTATGGATCAGTACGGACGGCCTTCGCATGTGCACACTACTGGTTCGCTCTGCGATGACCGCTTCACTGAGCCTGTCACGCCTCAGAACTATGATGGCATGGTCGGTATGGGCAGAGTTGAGTTTCGTGTGAAGCGTGTCGCGGAACGTCTAAGACACATCTGGTTGAAGGGCGGTGAGATAATTCGTTCTCTCAGTCAGCGCAGTCGCCCAACCAAGAGACAAAACAGGGAAAGGGAGATTGAAGTCGATAATTGGCTTGCGGATAGCCTCTACTCTCGCGATTGATGTTCTCAAAGGTCTGCCAGGCCAAGGATGGGAGGGTAAGAGTGTATTGATGATCATTCTTGACGATTGTATGGCTATACACTGCATGGCTACATGCGAGGCAGATCAGGGACACTGGCGAGTGTGTTACGCGACCATGAACTAGTAGAATTATCTTACAGCATCAGATATAGACAGTATCTTCGAAATGAAAACCGCAGTATCTCAGACTTAGTCTTTGGTTAGGATGGTTAATGTGACAATGTCACGGCAGTGTCTAGGCGATATCTGCCGACTTGTTAACAAGGTGATACTTCGGGTTATGATAAGGTTGGCAGGTTAGACTTTACTGACGAGCGTCATGGTTGCTGGTCGTAGAGTTCGTGTGTCGCACAAGAGCTCAAAACTCTCCCTGAGAACGCATTTGGTTTCGGTACTTGACACTTTGAGGGTATGATTTTTCGTAAGTACGCTAAAACTGAAGGAGTTGCGTATCCGGGGACCGGAAAGAACAGACGGAGGGGTGGATACCGTCTCCCGAGGATGGGATGTCTGGAATACCGAAGATCCAGGGTGGAGTGTTGGATTATGTGACAGATTTTCTACAATCCTTCGACAATCGACAAGGAGACGCAACGATGTGGTCATCACCCGCACTAGTCGATCACAGAGGGATTGGGCACGTGGTTGCGAGGGCTGAACCATTTGTCTTGTTTGGATAACTTGATAGCATGTACCTGGATGACGGAAAAGCTCTCCGCGGACAGTACTCATCCTAAAATCATCTTGCATATCTCTAGCGCTACTGTACGTTGACATTACTTGTTATCATAGATGTTGAGAAAGGAGATGCGCATGTCGTTGCTGATGAATAATCATCACACACGATTGATGTCAAGATCCCCAGGTTGAAAGTGATATCGTATCCACTTTGCATCCTCCTCGGGCTCTAGAAATATTGACAGCACAATGGGAGGTACCGTGAAGCTTTGTGGAAATGAGGAGATAGCTTGGGGCATTCGAACTCAAGATCGACGAGATAATGTATGGGAGGGGTATACGCACGCTCTGATATTGAAGCATGAAAACATGATGATGAGGCCAGCTGCGCAATGCGCATGCATTGCTTGCCATGCGAAAGATGAATACTCATCAATGACCAAGCTTGCTTTTCTTTTTACGAGGTGCAGCTGAATAATTGGCGGCTGCAATACACAAAGACAGGTAATCCGAGGACTGCGAACAGAAGAGGGAATGACGTTGGCGATAAGGTTGTTTGGTCCCTCCCTTTGGGATTCGCTAGCCACAGGCCACAGAACCCTTGATGTTTTTCTTCGTTTTCAAGTGCTTGCGCCATGTGAGACTCGTGTGGGTGGAGTTCTACATGGCACTAGATGTCAGTGCATCTGAAGATTAGCAGAGCAAGCATAGAAAAAAAGGCAGTGGCTGGCACCGTTGCAGGGGAGAGGCGTGAGGGGCCGCCGTTGGGGAGGAAAAGTAGTTGTCGGGTCAGGGCATATTTGCACTTGGGAAGACCGATCTGCCTGTCTTTCTGCAGTAGTGCGGAAAGGCTCTCCTTCGGCGCAAGTCGACGATTCAGTCAAGGAGGTATAGAAGTTTCGGTGTATCCGTAGATTCTCCTGATTGTTGTGGTCAAGCGTTTCGCTACAGAGATCGGTGACCGTCATAAACTCCCTAATGCGCATGGTTTATGATGGTATACGGTCTCAGCGTTTGCTGAACTCCGCACACGGACATTGGTATAGCAAGGATATTTGTCAGGGATCGGCGTCGTTGGAGGTTGGGGAATGAGGAGGAGAGACACGCGGCCATGTGTTAACCCAAAAAGTGATATCCAAACAGGTGGAGTCTGCTGCCATGTGAGAAGTTGTTCAAAGATGCAAGCCGAGGCGACAACCGAGGACCCCATGATGATCTCCCTTTCGTTAGTGCCCGCGGACGATATGCAGGAATCCGCGACGTCATTTTCTTCTTCCTCTACTCGATTCTGTTTTTCTGTTGCTGCTGCAAGTCAGTGGAAAGTCCTTCTGGACTGCTTCTCGAAATTGGGAAATAGCTTGCGATTGTAGTAGACGTTGGCGCTTTTACCGTTCAGACGTTTGTTGCAATAATACATAGACACTCCAACGCATGGTGTTCTTCTTCCTTGACAGATAGCACTTCTAGATTCTGCGATCTGCAATCATAGTCGATAGTCTGTCCTTGCAGTGCCTTGGTTTCGAGGCACCTGTATGAGTAATGTAGCGAGGTGCAGGTACAAGAAATACATGCTCAGGAATCCATCGCGGAAGGTCTCTCATCCGCGCGCTAGAAGATAATGTGGTGCATAATATCACGATAAGCATTTTGCTAGGCAACATGATGGTCAATTCCGCCAATTTTCGGCCGAGGGCTTTGCCCTTAGTCCTTCGTAAACCTACGCGCTCAGCTCTTGGAGAATGCTCTTGGTATATGGGGTAGAATAATGGTCTCCTTGTTCGTGTAGGTGTGGCCCACGTCATGGGATACAATTTTCTGAATGACTCGAGTTCTCTAGGCGCCTCGGACATAAACTTAAACCTGCGTTCTCTCGCTTCTTGAAGGCCGTTGGGGGCAGCTAACGGTATGCTTAAAGAAATCGGTGTCGGTGGCGTCGAATATATCAGAAAATATTTTAGAGTTCCAATTCGCGAGAGAAGACCAACGCAGTTCACAGTGCTTGACTCCTGGACTCCTTGTCATGATCTCCACACACACGCATCCAAGTCGCATCCAGCTCTGTCCGTCCGCAGTATCACCCATTCAACGTAAAAAGTCAATTGGCATCAGAAATCCGGCAACAACAGAGTCAAAGCACGGCAAGTAAGCTATAAAGTATTTGGTGTTTTTCATCGTTGGATCGGGATTGTCCTACCCGTGGGAGGCTGAGACCATTCCCTTGGATTCGGATAGCGGAGGTCATATTCTATGGATCCGGCAAGGAACAGGTAAGGGGCAATCGTTGATGCAAGTGCAGCCGACTCAAGCTGCTCTTCTGGTAGAAAGAGGCTTCGGAAAAGTGTTGTACCTTATTCTAATGGAAACTACCAAAGCGGAAGTTCCTTGCTAAGATGACAAAGCAGCTGCTGCTGGCAGCTGAAGAGACCCTTTTACATCCTGAGTTCATGTATCCACTTGATCTTACGCGGACCGAGGACTTCGCATTATGATGCTGAACGATTTTTGGAATAAAGTCATGATATAGAGCTATGATGTACATGTTCGCGATCCTGTCCGAATATGGTTGCTGCAATCAGCATGGTATGAAATCGCGAATGTGAGATTGCAGACGGCAATCACTCTTTCCATCCACGGTAGATGATCTTGCTGCCATAGGTCTGACCCTTCTTCAGAAGCACCATCTTCTTCCAGTCGTCATTGTTTGCGGCATCAATGTAACGACTGGGTTCGACACAGAAGCCAGCACGAGCACCACGTGCAGGTGCACCATCTACGGCCGGAATGTCAATGTACTTGCCAGTGTAGAACTGGAAGGCAGGCTCTGTGCTGAGCACCTCGAAGTGGAGCTTGGTGTTGGGATGGAAGAAAGAGCACAGCTTGCGAGCAGGGACTTGTCTGGTGTCCAAAAGCACGCTTGAGGGATCGGTGTTGATCACGAAGCAGTGATCGATATCAGGGTCGACTGCTCCCAGAGTGAAGTTCTTGTTGGCTTCAACGCCAGGGAATGCCTTGATTTCTCCGGTCGGGATGTCCGTGTCGTCCACCACCATGTATTGGTCGGTCATCAAAGTTGCTTCTGTGCCTTCGATGGTCTCACCACCAGAGATGTTGAAATAACTGCGAACTCATGTAAGCCACTTATGTTTGGAAATCTGTACAGGACACAATTACCTGTGGTTGGTGACCGAGACTACTGTCTCCTCAACCTCATCTCCGACAAGCTCGACCTCGTACTCGATCTCGAGTTGTGTCTTCTCCACACCGTCGTCGTTCTTCTTGCTTGCGATGTACCAAACGCGGAGCTCGACAGTTCCAGGATAGCCCTCTTCTCCATCCTTGCTCAGGTACTTGAACTGAACAGCCTCGGTTCCGTTTCTGCTCACTGGCTCAGGTCCTTCGAAAGTTCTCTTTCCCCATCCAGCAGGGCCTCCATGCAAAGCATTAGGTCCGTTGTTTGCGGCGAGTTTGTATGATTGTCCGTTCAGGTTCTTGATTTCGGCATTCTTGATACGGTTTGCGACACGTCCGATTGTCTCACCAAAGTAGGCTGAATTCTTTGTTTTGTAAGGCTCCGAAGTAGGGAAACCTTGAACGATGTTGTGCCCCGCAATGCGCAACTCCTGGATGATGGCGCCCTGCGGCAAAAATGTGAATGCGTCTTCGGCCGACATAATGAAGTTGTGATGTTTATGTTGTTAGATAGTTGGAGGTTCGAATAAGAAGTGAGAAAGAGTCGAGGCGACACGTATGAACAATATCTTGTGATTACGGGTAAACAGGTTTCTTGCCTCGATGTCACCACACAGTTTTGACAGCTATTAGGCGGGGTGAGCTTTGGTGGGGGCTGGAGTGGAGGGGCAGAAAAGCCGCTCTTTAGCCTAATTTATCGCACTCCACGTGGAAACACTCCTTGACGTTCGCGATGCATGCTGTCACTTGAATTGGTTTGACAGGCCAAGAGGACGATGAGAGAATGCCAGCTCCGCTGTTCTTGTCTCCGCGGACGACGAGACCTGCTGAGCGACAGAGTTGCCAGGGTGGCTTGCGTGCAGGACTTGGATCAGAAACGTGTGGCTCACCGTCAAGGATGCGCGATACGGGACGGCTTTTGTTTGCATTGGCAAAGCTCCGCTCTTCTCGGCAACACGCCGTATCACCATTACACGCGTACGAGGAATCGTGTCACAGCAGCAAAAAGAGGCGCTTAACTAACTTAATCACTTTCAATCCCTGGACCTTGTAGACTCAAGACGGTCAACGGTTATCCAAAACAAATGATGTTGTCATGATCAGTCATTCCAAGTCAAGAAAATGAATACAGGTGAGCGTGAGCGGAAGATCACCGATCCGGATTTACATCCGCCTCCTATCTCCGTCGCGTCAACGACGTCAAAAAAAAACATGTTTAGCTCCGAGGAGTGAGTGTTTTTCGCGATGACTATCGCTGCAGCCACCAAGTCCTGATTGCTATTCCCGCTTCTCATTCTAGCCGTCTGTATTTTCCAAACACACTGTACAGGTCATCAGCTTGCTCTTGGAAACAATAAGCCAACAATATTCAGTTGCGACGACCCCTCACATGTGGCTGTGTGCTCGGCGTACTGCTCCGAATTCCATGCAATATCGCAGCTGGCTCATGGGGATAAGCGGATGCAAGTCCGCTGAACTACATGCGGTTACGCTTGCGTGAGGAGGATTGTATGATGTACAAATGTAGATATGACATAGAATACAGTGACATGGACATCTGAGATATCCTCTAGAGCATCTAACCTAGGACCGTTCCCCAATCAATTTTGTGCCGAGGATCAGATCCCATAAACTCCTTGTGTGCGCCATCGCCCATTCTCATTCGCAGCCCAACACCCCAACCCTGCTAAATTATTCATTGACGAAGAAAGACTCCAACACCCCCAGCGGTACCGCGTATATAAATTGCGTGACGTGTTGATCGTAACCTGTGAAATGCCGAAAGGCATCACAACCGTGAAAACTCCCTTGCGATTGAGCCGCACATGGTGACTAATCCAAAAGAAAGTGATAATTAGAATGATAGGGTAATAGATTGCTGACGTCCAGATCACGTCGAGACTTGGACGAATTTGCTGAAATCAACATCCATTGGCTCGTTCATCCAGTCCTGGGCGTTGAAGGTACCGAATCCTTGTGCCGGGGTGGCATATGATGGACTGCCGAAGGACATCATGTTGTCATACTCCAGTTGAGGCTCGAATGCGTTCCCGTATGCGATTGCGGCTTGGAATCCATCCTGGAGTGCTGGCACCTGCATGGCGGCGTGCGATCGCATGACATCGGCAGCTGATAGACCACGCATGGTGAATTGATCCTGCCACGAAGGCATAAGGAAGTCGTCATTGCTTATCGCTTCATTGTGAAGCGGCGAAGGCTTGATCGGTGATCGTAGTTGGCTCAACTTTGGTACGGGGCTTTGCGATACAGGCGACGGTGAAGCGCTCTGGTGGAATGTGAACTTTTCATCAAAGACTGGCGCCGAGTGTGCCGGAATTGGTGTGCTGTGGACGCTTGAGTGGGACGATGTGCGAGCGTGTTTGCGAGGGAGGCTGTGCTCCGACTCAGAGCTGATCGAACTTCTTCTGGCGATGAAAGAGGCACCCTCTGAGATCAATCTTTGTTGTAGCTTCTGGCAGTCCTCTTCAAAGTGCTCGTGTTCTCCGCTGCCGTCGTTCTTAGGTTCCAGGAGATCCAGTCTTGCGAGAATGTCATGAGTGAGAGGCTGTCCGCTAGCTTCTGACAAAGGCTTTCCAGGCCAAACGTTTGCATCGACCAGACGACGATATGTTTCTTGGAGACCAGCGACTAATTGTGCTTGTTGTTGCTCGAGCATCTCTACATAGCTTTATGAGAGTCAGCATGTGTGACTAGTGATAGCAGACATCAGACACAAACCCTTTAGGATAAATCTTGTCGTGGGACTTCTTTCTCTCGCCAAAGACACAGATAGCATTATCGGCCTTGCATCTAGTGCATGGGTGACTGCCATCACACTTTGATTTCTTCAGGCGGCATCTGTCACAGGCCTTGCCGACACGCTTTCTTATGCTGTCTGTTGAATCCGAAGAGGATGTCCTGCGGACAGCTGATGGTGGCATGGTGTGTATGAGAATAGCTTGCTATGATTGATGGATCGGGAAAGCAACGAAGATTAGGCTGGAGATAAAGCCAAGGAGCGGTGTCTAGATATAATCACAGTCGGATAGATATGGTCGGAGCTTGACATAAAACGCAGGTTCCCCTTGCGTGGCGTGGGAACGCATTGAATATATGTAGCAGAAGGATGGGTCACCAAGCGTTGGCAGGAATACTTGATGACGCTATCCCATTGGAGGCCACATGGTAAACGCTTGCTAAGATTGATGGCCTGACTAATTGTCAAACTGTTTCAGTCCGCGGAGGCAGGATTTAGATTGACGCCGATTTGCTTGGTCAGACTCGAGATCATGATGGAAAACGGAAAACAAGCTCAAGAGGAAATTCGGCCGATGGAATCGGGACCGGGATCATCGAAAAGCGAGAACAAAACCCGTCGAGTCATGCAACGGCACGCTAACGATGAGGCCGAAGCTTGTCTGCTCTGTTCCTTAAAGGTGCACTTTCGATCGCAGGGCTGTCTTCAATCCGAGGCAATCGTTCGCGATATTCAAATATTGGAATCCTTCTTGCTGTTTCTCTGCGCAACAGTCATGGACTGGTTTTTTCCATAGCAATACCGGTCAAAGATGCGCTCGATCACATCACAGTAAGACGACGCGAAGACAGCAGGCAGCAAGGTTTCTTGTACATACAGGGTACTAATCTGCCTGCCTTGTCATCTTTCGTGGCTCATCAGCATCCTTCACGCTTCAATATGTTTTGGTTGTCAATCGTGGGGCACTGCTTTGCTTCCATGGCATCGCCAAGCACCAGTCACCCTGCCAATACTTGTCTGTAACCTGTAGTTGCTGTCATATGATTCACCACTTTCTTGTCGCGTGTCGCATTCAAGTCTTTGCTCCATCTCTGCTCACGATCGAACAATCTAGCATGCTTGATGCTGCTAGATATTGCAGGACCCATATCGCTGTCTGCTTTCAAGGTGTGCGAACGACTGATTTTGAGTCGTACCCGGCTGCAGCTTCCAACAATATGTTTTGCATCGACAGAGGAAGGAACCTTCCATAGCGTGCTTGTCAAAAAACGCAAGCCACCGAATCTCTGCAGGAGGAGCCACACACACACTCACACATCTCGCATTGGGTACGAAGGTGGTCTCGGACCCCGGCCTGCTTTTACATCCGAGTTTCTCAAATGCCTCCCGACTGGAGGAATAATGACGAGCATCCGCACCCGCAAAATGTCTGCGAAAGTTCGAAATATGAAGATCAGGGGCGTTCGAAGGGTCGTAGAAGAAAGCACCGCCCGTTTCTCTAATCCCTTTTCTGACAACGATCTTCCCAATTTCCAGAGGTAGGCAGCCATACCGGACCCTGGTTTCCTCCGCTCGGTCACACCCGTCTCCGACCCTTCTCTGCAGATTTGTGCATGTGTCGAGGCATTTTACCTACCCGCCCACTTTTTTCTCTTGATGCCGACTACCCATCGTGAAAGTCGACTCTCGGATCGAACGGCGATGATTGTTAGTGCCATCGCAAGGTGATGAGCCCAGGAAGGTTAATCTTCCTATGAGACGTCTTACTGCCATCTTCCGACGGCTTCGGTCTGATTGGTACAGATGCCGAACACCGATTGATTATTCTCAGGACATGCCGCGCATATCAGGGACTCCGAGTCTCTAGGAACCACTGCAAGGGAAACGTTCTTCCCAAATCTCGATTGAACGTGGATACTGGAAGCCCTAAGGAGGGCAGACTCAGTCATGGGCTGACAGTTGCGTCCAGCTCGCCTATTTTGTACAGAACATTGGAGTCCGACCGATCTTTGAGTTATTCGTTCTTGGAGACACTCGTACGTATCCCAAGGAAGCAACTTGCGCGAATCCTCCGAGGTTCACCAGCGCATCAATTGAGGCTCTGCATCAGTCCCATAGGGACGGTATTGCCGACTCCCGAGGCCATTGATTGGTCTATCATGTGAACATACGAAGTACTCTGTGCTCCCCATTTCAGGGCTTAGGGTCGAACCTCTTCGTCTCACTGTCCGAGTAGTTGCTACTAAGAGCCGACATGACCCTTTGATGGTTCCTTGCTTTCTCCACAGCGTCTACTTGTATTGCATTCGCTTATAGGCGAGCAAGTGTTTGTGCCACGCGATCGAGTGGCATGTTCATCCAGTTGTCTGGATTTCCATCGTATTCGCGGTATACGATCACGAATTCACGATCCTTTGATCATGGCATCCTCAAGACATCCTTTCGACTGTTGTGCTACCCGACTCAAGACAACGAGGCCTCACTCTTTGTTGCTTTGGGCCGCAAGCCATTCGGAATATCTTCGCATTCATCAAAGCACTTTTGCGAACCTCGCAGACAAATCTTGAAACACAAGCTTCCTTCACTATTTTGCGCCCTTTTGGTATACCCGAGTTTGAACCGAATGGTCTGGCCGATTCCACCGTCTATCGAATCTCTTCTTGAGGAGGAATGGAAGTCAAGCTTCTCTTGGTATTGGAAGACACGAGGGCTTACTCAACCATCAAAGGTGGTATCACTCATAAATCCGAGCTTTGGGTCGGACTCACCCCGAAATTTCAATATGCTTCCTCCCCACGTGCTAAGCTTTGTCACGCGTATAAATGTAGAAATGCACAATTTTAGCAGGGTGAGGGGTATCTCCCACTGAGAGCATTATATTTTGCGCCTCTTTGTGTACGACTGGACCGATCTAAAAAAAAACACTGTGTAGTTTGACAGGCCGGAAGACTCCTGGCGTGGTTGTGGGAGGCGGCTAGAAAGAAGCACCGGAGGTTCGGAGTTAAGCAAATTGCTTGTCTGGGGGATCACCCTGGTCCTGTGTTTTATCCATAATTCCCACCTCGAGACGACGTTAGACAGGCAAGCATTCAGTGGGTGTGGACAGCATTGCTTTATATATGTTCCCAGCGTGGTTTGTTTCATCCTCATATCTGGTCGTGGTCGTCTTCTTTAAGAGTGTTTTGAGTTTTGCAGCTTCCACAGTATCAAGCATGTTACAGTAGTCCAGTTCGACAACAAGGAAGTTGATCTCAAGTACCGACGCTATGGAAGACATCAAACTTCCACAGACCAAGCAGACACGTGCCAAACATACACACGAACAGAAGCAGAGCACATCTGAGTAGATGCATGATCAATAACGTCAAATCTACCTATCTCTCGTCCATCCACATCTGCCCTCCCTCTCAAGCCATCGTACTCTCATCCAGAACATCCTCCAACAATCCCCTCCTGCAGATCTCCACATCAGGCACACCCATACTATAAGTAGCCTCATACGCAAACATACTCAGCTGACTAAAGAATGGCTGCAACACTCCGCGCAAAAAGTCATCTTTGGCCATCGCCTTCATGTCTGCTCCGTCCATTACCGAACCACCGAGGAAGGGTCTTCTGACACCGGTTTCATTGGCGGTGGTGGGAGCGGTTGAAGGCGTGAAGGTGGTGTGGTCGGATGAATCCATGCCCAAAGCTTCTGCTGCTTCGTCGGTGAGGGCGACGGGGTTGAGGTCGACGGGACGGTAGACTGCGTCAATGGTGTCGGTGATGTATAACCATTCGTGAAGTTGGAATTCATCGGGTGTGAGTGTCGTCAGTAAGTCGAGGAGTTTGCAAGCTTGCAAGAGTGATAGGTTGCTATATGTCTCTTGATCTTGACCACCGGGTAGGCAGGTAGTGATTGCCTTTTGGAGGTTTGCGTTAAGCACTGGCCAGATGGCGGAGAGGTGAATGGGTGAGAAGGAAAGGATCATGGCGCGCAAGAGCATGAAGACGTCTGCTCGCGTTGTCGATGAGGGCGAGGATGATGGGTCGGCTGCGCAGAGATCGACGACCTTGTCGAGGATCTGCGTCAGGTTGCCTACGAAAGTGTCTTGCTCACAGGAAAGCATGAGAAGCATTGCTTTTCGAAGCGTGAGTTGCGTTCTTCGGTCGGCTTCGAGACGTGCTGCATTGGCGCCGACGCCAAACATGATGCCGGCTGTGGAAGGAGCGGTGATCTTGGACAGAAGTTCAGGAAGACGATCCTTGTCGCTGAGCGCCCACTTGCGCAATACAGGATACCACCCATCTTGCATCAAGTCTGCGGAACATGTCAACAATCGAGGGTTGTTGAAAGCGTCAGAAATGTCCTTCTTCCAGTGTTTTGAACTTGGCCCCTGCTGAGCGACGTACTCGAACAGCTTCAACAAATCCTTGTTAACATTCTCAGGGAATGCCTTTGCGTGGAAAGCAGGGGTCATGACGTTGTTTGATATGGTGTTCACTGCAGTCTGCACCCTGTCGTTACTCTGCAGGATTGTTGTAAGTTTCGGTGTGGCGTAGAGAAGACTGTGTATGAGATCGCTAGCTCCACTGGGAAGCTGCGACCCGGCCGTCGGGGTTTCAAGGATATTGGTGAGCGGTCTTGCCGTGAACGTTGCGGTCAACAATCGAAGGAAGATGTCGCCCAATTCGCGGCGCATCTTACGCAGTTCACCAAAGTTGGTGTTGTCGATCTTCTCGGCGAGCAAGACTGTAAATTCTAGCAGAGATGGTAGAATCTGTCTATGAGGTAGTGGGTTCGAGAGAACATCTCTCAAGAAGATGGTGCACTCGGTCCATATCTCATCTGTAGCGTCGTCTTCGATAGCGCGCGAATAGCTGAGCAAGAAAGCGGCCACTTCAGCCGTAGACAAATCTGATGTCAAGCTCGATCTACGTCCAATGTCCAGTGCGTCAATGTTCGTTCGACTGTATAAAGCATTGATAATGACAGGGACAGTGTTCTTGGGTCTGGAGCCATCCAAGACTAGGAGCAAACTGAACACCGCCGCAGATTCAGCTTCCTGAGATGGCTTGGACCGGGACCAAATCAAAGCCAGTGTTTCGAGACACTCCAGCTCTTCCGCTGCAAATAGGTTCTCAAGAATCTTTCGCGTACGGTTTCTTAGTTTGAGCGCATTCAAGGATATTGTCGCTGCACATGTCGTATCTGACCGACCACTTTCATTGCTCGCCCAAGCCCAGATGGAGAAACAGATTCGAATTGCGTCCTGGAATGACAATATCATGGTGAGTCTGCTGTTTATGCGACTAGTCTTGCTCGGAGGTGCTTGTTGTCCATCTTGCGCAAACACGCCAGAAATATTGCCGAAGAAGCCTTGCGATGGCTCGGGAGACTTTGGTACGGGACTGACGATTTCTTCGCTTTGGAACTGTCGATGCACATGAGCGAGAACAAGCTCAAGCCCGTGCAAAAGTGCAGATAAAGTTGAGATAGGCACGGACTCGATTTGTTCGTGTGTCGAGTGAGAAATGTGTTTCACGTATCTGAAAGCGATTGAGACTTGCTTGCAGATACACTCCACCAGAGGCAATAAATTGGCAAAAACAGCGTCTGCATAGAGCGGCAGAACCTGGTCAAGGAACTCGACCCAGTGCTCCAAGAAGAGGCGGCTGGAAGGCGATGACAGGCCAGTACGGAGACAGCTCAACAACTCAGGAGGGGGCGTAGAGATCACCGGCTGTGGCGCCTTCTCGGGCACCTCGATTGTGAGGGACGGCCTGTGAGAGGCGAGTGGACTTCGAGGCATGGCAAAGGTACTGTGCGCTGCCGTTGCTCGTAGCTTCAGTGCCTTAGAAATGGTTTCAAGGTAGACAGTTTGAAGCGCTCCAATTGGACCTTTCAGAGCCTTGCTTAATGTACCAATCAGTGCATCATCAATCTCCAACTGCTTCAAGATGAACGCGTTGGGACACTCGAGTAGTGTTTGAAGTATAGTCAAGGCTGCGTGCTGGAGGGACTGGGGAACGGTGTGTCCCTGCAATGCCAGAGTTCTCAGACACATCTTAGCAATGAATTCGATGGCATCAGTCTTCGGAGTCTCGCCTCTTGGACTGCCTGAAAAGCCGAACTGGAGATTCGAGAGAGTGAGCCACAAGTGTTCGTTGGGACGGCGTAGAAGGTTTCGCAAATGCTTGAGACAGAAGAGGATGCCGTCCAAATGTTGCACTGCATTCCTTCGTGTTCGGTGCCGAGCTTCTGTCTTTCCTGCTTCATAAGCATAGTTGTTCATATCGTTATGCAGCTTGGAGCATATGATGTAGAAAACCCTATCCAGGCTCGAAAGACTCTGGAGCCATGAGAGAACAACGTCAGCGGCACCAGTACCTTCAGCATTGAGCGAGTCCAGGAGCAGTAGCAGCGGTCGTGTTAAGACTTTCTCTGGGTCAACGTCGCTCCCAAACTCGCCCGATGTAGGCATGACACTGGGTCTACGAGACATGGGCCTCCCTGATCCTTCTGACCTTGGACTGAAGCTTTGCATAGTATGTTCCCAAAGTACCGTAAACCTTGATGCTACCTCTGGCCCGTCTTCTTCGGATTCGCCACCAACAAGCAACGCTAGACGTGCTTCAACCTGATGTTCACTTTTGGTCAAACTCTCAAGCTGCCATATCAATCGCACAGCTTCCACATGATATTTCGGTCTGAAGGGCGAGAGATGATGCCATATACCGTTCAGAACATTAGTTTGGAGGTCCATAATCTGTTCGGGAGTGAAGTATTGTGATTGTTGTCCACCCACGCTGGCGATTATGACTGACATGATGGAATTGATGACCAAAAACGATGACTGTTCAGTCGAAGAGTCTTGTAGCAAACTCTCCTTATCAAGAGCATGCTTGAATGTGTCATGAATGTTCGCATTGCGCAACGCTTCGGAGCTGGGTGTCTTGGTAATAATGCTGACGAAGCAGTCCGTGATCAGACCAAGTTGGTTGGCCAACGTACTTGATGTCAGGGCCAATCTCAAGACTTCAACAATGCTTTGTAGCATGTATTCAGCAGTACTGCGTCGATCGAGATGTAAATTGTCCATCGTGCTTTCGTCAAAGTCTTCTTTGGTATACTGTTGTATGAGCGAATTGACGACCACATGGCATCTATCAGATTGCCAAGAGGATTTGGGGTGACCATCATTGTTGTCGTGCTCGAAAGCACGAGGGGGCGACACACGCAACAGTCGTTGCGCAAGGCTCAGCACAAGAATCATGAAGCGTTCGGGTTCATCCTTGTTTTCACGCAGGATGGAAGCGAGTCGGGCGAGGAGAATCAGAAGAGTGTTTGGGATATGCCGTAGAAGCATTTCTTCATCACGTACATCAAAACGATCGATGACGAAATGTAGAAATTCAAGATCTCCTATCGACTGGGCCGGAGCAGATGATCGTGTATCGAAGGACGAGAGAAGCACACTGATCAGACGCGACCAGATCAGACTACTTTCAACGCCATCGAAGAACAAGCTTGCACTGCGAATCACTTCCTCAAGTTGTGCTAGTGAACCAACCTGGCTGTACTCATAAGCGCTTCTGAGGGCCGGAAGCAGCACTTTGGGGACGATCAAGCCACCGACTTCCCAGCGATCCATCAAAGACAGACAAACGCGAAAGGGTCGGGCGCGAGTTGCAGGGTTCGTGCTTTGCTGACCAAGCATGTTCATGATACTCTTCTCAAGAGCGGCCGCACCATGCTTTTGGAAATACATAGCCTGTTTCTGGGAAACATTACCGCGTGAGTCTGTAGGCGACAGGGGCGCACCATCCTCAGCCTCGGAAGCAGTTGGATCGGGGCCAAGAAACCACGACCAGAGTCGTCGATTCAGGCTCATGTCCCTTCTCAAGACGCAGCCAGCGGCAGCAGTAGTTATGAGTACCATGTCCTTGGAGCGGACATGGTTGCGGAATACAGGCGAGTGGAGCGGCAAGTGTGTAACGAGTAGATCGAGAAAGCCACGCTGAACAAGAATCTGCGAATCCTGGAGACCTGCAGCAAAGCAACGCACAAGCAGGCCAGGCTCAGGGTTGATGGCGGCCTGTGCAGGCAAGGGAAGGGAGCGGTCTTCGATTTTGGATGGAGCAAAGTTGGGAAGCTTACGGGTCAAGAAAGCCAGGGCACCCTGCCTGCGAGAAGGGTTTGTTATTACGGCGAGGAAGAAGCACTGCCAAAAGTAGCCGTCTTTTCCTTCGCTATCAGGATCATCTTCCATGTCGCGAGCAGACGACTTCCGCAAGACATCGAGAATGCGGAAAGCTCGGTCGAAGTCCTCGCTTGTTTCATCTTCGATGCCCGGGAGCAGGGATAGAATCAAAGACTTTGTGGCAGGGCGGATATGTTCCGAATCTAGTTTCAGGATGTGATCCTCGATGACTGAGTAGAAGATGGGTCGCACGGACAGAGAGGCAAAGGACAAGACTGGCACCAAACCAGGGAGGTATACGTGGAGAGTCTGGCCGAGAGATGGAGGTGGAATGAAGGAGAAGATGTTGGCATAGACATCGAGAGCCTTTTGGTGGACACCCGAGGGCAAAGCAGGGTTGAGGCATTGGGCCAGGCGCAGAGCAACACCCTGGGCGTGGGGGAGGTATTCAAGGTTCGGAGGAGGAGGGTTGAGGGCCTTGAGCAGGCGGGCTAGGAAGGCAATGTAGTCGGCCCATTCTTGTTGGGCACTGTCGAATGAGGAAAGGGCACGCTCTATAGCAGTGGCATAGCGACGAGTCGTCTTATCCTTTTGCGCGACACCTAAATACCGTCAGACACGACAGCTCCCTGGCAGGATGCACGCAAACGCACATACCGTCCTCGACCCGGCGAGGGGCGCGAAGAGCAGGCGAGGAGCGTCCCGTACTCAGCGGAGACACTGAGCGCCGGCCATCACCGGGTTCAAATGGCATATTCGGTCACAAACATGGATGTTCCAAATAATCGTCTCTCTTGATATTCGCTGTGTTGCTGCTTGCTGTATAGCTCAGTCTTGGCGTGGGGAACGTGGCTTCAGGTACGCGCTTGTAATTCTATTTCGGATAAGCATTTAGCATTTTCAAGGATAGTCACAGCAGATTGTTACGTGATGGTCTGTCTTTTTCAATAGATGCGTTCAAAGGGGTCTCGTGAATCTTCATCTCGAGAAGGAGATGTTTTGAATCTCTACAGTGGACTGTCAGAAGTTTGACGAAACCAATAGGAAGCATGTTCCTAATCGGGAGGTGTGTCCGTGTGTTGTCATGCTCGGAGGCAGGGAAGGCAGGCACGTCACCGGCTTCCTTGACAGCGAGACCAAATTAAAAAAGCAGTGTTCACCGACTGCCAGGTTGTGAAACTGACTAAGGAAGATTTCGACTTTCTCCACTGTAATGCAGCATCCATTCAATTCTCCTTCACCTACTCGCACTCGCTCCCCCTCTCCTCCTCCCATAGGCCATTCGTCCTCCTCGGCCATCGACACGCGCGACACCAGCCCGTCATCACGCGATAGTGACCCCGACTCCCACCGCAAAGACAGCACCAACGACAAGAACGAAGGCGGCTTCTTTCAGCACATCACATATCCGGTATCCTACACCTTTAGTGGCCTGCTCCGCCGTCTCAGCGCAGACGAAGCTCCTACACCTCTCGCTCGTGCCCTGTCCGCCAACTACAACGGGACCATGAGCCCATCGGCCACCTTTTTCGACGCTCCCAAACGCCGTCTCTCGCCCTTTCAGCCACCGCCGCTGACTCCTTTGACTCTCGTCGGCTACAGAGAGAGCACCCCGCTTGCTAGCAGGTTGTTGGAAAAGGCCCTGGCTGAAGAGATCCGTTTGCTTGTGCCGCCGCGGGTCCAGCTCGTGGATGAGTGGAAGCTGATTTACTCGCTGGAGCAGAACGGTACCTCTTTGGGCAGTCTGTATAGCTTGAGCGACGAATACAGAGGCAAACGGGGTGGCTTTGTTTTGGTCGTCAGAGACGCCAGCCAAGGAGTCAGTCAACCACCTAGTGCTATGCATCCCACACACTGACACAAGATTCTAGGTCTTCGGTGCATACCTCTCCGACCCCCCTCAGCCTCATCCCCATTACTATGGCACCGGCGAGTGCTTTTTGTGGAGCGCTTTCCGCCTGCCTTCTCTACCCGATCTCTCATCCTTACCTCCCCCTCCCTCTGCCGACACGACCCACATGCAGCGAAGCACAACTATTGCTACCACTACAAAAAAGCCCTCGTTGACTGCTTCGGCTTCGAGAAGTGGCACCTCGACACCTGATAGGATAAGATTCAAGGCCTTCCCCTATACTGGCGAAAACGACTATACAATCTTTTGCCAGCAAGGCTTTCTGAGCATTGGCGGTGGTGACGGTCACTATGGTCTTTGGTTAGACAACAACTTGGCCAAGGGCATCAGCTCGCCCTGTCCTACATTCGGCAATGCGCGTTTGAGTGATGAGGGTGAGAAGTTCGGCATACTCGGCGTTGAGCTGTGGTACATTGGCTCTTAATCTGGCCGAGACAACAGTTTGCATAGTATCTATGCATTGTGTCCACCTCGAGAGATCCCAACCTTGCAGGTTTGTGAGGCCCACTGAGCTGGCTTGCGTAATGATCTGCTTTCTGAGAAGCAGTTATTTATCGAACTCCACAAGATCAATGAATCCTGTAGCGTGGCACTGAGGAGAACACAAAAGAGACCAGACGACCGTGGTCTCATCTGCGAGAGTCGCTACGCTCGAGTATCCATGAATACTCGTTTTGTCAGATCGGACTGCTGCAGCAGAGATGAAGTGTCTGCTGCATTCGAGACTTCTCTGCTCCTATCTCAGGTTCCGAGGATGGTGAGCCGACTTGCTGCGTCATCCCATACCTTCGAGTCGTAGACCCACGCACGGAGCAGGATACCACAGACTTTCGTTTGGCGTACGAGTAGGTCAGCCACGCAACCAACGTCAGAGTTCGGCGCCACTCCATGACATACACCCGAGACCAGGGTCTTGTACACGTCCATGGGTATGGAGTCTGACTGATGCACTCAACATGCTTGCCGCAAAAGTTACTCTTCAGCCCTGGGGAATATCTGTATTCCCGTGAGCGTTCCGTCTTAGTGGATTCTGAATGCAGCACGAATGATAGTGTGGCTGGTTGGCATGTCCTGAATGAGACGTCTCAAGGTTTACCGAATCGTGAGCATATAGGGTAACGCCAGGCCTACAGCCCTGTATCGAGATCCACTTGCATTTACACACTTGCGCATGACACTGAGAGAAGCAGCGTACGTCCCTTTCCAGAAGACTTATTGCCAAGATCCTTCTGCCGAAAGTGCTTGCCAAGTCGGTTGTTGAATGCATCTGCGACATCCAGAGCCCCCAGGTCAGGGCCTGGCTGATGTATTGTAACGGCTTCTGTTGCTCGCGGTTATAAAAAGTCGACGAGATCAACATACCCAGACGGCACCATGTTGAGGTGTCGACAGTCGAGTGCTATGAAAATTGAAAGACGACCTTTGTGCAGCAAACACGACTGCACCACACGTACTGGTGAGCCATCGTATCTGGATTGAGACATGCAAGTTGAATCTCGAACTGGCCTTTGGACTCGACCGAGCGGCTGGCCACAATTAAAGCCCATGTTTTGGGTCGACGACAATAACGTTCTCGACCTTAAATAAGTCCTTGGTAAAATCGATAAATGGGCACGAATCAGATGTCGTGGTGGCCCAACTCGGAAAGAGCCAAGCCGCATGAGGGCAAGGCTGGCCGTCGCAACGGTCTTTATTTCGACCTCCAACGTTTCTCCTCCGGATCCTCTCCACTCTAGACTCTGCATTGAAACACTCTGCCTTATTTGATAGTCTACGATATATCGCCTTGCCGTCAACGGTGAAAATGGGTCCTCGTATACTGGTAAACTGGTGGCTTCGCCAGAGAAATATAACAGTGCAACCATCAGCCAGTTAGGCTTCTTAGTCCCTTTGATTTGCGACCTTGCTTGCATACCATACCTTTCGTTCTTTACATCATCTCACCAATACCTTCGTTACAAAATAGAGAGGTGAATTGAAGATGCGCGCGTCAAACATCCTTGTGCCAATGGCAGCTGCCGGCATCGTCGCTGGCTCGCCTTTGGATTTTCAAGAGCGTGCCGCCAATACATGCACGATCAAGAGCATTCAGTCTGTGGTCACTAAGCTGAACCCTTCTGTTGCTACGCCTTACTGCCAGTCTCTTCTCAAAATTTCCACCAAGACCGTGAACAAGACAGTCACGCCTTCAGTACCTTCAAAAGTCGTCAAAACAGCGACTGTGTCCAAGACGGTCACTTCGATCAAGTAAGTTGAACAGTAGAAGATGGAAAACAAGGATATGGTTAACATCGCTTAGGAGAGTCACCAAGAATGTTACAGCTACAACCTCCAGCTCGTTTGATTTGACAGACACCAGGACTACCAGCAAGAAATCTTCAACCACGAGCAGCAAAAAGAGCAGCACGTCTACCAAGAGCAGTAGCAGGAGCAGTAGCAGGAGCAGCAGCAGTAGCAGCAGCAGCAGCAGCAGCAGCAGCAGCAGCAGCAGCAGCAGCAGCAGCAGTAGCAGTAAAGTTCTTAGCAGCAGCAGCACAAGCAGCCGTGTGTCCAGCAGTAGTCTCCCCGCGAGCACTAGCGCCTCGTCCCGCAGCCAGATCTCAAGCAGCAGCAAGGCATCTTCCAGCGCCAGCATCACCAACGATAAGTCTTCTTTGAGCAGTAGCTCAAGCAAGATGACATCTATCAGCAGTAGTAGCAGCAGCAGCAACAAGCCTACTTCAAGCATTAGCGGCAGTGCAAGTGGCAGCAGCAGCTTTGTGTCCAGTAGCAGCTACACATCGAGTAGCTCACGACCCTCCAGCAGCTTCAGCTCATCGAGCTCAATGAGCTCGAGTACTTCGCCAGAAGAAAGCCTGCGTGCAAACGCCATTATGGCTACAGGTTCAGGATCTTCATCGGTGTCTAAGAGCGCTTCAGTCTCTCCATCTGGATCGCCCTCGTCATCGGCACTGGTATCAAGTTCCGCATCAGCTTCTATCCCAGGAATGATCTCAAGCTCGGCATCGGTCAGCAGCAGTGCGTATCCTTCGTACTACCCGACTTGGGATCCCTCTGCCAATGCTACGATGTCGACGAACGGAACCTTCTTCTCCAACAAAACTTCGACGAGCACCCGAAGCACTGCGTCATCTACAGGATTTGCTGAGCTCTCCACCACTTCATCGAGCCAATCTACCGATTCGTCATCTCTCACAGTGTCGTCTTCGGATGCGCCGGTAGCTACTTCCACATCTTCCAACGAGTCATCGTCAACCGGATCCTCCTCGGCTACTGAGGTTACCGAGGCTCCTTCGTCCTCTTCAAGCTCTCTCTCGATGTCCTCTACAGAATCTTCTTCGTCCAGCGAGTCATCTTCTGCCTTTTCCTCCTCCAGCGAAGCTTCCTCGATGAGCGCATCATCTTCCAGCGAGTCTTCGTCTGCTACCGAATCATCATCGTCGACCTCGGCATCGGCGAGTGCAGGGATGAGAAAGCGTGGTCTGGAGGAGCGTAGCTCAGAGGATTGTGATCTGGAAGAACGTGGAGCTGTGACAGTCACAGTTAAGAAGTCAACAAGTGCAAAAAAGACCACGTTGAAGAAGACAACAAGCGTCAAGAAAACGACATCGACAAAGAAGCCCACTACGACCAAGAAGGTCCAAGTCGTCAAGAAGGCTACGAGCAGCCAGAAGCCATCGAGCACAAAAAAGGTCACTACATCAAGCAAAAAGCCAACAAGTACTTCAAAGGCGACGAGCACCAAGAAGCCAAGCTCAACCAGCTCGAAGAAGGCCACGACTAGTAGCAAAAAGATCAGCACAACATCAAAGACCAGCAGCAGCTCAAAGAAGCCGGTCATGACATCCAAGAAGATTAGCAGCACAACATCGAAGAAGATTACTTCTAGCACAAGCTCCGCCAAGACGTCGAGCGTTCCGATCAACAAGGGTCAGCCTGCTCTGTTCAACGGGTTGAATAACGCGCAGCAGTCGAGCATTTGTAGCTGCTTGCACGTGCCTACTCCTACTTTCACAAGAACTATCCACATGGATACATTCACTACTGTCACATCTACTGTCACAGCGACGCAAACTCTTGTGCAGTCAACCACAACCACAGCCCACCACACTGTAAGTTTTATCTCACGGCACTACATCGAGTTGTAGCTAACAGCATCAACTAGGCCACCGCAACACCCGATCTCTTCTACATGCAAGTGTCAAACAACAGCAATGCAGCAATTGCTGGACAGTGGGCATACCTGCCAGGAGGCAATGAACTCATTGCATTCACAGCAGGAAAGCCCGGAGCCAGTTCGTTCTTCTTTGACGAGCCCAACTTACTTGTGGAATACTCGAGCAACTACGTAGCCAACATCGAGGAAGGACACTGGGTGTCGTCGCTCTGGATGAATCCGGTTGGTCGCATGTACGAGGTTAATGCGGTACCATTGGACTGTCAAAACAAGAGCGGAGAGCTTTACTGTAAGATGAATGACCTCGACCAACTCTACTGGTGCGATGTTTGGGGGACGACTTCAATGGTCCTTGGACCTTCGGAGTATGACAACGGATCGTGCAGGAAGGTGTCGCTCGAAATCGTTCCAGTATAATTAAATAGTCTTGGTGATATTTCTAGTAGATAGACGACAGGCTGGGCTTCTGTAAATTTCAACGATAATAGTCTTTTCAATCAACAGATACACAGATGGTGATTGAAGACATGAGCCAAGGTGTTGTTGGAGTGAGGTATTACGTAGGACGTCCAGACGGCGGAAGGAGCGGGCCCGAGGCGAGGGCCTTGAGCTTTCTCCGCGTTTGGTCAGCCATCTCTCCACCTTGGAGTCTTGCACAGTCGCGCCTTACTAACCCGATCATCGAGAGCAATCACCAGAAAGCGAGTCGTCTTGTCGCAAACACAATCAGCCCCGAACACAATCCAGCAGCTCTCACACGTCTCACACATCTCACACGCACACAATGGCATCACGCGCAATGACCATGCCGGCCCGCCGCCTGGCTCTCAACCTCTCCAGGCCCACCGTCGCTCGCCGTAGCTTCCAGAGCTCAGCACGCATGCTCGAGGTACCGGCAGGAGCCATGCCCGTCCGCAAGCCCGTGGGCGCTTTCCGTGGAGGGTACGAAACACTCAGACATGCTGCACATCCTTCCACACCATCCGAAGCTATTGCCGAAGCCGTCGCGTGACTTGACTGACGTTGATACTGAAACAGCATTCTTGGATTCCTCTCTGGAGCCGTCTTGAGCGGAGGAGCCCTGTACTACTATGTCATTGACGAGTATCGTGTGTCGAACGAGCTCTTGACCGAGGACATCTACGTGAGTCTTCTCAGACGGGTGGGCCAACGAGGAAGAGAGACTAACTCCTCATAAACACAGGCTCTCCAGTCAGCCGTCTCACGCATAGAAGGCTACGTCAAGTCGCTCGAGGAGAAGGTCCGCAAGTAATCGACGAAGCCACACTCGACGCTCCCAACCTTCCGTCCCTCGCTCTCTCGTTAATGCCACGAACCCCAAGGCACTCGACGCCTCACCTCAATCCATTCAAGCATACCCCGAAGCTTCCAGCAACGTCCGCTTCCCCCCCTTCGATCATCAGCCAGCAACGAAGCTCCACCTTCTTCTCTCTTTGTTCCTTTACTCTCAAGTATCCTTGTAAAACGACAAGATATCCCAACTCGAATTCAAGTTCCCGCATATACAATCAATCCGAAAACAATTCAATTCTCCCACCCTATGCAAAGAAAGAGCTGTGAAATACATGAATGATGAAGGGCACACAACACGACACCAGGAGAGTCTTTCACACGCCTGTTTTGCTGCTCTTTTGCTTCGATGCTGTTGCACACGTAGAATGCTTGCTTCCTCTTGCATCTGCGACTCTCTGCTCAGCGACCATGTCGTCAGCAGCTGGCCCCGCCTCTCAAGTAGCTTCTGCTCTTGCCGAAGCCCGTGTTGGCTCGACATGCTCTCAGGCGCATGCGACCCTTCTACGCAATGCTTTCAAACAAGACCTTGCTCTTCCTAGGCCTTCGCTCTCCCTCCGTGATACCGTGCCTCTTCCTTCTTCAATAGCTTCCAGCCCGCGCAATATCCAATAGTCTCTCGCTCCTCGTGCATTAGACGAGTACTTCTCGAATTTCTCGCGCCTTGCTCTTCTGAGACCTCTTCCTTGGTGCCTCCTTCCCTGTCCTGGCCTTGTCAAATAATGGTCGTGTCTGACAACTCTTGTAAGTCTTTTAAGCGACTCGACCTTGTCGTCCTGATCGTCGATGCTTCCTCTTTACCTTGCTCTCGCTTTCCATGGTCTAGAAAAAGGTTTATCTTCTTCTACCTTCCTCTCATCCACTGTTTGTTCGATTCAATTCCCCTGCTTCTTGCCTCTGGTCTGTAGGGTTGTCCGCATCTCTTCTCTCAAAATACTTCTTGTCGCTTCCGTCGCCTCTTGCGCCTTTGTGGCTTTTAATCTCTGGATGTCTTCTTCCTGCTTTTTGCTCGGCGCCTTTGCTTGGAAATCCCAACGCCCTGGAAGAGAGTTGATAGAGTTGGAGTTTGGATGATATCTTTTCTTCGCGCGCATCGATCTTGTGGTTGCTTTTCTTGTTTATGCTGTGGTGATTTCTTCGCATCAGTCTAGTATTTTGGTTGTGATGTTTGCTTTTGTGTCTTTTCGTGTTGGTTCTCTTCATCGCTTGTGCTGTTTGTTTGTTCTTTTATTTCTTTGGAGGAAAGAAGTGGATGTGATTGATTGGTGTTGCTGTTTTGTTTCGATGGCGATGTTTCTTTTGGAGTCTAGAAGAGTCTGCTGTGATTGGTGTCGCTGTTGTCTAGTCTTGCCAGAAGGTCCTTCCTTCCAGAGTGTTAGTTCTTCGTAGCTGCTGACTTCTTTTCTGTCTGTCTCAAAGGTCAGTCTCAATCACAGGTTCATCAGTGTCAATCTCATAGTCACAAAGGCAAGAAGAGGAATCAGTATTTGAAAGTCAAAAGGTGCTTTCAATTCAGAGAGAGAGTAATCAAAGTGTTCTACATAAAGTTTCCATGCCTCTCAACCAAGCTATCAATTCCCGAGAATGAATGTGGCCAAGAGATGGAGAAAGGGAAAAAGGAAAAAGGTGAAATGAGCTCGGCGGCTCAGCTAACCAGGTCCAAGTTCAAGATGGACTGGCGCGTCTAGATGAACCACATGCCGGGGTTCATGATGGCAGGGTTAGCCATGGGCAGAAGAGGCTCGTAGATGGGCTCAGTGGTGCCGGTGACGGTGTTGTCGTAGGCAGCGGGGTTGCCGAAGCCCTTGCTGTGGTGAGCACCGCGAAGAGAAGCGATGTGGGCGTAGTAAACGGCAGGGAAAAGCGAGACAGGAGTGGTAGCACGGATGTACTGGTATGAGTGCTCGTAGATGAGCGTGTGGATCTTGTCCTGGGGCCACTGTGGCTCGTTGAGAAGGACATTGTAGTGGACGGGACGAGCAGTACCCTTGATGGCGGTGTGTGCGCAGAGGTAGAAGTCGTTCTCGAAAGGCTGTGTGACGCCAGTCTCAACGAGTGTGCCAGGAAGAGGGTTGGCGTTCTTGTCACCACCGCTCTGAGGGAAGAAGCGAACGTGATGACGCTTGGAAGCGATGATGACCAAGAATCTGGGCATAACGTGGATCTTGGCGAAGGCCTTCTTCATGGCGGCGACCTCCTGGTCGATGACCTGAGCGAACTGGCCTTCGGAGACACCGTCGCGGAAGTAGACAACAGTGGCAGGAGCCTTGCCCTGACCAACCTGTCTCGACCAACCGTTCTTGATGAGAGAGATGATGTGCTTCTCGATGTTCTCATCGGTGATCATCTCGACGCGGTGGCCATTGGTCTCAACAGCGGCGGCGTAGCGAGTGGCGTTGGCGTTCATCGAGACAGTCATGGCGGCCATGGAAGGGCCATTGAGACCGGGAGCAGCGTGAGACACATCGGCGCCAATGATGACGACGCTGTTGTCGAGAATAGCCTTCTTTGAGGTGACAGGGCCGAAGACGGTGTTGGTGAAGCCGCCCAACTTGGCGTTGAACTTCATCAATACATTGGAAATGTACTGAGCCTGAGCCTTCTGAACATGGGCATACTGGACACACTGAGACGGGATACCGAGCTTGCACTCGCAGAAGCGCTTGATCTTGCCGTATGTGATGCTGTTCTTGTCCTGAAGAATGAACATCAACAGCTGAGGTCTGCTGTTGTGCTTGTTACCAGCCAACTGGAAGGCCTCCTGCGCAAAACTGGCGGGATCAGCGTTCGAGGCAGCGTAATAGATGGCGGGGTCCCTGTAGGCAGGAGGAAGAGTAGCACCATGGCCGGCGTAGGTCTGGATGAAGGACTGCAAGAATCTCTGAACAGCAGCCTTGTCGATCTCACCTCTGGCACTCAAGACACAAACGCCCCAAGCGCTAAGGTCCTTGAGGGCAGGTGTTGAGGCAAACTTCTTGCCCTTGAGGTCCCAGCGACCAGAGGTCTTGGGGTCGGTCTGCGATGCAGTACCAGTGCCACCAAACTGAAGCTTAGGGTTGACCAGAAGACGACCCTTGGCGACAATGGGCTTCGGATCAATGGCCATGCCGTAGTTTCTGAGGTAGGGGTCGCTGGCCCAATCAAGCATCTTGACGCCCGTGTCGATAGCAGCCCAACGCTCTCTAGGAGGAGTGACGGCCCTCTTGATCATCTGAGAAGTCTGGACGTCATCGAGCTTGAAAGTGTAACGCTGATTATCCTTGATCTTGAGGAGCTCCAGAGGAAGGACGGCCTTTCTGGTCATCTGAACAACAGGCCAGCCAGGATACTTCAGACGAACGTTGTAAGTAGCCTGGAAGTATTGAGCAACGGTCTGCGTGCTTCCATCCTTGAATTTGAGGACGTGAGTGGAGTCCTTGTTCATGAAGTGGTCAATCACGTATTCGTCAGAGCCGCCCTTACGATGAACGGTAACAACGTGAAGCTTGCGGAGGCGTCTGAGATCGAAGAACTTGGGGTTGCCTTGCTTCAGAAGCAGCTGGATATCAGCCTCGCTTCTGGACTTGGTAACAGCCAGAACGGCGGCGGAGAGGGGACCAGACGACCAGAATGTACCATTGGCAACGTCAGCGTTGACCACGAGGCGATGGCCAGCAGGGTGATGTGCGATGCGAAGTGACTGGTAAACACCAGTGGTGTGCTCAACGTGACCACCGAGCGGACTGCGTTGGGAGTTGGCAGCAAAGAAGTTACGCTTGATGGAGATGAAACGAGAAGAAGGGGTCTCGCGCATGATATGATCAAGGACTGTGATAGCCTGCAAGATCTTAGTGTCGTATGTGGCGGTGCCAGTGAGGTAGGCATCCAAGCACGTGAAGTCAATGACAGCAGTGGGTCTGACGACCACGCGATGAACATCGGTGCGTCCAGGGCGAGCAGCATGTCCAGCCTCCTCGTCAAGGTTGACGTTGAAACGGAGCTCGGCAGGGTGCTGGGTGGTGGACCAGGCAAGACTGTTGCCATCGAAGATCCAACCGGGACCAAGCTTGGACCTGGTAGCCTGGCTGTTCCACACAGCCTTGATCAGACCACGCTTCTCGGCGCCAGTGCCGACCATCACCTGGTACTGGTAGATGGGGGCCTTGGGAAGCCCGGACACAGGGAAGGCGTTCAACTGAATGTCGACGGCTCTGCCGAGGGTAGAAGCAGGCAAGCGGCCGGCAAAGGTGTGACGAGCGCCGCGGGCGTCCGACCACATAGTGGCACCGACGTCGACGTTCTTGACATTGTTGCTGATGCCTTCAACAATCTGAGGAGCAGGACCGGGAGCAGGGTCACGGTTGCCGTCAAAGCGGGCAAGGTCGAGGCGGGGACCGGACTGAGTAGACGAAGCACCGCCAGACTGGCCCTCGCGCTGAGCGTTACGCTTGCTGGAGCCAAGCATATTGAAGATTGAGAGGGAAGATTGAGATGTAAAGATCGTGCTTGACTGAAGAGCGAAGCTGGTCAGTGGTGTTGCCGGAGATGAGGCGCGTTGTTGGCAAGGTGTGATGAGATGGATGATGTGATGATAGATGGAGAAGGTAGATGAGTGTTGGAAGTGGAAGTGGAAGTGGAAGTAGATGAGAGGTGGTTGGTAGAGGTTGAGGTTGAGGTGGAAGGTGGGAGGTCTTATATAGCTAGAAGGAAGGTGTTGTTTGCTGCTTGTGAAAGAAAGGAGTGATGAGACAAGAGGTGAATAGCACTTGTGAAGAGGAAGGAGCACTGATGAGAGCAAATAACGTACCAGGTGCTTGAGATCTCAGGTGGTCAGAGATGAGATGCTGAAAGAAGGGCGATCGAGGCTTCGGGTTTGTTAGTAAGAGAGCTCCGACTGAAGTGGAGAGGTGGAGTTTGCTTTAAGAAGGAAGGTGAGGTGAACAAGCAGAGAGGTGTGATGCCGAGAGCAAACCACAGCAACTGATGTGGAAGGTGATTGAGGAAGGTGTTTGTGAGGGCAATTCCTGATGCAGATGGAGAGATGGATGGATGTAGTGGTGAGAAGAAGAAAGCGCGAAAGGACGTACCAATAATGATCGATGACCAAAGATGATATCAAAGGCTAGCTGAGGAAGGTTAGTACTGGTTGGTATTGGATTGTGCTGATGGTTAGATGGTTGAAGGAGCAAGGGTAGGTGGATGGGTGGATGGTGGATGTGGCTGTGGATGTGCGCAAACAAGACTCACGAGAGATTGAGCAAAGAGCTGATTGATGGCAGTGGTTGCAGTGATGGAGACTACTGCAGTATGAGGTTGGATTGTACAAGGAAGGGGAAGCAGTGTCAATGGAGCAGAACTTACTTGTTTGGTGGTAAAGCAGGAGGATGAGAAGAGACCAATTGAAAAGGAATTATGCAGCGTGGGATGGCCGAGAGGCTAGCAATCAACGGATACCGTGTCGCGCTCCCTGCACACTGTTTCGACGATGGCTAGAGAATCCGGAGAAGTTGCATCAAGGCCTTGATTGACTTCAAACCGTGGATACTTCCTTCCCTGGGAAAATGTCAATCGAGCAAGCCCAACCTATCGTGCATCCTCAGAGCGTCCCTTGCTGCAGGAACGGAGCCAATAAGCCTAGAGACCTACCTGCCTCAGCAATCCAGACTCAAGACTGACACAAAGGCATCAGAACAGCAATTGAGCAGAGCAGTCAAAGCCCACAGCCCACAAGCAAAGCAGTTGGTCTTCTGCAGCGGTCCCACGAAAGACATTCCCCACAAAGCGCGACAACCCGTTCAAGCACGCAGTCAAGTGGCACAGGACCCACCAGGCACGAGACCTTGCAGCCAGCAGAAAGAGACGGCAGAACAGACAAGCATCAAACCTGTCTGACCAGGAAGCACAAGAAACACCGTTTGGCGTCACTGTAACGTCCTCGGTCCGGATCGGCATATACCCGCCGGGTGCATACTCTGCATGTGTCAAGCAGAGGGAGAAAGAGATATATCCATAGCGACAGGCCGTCTGGATACTACGGCGCTTGGCTTCGGCTCATTGGCAAAGGAGACAAGAGACGTCGCGATAAGTATCGGCACAGGCTTCAAGAAGTTGTCTTGACAAGCCGGCTCGACCCCAGCAAACGAATGTCGCGAGGCTTCAGGTCACGGGGACTGATTGTTTGGGCCATGCAGATGCAAAGCCACACGCAAGAGAGCTGTTCGTCGTTCGTCGGCATCGGAAAAAGTGGAGAGCTGCATGGCGTTGCCGAAGCACCGTACTTGCACAGGGCCTCCGGTGACAGAAGGTAAGGTATATATCATTTTTGTCTATGCAAGAAATCAGCAGCGAGAGAGATATGCTCATGTCGGGGGAGGGGGGGCTTGGTTATAACATCATTGAATTCTACTTTCGTTCTTTCGTTTATATTACAGTTGGCAGTATAAGGTAAAAAGCAGCTGAAGATAAGCAACCATCTGCTTTCCCTCTGCTCGAATGTCAGTCTTGCCGTATAGAGAACCAAATCAACGCCGGAAATGCTCCATGTAATGCACCGTCCCGTAGTCCACAAATTACTGTCGCTTTTCTAAGTGACGTGAAGTTGTGATTCATGTACGCTTCCATCTGCGAGTCGAAGCTCTTGACTTTGCATTGAGAGATCAATTTCCAAGAAACTCATGCTTCCAAAGCTCAGCTTCAGCGGCCGTAGTTGTAGCCACCGCCATAGCCACCACCCTGCATCATGGCTCTGTTGGGGTCAATGCTTCTGATCAAAGCAACCATGCTCTCAGCATTCAGTCTTGCCTGAGCAGGGTATGTCGAGGCGTTGGGGATCATGCTGAGAAGCAAAGTGATATCTCTGGGGAGAGGCTTGGGTGGCGGGACAACGACCTGCGAGCCATAGCCCTCAGCACGCTGTCTCTGTTGTTGACGACGGCCAGCGGCACCCTTGAGTGGTGATTCACCGCGGGCAAGCTTGCGTGCAGGTTGCTCCGCATCTGAGTCTGCATTGTCGAGCGGGCGCTTGGGTGACTGTACGTAGCCGGCAGCGGCAGAAAGAACAGCGGGGTTGGGCACTGGTTCGGCCTCAGTGCTGGGCATGGCGAAGTCTGCATCCTTGGGTCTTGTCTGAGCGTTCGGGCTGATGATGGTAAGAACTGTGCAGGGGTCGAATGTAGGAATTCTGAAGCGATGGCCGAAGCGGACGAGCGAAGGGTCCTCCGGGAAGAGGTCGGCCATGCGCTTTTCAAGCTTTGTGATTTGGGCAAGTTCGCCGTAGTTGGACTCGTACTCGTGGATAAAGAGGTAGAGAGGCTTGGTCCTGGGGATGTTCTCAGGCTTGGCCGAGAGCTTCGAAACAGTGGTCTCGAAGACAGCACGAGCGTCTACAAGTATTGTCAGTGGAGTAAATAACACTAGTTTGGGCGAGACTTACTTGTAACGTCGTTGGTGGCGATCAGGTGCTTAAGGTACTCCATGGCGAACAGCTCGTCTTCGGGGAACAGCTTCATACCGCGCTCGAAGATCTTGGTTGCGGCTGGGTCCTTGTAACAGTGGTACTCGATCAGTGCGGTTGCCACGTATACATCGCTTGTGATGCGGCCTCTCTTTCTTGCAAGAGCAAAAACGTTCCTAAGGCCACCGACGGCTGCGTCGGGCTTGCCCTTTCCTTGAATACGGCGCATGGCGCGCATGAGGGCGATCCAAACGAACGAAAGTGTCTTTGAGACAGTTCTGACCTGACCAGCAGTGTTCTTCTGTACCTCGTCGACTTGTCTCTTCTCCTCTGCTTCTCTTGAGTTTGCAGCGGGTCTGTTCGTTTGGTCATCGTCATCCTCATCTCTGGCTTCAGGAGTAGGCTCGCGCGAAAGCGGAGGTAGAGACTCGTAGTACTCCTTGATCTGAGCGATGGCCTTGGGCTCGCGTGCCTTGATCTTGTCAATCAGTGCGTAGAGGGCGTTCAAGCAGTTATCGTAGGGCTCCTTGACAGCGTCACCACGGCGTACGAGGCTCTCCTCGCCATCCTCGACAGGCATCGATTGCTCAATACGGTCGGCGCGGGTAAATGCGAGCAAGCAGCTTTCCGGGTTGGCGGCGGCACCTTGAGCCAGGAAGTCATTGGCCTCGGTCTCCATCTCGTTGTCGAAGCAGAACTCGGCTGCGTCATACCAGATTTGAGGCCAGAAGCGGAGGGCCATAGTGGCTTGTCTGTACACATAAAGTACGCGATCACGGTAAGCCTTGATGTCCTCCTCTTTCAGGACCAGCGGATCTTCCTTCTCCCAATCGATCCAATTCTGCCAGATGGTGACTTGTTGCTGGTATTCGTCGTCGCCATCGCAACCAGGCGCGGGCGGCAGTGTGGGGACAGGTCTGCGCTTCAGGTCCTGGGTAATCTTTTGGAGGATGTTGTAGGAGGTACGGGCAGTCATGTAAGCGGGCGATTTCTCCTGGAGAAACTTGCGACCCTGCGAGTTGTTAGTTCTGGCTTGCAAGCAGTCACATTGAGTAACATACGGTCATCTTGTTGAGCCCCATCTCGAATGAGTCGTATTCCTTCCACAAGCTGGTAGTGGCCTGCATGGGAACAGTGATGGCACGTTGATATGCCTTGCGCAAGGTGTCCATCTTTTGAGCATCCTGCCAGCCATTGCCTCCGGGATTGCCAGGGCCTGACTTGATGAAGTTGATGTAGTCTTGCCACATGCTTCCCGAATCCTTGTCGCTGCCGATGAGGTTGAGGGCAAAGTCATAAGCCTGAGTGATAGTCTGGCGAGCTTGACCAGTCGTGTCGGTCATGACATTGTTGCGACGTCTAATGTAGTCGAGGTAAATTCCCCAAAGCTGTACGTTGTAGTTCTTGAGAAGCGCCATGTTGAAGATGTTCTCCAAGCGAATGAAGTCGTCCTGGTCCTGCTCCATCTGGGCGTAGGCGACCCATTGATCGGCCTTGAGACTCGTCAGCTCTGAACATCTCGAAAGTCAGGAAAGTAGAAAAAGAGGAACTTACAGCAGTAGGGAAGACTTCGAAGAAGCGGTCGTAGACATTGCGAGCATCGTCAAGCTTGTTCTTGGATCTGTGCAGAGCAATCAAGTCAAGCCAAGCATCAACATCACCCTTGGGGTCATCAGCGATTCTGTCCTCGAGCTGACCAACACGGTCCTGAGGCAAGCGGGGCTTTGAGAGGGCAGCAGAGGACGAAGAAGACATCTGAGCAGAAGGAACAGGGGCATTGGACTGCGGCAGTGCCTGGCCTTGGACGGAAGCACCTTGTGTAGGAATAGCAGAAGGGGCATGGTCTTGTTCAAGTACATCAGTAGGAGGAGGGTTATATACGGCTTGTACATTCTGTTGCTGCTGCACAGGGGTCTGAGCGAGCGAACCGTTTGTGCCTGTGCCTTGCTCTTGCTCTTCATCGTCTTCGTCATCATCTTCTTCAATGAAGCCACCAATCGTCTTTGGCTTTTGCGCGGCTGTGGCATCGGACATGCGCGAGGCGGTGCGAGATGGTATCTGAGAGGGAGGTTGCGACTGGACAGCGGCGGGCTGGGGAGTGGCCGAGGGCTGAGGTTGGTCAGGCATGAAGCTGGAAGGGTCATAGTCTTCATCGTCTTCTTCCTCTTCCTCTTCCTGGTCCTGGTCCTCGGCGGGGTCCTGGGCAGCAGGATCATAGGAGGCGGGATCATACTCGGAGCCAGCCATTGAGGCAAGGAAGGCGGCCTCAGCACTCATGTCGGCCATGATGGCGGTAATGCGACGGGCGGATTACGAGCAAGAGGAGACGATGACGCGCGGGGAAAAGAGATCGGATGTCGTGTGCACAATGAGGGCGGGCCGAGTTTGGACTGGTATACCTGGTGATGAGCGGACGGGTCTAGTGCAAGGATTGAGGAAAGAAACGCGCGCAAACAGGCAACCAAGTGTGAAAGATGCGACAAGAAGGCGGCGGCGATGGGAAGTTTGATGCCGACCTTTGCGGAGTCGCGACACGGAAGAGCTTCGAGGTCTGCGCCGCTAAGGACACTAGCGCCGGGAGTATCCGCAGCGTGCATGGTGACGTCTGCCGAAGTCAAAGGCAGCCGAATGCGCCGTGGTCGTTCTTTGAGCTCTCCTTGTTGACAGTCGACTGCTGACTCTGCCTGCTCGTGCGGCCTGCATCCTCGAACCTCCACCTGTCGCACCATGAATCCGACAATCACGCTTCCGAGGAACAACTCAAATGCCTCTTTCGGGGCCGTACCGTCCTCATCACGGCGGAAAGATGGTGGTATCCGCATGCCTCGATTCTTCAAACGCCTATTCAAGTTCCCCCAGATGGATTTCGAGATGGCAGTTTGGGAGATGACTAGCCTGATCATCGCGCCCAAGAAGGTCTTCCGCCAGGTCTACTACCACAAACAAACACGGAATACATGGCACAGAGCGGACCCGTCATTCACCTACCTGCTCTCCTTCTTCCTTCTCCTGACCGCACTATCCTGGGGTCTCGCCTACGCCGATGGTTTTTCGAAAACCCTACGCATAACTCTGGTCTTCATCTTCGGCCACTTCCTCCTTACCTCGCTACTCGTATCTACGGCCGCCTACTTCCTCGTCGGAAAGCTATTAGGTCCTGGTGTCAAGGGTCTACCAGGCAGGAACAAAAGAGCTGGCTTGTTTGGCCCGCCGGGCAATGATACGATTGAGCAGTTGGAGTTTGGATATTGCTTCGACGTCTCGATTCGTGCCTTCTTCCCTGTCTGGGTCTGGCTGTACGTCGTCCAGTTCCTGCTCATGCCAGTCATCTCGCGCGACTACTGGGTCTCGCTGTTCTTCGGCAACCTCTTGTACTTGGTGGCCTTTGGATACTACTTTGTCGTCACCTTCCTCGGCTACAATGCCCTTCCGTTCCTCCACCATACCCAGCTCCTGCTCACGCCAGTTGTGGGTTTCGCCATCTTCTGGATCGTCAGTTTGTTCGGCTTGAACTTGCCGAAACACTTTGCTCCTGTCCTATGGGCTGGTGCCGACTTGCGCAAGTCTGTATGATTTTGGACCATGTATCTATACCAAAGAAAAGCATTTTCCTTCTTCTCCTTAAACGATCAGTTGCTATGCATGTTATGAAACTCGTGATGATTTTGACCATCCTCCCCGTATGCTAAACTTTGTCACGCGTACAACTATAGAACAGCACAATTTCAGCATCGTTGGGGGTTAGGGGTAGCCTCCATTGAGAGCGTGGTAGTTAGCGCCTCTCTACGGATGATTATATCGATCTGAAAAACATTGTGCATTTTTACATGCCAGACGACTCCAGGCGTGGCCGCGGGAGATGGCTAGAAGTGACAGGTTTTAGCACACGGGGAGGATCTATATACACTAAAGTCAAGAGTCGAGGTAATGCTACATGAAAACAAAAAATAACGTAGACGTAGCCGCAAAGAAATTGACCCAGCACCAAACTCCCTCTCGCCTATAAGGCCTTGCAACCTTGGCTGTAAAAAGGCAAGATGCTTTTGATAATCAAGGTACATGTCCATTGAGAGCGATACTGCCCCTCGATTTCTTCGGACCTGCATTAAAATCCGAAAATCATTGTGCCTTTTGACTGCTATGTTGCAAGGAGCCTTTGCTAGGCTGAGAGCTCGGTTCTTGTGCAATTCATGTGCCCTTACATCTATGTTAACGCCGCTGTGCATGCCATGCTTCTACTTTACAGACCTTCATATGCACAGATATGCTCAACTCCCAAATATACTCTTACACTATAATTCTTCCTCTAAATCGGCAGCGTGCGCTTCTGAGTCTTCTCCTCAAAAGTCTGGATCATGTCTCCAGTCTCGAAGCCTTCCCAGCCTTCGAATCCCATACCACACTCGGTACCCCTGCGCATCTCCTGAACATCCTTTTTGACGTTCTTGAGACTGGTCACGATGCCTGTAATTTCAAAGTCAGTAACAATCTCCTTGGTACAAGTTTGACGAGAACAGGGTAAAACTCACCATCATAAACTCTCTCCTCTCCTCTCGTGACTCTGACTCTAGAGCCTCGGGCCACAACACCGTTTCTGACCTTCAAGCCTGCAATCTTCATCTTCTTGCGTCCGCCAACACCGATTTCGAAGCTCATGGCCACTTCGGCTTCACCGGTGACCTTTTGGATCTTCTGCGATGGTAGTTTCTCCTCGAGTACGGCGCGTACATCGTCGACAATGCGGTAGATGACGTTCTGCTCCAGAATTTTGATGCCCTTGCGTTCAGCACGACCGGCTGAGTCGGGATCGTTGGGTAGATTGAAGGAGATGATGTGCCCGCCGGCTGCGTCAGCATGCTCGATATCGAACTCGGTGACAGGACCGACTGAGGCACGAAGCAAAGTTGGCGAGCACAGAGGGTTGGTCATTTGGAGTAGGTAAGCAGAGACGGCTTCAACACTGCCACTGACATCGGCCTTGATGATAAATGGCACAGTCTGGTGACCAGGTGTCTCATTCTCATCATCAGCAACTGCTTTGCGGGGTGCGGGCTCGACTTCAGTGCCTTGGGCTCTGGCTGCTTTTTCGGCGGCGGCGGCTTCCTTGGTCGCATCACGCTGGACCTGTTGCTCACGGCGCTGGGTGTTGATCTTTTCCATATCTTCAGCCATGCGAATGCGTTCTTCCAATTCGTCACGGAAGGCAACAACATCGGCAGCTTTCTGCTCGTTGGGTGCTTGGAGGACTTCATCACCAGCAGAAGGTTGGTCGCGCCAGCCGTCGACTTCGACAGGCGTACCAGGGCCTGCGGACATTTGGGTGACACCGGCTTCGTTGCGAAGACTGCGGACACGAGCCCATGTCTTACCTGCTACGATGATGGTACCTGGTTTGATGGTACCACGACGGACGAGCACAGTAGCTACACGGCCTGCCTTCTTGGTCGTGGCTTCGAGAACCCAGCCTTCAACTTGACCCTCGGTATCGGCGCGGTGGTCCAAGATTTCGGAAAGCGTGACTGCGGCGTCTTCGAGCTCGTCGATACCTTGGCCAGTCTTGCCACTTACGGGCACGACCTGAGTCTCGCCGCCAAAGTCTTCGATCTCAACTCCATGGCGAGCGAGATCTTGCTTGACGCGGTCGACGTTGGCTTCCTCTTTGTCGATCTTGTTGACAGCGACGATGATGGGCACGTTTGCAGATTGAGCGTGCTTGATAGCTTCAATAGTCTGCGGCTTCACCGAGTCGTCAGCTGCAACGACCAGAATGATGATGTCAGTCACAGTTGCACCACGCTTCCGCATCTCCAAGAAAGCCGCGTGACCGGGTGTGTCGAGGAAAGTGATGGTCTTGCCGCTTGAAAGAGCAACGCTGAAGGCACCAATGTGCTGTGTGATACCTCCGTGCTCGGTAGCAGCGATAGATGATTTGCGAAGATAATCCAGAATGGTGGTCTTTCCGTGATCGACGTGCCCCATGATTGCGACAACAGGAGGGCGAACGGGCAAGAACTCCTTGTCCTCAGCTTCCGGTTCAGGCAGAGGCTTCAGATCACGCTCTTCGGCCTCGGCTTTATCCTGGGCACCCAGGGTAGGATCAAAGTTGTACTCCATAGCGATCAGACCTGCCTCTTCGGCACCCAAGACGTGGTCATGCGATGTGTTCTCGAAGCCAAGTTCCCCCATCTTCTCAGCCATCTCTTGGTAGGTAACGTTTGTCAGCTGTGCCAGTTTAGACACACTGACAAACTCAGGCAAGTTGATGGGAGTCATGGCCTCTGCACGTCTCACTTGTCTAGCAGCCTGACGAGCGGCTTCCTTCGCCGCCTTGTCTTTCTTTGCTTGACGAGCCTTCTTGCGCTCATTACGGTCATTGCGCATGGAGCCAAAATTGCCTTCAACATCGTCGTCGTCGTCCTCAAATCGACTGCGACGACCTCTGCGGGGTTTATCATCCTCATCTTCATCAACTTCCTCGGAGCGGCCACGGCGTCCTTTGGTAGGCGCCGCTCTTGGTGCTTCATCCTCGTCTTCCTCCACAAATCGGGACGCTCTGCGAGCATTGCGTTCCAAGATTTTCCTGGCTGCTTCTTGCTCAGCAGGGTCGGATGTTTCAGCCTCTGCTGAACCTGCCATAGCTGTTGGAGGTGCAAATGCAGCGGCCATGTCTTGTCCGGCGCTCCTGTGCTCTCTTGGTCGTCGCTCATCCCTGTCGCCGCGCTCTGCGTTGCGATCGAATCTTTCGCCGTTGCCACCAGGCCTTTGAGTACGGTCGACCCAACCAGGTTTAGGTGGATTGGGACAATTGCGGAAGATATGACCAGGCTGTCCACATCTGATACAGGTTTGGATCTGACGGGGTGCTCCTCGAGCAGAAGCGGGTCTGCTCTCAACGTTCAGAGACTCGATGTTGAAACCACCAAATCTCGGTCTTTGCTTTCGGTATTCTTCGAATCGTGCATCAATATCTCCTGCTGACATGGGCGTGTATCTAGAAGCTCCTCCGTTGTTCTTCTCCTGCTCATATCGCGTGGGTTGAGTTGCATTGTCTCGTTGCCTCGGCTGTTGCTGTCTCGACTTCATTATGTTCCAGCTCTGAGCGTTCTCGAATGGCGTTTCGTCAGGTTCACCACGATTGTTAACCATGATGGTGGAGAAGCGAGGTCCGCGGTTTTGGTTCAAGCGACGTTCGTCCTCATCCCTCTTGGCCTGCTCTGCCTGAACGCGCTTCTTTGACTCATCAACAAGAGCATTTCTGGTTTGCTGGTCTTGCTCACCGAAAATAGATTCAATAGCTGATTTTGAAGGATTTGCAGCTGACTTGTTCTTGCGAGCCAACAACATCTCGAGCATTCTCTCCTCCTCTAGCGACAAATTGCTGGCTTCTCCAGAAAATGTGGACTGCGCTTCGGGTTTGGGTGGCTCGCTTCTCTGAGCAGCAGATTGATGCTGGCCTTCACGACGTTGCTCTACCACATGTGGCTCCTGTTCCTCCCTGTGTTGACGCTCGTTCTCGCGTGTTTGCCAATTCTTTTGGGCAATCTCCCTGATGGATTCCGGCTTTGGCTCATCTGCGTCAAAATCCCGCTCTTGGTATCTTATCTTAGGTGGTGGGGCGACGGGCTTCACGAGAGCTTTCCTTGCCTGCTCCAGCTCGTCCGAAAAAGGGTCTTCGCTTCCTTCAAATGATTTAAAGGGTTGCGAGAAAGGCTGGTTCGAGGATTGTGGTTGTCGGGTAGGCTCTGTCGAAGACTCGGCGGCATCTGGCAGCGGGCGTGCTTGTTGAAAGGCAGGAGCGGCAGATGGGCGGGACCGGGGTTGTGCTGCAAAGGTTGGTGGAGGGCTCGGCTGAGTCTTGAACTGAGGTACCGGGGCAGGCTTGGGTGCAGGTTGATTCCTTTGCCTGGGGTCCGACTTTGTTGGCAGAGTATCCAGACTGGGCATGTTCTTGAAGTCAATCGATTTTGTGATAGTTTCTTGCATCCTCGAGCGATTGCCTCTTATATCCATGTTTCGTTCGCGCTGGGCATTTTGAACGCGATTTAAAGGTCGATTGGCGGTTACTGCTCGAGGAGTGCTGGAGGTTTGCCCGGGCTGTTGATTCTGCTGATTCTGTCTCTGTTGGCGGTTCGAGTGTGGTTGTCTTTGCTGCTGAGACAGTTGCGATTGCTGGGTCTGCTGTTGCGACGGTTGTGATTGTTGCGGTTGTTTAGGCTGAGGCTGAGACTGCTGTGTTCCTCTCGAATTGGGGCCGAACAAGCGCTGGGAACTATAGTTCTCTCGCGACTCTTCCTCCTGCTTACGCAGGGCAGCCTCTCGTGCCTCTCGCTGGCGTTTCGCCTCTTGTAAGGCTTTACGGGCTTCTTCTGCCGGATCGAAAGAGAAGGGATCTGAGAAATCTTGGTTGTGAATGGCAGCCGAGTGGAAAGCATTGCTTCGGGCAATGCTCGTCTGGCGTGCATGAGGATTAATGCGACCAGCGCAAAAGCTGCAGAGGCTTTGGCTCGAGGAAGCCTGTGTGTTACGATTAGTCGGTTTTCTGGAATATCTACATGCTTGCTCACCCTCAATAACTTAGACCTGCGCATTTTCGGTCTACTTGCCCCTACAGGTTCATGTAGAAAGAGGCGATGTGTGACGCTCTCCCGAAAACTTCTTGGAGCACATGCAATTGCGGCGTTCGGAAGCACCTGTCTTCCCCGAACTTGCTCCGCCTATTCTGACTTTAACTCCGAACCATCATTAAACATCACATCTAGCACGAGAACAGGACAAAGGAATCGAGTCTTATGCCGAAGAAGCAATCGCGTCGTAAGTTACCAAATGCTATGCACATAACTCCGAAAACGTCCTGGTATCCTGCTCCGATTCTCTCGCTTCGGCCCTCTTTCTTCCGCTCATCAAATCATAAAAGTAAACCCGACCGGGCCATGCTCATGATGCGCGACGGCTTTACTTCTTCTTGTTGCCGCGGTTCTTCTTGGCCGCAGCTGCTGCTCTCTGTCTCTCCATTCTTGCCATCTGCTCGGCCTTTTCCTTCTCGTGCTCTTCTCTCTCGGCCTTCTCGGCAGACTTGCGGGCCGCGTCCTCCTCTCTCTTTTGTCTGACCAGCTGCAGTCTCTCCAAGTCGTTTCTGGCCTGTTCGGTCTTGCCCTCGGCGTGCAACTTCTCATATCTCTGCTTGGCCTGCACGGCTTGCAGAGCTTCACGCTCCCTTCTCGAGAGTTGCGACATGTCGGCAGGCTTGGTAGGCTTCTTCTTGGGTGCCTCGTCGTCCGATCCAGCAACTACGGGCTTTGCTGCCATCTTTGCGGCCTTGGCTGTGTGGTTGGGGTTTGCGGGCATGTCGTCGTCCTCTGATGATGATTCCGATTCACTTCCTGAGGGCATGTCGCCGACCTGAACGGGTCCCTTCTTCTTTGCGATGGCTGCGGCCTTGCGTGCCTTGGCTGCCTCACGTCTTTGCTCACGAGTCATCTCCTGGTCGTTGGTGGCCTTGGGTGCCTCATCCTCGCTTGACTCCTCCTCGCTTGACTCTTCCTCCTCGGACGACGACTTGTCAGAGTCTGATGCCCACATGCTCTTCTCAGCACCCTCGGCGTCAATAGGACGGAGATCTCTGCTGAAGTGCTTGCCGCCTGTAAAGATGGGTCAGATGGGTCGCAAGATCTACTGGACGATGACTTCACTTACCACCTCGCTTGGGCTTCATGAACTTGCCTCCTCTACCTCTAGTAGACATGGTTGCGGTTGTGAAGGTGACTGGTTTGGTGAAGGTTGTTTGTTGACCTTGCGGTGTAGGTTTAGTACGTTGTGCTTGATGTTATTGTAAGTTTGAGGTTCGAGATCGTCAAAAGTCGCAACAAAGTTTGTTGTTGTGTTGACGAAGCGCTGGCAGCGAGAAAAACTACTTGGGCTGTGATCTGGCTGACCTCCACTGACTCCCGACTGGAATTTGCTGACCGCAGTCATCGCTCTTGGCGGCGCGTATTCGAGCCGGTCCGAGCTTTTTCCTCGTCCTCGACCTATATAAACAGTTTTTTCCCAGACCCTCTCCATTCAATCACATAAAACACGTCGCTTTTCAATTCACCGTTGTCGCTTAATGCCACCGTTGCGAACAAAGGGGGAAGAAAGGCGTAGATCGACTCCGTCTGCTTACCCCAAAACCTTTAGAAAAAGTGAAGGTTTAGGAAATATATTGGATGGTACAAATTTTTCGGCAAGTGCGCTTCGTCAGGAAGGAGCGACCACCAGCGCGCACCGTCCGCTCCAGAGGCAACAGCAGCTTTGACGGCTGTTTAATGACAAGCACGCACGCTCGGCATCTGCTGTTGCTATCTGCCCGCCTGCTCTTCACCAATTTGCGTCTGTTCCTTCGGACTCGCATTCACTGCACCGTATCTAGACATTCGCCTTTGCATTTCTGAACGAGCCGTAGCGATTGGCCTCTGCTGTCATGAATATGCATCTGCTGTCGAGATCCTGCGTCTGTTCTCGAGAGTTTGCATCCGCTCTTATCATTTAAGATCTGTTCTCGAGAATTTGTATCTGCTCCTATGATCTGGCGTCTGCTCTTGCCATTTAGGATATGCTCTGTCGATTTTGCGTCTGCTCTTACAAGTTCGCATCTGCTGTGACGGAACTATATCTGCTCTTGCGCAGCGGCATCTGCTCGCTCAACACATGCTTGCTCTCAAGATTTTATATCTGCTCTTATAACGTCCGTATCTGCTGTCACGAATTTTCATCTGCTCTCGACAATTTCGCATCTGCTCTCGACGACTTTGCATCTGCTCCCGATAGTTTGCATCTGCTCTCGATATTCTGACTCTGCTCTCGACAGTTTATATCTGCTCTCGCTCTTGGTAATTCGCATCTGTTCTTGATAATTCGCATCTGCTCTCAATACTTTGCATCTGCTCTCTCGAATTTGCATTCGCTATGACGGATACACATGTATCTGCCCTCTTAAGCTACTCAAATGCTGTCGTGATTTCCTGTCTGTTCTTGAAGATATGCGTCTGCTCTTAAGAGAATGCATCTGCTGTGACTGTTTTGCATCTGCTCTTTGTCTGCAACTCATGATTTTGTGCATGGAATCGCATCTGCTCTCCATGATGACCATCTGCTGTGTTGACTCAGTCATCTGCTGATGAATGCCGTGACAGCGAGTGAAGGCTTTGTACATGACAAAATGGTATGTAGCCTCTCTCTCACTGGACAAACTGCCAATCTCGAAAAGCTTCTTGCATTTTGACAGCTATATTCGCCTGGCACTCGGTCCTTGGGATGCAACAAGGGGGGTTGATGCCAGCACAAACAAGGGGCTCACGACCTACTCGCTACTCCCAGGCACACGAGCAAGCTGACAAAATTCACACCAGAATGCAACAAGTTTTTCGAGAATGGGACAACATCCAGTGAGAGTCCCGAATTTTTGGACTCTCACTGGACCTTTTCAAGAATCCGAATTCGATTGTGCATTTTGATAGTTGCAAATGTGACCACCACCACGGTGCTGGAGACACTCTAGAACAGTCTCTTCCCAGGTTCGGCAAAAAAAAGGAGCACCAGGGATATGAGATTTTGCAAGCAACGAGCAGAAGGATGTCGCAGCCGTGAATCGAACACGGGGCTCGTGCATGGCAAGCACGAATTTTACCACTAAACCACTGCGACTTTGATGAAGCAAGTACGGCTGTGTGAGAATAAGAAAACCAAACACTGACACATGGCATCATGTGGCGACTGCTCTGCAAAATCCATAGCGACGAACTCTTCGGGCAGACTCGAGCGGTCAATGCCTACGGCTAGAGTGAACAACGTATCGCTACTAAGTATAGAGATAGTAGACGGAGAAACAAGAGAAAGTGCACAATTATGGAGTTTCGGGATTGTCTCGAGACATGATTTTGATGACGGGCACTCGATGGACGCAAGGACAGCTTGGACTTCATTTCTCCGCCTTCCTCCGAACCATCGTCTCTCAATCTCACTCCTCATTGCCTCGTAATATTTCAAGCAAAGACGTTCGCGCTTTAGTAAGAGGCATTCAACTTCGGCTTGCCTCCTTGTATTTTGAGTCCTCGTCAACCGGAGCTGTGATGCATAGGCTTAATGTTTGTGTATCTCGTCATTCATGCCACCATGATTTGGCGTTGCCGTGTGCTAATAGCTGCAGAAAAGGCTTGATACATTCAATAATAGGAGAAGGTCGTGCAAAAAAAGGCAAGTCTGCTTTTACTGTTTGAGGAAAGACGATCCTCCCAGTTGCACAATGTAGGTGAGGTAGGTGCGACCATGGGCGACTGCATGGCTCTCCGTTGTTGGATGCGGCTTCCAACCGCGAAGCCTCTCAATTGTGCTTCGCTATCCTATAGCTACCCTACCTACCAACCTCTCTCTTCAGCTCTCCACCCAATCACCCATCTCCTTATTGCTACCTGTATCCCGACCCTCCCGACCCTCCCGAACCTACCTTAACCTACCTGCCTTGATCGACACCTGCCCCAAGGTCTCACGATACCTCCATTACAGCGATTCTCATCGCTTTCCGCCTCTATCGCGTTATTTCGAACAGTCTCCAAGGAAACATCATCTCCCATGTCTACCCTCCGCAGACCAAGAAGCGGCAGTGCCACGGCCTCATCTGCTACTCTGGATGATATCAGCTCTCGACCCTCTATCCAAGACTACAGGGAAGATGGTGGTGAGTCTTTTGTGTTTCCACAGTGTTGACTCCGAGCTGAGAACATCCAAGCGGAGTGGAACGAGTTGCAGAAGTACGCCAGCTCACCAAGCGCACCAACGACTCCTCGTACGAAGAGAAAGATCCATTTTATCGAGCCCTCGGATGAGGAGATTGCCCCCCGTAGAAGCAACACCGTACCTCCAAGCTTTCGATCCTCGTCAACAACAGTCATCGTTCAAGAACCGACTTCTTCTGGAAATCTAGACGCGGGAGAACTGCAACAAGAAGACTTGATTTCGTTCGAAGAACCTGAGGAAGATTTGAAGAAGGCGAGCGAAGAGCCCGAAGAGATTGCTCTTCAGAGTCATGAGGGTGACCAAGATTTCTATGGTATGGAAATGGAAATGGTGACCTTCCATGACGACTCAACACCAACGGAAGAACTTCCACAGGTGTCTCACGATGATACTGACGATGGGGAAGAAGCAAAGGATCCCGTTTTCAACTTCAGAGAGTCAAAATCACACTCGATCTCAGGCGCCTCAGCAGTTCCTCAAGAACGACCTGCTTCGTCGAGGTTCTACCGCACGTCTTCGGCGTCTGGGCTCTACTCCAAACCGGCTTACAGCCCGATCGTCAAAGCACACGTGGCTGCTAGCCCAATACGTTGCAATACCTACACAACTTATTTCGGTGATGATAGCGACGAACAAGAACGTGCTACTTCTGAGAGCACCCCATACTTGTCTCGGAGTCACACGGCGAGCTCAAAATCCAGCAACAGTGCAGCCTCACCAACATGGGACGACAGGATGACGGGCAGCGCTAGCGAAAAGTCCGGTCCGCCCAGCGATACATCCAGTCCAGGTGGGTCTACAAGACGTTTGTCGGGATTCAAAAGCGAGTTTCCCTTGGAAGCGGTCAGGAGGAAGCTCTCTGCTATGTCTCGCATGAGAAAAGACAGCAGCAAGAGTAGCAAGAGGCAGAGCCCAGAGCCTTTGTCGAGCCCTGATGAGGTTCCCGCTGCGCCTCCCAACTCACTTGCAACAAGTAGTAGCCCGCTCAAAGGCCGTGGAGGACATTCGATCAGGCGCAGCCTTTCGAGTACCTCATCGCCCATACCCACGCCCACAATGTTGACGTCGCGAAGCGAGCCACAATCACCAACACTAAGCGCACATGTATCGCCTCATCTCAAGCCAGCACTTAAACAAGCCGGTCCCTGCAAGCCGTCTGGCGCGACTAGAGTCTACGACCGATCTGGACCCTCTCATCGGGACAGTCTTGAACTTGCACGCCACCGTCTGGGTGAGGAATGGCCGGTCGTCGATGCACAACTGGCTAGCACACGCGACTCGATCGTTCTGGCGAAGACACGAATGGACAGATATCCCAAGTCGCATGCTGTTCTTGATGAACAGACGGGACAAATCATGGTTGGAGGACTCAGTCCCATCATGGACGCCAGTCCACCAGATCCAAGAGCATATTGGACGGCCAGACGTGAGCTACTGGCTCAACAGAAAGAGGTGGATTGGCAGCGTGAAATTGGAGGACATCCCGAGAACGATCATGATTGTCCTATCTGCGAGGTCGAGCGACCCCGATCGAAGAGATTGGCGAGCTTGCGAGCAAGTTGAGCTTTGTAGGCATCTGTGGTAGAACAACCTAATCTCGGAGTACGAGTATGTATACATAGACTTTTTCCCTGTAACGCCCTCTTCAGCTCCTAATACCATTGGCGTCTGCTGTTACGCCGAGAACAAATGTGACCCTGTGCAACCGGGCTCTTGCTGTCTTGTTGTCCCACACGTCGCATATCGCATCTAATCCACCTCAACACCCATCTTCTTCAGGTCTGCGCGAGCGAGATCAATCTCAGCCATAAGCTCCTTGTGAGCCTCGGGGACGTCGTGGAAGGTCATGACATTGTAGCCGAGTTTGCCAAGGAGATAGGCGCCGAAGGAGATGAGGGCCCAGAAGGGGACCTGTGTGTTTTCAGTCAGACAATTGTTGATCTTGATAGTCCAAGGATTGGTCGAGCGTACGTAGGGAATAATATCCTCCTGAAGCTTCGTCGGCAGGGGGATCAGGCCAAGGAAGAGGGCCAGGTAGAGCTGCGAGATGTCTGCCTTAGCTGTGTTCATGCTGACACTTAGATTACTGTACATACGGAAGAGAGCAGCAAGAAGATGGAAATGGTCTGAGTAGCCCTTGTCATTTTTGCGGTATTGTGTTTGTATGGTCTACAGGGAGAGTCAACGTTGCTGTTGTCACTTTCGACTTCGTGAAGCTCCCTCGATCTGCTGAAAGTCCGGGGGTGAGCGACCGCCCTGATTTCGTCTTGGCGCTGGTTTGTCGCTCTCTAATTTCAGGTCTACCGATTTCCTCTCAACTTGATAAATTGAGAAACTTTACGCCTTTTGGGAAGGACTGAAAGTTGACAAGATGGCTGACTTTGACTGGGCACAATCTGTGCTGGATGCTGATGGGCGTCCGAGCCTGAGCAACATTGCAAAGGCGCTTCAGATCCTCGCCGATTCTAGTGCTAACCCTGAGTTGAGATCTCGGATGCAAGATGTTTCTTTCCAGCAGTTACTTTCGTTGTTCTCTGGCCTTGCTGTCAGTAGTGAAGAAGAGTCGACCGACCAAACCCTATGGAGAAATCTGCTACGCTGTATCGGCAACATGATCGCCGATAATGGTAAGAGAAGGAAATTCGAGAATAATGTCACAAGTGCTGATTGTTTTGTTTTGTTCTCTGTAGACGGCCGTAGATCTGAAATGGTTACGGACCCGATATATCTGAAGACTTTGAACACATTTTTGACAGCCAACTCAAACACCCCTGAAGCCATGGCATTAACAGATACCGCCATCAAAGTACTCTTCAATCTATGCACAGACTACAGTAAGTCTAGCTAGCAACTGACGGAAGCCGATCTCAAATATTGATGGTTCTAGCTCCTGCCCAACAAGAATGTTTCAGGCAAAACATCCATCGATCCTTGATCTACTGTCTCGACTCACGACTATCCACCGATGATGGTGTCTGGGGTCTGGCTCTCGACTTGACATGCATGATTGTGGAACACAAAGCCGAACTGAAGCCATCAGAGGACTACCCTGATTTTGAAATCAACGCACCTCGATTACTGAAACTGCCTCTTGCAGATGTTGATGCAACGGCTTTCCTCGATGCACTGACACTCGTTGCTGCTCATCTTCTGGACAAGGACTTCGTGCAAGGCATTGTAAAACACAAACAAATCGAGCATATCTGGAAGCTACTCAAGCGGAACGAACAGAGAATGCTTAGCGATCGCGAAGCAGAAGACGAGGAAGACTATAACGAGAAGCAATATCTTCAGTTCCAGCTCGTGCTGTCTCAAGGACTGGCAGACATGACCGCCTTACCACTTTACAACGAGAAGTACGATACATCCGACCCCTTCATACAATCTCTCTACTCCCAGACGATACCCACCTCGACAGACCCGTCGTCGCGATCGCCAGTTGCACCTGCAGCTTGTCTGATCCTTGGGAATCTCATCATATCCGACGAAGCAGCCATTACACTAGCTCCACACGTACCGATAAAAGACCTCTTCGCCGAACTCGGGCGGTCCAACGACTCTGCCTTCCTTAACGCTGCATCAGGACTACTACGCCACCTTTCAACGCCGATGCAGAATCGCGAACAATACTTCGCAGACACTGAGTACCTACGATCAACTCAGCGCTTGTACACAGACGTATCGCTTGAACAAGTCCAGATGGGTGGTCTTGCTCTCACACGACAAATGCTCGCAAACATGAAGCCGAGACTGGTCGCAATGCTCGTACATGCAAACATAAATCTCCTTTCTACACTCCTTTCCACCTACCAAAATACGACTTCCACATCGGTCAAGCTGGAGATGTCAAGACTAGTAGTCAGCTTCTTCCGCACACTACAAGCATCGTCAGCAACGGTATCAGAGGTCGAGACTGGAGAAGAAGAGGCCGTCAAAGCATTATTCGATACGCCGGTCAACACTTCCTCTATCCTCGATCCACTCATCTTCAGCATCAAGCATGCAGCCGAACCAGGTATAATCGCCATCCAGGCAGAAGCATGGCTAGGCTTGAACCTCGCTGCTCGCCTTCCTGGTGGCGCAAGCGAAGTAGGCGACGCATTCTCCGATGATGATGAGCTGTTCGCATTATTCACATCACGATTGGGCGGTCAGGGTGGGCAAGCTACCAATGGCGAAGAATCCAAAGATGCACGTCCAGGGTGGTTGAAGGAGAAGGAAAGAGACAATGCTGTACTGCTCAGTGCTGAGTTGATCAAGGCTGGGGATGTGGATGAAAGTGTCAAGGAGAAGTTCAGGGCAGCATTGAATGAGAGGGATATCCGGATTGGATGATTAAACAGCAAACAATTGTGAGGTGGTTTCTCTGACCATTTCAGTGGACACATTGAAGATATTGGAAAATTGTGCGTTTTGCGAGCATTCTCAAAATGCCCAAAAAGAATCGCGTGGCCCACAGTGTTCAAACCTGACGAAATTTTTGAAACCAAGCGAGCGTTGCTAACTTTGTTCCAAATTCGGGAAATGCACATAGCCGTATAGATTATATACGTTCATGATGTCCTCATATGCCACTGGCCATTCAAATACTCTGCATCACTAATGTACAGTCAAAGATGAAGCATATCAAAATTGATGAATAAGTCCAGGGTGATCTCCCAGGCGAGACAGTTTTGGACCCTGAATCTGTCCGCTGTGACGTAGTGGTGATAAATCGAGCATCGAGGATATAGAACTCATCATCGTTCTTTCTGCTTTTGCATGTTTAAAACATCGATATTAGCTGCAATTAGAAGAAGCCAGTCCACAGCTTCTCAGACTCTCCCCCCTTTTTTCTTACAAGAGGACAATCTTTTATCACCCCGCCATATCCAATCGCAAACCAAACAACACTCCACTCTATCAGAGTTATGGCGACATCAACAACAACAAAAGGCCAATGCCTCTGCGGTAAAGTCCAAGTGAATCCTTTCACCCCACCTCTCTCTTTCCCATCCATCTTTCTAACAAACCCCCTCAGGTCACCGTATCAGAAAAACCCCTAACCTCCTTCCCAACCCTCTGCTGCCACTGCACAAACTGCAAACGCCGCTCCGGCGGCATAGCCTCCTATGCCTTCACAGTCCCCAAACAACACGTCTCCATCACCGGCTCCACCCATAAATCGTACCAAGATCCTGATACCGGGTCTGGAAAACCGATGACCAGGACCATGTGCACGGAATGTGGAAGCCCGGTGTGTATTATCGAGGCCGCTAGTCCGGAGGATAGGTGTTTGCAGTATGGGTTGTTTGCTGGTGAGGTGGAGTTGCCGAGACCCGGGGTGGAGTTTTTTGTTAGGGATAAGGTTGGGTGGGTGAACAGTGTTGGGGAGGATGTCAAGGAGACGGTTTGAGGGATTGACGATTGTCGTGTTGGAGAGTTTGCCCTGTGCTCGTTGAGGAATGGTTAGGATCGATAGTCAGGAATTAGAGGCTGAGGTACATTGAAAGATACTGAAGATGTCGGAACAGAGTGGTCAACTATAACTGCTAAGATATATCAATACAGCGCAAACCGTTGGAACAGAAAGAGTACACACCATAAATATCACCCAAAATATCACCTCCCCCATGTGCTAAACTTTGTCGCGCTTCTAGCTGTCGGAGTACGCAATGTTTTTCAAACTAGGCTCGTTGGCGTTGAGAGCCTTCCAGCACATTCTGTCTCCCTACAGTTGGGGGTTCGATTCAGGGCATTGGAACATATGAAAGGTACTATCTTTCTTGCCTATCTTATTCGATGGGTTCTTAAGGCTGCTGGGGCGAGGAGGAAGACACAGAAGTGGAAGAGCCACGTTGACTGTACAGTGGAAGTTCTATTCATCATATCGACATTATTAACTTTTGTATCCAGGTGAAGTGCTGGCGGGCTCAAGAACAGCAATGCGCAGCCCTTCCATGAGCTCTAACAAATTTTCGACCAGCGGCGGCGCCGATCTTGATGGCCTGCCGTTCAACTTGAACACATCTATAAGCACACCCATTACAGCTGCTGGATCAGACAACAAGACATGCGAGCCACTTGGATCTCCGACGGCCTTTTTGATGGCAGCTTGTCCTTTGTTCAGATTGATGAATCTCTGCGCACCATTGCTGTCTGCTTCATCCAACAGTGCAATGCTTTCACCCCGTCTTGCTGACATATTGCCAATCGAATCGAGGGCTGATTCGGTCAGAGCAGCATTAGAGATTACGCCGTATGACCACAAAGCCAGGCCTGCTTGGTACAGCACAATGGCGTGGAAGTCTCGTAAACAGCCAGTGGGTACTTTTCTGGCCGCCGCGACGATCTGAGCGGCATGATAGACGCCTTGACGAGCGCTTGATGACTTGGCCCACTCTTGCAAGAGCGGAAACACCCTTCTTGCTTCCGAATGTCCTTCTGCGCCAGCGAAAAGATGCATCTCCTCGAGCGAGATGTGTAGATGCATGCGCAACAACTCTAGCGAAAGAGTCATGGCGACGTTTGTGTGAGAGCTCATCTTGACACAGTCGAGTAGCTTGGTCAGTTCTGCCAGACGTGATGACAAGAGCAGGTTGGAATTGCTCCATGAGCTAGCATGACCTCTGCTGATGGAGCACATCTGTCGATATTCCCAGATCAGGCGCCAAGCTGCACTGAGCAGTGCCTGACTTGCTGTTGTTTCGTCAAAAATATCATGGCCCTCGCCGAGAAGCTCCACATCTTGCAAGAGGTCTGTTAGCGACGGTTCTCGCTGTTTGTGCTGATCCAGAGACATGTATGTTTGCTTCCACTTCTCTGCCGTCGCTGCTAGCCACAAGCTTTCGGCCTCTGGAAGCGGCAGTCCGAGCTCCGCATAAGAGATTAGAGGATTTGTGAATAGCGTGATTGACTGACGAGTGTCGTACTCGAAGAGGTAGAACACCAGTCTCTTCCGCATCTCCTGTTTGGCCCAAGCATGCCATTTATCCTCTAGAACCTTGCCGGTGTCGGTCGAATATGGAATTATAGCTTCGTAAGCAGATCTGCGGAACCAGCCTCTACGACGACACATGGTGAGATATGGTTGAAGGAAACTTTCCGAAATCTCCATCTTACGAGAATTCCCGCTCCAAAGACCCGAGCTTAAGCCAATGCCGAGCGAGGTGACACACTCAACATCGCCGATGAGTGTATTATCTCTTTCAATGTTGTTGGGAACTCCGACACGCACGACTTCCATCAAGGCGAAACCCATCTTCCTTAAGCTGACGTCAGGAGCGAGAGTTGCTCCGCCAACGACCATGGCTGCTATCAATTCTGGTCTCGCATTGTTCGGTCGAAACGTTGGAAGGTGGATCATTCGATTTGAGATGGCAGTCTTTGACGAGAGAAAGTATTGCAGCAAGCTGTCGAGAAGCTCGAGCGATGGAAATGATAACATCGTCTTTTGAAGCGTGTCCGCGTTTGATGAAGACATGAACAGAGCCATGATACGGTCTCGCATTGTATATGACAGCATCTCGGATGTTACTCTCCTTTGAACTGGCAATCTTTTGCTGGTCTCTCCATTCGGGAGGGCGATATTCTGCTGATCGCTCATTCCACGATCTTGTGTTACCGGACGAAAGCGCCATGTCGATGACTTCTGTAATGACTCGACTCCGAGGGCCGAAGGCGGCTCGCTGGCAGAGCCAGGTACTGACCGTGCAGTCTCTGGAGTTTCGACAAATGACGCAAATGGTATCTCGTGATTGTAGCCATCCAGAAAGTTGAGGTCAAGATCGTTAAGCTCAAGGTCGGTGTTTGCGCCAAAGTCAAAGACATTCCGCGGCGTCCACGTGCCTGGAATATGTTCTCCTGGAGCGACTTGCCGAGGAAATGGATCACCGCCTATGATACTTTGTAGGAAGTCGTGCAGGAAGCTGCCATCGTTCTCATAAGCAGGTACTGACACATGACCAGGAGGTTGTTGGGTCAGAGACGGATCTACCATCTGCTCGCCAGGTGTGGTTATGTTGATCATAGGCTCTGACGCGGGTTGATAAGGCCGAGCAGGTTCTAAGAATGTCGCGGACATTCCCCCATCATCATGGCTGATATCGTTCTGCACCATTGAGGACTCCATTGAAGGCATGTCAGATGGCATGACAACTGATGCGCTTGCAAAAGCCAGCAGGTCTTGAGCAACTGCTTCCTTGTCTGGAGGCGGTGGTGAAGATTGATACACACAGGTCATCTGCTTCTTGTTGCATCTCGTACATGGCTTCTGTTCGTCGCACCGGATGTGTAGCTCAGCACAGGCTTCACATGCTTTACTAACGCGTCCTTGACGGTTCGGTGCTGGGGTGTTTGCTGACTGTTCTCCACGAGCTTCATGGCCAGCTACATGTCGTTTCAGGAGATCGCTAACATATTGTCAGCGAAATGTCTATGGATGCTACGCGATATGCAAGCCACTCACGCTCTAGCAAAGCTCTTGTTGCAAGTCTGACAAAGGTAAGGCTTCTCCTACAACATGACACGTCAACTCAACCCCACACCAACAATCATTCCAGGCAACACTGACTTTGGTATGCAGGCGGACATGCCTCGCGAGGTGGTCAACCCGTGAATAACTCTTTCTACAATCACCACATTGGAATAACTTGGATGACTCCTGTGGTGTTGACTCTGAAGCCTCTTCCCGTGGGCGTTTACCCAGGACTGAAGGTGGGGAAGGGTTCTCCATCGGTTCAGAGTAATCGCAGCAAACAGGAGATATCATGTCATGTAGCACCACGGCAGGACAGGTGGGCAATGTGGAGATAAAACAGAGATGCCCGACCGAACACGGCGACCGAGTTCCCCCCTCATTTTCCCCAGTCGGTGTTCTTCGGTTCGTGGCGGGTCGGCTGATCTTCTGACTCCGCTCAGACGCGAAACGCTGCGGGCTGTGGCGTTTCTGGACTCGCTCCTTCCTCCACCCTCCACTTCCCGATCATCTGTTGATCTTGGGCGGAACCCCGAATGCCGGAGCCATGTGCTACCATGTATTCCGTAGCCTATGACTGAGTCGATTTGTATTCAAGCTGCCCTTTCTCTCGATTACTGCACACCGCTGATACACATACAAAGCAATAAGCACAATGGGTATGTTGACGATGAAGAGAAATTACATGTGCATAGCTAATCAGAACAGGTCTTACACCAGTTCACTTTTTCAGCCATGGCTCGACCATGATGCTCGGCGAGGAGTCTACCAGTGCTGATTACTGGAAGAAATGTGGTGATGATGCTTTGGCACATGGGATCAAGGGTGTCGTGATGATGGTAAGTCTAGTCTCGTTGTTTCTCGAAGATAATATACTAATGATCACAGGGAGCACATTGGGATGCTAGAGGCGACAAGATTATGGTCTCAGCCAACCCCAAGCCTGAGAAGAGTCCTGTGGCATACGTCCACCCTTCAAAATACCTCCACTACGAACTTAACCCTGATCTACCCACTGCCGACCGTGTACTGGATTTGCTCCTCAAGGCCGGCTTCAACGCAGAGAAGGACGAGAAGTTTGACTGGATCCACGACACTTTCCTCATTTTGATCCGAATGTTCCCCAATGGCTGCCCTCCTACCACGATTGTCAGCATGAACGCATACTACGACCCTCACTACCACATGAAAGTCGGCTCATCATTGCGTTCGCTCAGGAAGGAAGGATATCTGATTGTTGGTACTGGAGGTGCTGTTCACAACCTCTACCGCAACGTTTGGTGGCCCATGGTCCAGCACAGAGACAACTTCGCTCAAGTCGCTCCTCCGGAGAAGTCTCTCTTGGAGTTCAGACAGGCTGTTGAGGACGTCATGACACAAAACCAGGGCCCTGCTCTGCGAAGAGCCATGACAAGGTTGATGAAGCACTATCACTACCGTGACGCTCACGGTACAGATGACCATTTCATGGCAGCCTGTTTTGTAGCTGGTGCTGCAGGTGATTGGGAAGACATGGAAGAACAGGGCGGTGTCCTGGGTGCTGAGACATGGGAGCTTCAAAACATGTGCAACTCTCAGTTCACCATCGGCAATTGGCAAGGAAGCAGAGCTGTGCGGGCTGCAGCTTAAACAGATGCTTATGAGCGGAGTGTAATTTGATTTTATGATATCCTGAGTTTAGCAATCGAGATGATCTCCTTTTCAGCGCTTGACACCATGTTCTCCCAAGTGACCATTGTCTGCTCGACTATAGTGAAATTCCTGAGCGTAAAGGCAAGAAGTTTTTGATTGCCGGATATTTGTTTACCGAGAGCCCTTGTTCTTTCGTGCTCTCTCTGGACAGCGTGCCTGCTTGAATGATCCTCTTGTCATTCGACAGAGGGTTACAGTTGGTCGAGACGGATTCGAAGACTGGGGACAATGCAGCGTTTGCAACAGTCACGTAACCAGAAGTTGTTTCAGAAGAAATTTGTTGACACGCTGAACTATGGTATATCTATCTGCATTTTACATTTGAATCACTTCCACCTCTCCCCTACTCTTCCTTAGGAGGAATAACAGGAAGAGTAACGTAGTTGACAAACTTGTCGCTGAAGTGGACAAAGTTTGTTCCCTTGAGCTTCTCCTCAGATCTGTCGACAGAGTCGTTGTGACCGAAGATACCAGAGCCCTGAGTGTCTCCACTGGAGATCTCGAAGACAATCTTGCCACCCTTGTCAACGACAACGTTGGTGGGCCAGATCTCGACGTCGACAGGATAAACCTCTCCAGGAATGACGGGCAGCTTGTCGGTGCTGAAGTAGTCTCTGTGAGGGAGGTAGGGGCGGTGCTTGTAGTGCTCGGGGTTTGTCTTGCGCATGGAGACACGGAGCCATCCCTTGCAGAGTGGTACTGGGTCACCGGCAGTTCCTGTGTAGAAGACCTCGTTACCCTCGGGAGAGATGTGTCTCAAGGTGACGAAGAGGTCAATGTCTGTAGGTGTGGGGCCGGTGGTGTCAGGGGTAAGAGAGACATTAAGACGAGCTGTGACGTGTCCAGTGATTTCTGTCTCCTTCTCAAATGCAGGAGTGGTGAATGAGATGATCTCAGGCTTGTCGAGCGTACCAAGAGCTCTGTAACCGAGCTTTGCCTTCCCTGAAGGAGTGGAGGTCGTAAGCTCCTTCTCGGGTGTGAGGTAGTAGTTTGTGTATTGTGTTCTGGCGATCGGCCACTCGTTCTCTTGTCTTCTGGGGTAGGTCTGCTCCGCTTTGGCGTCGTTGAAGCCAACATCACCCTTGCGGAGGACCATGTCTACCATAGGGACCTTGCCCTTAGTAGCCCAACCAACTCTGTCTTCGCCCTTGAGGAAGGCGTCCAAGAAGCTGCGTTGAATTTCGACCTCTTCGTTGTAGTAGAAGGGCAGGTCGTGACGACCAGTGATGCAGCGAAGGTACTTGAACTCGGAACCGGCGTGGGTAAAGCCCTCGATATTACCACGGAGATGAAGCAAAATACCTCCCCAGTTGGCGACTGAGAGAAGAGGAATCTTGATGTCACCCATGTCGTACTCTTTCGAGGCGTAGTAAGGGTCATCACGGTAGCTATAGTAAGTCAGTATATGGTCGCGTCGTCGAATACTGGTGAACTCACTAGTTGTTCTGGTTGTCAATGTTCTGATCTTGTCTGTTTGCGGCTCTCTCATCATCCGAAAGATCACCCTCGATGGTGTCAGGGCCCCAGTTGCTGGCCTTGCGGCCCGGTCGTCCGTACTGGTTGGTAATGATCTGACGGTTCCACCAGAATCTGATGAACTGGTTGGACAAGATACCACCGTGACGGCAACGATCTCTGTAGTAGTCCGACATGCCCTCCCAAGGGACAATAGCTGACAGACCCTTGGGGTTTCTGGCAGCCACACGCCATTGAGAACCAGCGAAGTAACTGATACCGAGGAGACCAACCTTTCCAGATGACCACTCTTGCTCTGCAGCCCATTCAACGACATCGAAGAAGGCTTCTGAAGTACCTCTTGACATGGTGTCGAGAAGACCAGGAGATTGACCCAATCCACGCTCGTCGGCACGGACTACTGCGTATCCATTTTTTGTCCAGAAAGCAGGGTCAGGAGTTTCCCATGCCGAGTGCTCGGACTTGTGCTCGGGGTTGACTTCTGAGTAACTCTTTGCGTGGAAGTCGGCATATGGGATGTCCTTGCCGTATCTGATTGCTGTCAGCTCTGTTGTTCTAGTATATAGGTAAGTTTACGTACGGTCCGTAGGTGATCAAGACAGGGACCTTTTCCGAAGTCTTTGGTCGGTATACATTAACACGAACCAAGCCATCGCTTGACTTCAGTGTCACTGTAGCATTTTGCTCGAAGACATAGTCGAAGGACTTGTCGTCCACTGTGTGGAGGTCTTGAATCTTGTTAGGCATATTGTTATGACGAGATGAACAAGTTCAGAAAAGTGGAAGAAAGGGTCTACGTACCTTGGCTCCGAAAGTAGGAGCTTGCCTTTTTGTTCAACAGTAATCACGTCTTCGTAGTGCATGTTTCGGCGGCGGGGTCTTGCAATGTCCGGATTGCGGGCAGGCGCGGGGGTCCTCCAACTTTCCGGCGTCGGTATGTGGAGGAGCAATTCACCTTGATGTGGATCAGACTGTAGATTGTTTGTGGGGCTACCACGGCTATGGATGGTCAATCATCCGAGAGGAGGAGGATATTCATTGTGTTTCTAATTGCAATGATAGATCGTGTTCTTTCAACTCATCTTCACACCTTCCAACAACCACAAGTCTAGTTTTACATCTCCAGAACTACCCAAATCACATCAAAATGGCACACAAAGGAGAGCTTCCTCAGTACCAGAGACTTATCACTGCTCACAACGATGAGGGCAAAGCCGTCTTCGCAAAGGTCGACGAGACCGGTCCCTGGAACGGTGTTATGAATGACACTGTTGGTTTCTCTCTCGGCTACACAACCTCGACTACGCCAGCGGACATGACGGACGACAAGGATATCGCACAGTACAAGGAGCATTTGGTGACACCACCTGGTCTCGTCAACAAGCAAGGATCAGTGCTTCGCTTTGTGGTATGTCACTGTGGATAATCCACAAAGGTTTATTTGCTGATGAGCTCAGGATTGTCCTCCGGGATCTACATCTCCCATGCACCGTACCGTTTCGCTCGATTACGGTGTTGTGCTCATCGGAGAGATGGAATTGGTCCTCGACAGCGGCGAGACCAGAGTTATGAAGGTTGGAGATGTTGCTGTACAAAGAGGAACCAACCACGCATGGAGAAACACAAGCGATACCGAATGGGCTCGCATGATGTATGTCCTTCAGCCATCGCTTCCGATCTCGGTCAACGGAAAGCCGCTGGATGAGGACCTAGGCCATATGACAGGTGTTCCTGCATCTTCTTAGAGAGAGATATGAAGCCTCTCAGATATACTCCATACGAACTTGGACCACAAAATGTGATTATCCACGCGGTTTCTGTGCAATGACGAAAATCAAATAGTGAAGTTTGCGGTTTGCAATGAATAAACAATTTGTTTTGAAAAGCAGAGTCGATTCGACGAAGATATAAAGCTCCAAACACCATAAATCAGGTATCCCCAGGCGTGACAGAACTCTCATCAATGCTCTCCTCCAACCTGCCAGCGGAAGTAGGTGTCGTTCAGCTTGCCTCCAGTTGCTCTCCAAAGTCTGTTTGTGTACTGCAAGACTTGTCAGTATTACTGACTCTGGCGACAGAAACATATCTCTTACCGATGTGAGAACGATTCCACTAAACATGTTCCAAATGAAAGCTCGCTCGATACCGTTTTGTGTCGTGTCGCGGTAAGCAAAGTCGAGCTCATGGTCAACAGGTCGGTAGTCTGGCACTCGGCGAAAGTTGTCTTCCCAGTCTGCTGGGTTGTTGCCAGCACCTTGCGGCGCAGGACGAGAGTTGGTGGTCTCTGAGAAGTCATTTTCTTCGCCGCTGTGTTGCAAGTCGTAGTCGGCAAGCGTTCTGCCCAGCGAGTAGGTTGTTCGGTTTTCTGTGAGTGTGACGGACATCGTGGCTGGATATTCGGAGCGAGGTCGACGAGTGGAGTACGATATGGCGAGAAGCACCAGAGGCAGGAGAGACAATCAAAGGTAAGTCTTCAGGCTGAGAGCTTCGGATGCCGGATCTACGAAGAGTACCTGGAACGAGGCAGAGCACCGGGACTCCCCCGCACCATACTCCGTGGTTTCGATCTTCCTCCACATACCCGATGTGGAGAAAGCAAGGTTTCGCCCAGCCCGGTATGTCGGTTGCAACCAACATGTGATTCTGCTCCGGCCTCGAGCGCCATGGTTGCACGGAATGCGGGCATAGTATAGTCCCTGCTGTTAGCTTTGGGAAGCAAATATCTCCTGTAAATCTCACTTTCCCTCTTGCACACCGTTTTCGCATACCACATACCTCCCAAGATGTCGAACAGACCATTCGCACAGCTACAGGCCGCCGCCATTGATGGCAGAACTAGAACAGTCTTCTACCGCCAAACACAACTTGAAAAGTTGCACAAGAGTCTTGTCTCAAATGCGTCCGAGATTGTGGATGCAATTGTCGCAGATGCTGGCCTCAGCCGAACAGAAGCACAAATAGAGTACTCGCTCGCTCTGACTGCAGTGAGAGAGCGCTTTGCCGAGCTAGAGCCCAAGAAAGAGCTCGAGAACGAGTACGCAATTGCTCGTGGAGAGGATGCAGGTAGCCTACGCCTCGGATACGGCACTGTGTACATCAAGGCTTCAGCCGACCACACTCCTTTTTACTCAGCAATTGCGCCCTTGAGTGCAGCAATCGCTGCAGGAAACTGCGTAGTGTTGCAGGTATGCGAGAAGTTCGGAGACAATGACAAGATCAAGCACTGACTATGATGCAGATTGAGAACAGCCTTCGCAGTCTCCCTGCTATCCTTCGCAACACCCTCAAGTCTGCTCTGGACAATGACACTTTCGACATTGCTCAACAACCCGTCCAAGATGCATCTTTCCTGAGTGGCTGTCTGCAAGTAGTTCAAGACGGATCCGTTGACGGAGCCGCCGCACAGAACCAGCTCGTTTCAAAAGCGGGTTCGATCACAGCAGCAATCGTAGACAGAACAGCAAATTTGGACGAGACAGCAAAAGCTCTCGTCAATGCTCGATTCTCATTCAACGGCAAATCGCCGTATGCCCCGGATGTCATCTTCATCAACGAGTTCACCAAGAAGGACTTCTTGCAAGCACTTCTCAGACACTCGGTATCATTCGACGAAGTAGTTGAGAGGGAGAAGTCGCCCACCAGGAGGACTGGTCGTGAGAATGGCATCAGAGACTTGATTTCGAGCCTGCAAAAAGATGGAAGTGGCCGTGTCATCGCACAAGAGTCGAACCGAGCAATTCTGGAGGTGACCAAGAGGTAAGCAAGACTGCAACACAAGTGTTGTGAATGACCCGAAACTGACAATCGAGCGTAGGAGTACTAGCCTTCTCAAAAACAAGATCAGCGAACCCGTCCTGCTCGTACACTCCGTCAAGAGTCTTGATGATGCCATCGACTTCATCAACAACAACGGCAATGAGTTGCTAGCTGCATACCATTTCGGAGAGAATGCTCAGTGCAAGTATCTCAGCCAGTTCGTCTCGTCGCAGGTGTCATATGTCAACCACATCCCAGCAGAACTTCTCGGTCAGTAATCAGTCGCACTTACTAAAGTACCAGTTAGAAACTGACATGATCATAGTCGGTCCCGCCTTCCCAGTCGGTCACCCAGTAACCTCAACACGTTACCCAACTGCCCTCTTCACCCGCCCCACACCCGCCTTCGTCACCAACACCACACAGTCGAAGACCGTAGAATCAGCACTGAACGGCGCATCCAAATCTGAAAAGTCGACCGCAGTACAAACATTGTACTCTCAAGCCGTCGCAGATCTGCCCGCCGCACACAAGCGACCAAAGCAGTTGAAAGCGGCCTTTGGCTTCTTCGAGCAGTCCATGCTGTTCAACCTCGGCTTCGTGCTGCTGTCAACCGGTGCCACTATTGCGGCAACTGTGATCTTGGGAAAGCGCGCGAGAGCTTACTACTCGCATTGATAGTGCTTTGATGGATTTCTGCGAGAGATTTGAATGGTGTGATTTTGGTGTCTTCTTTCGAATCTTTCTTTTCAGGCAGGAAATTCCCAAGCTTTTTGCAAGCGAATGGTTTTGTCGCTCCCAAGTTTACTTTTGTGTCTTTGTCCATCAATGTGCTCTGTTGCCAACCACCTGAATAATATAAACACCCTCTAACCTTTACACATGTATGAATGCTTGACATTCTATCTCATTGAGCATTCAAAATAACATATGAACAGATTCGCAAGACCTACATCAAAATGCCTCTCATCGAAAAATCGTGCGCACAACCCCGCCAAGAATACCACAAGCCACCCACTAATCAAACCACACCACAGCTATCCCGCCATCATGAGCGCAATCAAAAGCTCATCCCTCCCAAAAACTTCTTTCCTGGTATTCTACTCCTCAATCGTTGATGGCAAGATGTGGTGTCCCGATTGCGTTGACGTCGAGCCTTCAGTCCGCGAAGCCTTTGATGGCGCAGAGAAGCCAGAGGCCCAACTCTTCTACGTGGGCAAGAAGGAAGAATGGCGTACCCCTGAGAATGTCGCTCGTGTCGATTGGAATGTTCGCGGTATTCCTACCATCATCAAGCTGGAAGAGGGAAAGGAGACTGCCCGTGTGACCGAGACCGAGATCTTGGATCAGAGCAAGTGGCAGGCATTCCTCAAAAACTAAAACTTTCAAAAAATCACAACGAAGATGCACAAAAAAGTGTGAGTTTCGGGTTTGGTTTTCCAAGAAGATTTGCTCGATTCTGGAGTTTACATAATGCGCGTTTGCTATATCATAAAAAAGGGACATCAAAAAAGTTGATTCGACTACTCAGTCTTAGCGTATCCACGCATAACAATGTGGCTGGTCGCGATTCTCAGTCTCTTGCCGAAGAGCCAAACGGGCACGGCAGTGAGACCGAAGACACCCATGAGCAGAGCGAAGATGCCGAAGGGAAGGGCAGGTCCTGCGCTCTCGACCCAAGTGCCGACGAAGAAAGTCCAAGCGAAACTGATGATGGCACGGAAAGCAACAACCATCAGGAAGCAGTCGGCGCTCCATCCACCGTAACTCTCAATGATGTAGTTGAAGCCGATGGAAGGGACCTGCATGAGACCGAAAGCAACCATTCCAGCACCGAACTCGAGACCAATCCAGGCCTTTGGTGTCGCTGCCTGGGCGGAGCAACCAAAGCAAATAGAACCGGCGGTGGCGATGAGGAGGGCAGGGAACATGAGAGGAATACGTGCTTCAGGCTCGCTGAAACCATGTCTTTCACGCTTGGCCTGGCGCTTGACGATGAAGTCCGCGGTGAAATAGGTGTAAATCGCGCCGAGAACAGTACCAATCAAACCGCCAACATTGATCAGACCAACAGAGCCTCCCCAGAGATAAGGGGGCTGTGCCAGAATTTGTGGTGCGACGGTCGAAAGAGTGACGATGAGTCCAACAAGACCGGCGTAATGAAGCATGACCATCCAGGTACCGGGGAAGAGAAGTGTGGTGTAAGGAGTGATGAATCTCTTGAGCAGACCAGGGCGGTACATGCCAACCTTGAGGCTTCTGGCAAAGGTGTACTTGGGGAACACAACAGAGTTGACCGTCTCGACTCTGGCGATCTCGGCCTTCTCGCCAATGGGTGAATCGTTATCGTAGCCTTCGGGACGCACGATGGCCATGGCTGCCTCACGGTCGAAGAGGGTTTCGGGAACGAAGAAGAAGCTCAAAAGCAGAAGAGCACCTGAGAGGATAGCCGAGATGTACATAGTCCATCTCCATCCCATCGAGTGGGTGATATAGCCACCGATGAGGCCACCGACAAGGGAACCGGAAGCAAGGAAGATGGTGTAGATAGCCTGCAGATAGTCAGTTTATGTCAACTTTATGCTGATGGAAGATTGACTTACCATGGCACGACCTCTCTGGTGCACGAAGAAGATCTGTCCAACGACATCAGGAGCAAGGGTGTCGGCAGCGCCACCTCCAATGCTATTGAGTGTAAGCAGCGTTTCAATCACATCTCAAGTGACATTGACTTACCCTTGGAAGAGTCTAGCGACGAGTAGGCTGTTGAAGGACTTGGCCTCGCCGGCCCATACCGAGGAGGCACAGAGGATAGCAAGACAGATGAGAATGATAGGACGACGTCCAAAGGCTACCTTACCGTCAGCGTGTGTCAAAGGCATGATACTACATGGCACTTACTGTTTCCCAAAGGCACCCACCAGGTGTTCGAGGCACCCAGGAACAGGTTGTTGACCGCAATGAGATGGGTCAATGTGCTAAACTGAATGATGCCGGTTGGAGGTCCTCGCTCGTGCATCACCATGAAGGCAGTGACAAGAGTTGGCAAAGCACTGCTGATGATGGAACTAGAGACGTTGGTGATGAAAGCGTAAAGAGCCATGATCGCCAAGATCATGACCTTCCGCGTGTTTGAGAAGTTGAGAGGATCCGCTGGATCCGGTGATGGTCTGTAAGGGTGGATGTCAGGAGTTGAGGGCGGTCAACGTCGCATGGAGTGAACATACTCTGGGTTCAAATGGATGTGGTTTTCTTCGACTTCATGATGTCCTGTGTTCGTTCGGACGAGTTCTCTGTCTTTTTCCGATGGTCAGAGACGTCTATTGTTGTGATTGTTCCGCCACTCACCCATCAACGTAACAGTGCCAGGAGGCGCCATCTCGTTGAGCTCCTGCTTATCCAACGAGAAGGCATGTCTGAATTGAGTCATGATAGATGTTATGCCTTGATTGGCAATTGTAGTAAAGAAAGTATGCTCCTAAGAAGGGAAGGACGTATCGAGATGAAGATGTTGGAGACCCAAGGAGAAGGAGGTTGGTGGTTTATGAGTCTGAGATGCTCGCTAATCTGGCCCAATCAGACTTTGCACGCTCCTTCCATCGGCAGTCCGTTTCGTGTCCACCAGAAGCAGCGACGAACATAGGGCTCGCGCTCAAGTCCTCTCCACATTGAGTGTGCTTGTGCGACAACTGCCACGCATGCCCTAGGCCTCCCCCACAACTTATTTGACTTGTCCAACGAGACTAACGCAAACTGCTGGATGCTCATTGGTCACTAGAGATAATTGATGCTCGAGACCGCATTTAGAGTTCGTCCCCCGCATGAGCGTTACCACCATCGCGGGCCCGCGTGGAGAAGTGTGGAGAGAGAATCTACAGACATGGAGAAACAGGACATCGAGTCCTTAGAAATCATACAGCGAAAGGTAGGGCTTCCTAATCATGCCCTAAGCCACCGGAACAGCGTGTGCCGAACGAGTAAACAGGGTTCTTTGATATGCTATGGACTTGAGCACATCGGTCGATGGTAGTAACCACAACAATAACAACTTCGGACGCTTTATGATCGGGTTTACTCGCTAGTCCATGTCTCAGTAGATATGGCTGGCAGTAACTCTGCTCGACAATCACCAAAGCCAACGTCTTCACTGCATCGTCCGGTGAACTGTACAACAACACCATCCGCAAGATAGCCACGCTGAATTGCTGGTGGAGGGAGATTGTGTTCGAGCATGCATCCACGCGCATCATCTGAATCTTCTGATACAGTGCCACATGCAAGTAGATCTCCGGCTTGGAAGCCGCAGCCTGCACTTGCTTGATGTGCTAACAGCTGTTCAAAGGACCACGCCAGGACTTTGCTGTTTGCAACGCAAGCACGAGTTACATCGTTATCCGTCGATTGAACATACACAGAGAGGTCAATGGACAAGCCTCGATCGTCTTTCTCCACAGCAAGGTGGGGCGGCAAAGTATGCTTCCAGCCTGGTCCGTTGACACGGAACGGCTCCAAAGCGTCGTACGTGATGATCCAGGGCGATAGTGTGGTGCCGGAGTTCTTCGAATTCAAGGGGCCGAGCGGGATCATCTCCAATATTTGTATGTCACGGGCTGTCGAAAAGTTAGCCTGTGTTCTAGTCTGTTCTTTTGAGAATCCGCTCACCACTCCAGTCGTTCAACATCACAAAACCAAAAATATGCTCGCCAGCGTTCTCCGCTGTGACAGTCTGGCCGTAAGGAAGAGGCTTGCCAATAACAGCAGACAATTCCATCTCGTAGTCCATCCGGCGACTAGGACCATAGATGATCTTCTTGTTTTCGCCTCTCATCGCTGCCATGTTGTCTTCCCAGAATTGGCCGATGGGGCGTCTTACAGGAGTTCCAGAAATCTTGATGCTTGAACACCTGCCAGCATAGCCTGCACATGGTAAGCAGGCATTAGTGAATATAGAGCATTGAACTCACCTGGAGGGATGAATCCCCATGATGGAGGGAGTCCTTTTCTACCCATAGCTGCAAGACCGGCATTGAGGTTGTGGTACTCAGAGCATGAGAAATCTGTGAAGTCCGCGACTGATACGGGAAGATGCATCTGGCAATTTGTGATGTCTTCGGTGCTGTTCTCAGGCAATTTGTTTTCCTTGACGAGCTTCTGGACAGCAGAACGAACGAGTCTATGAGCGGGTCTTCCCAAAGCCGCGAATGTGTTCAATGTAGGTTGCGAGAAGATACCACCAGGCAAGCTCTGCAAATCGGAGGCAGATTGCACAATGTCCGCAAGGAAGACGACATTGTTCTCAATTCGAGTAACTGCTTGTGGGTGATTATGTTTGTCTGAAGAAGCGATTCCAAAAGGTATGTTCTCGATGCCAAAGTGGCTGCCAAAGTCGGATTGTAGAGACGTCATTGTGTATGTTTGCAAACAGAAAGTGTGACTTTGATGGAGACAAAAGTTGCAATGCTTCAATGATCAAGGTCGTAGAAAATGCTTCGGGACCCGCACTCCAAGGATCCCGCTCTTGTATACTACTTTGCCATGTGATTGTTCTCCGGTTAAATCGGTGGTCGGTGCTGTGAAACCCCTCCAGCTCATGCGGACTCTACCGTAATTCGTGTGGGTATAGTGGGGTACCCCATGTGGAGCCGGCGCTCCCGGTGGAGGAAACCTCGACAACTACGCCGTTGCGTGTACTTTCCAGGGACTAAGCTTGGATTATTATCATACGGAATGTCGATTAGGCCGAGTCCGGATCACATGGATGTTCAAAGTCCGTGAGTACGACGAAGTGTGACTATTTCTGTGAGAGCAGCAACCATCTTCCTTTCGAACTTTTCCAGACATCCAGAACTTGCCCAGAAAGCAATACACTCCCTTACCATGGCACTAAACGTTTTGATTGTCGGAGCAGGAATCGGCGGGCTGGTACGTTACAACTGAAAGTACTGCAGTTACAGATTAGGTCTGACGATAGAATGCAGATGGCCGCGATCGCCCTACGAGAGCAAGGACACGATGTGACACTTCTTGAGTCTTCTCGATTCAGCAACGAGACTGGAGCAGCTATTCACATGGCACCAAACGCAAACGGCTTACTCAAGCGTTACGGAGTCGACATTGAGAAAGTAGGCGCAAACGAGTGTAGCCGAATTGCACAGTACCATGCCGAGTCAGGAAAGGCACTTTTCCAGGTCGACCTCACGATGCCAAACAAGCAGTGGCAGCACAAGTGGCTGTTAGTACACCGCGCTCACCTACACAACGCCTTGAGAGAAAGGGCCATTGGCAAGGAAGGGAAGGGCAAGCCCGCCACCCTGAGGTTAGCCAGCAAGGTTGCTTCGGTAGATCCTGAGAAGGCGGAAGTGACTCTGGAGAGCGGCGAGAAGGTATCTGGCGATGTGCTTCTTGGGGCCGACGGTGTTCACGTAAGTCGTTCCAACTTTTTGATAATTCAAGAATCAAGCTCATATATCTCTAGTCGTTGTGTCGACAGGCTCTTGTGCTGGACAACGCAGAGAAGTACACACCGTTTGACTGCGGTCACAGTGCTTATCGATTCCTGGTTCCGAAAGAGGAGGTCATGGCTGATCCAGTCTGCCGAGAATTTGTCGAGCAAGAGGGTATGCTTTGCATGATTGTTGGCGAAGACCGCAGAGTTGTTGTGTATCCTTGCGTGGAGAACAAGCTCATGAACTTCCTTATGGTAAGAGCTAATGTATCAATCTTGCGTGCTTCGGCTAATTGGTTCTGCTATAGATCCACCCAAGTAGCGAGTCTCGTTCAGACGACGCTGGCTGGAACCAAAAAGGTGACAAGAAGCGTATGCTCGAAAGTGGCGCTAGCTTGGCTCCACAGGTTCGTGCTCTTCTAGAGAAGGCCCCTGAGGAGAGTTTGAAAGTCTGGACTTTGCTGGACATGGAGGTACTCCCTACATGGATTAATGGCAGTATGGCGCTCCTGGGTGATGCCGCCCATCCATTCCTGCCTCACCAAGCTCAGGGTGGTGGTCAAGCTATGGAGGACGCAGTCTCGCTAGCCGCCATCTTGCCCTTTGGCACCCCGAAGGAAGATATCCCGGAGAGACTGAGACTGTATGAACAGTGTAGACGTGAGCGTGCAAACAAGATCCAGGACGGCACTAGACTGAGTGGAACATCTCAGAAGGATCTTGCAAAGATGGGCAAGAAATATGATGGTCAGTATTCATTTCTCCATGGCTGCGACAGTCCTTTTACTGACATTTGTGTGATAGCTTTCGCCTTCACCAATTACAACTTTGGACACGATGAATGGGACTTCTCAAAGAATGCTTTAAACAAGCATCTCTTGTCCAAGCAACCATATCGATTCCGTCAGCCAGTGTCCTTTGGACCTAGTCCTGGGCCTCGCCAGCCACTCAACGCTCTTCCGGATGTGCACTCAATGGCCAAGCAGAACCAAACGGTGGCCTCTATTCGCTTCAAGACCTCGAGGACCTATCTTCAGAACTTGTTTCCCAGTTCCTCATTCTCTTTCATGTCTGCGGCAACAGTCGTAGAAGCCTCCATCGTCTGTTGCTCGCTGCGCAACATGACATGGCTGGGTAATACAGGATACGATCACTGTGGCCTCTACATCCACGGAGTAAAATACACCAAGAAAGATGGCGAGATCCTTCAGGGGACGTTCTTGCCTATCCTCTTCGAAAACCTGACCGATCCCATCATCACTGGTCGCGAAGAGATCGCCGCACCAAAATGGGGCTGCGATATCGATGTTTCGACTTCCGGAGACTCTCGCAGTGTGCGTATGAGCTGGCGCGGGACAACTTTTGCAGAGCTCGAGTGGAGTGGTCTTCAAGCAAAGCCCCAGATAAATGGTGTCAATGGCACCAACGGCGTGAATGGCACCCACGCTGGACCGCCACCTGGACGCCCTGGACCTCCCGGGCCTCCTATGCCCAAGATCGAGGACAACGGCATGTTCATGTACCGTTACGTACCAGCCGTGGGTGAGCCAGGAAAGGCAGACGCTGAGTATGCTGTCTTTGACGAGTACGAGAAGAAGGATCCCTCTTCGGCAGCATCCCAGCAGGATACGCAAGACCAGACAACCAAGTCAGCAACTATCAAGTTCTCGCCTGGTGACTGGAATTCACTCCCGACTATCCATCACATCGCACAAGGCCTGGCAGATGTACCGATATACGAAATCGTAGAGGCTGCCGTCAAGGAAGTGCCATCGGTGGGTGATGTCAGAGGAGCAAGAAGGATTGAGTAGGCCTCAGAATGAGACGCGGGTTGCACTTGAGCTTTTCTCCTTTGCGGTTCAGCGACATGTTCTCAGAGTTGGTGTTCTTTTTGATAATTATAGAAATTTCGTCGTTTTCTACCAACCTGAAGCAGAGGTCTCCGAGGTCTCGCTCCAATTGATTGCCAATGGTCTTCCACACTGTACAGGTGGGGCTCGTCTGCCGAAAGAGTAGATGAGATGTTGACTTATCGTCTGATCACATGTGTATTATCAACGTCGGTTGTTTCTGCCTATTCCGGGTTTGCGCGTGCGTCGGACAGATGACGAGGCTTGGGCTTGTCGGTGGCATGGGATTGTCCCTGCTCCAGATATGAGCAAGAGTGTAGTTCTCTATTCTGCCGTGTTAGTCAAGTAAAGCAGGTTTGTTCTGCCTCTGATATGTGCACCCAGAAAGCGCGAGTAACAACTGGCTGCTGAGAATGGGCAATGCAACGGCTGAACGTCTGTAGGGCTTGTTTCGAAATTGATTTCTACTCGTAGCGCTTCGGCGAGACAATCAAGCATAGATGACGCCTACAAGTTTTGAAGCTAAAGCACAAGCCGAAGTTTTACCTGTAGGAAGCAGCGAATAGACCGGTCCCTGTTGCGATCAAGCACCGATCACAATCGACCTTTAGCACAGCTAATCGAACTTCATTGATGTCGTGAAATACTCGCGGAGATGCGCCTGAAGCCATATTGCTCTTCTCAGCTCTGGATTGACTGTTTCGCTCTCGTTGGATCAGTCTTCCGAGGAGCCAAAAGCTTCTGCCGACGGCGCATCGACGTGTGCAAAAGTTCGATCCGCATGCTCGATCGCAGTGTCGACGCACGAGTGGCGGAGTGGCAGCCAAAACGACAACCAATGACCGGTAAAGTTGAGTAGGGAAATTACCTGGTTGGTCGATAGCGCCATTATTCCTGTCGTTTCGTCCGTCCAACTCGTGCATGTCATGAATGGCCTTGTCGCCTCCGCCGCTGCTTCCGAGTACCTAACCGTCTGAACAATTCGAGCATGTCATCTTGTGCTCGTGTCCCTCTCCCATACCACTTTACTGTCGCTGGATTGCTACGCTGAGAGACTCTTGTTCTTTCACATCCTTCAACACAGTGCGCATACAGAACGGCACTTGACAAGATCGCAGTGCGGGACATCTCTGAAGCACCAAAGTGGTCCTCGACGTCATCCGACAGCAAAGACCCTTACACATATCCCACACGCCCGAAGTCCGACGCAGGTGCATATAGCATACGAAGAGGCGGAATCATAGTGGTCGGAGACATTGCAACTGGCAGTGTTAGATGGACAGGTGGCTCGTTGGCGCACACAGCACATGAATTTGCTGGACGAGACAATCAGGACCTCGTCAAAGCGCGACGGCGAGGCCCAGTCGCACGCCTTGATGGATCTCGATGAGCTTGTCACCGACAAGCAGCAAGCAGTCGGCTTGACCGCACACCAAGATGCCCGCACCCTCATTCGCCTGATCCAATGCCCGCAATGCTCAAAACCGTACACCAACCCCGTTACGCTCCCTTGCGGCAACTCGCTATGCCGCACGTGTCTGCCTGAGACCTACCGCCGTGAGGGTGTGTCCTACCCTGACACTCCCGGAAGGCGAAACGGCTTCGTCTGTCCTTACCTGGACTGCTCCGAAGAGCATGTGCTTGCAGACTGCAGCGTCGACGTAACCCTCTCGAAGCTCATGGAAGCCATCGCCGACCTCGTCCGAAGCCATAAAACTCTCGCCACAACGCAAACTTATGTAGAAGAGGTGGTCAAACATGATGAGGTCTGGGTCCCCGTAGGAAACAAGGAGAATCCGCGATGCTGGACTATGCCTGGAGCCCGCCTGATTGCGACATACAACTTGGCAAGCATGGGAATCGTCGAATACAAGACAGAAGTCTCATATCAGGACTTGTCCGACTTGGCCGAAAAGACGGATGAAGAGCTTCTGGGGGAGCTGCTCGACACGGCACAGAAGGAAGTCGACTGCCAGGTCTGCTACAACATCATGCTTGATCCTGTCACGACGGCTTGCGGCCATACCCTCTGTCGTAAATGCCTGGCTCGTACGCTCGACCATTCGACACACTGCCCGGTTTGTCGCCGTTCTGTCATCACCCCACCCTCACTGTACAAGTATCCGAGCAACAAAACTCTGGTTAATCTTCTGCAAGGTCTGGTTCCTGACATGGTTTCTGCACGTGCCGAAGCTGCTGCACTAGAAGACACTATTGCCCTTCCTGATCTGGATACACCAATATTCGTCTGTACTCTTGGTTTTCCTGGATGTCCCACTTTCCTGCGCGTTTTCGAGCCCAGATACCGTCTCATGATTAGACGCGCCATGGAAGGAAACCGGCAATTCGGCATGGTCACTTATAACCGCCATGGCTTGCCTCAAGAAGGTTTGGGCAATACACAATTCCTCGCCTATGGAGTTATGCTTCATATTGACAATGTGCAAATGCTTCCGGACGGCCAGAGCATTGTCGAAACCAGAGGCATGTACCGTTTCCGAGTGAAACAGTATGGCACTTTGGACGGTTACACCGTGGGTAGAGTCGAGCGTGTCGAGGATGTATCCTTACAAGAGGAAGAACGCCTAGAGGCCGAAGAAACTTCACAGCCTCCTGCCGCCGAGGGAGATATCGAGGGTCAAGTCAGCAGGATGTCGACTCGCGAACTCCTCATGCTCGGACTAGACTTCATCCTTGTCATGCAAGGCCGTAGCGCACATTGGTTGCACCAACGTATTCTGGAAGCTTATGGTGGCCCGCCGGACGACGCCGCTCTGTTTCCCTTCTGGTTCGCCAGCATCCTTCCCATCAGCGAGGATTGGAAATATCAATTGATGCAAACCACAAGCGTACGACAAAGACTCAAGATCACCGCTCTCTGGGTAAAGCACATGCAAACACAACGATGGTACCAGAGCAACGCATGCACAGTCTTATGACTGCTCACTCACCTCGCGTTGCGTTTTGGAGCTCCCATCCTCGTTTTGCTTATCGCGGTTAGAAATTTCGTGCAAGACACCTGATCCGAGTATTGCGTGTCTCTGTCTACAGCCAGAAAATCGATCACATCATGATCTTCTTCGTTTCTTTTGTATATCCTTTTTAGGGCCCTTGGTTTTTCTTCTTCATACTTGTCTTTCATCAAACAGCGGTCGCATATATCCATGGGCTATTAGGCTCAGCGCCGGCGTCAAGGGGCGAGATATGTAGGCACACTGATTTCTTTCTACCCAGCAAAATTTGGAACTGGGATGTATATTGCAGTCAAAGGGGTGCATGAAACGCGACGAATTTCAATCTTTCATCTTTCTTCATGTCTTGTCCAAACGCTCATGCCGGATTCCCTCAACCCTGTAAGATGGTGAAAAGCAATTTGAAAGCACGAGAAGTTTAGAACAGAGAGCTGTGACTGGAGAGAGCACGTGAGAACATCGCTGTATCTGTTGATCACGAATCGTCAAACCTTTGGTGCATTCGAACAGCCATACATCAGCGTGAGTTTCAAGAATAGGGAGTAGCTCGGCCCTGGTGCATCTAGGTAACATGTGTGTGTAGGTAATTGACTGATCGAGTGTTGTTTCCGCGATGATTTGGCATGAATGGTATATGTACATCTTCAGACGCGAGCTGTTGTCTATTTTCCATCACCTCCACCCATCACGACTTGTACGAGTAGGAAGAGACCGATTGCCCACCAGTACCTGTGTATGGTTAGCAGACATTCCAGAGCATTTATGCATCATGACACGTACTTTTGCAAGAAGGACTTCTCAGGTTCCTTTGTCTCGGGCTCGCCTTGTTGGTTCACGACAATCGGCTTGTCGAAAGCGACTTGTGGTCCCTGACGCAGCGGCACAACCTCAACCGCGAGCGAGCCATCTGTAGACTTTCCTCCGGTAGCAGCAGCGCTGAAGCCAACATGCCACACGTCTCCATTTGAATCGACGAGCAAGCGCAGGGTAGGCTTCTTTGTCGCATCGAAGTTGGATCCCGAAGTTGCCACACCGACCCAGTCGCCAGCGCGGTGCACGCCTACTCTCACGGTCTCTTCTGACTTGACTGCCGGTGCAGTGTACGAGTCTACTGTGGCATTAAGAGCGGGCCAGGAGTACGAGACTTTGGCGAAGGGGAGCGGTGACGATGCTGTTGAGGGCCAGGCGAAGACGTCGGTGGTGCGGATTGAGTCTGCGGTGGCTGCAGCGAGGGCAGAGGTAGCACACAGCAGTGCTGCGAATAAGTTTATTGCTCCTGAGATGTGCATTGTGATTTGAGTTGTGTTCGTGTCTCTCCAAGGTGTTGACAACGGTATGGACATGTAGGATTCGAGCTCCAAGACGCCAAGAAACGATCGCTCGCTGTCGGAGGAAAGAAAGCCGACAAACTGGAGGGCTGGACCCTGACCTTGGGGAAGCTCGGGGAGCCTCCACGTCATGCCCTGTCGAATGAGGATAGCTCACCAAAGCTTCCTGCCGCCATTATTTTCCGCCGCTGCCGCAGGGAGCTTGCATGGTTGAATTGAACTTGTTGAGATGTGAAGATAACTGGTCATCGTGAGGCCTCAATTGCTCGAGTAACATCGTGTCATACTGTCGTACAAGAGCCTGCAGGATCTAGCTACCTATGTCCTAATGAGCCGACGATAATATTGCATTTATCCATCGGTCTCCTGCTTCTCGACCAAAACACCCGGCAGCGACCCCCGAGTCTTCTCGTTGTCTCCACTCTTTCTCCACGGTGCCCATGACATATTGATCGACATTCTCGAGCTCCCCAGATAGTGACAGGTCTTCATCTTACCCGTTCTTCCATCAATTCATCTTCTTTCTCTTACTTCTCACACCCAAATCTCTGCACTTGTCCTCACTTAGCATAAGTTCCAATCAAAAGAGACGTTTATAACTCAATTCCCACTACTGCTCGAGCTTCAACTCAGCCCAAACCACGACCTAATCTACAACTGAAGCACCACCACCCATCATGACTTCAATGCCCTTCCGCCAGCCTTACAGGCAGGCTTCTCGTCAGCAGTCGAGACAGATGTCTGTTGACCCCCACAACGAGCTCCACCCGGTCCAGGATCACTACATTGGCATTGATGTCGGTACTGGCAGTGCTCGCGCCTGTATTATGAACGACAAGGGTGACATTGTCGGCCTTGCCAGTGAGAACATTGGCCTCTGGCAGCCCGAGACTGGCTACTACGTGAGTTGCAGCAATCTCTTACAAGACGCAGCTACTAACATTCGAGTAGGAACAATCAACCACAGACATCTGGAGATGCATCTGCAACTCAGTACAGCGTGCCATGAACCAGCACGGCATCGACGGTTCCACCATCCGCGGTATCGGCTTCGACGCTACCTGCTCGCTCACCGTCTTCTCCAACGACACTGACGAGCCCATCTCGGTCACTGGCCCCAAGTTCGACAATGCCGATGGCAACGACCGCAATGTCATTCTATGGCTCGACCACAGACCCGTCGAGGAGACTGACAAGATCAACGCCACAAACCACAACCTGCTCCGCTATGTCGGTGGCAAGATGAGCATTGAGATGGAGATGCCCAAGGTTCTTTGGCTCAAGAACCACATGCCCAAGGAGCTGTTCGACCGCTGCAGATTCTACGACTTGACCGATGCCTTGACTCACATTGCCACTGGCAACGACGACCGCAGTTTCTGCAGTGTTGTCTGCAAGCAGGGCTTCGTTCCTGTCGGTGTTGATGGCAGTGTCAAAGGTTGGCAAGAAGACTTCCTCAACGAGATTGGCCTCGAGGATCTGTGTGAGGACAACTTCAAGCGCTTGGGAGGTGTAGACGGGGTGGTAATAACCTGACCTTTACTATCATCATTGTGCAAGGGCTAACCCGAGTCGCAGAGCGGAAAGTACCACACTGCTGGTGACAAGATCGGCACCCTTTGCGAGAAGGCTGCTGCTGACCTCGGCCTTCCTCCTGGTATCGCTGTCGGTGCTGGTGTCATTGATGCATACGCTGGCTGGATCGGTACCGTCGGAGCTAAGGTCCGCCTGCCTGGCGCAAACCTTCAATCGGGTGTCGACAAGAACGACGTCTCACAAGCCTTCACCCGTCTGGCTGCTGTTGCCGGAACATCGACTTGCCATCTCGCCATGTCTGAGAAGCCTGTCTTCGTCGACGGTGTCTGGGGACCATACCGCGATGTACTCATTCCAGACTACTGGATGGCAGAGGGCGGTCAGTCGGCTACTGGCGAGCTCCTCAAGCATGTGCTCGAGACCCATCCAGCCTTCCAGCAGGCCATGAGTGTAGCCGAGACTTTCAACGCCAACATCTACGACTACCTCAACGAGCACTTGAACGAATTGCAGACCAAGGAGGACGCCCCTACCATCTCATACCTTGGCCGTCACTTCTTCTTCTATGGTGATCTGTTCGGTAACCGCAGTCCTATCGCCGATCCCAACATGAAGGGTAGCGTCATTGGTCTGTCGAGCGACCGCAGCTTGGACGGCCTCGCACTCTACTACTACGCCACCATGGAGTTCATTGCTCTGCAGACCAAGCAGATCATCCAGCGCATGAATGACTCGGGTCATGTCATCAACTCTATCTTCATGTCAGGCAGTCAGTGCCAGAACTCTATCTTGATGGACCTCATGGCCACAGCCTGTGAGATGCCCGTCGTGATCCCTAGATATGTTCACGCTGCCGTCGTTCACGGAGCCGCCATGCTAGGAGCCAAGGCTGCCTCTACCGACGACAAGGGCAACTCCGAGCCTCTGTGGGACATCATGGACCGCATGAGCAAGCCTGGTAAGGTCGTCCTCCCTGGCAAAGACAAGAACGAGAAGAAGTTGCTTGATGCAAAGTACAAGGTCTTCCTCATGCAGTGCGAGCAGCAGCGTGAGATCCGTCGTGATATCGACGAGGCTGTTGAGGGCTGGAAATAAAGAGGATACGATTTGACGAAGAATCTCGCTTTTGCCGAATCATAAAAAAGGGGTTTGGACAAAGGCCGAGGACGATTTTTGCTGCTCTCATAAAGGGTATATACACGATAATGGAACTTTTGCTTGACTGTATCTGCTTTCATGACTTTGTTTGGAGTGACAGAGTGACCACACCGATACGGATTAAGCACTCGACCACCCTTCTGACTTGCAATGCTCGTTCTTAGATTGAAGCTCTACTTCTTCTCCTCAGCAACATCCTCCTTGACCTTGGCATCACCCCTAGCCGGCCTCTCACCAAAAATGGTAGTGCCGACTCTAACCTCCGTACTCCCCTGCTTAATCGCCGCTTCAAAATCCGAACTCATACCCATAGAAAGTTCCAATTCCTCCTCTTCGATACCCAACTGCGTGGCCACGGCATCCCTTACTTTTCTCAACTGCTCAAAATCCTCATTCTCCGTTTCCGGAGTCGTGGCTTTTGATCTCGCGATTGCGCCGATCGTCATCAACCCTCCCAATTGAAGATGCGGGCAGGAAGTCATGATATGTTGACACAATGCCGGAGCATCAGAAGGTTCCACTCCCGATTTTTCAGCTTCTCCCGACGTATTGACTTGCACCAACACCCTCAATTTCTGATCATCTCCCATTTCCTGCTGCTGCTGCTGCTGCTCTTTCTTTTTCTCAGCCACCAATTTCGCCCTTCCCTTTTCCAAACCATCTGCTTTTTTTGCACTGTCTACGCTGCTCACTGAGAATAAATTCGGGATCGACTCGGCTAGGGGACGGCATTTATTCGTCTGTAGGGCGCCTATGAAGTGCCAGTGGATTGAGCGAGGTAGCAAGGAAGCTTTTTCGAGGAGTTCTTGGGAGTAGTTTTCGCCGAAGTGGAGGTGGGATGTGGGGGATTGGTGGAGGGCGAGGATGTCGTTTGCGGGTTTTAGTTTTGAGACGGCTATGAGGCGGACCTTTGTGGAGGACGGAAAGTGTTAGTAGTTGTGTTGGGATGGCAGTGAAGGTGTGTGGATGAGAGTGGGTAGAGGGGAGGAGGAGGCAGGCAGGCTTACATTGCGGTTTGCGGTGTTTGCGGATTTGATTTGGTTGGCGACGTGGCTGAGGTTTTCGGCCAGGTGTTTTGCGCGGGTGGGGTTGATTTGCATTTCGGTTTGGTCGGACATTGGAATGTTTGCGTTTGAAATGCGGATAGAAGTGCTGGGTATGGTTTGTGGTTGAGAGGGAAGTGTCGAGTGAGTGCGTGAATGTTTCTTCGATTCAGAGAGCTCTCTCGATGACGATGAGCCTCGGCTAGAATTGCTTCACTGGGGGGTTGGTGCTTGAGGTGTCACCCTGGCTGTGTACGATACTCGACCATTTTGCTTGTATTTCGATTCAATCATCATCGATATCTGAAGTTCGAGGCTCTGCAACTGTACAGACAATATCATGAGTCCAACGAAGCCAGTCTGATTTCAAAACACAAACACAACTTTCCTCCATGACTGGCATCGTCTCGTAGTATATTTTGGTGGATTGTCAAATGATGACATGTCTTGAACGTGAAACTCCCCTAGCGACTGCAATTTGGACGGAAATCATTCACGATCAGATCACATGGTACTTATGGTCCTAGTATACGTCCTCATACTAGTCAAGACTTAGCCAATGTTCGTTATCGCCAGCAATACAAGTATATGCGATGCAAGCCATAGCTAGAGAGGTCACCCTGGTCAGGCGCACTCTTTGTGGACATCTCTCCCAAAACGTAAGTGTTTCACCTGATGAGATAGTCAGTACTTGGGCGGGAATCATAACGTGGTTGCAAATAGGTTGTTCATGGCTTGGCTATCTAATATGGTCTGGTGTATCTGAAGACAAATTGCAACATAAACGAGACTCCCAAGTGCAGACTGCTGGGCATCAAAGTAGCCGTCGAAAGGTAAGATGATTGTTTCACACAGGTAGAATGCCCAGAGAGAACACTTTACCTTTCCAAGTAGCGTAACAGAGGCTGAGCATATCTGACGAAGAAGTTTGCAATGCAGGTAGCTTCCTGAAGCAAGTATTCTTCTCTAGAGGCTTGATCCTGCTCTGTCAAGTCAACAGCCTTTTGCGTCAGAAGCAGGAGATCATCGATCATGTCCTCGTCAGCATGAAGCACGTAACCACACATCCACCTGACCAACCTCTGAACGTGCCTTTCTGCTGGGCTGCTCCAGTCTCGAACTCGCGGCATTGATGTTGTGACATGAAGCTTCAATACTAGCGAGGTCGCCCTTGATTTTATGTTAGGAAAGCGAGCCACATCGCATCGGTTGATGGCGAGTCCGAACGCCACCAGCATGTTATAAAGCTTTGGATCTTCGTATACATGAGGCCGTAGCTTTCCCATGCTGAATAGCCATGTCACAAAAGCTTCGTGCAATGCGACAGGAACATCTGAGCGTTCGTTCGTGAGTGGGAGGAAGCGCGCGTCGAGGGGTGCGTATTGCGGGGGTTTGACGTGTAGGGGGTCGCCGTGTGGGGATAGAGGGGGTCCAGGTGGAAGGGATGCAGGGGTATCGAGTGGGTCCAACAGGGTGCGTGAACTCTGGTTTGGGGGTGTCGTTGGAACGATTGTACCATCTCTGCATCTGACTGAGTGTGGGGAGGGCGCACAATCGCTTGCTGGCACTTGAACCTGAGTGCATGCTTTTGTGTATGCTGGTGGGGCTTCTTCTCCTTCAGCTCGTAGACCCTGAACATCTGCCCCTTGATCCTTCTCCTCTCTCTGGCCCTTCTCTTCTCCTTGACGGTACCCTGTTCTTCTTCTCTTGTGCGCGTGTCGGTTAGGGACCAGATCAATATCGGTCGCTTTGCGAGGATGAGCCGTGTCAAGGTAGTCGTCCCACGAGTTGAAAGCACCACCGTTGTGATTATACGAGAAGGCTAGTTGGATATCAGGAGGGGCGTATTTGGTCTTGAGAACAGCCATGCGGTTTTCCAAGGCCTGATGAGCGTACGTGCTGTAGCCCATGTAGATGTCGAACATCTCGACCGATTCGGAAAAAGTCTTCGCCGAAAGCATAACATGCTCAGCTGCGCCTTGTACATGTCGAGCGGTCTTGCGAATGGGCATCAAAGTCTGACTCGGGACAGTCTTCTGTAGAGATAGTCGCAGAAAGCGGGACCTGGAAGATCCTTCGATGTCTTCAAACATGCGCGAGACGTGTATAGGCATCTCGTCGATCGAAAGGATAGGGGCAAGGTCCGCAAAGTGCAAGCTAGTAGGCATGGAGAATATATCGAATTTTTTCCTCTTCGCCTTCACGTAATGCGTGACTGTGAGTTGTAACATCGCTACAGCGTGGTTATTAGCCTCATGGATACCAAGCCAAAGCACCAGGCTCGTGTCCTTGTTGAGAGGAGACGGCTCTCCGAGGTGCAGTGTTCGATCGTGGTCGTCATCCTGCCATGCTACAATGACTCTCTCTTTTAGAAACCACACAGGGGGCTCAGTTGCGAAAGCGATAGAGGAAGGCGAAGGGTACATGGTTGAATTTGTATACTGCAAGATAGAGATCAACCTTCAAGAGAATACCCTGACGACGAACGCGTCAGACAGAACCCTCCCACCCGGGCTTTCGTCGACTGAGAGCAGCCCTGACTCAGTAACACAGATAGAAAAGGAGCCAATATATAAGCAAGAAGGAGGCGATGAGTCGTCGCTCAAGTTCGGACGCTGTGGGCCTCCAATCATACAGATACCGTCACACAATTCTTGTAGGACACCGCAAGAAGCAGATACCATTCGAAGAATCGGACAGACACCGTACGAAGGGCAGCACGCAAGACAGGCCAAACAGGAGAGAGGTGATGCGTGAGGATAGGGGAATTCACAGTTGCATGAGCATGTAGTTGGAGCAGAAGGTCGCGCAGGTCTGCAAGCTCAGGTCTGCGCGAGATAAGGTCTGTGCGCTTCGTACGCGTCACGCGTTTTTGGCAACAGCTCTTTGGAACAGCTTCGAGTGCTTCGCGGTTGGGAATGGTTTAAGTCAAGCGTTACTAACACCACTCAAGTCTGCAACCTGCTGCTTCCTGTGTCTATCATCGCGTCACATTATGGCTGATTTCGATTGCAAGAAAGATGGAAATCACATAATATGGTCAGCTGATTGGTGATACTAATCACAATTGCGTCGTATCGCCCTCACGACTTAACATTGCCCATGAGTACATTAAGATTGCTAAACAGCTACGAATCACGTTCGAGGACAACATAGGCATTCGACACGAATCGCATGGAGTAAGAACCCGAGACCATCTGACCCATGAATGATCCGAATGACTGGTCTAAGACACAAGAGCTCCGAGCATCTGTTCGAAGACACGAGAATCCCGGGCATCTGTTCATGCAATGCTGGCATCCAAAGAACAGGCACTGGATGAGACCGCACAATCTCAAATCAAAACCATGCGACCCAGACCGAATTGCTGGCAATGCCCGAGCAACGACACCATCTGTGCGAACCACTATATTCCACTGGGCATCAAGCAAAGCAATGAACAATGTACTTGAGAGCACCGGAAGTCTGGGATGTTGTTTCGAAGCTGTGCGCATGGCAATCAAGATTCAAGACCTCGAGTCCCAGCCATCAAAGGATTGACGTAGGCTAAAGCTCAAACCAACACCACGGGTGTCATGTATTTCAACTACAGCCAATCGGAACATAATAACCCACTCTTCGGAGCCTGTATATATTGCTTCATATGAGAAAGCCCTGTGCAAAAGACACTGTATTTGAGAAATGCGTGGGTGGCCTTCTTCCCAATCTAAACCTGTCACTTAGATCTTTACTGCACAGTGGATCTGCTGGGGTTACGAGACAAGGCTGAGATATCAATTGGGTTGCATGATTTGAGAAAAAGGTTGCTGGAATATATTGCGTGCATTAGTTTAGCATCCATGATCCATAGCGCGTCACCCCCTGACAGCTAGTCTGCTAGTCTGTCAATCACATTGCGCAAGTCTGATTTGCAAGATTTGGTGGAGGCTTCCGTGAAGAAGCCAAATTTGGACATACTGATCGTCACTGCTCTGTAATCAGTAGTTGCAACTGCCGTGTGTATGGACGTTGCATTTTTCTCGCCAAAGACAGACGTTGCTGAGGTAGAGCTTGTCCCCTGAGTCGTTCAACAGGGGTCCAGAGTCTTGCCAAGCGAGCTGTCACGAGAGAAAACGCGGGTCTGCGAAACCTTCTCACAGCTGCTTCTCACGACGTCAACAAACAACAATGTCGACTGGTATATATTAACATGAAGAGGTGCAGCAACTGTACCTCAGCCGTGCCTCAGCTTGGGTGGTTGACCCAAAGGCCGTAAGTTAGGTTGGCGCAGCAGCCCTGCAAGAATTGCATATTGGCGGCTCCGGCATCTTCGATCCCGCACAAGCCTAGCAAATCCACATCAACACCCAAGTCGGACATGCCATTGCGAACAGACCGCTTAATATGTGCATGGCACAAATCGGGGTACTACGCCCGTACTCCAGCTGCCATCTGTCGCGGAATACCCGCATGTGGAGGATGATAGGTACGAACGCATCACAACGAGACAGTCGGTCAAGTATCAACAGTTGTGCACCGGCCCCAAAGTCCCGGGTCTGATCTTTCGACGCCAGGACGATCAGTTCATCTTATCCACGAAACAAATCCATGAATGTGATGCCAGCAGTGCATTAGGGTGTCGCGCCTGTCATGCGCGAGGTCTAGACAGTACAGGTTCGGCGCTCCGCCGGTGCCCTATTCCAACAGACCGGCACTGGCGATGGCGCTAAGGCTGTTCGGCGCGGCGCGCCCGAGTGTCGGCTAACCTTGTTCTGGCGCGAGTCCGCGTTGTTTTTCTTCCCTTTTCCTCCTTTTCGATGGCGTGGGTTCCGTGCCGTGCAGCTTGCATCTCTTCCTGGATGGTTGCTGGCCTGAACTTGGAAGCAGCAGAAGCATTCGTAACTCATGTGCCTCTATTAATCTATCTGGCATTGACTTATGCGCTTCCCAGGTACCTGGGTTTGCAAGGAATTATTTGGAAGGTATATTGCAACAATCGTCATGGTGGTGGGAAGGTGGTCGTTGCGTGCATACACCTCCAGGTTGATGCTTCCTGCGAACGTTGGACGTCGATAGAATAGGTGGGTTCCTAGCTCACAAGTATAACAACGTTTCTCTCCCCCCTCCCCTTTCCACCGGCCACACATCTCTATCCTTCAGCTTCTCACCAACTTACCCTCCTTCACTCCACCGTTACGTCGCGTTGTCTAGGTACCCCGAACAGCCCGGTGATAACACATAACGGAACCTCTTGGGAACTACTTCTTGTGAACTCCTCGTTGTTTGTTTTTCAAACCGTCTGATCATGATGGATTCCACACTCATTTCCTCTTCATCTCGATCCATGATCCAAGGCATTGCAGGCACTGCCATCGGACTGTCAAGCGTGCTCGTCATCGTTCACATCATCTCTCGACGCGTTGCAAGAGCGTCGATATGGTGGGATGATGGCTTGCTATGGTTGGGTGGCTGCATGACTCTTGTGATGAATGCTCTCTTCATCCATGGTAAGACATGAAACATATCGAAGCTTGAATAGAGATTAACATAATGAACAGGAGCACAACTCGGCCTTGGTTCATACGAAGAACAACTATCAACATCACAACTCGAAGACATCTTCAAGGTTAGTGCATACAACAACTTGTACAACATGACACAACCTAACATGAACTTCAGATCCTTTTCACAAACAACTTACTACACCTATGGGCATTGGCAGCTGTCAAGGCTTCATTACTTCTCTTCTTCAACCGTATGTTTGCCAGCTCCAACAACACTCTTCGTTGGACTGTCTACTTCTCTCTTTGCCTTATCTTTGTATGGGTCATCATCTTCTCTGCCATCTCGGTCTTCCAATGCACACCAGTATCCTTCTTCTGGAGTAGTGGTGTAATTGGAAAGTGCATCACCTCAGACTTCACGTCGAGAACTGCCATTGCTATCTGCGATGCCGTTTTCAACGTGGCTACCGACTTCCTTTGCTTGATGGCACCTTTCCAGGTACTTCGCAGGCTACAATTGGCCAACGGTAAAAAGGCTGGCCTTGCTGTCGTCTACCTTCTCGGTGGCTGCAAGGTCGTCATCACCATCATCCGTGTTCTCTACCAGATGAACACTCCTTACACCTCCTCTTCCGACTCTCTCTACTCAACATTCGCTCCCACCATCTTTGTCATCATCGAAATCAACCTCGCAATCGCCTGTGCCTGCCTTCCTTCTTTCACTGTCATGGATGGCCGTGCTATCTTCGTCAAGACCAAGACCAAGACCAAGATCGCCTCTCGTTCCAACACTCCCGAGATCCTCGAGCCTCCCAACTCTCCTTACAGCCGTCCCGGTCAACAATTCTCGGACACCTCTCTTTTCCTCCAAGAATTCAAGCGTCAACCTCAGGCCGAGTTCCCCATTCTCACCACAATCACCAGCAACGTTTCAGAAGAACCTACTCGTCTGCCCAGCCTCGAACTCGGCAGCTTTGCTCAATCATCCGTCTTCGACATCCTCAAGCCCGCTGGCGGCATCGTAAAGACCTTGAATGTCGAACAGACCATCGAGGAATTCGAGTCCGTCAGAACTTTGAACGTCGAACAGACGATTGAAGAGTACGACTACATCATGAGACAAGCCTCATTCTCCATCGTTTAATGCCCCCCCTTGTTTTCTTCCTTTCCCCTCTTTCTGTTCATAACCTTTTTCTTTTGCCCTGTCTTTATTTTTCATTTATACCCCTGTCGTTTTTGGTTGTACGAGGCTGTTTTGGAAGCGAGCGTTGGTACTTTACATGATGACAAGCGCGGTGTTCCGGATGGCTCTTTCCCTTTTTCTTCTTATACCACCTCCTATCGTTGGCACCAAATTTTTCCTTTGTCTTTAGATCTTTTAGATGAGAGGGATATACCACTCTTCTTCTTCTGAGAGTCGAGTGTTGGGGATGAGAAGGATCCAAGTAGTGTTAGTTTTAGTTACAGACATATCTTCCTTGAGGAGATTTCGAATCGAAAGAATAAATTATCATAAATGTATACTTTTGAGTGCAAGGTAATTCAGTGCGATGCTTTCAAGAGTTTCCAGCCAAAGTCGTGGGTGGCGGCTCACACCTTCTTCGAAAACCAGGTCATTGGTTTGTTTACTGCTTGATCATTCCTGCTTACTTCCCTCGAAGACAAGTTTCTGTCATGAGGTACTTACCTGGTTGGTCTTTATTTGCGGTTTTTCATTTCTGATTCCAACAAGTCAAAGCAATTCCGACCAACAGAAAGAAGACCCGACCAACAGAAAGAGAATCCGACCAACATCAAAAACATGCGACCATTACCACCACCACCGATTAGTCCTAGATGATAACACAACTATACAATCTTCTGTCGAGTCCAAAAAGCCAGAGTCGAGTAGAGCTGAACAACCTCAGAATACTATTCGAGTTGAAAGGAAGTAGACAGGTTTTAGGCAGAATCAGACACGAGCAACGCTGAGAGAACCCGACCAACACCAGAGCAAACCCACCCAATACAAAAAACCCAACACCATTAAAGCGAACATTGGTCGTCACAGAAAAAAGAACAAAGTCATAAAAAGAGCAAACCTAATTGACGAAGGAGGAAACAATGTCCAATCCAAGAGAGAACTAAACCAAAGCAGAAACAAATCCGCCTATCCATCAGAAAAGACAGACAGACCAGTAGAAGTCAGCGTAGAAGATGTCAACCCTTGACTAATGACCGATCTGACGAGAGAGAAAAGAGAGCGATCACGCAACTCGAGTTGAGTGGCAGAGTAAAAAAACATAGAGACGTAACAGTCATGATTATGCATCTATGGTAGTTGTACAAAATATATATTCTTACATCCAAAAGCGAAGATATGTCTTCGCGACTCGGGCACTCGGGCCTATCGGGGTATCGTCGTGAACTCGCAACATCTTCATTTCTTGTCAAAATCGGCTGGCTTCTCAGCATCGCCTACGGCGCGTTGATCAGCAGCGCGCTCCTCAAGAATGCCGTCCTCTTCCTCACCCTCGCCCATAGCCATACTCCAATACTTGTCGTTGAACTCTTGGGCAGTCTTTGCATCCTCGATTTCGGCGGCAGTAGGCCCTTGAGGTGTTTGAGAGGCCTCAGACTTTGTCGTTGTCTGTTGTTGGGGTTGTGCGACCGAAGCCTCCGGTGGCGTAAGATCTATGGGTTTTTTGGCAAGCGCATGGTATTGCGTTTGAGCGTAAGCGAGGAACTTGGGCCGTTGGCTGTACATCCTGGGGCTAACCCAAATATGCTCAACGCGAGCGAATATGACAGTGTGGTCCCCAATTTCGATTGTTTTTCCAGGCAAAAGCTCGCATTTGAAATAAGCAGGGTTGTCTCTGCCCTTGAAATAAGGGCCGCGAGAGTCCATGTGAGGTGAAATAGAGGTGAGTTCTTGTTCTTCGAGGGTGCGGAAAGGTTGGGAAGGATCTTCATGGTATTGTGCGAATTCACCGGCGATTAGAGCACCTTGTCGGTTGTCGGCGAGGAAGTTGACGTAGAAGGGTTGACCTTGGTTGATGCAGTCGAGTGTACGGCTTGGACCACGGATGCTGAAGGAAATGATGGGCTCTGGTTCAAGAGTGACAGAAGTCATGGATGATACTGTCATACCACGAATGGAGTCGAGAGTGACTTTGGCTCCTGATGAGCCATCGTGGGTAGTCAAAACGACAACGCTGGAGGGAACACTGCGCATGGCAGTCTTGTAGGTCTTCCTTATCTCATCGGGCTTCAATTGAACAGGCGTCGATTCTTCAGCCGGGAAGTCGACAGACTTGACGAAATTCAAAGCTTTGGTTGCAGCATCCTGCTTGCCATTGATAAAAATTCCAGGCCTTTGGTGGGAACCCTTCCGAGTACTGACTTTGATCCGGACCATGAACCTTTCTTCGATCTTCGACATCAACTCCGAATCGTTTTCCGTGAGTAGCCCAAACACTCGACGGGGCATATGGTAGGATATTTGAACCTGCTTGTCCTCCCCAGCATGTTCTTGATTGGCAAGTGACGAGGAGTATTTGTCGAAATCATGTTCTTCGGCATTCTCAAGCCTCAGGATCCCTTTGACCATGGTCCATATTCTCCTCTCGGGAGTAACTACCCGGATTGCTTGAAGGTCGGTGGGTTCTGATTGATCTTGGGTAGGTTCTGTAACAGGCTCGATGGTGGTACCGTAGACGGCACTGAGTTTGTTGAGGAAATCGGGATGTTTTAGGATACGGGCGAGGCGTTCTTGAGGTATCTTTATGTGACCAACTGACTGCGGAGTGTATCCCAGTTCTGCAAGGCGCGTTTCTCGTTTTGAACGTCGTACTTCTCCTTGGCCATGTTGTTCGTTGGTGAGGCGGCTAGAATGCGCGTCATTGGCCTCGTTGACGGAATGGGTTGGAATGAAGCATCGTCGTTGATGGGCATTTCCGAGTCTGGACCAGGCGTGAAAAGCTTTGTAGAAGCGACCGGTCGCTTGGCCTCTAAGTGCTGTTGTCATAGCTACAGGCACAGCTCCTCAAGTCGCAACTTCGACTTTCGAGCTTCGATTAGAGGAGGGAGCGACAGCGACGGCGAGCGGACCGCCGAATCCGCGGGGCGGAGCGGAGTCGAATCTTGGCATGCCCGATTCGCCGCAAAATTGATGCATCCATGAGCCTATCAAGTATACCATCGCTGGATATCAATCGCATCTCACACATTAAACCGCCGCCATGCTCCTCAATCAGACCCCTCGCGCAAGTCTGCGCATCGCCTCTTCTTCAACACAACAAGTCCGCCATGCATCTTTGATGCGCCGCCCCAAGAGGCCCTACACCTTCACCCAGCTCGTTACTTTATCCGATGGCAGCACCTTCGTCCAGCGTACCACCAGCCCGCAACCCGTATATCGCAGCACAAAGGATGTGCGCAACAATCCCCTCTGGAACCCTAGCAGTCAGAAGCTGTTGAACATCGAGGAGGATGAGGCTGGTCGTTTGAAGAGATTCAGAGGTCGTTTCGGTCGTGGTTGGGATGCTGAGGCTGTCGCTGGTGCTGAGGAGGTTCGTCTTGTTCGACTAGATATTTCGCGACAGGACAAGGTGCTAACACGTACATCAGGTGAGAGATGGCGAAGAAGCTCTGGCTCCCGAAGAGTCAGAGGAGTCCCTGCTCGACCTCATCGCAAACTACGGCAACGAGGCAGACGCCGAGGGCAAAGCTGCCGGCAAGAAAGAGGACGTCAAGTCAAGTGGAAAGGGCAAGGGTGGACAGAAGTAATCTCCCTTCTCTCGACATGTTTGTGCTTTTGGTCGTCAATGCATAGCGGGCGTTCTGGGTTGTTTTATGTGTACAAAAAGCTGGGCGAAACTGAAGGGGTCGGTATATTGATACCCCTCGGTGTGTATTATTCTACAGGTACAGGACTTGTCTCGAAGACAAGTTGGGTATTCTTCTATCATGTCAAAAACGTTTATACCTCGACCGATTCCTGCAACATTGCCTGTGCTTCGATGGCTTCCGCTCCAATTGGTCGGAATGGCCACTCGATGTACGCCTTTGTGAGCGCATTCAATTGCTCTCGAGTGATGTCCTTGGTCAGAAGCTGGCTGGGATCGATTCTTCCACCAGCAAGTGGGTCTGTGAACTCAGGCACAACAAGTCCTTCTCGTGCTCCAGCCCCAAGTCGCTCGATCGACTCTAACAATGGCGATGATGGATGAGTAAACAACGCTTTGATCAGACCACGTCTTACTTGGTTGGCCTCGGCCGTATCCATCAAGTCGTTACCCAACGCTTCCGGCCTCGGCGTGATATCGAGCAACTGCATAGGGAAGCGGGGCCAGAACTCTTCTTCGGCCACGATCAATGGTTCATAGGGTCGTCGATCCCATGCCAGCATTGTGTTCTTCTTACAAAGCGCAAAGAGCTCGTCGAGCAGGACGGTCATGCTCTTCCTTGTTCTCTTTTGAAATAGCAGCTCGAAAAGCTCTTTGAGCTTAATGCTGGTTGCGACAAGCCGCGAGTGGGCATCCAATCGCAGCTCCTCAGACATTGTGGATTTGGTTGCATTGTACTCGAGCTCGAGGGCAATTTGTACACCCCAGATGTCGACGAAGCGCCCACAGCGGTTCAGCTCGGTTGGGTTTGTGATCTCCTCACTGATGTTGGTGAACTTGTATCTGTGTGGCTGCTCGGCGAACCTGTATCGGGACACTTTTGGAAGGGTTGGAAATTCTTCCAACTGCTTGATCTCCTTCTCAATATGTGCAAGAGTTTGCGAGAAATTCATGCCTTCAGGCAAGCGTATAGGATTGTAGTCTTGAAGAGCCTTGTCATCAGTGACCAAAGCTCTCTGATGCATTTCTGGGCGACGATGCTCGGGCAAGGTCATGCCCTTTTCCTGCATACTCGCAAGAACGCGACGAGAGCTCCAGGTATCAAGTTGGTCTCGACGTTGTTGGTGTTTCTGTGCTTTGGTAGCTTCACTGCGGGTGAGGCTCCAGCGGTCGCCGCCGACAACTTGGGTAATATCAAGAGCGGCCTCCAAGCTTACAGAGTAGCCAAGCTTGAACAGCATAGAGTTAGGCAAGACACTGGGGATGATTTCTTCGGGAACCCAAAGCAGCATGCGCACCAGACCGTAACGTTGGAACATTGAATTGACTTGAGCAGCTTCGGCCATATGGTGTAGGACCAAACTCGGAAAGTGGACATTGTTTGCTTTGTTACGTTCGGGATAGCGGCGGACAAGGCTGCCGATGACCAGGAGCGAGTTATTGGGTTCGCGCAGACGTGGATCGTTCTTTCCAAGAGGGACTCGCTTCGGCAGGAGATGATCGTCGAAAATACGATCGTACGTCCCCCAGTACGACTTTGGGTGGGCGCCAGAAAGGAAACTGTGACGGTAAGCCGAATCCTTTTGATCTAGCAATGGCTTGATGAAGGGATCGAGATAACGCTCGTCAGGCTCGAGAAGGAGATGGCGACGTGGTTTGAGGTAGTCGTGTATCTTTTGAGACCAGACACAAGCGCCAGGATGGAGGTCGATGATGTCGCATCCCTTGTGTTTATCAAGGTCGGGGCCTATGTAGTTGATTATGTCGTCGCACAAAGCCGGGCTCACGACTTCGACATTGTCTGGAAACTTGTCTTTGCCAGAGGGACCAGCACCCTTGGTGGAAGCAAGGACTTTGCTGATGGTCTCGCCCAGAGGGTAGTCATTATGGGGGTAGAAGGTGTAGGAATTTCGATATGAAGAAAGGGCCTGGTAACGCGTGGTTTCGGATATGTCCTTCACCGTCGTCGTTCCGGTAGGTCTGCCGCCGGCTTTGGGGTGTCCTGCGGCAGGAGTGTCGTTGTCTTGAGGTTGTGTGGGAGTGTCCTTTGCGTCGTTCAAGTCGGTGGGCTGGATAGGATTGGTAGGATTGGTAGGATTGGTAGTCTTTTTGGCCTTCTTGAGCTGCTTCAAGGCAACGGCTATTTCGCCTTGTTTTGTCTTGTCGGACTTCTTCTCGGCAGCTCTCGCAGCTCTAGCAATCCTAGATGCTATCGATGCGGCCTGCGTCACGGGCGGTCGCATGGTGAGTGTCAAGATTGGAACGAGGCGTGGAGAAAGCAACGACCATCACCGGGGCCATCAACGTCTTTGGCGAGGCCGCTTCGTCATTGCGACAAGCTCACGACTGCTCTCCTACTCTCCTGCTCTCCTGACAAGAAGATGCGACGACCAACCCGAATATACTTCTTTACATGCGCCCACGACTAACGACACTACGAGAAACGACCACCGATTCACGAACGACTACAAGGATGAATGCGCCAAAGAGCGTCGAGCAGATTGTCAGCGAGGCATCCAACTTCGACCATGCCGCCAACATCCCTTTGAACATGGCATTGCGCACTGCGCAAAACATGATCAGCCAAGTGAGATGAGACATGACCTTGACTCCCTCGACCCTGCCTAATCATCTCTGCGCTGCACCCAGGCCGCCAACTACGAGCGCGATGGCAACCTCCAAGACGCCTACCTGTTCCTGTACCGCCATGCCGACTTCTTCTTTACGCATATTTCGAAACACCCGGATGCAAAGAAGCAGGAGTACAAGCCGCAGATGGCTCGCGCCCGCGACGACGTCAAGGCCGATCTGTCGCGCATGGAAGCCTTGAAGCCTGACATCACGACCCGCTGGAACAAGTACCAGGATGCTGTCAAGAGGAGAGATGCTATACGCACACAACAACCTGCTGGTAGCACGCAATCTGGCACCCCACCTCCACCACAAGAGTCGCTTGTTCTGAGTGCAGGCGAACACAAGGATATTGCACTGCAACTGGCCAACCGCGAACTCAGAAGACGGAGGAAGGACCCGCGCGACGACAATGCTGTCATGGATGACTTGAGTCGAGGCATTCAAGACTTGGGTCGACGGATCGATGCTCCTCGCCAATCTTCACACTCTCGCTCCACCTCACAAGTCTCAGCGGCATACCATTACCCTGCAGTCCCATCAGGACATGGTTCTGTTCAATCACCATCCGCGCCTTTCGCGCCCAGTCGACCACCGAAGAGCGACCTCCCTACCTATGGTGTTCCTCCGCCTCTGCCTTCCAAGCCAGATCATTCTTTCACCTCTCCTCCTCCGCTACCCTCGAAATCCAGCGGCCCAGCACCACCTCCAAAACAAGACCTCTCATCCACCCAGAACTACCAATTCCAACCAGCCGCATACACCGAAAACGGCACTCCTCTACGCACACTCTTCCTCCCCACCGCCCTCCGCACCTCCTTCACCACCCTCGCTCAATCAAACACCACCGCCAACCTCGAAACCTGCGGTATCCTCTGCGGCACCCTGATTTCCTCCGCCCTCTTCATCTCGCACCTCGTCATCCCGGACCAGACTTCCACTTCTGATACCTGCGAAACAACCGAGTTGGGAGAAACAGAATTATTCGATTACGTGGATAACGAGGGCTTGATGGTGTGTGGCTGGATACACACACATCCTTCCCAGACCTGTTTTTTGAGCAGTAGGGATCTGCATACTTCTGTGGGATATCAAGTCATGCTTCCCGAGAGTGTGGCCATCGTGTGTGCGCCCAGCAAGAGTCCCGAGTAAGTTCTTTTACCTACCCCATTGGTCCTTTTTTCCTTTGATACTGATATTGAGGATTGCACAGTCATGGTATTTTCCGTCTCACGGATCCACCCGGTAAAGAAGCCATCTTGAACTGCCATAAGACTGGCTTGTTCCATCCTCATGATGAAGGAAATTTGTACACTGATGCTTTGAGACCGGGACATGTTTCTGAATTGGCTGGATTGCAGTTTCAAGTTGTGGATTTGAGGAGGGATAAAAAGTAGATTGAATAGTATAAAACAAGTTTTTGATCGCCTAGGGCAGTAATATACTGTATAGGAGAATGACTTTCACACTGGACTAGCTTTGTCCAAAAGTACCTCTACTTGACGTAATGTCCCGGCAAACTCTTCCCTCAAAACATCATAACAGCCACTGGTTCAAGACTGCACGATATTGACGAAGAAGAGGAATTGTACCGAATATCCCTCTCATCCGCCAAGACCCCCTGTGATCTGACACATAACCTCTTGGGCGTGAACAGATAGGAAAGTCTTGGTTTACCATGAAAGATTTGGATGGAGAGCAGATGTTTTGATTTTCCGCGTGGAATACTGAGCAAGGATCATGGCTCTTGATGACAATGCTCCACCTTGCAACGCGGGGTGTTTATGTAAGTGTTTTCTCACTTTGGTGTGGATACGGGAAGGGACAGATGGAAGAGAGGAGAGGTGGGAAAAAGTGGGCTAGACCTTCTTTGGGCCTTGAGGGTATTGTTTCGTGATGGGGGAAGAGACAAAGTTGGGTATATCCATCTGACCGAAGATGGTGTTTTTGCGTCTTCCTTCCAAACTCCATGTATTTTCATGATACTAAAATGCTTTGTGTCAGTCGTCTAACTTCAGCCAGCAAATCCAACTCTTTTCTTGGTTACCGCAGGAGCGAAGCCATTGGTCCTGGTGCCCATGCCATCGAGCAGGCGATCCATACCACCGAGATCTAGCTCTCCACGATCCAAGAGTTGTTGGTCAAATATGCTAGAGCCGTTACCTGCTCCAGCTGTTGCTTGTGTGAACAATGACTTGGCAGGTGTTTGTGGTCGCATCGATTGAATGATAACAAGACGATACTCGCCGGTGACTGCGAAGTCACGCTGAGATAGAGCGCCTAGGTTCAACGCGGTAGAACGAGTAGGGAACTGGGTGATACCGTTGAGAATCTCGCCAGAGAGGTCCAAGCCTTCAACGTGTGAAAGGCCCGGTCCATATAGAGAGCCAATATCCTTGCCACTGCTGTTGAGACTGCGCTGCCATAGGGATGCAAGACTTGAAATGTGGTATGCTTCACTGCCGTACCACAAGACAACAGAGTCATCGAGCGATCCATGGCTCCCAGCAGTCGCAACGGCACAAACACCACCCCTCGGTGATGTGGTCGCAGGGGCAGCGGGCTTCGGGGCACCAAAGAGAGATTCTTGGCGTTGCTGACGGGTGTTGGGGGTGGATGGGGCAAGTCCTTGCGCAGATCTGTTCTTGAGGTCGGAAGGTGCAGCGTCCGTACTTCCGATGAACCCCTGAATGGCAAAAGTGTTCATCTTCTTTTGCGTTACAGCTTCAATATCCCATACACCCCACTCGCCACGATCTAAAAGGACCAAGGCAGCTTTGGCACCCGACACCCATGCGACGTCGACAATCTTTCTTCTTTGTGCAAGGCCGGGGTAGTTACTTGTAGCTCCCTTTGGCATCTGAAAAGCAGTGTTAAAAGCCGAAATCCAAGCACCAGGCTCAGCAGACGCATCGGTACCGCGAGATGAGGGACGGCCTTTTGTTGCGAAAGGATCGTAGATCTTCAAAGTGCCCTTGACATCAGCTATGAGTAAGCGCGAATGTTGGCGTGAAGGGTATTGAGCGGTGCTGAAACGAAGGCATTGCGACGAAGAGGAAAGAGGGACAGCGTGAAAGGGGTTGACAGAATTGGGAATCTTGCCTCCTGTCAAGTCGTTGAAAGCGATGGGAATGCGATAGAAGGTGAGAGTCTCAAGGTGCGCCGATGTGGACGAGGCGACAAGTAGATCGAGCTTCTCATGGTTCGCGGAAGAGGCTTCTTGTTGTGGTTTGTCCAAGTCCATCTGGTCCTCAGCAGCAGGCAGGCTCGAGCTGTTCGTCCAAGTCAGAGCAACATCTCTGGCCATGGCTGAGGACGATGATGAGGGACTGAGGTCGCAGATCTGAGCACCGAGACGACCATTTCTCTTTGCTGACGCCGACGGCGGTGTGAGAGGTAGTGTGATCAGGCGCAATGAAGCGTCGGCGCAGGCGACGGCCAGGACAATACGTTGCTTGACTAAGAGAGGAAGCTGGGCTCTGGATTGTAGGGTGGTCGAAGGCTGAGGGATGTTTGGTAGAGCCAGGTGGAGGACTGGACTGCCGAAGGAGAGTTTCAGCTCTTGTGCGAACGACGGGTATGGTTCGTCTTCATCCAGCTCTTCATCTTCAGCCTCGTAACGTGGCTTGTCCTTGTCTGGGATGTCTTCGGTGACGGGGGACTTATGAATCGAGATGGGGTGGTTCCACTCGGTGTGCTGTGTTCGTGTGCCTGAAAGATCGTTTACGCGCTCGGTGACGGTGCGCGAGGCAGTGGACAGCGGACGGCCACCTCTCCAGAGAATATGAAGGCCGTCGTCGTAGCCGGAGATGATGATGTCAGCACCGCGGGGACTCTGGAGAGGGTAGACTTTGGTGATGTTCAATCGGTGGGGGCATTCGTAGCTAGACATTTTTGTTAGACATGGATTGGTCGAGTCAACAAAGCGCGCGCATACTTGAGGTGCATCTGCTTGCCATGACGCGAAACCCGCGGCTTCTGCAGTTTCGCAGACATGTCGTAGCTTGTTGTCGCCATGTTTGGTGCAAGAATTGGGCGTGTAAAGAAAGAGAGGCAAGTTGTTGCTGCTTGCTGCTGCGTGGTGGAGAAAGCTGTTGACGCGCCCAAGGAAAGTGCAGCCGAGCGAGCGCGTCGACAGCAGTCAAGAAACACTCGAAACATGATCCAGTCCGCGACAACAACATCAGAACTACCCAATTGTCCGCTGCCATCTCGGAAGATTCTAACCTCTCACTTCTGGACAGCTCTCGCTCTTGTGCATCCGAGTTGTGGTAGGGTTTCTCTGTATACACCCACACTGCACAACAAACGCCTTCAACTCACTTGCCAATGGACTTTTTATGAATCAACCTCTGGTCAACAATAATGTTTACGCTCTCCATCGCACTTTCTACTAACTCATGGCCGACTTTGTTTCGCTGGGCATACACCGCCCCTCTGCTTTGCCATATCTGATATCTGAGTCCGTTCTTCCCCAAAATCCCACCTCACAGGATTATACTTGGAAAGTGTACCCAGGCCCTTTGGATGATTCAGAGGATGAGGTTCTTTACACATCCAACTGTGTAGTCTGGTCACAGGATGGTCATGTTCGAAAGGTCTTCAACTTCGACTCCACAAAGCAACCGGTCGGCCATGCTTTGATCACTCGCTTTCGCGCTGATGCTCTCTCTCGAAACTCCACCGAATCCACAGGTCCAGACAATGTCATCTCTTATGCTTCGACCGCCTATGTCTCGAGATGGGGTACCAAGCCACAGCGCGATCCTAAGCAAATGTTGTCATTGAGTCAGACCGATTCACACGGCTTCAACCGTGCTCTGGTCATCATCTTGAAGTCTGAGATGCATATTCATTTTCTCTCTGGATCGACCCATGTACTCAATTTGCCCTTTGAGGTGGAGAAGGCTTTCCCTGCCATTGATGGTCTTGTCATGCAGAGAAAGTCCACTTCTGCTACCAAGGAACCTCCGACTCCTACCATTCCAGGCCCTCCTCCGAACTCTTTTGCTTCGTCTCAGCCGTACTTGTTCTCGCAATCAAAGTCACCTGAATTGAGAGCCAACCGTTATCGGCCAAGTGTCTTACCTCCAAGTCCTTCGACTCACTTCAATCTCGATGCTTTGTTCCAGGATCTTACCAAAGGCCCAGAATCGCAAATCAACGATGAGCTTCCTAGATTTTATTCTTTGGAAAATCCACTATCGGATATGGCGCCCGTCTCACATGCCAGCGTCTGTCGTCAACCACGATTTCCTCGTCCTGGCGCTTCGAGTGCCCCGACTGTGGAGTACGATATGCTCGATCCTGCGGAAGAGCTTGTCTACGTGTCATCACAAGATGAGCTTGCCGAGCAGGCAGAGCCTGGTGATGCCCCACTGTTCCTGTTGGTCACTGTAAACAGAGAGCTTGGTCAGATAACGGTATGGCAAGCATGGTACTTGAAGCCTCCTAAGCTTTCCGATCTACTATCACAACGTGCGGCTCACAAGGCAGCTAAGACTAAGCGTCCTAGCTCTGTCATGACTAGTCGAACAGCGGGCGCTACTACCCCTGCGTTGAAAAACCGCGATCACCGGGATAGAGTACGTGAAAGTTTCGCAGCTTCCACGCGGTTGTCTGTTGCCTCAACTACAAGACCCTCTCAAGACGACGAAGAGGTCATGGCATCGCAGATGGATCCGGAGTATCTGCTTAAGAAGCCTTCCGGTGGTCCTAGGCGAGTCAGCTCCATCCTCTCACGAGGTGAAGTCGGTAACTCGGACCCTTCGATCAAACAGACTGCGCTTGGTGCCAGCTTTAGTGGAGCTGGACGTAGATATCCTTCAATGGGAAGCTTTACTGATCGCGATCGCCGAAGTTTTGGCAATCAACTATCTCGCAAAAGTCGCGGCTCTACACCAGCAAGCATATTTGGCAGAAGCTTCGGACCAGACGATACTATCGAAATTGAGAACAGTCGGATGCAAGACTACAATGATGAGTATGAGAGTGCGGAACGACTGATTGGAGCCACTCACAAGTCTGCGGGTACCGAATCTGTCTTGGGCTCTTCTCCCGATGGACTTAGGAAGGAGCTCGTCATTCGCAAATTGGATGTCTTCATGACCGATGTGTCCAATTTTGGCACCACTGCGGTTGAGGACCTTATTAGGGTCTCCCCTTTAGTTCACTCCTCCCCATCGGAGCACAGTAGCCATCTGATCTCGTTGTACATTCTTGACTCGTCGTCAGGATCTATGACAACGGTCAAGCTACGAGTACAGAGGAAGAATGAGCGAAGATTTCAACCCGAAGAAGGTGCTCACGCAAGGTATATGCCTATACCCTTCCTGTGTGATCGTAACATAACACACAACATTGCCGACATCACCAAGATCCATGATGGCCAGACATCAGCCATCGCTCACCTCTCGGTCAATTCTCAGGAACTTGGCATTATACCAGCGCGAGGTATTCCCTGGTCGTTGCCACTATCGAAGCAAGTACGAACGTGGCATCCTTCAGATATTCAGAGCATTCTACATTCAACCACTAGCGATCTGCAATCGTCACGGTCCCTTCAAGAACCTTGCAAATTGAATTACCCTGGCAATCATGGTAAGGTCACAGTAGTATCTGCAGACGGCTTCCACCATCGCTTCCAGATCAGATCGAGTCCAAGATCCACTGCTGTACGCCAAATCCTCGAACTATGCCAGTCAGTACTCCCAACAAAGGAGGGTGGCTCGGTTGCTGCTATATGGTGCAACATACACCATCGATTCGTGAGCGAAGGTGTTCAACTTACTGGTGGTCTTGATGTTGAGTGGGAAGCAATGATCGTAGCCCTTTTCGCATTTGCTGCTGGCTCTATTGGAAGATCATTGCGTGGTAACCAGAGAAGTAAGTCTTCGACAGTTGACAGTACGCGACTTGGTACCTATGGAAGTCAATTACGCTCTCGCAGTCTGAAGTCAGACCTTGACAAACTTGTGTCACCTGCCTGGAGCTGGCTCGAAAAGCCGACTACACACTCAAAGCTCAGTGCGATTACTCCGAGATCAAGACTCAGAACACCTCGAAGTACTCACAAAGCCAAGAAGCATCCCTTCTCTCTGATCGAGTACGAGACGATGGCTCGCCACCTACTACACGAAATCGCAGTGGATGATTTGGACTGGCTAGTGTCCCAGGAAGCTGCTGAATCACGACATCTCTGTTGCACAAAAATTATGCTGGTGCTCTACCTTTTCCGAGAGGAGCAGAAACTGAGCTCACTTTCGGACGATGCGGAAGGAATCGTCGTTGGCTCTCTCTGTGCTATTATCGCCCAATTTGGACAATGGCTTTCCATTGATCCCTGGTCGTATAGATCTGGCTCTTACCACGAGATGGATGGTGAAATCAGTGATTGGGAGCTGTCTTCGTCGACGATGAGCACGACCGCCAGAGTCTCGCAGAACTTGTGTCCTCCACCCCAATCTGTCTTTGCATGGGTTGAGAAGAACTTCATCCATGGTATCTCCGAACCATTTGTAGGCGTAGGGACAATCGCTTCTCTAGGGACAGACGCATCTGCTTCCACGATCTCGAAACTTGAGGGTAACCTTCTTCCTCGTTTGACCTCCCTGAGATTGCTGGCAGCACGGTTCTCCGCCATCAAAGCTTCGCCGAGTGCTTTAGTGCAAACACTCAAGGAAGCAAACTTTGGAGCCGGAGCTTTCGAGACTTTACCAGAAGGCGTACTTGCTCCGCTTCGTGAAGCCATTAGTCGTTGTCAGACAGCGCCACCCACGACATGGTCTTCTGATCTACTGGAGTTTGTTGCGCGTGAGGACTTGATTGGGCTATCACAGCTGAACAAGGATGCCAATCGTCCTTCAAGTCGAGGAGCACTGCCTAATGTGCTGGTGCCACACGATGTACAGACCATATATAGCTCTGCTGATCGTGCTCCTCTGACTGCCAAAACACACGAAGCCGAAAGACATGCAGTCATTTCGCTTATCTTCTCCGAGGATCGTCGCTTTGTTGATGCTGCCAGGCTGATGAACCCTACCGCGGTGCAAGTCGCCGAGTGCCCACCTCAACCTGAATGGTCAGAAGTTGAGCACTTGGAACAACAGAAGCGAGTCATGCAATGGGTAATGATCCGAACACTTGCACTCTCACCTGGTGATGGCATGATCCACTTTGAAAGTCAACGTCCTCTTCTGTCGGAAAAGTTCCACATCAAGGGTTTCAGTACATCTTGTCAGATGAAGCCAATGGACACTACCATTAGTGCTGATCGCAGTGGATTCACCGAGGACAAGTTTGCCTGGACGTTCTTCCATGCTGGTGTTTCTGCAGGATTGAGCATCTCACGAAACGCGACTGGCATTGACACTTCTTGGATAGTCTTCAACAAGCCTGCAGAGCTCAACAACCGCCACGCTGGGTTTCTTCTAGCTCTTGGTATTAATGGGCATCTGAGGACTCTCGCCAAATGGCTTGCGTTCAAGTATCTGACTCCAAAACACAACATGACTTCCATCGGACTCCTACTGGGCTTGTCAGCATCATACCTTGGCACCATGGATACTCTACTCACTCGCATGCTGTCTGTACACATCACAAGGATGTTGCCTCACGGTGCCGCGGAGCTCAATGTTTCGCCCAGCACCCAGACTGCTGGACTGATGGGCATTGGACTGGTCTACTACGATACACAGCATCGACGAATGAGTGAAATCATGTTATCAGAGGTCGAGCACCGTGAGATCGAAGACCCTGGTAGCACGATGGACCAACTGCGTGACGAGTCATATCGACTTGCAGCGGGATTTGCTCTCGGCTACATAAATATCGGAAAGGGCCGAGACTTGCGTGGTCTCCATGGTATGAATCTTCTAGAGCGATTGTTGACGGTCGCTGTTGGTCCCCGACCAGTCGAACTCGTGCATGTTGTTGATAAGGCTACTGCCGGTGCTGTCATCGCCATTACTTTGATCTACATGAAGACTGGCGATCGATCTGTCGCACGCAAGATAGACATACCTGACACTGTTGCTCAGCTTGAGCATTGTCGTCCAGACATACTGCTTCTGAGGACCGTTGCAAGGCATCTCATAATGTGGAACGAGATCACCGATGAGTCAGACTGGATCCGCAAGAACCTCCCTATCGAATACTCCCACCGCTACTACGGCCATGGTGCCAAAGCTTCGGTGGAGATAAAAACACTCCCTCAGCTGCGAAGCAAGGACGTGCCAGTGTTCAATATCCTGACTGGCCTCGCGTGGAGTTTGGCCTTGAGATTTGCAGGCAGTGGCAACGAGAAAGCGCGAGACCAAGTGATCGCAGTGCTTAAAGCTTTCATCGCAGTGTCCAAGCAGGACGCATTCTTCTACGATGCCAAGTTGGCCAGAGCTACAGTTAAGCGTTGTATTGACGTGCTCGCACTTGCCATGGCTACCATTATGGCAGGCACGGGTGATCTTCAAACGTTTAGATATCTGCGAGCACTGCACGGCCGTGTGGATCCAGAAACTACATATGGATCACATCTTGCAGCCCATCTTGCTATCGGCACACTGTTCTTAGGCGGTGGCACTTACACTTTTGGAACGTCAGACTTTGCCATCGCATCTTTGATGTGCGCATTCTACCCTCTATTCCCCAGCGAGGTCCTAGACAACCGGGTACACCTACAGGCTCTTCGACACTTCTGGGTCTTTGCCACCGAACCTCGTTGCATCGTGGTACAAGACATCGACACAAAACGGCCTATACACGTCAAACTCAGAGTAGAGTTGCGAGAAGGAAAACAGATCTCAATGACTTCTCCATGCTTGTTGCCAGAGTTGAGCACCGTCGCACGCATCAGTACGGATGATCCTACTTACTGGCAAGTCACCCTCGACTTTGCTGCTAATCCTAAGCATCTCGCCACCTTCCGACGCTCGCAGACAGTCTATGTGCGTCGCTGTCCACCTGGTGAAGCTTCGAACAGCGTTTTCAGCACGACACTTTCAGCCCTCATCGATGTTCAATCCAGCATCGGTGGCCGTCAGATGTGGGAGTGGATCCTCGATCTGCCCGCCTTCCGGGAACTCGATCAAGCAGACTTTGGTCTTGTGCTGCCCTCAGACCCACGCAGCGCGACTCATCTGGATGAGAAGTTAACAGCTGTGGACAGTAGATTGGTGTTGAGCCGTAGTGTAGCTTCGACAAAGGCGAATGCATTATGGAATTTGAGGTTGCTATTCGCATGGGCACAAGATGCTACGGATAATGGAGATGGAAGGTTAAGGTGGATTGGCAAGCATGTTGTTGATATGTTGCAGACGAAGGTTGCTGAGAGGACGCATATGTCGTGATCAGACAGCTATTGAGACAAGTAGCTCAACACACAATTAGGACTCGCATTAACGTATATCACAATTTCGTTCGGAGTTCAAACAATGATTCCAGTTCGATTCGATCGCTTCTTTCTGTCGGAACTCTTCTCGTACAAGAGCGATGGCCATGTTTGGCTCACTCTTGCTCTTTCCTGATGTGCTTGAGCAATCCTTCCATCTGCAATTGTGGTTGTTTCTCAGCACCTTCTGCCCATGTGCACACTCGTTCCTTCCTCCTGCATGCTTGATCGTTCCTTCTGTTTTTGGATTGCGGCCTCTGCGTACATGAATGCGCCCTTCCTCTTCTTGCAGTCGCTTCTGCCTCCTCCCATGCGATCATCCTATAGGCAATGTTTGAGATCAGGAAGTTCTGCCACATTGAATGAGATCGATGTTTCACGCCCAAAGGCAACAGATGAAAAATGTCTGAGAGGTAACTTTTCTTCGTGTGATTTTGTATATATACAAATGTATGCTCTTCGTAGCTAATTGTTCAAGGAATCGAGCTGACAGCAATGTAGTGAAGCGTGCCGGGCTCCACTGTGTCCATGGCGAGACCACTACAAGCTTCATCGACTCGAACGCTGAGCTCGAGATGTGTTGAGGCTCGTAGATCGCGTGGGGCTGTTTAGGCAGATGATTTTGACCTGTCGGTTGTAGCCCTTTCCATCTGTTTCCTGTATGAGGGGGTCACGTCCCAGTGTGAGAGGGTGTTGGCGTTTTTCTGTCTTAGGGGGTGGCTGTTCAATCGGAGGTCTTGCCCTCGGCCTTGTCCTTTCTGCGCATACCGACATCCCAGTTGTAGACGCGAGCAGTAGCGACCTCGAGTGTCTGTATCATCCGTCAGCCATGGTATTTCCCAGTCCGCATATCTTATTGCACTCACGGTAATCTGTTCCCTCAAGAAATCCATATCCTCCTCTGCATTCTCCAATCCACTCTTCGCAGCCTCCAATTTACCCTCCAACAACTCCTCTGCCTCCTCCATCGGATACGCCAACATAACATTGGCACCCAACCACAAATACACTTCTTCCGTCTTCGGCACCTTGGCCTTTGCATACAACGTATCATTCAATTCGAAAAAACTCTCCAACTCTTCGGCATCGTCTGCTCTGCTCTTCAAGAACCGCACCGTATCCAACGTCTTTGAAATATCGGGGATCTTTTCGCGCAGACCGGAGGCACGGCGTGATGTGTTTACTTCCATGAATTGGTACTTTTGGATCATTTCGGAGAAGGATTTTAGGGTTGGTTCGACTTCGGCGCGGGTGGTGCAATAGTCCGAGACGTTGTCTACGAAGGGGGCGAAGGGGATGCCGCGGGGGTTTGTGGGTGCGTCGCTTTTCTTGCTATGGCGGAGTTGACATGTTAGTTTGGGTGCTGTTTGGAGCTGAGGATGGTGTTGCGATTGGAGGGTCGTGGTATAGGGAGGTGATGGTAGAATGCGCACCTTGTTGTCGCCATTGTCGCGGTTGTAGTGTGTTGGAGATAAGAGTGTCTTAAGACGTGTTGTTTATTTTCCGGAAAGCTGTTGCTGTTTGCGAACTACCTTTGCGCATGTGAATGTGCTTCTGGATGTGGAAGTTACGTCGTGTTTGGAAGCTGTTTGCTCTTGCTTGCACTGGGGTTTGTGCTTGCACCATACTCGAGCACAACTCTGAGCATAGATATGCGCGTGCACAAACATGCAGGCCGCTTGGACTCGGAAGAGCACAGGCCCTACCAGCCATCAACCTCACCTGCTTACATCAATACTCCAAGAGTGATGATGCGTTCATGCGGGTACCCTTAACCCGCGTCTCCAATGCCCTACTGCAACTCATCCCCAGCATCCCTGTGTGCATACAATAGTGTGCGTGCCATTATCATCTCTGTGTAACGACCAGCAAAACCAAGAATGCGAGCCGTATTGCTATGATTGTCCAAGCTATCGAAACCAGTCGTATTGCTGACATGCAGCCAAGAGAGGTAAATCCTCCGGTGAGCTCTTTTGCTCCTGGTAAAATGGCTCTGTCCGGTTGTTCCTTCTTCCCATTCTTCCTTTGCGCCTTTTCTTTTCGTCTTTTGGTAATGAGATCCACTTTCATCTTCACATGCAAGAAAGCATTTACAATTCCATTTCTCACCTGTCCATGTGGCTGAAGACCTCAGGCCACGGGCCATCAGTAAGCAAGTGGATCCATGGCAAAAATGAGCTATCCTCTACTGCCGCTGGTAGTTCGGCTCCTTGTTGGACCTTTCTCCGGAACTCCACGGTGGGGTTATCCGTGTGTGTTTGTTGACTTGTTCATGTCCTTGTTTCTTGACTTTAGCTCATGCAATCCCTGGAGATGTTCAAATTGTGTATCGGAGATGTGTACAGTATCCATCCGTCATTTGTTTTCCGGCCAGCCACATTTTCTTCCCATGGCAAGCCTTTGTCGTTGATAGAGTTTATGGTTGCAGATAACGACATCCTCTCTCAAAACTCGAGGTGGCTGGTGTTGATCCTGTTTCCCAGCCGCGGAACTGTCGGAGCGTTCACTACTTGACTAAGGTTCGCGACTATGGATCAATATCCCTGAAGACATATGCAGGATGCTGTGCAAAAGTGGCGGTGGTCTTATTTTCGGAGGCTGCATGATGATGAGAACGAGGTGGCCCTGCAGTGAGATCCATGTAGTTACGTACTCCAATTGCGAGAGTGTTGATCGCTGAGGTACGCTTGGTTGCTTGATGATCGCTGAGTTGATCAATGAGATGTTCGTCGATCTGTATCTAGTCGCAAAGAAACATCGAACAATGGAAAGGTACTTTTAGTATCAGAGCGAAGGTTGAGAGCGACGATTGAATGGCGAATCATTACCGCACGAGGAAAGTGATAAACTTTTGGGAAGTACCATTTAGAAGGGTTGTTGAAGATCAGAGAATTACAACTCAGACCCAGTTCAAAAAGTGCAAATCAAAGTGACATGGCAAAAGACGGGAGTGAGCGAACAAAAAAGCCAGAGCAAAAGAGAGTCGCTTTAGATGGAAAGAAGAAGTCACGTTGCGCAGATAGAAGAAGCGAAGTAGTAAAAAAATCATCTGAGGTTGAAACACTATGTATAGATAAAAATGAGGAAACTGGGGTTGACCTCTCGTACTGTAACGTCCAAATTCATCAGGAAACAGTCCGGTGGTGATCGTAAACCTCTCCAGGAGAATAGTAAAAGCAAACAAAAAGTCATCCGTCTAGCGAGCCGACACCTGTATCGTTGCAAGCAAGCCGCAAAAAACCAAAGGCAACAGAGAAAGGAAAGAAAGCCACAGGCGGCGGAAGAGTGAAAGAAGAGAACAAGGATAGAGAGATAGTGACAAGGCTTTAACTCAGCCCAAGCAAAGACAATGCCAGTTACCCAATGATCATATCCTCCTCATCTCAGGTTAGGGTGTGGGAGCCGCAATCGACCTCAGCCCAAGGCGACCATCGCCTCTCAGCATCCGAGCCTGAGCACCCTTCCGCCGCTTCTTTTTAATAGTTTTCGTGTTGTTTAGATCTGAAGACCTTCTTGGATGAGCTTGCCAAGTTCTTGAGCGTGGGGCTCCTTCATCATGGTGAAGTGGTTGCCGCCCATGACACCGTACTTCATGTTGTTGCCACAGAGTTGTGCCCAGCCGTTGTCAGTGAAGTCAGTGCGGTGGTTCAACAACCAGGTCATGGGTGCAGGGTCCTCTTCCTCAGCCGGGGGAGGGCGAGGGTCACCGGGGTTACCGGCAACACCATCACGGCACCAGATAGCGTAAGTCTTGATGGGCTTCAGCGAAGGCTGGGGCTCGTAGTCTGAGAGCGAACGAATGGCGGCAGTGAAGTGAGGAAGCAGCCACTTGGGAGTCTTGGATGGGTCACCAGTACCGAGGAGACCGATCTCGTTGAAGAAGACGTGGAGACGCTGAGGGAGAGGTGCAAGGTTGACGGGGCAGGGGGAGTCGAGGAGAAGGAGGCGGTCGACTTCTTCACCATTGGCCAGCAGAGCCTGGGCGACAGCATAAGCGATGACACCACCAGCAGACCATCCACCGATGATGTAAGGGCCCTGGGGCTGGCGTCTCTTGATCTCAGCGAGATAGAGGAGCGACACAGTCTCAATACCACAAGTCCACTCGGTAGGGTTCTTCATGAAGGGGCAGTTGAGTCCGAAGGCGGCGGTGTCGGGACCGATGTTGGGAATGCTGACATAGGAGGTAGCAGAGCCGGAGCCATCGGGCAAGAAGAAGATCTTCTTGGTGGCAATCTTAGCATTGCCCTGGAGAAGGACTGAGGTTGCGGCGGGGAACTTGGACAGATCGGTAAGCTTGGCGTTGACTTTGTCAAGTTGAGGCGAGGTCTGCTTTGCGGCTTTGGGGGCAGAAGCAGCCTTAGCCTTGGGCTTAGGGCGCATACCGAGAGCGTTCTCAATGTCCAAAATGGTAGAGTTGGTGGAAAGGAAGGTCGAGGGAAGATCGACACCGGTCTTCTCACGGAGCTCACTGAGGATGGTCAAGCTCATCAAAGAGTCCATACCAAGCTCAGAAAGGTCTGCTTCGTCGGTAAGTTCAGAGCTGTCGATACCCATCTCCTGGACGATGATGTGGCGGGCCAGACTGACCTCACCAACCTCGGAGTCAGGGATCTCGCGAGAGGGAGAGTCGATATCAGGCTTGCCGGCATCACTAGGGGCAGTGCTTGGGGCAGAGCTGGCGGGAGTGCTGAGGTCGTCCTCGTAGGGAGTGGCAATGTCCGAAGGTTCGGACTCGTCCTCGGAGTCATCCTCAACAGGGCCAACATTGCCGTCGTACTGAGAGAAGTGCTTCTTCATCTCACCAACGGTGGGGTAATCGGTGAAGAGAGTGGAGCTGATCTCCATGTCAAGGTCCTCTCTGAACTTGGCAGAGATGGTCAAGGACATGAGGGAGTCAACACCGAGGTTCTCGAAAGCAGCCTCCTCGACGAGCTCAGATTGCTCAACATCAGTCTCGGTAGCGATGATCTGCATGACACGGGAAGTGATGGTTGCGCCCTGGGGCTTCTTGGCGGCAGCCTTCTTGGGAGCTTTAGCAGCCTTGACAACAGGCTTGGGAGCCTGAGCCTTGGGAGCGGAAGCCTTAGGAGCGGCGATAGCCTTAGGAGCATGGGCAGCAGCGGCAGGAGCAGCAGCCTTAGCGGGTGCACCGGCCTTCTGAGGAGGCAGGAAGACGTTAAGGACGCGGCGGGGGATCTGCTGGAACTTGAGACCACCACAGACAGCGACGATCTCATCTCCCTCCATAATGTAGACATCACCCTGGTACACATTACCAGGCTTGGGGAGCATGCGGACATAAGAGCGGTAGTTGCCCTCAGGGGTCATCTGCTTGGCGATTCTCATCGAGCCCCAGCCATGAGAGATGCATACGTTGTTGTCAGAATCAATCAGGTCAGTAGCGTTGACGATGAAACCAGAGATGTGGCACATGCTGTCAATCTGGTAAGGTGCTTGGTACCAGTCACCATCGGCAGGGCCGTTCTGGAACTTGATCGAGGCAGTAGCCTCTGTGGTCTGGCTGTTAACGATGACCTCCTCCATACCGCGGTACTTCTCGTTGTAGTTAACGAAGCACTTGAACAGCTTGTAGGCCATACCGCGCTGCATGACGTGGGCTTCTTGAGTCTTGGTCTTGGCCTTGAGAAGATCGACCTGGGACTTAACCATGAAGTTGATGCGCTCCCAGTCCTCGGTCCAGGAGCTGATGTCCTCGAATTTGACCAGACAGTGAGCGTGGTCCTGGATGAGCTTGCCATCGGGAGTAACGCTTCGGAACTTGAGGTGGGCAACACCCTCATCGAGATCAGCCTTGGCCTCAAGCTGGATGTGTTGGCCCTCGGCGGGCTGCTCCATCTTTGCGATGAAGGGCTTGGGGACCTCCATGTCGCAGACGTTCATGCCAATCTTAGGAGCAGACGGTCTGAGCTGCTTGTAAAGGTAGTCAGACACAGTCAATGCCATATCAGCGTACAGAGACGAAGGACAGAGGGCAGTGTCGTTGACCTGGTGACCAATGACAGCCTGGAACAGCTTGGGCTCGGCGACGTTCGACTGGATGATAACGGTACCAGAGTTGGCCTCGAATTCTTCGAAGACAACCTTCTGGCAAGAGGTAGAGAGACGCTTGGCAGGCTTCTCGGCAACAGGAGCTGCGACAGGAGCAGCCTCGATGGTCTTCTGAACCTCACGAACTTCACCCTTGGTCAAAGTCCAGTTGTTGTGGTAGTCGAGCCAGTACTTCTTGTTGTCAAAGGCATAGGTGGGTAGAGGAAGAAGCGACTGAGCATCGTTGAACTCGCGGTGGTACTCATCGAAGTTGATTTGAACACCGGCGTTGAACAGAGTGCAAACACTGGTGGCGATGGTCTTCCAGGGGTCCTCGTTACGGCGGAGCGACGGAGCGGTGGTGGTGGCACTGACCGAAGCCTTGACCATGCCAGAGCAGACAGGGTGGGCACCGACCTCGAGCCAAGCGGTCTTCTCGTCGAAAATCTTCTCCTTCTGGCCGCTGGTAAGAGCAGTCCAGAAGTTGACAGTCTCTCTAGCGTGTCTAGCGAGGTAGTCAGGGCCAATGACGCCGGCCTCACGGATCACGTCACCGGAGAGAGGAGAAAGAACAGGGACAGCAGGCTTGTTGAAGGTGACAGAAGAAGCAACCTTCTTGAAAGACTCGAGGATGGGGTCAACCTGGGCAGAGTGGAAAGCGAAGGGGACATTGAGCTTAGTAGCCTTGAACCCACGGGCGGAGAGAGCGTCGTTGGCAGCACCAACAACCTCACCGCTACCGCAGAGAACAGTCTCCTCGGGTCCGTTGATGCAGGCAATCTCGGTCATCTTGGAGCCAAGGACACCACGGATAGCCTCAGCACCACCCTTGACGGCGAGCATACCGTGCGTGTGAGGAGTGCAATCCTTGACAAGGAGCTCAGCACGGCGACCGACGAGCATGATCATGTCGCTGGCAGAAATGACACCAGCGACGTGAAGAGCAGCGTATTCACCCAAACTGTGGCCAATGACAGCAGTGGGAGTAATACCCCAGGATGCCCACATGCGTGCAAGAGCAACCTGGATACAGGCCATACCCAATTGAACCTTGACGGGAGACAAGGTGGCGACATCAGTGCCGTCGAGTAACTCGATGAACGAGGGAAGGCCTTGGATGGTGGCCATGTTGTCGAGTTGGTTGATGTCATCACGGAAAGGCTTGAGGTCTTGGTAGAGCTTTTGACCAAGGGCAGTGTACTGCGAGCCCTGACCGGTGAAACAGAAGGCAGTCTTGGTAGGGACCATGGGAACAGGGCTGTAAGTCTCCTTAGTCTGAGCCTGAAGGGCGTCGCTGACCTTAGCGATGTCGCCAATGGGGAAGGCGATGCGGTAGTTATGCTGAATGCGACGGGCAGTTGAGGTGTAAGACAGGTCGGCAAGAGTAGTGTCTGGGTTCTCAGAAAGGTAGCCCTGAAGACGAAGGATGTTACTCTTCAGAGCTGCGATCGAGCGAGCGGTGACGGTAACAGGGAGAGTGCCTCTAGGGTCAACAGCCTTGGGAGCCTCACGAAGAGGACCATCCTCGAGGAGGATAGCGGTGTTACCACCGGCGGCGGAGAAGTTGTTGAGGAAGATCTTGCGCTTCTCGGCACCGTTGCGAGGGAAGGGCGTGTTCTGCTGGGGAATGTTGACGTTGCGGTCCTTCAAGTCCTTGGGGAAGGTCTTGTTGATCTCGCCCTTGATACCAACGTTGGCAGGGATGGCGTTCTTCTTCATCATCATCAAGACCTTGCAGAGGGAGTTGATACCGGAAGCGGCCTCACCGTGACCAATGTTGGCCTTGATAGCACCGAGGTGGAGCTTCTGCTCAGGCTTGCGCTGGCGGTGACGAGGGGCAAAGACGTTGGTGACCGAAGTCATCTCAATACCGTCACCAGCCTGGGTACCAGTACCGTGCATCTCAACGTAGCTGATCTCGTGGGCATCAACACCGGCGTTGGCGAGAACCTTCTTGTAAAGGAATTCCTGAGCACCGGCGTGAGGGTGAGTGATTGAGACAGCCTCGGCAGAGTGGTTGGTAGCAGCACCAAGGATGCATCCAAGGATGTTGTCCTTGTCGTTGAGAGCATCCTCGTATCTCTTGAGGACAACGGTACCAACACCATCACCACGGCAGTAACCGTCAGCAGCGTTGTCGTAGGTCTTGCAAGAACCAGTCTTCGACAAGAATTGACCCTTGGAAAGACCAGAGAAAATGTCGGGGTTGGTAAGGACGTTCAGACCACCAGCACAAGCGGTGTCGCAGTCACCAGCCCACAGCGAAGTGCAGGCAAGCTGGATAGCAGCCAAAGACGACGAGCAAGCAGTGTCGATCGAGTACGAAGGACCGCTGAACTTGAAGTAGTAGTTAATACGACCAGGTGCGAAAGCACGGACACCACCAGTAATGAAGTAGGTGTCGACGTTCTCGGAGGCGTTGATCTCACGCCAATCATCGGAGGTCTGACCGTAGAATGTACCAATGCGGTGAAGCTTGGTGGAAGGAGTGCGGTTAGGGACGTAACCGGATTGCTCCAGAGCCTCGTAGGCGGTAACGAGAGCCAGGCGACCCATAGGGTCAGTCTGAGCAGCTTCACGAGGAGACATGTTGAAGAAGCGAGGGTCGAAAAGACCAGGCTCGTCGATGAAACAACCGAAAGGCGTGTGCGATTTGTTCTTTCCCTTGCCAGAGGGATCGCAGTGAGCATCGGCATCGAAACGGTCGGAGGGGATCTTGCGGTGAACATCAAGACCCTTCTCGAGGAGTTCCCACAAAGCCTCAGTGCTGGCAGCACTGGGGAAGCGACCGGACATACCAACGATGGCAATCTTGTCGTTCTGAGTGCGACCGTGAGTGGCATCAGTAACGGCAGACTCCCAGGCGGAGTGGTCGACGAGAGAAACCGAGGACTGACCACCAGCCTTGATGGCGGAGACAAGGCTGTTGGAAACGTTGCTGACACCAATGCAGAAGACCTTGGCAGAAGCGTTGGTGTTGGCAGTGATCTGAGAAACACTCTCCTCAAGGAGACTGTTCCAAGAAACAGGAGCTCTGAGCATGTCGTTCAAGGAAAGCTTGAAGAGCTCGTAGGTGTTCTCGGCGACATGGCACATGCCAGACGAGCCGGAGTGAACCAGAGAGCGAGGCTGGTAAGCCTGAAGGAACTTGGCAGACTCCTCTCCGATGATGGCCTCGATATCAGCACTGCTGTAGAGGTGCTCAGCGTGGTAAGGAGCGTAGACGGGAATCTTGACGCGGTTGTTCTTGCGAACAGCCTCGGATTCCTCGAAAAAGCGCTTAGTAGTGGTGGGAGGACCACTGATAGTAATGGCCATTGTGCTGACAGCGCTGATGTAGGCATGGCTGGTGGTTGGAATACCGGCAGCCTCGTGGAAAGCAGTGAGAGCCTCCTTTGCAGACTGCTCATTGATACCGGTGACAATAGTAGACCAGCTCTCCTTCGACATGAGATCTTGTCCAAGAGCAGATCTGGCGTTGTTGACGCGGACACCGGTGCGGAAGGCGATGCGGACGGTCTCAACACCAAGAGTGACGAGCTCATCGAGAGTTCTTGCAGAAGCGACTGCAGCAGCGGCGAGCGATCCGGTGCAGAGAGCGAGAATGCGAGTGTTAGCAGCAGGAGGTAGCTCGTTGGTGTTCTCGGAGAAATATCCGATGTAGTGACCAAGCTGAGCGATAGTGACCATGCAGCTCTCGAGGTGAGGAAGCTTCAGCCCCTTCTCGTAGTACAGGTCGACCAAGTTGTTGAGAGTCATGAAATCCGGGATGGCATCACGTTGAGGGCGGGAGAGTTGGGCGATTTCTCCGCGCAGGGCAACAACGGTGCGCTCGAGGAAGTTGAGAACAAGGGCATTTTTGGTTCTCAGAACCACCTTGCGAAGCAGAGGGTACTGCTCGGCGGTCTGATCGCCGAAAAGAAGGACGTTCGACATCTTGCTGGGATCAAACTGGCTTGCAGTGTAGTGTAGTTGTGGAGATATTAAGCTGATATGAAGGTAGAACGATAGTCGGGAATCGAGTCGATATTCAGTTGACTTGGCTAGAGTCGATAGAATATGAGATGGCGTAGAAAGAAGGGAGGATTAACTTGATAGTAGACTCTGGCTGGGAGTGACACTATGCAATGAAACGAAATGTAGATTACTCGAGATGTGGGCTAGACGTCTCGATGTAACAGGAGAATGAATTGGATGAGAGAGGAAACACAGAGCTTGGGAATGGAGAGGGTATATATTATGAGTCGAGTATGGAGCTCAATAATGTCCGGAGGTAAAACGAGTTGCATGAGATCGAGCGATTGTGTATGGAGGCCACTAGTACCGGCAGCGGATCTTCGCGAAGCACTGATACTGCGAGGCTACGATGACCACCTTACAGCCGCCGGAACGTGTACTGCTAGCCTCGACCCATGTTCCTGACGTGAGGAAAGTGATGTCGACGAGCAGCGGAATTCCGCAGAGGGGTCCACTCGTGCGGTATGGGCACTAGCCAGCAGAATGCCATGCAGACTCGCAGGAATCTCCGACCATACTATTGATAGGTGCAGTGAAGCGAGCCCGACTGAGTTCGGCGGTCGGGTAGCGTCAAGTCGAAACCAGATAAGAAACGTGAGACGATGCTGGGTTACAGCGATCTCAGGTGTGGAGAGCCGCAGCTCGAAGTCCGTATTCCCTTGCTTTGTTGCTCGAACCAGTAAGGTCGGATCGACAGAAATAGAGAACGCTCAGCAAGGTTGCAGAACATGCAGTAGGTGATTATTGCAACCGCAAAGATGGCACTAAGCTTGCTGTTGGGTCCGGAATATTATTTGCTCGTCCGACATGCTTGCGGAGCGTGCATGGTCGTGAACGTCAAGCCCGTTTCCAGACAGCTGTTGCCACCGGAGCTTTACTAGTCCATTATGCGATTTGAACATGGAAGACACAGCTGGTGTGCATTTGAGCCAACCCTAACGCCATGGATCGCTGCTGGCCTACGGTGATGGCAATGTGGATCGCCGTTCCAGAAACCTCACCGAGGAGCTGGCGTAGCTGAGGGCCTGCAAGTACAGTACGGTCGAAGCCGGTCGCATAATCAGGTCAGAAAGACAAATTTAGTCCTGCGACACCAGGCCGTGGACAGGACACACGGTTTGGACGTGCTATACGACCCTTACGACTCTGAGAGCTGTAGAGGAACTTGAGGCGGCCATTGTTTTGTGGGGTTCTATGGATAGGATTTGACAGTCTGTGCGTCGGACTGTGAAAGCATCATCCAATCGCACCCCACTGTTCCGGCTTCCCGCCGCTTGGCACCCGGCAGCTTCTTCGCACGTTGCTCTGTCTTGACGGTTTCACAGCATTTGGAGCGACCACAGAGTCATCTACAGCCTACAGCAGGCCAACCAACTGTCTGACTGAGAGCCCTTAGGTTGTGCTTTGAGAAACACATGGTGAGTAGTTCGGTCTGACATCAGACCGTCCACGTACTTCGCCTCGAATCGGGAATCGAGGGACTCAAGAGTATGTTATTCCCAGCCCTGTGTACCCTGACCCTTTGCTAAGCATTGCTAGAAGACTCTTGAATCTTTGACGTTCCTGGGTTTCATCCACTGCCATATTTGGCACTCGGAAACGCGTACGTATTGATGCTTGCTTCGTCAGCATGTAGCAAGCAGAGGCATACCCAAGCTTGGTCTGGACATTTGAGCCTTGCAAGACGACATTTCTTACCAAGACTCAGTACGTGTAGCTACCATCTTCACATGTCTGTGCCCCCACCAGCAGGTTCAACGAATGGGCCGCGCCATCCTCAATCGAAAATGGCATCCCAACTCTCTGGCCCGCGTTTCATCGACTCGTGGCTCGTGCTCCAAAGCAGCAACACTTCCAAACCACAGTCTGTCAGGTGTTTCTCAAAAACTATTCTCGCTGACAGTCCAACTCTCTGGGCCTTCGTCGCAAAAAAGAAGTTGTTGAAACGACTGAACACTTTGACCCGTGACTGAGACGATAAAGAACATGACAGATTGGACCCTCGCTGCTCGCTTGAGGACTCACGTCAACGTTGACGATTTACAAAGCAGTTCTGCACGTTCTGCATAGCGGATATTTGTCAATTGAGCGATCGTAAGAGGCGCGTCGACCTTGCATAGAGCAAGGTTGATTATGACGCTGATATCAAGCCTCATGCAACCGACCGAAAAGCGCATCGTCTTTTCAACGACTCAATGCATGTCAAGATTGACTTTCTCATCGACGGAAGCAAGATAAGCGGCTAGTAGATCATGGAGCATTATATCGACATCAGATACTCGTCGTTTCCCTTCATCGCTGACTTTCGTCTGTTGCCGGTCTACCGGACTGGCTTTCCGACTAATGCCACATCTTGTAAGTTGAAGCCTGCACAATTTCCCGCTCACGAAGAGGACGAGGATGGCAGCACAGGGTTTGCAAGGAAGAATGCACAATGACTCGAAGTCGACCTTCTAAGCGTCATCGTTCTGCCCATGTCCCGCTCTTCTTAGTTGACGTTGGGGGTACCCTGGCGTCCGATATCACATCGTCAAGTGTATGGTAAAGATTGATCCCTCGAAATCGTTGCAATATACGGGAGTGGATCTAATTGACCAGACAGACTGGTTCAATATTGACTGTCCAATAAGCGGTTGTGCCAACATCGAAGCGGTCAGATAACATCAAAACCAGTGTGCCAACACGTGGCAGATGACCTGGGGACGTAACATTTCTCATGCTTCAAAGTCGCACAAAATTGCATCGCAGCATCATAGAATGGTCCTTTTCACGTTCTTAAGACTGCAGTGCAACCTGAGTGACCCGAAACATAGGAATGCGGGTACTTTAATAGCACACTGGAACTGAGTCAATGGGACAGACACGAGGCGTGTTGTGCAACACACCGCGCGACTGGATTCTGGTATGTTTGATGCCGTGCTTAGTACTTTGCACACGCGCACGCGCGTGCTATCATTTCAAGTCCCAGGTCAGGATGTTGGATGCACAAAGATTGAGAAGGTGATCCATTTCAATTCGCTTATCGTGACGGGCGCGACATGCACTCGTCAACGTAGATTCCAAACTTGGCCTTGTATACGGCACCGGTGTACACACGCATTACCAGCTGCCGTGTGTATTTCAGACTCAGTACAACTCGATACGTACTTCTGATATGCGTTGAGATCAGCGGAGGATGAGAGGATCAATGCCTCGGGCTGTACAATCTCTAGTCGATCGTGTCTGTGGTATTTTGGGTATCCTTTCGTATTGTCTCTGCAGAGGTTACTGGAGGAAGTCTAGTTGAGCGGGAATGAAATATAGCGAACACGAGTTCAGAAGAGGAGACGAGGGTCTGATCAGGGAGTTGAGCGGCTAGAAGCACTGCCAATACCGACCCTCCTCCAGCATCTGCAGGCTTCCGGCAGGAGGATTACAACAAATAGAACACGAGAGTTCGCTGCCTACTTGGCATGACAGCTGCTCAAGGGCAAGCCTGATTGGAGATGTACCAGTGACCTTGGCTCAATGGGGATTGTTCATTGCTTATCCATAAGTACAAAGCAAGGTACATGCATGCAGCCTTATGCATATGCGGGTAAAAGTGATACGTATCGGTCGACCCCTGTCGAGAGTGCACTTGTAGCCAGCTCAGCAAGATGTCAGCAAATCGCTAGGCCATTAAAAGCACCTTTCTGGTATGCGTTGTAAGCGTCCAATAGGTTACCGAAAAACCCGGGTATCGGTAAGCGACTGAGAATGGGAAAAGGGCAAGGGGCAGCGGACATTTATCGAAGGAATGTTGCGCAAGCAGGTTTAACTTGTGGCTGAAGATTTGCCTTCTGCCTTCGAGCAAGGAAATTGGACCCGAATGGTGTTTGATGCACGATACGTGATTCCGCAATTGCCAAAATTCGTATGCATATCGCTAGCACATATCAGCTCAAATACCCAGCCAGTTGTTCGTAGACTGTTGAACACAGGTGGCGGGGCTCTGCGGCACGTTGCGAGTTTGACTTTTGCGAAGCTCTCCGCGAAGTTCTTGAATTCTGTTGGAGGGAAAACAGTCCATTTATCGCCGAAACACTATTTGGATGGACTAATTGACTAGTTCTCGTGAATTCGCCGGTCGAAGATCAGCTTCATGTGCAGTTAGACAAGATCTATGATACCCCGGTTGCCGTGAGCCGTTTTCGGCTTCTGTAGGGTTCTCCAAACGCTCCATTCATGACCCACGATGTACCGTTTACGGCTCGTGGATAAGCCCAGGAACGCCCGCGTCAACTAGCATCTTTGCCATACCTATCGTCGCGGTTGAGAAGCACTGGCTCATATCTAACAATGCTCCACAATCTCGGCTGAGCAGAGGCCTCGAACGGCGACAGCGAAGTAGACGATAAAATCCTTCCTGAGCAATGGACGAATAGCTTGGGCCAGCGGACAGAGTTTCATGTTGGCGTGGACAGCTGGATGGAGCTCACAAAGCTTGAACGTCAAACAGGTGGTAGCGAAAGCGAGCAAAGCATCTTCGAGCGAACGACATGGACCGGAGGATTTCTCGCTCATTTTTCGCGGTTGGACAGATCAAATAGGTACAACGCCATGGTATCATCGAAAAGCATACAGGGGAGAGCCCTGCGTGCGGAGTTTAGTCAAATCCTCCATCGTATTGAGATGCACGGCCTTGGACTCCGCGAGTAGCAATCGGCGATCGGTTTATATCTACCCCAGGGTTAGTAATAATAACCACGAAACACAAGAGCCTCTTGACTTGACGCCGGAGCTTTTTGCGAAGCTGTGCCAGTGTCAACGTTGAGGATGCTCATGTCCATCAACAGTGGGGTGAGCAAACTGTATCTCTGGACACACCCGATATGGCCTAGTCCAAAGCTTGGCCGCAGATCTCTTGGAAATCCTTGCACGACTTTCTCAAGGGCATCCCGGCGGCTGAGGTTCCAACTAACCGCAGAAATCCACGCTAGTACGGCGTAGTGTCTATCTCGTCAGCACTCCCAAGAGGTCGACGGAGGATAAACTTACTTCTCTGCTCATTGTGTGCTCACTGCACTACAAGGGCAGGTACAAGCAAGATCGTCAGATTACTATGTGATGCTGCTTAGGCTCTCCTGAGCAACCAAGAGGCTGTGAGCTCTCGTACGAAGATCGTCATTGCGCGGATGCACGAATGCATCACCATTCCTCGAGGTCCGCGTCACCGTAAACAGAAACGGCTCGAGGCAGGGTGGGGAACAAGCGACCTTCCGGGGTGCTGCAGGCAAGATCGAGCTGCACGTTAGCTGCTCTACTGCGAATGCCATGCTAGATCCAATCTCTCCGACTGTCGCTCGGATAGTGGCTTGCCTGCCGCTCCAAAGAGAGCTTTGGAAGATAGATGTTTGGATACGGCTCCGCTGTGCTACCTTAAAGCAGCTCTCTTTCCAGACCTGACTTATGCTGACGCCATGATATAGTGCAGGGCGGGCCTCGACCCAACCACTGAGCGACAACTATATACGGATGTACGCGCCGAGCTTGGCAAGCGTATGCCATAAGCGGCATCGTTGTGCAGGAGAGTTGACCGTTTTGGGTCTTATCATTTTAACATCCGATTGGCTCCAAATTTACCCGTGCGGTGAATCCGCCTGCTGGGTTCCTCAGGGTGGGTAGGAGAATTTGGAGGCGGGCTGACTCGTGCATGCGTTCGACGATAACGAGGCGGGTTGGCGTGCTCGTAGTGTGGGTGCTTCAAGACTGGAGCCCATGCTTTGAGCCCGCATGAAACCATTCGAAACGTCGCTCATGATAGCTTGATTATGCACCAAATACGTTCCGCCCCTGGGGACATCTGCCTCGCTTGGGTGGTACTCTAGTCGACAAGTCATGATGTGTCAAGGATCCGCAAACCAGCCCCGAGCTTTATGCTCCTCCCTCAGCTTTTAATAATACCATCAGTGTATCCTACTCAGTCAGGCTGATCCAACACTTTAGTAGCACCTCTTCTTCTCACCTCTCGCTCTTCGACCTCTCATATCTTTCCTCTTCTTCTCATTCTTTCTTACCCTCTACTTCCGTTCTCTCCCCGTCTCCCATATCATTGCATGTTTGGGTCACCATTGATAGTATAATTATACCTCAACTTCATAATGGTTTTCTGCACATACTGTGGCCACTCGTTCACCAGAGACGAGCATCTCGAAAGACACATCCTCACTCGTGAGTTCAACCGTTATCTTTGTTCGAGAAGAACCTTGCTTACAATCTCAGACACAAACGTTAAGCCTTTCAAGTGTTTCACCTGCCACATGTCCTTCGCTAGACGGTAAGCCGCCTTCTGCTTGGCAAGACATCTCGGCAGTAAAGACTAATTGTTTATTTAGTGACCTCCTCCAAAGACACTACACCGTACATGGCCGAGACCAAAATCAAGAGATCATTCCTGCCGCCAATGGCATGATCCCCAAGTCAGCTGGAAGAACACCCATTGCATGCAGCAACTGCGCCAAAACAAAGACGAAATGCGACAAGAAGTTCCCCTGCAGTCGCTGTGCAGGTCGAAACCTTCGATGCACTCTTCGCCCAACACGTCGATCATCCAAGAATGCCAACCGTATGGGCTTGATCACAGCTGAGACTATTGCCAGCGGTGTTGCCAATGGAATCCTCCCTCCGGACCAGACCGTAGCTGCTGAGAAGGCCCCTATGCCCGTCGACTCCCCAAAGTCGGCGGAACAACACATGCACCAGAAGCCTTCGAGTCCGAGATCTGGTATTCCTACAACTATTCCCGAGGAGAAGCAGATGGGCGACGTCTCGGTTCAGTATTTTGAACAATCAATGTCCAATGGTCACTCGCCTCCTGCTCAGCAAGCCTCACCCCTAACTACTCCCGGATCCGGGTTCATGCAAGGACATATGCCTACCTATGATGACTTCATGAACGGTGCTAAGGAAGATGACACGAGCCCTCGTTTCATGCTTGACTGGGGCCAGATGCCAATGCCTATGGGTTTCGAACATATGGCACGTGCCGATTTAATGCTCGACCCTACCATGGGCTTTGACCCGAATCAGCTCTCTTTGATGGCCCCTAACGAGAACAATCTTACCATCATTCCTGAGCTAGCCAACTCTGCTGCTCCTCTGATTACACCCATCGAAACTCCCAAGGTCGAGCGATCGTTCGCTGACATGGATCTTGGTAATAACAACAACAATATGTTCTACGCTCACGCTAGACACATGTCGACGGCTTCTTTATCTTCCAGCGATGGTCAGGATATCCGAGCAGTCATCGCCGCCCAAGACGGGTGGAACGTGTTCAGATGCACACCCACTGTGCCTTCGAGCTCCTGTCCTACAACAGCCAAGATGAACCTCGAGTGTCTAGAACAAACTCTTAAGAACCACGAAGGATGGAGCACGTGGACTCCCACCTGGGATGAAGCCGACTTCGCTGGTGGTGAGAACTTGGCTGTCATGCAGCTCCACGAAAGCACGCGTGACAAACTCCTTGCCATCACTCAGACCTTCCTTCACAAGGCTCTTGAGACCCACAAGGAAGGACAGCAGGGTGGCCAGTCGCCAATGTCGAACGGTGGATCAAACTTCGTCCTCCTGCCTCCCGCGAGAGTCCTTGAGTACTTTCTTCGATCATATGCCAACAGCTTTGAGAGATACTATTCATTGACATCTCGAGGCATCCTCGATGCCAACGAGCTCATGCACTGCTACAATGACAAAGCTTCTTGTCTGTTGGTGCTCATGATGATTGCCCAAGGTGCAATGAACATCTCGTCGGTCGAAGCTCGATGGCTCGCTGGCGGACTCACCGAAGCTTGCCGTATCTCACTGTTCGATCTAATTGAGCGCAATATCACGATGGCCAGTGATCCTATTGCTTTGCACTCCGCCCTTCTCTTTACTTCCCAGGCTGCCTGGAGTGGAGACAAGTGGCAGATGGACATTGCCATGGGTCAGCGAAGCATGTACTTCCATATGCTGCGACACTCGGGTGTCTTAGATGGCAGAGCATTCACGTCGCCTCAGATGGATCATCAAGCCAACCCCGACTCACTCTGGACAGAGTGGATCCAGCACGAGAGCCGTAGCAGACTCGTCTACTCATGGGTCATGATCGATCAGGATCTTGCCCTGTTCCACGATACAGCACCACTCTTCTCGGTCACTGAGTTCGGTGCTCCCATGCCTGACTCAGATCGTCTGTGGCAGGCCAAGAGCGCGCCTGAATGGTCCCAGATCTTCGAGCAAGTCCACGAGTTTTCTAGCGGCTACTCTTCCCTTGGTTCAGGCGCTCGCCCGATGTCACTGCATGATCTATTCCGTCACTTTTTGGATGACGAGATGGCTTCGCTTGGCATCGGAATGACCCCTCTCCAGATGAGGCTACTCCTACACCCTCTTCAATCTATGGTTTGTCATTACGGTCAACTCATGAGTTGCTTCTCCGACTCGCTGTCGTCACGAAACAAGACAAGAACCGTGACTGCTTCGTCAACACGATGCCGTCTCGAGGAAGTACAATCCCTGCTTCAGCGCTGGTATGACATGGCCGATCGTTACCTCAAGATTAACCCGGCTTGTGCTGTCATGCAAGCCAACCTTGTCATGTTCCATCTGATCAGCTTGAACGCTGTAACCAATTTCCCTGAGATTGAGCGTCTGGCTCGTCGCGAAGGTTTCGATGGCACCTACCAGCAGCTAGTCTGGATTCACAAGAGATGCATCACCGATGTTGAGGAGGCTATCTTCCACTGCGGTCAAGTCCTGCGTATCATTCGCTCCATGCCTCGTGGCGTTCGTCCACCATGGTGGGCTGGTGCAGTCTACCGTGCCGCTCTTGTGCTCTGGACTGATAGTTTGATCAACAAGGAGCCGTCGGCACCCAGTGCAGCTGGAGGTTTCCCTTCGCCGGGGCCTACATTTGCTATTGATGCATTGCCTGTTGATCATCCCACGATCGTTCGCTTCTTGAGCAAGCGTGTGGGTCAGCCCTTCCTCAGCAAAAGGGATGGTACTCACCTCCCCATGGACCATGGTGTTACAGTTCTTGCTCATTGTATCGAAGTCATGGACGAAGGCACTTCCAACAGATTTGTTGATGGCGTCCGTAACAAACTCGACCGATTGATGAGAAGCTAAATGCTTTCACTTGACGACTTCATGACCTTCTCCTTACTTCTTCGTCCAAAATAGATGGGCTTGGTGTCATCGGTGTTCATGAGAGGAATGTTTGTCTTTTTTCTTTTTGTTGCTTGTTTTCATGATTATGATGTCTTCGATACCACAAGGGTGGGAGGTTTCGAGTCGCAACGGAAGCGACTCCCGGCGTTGTGTCGTCCTTTAATGTTCTGTTCCTCTTCTCCAAGTAGATTTCGATCCGAAATACGCAATATCGATCTTCTTCTGACCAAACTCTTCATCCCCGCTGCCTCTTCCTTCGTTGCCATCATCTTTCTCTCCATGCTCGAGTCAAGGCTCTGTCCCTTGTCCGTATATCCAAACCCATGCTCTGTGCGATCTTTTTTCTCTTCCGTATGCCATTGACCTCGGTGAGACAAGCCCCCTCTTCGTCAATCGGTCCAGAGGTGTGTCAATTTCGTTTTCCTGTGGCTTTCCAGTGCATATCTCGAGTAGAGTACAACCATCCAGACTCGACTCCAACAATAGACTTGCGTATAACAAGAAAACAAGCATCTCCAAGACAGCGAGAAGAGACGACTTTATAACATTATTCTTGACCGGACAACCCAACATTGTCCGGTGCATTGATCATCATATTTCCATCCCTGCCCCTGACACGCTGCGACGCTGGTGTTGAAAATAGCAGATCAAACCAACAAAGTCCGGAGGTGCACTTCGGAGATGAGGAGGTCTCGTGTTCAGTGTGGTGATCCGAAAATTGGAGATGGAAATAACCACACGACCTCAGGCCACAAGACAGAGACTGCCTTCTCTCATCATAATGTAATAGATAAACAGGCTCCAGTACTGCTAGATACAAGAGTGATGGCTGCATTACTGTGCTATCTACGCTATCAGAAGGTCTTGTTGATGTTCATAGAAGCCACTGTTCCAGGACACTGCTATTGCGTGCATGCTACGGACAACGACTCCATCCTAGTCCCCCTCATGCGCCAGACGAAACAACGTTGCTGATCCCCAGTATACCCGGCCGTATGGCATCTCATTGCCGCGTTTCAGTGTGCTCTTTCGAGGTGCTTTGAAGAAGAAGGTCCGCTACCCCATGGAGTCCCGCAAAATGATTACCGGATTGGTAGCCATCACTCGAGAACGATGCTCTCTCGGTCATGAAAAGGGTTCGGCGGTAACCAGTGGTGCTTTTGGCGACAACGAGTTCCAGACATTGTTGTGTTGCAGCGGACTGGGCGGGCAGCCGACAGCAGTCCGGAGCTACAGACGCACTGCATGATGCATGAAGTGCATAATTTTATCCAGAGAGATGTGCAAAAGGGATCACCTGAGACCAAGACGTTGGAAGCAGTGGAAGGGACGCGCAATTGTACATCTGAACAAAGCCAACTCCCAAGGCGGCTTCCAAGACGCACAAGAGCTCGGGAAAGGCTGTCATACCAAAGATGACAAAAGATTCGCCCACCTGCCAAGGCGAATCTGACAATGGTTTCTCGAGCATCTCAACCTCCAAGGCTCACTACGAGCATGGTATCACGTTAGGCAAGAGTATACATCTATCCAAGCTGCAATATTCAGCCGTGGATCCAGATCGTGTCATCGCTTGACCACGACTACTACCTATACGATTGCTGACAATACATGCTGTGCCCTCATCTGTCGAGCACTGAAACAGTGTCCGAGGAGCCCAACAGCTCTGTTGTAGCATTGCCTGTTTTCGCGATGCTTTGGCGAGGTTCGTGGTTGTCACAGTGGCTGCACGAAGTGAGAAGGAAACGGCTGCTCGAGGCCCATGAGCTCGCCTCGGAGCTGAAGCTCAGGAATGCATATACGGATGCCGAGCTGTCAGGAATCGATAGCGCTCTGAAGGAATACAGTCGAAGGAAGAGGCGCTGGCGAGACGAACGAACACATAGGGCAAACGGACAACCAAGCATTCAATAATCGATGCAAGCAACAGGTCTGCCAGCGCCTACAAGCCACCCTGCTCCTGCCATTCCCCCAACCTCAACGCCGAGCCGCGCGAGGTTCAAACAAACTTCGGACTTGGCAAAGTTAGGGAGGCTTACGAGATCGGGTCTAGTTTATACCCCACAGATCTTGAAACGGTTTTCGCCATTCGTCGTGCGGCGGCCTTGTCCGTAGCACCAAACAAACCTCGACGACTTATTCGGGCGCTTCCCGGACCGCTACCAATTCTGAATCTGAAGCCCTCTGGGGCTAGACAATTCTCCGAGCGACGCGGCTAAACTTGGACCTTTGCGTTGGCTCAACCCTGTGACAGATCTAGGCATCATGTATTCTTGGAATGCTGCTCACAACTTCCAAGAGACTGAGCTTGGCTTTGTTGTAAGGGTTTCATGCCAACGAAACACTTGACAGCCAAGTAGAGACGTCTCGACACACACCAAAAATAATGTACGCCGCGTCCCTCGAGGTTTCGCAAGCTGTTGCAGTGGTGAGGTAGACGACTATCCTCGGGAGCATGGATAGGCTTGCACATTCCGGCAACGATCAACGCCATTCTGCACCCAAGAGAAAAAGTCCGACGGGCGGGTGTTCACTGCGTCTGTGCTGAATGCCATTCTGCAGCTCTTTCAGCGCGAAATGCTGTTTCTACACTCGACATTCTGCGTGTAGCCTGCCGAGCATTGCTTGTCGATTGTGCCTCTCCGAAACTCACACGGACGACTGAGACCATCTTCGCACCTCGCTCTTTCGGTGAGTTCGTCCGGTGCGAAGATCGCCTTGCGCACTATCGCCCCGTCGCCCATTGGAGCTTAGCTAGCTATCGATGGAGTTGGTACACTGCCATCTCTTACACTTGTTGCCCAGTGCTTGTCTGAACCATTGCCTCTACCAAAGCCGAGTGGAGCCGTCATGTTCTATCATTGGGATATTCTCCGAACAAGGGCTCAACATCTCGGAGCTTTCTTGAGAACGAAAGAGCGAGCATCAATGGTATATAGAGGACTACAATCACCAGTCTAAGTCGTTCTTTTCTCATCATCAATCACCTTCCAATCCAATCATCCACCTTCAAAAGCCACTCGCTTCTACTACCTCTTCACCCTTACCAACCAACCCAATCACCACCACATTCACAATGTCTGCTATTGAGACTTCTCGCCTCGACGGAAAGGTCGCCCTTGTCACCGGCTCTGGTAAGTCTTCTGCCACTTCCTCCATTCAGCAACAGCATCTCTAACAAACATCAACAGGCCGTGGTATCGGCAAGGCTATGGCCATTGAGCTCGGCAAGCGCGGTGCCAAGGTCATCGTCAACTACGCCAACTCCTCCGACGCTGCCAACCAGGTCGTCGAGGAGATCAAGAAGAACGGCTCCGACGCCATTGCCATCAAGGCCAACGTTGGTGAGGTCTCCGAGACCATCAAGCTCTTCGACCAGGCCGTCGAGCACTTCGGTCAGCTCGACATTGTCTGCTCCAACTCCGGTGTCGTTTCCTTCGGTCACCTCAAGGACGTCACCGAGGAGGAGTTCGACCGCGTCTTCAAGGTCAACACCCGTGGCCAGTTCTTCGTCGCCCGTGAGGCCTACAAGCACCTCTCCGTCGGCGGCCGCATCATCCTGATGGGCTCCATCACCGGTCAGGCCAAGGGTGTCCCCAAGCACACCGTCTACTCGGGCTCCAAGGGTGCCATCGAGACTTTCGTCCGCTGCATGGCCATCGACTGCGGTGACAAGCGCATCACCGTCAACGCCGTCGCCCCCGGTGGTATCAAGACCGACATGTACCACGCCGTCTGCCGCGAGTACATCCCCGGTGGTGAGAACCTCTCCGACGACCAGGTCGACGAGTACGCCAAGACCTGGTCTCCCATGCAGCGTGTCGGCCAGCCCGTCGACATTGCCCGCGTCGTCTGCTTCCTCGCCTCCCAGGATGGTGAGTGGGTCAACGGCAAGGTCATCGGCATTGACGGTGCCGCTTGCATGTAAAGAGTTTCTCCCCTTACTCTTTCCTCACCACCCACCACAACAACAACAACAATTTTCATGAGTCACAGTACGCAAGTGCCCGGAGCACCATGAGATGAACACTATCACAACCAACCCCAGCAACTATTTTCCTTTGTACAATCATGAGCGGATGGCGTTTCCCATATATCTAATGCGATGGAAGAAGAAAAGGATTTACAGGTTGAATCTTTTCGAACTCAGAATAGCTATTTTATATCTTTTAGACGGCTACCAAAAAAACAATGGAGAATCAGCATTTTTAAAAAAGTTACCTCTTGTCTTCTTTTGCACTTTTGTGAAATTGTTGATTTGGTGTTGTGATTGTTACTCTCTTTTGATAACCCTATGTCCTCTGACGCTGCTTACTTGTTTTGTTCACCGTCGCCAGACACGAATTGGCAGTAAAAGGTATACACTAGTACGTCGATCGTCCCTTGTTCTTGTAATTCTCCAGGCATGACTAATCTACGAAAGCGCAAATGTTCGATCTCTCCCGACAGAGACGAAAAAAACAAAAAAGCTAATCCTCATTGTTTGTTCTTCGAGCATAGAGCATCCATACGGATTTCTGAATGGAAGGCATATCGAACCAATCACTCTCTCCTTCAAACACATGATCATATCTCGTGATCGTTTCTCATTCTCAACCTTCTTTTTTCTTTTTTTTTCGCTCACATCCCCTCCAATAACCCTAGTAAATCCCTCCTCTTCGCTTCCTTGATCCTCCTCCTTTTCTTCCCTGCTTCCTGTTTATCCCCTTCCCTCTCAGCGACCATTCTTTTCCTCTGCTGCTCGATATTCTTGGTTTTCTCGTCATCGCGGATCCAACATTCGACTTCGTTGATGGAGTGGAGGATGTTTGTCTCAAAGGTTGGGGATTGACGACCTAGTTGGATGAGGGAGAGGGGTGGGTTGTATGTGGTAGTTGAAGGAGAGGCAGGAGTGGCAATGGTGGAGGTGAGATATTCAGTCACTACATCAATGTAATTTTTCCCCAGCGGGCGATCTTGAAGAATAACATCGGCGTGGGAGTAGAATGCTGAACTGTGTGTATGTCTCGTCAGTAATGCTCTCTTACTCGACTTTTGCAACAAGGAGAGAAACAACATACCTCGTCATCTTCCATCCAACCCCTTTGACAATCTTCTTCGCTTCTTTGATTTTGACACCACATCGAGAGGTAACGCACATTTCTAACTCCTTGAATCCAGCAAGCTCACCCAACCCAATTTCAGTAACACCGAATTGGAATCTCAAAAACAGCATTTCCAATCTCGGAAACCCATTTTGGTGGATCGCTCGTTTACTCCATAATCTCAAAGTAGAGTCCGTGATCATGGAGGTTTGTGCAGAAGATGTGGAAGCGCCGATGATATGCAACGATATGAGATTTGAAAGCGTTGACAATAGCGGTAATGAGGCAGTAGAGTCGGCGATTTGGTCGACAAGAGTCAAGGAGGTGAGGTAGGCGAAGGAGAGGGAGTCGATCGCTGGGATGACCAGAGATAGGGGGATATGGTGGCGTGTGATGGTTGTGTGGGTGGAAGAGGGTGGATCATCCGAGCAAATTATGGTGAAGAGTTGCCAGAGACGGAGGGTTTGGAGGTTGCTGTGAGGGTGTGTGTTAGTGTTGTATTCTTCTTGTCGACTCGGTGGTTTGCTATTCTCAATCAAAAGGTCGCGTGGTGACTTGGTGGTCGGAGTCCCGGAAGCTCAAGGTGGAGAGATGGAAACAGATATTACACTCTTCCTCCCCGAGTACCGCATGTGACGAGCCACACTGGACTGCAGCAGTTCTGTGATCTGTAACGAAGCCTTCGAAAGGGCAACAGCGACTCCACGACCTTTTTTGCCGCATTAAACACATCGTCGAGAACAGATTTGCTCGTCAATGGGGTCACCCTGCCCCTAACCACCTCCTCGACACTCACCTACCTTCCCATCACAACCCCTCCCCCTCCCAACACCCACATCAAACCCATACGAAAAAAAACCAAAGAAAAAAGGACAGCACTTACTTCCTCACAATCATCTCCCAAATCCTCTTCGCAACCAACCCAGGCACCCCCTCCAAACTCTCCTTGACCAAAGCATCCAGATTGCCCAACAAACACCTCACAGCCATATCCTCCAGACTGCCAGCTCCAGTCTCATCACTTTTGCTTTCCAGAAGAGGCGGTAGACCGATGGATTTGTTCATAAAATCGTTCATTTGTTTTGACAGGGAGGTGGGGCCAGAGAGGATGGTTTCGTTCCAGGAGAGTCCGGAATCCGGGTCGTGGTGGTTACGTGACGGCATGGTATGGATCCTGGAAGAGTGGTGTGTCGACATGGTTGTGTAGGTGTGGCGATGCTGTTGTGGATTTGGGATGGTGAGTTGCTATGTGAACGATATTTGCGCTGGGTCGGTTCAGTCAGGGTCGATGTTGGGGCTCAATCTTTCCGTTCCAGATGTTGACATGGATGAGTTTGCGCAAGTGCTTCACATATAGACGTTGATGCCGAACTTTTACTGCCGTCAAAGATGAAGTGTCATCTGTCGCGTGGTGCATGTGAACACGAAATAGAGTCACAATAATTTGCGCATACCAAACGCATGTGACGGCTGAAGCCGATATTGAAACAATCACTCATCACTCAGCGATAGATAGACAAACAGATTGGGTTGCATCGAAGTTCATACTGCTAGAGTAGACTATTGTAGAAAAAAAAAGTGGTCGTCGTAATAAACCAACGACTTAGAGATACCCATCAAAAATTCAGAATGCTGAGACCATATCAAACGCCAGGTTGATTCCTTTTTACCATCCCCAGCTGTCTTGACTCGCCATCTTTACGAAGCGAAAGCACTTAAAGCTCGTCGTGGTCAGCAAGGTCACCGTCGCTGTCGACGAGACCATCCTTGATAACAGCAGCAGCCTCGCCAGCCTTGTCGACGACTGCGTCCTTGACGGCACCAGCGACCTTACCGGCGACACCCTCAGTGGCAGCCTCAGCTTGCTTGGGCATACCCTCGGTCTTGACATCGTCGCTCTCAACAGCGGCGTCAACCTTGTGGCTACCGTTCTCACGGATGAAAGTAGCGAGATCCTCAACAGTGCGGGCACCGCTGTACTCAATGGGCTCGGCCTTGCCGTGGGCGGGGTAGAGCTTGATGGTAGGGAAGCCCTGAATCTCATCGGGAACGTCGTTAAGAGTAGCATCGACCTTGGCGATTGTGACCTTGTTGGAGAAGGCCTTGTACATCTCACCGAGCTCCTCGTACTTGGGAGCAAGAGACTTGCAGTGACCGCACCAGGGAGCGTAGAACTCGATCAGGACATCCTTGTCGGCGTTCATGACAATTTCGTCGTAATTCTTGGCGACAACAACGGTGACGGGACCGTCGTTCTTCTTGGGGACGGGCTCGGACTTGATGCTGGGGTCGACCTTGCCGGCGACAAAGTCGTCAAGGAACTTGGTAATCTTCTTTGCGGAGAGGTCAGTGCCCTCGAAGGGGAACTTCTGGTTCTTCTGAGTGTCCTGGATGGCGAAAGCGGGCCACTTGCCGACCTCGAGGTTGAGGTTGCCAGCGTGCTGACCAAAGGCCTTTGCGTCGATGGTGGCGAAGTTGACCTTGCCCTTGTGCTTCTCGGCGACAGACTTGAGGGAAGTAGCGAGAGTCTCACGCTCCTCGGGAGTCTCGGCGAAGATGTAGGCGAGGGGAATACCGGCCTGTGGAAATGTCAGTTGTGCATCTTTGCAGCCTCATTTTCAAAGCAACTTACAGCCATGTAGGTAGAGTAGGTCTCGGGGCCGACCTCACCGATCAAAGGAACAGAGGCGGTGTTCGCAAAGGTGGTGATGGCATCCTTGGTGAACTTCTCCTCGAAGGTGTTCTTGCCCTCGTCGAAGCTCTTGTAAAGAACGATCGAGGGCTGCTTGACACCCTCGGCCTTGGCCAGAGCGGCGTCGCTGGTGGCACCGAAGAGGTAGTTGTCGCGGAGGCCGTTGGCGGCAGCGGTGAAAGTCTCGTTGGAAGCCTTGTCGTCGGCGGCGAAGTAACCGACCAGGACGACCTTGTCGGCGGTCTTGAAGTCCTCGATGGTGGCCTTGTCAACGATTGAGACGGCGGGCAGAGACTGCTTGGTCATGTATGAAACGATGCTGCAGAATTGTTAGCTGATGTTCAAACATGCCGGCGATCTAGCAACGTACGCAGGGGCCTTGCGCTGGCCGCTGTAGGGAGAGACATTGTCAAGACCTCTGAAGACCTTGAGAGTGGGGTAGCCCTCGACACCGTGGTCCTTGCAGAGGTCGGCCTCCTCGGTGCAGTCAATCTTGGCCAGAGCAATGTTCTTCTCCTTGAGAGTTGTGGCGGCCTCCTCGTACTCGGGTGCAAGTGCCTTGCAGTGTCCGCACCAGGGGGCGAAGACTGTGAGGTATTGTTAGATCTTGTCGAACATCTGAGAGAGTCGTAGAGGCAAAGCTTACACTCTGCGAGGACAAGGTCGTTCTCCTCGACGAAACCCTTGAAGGTGTCCTGCTTAAGGTCGACAACGTCGGAAGCGGCGGCCAGGGCGGCTGCGCCGAGCAGACCCAAAGCTGCGAAGTTGCGCATTGTGATGTAATGTGTGAGGAAGTGTGAAAGGGAAAAGAAGGACAAGCACACGAGATTCGAATGTGCAATGTCTGGGTGGTGCTTCTTGAAGGAATTCGAGAAGTTGTTCAAAGGAGACAGATCACCTTGAATGCTTGCTAAGCGTTGGAAAGGGACCAACTGGCCTCAGCCCGCCGCCAAATCTGAGGGAAGCTCCACCCCGCCTTTCACCACTGCCCCTTGTTTCACCTTCCTCTGGACGCTTCCACATCAATCTATTTAGCACCTCGATATAACCTTGGCTATTATGGCTAAACTCGCGTCGCTTATGTCAAAGGCACCTTCTGTTTGCTATACGAGGATGTCGCATTCATTCTACTATCTCAGCATACTATTTGGTAAGAAAGAGGGGTATCCTGAATTACAACAATCTACACGGCGAGTGCAACCAAAAATAGACCACAAGCAGAACTGCGAAGACGGAAGAAGTGAACAATGAGCCAAAACCAATGCACATTACACTCATTGAATCTCTTGCACCCAAACCTCCATCTTCCCCATCTCCGCTCCATCTTTTGCAGCCTGCTCTTTCGCCGTCATCACCAACATTTCCAAATCATCTTCATCACCCATCGTAACCATATCACCTTCTTCATCTTTCATTTTCAATTTGAAACTGTCCTTTCCTGTGTAGCCGAATTTTTTGCGTATTTGTTCGACAAAGGTGTCGTAGTTGACGTCAGGTTGTATCATTACATAGCGTGTGTCTGTTGCAAAGACTTTGACGCGGATTTTGCGGAGAGTGGGAAGAGTAGGTTGTAGTAAGTGAGCGGGTGTGATTTCGTATGGGAGAGCGGCGGCGATGGTGGTTTGAAGAGTTTGGATGGGTGAGGTGTAGGTATTGTCGAAGGTTGGTATTTGTACATCATTGTTCGTGTCGACGGTCTCGTCTTCTTCGGCGATCGATCGAGGATATTCGCGTAACGATTGTCCCCCTGATCTAGTTCGCTGGTGTTGGTGAGGGAAAGACATCGGTTGCAGTTTCTCAGGTTCGGAAAGTGCTTGTTGTACGGCAGCAGATGCTGTGTCGGGCGTGTACACATCTGGTCGCAACATGTGTGCATCATCTTCGGCTGCGCGGTGTGAGTCGGAGTGTCTATCGTTCTCACGTACTCTTGGAGGGCTTGAGCGTGAAGGATGTGTGTCTCGAGCTCTGGGTCTTTCAGAAGCAGATCTCTTGGTTCCCAGCCGTGGCTTCTCGATGACCAAGGAAGTCGTGGACGAGGACGCCTGTTTGAAGGCTGCAGCGCCCAGGTCCAGTTTTGCAGGCTTCGATATCGATGGACGACTCTGATGCATTCCGGACGATAGACTGGTTGTGCTTTCGGTGGATTTACGTTTGGTATTCGTCGTCGCGGTCGATGCTGCCCTATCAGCCTCTGGTGGTGGTGTCGGTGGGAACATATTCCTGTGGATTGGTGGCTCTGATTGCTGACGCGAACGGCTTGCAATACCTGGTCTGACGAGATTCAAAGCCGCATACGATAGCTTCTCCTCAGGACGATCATCCACTGCGAAGCTGGAAGCCGTGAGATTACGTCGTGTATCCAGATAGACTTGGTTGGATCTGTCTTGAGCTCGAACAAGTGTTGATGTGCCCAGGTAATTTTTGGATTTGATGTTCTTGACTTTAGCCTCATTGGGTCTGTAAACTGTGCCGACTGGGATTGAGAAGACAGTATAGCCCTGCATAATATCAGTTACAGTTTTTGGCAAAGTCTTGCTGACACAAGACTCACCTCGGCTTGTTCACGTATCGCTTCGTCGATAACATCGTGATCCGGCACAGCCTTTTCTTTGGAAGCGTAGAATAGATCCTGCAGGCCAGCAGCTCTTTGCTGGAGGTAGATGTAACAAAGACCTCGGTTAAAAAGTGCTTCGCAAGAATGAAGTTTGAACTTGAGGCCCAGCTGGTCATAGTCAATCCATCTGTTGCCACGCAGGTACAGTAATGTGTCGTTGAAATTCGCAAGTGCCTCTTCGAAATCGCCTAGTAAGAAGTTTGACACGCCCTGCTGGAAGTAGGCTATCGCCATGTATTGATCAAAGTGGACTGCTCGTTGATAACACTGAACCTGCAAAAGCGCATCAGTATGGAATAAGGCAGTGCAATGGACCGTGTAGACCCACAGCTTGAGTATGCTCTCCTAACGTTGCGTGTATTACGGCACAGTTGAAGAGTATCTTCGACGTGTCTGCAACTGTCATGAATGCTCTCAGAGCAGCATCAAACTCATTGTTGTCGTAGTGTTCCAATGCTCGCACCCATGTCTCAATCTCCTTGATCGGATATCAGTGATATGTCTTCACAACAAGGTAGATTCATATATACCTGCTTGAGCGACATGGCCGAAGAGAGAGCACGAGTTGTTCTACGAAGGATGATACTATGATGCACGCATATAACTTTTGACTAGGTCGAAGAGACGTGATAGTTGAGATGATGCGAGAAATACGACAGGTAGGACTACGCGCTTTGTTGTTTACAGGTTGAGGAAACGATCCGCGCGCAATGCTTTGACAAAGGATTGAGAAGAGACACAGACCTACATAGGATCGATCAGGGGATATAACATGTAGCTCCGAGCGGACTAGGAACGAGTGTGCTACGTCGACAAGCGTGGGGTACTTGGGCGCTTGAGCGGACGTTCGCATTGGCTGAAGGGCGTCGAGCGACCAATCGCGGAAAGCTATCATGTACTTGGCGAAGATGCATATCATGCAGGTCGACTCGGTTGGTGGGCGGCGCTTAGCATGAACATTTGAGCAATCTGAATTGTGTGAATAGGACGAGTCGAGATTTTCAGGTTCAAAGACGAGACGCTTGGCTGACTTCGGAATCAGAACGAGCACCCAACTGTATGTCACGTCTCTGTATCAGTGGTTGTGATTCGCGGATACAGATACCTTGAGGTCGATATCGATTTCATCGCTGTCACGTCGAGCGTGTCGGTGTGTTTCCAAGACGGAGGTGTCCTCTCAACCAAAGTGTGAATGCTGTGTTGGCATTATCATAACTCGTGACTCCAACAACTCGGACCATGTATCTCCCAAATATGTCCAATGTAAACGCATAATCACGAGAGTTCCCTCTCTTCAGTGTAGCTTAGAGCATGCCCTTTCCGACTTGCTCCGTTCTCTCTTCCCACACAGTCTTGCCTGAGCATGAACAGACAGTCTTGTCGTTGTCCCAGACGCCGGCACTTCTAGCAATGACACCAACAAGGGTATCAGGGTCCTCTTTGTCGAACTTGCCGTCTTGTTGTCTGGAGACTACGATGCTGCGACCAATCATCTCCCAAATCTGGATGGGCTTGTCGAGGAAGATTGAAGCAATACCACTCTTGTTGACTTCGACAGTGCCGAAAACTCCTCTTGCAGATTGAGGCTTACCCTCCTCTTTGGCGCGTACCATATCCCAAATACCACCAGTGTTTTCGGCGCCGCGCGAGATGTCGCCAGTCTCGCGGACGGTCGCGTGATAAGTTCCAGGAGAGAGACCACGGATAGAAAGATCAATGATGGTCATGTTGGAAGCGACTTGGACCATGCGAATTAGGCCGCGTACCTGATCCTCGACGGAGGTAGAATGTGTTTCGAGAATGCATACGGCAGCGCTTTCGGACTTGCCAGAGCCTCGTAGGATGGCATCGCGGCCGGTGTCCTGGATGGCGGCAACAATGGCTGAAGGGGCAGCAGTGCCCTCTACCGAAATGAGCTGTGCCGGAAGATCTGCCGTAACATTTTGGATGCCTTGGTGGATGTTAGAGAGGGAAGAAGTGAATGGAGGGGTAGCGACAGCATGTACCGGGAAGCTTGTACAAGGACGTTGACACGTCTTTGATGCACGATTCACAGCTAAGGGGTACTGCGAAGGTTGTTTCGAAGGGAGGGATCATGGTGGTATACAAATATTACTGAGCTGGCTTATAGAATAATAGAAACGCAGCATAATTGGCATGTACATGGAATGGCGAGAGAGTGGCCCGGTTGCGCCTTCCGTGATTTCAAAGCGGCGGCGGACCTCGGGGGTTCCCAATGTGGAGCGATCAAGTCAAATCTCTTGGCATATCTTTTGTCCATCAAGAACCAACCTGTCTATCGCAGCGAAGCCCAATCGCATTCCTACGACATAGCACTGTCGCTCTCGATCAGCAAACCTCTCAAACACCCATAGTCACAAGATACAGACGATCATAAACACGCCAACGCGCGCTTGAACACTTCCCGAAACACGACCAAGGCCATCGAGCCTTCACCACCAATTCACAATGTCGCAATACGTCGGAAAGGTACACACCACCGCCTTGTACAGGAAGAGCAAGAAGAGCATGGACTGAGACATTACAGACAAACCTCGCATACTCGCGCGCATGGCACCTCATCGATGTGGGCGCTGACCCCCGTCCCCTCGGCCGCATCGCCTCGCAAATCGCCATCACCCTCATGGGCAAGCACAAGCCTATCTGGGACCCTTCAACCGACTGCGGTGATTACGTTGTCGCCGTCGGCCTTCACGACCTACACACCACCGGAAAGAAGCGTTACCAGAAGAAGTACTACAGCCACACCACTCGTCCCGGTAGCTTGAAGGAGATCACCATGGACCGCATGATGGAGAAGTGGGGAGGTTCTGAGGTCTTGAGGAGAGCTGTTAGGGGTATGCTGCCCAAGAACAGATTGAGAGATGACCGCATGGCTAGGCTGAAGAGTGAGTTTCTTCCCATCATACTATTTGCACCATGCAATGAGAGCATCTCTAACCACCGTATCTGCAGTGTTCGAGGGCGTTTCTCACCCCTACAAGCAAAACATCATCAAGGACTACACCCGTCCTTCAATAGCACAACAGCCCGAGGTCAAGGTTGCCTTTGCCCAGCAGCAAAAGCAGCAATGATCGATTGCATCTTGTATTACTTAGCAACCACTTTTTTCTTCTTCACGGCGTTCAAGGCAAAATCTTGCATTGGGGTATCAATTGGTTTGTTTCGAATTTTTTTATTCTTGTGTCAGGAAATCATTGTAAATATAACCCGCGCTGTATCGCCAGCTCCACTTTTAACGCCCATCCAGAAAATGGATATTATCCTTCATATCATTAATTGTTCCTCTATACGTCTTCACACCCAACGACTCATCTCATCTAGAGCTTGGCCTTGGGGTCCTTTCTTGAGACACGGCAGTGGATCAGACCGTTGGGGTCGCTTTGAGGAGCGTAAACTTCGGCGTCCTTGCCGGTGTTCTTCAAGCCCTTGAACCAGCTGAGGTCGATTTCGAAGTAGTGCTTGTTGGGCAGTGTGTACTCGATGTCTGTAGTATCAGGGGCGATAGCAAGAATCTGGTCGCACATGTTGTACATGGTCGCTTGCACGCTGGGGCTATTCTCCTTGGCGAAAGTGTCGATGGTGATTTGTCTGGCAGCCTCGTAGCACTTGTTGAACTTGTCTTGCTCCTTGCGGACTTGCTCGACATCCTTAAATTGCTTCCATTGCCATGAATTCTGGACTTCTGTGCTGAGGATGCGGTCCCAGGTCTCGGGGAGTCTGGTGTACTCATCTCTGTGGAAGCCGTAGAAGGCGGAGCCGGTGCTCTTGAGGACTAGCAGGCCGTCAATGCCTGACTTGATGGTGATGCCTTGGCCGCGTCTGGCGACAACTTCGATGGTGCGCTTGTCGGTGCCGTCGCGGAGGAAAGAGTGGGGGTGTGCCTCGCCGTCGACAGTCATGCGGCTCCAGCGGTGGACGATGATCTTGACGTGGGCAACGTGAATGTGGCTGTAAGTGTCGATGAAGTGCTGGCCGAGGATGGCAGCGAAGAGCTCTGGAGGGTCGACGGGGTTCTGCTTGGCGAGAACGTAGACAGTCTGCTTCTGAGTATCTGTTGCGACGACAGGCGAGTTGTCTGCCTTGGTGTAGCTGGACCGAGTCAATGTTTGCTCACGAGCTACCTTGATGTTTTGGTGCAACTCACGACTCCTCAATGTCACCCTCGAGGAGAGTGCAGACAGTCATCTCGGTGATGTGCTGCATACCGTTGTCCTCGCGACGGACCTTGAATAGACGGACATTGTCCTTGCCATAGCGGGCATAGCTGAGTTGTGATTGAGACATGTTGAGTTTATCTTCTGATGAAGAATGTGTGGGGAAGCAACTTGGATCAAGGAATCTTTGGAGAGTCAAGGGATGGAGGATAGAGCAACTACTGAATATGGAGGATACGCAGACAAGAGGGACAGCTACCTAGATATAAGTGCTGGGTGATTGCGAGCTTATCAGGCTTCTGGGCGGCGGCGGCCGTCCAGAAGCAACGGGATTTGATGCGACTTGACAGGATGTTTTTATCGGGGTTGGCCGACAGCTGTGAACAGGTGGGAGAGGCCGACAGACAGCAGGAAGACTTCCGACAGCGGACAAGAACCAATCTCGAATGTGGATAGGATCAGGAGATGCAGGATTTTGATCACGAATAACTGCACATAAGCAAAATTGGACCTGTATGTGGTGTGGACGGGAGAAATAAGTGGTGGAGGAGGATGGAGAAAGCTGTTGGCGGGAGAGACAGAGCGCGATGCGCGATGGTGGGGATCTGGTCGGTCGAAACACGACGACCTTGGAGTCTTGGACGTTGTTTCAGGCTTGTGCTTGGCAATTGGGTCATTGAATCAACATAGGTCGCGCTTCGCACGAGAGCCATCAGTGTGTCGTCGCATCAAAGTACGAGTAGTGACAGCAATCCTGCCATCGTTCATCGGGACGGAGCCGATGCGCTCTCTGGACCTCGTAGCTGCCGCTGCCGGCTCTCGACACACACCCATGACTAGACAGACGTGGCCGTGATATGACGCCGCCCATGACCCGGCCCACGGCGCATTCTGTGAGCGGCCATACACAAGACCAATCTCTCCTGCCGCCGCAGTTGAAAGACCACCGCTCCCACTCGACCACGAATCTGGTGTCAAAGACTCTCCCTCCTGGCAGCTTCTCTTCCGAACTACGACCCACCGTCTCCCGAGTTGATCATGGCCGTATCGACTTCTCTACCTTCGACTCGGATCAGGCTGCATCCACCGTGACGACCGAACAGCGTCTGGCCGACTACCGCGACAAGATTGAGAAAGAGACAAAGATCAAGATTGGCAGTGAGAACCTGCTCGAGGCTCTCAACACAAAGAATGCAAAGCAGAGCCGTGACCAGCGCCGTCTGGTCGAGTCGGAGCTCAACACTTCCAATCGCAAGATTGCCCAGCTGAAGCTCGACCTCGAGACTGAACTCCAGCGGGTAAAGGAGTCCACTGTTAGCCCCGCCAATCGTCTCTCTTTCGCCATACCGCAAAGGTCTCCTTCCAACCTTACCCTATTACAAGGAAACCTCGAACCTGAAGAACTGGACCCGGAATCAGAGTCGCCATCCTATGTCCTGGCCGAGATTCTACAGGCCCTCGAGACTGAGGACATGAAACCTGACTATTATGTGAGCCATGCCAACGAACTTGTCGGTCTGTTCAAGCGCCATCCTGCGCTAAAGTATGATCTCGCTTGGTCCATCTTTGGTCTCCGTATGCAAATGATGCTTCTGAGCGACAGCCGTGAAGTCATTGCTGCTGGCTACCGCGTCTTGCGACATGCTATCACGGATCGCAAATCATTACAAACAATACGAGCCCATCATACCGACTTTCTTGTTATTCTATCTTTGGTGAAAGAAGCAAAGGCCATGGTGGAGCGAGAACAGGCTTTGAAGCTTGTTCGCGCCTTTCTCGACGTCAAAGATGGTGTACACGAAGTCGCTCCTTCGGTCGTGCGAATCATTGTCGCGATTGCCGAACATCCGGAAGATCGTCTTCGCTCCATATCTATCATGACCCTAGCCGAACTCCTCATCCGTAGCCCAGATCTTGTCGTTGCGGCTGGTGGCATTGGCACGCTTGCTGACGCTATGGGCAATGGTGCTTACCAGGCTCCGGAAACTCTGGCTGCTGTCTTTTTACATCTGTTGGATCTACCAGCACGTAGAGGTCTCTTGCGATCTGGATTTGAGTTGAGTCTTCCATTTGCAGCGTTCACCGAACCCCCCACCTCGAGTGCTCATGAGGATCGCATGAGGTCAAGTGCGAAGGTGGTAGCTTCGCTGTTCAAAAGCTGGTCCGGAATTATGACGATATCTCTGCACGACTTTTTGCCAGCTCGCTCCGTGGTATCATCCCTCTTGATCGACGCTGTGGCGGTAAGGTCAATAGTGCTTGAGCTTCTTTTCGATATTCTTCGCATCAAGCCTCCGTCTTGGTCTTCCTCTTTTCTAGCTGGAAGACGTCTGACCACGTACGGCCGCGTAACCAATCTCAAAGCAAATGACCATCACAAACCTTCAAGCAACGATCCTGAAGAGATTTCGAAGAGAATGAGTTTGATAGAACATTTCTCTGCAGTAGTCTTGACCATTCTTCTGCGAGTAGGTCTCTTACCTGCATTGATGCATGCTGAACGCGATGCGCCAAATCTTGCTCTAAAAAGGAAAACTACATTGCTGATCGGTGAGGTCTTGAAACTTGCCAATCAATTACTACCGAGCGAATGGAGCGCCGAACTGCAAGTTCTACCCGATCTGTTCCATCAGGCCACAGCATTTGGTCAGGACGAACGATCCCAAGCTGTGGCTACTGTATATCAGGTCGACAGTGTCAATCGTACACTCTATCGATCTGTGGGTGGAGGACCAGGTGTCAAATCTACGCGAGCAGATGAGTTCGAGCCTATCAAGTCGGCCGAGCAGCCGAAAGTACAGATGAGCGCCAATATGGATGAAGCCCAATTCAGGGGACTACTTATGGAGTGTCAAGTCTTAAACACTGTCAACTATACCAAATGGCGATGGGATCTGATTCAGCCCATGATAGAAGGACCTCTTACCAACTCACGGAGATTGGATGAAGCCATGAAAGCTACCAAATTCGTCCATCGTTTGTTGGGCTTCCTCCGACCCTTCAAGTACAGATTCTCGGATGCCAAAAATACCAAGCCGAATCAACGCTATGTTAGAGCTGGTTGCGCGCTTGTTCGTACACTGCTACTGACTCCGGAAGGTACCAAATATCTGGCGGAAAACAAAATGGTGCGTCAAATCGCCGAGTGCTTGGCTCAATTCGATCGTATGAGCGGCATCACATCTACAACTCCCCTCTTCTCTCCCGAAAGACTCGCAGATACCCTGGTAGGTGGATACTTCGCCATATTAGGTGTTCTTTGCAGCGATCAGAAAGGCTTGCAATTGATGGAGCGATGGAAGATCATCAACATGTTCTATCACATAGTTGAGCTCAAGGGCAGGGACGACCTCATCATGGCGTTACTCACCAACCTGGATTATACTCTGGACAGCCATCCTCGCATCATTCTGTCGAAAGCAATGATTTCAGGATCTAAAGACGTCCGCATAGCTGCAACAAGGATACTACGAAAATACGCCATCAGGCCATTAGACACCAGTCCAAAGTCGAGTGGCAGTGGTGAGTGTGCTGCATGGGCGATTCGGTTGTTGGTAACGCAGCTCTATGACCCAGAGATCGAGGTATGCGAGATTGCCATCAAGATTTTAGAAGAAGCTTGCAACGACAACAACTCTCTGGAGTATGTTGTCAAATGTCGACCGGCGCTGGATCACCTCGGTGAGATTGGTGCACCACTTCTGCTCCGCTTCCTTTCAACATCAGTCGGCTACCATTATCTAGATGGACTCGACTATATCACAAAAGAAATGGATGACTGGTTCCTTGGTCGCAACGACACCTACGTCACACTAGTAGAGGCTTCTCTCGCTCGAGCACTAGCCGACATTCCAGAAAAGGCCGTCTCCATGTTTGAAGAAACACCCGAACCACAAGATTTCGGTCTTGTACCACCCCACTTCTACCGGGAACTTACCCGCACAGCAGAAGGTTGCGAACTTCTCAAATCAAAAGGACATTTCGAAGAATTCGTCGCTACGATTCAAGATTTCGGCATGGAAGAAGAAGACGCCGAGACGATAATCAAAGTCAAAGGCTGTCTATGGGCAGTCGGTAATGTAGGATCCATGGAATTAGGCGCACCTTTCCTAGAGCAATCAGATGTGACACAACACATCATTGAAATTGCGGAAAAGTCCGAAGTCTTGACGTTAAGAGGGACTGCATTCTTCGTGCTGGGCTTGATATCGAGGAGTTTGCATGGCCAGGAGATATTGGCTTCTTATCATTGGGATGGAACGGTGAATATGCTTGGAGAGTCGTTGGGTTATTGCCTCCCTCTTGACTTTACCAAACTCTTCAACGTAAGTTTTTGCCTTCCCCTTTTCTTTCCTTCAAAAGACTAACATGAATCACAGGTCCGCCAATGGGGTCCCACTCACCCATCATCCCACACCAAAACATCCCCCCTCATCGCCCTCCAATCCAACAACTCCACCACCATCCCCACAACCACCTCCCCTCAAAACGCCGAAATCATAAAATCGGTCATAAAACTTGGCAACACCGTGCTCTCCAACAAAGCAGCCGCCGATTTGAATTCCTTCAAACAGAAAAAAGCGCCGGGTCTGCGCTCACCACAGCTTTTCCAGAAAGTTTTGGTCGTGTTGAGTAGTCATCGGTATAGATTGCCTGCTTGTAGGTTCGTGTTGGATTTGTTTGATAGAGGGGTGTTGAGGAGGTTGGTGCTTGAGGAGGAGGGGAGTGAGGATGATGAAGAGGAAGATGATGGTGTTGAGATGGGAAGAGGTTAGGGGTGATGGAGGATGGGGAAAAGAGATAAAGAGATAAGGGGTATGGTGCATCTTGGAGTTTGAAGGGCATGTGATGATGAAAGACATGTTTTTTCTTTCTTTTCCTTTTCTATTTTTGCAAAGGGGTAGAACAAAATATGGCGTTTCTTGTTGGGTTCTTCATATCCTCTTGCTTGTTTAACAACTATACCAATCGAATCGATTCAATTCAGTTTCTCGGCGTTCGATCTGCTTAATGTGTTAGGACTTGCTATGTCAGCTTGTTAGATGCACACACACCTTTCTTGCCCATTCTAAATCATGCACAGTGAAAGAGTGCGCTGAACAAAGATACCTACATACTCTCGATATCAAACCATCATCTACAAAACACGGTAACAACAGCGGTCAGAGGCACACATTCATTACAGGAAACAAAGTTTTTGCAAAAAGACACATTAAAAAATGCCTCGATCATGTATATATAAATATATACATTCATACAAAATATACACTCTCTATTTGGCACAACTGAACCTCAATTCCCAATCCCCACCAATCAATCCCTCAACCTCGATATCACCATTTTGATCCTCTGCAGCCTGAACATCCAAAATAACATCCTTGCATCTTCCTTTAACCTCATGGATTGTCATGATTCCAGCGCAAGGAGGATAAGGCACGGCTACACCACCGCTGGTGCCCACTGGAGTTGAAAAGTCGATGCTTACATCACCATTTCCCGTGACATTAGTAAAGACCTCAAAACTTCCCACCGTAGTTGTAAAGCCAGCATGTGCGGTTTTCAAGTCTCCCAACTTAGGAGCTATTTTCCAAGTCCTGCCACCGGCGGAAACTAATTGTATGCCGGCGATGTATTGTGTCATAAAGGCTGTAGGGCCAGTGCTCCAACCATGCGCGTGAGAAATTCTAGGGTCGTTTGTGTACGGTGCGTAATGAGTTTCTCCGTCAAATGCATAACCTTCCATGAATGTGCTGTTGGTCATGCGAGGGTCGTCGAGCATGAAACCCCATTCTAATCGCATCAACTCTAGTGCGGCGGATACGTTGTTGGCGAGGAGGTGGGCTTCTAGCTCGAAGGCGCCGATGAAGGGGGAGACTGCATTGTCTGCTTCCACTGCGGGGGCGCCGTAGGGACCCCATCGTGCGGCGAGGGATTTGCTGATGGAAGAGGCTTGGGTGGCGTTGTTGGTTAGGTTTGCGAGGACGGCCCAGGAGTTGCCGTCTTGAGGCATCAAAGTCGTGGTTTCGTTGTCGTGGTAGAGGCCGGCGGTTTCGTTCCAGAGGAGGTTGTTGGCGACAGCTTTGATTCCGGTGGCGTAATTTTGCCATGAAGTGACTATGCTGCTGTCGTTCAAAGCAGAAGCTAGGTCTAGACCTTGGTTTATGGTGAAGTAAAGGATTGCGTTTGCTTCGATGTTGTGGCCGCCTTGGCCGAAACGAAGCCAATCATCAGGGCTGGTGAGGTTCATGAGGCCAGTCTCGTCGATGAAGTTTAGGGAGAAGTTGAGACCAAGCTTCCATGCATCCCACTTGCCCTTGACGTAGTCCAGATCATCGGTAAACTTGTAGTAGTCGGATACACCGATCAGGTTGTACAAGTGGTAAGTTGCCGAGTAAGTGTCTTGCTTGAATGGGTACCCAGCATACGGTAATTTTCCAGATGCATTTTGCAAAGAGAACAAATTGTCGATAGAGTTTGTGATGGCTGCGTCGTCGCTGATAGAGACGAAGAGCGAGGGGGTGATGACATGCATGTCTCCAGGCCAGATCAGGCGATCACGCTTTGCACCATCTACGAGGACAACGCTGGAATTCGCTATAGTGAGATTATTATACCATGGCCAGGGAGCAACTGTGTCGCCAGGTACGCTCGAGTTGATCTGGTCCGAGTGAATCAGAGCGTCGCCATGTTTCGGGTCGATAGCACACATCTGTCTCCCATTAGTATGAGAACTTGGCTCAATAATCGGAAAAAATACCTGAATGGTGTATGCTCCAGCATACCAGATGCGGTTCAAAAGTTCATCTGCAACACGTCAGCTAACCATTCCCAGCAAGAACATCAGGGAGAGACACTCACCATCAGAGTGGAAGAACCCAGTATAGTTTCTCAAATCATCCGTAGTAGGCGAAGGAGTAAACTCAACAGTAACCTCCGTGATCTCGATATCACCAGTAGTGTTGTGAATCAGACTCAAATATCTGAATCCTCCTCTTTCATGCTGACGATCCACAGAAACCTCGCCAGGACCAGAAGGATAGAACCAGAGAGCTTCATCCATACCAGAGTCCTGAGTGGCATCACAAGCAATGCCTGAGATCCATTGGGAGCTTTCGGAGTAGGTTATGGCGATGGATTGATTGTTGGAGAAGTCGGTTTTGTTGCCGATGGTCAAGCTGACCAGACCGCCAATGTTGACGCCAAAGTCGTAGGTTACTGCTGAGATGCCGCTAAATACTGCTGAGCCTTTGGAGTCGCCGGCGAGACTGGATGCACCGGTGATGGTGCCGTTGACTTTGTCTTGGTAGACGGCTTTCGGATGTAATGTCCTCGACGAGGGAGCAAGAATATATTCATCATACTTGGAAGCCGCAGCTGCCAGGCCGGTAAAGGCAAGCAATGCCGTAGAAACAGACTTCATGATTGAATTGGGATAGTGATAGGCAAAGAACGTCTCGAGAAGAAAAGAGGTCGAGGCATACTTATATTCAATGTTGCATGTCCCGTCATGTTACCTCTGGCATGCCGAGAGAAAGAGCAGCCCTTGACTCCATGTCACCCACGCATCTCCAAGAAACTTTGTTCCCATTCAATATGGAATGGCCATGGGCGGATAGTGGTTCAAGCATCATGCTATGACGACGTCAAGGATATTTAAGATGGGCGGAAAGTGGGGTCTCCAGGAACTGCCGCTCGCTTTTTCGGCAAAGTGCACACCGAGTGCGACATCGTCCGAACATATCTCGTGAGATCGTTCCTCCAGGCTTCCTCTTTCGTAGGACGAGTTGGGGCTTCAACATCTGCATGCGGTGATCAAAGGGAAGAAACATGCAATTGCTTGAAGAGCGGATGTGCCGGAGTTGACTTGATTGATCATCAGAACTTATGAGATCCATTAAAAAGTGGTCCTAGTTGGACTTTTTGCATACTAATACATTTATCTCTTTTTCGCGAAACCCTCCAAACATGATGATAATGATAATGATGAACTACGGCCGGTGCAGTCAAGCTGTTCTTGTATCCAATCCAGGCACAGACTCAATCGAGGTCCGCACTGCTGGTGGAAACAGGAGTAGGATAAAAGTCCATCTTGCCAGCATGACCAATGACGCCAATACGATCGTATAGCGTTCTTGCGCGAACGTAAGGATCAAGCTGCCAGTAGTTTTGGAGCAAGTCTTGTCTGAGCGCTGCTCTATTTTCTCCCTTGTTCTCGCCCTTGGCCCAATGCACAGTCTCAGTTTGGTATTTGTGCACCAACTCTTTACGCTCAGCTTCGATTCTGTCTCTTGTAGCTGTATCCTTCATCTTGTCATTTTCACCCTCTCTGGGCTCGACGTAGTGGTATTCGTAGTTTTCGTCACCACCCAATTCTTTCGAGATTTGGGATTTGGGGATGAAGGCGGAGAGTTCTTCGACGTTTGAACAGAAGTTTATCTTGGAGGCGACGACGGGATCGAGCCAGCCGCGGATGATCTTCCAGATTCCTTGGAAGACCCAGGGAGCTTTGTAGACGAGGACGCTGCCGAGAGATTCGGGATAATTTGCTTCGAAGCACTTGATCATGAATTTGACAGGGGTGTAGTCCATGTTTGACATGGAGAAGCCCGTCATGTCGAAGATGATGGTCTTGATGATGAAAGTTAGTGGTTAATTTCTTTCCAGGTAAATGCTTCAACTTACGGCTGTGTCAATCGGAGGTCTCAGCATCATGCGAGCGGTGTCGATGGTGTAAACGGTAAATCTCTCAAGACTCTTCTCCGTTTGCTCGCCGGCGCGATGCAGTCTGGCTCTGACAACGCAAACGGGTCTGCCCTCGGCATCAACACCGTGCAGGAAACTCTTGCCCATGCGCAATTGCATGAGGAAGTCCTCGGCATCTTTCTTTGCCGTCGCATCGGAGGCAGACTTTGCGTCAATCACAGCACCGCCTTCTCCCTTGTAGACAATGTCATCGTCGACGTGCATTTCCTGGGAACGCCAGTGGAGAGTCGAGATCATCATAACCAGAGCAGCTTGAACATCCCATTTACGGGCACGCAAGAATCGTAAGAGCAGAGCATCAGGGTCGTCATGCTTGACCATACCCCAGAAAGCAGTGCGCAAGGACTCGGGGCTTTGGTTCTGAATAGCTTGACGGAACTCCTTGGCCTGACCGTGCTTGTCATTCTCGTCATCGGTGTTTTCTGCAGAGTGGTCGGCATCCTTGTTCTTGCGCGAGAACATTGACAGCTTTGACTTCTTCTTGGTGTCGGCAGGAGCGTGGGTGGATGCGGCGGCAGTGGTCTCTAGACTCTGTCGTCCACCGCTGATTACACCAAAGACGTCGAGAGTAGCAATCCACAGCTCGCGCAGCTTTTCCTCTTGATCCGGAGTGAGACTACCCGGGCGTCCCGGGAGAGCGGTAGGAGCCATGTCTGTGTCGGCGTCTGTTTCTGAGGTAGAGGAAGGAGCGGGTGTTTCGGGAACTGAAGCCTTCTCAGGTGGTGGGCTTGAGTAGTAGGAATCTGCAATGTACGCGGCAGTGAAGCCTGCTCCGATGGCGATGAGGAATGAGACGGGATCCAAGGCACTTTCTTTGAGCTGTCTTGTCGGGCGCGTGGGGAACTGACGATGATGGCGTTTCTGGGTCGGCGGGCGGAACGGCGAGGCTCTGTAAGCACGGGTGGCTTGCGATGACAGACGACACGAACGCGAGGGGAGGTTGGGAGAGACGATGCGGAAGGGACGCATCTGAAGGTTGAAGGGCAACTAGTCGTACTTTGTACAAATACGGATCAGAGGCTGAGCAAGACTCCCAAGAAAGGCCTAACGAGATTCAATCTCCGTGCTCCACGTCAATTACTTGATGACGTTGTGTCTGTCACGAGTCCCATCTCTGACCTTTTGACTTTTATGCTGTCCGAGGTACCAACTCTCAACATATCCTTGATTCAAGCTTAATATCAAAGTAAGGATGAATTGGAACACAAAATATTCAGTCACTCAGGGACAGCTCGGGAGTTGAACTCGCTTCATGTTGATAGATTGGTGCTCCATCTGCCTCGTGCTCTGACGGCGGGGCACGGCTCCGTCCTCTTGGCACCATGCTTCAATCAAAACAATCAAATCCACAGCTCTAACAAATGCACAACCAAGTCAACTCAAACAGAAACAACATACAATGGCGTCGACAACACCCACCTCGGCACCGCCATCGCGCGCCCGCTCAGCATCACGCACCCGCAACAACCTCCCCTCTCGCCCAACAACACCCCTCCGCCCACACTCCCGCACAAGCCTCCGCGCCTCAACAACCACACCCACAACCTCCTCTAACTTCTCCTCTTCAGCCGTCCCCCTCGAAGCCCTGGAGCCAGCATTCGGCGAACTCGCAGACGGCATGGCCGACCTGGAAGCAAACATGATGCACCTCCAACTCCTCCACGAAAGTCTAAACCGCTTCAACGAATGCTTTGGCGCCTTTCTGTACGGCATGAACATGAGTGCTTTCTGTGTGGACTTTCCAGAGGCTCCTGGGATCGAGAGTTTTAGGCGTGCGGCTGAGGCGGCGAGGAATCAGGCACAGCAGGATAGTGCCATGTCGGCTGATGTTCATCATCGCGAGAGGGATGTAGATGCTACTTTTCTGTGTGTTGTTCTGTCTCTGTCGTGTTGTGATTGTGGTACTGATGTGAGGTCTTTAGTACTACTGATACCAGTTTCGTCGAGAACCCGCCTACGCCGAAGACAACTCGAACGAACAGATCCACCATGGTTCCTCCATCCACTACCTCGTCCAGGACCACTCGTGGCGCCAGCTCCATATCTAGAGGAAGGGGTACGCCTGCCGCTCGTGGTACAAGAGCTGGTGGTATAGCTGGTTCGACAAGAGGCTCGGCCATTGGGAGAGGAAGAGGCCGTGGCATTATCAGATGATCGCAATCTACCAAAACATAAGGATCGACACCCTCACCATCCGCATCAATGGCATACGCGACCATCGACACAGTAAAAACTACTCTCAAACGACACATCCAGGCGCAAAGCAGATTCAAAGTGACAGTAGTAGACATTAAGTTTGCTATAAACCACCTGCTATAATCAATACGCCAAGGATCGTTCTCTATCAGGAGAACACCCAAAAGCCGCCGCTCGTATGCTGTCTAGAAATATCATGAGTATAACAAGCCAAACAAACGATAGTGCCGATCGCGCTGCGACCGGAGATAAAAGCGACGTCTAGCCGGTTATCGTACACTCACGAATGTGTCCATCGTATCGTAGTAAGTTGGGTAGCCGTCTAGCTTTCCCCAATCACAGGAACGCATTTCGGCGTATGTAGTTTGAGAGAAATGTGAGTCGTTGAACGTTTCACATATTCTTCTCCTTTCTCACTGCCCATCCCTTGAGAGCGAAACAAATGGCTGTCCAAGACATGACCAAAGCGGTCAAACCCATGGCAATAACGAAGAGGAACATGGCATCCAAGCCGTTGCCCTCGATGGTCGCAACAGCGTCAGTCGAGCTACCCATGAATATCATGCCGCCACTGATCAGGCAGAAACTGGCGACCAGCTCGGTCGGAGGACGAGAGGGAAAGAACGACTTCGGTGGTGCTAGGTAAAGAAGGACATAAGTTGCTGCTCTGGCCATGGCGAAACCCTTGAAAAGGTTGCCCCATTGCGAATGCAACATGGTCGAAACCATACTGTGTTGGTGGTGGCCAGACATGGACATGCCGAGCAGCATGATGACCAAACCTGGCATCGGGTTGAGACTGGTTCTGTATGTTTTGGGCACATCCCATTCTTCCTGTTGCTTTTCGACAGCGTCACCATACTGAACGCTCTCTTCCTGCCAGGTCGAAACAGAGGTATTGAAAAGATTTCTAATCTTGTTGCTCTCGATCAGCATACCCATCAGACCACCACCAAAGAACATGATGGTAATGCTGATATGCTCGAGATCTTGAGCTGACCACGGTTTGCCCCACGCGTTGAGGTGCTCAAGGAAAACATTACTGGTGCCGTACAGCCAAATCACAAAGCTCTCGACGAACTCGGCCGAGGGAAGACCGGCTGCGAAGCGAGAAACCATGGGCTGCCGAGGCTTGACGTTCCATGCCCAACCAAAGTCCGAGAAAGCGCCCATCCATCTTCCAAGGGTCAGGATACCGTACCAGAAGAAGATACCACCCTTGACGCCATGCGCCATGCCGGAGAAGATGAGGCGATCACGCTGTTGACATTGTCAGCAGGGCCACAAATATGTGACTGATTATTGCCACTTACGTAGATACCGCCAAACACTACGCCACCGCTGAGCAAACTCACAAATCCAAGGACTGGCATGCAACGCTCGATCAAAGTGAACACAACTTTGAAGGCTGTAAACGCACGTCCCGACGAGATGCGAGGGACCTTGCGCAGTAAGAAACGATCCACCGGATTGTTCTGAATGAATCCTTGCTCTTCGCACTCGAGGTCCTCATCATCGCCATGCTCCTCGTCAGGAGCCTCGAATTTGTGCTGAGGGACTGAATCGGAACTCGGCGAGCGAGATCCAGAGCACAGTGTCGCTGAATCGAGGCCTGACTCTGCTGACCACCTATGGTCTTGAAGAAGATCGTATTGTGCGATGTTCTTTGCTGTCATTGCATGTCTCGCTTTCGCCTTCTCTGCTCGCGCCATGTACAGGTTCACAAACGTCATAAGGAACCATGCGACCGCGATCCATGTGACGGCCCATCCCATCTTGTGGTGTGCATTGTTCGGGTACAAGTCTGGTGTCTTTGCATCATATATGATGCTCGTGAAGAGTCCGAGGCCATTGACAGCTAAGAATGCGACTTGTGTAGGGAGGGTGAAGCGCGAACGAGCTATGCTGAGAACAACGGCTGTTTATTTCAATCAGTATAAGGTCTAGTGCGTATTAGAGGTCGATTGCTTACCTGCCGGAAGAATGATTGCCCATGCGATTGTCATTGAGGCGATATGCGCGTACATCCAGCCCGCGAACTGCGGATGCCGGAAGTAGTTGACTGGAATGGCTGATGATGCCATGGCAGCTGTCACGACGCTGGTCGCATTGGTATGTGTGCTGCCCATCTCCATGGTCATCCCGGAGTGCTCGTGCTCATCACTGTGAGCGGCTGCCAGAGGAAGAATGGCTAGCAGGAGCGCTGCCGACATGTCTAGAGGTACGCGACCAAGCGGCATAGGGAACACGAAGCTATATGTGTTGGTGAGGAATGGGTTGCGTGTGCCAGTGGAAGTATGATCGCAAGAGCGAGAAATAATAGATGGCTGGTCACAGGGTGTGTCGCGGATAGTCGCAGAGCGAATCAAGACATGCAAGAGTAATGAGACTGCAATGAGAAGGATGTAGCGACGCAGAAGATACTTATATGGGACTGGCAACAAGATGCTTCAAGGGACTTGAGAAAGATCAGGAAGGAAAGATCGAGTTAATGACGGTGCGGTGAGCACCTTCGATTTAATACCACCGACACCGCGGCCACCATACACATCGAATCAGGACACTTCCTTGCTGCCGATTCCGAGCCATACCGATACTAGGCTATGGCATTGTGGTCAAGGATGTATGCCACGACCCTGATCGGAATCTTTTTTCATCATGGTGTAGTGGTTGTCAAGAGCTATGACGCTACCCAAACAAACGTTTCCCTTGCCGGCCGATCCCTTAGATCCGCCGTCTTCCGTTCGCCGAATCGAAGGTCTTTCCATCTTCTACGCATCCATGATGGAAGGTCTTCTTCATGTTGTTCTCCATGAGCATGGATGGAGTTGCACAGAGGTCGCGCATTGGTCTTGGCTTCAGAATTTGGAGCGCGAAGCTTCGCTTCAACACACTTCCTCTATCAGTTCAGTTTCGAGCTTCTATCGCGTCTACCATCTTCGCAACATCTTGTCCATGTTTCCATGTTTTTCATCAATCGGTGAGTCAGCATTCCGGTGCCGCCCTCCGCTCGGCAGCAGCTAGAGCTTGAACATACCACATGGCGCCTTGGCAAGTGTTCACGCGCGACACATGTCCACGTCAAATCGTTAAAGAGCCCCTTAGCAGTTCGGCCTTCCTTCGCGCGAACATCCGTCTGACAGATAGATGTACTTTTCGCAGCCGGTTTTGGTTGTTGCATATGAGGAACTTTTTTGACATGTGTTGCTTCGTAATCTTTGCTGACATATCGGTGCTTTGTGTGCTGGTCTGACTGGTTGGTGTTGACCGGTCGGGAATGGCGCTGGCAGCGATATCGATCAGGTGAGAAAGAATCGATTTAGTTGCTGGGGGATTAGCAGCTCCATTACACCCGAATATGCACATAAGCACTTTTACTGGGGCTGCAGACGACCTGTTTCTCGAAAGTTGAAGAATTCGTGATTCAGTTGCTCAGATGACCGATGGATGCCTTGACATCCGACTCCGAAATATCCGCGCGCATACCATTCGATCTTGGCTTCTTCTCCAGATTCGTGAAAAACACCGACATCAGCCATGGCTCGTACCGTTTGCCCAGTCATAACTCTCTTTTCATCTTCTTTCTCCTCCGATCGACTTTTCCAAAATCATCAAATTCTTTACAAGGTCTGTAAAATCTCTTCATCATAACTTCTTAAAGGCATTGTCCTCTCCGTCAGGTGGACCTGTACAATTGAAACCTACTGTTCGCTTAACACTATCGCATTGGTACTGCCTTGGCGTTGTGTTGTTCGAGCTGTTTATAACAGCCACGTCCAACAACTGGATGTTGCGGCAAGGAGATGCTGCACTGCATTGCAGTGTTGTCACAACGTCTCCACGAATCGTACCCGAGAAGTCGCTCAAGTAGACATCATGGATGTTGAACTTCGATGTATCGCAATCGCCTATTCACATGTCAGTTCAAGCCTAACCAGGAGTCCTTAACATGACTTACCTTGATTTCCTTCGAAGTTCGTGCATTGAGTAACTTGAAGATGATTAGCTAGTGGTTGGTCAAAACCGTCGATCAGTACTCACTTGAAAATGCTTTTTGAACATCTATCAGCTTGAAGTCCTCGAAGGTGAGGTTCGAAGCATAGCCGTAACCACCGCCACCACCGTTTGGCGGGTATCCCTTGTTCACTCCAGTCCATCTATTGTTGTGTTAGCAGTCAGCCAATGGAACGCACTGAAGCCACTGACGTCTTGATGTAGGCACCATATTTCGTTCGGTGAGATGTGATGTTGCGACATGTCACATTTTGAATCGTCTCAAACGTATCATCATACTGGCCAATGCTTCCCAAAGCAATACCTGAACCACGATAGAATGCCGAATCCTCAATGAGGATGTTTGTCGAATTCGCTTTTGGCGAGATGGCATCGTCGCCATTGTCTACAGTCCATCGGCGGAAGGTTATGTTATTTGCATAGATTGTGTCGGCTCCATCGGTGTTGACTGTTGGTGCCTATGCACTACGTCAGCTCCATGCCTGATTAGGAGTGAATACGCAACTTACGCCGGTCTTGGAGGTGTTGTTGACATAGATGTCCTGCAGTAACACATTCGATGAATGGATCACTGTCATCGTCCACATCTGACTTTGGAGAAAGATCAAGCCTTCGAATACCGAGTTCGTGGTACCAGTGATCGTCAATTGATGCGGACGTCTGGGATAGTTCGACCTTCCGTTGATGAATCGATACCACGCGTCACCATTTCCGTTAAAGGTACCGGAGCCATATCCTTGGAATGTGATACCATCGCCGCCAAGTCGCCAAGCGGTACTCTGATTTTGATAGCCCATCGGTAATGAGTTTTCCAGCCAATAGTTGAGGTTAGAATTGTTCCAGGAGAGTGTTCCATGCAGCTCAATGTCAACATCCTTCAAACCAGTAGTATCCAGAACACTTGCAATGGTATAAGTTGTGTTCTCAAACACGATACGATTCCGTTGTCCAGATTTGGCCTTTCCACAAGTCTTGAAGGCATCTCGGATGACTTTTGCAGAGTCCCGTCCATTAGAGGCCGCTTTGACAACACAAGTGACACCTCCCGCTTGGTTAGATGCAGGCGATGCATGAGACCCCAACAAGAATACCAAAAGGCAGCAAAGTAGCAGCAACATTGCAAAGGCCAAAACGAATATCCAAACAATAATCTTCCCTCGTCGAGTTTTCGGGAAACACCAACGCTGCTGCAATGTCCCTCGAAAAATCCAAAGTCCCTGTTGTCGTGGTAGTACGGGATGTTGCAGCGACTCGTCCACCTTTTGAATTTCCACCACCACGACTGAAGGTGACTTTTTGGGGTCCTCCTCATCGCCAAGCTTGACCGCATTCCCCATTTCTCCAGCCATACATACGTGAGAGAGGGTTTTAGTTTCGCGCTGGCACTTTTATTTTCCCGTATCTTTCCTTATTCTCTCGCGTCGCGCCAAAGAATGCTAAGCTGAGGTACGAGTGGCAGGAGATCTTTGACATCTGCGGTGTAAAGGGTTGGTTGCGCGGACCCCCAGGGATCGGCAAGCACGCATCTGCGGGGTCGAGTTCGATGGCACCATCGTGATTACCCGTTTGTGGCAAAAGATCGACCAATCTGGAGGGTCCCAGCTGCTTGTTTTCCGCGGTTGATCCAGCAACAGGTCCCAATCAGCTGCAAAAGCGTGTTTGGTAGAGTTATGCTTAATCCAATCCTTGGGCTGTTCAGCGTGTTCTAGACACTCCCAGCCTTTCCAGATGACCGAGGTATGTCTCAATTCAGCAAATGTTCACTTGCGGACAATCAATTCTTGCTTACACGTGTTTGTGGTTTTGCAGAGGATTGAGGTGTCTCGTTTCGATGGACCGTTTCCCCTCTTCATTTTCTCGTACGGAAAAATAGAGGAAAGGTCATGCGCCTTTGATGGTACGGCAGTACTTGGCTTCAAACACGACCTCTGTTTAATCGCGTGGAGGCGCAGTGCAGTGCGTCTAATGTCACAAGCTACATAAATTATACAGCGACTATCCTGCAAGCCAAATGTTCCAGATGATACTGTCGCATCTGCTCATCATACTCACTTGCGACTCTGCAGAGCGCATTAAGCAGCTGAACGATCAATCCCGCATACAACCCATGCTGATGCAAGATGGCTGATGATGAGAACATGCATATGAAGATCAAAGTCAGAGCTGAGTTGATACCACAAGACTGTGCTCCCAAAGGCAGCGAGATGGCAGCAGCGAACGCGTTACACGAGGCTTCCATACCATGACAGATTACCAGAATCCTCCGACACTTTGTGGTCGCTTAGTATAAGCTGCCACGTGTATGGTTACACTAACTGGTGGCATAATGTCAAGGCCTTGATCCCGTGTGAATTGCCTCTTGTGTCACTGGAATCTATCTACATGACCTTTGGGGTGATAGTTGCACCATGCCTCGTTGTGGATGAAAGAGATTCATGCAGTATCATGATGGTAGTCGTGCAGTATAGTTAGACGAGCTACAGCCATGGATGACAGTCCACCGGATCCAGAGAAGAGCAACCAGGTGGAAGAGAAAGAGCGAGTCAGAAGACATGTCGGGCAAGCGAAGAAGAAACACGATTTAGGCACATCCTCCCCCCCACTAAATTTTGTTATATCAACTCTCTTGCCGCAGGGTCATACGTTGATTCACCTGTCCGGATGCACGATAGGTTTGAGTAGAACCGCTTCGTCCACAGAGGGCAACTCCCTGAAACGCTCTCCTTGAACCTAGCATATATTTCGAAAAACACCATGCATTGCGACAGCTAGAAGCGTGACAAAGTTTAGCACATAGGGAGGATAGACTTCTTCAAACAACTTGATTTAATCGTTTCAGTCATTCATATAGATCTATGTCTAATATAACACACCGGGTATCTGGTCTATAATACAACAAAAACACACTGGGACATAACTGTATGCAAGCATCTAAGCAGGCAAGTTGTCGGCGTAACTGAGACGTCTGACTCCTTCCTTCTTGCGGTCCTCGGCAAGGGTCTTGGCGAACTTCGATCTGTCGCGAATGACAGGTCCCTTCCAGTAGAAGACGTAGATGGGGATAACGACGAGGACGGAAGCTCCAGCAAGAATAGTACTTGCGTACTCGACAGGGTGACCGCCAATGTTGGTGTACAGAGGAGTAGCGTACATTGCTGAGATACCGGCGAGGAAATCTCTAGCGAAGGCGTTACCACCACAGGCTGAGGCAGAGTAGACACCGTAGGCGGCAATCATGTAGTCGACCGATGAGAAGTAGATGGCGTAGTTGGCAATACCGACGAGAGTAGAGAAGATCATGGGAGCGATCCAGTGGACGTGGTACTCAGGGCCGAGAGAAGTCCATGCGAAGCCAATGAGACCGATGGGTTCCAAAGGAGCCAGCCAAAGCAACACCTTCAGGCGACGCTCAGGCAAGAAGCAGTCGTCTCCCCTCTGCTTGCGGTGCCAGTTGTCACGCATGAAGCAGGGTAGGTAAATGAGGTAAGTGAGGAAGTAGGCAAGGTTGATGGGAATAAAAGCCCATGCCTGGGCAAGAATACCGAAGTTCCACTTCGTGTATACCTCGGGAAATGACTCTAAAAATGTAAAGATAAGAGCATCAGAGAACCCAGAGAGAAGAGACAAGCAGAGCACAATGGGTTCGCGAATAAACATCTCGAAGGGACGAAGCCAAACTTTGCCAGCTTCCTTGAGCGAGATGCGGGGAGTCTTGAGTTCGTTAGGTCCGTAGATGTTGGGGTCCTCGCCAGTCTTGCGACGACGCTTGGCCTCCTTGTCGAGGAGGATGGTCGAACGACTCTCGGGCATGAAGAGATGGATGATCTGGACAACACCACCGAAGATGAGCATGATCCAGAAGAACCATTGCCATGCGAGGAATCGTTGAATAGGACCGCCAATGATACCTCCGATACTGGTACCGATACAAGAGGACAAGACAATAAAGGCCAAGGAGTATTGTTGCTCCTCGGGTCCGTACAGATCGGCGATAAGACCGAGAGTGACACTACCGCCAGCAGTAGAGAGACCACCCTGTTTTGAAGTCAGTACTGGAGAAGGCAGTAAGTTTGATAGAATAACTTACCAAAGCACGGCAGACAAGAATGGTTCCCCAGTTGGGAGCCAAGGCGCAAGGGATTTGCCAGATGTTGATAAGGAACATGGAAAGCTGGAGGATGGGCCAACGACCGAACTCCTCAGACCAGGGTGCCCACAACTCGCAACCGAACGAGTACAGGACCAGGTAGATCATCTGACCAGTTCTTGCTTCTTGTTGACCAATGCCGAATGCCTCTGACAGAGGAGTAACGGCACTAGGGAAGACCGAGGTGTTGTAGTTCATTGAAATCTGGATGCCGGCAATGGCAGACAGGTACATCCACTTCTTCCATGTTGGCCAGGCGTATGCCAGAATCTCGGGGCAATCGGTCTCCCTCAGTTCTCGTCGTCCTTGAGCATCGACAGGAGCCTTCTCGTTCTGTTCACCGACAGGGCTGGGGCTGCGTGTTGTTTCATCGTCCTTTTCTGAGTTATTTCCACTGAAGTCGTTACTCGGGTTGTGCTTTTGCTCTGGCCGTACGTCTGTCATGATGAAAGCTTGCCAGATGGCGTGAGTTTTGAGAGAAAAATGGGGTTCATGTTGGCTCTATGTTTATGTATGAGGCCTCAGCAGTGACCAAACAGGCCCCGGGTTCCACAGCCATGACGTCCGGCGAAAAAAAATTGTTGGAGAAAAGATCCACTCTCGTAGGTTGGGATATCAACGATGAGGAGAAGCCCGCTCGGAAGCGTGCTATCTTGGTGATTTGCGTGGTCCCCAAGGTGTCAGTCTGTGATGTGATGTCACGGTCTACAGGGTCTACCGGGACTCGGGCTCGGCGGTGATATCAAACGTCTTGAAAGGTTTGCTTAATGGGTTTAGTTTTTACTGCGTTGGGTAAGGTATCGAGAAGTAGGGCCGTGAAGATCACACTTCCGGAGAAAGCCCTGGGTAATGTCGAGTAAAAAATGGTCAACCGTCGCTTCGGTGAAAGGATTTCAGGTACAACGATCGAGACATCGACAATACGATCGGAATAATCATCTACGGTGCGCCGGACTACCTTCTCGAGAAACATTCGTGCTTCATATCCCCTAAGTGGCAAGCACGAAAACTCTGTACAATTTCGAAGCGCCGTCCAACATGTTGCAAAACATCTTGCCTTCACGAATTGTATCCGAAAACAATTTGATGGCGGTCCCAACATCCCCAGAATTCCTCCAGACTTCAAAACCACCGACCGATGACGTCGTGTTGGTTGATGTGACCGAGCAGACGCCGACTCCAGCTCCACTCACATCCTTTGAAGAGAATTATGGGCCTTGATACGGGGAATCTCCCACATCCTCAGCATCGAACCCCGTCTCTGGGACACGCCTGCCATGTGATCTTCTGTTCGGAGAGGGGAATAAGGTCGTGGTTTCATGCGGAGCTCCAGAGTATCTCCAGTTGCGACTGCAAGACCCGGGGATTAAAGATGGGCCTCGAGATATCACGCCGTTCGAAGGGTGAGAGTCGGCAAGACGCTGGAGACAGCATTCCTCGAGCACGACATTCAGCCGAATAACGACTAGGCAATCTACAGAGAGGCATGTCGCGTAACGCGATCGATCACTGTAGGGCAATGAACAGCGCTGCTGCGTTGATGCCACGGCTTGCACTTCATAAGCACGCGATACTATCGAATGTCATCGTCTGAATCTCCCACCATGAGCTGCCGAAACACCTCGGTCACCGTTTTCCAGGTACAATTCAAGATCGCCGCTGTCCAGCAAAACATGAGGTGAATCCGAACGAGAAAGAAGCGCGAGGCGGATGACGAACGTGGTCGTTATGTTCGGATGCTCGGATAACGCTGTCTATCAAACGATTCTGCGCCCGCGGAACCGAAAGTTATCTGATGTCCCTAGAATAGTTCGAACGAATCACTCGAGAGGCACAACCCGAGCGTTTGGAGGCTCGTGAGGTCACCTATCAAGAACGGCGCATCCAAGCGCTCCATTAACCACAGCTCCAACTTTCAAAGATCTGTGCTCTTTGATGACCATGGTTACATCAGCGGCTTTGAGGCAGAGGGGGCTTGCAATTGAATACAGTTGCTCTGAGGCTGCTCTCACGTAGCTATATCTACTTCCCATCCCTTGCTGCCTTGACCAATCCATCAATCCAGTCTTGGTGTCCATTCAACATGGGATTGGGCTTCTTGGTAGACAAATCAGCCGCTGGCTTGCCAATCTGCGACTCCTGTGTCAAGATCCTGACACGGTCTCCTTCAAGATCCTCGATAACCCAAGCATGGTAGACATCAATAGCCGAGTCCTTGTCGCCATTCCCATCAGACTCTGCTCTCCACGCAAGACGACCGACTTCTGTCTTCGATGGTTCAACTGATTCATACACTTCTGAAGGCAAAGGCGGGAACCCGAAAGTCGAGAAGCTAAACTTGTCGCCTTTCTTCAGCATCGGTCCGGATGTAGGAGGAGTGATTTTCTCGCAGTTCCAGTAGTAGGACTCCCATTGTCTGATGTCGGCAAGGTATTTCCAAATGTCTGCGGCGCTGAGGCCTTTGACTACGGTTTCGTTGGAGACAAAATTGTCGGTGGTACCAGGAAGGAACTTCTCAGGCCAGATGATGGTAGGTGAGGTAGGTGCAGTTGTCATGATGGCGATGTTGTTGTTGATGTGTGAATGTGATGGGGAAAGTCGATGTGATGACGATGGAGAAAATTGATGACGATATGAGGGGAAGCGGGCAGACGACGACACTTTATACCTCGTTACAGTGTTTCTGTGACATGTTTTCTTTCCAAAGACTACAGCACAACTTGGTAATCACTATACTTTTTGGTGTATAGAAATATGGAGTAATCGATCTAAATGCGATGTAGAGTCTCAGGAATCGATTCGTTGGTCGGCTTCAGAGCAGGAAGACCGGTCACACCCTTCTCATGGAAAATCTGCCTCGACTCTTGATTACAAAAACTCAACAGATGACGAAGAGCAAACTGAATGGCATGGCCAAGATAGATGCAGCAATGTCGTTGAGAGAAGCTTACCAAGAGTCTGGGTTCTTGGAAAGTTTCGTTGACGGTATCACCCTGCTCCGATGCTGGCATTGCTGATTTCGCTTCCAACACCCCTCAGACTCGAATGCGGCCCCTTCAGCTACGACAAACGTAGCCAACTTGGTTCTAATATCAATCATACCCCTTGAGTGTGTACTGGCAGCGGGGGTTGCTCCTTCTTTGCCGCAAGTCATCCCAACCATCAAGGTGTCCCCAGACATTGCTCCGCCCCCTCATGGTCACGTTGAGTCCGGCTCACCAGTGACATACCACAATCAATATCCCCAACTCCCTGGTCTTCAATCCTTCATAACCATTTACTCATACATAACTGCAGAAAATGGCCACAGTCACAGGTAAATGGACACTCGTCCACAAAACCCAATCTCTCCAACGATCCTCCCAAACTCTCTCCACACTCAACAACCGCGCCCTGATTTTCGGCGGCGAACTCATCCCCCGCCAACCCCGCGATAACGACGTCTACATCCTGAACCTCTCACCATCTTGCAAACAACCAGGATACAAAGCTTCCTTGCAGAGCTATCGAGACGGCCCCTCGACAATCCCTGAATATGCAGGTGACATACCCTCTGCACGCGTCGGCACAGCCAGCACTGTTGTCGACGGTAAGATCTATTACTTCTCAGGAAGAGGAGGCGTAGACATGGCTCCAGTTGATGAGAATGGTCAACTCTGGCAATTCTGCTTTTCCGACGCTCATGGCGTGGGTTGGCATCTCATCGCCCCAGCCGATGCTTCCCAACCGGTGCCAGAGCCTAGGAGTTATCACTGCATGACATCAGATGGCACAGCAAACCTCTACATCCACGCGGGCTGTCCAACCTCAGGCCGCCTCTCGGATCTCTGGTCCTTTAACGTCAACGACAGGCAATGGACGCAATTGGCTTCAGCACCGAGTGCACCTCGCGGCGGCACATCCATGACCTACCACGCTGGAAAGCTCTACCGTATGGGCGGGTTCGATGGCAAACACGAGATAGGAGGTGAGATCGACATCTACGACATCGCATCCGACACTTGGTTAACCCATACCTTCACATCCGATGGTGTCAACGGCCCAGGCGCAAGAAGCGTAGCCACCCTTCTCGCCATGACTATTGATGGTAAGGCTTCACTCATAACCGCGTTTGGAGAAAGCGATCCTAGTGTTCTAGGCCACGCAGGAGCTGGAAACATGTTACCAGATTCTTGGGTATGCGATATCGAGACAAAGGCGTGGAGAAGAGTCGAGGTAGAGGAGGGAGAGAAAGTGCCCAGTTCTAGGGGTTGGTTCGCTGCCGATGTTGTGACATTTGAGGACAAGCAAGGGATAATTGTTCAGGGCGGTTTAGCGGAGGACAATGAGCGCTTGGATGATGCATGGGTGCTGAGTTTTTGAGTAGTGTGATCTCACGACGTGATGTATCTTATAGCAGTGAATTTTTCTTTGTCAAACTTTGTGTCTAGTCATGCCTCTAACCCACATGGTCATGCTCTCACCATTTCACAAGATATTGAAGGAAGCCACGACTAATATCACGAGTGCGGGACGGGATGACGGAAACACCTCCCACCTTCGACGTGGGTCCATTAATTAGACGTGTATGTTAACCTAATCTTCGACCTCCTAGAGCAATCACCTCCCTTGTTATCAATACGGAAAAACCTCACGGTCGATGCGCGGGATATAACACGCGATAATGAAAGCACCGTCCACAATCACACAAGTACATCGACCAAACATTCATCTCGGTATAATCTGCCCTCTTCCGAGCTACTAATCCCGAGCATCCTATTAACACGGACAAACATCACCACCGATACACCGATTAACACTTGTAAAAACGGGATAGCACCTTTGGTTTAACAGTATGTCGACCCGACCTTTGTTTCCGATCGTACCTGTCTTGGTAGTGCGGCGGGAGAGAATGTAGTAATCAGCCATTCTCGAAATGACACTCCTAGCCCCCGAGTAGACCTCCCGAGCAACCGATCCAGAGCGTCTTATTCACACGGAAGTACCTTACGACCGATGCGCGAGAGCGAGTTGAGATACCACGATTAGCACCTTCGATCAAACGATACATCGACCCGGTTCGTTCTCGATTGTCATGCTCGAAAGCTATAGCGGCAGCAGCCACTCCACAATAGAGTAGAAGTTAAAGGTTGTGTAAGGCGATGAATTAACAGATTTAAAACTGTTGGAGAAGAGAAGGAAGGTGCGGCGGAGGTAGAGAGTTTATAGAGATCTAGCGAAGAAGGGGAATAGCATGTGATGGAGAAGCTTATTCGAACGCGTAGGAATGTGAAAGAGGATCATGTAAGTGCCGTAATATCAGCTGCAACAACCTCCCCTTATGCTAAAATCTGTCATTTCTAGCCATCTCCTGCGGCCACGCCTGGAGTCGTCTAGCATGTAAAAATGCACAATGTTTTCTAGATCGAAGTAACCGTCCGCAGAGAGGCGCTACCTACCACGCTCTTAGTGGAGGCTATCCCTAACAATGTTGAAATTGTGCTGTTGTATAGTTGTACGCGTGACAAAGTTTAGCATACGGGGAGGAAGGAACATGTAGGTTCACAACAACAAAGGGATTTCTTTGAGTTTGCGGAGGTGAATTGAAGAGACAATCTTCTTGTACACGAAAAAGTCTATGAACCCGAGCACGAGAGAAGCAAACCACCAACCACAAAGACGTCGTCGAAGAAGACAAAAATCGCCAGATGAAAACAGGTAATATCGATGGGTATCAGACGAGAAGGGATTAAAAGCAAGCAATGTTGTAAACGGCGCTGAAAGACGCCAGGAGGCGAAGATTATAAAATTGTAGCAAAGAGGTTGATGCGATAACTGGCGAGAAGAGGAAAGGGAAAGATCTCAAGGGCCAAATGCCCCCTGAATCTTGGCATACAATTCGGTGTCGAAGAAGTTGTAATGTGGGTCGTGGAAGCAGAAAGGTGCGCGGAGTAACGTCTCAGCGGTAGGTCTATCGGCCGGGTCGATAGTGAAGCAATCATACATGAAACTCAGAGCAGCAGGACCGACAACGCTGCTGACGTCTTCAGGGATTGGTGGGGCTTGGTTGAGACTGCCGAGCTTGAAGATCGCGCCGATGGCTTCTTCTTTGCTCCACGGACGGCGACCGGCAAACATCTCAAGTACTACACAGCCGAGGGACCAGATGTCTACTTTGGCGCTGTAACCTTGGGATTCGGTGCTGCCGTTTGAAGCGCTTCCTTGAGATTGCGCTCGGATGACTTCGGGAGCCATCCAGAAGACACTGCCTTGCATACTGTTGGTGATGTCGTTGTTGTATGGGTTGGGACTGCGCTTGGAGATACCGAAATCAGAGATTTTGCAGGTACCGTCAAGGTCGAGTAGGATATTGTCGGCTTTCAGATCGCGATGCAAAATACCTTCACGATGCAGGTATGCTAGACCCAAAAGTGTTTGTCTGGTCAAACTGCTGACAACAGGTTCTTCGAACTTGCCGTGCTTGCGTAAACAACTACCGATGCTGCCACCAGAAATATACTCGAGGAAGATACTGATTGAGTATTCTTTGCGTTCGCATCCAAGGTACTGGACGATGTTCATGTGATCCAAGTGTTGCATGGTGTCAATCTCAGAATCCAATGCCTTGACCATCTCGCGGATCTTTTGTGGATCTGCGTTCGATGTCTTGGGATTGACTTCGACTTGCTTGACTGCCAAAAGTTCACCAGTAGTAGTATTCATACCCAGGTACACGCGACCAAATGTTCCTTTTCCAATGAGTTGACCCTTCATCCACTTGAAGGTTGGTTGTCTTTGAGGGTGTTGATGCGAGAAGTTGTCCTGAGGAATAGTCTCCAATTGTATAAGACGACTTCCACGTGGAGGCTTGATCTGTTCGATGCGAGCACCAAACATTTTCGTGCTCTTGCGGCGCACAATGTCACCACCATACTTGAGGGTACTCATGCGGTTGAGAGCGCTGCGGTTCATCTGTACGCTAGGAGCACGGCTTGACGAGAACGATGTGATGGACGGGCTCGGCGACTTCTGCGCCGGCATCTGGTATGCGCCCTTGACAACTTCACGAATACTCTTCGTTCGACCCAAGGCACCAGACTTCCTAAGGTTCCTCTGGGCCACCGATGGAACGTTGTCTCCCCTCTTAAGCGTAGAATCGTCTTTAAGGGTAGACTCATCACTACCAAGAGTTCCGTTGTCAGACTCCACGCTCGGCATTGACATAAAGCTCTGCTCTGGTTTGGGCTCTACACTTGGTGTTGAGGATGATTGCATGACTGAGGGGGTTGGTGTCTCACTTGCTTGGCCTTCTTGGCCCTCCTCTTCGATCATGGGCTGATCAAGATCAACGTTAGGGAAGAACTCATCCAGATGTTCCACAAGTGCTTCTGGTGGAGGACGATTTGCCCACAAATCACTAGCAAAGCTTTCTCGGCGACCGAATCTTGCGTTGTCCTCTGGAGACTCCGTCGACCAAGCCGCTGATACTGCAGACTCTGGATGAGGTCTCTCACTCTCGTCAAGAGGGTCAGGAGACGCAGTAAATTGTCGCTGGGAGACCTTGTGTTTGAGAACTTGCTCATGTTGAGAGGATGAGGACTCGGCTTGATCCTGTACTAAAGATGTTTTTGACGGCTTGGGCTTGACCAGTGGGATGGCGAAGAGGCTCTCATTGGAATCTTTCTTCGTCAAAGGTCTAGCGAAGAGACCATCATCGGAGTCTGAATCTTCATCTTCCTCGTCCATCGTGGCTGTCGAAGGCCTGTCAAATGATACAGGCTCGTTAGGTAGATGGAAGCTGGGACCATAGCTTCTGCGACTGCTCATGCGGCTTAAACTACTCTGTGGACGTGCAGTGGTAGGACTGACAGCAGGGCTTGGTTGTTTCTGGATGTCCTTTGCGGGTGAGATCGATGGCCTATCCTTGCTAGGCATCTGCAGAGTAAGCGCTGGTCGTGAGAAACTGTTGGCAGCTGTTGAGTCGCTATCTTCAATGCTGTCTTCGAGATAGGCAGGGATCTTGAAGGGTACTTCACCCTTGGACATCGTGATAGGCGAGCCTCCAGCTGGTGCCTGTCTGCTATCACCCATGCCAGTACCACTAATTCCTAGGGTCTGCATTGCTTTCGGAGGTACTCCACTGTTGTAGCCAGGCTGAGGGCTTTGACCAGATTCTCTAGCCGAAGAAGGGGTGCCAGGAGCACCCACCATACCTCCCATCTTGCCGGCGCCGATGATGGCGGCACCTATACCGGAGCCTACACGCATCTTGCGCTTGTTGCTGTCCAAACTCTCAGCAGAACTTCTCTTGGAAGCATCGCCACGGTCAGGCCAGCTGGTCCGGGAGATTGGTCCTGACTTCTTTCTGAGTGAATCTGCCTTGAAAAGAGTACTGCTTGGTTCTGGCGGAGGTGGCGGTTTGCGGAGGGGAATCAAAGGTTCCATCTTCTTCTCCTGCTCAAGCAGCTTTCTTTCCTCGTATGGTGAATTTCGTCGTTGATCGAAATCAATGATGTCTTTACGTCTGATAGGTGAGAAGTCCTTGCCAAGATGATCTCGCGAATGTTCCAAGCGAATTCTCTGCTGCTGTCTGGTTTCCAGATAGGCTTGTTGCTTGCGCTGTGTCTCTCTGCGATGCTCGTCTGCCTTGATCTCGAGAATTGCCAACCTCTCGGGCTCAGAAAGCGCTGACAAATCCGTAGGCAGATCACGATCGGCCAAAAGTGAGTTCTCACTAGCCATTTCTCTAACGAGATTCTGCAACGATTGCTTCTTGTTAGGAACCAAAGTGGATTCGTTTGATCGAAGAGTAGACGTGTCGGTCTTGTCGTCGCCGGTAAGTCTAGCATATGTTGGAGGATCAACAGGTATGGAGAAAGAGCGACGCAGAGGTGAAACCATGCGATCACGCGAGGATTCTGTCGCAGATGAGCGGACAAATAGCTTGAGCTTTCCACTAGAGTCGGAGATATGATGACGCGCAGCGAGCAACAATGAGTCAGTAAGGGGTTCCTCGTGTTCGACCTTACCAGGCGAAGTTTGGTGAATAGTCAAATCGGGTGTTTCTGGAATACCGAGGTTGTAGCATATTGTTGCTCGCATCTCCTCAGATGTTTGAACAGTCGTTAGATCGATCAGCCTATAATTCCATCCATCGGGTGTGACAAACGCATATCGCTTATCGGATTCTCTAACAGCCGATCTGCCTCGCTCAGGAACATGCTGCGGCTTCTCTGCCTCCACAACCATGTGTCCTGACCTGCGGGAAGAAGGTCTGTCGATTGATGTTTCGCTCGAATTCAAGCTTGATTTTGTAAGCTGTCGGGCTTGCGCTGGACTAGTTGGAGACTCCATGTGATCGTCACGAGAATGGTCTCTCTCATCCTTCCGTTTGTGGCGTATGATGCCACTGAAGAATCCTCGCTTGTGCTCTTTCGCGCTTGCCGTAGCACTGTGTGGCACTTCACCAGCACTATTTCTAGAAGTAAGCTCTACGGGTGGTGGTGGTCGTGACCCTTCTTGACCGTGTCTACGAGCATCGATTGGAGGTGTCTTTCCATGATTTACATCGGGCGCCACACTGATGCGACTAGAAGCAGGGCCGCTGGGATTTGTGTAATCGCTGCTGCTGAGTCGATGGTGATTGTTGCTGTAATAACGATTGTGTGCGGATGCGGAAGGAAGGTTCACAGGACGAGCCTGCTGCATGGCAGGACTATGCTGTGGACTTGGTTCAAAGCCTTGACGACCGAAGTCGGAGCGGAGGTGGGAAGTGGTTTGGGCGTAACTTGCAGTGAGCTCTGTCGAAACGCTTGGACTGTGTCGTCTCGGGATGTCAGTTTCGGCCAGAGCAGCACGCGAGTATGCACTTCTATTGTTGTCCGAGCTGTCGTGTTGTTGCTTGTTCATTAGGCTCAGAGAGTCAAGCGTGACAGAACGCTGAGACGAATATCTTCGCTGAGCGAAAGAGTTGGGCATCTGGAGGCCAGGACTGTCTTCGCCTCCACCAGCGGTCGTGGGAGTGGAACCAAAGGCCATCTCGTGCCGAGTCATCATAGGTGAACTCTCGATGGCACCATCGGTATCCGCGCTTGGTGGAAACTGAGACGACTCTCTCCTTTGTCGCGAAGGCAAACTTGAGGAACTGCTTCCATTGGCACTGGTGCCTCCGGTCTCTACAATTCTGCGGATGAGCCTACGGATCTTTTTGCCATCCTCGCGATCTCTAGCCTGATCCCATACTATACCAGCACTTTGACATTCCTTTTGCAGTTGAGGGTAGACAAGGTTATGCAAAAAAGCAACGTTAGGCTTGTTTCCTTGCGAACGGCCAATCTCGAGAAATTGAGAGCCCTGGATATTGAGATGCTTGAAAGCTTCTTGCCAGATGTGAGAAAAGCCATTGTCGGCGAGCCAAGCAATGACGCGATCAATAGGCCACTGCAAATCATGAGGCGAGGCTGGAATGTCAGGAGGCGGCTGCTCGCGCGGCTGTGGAACAGGAGTCGAATGCGAGTCAGGGAAGGAGAGCATGTGCGGAGCGGGAGAAGAATGCTCCTGCGTCTCTCTAGCAGGCAGGACGACTATCTGCTGTCTAGTATTCGAGGGAGTCGGAGGGGCGTTGGAAAGGTAATCTCTACTTTGCTGGGATCGCAACTGCTGCATTGGCTGAGACTGCTGGTAATAAGAGTTGTACTGATTGTTGTTGGGTTGGCTGTACTGAAGCCATCTGCCATCGTCAAGAGGATCGAGCGGGTACTGAGGAGTGACAGGGTGTTGCGAGTAGGGGTTGTGGTACTGCTGCTGGTTCTGAGAACGACTGGGGGTATTTGAGGGCGGCGGTGGAGGTGGCGATGCGTGCAGCGGGGGTATACCGACTCCGGGACCAAACGAGTCGGCGCCAGGGATGTAAGTAGCAGAAACGAGGGGCTGGGTATCAGGCGGTAGCGGAGGCATTGAGGTGTAGGCCTGATAAGCAGTGGGGTCATATGCGCGTGGCTCTCTCGGTTGAGGGTACGGAGATTGTTGCTGCTGTTGCTGCGAGTAAGGGTACTGCTGCTGCTGTTGCGAGTATTGAGGCTGCTGCTGTGAATATGACTGCTGCTGCGGATATGGAGGCTGCTGCTGTTGCTGCTGCTGTCTGTTCCAGAGAGCCCAGGCAGTCAGAGCCGACTGTGGAGCGCTGGGTGGAGGAGGAAGCATCATGCCGTTGTTCTGCGGGTTGCTCGTAGGGGGACGTGGGGGAGGCGGAGGAAACTGCATCGAGGGTGGATTGGACATTGGCGGAGGTGGCGGCATGTACTGATTTTGCTGTTGCTGCTGCTGTTGTTGTTGCTGCTGCTGCTGCTGGCGCAAGGCCTGTTCGGCAGCCGTGGCCGAGACGTGTCGCTGCTGGCCAGACTGGTAGTTTGTTGGCGGCATGGCGCTTGCGGTCAAGGAGTGCGGTAGAGAGCGTCTCGCAGCGTCGTCGGGGTCGGTGAGGTATTTGGCATGGACAAAGGTGCGCGCGCGTGGACGAGGACTGCGTGCACTCGGTTGGATGCTCGGATAGGGCGAGTCGGCATTGACTATCGACGTGGGTCGCAAAAGGTCGCGCGAGTCAAACGAAGGCACGTCGGACAGAACGAGGCCGTTTTGTGCTCTGGAGGCGGGCTTGGAGCGTGGTTGGTGATGCGCCTGGCTGCCACTCTGCTGCTGCTGCTGCTGCTCAGACTCTCCAGTAATCATTTCTTGTCGACGAAGCCTTAGAGCGCTGCCTCCATGTCGGCAGGATCTCTACTTTTTCCCTTCCTTCAGACAACCTTTACACTATCGCAAACTCCTGGGCAGACGGCAAGACACGCGCACGAGCTGGATGCGAGATTTGTCGCGACAAATAGTCTGGAGTAGTAGACTTTGATTGATTGTGATACTCGGTGAGAGGGCGAGATGTGTGTCGTGCGCTCGGCTCAATACCGCCCGGGCACGATCAACAATACGACAACGGTCGAGGTCTTCTCTGCTGAATTCTGTTCGTATAGCTAATCTACGACCTTCTTGCCACAAGTCAAGTCGCTCTTTCTTTGTTTCGTCGCTGCTGTGCGACTTTCCCACATCGCATTGGGCCCAACGAGAGCCTCAAGCACACGGACGATATGCAGGCTGCAGCCTTGCATCCGAGGCAGTTGCCAGCCACGAGCAGCCACCACAATTGCTCAATTTACTCCGTACCTGCTATCTAATCTCGCCAATCTCGTCAATTTCCCATCATCTCCATGGTTTCCTCCTTTTCTTCACATTATCTTCTCGTGTCTCGGTAATGCTTCATATACCAATCTCTGATCATCTTGCTGTTGTCCGAGCTTTTCTGGCAGCCAGCTCTGGATTCTCGTTTGGCCGTGACTTCTGTCCGGCCCATGGGCCGAGCCGCCGAGTCCATTACTCCACTGTTCTCGCTGCGCTCAGACCTCGATCAGAACCACTCAATCCGAAAACAGTTGAACATGTGTAACTTCAATGTTGCATCTGCTGTACTATATTTTTTTTGAGACTTGTAACCGCTCCTCTACCACTCGTCATTGATTTGGTGCCAACAAGACGCTGACAGACCAGCAATACTTGTCCCATGACTCTGTTCAGCCACAAGAGACTCAAGTGCTGACTCTCCATTGCGTCAACGGAGGGCACATTCGAGAGCCACTATCATGCATAGCGGCATACCAAGCATCGGAGGATCTCACTTGACCCAAATCGTCCATCTGCAGCTCAATGCAAATTCAGCCTTTGACTTGCGACCTTTTCCCGCTCCGCCGGTCTCTTAACGGCAAACCGTTTCGATCCTACGCAAGATTGTCTTGAATTCTAAACTCCGATCATGTTGTTCTAACTTCAGCTCTCAATACTCACCTCTTCTTCCAACAAGGTCTTCTTTCTTGACATGTCCTCCGGCACTGTCTACGAGGCAACATGGCCCTTCTTGAAGATGCTCACGGTGAAATTTCTGTCGGTGCCCTCAAAGGATCCACGGCAGCAGATCTGTATCGATTCTCCATCCCCTTGATGGTATTGACCTCCCTCTTTCTTGGTCTCCGCGTTTATGTTCGGGGCTACATGACCAAGACTTTCGGCATTGAAGATTGGCTCATCATTCCAGCACACGTAGGCCTTCCCCTCCTATATCGAGACCTCTCATTAACGCCTGTAGGTGTTGTTCATGGTACTTTGTATCTGTGTGATTGTCATCGGACAATGGTTGTTGAGCGAGGACGTCATGGAGCGCTATCCCAGGATTATCAAGGCAAGACTCTCAGATGCTTATTTCCGCTCACGTACTGACTGAAACAGCTCACCATTGGTAACAGTGTCCTGTTTATCGTGGATCAGATTTTCATCAAACTGTCTGTCGCCGCTTACTTTTACCGGATTTGCGAGGGTTGGCAGCGCTATGTCATTGTCGGCAGTGTCACGATCTTTAGTCTGTTCAACTTCGCATTTCTCTTCGTCAGCCTCTTCCAATGTGGCATACCGACAGTCATTAACCTCCTCACTGCGAGTACTACCGGGGCTTGCATCAGTTGGCCTCGAATCGTCAAGCCTCTACTATATGTTGGTGTCTCACTAAACGCCGCATGCGACTGGGTCTTCGTACTGGCATGCCTCCCGGTCCTTTCGAAACTGCGGCGCATGCCTACCAGCGAGATGCTGTGCGTCTGCTTTCTGATCTTCCTCGCCACTGGTGCCAGCGTCCTGTCACTAGTGCGAATCAGGTACCTTCCTGCAGGCGGAACAGACGTTTTGCTTCTCAAGCACAACGATGACTTTGCCGTCTTGTCGTTTGTAGAGGCTGGGACCGCCATCATTACTGTCTGCATGTCAACTCTACACCCGTTGTTCCAGGCCTTTGCGAGAAAAAGAGGAAGTTCGAAATATCCGGCAACCAGCAGCCCCAGGAGAGACGACTCCGAACAGACTCCATCCGAGAAGAAGCGATCAGAGCCCAGCTCAGAAGAGTGGTCGACTGAGCACTCCGACATTGGTCGCATAGGAGTACTGCCTACAATTTACGATACTGAGATAGGGACGATGACAGAACGAGAACCTCCGAGACACTATACCGATGGTTGGAACGGCTGAAAAAATACATGCTCAAACCACACATGAAACAACAACACCATTATGAATAGCAAACGACGGAAGTCTTGGCGCCTCCACATGTGCTAAAGTTTGTCACCAATACTGCTGTTGAAATGCACGATGATCTTTGAATGTAGAGCTGGGTCCATTGAGAGGGCGTCAAATAGTCACTCTCTGTGGACGATGAACTCTTTTTCAAAATCATTGTGCATTTTCATGGCTGGAACAATGCGCATCGCCGCGGCATGAGAGGCGAAGTGACAAAATTTAGCACATGGGGAGACGATCTCTACGAGATTGTCACGCGAACGACATAGGAAACGGGAAGGGACCTAAAAAGCGCGCTATTCGCCCTGGTTCCAACACGCGCAGTCACACCTGGCCCTGCGCATCCCGACAATCTAACAATGACACCAAATTCACAACTCGACGATCGCTCGAAAAATCAATCGATGCACGCGACCAACACCATCACTCGATCCCCCGATTTGAAAGCATCGATCGAATAGGTCCAGTAGAGGAAGATATAAGAGGATGAGATATGTCAAGAACATAAAGCACGACACATATGCCACGACGACAGGAAACAGCAAGGGCTCTCAGAGACAGTGCAAGACACCCACGAGACCCAATCTACGACGGACACGGTAACATGCAAGATGATTATCATGTACGACGCAAATACGAAGATGACAGAACATGGAAAACCAAGGAGAACAGAAAGCAAAACAGCAAAATGAAAGAAAAATCCCAAATGCATACTTCTTCTCCACCGCTCTTGTTTTTCTACCCCTCTCTCGCCATTCCATCCCCTTTTGTTCGTCGATATCAAGAGAGGGAAGCAAAAATGAAAAAACAAAACGTACAGCAGCAGGGATTCCCACGTGGTCACCCACCGTAGTACTAATCTGCCGTTCAACTGCTTATGTATGGCAGAGCGGACGGGATGCCCAGTTTTCAGCTGACTGTGGCCGTACGTGCTGGAAACAGTATTCAGAAACGTATATGAAAGCGGGATGCACAGAGAGAGATCATGATTGTATTGTGGTAACTGGTTTTGAAGTATGTTGTGCTATCAACGAGACAATTAAAACAGGAGTACTGCCAATGCTAGAGCCATTGTTACAGTAATCAATCTTGGTACTTCCAGATGACCTGCTTGACCTGTGGCTGTAGTGACTGCGCTCGACTCCGGAGAGGAGCTTACTGATGGTCTACTCGTAGTAGCGATAGATCTTGATCCACTGATTGTAGTCGACTTCGAAGTGGCACCTGCTGTAGAACTGACAACTTCTGTGGGACTGCCACTTTCTGTAGGACTGCCACTTTCTGTAGGACTGCCACTTGCTTCAGAACTCTCAGTCAAAGTCACACTAGCAATGCCCTGCCAAATATATCCACCCAGCACATCCGTCGTTGTAGTTCCTCCGGATGCAATCACAATACCACCACCACTTGCAGCTAAACTCAACGTCTCGCCATCTACAGTAATGGCTTGACTGGGGTAGAGTGTTTGAGATGCAATCACCACACCAGAGTTCAGCTGTGTAAAAGAGAGTTCTTGCGAGCCGACAGAGAAAACTGCAATACCAGATGCTGCAGCTCCGAGCGTGGTAGTTTGACCATTGACGACGATTCCACTCATTCCTGAGGACGGAAGACTGTACGTCGTACCGCTGACCGTCGCAGCCGAGCCTCCTGGAACAAGTGTTTGCGATGCGATGACGAGGGGTGTAGCTGTTGCGGCAATGGCAGTGTAGGTTCCAGATCCGATTGTCAGAACGGCATCATCAGTAGCAGTGTTGAACGTGATTGACTTTCCATCGATGAACACAGTGTTGCCAGAGGGTGGTAGCGAGTAAGTCGTCCCTGAGACCTCGACGGCCGAACCACCGGGACTCAAGATCTGGCTACTATCTACAATGTATCCACCTGCGAAGAATGGCACAGCGGTCAAACTGCCTAGAAATACAGGCGAGGGTGTGCTTGCAGCAGTTGCATAGGAAGTGGCTCCGTTGATGACAATATTTTCTCCTGACTTGGGTAGTGAGTAGGTCACACCAGACACTTCGATCGCCGAGCCTTTGGGGGTGATTGTCTGTCCAGCGACGATGTAGTATGCTCCAGATGACTGTGGTGCAGCTGTGACGTCGCCAATTACAACTGTTGCTGGCTGTGCTGAAGGCTGTCGAACAACAGATATCGCAGTCGGTTCACCATTCACGACGAGTCTATTACCCGATGCTTCCAGCGAGTATGTAGTTCCAGATATCTCGACAGCCGAGCCTCCCTGGCTTAGAGTATTATCAGCCACAACATAAACACCAGATGATTGAGGCAAAGCCGTAACACCGCCAATGATGACCACGGCTGATCCCCGTGCAGTCTGGAGAGCAGAAACTGGCGTCGGCTCTCCATTGACAATGATTCTATCTCCCGATGGTTCCAACGAGTATGTGGTCCCAGAAACCTCAATTTCGGAGCCTCCACGATTGAGGGTCTGGCCAGCTACGAGATATGCTCCGGATGACTGGGGTACAGCTGAGATACCGCCAACTACGAAGGGCGCCGGTTGTGTCGATAATATCTCGATAGCAGAAACTGGAGTTGGCTCTCCGTTGACAACGATATTGCCCCCAGATGGCTCCAACAAGTATGTCGTACCAGAAATTTGAATGGCTGAACCTCCGCGACTCAAAGTCTGGTCGCCCACTAGGTAGACATCGGACGTCAAGGGTATGCCAGTCGTCCCTCCCAATGCAATCGGCGCAGGAGGCTGTGCGGGAGTTGTTATGGTCGAGACAGGTACATCTTGTCCATCGACGACAGCGGCGCTACCGGACACTTGCAAAGAATACGTTGTGCCGGAAACCTCAATGGCAGAGCTCCCGGGAATGAGAGACTGACTGCCCACAACGTATCCTCCAGAAGACGCAGGACTTGCTGTGACCACGCCTATGACAACAGGTGGAGCGATTTGTGAAGTCTCGACAGGAGATGCACTGGTCGCTTGAATTGCACTATCCTGACTATTGTCCCCTCTGGATGTGTCTTCAGGAGCATCTTTCGAGTTTACAGATGTCGTCTGTGGCAGGCTCGAAGCTTGACTATCAGGTGTTGTGACTTGAGCTACGTCAGTCGTGGATTGGCCGCCATTGGATGTCACGTCGCTCGACGATGGTGCAGAGGTGGTCGAGGACTCTGCAGTGTCTTTTCGTGTGCTCGGCCGAGGCGAGTTTTCGGACGCGAGAGTCGTTTGTTGAGTAGGTGGATCTTGCGAGACCTCAGAGGGGTTTGGAGGATCGTTCTGGCCTTGAGATGGCGACACTGGACCTTGTGAGACTTTCTCTGTGGCAGTGGATGGTGAAGGCTCTGGCTGGGCAGACGGCTTGATAGAGGGCGTTTCGACGATCTTGGTGGTAATTCTGTCCGACGGTGTTGGAGTACTGACCGGAGCCTCTGAGGTGATCTGACTGGCCGGCGCTGCTGAAGTCGTGGTTGCCTTGTTGACGTACAGTCCATTCGTCGTACTCGTCTTAGCGCTAGATGTTGTCAAGAACGATACTTGGACATGTACGTTCGGTGCTCCGGCTCCCGAGACAGCAGAGCAACTTCTGATATCAGGTACGGCAGAGAGGGCTTGAGGTTCTTATGCTAGCCAGGTGATGAATGGATCTTCCAGTTTTGTGACTTTGTAGGGGCGATACCATTCGCCTGCTTCTGTGGTGACAACGCTAATGTAAGGCGTGGACAAGGCGAAGGACGTGTATTGGACATCGGAATTAGTTACAGTTCCAATAGGTTCCTCGGCGGCCATTCCAAACCAATGCATGGCTTCCGAGTACACGTTGTAGCCCTTGCTTGCAGACGGCGCTGACTGAGTGGAAGTCCTGGTTGTTGGAGGTAACCCCATACATGTACCGGCATTATCCACCGTCCCAGAAAATACAAAGATGTAATCGAATGCCATGAATGGAGTTGGCGAAGCCACAGTGGTATAGCCCAGATCGGCTACAGTCTCTGTCTGCACCCAAGTCTGATCGTACTGTTGACCCATCAGAGACGGCCTATTCAAGGTCGCTGGGATGCCTGGGAAACGCGGGTCACCGCCAGCTCCTAGATTGTACTGTCCAATGACATCGGTGGCAGAGCTATCGGTGATCGTGACCGTAGCAGTGGGTACGATAGTATCTAGACAAGAGAAGCTGGTCAGCCAGATCCGTGCATTGATACATGACCAACACGCAATGGGAAGAGTTGTTCCCCTGTGAGACGTTGTTCGGAAAAGCATCCTGCCGTGAGACAACACCGCAAGATAGAAGGATGGCGACTGCACCATAGCTCTACTTACTGTTGTATCGAAGATACTCAGTGACGACAGTCTCGCGAACGGCCTCGATGCTGCCATTCGTATACCACCAATGCAACCCAGCAGCCGGAGCATAGACTTGACAACAAAAGGCACCAGAAGCAGAAGGATCAATTGGGGCCTGGGTCGTGGTTGCGACGGACGAATTCGTAAACCCCGAAGTCACTTGTCTAGGAAACTGCACTGCGGTCACAGTTCCCAAGTGATAGGCAAGAGCCAGAAGACTCAAGTTTCCAGCCATGATCGTCAGATAGTAGCGATGGGCTTTGGGGAAAGTCATCCAGCAGGCACTTGAATACATATAAGCCATGATTCCGAACGGAGATTATCCTACTGCACGCTCAGCCTCCCCATGGTCAGGGAAAATCATGTGCGATCGAAGGATTATTTGCATGGTGCATTTGCGTGCATATTTTCCACTTCTAGACCGCAAAGAGTGTGTGACGGCCCGTAATGAGGATTTTCTGAAACAGCATTTCCTTCGTGAATGTGTGTATAAGCGACGGCTCGACTTACTGTATTAGGCGTATGCGATATTAGCCAGGCACACTGATGGATTGAGAGCCTATAAAGTATGGTTGTGCCAGCCACTGAAGCCTAAAGATAGATGTGTGGCAGGCTGACACCCAGACGAATCGCTTTGCACGCGGAGGATTTTCGCGACTGCAGGGACTCCGTTGACCGGTCAAGCCGAAAATGGTAGGATATAATGAAGTTGGGGGAGCGCGAATGTGAGTTAACGCATATAATTCGCTATCCGAAGAATGATGGCATCAAACCTAGGGTGAATCATCTAAAAATTCTAAACCAATATAGAAAGAGGTGACATTGTTGATCAGCCACCACGCTCACCAAACTCCTTAGCCCAATCCTCGAACTCCTTGAGTCCAGATGCCGAAACACTTGGTCGAATGTTTGTCAGACTGGCCTTAAAGTCTGTCACATCAATCGGTCTGATGTCTTCTGGCGACATGTGTAGAAGTTTCTCTCCTAGAGAGCGTAGAGGTCCCATTGCAGCGTCTTTTGCCAGAGCTGTGATATCGCTACCCGAGAAGCCTGTGTTGGAAACTGTTAGCGCTGTCCACCCGATATCTGCAGGAGGATACATACCTTCAGTCAGATAAACCAACTCATCCAGATCTTCATCGCTGATGTTGTGTTTTTGTGCCGCCATCAATGTCGTGAGCTGCAATTTACGCACATAGTCCTCGGGAAGTGGGATGTATTGTCTTCTGACAAATCGTCTCCTCGCGGCTTCGTCGATCGCCCAAGGCAGGTTAGTGGCTGCGAGTACCAATACTCTGCTCGCGTCTCCTCTCTCCTTGTCTTTCTCGCTTGTCTCCTTACCCGCAGCTGCTTTAGCCAAGTCACTCCACTGGATCAGGAATTCGGTTTTGATACGACGAGTGGCTTCGTGCTCGCTTGAGCCACCACGCGCAGAGAGTAGTGAATCAATCTCGTCGACGAAGATGATGGATGGTGCCAGTGCTTTTGCGATGGAGAAGAGTGCACGTACGAGTTTCTCACTTTCGCCGAGATACTTGCTGGTCAGACTGCTAGCAGAGATGGCGAAGAACGTGCTTTTGCTCTCTGTCGCGACAGCTCTGGCTAGCATAGTCTTTCCAGTTCCAGGCGGCCCGAAGAGTAGCATACCACGCGCGGGTTCGCGAAGACCCATGAACAGATCTGGTCGCAAGAAAGGATAGACTACGGTCTCTTTCAGAGCGCTTTTGGCGATCTCTAGACCTGCAACATCGTCCCAGTGTACCTCATCACCCTGAATCACAATCTCGTTGAAAATTTGCTTTGCAGCTCCTTCATCCACACCTCGAGGTAGATTGTTGAGTAGGCTCTTAACACGTTCATCCCACTCTGACAATTCATCTCGGGGTTCAACAGATGGTTCGGAGACTTCTTTGACAGATTCTGCGATTGGGGCTGGTAATTCCTCATCGGTAGTTGTCGGCTTCTTTCGTCGCACCCTTGTCGAATTCTCTCTCCCGCTGCTATGTTCGTCCGCACTGTAGCCCGATGACACATTTCTATCGTCAAGTTGCTGCCGTGCCCTTGCGGCGTTAACAACACCAACTGCTTTTCTAGGAATTGGCGGTGCTGCTTTCGGTTTTGATTGACTTCCCAAAGACTCAACAGGCATCGAAGACGAGATTTGGTTCTCCAGGTCTTTTACAGTCTTGGGTGGCCTAGCATTCGGCGGGTTCTTGTATTTGCTCGGCTGAACGGGCAGGTATTCGTTGCGATAGGATGGCAAGCTCACAGGCTCGAGCCTACGAACAGGCGATTGTCTGCGGGCTTTGGGGGTGTTGGCTGTGAAGACAGGGTTCGGTCGCTGACGAGGAGAAGTGATTGGCGAAGGTGGACCCAAATGCTCAGAACTGCTTGCGTATGCTTGAGAAGGCTGTACTGGGTTCAACAAAGAATGATCAGGGTACGGTGGGCGCTGCGTTTCAGAATTGGATCCGTTTGTCGTCGATGGTTGGACAAAGTAGTCAGATGGGCTCGGAGGTCGGATGTGCTTCTGAGGCGGTGGTCTCGGTTGCTCTTGAGAGGAACGTAAAGATGATGAATGAGGCGGAACTGGAGGAGCAGAGGCTGTATGGCTAGGCGCAGGCGGCCGGGAAGAGGGGTCAACAAGAGTTCGTGTGTAAGGATCCCAGACAGTGGCTGTCGCAGGGGGACCTTCCAGATGTCCATTTGCTTGTTCTAGGCTGCCAACGCTGGCACCACGCTGGGTAGTCCCCCATGCCTGGGTAGCAGCTTTCGAGGCGGCAGCAGGTCTTCTGAACGTAGCAGTCGATAGTTTACTAGACGAACTGGTTCTCTCCTTACCGCCAGCGCGCAAAGTCCTCAGCATTCCTCCTCTCTTCTCCGGACTAGGGGTACGGGAAGACTTTCGCTGATCAGAAGACGGCTGGGGGGCCAGCATAGATGTCGGAGGAAAGGCTGAGACGGACGGCTGTAAGGGTGAACGGCGGGCACGCGGAACATCAGCTCCAGAGCTGGATTTGGAAGTATAAGATGGTCGCTTGTTGCGAAGTGGAAGAGAAGGAGGCGTAGGTCGAGAAATGTCCGAGTAGCCAACGGGAGGGATACTGCCTCCTCCTAACCAAGCCGAGTTGTTGCCTTGGTCTGCGCCTTCCTGCAGTGGGATGCTTGTGCTCGATGCCGTTGCCTTTGCTTGTATTTCTCCCTGGGCAGCTTCCTCGCGACTTTGTCTAAGCGCCTCGAGAAGATCCACACGCTCTTTGCATTGCAGTTCCATCTGTCGCAATGAATCTTGCAATGCCTTCTCCGTCTCGGACCGTGGTCGCCATCCTGTGGGCATGCGATAGGCGTTGTGGTAGTAAATTTGGTCCAGTGCATTGCGCCATGATCGCAAAGCTTCTGTTTCGTTGTTCTGATACACTGTCAGCCACGACATGCCGTCGCACTTGGTCGCAAACACTCACTTGACCCTCGAAATACACGGCTGTCGAGCATGTCAAATAGCAGTCGTCATAAGTCTTTTGCATAGAAGCTGCTGGCTTCCCACGACCTAACATTTTCTAGGATAATCCGATCGTCTCTGCATGCGCGAACGAAGAAGTTGTACCGTCGTTTTTGGTGACCACTGGTTTGAGTGAGTGCCAGATTGATCAAATCACGAATTGTCTTGCTCTCCTTGCGCGGCCTCCATCCAACCAATGGTTTACAGACGTCATTCTGAGCTTGGGCCACTTCGTGTTATTGGCGCGATCCGCTCGGGAAGGCTGATCATGCATGTTTCCAAAAACAGCCACAAAGCCTTCGAGAACAACACGAAGAAGACCGCCATGTCACAATTACAAGGGATATATATGCTATACAGGCTCGAATCAAACTCCACATCGCTTTGCCATGAGAAACGCCGTCGAGTAAAGACACTTTCGTCAGGTTCTTAATTACTTTCTGCGTGTCATAATCTTGGTGATGGCATGCCTGATGACCACACCAGCCTTCTCTGTTTCCTTCTTCGACAGACCGCTTGTGACACAGACCTTGATTGCAGATTGAGGCTGCCATCCCTCATCACGAGGTGTGCCGCCTAGTGGCGGAGGCATGCTCTTCAGTCTGGTGATTAGGACGCCGTTGGCAAGGCACTATTTCATGCAAAGTCAGTAAAACAGCGTAAGAAAGCAAGCAGTTTCCAGTATAGCTTACCTCTTCAACGATGTCTTGCATAATAGAATCCTGGTCAGGAATGCTGAGACGCCTGCTCTCAAGCACTTCCTCCTTGAGTACAAGCATCAAGACGGGGTTGTCGACAGCGCTGGTGCAAGTGACCCAGTCACTGCGAGGGTCTAACTGAGCACGCATTGCGCGGATGTTTTCTCTTAGGGCAGTAAGAAGTTCGGGCTGTTCTTGTAGCATTCTGGTGGTTGCGCTAGCAGTTGTCGCAAGCATAGCAGGGAGTGCGGCCGAGAAAGTGTAGGCGTTACCAGAGAGGCGCTGATGCTCGACAATCTCCTCACTACCAGCACAGAAGCCACCACCGCCACAAAGGGAACCAGCGAGCGAACCGATGATCATGTCAACCTGGCTGGCATCGACGTTTTGTTGCTCTGTAACACCACCACCAGTGCGGCCCAGAACACCGTATGACCATGTCTCATCCAGAATAATGCGGAACTTGTACTTTTGCTTGAGCTCGACCAGCTTAGGGAGATTGACAACGTCACCGACGTTCTCGAAAAGACCTTCGGAAATGATGAAGCGGCGGGTGAGGGGCTTGCGGGCGTTCTCCTTGACAAGCTTTGCGAGCACGCGCTCGAGGTCTTCCATGTCGTTGTGCTCGAACCATCGGACAGTGCTGCGTGAGATCTGAATACCCTTGCGTGTGGCGAAGTTGATAGCCTTGTCGGCTACAATGATGTCTCCTCGCTTGGAGAAAGCAGGAATGACCGAAGAGATGGTACTGAAAGATTGGGCGTAGACAATGGCGGCGGGAGTGCCTAGATGAGCAGCAATGTCCGCCTCGAGCGTCTGGTGCACATCCTGAGTGCCGTAGAAACCAGGAGGACCGCAAGGACCAACACCGTAGGCGCGCAGAGTCTTTACGGCAGCTTCCTTGATAGCCTCGGAGTTGATGAAATTGAAGTGGTTGTAGGTAGCAAGGTTGGTCACAGTTCGGCCGTTCGCGAGCTTCGACTTGGGCGCTGAAGGACTGTATTATATCAGCGCAAGGCTCCTTTTAAGTGTGAATATCGTGCGCACCCAACAATGACCGGCCTCTTTTCATTCTCTGCTTCTTCGAAGGCTGTTACTGGGGCCGCTAGGGGCTCGGGGGTCCAGTCTTCGACAAGCTCGTCAATCTCCTGTGTTGTGTTAGCAGGCGATTGACATAGTGCCCAATGTGTTGTGGTTGTAATGCACCTCTTCGGTCAAGGGTATTTGCTTTTGCTTCTTGGTAGAGTATGCCGGCGAGACCAGGTAGTAGACGGCGAACAGGAACAAGAACAATTCCATGGCCGAGCGGACCGGATCATCTTGATAGCTGGAGCGGATGTATCGAATGACGATCGACGAGCCGGGGATCCTCTGCACTTGGTCGAATGCTTGGTTGACGAGCTCGAGGGCATTGCCCAAGGCATCTTGTTGGTGGTTTGTTGTGTTCATCGCGGGCGCATAATCTCGAGTGTTTTGAAATCGAGATGCGACAAGGTCATGGAAGCCAGGCAGCGTTTCGGCAGACCCCTAATTATCGACAGCAGCCGGTTCTGCCGCACAACGGCAACTCCTGCCGACCTCTTCGACAATCAATTTAACCCCAGCGCGTGCCCCTGCACTCTTTGGTTGACATTATCTTGCACATCAATCTCCTTTGAACGGTATAAAACTGTGCTTCAAGGCGTGATATTATGCTAGCTATGTAGTGGCCCCTTAAACAATCCCTCGCCGAATCATTGAACAGTTTTGGCCTACCGTTCCCTTCGGATGTGAAAAACTTAAAATACGCGAAATGCACACGAGCGCGTCAAACGCCATTTAAACGCCCATTTGAAACCCCTTGACCGGCGCCATCGAGGCGCCCTTCCACCCCCTTGAGACTGAGACAAAAGAGAAGAAAAGGAATGAAGAGAAAACATGCGGGTATCGAGGTTGGGTATGTCCCAGTTGTAGGTCGTGAAATCCAAACATCTGTCTAGAAATCGTGTCGTCGTGAAAGGAATGTAAGATGAGAGTAAGCTTATTGGAGAAGGGCTCCAAGCTCTAGGGTGCCGCCGTTCTCGCGGGCAGTCGATTGCTTCGTCACCTCAGGGCTGGAACCTGGTTGCAAAAGGCCGTCGAAATTGAGTTTTCGGTGCGACTCGCGTGCCGACAAAGGACTTTTGCTGGCAGACCACTTGGCTTGAGCAGGACTCGGCGTAACGTTGCAGAAGTCGGCGAAGTTGAAGTTGTTCGAAGGGGTGTTCAGTGCAAATCCAAAGAGACCGTTGCTCCCGCCTGGAGTTTGCATCATCGAGGATGGCAAGGGCGTTGTCTTGGATGGAGGTGTGGATGGCGCGAGGACCCTAGCACTGTTGACACCGTTTGCAGGAGTGGGAGAGCCGTACAAGAGAATAAGACTATGAGCTTCATCGCCGTCCTTGGGAGTGCGTGAGAAACGATGTTGAGGGGGTGGCGTCTTGGGCGGTGATGAGTGGATGTTATAGAGGTCGCTACCGACATTGAACGAGTGCACGGGAAGGTCGGTATCGTCATCCTCGGACAGTTCGGGGGAAGGAGCATCGTCAATGAGGCTAGAGCCTTCGGAGATAAAAGACAGCTTTGGGACGTGGAGGGTCGAAGGGAATATGGCAGTTCGGTTGTGGTAGGCGGGGGATGACTCGGGGAGCCTGTGTGATCTCTTCCATGACTGGACGGCTAGGGCGCTTCGAGTCTTGCGACCAGTCTGACTGCTGGATGCAGGGTATTGGTGGACATCGGCGAACCTCGGACGTTTGCTGCTGTGGGTGCTCCCCTGGAGACTGCTATGAGAGCTTCCGAGCCGAGGCATGTCGTCCGAGAAGATAGGGGCAGTCAAGGGCGATGAGGCCATGCCGCCGACCGAGTGAAATCGGCTGGAGACGCTGGATGAAGTGTCCGAGTAGCTGTCGTTGATGCTCGAGGCAGGTCGTTTACGTTTGAGTTGTTGGTCGATGTGCGGCTCGATGGTATCGATGCTAAGGTTCTCCCAGCCATGCTTGATCTTGACATTGGCCAGTGCCAATCTATCTTGCAATGCTCTGGTCATCTATGGTAGGCAAGTGTTAGTGACGTAGATAAACAAGCCCATCAACATTGGAGCTTGAGCATACCTTGGACACTTCTAGCCGGCGCATCACTCTATTGGCGACATCGTTGCCGGCAGCGTCGGCTTCGGCCATGGCGCTCGAGGTTCTGATGTGTTTGTAGAGAAGACGAGTTGATGTGTAGTGAGGTGCCTGGGTATAAGGAGAAAATCCGACAGTTTGGTCAAAGGAGAAAAGAGTGGTCAAAGAGCAATTATGCAAGAGGTTCAAGCATAGGAATGCATGTTGCTGTGGCAGTTAAGCGCTGTTTGCAAAACTGTGGGACGGGGAGCCGAGGGGGCATCTGAACTTCACATCTCGATTGCTTTGGGTCAAACGCACCAAGTATCGGCCGCCGTTGGCTTTGTTTCGTCAAGACTCCGCGAAGACTCCAAGTTTCGTACTTCTTTATTCGTGAATCGTGATACCTAAATACTGATAATGCCGCTCATCAACAATTAACAGCACTCTCGACTTTCGGCTTTTCCTGATCAATCTCCACTGCGGATGTCCTTGCTTCTCTTAATAGACAGGTGCCTAGATCCGTCTCCTGAATAATGGCTTTTATCAGATGAAGCAATCTCAACATCCAACTCCAAGGAGGAAAAGAGAGTAGATTTTGACAAGATGGATCCCTTCCTGGCCCGCTCTGCCTTGGAAGAGGAGCTCATGAAGCGTGTGGAGAAGGTTGTGAATTGGCATTCGACTCGTTAAATCCGACGCTCCTTAGCTCACGAGCTTCGTGACGATCGGCCGAGATATGAATAGAACCAACACTCGGTCTTTTGTATATCGCTGAGAGCAGCAGCTCCTTGTATTCTGAGCTGTCGTTGCTGAGCATGTTGTCACGCAGAGACACGGCAGTCATTGGCTGAGCATCAGACCAAAAAGCGGCCAATGGAAGATGACAGTTTCCGCCGCTGGCCTCCGATTGACGAGAGAAGCATAAATTCGTGGCGCACCTAGTTTCGGATTAGTGGCCGAGGGCCATGCAAGCCTCTGGGCACGGGCGCCAACCACCTTCGATAGTGATGCAATGCGGGTTGAGGAACATTTGTCGCAAGCAGGCTCAACGGAGAAGGAAGATTCAAGCATTCAAGGTTCCATGTTGCTGGCGGTACTCGTATTATTATCTGCCGGCCGACCTTGTTCCTCACCGTGTCCACGCACGCTCTGCATCTCCTACTGTCCGACCTGATCTCTTCACGACGAGCAAACATCAGCGCCCCGACTGCCTTTGCGTAAGAATTGCTTGGCTGTTCTTGAAACGCGTAACTCTGGACCAGGGCCCGAACAGTATTGCGGCAGAGTGCAGCTCCTTCAGCAGCCAGCCGCTGTGTCGCGCATATCCGTACCACTGCCTGTCGCATAGTCCTTCGCTGTGATATCCCTCTGTTTGCTGCTGCCAACGAGACGTCTTCGCAAGCAGCCCATACAAGTCTCGACTACGGCGTCGCACCGAGCAGCTACGCTAGACGACGACCACAACTATGCCTTCCTTCCTCAGAGAATTTCGCCGGAGATCCAAGGCTAGCACCAAGACCGACAAGACAAGCTCCGGAAACGATGGACAGTCTCATTCTAGCAGCAATGATTCACGTTCGCAAGATGGCACCACGGCCGAGCCCGTTCCTGACATGCCCCGGAACAAGTCGTCCTCAACACTGAACTCGATATTTGGTGGAAAGTCTCCGCCGATGCCTGCTGGCTCTCCGCCCCTTCCATCCGTTCCCTCAATCTCGGGCTCCCACACAAATCTTGCCGGCATGAACGGCAGCAAGACTCCTCCCTTAGGCTCTAGACCAGGACCTTCGAACAACAACAGCAGCCGTTATAGCATTGCTGTGAGTAGCAACATCTCTTCGCCTTGAGTAGACAGTACTGATAAGAGTCTAGGGTTCCGTCAATGGCTCACCGAAGCCGTCTCCATACGCATCCCCACTCGCACCCCGCGTCATCTCTGCATCTGAGGGCTCATGGGTCCACCAGAAAGTCCTTCTAATCTACGGCCAGGTCGGCGATCCTAACCAGCCGCTGGACGGCGACATTACCGTCTGCTCGCATCAAGACTGCTTCCCTCCCATGACTTGGCCAGTCAGTGACTCTCACTTCAAGGCTCTCGTATACCTACAGCCAGGTCCCAACCGACTCCGCCTAGACTTCATTCCTCGCCAGCGTAGACCCTCGCAGGGTCAAATGAACGGCCAGCCCGCTCATTCGTCACACTTCCAGATCAACTATCTCCCCATGAACTCGTCACCACCTCTGCATCTGGCCATCCTGGTAGCAAAAGACTCTCCTCGCACATTCGATGCTGTCCCGGACCGTGTCAAATCAGAGGGCAATGGCCTAGAAACTGCTGTGAGGAAATTCCGCATGGCTGCCTACCTCTGGCAAGCTTTCACAGGAGAGCAAATGAATCGTCACGGCTTTGGACGCCGCTGTTTCCGATTTGAGGAAGAATGGCAACCAGGCACTCTGACGGGTCGTGATCTCACCACTGGTCAAATGCGCAACGAGGCCAAGATTCATATCATCACCCTGGACAAGACCGTTGCTGAAATCCAGGACCTTAATTTAGCCCAACAATACGAACCCGCCAAACAAAAGGGTGATCTGTTCGCTATTGCTATGGATGCTGTCAAGAATCACTTCAAGCCTCGACCGGGTCAGAAAGAGTACGTGTCTTGCATGTACCTGGACACACACTGGGATTCAAAGGTTGGCACTGTCAGGGGTCACGCTGCTCTGGGAGGCGGTGACGCGCAAGTCAAGCTGGCCATCTTCGGTTCTCATTCTCTCCAATCATATCCAGCTCATCTCGAAGAGGTCGTGCCCGCATTCACCGACTGCACAAAGACAGACACCAACTATGTTGCCAACGACTGCAACGAAAGCGGAAGCAACTGGGAAGCTGCCAATATCGGAATCGGGGCTCACATGCACGAAACAGGCCATCTGTTCGGCTGCCCTCATCAAGAATCAGGAGTCATGCTCCGTGATTACGTCCGTTTGAACCGTACTTTCACCACTAGAGAACCCTATTCAACTCGCACAAAGTCACAAGGCATGCGTCTTTGTCTTCAACAAGACGAGTGTGCATGGCACCGCCTAGATGCTTTGCGGTTCAGACTGCACCCTTGTTTTGCTCTGCCTACTGACATGAGCATTCCTCCAGAGGATAGCATCCAAGTCTGGGGTGTCGACAAAGGAGCAGCCTTGGTTACCGCGAGCACCGGTATTGCCTTCATCGAAATCTACACCGAGGGCGACGAGCTTTGTCGTCACTGGATCGAGTATCTGGACCCTACCAGTGGCTCCTCCACAGGTGCACCTCGGCAAATCACGTTAACAGAGGCCGACTTGCGAACCAGAGTTGGTGAGGCCAACAAGAACAAGAAGCTGAAGATTAAGATCTTTTCTCTCGGTCAAGGCGAGCATGAGGTTGCGGATTTCGCTCAGCATGTAAGCAAGGACGCCAAGTTGAAGCTCCCTGACGGTAGAATGGGCTTCCGAGGTTCCAAGGTTGGCTTCTCGCAAATGGACGGAACCAAACCTCAGGAAGTACTTCTACGTTCATCACACGAGAAGCGTAAACTTTTGATCGCGATCAGAGTTTACCACGGATTTGCTTTGGACGGCATCGAGTTTGTGTACGAGGACGGTGAGAACCAACTGTTCGGAAAGAGAGGTGGTAAAGAAGGTGGCGATGAGTTCCCCATCAACGCTCGGTTTGGTGAAACTCTTCTGGGATTCAATCTGAGAGCCGGTCTCTGGATTGACGGTATTCAGATATTGACCAGCGGCGGTCGTCGCAGCGATTGGTATGGCAACAAAGACGGTGGTAGCGGGTAAGTGATTGCGTCTGCACAAAAAGTTTGAATCTATGCTAATGACGTCTCAGATGCAACTTGATCCCTCCCAGAGGCTATAGCATCGCGGGTGTTTACGGCACCTGTGGGCAGTGGCTTGATGGTTTTGGTCTCATTATCACACGCTGATCACCAGCGACCACCATTCGCCATCACAAACATCCTTTGCAATCATTCCTAAACCATAGCCACTTCAACGGCCGTTCGTTTCGAAAGCACCTACGTACCAGCCAGCGCGTCATTCTCATTTTGCGCCATCCTCGCGCGTTCATCAACAGCATCTCTTGCATGCATCGATCACCAACATCCCTATCTGGTTGGACCGTCGTTTACTCTTGCATCTACTTTGTTCATTGTACATAGACCATTTGCGTTTCGCAAGGGGCATCCGGCATGTTCTCGTTTTACCACAGAGCATGTCTTGATAGAGCATCTCCACCTGTCGTTCTCACGTCGACTGCTTATTGCTTGCATACATGGGCGAGGGAACATGTCTGGCGTTTTCCTACACGTTCATCTCTCTTTTTGTTTTCCTAGGATTTTTTTCCATCTCCAGGGGGCGTTTTCTCTTCGCGGAATAAAGATGGTCAACCTGATACAGATGTGGCTTTCTGTTTTCTTTGTAGCATGGGTGGTGAAGCAAAACTAACAGTATTATTAATAACTACTTTTACTCTGATCTCTCTTGTCACTGAAATGCCTTTCGAGATGCGAACTTCGACACAAGTGTAGTGAAGCAAGGCGCAAGGAATTGTTCTCTTATTCCCGGAGTCCACCATCACCACCCCGCATCCTTCTGTTGTTTCTGCCGATCTATACCTGGTCGCGGCTGAGTCAATGGTCACGCTTTCCTTCCTTCTGGACTCGAAAACGTGCCAAGCTGGGCTGTGAATCCTTCAACATCGCACTTGCTCAGGATTGGTCCAAGATGGCATTGAAAAGAGGCTGATGGCATGGGCAGGTGATGCTTGTTGCCATTATGTAGGAATGTATCTTTCCAACCTACCTCCTGATCTATAAGTAAAGCAAGTACTGTAACCAACATCAATTACAAACTTCTCTCTATACATAATTGTCATCCACACACACACACACACACACATACACACACACACACCATACCCATCGAACTTTGTCACGAATATCCCAACAAGTAGCAACAATGCACAATCGACTTCTTTTCCTTCTATCTACATTATCTCTCTCCTCTGCATCAGCAGCAAATCTGAATTATCCCGGCTATGGCATAGGAACTTGGAATACTTCTTACGCCATATCCGCAGACACCCACCCGAACGCTACGAAATCCGTTCCCTTCAGCATCGGCGCTCAAAACTACACTCTCCAAGTCAATGTCGCCGAACTTTTCCCTTCAAACCTCGATAGCAATGCCAGCATACAAAACCCAAGTGTGGCAGCTTCATTCTACAATCTACTCTGGAGCGGCACCTCCACATTAAACGAAACTCTGCAGAATACATGGGGGTTGGGAAAGAATGATCTATGTCTTGTACTTCCCTTGGGGTTATTCACCAGCAAAGCCACCAATGGGTGTAAAGAAACAGATCAAGGGGATTGCAGTAATGCTTTGGGGAGCAAATGTATGAAAGATTTGGCTGGGATCAAGAGTCAGGTTTTGACTGGGGGATGTACGGGAAGATGGATGCCTGAGAGTTGTGCGGATAGGTTTGGGGATGGAGGTGTGGGGAGTGGAGGTGAGTTCTGCCTGTTTCTACTTACATTGTCGATTGGACTGGTGCTAACATGGAGGTTGTACGCAGGTGTTAATTACGCTTCAGTGGATAACGATACCGCTGGTTCTCTGGATCAGAGATCTCCTCTTGAGATTGCGTATTATCGATCTGGCATACATGAAAAAGGAGATATGACATCCTATGACCGCGAGATCGAGCGTCTTCACGTCATCTTCCTCTCTGGCACTGGATGGGGAGTAACTCCAGTATGCACTCGTGTCAACACCACTCGGGTCAAGAAGAACAATGATGCGGTGTTCAGCGCGGCACCAGAGAGCTCGAGAAGAAACTTGTATCTTTCAGCGGCGTTGGCTTTGGTTGTTACTGCATTCATGCTCTGAGATGCATATTGAATTGTCTGACATGATAGGTATGGATAGACATGGCAAGAAGAGAGCATGACTTCAACACTATTTCAGGGGCTGGATTTGAATGCCATACAGCATCTCAGAAGCACGATAGCATCGATCATGTACACATCAAAATGCAAGATGTTTTTTTTTGGCAAGTGAAGGGTTGCCCACCCCCTACCTTTATATACTTACATCCCGCAACTCCTGCAACATTGCCATCGCTTCCAACAAGCGGTGGTGGCCGGGTGGTAGCGAGTGTTTGTCATTAGGAGGTCTCGCTTCACTGTAGGTCATCGGTTCGATCCTCCTCGACGACAATGCCAGAGTCTTGACACTCCAATCTTTAGAAACGAAACTGGTTCGCTAGTTGCTTTCCACCTCCGCAAGGGGGCGTTTGTTTTGCTCGTGGCGTGCGCACTTTTTGGCTTTTTTGGTAATGCTTCTGCTATCCCTCTGCATGGAGCACTTCTTTTTGCAGCGTGTTGGGTGGCTCTTGATCAGACTTCGTTTTTCTTTTTTAAGAATTTGGCGATGGGTCCAGTGAGAGTTTGGTAACATGTGTGGAAACGTTCTGCTTTTCCCTTCACGTTAACGACTTTGTCGGGTTAGAGGCCAGTATACAGCTTGCGAAGGTTGGGACAATTGTCCGATATCTCATCGAGACACACGTCACTCTCGACGACGGCATAGTCGTTGGTCGTTATCAGCTTTTCAACAGTAGGTACCAGGAAGTAGTCATCGATCTCAAGGTTGACCGAGTCGGATTGCATATCGACTTGTTTAAGTCGAGGGAAACGCGACTTGTGGAGCAGGTGGTGATACCCTAGTCGCAACTCCACTCCATCTTCCAATATCATCTAGCACGTGCTTTGGTATCAGAGCGAGCACTTTCACGGCTTTTCCGCACCGTCACCGTGTAATGATGAGGCTTTCATCGGCCTCAGTCCTTCGCACGGGATAAATTGAGCCAACATGTCTTGCTCCATCGGATATGGTGCGCCATAAGAGATTGAGACCTTCCGCCACCCGGGTTCTATTGACTCGACTGGCACAGTAAAGAGCTTTACGATCAAGCTCAAGATACTTCAATACCTCGTGCAAGATTTCTGGGAGCTCAAGCGCGTGGCTCACTGGCTCGCTCATGATGGAAGCTTCGATGATTCAGGAGGCTGAAACCGAGAGCATTGAGCTTATGAACACGAGACTATGGCGTTTTCCAATCATCGGTTGTTTCTCCGAAGTTGGAGGTGCTGCTGCAGGGACGTGAACATGGTTGAAAGAACCAGGAGTTGAGATACTCGAATGGTCTCACGGTGGTTGTGAGTGCGGAGAAGTCGCGATCACCTCCGTCCGAAGCGTCATCCGGCATCACTTCAACGCAACTTTCATTCTCGCAATCCAAACAATCATTCTTGCAGGGATTCAACTTTACAACTTTCCGTCTTCACAACACTATATCCAACTCGCGCGTAACTTCAAATCGACTTCTCTCTACAGCCCCTGCAGCTTAGTCATTTCCTCGCGACCATCTCACAACTACAATCATGTCCTCAAACGCAACACCAACAACGACGACCGCACCAACCATACCAACAACAACACCCACAACAACCCAACCACCCCTCCCATCCGCCCAAACCTTCGACATCCTCCCACCCCTCCACGCCCTCCTCTCCCGCCTAGAACCCTCCTTGAACGTCTACACCCCCGACACCTCGACCGCCCTACCGCCCGGCAACTCCACCCACGCACCCGTAACTTCCGCCTCCGCATTACCAACCTCCACACCACAACAGCTGGAATACAAGGACGCTGCTGTAGCGGCGCAGTTTCTGAAAAGCAGGATCAGAAAAGCGTTGGCCGAGTTGGGTGGATTGGCAGATATGCAGAGGGGTGTTGAGGAGCAGGAAGAGGAAATCAAGGGACTGGAAGGAAAGATTGAGAGACAGAAGGAGGTTTTGGAGAAGCTTGCAAAGCTGGCTGGGGAGGGTCAGGGTGAGGTCAAGATGGGTGGTTGAAAAGGCATGATCCATCGTTTGCGACAATGAGGTTGTGAATGAACATCATGCGAGATTGGCAAGCTTGATCATCGGCACGCACGAATATGCGCTGCAGCGACATCTGCGCAACGCGATCGCTGTCGCACACATCACCTTCGACTTCTGCCACCATCTATCGAGTCTTTGATCAGACGACGAAGCTCTACGCAACAGATCATGTCCCAGGTCAAGCCAACATTCGAGAGGATTGAAGAGTCGTAACAAATTCTTCTGCAAGCTTGACTATCTATCATTCAGGATCACCAGGAAGACTCAATCCATAGAAATGCATTGCTCAGAGCAAGCTCGAACGGAAAAGGCATTTCACACAAGGCACAAGACCAGGAAAGGCAAAGAGGATGAAGGAGTAAGAGAGAAGTAGTTAAAACTCAAAAACGCTAATGTCTATTTTCATCATCAAAGGGAAAAGGCCGTTAAGCAAGCCCAATTAAGTTAATCGTTAATAATATTCACAAGAGAAGACCATTTTTTGTCCGTGGCAGAGACTCTCTAGCCCTGTACCTTGGCGTTTCTACGCTCGGCTGCCGAAGCAGTGAGCTTGAGTGCCTCGGGAGCATCTTCCTTGGGCATGTACATCTCGACGAACTGGAGGTAAGGAGCGGCGTTGAAGTTGTCGTCGGCCATGAGTGTGTCGAGCTCTTCGCGAGTCTTGATGGTGTAGGTCTTGTACTCGCCCTCCTTTGCGCCGAAAGCGGGAACCAAGTCCTTGTACTTCCACTCCTGAACGTCGTTGTACTCGGCGTTCATACCGTGGATCATACGCTCGATGGTGTAGCCGTCGTTCTGGATAAGGAAGATGATGGGCTTCAGCTTGCGGCGGATCATGGTCGAGACTTCCTGAGCAGTCAATTGGAATGAACCGTCACCTGTGAGCAAAATGGTGCGGTGCTTCTCGCCCTTCTCCTCCTCGAGCTCCTTGGCTGCCAGAGAGGCACCCTGGGCGGAACCGGTAGCGTAACCGATTGAGCCCCACAAGACCTGAGAGATGAGCTGGACATGGGCAGGGAAACGAGTCTCCCAGATACCAAAGTTGGCAGTACCGGTCTCAGTGAGGACAATGTCGTGTTCACGCAGCCATTGGCCGAGACGAGGCCAGAAGTACTTTTGTGTGATGACTTGAGTGCTCTCCTGGCTGTTTGTGCGGTTGGTGGGCTTGGGGCCGGCCTCGATATTAAGCTTGCCCATCTTGTCGACGACCTTGCGAAGGACACCGTTCATGCGGACACCAGGGTATTGTGAGTAGCGGACCTGGATGTAGTTGGAGTGGAAGTCAATGGTGGTCAATTGACTCTGGCGGAATGTGAAGCCTGCAGTGTTGAAGTCGGACTTGATGGCACCGATGCTGAGAACAAGATCGGAGCTTTCGACGCGGTCGCGAACACCCTCGTTGGAACCGTCACCAGCGTAGACACCACCATAGTTGGGGAGAGTCTCGTCAACACAGCCCTTTCCGAGAGGAGCGACGAATGTGGGAAGACCAGACTTGACAACCAGGTCGTGAGTCTCCTTCTGTGCGCGGTGACGAATGGCACAACCGTCAACCAGAATGACAGGGTTCTTGGCTGCGTGCAGGTACTTCAAGACAACGTCAACGACGTAGTCTTCTTGCTCCTCAGGGTTGGCAGGGTATGAGAGGTCGATGGGCTGAGCGAGTCTCTCGCCCTCGATCATGTCCTCGACGATGTCGCAAGGTAGACCAATGTAGACGGGACGGGACTGAATGTAACATTCGCGGATGACATGATCGATCTCGGCGGCAGCAGTGTTGGGGTCCTTGAGGTTGGCGACGGCGCAAGAGACAGGGCGGAACATATCGACGAAGACATCGTAGTTGCCGTTGCCGAGAGTGTGGTGGAGCAGGAGTCCGTCTTTTTGTGCGCCTGTTGAGGGCATACCGACGATGTGAACGATGGGGACATACTCGGAGTAGGCACCGGCGATAGCGTTGATGGCAGAGAGCTCACCGACACCGAAAGTGGTGACAAGGGCGGACAGGCCTTGGGCAAAGTCAGCTTGTGCAATGAGAGAGAAGTTCAACGATCTTACCCTTGATTCTGGCGTAACCATCAGCGGCGTAACCAGCGTTGAGCTCGTTGCAGTTGCCGACCCATTTCAGGCCAGCCTTCTCCAGGTAGTCGAGGGCGACGAGGTTGTAGTCACCAGGAAGACCGTGGACAGAGCTAACGCCGCATTGCTTCAGGCGAGCAAACAGGTACTCGGTGATAGTGATGGGCTTCTTGAGAGAATTGGTGCGGATATCTTGAGAAGCCATGGTGGGGGATGTGTGATTGATTCGGAAGTGGATGGGAAGGAAAGAAGAGGCTTTGTAGCCGGGAGTGAGATTGGGTTATATGTGTTTCGTTTGTTGGATCCGACGAAAACAGTGAACCTACAACCGCTGAACAACACCCTAGCTTGAGCTCTCCCAATGACGCTGCAGCGCCGATTCGCGGTCGGTAGGTCCGATAAAACATCACCCCATAATCCATTAATCACCTCGCCATCATCTCTGCGGCCCTACTCGAAAGTGCGACCGGCTCCGTAAACCACAGCATGCCTATTCATCCATGCAGATTACAGACCTTGTGAGAGGCGAAAACGCGCTTGAAATTGCAATCCACATCGCGTTTCGTGAAGCATCTCGAAGGGAAAAAGTTGGACCTTCGATGACATCGTCTTTGGCTGTTTGGATCATCTGAAGCCGAGGACTCCCGCCGCTCCCGAGAAAAGCTTAGTGTCGGCTGCTCCCGCGTCTATAAACGTCCTTCCCTGATCCTCTGGCCACCACGCGTTCGTTGGACACGCTGTCGACACCACAGCGATGGGTGTGGTTTCGGATCGAAACGTATCATGCATTTCGTCTGACTTGCATGTCTATTTGTTGGTCTCAACAGTAGTGGCGTGTATTCTGTGTCTCGTATGACAGATGTTGACCACAACAGCTTAACTCATCTCAGGACATGCTCCAAGATTCCCGATGTTTTGCTCGGATCAACTACACCTCGTCTTTACTGAGGATGGGAATGGCGATTCGCCTTCTCCGATCTTTACCGAACACTGGGCCAGATGTTTGGTCGCCTCATGTTCGCCTCAAGTTGCAAGACCACCGAATAGCTGCCGATATCAGCTGAACCCATCTTCTATCTGCTATCCGTGCTGTAGGACATCGCCGAAATACATGCTTCGACGACAATTCTTAGGAACCAGATTTCTCGAAGCTCCTCTGGGCATGTGATTTGACCATGTCTCGCATCACAATCTCTACCTTCCGATAGCAGTCCACACGTCGAGGTTACACGCAGGATAAGACCACTTCTTCATAACACCGAGATTACAACTTGCTGTCCATTCAACCATATTGCTACATCATGGCACAAAGGCTGTCTACTTCTGGTCGACTGATTGCTACCAGACAAGAGCATAGACATCCGGCATCGGCGGGAAGATCCGAATCTTGATAATCATTCGACATCTCTTGATCACAATCGAACGATGTTTCTTAAAGACTCATCTCGATCACAACTGATCATCTCATCAACATACATCCCTCAATTCTGTCAATCGTAGTCAAAAGGTAGGAAGAAGTCGAGCAAGAACGTCGGAAATTCTTCGAAAATCCTACACCAAAGTCGTTTTCGCTACTCGTGACACCCTGGCACTTTTTATCATTTTATATTTCTAATTTTTAATGCACTTTGGATCCGTCTGATTCCTTCAGGTACATGACAAGTCCTCTGTCGTATCTCTGTGATGTGATATCTATGTGTTGTCTACCATATTCGTGCCTCTTGTCGTCCTTTGAAGGTTGGTGATTTGCACACCGAGAATGACACTCATACACACGTGCTCTCTTACCGACAGCGACACAAAAACCATCGTACATATTGACAAGCTGTCAATGACCCCACCTCAACAAGGCGAGACGCAGACTCTAGTGTCTACCCTCTCAACTCATGTCATCGTTTGTCTCCTAACAATAACACAACAATCACAAGTAGACACAAGCGCAGACGAGTCGATATTGAAAACCAAGAAAACCACAATCGCGTTTTCCGCTTCTCAAAAAGTCGTATTAAACAAGAAAAGAAACAAGAAAGGACATTTCTATAAAAGAGGAGCAGAGTAAGCTTCTAAAGCACGCCCAGATTGCTAACCTCGCCACTTTCCTCACGCGGCTGACCGGCGACTGAGTAACTGGCACGCCATCGCATACGTACTGCATTGCCCTTGCCTTGTGTGACACCTTGCAGACGGATAGCTTGCTTAATGCCATCGACTTGCATTGGCGACAAGTTGCGACCGGATTGTGGTTGCAGTTGCAAGGAGAAAGCCTGGAATGATTTAGTAATTGGAAATTGATAGAAGGGGGTGTGAGATGGGCATACCTTTGTTACTGCGAGTTGGAGGGTGAAATCGCTGATGGGTTGGGGGGTTTTGTTTGATATTCTGGCGTCGATGGCTAAGTAGTCGGTTGCACCTGCTGGCCTTGAGACGTGGAAGACAGCCTTAACACTCGAGTCGATGACAGTAACGGCGTTACTTTGAGGCTGCTGGGGCTGAGAGGGGAGAGCAGAAGAGAAAGTCCACTCATCGTCACCGCCCAACAGTGATGCAGCAGATTGGGGGACTGCGGGCGATGCTGTGGACTTGACGGATTGCTGGAACTGGAAGGGTGATGCGGTGCGCGAGTTACCAGCAAGAGCGGCGAATGGATCGGCCGATCGTTGTTGCTGCTGGGGTTGGTTGAAGGCGTTTGATGTAGGGGCGGGAGAGGAAATCATGCCGAATGGGTCGTAGTTTGCTTTTGCTGCCTGGGGTTGGGCAGGGGGAGGAATGGCAGCCGGTGCTGGGGCGGGCGTAGGCTGTGAGCTTGAGGGGCCGGCAAGATCAGCCAGACCATTGCTAGGAGAGCCCAATGTCAAGGCACCACCAGATCCGTAAGCAGAGTCGCCCATGGACAGGCCAAGCAAGTCGTCTTCCAGGGCGTTGCCCTTAGGTGGAGGAGCTGCCTGCGATGACTGGGACTGTGCAGGCTGAGCGGCTTCCTCTTCCTCGGGACCACCGAAGTCGATCAAGGACAGCTCATTGTTGGGGCCGCTCTTAACACCAGCACCACTGATACCCAGAGTACCAGCGGCAATACGGTTGGCACCCTCGAGATCACCCTTCTTGATGAGCTTGTATCTCTCGCTAGTACGGTGAATGCTGTCGTTGATCTCAAACAGTTTTGCGACGGCCTCGGTATCTTCTGACTCTTCCTCACACATTTTCTGTATCTTCGGATGCGCGCTAGCCAAAGCGTTTGCGAGTTCCTGGTCTCATCAGTATATGATAATGGTGATAAAAGAACAATACGCACCTCGAAGACATCACCCTCCTTGATCTCATCGCCAGGCTTGTAACCTTGCAGCATTTCTTCCAGCAATCTTGCCTTCTGTTGAATCTTTCCGACCTCCTCGGCAGCCTTTGCGCGATAATCGGTCTTGCGGCGAGTGTCAAATCCAGCCATAATCTTCATGAGCTTGTTGGCTTCTTGCAGGTCATGAGGGGTACCTCTGCGGATGAGCTCCTGCAGTTTCGCTGATTGAGCAGCGCGTTCCTCCTCTTCCATCTCCTCGGCTGATCGAAGGTCGTTTGTAGGGTTGAGTACTGCGGCATCCTCCTTCTTGACAGCAGGGAAAGTGTAGCCCTTGTAGCTCAGCAAGCGGTGCATATCCCGGATAAAGCCCAGGTCCTCCCTGTACTTTGACGTGACACAGATGGTGGAGCGCCATTCTTCGATAAGCTCAAGGATGCGGTTTTGGACGCGAGTTGCTCGCATAGGGGGACGTTCGGGGAAGCGACGGACGAGCTCGTTGAGGAAGTCCTTTGTGCTGATTTGGAGCTGGAAAGCATAGCCGCAGTTCTTGACGCAGATATCGAGGAGGGTGAGGGCGAGCATAGAGACATTGGGGTTGCGATGGTTGATGTACTGGACAATGGCGACGGCAGCCTCTCGTGGAGCATTGCCCTTCTTAGCATTGATCAAGTCGGCTATCTCCAGATTCAGGGCCAGGTTCGGCTCAAAGTTTTGGGGGTCGCAGGCATTGTCTGAGGGTGAGAGTTAGACGTAGTCAGAGCAATACGAAGATGCAAAGGTGAGACACACGAATGTAGCGCTGCAGGGGTGTTTGGGGAGGTTGACCCTCATGCACCCAGCGGTCCCGCGCCGCGTATCTAGCTGATGCTGCCTCCATACGGTGGGCGATCTCGGGGTGGTCGATGCCGGGAGAGAAGTCTGCGTTCAGAAAAGTTCGGAAAAGAGAGTCACTTTGAGAAAGAAGAAATGCAGTAATTAAAGTCGGGCAGCGATAGTGAGTCGGAAGTTAGTTGCGGTATGCACCACGTTGTGGTGGGAGCTGCTTGGCGGGCCATGACGACAGCCCCCCACTGACTCGCGCGAGAAAGTCCATCATCGACTTTCTCTGAAGTCGAATTTGCCTGCCCCTCCATCTCGTCATCTACTCAAACAATCTCATATTCGAAACACTTGACACTTGCACGCCGTAGTCGCCTCGTCCACACGAATACTCAATCTATACACCGACCGAAGAAAGAGAAATCTAGCTCAAAATGGTCCGCCACAAGAAGGACATGTCCAACAAGGGCAAGCGCTACCCAAACAGCCGATCTGCCCGTCCTCTACCTCCTGCCCGTGGTGAGGAAGGCGAGGTCGACCCGGCTTCATCCAAGCGTCCTCCTTACAAGGCCGCTGCCTGGGATCTCGGCCACTGCGACGCCAAACGATGCAGTGGTAAGCGCTTGATGCGTCTGGGCCTCATGCGTGAATTGCACGTCGGCCAGAAGTTCGCCGGTATCGTCGTTTCGCCCAACGCAAAGACCATCATCTCGCCTGCAGACGCACCTCTCCTCGAGCAGTACGGTGCTGCCGTTGTCGAAGCTAGCTGGAAGCGTATCCAGGAAGTCCCCTTCTCGAAGATTGGCGGCCCGCACCAAAGACTTCTTCCCTACCTGATTGCCGCGAACCCTACAAACTATGGCAAGCCTTGGAGAATGAACTGTGTCGAGGCTCTCGCCGCCTGCTTCTACATCTGCGGAAAGAAAGAGTGGGCTGAGCACATTCTCAGCACCTTCAGTTACGGCCAAGCTTTCCTTGACATCAACGAAGCTGTGCTCAAGAGATACGCTGCTTGTGAGGATGAGGCTGGTATCAAGAAGGCCGAGGAGGCTTGGCTGGAGAAGATTGAGAACGAATACACCGCAGATCGCGCCGAGAGAGAAGCTAACGAGGATGATGCTTGGAGAGGAGGCAACTTGAATCGCACTCGTATGCTCGATGAGTCTGATGAGGAGGGAAGCGACGAGGATAGCGACGGCGAAGAGAAGGAAGAGAAGGACGAAGATGATGAGGACGAAGAAGAGGAGGATGACCACGATCCTTACGGTCTGCCTCCCTCAGATGACGACGAGGAAGAGATGGCTGAGCTTCGCCGTCGCGTGCTGGCCTCAAAGCCCTTCCAGAACCCTGCTCCCGCAGTTGCAGACGACAAGCCGCAACCAGGTCGCATTGCACAGACCGAACCCAAGCCGGCTCACGATTCCGACGACGAGTCAGGTTCAGATGTCGGCGGTGTTGAAGACGACGATTTCGACAACATCATGAACGCGACACCTGTGTTGGACCGCTCAGGAATTGGTGCTAAGCAAAAACAGAAGGCTCAAGACCAAATCAGTGCTCGCTTCTCAAGGACCGTCATCGATGCTCCTTCAAAGTGGCCTGCATAAACAATCTTGTCCATACTTTTATGATCATATAACTAATGCATCCGGCGAAAAGCTGTCGATCTCACGTTCACAAGTAATAGTTGGCACATCCACCGTGCACTTTGACAGTCTTGACCACCTCATCACATCTTACCCACACTCTTCCTGCAAACAAGACCTGTTCTTGGTCACATTAGCACCAATAAAATGGAGCTTGTCTGCACATGGTGGGGTTCAGTTGCCGACGACCTTCAATTGCCGACAATGTGGAGCCCCAAGAAAATCATTCCGTGCTGCTCCGGCTCTTCTCCAGCTCTTTCGACATCATCCTCTCCACCATGACCTTGTTGTACCCCGACTCGGAAATCGTCCCTGCAACCATGAAGGCAGAGATCAGCAGGCATCATGGAAATTTTGCATGATGATCGATGCAACCTGACGCCGGAACCCTGCTGGCGAATGAATATATGTAGAGGGCCTCCGGCCTCGCTGTTTGTGCTGTAAGTGTTCAATTCACTTCTTGCCTCTATATCATGTACGCCTCTCTTCTCGCGGCACTCAGTGTGCCGGTGTTAGCACTTGCTCAAACAGTGGTCACCGTTCCCGAACGTGTTTGTACCGTCGAGCCATGTGCAAACGGCGGTGACTCGGCTCCAGCCATCATTGAAGCCTTCGAGAGATGCGGTCACAATGAGAGCCCTTCTCGAGGCAAGGTCGTCTTCCGCAACGAGACCTACAACATCCACAGTGTCATGAACATTACTGGCCTGAAGAATGTCGACGTTGATCTGAATGGTCTTTTGCTCTGGGACACTAACATCCCTTACTGGCTCAACCACTCGCTTCCTGTGGGTTACCAAAACCAGTCGAGTGCTTGGTTGTTTGGTGGAGAGAACATCAATTGGGATGGTCATGGATACGCCACTCTTAATGGATCGGGACAAGCTTGGTATACCTTCGTCAATGGAACCAACAACTAGTAAGTGTCGAAGGACGCCGTATTGACAAGACATAGACTGACATCAAATTAGCCCAGGTAGACCCCACCAGATTACAATCACCGGAACTAAAGACAGCAACTTCTTGGGTACCCGTTTCTTGGACTCGCAGATGTGGACCTTGACTGTTATCCATAGCGAGAATGTCCTTCTTGAAGACATCTATGTGAACAGCACCGGTAATGAACCCGTCGGCTTTGACTTCTCTTCTCTCAACACTGACGGTAAGCGAGAAGACTCTTCTACGCTAGGTTGATCACTAATAGCGTTATTAGGTGCCGACACTGTGTATGCGGACAATATTACCTTCCGTCGCTGGAGCGTGACCAACGGAGATGACTCGATCGCCATGAAGGCCAACAGTACCAACATTCTGATCGAAGACTGTGACTTCTATATGGGTCTGGGCGTTGCTATTGGCAGTATCAGTCAGTACGATGACACTTTCGAGTACATTGAAAACGTCACTGCTCGTAACATCCGCTCTTACAACATGAGATACGGCGCATACGTAAAGACATGGACTGGCAACTCGACTGGATACCCTCCCAATGGCGGAGGTGGTGGCATTGGCTATGCAGCCAACATCACCTTCTCCGACTTCGTCTTGGAGAACAACACCGGCATTTATGCTATCACTCAGTGCACCAGCTACAATGGCGCATCGGGTGGCTGTGATTCGAGCAAATTTAACCTCCGTGACATCCGTCTGCAGAACTGGACTGGCACTGCTGTCAGCGATGTGGTAGGGAGTATGCAGTGCAGCGGATCTAGTCCTTGCACGGGTATGGAGATCACTGGTATCGACATCGTCGACACTGTTAACAGAACTGCTCCCAGCCAGTACCTGTGTGACAACTTGTCTTCTGTTGGATTCAACTGCACTGGTCCCACCTGGGAGGAGAACAGCAGATAGATGCTGCACATAGGAGAAAAGTAGTGGGCTAGTCTTACCCTGTGTACATAGTAAGCAAAAAGCAAGATTTTTGTCCATCTCCATTAATTTTGACAATCCGTATTGGAAGCAGCTGAACGTGCCTAGTAAGAAGAGCCTTGATTGTGCGCTCTCGATCTCTGTATCAAGTGAAAGGAATCCTTTGACGAAGTTTGTTCTTTGGCAGCCTTAAACTTCAGGTAAATCAAACGAGTAGTTCGCGTGGGAGTTCTCAACACAGCCATCGCGCCTGCCTTGAGCAAGCACCAAAACACGCCTCAAGCTTGGACTGCAACAACACCTTCACTTGACTTCTTTGTCCATCACACACCATCAAGACAAACTCCTCGCTCCATCACAAACCTCGTTCCAGCCAATCCTACGCACGCGTCTCCATCTCAACCACCCTCTCAGCCCTCCTTCCGCTCTTTGCAAACTCCAACGCTGCTCATCCATCATCTCTGCGCGCTCCAAATATCCCGCTCTCTACCTCTGTCTTCCCGTCCATCACCATCCACCCCAACATGGAAAAACTTCCGCTTGAACTGAAGCAGCGTATCTGTAGCTTCCTTCATGCCAACCCGCGGCTGCTCAAACCCATTCGACTGGTGTCCAAAGAGTTTGCATCTGCTGCTGCGCCCTACCTGATACCGCGACTCTTCCTCTTTCGCCATCCAGACAGTTGTGCAGAAGTCAAGGAGATTGCTGAGCACCCAGTCTTCAGCAAGCACGTCACAACCCTTGTTGTGGACCTCAGTATTTTGAAGTCTCAATCAAAGTTCCAAACCTGGATCGATGACCACGACCACCTTCAACATGCCTACCCCGACTGGTGGGATTTCAAGCCTGAAGATGTTGAATATGACGAAGATGGCGATCCGCTACTAAGCAATTCTCAGTCTCGCGCTAAGTGGATGCACTCATGCAGGGAGTTCGATAAGGAAGCCAAAAGAGTCACCAAGAGACTCATGAAGTCTCAAGAGAAGTACTGGAAGGCCCAGCAGATCCTGGCTGCAAAATTGTCGGGTGGCGAGTTTCGACGTCGCTTCTTCAAGACTATTCATCTTGCCTTCAGGATGTGTCCCAACCTCAGCAACATAGTGATTGCCCCACCACAACCATGCGAGCCTACCCTCGGCAAGAGGTATCATATGTTCGAGGCTATCCACCCGTCCAAAGGCTCTTGGATCGAGTCTAAGTCGCATGATCCCTCTGACTTTGAGATGACCGACTTGATGCAAGCTGTACACAACACTGGAATTGATCTGAACTCCTTGACCATCATCGATTTCCCATTCAGGTGTGCTGACTACTCCAAGGACGGAGACCTGTTGTTTCTTGGGCGTTTGAAGCATATCCGCATCGGCTGGAATCGTCTTGATAACAACCCAAAGACCGAGTTCGGCTTCGACCTCGAGAAAGCTCTGCGTAAGACACACTCACTGGAGACCATCTGGATAGAGATGCCGCCTCTAATACACAGAAAAGAAGAATACATCGCGAATGATCTGCTGGATGCAATGAGCTTTGAGTGCCTTCGTGACGTCCTGCTCGACAACCTCTCTGTCTCCGAAGATTCGCTAGTCAATTTCCTGCTCCGCCATTCGGAGACATTGGAAATGCTATCCCTCAGCGTCACACTGACCGATGGAAGTTGGGCATCAACTTTCAGACGTATCTCAATGCAGATGAAGGCCCTGGTGCGTGTGCAGTTCCTCAGTCTGGTTCAGAGGGTCTTGAACGTGCCCAAGATGACCTCTCCTGGCTGGTGCACAGATGCGATAGACTGTGTCCTGCGCGGAGAAGCTCTTTCTGAGCCGGAATACTATCACTTGCATGAAGCATTCGAGGAGTACGTATTCAATGAAGGCTGTGAAGGTCCTAGAAGGGAGCACGATCTGCCAGAGGATGGACTGTGGGAGGACTTTGATGGAAATGTGAACTTTTGTTTCTGAAAAGGCGCAAAGTGGAAGACAGTCGCGGCAAAAGTCTGACAAAAACGGGGAGTGGGAAAGGCGGGCAGTTGTAGCTACTGCTGATGAAGAGAAGAACATGGACAAGGCTGAGCATATCATGAAGGAGGTTTGCTGATGACAGCTTTAGCTCGGACACTTCGCTGTGAACATCAGAGGCTACCAAAGTAGCAGATAGCTGTACTCAAATCAACACGGTTTTGCATCTCATTTCTGGTTTTGTGTCCAAAGAAGTAGTTGTCGCTGATCAGAACAAAGGCCGGCAGACTCATGAGCACAACCGCCTCTGTCAAATGTGACGGAAAGATGTTCGGTTGGTGTCGTTTTTGGCAACAGTGATCAAACGAAATTTGTTACACGAGAAAGAAATTCAGAACTACGAGATGCGAGAGAAAGAGCGAGTGGTAAGCATGTCCACAAGACCTTCTGTACTGGTATATCTTGTTCTAACACCCAAGCCACCATTTCTGTTCAGGAGTCTCGAGCATGCGAACCAAGGTGAAAATCGTTGCATCCGTTCTCCTTCAAATTTCGAATTTCGCTCTGGAGCACAAGATGAAGGAGACCAAGTTGAGCATGATTGGGACTAATCCGTGGGAAATCAAGGAAGTGAGAGACACAGAGAACGCACAGCGGCTGTTCAGGTCTGCCTCATACTAACGTGGTGAGAGATACCAGTACTTAGTAGTACAGCTCATTTATCAACATGAGAACCCACGGTGCCTCCTTCAGACACGGATCCAATACTTTCTCAAGCCAGTGATGCCAGTCATCTGCAAAACGGTGACAGCCAAACAATGCAGTCGAGTAGTCATAATACGAAGGCCACCAAGCCGCACTCTCCCAATCAATCAGTGCAACCTCAACCCCACTTTCGAGGAAGTTCACCATGATGTTTTTCCTTTGGAAGTCACCGTGGCTGTAGGTTGGAGGATGATTGATGAATACTTCCGAAAAGACACGTTCGTAGAATTTCGCTTTACCCTTGATGTGCTCGTGGAAAGTTGCAGCGCGTTGGATTATCGCACGGTTGAGATCTTGTTCTGTTGCGAATGGGCCGCCGGATATGATTGATGGGTCTTCGTGGGTTCCTTCGAAATGCATGAGACCGTCTGGCAGTGGTCTTTTGTCGAGACTGCAGTAGCCACCTGGTGATGGCAGTGCTCTGAGCTCTTGCATGATATTTCTGAGTTTTACGCACACCATATCTTTTTGTGCATTTGATATAGAGGGCCAAGCTTCTTCTAGCGTGATACCGGAGAGTCGCTCCATGATGATGTACTTGATCTCGTCTTCGGAGTCTTCGTACAAGGCGTAGATTTTCGGCACCCGAATGCCGGTGTGAGTTGCAACCCAGATTGCGTTCTGACCTTCGATGAGATCAAGTCCTCTTCCATACTTGACAACGAATTGGCGGCCAACGCCGACGACTTTTGAGGTCATGTTTTCCTTGATGATATCTTGCGAGGCGTGGATCATGGCTTTGGTGGGGATGTTGATGAGAGGGTCGTTATTGTCGAAATAAGGTAAGGAAACCGACCATTTGGATGGAGATATGTTAGTCGGTGTATCTGCCATGATTTCGATCAGTCGGCGAAGGAAGACACGAAAGTAATGACCACTGCTGAGAATGTAAATCGTGTTTCATGTACAATAGAGGAAAGTGTGAGGCCCACGGCTGCTTTAGGCGCACACAACAACGCCAAGTTTCGTGCCACTCTCGCATCATTGCAGCCTCCTTGTTCCTCAAAAATCTCAGAATCGGCCCTTGAGCGAGACCAGTGTCTGAACGGAATATTCACAAGGTGAACATGACACTCGCGTTCAATAGAGGGCATCATGGCTAATTCATGGTTAGATGATACCTGAGTATGAGCATGCCATTAACCAAAACGCCGGACCGTGAAACAACGGCCTGTCAAGATCAACATTTTTGATATCCAGCCATCTCGAAGAAAAGCCCGGAGAACATATCGAAGACATTGCCTTCTCTCCATACCCACCAACCACCCAACGCGAAAAAAGCAGCAAGCAAGAATACATCAAACTTTTGAGAAACCCACCAGCAAAAAGTCCAAGCACCATGGACACCAGGAACGCAAAAAAGAAAAACCCGACTCGAACAACCACCGGCAACTCAAGTCAAGGTTCAAGCCGTGGACAGGGATTGAACCTGCGACCTCCTGATTTATCGGGACCACGCTAAGCGAAAGAACCACGTGCCCAAACTTAACCAGGTGTGATACCACTACACCACCACGACTAACTTGATGAGAGGACATGACTTTAGCAAGTATATGAAGGCTAAGAGACGGCGAGGGTGGTTGCGGAAGAGCAAGCTTGATTGAGCAAGTTCTGATACGTGTCCTTCGGGCTTCGGCGATGCTAGGAGGCTACGTGTGCTGCATTCGCCTGGAGTCTCCGTGATTTTGTTTGATAACTTTATAGCATGAGATCTGTCTAAGTTGGGAACTCGAGGTTGGACAAGAAAGGATGCTCGGCCAAATTCTCCCAAAATCCTAGATCAAAGTCCCAAGCTTCCAAATTCAAGTTGGAAGCCCATGGGCCCATCTGTCCAGGAGGGGCATCCGGATGAGTGTTGAGTTGACCATTCGGATGATGGTCATGCCTCTCCTCAGAATCCAGGAAGTTTTCAATAGTCTGGGCAGCTCTTGTGAGCAGTGCAAAATTCGGCTCTCTTGGATGAGATAAGGCGCCGATTTGAATTTCAGCCACAAGAATCCTCAGGTTCTGTAAGACCTTGGCGCGAGACAGGCCACCAAAGTGATGGGGATTGCGTTGCTCAAGAATTGCTAGCAATATAATGCCAGAAGCCGGCAAGCCGTAGAAGATGACTTTCCAGACAAGACCAGTTCCAGAATTGGCGAGACGATCGCGAGCAAGGACGGCTTGAACAACTAGAGTGAGCATCTCGTGTGCTATCTGGATCATCTCGTCGTCTGGCTGAGCCATACTGTTGAGTAGAACAAATCGTAGCAGGAAACTGATGTGTATATGATCCAGCCGAGCACTGATCAAGAAGTCGCGTTCGAAAGGGCTCCTTCTGTAGTCATTCAGGCAGCCAACATCATAACGCATGTGTGTGGGTAGCTGTTGCCATTGAGCTTCAGCTCTTGCACAGATTATGCTTGCTCGTTGGACGCAATTTTCGCGATTCTTCTCGATGAAAAGTTCCAAAATTTCTTCTTTGAGCTGTGCGCAGAGGGCAGCCCAACTACAGCCTGCTCTGTAATCTATTTTGATCGCGTCTGCTTGTCCGTTGCTTTCAGTGCCAGGAGCGGGCAATTCAAAAGAGTCGAGTGCGATTGGTATCCGGAAGTGACAGAATCTTCTGCTCAATCGAGGTGGCCGACCAAGGAAGATAGATACTTCTTTATCATCAGTGTATATGCGTGCGAACGCACTCTGCCTTAGCTCTACGAGAAATTCAGGGATTCTTGATCGCGTCTCGACTCGCTCATGATAACCCAGAGCAAGCATCGAGGCGATAACATCTCCGAGTCTTCGCCAAGAGCTGTAACTCTGGTCGCCGTCCACGAACGTATGCACGATGAAGTTTTCGTATTGGAAGGCGAGCTGAAGATCGTTCAGACAGTCGAGCGAAAGACAAACCTCCAAAGCGTGATCGCTTAACCGTGTAGCCAGCTTTCGAAGTCGGAACTTGTCCTCGTCTGTTTTATACAGCGGTGGGAAGAATGGGACGTCATTCGTAGCTCTAGCGACCGCCGATAGAAATATGCCCAACGTTTCCAATCTCGAATTGTGTCCAGAGAATTGAGCTACGTATGAGTTGAAAGTCGACTCCCGGTTGAAGAGTAGCGGGATTTGTGAATTTCGAGTCAAGTGTTCCATGCAAGTATCCGTCGGCTGTCCAAAGTTCAATGCTTCATCCATACTCTCCACACATGAATCCAATAAGGATTCGGCATGGGCGAGGCTGATACCCTTAGCCAACCAGAAAGACACCAGATCCTTTAGGGTGCGCAGAGGATACTCATCTAGCAGCAACTTGATTAATGTAGTGCCTTGTCTGCATGCGATGTCATCGTTGTCAAGCAATGCTGGCGCAGACACTCCGGCCGGCACGGTATCAGGTTCCGGCTGAGCACTTCCAGGTTCATGATGTCGAGGCGAGATGTGACTGAAGATTGCAGCAGAACTCAATGATCCTTGGAAACCTGGATTCGGATATGGCCGTATGGTTGGCGTCGCTGCTGCCGTCGCTGGTGGTTCAGATTCTCGAGTTTGACTACCATTACTATAACACCATCAATTGACCATTAAAAAAAAATCGTGAAATCTCTGACAAGCTGTACCTACCGTGAATTGACTATCCTAGGTGAAGGACCTAAATCTGTTCGCCGCCTTTTGAATGGAGATATTCTATACTCGCAAGCTTCGGCTCTGTTGGCGCCTTGACATCGCGTGCATACCGGCCGAACATGATCACAGGCCAATTTCGACTTCCTGCAAGGCTCGCAAGCTGCCTCTCGAGGCGGCATAATTTCTTGACGTGAATCGTGTTTTTCTTTTTGGAATGGTTAAGTCGGAGAAAGAAGATACCACATCACTCCGATTCGATAGGAGTCTTCGGCGAGTTCGGTTGGGAGCGGCTTGGCAGATCCGGGTGGTGAATGCCCCGCTCACTCCGATGACAACGACATATCATCCTTTCCGAGCATACGTCGCAGCTGGTTCTGTTGACAAGCATCTTTATCGGACTTCGATTTCTATTACTATCACGTATAGTCACTTGACGTGAACCCCGTTCTCACATCATTGGACTTGAAACCAACTCAACCATGTCCCAAACATCACAGGACACCGTCACACTCGCCGATTACGTCTTCGCAAGGCTTCATCAACTTGGCATTCGATCCGTATTTGGTGTTCCTGGCGACTATAACCTTCGACTTCTGGACTTTGTCGAACCTGCTGGCTTGCACTGGGTTGGCAATTGTAATGAACTGAACTCCGCATACGCCGCTGATGCTTACGCTCGTATTCATGGCGTAAGTGCTCTTGTCACCACGTTTGGTGTGGGAGAGCTCTCCGCTGTCAACGGTATTGCGGGGGCCTATGCGGAGAAGGCACCCATCATATCCATCGTTGGTACTCCAGCTCGAGCAACTCAGGAAGCTCGTACCAATGTACACCATACGTTCGCCGACGGCGATTTTGATCGCTTTGCAGCCATGCACACTCATGTGACCATCGCTCAGACGAACCTCTTGGATCCTCGTACCGCTCCCGAGCAATTCGACGTGACTGTGCAGCAGGCCCTGATTCACAGTCGACCGGTGTATGTTCAGATTCCAGCTGACATGGTGGATGTGAAGGTGTCCGCGGCTGGCCTCAAGTCTGAGATCTCACTACCGGCAATCGCAACTGGAGACAACGAGTCGAAGGTTACTGGTCGTGTGCTTGAACTGATGCACTCTGCCAAGAAACCACTAGTCTTTGTAGATGGTGAGAGTAGATGTCTGGATATCGTGGACGAGATCAACGAGCTTGTCAAAGTCACGGGGTGGCCTGTTTGGACCTCGCCATTTGGTAAGGGCTTGGTTAACGAACACTTGGAGAGCTTCCAGGGTATTTATAACGCCGACCTGGGTAGCAAAGGCGCGAAGGACTATTTTGAGTCAGCAGATCTCGCTTTGGTGTTCGGACCTCATTTCAGCAGCACCAACACAGCATTGTTCTCGACCATACCGAAACAGGCAAATTCTGTTTCCTTCTCCGAACGTCATGTCAAGATCGGGACCGAGCTCACTCGCGATGTTTCGAACAAGAAACTAGTAGCAGAATTACTGAAACAGCTGGACCGCAGCAAACTCTCGAGACCTGAGACTCCCTCAAATTCTGGTCCGGCACAACCTTCCACCGAGCCATCTGGCCTACTTACTCAAAAAGATTTCTATAGATTTATCAACCCCTTGCTGAAGCCTGGTGACATCGTCATGGGCGAGACTGGTACCGCTTCTCATGGTACTCGTGATCTCATATTGCCTACTGGAAGCGTCTACTTCACCGCAGTCACTTGGCTTAGCATTGGGTACATGCTTCCAGCCGCACTTGGAGCCGCAATGGCACAACGCGATTCGGAGAAATGGAAGAACAGGTCCGGCAGCAACAAGGGTGGCGAAGATCGCGTAGTCCTCTTCATCGGCGATGGAAGTTTACAGATGACTGTGCAAGAGATCAGCACCATGATTAGAGAAAAGCTGAACATAGTCATCGTCGTCATCAACAACGACGGCTACACAATCGAGCGCGTGATTCATGGACGCAAGCAGACCTATAACGACATTGCGTCTTGGAGATATCTGCAAGCACTCAACATGTTTGGCGCCACCGAAGAAGAAGTTGCCAACAACACGTTCTCTGCACAGACCTGGGGTGGGCTGAAAGAAGCGATGGATTCAGAGACACTCAAGAACGGTAAAGGAGTCAGAATGCTTGAAGTGTTTATGGAGCGTGAAGATGCTCAGGGTTTCTTGTTGAAACTTTTGAACAACCAGAAAGCTCGCGAGTCATCAAAGATGTAAATATCGTGCAACTTATATACGTATATACGAGATCATGCAAGAAGTGAATCATCCTGAGGCAGGAGCCAACAAATGGAAAACACATTGCCATAATGGTCGGAAGACACTGTTACGCGGCAATGTCGTTGCAAAATCTTGCACCACTCTCGGAGACTTGATGCTGTACCACCATTTCCCTGAAGACGATGATGTCTTTGTGATCACAACGGTCTACAAATTCGAGATGAACGAAGATGGTGCACACATTAATTCTTTGTCTTCACAATGCCAAATCTTGATATTATCCTGAATTCTTAAGGCCGTACAAGAACGGAAAGCACTAACCGACGTGTCCGCGTCTCATCGGCTGCCAACTTCCCTATCGGATATCATCCTTTCCGAGGGTCATTCCACCGGTACGGCTTTCAATTGCTTATCTGCCACATCGACGCAAGGGGGTTAAGGAAACGTTATACTGAAAGTTTACTCCGAAGGAAGCACAAAGGTCAATACTCCGAATTGTCCGAATATCTGGTTGACCATTCATATATCTATACTTGATTTCTCCGCTTCGACCATACGTACCTAGAGTATTTCCAATTCAATTGTATCCAAACTGGCAAGAAAGACTTGATCAATTACTATACCTCAATTTCGCTTTCGGATAGTTTTTCATCAATTCAACTCGTTACACAAAATCATGTTGTCGCAAGCAATCGCTCAATACACTGAGCACAGAACCATTTCTTCTCCATTGCCTTCTGGTCCCGCTCCCTTCACCTCTTCCGAAGACTTCAAACTCTGCCGACCAAACTCCAAGCCCAAGTCTAAAAACTGGGATCATCATCTCAGCACAGAATGCCGTAACCGACTACCTTCAAACCTCAAAGCGTCAGCCAGCAGTGTAAAGCCTGGATCAGACGGTGCACCGATAATCCCACAGCGACAGATCAGTCTGGGAGCCGGCCGACCAATTCCAGAGTACTTTCCTTGGGATGGCTTGCAGCTTTCTGGCAAGACGTCGAGGGCGTCTGGGGTAGAGGATGAAGCTGTTGTGATGCCTTGTATGCGCGGCGAGCAAGATTTCGATTTTGCTGTTGCTTTGAACTATGGCTATGCTGCTGGATCACCACAGCTGTTGAGGTTCATCACAGAGCATATCGAGATGATCCATGACCCGCCGTACGATGATTGGGAAACTTGTTTGACAAGTGGTACTACATCAGCTATGGACACGGTGTTCCGCATGTTCTGCAACAGAGGAGACTGGATCGTTACAGAAGAGTACTCATATCCCGGAGCCATCGAAGCTGTCACGCCGCTTGGGATCAACATCCTCGGTATTAAAATGGATGGCGAAGGTCTTATCCCGGAAGATCTAGAGGCGAAATTGAGGAACTGGGATCCGACTAGAGGAAAGAAGCCGTCGCTGATGTATATTGTGCCTTGCGGACAGAACCCCACAGGCGCCACCCAATCGACAGAGAGAAGGAGGAAGATCTATCAGATTGCTGAGGAACACGATTTGTACATCATCGAGGATGACCCGTACTACTTCCTCAAGCTACACTCAAGATCGGAGTTCGGAGAAGACGCACCAATGCCCGTTGACGAGTACCTTCGCCAACTGCCTCCTTCCTATCTCTCCATGGATGTTTCCGGCCGTGTCGTACGCCTGGACGCTACATCCAAAATCCTCGCACCCGGACTCCGATGCGCATGGATGACATGTTGCTCCCAAATCGCCGAAAAGTACATGAACTACACAGAAGTAGGCAGTGTTGCACCCTCCGGCTTCTCGCAGGTAGCCATGTACAAGTTGCTCGATGTGACTTGGGGTCATGATGGGTTCATCCGTTGGTTGTCATTCCTATCTCACCAATACCGTCAACGAAGAGATGCTTTGGTAGCAGCGTGTGAGAAGTATCTGCCTCCAGATCTGTTCACATGGGTTGTCCCTGAAGCTGGCATGTTCCTGTGGTTGCATCTGCAATCACCTACGCCACGCATTCCGTGCGTATCTTGCTCGGACTGCTCGATTGAGAAGGAGAAGACTGCATTGTTGGACCTCGAGGAGAGAATCTACAATCGTTCAATGGAGAAGGGAGTCGTGATTAGCAAAGGCAGTTGGTTCGCGGCCGAGCCCGATCAACTCAAGGGAGTCAAGCTGCGTCTGACTTTCGCTACTGCGCCTTTGGACAGCTTTGACTGGGCAGTCAAGCAATTCGCAGATGCCGTGAGAGGAGAGTTGTCAAAGTAGTAGATATTCGTTCTGTATGAGATATGACACATTATGCTTCTACCATTCACTCGCGCGTCCTGGAGCTGTCGTGGCAGCGACGAGGAAGAATGCGGTAGAAAGTATTTCTGCCAGACAAGAATTTGTCCGCGCTCAACCAGTCTTCAACAGCACATAATGCAGGTTTCTCCGATTCGCTTCCTGTCTCATGCCCTTTGGCTTAGGAACACTGATTTGCGGCAAGAACAGTGGATGATGTGTAGACACGCCCATCTTGATCCCTGCAGCTGTCCCTCCTGTCATCAAATATCCTATTCCTCCTTTTACTGAACGTGTAGCTGTACCGTCAGATCCGATTGTCGCGATGGTGGCTCGCTTTTTTGTTGATGGGTCTTTGCGTAGATCTTGCCATGTGTAGGAGCTTGCCGATGGTGCGGCTGTGGCGCGTTGGGAGCGATGATGTGGTGGTGTCGTGGCGGAGACTTGAGGATGATGGTCTGGAGACATGGTGTGTTTGTGTCGACGACGTGGTATCCGGTTACCACTGCTGGCTGGCATGTTGATCTTCGGAAGAACAATATCAGGTTCGGCTATGTAGGATGACGATATAGTGAAGTTTGACGGAATGATCGAGGAGAAGACAGAATAATAATGTATCAAGGCGGAAGCGTTGGGTGCGTGAGAATACTTTCAATGATATAGATTGAAGGTAGGAACGACTTGGGCATCGGTTGTCTCAACAGGGAAAGATCTACCTACACTTTCTACTTTGCAGACTTTCTAGCAACTTGCTCACTGACACCTGCTTCATTACCGGCGCCCGGCATGGGCTGTGATATAGCCTCTTCGACGTTCTTCTGCAGACCCACGCCAGCGACATTGCTCTGCTTGGTCTTGTTTAACATGCTCTCACCAGCATCCATACTAGGTGGCTCTTCTGTCAAGACTTTGCCTGTAAACTCTCCATTGGCCGAATTGGGCGACAACACAGGACCGGTACTCGAGGATGTCGACAGACGAGGAGAATACGGCTCATGGCTTCTAGTAGGCCCAAGGCCGCGATGGACTTCGGCGGACTGACGCTGTTTGGCAGGGCGTATAGTGCTGTCGGTGCTCTGTTTCTTCGGAGCACCGCCGCCACCTACCCATGTCGCACCATCGCTTTCACCTTGGTTGAGATGGAGGAATCTTTGAACTTTGGCTGCATAGCCCTCCTCTTCATCATCATCGTCGTCGCTGCCCTCGAAATAGATGTCGTCCCATACAGCAGAGCCTTGCGGGTTGAGCTTATGCTTAATAGCACCACTGGCGCTGGCTTGAAGTGGTTTGAGTTCATCCCGGTCCTCGCGCATGTCCGACGCACGTCTTTGGAGAGGGTTCAGCTCGTTCTGTCCTTTGACTTCCTCTCCAGCATCGTGATCGGCTTGCGAGTAGTCTTTGGCCCGATCGATTGCGGGCTCGTCTTCGTCCCTGGTGGTCGCAGTGAACGTATCTCCGAAATGCGTGTCGCAAAGATGCTTGACTACAGGCCAGCCATAGGCATTCGCAAACATTCTTCGTACGATCATGTTGTTGTGCGCATCGGGCTCGAGACGCACCAGTACTTTTCGCCATGACAGGTCTTTGTGGTATGCTCGCGCGATCTTCTCTTCGACCTTCATGTTTCCTGTATCGATAGAAGCCGCGTCATCGCGTGACTGGGATTTACCAAACGATGTAGAGTCCGATGAAAAAGAGCGTCCAAGTCTATTGGGACGCTTCATCGGAGGCGGCGGGATGTCTTCGGGGTGGTAGATTCTGTCATGGAAGATGGTGCGATCGCGAGAAGCTGGATCAATAAGCCAAGTGGTCGATGGAATGGGTGGGTGCAGGATATCGCTGGCTGCCTCAAAGATGGAAGTACTTGGCGGCGCTTGAGCGTCGGGGTTAGAGGTCATGGAACCTCCTCGAGTAGCACCGGGACGCTTGCTTGGCCTCATCGTTGGGTTATCTGTCGTGCCTCTACTGTTTCGGCGAACCTTTTGATGGACTTCGTGGTCAGAAATGTCATCGGGGCCCTCGCCATCGCCCTTGACATCGACCGTTTGACCACGACGCACGGCCTTCGTTGTCCTTGAGGACTGACGTTCAGGAGTAGGTCCAGGCCGGAAGAAGCTGAACAACCCATTGAGGATTCCACCGCTCTGATTTTCAGAACTGGTCGAGGAGCTGCCACCACTTCCGTGATCCTGTGTACTCAAGAATTGGCTCTTCGAAGGCTCAGTGGCAGAAGTTGTAGAATCTCTGTTATCGTTTGTGGTCGCTTCCGAGGGAGGTTGAGGGACATCATTGCCCTGCTTTCCCTGGGGAGTAGGAGTGTCAGCTCCAGATCCTTCGTCGTCGTTGCCAGTGGCACTTCCGACACCCGAGCTTTTGAGTGCCTTCGGCAATGCGTTGGCACCTGTCAGCTCTGCCCATCCGAACTCGGCCAATGTACCTATCAGGCCGTTCTCGCGGCGTGCCTTGTCTACCTTACCAAGACCGCCCCAATCGAGGAACAGCAGACAACTAGTCCGCAGTGGTACGATACCATCGTTGACGACGTTTGAGTACACAGTCCTGTTGCGGAACATGCGCAAAACAGTATGAGCAGGACCAGTAGGAAGGATACGCAAAAGAGGCTTTGCTCCTGGGTCTTCTTGGTGCTCCTCTTTGGATCCAGCTCCAAACCCTCCCATCATAGCGTTCCAACCGCTCTTGGCAATGTTGGGAGCGCGCCATGTCAATCCAAGATCTTGTCCCGTACGCCCTACCAGACCGAAATCTAGAGCAAACTTTACATACATGGGATTCTCGTTACTCAAGCCAAGCATGGGAGAGGCCATACAGATGAAATTGGTAGGCTGAATCTGTTCAAAGAAATGCGGTGCATGCTTTTGGATGTAGGCAACAGCATATGTCTGAATCAGACCACCAAGACTGTGCCCGATAAAACTGATGCTGGTAAAGGTATACGGCAACTCATCGGCCTTGCTGTCATCGTGGTGGATGCTACTTCCTTGGTGTGCTGGTTCGCCGTCTCTGGCAATTTTAGTTGCCTGAGATTTGAACTGGTCGGTGAAGGATCTGGTCATGGACTTTTTGACGGGTTGGAATGGTTGGTCGGGGTAGGTGAAGTTCAGCACAAACTTTGCAAGACGCTTCCCGAGGTACTGAATACCTTTCTCGGTCTTGACAGCATTGCCGCTGAAACCACGCACAATGACTTGCTCTTCGTCCTCGTCGCCATCATCATCGAGATCCTCTTGGCCTCCGGAAAGCGGGGCAGTTGTAGCTTCTTCGTTTGGGTTGTCGTCTGACGACGGATCTGGCTGATCCGAAGAAGCAGAGGCTTGTTGAGACTTCTTGTAGGCGGCTTTTCTCTTTCTCGCGTCGATTCTCGCTTGCCTGACAGTGGCGTCTATGCTTTCTTTCATGTACAACATGTCGGCTCCGATGTTGCTATGCAGACCATGAGTGAGAACTACAAGGTGGATTTTCTTCTTCTTCTTGGGAGGCTCATCTCGAGCCTCTTCGATGCTAGCCTTTGTTTCCTTGGACTTGCGGACCGACTCTTTCGAGGATCGGACATGTTTCGGAAGGTCGTTGGTAGGGAGGGCGGGCTTGTCCCAGAGTGCCTGAGTGTCCTCGACGACAAGCTTGACAGCGCGTGAGTACAGGCCTTTTTGTTGACCTGCATGGTCTCTGCGCCTGTCCTTCTGGTGATCTTGTATCTGGCCAGGAGTGCCATGGCCGTGGCCGGCAACAGCGGCAAATCCAAGGTCTAAGCTCCTTTCATCCCGACCGACCAGGAGCTCGAAATGAACAGCGGCAGTGTTGGAGAACAGGATCTGTGAAGCGACCTCTATTATCCATGTGGCGCTCGGCGGCTCTTTCTTGCTGTCGTCTCGGTCGGTATGTTGCGACAGGCGGTTCTGACGGCCGGATGCAAACGTGTTGCCAGTCTCTCGGATCTTCTCGGGGACAGTCAACTTGGTGGACCAGCTCGAGCCTGCTTTGAGTAGCGGTTCAAAATCCGGCACACCCTCGGTCTGCGGATCCTCGACTTTGTGGTTGGGGTTGAACGAAGCGGGATACGACGCGACGTGCAAGTTGTACGGACCGTGGAGGTAAGCAGCGCGCAAAGGTATGGCCGAAGTGTTTTTGATCTTTAGATGTAAGTGCGAGGGACTGGGCAGAATGCGATCGTTGCTGGGCGTGTAGGTCAAGGTAAATCTACAGCCTCGTTAGCATGCCGCACTCGACGCGCATCAAGACGGCAGACATACCGCACCACTTCTCCCACCTTCACACTGCCGGCTTGGTGTATGAGCAACATGCTTGTCGCGTCAGCAGCAACAGAGTGCCTCTGCAATCGATGCCTTTTGGCCCTCCTGTAGAATGATCAAATATGTCCACCTGACCATCGACTTATGATGCAATCGTCAAGCTCATCGTCTTGTTCGTGTATAGGATGCTAGCAGTTGTCGACGAGACACAGAAGCTGCATCCTCACAGGCGTAAACAGAGAACAGAAGGGATGTCCTTTGCATCTTCATTCGTCATACACGAAACCGTCAACATCCGTCAAATGTTTTGATCCGAAAGGCCGGTGACGCTTTGGCTGCTCAGCCACAATCGCCAAACTTCCGCCATCCGTCCTTGACCATCTTCAATCATCTTGTCTAGACTCTGCCCTTTCGCAAGCTGTAAAGTCGCTGTCAAAAGGTACAATGTTTTTCGTGACGGATGCTTGTCCAGAGGAAACAGCTGCTCTCAGTGGATTTAGTCTGTATCTGCAGTGCATCTTGCCTTTCGATGGCTAATTTGAAGGTATCGGAGAAGGCTGAGAGGCAGATTGGTCGCTCCTTCTTACCTGGTATTTGCCATTGAGGACGAGATAACTTTGGCTTCGCCACTTTGTTACACAACACCGCCCATCAAAACCACCCATCAAAACCATCCATCAAAACCATCACATCAAGCATCGATTCTATTACTATGTCTGAAGGAATGGATCCGTCAGCAGCCGCTCCGATGAATCTCGAGGACCGACAAGCAAATGCCATCGAATCTTTTCGTGCTCGATGCATAGCGACCGGATCTGCGTCAGACGAGAGCTCCCTCGGCACCCTCGACACAATCTTCTTATTTCACAAGCGCGAAAGCCTTTTAATGTTCAAGGACATGGTTCGGAATTTCAAGTTTAGCCAAGCCGTCGAGACTATCGTCTACTGTCCTTTACGCTTCGTCAACCGGCCAGAACATCGAAGTCGGCTGTCGCGTCAATGTGAACTTGCAGGCAACTACAATGCACGACCATACCAGACCTTGCTGGATTACGACGGTGTTGTGGGATTGCAGCAAACCGATGCATTCAGACAATTCGCGAACATGTCTCTGACTCAGGCTCGATCCGTCTGTCAAAAGCTCAACCACGTTGTGCTGGATTGTCTTGTGTACACGAAAAATGGCATACACAACCGATATACCGCATTCGAGAACGTTCTGTTGATGAGCAAATCATTAGAGCATTAGGAGCCTCTCACCTACCAAGACGATACACTGAACGCCGTTATCGCAGGTTTGGGCGAGGGCCCGCGTCGTTTGGCCTCCCTGACCATGGTCAACGTCTCGGTCCCTACAAACCTCAGCCGAGCGGTTTTTGAGCAACTGAAGCACGTCCGCGTTATCGAATCGACATACAATCGCTTTACCGACAGGGACATTGCGGGCCCCAGAGTATATGGCTTAGCTTTGGTCTGTCATGCCAAGATGCTCGAATCCCTTCAACTTCGAAGCAACTCGTTGTTGATGGGTGACGCAGACATTCTGCTCGCTCAGCGATTTGTCAATTTAAGGTACTGCAGAATCAGCGGTCTCAAAGTGTCCAGTGCTGCTGCTTTCGCAGTGTTCTTCTTGGCTCATGCGGAAACACTTGAATACTTGGTCCTCGGCAACATCTACCTCGCATCCGGCACATGGCAGACATTCCCCACGGTCCTCAAAGGTCAGATGAAGAGATTGAAACAAATGAAGCTCAACGCACTCTATCAGCCCGGTCACGACTTGCCCCTCGAAGACTGGCAGACGGACGAGATCATAAAGGACATTGTGTTATCTGACGGCGAGGAGCATGGTTCACTATTCATGCATTGCTATCCTAATATTGGGCCGCAGGATGATTACAACGATGATTACAATGATCATGGGAAGGTCGTGTGGTAAAAGTGGTTGCTATGCGGGTACACTCTTTGACGGTATGGAGCTTTTTATTTGTCTCACCAAAACAGTCCTTACCGCGGTATTGAATTGAGGATGGGAGGATATCAAGTTATCACAGACAGACTTCGCACAAGCAAAACCCTCATTGTTTCCTATCCTTAAGTTGTGTTTCCATCGTGAGGACAGTGAATTGGTCGTGCTCTCAGTGGAAAGTCTCCAAGTTTTGAACGTCTGTGTGCATTTTGACAGCTAGTGAAATAGTGACGTTGGTAGGCAGAGAGGTGGAGCGTACCTAGTTGCTCGGACGGAAGCGGAAAGGGACGGGTGCTGAGTAAGGCGATAAGAGATAACGAAGTGGATTACCCCGCCGCATGGGTAGACCGTAGGCAAGCAAGGCAAGGTAGGGTTTCTGGAAGGCATCATCATACTCATCATAGGTCGCATACGGCCTCACCTCGCAAAACGAAGCCAAGCTCGGTGCCTGACAAGAGTCGTCGTGGCAGCGAAAAGCAAAAGACGACAGGTACTTTCACCTCAGCTGGGCTGAGCTACCTATTCCATCATCGCGTCCATCGTGCACCCCGCCTGACCTTCCCTTCTTCTTTCTACAAGACCCAAAGCTTCACGGCAAGAACACAACCAAAGGCCTATCCATCATCATGTTTGGCTTCATAGCTGACATCCTCACGTACGAGAGAGAGCTTCTGATATGGAGAAAGCACAACTGATACGCCCATCACAGCTCGGTGACATCGATCCTCTTCCCCATCTTCGCATCGTACAAGGCGCTGCGCAGCTCGGACCCAGCACAGCTAGCACCATGGCTGATGTACTGGACCACCCTCTCACTCGCTCTCGCCGCTGAATCTTTCCTCTACCCCATCCTCAGCTGGGTACCTTTCTACTCCTGGATCCGCCTCGGCGCTCACCTCTATCTCGTTCTCCCTGGCCAACAAGGCAGCGTCTTCGTCTACCAAAACTACATCCATCCCTTCCTTTACGAGCACGAGCGCGAAATCGACCGCTTCATCTCAAACAGCCATGAAAAAGCAAAGCAAGCTGGCCTGCAATACCTCAAGCAAGGTATCGAATGGGTCAAGGTTAATCTCATGGGCATGCAACCTCGTCGTCCCACTCCGCCCGCCAGCAGACAAGTGAGCTACAGTCAAGCCCTGTACAACCGCTTTGTCATGCCCTCAGCCCGTCCTGAAGGCTACACCGGTCCCGGATCCGCACAATCTGCTCCCGGCGCCAACGATCTCATCTCCATGCTCGGCAACGTGATGGCTCAAGCCTCCGGCCCAGCAGGATCCTCTCGCTCCCGCGACGCACAAGCAGAAGACCTCAGCGCCAGTGGCAACCTCGTTCCTCCACACATGTCCGGCGACGAACGCACTGCCTTCATCTCCACTCAGAAAGACCGCTTGCGTACACTTCTCCAGGCCTTCGACAACGAAGCTTCTCGCGAACACACTGCTCCCTCTTCACCACCTTACCCCACCAACGATGGCCCGGGCCCCAACTATCAAGACTACTTGAAGCCTGTTGCTGAGGGTTTGTTGAACAGAAGTAGAAGTGAGCAGGAATTTGAGGATCTGGGCTATGAGCACGTTCCCAAGGCTGGAAGTAACAAGCCCAGTCCTAGATTGGGAGACAGAAGTGCCAGTTGGAGTAAGTGGGTTTGGGGTAATTATGGAGAGAAGGATTCGGCTGCTGGACAGAAGAAGAATGATTGATCGGCTTGCTATTGAGTAGCATGACTGGGTAGGTAGATAGGGTTTTATCGGACAAGGACTGGTGTTGGGTGGTTTGGTATGGCTGGCTCGGATCGGATTGTTGGCGTTTTTATCGGATGTTCTCTACGTCTTTTCTTCCACTTCTTTACTCCATTTCGCTCCACGTGACCTAGTTTATCATTACAATCAAGGGACCATGTGTCCTAAACCTCGCATCGGAAACAAAAAACGTGTACCAAAGAGTGAAGTTTATTCAATACGCATATGTGTATGCGGCTAATTGGGCAGAGAAGGGAAAAAGGAAACCCGTAGACGTAAAAGTACAGTATATGCAAGAGATGCAAGAGATGGGGGAGGTTCATGCATCGTGTTCCCTCAATTAGGTTTCATATTCTCGAGATCGTTTTCGCGATTATCCGCTCTTGCTTCATCTAGCATTTTGTCGATACCTCGTTCTTTGAGTGCGCGCTGTGAGTTCCCATGTCAGTTTTTCACTTTACGAAAAGGTATTGAGAAATGAGAGGAAGAAAAGGGGAGAAGACAGAGTTGGATAGAATGGAGGGGAAAGATTGGTAGGGAGAGAAGGTGAGGGGCTTACGCTTAAGCATTGCTTGTATCTTGCGAATAGAGGTTCGCATTCATCTGACGTTGCTGTGCCGCGGAGGTATTCTATGAGTGGTGTAGTCAGTATAAGATTACTTAGAAAGTCGAGTTCTTGTGTTGCTTCTCTGTCTTTGTCTTTGATTGGTGATGAACAGCAACAAGACAAATTCTTGATATCCCTTGAGCTCATCATGTGAGAAATTCCACAGAACGAAATCTTCCAAAGAGTGAGAGACAGAAGAGAAAGAGAAAATTGACGACAGGAGAGGAAAAGACAAATACTGATATCCAAAAGGGAGAGGCAGAAAAGGGCGAGTACTCACTCTCGCTATACCATTTCAAAAAGCAACTGTCGTAGCGCCTAGAGACGAAAAGATTCATGTCAGCTAAACCCCTCTTTCAACTGATACAAGCAATTGCAGTCGAACATAACAAGTAAACCACGTCGTTCTCCTGAGTGAAAAACTTACTCCTTGACCTCATTACACTCCGGCGCCAATGATGCCGACATTTCTTCTCTGGTTGATGTCTGTTTCCTTTGTGTTGTGTGGATTTGTTATATCGTGGTGTCTTTCCAGATGCAGATGTCTCGACGATAGGATAGATGTTGAGTTGTTCGAGGAAAAGTGGATGTGTGAATTGCGGTATGTCGTATTTCGGTGACTAAGAAAGGCGATGTTGGTGGAATTTAGAGATGGAAGAGGTACGGTGGAGATATGTGTGGCGTTGCAAGTGGCGCAGCAGCCAACAACGCCACGAATTTGAAGAACCTCTAAATGTCGATATTCACCTTTGCTTAAACAACACAATAGCATATCCTTATAAAAGGATGGTCATGAGGAAAGTCCTGTTACTCGTGGGACTTGATCTATGTTTCACATTCCTCAACACTCTTTCGGTCTTTACACTCTGTGACTTGACAAGGATACTATGCAAAGGGGAAATGTAGATGGTCTATGTCCGTATATTCATCAAACTCTACACATCTTCGAGGGGTGAGCTCATTCTAAACTCGGAACTCTGCTCAACTCCCCATCCTCCTTTTGTGTGTTGATCGATAATCCCCCCAAAAACTGAAAATTGAAACGCCTAGCTTTGATCGTAACACAGGAAAGGTATGACCCCAGCCCCCAAAATATTCGTCCTTCCCTTTCATGCAATTGAGAAACAAAAGGATCTGAGGTATCGTGAAAGAGGAATTGAAAAACTTTTGCTGCTTTTTTTGCTTCATGCTGCTGCTGGTTTTACTTTTCGCTCACATCTCCAATCTACCTTGCAACAGCGGCACTGAGGACTTGAGTGCGGAAGAATCCACCCTTGGTTCTCTCAATGACCTGCTGGTACACTGACTGTGGCGGGTGGTTCATGACCACGGTGCCCTCCTTGTAGTCAATCTTTGCGTCGACGCGAGTGTCACGGATCAAGTTGACGATCCACTTCTCACCCTCGTCCTCGGACAGACCGAGACGCTTGGAGAGGTCCCTAAAGATTGGAGTCAGTAAGTTTGTCGTGGCAGATACTGTCAGGGAAGCACATACTTGATATCTATTCTCTGGTGGATCTTGCAGTATGATTCTGAGATAAGATGTCTGGCGGCATCCTTGAAAGCGTCACTGGTAGCGACAAGGAAGAAGTCGTTGCGCAGAATCTCGTCGGCCTCGCCGAGCTTCTTCTGGGCCTCCTCGAAGTCGAAGTCGACGTAGAGAGCCTTGACGAACTCGCAGACGGGGTCGCTGTACTCGTAGGTTTCTTGTCTGACGATGCGGATCAGGTCCTTGAGCTGCTTCTGGTACGAGTTCTGGCCGTTCTTGCCAGCAGGGCGGTTACGGTTGGTGATGACGGCAGCGGCGAGATAGCGCAAGATCCAGGGGCAAGCGGTCTGAATGGTGTTGATGTAGGTGGGGGAGAAGAAGAGGTCGGTGAGCTGATCGCGGGCGGGCTCGTGGTTGAAGAAGGGGAAGAGCGACCAGTGAATCAACCAGCTGCGGTGCTCGAGTTGGGCCAAGGGGTTGGCGAACAGGCGTGTGTCGATGTTCTCGCGGACCTTCTGTACCTCCTCCATAGCGGATTCCCAGTTGGTGGTGAGGATGTCCGAGGCGAGTTTACCCCATGTTGCTGCCGAGACCTTGTCGTTATCGGTGCTCTGCGAGATGTGTCAGTTTGTGGGTAGATTGAGACGTTTGCGAAAGTCTGAGCGTACAAGAATACGGAACTGGTAAAGCAGCTCAGAGGCGCTGTTGTAGTCGCCGCAGCTGTACTGGAACTGGCCAAACTCGTACAGAGCGTCAACCATTTCGATGGTCACGCCGTGGTTCTCCTTGAGGTAGTTCAAGTTCTGGACTTTGTCGGAGCGCAAGTTGTTGACGACCTCGGTATCGGCCAGCAGGTCCTGGATCTTGGAGCACTCGTCTTGGAGTTGCTCGCGCTTCTTGAGGACCTCATCGCGCTTTTGAACGTACTCCTCCGGGCGCTCGTCCAGGTTGTTGATCTTGGCGAACAGGTCACCGACGAAGTCGGTCATGTTGGTGTGCTTGAGCAGCTCGAACTTGAGCTTGTTGTGCTCGAGCGAGGGCTCGTCGACATCCTCCTGGTCCTCGAGGAATTGCAACAGAGGGAAGACGAGATGACGGTCGAGGTGGGGGATGAGAGTGGGCAGAATCGATTGCTGCTTAGCAGCGTCGGCGGTAGCGGCCATGATTGAATGCGCTGGGCGAGAAAGATGGTCGACGGAGTGGTGAGTTACGGCGGCGCTGTCTGGGTCGTCGCTGCCAGTTTGACTGAATTTCTCGCGTTGGCTGCAGAAGCCGCCGAACCTCCGCACCGCATGGCTTGGCGCCATCGACCGACACCTAGCAGCAGAAAAGTTGCCCACCACCACCGCCCTGTATCGCTCATCACCACCACAACCATGTCGTTCATGCAACCCGTCATGCCCTTTCTGCGTCCCTTGGGACCTCCGCGTCCGGCCACTGTCCGCCAATTCCTGCGCTTCTCCACCTCCACCATCCGATCGGGTACATCTTTTGCACACACCTCGCAATCCCGCAACATGCACTGACAGTATATTCCAAAGATGTATACACTCCTCCCACTGTGGATCCCAACCTCGTCGCCTCGCGCTCCGCTTCTCCATCATACCCTCCTACATCGCTCAAGTCGATCCCGCGACCTCTCACATCACACGCCTCACACCGTACCTCGCAACCAACAAAGATCCGCAACTACCCAGATCGTGTCTCGCAGAAGGACGCACCTGCGACTCTCGAGACTCCTACTCTTCCCGAGTCAGAAATCGCTCCCAACCTTCCATACTTTGTCACCAGGACACCTTCGAATGAATTGCCCATCTACACTTTGAGGAAACGCGGAGGCAACATGCGATTGACCCGTGTCAAGAAGATCGACGGCAACATCGATGTCCTGCGCGATGCGCTCCAGATGGAGCTGGGTGTACCAGACGCCGAGTGTGTTATCAACAGACTTACCAACCATGTCATGATTAAAGGTTGGCACAAGCCGCGGATAGAGGCTTTCCTCAAGGCTCGCAACTTCTAGACAAGTACGCCCGTCTTTTGTCTCCTTCTCTGTATACCTTTGTATCATATCACATGGAATCTTGTCATATATGGGCGTTCTGGAGAGACTGCACGTCTCGAATCTTTGTACAATAAATGTAAATTGCGCCGTTCTCTATCGGCTTGAGGGGAATACCAAGCCTTGATACGGCTTCCAGAAACGCCTCGCTATGCCTGTCCTATGCCTTTGTCGATGCCATGGTCGTGAAATATAGAAATACATCTTCGTCTACTGCTCTGCGTCCTCCACATCCTCCATCGTTACCGCCTTGCCCTTGCCTTTGTCAGCTGGTTGGTCTTGTTCTTCGGTGGCTGTCTGCTCGCTGCTGCTTTCGCCTTGGACATTGTCAAAGTTCCAGCTCGAGCTTCCTCCCCATCCGTTAGTTTCAGTGGTTAGCGGGCTGGGAACTGACTGAACTGGGGCTTCCATAGTAGCGTGCTCAGCAGATTCGGCTTGAACATCAATGCTTGGGGCGTCTGGCTGTTCGGCCTGACTCTGCGAAGAGGCACCCTGTTGAGGCGATGGAGATGACATCACCTCACTGGGTCCAGAAGAGCCTGCTTGAGGAGGTCCCACGGGAACTATCTCATTATCCTGGGTAGATTGGCTGGGAACCAAAGCCTCCGAAACACCCGTGCCCGTTGATTGCTCAGTCTCTTGTTGTTGAGCCAGGGCTGTCGATTGTTCGCTTTCACTCTCCTGGGCCGGAACTTCAGGTGCTGGAATCGTCACTGTAGGCGTAGGTACTGGAGGTTGTGTCTGTGGCATACCACCACCGAGCTGTGCAGTGCCCTCGACTCTATTAAGAGGTGTGAGAGTCCAGCCTTCAGGTAATACGAGACCAGGCGGTAGCGCTTCGTGCCCCTGGGTCATCGGTTCCTGTCCTGCACCGGGTTGAAATGCTTGCGGTGACATGAAACCAGCGCCAGGTCCCATCATATTAGGGGGTGGGAAGGTGTTAGGCATTGCCGGTCTTGCAACCGTCGAAGAACCAGGAAGACCCTGCCCAGCCTGGTTATTGCTGTAATGGGCGCGAAGTCTGGCCAACTCTGCTTCCAAGGCACGCACGGTTGCAAGCTGAGTCTGCTCAATTTGCAAGCGACGTGTCTCTTGCAGCAGACGCTCTTCTATCTGCAGGAATTGGAATTGAGTATCGACCGATCTTGCACCAGCCAAGCCACCAAGGCCTGGGGTGACAGCAGGTGTCGCATTACCAGTGGGAGTGCCGTTCTGCTGTGCACGTCGCTGGTTCAGAGCGTCTTGTACGCGGTTGGCAGGTCCATTGTAGACACCAATGCGGATCGGACCGAGGTTAAGCATGCGCAATCTAGGCTGAGCTGGTCGGTTGCCGTTGTTATTATTATCCGCATTGGGAGCACCTCCCTGAGCATTACCTCCTTGCTGTGCATCGCCATTAGCACCACCGTCTGCATTCTGATTACCAGCTCCTGCGCCATTAGTGGTAGAAGCACCAGTAGGAATGACCGGGCGGCGACAAGTGGGACATGCTTGCTGTCGCTCGAGCCAGGCCTTGAGGCAGCGCAAATGAAGAATGTGACCACATGGTAGCTTCTTCGCACGCATACCCTCATTGATGAGGCTGGGTCTAGGGGCTTGCCCCGCGGCGTCTGGCTGGCCCCACGGCACCATGACCTCTCTACAAACAATACAGGTATTGTCGTTTGTCAATTCTTCGCTGGTGGCATCCGGGTATCGGCTGTTCATGTTCTGAGTTGCCTTGCGGTAGTTGTTGTAGTCCTTGACTCGCTTAACAAATGACGCGAAGGTCAGGTAGACGTCGCGTATGATATGCATGGGCAGTCCCATGAAGGTCAAGGAGATTCCGAAGAAGATGGTGTAGATGATGAGCTTGACAAAGTCTGGGATGTGTTAGCTTTGATCGAGTTGATGAAGACGGGAGCATCTCACCTGTCGCAAGCTCCAGGCCGAATAGCCAGCGACGCTTGTCTTCCCAGCCTGGAACATCAATCTCGTTTTCATCCACGTCTTCTTCACTCGGCAAAGGAGGAAGACTATCCGGATCTGTTGATTCTTCGCGCTCGCGTTCCAGACGTTCTCTTTCTGTGCGGATCTCTGCTCTCCGTTCATCCATCTTGGCTTTTGTCTGCAGCTGTAATATACGTGCTTCCACCAAAGCCAGGATGTAGCGGAAGAGGCTGAACAGGGAGAAGATCAAAAGAATGGCGAATTCGAAGGTGAAGATGACCATCATTCCCGGGCGAGGGTCGTCCTTGACAATGGCAATGCAGTATCGTAGCATGCCAGAGCTGAATGCGGTAGACAAGAGTAATGATGAAGCGAGACGTGCGTGGAAGAGGCGGGGGTTCTGTGGCGGTTGTTGCTCGAGTATGTCAACACGACCTTCGCCGATCCAGCTCCAGACCTTGCCAGCTAATAGCAGCACAAAGACAGCGAGCATCCATCCTCCAACCTCATCCCTCAACGAGGGCATTGCCAGGAGGGTGTCGAGGACGGCATACCAAGCCTTTTCCGAAAGATGCTCAATCTCGACGGGGCGGAGGGGGCCATAGAAGAGACGTTGGAGGCCATAGATGAAGCTGCAGGCGGTTACCAGAGCGAGGTTGGTGAGAATCTGGATAGCGACGGAGTTAGCGGGTGAGACGTGTCTGGTATGGGGAGGCCAACTCACAAGAACACAGGCATTGCTCTGCGACAGATAGACGGTGGCCGAGTAGAAGTTGGGCCGCTGGTGGAAAGCCTTCAGTAGAGCACCGGCTGCCACCAGCGCGGAGGTTCCAGCATAGGCAGCGAGCCTCATCGTGTCTTGTCGTCGGTCAAGTCTACTTTGTCCATCAAACTATCTAACACGTAGCCCGCAGCTCCACGCCCCGGACAAACACAACGCCAGCCTGAACCTGAACTCCCGGATGCCGAACCTCGTCACTTGAGGTCCGTGCGCGTCGCAGCTTGTTTCGGTCCGTGATAATGCGAGCTCGGATTTCTTTCGCCAACCTCTGACCAGCCTCTTCTCTCTGCCATGGCACATGATCATATTCCACACAAGCCGACGACAGCCGCCCGTTTTCAAAAGTTGCAATCACAATCGCAATCACAATCACAATCACGGGTCGTACCATGCAAGATAAGATAGGTGCAATCTGAAGAACTGCTGTTCTCTACGATCGCCTCTGCAGGCAGTACAAATGCCGTCTGCAAGCAGATCAAGGGACTTCTGGATACACGATCCACGAACCTGTTGCTACGAGCTGTCTCCATGCGGGGCTCCCGTCTTCACCTAACTCTTCTCCCGCAGTCCGCTACATTCTCCAAGCCCTTCGAACTCTATCACGTCGTTCAAGCGAGCTACGGCCATCTCCATCTCATCGTGCATTCGTGCCATGCCTAAGCACGGTACATGTTTCTCTTCTTGTAACTGCCCTCTCGGCTATATCGTCCGTTCTCGATGACTATTGCTGCGCGATATTTGATTGAGAAGCTTTGGCGATGGCAGCATCACGAACCTACTAATTTTTCTTTTGCACAACTCCCCGAATTCAATCGAGCTCATCATGGAGTAACAATCTCGCGAGTGGTTTCAGAATCCTGTACGCAGATCTGATCTGTTCCAGGGTGCTTTACACACTTCACCCAAGAGCTTCGGCTCTCTTCTTCTCTATGCTGGCCACTGCTGAAGCATCAACTGACAGAAAACCGCACGTTTGCTCTAGGACCATAGCTCTACCGGTGTGGGGCCCCAGATGAGTCTATGTGTCGGTCCGACACTTTTGGTGGCTTGATGCCCTCGCGATCGGCGTCATACCCTTGCCGGAATGTCTAGAATCTGTTCTGGAGCAACTCAATTCTATACTTTCATGATTGCTTTCCCCGTTCATGCCCCAGATCTCAAGGGTCCTGGAGAAATATTTAAACGTCAAGGCATCGCACCTCAGATCATCTCTCATCAAGCAAGTCTGCCTCTTCCCTCCTCTCCTCTTCCTTATTCTCCCTTCTCTTCTCTATTCCCACAATGAAGAGCTCTTTTGCTCTCACCGGCCTCATGGGCGCCACTGCGCTTGGCCAGGCATTGACCGCTGATATGATCGACTCCATGGGCAACAACACTCTCTTCACCCGCTGGAGACCCCAGAACCACTTCATTGCTCCCGCTGGCTGGATGAACGATCCTTGTGGTCTCATGTATGACCCTACCGAGGACATTTACCACGCTTTTTACCAGTGGCACCCTGAGCATATTAACTGGGGAAATATCTCTTGGGGTCACGCAACATCCAAGGACATGATCTCTTGGACCGACGTTGGTGGTTGGGAGGGCACTGATGCCCTGGCATTGGGTCCTGCCGGCAATGGCAGCTACGACGGCCTTGGTATCTTCTCCGGTACTGCCCAACCTGTCAACATGACCGGTGGTATCGATGGTACCCTCCTCATCTTTTACACCTCCGTTTCCAAGCTTCCCACGAGTTGGACTCTTCCCTACTTGAACGGCACTGAGAGCCAGAGCTTGGCCATGTCCCACGATGGCGGCAAGACCTGGGAGCAGTACGAGAACAACCCTGTGATCGAGGGTCCTCCTGGTGACTGGAACATTACTGGTTTCCGTGATCCCTTCTTCGAGCCCATGCCTGCCCTTGATGCTATCCTCGGCCAGCAAGAACCCCATTACTACGCTGTATTTGGTAGTGGTATCAAGGGCGTTGGCCCTCGTATGCCTCTCTGGAGTGCGCCTGCATCCAACTTGGCCGACTGGACTTTCCTTGGCTCGCTTTTCGAGCCCGCTGATAACACCTCGTTGGGCGCCGTGCTCCCTACTGGCTCTTACGGTTTTAACTTCGAGGTCTCTGGTTTCTTCACTCTTCCTGATGAAGATGGCCACCTCCACTACTTCGTCAACATGGGTTCCGAAGGTGGCAATGTCTCTTTCCACGAATCTGCTCACTGGGCACTCTGGAACGAGGGTCACGTCACTCGCCGCGCCAACGGTTCTGCTCAGTTCACACCCATCTCTGGCGGTGCCGGAGACTGGGGTAACCTTTACGCTCTCACCAGTTTCAACGACACCAAGAACGATCGCCGTGTTCAGTACGGATGGGCACCTGAAGACATCACCGGAGGCGGTGGTCTGTTCTCTGCCAAGCAGCAAGGTTTCCAGGGTGCTCTTTCCCTTCCTCGCGAGCTATTCGTCCACACCGTGAAGAACGTTGTGAACATGGATGGTGTTCTTGGTGAAATGGGCAACTCCTACCTTTCTCAAAACCTTGATGGTAGCTTCACCGCTCAGACTCTTGGTGTCAAGCCTCTCGAGGATGTTGTCACTGGTCTCCGCAATGGGTCGACCCAGCACAGCTGGCCCGGCCGCACCTACAACGGCAGTCAAACTCTCGTCGCAAACGGCAGTGCCCACATGGAGCTCAGCGCCGTCGTTTCCAGCGCCACTGGCCCTTGCGGTGTCAGAATCGGTGTCAGCCCCGACGGTCGCGAGTATACCAACATCTACTACGAGCCCGCCAACAACACTGTCGTCGTTGATCGCACTCACTCCTCTTTGATCGACGGCTTCGCCAACTCTTCTGTCATTGGTTACTTCTACCCTTACACCATCCAGGGCGAGTACGGCAACGCTACTCAGGAGCCTCTTGTTTGGGACATCTTCGTCGATGGATCTTTGGTCGAGGTTTACATCAACGACCGCTTTGCTCTTACAACCAGAATCTACCCTAGCATGCAGAGCAGCACTGGTGTCGGCATTTACGTTGCTAGTGGCGCCTCTGCCACTTTCGATAGCATTGACTCGTGGTCCTCTCTCTACAATGTCTTCCCTGAGAGACCTTTGAACTCCTCCAGCCAGCTTGTCTGGGACACTGTTGAGCAGACCAACAACCGCACCTGGTGGACTGGCAACTAAGTCAAAGCTGACGAAGTGCTTCGCTTGACCTAATGAAAGACCATGTATAATTTGTAAAGATTAAAAAGTTACGACCATGTATATACCATCTCATATCACTGATTACCAATATTCTTCTGCTTGTCCGAAGCCCTGGGTGAACTCAAAGCAAACGACTCATGCCTGACCATTGACCACCTGAAGGCCTGACGAGAGATGAAGAACTGGTGCCGTATCCCGAGTTTCCTCGTAGTCGTGAGGCCGACTGATCTAAAGACGCACTAAAACTTTGCCGAGCCGATGGTTTATCAGCAAAGGTGATGGTATCGGACCGAGATGATCAGCCAAGCCGAGCAAAACATCCACATTTCCCCAAGCCTCCCCGAGCTTCCCGAACTTACACCCCACTCTCACCCACAGTGCCGTCACCGATCCTGGAGGTCGGCTGGGGAGCGGAGCGACTCTTTGACCAAAAATTCGGCCCTTCTCCTGCATTGGCATCTCACGGCACTGTCTTTTGGCATGGATCGTGTGATGGATCATGGCCTCATTATCCGACTTGCCCACACTGGTCCGGATCCAGTATTATGAGGTCTGAGACTGGAAGGGCGCAGCAATGAAGATCTGCAAGAGAGGAATATAAAAGAGGTAGGTCGCCGTGAGACAGCAAGGTAGGAATCAGCAACAACTTCACAATGCTTCGTACTTCGGCTATTCTGTCCTCTTTGCTTTGTGCTGGCTCTGTGTTCGCACAGAATGGAACCACTCTTTCGACGTTGGGAACACCCATAGGAGCACCCGTAACCGGTGACTACAGTGGTGCACTGAGACCGCAAGTACATTTCTCGCCGCCTAAGGGCTTCATGGTATGATTGAATCATTCTTTTCTACGTGACATTTAATTCTAACGTGACCATCTAGAACGATCCCAATGGCCTGTTTGTCGACGCTGATGGCCTTTACCATATCTACTACCAATGTTAGTAATTTTACTCGCAGATTATCAAGCACAGCATTGACACGCATACCACAGACAACCCGACAGGCCTCGTCGCTGGCAATCAATCATGGGGTCACGCTAGTGAGTTTAACGTCAGCAACATGAAGGAGATTACGCCGTGTGCTTATTATATTCATAGCAACCACCGACGGCTATACCTTCGAGAATCAGCCCGTTGCTCTCTTCCCTCCAAACAACGAGACTTTCGTGTTCAGCGGCTCCGCAGTGGTCGATGTGAACAACACTAGTGGCTACTTCCCTGGTCAAGACAATGGTGTAGTTGCCATCTACACTCTGAACAACAGCACTTCGCAGAACCAGAACATCGCTTTCTCCAAAGATGGTGGTTACTCATTCGAGCCTTTCGAGGGCAATCCGGTCATTGATATTGGCTCGACTCAATTCCGTGATCCTCAGGTAAGGAACAAAAGTTCCAAGAATCTACCGCGTGCAGCGGCTGATTGCATTACAGGTCTTCTGGCATGCTCAGACTGAGTCATGGGTTATGGTCACCGTCTATGCCGCAGAATTCGCTGTCGGCATCTACACCTCACCCAACCTCAAGAACTGGACGCACGCTTCCAACTTCTCTAACCATGGCCTTCTCGGCACTCAATACGAATGCCCCAACTTGGTCGAGATGCCCGTTGAAGGCTCAGATGAGACCATGTGGCTCATGTTCATTTCCATCAACCCTGGCGCTCCCCTCGGCGGCTCTATCTCCCAATACTTCCCCGGTTCCTTCAACGGTACTCACTTCGAGGCTGTCGACCCCGTCGCTCGCATCTCCGATTTCGCCAAGGACAACTACGCCGGTCAATTCTTCTCCGGTATCCCTGGTACTGAGAAGCGTTTGAGTATCGATTGGGCCAGCAACTGGCAATACACCAATGTTGTCCCCACCGGCAACGAAGGCTGGCGCAGCGCAATGACCGTCTTCCGCCAAAACCATCTCAAGAAGCTTCCTGGAGTTGGTTGGGATCTCGTCAGCACTCCCTTCAATATCAGCTCTCAGTTCTCACAAGTCCTCGCTTCCAACTCTTCATTGGGTAACAGCAGTATCTTGCTCGATTACTCTAACGTGCCTTCTGGCGCACTTTACTTTGAAGCAAACGTTACCGGTTTGACTCCTAGCACATTGGCCGGATCTCTCAACTTCACCTTCACCTCATCCATCAGCGGCGAGAATGTCCAAGGTGGCACCATCCCCGGCGGTGCCACATGGGTATCACGCAGAAACGCAGGCTGGGGTTCCGAGAACCCCTACTTCACCGATAAATTCTCCTCCAACGGCGTCTACAGCGGTAGCGACAATGGCACTTGGACATTAAGTGGTGTTCTCGACCGCACTATTCTCGAATTGTTCGTCAATGGAGGAGAGCAGAGTGCTACTCTTGTCTTCTTCCCCGAGTACCCGTTGGACACGCTTAGAATCGGGGCTGCAGATATTCCAGAGGGAGCTGGTGTCAGTGTGGCTGTTTGGGGATTGAGAGATGCTTGGTCTGGTCAGGCCAACTCTGATGGCCTGGTTTTGGGAAATACTACTGCTTCAGCTTGAATGCTGTTACATGACGCAAAAGGTTCGCAATGCACCAAATAGTCAGATATAATGTATCGTTGATATTACAAGATAAAGTTCTACACGCTATGATTATATTGACTTGTTGATATTGAGGCTCAATCACTCCTCTTGAATAGTCCATAGAGACTCAAATTTGTCTGTCGCGATACGAACAAAGATTCTTTATTTCTCAGTACATGTTCACGAGGAAAGCGATGGGAGTGAGGTGCTGTGAAGCAAAGTAGCAAGTCAAGCACGTTATAATACCCAGGGTCACAAAAAGTCGCAAAACAAGCCATGGACAGGTGGTTCACAGATAAAGCACGACAGGGCAAGCAAAAAGTATCACCACATACAAGCCAAGTTCAAAAAGAAAAGCACCATGAGCAGGAATCGAACCCGCGACCTCCTCGGATCTAGACTGACACGGCGTTGAGTAACAACGAATGACTGCGCACGTGTTAAGACCACGGGTGTGTTAAACCACTACACTACCACGGCTTTTTTGCTTATTAAAAGAGGACAGGATTTTCTCGAATATATGGGTTGGATGTATGCGCGGGAAAGGAGCTTGGTTGAGGGAGTTTTAGTTGGCTATGAAGCTTTGGTCGCGTGGCTGTTGGGTGATGTTGGAATGGTCTAAGGACGCCGGTAAGGGTCTCTAGCCGGCTGTACTTTAGGTGTTCTTGTGGTTTGTCCTATCCTCATTTCCTTTCGATCCGTTATCATTGGAATTGAAACTCTCCAAAGTAGGCGCAGAGAGCCTGCAGTAGATTAGCCAAGTGCCGTTATGCATGATACCATGTTGCAAACTTACCTTGCTAGAGCCGTTCGTACAGTAGTGCACAACTTCAAGCTTTTTATCCTTAGGGGCGTATTTGGCCAGTTGGTTCAGGTCGGAGCTGCGAGGCAAGAAGAGCACAAAGTCTGGGACGTAAGCTGCAAAGCTGTCGTAGATGTGCTTGAGATTGTAGGGTTGCATAGTACTGAGGTCGAAGATGTTATCATCGCTGTACTGAGGACCTAGATATCCAAGTCAATGCATGTACTATCGAAGACGGTTGGAGTGGGAGACGCACCTCCCCAAGGTGGGCTGGCAAACACGATGGCGTCTTTGGCCAATGACTTCAGACGCTTTTTGAGGACGTCGAAGCAATCGCCCTCAATCCACCAGATTTTTGACGCTACACCATATACCTCAGCATTGTGACGTGCGCAGGCAAGTGTTGCAGGGTCCTTCTCGATGGCGAAAACCTGCTTAAAGCGACCGGAGAGAGCAAAGGCGATGGCATTACCGCCGGCACCAGCAAAGGCATCTATGATGATTGACTTTGATTCAGGTCCGCCAGTCTTGATGTGATCGGCAATGCGACTGCGATGATGTTAGCAAGAAACGTATAAGACGAAAGAGGAGTGCATACTTGGCTATCGGTTCGGGGGTTACACCAAACCAGACGTCGTCAGTCATCCAGATACCTTCATCATAACGAGACCAAATATCATAGCGTTGGTGCCAATATCTGCTCGGTTGTCAGCATCTGTTTTTTCCGAGAATTCGATATGGCTGACTTTTGGATGTTCTCTGGCATTTCTGATGATTCGTCATAATGGTGTACGCCCTCCGGCATCAGTTCTTCACCGCCCATATCTCCTGGTCAAGTGGGCAGTGTTCGAAATGACGCGTTTGGATTTGTTGTCGGTAGTGTGACCTCTACCTGGTCATACAATCGCGATAGCGAATGAAACCGGCCTCCAACGAAGTATTCGTATGGAATCGAAAGCGAAAGCGAAAATTGATCAAGCTGCAATGTCGAGCAGAAAATGATGCAGAGTTTGGTCGATAGATGGTGTTCCTTCGATAGACTGTTGCTCCCCAAACTGACTGGACCCCGAAAGTCAATTGGTTGTTGTCGATGCCGAAGCAAGAGCGACTGTTGCTTGTTTGGCGGGCAGAGATGCCTGACGGTGTAAACGGCAGGATCTGCCGAGGTCGAAGCTGCACTCACGACCCTGTCTCAATCGTAACTTCCACCTTTTCCCTCTTCGCAGACCGATAACGATACAACAACGATCACGACACACTTTTACAATGCTTTTCAGTAGACCTTGATCTACTTATAAGACTGTCGCCTTTCTCCACCTCTCGCTGCGATACCGGGCCGCTCTTAATTTTGCCACTGTTTACAGCAAACAGCATGTCCAACATGAACAAGGTCCTTGGGTTTGAGCGCATCAACGAACGCAAGAAAAGACCAAACGCACTCATCAACTTCATCAAACCTCTGGAGGGACCTGACAAAGCACTGGCGCAAGACTTTTTGGAACGTGTTGCTGCTATCTGCTATCCGATCATGAAGGAGAACCACATCGTCGTCATGGCCTTGGAAGAATATCTACCCAATCCGGAATTCATCGGACGCAACTTCAACGCCGGAGAAGTCATTCAGCTGGTACTCAAAGCTCCACACACCAATCAATGGCTACCATTCAAGCATGTTCAAATGGTCATGATGCACGAGCTGGCGCACTGCAAACAGATGAACCATTCTCGTGCTTTTTGGAAGGTCAGAAACACATATGCCGATGAGCTCAAAGTCCTCTGGAACAAGGCATACACAGGCGAAGGTCTATGGGGTAAAGGGCAATCTCTCATTTCCGGACAGTACATGACCAATCACATGCCGGAAGCCGCCAACGCACCAGCAAACCTCTGTGGTGGCACGTTCAGATCCTCAGGTGGCCGGAAACGAAGACGGAACGATGAGAAGCCCAAAGTTACCTATGCCGAACGCCAACAACGTAGGATTGCAAAGAAGTTCGGTGTTGCTGGTGTCGCACTAGGTGACGATGAGGGCATCAGAGCCAAGCTCGAGTCTGGCCAGAAGGGCGGCAAGCCTGCTGTGAAGCCGAGAGTGGCAAGCAGTAAGCGAGGCCGAGAGCTTCGAGCTGCTGCAGCATTAGCACGTTTCGACACTGTGAAGAAGGAGGCTGGCAAGGAAGAGCTCAAGACAGAAGCAATCAGTGACGACGACTACGAGACTGATTCTGACTATGAGTACACGACCATCGAGCGGACTATGAACCCCGAAGACAACAATATGGTCAGAGTGTGCGAGAACGAAAACGCAGAGGACAAGGATGCACAGCGAGAGTTTGATGAGCTGCGTGAGATCGACAACGCCATGCCGAAGCTACAGATCACATCTTCAAAACAACCAGCTTCGAAAGAAAAGACCAAACAGACTGTGATACCGGACGATGATTCAACCGAAAGCGAGGACGAACAAGACCTTGACACACGCCGTAACTTCATCAAGCCGTCCTTCACGAAACCGCGCGCGCTTCTACCGCCCGACGACGATGCATCTACAGATAGCGAAGATGAGATCCAGGACGTCACATCCATAGTGGAGGAAAAGAGGAAACAAAAGCAGTCACGCGAGAAAACACCTACCGAATCATCTTCGAGGAAACAGCCCGAACCGAAGGGCAAAAAGCCACAACAACCTATCGTAGTCGACACTAACGATGACTCGACTGCAAGCGAGGGCGAAAATACGGGCAGCAAGATCGACCAATCCAAAGAGAAGGTCGCAGAGCCGTCCTCTTCTGCCACAATCACCAACACACAGCCAGCCAAAAACAACCCCTCGAACACAATACAAGAACAACCACGTCCAGCGCCTTCAGCAATTCAAACTTCGGCCTGCAGAATCTGCTCGCTGGAGAACGAACCCGCAGCAGCCCTCTGCGCAGCTTGCTCGCATGTACTCAACCCAGCTCTGATGCCGAACTGCTGGAAGTGCACGAGCGCGACTTGTAAGAGCGTCGGATACGTCAATCCAGGCGATTATGGTGTATGTGGATTATGCGGAGGAGCAAAACCTAGATGATCGAGAAGCACACAAAGAGGGATGAAGGATAGAGTATAATAATCAGCTGCATTGCTTCGAAGTTGAGATTAATGAACATTGTATCATCATATCAGTCTCCTGCTTGCGGGTTCAAACATACGAACAAATAGGACAATAGCCAAAAGTCGAGACAGAGAAACGTTATTTCGCAAGAGACAACAACAAACGCATGTATTATTCCGATGAGTGTGTTTCGAGACACGCAACAAAAAAGGTGGTATCGAGAATTGATGATGCTAGCTAAACCACAAAAAAACAAAAGATGAGAGGACGGACGCCCAAAAGATACAAAGGAGAAGAAAGTCTGCAGTCGCTTTGAAAAGAAAAACTACGCTATCAAGAAAATGAAAAAAAGGATGTGCCATCGGGGGGAATAAGCGTTGCTTGCAAAATGATGAGATGCAAGACAAAAAAGACAAAAAAACAACAACAGGGAGATTAACAATAAGCCAAAATTTCAACATGGACAACCCAAAGCAGATTTTTGTTTCTTCACAAGTTTCAAAGCAGTGCGCGGCAGGCAGAGAGGGCTCAAGTGGAGAGACCGGCCACCCTTGTCCCCAGTGCTTCCACCTCATCCTCGTTGGACCCGTCGGTTTGCGGAGGCAAGGGTAGAGCTTTGTCGAGACTATATCTCTCGTCCTTGGGTGGTGTGAGCGGCCTGTCTCGCTGGTCGCGCAAGCTATACTTGTCGTCCTTTGGCGGTGTCAATGGGCGACTGAAGTTGTTGACTGCACGTCCATTGTGCTCAAACTCGATAGATCGCTTGGAGGATGGTGGACCGTCCGTTTTCGGGGGTGTAGGTGGCGGCACTTCTCCAAGATTTTGGCTCACGCTGGCATTGTGTGTTGCTGCTTGAGAACTGCCCTTGCGACCGCGGAAGGATTCTTTCGAACGCTGAGGTGTGATTGTACGGGTAGGTGTCCTTGAGGACGGGCTGCCGTTTTCTGCAGCCTCGCCAATGACAGGCAGGGTAATCATGTTCTCATTCTCGGCGTGGGGACTTCTGACTGCACCGATAGCACGGTCCGGTATGTCATCCTCGTTGGCACCACGAGCCCTACTCTTTTCGGCCTGCTTCTCCGCCTTGCGCATGACCTTATCAGTGCCGGCGGGATTATGGTCCTGGTTTTTGAGTATGTTGACGCCAGAGAGTTTGGGGTCGTCAAGTGTGCCCTCGATGTTATGGATAGCCTGGTTGAGTCGCTCACTACCGTGCTCGCATTGCTCTTTCTCCGCCTCGGCACGTTCGCGCGTCTTGGTGATGCCTGAGATGAACCTAATGAATCGATCGCCGTAGCGTTCAGGGGGAATGGCAGAAATTTGTGACTCAGGAGAAGACAGTCCTTTCCAGAAATGCTCGAATCGCTTGATCATGGAGTACTGTGGAATGTCAGTGTGCGTCTTGTTGTGCACGAGCTCATCGACTTACATGTGTCAGACAATCGATGATTCCAAGGTAATAAATCTCTTCTCCGGCCATGTCGTTCTCGTGGGTTGCCCTAAAACCGCCATCGTCGCTATAGAAGTAAGAATGCTTTCTGTGGCCTCCTGCCATTTCGTCGGGCATTTTGTCCAGAATCTGACCCATGGGGACAGGCTTTTCGTTCTTAATGAGTTGACGTAATTCCTGTGCCTTCCGTGCGTTCTCGAGCTTGCTAGGCGTACGCATAAGCATGTTCGGCGGTTGGTCTTCCGACTTGTGACCTCCAGGCTGGAAGACTTGCAAAGTCTTGTCTCGTAGCTTGTCCTCGTTTCCTCGCTGCAAATCATGGATACCGACCAACATCGAATAATCCATAATTTTCAACTTTTGTAGGAGAGCAACGTCCTTTTGCATCTGCTCGACAAAGGCGTCCTTCTTAGTGGGGCCGAACTCCAGATGAAGGTTTCGTCGTAGCCAGTTGAGGTCTTTTAGTGTGGCTCTCGGATTCTTTTCCAGCTCATCTTCCTTGAAGTCTCTGCCGATGGTACTGCCCTTGAGATCGAACGTCCGGTGTATATCTCTGTGCGGAGGGAAAAGGTTGTTCATGACGACGAAGTGGATCTTTCTACCGTAGGGAATCTTAACTCTGTGAAGACCGTAGAATTGACTGAGAAGCGTGTTGGGGTTCTCCTGGACGTGGGAATAATAGTCTCTTAGAATTTTGCGGAGGAATTTATGTTCGGCGTGATGAATGGTCTTGATGATATATTTGTAGTCGCGTGAAAAATAGAAGAAACTGCCAGATTTGCCAGGAGAGCCAAGTTCGGACAAGATGTATTTGGAGGTTAAAGAGACAAGGTAATCAGCAGGGTCGAGACCAAACTTGCTGCGAAGATGACGGAAGACCCAGGGGGCGTAGTCCTTGAATTTGAAGTCGTACTTGGCCGAGGGAGTGAGTTCGTTGCCGGTAATATCGAATGAGAACTTGTGCTTTGCGTCAAAATCGGCGTCGGTCAGATCCCGATCAATCTTTGCATTTGTCCTCGATACGCAGAAACGGATTCCAGTAAGCATATTGTAAGCGGTGACCCAATTGACGTGATGCTGATCGACTTTTGTGCCAACAACAACTCGTTCGTCGTCTTCGTCACGTTTTCGTTTACTTGCCCTCTTGTTCTTGTAAGCCTCAGCCCAGCGTGCAGCATCATCGTCCTGAATGACCTCGTCGAGATGGGCTTCTGAGGCGATTGAGCGGGTTGCGCGACGCACGAGTTGAGAGGAACCCCTTCTCCTACTAGGGGTTGTCGGTGAGAAACGACCAGTGGCAGAGACGACATTACCATCAACAGTGGAAGGCGCTTGGCTGTCACGGGAGGTGCGGCCAGCCACACTAGGGACTTCGAGCGTGTGTCGGTGAACCAGCCGGCCAGGAGGTTGGGAAGAGACCGAGGCCATGGAAGAAGAAGTCTGAGAAAAAGCCGGAGGGGAGGAGGCTCGATGGGACGAAGGAGGGACGCGGAGCATAATTTCGGTGGTGGCAGAAGGACCAGCTTCACTCACGGGTGGTAGTACAGGACTTGGCATGGTTTGGAGGGGCAGAGCAGACGAAGTTGGCGAAACGTCCTCTGGCACGGCGAGGGCAGACTGGGATGGATTCGGTGACCGAGCGACTCCATTGGGCCTCTTTGCAAAGTAGCCTTCTTCCTCGCGAGGGTTTGTGGACATATCCAAGGACCTCTTTTCATTGTCGCTCCTCGATGAGTAGATGGAAGGCATGCTACCCTTTGACGACACGGTCCTTCCTCGTGTGCTATGCGACTCGGACGACCGGGCATGTGGTAGGGATGATATAGCGCTGTCTGCTCCATGCGGTAGGCCATTAGGCATGGGAGAGGTGGGCTTGGGCCATGCTCCGGGAAGGGATTCAACGGCGGGGGTTTGTTGTTGTGACGGGCTTGTTGCTGATAAGGATTTGGGGGAGAAAGAATTCTGGCGGTCGCGTTCGTCGGCGAGGAATGATGGCATTTCGACCTGCTTCATCAGGTAGACGGCATTGAGCGGGGACGTGACCTTGCTCAATGTGTCCCCCTCTGGGACATTCAGGCGCGCGGATTGGGCCAGCGTTGCTGATGGAGCACAAGGGCGGTCGGGCGGAGAAGTCGGCCTCGTCCCGGGACAAAGCTGTAAAAAGGCGGCTGGAAATGGGGGATATCGAGAGTTGGAAAAATCAGAGCAGGGCCAGTGTGTCGAACGGCATGCACAACAGGCAGGAGTCGGAGTCGGAGTCGAAGTGCCAGACGACGTTGTGTGCGAGATGGCGCGCGTTCGACAAGGCCGGCTGTTCAGGGACATCCGGGCCCTCTTGGCTCAGCCCTGTCTCGTATAGCACGCGTATACACCTTCGGCCCTGACAACATCCGCTTGTTTGCTGCTAATTTCATTTCCTGCTTGTCCGCCTTGGCAACACTCTCGCTCTAAATCTATCCACTACCTTCGTCATCATTGTCGTCAATCAACCTGAGAGATTACTCGACACGCAGATTGAAAGAAAAGCGACTTGTTTGCGATAAAATACTATCTCATATCTGTCTGCCGCTGGCCATTATAAAAACAGCGACCATGGTCATGAATCCCAAACGCCCCCTACCTAAACCTTTGAACAGAATCCCTCGAAAAGCAAAATAATCTCGTAGTAGTCCCAGTGCTGGTATCTCGTCAAGTGTTCCCTCACCCGTATCGCTACACCGGACGCCCTATCAATCACGCCCGTCAGAGGACCCGTTGTCCGTCATAACAGTAGAAGAATTCATCGAACCGCTCCGTCTAGGCAGCCTTCTTCTTGGGGGTAGCCTTCTTGGGTGCGGCCTTCTTCTTGGTAGCAGCGGCCTTGGTGGCGGGCGCTGAAGGTGCGGTGCTCTTGGTGATACGACCAGACTTGGTCTTTCCGAGAACGACGGGTGCCTTGTCCTCGACAGCAGGAGCCTGGACCAAATCAGTATATCATACTACACACCCAAGCTTCGAATACATACAGGAGCGCTCTTTCTGACCTTGGAGACGTTAGCCTTGGTCTTGGTGGCTTTGGCGGGTGCGGCGGCCTTCTTGGTGGCAGCGGCCTTGGGTGCGGCCTTGGTAGCAGCCTTCTTGGGTGCAGCGGCCTTCTTAGCAGGTGCCTCCTTTGCAGCAGCAGTCTGGTTGAATCAGTATCATGTCTCTAGTGCACATGGCATCCTCGACTCACGGTCTTCTTGGCCTTAGCAGCTGTCTTCGGTGCGGCCTTGGTGGCCTTGGTCTCGGTCTTCTTGGCAGCAGGAGGGGAGCCAGCCTTTGCCTTTGCGATTTTCACGGGTCCAGAAGCACCTATTGCCAGTCAGGATCCTGTCCAACTAATATACACCTATCCCGAGGGTCCAGGAAAGATAGAAGAGGGATCGAAGCTTACCCTTGGGACGCTCGAAGACACCGGTCTCACTACCCTTGGCGAGAGCACGGTTGAACTGGGTGGTGAAGGCAGCCTCGGTAACGCTTGAAAGGTTGTTGTTCGCCTGGACGTATTTCTTGAGAGCCTGACGACTGTGGGTGGACACAAGTCAGCAAAGAGCACATGACGCGCCGAGAACGTGGGACGCGACTAACCTGCTTCCTTGACGATCCTTAAGCTATTGCTCGAAAAGAACGCGTCAGTAAAGGTTCCAGAAGAAAGGGAAGAGTGGCGTCAGATCCTGGACGAGATTGCGAGCATTGTCGCGACGCCGCCCGTTCTCGAAAGAACGCGTTTGCGGTATGATATACTGACATTGATAATAGCCTCCTTGATCATCTCTGTAGAGTAGAATCAGTATTCGATCGCGACCAAGTCTAACAAAACGCGCCGGCGACGCGACAAGTCTGTGAGCTGATACATACCCTGGTAGCTAGCATGGACGGGCTCCTTGGCGGCAGCCTTCTTGGGTGCGGCGGCGGCTTTCTTGGGAGGCATTTTGATATGAGTTGATGTTACTGGATAATTGAGCTGGTCTTGAGGGTTCGAATGATGGGTCGAACGCGTGAATCGAAGTTGGTTGTATGTTTAAGATAACGTGATGGAAGTCGAGGGTGTGCGGAGGGGGGGTGCGGGGGTCAAAGCGGTTTTTAAAGTCCAGGGAAGATCACCAAAATCACCGAGTCCTGACAAGCCAGTGATCTTGAAAAGCAGTCACCATCCACGATGCTGATGTTTCCGGCTTTATTGTCTGTATTAATCTGTCGCTATATCAGCTTTTCAATTCGTGCGAGGCTCTTGTTACTCGAGACCATACCTATTCGCTCAACCTACAGTGTTTCCATGGGCAGAACTTCGAGATCAGCCTCCAAAGTCGCTAAGCCTACTTGGGATTACATGGTCTTCTGTCGTTCCAGAGGTCGATACCCCGTCACCCGCCTAATCGATCGACAGTCTGGATATTCATGATGTGAATTTAGCTTTGAATCGAGGTCGGAACTAAATTGTACTCGGACTCTACTGTGTTGTCTGCGCATCGAGTGTTGTCCAGACATGTTTCTCGAAGCTCAAGCTCGAGATCTTTGCCGCATATCATCTGGTCCGTGCTCACTAAGCGAGGTACCTTGATTGCACGTCACGTCCTGGACTCCTGGTGATCCATCGATCCGAGGCTTCATGGGTACTTGGAGAGCTGATACCAGACCGCGTGATTCTTTCTGAGGAGCACGTTTGGCAGGGAAGGTATTCGCTCTCCGCGGTTCTGAAGCACATGTCCCCACGAAAGATCCAACTGTATAGACGTGCTCGAGTATGGTCCTAGTAGATTCCCGAAGAACACGCAGTCAAAATCGTGCTTTGAGAGCTCCTACACGAGAGCCACTCGATTTGGATTTCTTGCGTCCTTCTTCGAACATACTCCTCAGTGCTATTGCGAGATGGTCTGCCAGGAGGACAGATGCACGATATCGCGTGTGTGTTCAACGGTCATCAACAAGCATCCAGCGAGCCTTGTTTTTCAGTCCTCCATGACACTCGCTCCGAGCAAAAGCGTCGCAACATCATCAAGCAAGACGACGAAGACCTTTAAAAGCTTATCTGGTACCTTAAGACTACTCTTAAACCGCTACGACGTCTTGAAAGAATCTTCCATCTGGCTCTATGGTGGAAGCTACTGCAGAAAGGACAAGGAAATTGCCAGCATCTCTAGATAGCAATATGTGTACTACTCGCATAGGCTAGCGTACCTTGATCGTCCTTGGTTGTATCCTATCGGTAGATCGTTCGTGAATACAACGTTCCGCGCTGATTCGCGCGCAAATATAAGGGGTTTGCTCGTGAAGGAGGAGATGCGAGTGTAGAGTAAAGGGGTCAATCGGCTATGCTGAACTTCATGGTCGTCAGGTACGCACTCAGGCATTAGAAATCCTGATGTCCTACAATGAAGGCGCTCTCGATTCGAGCTGCCTGGCTCTCGGAGCATTGCGCATAGTGTTACAGGTAAAATCAGGGTACAGCCGAGCAATTCGCGCCTAGAGATTAGGACTCGTATGCGTGTTTCCTTTTCACTCCTTTCGAGTTTTGTTTCAATCTCCCACCTTCCCACAACGGGCGGTCACTGGTAGCCTGCTGAAATCTTGCTTTTATCACGTTCGTCCTAACGATTGTCCAATGATCTGGTATTTGAAACATGCCATACGACAATATGACAGTCATGCTCTTCATTTAATTTTACATGATGCTTTGCTTTTGAACTCGTCGTTACATGCCAGTGAAAGTTGTTTACCTTCTGGGCATACCTCTTCCTCTGCCGCGCATCGCCCTTTGGGCAGCACCAGGGGGAAGTTGTTGACCAGGGGCTTGGGGAGCCTGGGACTCTTGGTTCTCTATGCACTAAATTAGTAAAGATTCGAGCCATGGTTGGAAATGGATGGCACCTACTGATGGTCTCGTCAACGCTCAAGATCAAGCAACTAGCCTCAGTGGCGGCTTGAATAGCGTTGATCTTGACAAGACTGGGCTCCCACACGAAGGCGGCCATGTTGTCTCTGACACCCTCGTTCTGGAAGTCGACACCAGCCCAGAGGTTACCCTTTCTGTGCTCAACACGCAGTCTGTTCAAGATGTCTGTAGCGTCGAAACCAGCGTTGTCGCAAAGTTGTCTGGGGATGACTTCAAGTGCCTTGGCAAAGGCCTTGATGATGCTCTGTTGCTTGTGGGGAATCTTGCTGTCGGCGTAGGTGTGAAGGTATTTGCTGATCTCCATCTCGCAAGCACCACCACCAGCGACGATGCTCTGGTTCTTGATGGCACGCTTGACAATCATGATGGCGTCGTGCAGACTGCGCTCGACTTCAGCGATGAACTGCTCAGCACCACCACGGAGGACAAGAGTGCAGGTCTTTGCGCCGGGGCAGCCCTCGAAGAAGTTGAACCTCTCACCACCAATTTGGCGCTCCTCGAAGGTTTCGCAAGTACCAAGGTGAGCCTCGTGGATGTCAGAGCAGGTAGATTGGATAGAAGCGCCGGTAGATTGGCAGACACGCTCCATGTCGTCTGAGGCAACGCGGCCAGCACAGAAGATGTCGCGGTCGGCAAAGTATCTTTTGAGTTGTCAGTATAATTCTCAGTGAGATGTGAGCGAAATAACGTACTGTGTTGCAAGATCACCAATAGGCAGCTTGCTGAGAACAATCTTTGCGCCAGTCTTGAAGAGAGCCTCCATCTTGTTGTAGATGATCTGCCATTCAGCGTCGACAATGGCCTGGTACTCTGACACTTGCTCAACGCGGACTTCTGCGTTGTCCTTCTCACTCTTGAGCTCGAGCTCGACGTTCAGGCAGACAATCTTGGGGTTCTTGAAGGCCTTGGGCTGTTGTTCGAAACCGGCGTAGGAGAAGGTCTTCTTGAAGGCAACACCGTTGACGAAGAGAGAGTCTTGCAGAGCACCACCAGTAATCTTCTTGATACCGATGAGCTTGTTGTTGAGGTCGTTTTGATCCAGGGAAAGCACAGCGTCGACAACCACTGTAGGTGTGTTAGCAGATATCTCGGAGAGCGCATAGAGGCGGCGACATACTCTTTGTGAAGAAGTCAGCATTGCGGTGGATCAGCTTGCTGCTCATCGAGGTTGCGGCGAGTTTCCGCAGGGTCTCTCTCTGGTTGTTCTCCTGTGTGTTGACGGCAATCTCCTTGATCTTGTTGACAGCCATGGTGCTGGCTCTTCGCAGACCCTTGATGATGGTCTGACTGCTGACACCGTGCTCAACGTGCTCCTTGATCTCCTTGAGGATCTCTCCAGCCAGGACAACAACTGATGTGGTACCATCTCCGACTTCGGCGTCTTGCGAGCGGGCAATGTCGGTCAGGATGCGGGCGGCAGGGTGGACGATGTCGAGCAGCTTCATGACGGTAGCGCCGTCGTTGGTGATGGTCTGCTTGCCATTCTCGTCAACGAGCAGGAGATCACCTCCGTAAGGGCCGAGGGTCGACTTGATGGTTGCTTGGACGGCGAGACATGCGTTGATGTTGGAGACGATCTGGCCGCGGCCCTGCGACTGGTCGGTGCCTGGGCACAAGCTAGTCAGCTGTTTGTTGCGCGCCAAAGGATACAGGGTGAGGCGCACCCTCTCTGAGGACAACGATAGTCGGTGTTTGACCACCGAACGACATTTTGGTGTGAGTGTGATTTTCTGTGGGTCGAACAGGGTGACGTGTATGCTTGAGCTACTCCTGAGAACGAAGATGGACACAAAAGAGGGCGAATGACTTGATTATGGAGATTATGCGCTGGTCGCAGTGTCTGGCAACTTTTCTCCAGCCTGCAACATCAACAAATTGGGTCCGAGCTTGCGGCGGCGGTCAATCTTCGCCGAGAGAGTTCCCGCCGTTTTGCTCTCTTCACATGCAACGAGAACAATAATCCAACCATTTCAACCTCCAAGTTTGCTGATTCGATTCAACCATCGACATACTTAGCTCCAGCATCTCAAATTTTTGACCAAGGACTCGCACTCTGCTCCACCTCGTCTCTTCAAACTCCTAGCAGCTTGACGTCTTGTCCTGAATCAATCCATCATCCATAGTTCCTCCTCGAAACCTTGGCCGCTTTCCAATCTTCCTCATGGACTCACATCAGCTCCAGCGGCCTCAGGCTTGTATGTCTGTTGCAGCCAAAAGGTCAGCGAATTTCTTGTCTCAATCAATGGAGCATCTGGAAGTATGTCGGAACATACCTTGAACTCTGATGTTAGTCGAACCAACCCCTCTGGATCTATGGTGGCCAAGTAGTTGGTGATGAACCAGCTTTTACCCTCCGAATCCTGGTAGAAACGTTCGCCTTCGACGTCGCCAATGTACTTTTCTATCACCGTCTCGCCACCGATGTGAAGCAGACCTTCCTGCCCTCGGCTCACAATGTTGTCTCTGTTGTCAACGTGACATATCTTTGCCAAAGAGCCCTCCAAAACCGTACCGATGCTGTCTGAGTAGCCCGACAAGCCCACATAGGGACGTGTACACGAAGAAAACCAGCCGAACACCCCAAGCCCTTCTGCCATCGTCAATGACGACGTAGCCCATCCACTCTGCAATGCTTCTTTTCCTCGATACAACAAATTGGCACTAACGACTCCCCCATGCACGACCAAACTCTCCAAAGAGTCAAGCTTCCTAGTAGAGCGCGAGGGATCCTTGATCAATTCTTCCAAGTTTGAGGGGGTGCAGACAAGGTTTGTGCAGTTGTGCAGCTCGACAGAGGAGAGGGTCTTGGGTGCATCGAACAGGGCCGATGGAAAGACGAGAGTCCCGCCAGTGTACCATGCTAGCATTGCCGCATCCAAAGTTGCGCTGCTTGAAGATGGGCAAGTGACCAAGAAGCTCTTATGAGAGGAAGAACAGGGGTTCTTCATGACCATCGTTGTACGAATGTTCGAAGCTTTCAGTGGGCAACCTTTGAATGGGTGGTCGGGACTGTTCTGGCTGAACAGCAGTACTGCTTTACGGTCCTCGTTATCACTCGGGTACGGTGGTCGGGGTGGTCGGGGTGGTAGGTCCTTTTGTCCGCCGATCAGACGAGCCCGTGCCAGTGCCGTAGCCGGAGGCTCAAGACTGGTCCAATCATTATGAAGGAAGCTTTTCTGCTCATGACACACGATCTTTACGATGATGTTTAGTTCCGGGTATAGCTCGTCAAAGGTGATCGCTTCTCTGAGAGTAGGAACCAAAACGACTGTGGGATCGAGTAGATCCAGAGGATAAGAATGTCCTCTCCACCTGTCGATGTTCAAGGTCATAGGATTCAATGGCACGAAGGTCAAATCGAGTATGATCGCTACCCAGAAGCTGAGCGCCCAATCCGCACTGACAGGTAGGAAAGCGAGCAGGGTGCCCCCTCTTTTGATACCACAATCTTGCCACACAAGCGCAAGGTCTCTGGCGGCTCTCATCATCTGACGGTAGGTCAAGGTCAGACAGCCAGCTTGCGGAACGAGCCCAACTAGGTTCTCCAGATAGCCCCATGACTGGTGATCGCAGATCAGGGCGACTTTGTCCGGACCTTCCAGGCCTGTGTAGTAGCCATCCTCCAGCGTGATAAACATGGCATCTGAGCCCTTTTCTGTTCCAAAGCCACCGTCGATATACGAAGTATTACCGCGGCGTTGTTGTTGTATGCTCGCCATTGGATCTATGTTGCTGGTGAGACTCGAATCGAGCTGGGTCAAGAGAATGTGTTTCAGCAGCAAGGACAGAACTGTCCATTTTATGGATTGCGCAGATCATTCACTCTGCACATCGCGGACTCCCGACGCCGCTAGCAATCAAGCGATATCTATTATGGCTAACTTCGCGGCGGGAGTGCCCTTTATCCGCGCATGGAAAGCAAACATGAGACTTCTTTATCATGAGAGACAAAGGTCAAGGTGCAAGCAAACAAGATCAAGACATTGAATTGAAGCAAAAGGGGTTTGCTCTATAGGATGCATGGAGCGAGAAGGCTGAAGCAACAGTGTTCTCTGGAGTCAAACATGGCGCACACAAAGGAGCAAAAAAACCAGGACTTAACTTGGGAAACATCTTTTCGACCAAATCATCAACGCGACCAACCAGGGTGGGAGTCGAACTCACCACCCCTGGATTCTATTTATGCTCAGATTTGGAGAGGTTTATCAGAAGTTGATGAGATTAACCCATTGGGCTAAACCTCCGATCTTCTTGGGAGTGAGTGGATTGGGTTGATTGATAAGGGTAGAACTGGAGGGGCGGAAGGGTGCGTGTTCGAATCAGGGGGTGGTGAAGGTGTTGTTTTGCTTTTGGTGTCTTCTCGAGGGCTGATTTGTCGAGCAGTGTAGTAGCACTTCAATATCTGCCTGTGAGTGAAACTGTGGCTTATTACCTCCGTCTGTTTGATCAGAGTCATTCGTATTCACTTCCCTCCTTGCTTTTCACTCGCCTTTCTCTCTCACACATACTCTCGTCTTCTATCTCGATCACTTCTGGCTCTTTTGTTCCTTCTTCTGTGTCCAATTCATCGAGCATTCCTCCTTCATCTTCGGATCTTCTTTGACAGCACCTTTTTACGAAGTCTACACAGACGTATCATCTCTTACCACAAGCCATGGATTGGTTGCTCGTCAATCCACGAGCCATGTCAACCGGCTCACGCAAGAAGTAAGTCTGCATTGATCGAGAAGCTCTGAGTCTGCTGACGGTTGTCTGCTCAGAAAGTCGAAACTCGGCGCAGCCCGATCATCAACCAGAACCAACACCACTGGAACGGCAGACGCTGGTCAGCTTCAGACCAAAGATCAAGATCAGACCCAGGCACAGATTCAGGCTCCTTCCTCATCCAAAGTCTCACCCGAAACTTCAGGCGGTGCAATGTGTGCTTTGCGCAGTAATGATATCAAGGTCAACGATCACAAGAGCCCTTCCGCGACTCCCAAAATAGCTTTGTTGTTACCTCAGAAACCACCCGTACCACAAAAACTGCTACGACAATCACAGAAGAGAAAGTATCAACAAAACCTAGAATTTCCCCAGAAGCAAGAAGCACAACAGAGATCGCAGATACGACAATTGCCACCAATCTTGCAACCACATGCAGCTGGAGTCAAGGGCCCAACGGACGCTTCGAATTCCCCTTCCTTCATCAACCCAGCAAAGGTAATCAAGCCAGATAACGCACAGCAAGAGAGATTCTCAAGGTTTTCTGAGGAGCAGAATCGCACCCTCGAACTGAGATCTGAGCGGATCTTGGGAAAACTGAAGTTGAAGACACTTACAGAACTGATTACGCTGCAAATGAACAACCCGGAGGAGTATGTATCTCATCTCATAGGAGATGTCATCTTCAAGAAGCGTATGAATGCGCTGGATACGTTGGAGAGTCAGCTTTGAGCTCACATGAGAGATCAAGGGTCAGTTAGGAATGGGGACAGAAAGATGTGAGAGCACTGAACAGAGGAGAGACTAGAAGGAAAAATCCGAGCAGGCAGTGACATTGCGGCCACTTTTACTCCAAGGTCTTCTCGTCTTCGGGAGCCCCACGCTAAGCAGAGAATGCACTTGGTACCAGAAGGTCAGAGAGAAACACAAACAAGATGCCCCATCATTCTCAACAGAATAATAGTCCTTCTAAGATATCATATCGAATATGGATTCTCTACTCACTTCCATTTATCCATCCTTCTCATTTTCCGACAGCTCGAATGTTTAGGCAGAACTCCTGCCAGAGTATGTTTCACTTACAGTGTTGATGTCAGTCATGAATCCTTCTCACTTACATTGTTAACCTAGTGGAATCACGGATGATCGCATCTGTCACAACAGTTCACCCTCAATATCACCTTGTTGCTTAGTTCACTGTCCTGATCATCACACAATCACTTTTATCTCTTTAAATGATGTCTTGACTTTCACACTCTCGTACTTGGCCTATATCTTTTGACCTTCGACTTGCCTTCCTCTCTTTTTCCTTTCAAACAACATCTTCCTCTTCTCATCGGCAGTTGTGTCTCTTCTTTCTCTGGTCTTCCTCATCAGCAACAAACACACAAAGAGATATGGCTTCTTACCCTTCTTACCCCGACATTACCAAGGATGAGGAGTTTCTCTTGGGGTGAGTCCTCCCAACTGTCTTCCATCAATAGCCAAACTCCGGCTGACAGACAACTTAAGCGATCACAACCGGCAACACAGCCCAATATTCATCTCGCACTTCGAATTGAACGCCCTCGGTGAGGTAGAAACCGACCAGATCATGAGCAACCTCACTACCACCACCGACCGGATCATCACCCCTACCACCACCACAGATACCCCATCCACTCTTTCGCGCCTGCCACCACGATCCTCACGTCCCCCTCACTGCCAATCTCCATTTCCAATCCGCTTCACAGCGCGCAAGCAACCCCTCCAAGACCTCCTCAGCCCCAGCCAAAAAAGCCGCTCGCGTCAAGAAACTAGGAGATATCAAGAAAAAGCTGAAGGACAAGACCACCAGACAACTCGATAAGCTGCACGACGAAGAGGGAGTGGACACTGATCTTCTCGCCACAATCTTGGAGGCTTTTCATGAGAAACAGATGGCTGAGTTGGAGGCTTTTGAGGATAAGCTTTGAAAATACTCGTCTAAAGGATGAACAAGATCGAACGACGAGGGAAACAAAAAAAGGATGATGTTAGCCAAATTGGCGGTTGATCATGATATTGGAAAGAAAGGGGCAGAATGGGAAAGAAAGGGACAGAAGAGAAACGACAGACACCCTACGAAAGAAGGAAAGAAGTATCAGAACAAAAACATCTCAACGATGAGAACGTCATCATAATCTCTACTCAACACAGATATCAACAACTGAATACATTATCCCACAACTTCATCTCTCCTCTTCCTCTGACCAAGAATTATATCTCCTAATCCCCGTGACAAACAGGACAAACATACCCCCCTCTCTCTTCCTCTTCCTCTGCATCACCATCCTCCTCTCCCCCTTCCTCAGCAGCAGCGACCTTGACAGCAATTTCGCTTTCAAGACACACCCTATGCACAACATGTCTACAAGCAAACACCACCAACGCCATCCTCCTTGCTTGTTCTTCGACCTCCCTCGCCCTCTCCGCAACCCCATCTGCTATCAATGCTCCTTTACCTTTTCCATTATCCATACTCGCGCGAATCTTTTCTCCCTTTTTGTGTGTTCTTTGCTCTTCGGTGCGTTCGAATTCATCCCAGATGATTTCTTGATGTGAATCTATGTTTGAGACACCGGCGCCCCAAGCGCGTTTTTTGCAGAGTTCGCAGGTTTGGGTGCGGGGACGCCAGCCACATTGGCGGAGTGAGTGGATGGAAGTCATGTCTGCAAAGACGTCGACGTCAAGGAGTTGGGAGGCAAGATTGAGGACGGAGGACTCGTGGGTGTAGGCTGCAAAGACATCCAAGAGGACGGCGCGGAGATCGGAGAGGGTGGGTGCGTAGGAGGAACTTGCCCGAGACAAAAAGGCGCGGAAGATGTAGAGGAAAGATTGATTATGTTGGTTTTGTGGACGACGGTGGTGGCGAGGTTCCTCATGGTCGTCAGATTTGGGAGATGTGGTTGAAGTTGCGCTGAGGAGGGCTGTGAAGGTTTGTTGAACGGTGCTTCGGAGAGCATTGTTGGTCTTATCGATGTCGAAGGAGGCGTCGTCGATTAGTTCGTCAGTTTCTGCTGACACTGATTTGGAGACTGCAACGATGGCATCGATCAGGTTGAGCCAGAGCAGCTCATCAAGTTCGAGATCATTCTCTTTGATTTCCCAAGCAGTATTTGTGCGATGCCGAGGTTGACGATGCTGCTGCATAGCAGCACTCTGCCCCTTGCACAACCAGATACCAAGTCGCGTGTACTTCTCAATCGCCTCGATCAAGTCGTCAGCAGCTTCCTCAGTGCTCTGCATGTCCGGTGCCTCAGCAGCCGCTTGTATGAGACTGCAGATAGCATTTTGTAGAGTAAGCAGATGCTTGCAGAGACGAGTTATAGCATCTCTGGCTAGGCCATCTTGCGCCATAAGAAGAACTGCTGCGTCAACAACGCCATTCTCTTCCATAGATGGAAGAACACGATCGAGGTCTAGGTCGCCAGACTTTAAGAGGCCGATATAATCGGCCACGTGACGAGGGTCGTGGATGCACATGAGCTCGACATACTGCTCGCAGAATCGTGCAACCAGAGATTCGGAAACCGGCTCGCTGACAGTCTTCTTGAAGCGGTGGTCAAGTAGTGAAGGCTCTAGCAACGTGCGTAGGAAGTGGAAGCGTGTGTATGTCTCCCCGATAGCGTCAACAAAGCGCTCCAAGATGTCGTCAGTATATCTTGCAAGTGTCTGTGCGGTCTTCGAGGTATTGATAGCTGCCAACTCTTGAGCATGTTCACATAAAAGGTCCTTGAGCTGAGTCGTTTGCTTCTCAGGCGACTCTTGTAGAGCATACGCAAGATCGTCAAAGACGCCATTCTTTCCTTGTGGGTCTTCGAAGTAAGTTTTGATGAGGTCGACAGGCCTGTGCTCGCTTCTGTACAGTGTCTTGAGCACGCGATAGAATTCTGCCTCTCGGAGCTGCTCGATGAGCGCGGTCGTGACGGGAGGATGGTATACAGATAGCAAGTACTCAGCGCTGAGTTGCGTGTCGTCAGCCAAATCATCCTCGCGAAAGCTGCAAAGTCGATCGAGAACTTGATGTAAGGAAGAACTCGATAAGACCATGAATTGGGGGTATTTTGGTAAATTCCTAGCAATGAACATGTCGAGGTAGATGGTTTGCTCGGGCTCGAAGTCGTCTGATGCCATGACATCGAGAAGAACACTGACAATGTACTGTCGAGTTATCTTCAGGCCTGCACCGTTTGTTTGTGATTGGCTGTAGGTGAGGCCATCTTCCTGCGAGTCGTTGAGGTATGGATCTTCGAAAGCTTCAGTCATCATGCTCATAAAGCTTGCCGCATCATATTCGAGCAAAAGTCGTAGATAAGGGAAGGCAGGTTCGCCCGCATGGTTGGACCTCGTTCTCAGAATGAACGAAGACCCCGGTGGCCATCCCGTAGGTTCGTGAGAGAACAAGTATCGGTAGATGTTTCCTTTCTGGGTGTCGGCTTTTTCGTCGTCTAGGAAGTCGCCCTGAGGGTACTTCCTTCCTGTCAGAACGAATGCAAGATAGGGAAACACTTTTATAGCCGACTCCAAAGCAGCTTCCTCTGTCTCGTCTTGTCTGTCTTTGACATCCCGTAACAGTGTCAGTAGATCTGACAGTGGAGTGACGTATTCTTCCAATGCTTCATTCCAGACAAAGATCAACGCGTCGTATAGATAATGAGTTTTGCAGAGCGTCGTGATCTGGTCAAGATCGAAAGTGCGTGGGTCTAGCCGGCACAAAAGCTCTTCTAGATGTGTGACTTGGTTTTTCGAAATGCAACTCTCCACTAGGTCTTTTACCAACGGCGGTGGCAGAGAAGTAACCTCCTCGTCCATAATATACGATTGCAAGATTTCGAGGAACACTTCTCGCTCGCCAGCATCTCTCAATGGCTCATAGACATCATCAAACAAGAAGCTCTGGTTGTCCATGCTCACACATGCATCAAAGCATTCAGCAACCAGATCAGACAGCGGTCGCCCGTTACTGTTGTTCTCTGAGAATGAGAACAGAATGGACGCAGACATGAGCTCGAGCAGTCTACCATGGACCAACTCGTGCCGCGCATCTGCGTTATCTGGCAAGCCCACTGTGACGCCACCAGCTTGTCCAGTGTAATATGCTCTAGCAAGCTGTATCGCTGCAATGTAGTCACCGTGTTCAATCAATGCGGTCAATCGGTCTGCCCAATTTGACAAAGTGCCCACTGAAAGATCACTCGCGCCGAGAAGGAACAGCCGGTTTTTGTAAACGCGGAAACTCTGGTAGAACGCATCTGCAATCACACCATGCATTTCCGAATGCTCGTTGTCAGCCTGCTCTACAACAGGATGCAATTGCTTCGAGAAGATATCGCGATGATGTATCTGCCTGTGCAGGAGATCCACAGAGTCCATGACATGTAACTCGCCGTCTTCTATGATGATCATCTGTTGACTGATGGTGAGTACACCAATGACAGATCGGCTCAACCATTGAACTGCAACAATGGCCTCTTCGCACTCCCAGCTACTTCTCGAATGGAAAAATAGATTCGGCGGTTTCTCTTTGTCGGCTGGATCTTGAGATGGTTGGACCTCAACGTCGAGCACTGTCAAGACGTTCGACCAACAATACACAAGTTTTGTTTCGGAGGTGTCCCGCTCGGTGGTAGTATTACTGCTTTTTAACTTGACTGCTGGGAACCAAGCGAGACAGCCACTCATTGCACTGTGGCGCGATATTGACTTTGGCCTTGAAGCCTTATGCTGTGTTTGGGCGACGGGCGTTGTGGAAACAATGACGAGCAGATATGGAGTCAACAAAGCTGTAAGACCCATATTATCAGTAGCCTGTTCTACGTTTCCCAGCGGAAGCGGTGCAAATGCAAGCACAGAACTGGGCTTTATCCATGCCTCCTCTTGCAAGTTCGGTACTGGGTAGCGTCCAAGCAAGCGAGTGGTCTTGACACTACGAGAGATGGCGCCCATTCCACGAGTCGCGAGATGGGAGAAGGCCATGCCCCCATCGTCAGCAGAAACAAGAGCTGTGCGTCGTGTGCCCAAGAAGCCGATATGCAAGACTGAGCGACCTGGTACATGGCCATCCGGAGGTTGTGGTTGACCACTTCTTTCTACAGGCGGAATATGCAAGAACGGCTTAGCAGGACGAGCGAGCTCCCATGTAAAGATGTGACCTGAAGCATGACCAGCAGCAATTGCCGAATAGTCGGCTGAGATGGCAAGAGCAGTAATGGAACCGCACTCTATTGCTTTTGTGCCTTGACCAATGATACCCTTCAGAGTCTGGTGGTAGTCAAAGACCAGAATCAGACCTTTGGATGTACCAATTGTGATAGACGAAGATACAGCCAGACAAATTGGCACGCCGAAGTTACGTCTTCCAGCTTCGGAGAAGGCTTGCGATGTGATCTTCCGTAACCTTGTCCATCTTATGACTTCCCAAGGAGCGTCCGGGTTGTCTGCAATGTCACTGCCTCCTTGTGACAGTACAATCTGAGAGGAGAGAGACGACTGACGAGAGTGCGGAGACAGAAAGGCAGGGGAGGCAGCGCGCGACGAGGGAGTGGGCGAGGTAAACCTAGAGCTGAAGCGTCGCTCGAAGGGCTGGAGGGCACCGGAAGGAGTACGAGGGGTGTTTGTCGAGGCGCGTGGGTTCAGGCGGGGACGACGGATGGGTAGCGACGAGGCTAGGGAGCCTTGGATAGAGGGCGTATCATCTGGGATAGAGGCTGACTCGGAGGGACTGGCAAGGTCGGGAGTTGAAGGAGCAACAGGTATATCGTCAATGTCATGGGCGGCGAGTTCGTCTTCCAGAGTCCTCGCGGGGTGGATCGAGGATGGCACGGGGCTACCGGAGCGGCTCACGGTCTCGTCGGCGGTAAGGAAGGAGTCGTCGGGATCATTGATTCCTTGATTCTGGACCGGGAATGGATATGTGCCAGAGCCATCATGGCCATCCTTGTCGGAATGGCCTAGCGGGGAGCTCATTGACCAACGTGTCGAACTGTGTACATTGCTCGCGCCTTCCTGCTCTTGCTATCGAGTCTTCACGACTTCTTGTAACTCTCTCTTTCCCTGAGTCAAGGTCCAGAATGTCGGCTTCGAGTGTGATATACGGACGGGCAAGACAGGTGTATTTGTTGCAGGGGAGCTTGTGGAGATAATGTCGTAGCCTAACTCCATCGCTATCGCTTCAACTTCGGTTTGCTCGCGACCATGACGCGCCTCTTCCAGCGATCGATTACACTCTTCTATCTACCATTGTCCAAAAATACCAATTCACCATGTCGGCAGCAGGTCCAGAACTCCCTCCGCATCTCCTGGCCAAGCGAAAGCGACAGCAAGAGGAAGAGCAGAAAAATCAGCCTGCCACCTCTTCCGGCGCAAACCAAGAGAGTCCCCAAGACAAGCGTCAAAGAGTCGCCGGCCCAGAGCTACCACAATCCGCTTCACCAGCGCCAGCAGGCCCAACATTACCACAATCCGCAGGACCTACCTTGCCACCATCAAAGCCCGAGCCTCAAGTCGTTCAACCCGTCACCGGACCTGCTCGACCTGTCGCTGGCCCTGCCCCACCACCAGCTCCCCTCGATGAACGACCAACGGCACCTCCAGACTCGGATTCAGACTCTGACGACGATGACTTCGGTCCCGCTCTACCCTCCGCCACCGACCTGAATCCATCTACCAACGACTATGGACCCTCGATACCACAACCGGAAGCAGCTCCCGCAAGAGCCCAGCGCGACGAATGGATGACCCTACCACCCCAACAAGACGACCTAGCAGCCCGTATGGATCCTTCCAAAATAAGAGCTAGAGGCTTCAACACCGGCAAGAACGCAAGAGGAGGCAACACAACTCCCGCTGGAGGAAACATCGCCGCCGCATGGACCGAAACACCAGAGCAAAAGCTCAAGCGTTTGCAAGATGAAGCTATGGGTGTGAAGCCCGCTTCAGCTGGACATGTAGATGCCAAAGAAGCTGCTAGAAACAAGGAGAGAGAAGCAGAGGCAAGACGTATCCGTGAGCAAACTGTGAGTCTATCCAAATGTGCAACTCCAGGGCCACGAACTAATGTGTTGTTACAGAAACAGACTAGAGGCCCATCATTGATGGACCAGCATAAAGAGACAAATCCGGAGAACAAGGAAGATGATCCTACAAAACGTGCTTTCGACAGAGAAAAGGATATTGGCGGAAGCTCCCTCGGTCTTGTCGACAAGAAGGACCTGCTCAACAAGGCTTCAAACTTTGGTTCAAAGTTTGCTGGTGGCAGTTATCTATAGGCCATGCGTTGCCATAGTAGGATAACGTTTGCACAGAGCAAGAACAACCCAAAAGAATCAAGAAAGTAATCATGCATTATCTACCTCTGTACTGTACATCCTCCTCCACCTTACATACGACCAAAGGCCCTCTTCTCCATGGCAGCCTCAACAGCAGCATCGCCAGATAAAATGCCCGTAGTCGCAATAACAATCTTCTTCTTATCCCCCAACTGCTCACCCATAAACCTCAACGCCGCAATCTCCGCAAACGTGACTCCACCCAGGAAAAACACGATTGTAGTTTTCCTGCCACTTCCACTGCCACCTCTGAGTGTCTGTCTAGCCTGCGAAGCCTCTGCATTCGAGCCCTTTTGCACTTCATCAACAGTAGCGCCTTTGATCCTCGCCAACACATCTTCAAAGCCTTTCCATCCAGTGGCTTGAGGAGTAGGTGTACCGTTTCCAGCACCCCCATTGGCGTTGGGCGTAGAGGAAGATCTAGGGTTTGAAAGACGAGCGAGGAGTTGTTTCTGCAACACACATTGCACCAATCTCACACTCAGTGGCGCATAGCCGGAAAACACATATGAGATATCTGTGGGATCTTGCTCGTCGACCTCGTCAACGAAGAGTTTCAACGTTTTGCGGATGGAATTGTAATCGGTGTTTCCAGAGTTGATACCGCTCATGGGATTGAGATAGCCAGTATTGGATGCGCGAAGGGTCACTAGGCCCATCTTTTCCAGAGCGGCAAAGGTGAGGAGGTGTTGGTGACCGTAAGCGTACATGATTTGACGTTTTAGATTCTCCATGTCGCGGGCGCGGATGCCGCCGGCGACGCAAGATTCGAGAGACAGCAAGCGTAGGATTGTTGATAGAGGGATATCTCTGGCGATTAGCTCTTCAAGGTTGTCGTTCATGCTGCTGGGATCGGCTCCTGCAGCAAAGTTCTGCTGCACCTCAAGGACGCGACCAAAGATTTCGCTGCGGGTAGTCTTCATGATCTCCTCGGCCATGGAGGTGTGGATTTTGAGAGAGGCTTGCTCGGCTTGGTAAGAAGGGAGTTTTGCGACGAACGTTTTGAGGTCCGAGATTGATTGATCTGCTTTATGGCGGGATTCGTAGTCGGCTTGGAGGCGACGTGCGGTTCTGTTCAGTAGAGGTCCTACGACGGCGAAGTTACAGTCTCTGAGTTGAGGATAAAGTTTGTCGGAGCTGTCAAGCTGGATCTTGCGTTTTGTGGCTGCTTGCGTAGAGCCTCCTGCTGCACCTGCTGCTCCTTGGGGCTTCTGCTGTTGAGGTGCTGCTCCGACGATTGATGTGTCTACTTCGGTCTGATTGTGACGGACGCCAAAAACCTCGTCGATGAGACCTTCGTATGTTAGTTGGGTCATGAGAGGTGTGAAGAAGTCGACCTCGCGATCGATGATAATGACATTCTCTACGACTGCACTCGGCGTCAAGCCAAAGGTCGATGGTGATTTCGAGGTAGCAGACGATGCGCTGGCTTCCTCTTCCGAGCGCATACGGATGAGCAGATCGGCGAGTTTCTTCGCATTGTCACCCTTGCCTAGGATGCGAGGGAAGAGACCGGTAGACTTTTGCAGTCTCATCAATGCTGTGGCGGCAAGGAAAATGGCTGTGGGATCTTTGCGCTATACTGGTATTAGTACATTCTCACTTCGTATCTGATTTATGCACCTACCAGATACAGATCACTGAAAGCATCTTCAAGTTCAAGCGACAGAAGATCGGGTTCCAGAGGGATCAAGAAGAGGGGGCATTCGCCAATGGTCACTTCTCCCAGTACACCATTTTCTTCGAGAATCCGGTCACTGACGAGAGTTCGTCTGGGCACCCAAAAGACGGAGAATTCATGATCGGTTTTGCTTTCTTGACGGATTTGACTAATCTGTTCTATGGATATGTTAGCATGTAATGATAACATCTCTCAGAACGGTAGCGCAACGAGAGAGTTATGAATCATGCTGCATCAACTGGCTGTCGATGTAACGATTTTGATGTAGGGCACAAGACTGAACGTGCAGGGTAGGTGGAAACCTGCGCACTCTACTTTAAGGCCCATGGGTGGTGTGAAGAGGGGATATGTCTAGCTAAGGCTATGCAAAGTAGGAGGATATGGCTCTCGTAACAACTACAAGCAAGCATGACCTACCAGCTATGAGTTGAACATCCTTTGGCTTCTCGCCTCTAGCAAGAAAGACGATGTTGCGTTGAGAATCGTCGACATTGCGGTTCTCTACGTAGAAGACCTTGTCGACTCCATACTCCTGCAAAGTACTGAACTTGACGAGCAAGCCAATTGGACCGGCGAGGGACTTTTCAATCACAAGATTCTTCTTGCCAGGAACCTGCGCAATGGGTGTGAGTAGGGAGAACGGTGGAAATGACCGGCCAGTGTCCAGGTAGCCTTACGTACGCCTTCGAGCAGTTGGAGCAGATCTCTGCGCGCCCTTTCGGTAATGTCTTGGGGATTTATCTCCGCATGGGGCGCCATCACATCTTGCAATCGCTCGGGCGTGGAGAGAAGGAAGTCAAGTTGCAAAGTCGCGGTTGGAAAGTTGGAAGCCGAAACGTCGTGGACGGACTCAGGAAGCCGCAAAAACGCCAAGCCTATGACTATGCTCATGGTATCGAGAACAATTTCCATCCCACCATCTGCTCTTGTGACTGACACTTCTATACCGCTGACTAGCTTTGCATGCTTGCATGAAGGCTGTTATACCATTCGCCAGGACTTTTTCTTCTCAACTCCGACTTTCCAGGCCGACACTTCGATACTCGGCCAACTGCGCATTTTCTACATCGATCCATCGCCTAGACCGAACAGAGCAATTCAACATGGGAAAAGACAAGGGAGACAAGGGTGGCTTCCAGCTCAAGGTGCCCAAGGGTACTAAGGACTGGGAGGGCAAGGACATGGTCATCCGCGACAAGATCTTCAGCACCATCACCAACGTCTTCAAGCGTCACGGTGCTGTCACTATCGATACGTGAGTTGTGGGCTGGAAGGAAACAATGCCTCGTTCGGCATGCTGACTCTACGCTTCCAACAGTCCTGTCTTCGAGCTCAAGGAGATCCTCTCGGGCAAGTACGGTGAGGACAGCAAGCTCATCTACGACCTCGCCGACCAAGGTGGAGAGCTGTGCTCTCTGCGTTACGACTTGACCGTCCCCTTCGCCAGATGGCTCGCCATGAACACTTCCGTCCAGAATATCAAGCGCTACCACATCGCAAAGGTCTACCGCCGTGACCAGCCCGCCATGACCAAGGGCCGCATGCGCGAGTTCTACCAATGCGATTTCGACATTGCCGGTGCCTACGATCCTATGATCCCCGATGCTGAGATTCTGAGAATCGCATGTGAAATCTTCGACGAGCTGGGCTGGAAGGGCAAATACACAATCAAGCTGAACCACCGCAAGATCCTCGACGGTATCTTCTCCGTCTGCGGTGTTCCCACCGACAAGCTGAGAACAATTTCATCCGCTGTTGACAAGCTCGACAAGTCACCTTGGGATGAGGTCAAGAGAGAGATGACCGAGGAGAAGGGCCTCGACCCTGAGATCGCCGACAAGATTGGCAAATACGTTGTTCGCAAGGGTGGAAGAGACCTCCTCAAGGACCTTCAGGCCGACGCGACTCTCAGTGCAAACGAATCGGCAAAGGCTGGTCTCGACAACATTGAGATCCTCTTCAACTACCTCGACACCTTCAACGTACTCGACAGAATCTCCTTCGACATGTCACTCGCCCGTGGTCTCGACTACTACACTGGCGTCATCTACGAGATTGTCACCGAGGGCTCTGCCCCCAAGACTTCAGAAGGCCAGAAGGTGCAGGCTAAGAGCAAGAAGCCCAAGAACGAGGATGACGACCGTAGCAACGATCCCAGCGTCGGTGTTGGTTCCGTCGCTGCCGGTGGTCGTTACGACGAGCTGGTCGGCATGTTCAGCGGCAAGAGTAACCTCCCCTGTGTCGGCATCTCATTTGGTGTCGAGCGCATCTTCAGCATCACCAAGGCCAGAATGGAGGCCGAGGGCAACAAGTCCGTCCGCACAAACGAAGTTGACGTCTACGTCATGGCATTCGGCGGCAAGGGCTTCGACGGCCTCCTGCCTCAGCGCATGGAAGTCGCAAAGCGTCTATGGGATGCCGGCGTCAAGGCCGAGTTCAACTGGAAGGTCAAGCCCAAGCTTCCCGCACAATTCAAGGCCGCCGAGACCAACGGTGTTCCCTTTGCTCTCATCCTCGGCGAGGAAGAGCTCAAAGCTGGCCAGTGCAAGCTGAAGGAGATGGGCCTGCCTGACGGTCACCCCGAGAAGGAGGGTGTGCCGATCGCCATGGACAAGCTCGAGGAGCAAGTCAAGGAGGTCATCGAGCGCAGCAGACTTGCACAATTGAACAGCGTCGAGGCCGTCGCCGACAAGCTCGACACAACGAACCTCGATGAGGACGCCGCTGCTGCCCCCAAGACCAGCTAGAGCACGAAATTCTCCTATCGAAAAAAAAAGTTATATAAAGATACCCCCTTTCTGGGTGCTGATGCATGATTTTGGCGTTTCTTTCTTTGTACACTTTCGTAGCGAGAAGACGTCCTTTTTGCCTGAATATATGCACTTATGAACTGCAGATGTACTTCCTCTTAGCCTTCTCTTTCCGTTCCTTCCCATGTGTATGGAGTACTTTCTTGCTTATCTGCTCGATGATCTTGCTCAAGCCGTGCCGTGCAAGCGGTGTGTCTGATCATCACACCTCCTGCATTGTGATATGCAATCAAGGAAGCGTGTTATCCAAGGAAAACAGGGATGATTTCAAGGTCGACAAGGAAAGGAATCTTGGAAAGGAAAAGCCATCATCACTAGCGGGATCTCGGGACGATCAAACACCTGGAGATGCGAAGGCGGAGGATCGGCTCCCCAGGAGAGTTACATTGGTACAAATCACATGAAGGGATGAACATAAACAACAAAAAGGAGTCAAGAAATTGAAAAAAAGTGGTGGCGCAACTCGAATCTGTTTCGGGGAGAGTGATGATCATTTCCATTCCATATAGCAAAAATAAGCAATTAACGCCTTCATTCATTAATCCATAAATGCCTGTGAGCATTAAGAAAAGAAAGCAGAAACACCCATACTCATGCGCCGCCCCCATTTGCTTTGACCCATATATCATGCGAGATAGAGAATGTAAAAAGGTCAGGTATCGCTGCGCTTGCTATGCTTTGAATTACAAAAAGAGTGGTGTGATAGAAAGCAAAAGAGATAAAGAAGAAGATGGAAAAGCAAAATATGGCACACCAAGGACCTCCTTAAAGCAGAAGAGCGAAGCCGCCGAAGATACCAGCGGCGACGGCGAAGAGACCGTAGGCCTGGCCGAGCTGGAGAGCAGTGGCTGCACCAGTCTGGCTGCTGGAGGAGGAAGTGGCAGCAGCGCCGCTGCCTCCGAGGCCATTGTAGATGGTTTGGCCGGCAGAGTTTGTGGCCTCGCCGCCGTTGGTGGAGGATGCGCCGGTCTGAGAGGCTGTGGCGGAAGAGGAGGTGGTTACGTTGACGCGGGTAGGGTTTTGAGCACCGCAAGGGTGTTGGGCTCTGCAGTTGTATTCACAGTCTGTGTTACCGCCGCATCCGGCAATACACTGGGTTCCCCATTGAGTGCAGACGTAGTAGGGGATAGTCTGTGAGTACTCAGAGGCGTTAGGGCTGAGGTTGTTCTCGCAGATGCAGGAGAAGTCGAGGGTGGCAGGGTCGCACTCGTTCTCGACGGTTTCGGAGGAGTTGGCGGAGGTTTGAAGACAGATCAGAGGGCAAGCATTCTGCTGGTTGCTGCACCAGATTTCTGGAAAGAGTCAGACGTCTTGAACATACTTGGAAAAGATTGGTGTCACAAACCTCTGGTAGCCTCAGGAACACTCTCAGGGTCGATTTGGTACTGGGCAGAGGCCAACTTGGCGACCACAGGGAGGAGGAGCAGACCGAAACCACGCATTTTGATAGACGTATGTGTAGATCGAAAAGATACTTTTGGTGATGAGTAGTGACTGATAGAGTTCGAGCAGAAAGGTGTTCTTCAACAACGAATGTGAGAGGGAACAGGTATTAGAAGCGCTGGACCAACTGATAACGAGAGAGCTGGAGATATAGAGGGTTGCCCCAGCAGGACCGACGTTGAGTCTTTATCCTGTACGCTCAAAGGCCATAGCTCGCCGCTTGCTTTACTTGCTAGAGCATAAACGGGGATGGCGGGAGGCGAAAGCGGTGGTCAACGCCCTTCCCGTATCTCTGCATGTCTGGGGTCGTTCGACACCGCGGGTTAGGTGCATCCAGGCCTATCAAAATACGGCATGTCTGGCAAAAGTGGAGTCCCGAAATGTGCTCTCTACCCATAAAAGGCCCGGAAACAGGCTCGATGTGTCTCTTCCAACCATTGGAAACCGCGAGCAAACATCCGGTAGGCGTGACAGTTGCATACCATTGACACGAGCGAGTCAGAGGAGATTTCGAGAATCTCGGAGAATATGGAGGCTGGTGGTCTCAGCTCGCACTCTACCTAATCTTGTGCTATTGGACGCGAGCGATTAGACCCTAGCCAAGCATTTTCAGCGGCTCTGTTTCTCCAACCTCTCGCCATCTGATCATCATCTTTCACGCTAGCTGGCTGAGCGATTAAACGAGCAAACGCTTGCGACAAACAACCTCTCTTACCCCATGGACAATCGCACATCTCCAACCCAAAGGACCCGCTAACTCAATCTATTTATTATCCCAACTCGGACTGATGGATGGAGTCTGCGGAGTCGGAAACTCTTGTCAACGGCGATACCTCGTCACCCCGCAATAAGGACCAGCCTCTGGCCGCCGCTGCCGCCGCCACCTCTACAACACATGAAGATGATCTGAATGCTTCGGATCACACGGCCGCGTCATCCGTCACACTCAATAATGCATCTCCTCATGTAATACCGCCATACTTCAATGGCATCCGGCTTGAGCGAACAGATTCGGCCACTACGGCTACAGGACGAGGGATTGACCTTGTTGATCAGTCAGACGAAGACCACGAGATTGGAAGGGCTTGTTGGGCAAGTGATGTGTCAGTCGATGACTATGTGGTTGTGAGCGGTCCTACAGGGATTGGAGCATATGTAGTATGGAGCTGCACCATCGAAACATTCAAGGGTGGCAGTATCACTCTGCGCAAACGGTATGTGGTTTGCATTGCCCCCTTCAAGACCACGGTGGACTGATTCATTTTCAGATACTCGGAGTTCGACACCCTTAGGCACAATCTCGTGAGGGCATTTCCTTTATCCGAAGCCTCTATCCCAGAGCTACCAAGGAAAAGTCTAGTTTGTATGCTTGATCCTGGATATTTTTATGCATCGCACAGCTTACTCATCGTTCTGCAGCTCGATTTCGAACCAAGTTTCTTGAGCAGAGAAAGACTGGTCTTGCTCACTTCCTCACGTACGAAATGCTGCAGGTTTCGCTATAATCATGACGCTGACTTTTGTCCCAGATGCATCCTTCTCAATCCACAATTCTCGAGATCTCCGATAGTTACGGAGTTCATCAACTCTTGAGATCGACATACTTTGTACATACGCGAGCGACAGAGCATTTGGAACTTAGCGACAGACTAATAGCTAATCTTATCAGCATTCATATCATATTTGATCTTGACTAGCATGTCCATCATTGTGACAGGGTGCCCTGGCCGGCATGTCTGCCATGACAACAATTTGAGCTCACATGCCTTCCCTTCCACTTAGAAAGTCCGAGCTTCATACTGGCATCTCTCTGCGAGTATATAAAGGTTTTGAAAGTTATTCTGGAGGCACGCGAGGGGTGGTGGTTGTTTGACCATCGTTTGGTCAAATACTGATAAGCTTTGCCGAATTGGCTCGTAATTGCATGCGACGATTCCACGTCTTGTCATGTCTTGCGCTACACTTAGAAAGCCATTGATTGGTTGGCTTGGAGTTTACTAGAGGCGTACTGTACCCTTACATGAGAAGCCATATTGTTTCAATCCATCGATTCTCAGTGACATACCTCTCAGATGCACCGTGCAGAAACAGAGGCAGAAGAGGAGTGGGCTTGGCGATTATGCGTTGGAGTCAACCCAGGGAGACGCGACGTCGAGATCCCAAGACGAGTCGGCTCGAGTTAGAACGTGACAATAGGCAGACTCACATATAGAAGAGGAGGATCAGGGCTTAGGATTGACACTTTGCCGCAAAGTAGGGATGTTGTCGGATGACTCCTCTTCAGCTTTGGCTAAAGGGTCCTCCTGAACGGAGCAACCGCGAAACAGGACAGGATTCGACGCAGCAGCAGCACACAGCTGAGGCTGCCGTTGACGAACACGGTCAGGTCGAGCAAGGATCATGGTCGTCTGCAATCAAAAGCATGGTCAATTCTCTCAGGCCTACCTCGACCAGGTCTCCCTCACGGCGCGCCTCCGTCAGACACCCCACACCGCCCCCCTCCCAGCTCTCTTCGACATCACCGCGACCGCTGTCCGACGAAAATGAAGCCATCGAGACTCCGAAACAGAGCGACCGTCCGGCCAAACGCCTCAAGCTGACGCTCAAAGGTCCGAAGCTAGCTGCTGTGCCTGCTGACGTTGTTGGCAACACAAACGCGACCATCCCGTCCCCGAGACCGCCCGTCAAGCTGACTCTCTCCGAGCCACATGGGAACTTGCTCCAGACTACGAATGGTGTGCGCAAGACTCTGGATGTTACCGAAGACCCAATACCCTCCAACACGTCACCAGCTACAACTCCGGCTTCAGCTTTGGATCCACCGCAAAGAGAGACTCGAAAGACGTCAGAGAGACGTAGTCTGCGCTCGCATGATGAAGGTCCACGACTGAAGAGCGAGCTGGCTGTGTACTTTCCAAACTATGAGGATATCATATACGACTCCAACAAAGAACCGGGTAAGATCAAGTCAGTCGAACGTCGCGGCCAACGGCTAACCAGCTGTAGAATTCATCACTACAGATACCATCATTCATATCAGCAATGAGCCGTATAATCCTGCTCAAGACCCGAACTACAAACCAGACACCTTGACTTCCCATCCAAGAACCCAGCGTGCCTCTGCTTCTCCTACGAAACCGTCGTCCCCACCAAACCAGAAGAATAAATACAATGGAGCTCAAGTCATTGACTTCTCGTCCATCGAGAAGAGTGTCGGCCATCATCCGAAAGACCCTTTGACTGATGCCTTCTACTTTCCATCTCATCGTCGAGCAGAGCGCAAGGAGAAGCAATTGCGCAACATCGAGAAGGAGAGGGCCATGCACGAAAAGGCCCACCTTGAAAGACTCCTCGAAGCTTTGCAAGGGCATGACTGGTTGCGTGTCATGGGTATCAACAGCGTGGTTGATGCAGATGCGAAGAAATACGAGCCCAAAAGAAAGTATTTTGTTGACGAACTGAATGCGTTGCTGTTGAAGTTCAAAACATGGAAAGACGAGGAAAGGCGGATCCGGCAGGAGAAGGAAGCTGCCGCTATGGCCGGAGCAGAGGACGAAGACGAAGATGAGGACGAGGAGAGTGAGAGCGAGCCGTCTTCGAGTGACCTGGACGCTTCTGCAGCCCGTCAGCTACAGGTTGAAGCTTCCGGAGGTGCTAAAGGCGGGAAAGATGGCAAAGCTGGAAAGCTCCAAAGCAAGACGAAAGCCTCTGCGCCAGTCCCCGAACCTGCACCTCCACCTCCAGCACCACTCCCGACAACATATCGGGAGCCTACGCCGGATGGACCTTTTGTGAGCTTCTACTCCAAGCCTCATATGCGGGCGTCAGCACTGGGAACTACACGACATGGTCGAAGTTTGACAGCCTTCGGCGTTCCGTTGCCTGAGGTTGAGGAACAGGACTTTGCTCTGCCCGAGGACTACGTGACGCCAGACGCACTGAGAGACAATGCTAGGAAACGCAGGAGGATGAAGAGGGAGAGTGCAATGGACTCAAGCAAGTGAGACGGACATACAGGATGACACATTGTTAGCGTATATGGAGTGGGCGTTCTGGCGCATGGATAGCGAAATACCCTGAGGGATGTTGCATTCTAGTCATTCAATAAAGACAATGGCATTGACATTTTCACGTGCCATCCACCTTGTCACACGACCTGTGAGTGTGTGAAAGAAGCTTGCCGAAAGAAGGAACTGTGACTTGTGAAAGGCGTCGAGCCCATTCATTGTTGCCGACTTGCAGATTTCTTCGACACCAGCCATACTCGACAAGTGAAACAATTTGGAGAGCAGAATTGTGAAATATGGCAACGGATTCTCACGCGTTTCACTGTTTCAACTCGAGGAGAGTTTGGATGGTCGATCAGGGCCGCAACGAAGGCAGCGGCGGAGAGTGCACAGACCGCTCACATCGAAGTTCCGGCGTCACTCTCTCGACAGCATCAACTTTGGAGCTCGTTCGATCCGTCAGAGCCTTGCGCGCCCATCAGATCCAGCATCCATACTCGTCGCCTCCGCCTTCTCATCTCGCCACTCTCCGACCCGGCCAACACTTACCTCGTCTCCAGCGCTTCACGACTGCCGCCTTCACACGCGTCCAAACACCACCGCCGCCCCACCTCACTCGCACCCGTCGTTCTTTCCTTGATAATCGCAAGCGCGACATCAGCACGACTTTAGCGCACCAACGCGACCGATCGCGCATGTCTTCTGGCATGGGAAATGCAAACTGATCTGACACTTGGTCAAGAGGTTGCGCGCAGTTGGCGCCATGCCGGGCTACTTTGACAACGCTCTCCCAACCGAGCAATCGCTGGATCTCGGCTTCTCCGTCGTCTCACAAAAGGTCGATCTTACCGTCGACTTTGCAAAGCAGGTCATCTCTGGCTCCACCGAAATCACCATCCAGCCCGAAATAAAGGATCTCAAGACCATCCGCTTGAACTGTCGCCAGGCCCGTATCTTGAGCGCAAACGTCGAGGGCTCCAAAGCACAAGTCAATTATTCCGATCCTTATCAAAAAATAAAGCTTCAAGGGAGAACAACCGCTCATCAGCATGAATATCTTCGCAACAGAATTGAGGGTGCCATCAAGCAATCACCTGATCCAGAACTGGCCCTGACGATACCCTCCCGCGTCACCATCAAGGAGCTGAACAGCGAGTCCTCTTCGACAATAGCCAGAGATAGCCTCAAGCGACAAGAAAGCGATTTCCCTGCTCAGGCCGAGACCCCAACTGCATCACATGCCCAGGAACCAGCATTGAGATATGCTCCACTCCGAGTCGTAATCGATTTCGAGGTTACGAGTTTCCGCGACGGCCTCCACTTTGTTGGTTTCTCCGACAGTGATTCCAGATATCCTCATCTATACACCAGAAACACGCTGGGACCTGGCGCCATATGCTCTGTTTTCCCCTGCGTTGACGATGCCACAACTCGATGCATGTGGGAAATCTCTATCCGATGTCACAAAACACTGGGCGATGCTTTTAGAAAGGCCCCGCAGACAAGTCCCACCGAGACGGATGTCGAGATGACCGGGACTGACCAGAAGGACAAGAAGACGAGGGACGAGTACCTGATCAACCTCAGCGAGGAAGAAAAATCCTTGGATCTGAGCATCGTGTGCTCTGGTGAAATGACAGACGATGTATGCAGACTCAAACATATACCAATATTGCTTTATCTGACAGATTTCAGATCATTGATCCTCAGGACCCTACTTGGCGGACGGTCTCATTCGCCTGCTTTGCCCCTGTCACTGCTCGTCATATCGGCTTTGCCATCGGACCCTTCGAACATGTTGATCTGACGGATTTCAGAGAAGTTGACGAAGACGACAAGCTTGGTCAAAACGCCATCAAAGTTGATGGCTTCTGTTTGCCAGGGAGAGCAGAGGAGTTACGGAATACTTGTATGCCAATGGCCAAGGTATGTGCTCTGCGATTGCTACATGACCATGGAAGCCGTCTGATAATCCGTCTAGGCCATCGACTATTTCACTGTTAACTACGGCTCCTTCCCATTCTCCAGCTACAAGCTCATCTTTGTTGATGATTTGACACAAGATGTGACACATACGGCTTCTCTGTCAATATGCAGCACGAGGTTACTCTTCCCAGAAGATATCATCGAGCCTCTGGATCCGAATACACGGGTGCTCGTTCATGCCCTTGCAAGTCAATGGGTTGGCGTCAATGTCATACCCAAAGAAGCCCGAGACATGTGGGCTATCACTGCCATCTCTGGATTCATGCGAGACACTTTCATGCGAAAGCTTGCTGGAAACAACGAATACCGCTACCAACAAAAACTCGCGTCGGAACAAGTGTTTGAGCAAGACGTTGAGAGATATAGTATTCATCAACTCGGCGCTCAACTTGACATCGATCCCTCGGAATACGAATTCATGGCTCTCAAATCGGCAGTAGTGCTTTTCATATTGGACCGCCGATTGACAAAGGCGAGTGGAGCAGCTGGCGTTGGACGCATCATCACCAGACTGTTGCTCAATGCGAAAACAGGCGACCTTCAGAACGGCGAGCTCTCCACCGATTGGTTCCATCGTCTTTGTGAGAAGCTTGGCCATACCAAGCTGGACGCATTTTTCAAGCAGTGGGTGTATGGCGCTGGTTGTCCTTTGTTCAAAGTGAACCAACGCTTCAACAAGAAGAAATTGGTTGTGGAGATGAACATCTACCAAATACAGCGCGAACGCAAGATCAAGCCTGAGCTTTCGCCAACAAACTTCATGAGAGAAGCCAAAGAACAAGTGTCAGAAGTTTGGGCTCCGGAAGTCTCTGATCCCTTTACTGGGCCCATGACAATCCGTATCCACGAAGCCGACGGCACGCCATATGAACACATTGTGGAGATCAAGGACACACATACAAAGATCGAAATTCCTTACAACACGAAGTACAAACGTCTGAAGAGATCAAAGCGGGCAAAAGAACGAGCCATGGCCGCCAATGGCATGGACCTTGGTGGAGAGGCCGAGAATGACGTGCTGCTATACTGTCTCGGCGACGTCCTCCAGTCGGAAGACGAGGTCAAAGACTGGCGCCTAGTTGACTGGGGCAAAGAAGAGGAAGACAGAATGGGCCAAGAAAGCTACGAGTGGATCCGTATGGATGCTGACTTTGAGTGGATTGGTAAAATTGACTTGATCATGCCGATCTACATGTATGTCAGTCAGTTGCAACAAGATAGAGATGTCGTTGCACAATACGAGGTAAGCAGCAAAAAGCTACAAGGTTGTAATTTCGTACTAACAAATCCGCAGTCACTCCAACACGTTCTGAAACAAAACGCCCATCCTTTGATGTCTACCATCCTCGTCAGAACTTTGATGGACCGCAGATACTTCCATGGTATTCGCACACTAGCGGCAGAGGGTCTCACGAAGTGTGCTACGCCCAGCTTGAATTGGGTTGGCCAGTACCATCTTGAAAGAGCCTTCCAGGAGTTCTTCTGTTTTGCAGATTCACCCATGCCTCGTGCGAACGACTTCTCCGATCGCATGGGCTACCTTCTCCAGAAAGCCATTCCTATTGCATTGTCTCATGTCAAAGACGAACGAGGCAAGGTGCCTATGAGTGTGAGGAGATTTTTCGTTGACAAACTCAAGTTCAACGATAACTCTAACAACGAGGTAAGATGAATGTGCAGCTTCTGCTTTACAGAAGGCTAACAAAAGCTTAGTTCTCCGATTGCTACTATGTTTCCACACTTATGCGATGCCTTGCCGAGTCTTTGGTGGCTTCAGCAGCGCCGCAACAAACCTTCATCACAAATCCCGATGACGACGATGACTTGATGCAAGAAAACCTTGAAGATGAAAAGTTTCAAAAAGAGGCCATCAACGAACTCGAACGCTATCGCCGCATCGACGAGTGGATCTCTTCTTACCAAAACATATATTCAGTTACAGCTCTTGAATGCATGCGAAAACTCTTTGAGCATGGAGTGGTCAAGAACAAAAAGGCCGAGATCTTGCAATACACACAATCTGGCAATGCCGACGAGGTTCGACTGGCGGCATGGGACTCTCTCGTCAGGCTCAAGCTTGCGAGGCGGCCTCAGGTACTCAAGTATCTATTGCATTGCCTAAGCGATGACCCTTCACCTTACTTCAGAGATCAACTTCTCCAGGTGTTGGGCCGAGCCTTGGGAACGATTGCCTTGAAAACTCACGAAGCTGAAAAGCATGCACCCAAGCCTGTTGAGACTGGAGGGCTGGTTCTCGAACAAGAAGAACCTTTGGCCGTCCAGTCGGTACCGCTCCATGATATTGGCAAGAGTCCACCAGAACTCGCTCTGTTAGCGCTCAAAGCCGCCCTTGTTGACGATGAAGTGTTCAAGGCAGCATTGTGGCATGTTATTCAGTCACCAATTCTCGCCATTCCCGAGGTGGTCTCATTCCTGGATATTGCAGCCCTGATCTACGATGCGTCTAACGGCCTTGTTGTACATCTGCGACTGCCTCGTTACTATTCCGCAACGAACATAGGCAAAGGTAAGGTCAAGTTTACAGAAAAACACAAGTACCGCACAGTGCCAACGGCCGGACTCGGCTTGGAGGAATACCAGATGGTACAACAGTATGACCTCAAATATACTGGACCGCTATCGAGGGATGTCAAGGACCACATCAAGCTGCAGAAGAACCAAGCTCGCGAACAGGTGCAGGAAGAGCAAGCCTTGAAGAACAAGATTGCCGCCATGCAGCAAGAGATCCAACAGCAGCAGCAGCAACAACAGCAGCAACTCAAGGTCCAGACTCCAGGCCCTGCACCGTCAGCTCCGAGACCCTCGCAAGTGTCATCCACGGCTATGTCACCACCACCTCTGCCGACTCCGACTGGGTCTATGAAACTCACTCTGAAGCGTAAGCAGAGCTCGACGGCCGAGCCGCGCGCAAGTAGTCCCAAGCGCCCTCATCTTGTCCCGCCTACTCCAAATGGCACAGCAATAACACCGAAGGTGGAAAAGAGTCCCAGTCTGAATCTTGGAAAGATACACGCCCAGACACCATCGCGCACAGTATCTGGCGCATCTGCACCTGGCTCAGCAGCTCCGTCTCGAAAGCCTACTGCCAACGACAAACCAAGCAAGTCCAAGGTTGTTCGCCTGAAAATCTCGAAGCAGAAGAGATTGCAGAGAATTCTTTCGCAACCACCTCAGCCAGGAGCTCGACCTCAAAAGCCAAAGGTCAACCTCCCTGCCAAGATCAACACTTCTTCCTCGGCGCGACCTAGCCCTGCACCCTCGGCAAGTGGTGGCTCGCAAGCCCGTGGTGCAAGCAATGGCGGTGACTTCTTTGCTAGCCCCGAAGTAACTACCGCATTGTCAGCAGGTGCGAGCGTTGCAACTTTCCGAACCTGGGATGGTTTAAGCTCGATCAAGAAAGAAGCCGATTCCGCACCCATGAGCGCAGTGAGCCCCATGACGACGACCTACCCAAAGAGCAACGGCAGCACAACTGCCACCGGTACCATGAGTCCGCGCCCATCGGAAGGTGCAGAGGACAAGAAGCCAGCACTGAAGTTCAAGCTCAAGCTTGGCAAGAAGCCGCCGACCTAGATGTTTATTTTCCTTTCTTGTCCTCCCCATCTTCCTTTTCTTGTTCTCCTTTTTTCTTGCACTGCCGGGCTTTCGAAGGGGTCTGTGCTATTAATGCGAGCTTTGTTTCAGCATGGCGTTGGCGGGATCCGCGGGCAAAACCAAAAAGTGAACATAACATGAGAAGAAAGAGAGACACAAAATAAACAATTTTATCAATTCCAGTTGACCATGCTTGTTCTGTGATGTCCTTTGCGTGAGCTTCTGCCGTTGACAGTCTAGCGGATGTGTGCTGCAGAGAAACAACAGGACCTTGATCTCTCCCTTCCCAGCGGGCAATTGGCGGACATGCTAGCTGTGGCAAGGCACAGCGTTTTTCGATCGTAGAGGCTTGTCCGGAGAGAGTGAGGCCTCTTGTCTCCTTGTCGTAACTCATACACCAACTATGGGAATTGTAGCAATCGAGCCCCGCTTGTCAGACTCGAATAATATGCATTGGCATAATTGCTAAGTTTACCAGAAGGCTGCATATGTTGCATAACGTGTCCATAGCATGATCTTGTTGTATAATGCCAGCGATTACTAATTTACTTAGGGGCTCTGTTTCTGTGAGTTCTGACTTGATGATCAGTGAACTGCCTTGTTATGCTCAGTCGACCCTCCATCATACAAGATTCATAGCAATCTGATGATCACATTGAGGAAATTTGGATCTCTCCTCACTTGGAAAAGACTCGAGACTGTGGCAACAACGCTTGATCATTATACTCGTCTTCAACTCCGGAGTATAGTCATATAGGTTACGCATCTCCATGACCGTCAGTCTGGCGGTATTTGTCGATTGATGGCGATCAAGGTGTGCTTGTTCTACGAAAGGCATTTGGTAGCTTGCTATCATCAACATGTAGTGGCAGTAAGGGACGAGTCAAGGTTTGCTGGATGTTTCCTGTATCAGCGGGGACGGAAGAGGTTAGTTGGCGAGGCTGGTGGATAGACGGTTGCTAATTTAAGTGACGTTGTGTCTTCTGGACCCGAGATGCTTGTTATGTTCCCGTTGCACTTGCGCTTTTGGCGGCTGTTGTATGTATATCCAGTAATGACAATATTGGCCTGACGATCCCTGTCACCGTAGTTGTTAGCGGCCAGAAAGCGAGTGCTAGGTAGAAAGATACGACACACCTAAGGATATGATGATATACCTTTCCAACTTGTCCGATAAACTCATTCTTGATTGTAAACGATCTGGTGATTCAGCAGATCTACCTGCCGTGCAACATCGTCGAAAGTAGTAACCAGAAGGTGGGCGAGATTTGGTCCGACTAGTGCTCGCATCTCTGACGGCGTCATGCCCTTGGGCAGTGCCATGGCAGACAACGCAAAGAAGGCATACGATGCAAGGTGTGCTGTGGTTCCAGTGGTGTGTGATGCCTGATGTCGTGTCGATTAGGGCATGGGTTACAGTCAAGAGAGAGACTCGGGCTCATGGCTGTTGAGGGCTGATCTGATGCTCTCATATCTCCCGTAAAGTGCTGAAATAGCTGGAAGTACGCACAGATCTAGCCAGGGATGGGAGCGCAGGAGCCGGGAGCAGTGGTTTGGTCTAGGGTGATGGACCTGTGTGTTGCAGGTGACTGCCTGTTCTCGGCTGTGCGTTCCTGGAACTTCTTATCCTTAGCAACTTTCCTAGCCGCTCTTTCCAAGAAGGCGTTCGATTTGTTGGCTTCATCCTCGGGAAGATGTGAGGATGGCATGTTGAGAACTAAATAGCCAAGGTAACTCAGTGGGAACGGTGATCAAAAAGTGCACAACCTCAAACCAAAACTCACCTTCCTTCCCTACCTCCATCTGAGTTATTGAAAACAGGTATATAATCCATCCACCCTCCTCACAGTAGACCCTTCGGTCGAGTAGCTCACTTGGAGATTATTCCGAAACTTGCAGTCAAAATGCAACGGAGGGGTTTTCCCTAGCTATACAGCTGCCTCTTAATTCAATCTTTGTGAGTTGATCAGAGGCACGAACGATTGAGTTCTGCTCATTCCAGGTTTTAATTCTCTTTTTCTTTTTTCTTCTTTCTTCTTTTGGTGATGTCTCCAGATTGGAAAAAAGGAGTGGAAGCAAATTGTGAATTAATGTATTGCATCGTAGCATTTTGGTATATTATCATCTTCATCTCTTTCTACTCCTCAGACACGCAGAAAGCCTTGAATTCTGTCCAGGCCTTCTCGAGGTCGTCGTTGATGATGACCTTGTCGAAAACACCAGGAGTCTTTGCGAATTCGAGTTCGTTCTTGGCTTGTGCAAGACGCTGGGTGATGGCATCTTCGGTGTCGGTGGCACGGCCACGCAGACGGGCCTCGAGGATCTCGATGGATGGTGGTTGGAGGGAGAGGTAGCGGGCGTTGAGGCTGGTCTTCTTTACTTGCTTGACACCCTGTGATAACGGTGGTCAGAAATCATAGTCGAGAGCAGGATTCTTGTGGTCTAGTGGTTCATACCTCCATCTCAATGTCAAGGATGCAAGTGCGGTCCTTCTGGGCGACGTCGCGAACGGCCTGGACGCTGGTGCCGTAGTAGTTGCTGCCGAACTGGGCGTGCTCGATGAAACCACCCTGATCGACCAACTTCAAGAAGTCCTCCTTTGTGACGAAGTGGTATTCGATGCCATTTTGCTCGGTGCCTCTGGGTTGGCGAGTAGTGTCTTGTGTGTATACAATCAGTCCCTGGTGTCGATCAAGGAGATGGTCTTGTCATGTTCGTACGAGAGATGGAGAAGCCGAAGCGGTCGGGGTACTCCTTGAGCAGGCGGTTCAAGTGGGTCGACTTGCCAGAGCCAGAGGGCCCGGAGATGACGATGGGACGGTTGGCCTTTTCTGGAAGGTGTGATTCATGTCAATCAAAAGTCCCGTATCTGAGCGTTTGTTGGTGGCATTGACGGACCGATGGACATATTGGCGGTGGAATAGGTTCGCGACGAGATGTGGAGACTTTTGGTGAGGAAGGAGCGACAGAACATGAGAAGAGGAAATGGGCCTTCTAGAATGTTGATGTGTTTCGGTGCATGTGAAATCTAGGGGTGCTATCTTATCTCTTGGCCTGATATTGCGGGGTTTAGCGTCGTTAGCTCCTTCCTTGTGAGAGCCGCATTTCGGCCTCCGTCGAAATTCTGACGATGGTCCTGTCGCATCGTCATTCGTCCTGAGCAAATCAAACATGGCAATGATAGAAGGAGCACAGTATGGCCTCCGTATAACTTCACACTTAATCACAGTACTGATCACTATCGCAGAGTGCGGAGGTCAGACCTCATCGGATCACCACAATCCTCTCGTGCATCCTCGCCAGATCTCGACACACTAGAAAGACTGGGTGCGAACCTACAATTCGAAGTCGTCGACAAGGCATTTCAGCCCATAGAGACGGTAGAGAACTTGGAAGATGAGGAAGAAGAACTCGAATTCCAACTATTTGCGCCCACAAAATCCACAACTGATGCCTCTACTCCCGCCCCTGCCGCTCAAAAGATTCGAATTCGTTCGCCCTCAGAAGAACTTAGAGAACCAGGCATCGTTGGTCTAGGTCGGCCACTAAGCTATTACCACACTGGAGAGCTCGACCCTGTACGCGCAAAGGAGTTCGAAATTGCTGCTGTGACTGGTGCCGATGTCGTCGCAATGTCAAAGCAGCCATGTCCAGGATGTGCATACCCGTGGAAAGTTATCAAGATGCCGCCATCACAAGCGAAGTCAGCTCTCGCAGCGGCCGCTGCCCAATACCCAGTGGCTGAGGCTTTCTTGCCTGATGTACCAAAGAAGCGCACACGTCTAGGAAAGAAGGCCAGGATCCAAAAACGACAGAAGCTGGCTGCTATCAAGGCAAAGAAGGAAGAAGAAGGCAAATCGAAGGAGGAGAAGGAGAGGCTCGAGCGTGAAAAGAAAGCCAGAAGGAACAGAGAGAAGAAGTTCAAGAAGAGGGCAAGAGATAAGGCCAAGAAGGCCGCTGGAAAGGACGGAGATGATGCTGATGCAGCTGACGACGGATCTGATAGCGACAGCGACGCAGATGTGGAAATGACTTCATGAGCATAGGCTGGTCCTAGCTTCATACTACCCTCGGATTCCTCCCATCAAAATGCACGATTTCAATGCCCTTCCGAGTGGCCCTGCGGAACCTCGATTCTACCTATCACATTTGGCACACCAAAAAGAGAGCGAAGTTGAAAACTTCTAGGATTGTGAATGCTTCTGTGGCTATGGAGTCTCCTCGGCACAATCCTGTCAGAACAGACAAAGCCAATCTTGATGAATGCTCTGCACTCATGGGAGTTGATCATGTGCTCCGTTGGGACTTGAGCGTTCACGAGCGCAAGTCCTGCTTCGGCATCTGCCAAGCAGTCAACGTCCTCCTGTCAATTTGCTCAGGCTAGCATGTAAATCAGGCCGCTTGTCGAAAACCCATCTGGTCTCCTCGCAGGCTCCTTGCGCCGCATAGTCTGCTCTTACTTCTGCTTCCGAACTTCTTGGAATCCAATATGAGGACGCAAAGTTGGACCAAACTGGCATGCGTCTTTCGTTGAAGCATGTAACACAAGATCAATCATTGAATATGCTCGAGTTAAGCTTTTTCATGAAAAGGCTGACGGACGCATCTCCCAGGAGCTGAGGTCGGCAAAGCAATTATCAAAACTTCATGAATCTACACACAAGAGCAAACTAGATATCGAGAGTTCTTAAATCTCGACTTTCGTGTATGATGAATACTGGTAGCATGTTCCTGCTCGATTGTCTCATCATGTCCTTGTCATCGTCCGTCCAACCAGATTTCCAGAGCGTTCTGGCTTTCGGTATCTCGTCCCTTGTTCAGATCACCAACAAATCTCATCGTACGCCCGTACAATTACTCCAAGCAAACATTCCACGCGACGTCTAACGGCAACCACAATGGGCTCTTCCACACCCCCTGAGGACAACGACGACAGCAGCAACGCCGCCGATGTGATCAAGATTGACCTCACCTCGTATCGACACACCGGCACTTACTACAGACCCAGTGGCCCTGCCTACACTTTCCCTCCACCTGAAAAGTTCCTCAAGTCTCTCAGCAGACACTTCAACACCACGCTTGCTGCCGATCAAGAGTTTCACATATACAATGGTACGCTGCCGCACCATTCCTTTCTTCAGCCCAGCTCACTGACCGTCCCACTTCAGGTGCCGAAGTCGAATTCACCAAGCTGCCAGATGGCTACACCGTCGTCAACAAGGCACGCCCCGATGGCACCCTAGACCTCGAGATTCACGGACACTTCCTCGCCGGAAATCGCCATTTCAATTCGGGTCCTCAGTTCCTCGAGCACGTCTTTGATATCATGAGGCTTGGACAGACTGACTGGCTCGAGCTGAGACCAGAGTTCACTAGGATACCCGATGGTCTTAGTTGCCGGTGTGCCCTCTGTGTCAAGCCAAGTGCCAAGCACGACAAGATCCAGCAGAAGGTTGACAGAGAGGTCAAGAACAGGGCCAGACGTTCTACAGTGTGAACAGAGTATGTGTGGTGCTTGGAGTACGGAGATCTTTTAGATTACTCACTGCTCTGTACACTCACAGTCACAAGCTATCTCCTCACAGTCAATCCTCACTTTAACCTCACTTCCTCACATGCCAAGAATCCACTCCTCTATCCACAAAGCCAGCTCTTCCCAACCCAGCACCGTCCCTTTCTCTTCTCCATCAACATCTCGAATACAGAGGCCATTGGTGTCGACACTGACGTGCGCACAACTATCACGACCTGCGTATGCTGTTTCTCTCGTCCCACTTGCCGGAACAGAACAGAACAGCACGAGCCGAACCGGGTACCGGACGCGCTCTAGCATAGCTCTTCGCTTCGTTAAGCGCACTGTGAAAGACCTCAGGTGGTGATCGAACCACGGAGTATGCCTAGGAATTAAAGGGGCGACCATACCGCCGGTATGATAGGAGACGGTCAAAGAGTCATCGACTGTGCTTCTACAAAGGCCCTCCTCCTATTCCCATAGCATGTTACGCTTCCATTCACTACGATTCACAAACCGAACTAAGAGAGAAACGCATGTGGAGGAGTGTCGTCACAATCAGCACTTATGTAGTAATCCATGGACGCCCCTTAAACACACAAATCATCGGGTATTTTATGGCATTGACAAACATTGACACTTGAATCTGTACACTACGATCTCTCATGTACCAATCTACCGAACTTCCACACCTGATCGACTTGCAAACGTCTTCCCTCACCATCGACCTCTTCCGACAACACCAATAAATCGGCATCAGCATCAGCATTCAGAGATCCCTTGACACCTTCCATGCCCAACATCTTCGCCGGTGTGATAGTAACAGCTCTGACGGCTTCAGGTATACTCGCATTCGACCAGTTGAGGAAGTTGTTTACACAGTCCAGTAATGTTGCGCAACCACCAGCGATCTTATCCGTACCGTCTAGTGTCAAGTTTGATCCTTTCTTGACGATGCTGTCGCCATTTGTCCAATTGTAGACGCCATCGGGGAGACCGGCAAGACTCATGGCGTCGGTGACCAGAATCATGCCTTCAGGGTGTGCGGCGTATGCGATCTTGACGGTAGTGGGGTGAAGATGTATGCCATCAGCGATGACACCGAAGAAAGGGGTATGCGTGGACGGGTGACCCAGAATGCCAAAGACACCGGGGTTGCGATGATGCAATGGCTTCATGGCGTTGAACAGGTGAGTGATCATCTTTGCTCCGGCGGCTACGGCTGCAGAAGCTTCTTCGTATGTGGCTTCTGTGTGTCCGATGCTGAAGATGATGTCGTGTTTGATGACATCTGGGATTATTGAGGTCATGTTGCCGACTTCAGGGGCTGCGGTCAATTTTCTGATGTTGGAGAGGTTATGGGCGCCATAGCAAGCTTCGAGGTCGGCGAAGGATGTTGCAGACTGAAGCACTTCAGGACTGTGGATGCCATTCTTGGTTGGACTGAGGAAAGGTCCTTCGACGTGTGCACCTAGTGACTCTGCTCCTTCATCTGCATCACGGGCCGCACCAGAAGGACCCAGATATGGCAATGCGCTGTGGTAGAGCTCTGGCTTTTGACTGGTGATGGTGGGTAGATATGACGTAAGACCAGTTCCAATCAAGCGTCTATTCAGCTCTTTAAGGCCCTTGCGATATGAGATGGGATCTTGTGGCGCTTGCGAGAAGTCGAAGCCGAATGCGCCATTGAATTGTACATCAATGAAACCAGGGGAGACGATACGGCCGCCAAGATCGATGACCTCGTCTGGTGCTGCTTGATGCTCGTAGAACACTTCTTGGCTGCGTAGGATGCGTCCTGTAACAGAAGAGAGCCAAAGGTCTTCTTCCACTAATGTGTTGCCTTTGACAAGTCGGCATCCAGTCAGACGGGTAATACCGCTTCGAGGTCTCTCAGGTGATACGGCTGCTGGCATGCTGGATAGTGTGGCTGGTCTGGTAGCGTAGAGTTTTTGCTGGAAGTCGAGAACGCGAGGCCCCGTTCAGGATGGTCAAGTTTAGGGGATCTGGGAATTGAAAAGAGAAGGTATGTTTGATATTGTAGTTAGAAGCAAGTAAAACATCTAAGACTGGTGAGTTGGCCTGCAGGGTTAAAGAGGACAATGGACATCAGATAGCGAGATCGGCAACCTACCATCAATGCAACTCATACTGCACATCCTGAAAATGCTTTATGACGAGATTGCAGATACCTTGATCCACACATTTTTCACTAGAAGCGATAGGTTCAAGGCGCTGTAACCTTGGTGGACCACTAATCAGGACCAGTCTTCTCGATAAGGCAAATGTAACATTCGAAAGTTGCGACAGAAGCTTGATGGAGGCTTCGAGTAAGATAGCCTATCGAAGGACACGTGGGGGACAAGCTTTCGCAACATTGACATTGACATCTTCCAATCTTTGGTCAAGATAAAGACGCGTTTCGGCCGGCTACTACGCGGTGTGGTATCTGACAAGAAGAAGGAACGAGGAGAGACGTCGTTGTGGTCGGCGCCTGGAAGCGCCTCGGCAGGCACGGACTCCCCGGCACGTGTCACTTGGCCGGGTGTGGAGAGGGCCAGGGCGAGGTTACATCCACCAAAGCTGTTGCTTATCATTACGAGAGCACGTTTCGTTACACTCCACAGAATGAACATGTTCCTGTCGGATGCCACGCTGCATCGTCAACTCGTGAAGTAGCCACCGCTACCGTCTCGGACACTTTCGGCAAGCCCTACGGCTTCGGTCCAGCATTCGGCGCGTGGACGCATGTCATTCAGAAGATACCAAACATGGGGACTTCCGACGCTAGTTTGTCGAACGCGGCCTGGGGAGACATGGACAGGTAAATTGCCATAGTCGTTTGGAAGAGCATGCGACAATGCGCCGTGAGAAGGCTGCTAATCATGGCGTGTCTACCAGAGCCCTGGGCCAATTGTTTATGATGGTAAGACCAACAGTGATATATCATTCATCAGTGGTTGATAATTGCATGTAGGGCTTCGATGGGACTGCAGTAACTCCCCAAATACGTACTCTCATACAGGAACATCATCTGGGATCGATCCTTTTGACAGCCAAGAATCTAAAGTGTGAGCAAGTCATTTCCTTATTGGGCGTTGGCTAGGCGGTTACTTCCCTATGCATGCATATGATAGGGCTGTCATAGAAGGTGCAATAACGAGGAAGTGGCAGTCAGGATCTGACGTGTTTCTTCTTTGATATCCCATCATTCCATCAACACTTTTCAGTTCCCAAAGAAATGAAACTCCGGAACATACTGTTCAGAAGTTCATAATTTAGTGTCATATACTGACACACACCCGCAGCTGCTGAGGATACAAGTGCTCTTGTATACGAACTCCAAAAATGTGCCTTTGACGCTGGCCATCCAGTGCCTCTACTGATAGGTATTGACCAAGAGAATGGAGGAGTCAACTCTCTGTTTGATGACATCTTTATTCGTCAATATCCATCAGCCATGGGTATTGCTGCCTCAGGTGACCCAGATCTCGCATACAAGGTCGCAAAGGCCAGTGCAGAGGAGATTTCTGCATGTGGAGTCAACTGGATAATGGGACCCTGCCTCGATGTACTTACCAATACTCGAAATCAACCGCTTGGAGTGCGCACAACTGGCGATGATCCGGTACAATGTTCTGAGTACGGAGTCGCTTTCATGAAAGGCTACCAAGATGCTGGGATTGCCACAATGGGAAAACACTTTCCATCCTACGGAAATCTCGAGTTCTTAGGCTCTTCTTTGGACGTCCCAACAATCACCGAATCATTGGAGCAATTGAGTTTGAGTGCTCTTATACCCTTTCGCGACGCTATCAAAAAAGGCCTCGACTCAATCATGGTCGGAGGTTGTGCAATGTCTTCAGCAGGTCTGAATGTCATGCATGCATGTCTTTCAGATAGAGTGGTCGATGGCTTGTTAAGGAAGGAACTCGGATTTGACGGTGTAGTTGTTAGTGAGTGCCTTGAAATGGACTCACTCTGCCAGAACATCGGCGTCAACGGTGGTACAGTCATGGCTGCGAATGCTGGCTGCGATATTCTTCTGCTATGCAGATCGTTCCAGCATCAACTTGAGGCAATCAACGGATTCAAGCTTGGCCTGGAGAACTCGATGATCACCACAGATAGAGTCCGTCGGTCGCTCAACAGGGTACTGGCGATGAAATCAAGATGCACGTCATGGGACAAGGCTTTGAAACCGGCAGGCATCGACCTCTTGTCTCGACTCCAGCCATCACACACAGCACTTTCAACCAAAGCTTACAACTCGAGCATTACTGTGGTGAGAGACCAAAACGGTTACTTACCCCTGACGAACATCATCGAGCCGGAAGAAGAATTGCTGCTACTCACGCCTTTGGTAAAACCGCTTGCTGCATCAGCAGCTTCACGCGCAGTCTCACAACACGCCCCTATGGACTCACCCGAACCACAATGGGAGCGAGGCAATCCAGGACTGAGCGGTGAGAGGGTATTTCGAGAGCTCGGAAGATCATTGGCTCGCCAACGAACCGGCAGAGTGCTGCACACCAGCTATACCGCGAATGGTGTTCGGCCTCAGCACGAAAGCTTGATCAAGAGAGCGAGTGCAGTCGTCGTGGTCACTGCGGACGCGAACAGGAACATGTATCAGAACGGATTCACAAAACACATCTCGATGATCTGCAACATGCAGCATACGGCAGGCGGCGAGAAGAAAATCAAGCCCCTAATCGTCGTGGCTGTCAGTTCGCCTTACGACTTTTCCACAGACACGTCGATTGGCACATACGTCTGCACGTATGACTTTACAGAAACTGCATTGGTATCTCTCGTGAGAGTGTTACATGGAGATATCACACCGACCGGCTCCTTACCTGGCACAATCAGCCGTAGCGAGAAACTCACACAATCAAAGACGCACTGGTTGGTCGAAATCTTCAACGAAGAACGAGATGGTGCCGCCCTAGACACCTTGATCAAAGAAATCATCGAATGGTCAGCACCAAACCAACGCTCGGAACTCCGAGGCGCAACCTCAAACTCCTTCCTCCTCCGACAGCAAAACGTTCTCGAAACCCACTTCGTCGTCCGCAACAGCAGCACCTCAGCCCTCTACGGTTTCTGCTCTACATATTTTTTCAAATCCACCGGCACAGGCGCAATAGGCGCCCTCTTCGTCGACCCGGGCAGACGCAAACTTTCCATCGGTCAAAGCCTACACGATCGCGCTATTCGCACTCTCCTGCAAAGAGAAGGTATCAAGCGCTTTCAATTGGGTTCAAGACTTCCCAGTCTATATCTCGGTATCCCCTCCGATCACGGCAGCGAGCGCAAACGCCTACGCTCTTGGTTCGCAAACGTAGGCTGGAACACCGCCTTATCCCGTCCCGTCTGCAGTATGGTAATGCGAACACTACAATCCTGGTCCCCACCTGAAGGAATGGCGCAGTCACTGCAAGGCGCAGGAGCAGAGTTCGATCTCGTACGCGGATGGGAGCACTCGAGAGCAATCCTCGATCACATCAAAACCAACAACCGCCAAGGCTTGGCCGAAGTCTACAAACTCGCCCTCTCGGATCCAACTTCTTGCGGTATCGTCCGCGCCACGAGACCGGAAGACGGCAGTATAGTCGGCACACTGATCCTCTACAATTCCTCCTCCGCACTTGCCGAATTCATCCCCTCGCTCAAAGATGAAGGCATCTCTGAAGACGTCACCGGTAGTGGAGGAGGTGGTGTAAGTTCACCTGTTATTTCACCCTCCGCAGGTGAATATGCTACCATACTGCAAAGCCTGATCTTGCTAGGAGTCAGACAGGTCAAGAAACAAGGATGTGCGAGTTGCGTGTTGGATTATATGGATGGGGATGGCAATTTTGATGGGTTGTCGGCTATGGGCTTTGAGACCATGCATACTTTTGAGGAGGTCAGTTGTGATGCTGCTACTATCACTAGGGCAAAGTGAGGAGGGAAGGTTTCTGATGGTGAGGTGTGGCGTTTTGATAGTGGTGTTGAAATGCAAAGAAAATCTTCTATTCTTACGCAATATGTCTGTTGAAAATTGTCGGCTCAGGGGCTCTCACTGGACAAATCACACAGCGTCAAACGAATTGTGCATTTTGACAGGTTGATCGTCACATCACACGGCACGTTGAAACATGGAGCAAGAAAGCACAAGTATTGGGTTGGGGAAATGTCTTGATTGTTCACCATTATCCTCTGTTCCTTGACTCCTTCCGAGCCTCATGCCCTTGTGACTTCGTTCAGCGACTCGCTATGAGCGCTTACTTCTAGAAGAAGCTATCAGCAAGATCACATCAGGAGGCAAGTGAGAGGGGGACTAACCTTGTTCTGAGATGGGAGAGCTCCAGAGCAGGAATTGCGACGAAGACTGAGAGGAGGGCCAGCAGCAGCGGTAGTGGCAGCCTGCTCTTCCTTGGTGCGAGCAGCAAGTGTGCGCATCCCGCGGACGAGGTCTTGTCTTCTGCGTGCCTCCTCGGGGTCAGAGACCGGAGGGGCGGTGGTGGTGCCGGCGTTGGCAGCACGAGTAGCGGCTTCGGCCTCGATGGCGGCCTTAAGTAATGACAGCATGTTGTGGTGCTGTTGAGGATGTTGATGCGGGAGTTAGCAATGGTGTACACAAGAGCTCCTTTTATCCGTTCCCACCGCACGGCGAGTCACAATGAAATTGAGAGTCGTGTACGGGACCAGCCAATAGCGATGCAGACATCACGGTCGACGACGAGCACAGAGCGCGAGATCGCTTACTCATCCCACGTCTTCACTAAAGTAGCGTTTGTTCTTGAGTCGGCTCAGGCGGTCGCGGACCTTGTTTTCTGGCATGGGGTTGATGTGGTGAACAACGTGCGGGCGGTACACAGCATCGACAGGAGGTTGCCAATCGTCCAAACTCAGAGGAAAGTACTCATACAGCAGGTCTGCACTCTCATCTGGACTACTGCCTACCTGCAGAGCAAAGGCAGAGGGTGTACTTGCAGCACGACCGATTGCTGCACGCTTGGCTGAGTTGCCAGTCTTGGGAGGACTCATAGACGGCTGCTTGACCTCCTCCTCGTCAGTCAGGGATAGCTTCTGAGGAACTGGAGGCGGTGCAGGCATGTTTGATGATTGGCGTACCAGATCAGGAGAGGATACAGGGTAATCTTGTGGTTCAGCAGCCCGTGGAGCAGGAGGTATCGCAGTCATGGCGCCCTGCTGCTGGAATGCATTGTTGAAGAGCGCAGGCATCTGGAAATCGGCAGGATCGAAGTCGTTCATAGCAGGAGTCTCGTTTCTAGGGAGGGTCGCTATACTGTTACGAGAAGGCTTTCGAGCATGGCTGTGATCTGCTTGAGATGGCGGGCGCGGTCTTGCAGTCGATGTGGTAGCCTTTTTGGCGTGTGTTCCATTGCCAGTAAGTAAGATATCCTTCCTGGATTGGAAGTTCCTTGGACTTCGGCCTCTGACGACGATGGGATTCGACTTAGCATGGCAGACGGTGACCTTCCCGCCTGTAGCCAGCGTGGCTACAACCTTGAGGTGGACAATGAAATGTTGCTGGAGTTCTTTCCTTCTTCCATTGTTTGCTGTGGCGCTGCGGAACTGCAAACGCTTCCAATGAAACGGAAAGGCTGCCATGTTGGAGTCTCCCTCCTGGGTAGTGGATGGATCCAGTGGTATTGAGGGTGGTTCCTTCTCGGCTCTCTCTTCAGCAGCCGGGTTTCCATTTCCAGGCGGGGTCTTCCAAGGGACGGTTATGATCTTGGTAGTGCTTCCCTCAGTCGATTCAGTCGCAGATATTACAAGCTCTTGACTCATGATGGGGATCTGTTTTGTCTGCTCCGTGACGATGTTGCTCAGCGATCGTGGGACCAGAACAGTGCCTGAGACCTGGAAGATGTTTCGGCGATAGCACATCAACTCAGCGTCGTCGATCGGTTTCGCCCAAGCCGACTTGTCGGTGAAGAACAGTCCAAGCAGATCAGCATTCAGGCTTACTGAGACCTGGCGAAAGTTGTAATCGAGCAGTGCATACTCGTACTCAGGCGGCGTGAACTTTAGGAATTTGTGACCCTGCTCTATCGCTATCTCTTTCGCATCTTGTGCATCCTGAGCGTCTTGAGTTCCAGTCTCTGCAATCGTCTCAAAAGCTCCCACGGCATCGGAAAAGGCATCGTCAAATGTGCTCGAGAAACGTTTCAAGGAAGGTGTCGTTTGCGGCGGCGGTAATCCGTAATATTCGTCTCTGTTGCGACTAAAGTCAGCGCATATGCTATAGAGACTAGGCATATCTTGACTTCTAGATACCCTTGGTAGACGGTTTGCGTGTCGTATGTCGAGTATTGTTCCATGAAATCATTGGGCATCATCATCATGTTGGTATACATGTCGGGAGGAGGAGGGGCTGTGTGGTCTCCCGTCTCGAAGTTTGTGGCCATATAGGTCATGGATATCGGGTCGAAACCCTCCATGTTCGCGGCTTGGTGTGTGGTCCTCGTGAATGCGATGCGATCGTCAGAGCTGCGAGTACGCTCGTAGAAGAAGAGTATATAGCTAGAGTGTTTAAAAGGTCCGAGGAGCCTATCAAATGTCGCGCCAGGGCATCAAATCCAGTTATAGCAGTGTCGACGACTGAAACGACTCAATTCAGGAAGTCGCGGTTTGCTCGTCTTCGTGTGATACGTCGGACGGCCTGTCGTGCCTGCTTTCTGCTCACCGACCTGGCCAAGCTTCAGCGTGTGTCACTCGAGTCTTCCGGAATATAACGACAGTCACTTGCGACTTGAAGGACTTGCAAAACTTGTGCCATATCAATACACTACGGAAACATGGTTAGAGGGGAAATCGCATGTCATCAGAGCATGCGGAGGCCCGGAGGAGACGGTCCCCCTCCTAATCTGGACATGCCGATGCGACGCTCCCGAGTCCCGAGTGGCTTATCTTATCGCTCTCGGCTCAACTAGACCCTGTACAGGGTGAACATCAAGGTCTCAGTATTAGTGACCTGTGACACCAGGTTGCAGCAGAGACTATCCAACAGTCGGGAAAACTGGGCTGAGGTTTGATCGCCTCGCTAGCCTACCATGCCTTTAACATGCCCAGATCCAGGTGATTCGAGAGCACATCAGTCATCAGTGGTATAATTTCTGCACCCAATTTAGTTACCTTGTCTTCTGCTTCCCTTTGATATGCCATATCGTTGTGTGGTAGATTTGAAATAGATGTATTATTGTTGTAAAAATCTGTGGCTGGACGGTCGCTAATGTCAAATGTATCGCTCGGCTAAATATGAAACCCTCTACCTGCATGAAATGCAGAAAATGCTCCTTGTATCCACAACGCCTTGGAGAACCATCAAATGCAATCCGCTCGAATGTATAGTCGAATTTGAGACCGGCTATTCTATGCTTCGGACTCCGAAGCAGCAGCGACAGCTGCACCAAATACTGAACTTTCCAGAGCCATCTCAATCGAGATGGCACCGCGGGACTGGCCGCTGATCATAGCCAGCTCGTCAAGGTAGCCCTGACATCTGGAGCGGAACCCTGGATACTTTTCCATGACGGTACCGTTGCAAGCCACTGTTGCTCGTAATTGAGTCGGGTCTGCAAGCTGTGAGTTGTTAACGCTGGGAGAAGTCACTAGGCTGTGTTGTAGCGACCACAGAGCATGAACAGCTGTGGCCACCAACGCAGCTGCTCGGCCTGATACCAAGCGGCTGACTTGTCGAATGAAGTGAAGGTCTTTTGAGGATGGCGTGCGCCCCGCAGGCAAAGGATGAGCTGATGCGAACGCACATGCGGCAACAGATAAGGTGGAGGATGAATCGCTCTCGAATACGGCAATCGTTCCAGTGTCCAACGAGTAAGGCTCCTGTAGCTTGGCAGGCATCATGCCATTAAAAAGGTCTGCAGTCTCGATTCCTTCGATGAGGACGAGGCGCACCAATTCGCCAAGATATCTTCCACTGACCCTGTGTTCCAGGGGTTGGAAGTCTGGCATGGCGTGAGTAGCATTGAGGTAATGATCCCACCGCGAAGCTGGAAGAACGTCCTTTCCAAACATGCTGAGCTCGGTATTCACGAGCACATCTTTAGCACAGGCATGCCAACTTTCAGGCCGGCTCCCGTATTTTTCTTGCGCCAGAGCCGAAACTGGCAGATATATTGCCGAGTTCATGCCGGTTCCAAGGATGAGTGAGAGACGAGTTGAAGGATCGCGATAAGCTTGTGAGAGTAATGTTGCTGATGAATCGTTGATGATGGCTTGGAGTTGGACTTGGAGGTTGCGCTGCCTGCAGGCATCCATCAAAAGCTCATAGATATCCTGCCCTTCAACACCATGAGTAGCACAGAAGCCTTTACCCATAGTCAAAAGAGAGCCACTGCGCGTGGAAGTCTGCTCGATGGGAAAAGACCACGACATGGCCATAGACAGAGGAGCAGCATCGCCCTGAGCCGAGCCGATGACTTCCTCTATCCTGGCAGCCATCCATTCAAAGAAAGATTTCCCTTTCAAATCTCGTATGGGCTTGTCAATGACGAAGCTCTTCATTCTCTTGATCTCCATTCCATCTCTTGTCGAGTTCTTTCCAGTCAAATGTACGAGAGCGATGCGGAAGGTCGAGCCACCAACGTCCAGGGCGACAAAGTCGCCGCATTCACTCCCAGTTGGTAAGGTGTGGTGGAAAGATGGCAGCATGCATATGTTTGACGACTGCAGTTTTGTGCGAAACTCAGCCTGAAGCTGTTCTGACATGGCGTGCAGGCTCCTTGGACGCAGAGGTGCCTCAAAGAGGCCCTCGACGTCATGCAATAGTTTGTCCATGCTCCTTGTGCGCGAGCTTTGTGTTTCTATCCCAAAGACATCTTTGGACGGCGACGGCAGTTGTAAGGGTTGGATCAACGAGGCTAGCATGGCAGACAAGTGACGCTCCTGTAGGGCTCGATGAGTAGTGAAAGACGATGGTGGCGGCTTATAGGTATTTGGGTAGTCGTGCTGATAGGTGTTTGGTCGGCGGCAGGTGCTTGGTGAAGTTGTTGACCAGTCACTTCAAGAACGACTATTATTTAGTTATGTATCACAACTGTAAGGACGGCCCACAGCGAGCGTTTCGGGAAGCGCAGGGATCAGTAGAAACGGACGCGATACGGATGCTGCCAGGCGTGATAGCTCGCCCCGAGCATGGCATGGCCGTCGAGTTGCAGTCTGGCGGGATGTTTGGTTGCAGCAAATCAGTCCAAGTGGATCAACGCGGCGGGGGACAAGAGCCCTTCACCGTGACATCAAGCTTCGCTATGACTCTCAATCGTCCCTCGAGACTCTCTCAACACGGCACCAGCAATAAGCATTCTCGGCTTGTGTGTCCTGATAAGGCTTGGCCGCACTCTAGCCACAAGACCTTTACCCAGTGTTGCAACCCTCGGCCTGCCCGCGATTGCCTTATCGTTAATTATTTCCTGTCTTCGCATGGTCATCACGAACTTCTGGATGATGTTACATCGGCATTCCGCGATCGGCAAGGTGGTCCGTGATCGGGTCTGCCGCAAGCCTCTCGTTCTCATGCAGAGCCGCGCGTGCTTCCACCTTCTAGGTGCTCTATCACCATCTTCTAGCTGCTATACCGACAAGCGTCTTCATCTCATGCGACGAACATCTTCCTGTCACATATGTATCTATTCAAGTTGTGAACGTGCCATCGTAAAGTGACTACACCAGAATGCCAAGCAATTCATGTTGCACTGTGTCCATCCTCCGTGCTGAATTTGACCTGTCCGACTGCACGATAATTTTGAGTAGGACTGCTCCGTCCCCAGAGAGCAGCACTCTAGAGCTGTATCTCTCTCTGGACCTAGCTCTGGTTTCAAATATCATTGTGCATTTCTACATCTCCACGCGTGACGAGGCTTGGCACTCGGGGAATAGAATCTTGGAAGCAAGGTTGATAGAATTGCTCGATCATTACAAGAGAGTAGGTACGCTATACGAAAGAACTAACGACGAGGCAGATCTGTTTCGATCGATTCGCCCAACCAGCGAAGCAGCAGGGTCAGCCTGCATCCTTCCGAATACACAACTTCAGACCTTCTCGGCATCATGAACAGCTTTGCCATCAGTTGTGCCGAGAACTTCCTCTACGGTCTCATCCGAGAACTTCACATCCTCTTCAACAGTGACATGGTCCTTGATTCTGAGAAGCAAGAGGGGCAAAGCACAAACCAGAGCGCCCAGCAGGAGCGCCCAGCTTGACGCAAATTCGCTCATGTAAGGGAGCGATTGCGAGTCAAGGCGCCAGATGACAGCAGCTCCAGCAGACTGAATACCCTTATAAAATCCTGCATAGTTAGACAAACGACGACCGTTGTTGGTCAATGAGCCCATGAACCAATACACACAGGTCTGCCATGCGGCGTCGTAGAAGCCGTAGAAGATATAAAGGAACATAGGGCCAACGTATCCAGCGTCGTTCCAGTCCTTGGCGACATAGTTTACAGGTGGCTTCGGGTTCACAGAGGCGCGGGTGTAGCCTGTCTGGAAAGCATATCCACCACCAAAGACGGCGAGCGTCAAGACCAGGATGGCAACCCAGGCAATCTTTGCTCTAACAGTTCTGCGAATCTTGGAGTAGTCAAGACAGAATCCAAAGACGAATGCGCCGACGATTTGAGCAGTCCAGTAAAGAGTGTTGTTCAAGGCTCTGGTCCTGGTGTTGAAGTATGCCAGATTGACGCCGTTGAACTGATATGTGTAGAACCAGTTGGAGGCAAAGAACATGGGGAACAAGCAGATGATATAAGGATCGCTTCTGATGGTCTCCCAGAGGCCGAGCAACTCGGACTGCCATGTTGGGTTCTTCATGAGAATGATTCGAGAACCGTCGTTGCGGATCACCGATTTTGCATCAACCAAGAACCATGCCAGTCCAGCACCGCAGGCGGTCAACACGATGAAGCCGACGTAAGTTCCGTCAGATACAGTGCTACTGCTGGTCGCGTTGATGTTCTCGCCAAGAGGGATCTGTAAGAATTAGCACGAGTACTTATCATCGCGAACGTGTACTTGACTTACCAAACTACCGATGACGGCACCAAGGTTGAAGATCATCCAGAACCAAGAGATGTAACGACCCTTAGATCCCTCCGAGGGATAAGACATCATGATCGCACCTTGGGCTGACCACAGCATACCGGCGCAGCAACCGAGTAGGGCACCTGCGAAGATGTTGAAGCCCGTGTTTTGGGTGTGGGTGTAGCAGAGGAATGAAGCCACATAGACGCAGTAGCCGAGACCACCAAACGACAGAGACCATCTAATTCCAATGAAGTTGACGATACTACCAGCGAAGAAACCTTGTTCTGTTGTGAGGTTCATTTCCAGAACGTTTCGAGAGGGACACACTTACCAACAACAGAGAAACAGGCATACAGAGCGATATTGGCCTCGTCAGCTGCTTTAGCAGACACTTGACCACCTCCACCCATGCCTGACAGAGCATTGAACATGCCAGGGCATAAGAAACAAACGAAGGCAACGATCACCAGCTGTGTGGCAGGACTGGCGTAGTGGGGTAGTGTCAAAGGTCCTATCTTGGTGGACTTGTATTTTCTGCCAGCAGGCATGACAACATCTGTTGTGCCATTGTCGACAGATCCGTTGGCCGATTGGACCTCGTGGAGATTCTTCTCAGTAGTGGCCATGTCGAATCAAGGTGGGGCAGAAACACTTGGCGATGGCGAGAGACAAGAAGGAAGGAAGGTCCAGTGTCGTGTGAGACTGAACGTGGTATAATAAAACACAGTCAAATGCGGGGGCGGCAAGGGCTAGGGTTTTTGGACCTGGAAGGAGGACCCTAGAGGAAAGCTCGAGCGAATGGTACACGCGAGACTGGGGAGAGGAGAAACAGCGGTGGGAGGATGTGGTACTTTATTTCAAGTGCGTGTAACCACTGCAAGGCTGGCTCCAGTAAGGTGAGTAGGAGCGTGAATTGAGATAAGTAAGGAGAAGTGGTCTCGTGTCAGCACTGCCTGCAGATAACACACATGCATTAGACGGTCGCGTGTGCCCCGGCCTGCATTCTCCGCGCCCCGAAGGTTGACCTCCCACGCACCCGAAAGAGCTTATCGCCGCCCCACGCCGATGCGTCCTTGCGCTGGCCGTTATCAGCCGGTTGGACAATCAAAACTCGCGATGCAACCACAGCTCGTTTGCCAGCGTCCCTTGCCATGTAACACCCTGATAGGCACGTTGGCACCACGAGGGATCTTGATGATACGCTTGGCGATATGGATATCTTCGACGTCTTGGGTACTCGAGAACCTTATCTCATTGCGACAGCCTACCACGCTCTTACGTTGCGTAGCATTTTCATGGTAGTGACCCGCGACGACCTTTGATCTGGGGACAATGGAACCGTGACACTTCGTGGGCCAGTGATATTGAACCAGCTTGACATGTGTCAGTGGGGAATCATTCTCCGATGCTGGAGGTAGGTCGCTAGAGAAGTTTCTTTTGCTTCGATATATTCTCTTGTCCTCCCTCTTGCCCTCATTTCTCGTCAACTTCCTGAAAAGACTGCCTCATCGAAAGAACAAGAAACCCCGCTGCTTCCCATATTTGAGCAAACGATATACAAAATGTGAGTGCTCCCTGCAAGCATCGAAAATAACAAAACTCATGCCCCCATCACAGGCGTCTCATCATTCGCGACGATAAGGATACTGCATCTGCGTTCATCGCAAACTACATCATTGGTTCGTTACGGCCTATACCGATCGTTTACACATATACTAAGCCTCTTAGATCGCATCAAGGCTTTTGGTCCGACCCCAAGCAAACCTTTTGTGCTTGGTCTTCCCACAGGCAGTTCGCCTGAGGGTGTGTACAAGAATTTGGTTAGGCGTCACAAGAATGGCGACATTTCTTTCCGCGATGTAGTAACCTTTAACATGGTAAGTAGGCTCTTGCCTTTGATGTACTACATCGACGACCAACCAATATGGAGCTAATCGTTTTACCATAGGACGAATATGTCGGCCTCCCTCGCGAGCACCCAGAGTCCTACCACAGCTTTATGTACAGACACTTCTTCTCGCATGTCGACATCTTGCCATCAAACATCAACATCCTGAACGGCAACGCACATGATCTCGAGGCTGAATGTATTGCCTATGAGGAGAAGATCAAGCGCGCAGGTGGCATTGAGCTCTTCCTTGGCGGTATTGGTCCCGATGGTCACATTGCCTTCAACGAACCCGGGTCAAGTCTTGCATCTCGTACTAGGGTTAAGACGCTTGCCTATGATACTATCGTGGCAAACTCGAGGTTCTTCGGCAACGACATCGCCAAGGTACCTCGTATGGCCTTGACTGTCGGTGTACAGACAGTCCTGGATGCAAGAGAGGTCGTCATCATCATCACTGGCTCACACAAGGCCCTGGCTCTCCAGAAGTGTATTGAAGGAGGCGTCAACCACATGTGGACTTTGTCGAGTCTACAGCTACATCCTCACGCTATGATTGTCGCCGATGATGATGCCACACTAGAGTTGCAAGTCAAGACGGTCAAGGTAAGTCAACCAACTCTGCTGCACTCCAACACGATACTGATGGTTCTTGAATAGTACTTCAAGTCCATTGAGCAAGTCGCATCAACACAAGGCTTCACTCAGACCCTGCCGGACATCAGCATCACCACTTCGAAGCGTGACTCAATCATTGAGAAGCTTGACAGTCCTCGCTCTCCGAAATCATCTTCTCCTTTCGTGATTACATCAAGCTCCACACCTACATCGCCCACATCGTTCAACAACACGAGCAAGACTCTGTCAGTGCAAAATACCAAAGCAGACACACAACGACCAGTAACACCTGAGCCTGTCTTGGAGAAAATGTCAGACAGATTACCTCCTTCGGCATCTCCTGCATTCGCAAAACTTTCTGTTAACACCCCTGTCCAACGACCAATCACTCCCGAGCTCGTACCAGACCGCATGTCGGACAGACTTCCTAGGACGCCAGAGATGAGAGCCGTGACTCCCGAGCTTATGCCCGATCGTATGGCAGATAGACTTGTCAGGACACCGCAAGTTGCAGGTCAAGGTCTTAACGGATTGGTGGTTGATGAGCTGCCTCTGAGCAGTATGGGACAAAGGATCGCCGTCTGATAGATTCCGAGTCTAATGTTCGATTCGCTTATGCTGTATATGTACAATGTTTATGACACCTTCCGTTTATCTCCTACGAGGACACGTGGAGTCGTCTGGCCTGTAGAAATGCACAGTGTATTTGAGATTGGCACAATTGTCCACGGAGAGCAATGGTTTTTGGATCCTCCCTTTGGACCTAGCTCTCCTTCCAGAAATGTTTGTGTATTTCTACAGCTATATGCAAAGTTCAGCACACGAAAGTGCCCATGATTCGGTCAATTAGCTGCTTGATTACTCTATCATTTCGTGAACTGACCACAATACCAACCACCTCGGAAGACGATCCCCTCCACATCCGAGAAGCTTTCCCCATCTGCACCCCACATGGCACCAACGGGTGATTTCTTACCGAGATCAAACCTTGCTTCATACCACAGCATCATCGGCTCAGCCACCAAGAATTTGAAACCTTCCCTTGTTTTCCCACTGCGACGCTGCAAAAAGTGCTGTCCAGCCAAGCCCTTTGGAGGATGCAGATCGTCGCGCCCGGCTAATATACAATGAGGGGTATAGACAATTTGGCCGACGAGGGTGGATGAGGAGCAAGGTGAACACGAGATATCAGGCGAAGAGATTGTAGGTATAAGTATAGAGTGAATTCCCCTTCATGGTAGGTCGATTGAAGTCAAGGAGGGGCGATTAGCAATAATGTTTTTCTCTATCAATCCGCTCGCCGCAATTGCTGGTGTGTCTACATTCTGTGTAGAAGTATCTGGTGCATTGTTGCCGGAAAGAGATGGAGTTTCGTCTTTTGTCTATGGACGTCAAGAATCGACAAATACTTCGGGATCGTGGCCATATGGACCTTTCAGCACTCAGGGTCGCGACATTGTCAACACTAAAGGCGAGGCCCAAACCTTTGCTGGAGTCAACTGGCCTGGCAGCGGCGAGACCATGGTTCCTGAAGGCCTTGAGTGGGCATCTATCGAGGATATTCTGTCTCAAGTCGAGAGTGTAGGGTTCAACTTCATCCGCCTGACATATGCCATTGAGATGGTGGACCAAATCTACGAGAGAAATGGCTCCGACGTGGGTTTGGAAATTGCTATGATCAATGGCCTGGGCTATGAGAATGGGTAAGTCATACCGAACCCAAACACTAAGAATTATACTAACATGAGAACAGCACCAAGGTGACCAACGAAATCATTGCTAAGAACCCTACTTTCAACAAAGACACCACCCGCTTCGAGATCTGGGACCACATTGCTCAAGTCGCCCAGTCCAAGAACATCTTCATCCACCCCGACGTACACGTCGGTAAAGCACAATGGTGCTGCAACAACACAGATGGTAACGCCTGGTTCGACGACTACAACTTCCCCGTCGCAAACTGGAAGCGCGGTCTCCAACACGTAGCCCAATGGGCCACAAAGCACAACAATGTCGTCTCCATGTCGCTGCGCAACGAACTCCGCCGTGCCATCAACGAGACTGCTCCCACTTCCACCCTCGGCTACAACTGGGTAACGCTGGTAGGCAACTACACAGCAGCCACCGACGCCATCCACGAATCCAACCCAGACCTGTTGGTAACATGGTCAGGAATGCAATACGATCAAGATCTCTCCGCCCTAATCCAAGGCAAAAACCTCAACACCGCACCCTGCTACAAATGCGATGCCATCCGCGACGGCCTCCGCAGAGAACCCATCATCTTCGATCTAGCCAGCCACCCCTGGGCCAACAAAGTAGTCTACGAACTCCACCTATACAGCATGTCCGAAGACCTCGACACGGGATCCTGCCCCATCGTCTTCGCAGAACTGTATAATGCCGGTTTCAACGCAATCGGAATGGCCCCACCACCCGCTTGCAACATCACTCAAAACTGCCATCCTGCTGTCAGAAATACTCCTGTTATCATTTCAGAATTCGGAGCTGCGCAGGATGTCACGCTGCTGAATAACACTTTGATGAATTGTTTGAAGGATTTCACGGTGCAGAATAATGTTTCTTGGGCTATGTGGAGTTTGGCTGGAAGCTATAGGATTCGCAGTGGTGGGCAGGGTGTTGGTGATACTTGGGCGCTGGGCAACTACAACTGGACTGGTTGGAATTACCCTGAAGGTGTAGAGTCGTGGTGGAAGCCTTGGATTAGCTCAATGTTCGATTAGATAACCACAAGTAGATTTGGAACAAGAATTATTCCTCGATGTGCTATGATCATTTGTAGTGACGATACAAGTGATGTGCATTATAGTCGATGATACAATCTGTCATCAGCAGTGCTGAGAGCTAAATTTGACTGTCAACATCAAAGCATATCACACGCTCGCACAATACAATAGAAGGAAGGGCAGAGATCATTTTTCGCATTTCCATCATGAACAAAAATCTAAACTTTTTTCTTTTTCTTTATGGCTCACTAGAAAAGTTATCGGACTTTTGTATTTTATACTCTGTGTATAAGATCTTTCTGACTTTTTTCTTCCGCGTTCGCTTCACGAACAATTCTACTCATTGTAGCCAAGAGCAGAAAGCTCCTTGCGGACACCCTCCTCGGTCGAGATCTTGGATACCTGGGTGTTTTCGAGTTTCTCGCCTCCGGCCTGACGCATCTTGAGGTCGTCGATGGCGCGAAGCTTCTTCAACAGAGCGCGGATCTTCTTGTCTTGGGTGGACTCGACAGCGGGGCTGCTGACGGTGACCTCAGGGGCGGGTGCAGGGGCAGCGGGTGCTTGCTTGGCGGGAGTGGCAGGGGCATCGCCACGGTGGGATTGACCGCGGACGGGACCGTGTTGGCCAGACTTTGATCTGCTGCGCTCTCTGCGCTGCTGACCATCACCGTTGGCCTCGGGCGCAAGACCGGAAGCCTTGGCCTCTGCCTCCTTGGCCTTCTTTGCCTCTCTCTTCTTCTTGTTCTTGAGAGCAGCCTTGCTAAGGTTCTCGTCGCCATCAGCGCCAGCCAAGCTAACGCCACCGCCGGGAGCGGCACCAGGCGTGGAGGAGTCGGTAGTCTCGGCACCAGGAACCTCACGTTTCCTAGGGCGAGATCCAAAGCCATTGGCACCGATGTTAGCGGAAGAAATGCCTTGGTTGATGAAGGCAGCACCACCCTCATCCTCACGCTTGAAGTGCAGAGGAGTGGAAGATCCGCGAGCACCAGGGGGTCTGTAAGCACCAACAGGCTTGGAAGGAGCCTTCTTGGTAGCGAGATGAGCAGCGGCCGACGAGTGAGGAGCAGGAACGTTTGCAAGAGGGTTTCCAAGAGGGTGCTTCTCGATGGGCTCGGGACGCCAGGTGACGTGGTACAGCTCGCTCATCTCCTCGTTATACAGGAATGAACCCGAAACATGCCACATGCGGATACCGTTGTCGACACGCAGACGAGGGCTGGTAGTGGCGGTCAGAATGTGCTGGCCGTCAGGAGACCACTCGCAGATGCTAGCGTTACTAGCTTCGATGGTTGAAACCTTCTGGTAGTTCTTCTCCATATCGTAGATGTCCATGGTACCAGCCAAGTTGCCGAAACCAGCGACAATGACAAAGCGACCGTGAGGGGAGAAAATAATAGTGTTGCGAGGACCCAGACTGAAGCTGTGCTGAGCGACAGCACGCTGGTTGAAGATGGTCGTCTTTGCAGGCATGTAACCATAGACGACACCAAATTCCTTGGAGTTGGGCGACCAGGAGACATCGTGGATCGGGCCATCCTTGTCTAGAATATAGGTTAGCGATATGTTCAAGTAACCAAACTAGAGGAGTTAGGCATACCCAGAGTGATGCGCGAGTCAAAGGCACCGCTGGAGCTAAGGATGTACATGTTGGTCTCGCCGTAGTAACTCTTGTTGGTCTTGTCGACATCGGTCTGGGCCAGGACGATCAAGCTGGTGCCCTCGTTGTTCCACTTGAGCTGGACCTTGTCGGCCTTGAAGAAAGTCTTTTGCGAGACAGGCGAGGTAAAATGGGGGACGTTGAAGACCTTGACCTGGGCAGGCATGCCCTTGCGCTCAGGCACGAAGACAGCAATGTTGGCATTGCGACCCTTGGACAGAGCAAAGTCTTGGACACCCTCGACGCGCAGCTTGTTGTGGACGGTACTCAAGTCGGACGTCTTGTAGAAGTGCACCTCGTTGGTGACGGCGCGAGCACAGAACTCCTCATCGAGAGTGTATTGCAAGTTCCAGCCAGTCTGGTTCTTCTGCACGAATTGGCCAACAACTTGGCGGGTGGCCTCGTCGTCAACGGTACGCCAGACCTTGAGGTTCTTGACGGCATCACCGTTCTCGTCCTTGGTGGGTCTCTGCCAGGTGATGATGTAAGTGCCGAGGGGAGAGAAGCCCAGCTCGAAGACGTTCTGGGTGGGCAGAGTGGTGATTGTGTGGCCTTGAGCCGCGTCGACAACTGTCACCCTGACGATCAGTCAGTAAAGAGAGACGGCAATGGAAGGACATGTCCGACATACTGGTCGGGGGAGGCCCAGGCGAAGAAGCGGCCGTCGGGCGAGTAGACACAGCAGCGGAGGTTGCCCTCTGGCCGCGTGAAGCCTGGGAGCGCTTCATATGCAGGCGCGGCATTCAGGATGCCAACGCCCTTAGCCGTGCGATCTGTGTCGCATTAGTTTCGTGACCATCTCTTGTTCCAGAAGGAGGGTGCGTACATGCGAGTTGGGTGGGTTGAGCCATGGTACTAATCAAAGCCACGGGCTGCAATAACTTGTTTGTCGATGAATCTGCGAGAGCGGCGTATGCGATGGCGAGGCGGCGGGTAGGCAGGCAAAGATCCGAGTTGCGTGGGCTAAGATGAACTGAATCACCTCAGATTGTAAAAGTAGACGGCAACACTGGCTCCAGCTGGTATGTGATACTCGGGAAGTGTAACTTGACGATTGACAATAATTCAATTCAGCCCCGACGTTGTGACGTTCCTGCGCTCTGACCACTTTCACAAGGGTGAGAGTGAGACTTTTACAACAATCCCGAACCTTCTACCAACACTTTCACAATGACTCAAACCACAGCGAATTGCAACTTTCACACGTTCCGCAAAATCGTCTGTCATTGTTTGTGAGAGCTGCACTATGCTATCCGAGACCCAATCCAGCCAACACCTATCATGTCGCCCGTTTCACCCAAAGTTCCGTCTCAATGAAATCGTTATCATCAATGTCATAATTCGAGCCACCGAGCCAGTTCTCAGGACACTGCGAATGCCATGTGGATGAAGTTCTCCATGTCTTGTGGACTAGACGATGATCGTCTCCACCAACTCTTTCTTCTGGGCTGTTCATCTCCTGTTGCTGGAGAAGGTACGACCACCGATGCTTTTGCTGCAGCTTCCGAGTCAATGCTTGAGTCGATCGAGTTGTTACGACACATAGCTGGCATTCTTGTCAAAGACGGTCGACGAAGTTGCTCTTGCTCGGTCGGACTCTGAGCAGCTATCTCGCCAACTATGTGACCCAGCACCCTGTCCGACTTTTCGCCTTGGTTTGGTCAGTCTATTGCTTCAGAGTTTCTTTGAAGAGGCTCACGTTTGTACTCGGACCAGAGCGCTGAGATGCAGTCCCTCTTGTGCTCTGTCTTCTGTTTCTTTGTTCCGTGAACAATCTGCCAAAGGCCAATATCTGCTGCCATGTCCTGTTGCGTGTGTGTCTTGCTTTAATGATGTTTGCAATATTCAAAGAGTATACTTTTGGGTCACTTGTAGGAGCACTCCTTGATATATCATTTTCTCGGTCATGGTTTCTTACCGGTTTCAGCATAGTTGTGCTCGTGATGATGGTGAATATCAGGAGATTCCCTATGCCAAGTCTCGCGATATCTCGAGACTCCTACATATTCCACCCGACGATCCAATTGCCATCAGTTGATTTATGCACAACATCTCGAATCATCAGTTGCTTGTTGCGTCAGGTCGGTATTGCAGCTTGTTATTGGCTGCTACTCCGCAGCACAAATGCCGTCCACCTTTCCGACAGTTTACAAGCGACTTTACATATAGGTAGTCACTAGCGACAATTCGCATATACTTCTTCGGGCCTTGTACAACAGTGCAGTTGATCGAGTACAACAGTCTTCGAAAGTTGTACACCCGGAAGAGAGATTCCCTGAGAGACCTACAGCATGGTAATCTCCAGATTGGCATCTGGTTGAGAACTGGGAAAGCTGGATAGTACAATGGATAGTACAACGGGTAGTACAAATGTGGCGCTGTGGTATCCTCAAGGCGCAGTGAGATTGTTCCTGTGATCTGGTCCAACAGGTAACTCTCAGATCGGCACCCTGGAGTACAACGTTTGTGCTGTACAAGATGGATAGCCTTGACAATTGAACAATCTTGTACTACCTCGAAGGACACATTTGATTGGCGTATGGTTGTCGAGCAGTGAGGGCGCAAAGTCGCAAGGGAGTTTGTTACGCGCGTGGTCGGAGCGCCAAGAGCTAGATTCAAGCGAGCTGTCATTCGCCATTGCCCTGGTTCGTTCGTCGTCGCACCTCCATCTTCGACTCCTTTACGTATCATCGTCTATCAAACCCATCGCCATCGACCCAGCTTCGATCGCAGCATACAGGTTTGGCAGGACCTTTTCTCACACTCTCTGTCCGTTCAGTTGCGCAAGGGGTTCCCCAGTTGTTCTCAGGGCGCGTCCTTCACTACACCACCCACCAGAGTGTTGTTATACTCGCTGCACCTGCCCACAGCCTTTCGCCAGAAACTCGCAGCACCAGACATCCAGATAACAGCTACTGTCATCTTTGACTAGCCGATATCTCTTCCGAGCACTTTTATCACCCGTACTCACCAGCACCACCACCATTTTCCGCTTCTCATATCAGCACCACCATCTCTGCACGATCCCCATCTCGAGCGCCCTCCGCCCCGTCCATCCCGATCACGTTTTCCTTGGACTCCAGCACACTCCCCCAAGTGTACGTAAAAGCCGCGAATATAAGGAGCTATACAGAAGATTCCCGCATCCACTCGTCGTAGCGTGACTGTTGTTGTACACGCTTGATTCTTCAGCAAACATGTCGGCCTCTCCAGTCCCCGCAACTGCGCCTTCGCAAAAGCGCCCCCTCGAGGAGCCTTCCTCGCCCAACGGCCCTACCGACCAGCCCGACGCCAAGAGACCTGCCCTTGACAAGGTAGTCAAGGACGAGGCTCCCATTCACGAGGCCGCTCCCGCCTCGCCTTCCGCCGCCGATGTCAAGTCCGACCCAGAGCCCTTGGCTCCCACTGCCGCTACCGCAGACGATGAATCAAACGAAGGCCCTTCGGATTCCCACGCAGACACGGTCGTGCTTGATGCTCCCCCAGCTGGAATGCCTTCGGCTACTCAAGTGCTCGAGACCCAGCCCGTCCAATCCACTGCCGCTAACGGCGCATCAGCTGGTGGTCAAGATCAGTACTCTACACAACAGCAGGATGAGAGCAACTGGCTGCACATCAGAGCTATCATCTCTAGTGCCGAAGCTGCTACCGTGATCGGAAAGGGTGGAGAGAATGTTACTCAAATCCGTCGCATGAGCGGAGCTAAGTGTACCGTCAGTGATTATTCGCGCGGCGCTGTTGAACGTGTCTTGACCGTTAGCGGCCTCGTCGATGCTGTTGCAAAGGTAACGTTGGTTTTAGATTGTTTATTGAACCATGACTAACACACTGCTAGGCCTTCGGTCTCATCATCCGCACACTAAACAACGAGCCTCTTGAAGCGCCCTCGACTCCCCAGTCCAAGACTTACCCCCTCCGTCTTCTCATCCCGCACATCCTCATCGGTTCCATCATCGGCAAGGGAGGTGTCAGAATCCGTGAGATTCAGGAAGCCTCTGGCGCTCGCTTGAATGCATCCGACTCTTGCCTGCCTCTGTCGACTGAACGTTCGCTCGTTGTTTTGGGTGTGGCTGACGCTGTCCACATTGCGACTTATTACGTTGGTAGCACCCTCGTTGAGCAGCTCTCCGAGCGTTTCGGTGGTCCTGCAGCTTCAGCATACGCTACTCGCAGTGGTGCTCCCGCCGGTGTTGTCCCCGGAGGTATGCAAGTTGTTCCTTATGTTCCTCAGCCAGCTGGTGGACAATGGGGACCTCCAGACCACTTCCGTCGCCAGCCTCCTCCCCAGCGTGGTGCCCCTCCTGCTGGCTATGGCATGCAGCAACAACACCCTTACGGCGGCGCACCTACTCCCGTGCACCCTCAAGCACCTGTTCACTACCCTGCTGCATCGCCCAGACAGCCGTACATCGGCGCAGGCCCTCACGCTCCGGCTCCTCACGCCGCTGCTTACCCTGCTCAGCCCGCTGCTGCTGCAACTGCCGCACACGCAGGTCCCCCTCAGCAGCCCATGCAAGGCATGGTACCCGGCCAGCCTCTAACTCAACAGATCTTCATCCCCAACGACATGGTCGGCGCTATCATCGGAAAGGGCGGTGCAAAGATCAACGAGATACGCCAGCTCAGTGGAAGTGTCATCAAGATTAATGAGCCTCAAGACAACAGCAATGAGCGTCTTGTTACCGTCACTGGTACACAGGAGTGCAACCAAATGGCGCTCTTCATGCTCTATTCTCGTCTTGGTCAGTAACCCAAAATTTGTGCAATATTCGAGAGAGCCGACTAACACGATTAACAGGCCAGGTTCAGGCGGGTCAAAAGTAAATGCGAAACGAAACCATTTTTCCGGCGAAATGACCACCAAACCGCATCCGTCAGTAGGAGCGGATTTGGCATGAAAAAGTTGACGAAAGGACCAGTCAAAAGGCAGACTTGGAATGTATTTTTAGTAGAGGCACGCTGTTGGCCAGATTCGGAGTGCCGCAAGAAGGAGAAGCAGGTACGACACATTCCAATGCCACAAGCCATTGTTCACCTAGCACCCGGTTTTCCAACATCGCACGGTGATTTGTGATAGGATGCCCGTAATACAAGATTTTGAACATGATCGATGATGATGAGCAAGTCTTCAGATATTGACATAAATGTACCAGTGCGAGATATTAACCTTGAGAAGAAGCTTGTTCGATTCATCTTCGAACAGACACTTTCGTCGCGACGCCTGGCCAGAAGCTTGAGGCGATTCTCAAGAAATTTCCGCTTTCGGACAATTCAGCAAACATGATCTGTGGTGGACAAAGCACACAACGCATGCGACGGTAAGTCATGAGCATCATTTGTGATTGATTTAAAGGAGTCTCTCACGTGCGGGATCTGCCTGGTCGTTTGCTCAACATATCACACTCCTGATATCACATCCTGTGTTTCGGGTTTGCTGGCGTTGGCATTCGGACGGCACCTCACACTCGTTTGTTTTACCTACCTTCTCAACTGACACCTGCCATCACCTGGCAGAGATTTTTCCTGTCTACTTCTTTGGTTGCTTTAAGGGCACACCAACATTCAACACCTCAACACCAATATAGGATCAAACACAACACAAAAGCAATGACGACTTCCTCCGATCCTTGTACACCCGTGCAGGTGGATACACCTTTACGTGGAAATGGAGTACGATATGCGCCTACACCCATCCATCCTACAGCGCGCGGCAACATTCGAACGAACTTCAAGAGCTTCCGTGATGTCGCAACGATTGTGGTTGGTGGACAGCATGCACCAGACTCGCTTTCACGAGGCCAAGGGCAGACGACTTACACCATCCACAAAGACCTTCTGACTGCCGAGTCACCGTTCTTCTCGGCCGCGTTGAACGGCGCATTCGCCGAGGGCCTCGATCAAACAGTGCATTTGCCTGAAGAGAAGCCAGAAACCTTCGAGTGGTTTCTATGGTGGCTGTACACGGGCTCTCTGACCACTCCTACGCCTGGAAACTGCCACACCGAACCAAGACATCAACGCATGCATGCTATGCTGGTTGCGCCGGGTCACACGTCACCTGTACAGCACCCAATGACCCATACGGACGGTGATTTGCGCAACACAGCAGGGTCACCCAAGTATTTCTTGCTGCTCGATCTATACGCGCTTGCGGACAAGCTCATGACAACTGCGCTCTGCAATCACATCGTTGACACGATAGCACGACTCTCTGAGAGCACCAACTCGGTTCCTACACCGTCCGACACATGGATTCTTTACGATACGGTCCGTGACAATGCCCCGATGCGCAAGCTGATACTCGACCTTTTCGCATACAAGAAGACAGACAAGTTGCTCGAGAGCCACAAAGACGAATGGCACCCCCGGTTCCTTCGGGAGTTGGTTGTCAAGCTCAAGAGACCAGGACTCGAGTCGCTGGACAGACACTCGTTTCTACCGTGGCGACCTAACAGCTGGCAAACGACGAAAGCGTGTGAGTCTTGCAGAGAACTGCTCAAGCCAGGGCTCAGTAGTGAGAAGTGCGAGGTTTGCGACAGGGCATTCTGCAGTGGATGTGCACATGCTGGCAGGGTGTCTAGCATTGGAGGAGACGTTGGAGCTTGTAAGCCATGGTTGAAGGGGATGTGTTCAAGATACCACGAGCATGCTCCCAACGAGGATGAGAGCAGAAGATGCGGGAGATGATTGTGCTAACTATTGAGAAAGAACGATTGATGGCCGAAAGATGTTGCTGAGCAACACGAAGGTATCGAAGATATATCAGTGTGGATGTTACATGGAATCTTTGAAATCTGGCCTCTATTCCATGCCATTCCACCTTGCTGACTAATTATTCTATTCTATGCTATGTAATCAATGGAATGATGCCAATTCCACCCTCGTCGTCGTCGTCGCTGTGACCCTGTCCTTCCTCCTCCTGTATAGCTTCCTGTTATATGGCTTCCTGTTCTGACACCTCCTCGACCGCGAACTCGACCCTTTTAAAGTAGAGGTTCTTCTGCCAGTTCTTAAGACACTCGATATAGCTAAGGTTAGCGGTAGAGAGCTAAGCTCGGTCCTATAAGAGGGTCCTTCTATAGCTACTAAACACCCTCCGAGTCTCTAACTTAGCAGACATTAGATTAATAGAGAGTACGTTAATAGCCATATGCGAGAGGTTAGGATAGTTCTATTGTTACGTCGGTTTAAGCTACTACTTAATAGGGTCCTTCGTTAGCACTAGTAGTAACTTCGTAAAGTAGACAAACTCCTTATAAACCTAAACTAATGTTATATACTATATAGAAGCCTGCTACATAGCTAGCTTGCTTAGTTGTTCCTCCTCTTATAATAACCCTATTTAGAGGGGTTTAATCTTATCCTTATAGCTCGCTAACTAGAGAGCGCGAGCGGCAGCAATAGCTAGAGCTCGCTATAACTAAGGCTAATGCGTTATAATATAAGCTTCGCGGAAGGTTAGATAGAGGAGGAGGGTAGCGGTATACGCTAGCGTATAGTTGTTAATGGCCTACTACTTATTAAGAGTAAAGCGACTAGTGCGTATAGTAGTAGTAAGGACTAGATCTAAGCTATAGCGGACGATAGACTAGTTATAATGCTTTCTAAGAAAATCTATCGACATTAGGACCTATAAAAATGTTAGTGCCTAAATTATTGCAGATTTTAGTAAGGATATGGCCAAATTTTAGGTCGGGGATTCTTACTTAGTTAAGAGTTGCATCGTCGCCTTTGCATAACTTAGTAACTTATTATAGAGGCTCTATAAACTTGACGAGGGCCTTAAGGAACTGCTAATAGCGTTATTTTAAGGTAGTTTGTTCTATGTTCTTATTAGCGTGCTATATAGAGCGTATAGTTACTTGGCATCTAAGCCCTCGCTTAATTATAGCTAGCTAGCTGTTCTACCTCGTCGTATTATTAAGTATAGGTGCGAGGCTAGTAGTTACTTTAAACTTACGACAACGACGAGCTAACTTTATAACCTACTTAAAGAACTTGCAAAGGTAGTTGATAGCCTTATAGTTAGCAATTCTAGTGCCCTAGCTAATTTTAGCAATGGCCTCTAATAGGTCCTAGCTCTTAGCAATTATAGTAGTAATAGCTTCCTCTAAGCTCGTAGACATAAACGCTTAACTAGCTAGATTAATCTAATAGCCGAAGCATCGCCGAGTTCTATGCTAAATAGGGTCCTAGTCGACTAATAAGCGCTCGCAAAATAAGGTAGTAAGGTGCTTCATTATAGTGTCGTTATAGGTAGCATTATTAGAGGTAATATAGCTAATCCTTTGCTCGATATTATAGTCGACAATAGTCTAAAAGAATAGAGGTACGTAGTGCTTACTAGCATAACCGACAGGTAGTTCGTATAGAGCGAGTAGAGCCTTACTTAACATACTATCTAGTGCGACAAACTAAGCTATAATACTAAGTAGCTTATAACTACCGTAGTTCGTAGTCTAAGCATCGTAAGTAAAGTAGATTACTAACCGTAAGGTTGCGAGTAGAGCCTTAAGCTAATCCTTATAGAAATCGTATTATTTTTTAATATGCCTAGCTACTAAGTAATACGTCTTAATTAGTAGCTTAGATACGCTAGGAAACACCTTATTAAGTAAGGTATAGAGCTTCTTATTACTAGTAGTACAGAAGGGGATATTACTTAAGGTAATATAGTCGATTAGGCGCTTATTTAAAGTAGCTCTATTAATATTATTAAGAAGGTAAGAGGCTCGAGGAACTGCTACTAATACGATGCGTAGAAGCGATCTAATAGGGTTCTATACGTGCTTATTTCTAAGATGTAACCTAATATTCTCGTAGTTAGTAGTCGAGTACCTATAAGGATAGTCCTTATTCTTATAATAGCAATACTAGACCTTCTTCTTACCCTCGCGCTCTAGTTTGCTAGCGCGACGAGCTCTTATATAGGCCTAGAGCTGCTCTAAATTGCTACGGGTAATAGTAACTTTACAAGGGCGTTAATATATAGGCTCTAGTTTATTAATAGTATCGTTAGAAGTAAGGGACGGAGTAAGAGAAGGAGAGGGAGGCGTAGCGGTAGTCGTACGTTATTACTTCGAGGGTCGAGGTATCGGTATTAGAGGTTAGTCCGTATTAGTATTAGATTTAGAGGCTTTAGAGGCTTTAGAGACTTAATCTTTAACGAAGATGCTCTCTATATAACCCTCTAAGTTCTAGTATTTAGCTTTAGGTACTCTAACCCTCTTATTACGAGTAGCGTATACGTAGAGCGTACTCTATTTAGCCGCGCGAAGGAGCTACCTATCGAGACATTAGACGTATAGCTAGCTCTATAATTCTAGGTAGTTAGTGTCTTAACTAGCAGAGGAATACATAGTATAAAGGTTAGTGTTAGGGTTCTTTAACGTGCTAAATGTAATAGGAAAGTAACTAGAGACTTAGCGGTTAATTTAAGAGAGTCGAGAAATAGTTAGGGTAGTTAGTATAGGAAGGAGGAGAGGAAGTCTCGCGAGGAAAAGATAGCTAGTATCCGACACGAACTCGACGCGTCGCTTCGCGTAGCTAGACTAATCGGAGCTTCCGATCTGATCTCCGAGATTAGATCTAGCTAATTAAACGCGTCAGAATTCGCATGACCTAAGCGAGGATTTTTGGCACGGCAACCACTAGTCTCCTACGAGTGCTAAATTGCCTTAAAGTTGCTGCTCGGTTAACCCTAGCTAATACTTTAAACTACGACGACGACGACGACGACGACGACGACGACGACGACGACAGTAAGTTATTAGTTGAAATGTTGGAATATTCTACTCGATTAGCTGATTCTATTCCATGCCAATAGAGTGAAATATTTCACCGATTTTGAGTGGAATATTCTAATATTCTAACTATTCCATGCCATTTAACATCCACACTGAGATATATCACCATTTTGCTGGAGCGGAGGTTTTCTTGAGAGGAAGTCAATCGTGGAGCGATATGTTGCTTGAGAAAAGAGTGTCCGTGGAGAGACAATTTGAACGTGGCTTGAATGTAGCTCGATTGTGTCAAGAATATTTAGCAACTAATAATTGCCTTTCGACTGTTTCAAACCCCTGACTGTCAAAAGTGACCCGAGAGATGTGGAGAAGTGGGGGCGTGGAAGTGTGACGCACGGCAGCAACCAAAGCGTGGGAGGCAGGTGCAGCTTGCCATTTGCATTATCTTTCCCAAACAACATGGTTCAGAATATAGACACAAGCGCATCATCGCCCTCTTTCAAGCAGACGAACTTCGGATCTCCACTACGATCTCCTCTTCCCAGGAGAGACAGTAGAGACATGTCGTCGCACCGCCAATCATTCAGCGAGCGCGGCATTCCAAACTCTCCACGACAACGCAACCCGTCCTTGTCGCAGCAGGCCATTCAGGACCTGATTAACAATCCGCCTGTCGGCCGCAAGGATGACGCTCTTCCTAAATTCGCTGGACGCGACTGGCGCACCATCGCCCTAGAAGAGATTCTGGTTCCCGACGAGGTTCGCTTCGTCGAAGTAGATAGCACCATTGAGGCTGCTACCAAGGTACGACAACACGTCCACATGTCGCATTGAAGCTCTGTCTGACATATCTGTAGCTTCTGATCGATTCTGGTGCGCCCAATGTCATACTTATCCGCCAGTCAGCCGAGTCCCGCCAGGCCATTGGCCAATTCGACTACGACGACCTCAACGCCTACCTCCTCCTCGTTACCGGCCTTACTCGCCCACAAGACTCGGACTATGACCAAGTCGACAAGATAGTATCTCGCGCTCGTACAAACCAGCCTGTAGAGCTTGGTCACGTCAAGGACCTACTCGGCCGTAAAGAGACGCCTGCTTTTTGTGACGCCTCGGCTACCTTATCTCGCGCTGTCGAAATCTTTGGTGGTGGCTGCCACCGTATTCTTGTTCGCTCGCCTGGTTCCGAAGACGTTGTCGGCATTCTCAGTCAACTGAGATTGGTTCGTTTCCTATGGGAGAACAGAGCTAGCTTCCACCCAGTTGAGCAGCTACACAATCGTTCGCTGAAAGAGCTGGATTTGGGAAGTCATTCGGTCATCCAGATCAATGGTGACCGTCCGCTCAAGGATGCCCTGCTTCTCATGCACAGCGAAGGCATCACTTCGCTGCCCGTGCTTGACAACCACAAGAACGTTATTGGCAACATCTCCCATGTCGATGTCAAACTTCTGACAAACACCTCGGCTCTCCCTCTCCTCGATTCCTCTTGCATCCATTTCATCACCGTCATCCTCTCAGAACGCGGCATGAACGACGGTCAGGACTCATACCCTGTCTTCCATGTCAACCCCACCAGCACTCTGGCCCACACAATCGCGAAGATTGTCGCAACCCGTTCCCATCGTATGTGGATCGTTGACGCACCTTCACCTGCCTCTTCGATCCCACCATCTCCGCATCTCGGTCCTTCGGTCTCGGCGCCTCCCCCTGTGCTCCAGCAGCTTTCTTCATCGACAGCGGGCCCTCCTTACACACCAGCCACACCCAACGTCTCCGTATCAGCATCTGCCCTTCCCGGAGCAAATCTTGGGGGCCACCTCAATGGTGTCGTCAGTTTGACTGACCTGCTCAATCTGTTCGCACGTATGTCTGGACTCAGCCCATTGGATCCGGACGAGACTAGGCGTCGACGTCGCAGAAGCAGCAGCCATTCTTCCATGCAAGCCAGTGTTGACAGCTTCAGGAGTAGCATGGATATTGGACGTACTGGCAGCCAACGCAGATGAGCACATCAACTCTCTGTTCTTGTGTGATCAGCCAACACCCTCGTTTCTTGTTTCAACTTTCTATCATCGTTCTTGCTATCTTTCATGGTGTGTGCAGCGCTGGCGTTTTTATCATGGTGGCTTCTACAGTTTGGGCGGCACCTCATTTATGGTTTTCCATTGCGGGCATGAGAAGAGCTGGATATTTTCTTAGTTGGTTTGGGTCTTTTCTCCACGGCTGGGTTGCGTTTGAAAGCAGATAGAAATCATAAGAACCGAAGAATTACCAATGACTGAACATCTAAATGGACATGGTTCTGTGCATGATTTCAGCAGCCTTTGTGTGACGATTGACGTGGAATGGACGATGAACATATCGATGGTCGCGGGAATGACAAATAGTCACACGAACACCTGGATCTCCAAGTCAAATGAGACACCACGAATACAGTATTGCCTATATTTAGCGTATGTAACCCGTCCCTGGTCAATATGGTAGAATAAATTGGCAAGTATCATCGATCAGGGTTATACCCTCAGCGAGATCTCAAAAAAGAAAAAGAAAAAAGAAGATGAAAAAAAAAAAATAGAAAGCAGAAAACGATCAAGAAGAAGAAGAGAAAATGAACAAGAGTTCGTACAGCAAAAAAATTACTGTGTATACCGATCAACCCACGGAAAAGTGAAACAAGCAGAAAACTCGACTGCCATCACGAACTGGAAAGATTAGTTCCCAAGAATGAGACAATTGGCAAGGGGCAACAGAAAAAGCAAAAAGCACATCAAGTCAGAGAAGAAGAAAGCAAGTGTTAAAAAAAAAAAAAACTCTATGGAAAGGAGTGGAATGATGAAGGAAAACTACGTTTGTATATCCCTCCCCGTGTGCTAAATTTAGTCACGTCGACTCTCTCGCCGCAGCGATACACGTCGAAACACCTGTCCGGATGCACGATGATTTTGACTAGATCCGATTCGTCCACAGAGGGCAACTCTCCAGCGCTTTCTCTCTTTGGACCCAGCATCAGATTTCAAAAAAAAAAAGAAAAGAAAAAAAAACATTGTGCATCTCTACATCTTTCGCGCGTGACAAAGTTTAGCACACGGGAGGATGGGGAAGTTATGTATAACAACGTATTATCTAGAGCAGAGGTTTCACAAATAAATAGTTAGGCAAGATCTAGTGATTAGAGACGAAGAACGGAAAATGAGTTTTGAGGAAAAAAGGGGTTGGAGGAAAGTGAATTTGGTAGTGAATGATGAGTTGTACTTTATTAGTGAGAAGAAGTGAGGGTGATAAGCAGATACACCTAGTAGAATGTCTCGATTCACCAGCAATCGCTGGAGACAAAGGATGAAACGCTTACCTGTTTGTTAATTTGATGATGATGATGATGATGATGATGATGATGATGATGAGCTCTCGCTGGATCCAGCCAGCACGATAGGTTTAAGAATGGCATCATCACGTTTCGTCCGCAACGAATGCAGCAGCCAAATCATGTTCTCTTGGTATAAATTCAGCAGAGCCTTCGCAAGTGGCTCTGCATTCAGCCCAAAGCTGACCACACAGATAGCAGAACTCATACGAGCACTCATCACAAGTGATGTGTTGACAGCCAGTATTGAGCTCGATCATTTGATCACACTTGAGGCACCTTTTGTACTTTTGAGCATCAGAGGTGGCTAGAGTCTGTTGAGTGGTTTCCTCGATCTGACAATTACCTTCGTGACCGAGTTGTCTGCAGATGCTGCAGGTTTGGAAAGAGCAGTCGGTGCAGGGGATATTTTGTTTGACGCCTGGAGTACGGATTAGTAGTGTGTTACAGGGGCTGTTGACACACCACAATCTTTGCTCACCAGGGATTGACCATTCCTTAACTCTTCTTGTAATCAGAGCGCTCGTATCGGGAGTGAGGAAGTGTTGGGCGTGGTTCAGGGTGACAGGTACGTTGCAAGGACATCGAACTGGCCATGCAGATTGACGAATCAGACCGAAAGTCTGGTCAGTACAGGTATGGCACCAGAAGCAATGGCGACAAGAGAGCAGAAGTGTATTGTTGGAGTCGACGCAGATGTCACAGATGTGATCGGGGTTGAAGTGGATGGGGCCATAAATCCAAAAGCGGATGATCAGAACGACTGCTAGAAAGATCCAAACGTAGGACTGTGGGAACCAGCCGTCTTCATCCATTTGGGCAAGCAGATTGCTTCGAGAATTAACTATAGATAGTCGGTTATCTCAGAAATTTGTCGAGCTTTTGTGTCGAAAGGGTCCAGAAACTCAGAAACCTAAAGTTAGGAAAACCACCAAAAGAAATGCTGCTTATATGCTTCGTGAGACGAGACACGCTCTAGCACAACATAATTGTTGTCTCTCAACAGGGACTAAGCAAACCTTTGTTCAACATCTGTGGGCATGAACAAAGCGAACGCAGAGGCACAATGAAGAGCAAGAACAACTCTAAGCCAGACAAAGGATCGTGACTTGGACTCGTGTTCAAAATGAGCAAAGTGAGCAAGACAAACATATGGGCTCAGGATCCAGACCAGAACTCAGCTCTCGACTTGTCAAGTTGTCTTCGGAAACAATCATCAGAAGGCAAGATGGTTTTCCAAGTAGACACAATGTCCAGAGAAAGTAAGAGGGATTACGCGCTCCCAGTGCACAGTCGTTCGAGCGTCGAGAACATCTTGCCTTTTGACAGCTCATTCGACACACCGCCTAGGACTGAGGGCTCTGGTTCGGGAGCAGACCAGTGACGTGTCACTTCGGTTAAATCAACGTGGAAAAGAGCCACCTCGAAACAGCCGAAGAGAACGATATCATCTCGAACCATGCCATATGTGAGATCTCACATCTTTGCTGGAAGGAAGGTTCCAGATCTGATAGGCATAGCCGCATGAGCGACTATCGAGTTTCGAACCAGTCGGGCTAGAAGGTCGATGTTCTACAGTCGTTGACTTTCCATCTGGATCCAGACATCGAACAAACAGACATTGTTGATCTGAGATCTTTTCTTCTGCTGCTGTGGAGCATCCCTCAATGACACTCTAGTCGGTGGAAGATCAAGGACTGGTGAAACGGGGCGGTATCATTGACAGACCTCAACCTCGGGGTCTAACTCTCAGGGTGACTTCGCTTGCAATAGTAAATACTCACCATGTCTCCACTAGGCGGCTCAAGAATGTCGGTTGTTTTTCTTCTGGACAAAGACGCGAGTGAAGTCAACCGCTTGAGAGGATATTTATTAGGGCAAGGACAAGATACTTTGTCTACCACGACCAAGACTCGAAAGCAGTAAGACCAAGGTGATATGGCCAGAGCTTTACGAGAGAAGTGGTCGGAAGGGCGGAAGAGCGGAAGGTGCATGGAGCAATGCACATACACAAGCGGATGATCCTGTACCTGATACGTGGGGTGATGCCGATGCCCAAGGAGGGAAGTATTGGCGGAGGACCTAGAATCCGAAGAAGCGCGAAGAAGAGTGATTCAGAAAAATCAAGCGACCAATAGTTCGCTTCGGCCGAGTGATGAGAAATGTAGACCTTTGCATATGGGGGATTTGGCTAGTAAGACATCAGAAATTTGACGCTGGGGCAACATCGTTGTCCAAGACGGATGAACAACCGATTTCATTGGCCTCCAGAGTTGAGTATTTCATTTTGTGACGGATGTCGGTGTGGTCGAGTAATCCACGTGCTGGGTTCGGCGCTGCTCGTCGACATGTGGTCGGCCTCCTGGTCGGCCGTCGCTGATAATGCCTTCGCTCAAAGATCACCCTATTGTTTCACATCATTTGAAAATAGTACGCGATTCACTTTACCCCAAGCTGTACCGACGGCCTTTTTTCTTCCAGATCTTGACGTGAAGAGCAATGAGGGCATGTTCCATTCTGATCCGAGGATGTCCTCAGATTTGGGACTTTGTGTTTCGAATCAAGTGCTAAGCGGGGGCTGCAGAAGCCAGCGTTTCGGGCAAAGACGCCTCCAACGTTCTTCCTCCCAACGTCTGTAGCGGAGAACAAGCAGCCGTTGCCACTGCAGAAGGTCTACGACTACGTCGAAAATGTCGCGATTTCTAGTCATCAAACGTATCATGTCAGGTTCTCTTGAATTGGACTGGCTGCTCGTATATTGCAAAGTAGATGCATAGCAAGCAAGAGGTAGCCCCTGATCTACGATCGACGCTCGCTTGGGGCCGGGAAGGGTCTCTCGGGTCTGAGGGCCTTATGGCAATCGATAAGCCCCATGGATTGGCTCTCGAATGAAGCGGCCAAGCGCTCAGGGAGTGAGACCTGAAGAAGCACTGCCACAGTGAAAGTTGCTCAATTGAGCGAGAAGGTAATTAAGATGAAGTCACGACTCGATCGGACTTGATGGAAGCGCTCCAGTCTGAGGCGGGAAGCTTGGACCGGGAACAAACGAACTTTGCAGAGAGCCGGGCGTCTCGCTCGGTGCAACCGTTGAGAGTTCGCACCTGCTTCTTGAATCTTGCATGAGCGTTGTCGGAAAGGTATAGCTGTTAGCCTCTTGTTCTGACCGCATCTGCAGTGTAAAATCGCAATAAACAGACTCGGCGGATGGAGAAGAGCATGATCCGGAGATTCAACAGCACCCACAACCATCAAGCGGCTGTCCACCAATCCCGCAAGTCAGGACACAAATAGCAGCGGATGATTTGCCCTAAGCAGCACGCTGTCTCCCGGAAATTGATGGTAGAGATGGCTATCATCATTTCCCTTGATTGGAGGACTTCCAGAGAGAGACAGGTGGACTATGAAGGTAAACGGATTCGGCTCATCTTGAAACGAATTCTAACGGTGCCCACGAGGAAGACCTTCTCCGGTGAACGATCTCCCGCTTCTTGGACACCTCCACATGAAACGCTGGCTGCAGTCTGCCCCGTGTTCTATGACTTGGTACCTGCATTAGACCAGACCTTAGTAGCGACCATGCTCAGATCATGGCTTACCTGTGAGCCACTGTATGGCAATACGGGCAACAGCGGCGCATCGAGCTCGTGCCAGGTCACACTGACTCTATACCCGATATCCCATGTTGCTTGGGTGGGAATTGAAATGTGAGCTACCTATAAGGCATGGACCTGTCCCTCCAACACTGGCTGTTTCTGCTCATCCACTTCCTTCTATTTCCATCCAACCCATTCTTTCTTTGTTGGAGAGTCAGAGTCATTCGTTTTCTCTACTCCCTTGTCTTTTACATTATACCCTTTTTGTTTGTTGATTGATATACTACATACCACGGCAGTCTCCTGTCATTCCATCAGTCCATTCTTTAATCACTAAACCAGAGCCATGCAGCTCACATCTGCCACCCTTCTCGTGGCTGGCCTCGCTGCTCAGCAGGCCACTGCCCACTGGCCCATCAACGCCGGCAAGTTCAGCACTTGTGACAACGCAGACACCAAGTGTTCGACTGAGCAACACAAGGGTTACGACTGGTCCGGTCTTCAACTTGGCTCTTCTGTCACCAACTACGGTGCCAACACCTTCTCAGGTGGCTGGACCTGCAACAGCCTCAAGTCAAAGCGTGATGAGTTGACCAAGCGTACCTTCAACAACAAGTGCATCTCCGGTAAGCTCCCTTCGTGGGGTGCTTCTGGCTCCTCATCCAAGCAGGGCGCTGGTAGCCTTTCCATTGGATGCAGCGGCGAGAAGAACAAGTTCTCTATCTCCGAGATGCACATTTCTTCCTCTTACAGCACCAACGTTGACTGCCACTACAACATGCCCGACGGCTCTGTCTGCAAGCACACTGTTCCTTGCAGCGCTGGTGGCTCTATCGTCAAGAACACCCAGTGTGGTGGTGCCATCTCGGTCTCGTTCTCTCACGGCAAGGGCAGCTCAGGCAGCTCGTCTGGCAGCAGCTCAAGCCAGGGCGACTGCGATCTCAACATCCACTCCGTTGGATTTGCTTGTGGTTCGAGCTCGTCCTCTACTAGTCTGTCTCTGCCTTCGTCTGTCTTCACTCCCTCTTTTTCGGCCGTCTACTCCTCGTCAGCCTTTGTTTCTTTCAGCACCGCTGTCCCCGAGACCACATCTGCCGAGTTGACCTCCACCGCTCCTTCTTCTTCTATCGAGTACACCAGTAGCAGTGCCGTCGTTTCTAGCAGCAGCGTTTACGTTCCTGCCAGCTCTTCGGCTCCTTTCCCCAGCGGCTACCAAAACCAGACTGCCAGCCTTCCTACCGTCGGTAGCAGCTCAGTCTACGTTCCCAGCAGCTCCGAGGTCTCTCCCGTCGAGTCTTCGTCCTCATCCTCGGTCGTTGTTCCCTCAATTCCCGTTGGTACCGGCTACTACCCCTCAGCTTCCGTCCCTGTCGGCACTGGCTACTACCCTTCGAGCTCTGCTAGCAGCTCCGTCGTCGTCCCTGTCGGCACTGGTTCTTCACCTTCAAGCAGCACTATCATTCCTGTCGGAACTGGTTCTTACCCCTCCTCCACTGGTGGAGTCTACGTCAACAGCACTGTTGTCTCTTCTGCTTCGACCTCATCTGCCAGCAGCCCTGCTCCTTCTGCCAACTGCCCTGGAGTCGTTCCCAGCTGCTTGAACACCTACCTCTCCAGCACTGGCTGTGCCGACAACGCCGATGCTGACTGCTACTGCAAGAGCGAAGACTTCATCAACAGTGTCTACAAGTGTATCGATGCCTACGGCGGTTCTGATGAGAACGTTTCTCAGGCTATGTCCTACATGGTCGGTATCTGCGCCAAGGCTATTCCCTCCAACCCTGCTATTGTCACTGCGGTTCCTTCTTCCATCGACATCAAGCCTTCTTCGTCAACCGTCAACCCCGTCACCGGCTCTCTTAGCGCAGTCACCTCTGCAAGCTCTGCCACTGACTCGATTGTTTACGTTACCGACGTTGTCAAGAGCACCGAAACATACTGTCCGGCCGGTCAGCAAGTCACTATCTCTGGTAGCACCACCGTCCTCACCGCACCTACCACCATCCCCACTGTGTACACCACTCAGTCTACTATCACTGCTTCGATCATCTCCTCAGTGACCGGTGCTCTGCCTTCCGGCGAGTCGGCTTACGAGACCTCCCCCGTCGAGACCTCGTCTGGTGCTCCTTCTGCTTCCGAGACTTCCCCTGTTGAGACCACTCCTGCATCTGTCCACGTCCAGGTTCCTCACACCGTTACTCTGTACAGCACCCAGGTTGCTACCATCACTAGCTGCGCAGCTGATGTCACGAATTGCCCTGCCCGCACCTCGCTTGTTCCTACTGGCAGCACCATCAGCAACATCTGGATCCCTGTCACTTCTGCCCTCGAGACTTCCCCTGCCGAGACTACTCCTGCTGCTTCTTCAGGTGTTTCCTCTGGCGTCTCCTCCGCTGTCGTCTCATCTGCTGTCGAGGTTCCTTCAGCCTCCAAGCCCGCCTCATCCGCTTACGAGACCTCTCCCGCAGAGACCACTTCTGCTGCTGTCTCTTCCGGTGTTTCTTCCGGTGTCTCATCTGGCATTGTCTCCTCCGCTGTCGAAGTTCCTTCTATGTCCAGCCCTGCTTCATCTGCTTACGAGACCTCGCCTGCCGAGACCACCCCTGCCGTCTCTAGCGCCCCTTCAGTCCCCAAGACCGTGACCCTTTACTCTACTAAGGTCGATACCATCACAAGCTGCGCCGCGGACGTTACGAACTGCCCTGCCCGCTCCACAATTGAGTCTACTTCGCTCATCGCCACTGGTGTGACCACCGTTTCTTCCGCTTTCGAGACTGGAGCCGTACCTGCCACTTCTTCGGTCCCTGTCGTTCCTGAGGTTCAGAGCACCGTCATTGTCACTGATGTCGTCAAGACTACCGTTACGACATGCCCTGTAGGCCAGACGTAAGATCTCCCTTTTTTTAATTTGGTGAATTCTTCTAACCATTTTCTAGTGTCACCGCATCTGGCTCAACCACTGTCCTGACAGCACCTTCCGTGATGACTTCCCAGATCACCGTCAAGAGCACCATCTCGACCACCGTCCCTGCCCAGACCCAGACTGTTGTTTCTCACGAGTCCTCTTCAGCTGTTGCTGCAATTCCTTCGTCCGCAGAGATCACTTCGGCCCCTGCTGCACCTAAGACTTTGACCATCTACTCCTCGGTTGTTGCTACTATCACTAGCTGCGCAGCAGACGTCACGAACTGCCCCGCCTCATCGACTGTCAAGAGCACCTCGTTCTACGCTGTAGGCACCACCGTCTCAAGCGAGTCGGTCCCTGCCGTCACTGGACCTTCCGAGGTTGCACCTGCAACTACCACCCCTGCAGTCGTCCCCAGCTCCACTCAGCCCATGACCACCATCACCTACTCCTCGGTCATGACTGTCCCTGCTACCTACACTGCTGGTGAATCCCAGGGTGCTCCCGTCCCCAGCTCTTCGGTCACTTCCACGATCCACATGACTTTGACTGTTCCTCAGGTTCAGTTCATCACTGCAACTGTCAACGGAAAGCCCAGTGTTGGTCTGAGCTACCCTTCGGCCGTCCCCGCCACCACTACTTCTGAGGCTGCTGCTACCACTCCTGTCACCGGCGCTGCTACACCCGCAGTCTCGACTGCCAGCTCAGGCTTCGCTCCTCACTCATCCACTTTGGCATCGACCTACAACACCCCTGCCCTCCCCACTGGCAGCCCCATCTCCTACACTGGAGCTGGTGCCAAGGTTGGTGGCTCATTCGCCGGCCTCGCCCTTGGTGCCGTCGCCGCCATCTTTGTTCTGTAAATCTAGAGCATTGTGTTTATTGTACAAAAAGACCCCTTTTCTTTATGTTTATGCAAAGCAAGAGGAGGATGGAGAGAGAGACATGGAACGATGTTAATGGATGAAGTCAGACCCCAAAAGATAAGCGCTTCCCATATCGTCCTCTCGGTCTGGTATTGAAGAATGAAATGTGTGTAGCGTTTTGTTTTCTTTTCCTTTCATGACTTTCATTGAATCACAGTACGCCTAATTAAATTAGCGGCAGTCTATTTACCTTTTCCTTTTTATCAAATCAATTACACCAATTTTGAACACTTCAAACATTTTTTCACATCTTTGCCTTGTGGTATTGTGCGTCTTCGAATGCCTTGAGAATTTTCCAAAGCCTACCGCACAGTAAGAAGGAGCCATGTTGATTTCTCATGGATTGCGTCCGGAGAGAGAAACACTCTTACGAGCTAAGGTAGCTCTTTGGACATTAGCAACACCAGGACTTCGTCTTCCAGCAATCGCACAAGACGACCTGCTGCCAAAGCAGAAAGAGTCCAGATTCGATGGAACTTTTCTAGTTATTAAAAGGCAAGTCTGGAGGTCGGTTGCACAACAATGTTTCCCTTCTATCACATGCAACGCGCCACGCTACGTCATCCGTGAGCTTGCGCCTCACACACGGCAGAGCAAGAAAACATGCAAGAGCGAAACACAATAAAGACAATCCAGAATTCCCTAAGATCCCAAGACCCTCTTTCCCCATCGCAAATGCAAACCATCAACATGTCATCCTATTTCGACGTACTATCCTGGACGCGTGCGCGCAAGAACCGCGAAGCTTTGGAGAAGACCAACCCCCAAAACCCCGTTCTCAACGACGACGACGAGCAATTTTTGGAACGGATTACTAGTCAGGAAGCGGCCGTTCCTCCACTTCCCACCATCGAGCCTACGGTTATCGATGATGAGGGGAATGAGACTGAAGCTACTGCAACTCAGAAGGAGGCTGCTGAGATGATCTTGCCTTCTAGTCCTGGTGAGAGCAAGGAGAAGAGGACTTGGGCGAGTTATATTCCCAAGGTTCCTAATGTTGCTGTGCCTTCGGTGCCTGCGATGCCTTCGCTTGCTTCGTTGAGAGGTAGCAAGGCGGGTACCAAGGCTGATGAGAAAGAGGCAGTAAAGCTCGAGGACTCAGATGCAAAAATGGAAGGAACCACCGAGCTGAAAGCATCAAATGAGGACTCTACGCCAGATGCCACCCAAGACGACAAGAGTGACTTGACTGACAAGGCTGATGAGACTGTCGAAGCTGCAAAGGACACCGCCGAGGAAACCGCCGAAGTTGTGAAGGAGACGGCCGAGGAGACTGCTGAAAGTACAAAGAAGACAGCCGAGCAGACTGCTGATGCTGTGAAGGAGACGGCTGAGGAAACTGCCGATGCTGTCAACAGAACAGTCCAGGAAACAACCGAGGAGGCCGAGGAGGAGCTCGCCAAAGATGATACCAAAGATTCGACAACGACATCGACACCTGTCATCAACCAAGAAGTCGAAGAACCCGCCAAAGATGACATGAACTCGAAGACCGACCCCGAGTTGAAGGAAAAGGCTTCGGAGAATGTGCACGAGAGCAAGGAACAACCCGAAGAAGGCGGTGCCACCAACAAAGAGACAACCGGAGAAACCGAAGTCGGGAAGACCGAGGAGCCCGCCCAAAGAACATGGGCTTCTTACATCCCCGCTATGCCAGCTATTCCATCCATCGGCAGAAACTCAAAAGGCAAAGAAGCAGAGGAGCTGGCCAAGGAACAAACTCCTGAGGCCAAGGAGCAAAACGAGCGCGAAGTCAGCGTTCTCCTCGATCGTCTCAACCTGAGCGCCATCAACAACCGCGTTTTCAGCTTCAGCGACCAGTCTCAGAAGATTTACGGTGAATTCACCCTGATCCTCAAAGACATTGTCAATGGCGCACCCACCGCCTGGGAAGATCTCGAGGGCTTCATCAAGGAGAACGAAAAGCATCTCGAAGGAATGTTCAAGAACATGCCTCCCTTCGTGCAAACACTTGTCAAGTCTCTGCCCGCCAAATTTGCATCCTCGATGGGCCCTGAGATTATGGCTATGGCAGGAGATAAGCCTGGTAACGACTTGAAGCAGAGAATGGACGCTGCCAGCAAGGCCTCCTCTTCCGCATCCGCAGGCGTTCAGAACCTCAATCTCGATGTCAAGAAGAAGCAGAAGAGAAAGGTCCCCGGCCTCAAGGATCTGGCTTCCCAGAAGGGTACTGTGACCAGTATGTTGACCAACATTGTCAACTTCCTCAAAGTCAGGTTCCCGGCTTTCGTCACCGGCACTAACGTCGTGATGAGTTTGGCTGTCTTCAGTAAGTTCTTATCCTACCACATTCATAACAAAGATCTACTCTAACCTCCATCACAGTCCTACTCTTCGTATTCTGGTACTGTCACAAGCGCGGCAAGGAAGTCCGCATGCTCCGTGACGCTGAATCAACAAAAGCCTCAGCAAATATCTCCGAAGTCTCAGACTCAGACTCCTCGGAAGATGAAAAGGAAGCAGACACCACCACCACCCCAGAATCAGACACGGAAGAAGAAAAGATTGCCGCTGCAAAAGCCTATGCCGCTGGTATGCAAAAGTCGTCGGTCGGTGGACCTGACAATGCTGCCGCCCTACGTGCAAAGAAGATTCTGGAGCAGGATAAGAGTGCTGAGAAGGCATGAGTGGGTGAGCGAGCCATGCATGACTTATGAGGGTTTGAGACGTTCGTTTCTGGGATTGGGAATGATGATTATGATGAGATGATGATTCCTTTTTTTTTCTGTTTAATATACACTTCACTCTCCTACGATCTGTGTTCTCCGTTCCCACACTGTCATCGATTCGTTCTTGATGGTCTCGAAGTTGTCATGTTGTTGTGCATTGGAAACACGGCTGTGAGAATAGCAATCCTGTGATTTGTTTTATATGGGTGGCATATACAATTGATACTGAAATGGGCAGGATATGGGTCAATGTGTTTACTTATGGTGCAAGTCCTGCACTTGTTTGATCTGCTCCACCCTGATAGGTATTAGTAGTCAGTAGCAGACCTGATCACCGTTAAACTCAAGTCAAAACAAGATTGATTTTGAACTGGATTTTGATTGAATTGACTGGTATCTTTTGAACTTGGTCCCATTCCCATTTTTTGAGCACCTTCGTCATGCCGATATGCCATGCTTGTGAAATTATTAAAGGAAAGAAAAAAGTAAAAAAACAAACGCTCTGAATCAGCAAGTTTTGCGTTATGTGCTTGCTCCCTTTTTGGATTTCTCCCCATGCCAGCGCTCTAATAAACCCAAGAGCTCCATTGTGCCGAGAAGAAAAGAAAAGTAGAAAGCAAAGAAAAAAAAGTGAAGAAAAAAAAAGAGTAGAAAGGAGAAGAAAACAGAATCTCAAAATCTCGTGAATGCGTTCCATAAGCAGAGTTGATGGTTGGAGGATCAAGCGTAGCGTGTGCAGTGCAATTTGAGGCGGGTGCCAGTTGCGTCACGGCTCACTGATTCTCCCATCAGAAGAACACCTTCAAGGTTCCTCTTCTGTTCCTGCATTGAGTTGCAAGCATCGACACGACGGCGCTCGCGCTCGCGCACGATCTCACTGGCAATTGAGAACAATGTCTCAATGCCCAGGTTTGCAACAAGCATATCATGCTCCAAAACCATCTTCAAAAGTTCAAAAGGCAGAGAGAGGAGCGCAGATGACAAGATGTAGTTGGGCGAAGATGTGTCCGAGTTGCTAGGAGTTGCTGAGCCGAAACGAATGCTTGACATGGGACGTTGGGCGTCAGAGGTAGCAAATGCAGAAGAGGAGCGTGAATCGGGGCGAGATTGAGATGTCGAGGTCGAGTTAGGAGTGGCGGGGAGACGGGGTAGCGAAACAAATTCAGGAGCCGAAGTGTCGAGCACAAAGTCGGGGAAGATGTTGGAAACAATCAGGCACAGAGCCTGCCAGACAATTTGATCGGCGTAAGGACCGTACAAGCATCGCTCGCTGAGACAATAGCCGCAGATAGCAAAGAACAGGACAACTTCAAGCTCGTTGAATGAGAGAATGCGTGAAGCAATGTTGTAGGCATGCACAACGATAGTTTCGGCACTGAAGCAATGTCCAGCAGCAAGATACGACAAGATGTAGCGCATGCGGCTGCTCGGGGTGCTGCCCGGGGTGTTGAAGACATGCATGGGCTCGATGACCGAACCTCCATAGACGTAGCGCATGGCATCAGCGAAGGCGCTGGCATCTTGGAAGGTATAGCTGCGAGGAACATGGACGATAGGGGCGCGGGAGTGAGGAGTGCGAGACTGAGGGAGGCTGTTGACGAGCTTCAGAAGACCAGGGAAACGGGCGATGACAATGCCGTGCACAGGCAACATGACAGGGTTGGAAGATTGGTTGCCAGAGTAGATTTCGAGAACGTAGTCTGCGAAGTCTTGCTGTCCGAAGTATGAAGAAACGAATTCGACAAGGTGTTGGAGATTGGCGTCGAAAGGTGGCATAGTGAAAGTCGAATGGTGCGGTGCGTGAAGCTTGTGGGCGGTGAGAGCATCAGGGGTAGCGACAGCAGAATCACCAAGCGGCATGGACGGTGTGTGTGAAGGGGAAGATGAGATGCTTCCGAGTTGGACTCCGGTTCCGTTGGTGTGTGCAAAGCTATGGCCGTTGACCTGGGGAGGAGGGCCCATGACAGCCATAGGTGCAGGGGGGACAGTAGAAGTGTACTGCTGAGCACCAGGGTAGCCATCATAGGGAGCCATTGAAGGGGGCATGACTGGTACTGGTGGAGGAGGCATGAAGGCAGTGGTAGGGTTGGCAGGAGATGCGCTGGACGAGTCTTGGTAGCCGCCAAAGACGAGAGTTTCACTTTGTCTGGGTTGATGTCTGGGAACGAAAGGACGAGCTTGAGCGTCTTGGTGATGCTGTTGGCGACGGGGAGGAGCAGTCACTCCTACTTAACACTTAGTATGTTTGAAAAGATATGGAGCCTTTGTCGCGACTTACCATTGCTTTCCTTGTTCTCAACAGGCTCCATCTTCTGAGCAATCTCCATCTTCTCAGTGGTCTCCTCCTTTTCAGTGGGCTCCTTGTCTTCGGCAAGCTTCTTCATTGCGACAGGCTCTGCGACGGGCTCCTTTTCAATAGGCGGCTGTTTGACTTCATCGTCTTTGGTTCCGTTGGGCAAAGGCGCAGGGTCGTCATGCTTGGGCGCATCTTCATGTTGGACACCATTTACGCGCACTTCAGCTTTGTGCTCGTCGGCGGAAGGTGTTGCGCTCTTTGGCTTGTCGTCGGGGATTTGTTGGTCGCTCTTGCCTGCGGGAACGACTTTTGCGCGGCGGACGGTGAGTCGATGAGGGATGGCAGGCACGATGCGCTGCCGAGCCACTGGCTTTGAACTCATGGTGCGAATGATATGGCGACGAGCTGCGAGAGGCAAAGACTCAATATCAACATGCGCCTCTCGACTGCCAGACTTTCGATGTCTTTTCGAAACAAACGGCTCTCACAGCATGTCCGTCATCCGCGGGGCAGACACTAAACTTTTTGCGCTAGACATGGTCCGAGCGCCTTGCCATGTTTTTGGTGGTGACGAGCTGCCACTTCTGCTTGCATCTTGCTTCACTTGACACTGTGCCTTGTGCTAGCCTAACTTAGTTGCAACTATGTGCACAAGACACAGAGGCCTATCACACACCATCTCTAGGTTATACTGCAAGTTACGAACCATCAACAATATCAAACCAAGTTCTCGGTATGGAGACGGATATGTATAGTAGCACAGACTACTATTCCAGTGACACGGGAATTCCTGCAAACGCCCCAGGGGGCTTTAACACCATTCGGGTTCCGGCTCTTGTTTGCAAAACACACCTTCAATATCGCGATCCGCTGGGAAAGCAAGCATGTTCGTTCGACCATCCTAGATGTCTGCGGGAGACTTTTTGAGTATTCACCGAAAACGCTTACATTGATATTTGTACAAAATCGTCTTTGCCAGGTCATTCTGCCTGCTGCACCTCTCTCGTTCGTCGAACAATTGGATTGACTTGATCAAAACATGTCGACTCTATGCGGCCTGATCGTCGCGCGAAATACCCCTGTCGGCCTTGATTCCATGTCCAAATACAGGCAGGCCCCTGTTCACGAGCTCTTCCTCAATCACCTTCCATCTGCCAACCGCTCTTTCCTTGTGAATCGGTGTTTGTCGGCGTCCGCGCACTTGCAGATTGGGGTTTGCCATCAGCTCTGAGTTGGCCAACAGATCCTTGGACAGCTTCTTGGGCTTAGGCTTTGAAAGAATGGCCTGTTGGAAGTCTTTGAGGGTCGTTGCTCTGTGCATGATAATGTCCGGGATTTGCATGTTCGTGGCGGTCCGCAAGTTCTTGGTGAGCTGCAGAAAGAAACTATGTTAGACGTGCTGGTCTTATCTCCATCTTGGTCTCCCACTTGCCTTGAACTTTGTCTGAACGTCATTGACTTCGAAGGCCAGGCCTTCTTGTTCCAGCTGCTGCAGACGTGCCTCTCCAAGGCCAACTTTCTTTGCAGCTTCGATGACTCGCGCTCCAGCGTCCCTGGGACTCAGTCCATTGGCCTTCTTCACCTTTGACCATCTGCAGAGTGTCAGCGTGGCTCTATATTATCTTGAATGCATCTGCTTCATACCCCTTGTAGTTTGGCTTGTCATCAAACTGCAGCTCAAGCCATTTCTCGCTTCCGACGTGCTCCAAATCTTTGCCCTCAGTAGCAACAACGTATGCAGAGTCATCCTGTGGCGTCTTGGCCCATCCCTCGGGGATGTCCTCCTTGGGCAAATACCATCCTGGGAACTCGGGCTGCCTGTCTGAAGGGTCCAGAGCCTCTGTCGCGCTGGCTGTGGTCACATCGGTCGATTCCTCCTCCTTCTTTCCTCTGAAAACAGACTTGAAGCGGTCGACGAATGCGGGTCGGGCAGCGGAAGTCTGCAATTGACGTTGTTGCGAGGCGGCGCTGATTCGTAGTTGACAGGATCTGCAGGTGCTGGAAGAAGTCGATGGAGTCGCCAATTGGCTGACCGCCCGTCCGAAGGTAGATATCCGCGACATGATGTGTGTTGTTGCGTGTCGTGCTCGCTGTCGATTTGTTGCCCGTCGTCTTCGATAATCCGACTTTCTTGCCAAGATTGAGCACAGACTTTTGGAGAAGTTGATTGCGATTCGAGACACGACCTGCCGACTTTCGCTACTCCATGACACCTCCGACGAGTAACATACCTTGTCGTATCTCGGTAGTTCGAAATCGTCGCTTCTATCGACCTGTCACAATCTCCATGACGATATCTATCGGTCTTTGTGATCGCGATTTGATCCTCGAACAACGAGTGCTGAGTACAATATGGCTTGTCCTGTACCACAGGCTACTGTCTTGTAGCACGTTAACTGTATCGGCCAATCGATATAATCAGGAAACATGTTCCTATCTGGCTTAGGCTTTCTGATCCTGGCCAACTCGAACTCATCAAAAATATCCTCATGATGCGAGAGTAATTTGCTCTCCACATGTCGATTCATCCGGTGTACCACGCATACAGATAGTCCAACCTCGAATTGGTGCTGCTCAAACTTTGAGAATCGTTGGATATTCTTGTGGCTTACAGATCAGTGTTTGATGAAAGCAGCACTTTTACATGCTCTCTCGTGCAACATTATAAGACATGGGATTCTCTGCACCTCATTCCAAGGTAGCTGGATCAAAAAGCACTCTAGAGGCTGGGATGGCCATTCTTCAGATAAGTGACTTTCATCACCGAAGTTCAGAAGAAGTTATGGGCATATTACAGGATGCCGATGAATGAAACAAGAGATGAGAAAAGGTTTTTGTTTGTGGATCATCAGATAAACATCAGACACCAGCAGCGGAAGAGGGCGTCAGCTTCCTTTCGATTTTTGATACCGAAGTGAAAGTTGATGGTTCGTTGCACGTAGCTTGTCAACTACACATACGCAGATTGCAGAGCACATTCACATCTTTGCATCGGGTTCAGTTCTGATTCTCTTGTCAACATACCATTTCCCCTTGACCATACATTTTTGTCGCGTTCCAGGTAAGTCTGATCCGTTCTATTGCTTCGAACAGCGTCTTCCCTTCACTTGCAAGATTCCGGCGCGTTGTGGTCTTTTCCAGTCACATCTTAAAACTCCTTCCTCATCGTTCGCTGTAATTGCTCAACTACAAACCTCTACACAAGCCTGTTCTTGTCCATCTCTTTTCCTTCATCTTCTCCCCACCACAGGTTTCCGCGTGCAGATCGATAATTCACTGGTTTTAGCAGTGTTGCTCTTCCTTTTTGTATGTCCTCACACACTGCACACTTCCAACACCTGCGACACATATCTTCTTCTGCGACGCGTCGATCCCCTCGCGTTCTCACGGCCGCATCTCGTCACAGTCATCTAACCACCTCCAACCAGATCAACCTTCGTTATTACACAAACGTTTATCAAAATCGCCTCATCAACAATGGCCTCTCTCACTGACACCCAAACTCGCTACCTGGCTCTTGCCTGGCTTTGCTTCGATGCTGAACCCAAGGTAATTACATCAATCTCGATCCATCCATTGAGTATGAGATCCTCGTCTACTCAATGGCTGCAATAGCCATGATGCAATGCATGATAGTTTTGCGATCCCGGGTCTTTGTCGTTCAACCATTCGAACTAACACACCCTACTCACAGATCGACTATGAGCGCTTCGCCCAGCTCGCTGGCCTCAAGTCCGCACAATCTGGTCGTGAGATGCTTCGCGTAACCAAGAAGAAACTCCAGGAGTTCGCTCCCGTCTCCGCCGACGGCACTGTCGCTCCTCCCAACACTCCTGCCACCAAGACCAAGAAGAAGGCAACTCCCAAGACTAAGAGTACCGCCAAGGCCAAGGGAGGTAAGAAGCGTAAGATCACCAACGACAGCGATGAGGAGAGCGATGCTGGCGACGATACTCCTATCAAGAAGAAGGCTGTTGTCAAGAAGGAGCCTGTTGATGAAGACTCTGACACTGGCGCTGGAGCTGGCGCTGAGGTTGACTCTGGAGATGCCGAAGTCTGAAGCAGTCTTGAAAATCGATCGAGCTTGAGAATGTCTTTATCCAAGTCAAACTGCAAACGAGATTGAGCTTAATGGACGGGAAGAACGAGCAGGGCGCGTAGGGAAGTGCGAATGAAAAGGGGAAGCAAGTCTGCAGAATGTACAAAATCAACACAGAAACGGCTATCGGAGACCGCTCTGCCCAGCCTCTTCTCACTTTCGAAACTTCAATGTCTCAAACAATATGTGAAATCATTCATTGATGGTGATACTTTCAAATGCTCTCCTTGCCCATGTTACCAATTGGCGAAAGCTCTACACTGCACATCAGCACCCCGCTTCCAGACGTCTATCTCGTAAGGAAATCACAACAAAAGCATCAACTACCCTTCGCTCTTGTCTAGATGCACCCAACGAGTAGGCAAGAACGATGCTATCAAGATCTGGGGTTCGAAGTTCGAATATAACAGTCGCTATACACACGTCGCCTACACATCCCATTCACGCTATTGACCAAACTCAAACTTACTTCTGGATAAGGTCAGAACACCTGAGCGACTTTCTGCCTCCTGTTGCCTTGGTTCGAGCGGGGAAAGTGGTCAATCTGACGTCTTCTCATACCTTGAATTGATATGTAAGTGTTGAACATGAGTTGGAGCTTGCCATTTATCTACGCTGCTGCTTTCTCAACTTTTCTGAGATGTAGAAATCAATACGTGCTGAACATTCATATTGCGGGCTTGAGTCACTCTTCTTGAATGTCTTCTACTTCTAGCTCCACTATGTCCTCTTTTTCTGACCGCAATCGAAACATGTATTTGGAGAATGCTGGAGCTGTCAAGCGACAGCGTATCGACTCTTTGGCTGAGAGCAATATTACTCTTCCTTCTACTGGTGCTATATCTGCTATCCCAGTCGACAGTACCATGTATCGGGACTTGTATTCTGCCAACGTTCTTGCTCAATGCAGAGGTGAAGGTATACATTCGACCTTCTAGTCAAACTCTCAGAGACCTTGAAGCTGACAAGCATCTCAGACGTACAGATCTGCGATGGCATTGTCTCTGCCTTGGGTCATCACACTGACATTCAAGCTTCAATCCCTATCACTCAACCTGTATCCAACCGTCCTGATTTTGAACGTGGTCCGACTCCAATTCATCATGCCAGAGCACCACTTGATGGTGTAGGAGGCAGTGGTATAGAAGAAGAAGGCCTGGAAGTCCACCAGTGGAGGCTAGGAGAAGATATCGAAGGCAACTCTGGAGACGAAGGGGAAGACGAAGAAATGTCGGATTGGGCAGATGGATATTGGAGGGATGGCGTGCACTGGATGGGAGAGGAGGAAGAGGAGGATGAAGACGAAAATGATCAACAACCAGAGGACGAAGAAGAACAAGCAGAAGACAACAGCAACGACGACTTCCCAAATAACTTCAGAGGCCACGGCGGCCATGACCTCGGCGACCGCCTAGGCACACTACCCACAAACGACAAAGAAGGCACCGCAGCCCTAATCAAGCAGTCTCAACTCAATCCTCACCCTCGCTCAGCAATCTCCGACCACGGCTACCTCATCCAAATCGGTCTCCTACCTCACCCCATCGTCGAAAAGCCCGGCTACGTCTCTCGCATCCTCCGCGTACCAACCAGAATGACATTCGAGAAACTCGCCGAAGCCATCAACACAGCCTTCGACTGGACCGGCTTCCACCTCCACGAATTCAAACTCTGCAAACCCTGCCTCAAACGCACTCGCTGCATGTGCGTACTCTGCGAACCCGTAGTCGCCAAATTCAACCAAACTATCGATGGCCACGCCTACGTCGACGAATGGTACGAGCAATTCTACACCAATTTCGATGCTGATAAAGTGACCCTCGGAGATGTTTGGGGCCATGACGCTTGCAGAGCAATGAACATGTGGTACAGATACGATTTTGGCGACGACTGGCAACACCTGATCCATTTCCTGGGCGATGCTGATGATAGACTTGGTCCTGCTATGGCTTTACCTCGCAGTCAGGAGGTTTGGTGTTTAAGCGGTGAAGGACACCCTTGGCCCGAGGATATGAGAGAGGATTGGATGGACTGGAAAGATCGTACTAATCTGTATGAATGGGATCGCCAAATTGTCAATAAGGAGTTGCGCAAGCTGGAGATTTGAGAGAAATGGATTCATGTTGGATAAGAGATATGTTCTTAGCTTCTCGATATACACACTCATTTTCAGACTAGTTGTTCAGACGCAAAGTGCTTAGTTGTTTGGAGCATATGGCCATTAGGGACATCCACTACTTCGTGCTCTCTCTACACAATCGTGCAATCACAAAAGTTTCTTGCATTTCGACATGTCGACATGTCGACATGACTATAGTTACTTTGCCAGAAAGAGGAGGTCTGGTGCCTGTGTAATTCTTCTACTGCTATGTCCGTGTGAGAAGTTGTGTAAAAATTGATTCGCTGGATGTCGGAACCAACATTCTTACTTGTGCCAACTGTTGTGGTGTTCAAGTTGGGAGCTTTTGATATACTTGCTAATTATTGGGTAATGCTTAGGGTATCATTCTCAAGCTATCGATCATTACGTCGTTAAGAGTTGTGCAGCTAGGCCAGTGACGACTAGAAGAGCAAGCCGCCGAGAAGTGCTCCACCAGCAAGACCTCCCATGATTGGCAGACCTAGACCACCTCCGTAACCGTAGCCATAAGGACGAGAGTAGCCGTAAGCGGGACGACCGTACATTCCGTATCCTCCCATTGGGCCACCGTACATGCCACCTCCACCCATCATACCACCACCCATCATGCCGCCGCCCATCGGAGGACCGAAAGGATTGATCATACGAGTGTTGTTCTGGTTGTACTGCTGGCCTTGCACGCCTTGAGGAGGAGTGAGATAGCAATCGCGGCCTTCACGGTCCTTGCCAATGAGCTGAGGTTGACCGGTTTGAACGGCCTTTTGCATAGCTTGACGTAGAGCGAGATGACGTTGGTATGCCTTTTGCTCCTCCTCGGCACGCTTCTTCCGCTGGGCTTCGCGTTCCTGGTGAGTGCTCGATGTGACCTTGTCCTTGATCTTGCGGCCGAACTTCTTCATGCCGCTGGGGTTGGAGTCCTGACGCTGAGGTGGGCCTCTGGGGTCGTGGTTCTCATCGTCTGAACTTTCGGCGATGATATCGGCGTCGGTGGGGACACGACTCAGACCTCTGATACGGGCACGCTGTTCGGGCGACAAGGAAGCCATGTACTCGTCGTCATCGTAGGGGTGATGCCAGATGGCGCGCTCAGTGTGTGTGTCGACGTAGAATTGATGGCTGCTCTGAGGGTCGTACTGTCTGATCCAGCCTTGGGGGACTTCACGGCTGGCATCTTCCATCGAACGGCGATGGTCTGGAGGGATTCCATTGCGGGTCTTGTGAGGAGTGGGGTCACTCTTGGAGTATGGGGGAGGTTCGTCTCCGGGCACTTGAGCTGTCGAATAGGATGCCATTGTTGTGATGATTTTCTTGAATTGATTCTTAGGTGACGAGGTAGTTGTGATGGAAGGAAGACAGAAGCCTTAAGTTCAAGAGTGGAAGGTTCTTTGTTCACTCTGTGTCTCTTCGGCCGCGGGAGTGCGCGTCATAGGTCAGCGATCGCTACGCCACTCGGGCCTTCCGTGGGGAAAGCTTTCAGCCACATTCAGTCGTGAGTGAAAGCACGACCCAGCCAAACGCGTGATGCGCGTCCGCCTGAATCAATTTAACCAATTCGATCAATGCCTTTGTTCCCTCCTCGAGTACGACCCAATTTTTCCACTTAACAGCCTTAATCATGTCGCTCAAACGCAAGGCAGCAGACATTGTTGCCGCTGAAGCCAAAAAGCCTAAAGCGAACAGCTCTATTACCAGTTTCTTTGGACCTCCCAAGACCAATTCATCAACGTCATCAACGAACCCGTCCAAAGGGCCAACCGAACCAGCTCCTGCTCTGAAGTTCGACAAGGAAAAATGGGTCGCTGGCCTGACCGATGAACAAAAAGCATTGCTCAAGCTCGAAATTGAGACACTACACGAGAGCTGGCTCGCCGTCCTAAAAGATGAGATCACAAGCAAGTCCTTCATTGAATTGAAGAAATTCCTCAAGAGCGAAGCCGAAGCTGGGAAGAAGATCTTCCCGCCATCAGAAGACGTCTACAGCTGGTATGATACTATCAAACACTCTAGTCTCTCTTTCCGACTAACGACACAAATAGGTCGCGACACACGCCGCTCAGCACAGTCAAGGCCGTCATCCTGGGCCAGGACCCGTATCATAACCTCAACCAAGCGCATGGTCTCTGCTTCTCTGTCAGACCACCGACTCCTGCTCCTCCTTCGCTTCAGAACATCTACAAAGCGTTGAAAAAAGAATACCCGACCTTCGAGCCTCCGCCGAACAAGGGAGGTTTACTTACACCATGGGCTGACCGTGGTGTCCTGCTGCTAAATACTTGCCTGACTGTTCGTGCCCACGAGGCTAACTCTCATGCGGGCAAGGGATGGGAAAAATTCACACAAAAGGTTATCGACCTTGTCTGTCAGAAGCGTACCCACGGTGTGGTCTTCCTGGCTTGGGGTTCTCCTGCACAAAAGCGTTGTGCAGGTATTAATGGCTCTAAGCACTATGTGCTCAAAAGTGTCCACCCTAGCCCTCTCAGCGCTCACAAAGGCTTCGTAAGTCTTGTCTTTGCCGAAACATGACCATGCCACTGACCAGCCATCTAGTTCGACTGTGGCCACTTCACCAAAGCGAATGAGTGGCTCAAGGAGAGATATGGCGATGATGGTGTGATCGACTGGAACCTGAATGTTGCTCCTGAAGACGCTGGCGTCTAAAAGGACGCTGAATATATGCATGATGACTGTGATAATTACATACAAATCAAAAATGAAGTATAGCAAGACTTTGGCAATTCATAATGAACAAGTCATTTTGGTGACCCTGTCTTTTCTACCTGAAGCAATTTCTTCTTGGCGGGCTTGACTATTTTTCCTGCACCATCATCTCTCAGTAAATCAACCACAACACACCAAAATGCCGGCAGTAAAGAGATATGCAAAGGCAGATAAGCCCAAGAGATTGAGAAAGCGCAAGGCTAGAACTGAAGGTGCGTTTGTGGAAACACTGTTTGTGCCCGCGTACTAACCAGACATGTTCAGTCTCCGATTCTTCAGACTCCTCGGATTCCTCATCATCTTCAGAGTCGGAGAGCAGTGACTCGGAACCTGAACCCAAGAAGAAGACTGTTGTCAAGACCAAGGCAAAAGCCAAGGTAGTCCAAAGGGTGTGTCAATATCTTGCGCAACCTCCAGTCTTCAATTTCATCTTAGAGCTTTACTCGAATTCCCTTGCGTCTGCCACCACCACTCGGTAGTGTTCAGACCCATCGCTCACACTGTCCTTTCCTTCAGACGAGGTTGCGCAGCAAGGAAATCTATTGAATACAACAACTGACCATATGACTAGTCACCATCTCGGTCATCCTCACCAGAAGAGGATCAGACCATCGCTCCTAGTGGACCACAAGTTGCGGAATCAGAGGCCGAAGATGCATTCACCTCATTCTACTTGCGCCAGATGACGACCGAATTTGCGGAAGACCTGGACAAGATACGCTCAGCAGGTGACTTCAACGACAAATCACTCGGTCTCTTGATCTCGGCTCTCAAGCAGGGACGCGAATGCTTCGACAGACACGACAGACTGGCTGTTGGGAAAGCCATCGTCGCCGCTAATCAGTGAGCATGAGAGACCTCAAACTCTCGACATCCTTCCTGCACCTCTATCCATCCATGCGTTCAGCTCCATCTTCTGTCATGTGAAAGAGTTTTGATCAGAGGGTGGAGGTGTGGAGTTGACTGCCAATTACGAGCAAGGCACAAGGATGCTACTTCTCAATATTGTTGAGATGGGATCTATCTTGCTGAGAAAACCGGGGCGTTCCAACTTCCCAGCTCGGTCCTATCGTCTTTTTCGTCCTCTCCACGATCCCTCCAGCTCCAATCGTGTCTGGCCATACGCCACGAGTTCTGCAGCCCAGGAAACCTTGTCCTTCCCAAGATATTTCGAAACAAGATACTCAAGAGGGATTGGACGTCAATCTTGTGTGATAAGGGTTCTTGCGTCAGACGATCGATCTGCTGTCACATCTGCCATTCTCTTGGGTGTGTATTTTGCAGGGTTCTGCTGCATAGGACGCGAACTTGCAGCAAAGACTAGGCCTGGGAAGACGAGCAAGCACTTGAAGGCCATGAGGCGGGTTCGTCGGGTTTCTCCAGAGTAACGCGGTAGTGAAGGATGCGTGGAGCGGAGAAGGGTCCACAAGGGATCTTCAATACTCAATTCTTTGTTCTAATCAAATCAACCACAAAGGTCTATTCCCTAGTTTTGAACGCTGTGACATTCCATGATGGATAACAATTGGCTGAAATAACCTGGCTGTGTAGTTCGGTACAGACGAACGCTGTGTCGTTGCTTGCAAACGTGGGTTTGCCTCTTGAGATTCGCCATCTCGGCGTAACATTGACCCAGATGGATCTACAACTAGCCGCAAAGCCTATCTCTGGTACGGCACAAACCTCCGACTCTCTACGACGTACGAGGAAGATCACCACTGGGCGCAGTCAACAACCTCGAAGCAAGCCAGCGCTGGTTCAGGTGGAAACAGATTGCCATTTCTGTTAGGACATCCTGGCCCAATAACCAGATACTGCGTAGCTACGTCTAAGGATGTCGCGTTGTAGTGTTGTATGGAACACACCTCTCGTCGTCTGCCGTGCTCAGAAACATGGGGAGCCGAACAGGGCGGGTAGGTACATCATATATTGGCACAATATGTGGTTGCTGGCGTGAGTCCAGAAGCAACACGGCGTTCTTCAATAATGCTTACTCTCGTCTCCAAAGAGCCTTACTTTGCAGAGGCTGATGGCAGATTTGGTTTGCAGAGAAGTCAACCTTCTACCAAACCAGAGAGCACACGGTCGAATTATCCCCGCCGACTCGGCATGTGCAGAAGCTTGGGTTTACGATTACTGAGCGTGGGGCCTGCTAAAGTTGACGGGGTGAATTGGCGCTTCCGTTGGCCCAGCACGAGCCTCAGTACAAGTCGCCAGGCACCAGATCTCTCGATCTGTTGCGTTGCAGCAGCTGCAAGATCAGCTATGGTACCACTTTCCGCACAACAGGATTAATCAGAATGGTTCAAGGGTTCAAAAAACAGAGAAGGGGTGGCCAGGTTCACATTGTTGAGTAAGCTGGCTTGCGCACCACAACTGGACGACGGTCTGACCTGACACACACACACAGCCGTGTATAATTGCCCTATGGATCGCAGGTATAGCAGCTGCTGATAAGAACATGCAATTTTGAAAATTGAGACACGGCTTCACATGGTCGCGGAAACAGCTCCTCCTCACAACGATAGGAATGTGCGGCTAGTGAGGGCCACCGGACTTGCATGCCGCTGCGTAGGGGAATATTCATCGACTTGAAGGTTGAAAACAATCCTAGCGGCTCATCAGATTCAAGTGGAGTCTCCGTACAGCTTTGCATATTAGCTGCAGGCAAGGGGTCGTACGCGAGGCGTGCGGCTCGGCCACAGGTCATGGTCAAAGACCCAATCAAATGATGTGCAGCGAAAAGTCCACGCGTGACGAAGCAGGCGTGTGAACAGCGACCTTTCTCCTCAAGGCTCGAACAAAGAAACGACCAATGTTGGAGCTTGATTTTTGCCAGTGTCGTAGCTTCCACTTTTGAGGCTCTGTTTTGACACAGGTGAGCACTTGACGCGGAGGCTGACGCCAGTCAATCCTTTGCCCATCTTGGAAGTTGCAAACAGCGCGGCGTCATTCGAACTTTCCAACGGCCGGTTTTGCCCATCCAATTTTGCGGCCGAGAAAAGGCTTCGGGGAGTTTCTGCGTTTCTTTTTTGTAGCGCCCCCTCGTGCGTAGGAAATGGCAGCAGCACGCTAGGCACATTTACCCCACGCTATGATAGCCAGGTCCTAGCACTGCGAAGCACCGAGCCTATTTCTGATTTTCCAGCGCCAGTTCGGACAGTTGACACAGAAATACTGCGAATTTCTCGTGATCCGATACCATCAATCTGCTGGAAACCCACTGGTATTCCTCATATCGCACACCCACTGACTCGAAAGAGGTCATGTGTTAAGCTTCAGAATACAGGTCGGACGTAAGGCGGAATGCGATCTAGCAAGGTAAAATCTGCGTGTTTCCCAAGCAGATCTTGTTAACACGATCGCCGGGCCAATACTGGCCAGTGACAGCCCCCCATGGACACAGGCACATGGGACAGATCTCGCATATTGCCAACGGCTGCAAACCAATGTCCCGGAAAATATCGCGTACCTCTACAGTATTCTCAAGATCTGAGTTGCACAGATCTAAGGTGATGCTTGTCTTACTGACTTGGGCTTCTCCACTCTCAATCAACGGAGGGGAGTATTGTGTAACACTGACACAATACCGTGCCGCTTTCTCAGGGATGCTGCCGAGTTTTCAGTTCAAAAAGCTCCGCGCAAGCTGATCAACAACCCTAGACTTCTGGAGCGTCAGACGAAGTTGGAGCCGCATTCACCACCAATGATTACGCCCATCTGTATTATCGGTTTCACCCTTGCATGAAGGAGATATCTCCTCGTGTGTTGTACTACGGGGCATGCATATGCGGCGTACGAGATATCCAGATAAGCGAGGTATTCGCCACACTCAATCGACATTTCTAATTACTGCCCCGGAATGTCCAGAGGTACGTACTGGTGGACGAACGGGGCCAGCCATCGTATCTCAGAATCTGTGGAACCACAACCTGCGAGAGTTCACCTCAATCGTAACCGAGAAGTGTTTTGCAGGCACGCCGACGAACAAGCATGAGAAGAAGTCCAGCAATTCCTGGCTGTCAAAGTAAATCGGAGACATGTCTCCAGATAGTTGAGAAATGACGGAAAGCGTACCAGCACTAGGGCTGGTTCCCGCGGCCGGTGAGCTGTCTACGGGCGGGCCGTTGTGCTTGAGACTGCCAATGGAACCCTACGATTCGCGCGAACCAAACCAGTAACACCCCGGCCGCTGGGGGTTAGCTGCATCGAGTCTATCTTGGTAGAATACTTCTGGCCGTTAGTAAGCGTCGAATGAGCACTCAAGGAGCAAGCCAAACCGAGCGTTTATCGAGAAAGATATTTGGAAGCCCAGGGCGATCAATCTACCATGCCACAAACGCGATTGGGTCGTGACTACCCGAAAAGCGATCGCGGCACCTGCCCTCAGAAGCCAGCGGCCACGTCAGATTATTCTCAACCCACGCTGCTGATCCTCAGGGACACAAGAACGAAAGCTCCATTCGACTGCAGTGAGCTATTTTGTTCACATGGCACATTCCAAGGGGGCTCACCGCTGCATGGAGTGGTCTACACGGCTGAGGACTGCAGATGTGAGTGTACTCGAATCGAATTCCATGCGATACTCGGGATAACGTGTCTCTGAGACTATGAAAGCAACGGGAGTATGAGGTACCTCGCAGCTGTCAAACAGCACCCAACAGACAGCGAAAGAGAGGGAAGTTGGCGTTTGGTTTTACAGATGGAAAAAGTGACGTGAGGTTGGCAAAGCCAAACCCAAGCAGGCAGGAGATCGGGGAACGTGGCCTGTGTGTGCAGCTCTCAGATAAACGAGATCTTGTGCTGCCGGCGAGTGGAGGCAATGCTCCGAGCGCGTGTCCCGCTACTCCACTTTTCTCACATCTCAGATCGGCCAATCATCGAAATTCCCAGGAACACGATACCGAGCAACCGAACAGCAGCTTGAGCCTTGAGCTGGGCCGCAGTCATGGTCCGAGCGGACGGAAAGAGTTGGCGCGATCGAAGCTCAGCCTTTAGACCTCGGCGGCGTTCTGCCAATGACACCAGACTGCAAATCCCAGGCCCTCTTCTCTCTAGCCCCGATCTGCTGCTGCAAGGCTTTTATCTCCCCGGCCGCCCTCCTCAATCTCATCTTCTCTCTCATCGACCTTTCGTCTCTCGAAGCACGTTTGTTATTAGACAAATTCGAGTCCAAGCAACAACTACTTCAACCTTCTCTCAATCATCAACCACCTGGCTTATCGGCCATACTATTCGTCTCTACATCTACCTCGAACCCAGCACTACGGTACCCCTTCGGTGTACAGACCCAATCATCGCAGCTTCTGGCATAATTCTCCGAGACCCCTTCTCTCAAGGACCGCTTTCGTGACCTTGCAACTTCGGCCTATTTCTTCTCAAGTTACACAACCGGCATATTTCGACATCATGCCTCCTCTCAGAACCATCCCCGCAGCCAAGCCAGTCAAGACTGAGCGCACCCACGAAGAGAACCAGGAGAGGTTTGTTCTAGCTCCATATTTTTCCGTTGTTTATCGCTCCTAACACCATCTCAGAGCTTACATTGCAGCCTCTCGTCGCAGTGACCGCAGTCTCGAGGCTCGCGTCGAGTCAGCTCGTCGTGCTTCGGAGATTCACAAGAGACGCACAGGCAGATCTCTTCGTGTGACCGAGCAAGACGTTATCAACGAAGAGATGTACGAGGAAGAGGATGACGATCTGCCCATGCAGTATCGTCGCCTTACCGCTCATCTACAGACATCCAATGCAGACTTCGATCGTAGATTGGCGGCATACTTGACCAACCACGTCGCCATGCGAGCTGCCCTAGGCCACAACATTGGAGAGGGATACAACCCTCAGCAATACTCGAACGCTCCTCAGTTCGCCAACCAACTAGGCCAATTCCCCCAGTCGTTCCCCAACCCCATGCTTCCGCCTCAGATGGCTCAAAGGTCACCCCACAGCTTCCGCGCATCACCTTACCCTGCACCTCAGCAGGGCTTCCGTCAGAACATGCACGGTCGCTCAGCATCCATCGCTACTCCCCAGGAGTTGCAAAATATGAACACCTATCCTTCAGTACAGAGCCCTAATGCTGCTTTTATCAAGCCTGAGGATCGTCGCATGTCTCTTCCTGCTCAGTCCCAGCAGAATGCTGCACCATCATCACCACACCTCACTTCCGCTTCTCGCACATCATCATCCACTAGCCTCACGAATCTGAAGCACGAAGCTGCCAAGCAGAGTACCAATGGCCAGACATCTCCTGTTGCTCAGACCACGCCACCGGCGTACGCTGCTGCTTACAACAACGCATCTTCTGGCGGCCTTGACCCAAGCATGATGAACATGATGCCTTTCTCAACTTCATTGCCTTACGAGTCTCAGCAATTGCTTGGACCTAGATTTGATCAGAACGACCCATTCTCGCAGATGCTCATGGGCGGCTATGGTCAGCAGCAGTCTCAGCCATTCTACACCTACAACCCCAACCCTTCCAAGTTCAAGGGCAACAGCCCTCAGTTTGACGGTATCAACCAGACCCTCGCTCCCGGTATGCTCGACACCAACATGGACAAGTACAGCACACCCATGTCAGGTGCGGATTCTGCCATCACTCCCTCCTTCGGTTTCGACACCAGCTTCGATCCTCTGAAGGGTTTCTCAAGCGGAATGACCACACCTGGCGAGAACGACTGGTCGAGCCTACTCGACTCGAATGTTTGGGAGGACCAGAGCTCGCAGTCTGCGGCTGTGAACTAGGTCCATCTCCTTACTTCTTCGACTTCTAATGTTCACTTCTAATCTACTGTATTGATATAAACTTGGGTTTGGGGGTTTCGGTGTTTTAACGATACCTCGGATAATGGATTCTATTGGGTCAAAATGGGAGGATGTCTTATGGGAATGGCGTTTTGTGGCATATGCACACATGGGAATTATGACGGATGGGCTCAGGGGATACTATCTTTTCTCTAGGATATGACTGAGCTATGATCGATGAACAATGACATTGATTGCCCTGTAAAGGGGTGGTCTATTTTTTACCACACCGAATTCCTTGTTTCCTTGTCCATTGTCTGTTGGAATTCATTCAGACGTGATTGTGATGCAAGATGTCTCAACTAAAGACAGCCTATTTGCAATATGGGCTTATCTAGGCCAGCGTTCCTGTCGGGGATGCACAAACAACGACAGGAGTTTAAGCGGTGACGCTTTCCGGAACAAAATTGCGAACGTGGGCAGGAACAAAAACAAAAAAGCAAATGGGCGCTCGAGTTAGACGCATGTTTCTGCACGCTTTTGCGCAGCAGGATTTAGCCATGTGCCTATTTGTCACGGCAAGCGTCGGATTAGCCTTGCATGGGAAGAGCGCAAAAAAAAGAGGGGGCGCTGAGAAGAAAGCGGATGCGTCGTATGTCGTTTAGGCAGGAGTCAGCGACCCTGTTTGTTTGGAATCTCGTGCTTTTTGGAGAGGTGACAATATCTTCGATAGCAATACCGAGACGCGATTGACACTGCCATGATCCGTATCTCGGAGCAAGGACCCATGGGTTCTCAATTTACTTAGATCGGATTTGCAGCGCCAGACAAGCCTTCTTTTGCTCAGATCTGTAGAGATCCCAAGGGTCCTGTTGGCATCGAGGAAAACACGCGGGCATGGCACCGCAAAGGCGATCGTGGCAGTTGTGAGCGGGACAGAACGGATGGACGACAATCGCGAGCAAAGCAAAGTGAGACAGATTGACGCCAGAGCTCAGGCAGATAGATTGGGTAGGGTAGATTAGCTTTGCGCGAGAGATCTGAAAGCAAAACGTGAAAGCTGAGGCCCTTTTGGCAAGCACGAAGTTCTTGCAAGAAGAAGCGACGAGGCGCCGTCGTCGATGGGTGGTGCCGTGAATCGCTCGCTGTTTGTGGAACTGGTGGTTCGCTACCCCACGATACGGGCGTTCTTAGGACGATCGGGGCGGAAGGGTCAAGATCCCGCCGGCGAGAGGCAGATGATGCCGTGAACATCGTGCTAGAACAGTACAATCCAAGTTGCATAGCACACAAGACACCATGACCCTTGCGGCATGCCTCCTACCAACCCTTCCCGTACCCTTCTGATCGCGCCGCTCCCTCGTCGCTGCCGCCCCGTCCTCACCTTTCCTGACGCCGCCACCGCGAGAAACTCGTCTACGTCATCACCGCTGTGGTATCGCTCCGGCACACGAGCGACGACAGCGGCAGCAAGGCACAACAATGCCTGCAGAGTGATACCACCGACACCGCGAAGCTATGCCACCATAGCCGGTGACCCAATGTCGGCTGGCTCGCCGGACCCCTCGTCGTCGCACTCGGACCCGTCCTCGAATGACATGCCATGGCCAAAGGCACCCAAAGGCCATCCACATCCAACACCTTACCAGATCCTCTCCACCACCGAAGCCGAACCGTATAGCAAACGTCGATTCTACGAACTAGTCAAACTATACCATCCCGACTCTGGGGCTTGCGAGAAGCATCACCATCACCACAATGTACCACAAACATTGCGGCTGGAACGATACCGTCTCGTCGTAGCAGCCCACACCATTCTCTCGGATCCGGACAAACGCAAAATGTACGATCGCTTCGGTGCCGGATGGAGTGGTGTACCCAGCACGGTTGGTGGTAAGCCTGGAGCCGGTGCACCCGCAGGTCCCTTCAGCGGCTGGCGACACCATGGAGACTCGGACATCTGGGGCAATGCAACATGGGAAGACTGGGAGCGATTCTACCAACGTCGAGATGGCGTGGCACATCAAACACCACGATATCTATCCAACGGCAACTTCATCTTATGCGTCATCTTGCTCGCTATGATAGGTGCCTCGTTAAATCTAAGTCGAGCTGAAACAGAAGGCGACAAAGTCGTAGCAGCCAGAGATTTGGTCCACGATCGCGCGAGCAAGGAGCTCAGACGCGTGCGCCAAATGTCCGAGAACAGGCCCAAAGAAGAGCGTATCCAATTCTTCCTCCGACAACGAGAAGCCACCATGCACGGCATCGGTGTCGAAAGCCTGAGGGACGACAAAGTAGCCAAATTATTACCAGAGCAAGAAACCTGCTTGAGCGACGAGCTGCGGACTGGAGATCGCGATGCATGACCTCTTTCCTTATATTTGTACATATACTGCATTCCTACCTACAATATTCTGATGACCGCACATATAGGTTACAGAAGGGGCGTTTTTTGGGTGTGCGAAATACCATTGATTTATGCTTTCTGCTATCTTTTTTCTTGAACCCGCGACTACGTCCTAATTAACTTTCTAATCGTGTTACCGTCATCAATTGTCTCCAACTCAACTATATCATTCTCATCTCAAGCCCGACAATGTCATGATGGGTCACCTTTTTGACAAGAGAAAGATGATACTGCATACAATCAATTCTCATTAGAAAGAAGGCTCACAACTTCCTCATCTTCCCATGAGCCCATCACAATTCTTACATCAGACCCTCTCCCAAAACAACGCGGTATCTACTGATCTATTCCTCTATGCCCGAGAACCCAAACCTACATCACCGACGCTATCTTCTCATGATCGAGATTTCCAACAGGGTGTCCCGGTCAGCTGCAGTGTTGATATATGTAGTGGTGTTAAACCATTTCGCTAGGATGTGAATTATCGAGGTAGATATATATATATACACAACTACCACTTGTTGCAGAAATATTGTTATTATTCATTGTGTTGATATGTATAAGCTTACAACTTTTTTCTCTCTTGTTGTTGTGTAAGTTGTTTCTTGGTCTACTGTGATGCTTTGGGTAAGTCGTTGCTTCCTTTTTGGGGGGTTTTCAAGGGTGATTTATTCTTTGTTGTATTCGATATGGATCGCTCCTACATATCTTCTTTGAGGAGCGATACTTGGGAAGGAGCGATATAGAAGGAAGGAACAATGGCAGCAGCACCGATGTTTTACAAAAGGAAGGCACAATCAAGAAAGAATGAAGCAACGCAAGAAGAAAACAAGTACCTAGTCAATGGTCAACATCACCAGATGACCCGTGAGCGCGAGCTTGAGATATCACACAGTCCTGAAATTCATCCTTGTACGAGAGTCTTTTGGTGTTGGTAATAGTTTCATTTCATATGATATATGCAAGTTTCGATTTTTAGTCCGGCAAGCGCATTCATTTCCTGACCGTCTTCCCATCATAGAAATGTATCACAACAGGGGTATTCACAGAGATGAGATGGAACTCCCGAGCCCCTTGAGCTTGCCTAGACGATCCATGACAGCATCTACCAAAGCAGTCTCGCGGTCCAACATCTGCATCACCTGTGCAATCTTCTGTTTTCTGAAGTCGACGGGTATACGGCTTACACTGGCGCTAAGATCTTGAGGTTCGCTCTCATCATCTTGCGGTGTAGGGGCGATGGCTTTTTGCTGCTCGGCGGCTTCCTTTGCGCGGGCTACAAGTGCTCGTTGCAGTTCGCCGACTGCTTGTAAGCGGCTTGTAAGATCGTCGTCTGTTGCAATGCTTTCTTGTGCGGGTGCCTCTGTCTCGCCGAGACTAGTAGAAAGAGAAGAGACTTCGGCTGCCCAAGCTTCTTCCTTTGCGCTCAACTCCTTGCCACCTAGACCTGCCATGCGACGGCGCATAGCCTCGACGCGCTTGGCGAGTTCCTTTGATCGATTGCGTGCATTCTCCATGCGCTCGTCGATTCTCTCCTTGCCGACGACACGGGGTTGATCAGTACCTTGGCCATCGTCATCGTCTCCTGTTACAGCATCTGCACGTCTGGAGAGTTCATCGACGTGACGGATCTGCTCTGATAGTTCGGCGCGCATTCTCTCGCAACGACGGAAGAGGTCGGCAGCTGCAGCACCCAGTCTACTTGTCTCTGTGGACAACAGGCGGTGCGCATCGGTAAGGATGTCTAGATTGACGGGAGAGAAAACGACCTGTTTCTTCAAATCTGCCCTTCTTACATTGGTGTTTCTTTGAAGAGCAGAGTCAAGGAAGCCTGGAAGAGCAGAAGTAGCGAAGAATGCCTCGGATGGTTGATATGGTTGGCGAACAGATGGGGCAGGAAGTGCAAGCGGTGTCTCGTCAGGAGCGAATGAATTGTAAAGTGATCGGTCGACTGGCAGATCTAGAACCACAGCTTGAGGCTGGGAAGAGGAAGCGGTCAAGATGAAATGGCCCAAGTCAGAGTCGACGATCGAGAGACAGGCGGGCGCTACCGAGGTCACAGAACCGTGGTTACGCTTAAGGATCTGGTCTACAGTAGATTTCTCGACGTCAAACAATACGTCGAGACGGAATGCAGCGCCAGAATCAGTAGGGTTGATGAGCTCATCCTCCAGAGGAGCGATCCAGGATTCAAGGGAAATGTTGTAAATACCCTCGTTGGAGCTGAGGAAAAAGCCATAGCGACTAGTTGTGGTCGGGGTGAAGGTCGGCCATGAATTTTTGGTTTCTGAAGTAGTCAAGGTTTCAACCAGGAGCAGTTCGGAGAAAGTCTCTTCCTCGTCGAAGCGACGGCGGAAGGCAGCACGTCTGGATGGTAGCCACTGAGCTTCGACACCATCAAGGTCCAGACAGACATGAACCTTTCCTGCAGCAGTAGCCAGACATACTATACCGACGGAGAGATCATCGTGACCGAGGAAGTCGTCCTGGTCTTCTTCCTGCATCAAGGCGTCATCGTCGAGACGAGGAGCAATAACAAAAATGTCGGTGATTTGATCAAAGTCGGGTTCAGGGTTGAGATAGAAAGGGCCTTGCAGTTTGGGAACAGCAGGAGGGTTAGCAGGACGGTTGTAGACCTCGAATTCATTCAAAGTATCGGCATGTGAGACGACCAAAGGCTCCTGTGCATCTATGTCGGCGAGCCACTTTTGTTGCTGGTCGACAATGCGACGTTCTTCCGGGGTGGGATCAGCTTGGGAGATGGCCTCGGCTTTTGCTACGACGGCGGTCGACAATGAAGGGATAGTGGTCGGAGTAGGCTCCCACTTTGAGGGAAGCAGGGGGCAGAGAGCGTAAACATCGCCCTCGGTCATGGCAATCCAGAGAGTCATGGGAGACCAGCCGTGTTCGTCCGAGGTGGCCCTAGCACCAAAGCAAGCAGCAGCGACCTCCATCTCAACCGAATCGGGCGAGAAGCCCTTGCTTGTACCGTACTTGGAAGCGGCAAAGTCCTGGTCCGAAGAGGTGGCATTGGCAAGCTTCTTCAAATCCAAAGCCAGCTCAGGTTCATCGAACGAGGCACGCGAATCGCGATTGAGCTCCCAGAGACGAACGCAAGCATCCTGAGTGACAGTGACCAAGCAGCTGCCCATGAAGCCCATGGGGTGCCATATGGCCGACACAACGGGGGCCTGTTCAACAACATGGGCGGTCGGACCGAGTTGGAAAGTCTTGATGCGCAGAGGAGAGGTATCCTGGACGGAGAGATGCGATGAATCAGGGAGGACAGCGATGTGGACGGTGTGAGTAGTGAGGATTGCGAGGTAGTCGCCGTGAGGAGAAACGACAAGCTGCTTGATCTGGCTTGCGACGGGAGTCTTGAGGACCTGTTTGGGGTTAGAGTCGAGTGGTGTCTAGTCTGGCACGAAGGGACTTGCTCTGTAGTTTTGGTCTTGGGTGTTCTTGGGGGCATCCTTTAGCATGACCAGGTCGGACCAGCGAATATCGTTTCCAACCAGTACAAAGAGCTCGGTGCCGCGGTGGGCGATTGTGCGCGAAGGGCCGTGTGAGGCATCCTTGTCGTTTCCATTTCTGTAAGCGGCAGCCGGCTTGGAGTCTGTCGCTCGTTGGAACAGATTGAAACCAGGTGAAGGAGCCGAGAGCCACGATGGAGTGTGCCCAGCCACTCGTGCCATTGTGAGGGGTGTTATGGATAGAGTCGTCGGCGGAATAAAAAGGGAAGAAGAAAAGAAGAAGAAGCGGAGCTGGTCGCGACAAACATCAAACATTCAGACGGCGCGCATACCATCAGAGGAAGCTTGGACCACGCGTCGCTGAGAGGCTTTCACATCCGACTATTTACTTTATCCCCTCTCACTCTCACTTGTGCTTGTCGCATTCAACTTCCACCTTGCTGCTCTTGGTCCCTCTTTCCAACATGGCCACCACCTTCGCAAACATCATGTTGCGCACTACCTGCGACCGTCTGGACCGTCCCAGCTCATACACTGTCGGCAAGGTATGTCCAAACTCACCATTGACCACCATCGCCAGTCACTGACTCTCTCCCAGAAGCGCCGCAGATACCAACGCGCTCCCGACGATGACACTCCCCAGGAAAAGACGCCCGAGCCCGAGGACAAGCTCAAGGACGCAACCACTCTCTACGTCGGCAACCTTTCTTTCTACACCACCGAGGAACAGATTCACGAGCTCTTCTCAAAGTGCGGCGAGATCAAGCGTCTGATTATGGGTCTCGACCGTTTCCAAAAGACCCCCTGCGGTTTCTGCTTCGTCGAGTACTACACCCACCAGGATGCTCTCGACTGCCTGAAGTACATTGGCGGCACCAAGCTGGATGAGCGTATTATTCGTACCGATCTCGACGAGGGCTTCAACGAGGGCAGACAATACGGCCGTGGAAAGAGTGGTGGCCAGGTCAGAGACGAGTACCGCGAGGAGTTCGACCCTGGCAGAGGCGGCTACGGAAGAGCCATCAAGGAAGACTACGATGTCTACAACGACAACTACCGATGAGCTTCTCCCGCCCTCATTCGGCGACGGCATTTCTACGGAGTCCTGGCGTTTTACATCTTCTTGTCTCTATCATGCATTCCACGCCTTTCTCTCATCACTCTCCAAGGATCGAGGATGAGCAGCATTTCTTATATTATTTACATGCCGATACCCACTTCTTCCACTTGCTTCGACTTTCATCTCCGTCCCTGCTTACTGCAGTGCCTTTAGTACCTCCTTGATCCACCACACGTGAATTCTTGCATCTCCAGTCAGCTCGGGGTGGAAACTGGTGCCAAACACATTGCCCTGTCTGACGGCCACGATGTCTCCCTCCTCTCCTACCTCTCTTGCTGTTGTCTTCTTGTCGTTCAGCGCCTTTGCTCTACCCGGCAATCTTGCCATGACTTCGACCTTGCCGAGTGCCTGTCCGCTTGACGCTGCCTTTGATGGCGCAACCACTGTGTCGTCCAACCTTGCCTCTGCCTCTTGCACTCCTGTTTGTGCCTCTAGGATCTTCTCAACAACAGGGGCTCGGATGAAGACGCTGCGGAATGGCTTGTTGCTGGTAGCAAAGTCCTCACCACCTGCCTCAACCAGGAAGGGTAGGTCCAATGCCGCTTCGAAACTCTCGACTTGACGTCCGAAGTGGTTGCGGTTGACGCGAACATCCAACCCTCCGATCAACTCTTGTCCCGTCTGTTTGGTGCGGTTGGCAGACTCGGCGAGGAGGATGAGACCTGCACACGTGCCCCAGGTAGGCTTTCTTGTCACTTTGACGAATTCGCGTAGGGGTTCCAGCATGCCGGATCGGGCAGCGACGAGGGAGATTGTAGTGCTTTCACCTCCGGGGAGGACGAGAGCGGCGCATGATTGGAGTTGTTCGACTGTTCGGACCTCGATGAATTGCCACTTTCGCGCTGTCGCATTGGCTTCCGAGTCGATGTAGTTGGCGGCTTGTTGTAGTAGCTGAATGTGTTCGCTGAAAGCGCCTTGCAGCGCAAGAACTCCGATTGTGACTTCGCTCATCGTTGCTGTGATTGACTTGAGGAATTGAATGATGGGAAAAGTTGACCATGACACATCCGGAGCTTATCGATAAGAAGAGTGTCCTCACCGCCCTACGGCCCGCATCGGCCCCGCGCGTGCATGTGTTCATCACTTAGCCAAACAAACACTTTGATCTGACATTCTTCACTTCGAGACTGTCCAGAGCTTGGGAAAAGCAATCACTTATAGACTACGACGACCGGAGATGGCCACTTCCGATCTTCAAGGGTTGACGTGCTGGCTCATTGATACCCGATCTCTATGGCCTGGTCAACACATCAAGGATGCTGTTAGTGCTCCTGCACTCTAAACTAGCCCACCTGTTCCTTCTGACCCGAATAGGCTTCTGATGTCTTACAACTCCTTTCGAATAATGAACGCGTTGCCGTGCTCCGGAAAATGTTCATCGCCGATGCTCGAATGTCTCTCGCCTCTGCTATGTTGAAACGACTATATGTTTCTAGAGCCTTGAGCATACCCTGGAAAGACGTAAACATTGCCCGCAAAGGAGATCCCAAACATGGAAAGCCTTGTGCTGTGCTGCCAGATGGTTCATTCGCCAAGATTGACTTCAACATTTCTCACCAAGCTGGTCTGGTTTCTCTTGTGGGCTGGAATCCGTCATCGGGTCAATCACAGTCTGCTCTTGTGGGTGCAGATATTGTCTGTGTCAATGAGCGCGACGACTACCGAACCATCGACCAGGAAGGCTTCGACGCGTGGATAGATATCTACGAAGACATCTTCTCTGAGTCCGAACGGTGGGATATGAAGTACAATGTCGACTACATCACTCTGCTAGATGGTAGAATCATCCAGGGTGGCAATCTTGGTCGAGCGGATCGCTGCGTACAACGAAACAAGGACTTGGCTGTCACTTTGCCTACTGGAGAAACCCATTTATTCAACAGCGACCTCTTGATCGATGCAAAACTGCGGCGGTTCTATAGCTTCTTTTGCTACAAGGAGGCTTATATCAAGCTTGCGGGCGAAGCACTCCTTGCACCTTGGCTTAAAGAGCTGGAGTTTCAGAACGTCAGAAGCCCGAAACCTGGAACGGTGGCTAGATGTTCCACGCACGGTACATGGGGAGAGAAAGTCAGTGATGTTGAGGTTGTTCTACACGGCAGTAAAGTCGACGATGTCAAGATGACTCTCCAAGCCTTCGAAGAAAACTTCATGCTAGCCACAGCCGTACAAGGATTGCAAGACCTGGAAGCGCCACCATTCACCAAACTGGATCTGGAGAACGATGTCCTTGCGTTTGCAAGATAGAACTCACCAAAATTCGTGTCCGGAGAGTTTACAACCACAAGATCGATTCGAAGCTTTTGAAGGTACTGGGGTGGTATCCGCTTTTGTCCCGATAGATCTGTTCACCGACCTATCGCATACCAAGCTTTCTGGACATTGAAGACAGCTGCTATTCTGGAAGATGCAATTTCAGAAACCAACAGTTCTCCCATGTGGTTACAGAAATAGTGGGTCCATCGTATACTGCGTACTGCGTACTCGCCAGAAATCCAACGATTTTCCTCTGCTGGGACCTCATCCACAGCCAAGTATTTCGGTCTATAAGTTCGTACTACGGATACTATTCACCACTATTAGGCATCAGTAATGAGGCATCGGTCGGAAATTAAAATGCTCAGCCCTGTAGGGGGTGAAACGTTCATCGGTATGCCTGTACGGCGTACTTCGTGTTCGAATACGAAAATACGGTCTCGGTTCATCGACTCCTTGTAGGCTATGCAAACAAACATCATGGTTGGTTGATTGTGATATATCTTGCTGTACTGCTTCTTCTGCTCTCATACACACACCATCTCTCTTCTATCTTCACCACATTCATTTTCGAGATAGTTGTTTTACATCTCGAGTCGTTCTTTGCTTGAGACAGTCTTTCCTTTCAAGACCTCTGTCTCTGCTCGAGTCCTTACACTCTTTTATATCTTCTTCTTGTTGTTGTTCTTTGCTTCTCCCAGTCATTTCTCGACTCTCAACCGCACACAATGGGTCTCTACCACTATGAGCCCAGTCAAGGCCTAGCCGTGATAGCAGCAGGCCTCTTCGGTCTCGGCGCCCTCATCCACCTCTTCCAAATGATCCGCTACAAAACCTGGTTCTTCACCGCCTTCCTCATCGGCGCCATGAGTATGCTCTCTCTTTCCTCTCCTCCACCTTCCAGTTTGTCGTTTCCCTCCGCTAACATCATTCCAGTGATGACACTAGGCTACGCCATGCGCTTCCTCTCCGCCCGCTCCCCAGACAGCGTAATGCTCTACGCCCTCCAATCACTCTTCATAATCCTCCCCCCATCCCTCTACGCGGCAACCCTCTACATGATCTACGGCCGCCTCGTCCTCTTCATAAACCTGCCCCACGCCTCCCTCATCCGGCCCTCCCTCGTCACAAAAATCTTCGTCATCGGCGACCTCTTCTCCTTCTTCACCCAAGCTTCCGCGGGCGGCATGATGGTGCAAGCTTCCATGGCCAAAACGGGCAAAACGATCATGCTGCTAGGACTGGCTCTCCAACTCATCTTTTTCGCCTTCTTCCTCATCGTAGCGGTGACGTTTTGGTTGCGCGTGAAAAAGGCGCTGCGCACTGCTGCTGCTGCCCCCATCCCACAGGTCAATTCTTTACCTTGGCCACGTCTTTTCGTCGCTCTGTTTATCGCGGCGGGGTTGATTATTATACGCTGCGCTTTCCGCGTCGTCGAGTTTCAACAAGATGCTGATGGTGTGTTGCAAGGACATGAATGGTATGCTTACGTTTTCGACGCCGTGCCCATGTTGTTCGTGCAGACGTTGTTTAATATCGTTCATGCTGGACGCGTGTTGCCGAAACATGGACAAGAAGACAGAGAAAACTTGGATGAAGAGTACATCAAGTTGAATCATGTGTGACGGGGTGATGAAGGGTTCGAGAGGTTTTTGGGTGCTTTGTATTTGTCGTATCTGAGGGGTGAGATTGGTGAGGTGGCAGGGGAGGTTGGACAGCAGACACATTCAACTCTTGGATAAATGTTCATGATATTTTTCTCTTTTCTTCTTCTTGTTAATATCAGTGGTTGTGTGTTTTTTTGGTCCAGAGCGGAACTGACTCATCTGTACACATGCCTATAGCTCCAATCACACAGGTGGAACGTAATCGAAGCATAGCAATGGAGCAGCGATTGATTTTGTATAGAGCTTCGTTCAAACAGGCAAACATGACCTGCAGATAGTGAAAAGCACACTCGAAGCATTGGTCGAGAAAGTCAAAAACACAAAAGAACAGAAGAAACGATCAAGTCAAAAACAGAAACAAGTTGGCATGGAAAAATTGCAATACCATAAATTGGAAATAAACGACTTTTCCGTAAGAAAGAAGTATGTACTCGAAGTCTAAAGTATCCAGACACAGAGGTCGAAAGGTGTAACAGTCGCTGCTGGCAAAGAGGCGTATGCAACAAGAATCGAAGAATGGGACCAAAAATAGAAAAACATTAGCCGCCAAAGACTGTGGATGATTTGAAAATCGATGTGATACGCCATGTGTAGAATGAGTTCCCACATTGAAAACGAAGATCCCGTCCCAAATACGCCTTGCCCTAGGAAACGTGAAGAAGGTAGAATTCGAAGAAGGGGCGTGTAACTGCCCAACGCCAGGCTAGAAAGAAACGACATCATAATTGACTGGTTGGCAACACATGTACAAAGCCAATGAGAATTCGTAGGTGTGTGTACAATGTAAAAGGGATCTCTAGCGGTTCATGTCCCAGGCGGGCTTGAGGGCTGCGTTGAGATCGCTTTGTGTGCCAACCATGTCACCGGGCAGACGGCTGACGCGGTAAGCACCGGCGCGGATGGCATTTTGCTGGACGTTGGAGATACCGCTGCGGTTGCTTCGAATACTGCCGGCATCACTTGCGGGGCCTTCGTTGCGGAAACGAGGCGGGGGAGCAAAGTCCAGAGCTGTGAAAGTGGAAGACTTGCGGAGAGCGTGTCTGTGAGAAATCGAGTCAGTAAAGGAAGAACAGTACAGGGGAGTAAGAACGACTTACGCGCTGGGAATCACACTGAGGTCGTCGAAGCTCGTTGCGAGCGGCGTGAAAGCACGAACGGCAGGACTGTAGGGCCTTGCGGGGCTATCTGGTGTACGGCCGGCTTGACGGTCACGGTAAGAAACCGGAGGAGCAAACAGAGTGGGCGTGAAAGTCATATCGTCGGTCAGAGCAGAAGGAGTAGGCAAGTTGTGCAGAGCGATTGGTGGAGGGAGCTGCTTCTTGGGCTGCTGAGGAGGACGACGGAAGGCAGGGTTGGCGATGTGACCTGTTGATCCGAAAGAAGTGTTGCTGCGGACACGGCCACCACCGACGCGGGGAGGAGGAGTCATGGCACGGCGAGCCATGGGCTGGGCGAAAGGAGCTTGAGGAGCCTCGTGCATGTAGGCGCTGTAGTCGGCATAAATGTCGGCCTCGTACTCGTTCTGGTACTGTCCTTGAGGGTTGGGCTTGCTGTCGTCGAAGTATTCCTTGTAGAATGAGCGGATACGATTGGCACGTTGTTCAGGGTTGTCGTCAGGGTGATCCGGGGGAAGAGGACGAAGACCCATGACAGATACACGGCGGGCATCAGGAGCAGCAGCTTGCAGACCATCGTAGCCAGAGTCGTCAACGGGGTAACGAGCAGCAGCAGGCTGTTGTTGGTGGACAGGAGGCGAGGGGGGAGTAACATGAGCAGGTGGTGCAGGAGCACGCTGGTGTTCCGGTGGTGAAGGAGGAGTAACATGGAAAACATCAGGGTTGGGCATAGTGAGCTTTGGAGGGGCCGGCTTAGTACGAGGAGCAGCGGATGCAGCAAATGAGTTGTTGACATGAACTGGCGGAGGAGGAGCAGGGTGCGAGTTTTGTCTAGGAGCAGGGTAGTCGGGCGAGTGGATGCTGTCAGGAGATTGGTCCATGAAGGGGTCAGAACGAGACATGCGCTGGGCGTTGGACAAGAGACCGGCATTGAGGTTTTCGGAGCGTTCGCTGTAGTCGGTGTAAACGGAAGCGTTTCCAGGCTGGGGTCGTGATGATGAGCGGGCAGGCACAGAGTCTGAGCGAGTGCTGGCCATTGTGACAGGGCGGTAAGGATCTTCGCCATCTGTGAGGGAGCGAGACATGGAACGAAGCGATGAGGACGAGCTGTTGACAGCAGCGGGCAGCAGGTAGGGAGTGTTCATGTCGAGCGAGAGACCGCCCTTGTGCATGATGTTCTGTGTCGACTTCTCCATGTCGGTGATGGTCATTTCGGGCACACCCTTGGGACCTCTGCCCTTGGAGGGTACATTATCCAAGCCGAAGTCGAGAGACTTGTACTTGTCGTCACGATCTTCTTGGGCGTGCTTTCGCTTGACGCGTCTATGCAAGAAGAAGAGGACGAGAGCGGCAACGACTACAGGCACTCTGTATTGGACATGTCAGACGGGTACGCAGAAGAGTCAATCATCAATGCTTGACTCACGCTACGGCGACACCAATGATGATGCTAGTTGTGTTTCCGGCAGTCGTCGGCTTCTGACAGGTTCCTGTGTTGTCTCCGGTCTTGCAGGTCGACGTGGCCGACGATTCGGACGAGCGCTGGACCAGTGTTGGTCCATCGATGACTGTGGCATTCGCCAAAGTCAAGATATTTGGCGCATGTTGGTGAGGCACATGCCATCTGTGGTGCGAGTTGAGAGTGATGCCCATTGTGCGTGTTGTTTGCCGGTGTAGTTCGGCTCTTGTGGTTCCAGGAGGTCGCGCGGTTATTGGCAGTAGTACATCCAGAAAGAGTAGTATTATTGGTGATTATTGACGGGCGACTATTACGAGTCCAGGAGCAGTTTAATGAATGACTTGGCGTGTATTTACAAAGAGTGACTGGGGTGAATGGTATGGGTGCAAAAAGAGCGTCAGAGAGTGAACAGCAGACGGCGGACAAACAACATCAAAGAGTCGGTGCAGGTCGAGAAACGAAGAGGAATGGAATGCTCGACATGGGGCGCCTTGGCATCCTCGAGACCACAAGCCCCACAGACAGTCAAGCCAGTCAAGCCAGTCTCCTCAATTCGCCCTAGCCAGGGGTTAATTACCGAGCCAGCCGTTTCGCCTGTCCCCTTCCAATGATCTGCCACTCGCCGTCTCATGTTGGTTGTCCTCGCAAATCAGCCATCTCAACTTTACCGCTCGTGCAGGTCTGGCTCGCGAGGGACAACGACCTCGCAGTATCAACAAAGAGCCGCTCCCGGCTTCTGCCTGCTATCTGCTCGAGTCTGCCATCTGTCGACCATGTGAAAAGACAAAGACTACCAAAGTCAACAACCCCTCGGCCGTCTCACCACCAAACTCTGACCCGTGCTGCCATGCAGGTACGCGCCCGATGAGGGAAAGTCATTGCCTGTTCCTGAGTAGCCTGGTCAGAGCTTCCGCCTCTAAGCTTTTCGCTTGTCCGCAACACTCCCACGCTGCCATTGTTTTGTTGTTGTCCAAGAGGACGGTTTGATGTCACCTCCGCTGCCGAACACCGGTTACATATCCTTCCTCCTCATCACCAAGGAGATTGACGCCTTAACGAGAACCGGCCTGTGGAACGTGCCGCCCATTCTCTCACTCGCGCGACATAGGACATTGATGTGGGTGCCACATTGCGCACGGCAGGCCACCGTCTGTAATCAAAGCCATGCTTCCTTCTGACTCTGAGGGACCACCCGGCTGTCTGTCACCATATGCAGCCAAGCCATTGATCACAATTTCATCTCTTTGCCGCATTCGATATTTGCCCTATGTATTTGATGCTTGCGGTGAATACTATGAAACAACCGTTACAACCAGCAGATCGAGACTGGAGAACAAAGACTCTATTCGACTCGCTTGCCTATCTCTCAAGCAAGCGGGTCACTGCCGTTCAACAAAGTCGAGGACCATCAACACATGGTATGTGCGAAACTGAAAAGAGATCACACCTTGATCCTTTTGGACTACGTCCTCGACACAGCCTCCTTCATGCAATCTCACCTTTTGGGAGCGCAGGGCATGAGGATTTTCTGCACATCGGCCGAAGCACTGCTCATGCCGTTTGCGAGTTTGAGATCCTCATGTGCATCGGTAGTCATCAAAGTAGGGCTCACTCTTTCCAGAAGTGATCAAGAATAACTTTAACAAATCCTCGGTTGCATCAGAGAAGCTGCCTGAGGCCTTGGGTTTCACCTGCTGTGCTTACGTCAATTGGACGGACTGGTTGCACTCATGACGACAATAGATCCGCTCTTATTGTGGAAGTCCAAATCGAGTTTTGATAATTTATATCAATTGTTGTTATGATGGTTGAGTTGTTGAGGTCTACAAATCAATAAATCCGGCATGCCCGGGAGTCACTTCTGAGACCAGCAACTGCATGCCGGCTGCCGGACACACATCGTTCATCGTAGGTCAACTTTCACGATACTTGCCTGATGATGACACATTCAGTGTTAGTATCCTAATAGGCAAAGCAGCTAAGCAGCCATGTCGACCCAATCGATGCCTGCAATGGTTACTTGATGATGAACGTTGATCTAGGTCTGTCGTCACATGCGTGTCCAGATGATGTGAAGACCATTTTCTACACCTGCCTCGGACCACTATAACATCCTTCAAGCCAGAGTGATGTACAATCAACTGTTGTGGCAGAAAAGTCATGACTTTCGTACATTACACGTTAACTCGATATCGTTATTCTAGGTACATTAAATATTTCCAGCCCAATCGCTTCACATATGCACAACCAAAACGCCATGTCCAGGCTTCCCTTAAATACACAGACCATCTGTCGTTCTATGGTACACTTTCGACTCCTTCTTCTATGTTGCGATTTTGTATTTGTGTCCGAAGAATCCGGGCTTGGATCACTTCTCAGCGACACCAGGAGTCTCTGTCTTCCATGCCTTCTTGCTTCCAGTCTTCTTTCCCTTCTTGACGTCTCTTCTGCTGGCACAGCAGCAGCAGAGACTGGTCTGAATCAACCAAGCGATGATCGATGAGCCAGCGGCGATCCACATGAATGCGAACATCTTGGTGCCCAGCTCTCCGCCAATGTTGAGCTCCTCAACAGAAGTGAAGGCGTTCTGCATGATAATGAACATGACAGTTGCGATGACGGTGGCGACGGTGGTGAAGAGAGCGGCCAAGAAGGTAAAGATACCAGTGAAGAGGGTAAGCCAGCGGGAGAAGACGGCCAGAGGGTTCAAGAGCATCATCACGAAAGACAAGCAGGCGCCTGCAAGGAAGAGACCAAACATCCAGTGCGAGACGACTCTGATCAGTCCCAGAATATCAGTAAGGTCTGTGGGCAGTGTGACTAAGAAAGTGTTAGCTTGGGATACACGTAAACTTGGTAGACAAATACTGACTAGTTGCACCAGACAGCAGCTGGTTGAGGATGATCTGCACGGGGTTGAACCAGTACAGAGTCTCGGGACTCGAGCAGTCGGTTACACCTTGTCCATTGTAGCCCTCGCAGAAGCCCCAAAGTCCGACACGGTAGAAATCGTGCAGACCAATAGTCTGGGCAATAGAGTTGATGATAGCGGCGTCGGGAACACTCTCAGGGAAGATGTTGGTCAAGTTGATGTTGATGAAGTAAATGCTGCTCTTGATGCTTCCAGTGCCGGTGCAACCAATCTCTACCAGGATCAAGAAGATGACTGCGAGGAGAAGGAAGAAGGATGAGATCAAAGCCCAGATCATGCGAGTGCGAGTTGCTCTCTTGAGTTGAGCCTTCGTGGGACCGTCGATACCAGGAGTCAGCGTACGGTCCGTCTCCTCTGACGGGACCCTGCCCTCAGGAGATTCGTTGCGGTTCTTGCGACCGAACATGGTGGAGAGTGTTGTGTGGGGGAAGGCGAGAAGGGTTCGAGAAACCAAGTCGGCAGCGGCCTGGTGTGATTAACTATGGAGTCGACGTCTGGGAAATTTCTGGACGATGGAACAGAAACGCCGGAGAGGAAAAGAACGTCTTGACGCAGCCGCACGATGACGAAGGGGCTAAAACGGCCCAGGTTCTGTTGATGTGCTTGGAAGAAGAAGTCCGCGACGCTTTTCCTTGGATCTGGCCAGCGGAAAGCCTTGACGATATTAGTGCGAGCCCAAGCTTACGACATCTGCAATGGCCGCATCAGCATCTCTTGCTATCCCTAATCCTAACGCGTATCTGTACGCTCGTTTTGCCCAAGGTTTGGAGCACGAGCCAGACCGACCCTGACATGATATCATGTAGCCCTCGGATCCCTGCGGAGATCTCAGCCACATCTTGTCCTCGGTCATGCCAAAGTCAACGTCGACTCTGGTTGAACATCGAAAATGTGCTGTTCAACTCGCTTGCAAGCTTGAGGAGTGATGCAACTTCATGATTTGAGTTATATGATCGCTGTGTATGTGCATGGTATATGCGAAACAATTACACAGATCACCTGGTAGATCTGTTGATGTTTTCTCCTTTTATTTTTTGCACGGCCTGGCGTCCGTTTGTCGCGGGTCAAACTGCGGCCCAACAACCAGTAAACTTACGCGGCACTCCCGGATAGCCTCATTAACAAATTGTACAGGGTACATAGCCCATTTTTTTCTCCAGCTACTCCGAACACTCTCCACAGACGTCACACGTTTTCGAGCACACGCCATCGTCTGCCGGCCTTTTTCACCTGCAGGGAGCTAGCGGAAGTTGATTTGTTGTGCTTCATCTTCTCTATCTTCTCCCTTGACGTCCTCCATCGACTGGCAGCACCACACCTCCTATCGTTCCCAAATTTACAGCGCGAAGATGTTGCCTCGCAGTCTCTGGCTCGCGGCCGTACTGGCCCTGGGTGTCAACTCCCAATCCTCCGACAGCACTGCCGCCACCTCGGATGTATCATCGGCATCTTCTGCCTCGAGATCTAGCAGCAGAGCCAGCGCCAGTGGCAGTGGCACTAACAGCCAGTCTGTTGTCACCTTGACTGGTAGTCAGACATCGTCTGCGGTCTTTACCGGAGGCATGTTCTCATACAAGTCTCTTGGTTCTCAAATCACAGCATCTACTCTGTACGCAGACGAGACATCGACTTCATCGTCCAGTTCAAGAACTGGCTCAGCTTCATCTGGTACTGGAAGTACTACCACCACAACTTCGGCCTCGAAAGGTTCCACAAGTCTTGCTACCCTGCTAGTTGGTGGAGGAGGTATCGTGACTCAGAGCATCATCAACGGAACCGTCACTCTGAGCTCGCACTTGAACTCGACCCGCACCTCGTCTGCCAGCGGCACTGGTACAGGCACCAGCAGCAGTGCCCAGCCTACTAACACTACACCTTGCAACAACTACCCCGAGTTCTGCAACCGCAAGTATGGCAACATCACTGAGGTCGTCGCTCACAACGCCGCATTCAACCAGAGAGGAAACCTTGCATCCAACCAGGACCGCTCTGTCACTGTTCAGCTCAACGATGGTATTCGCATGATTCAAGGCGAGACCCACTACGTGAACGGCTCCATTTACAGTTGCCACACAAGCTGCGACCTCCTCAATGCCGGAACTTATCTCAGCGAGCTCAACGAAGTCGCCGCCTGGGTTCGCGACCATCCTTACGATGTCGTGACCCTCCTGATCGTCAACAGCGATTTCATCGAGCCCGGAAACTACAGCAACGTTCTCCAGCAGTCCGACCTGGCTGACTACCTCTATGAGCCTCCATACATTCCTATGCGTCTGGACCAGTGGCCTACCCTTTCTGAGATGATTCTGTCTCAGAAGCGTGTTGTCGCCTTCATGGATTACAATGCAGACCAAACAAAGTACCCCTACCTCCTTGATGAGTTCACTCACATGTGGGAAACTCCCTTCTCGCCCACCGACCGTGCCTTCCCTTGCACCACTCAGCGTCCCCCGGATCTTGACCAGAAGGCCGCCAGAAATGATTTGATGTACCTTGCCAACCACAACCTCAACACAAACGTTGCTCTCTTTGGCCAATCCATCTTGATTCCTAACTCAGCCGAGCTCAACGTCACCAACGCCGCTACAATTGAGTATGGTTCTCTTGGAGCCGCCAACGAGAACTGCACTGGTAAGTCATATTGTCTCTCGAACTGCCGATCGCTTTTACTAACCTCAGCACAGAAACATGGAACCGTCCTCCCACTTGGCTGTTGGTCGACTACTATGATTTCGGTGACGGCTCTGTCTTCGAGGTCGCCGCCAAAGCCAACGGTGTCACTTACAACCGTGCTTGCTGCGGTGCTACTTCCACCTCTGCTGCCGCTAATGTCAAGGGCTCCGCTTTGGCATTGCTTGTGGCTCTCATTGCCGCCCTCGGCATCAGCATGTAATCTCTTAACCTAATGTGTCTTATCTTGTGCATAATAGAAGGAATTTCCAGGGACTAAAAGGGGCGTTTGGCATTGTTGGCGATCAAAGGAGTGGATTTGGTTATTCAAGTAGCACTAGGATTATGCCACACGAGCGACGAATATTAATGATAGTTTGCAATGTTGCCGACCTTTTCCAACTATGATTTGTTTGAAGAAGGATCCTCTCCTTTGAGCAGAATGCGCATGTACACCGTATGCCGTATGCAGGGCCGCGCGGCAGTCTCATGCAGACCTATTAATAGGCTGTACCATGGCGGAGGTGGCTTGGAGCATGCATGCAACGACTGCGCGCTCAGATGAGCATCATCACTATCTTCCAGACACGGAGGATATGAACCGGTAATAGCGGATAGGAGCGCCTCCTATTAGCAGATGGATTACAGCTCCGCAAGGTTTTGTCATGAACCTTGATATTTTGGATTGAGCAGCTCGGCTAAAGTTTGCGGCTGCGACTAGAGTTGCACGAAGCCAAGAGTTGCTGTGCACGTGACTCTGAGCTGCGTCGCGCTCGCCACCCTGACCATCATATCATCTTCAACTCAAGTCCGCGCAACGCATCTCAAAACAAGATTATCAATACTGCAAAATCAAAATCTTCCCTCGCAACAGCTTCCATCTGTCTTATGTCTGAAAATGTGGCTCCTGGTCCGCGTCGCGGCGGTCGTGAAAGAACATCAACACAACGTTACCAAGACCTCCAACAACCCGCTAGCTCCACCACTTCGAAGCGAAAGAGATCAGACGCGTCCAACACCGCCGTGGATGCTCGGCCAAAGAAATCATTGAAATCACAGGATCAAGTTGATGCTGCACCAAGGAATTCAAAATCAGCTGGTAAACGCGTCAACTCCGACAACACGAGAGCGAAGGCGAACGCCAAGACGACCACTAAGTCGCGTCTTGATGGTCCAGCAAAGGATGCAGGAAACTTTGTCGATTTGACTGAAGATGACGACGAGGCTGTCTCGTCGTCGGCCAAGAAACCAAACAGGACCAAATCGCAGAAGGGCGAGGAGAAGCGCCTCAAACCGTGAGTGCAAACGTACTGCCAGTACCCTTTGCACGGCTTACATTCTACAGGGTTCGTAAGCAGGCACCGCAGAAGTATACCACGATCGCATATCGGGCCACGACCCAGCGTATGGTCGTGATTGACAGACGACGCCCGAATAATGAAGACTGCCCGCACGGCAAGCCGCATTGCCCTATGGAAGAAGTCGACCTGGCTGGCAGCACTGGCAACATCTACACCGTCAGGATCACTCACGTTCCAGAGTGTACATGTCCCGACTTCAGAATCAACCGGAATCCTCAGTGTAAACACATCCTCTATGTGCTGCTGAAAGTCCTCAAAGCCCCAGAGCCTTTGCACTACCAGGCAGCGTTTTTGACATCGGAACTGGATGAGATGTTTGATCATGCAGGTCCGCTCCCCACCGAGACAGTCCATGCTGAAGATAAGGATGGCAAGCGTAAGCCCATCGAAGGTGATTGTCCAATCTGCTGCGAGGAGCTCTCTCAAGAGACCGAGGCCATTGTATGGTGTCAAGCTGCTTGTGGAAACAACCTTCACAAGACCTGCTTTGATCAGTGGGCCGCGACAAAAGGTCATGATCAAGTCACTTGCCCATATTGTCGAACTCAGTGGCAGAACGAGGTCGACGGCAGCGCTCTCAAAGGAATGGCTAAAGCTGGTCCTAAGAACAAGGATGGATATGTCAACGTGGCTGCTCAAGTTGGCATGTCCACAAGAAGAGACTACTCTACATACCATGTATGCTCTGCTGCCCTGAACACTGAGGTTTATGCTAATAGCTGTATCTAGGAGTACTGGGTCCGCGGACAGCGACGCGACGGACTGATTGATGATGATGACGACGACTATGATCTTCCAGAATACTGAAAACATCGTCTGCTTACAGACGTTTGATGACCACTACGATTGAGCCGAAATGTTATGGACATGGGACGCTTGCTGCTATGGATTGACACGGTGGCATTTGCTTTGCAGGTTGCAGTCATAAGACGCTTCCACTATCATTACACCCTTGCTGGCTTGTAGCTGCGTATCCAGAACCTCTATTAACACTGGTGAGTTGACTCAGATTCAGAGCATTCTAAGCACATCCTCACCAGCGCATCGCTGTACAACTTCTCGAAGAAAGAAAGCCGACATTAGTATCTTTGGAAGATTGGAGTCCAGCAGACCCACCGTTTATTTTTTCGTCACATTCATGGAGCTGCACGTGGCTTTCGAAACAATACTGCCGAAGTCCTCGTGGCTCTTGAAGGTACCGACATACTCTCCAACCCCGCTTGTTGTCACACCGAGGTCTTTCGACAATATTTTCCATGCTTGAGGATTGATTACTCTTCTCTGGACCGACATTCGTGTTATGATGCCTGATTAGATGCTAGTCTGACTGCCCCTGCAAAGTCGCAAACTCCGGACGTGATTTTGTGCCGAGGCTCGTTATAACTTCAGAGCCAAAGTTGCGGGGTCTGGTATGCCAGTTGCTCGCAAGAACCGGAGTACTTCTCTGTTTTGGAGAGATCTACATGGGTTTGGCTTTGATGTCCCCCGCCTCTCTGATCTTGCTCTACCGTCTGCCTTGGCATCGTTTGACCCAGACATCATTAGACCACCGACTTAGGACTAGGTCTCAAATTAAGGTTAAGTATAAACCATCACGACTTGACAGGACGGACCGCCGCCTCTGTACGTCTGTGGCCCTTTGATGCCCACTGCTTGCGCCCACTCGTTCACCGTTGTGAGCTTGACCGCGTGATGCTTTACACTTGCATCCAACCTCGGTGTGGACGGCTATGCTTTGATGGATATACCATCTTACGGCCGTTCAACTGTTTGGACCCGCTGTAGACATTTGGAATGCGGATATAGGCCAAGCAAGAAGAAACATAAGTAACTCTGTGTTGCACGTCTTTCAAGGTACATATCATCCTCCAATAAATTATCATGCGGTCTGTTCTCCTTACTCTTACGGCTGTTACTGCTGCTCTGGCAGCACCTCTCGATGAGAAACGTGCCATTGGTCCTTCTGCAGTCGTCAAGAACGGAACAGTCGTTGGCAGCACTCTGGGGAATGTCGATTCCTTCAAGGGCATTCCATTTGCCCTTCCTCCTACTGGTAGTCTTCGATTGAAACCCCCTCAATCAATTACCGCAGCCTATCCCTCAGGAACGTTTGCAGCCACTGGCGTACCTAAAGCATGCCCTCAGTTCTTCAGCCAGGTCGACAGCTCCGATATCCCTTCTGACGTTCTCGGGGAGCTTCTTATGTCACCTTTGCTACAGGTGGCTACCAATACCGGCGAGGATTGCCTGACTCTCAACGTGCAACGTCCTGCTGGCACTACATCATCCAGCAAACTGCCAGTAGTCTTCTGGATCTTTGGCGGTGGTAAGTGCGAGAAACACTGTATAAAAATGCCCGAATATTTATCACGCTACAGGTTTTGAAGTGGGATCCACACAGATGTACGACGGAACTCCTCTCGTCTCCGAATCTGCCACCCTTGGCCACCCTGTCATTTACGTCGCCGTCAACTACCGCGTAGGAGGCTTCGGCTGGCTTGCTGGAAAGGAGCTACAAGCTGATGGATCCACCAACCTCGGACTCAGAGATCAAAGAAAAGGCCTCGAGTGGGTGGCTGAAAACATTGCTGCGTTTGGTGGTGATCCGGACAAGGTCACAATCTGGGGCGAATCAGCGTAAGTTTTGTCTAGTAGAAGACTCCTGAGCATTTCTGATATGAAAGTAGTGGCGCCATCTCAGTCTACGACCAGATGATCATCAATGGTGGCGACAACACGTACAACGGCAAGGCTCTATTCCGTGGAGCTATCATGAACTCGGGATCTATCGTGCCAGCTGTCGAAGTTTCACACCCAAAGGCTCAGGCAGTGTACGACGTCGTAGTTAACGCAGCTGGCTGCTCTGGTAGCAGCGATACACTTGAATGCCTGAGGACTATCGACTACGAAACATTCATGAGAGCTGCCGACTCAGTCCCTGGGCTGTTCAGCTACCAAAGCATAGCATTGGCATACCTTCCTCGCCCGGACCCCTCAAGCTCCTTCTTCCCAGTTTCTCCCGAGGTCGCGAACCAGAACGGCAATTATGCCAAGGTGCCCATGATCGCTGGAGACCAAGAAGACGAAGGTCCTCTCTTCAGTCTGGTCCAGAGCAACATCACAACGGATGCGCAATTGCTCGACTACGTTGCAAGCGCCTTCCCCGATACACCGAGATCGGTTGTCGCTGCTAATGTGGCCACTTATCCCAACGATCCCAGTGCTGGCTCGCCTTTCAGAACTGGTATCTTCAACAACATCTACCCACAATACAAACGTCTGGCCGCCCTATTCGGAGATGCTGTCTTCAATCTTCGTCGTCGTCAACTTCTCTACACTGCCTCATCTGTCGTCCCTATGTGGAGTTACCTCGACAGCCATCTCTACGGCACTGCAGTCTTGGGAACCTTCCACGGTAGTGATTTGCTCGCCATCTTCTTCGGTACTGGTGGTGTTACCACTCAGAAGACCTACCTCGACTACTACACCTCCTTCATCAACTATCTCGACCCGAATGCTATTGGTAGTGGTGCTCCTTTGATCTCTTGGCCTCAGTACAACACTACGAAGCCTACGCTGCTGCAGTTGCAGGCGGTTGGTAACAATCTTTTGCCTGATACCTACCGCAGTGCTAGTTTCCAGGCTTTGCAGGCGAATGTTGGTTCTTTCCGTACGTAGTGGAGATCCTCATGTATGTAGTGGTCTCCTGAATATATGTTCAATGCTCACGAGCAAAACTTCATCTTCAAAGCCAATTCTTGTTTACCCATATCATCAACAGCACTCGTCCATTGGTTATGAATAGCTGGAGAGGTTCAGCGGATAACGTGCACTTGGTCTCGCCATCTATAGAGTATCGCTGTAGGTCAGACACACTGCAAGCGGGCCACCGATGCATACGGCATGAGCAAAAGGACTGGGAGCAAAAGACTGTCGCAGCCGTGAATCGAACACGGGGCTCGTGCATGGCAAGCACGAATTTTACCACTAAACCACTGCGACTGTTGGATGTGAGAGTGGTTTTCCTGTCAGTATAGATAGTTCTGTTCATTGAATACAGGGTCGCGACAACCACCACATCGAATTTAGCCCGGCCAGATGCACTACTCATCCCAAAAACATGCTGTAGATTGATCAATTCGCTTGGTTAAAGGCCCTCAGGACCTGTTGGCTAGGCTGGAGGCTTTTGTGTGGCCGCTAATGGAATATTTCTGTCAAATCTCTGATAGACCGGTGCACGGGCCATTGCATGCTTGGGCCGGATATATCAGGTGTTAAATCGTCGACAGGTCCCGAATGAAGACGGTTAGGAAGTGTCAGAAGTGAGAGAAGGAGATGGCCGGCAGATTGGAGAGCAACGATCTCGACGTATTGTCGTTTCCCATAAATCAAGACAGGGAAGGGCGAAGAACGGAGTGCTAATTAAAGAACACTTTCTTCGTGGACCGTGTCACTTCCCCATCTTCTCCTCTTGTTCAGCCGCGGCATCGGACTAACAACAGGAATTACCAAGTTGTAGATGCTGGCCACCGGAAGTCCTGACCCGGACCAGATGCTCTAGGAGCTTCTCAAAGTCGTGTCTGGCAGGAAATGAGGGGTCATGCCACCTCTGTGTAAGCAAGAAATAGTATGGTATGGCTTTAGAGCCGCAGCCAAGCTCGTGTCTGGGCAACGGCATCTGGAAGAGCTATCCAGTCGCGTCCAATAAGAAGTCAGCAAATAGAAGATGGCGTAGATCTGGATATCATGACCGGCCCCAGATTCAGGATAGCTTCATGTTACACGCACCTTCCCGCCGCCACTGCAAGAGAGATGGCCGGGAAACAAGATGGTTTGCGCGCACGAGTGAGCACAATTGCGGCACAGAGATGGGTAGGTCGTGTTTCTATATAGGTGATCCCACCGCTTGTGAGGTCCTTTACGTTTCCTCGATCCCTCTTCACTCTGCGCTCTTCCATTCGTGCTCGGATCCTTGACTTGGACCTCAAACTCTTTGTTCATACCAGTAATCTTAATACACCTGATCAAGCACAACATCATGCGTACTTCCAGCATCACCATGGCCTTCGCTGCTGTCGGCCTTGCTGCCGCTCAAAGCAGTACCACTTCCGCTGTCGCCTCGACCACCTCTGTATGCGCTGCTCAGAGGTAAAGAAGACTTGATGAATTGCTTCACTGTTTGTACACAGAGACTGACACATGATCATCTACAGCGTCCTCAACGTCTGCGTTTCTCAACAGCAGGCAAGCACCTCGCAATGCGCCGGCAACGACTACGACTGCCTTTGCACCGGCTACACCAACCTCTCCGTCTGCTACAACAACTGCCCCAACGACCCTGGCGCCTACAACGCCTCGCAGTTCAAGACCCAGTACTGCAACGCTGCTAGCGTGTGAGTAAATCACATATCCATAACCTCGGAGCACTGTTTGCTGATTGAAGTGATAGTTACGGATCTTCTGCCCTACAGTCCCAATCAGCAGCCACGGCTTCATCCTCGGGAGCATCTTCGTCTGCTTCCTCCAGGGCTTCTTCGACCGCCGCGTCCGTCTCTTCGGCACTCTCGTCTGCTTCTTCAGCAGCCTCTCGTAGCGCATCTGCTGCTAGCTCCACTGTCGCTACTCAGACTGGTGCCGCTGCCGCCAATGTGGCCATGCCTGCTGCTGGCGTTCTCGGAATGGTTGTCGGAGCTGCTGCATTCCTGTAAAGCGATGACGAGATATTCGAGTTGACGATGCTTCCGATTGATGGTTATGGGCTTTCACTTCTCGCTTTTTCGCTTTACCTGGCTGTGTTGTACAGCGATGTATCCTTTGCAATTACGTAGCGCGGAGTAACGTGTGTTTCAATTTGCTCTTCTGCCATGAATCGATCTTATATCCCCTCATCTTCCATGTCTGTGACGATTATCGTGTGTAACTTGTGGTCAGCTTTTGTCTCACTTCGACTGGATAAGGCCAACGGTCCTTGACGACGATCAATGCTGTATAGGTGATCTGTTTAGAGCCTTGTCATGCTCATCCTCAGATATAAGATTGTAAGTAGAATAAGATTCATTACGGATAGTGTTGTATGACCAGCGATGCCGTCTTCCGAGAAAGGATGACCAGTCTGTAGTACAAGCGTGCTTATTGATGTCTCGGTCGTAGAATTTGCTTGTTAATCGGCGAGAAGTACCAATTAGTTTCCGGAGAACTGGATGGCGTACAGGCTGTCGTATAGCGGAGGATTTTCGTCGGCCAGCATGAAAACCTTTCCACTGGTTGCTGGGCTCCTGACACAATGTGATTGATTTGGTCTCGAGACATGTGTTGTTTAATTGCCAGGAGACCGTGGGAGAAGACTGTGCCAGCTTATCATGATGAAGTATTACCCAAAGGCGTTTGGGTTGACGAGTAATCTATCGCCAAAGATAGCCGCGCAGAGCTCAGATGTCGCACTCCTACTCGTACGGAGTACAGTGCTGCTGTACGAGGAGTCCGCCCGTCGAGAGGCAGCTGTTTGAATCACTCTCACGAGACATGCTTCTCGTTGTAGCAGGCATGTCTGTCGTATTGACGTTTCCAACGAGAGCGAAAGAACCGGACGGGGTTGTGAAAACAGCGTCATTGGCACAAAATCAGGGATCTGATCGTCGCGCCCATCTTAATCAATGTCGTTGCTCGTGCAGCCTGTCAAAAACCAGGGCAGCTTCATCAAAACCCTCATCATTGATTTAGGTTTTCACGTGGGTCGGCTCCTTTGGCTTGCCCCATCTTCATCCCAAATCTCGACACCCACTTCTCGGTAAGTAGGGGTAAGTGATGGCGTGCACAGGACGTCTCTCGCGTGGAAAAGGAACCATTGACCCACTCCAATTGTCGTACCATTGTATATGACCCACGTTCGCGCAGTGGATGGGTGCTAGGAACGATGAGGGGGTACCTCTGTTAAGGATGCGTCGCCAACTCTCCGGGTGACCGGAAATGGACGTCCTGGCCGATTGCAATAATCTGGTCTTTGCAGACGCGCCAAAAGAATGTCGCAACTCCTTGCTGCTCGCCTGACTCAACATGCTGGTGTGCGTTATTGCCGTCGAGAAACTCGAGAATCCTTCACCAACCATCCCGCAACCGTACGTCCTCTCCGTGTGTAAAATTTGTCACTTCGACTCTCACACCGTGGAAACACGCATCGTTCTACCCATCGAAATGCACAATGATTTCGAGATAGAGCACGTGGTCCACAGAGAGCAACTACCCGTTTAACGCCCTCTCTTTGGACCTAGCCCTACTTTCGAAAATTATCGTGCATTTGAACAGCAGTCTCAGTGACAAACTTTAGCACACGCGGAGGGTGGTTATTCAGCGCGGAGCTGAAAAGTTAATCGCGTCGAGTTGCAACCGGAAACGTGACTGATAGGCGGGATAGCTTCAAGAAGTAGACCCGTCTTGCGACAAAGGTACGAAATACTCTCGACTGTTTGCTTGTTAGAAGAGATGAGTGGTTCTACGAAGGATGTCGGCAAGTCGTCTTATTCCCTAAGAACAGTTTGGCTGGTGCCTGTGCATGTACGAATGGACACGCGTGGTCAGCCACAGACAAGACTGCCAAATACTTGATGGCCGTTATTGTTCCAGAGCGGGCAAAGCCGTCACCGTCCCTTGTCTTTCATCCACGTTGTGCCGTTGGGGTCACAAACAGCGGATATAAAATGTTGATCTGTAGAATGGTGAAGACGCGTAGATCACTGCAGTGTAAAAGTTGCTTGCAGACGTGTACCCAAGCAGGCGAGGTGTCGATGCGAGGTTACAGCGTTGACAGCGCGGATATTTCAACCAGTTGCCCGAAAGAATTGATGGCACCGCGGGGTCGGTCGCGATGAAGGGTCAAAGCTCGCTTAACAACGCCATGGGATTGGTAGAGGATCTGCCATCAAGACGTCAACGGCGGACATGCTTCTTGGCTTCGCTCTTTTCGCGAGGAAGGAGCGATGCGGTCAAGACTCGGAAGGAGCTTCTACGGAATAATATCCGCATGGTCAGCAGAGAAAGGATCGAAATAATCAGTCGCCAGTCGCCAGTAGGCTGTCAACGCGTGACGGGCACAGGATTGAAGGTGGCCTTCACCGCAAAAGCGATGGGTGTTTTTGGGTGGCTTTGGTGGCCCATATGCACGTCAAAAGTCTCGCAAGCGCGCTAAGAAAGCCGTGCCCGCCAGCCGGCTCAGTCTCCACATCTCAAAATCTAATTGTCTGGGGAGGTGGCAGCGCTCGGAAGGAAAGGGCGGGTGACGAGGAGAGTCAGGACAAGGAGATCAGGCCTCGTTCTTCTCTCCTTTGCCTTTTCTCTAAATCCGCCTCCGCGCCTTGACTCTTAACCCTCGATCAAATACACGTGTCGCCCCGCTCTCCCGCCTGCACTCGAGCCTCTCAATCTTGTCAACTGCTGGACTCGACTGCTGCTGCTCTCTACCGACGACTCGTGGGGAAGGAAAGGGCTGTCGCAAGAGAAGGCTTCGTCATCAAGACATTCACAACTCCCACACACGCTCTCCGGGCCACACCTACTATCACGGACTCGACAGTCATCGTACACGCCGCCCCTCGTTCTGGAGAATGGGTTGATTCATTATCGTACCGCTCGCCTCTCGCAAACTCGTCTCTCGACATGTCGGATCAAGACCAGAACCAAGGCATGACCATAAGTGGCGGTGGCTACGATTCGCGCAGCAGCGCCGTCTTCGCCGTCACCGTGGCCATGATCACCTGCTCCACCGTTTTTGTTTTTGCCCGCATGGTCTCTCGTGCTGGAGTCGTCAAAAAAGTCCTTCTGGATGATTATTTTATGCTTGTCGCTTGGGTGAGTTTGCAACGAGGTACTGATCTGCCAAGCCATGTCGCTGACTAGGTCTGTCAAAGTTACTCGCCTTTGGCTTGTCGTTCTCTATCTGCTTCGGCACCTTCGTCGGACTTGGTCGTCATGAAGACGATGTGCTCAGCTCATGGCAAGGCTCCTTGAGGAGATCGCAGTACGCTTTTAGCGTGTTATATGTACGTTCATTGGTATCCTCTCGAGAAGTCAAGCTTATTGTTCTAGAATCCTGCATTGATGGCTGAAAAGACATCCATCCTTGTCTTTTACCTCAGTCTGTCAAAAACCAACAGGACATTCCGATGGGCCACTATTGCGACCTTGTTCGTTGTCAATGCTGCCGGAATCGCCTTGACCCTCGTCACCTTGTTCCAATGCAGCCCTGTTGGAGCCGCTTTCAGATATCCAGTGCCAGCCGTCCACCACTGCACTGATATCATCACCATTTACCTCTCTTCCGCGCCTGTCAACATCATCACTGATCTCGCCATCTTATTCCTGCCTATGCCCATCCTCACTTCGATGCGATTGCCTAAGAAGCAGAAGACCATCCTCGTCATCACTTTTGGTTTTGGTCTATTCGTGGCCATTGTCGACATTGTCCGAATCGCTTATTTGCAATCTGCTTCGACTTATCGACTGAACCAAATTCTCCATTTCCAAAAGGACAGCAGTACGGGACGCGATGCAGATGTCACTGATTTTTCATGGTATGCTTCATATTCATTTATGTGGTCTGCTATTGAGGTCAACGTTGGAATCATGTGTGCATGTGTCCCTGCTCTGAAGCCTCTAATATCTCGATTCATGCCACATCTTCTGCGCGACGAAGGCGATGTCACCGAGAAACATTCTTCAGTCGATCGTATGCCCACCTTCGAGATGGCTGTCGCCCAAAGAATCCCATCAATGCCAGACCCAGCCTATCTCACCACACAGCCGTCTCGCGAGCCTGCCGAGGAGGGCGACATGGGCATGATGGATTTTCTGACCACTCCCGATATGGGAAACAACACGCTGGAGCGATCACAAACCATGTTGACCAACTCCACAAGGAACACCCGCGCAGAAACACCCACTTTCTTTGACTTCGTGAACATGAAGAACCGCAAGAGCTTCGTCCACATGACTGCAAGAGAATCGCTATTCCCAGTCATCATGGTCACCGTTCTCTTCTTCATTTGGGGCTTTGAGTATGGTCTTCTTGACGTCCTCAACAGGCAATTCCAGGAGGTCTCTCACATGTCCCCGGCACAGTCTGTGAGTATCCACAGTGCTTACTTTGCTGGCTACTTCTTTGGACCCCTTACCTTTGGTCGACTTGCTCTCAAGCACTATGGATTTAAAGCATGTTATATCATTGGTCTCAGCATATATGCTTGCGGTATTCTGGTTTTCTGGCCCGCCGCTGTTCTGACATCTTTCCCGGCATTTATCATCGTCAACTTCATTGTCGGTTTGGGATTGTCTACACTGGAAATCTCGGCGAATCCGTTTATCGCTCTTTGCGGTCCGATGGAGTATGTCGAAGTTCGCTTGAATCTCAGTCAAGGATTTCAGGCGATTGGAACTGTCGTCGCACCTCTCATTGCTCAAAAAGCTTTGTTCGGCCAATCCAACGATGCCCCCTCGCTGATCAAAACCCAATATGCGTATTTAGGAATTTCATTATTTACTGTCGCTCTTGCAGTCGCGTTCTTCTATGTCCCGCTGCCGGAAGCTACCGACCAAGAGCTCGAAGATGCTTGCGAGCGCATGGACAACGCCAATTATGCTTCAGTCGGTGGAGTCCGAGTCATCTGGTACACTCTAGCTTTAGGTGCCTTCGCAATGTTCTGCTACGTTGGTGCACAAGAGGTCCTGGCTACAACCTTTGATTCCTACCTCGCCATAGTCGCCCCGACCTTCAACGAGACCAATTACATGGCTATAGGGCACACTTTGTTCGCCGTATCCCGATTTGTTGCTGCAGGAGCAGGACTAATCATCAAGCCTCGACTTCTGCTTGTTTTCTTCCTTACAGGCACTATTGTCTTCTCCGCTTTGGCCATGAATTTCACCGGGTCAACTGCTACAGCAATGGCGCTCATGGTCTTCTTCTTCGAAGGCCCACTTTTCGCCCTTCTGTTTGCTCAAAGCATCCGAGGCATGGGCAAATACACGAAAGATGGCAGTGTTGTCCTTATTGCAGCTGTCTGTGGAGGTGGTGTCTTCCCGGGCTTCTCCTATGTGGCCAGCAAGGCACAAAACTCGCAATACGCCTTGTGTGTGTCCGTTGCAGGCTTCACAGGCGCCACCTTATTACCCTTTTTCCTCAACTTCAATCCACTCGCTCGTACTCTCTGCGATCCCCTCAAAGATCCTAGCGAGGTCACCGAGGAAGATTTGCCAGGCAGCTCAACGAGCAGCGTTGCCAGTCGAGCTCTCAGCTTTTTTAGCATTCGCAGAAAGAGTGCAGGCGAGATGAAGACCGAATGGCGCGAACGTCAAGCTTCGGCCGACAGTACTGCATCGCCTGGCACCTACCCATTATGAACAACCATCTACCATCACGACAATCTATCACGACCGTTTTTTTGTTTCGCCTTTTTTCAGTTTACGACTAAGATACCCACGTTGGAACGACGGGCTGGAAGTATGTTATTAGTTGCTATTTAGCATCGGCGTTTATTGGAGTCGTTGTAGGAATCTAGCTGCTTTCACTGGGCGAGACCTAGCGTTAAGCTGCTGCGATTGAAATAGTGTACATAGAACGAACAGATTCTGTAAATAATCCAAGCGATAAACCTACAAGCTACCTAGTTTGATTTTTCAACTTCTCTCTTTCGACGGACATAAGAAGCGACTATTTGAAAACTCCAGACATCATGTACATGTCATACAGTAGTCATTGGCCAATAGTTCCATTCGTCAATGACAAATGTGGTGCGGAGCAGTTGAAGGAGCAAGCGGGCATTCGGAGCTGTTCTAGCCTATCTCCGGACCCTTACGTCAGAGTCCACGGCAGTTCGAAGAGGTGAAGGTGGATATATAAACATAGTTACAACATCAACTAGCTATCGTTGTTTCAAGTGAATCATCAAAAGAAACAATTCAACAATATGCAGCAAGTCGTCAATACCGTCAAGTCCGCCATTGGCGCTACCAAACTGCCAACGGGCCAGTTGGGAAAGAATGGTCCTTATGTCACCAGAATGGGTTATGGAGCCATGGGATTGTCAGCATTCTATGGCAAACCTAAGCCCGATGAGGAGCGCTTTGCCGTACTGGATAAATTGTACGAGCAGGGAGAGCTTTTCTGGGACACAGCAGGTGATTGAGCTCGAACTTGCTGATGCTGTACATACCAGCTAACCACGAATAGACATGTACATGGACAATGAGGATCTGATCGGTATGCTGCTGAAAGATCTTGCATCGATGACAATCTTAGACAACTAACACGGATTAAATAGGAAACTGGTTCAAGGCCAACCCTGGCAAGCGCGAGCAGATCTTCCTGGCCACAAAGTTCGCCAACCTTCGTGACGAGCAGGGCAACCCCATTGTTGACTCAAGCCCTGAGTACGCTAAGAAGGCATGCGACAAGTCGCTGTCACGCCTTGGAGTCAACAGCATTGATCTGTATTACGCTCATCGTCTCGATGGAAAGACCCCTGTGGAAAAGACTGTCCAGGCCATGAAGGAACTCAAGGAGGCCGGCAAGATCAAGTACCTCGGTCTGTCAGAGGTCAGCAGCGAGAGTTTGAGACGTGCCTACGCCGTACACCCCATCACAGCAGTCCAAATCGAGTACTCGCCCTTCTCTCTTGACATCGAGAGCGAGCAGATTGGTCTGCTCAAGACATGTCGCGAACTCGGCGTCGCTGTCGTTGCATACTCTCCCATTGGTCGCGGTATGCTCGGAGGCACCATCAGATCTCCAGACGACTTCGAGGAGGGAGACTTCCGCCGTTTCGCACCTCGCTTCAGCGCTGAGAACTTCCCTAAGAACCTCAAACTCGTCGACCAGATCACCGAGATCGCCAAGAAGAAGGGTCTCACTGCCTCTCAGATCACCCTTGCCTGGTTGATGGCCCAGGGCGACGACATCTTCCCTATTCCAGGAACCACCAACCTCAGTCGTGTTGACGAGAACTTGGGCGCCCTGAAGGTCAAGCTTACTGATGAGGAGACGAACGAGATCAGAAAGGCTTGCGAGGCCGCGGAGGTCGCTGGTTCGAGATACCCCGAGGCTTTCTCCAAGGCCTTGTTTGCAGACACCCCTGCCCTTTGAGCTTCGAAGCTGATAACCTGATGGACCTTGTTACGTAGCAGTCGTTTGACGAACGCTTAATGATCAAATCACTTACGACACTGAACATGTATCGAGGCTAGACATTGACCTTTCTCACGTAATACTTCGTCGCCGATATCAAAATGCCGTACAGGCTTACGAAAGTACTTCTACGAGACATCTTGACTGACGAAGCTCATCCGGACTTGCATACCAAGAGCAAGCAAAAGCGGTCGTCTGCACCTGGCCTCGAGGTTATGAGATCAACTTTGGGGTAACGCATCCCGAATATAGGCGGTTCTTATGGACTGCGTGGTGCCTGAAGTCACTAGAGACATCGTGGACGATACGAAGTCACGGACAAGTAAAAGTGCAACCTCGAGCAGCCCAGATCTTCCGTGTGCACAGCATGTGGATCTGTTGTGTTCACGCAGACGTACCTCCACGTCATTCAAGCTCGCAAGTCTTATCCACCTCTCGGGCATGAAAGGAAGTCTATGATGAAGATGAGGTAAGAAAGCATGGACAAAGCCCACCCGCGATGATTTTCTCCATGTCGAACGGGAGTCAAGTACCAACAGACAGGACATCTCCTCTCCAAGGTCTTGTATGTAGGACAGATGGCTTGGTGAATCTCTCGACAGAGTCCGGAGGCGTACCTGTTGTGCATTCAGAGGCTTGACAATCGTCAAGTACGAGGCCGAAGCGATGACAATACCTGGGCGCCGAGGCAAGCCTGTGACACGAACATGGCTATCTGTTAGAAGTGCCGAGTGTACCGAGTACGCCCCAAGCATGACCGAGGGCAAGGGAGCATCTTACATCCGTTCAGGAGTTATGGACTTGTGCCGATGCGAGCTCGTCAACAGTTCGGTACTGTAGCCAAGCGACAACGCCTTACGGCTCAGAAAAGTTCGGTGCATGCGATTGATCCGGCGAGTAGTCTGCCATAGTTGTAGCTGCGGACGTGTATGGTACCACGTGTCTGGTCGACAGATAACATGGCTGATAGCGCGTGGCATTGAAGCACAGCATAACGGGCCCCTGCGAGCAAACGATACTTGCAGCTCGAGGTGGAGAAGCAAGAAGGAGAAATTCTTGGTACATGGTTCTCAGACGTCGAACTGACAATGAATATCATGTAGGCTATGGATTATGGGCTGCACGTGGCAATGCAGCCACCGACCGCTTCATGCGCCCAGATGCATCCACTTCACGCAGGTGCTTGTTTCCGGCTGATCGACCGGATATGTGATACATGAGAATAGAGTCCTTGCATTGAGCTAGGGCAACTATGTGCTTCAAGTTTGCAGTAGTTTTCTAGGAGCGATTGCGTTGGAAAAGAAACAATGCGCGCAACACAACGGAAGATGACTTCTGCGTTGCATCGGTATAAGCATGATACATGAAATGGAGATTCCTAAGGTCTTGCATTCTCGTCTTGTTGTGACACCCCAAGATTTAGGCATGTTCTCTCTTGCCATTGTCTGCATGCGTTCTGTGCTGCGACTGACTGTAAATGGGGTAAGAATATTTAACATGTCATTATGTATGCGTAAATACGTGGCGTTGATATGTCCGAACAATCCTTGCGCGCAAACCCAGAACTCCTTCAAGCAAGTCTTCAGTTTTGGGTGACGGCTACAGTAACTTCACGCCGGACAATCAGTTCCTGCGATCCGCCTGACGCACGATGGGCTTCATTGTTGGTCTGCTTGCCCGCTCCACGGCAGACCGTCCTCGTACGGCCCAAAAACTGCGGAGTGAATGATTCATTTCGCGATCTACTTCTTGAGGTGTCACCGGAGCTGTTGGACCGGCTGTTGCGAGATCCATAGATTATGCTGCCGAAAGCTGTGCCGCCTGTTGTAAAGCTACGCATGAAAGCTTGAACGAAAGGTAGGGTTGCTGATAAGAGGCTGTAGCAGATCGACGCTTGCTGCCAGACGATGACCTTCGAAAAGTGGTGTGATCGATCGTCGGAGCGTACTGCTTTGCTGTAGACCTTCATATATAGTATAGACAAGGCGATCATACTTCAGGTCCAGATCAGCATTGGTTAAATCCGTGACGATGAGTATTTCACATACGGCATTCGATACGCAAAGGCTGAGACAACAAGCATTTTCTTGCTGGTTTTGATTCGAAGATGGCTCACGAGGTAAATAGGCAAGCCCATCACAGCAGCTTCAATGCAGATTGTGATTGCAAAGATGGCTCTCCACCGATATATCTACGCCAGGTCAGCGAATTGTAACAAAAACCTAATTAAAAACCTACGTCATTAGGACATGTGTGTTCCTGTCCTTCGAGTATATGTGTTGATGGACAATTGGACTTGACAGCGGCGACTGCGAGGACGAGCCATGCTGAGATGACACCGAGCAAAATGTAGGATCCGATCTTGTGTTTGGTATTGGTCGAGAATATTCTTCTCATCAGTAGAGTCAGGGATAGGTTTGTTAACCCCATCGTGAGGAGATAAAATGTTTGGCTGGCGACGACTGCCTGTATCTCGATTGTCAGGAATCTGGTCTGATAAAGGGACGTTCAGAATACTTACCCGAGCCATACTATTGAGGTGCTCATGTCCGACTATCGCCTCCGGCTCACCAAGGCCATTGTTGAGTGCCACTATCAAGGATGCCCATTGCGCGAGAGCTGTGACCTATCGCTGCGTCAACTATTTGTTCTCGACATATATCATGTTGTTCGTGGATATAATGGAGCCGACTGGACACTTCGAGTGACAAAGTCAAATTGCATAGATGAGAAGAACCACAACGGCTAGATGCCAGAAAACGGAAGACTTACATGTGCGATGGTAATGGCGATATCATCTATTCCATAGTAGCCAACTCTTGCATAAATTCGAAGAAACCAGGTAAAGCATGAATAGCTCAAAGATATCAAGACTGCAATCCAAAGGTGGGCTGGAGGTCCCTGTGCGAACCGCGCCATAATTGATAGACGTCTGGCGATAGAGGTTGCGCCCTAATTGAGGTATTGGCAACCAAAACCAAGCCTTCCGACTACTCTTAGCGAAATTGAAAAAGCAAAGGCCGAGAAAGGGGGACGCCCTAGCCTACGACAATGTCTGGACCATATATGACACGGTCTTTTGGGGGGTGTCAGGCGAGGGCTGAGGATGGATGAACAAGCGGCTGTTTGTGCAACTCAAGATTATGCGCTCACCCTGCAAGGTGAGTAGCGAAACATGCCGAGTATTACAGGCGTTTATCATGGGAAAGAGGACAGCCAACGACACAGACTTGGGTCCAATCCACGATGCGGTGGGAGATTGGTGGAGGCGAACCATGGCCTCTTCTCAGCAGCGGTCAATGGGTCGGACAGACTGTCAGCAGGAGATGAGATTATGCAAGTCATGACGAACTACTTGAGTGAGCACGAGAAAGTTGTGCTTTATACTGTATTGAACGGCATCGGCACTGCTTTACTTCCGGTTAGCCTCGACCATTGCATAGTCGCGATCTTGTCAAATCTGAGCGCCTAGACATTGAGATTCCTCGTAAGTGATCTTGAATGAGAGGAAACGACATCCCGGTTTGTGTCCTGCAGAGTTGCGAGTGGGAAGCTGTTGTGTACCCTCGGAAGACGTCGCCCATGGCTTGGCGTTGTCAAATCTGCAACCCTCAGTGCAAGCCCTGCAACCGAAATGGTTCACTGAAGCAGGAGCATCTGCAAGGTGTTTGCAGAGCCACCAACGCAGACTACCAGCCCAGTCAAACATTGCCGCTGTCAATCCCATATTGACCTTGGTCTGGCGCGTTGATCGAAGCCACATTGGCGCAAAATTCCTTGCTTTCTCTGCTTGCTCACAAGCAGAGGAAAGCCATAGAGACCAGGTCAGGTATAGCAAAGTGATTGTCCGAGAGTGCATCGGCTTTGAACAATAAGGCGACACCATGGCGTGAGAACAGTCAGTTTTACCTCTTCCCAGCAATGTGCAACATCCGTTTCTGCTGAGGATGGTGCGAGGTGACCTCTAGCCCCCGTCCTTCGTAGCACCATGACTCCATGGTTTGGTGGGATGCAAGGTGGGTAGTTGCAGCAACCCTTGCGCCGTCTATCAAGGTGCGATTTTGCTAGATTCACTCGGCGCAGATTTGCCGTCCGTTAGCTCCTTCCCTTAACAGTTGCCGCCCAAACACAGACTGTGAGGAATCGTCTCTCCGAGGGAGTTGACTTATTTATCCTTGCATGCGTCCTGTCTTCTTCCGAGTACAAACTCGGTGTGTAACTCCAACCAGACGTTTGTCCAATACTTCGTTTTCTTTGGCCGACTGCTCGCGCGAACCTCTCCTCTCCACCGACATGTCCTCCACCGCCATTGAGATGGATAGTATCAAGCACTCTTCGTCTGTCCAGACCGCCAGTTCGTTCGAGCACCAAATCGAGGATGCCGAAGATGCAGCAACTATTGAGGCAACCAAGGGCGGCACCAAGGACGATGATTATGACATGCGTCGTATGGGAAAGCTTCAAGAGCTCAGAGTCAGTGTTGAACTCTTGAAACACCATATACTGCACCATACTCACCGAAAACCAGCGTAACTTCCGTTTTGTCTCCATCTGGGGCTTCAGTCTGTTGTTGGGCAATGCTTGGGTGGTCGCTCTGATGTTTGTGATGGCCAAATATTGAACACTCCACGGAAACTGACCAAACCTTAACAGCTCCTCAAATGTTACTCTCGCCAATGGAGGAATGGCCGGTGGTGTTTGGATGTTCCTTATTGTCGCGGTGGGAATGTTCTTCTGCATGCTTTCCATGGCCGAAATGGCATCAATGTGGGTCTTGCGTGACATTGAAATATCGTGCATGGATCTCGATCAGCTAACGTTTTCGAAGGGCGCCTACAGCAGGTGGCCAATACCATTGTGAGATTATTCCATCTGCTAACCATGCCATGATGAAGCGCAATGACTGACATAATCAACAGGGGTTAGTGAATTCGCTCCACCGAAGTACCAACGTTTCCTTTCGTACATAGTTGGTAAGTAATTACTCATTCTAAGACTCATCACCCTTACTGACCTGAGTCGCAGGTTGGATGTGTGTTCTGGGATGGCAGGCAGCCATGTGTGCCAGCGCCTATACACCAGCACTCAACATTCAAGGTCTGATCGCCCTCAACATCGAAGGCTACACACTTCCTGGATGGCACGCGGCTCTCATGACCATTGGAATTGTCATCATCTGCATCTTTATCAACACTGTGGCCATCAAAAAGTTACCGTTGCTCGAAGGCTTCATGTTGTTGTTCTTCTTTTTCAGCTTCTTCACCATCATCGTCGTTCTCTGGGTCATGGCTGAGAGAACTCCTGCAAAGAAAGTCTTTACCGAGTTCAGTGACAACATGGGTTGGGGTAACGTCGGATTGTCTACGTTGGTCGGCATTCTATCTCCATTCACCACCCTTCTTGGCTCCGATTCGGCTTGCCATCTTTCAGAAGAGCTCAAAGATGCATCCTGGGTCCTTCCACGATCCATGGCAGCCACTGCCGTCGTCAACTATGCTCTAGGGTTCGTCACCGTTATCACCCTCATGTTCACTCTCGGAGGGTCAGTTGAGTCCGTTCTCGACACTAAATTCGGTCAAGGATACATTCAGGTAAACAAGCGACGATCCATGTTTCTGCATTGGGACGACACTAACACAGCATGCAGGTCTTTTACAACGCTGTTCAGTCAAAAGCTGGTGCATCAGGTTTGACAGCTATTGTCTGTGTCCTGCTATTCTTTACTGCCATCAACCAAGTCACAACAACATCGAGACAACTATTTGCTTTTGCTAGAGATGGCGGTCTCCCATTCTCTGCTTTCCTTGGCCGAGTAAGTAAAACTTTGATCTATCTTCCGAGTACAAGAACTAACTTCGACAGGTGCGACCTGGCATGGACATTCCTCTCAATGCTTGCACTGTAACGGTGGTTCTTACTGTTCTCATCTCTCTCATCGTCATCGGCTCGAACACAGCTTTCAACGTAATCACCAGTCTGTCCAGCGTCGGTCTTCTGACCTCGTACATCATTTGCATTGGATGCATGGCTCGCAAGCGGATCTTGAAGGAGTCTCTCCTGCCTAGTCGCTTCAGCTTGGGTCGTTGGGGTCTCGCAATCAACTTGATCGCCATCACCTTCTTGTCCTTCTGCTGGGTCATGCTATTCTTCCCATCCAGACCTCATCCCGATGCCAAGGACATGAACTGGACTATTCTCATCTACGGAATTACTTGGATTGCCGCAGTCGTTTACTACAAGTTCAAGGGCAAGTACGACTACGCTGGTCCCGTCGAGGGCATTAGCAAGGACTACTAAAACACCGCATCTCTGGGCAGTATGGGTGGAAGAAATCCCAGTAAGGTCATGTTGGGATGCTGCACAGTGAGGACAGCGATGAATGACGGCAGGCAGAACCAAAAAGATTTTCACGAGGTTTATGGCGAATGGATCAACGGACTTTAGTGTAACTAAGGGTGGACGGTTGCTTTCTTATTTGATCTTATCTTTGTGTCAGTAACGTCGCTTGGGCGTTTTGGTGAAGGGGTTATGCTCCATAAACAGTCTTTAATTCAAAATCGGTTATCTCTTACTTGACATACTAAACATGTTAGTTTCGATGAATATGGTGCTCCTCACCTGGCCGACAGCGCAGAGATGATCGCATTTCTTCGTGATCTGAGACATACACTGGCAGGACCTGCTGGAAGCCCGTCTCTGCAAAATGATCAATCGTTCTTATCAAGAGTTTCCAGCTTTGGGCATCATCCAGATATACATTGGGCTGAAGGCCCACCTCTCGAGCATTATACACCATCGAGTATCACTTTTGCCCATGGAGACATGGTCGAGTGTATGGCGCCCAAAGTGTATACAATCAGGGTGACCCCGCCAAGCCCGCTGCAAAGGCAGCTGTGAAGTCTTGGCAGCTTTTAAGTTTTGGAGTTTTCCTCCGCCTAGAATAAATTCTTTCTACGGCGTGCTAAAAGGATACCAACTAATTCCTGCATATCTGGCTTGGTTTCTACAGCAAAACAGTGCCCACGAGGGCAAAAGGATGGTGAAGATGGTGGGATTCGAACCCACGCGGTTGCCCACTAGTAAACTCATTTCAGGTGAGCCTGAAACTAGCGCCATAACCACTCGGCCACATCTCCTTGGGATCTGGGGAGGTGGGATGGTATATAGTGCTCGAGAGGTGGAGGTAGAGGTGTCCTGTGGACTTGGGTGGGAAGTTGGCGGAGTTTGGGGGAATGTGGTGAAGCGTTCAGGTACCCCCTCGGGACGCTGGCACGTCGTGAACAGATAGGAACATAAAGACAGCAGCGTGACACAATAGTCCAAAGGGAGAAGGTCGTTGTGATAGTGGCGGTCCTGCTGAAGACGACTCGAGACCTGCCTTGGTCAAGCCAAACAGAAAGGGTGAGCGTCGCGAGACGAAATGTGCGGCATCGTGAAGCAGGATTTGAAATTCGATAATCGTTGACTCGTATAACTCGCGTCCACAACTATAGCCCTTGGTGACGATAGATGGTGGATGTCAAGTTTTTGTTGGAACTTGGGAGGTGGTGGTACGTAGGCAGAAGACGTTGTGCCCGACTTTCCGCGGCATCGCGAATAGAAATCGGGCCTAACTCAAACCAACGTCATGTCAACAGCATAGCAGGTTGCAACATTTCGTAAAACAAAAAATTTCCGGACGGTTCCACGTAGAAGAATTGGAAATAGAAATAGCGACCGATGTCTTTTGGGTTGTTTAAGCCTTCTCTTTCTATTCCTCGCATACTTCCAAGGCAATTTACCTATTCCCGAGCATTCAGCAATACAATCAGAATGGCTGGCGATAAGACTACCAAATTCAGCCATCTCCCTCTGGCAACTAACAGACCTATGGAGTGTGCATTGACTGTGAGCATATCACAAACAGCTATGTAACCTTCTGACGCTGCTGACATTATATTCCAGGGCTCTGAATTGCTCTCATGCGCTTATCTCAACAAAGGCAGTGCTTTTACTGCCGAAGAGCGTGACGAATTCGACCTTACCGGATTACTCCCATCAAATGTCCAGACTCTGGATGAGCAAGTCAAGAGAGCATATGCTCAGTACAGCTCTCGTCATGACAATCTCGCCAAGAACACTTTCATGACCAGCTTGAAAGAGCAGAACGAGGTGTTGTACTACAAGTTGATTCAGGAGCACTTGAAGGAGATGTTTGGTATCATCTATACGCCTACCGAGGGCGAGGCTATCAGCAACTACTCGTCACTGTTCCGTCGTCCGGAAGGCTGCTTCCTGAACGTCAATGAGCCCGATAAGGTCGAGCGAGACATGTCGCAATGGGGCGGATCGGAGGACATCGATCTGATCGTTGTCAGTGATGGTGAGCAGATTCTTGGTATTGGTGACCAAGGTGTTGGAGGTATTTTGATCTCGATCGCGAAGCTGGCCATTTACACTCTCTGCGCCGGAATTCACCCTCACCGTACACTACCTGTCGTTCTCGACTGTGGCACAAACAACAAGGACCTGCTCGACGATGACCTCTATCTTGGTCTCAAGCAAGAGAGAGTCAGAGGAGAAAAGTACGACAAGTTCGTTGACACTTTTGTCAAGACTGCGAGAAAGCAGTACCCGAACGCCTACCTCCACTTTGAAGACTTCGGTCTTCCCAACGCTCGCCGTATCTTGGACAAGTATACCCCTGAAATTGCTTGCTTCAACGACGATGTTCAGGGTACTGGATGTGTTACCTTGGCAGCTATCTACGCCGCATTGAAGGTTGCAAAGCTCGAGATGAAAGATATTCGTGTCTTGATGTACGGTTCTGGAACCGCAGGCACTGGTATCGCAGACCAAGTATCGGACGCGATTGCTGTCGAGTCAGGCAAGTCGAAAGAGGATGCTATGAAGCAGATTTGGTGTGTTGACAAGCCTGGTCTCCTTCTTGAATCGATGAAGGACGACCTCACACCTGCTCAACATCCTTATGCACGCAAGGACTCAGAGTGGGAGAATAAAAAGCACGATGACCTGCTCGAGATTGTTCGTGAAGTCAAGCCTCACATTCTGATCGGCACATCTACCAAGCCCAAGGCTTTCACGGAAGAGGTTATCAAGGAGATGGCCAAGCATACTGACCGTCCTATCATCTTCCCTCTTTCCAACCCGACAAAGCTTCACGAGGCAGACCCCAAGGACCTGTTCAAGTGGACAGAAGGCAAGGCACTGATGGCAACCGGATCGCCTTTCGACCCTATGGAATACAACGGCTCGAAGTACGAGGTTGCAGAGTGCAATAACAGCACCACATTCCCCGGTATTGGACTGGGAGCCATCCTGTCGCGCACCAAGCTCATGTCACCACCTTTGCTAGTTGCAGCAACCAAGGCACTTGCAGCTCAAGCACCTGCACTCAAGGACGAGAACGCAGGATTGCTGCCAGATGTTACTAACGTTCGCGAGATCAGCGTCAAGATCGCTGCAGCAGTGATCAAGAAGGCTCAGGAGGAGAACTTGGCTCAAGAAGAGCACATTCCTGATAACGATGAGGATCTGGAGCAGTGGATTAGAGCTCAAATGTGGGATGCAGAGTACAGGCCATTGAAGAAAGTTGAGCATGGACAGGCTACTCGTGAGGCCAAGGGTCAAGCTGGCACCAAGGGAAAGACCTCAAAGGCATCGAAGTAGAACAACTATGGATCGATAATATGATGCCGATGAATGCAAATGTCGACTGGGGTACGTTGACACGGAGGACATCCAGAAGAGGTTTGACGATTGCTACGAGCTCGACCGTAAGAAGGTTCTTGAGGGGCAAACGATGAAACATATCCCGATCATTTCTGGTTCTCTGAAAAGATAAAAGCATGACACGGCTGAAAGAAGGACCCAAGGGGCTTAGCAAGCTACTAGAGTAAATCATGCCAATTTCAAATCTTGGAATATGGAATAGGAGAGTGTTGTGAGCTTCTGTCACGACGAACGGGGCAAACCCTACGTTGCAGACTCACATCAGTCGCCGGAGATACACGCTTGTCACTTGACAGATCGATCAAGGTACTTTCTTGCACTTGTCATAAATCTGCTTGAGCTCTTGCTTGTCACCTCTATCTAGGATGAGAGTCACACCAGAGTAGTTCGGAGTGTGTACGAGATATACTTGGTATCATTCATTGAGACCATAAGAAACAGATAGGATATGTCAGCGTGATCGTCCAGATTCACCAAAGAATGTTTTTGTTCTGCGACCTGGCATACTACCTATAGTCCCCGCTGAGCGAACCGTATCATACCCTGTGTGCGCGGAATGCCTCAGTAATGAGCTTGTGCAAGTTCTGTAAGGTGGTCAGCAGGTGTCAATGATGGTAGGGACAGCTTCAATCACCGGAGTACCGAAGCCGGTTACGGCATCCCAACCGACCGCAGCTGGAAATCCGGGGGTATCACAACCAATCGAGGATCCAGTCGTGATGTCAGTAAGCGCAGCGAAAGCTCCACCGTATATCCATGGGTTCAGAAATCCAAGGGCGGGCTTGCCAGCTGCAATGAGTGCATCATTCACTAGAGCAATGATTGCTGCAAAAGTAGGCCCAGATGCACTCGTGCCTCCGATAGTGGTGACATTGCCTTCCCAGACAATTACATCGTGATTACCTTGGGCCGCAACGTCTGGGTAACCTCGGCCGGTCCGATTATACAGTCCTGCATAAAGATCTCCTATGTTGTTGATGTACTTATCGACAGCAGAGGCCTGATATGCTGGAACGAGAAAGTAATTGGAGAAGCCAGCACCACTCCCGAACCGTGTCACTGCGATCTCAGGCTGGAACCCCTGCGTACCACCTACACTTGTGACCCAAGGGCAAGATGCAGGAAAGGTGGGAAGAAACATGGCGTGGGAGGTATTACTGTTTGAGAAGCAAGCTCCGTCAGCGCCCACACCAGAGTCACCACTACCGAAGATGACTGAGATTCCGCGGGCACCAAGTTGCTGGAACCCATCACACACTCGTTTCGCATATGAGTATGGCACCGTCTGTTCGTCATCGCCGTAGGAAGTGCTGATCACTTGAGGCAAGTGCTCTTGTGCCAGAACATAATTGAGCCATTCGAGGTAAGGCTCGTTCGTATCTGTAGGAGTGGCGAGATCACTCAAAAAGGGTGGCGATCCGCCAGTTGACCATGACATGAATCTTGTTGGCCAGCTAATGCCGATGGCCAACTCGCCATCGAGATCACCTTCGATGTTGAGTCCAGCGTCGAGTTGATCGGCGTCTAGAGATCCCTGCTGGTTTTGAGCGTTTGCGATGTTAATAATCGGAAACGTGTCCGCAACCCCTACTGCTTCCGGACGAAAGTTCTGGAGAAAGATTTTGATATCAGATCGCTTTTGTGTCTAACAATTGTTAGCTGCATGTCTCTGATTTTGTGACATTCAAGAAGCACACCTCGTTTAGGTAATTCGTAACACCGATCATGTTTCTCTGGGGTACTTTTGGCACGTAATTGATCGTCCCATACAGGCAACGCAAACACTCGAGGGTTGTGGCAGTGACAGTGGCGCCTGCAGAATTGGTGCCAGTGACATTACACACTACGTTGATCTCACAAGGCGTGATGATCGAAGACTGCAGACATCATTCATGTTAGATCGCTTTGGAGGAAAGTCTGCGTTGCGCAGACTTACATCGTTTGGAGCCGCTCTCCACCATTGCTTGTTATGCCATTTTATCGGTCCACGTTCGGGTTTTGCACCGACTGTATGCTTGGAGAGCCGGAAGAAACATGTTGTGGGCTGAATGACATCGATATGTTTGTGCAGATGCTTAGGTAAGGACCACTCTGGAGTTCGAACCAATATCGAGCCATCGTTGTGACCATACTTAGAATATGTAGTATTCAGAATGGTCTCAACCTTGCGAACAGGTAAGCGCACGTTGATCCAGTCACCTGTTGAAGTGAGTGTAGTGTTATGGATACCATGGTCTGAAAGCCAGCTTTGAACCATATCAATGCTTTGCTCTGAGGGCGCAACAATGCTTCGAATCTCAGCGGCGGAAAGGTATTGGCCATAGCGCGCGTGAGATGGATCTGAGACTTCCATAACACGTCGTTGGAAAATGTCCGGATTCTGTAGATGGAGGCCAATGCGAAGATCGATGAGATGAGAATCGGGAAGGGAGGCTATTCTGGTCCAACCTTGAGGTATAATGTGTCTTTCCTTGACTGCGAAGATCTCGGTGCCCCATGTCGGTGCGGCTGCAGCGCCTTCTAGAAGAAGAGCAACCCAGCTAACCACAGAGAGATACATGGAATGCATGGAGAGTATGGAGTGAAAGGATCTGCCCGCAATGAGCTCCAACACTGGAATATCCAGAAGAAATGAACGAGGGACGAGGCACCTCAAGTAGAATTACCCAGCATCCTGGAAGTTCATCAGACGCGCCCCCAATAGAGCTACATGTCAGTGGATTACAACATGGCATGCGTACAGCTGAGTAATGCCACTAAAAGAGGTTGCATGGTTCTGCGGTAAGCGACTACGGGAGTCCGAAGCTATCTAGCAAGGATTCGCGCAGAGGAATTGGGAATTTGCAGACAATGTCAGAGTACATGCATGCAAACAGGAAGCTCGTGTATTGACGAATTAGCACGGTCTCTGTAGACCAAACTGTTTAGGTAGATCTGCCAGCGTCTTTCGAGGGATGAGTCCAGCAAGGCAACACCATCCTTGCTATCTGGGTAGAATCGAATCCAGATAATCTATAACCAGGAAGCGCATGGAGATGATGGTGTCGAGTGAGGCAATGATGGACCAGCAATTATTCGGGCCACTGACGGTATAAATTCGAGGGCCAGCGAAGATCTTGAAACTTTGGACCTCAAAAGGTGACCCTGTCTGGAGCGGAGAACGGTGGCTTGGCATTGCAAAGTCCGGGGCGACAGTCCGAGCGGCTTGCGGGTCGACAAAAGTTCTCGAATTATTTCTTACAAGTGCAGCAAACACCAAATACCACAACAACAATCACACAATGAAGCGCAAGTTGAATGACCAGGATGTGCCCGAGGTGGCAGACGCCGTAACAACGACAACTGAAGAACCAACCGAGAAGAAGGCGCCGACGGCAAAGACATTCGCCGAACTTGGACTGGATGCGCGCCTTTTGCAGGCAATCAACAAGGAGAAGTTTGCCGCGCCGACACCTGTACAAGCCCGTGCCATTCCTTTGGCTCTGTCGGGCAAGGATATTCTTGGTACGCTTCGAAAAGCTCGGTAGAGAAGTCAGCAAAGACTAACAGTCAATAGCACGCGCAAGGACCGGCTCTGGAAAGACAGCAGCATACCTCCTCCCAATCCTTCAGTCCATCCTTCACCGCAAATCCACACAACCCTCGTCAACGAAGACAACATCGGCGCTGATTCTGGTACCTACTCGCGAACTTGCTGGACAGGTCGCAAAGGTCGCTCTGTCGTTCGCTGCCTTCTGCGGTCAGGAAGTGCGCATCGAGAACCTTACCCGCAAGGAAGACGACAAGGTCGCTCACGCCCGTCTGATCGAAGCCCCCGATGTCGTTATCGCTACACCCTCGAGAGCAACCAGCCTCGTCAACGCCTCGCTCCTGCAACTCCAAAACCTCAGCCATCTCGTGATCGACGAAGCCGATCTCGTTCTTTCATACGGTCACGATGAAGACCTGCAAAACCTGTCCAAGGTCATTCCCCAAGCCGTCCAGATCGTCCTTATGAGCGCCACTCTACGAACTGAGGTCGACACACTCAAGGGCATGTTCTGCAAGGATCCCGTTCTGCTCGAACTTGACCAGGAAGAGAAGGAACAATCATCTCTCACACAATACGTTGTGCAATGCGGAGAGGACGAGAAGTTCCTGCTCATCTACGCAATCTTCATGCTCAAGTTGATCAAGGGCAAGTGTATCGTCTTTGTCAGCGACATTGACCGCTGCTACCGTCTTAAGTTGTTCCTCGAGCAATTCGGCATCAAGAGCTGTATCTTGAACTCGGAATTGCCCGTTAACTCAAGACTGCACGTGGTCGACGAGTTCAACCGTGGTGTCTACGACATCATCATTGCTAGCGACGACAGCGAAATCGTTGGAAACGAGGAGAAGTCGAGCCGCAAGAGGAGGAAGGTCGAGGCTGTCGAGGAGGATGACGCTGAAGCCGCTGCCGTCGAAGGCGAGGCCACAGCACCCGAGGAGACCGTCGCCGAGAACGACGAAGAAGAGAAGGAAGAAAAGACATCAGAAGAAAAGCCCAAGAAGAAGCAAAAGCGCTCAAAGCTCGACAAGGAATTCGGTGTCTCTCGTGGTATCGACTTCAAGAACGTCGCCTGCGTACTCAACTTCGACCTCCCCACCTCATCCCGCAGCTACACCCACCGCATCGGTCGTACCGCCCGTGCCGGCAAATCCGGCATGGCCCTCTCCTTTGTCGTCCCCAAGACCCTCTACCGCAAGCACAAACCCACCACCATTCCCTCAGCCGAACACGACGAAGAAGTCCTCGCAAAGATCACCCACCAGCAAGAAAAGAAGAACCAAGAAGTCCTGCCATACCACTTCGACATGAAGCGCCTGGATGGCTTCAGATACCGTATGAGCGATGCCCTCCGCTCGGTCACCCGCATCGCCATCCGCGAAGCCCGTATCCGCGAGATCCGCTCAGAACTGTTGAAGTCGGAGAAGCTGAAACGCCATTTCGAAGAAAACCCTACAGACTTGCAACATTTGAGGCACGATCAGGAAAGTCATGCTGTACGTGTGCAACCGCATCTGAAACACGTGCCGGAGTACCTTTTGCCCGGTAACTCGGCGGTGGCACAGGGTGCTGGGGATGGCGGATTCGTTGGCTTTGGCAAGAGTGGAGAGAACAGGATCAGGAAAGCGAGAATGCAAAATAGAATGAAGGGTAAGGGCAAGGGAAGGAAAAAGTCAGACCCGCTGAAGTCGTTGAGTGCGAAGAGGAAGTAAGGGGGTTCAAATTCAAGCGTGTTGATAGTTCTTTTGATATCATAATCATTGCTCTTCTTTTTCCTACCTACAACTATCATGATGGTGTATCGTGTTTATGTGACGTCTAGAGTCTACATCTATGCGATCTCGGAGACCATGCCGTGTATGCCTTTTCTTTCCTCTCCGTTTAGCTTAATGCCGAACTCCTCTTCAATCACGTTGATCCTCTCTTCTTCCGAGGTCAATTCCCTGTTGATCAACGCTTCTTCTCCTACGCGTTTCTTGTAGTCCGTCTTGAGAATATGGGTATGGCCTACAATGCTGTCTCCACTCTCATCCAAAATCATCTTGAGACAAACAGGCATCTTAGTAAACCAAGAGTCCTTATTCGTGCTAGTCCAATAATTCATGACTTTGAAATCAGCCTCGAGGAACTCTGCTTCGCTGAAACAGTAGCAGGGAGAGAAGTTCTGATGGCCATTACGCTTCTCATAGACCCAGACCTTTTGATCCGACGCGGCACCTGGGATGGCCGAGTGGATCACTCTGGCATATTGGTTTGGAGCAATGTTCAACTTGCCCTCTTCGTCGTGTTGGAGAGGAAATGGGGCGGTGGGGCCACCGGAGCCGAAACCGACGTCGACGTGATATTTGAGGTCGGGGTTGTCTGGGAAGGAGACGAGGTTGACCATATGACTGAAGCCTGAGAAGGAGACGTCGGCCAGAGGAGTATCTTCGCCTGTGCTCACGGAGCTACTGATGCGAGCGCCGTGGCTGGTGACTTGAAACCCGAGACGGCGTAGGACATTGGCGAAGAGAGCGTTGTTGACCATGCAATAGCCACCTCGTCCACCTTTTCCACCTTCTCTTGTTACAATCTTCTCGAAGACATGTTCGGCGTCGATACTGATGCTATGGTGGGAGCTGTAGTGTAGGTCTAGGTTCTCGAATGGAATGTAGGCGAGGTTGTAGCGTTGTAGTGCACTCAAGAGTTCCAGTCCAGTCGAGGTCTGGGAAGCGACCTTACTGCTGGCTTGGCCGGGGTCATGGCGGTACCTCTCGGGGAGGTTGATGCGATTGTAGTACTGATGGATCTGGGCAGCTGTGTAGCCCGTACGCGGTTTGTTGCTCATGGTGAATATGGTGATGCATTCTTAGGATGGGTGGGAACGGAAATAGAGTGGGCACGTTTCATGACGATGCCATGATGGTGGAGATCCGGGGTCTGAAGCAAAGATCGACTTGGACAGCCTCCTTTCATCTTGACTTCTGCCATCTCTGCTTGACATGATTCACAGTCGCAATCAGCTCGAGACTGACCTGGACGAAATGACAATCTTCTGAGTTGTCTGTAATCCTGATAGGAGGGCGCGCGGATATGTGTATCGATAGATGATTGCAGTCAATCACGATACCAACGGTCTAGGCTCAAGTCGCAAGAGAAGTTGAGAAGAAAATGCCCAAGTTTCATCTTGATATTATAGGACTGAGCCAGCATCTCAGCATAGACTAGATCTCCGCACAGGGGAATAGCAGCGCCTCTGTAGGTCCAAAGAGTATAGTGTGTCAGTCGTGCAATTGTTGCGCGATGGAATCCACATAACTTCGGCCGCCGTTACAGCCATAGTCGCACCCCCTTTAGCCTCATCATTGTGGACTGTAATCAAATTCATAACAGAAGGTAATTCTTGGTCGTCGCTTCCTTTTCTCTTCTTCCTCTATTCTCGTCTTCAAAATCAGTGATTCGGAACTTTGATTCTTCTTCCCTCCAACCAATTACCTTTCTGCATCGAATACTGCATTTTCATCAACATATACCACGCGTACATTGCTACGAATAGCATACATTCCGCCGTATTCGAGACTCTCCCCGACGACCGCAACCCAAACACAACTTCACCATGAAGTTCTTCAGCGCCGCCGCTGCACTATTGGCCGCAGTACCCTTCACCAACGCCTACTGGAAAGGCTTCAACATCGCCGCAAACAACCCGGACGGATCATGCAAAACACAAGCACAATGGGCGTCCGCCTTCCAAAAACTCTCCTCGCTGCCTGGTCACTTCACGTCTGTCCGCCTGTACGCATCGAGTGATTGCAACACACTGGCTCTTGCTGTCCCTGCCGCCCTCTCAACAGGTACCCAACTGCTCGTTGGTGTCTGGGCCGAGGATGCTGCCCACTTCAAGGCAGAGAAAGATGCACTCGAGAGTGCCATCAAGAGATATGGTCAAGATTGGATCATTGCCATTAGTGTTGGTAGTGAAGATTTGTACCGCAAAGACACCAACCCTGGAGCACTCGCCCAAAAGATTTATGATGTCCGTGGCATGGTTCGTGCTATGGGTGTGAAGAAAGACGTTGGACACGTCGATACCTGGACGGCATGGGTAGATGGTGCAAACACTGAGGTCATTAAGGCATCCGATTTTATCGGTCTTGGTAAGTCCAAGCCTGCAACATGGTCCTCTTGTGTGCAGAAAGCTAATCAGTTCCAGACGCATACCCGTACTTCGAAGGAAGCAGTATCGAGAACGCGAGCAACACCTTCTGGAGCGCAATCAACAAGGTCAGAAACGTTGTCGATAAAGTCTCTCCTGGAAAGTGGGTTTGGGTCACCGAGACTGGCTGGCCCGTCAGCGGTCCAAACTACGGCAATGGTGTCGCCAGTGTTAAGAACGCTCAAACATTCTGGAAGCAGGTCGCCTGCGCTGCCTTCAAGCAGATCCACATTTTCTGGTATGTTCACCAGGACTACCAAGAATCACCCAGTTTTGGTGTCATCGACCGTAACGGAAAGGCCATCTACGACATTCAGAACTGTTAGATGTTGGATAGATGAAGTGGTGGAGGAATTGCCGTTTTTATACCCTGTATCTTGATACATTCTGTAACGAAGCTTTTGTTAACATTCAAATCGATGTATTCGAGTTCGAAGGATGCATTTGTATACAGGTGATCAGATTGAGAGTGCTCGAGGACCCGTTCATAATGCAGATTACTTTTGATCCAGAGCACGCCCTCCAGGAATAATGACCACTTGACGACTCTCTCTCTCTCTGCGGGCCTAGCTCTGTCTTTGACAATCGTTGTGTATTTTGACAGATACAAGAGTGACTAGCTTTAACATATGCAGATGCTGGATAGCACTTTGCTGTCTGTCGAGAAATCCAGGGGTCTGGGCCGAGCACATTGATGGCTCACGACGTCATCATCAGCGGATCGAACGTGGCATGTCACAATAAATGACGCTCACAAGACGCAAGCTCATATGCATATAGCTCTTCATATGAAGCTCCCTTCCCCCTCTCTTGCTCAATAATAAAATGTCCTCCTCCCGCCTCCTAACAACAACCCTCCGCAACACGACCCGCCGCAATACCAGAAACATCCTCTCACCAACCACACCAATCCTCCGCACCTTCACCACCACCACCACCCTCTCCACAAAAGACACCAAAATGTCCACCTCACCGCCAAAACACGAGATGGTCCATTTCCCCTCCCTGACCTCCGCCGTCCGCTCCTTTGGCCAATTCAGAAAAGTCATCCACACGGGACTTTACTCTCAACTCGTGACGATGGAGATTCCCGTCGGAGGAGATATAGGGAATGAAGTGCACATGGTGGATCAGGTGTTGATATTTACTTCGGGCGAGGGAAAAGCTGTCGTGGGGGGCAAGGAACAGGTATGTACATGAGGATGATGATGCATACTGCTTTTTTCACACCAACCTACTTTTATATCTCTCTTGTGTTGAGGATTTGAGAGGATGAGTTTTGCTGACGGGTGGGTAAATAGGATATCAAAGCCAGTGATGTGGTGGTCGTGCCGGCCGGGACGGAACATCAATTCTACAATACCAGTAAAGATAAGCCGTTGGAATTGGTCACTGTGTATAGTCCTGCCGAGCATGATCCCAGGACCGTTCACAAGACCAAGGAAGAAGGTGATGAAGAGGAAGATGCTGGCAAAGATGAGGCGCCCGAGTGGAGCAGACAGAGTACTGATGTTAATGAGAAGAAGGGTCTCGTCAAGGAGGAGGGTGGCCCTTATGAGAATGGTGATGATGGGCGTCATGGGAGGAAGGTTGAGTAGGTTGTGCATAGCGCCGTCGATGTATGAGTAATGCGTTATCAACATCTGATGCTTCCGTACACTTACTCTTGCCCTTCTTGCTGTTCCATCCTATCGTTGAAGCTATGCTCGACACACACGTTGTACGATAGTAACGAAGAAGGTACGAGAACACATCACTCAGAACATGACCAGGCGGGATAATATTTGCATCTGTGTAAACATACGAGAGTCGTTGATCATGCTAATAAAGCGGTGCGTCTAAGCTACTATGTACAATATCTTGCTTAACTCTGCTTTCCCACCTTGTCGATTGATACTGTAAGCATAAAAAAAATCATGTTCCCTCCTCTTCTTCGCTAAAGCTCCACCCAGCCAATCCAAAAGAAAGTGGTATATTCCATAATGTCATGCTCGTTCGCGTTGTGCATGTCCGTCTCTTTTCTTATTCTAGTAGCGAGAAGATGAAATGTTCTCATCGCGTCGTCCTCATTCAGTGCTGTGAGTTGATCCGCCGGTCTTGACTCGGTGCAGGAAAGCGTTGAGTCCGGATGATACGCTCGCTTTGTTCTTCGGTCTGAGCATACTGCCCACAAAGCCACTGCTGAACATTTTCTCCTTCTCTTCGGTTGATTCTCGACGTTCTTCGCCATTACTGCGAGCTTCCACTGCTTGACTGCGACGCCAGAAGCTCATCACAGTGCATTGATCGCTCTTGTTCACCCGGTCAAGTTGTGTTTTCAGCCAGTCCTGGATCTCTCGCACATGCTGGAGACGATAGGGGACCTGATAGCGTTGTAGATGACTGACCACTCTTGCAGAGCGCATGTGTTTGTCGAAATTGATCACCGTTTTCGACTCGACCCCCTCTTCGTCCCCGTTCGGCAACGGACGTGTGTTCGAATTGCCAGCATCCACAAAGGTAAGGTCGGTAAGATACATGCCCACGAATGGCAGACAAGGAGCTTTTGGAGTCTGCAAACGGTGTCGAAGGACAGCATAGTTGCGTGATACATCAACAATCACTTTGATCTCATTGAAGGTGGCAATTGTCTTGGCTGAAAGTTGGTCCCATGTTTGGCGAAGTCGTGCAACGGCCGACGTTGTGAGGGAACATGCAATTGCCATCAAAGCAGAGTAATTGTCGATGTCGAGGCAAAGTTTCGCAATCTTGATCCAGTGCTTCAAGATGGCTACCCGCTTCTTGGTCTGGTCAGCTGCAAGAATGGTGTCGACAACAAGGTTTGTGAGATTTGTCGAGAATTTCGACATAGCCAGAACGTGCTTTGCGCGACCGTTCTTCTTCGTCCACTCGAGGCCAAGTAACTCATGAGGCTGTATGGCACAGAATATCCTCGATTCCATAACAGTGAGTTGTCTAGCAACCTCGACGGCGTCCAAATCCAGGAGGGTGAACTTCTTGGTAGAGACACCACCCATAAGAAGATACAGCTGCTCTTTGTTGATGTTGGCGTGAGGGATGATAGTCTTTTCATAGTCGGTGCCCAAAGAGACACATGTTTTGCCGACGGCAGAGACCAGCTGGCTTGTGGTGCTTGAAGGCTTCACCTGAGATGCTTTCTTGGCTAGTTCAGCCAATCGTTTGCCTGGTCCGGAGAACTGAGGACTCAGCTGGTCGACTGCAAAAGAGTGAATGATTTTCAAGGCAGGTGCATCACTTTCAGCCAGGTAGTGAGACTCGAGCCAGGTCTTGAAGAAATTATACACCCTCAGACGTGCAGGAGAGCTGTCAGTATTGCAGTCTCCAGCGTACTCGAATCGAGTGACCAATGTTTGTGCCAATTCGACACCGTCCGTGAAAAGCCGGAACGTGAGTAGGAATGCTATGTTGTACTCAGGTTCTGGAGGAGCATGCTGACTTGTAAGCTTCTCGACAAGAGCTGCTAGAGTGCCGCCAACAACTTGTCCTTCTTTGTTGTACAGCAATTCATGGGCGTGTGATCTTATCAGAACCTCCGCATCGTGATCACTGCCATCGGCACTTGTTGCAATACTCAACGCACTGCCATACGTACAAAGACTGGGGTTGGCACGAATATGTCGTTGGCATCGATCAGGCGTTGTGGCCCTTGTCGATGTTGGTGAAGTAACACTGCCGATTGAGTTTCTCAGGCTGTCTTGATAGGCACTGGAGCTCTCCGGTACAGACATTCCCAGACTACCTTTCCGATCAGGTGGGGTCCAATGCTCCTTGTTATCCTGTTGGTAGTGTTCCGGTGACTCATTTGCAGGAGGTGGTGGTTGCAATGGTGGCTCAGACGAGGTTGGGGAAGTCGGTGATGTCGGCGATTCACATTTTATCAGTGGTGGAGAAGAATCCGGTCTTCTCATGTTTCCATCCGGAAAGACCGTAGAGAGAGTGAAGTTGTTGGTATCATCGGTCGCTGAGCGCAATAGACACGCAGGCCTCTGTGGTAAGTCTCGTATTGAGAGTTTGCACTCGGCTGAATCGCGATGTTGCGGGTCAGCGGCACCGGGAGTGACTTCCGAATAATCTCCAGGAACAATCTCCACAGGTGGCGTGATTGTATAGACAGGGCTAGAATTGTGATGTTGATCCTGGGTGTTGATTGATGAGAGGAAGAAGTCGCCAATTATATGGTCGAGAAACTTTCGCGACTTTGCAGTGCAGTCACCTGCCGCTCGGACGCAAGCGGTCGCGGCAGTCACAAGTCCTCGACCATCCTCGGGGCCCACAATTCCTATAATTTCCGGGTCATCTTGGTCTACGGGAATCCTGCACAAGCGGTTCGCAGTCTCTGCAAGCGTCGCTAATTTCATCCTCATGTTCTCGGAGGCCAATACGATGCCTTGAGATCGACTGGGGTTGCGTGCTGATATTTCGCTAACAACCAGCAATAGATCCTTGGCTGCCTTGATAGAAAGCCGCGTCGTTGTTGCCAAATCGAGAGATGTCCTAGACTGCAGATGGAGACCAATGAAGGCACCGATGTCGCCCAAGAATTGCTCATGCGCGGCTGTAAGACGTTCAGACGCGAGATCAGACACGATGCCTTCGGTCAGAGCGAACGCGTTCACGATTGTGGGCTTCGCTTTAAGGGCGATAGGCGGAGACCGAGCCGGTGAGGAAGGACCATACAAGAACATGTGATGGAGCCTCTCTGAGCTTATGTCCAGACCAGATTGTTCGTCGACTATCTTCGCGCTCTGGGCCGTCTCGTCGTACTCGAGGACCGTGAGCTGAAACTTTGGAGTGTTTTTGACAGAGTTATCATGGTTCGGCTCGGCGGCATGTTCATCGACATCTGCAAGTGGAGAGAGTGAGAGTCCCGCATGTAAAGAGGCTCTTGCTGTCCGAGGGCTTTCAAAGGCCTCGCTGTAACGCATGCTCGATCGTTTGTGTCTCGGAGATGTGCTCTGAGCCCAAATGTCAAGGAACCTGGCCGCTCTGCACACAACTTTGAAAGCATTGGACAGGTGCTGGTCGACAGCAGACCATGCGACCAAGTCGGAAGAGTCGGAGAAGGTATTGTGTATGTCCTCGCGGTTCTTCAGCAGGGTTGAGAGATCTGCCAGGAGACTCTTCCGTGTCCGTCGCAAGGCAACATGTTTTTTGATCAGACTATCGTCTCTGTGCAAGCAATCGCAGTGCTCAAGCAAGCGTCGAACACCAGCCACCAGGCCCTGAACGTAGTCCTGTCTGTCTTCAAACAGTGCTTCATCGTTGACGCCTAAGCTCAGATAATCCCACATCCGAGTCAATGCATGGAGGAGGGAGCGGATTGGTCGCGGATCATAGACCTGGCAGTAGTTTGTTGGTATCCAGCCCCGTGTTCCTGTCGAGAGTATGGTGCCATCGGCCCAGCCATTCTCGTGGGTGAGGTGTATCAATACGATGTCGCCTTCTCGCAGAGGCGCAGTGATAGAGACGCCACCTGAAGAGCCGGATATGGTGGTATGCTCGGGCTGGTAGTCGTGGCTGGCTCGGAGGTATTTGCGATTGATGGGAGGTGTTAAAGGTTGGCGCTCGAGTCCAGCATCTGCCTCCTCGGATGAGTAGGTTATGTCCTTGAGTTCAGCCATGATCTGGACCAGGTTTGGCTGACTATACAGCTGTACTGGTGTAGATGCAAAAGGATTACCTCAACCCGCACTCGTTTGTTGTACCTGACAATCGTGAAATGGTATCTGGCTTCGCAGGCATGCCGTTCGGGTGTGTGCAAGGGTGGCGTAAATCAAGAGATGCTGCGTCTAGCGTGGGACTATAGCCATTCCAGTGGATGCAGCAGGCGAGAGATGATATGTTCGAGTTGAACAAGAGGACTATGTTTGTTGTAAGATCTCGTGGAATGCGAACCGGGGAAATGGCGTCTGGCTTTCAAGAGATCTTGGTCACTGCCAAACTGCAATGGATAAAGGTCGAATGAGTGAGTCGAGGGGTAGTGACGCAAGGGAAGTCCCCACAGATTGTGCGACCTTTGGTTGTCTACAAGGCGCAAGACAAGCAATCTGTTTCTTTAATGGGACCTTGAAAGGGTTTGTTGTCTATGAGAGAGAGCAAAGAGTCTCAAACATCCGGCATCTACCCATTGCCCATGCAACCCAAATAGACGATCATGCACGAATAGTTCGTCCTCTTCGGTAACCTAAATCTTTAGATCAACGGCGGCCCGTGATCCTAACAATTTAGATTTTGAACACTCCCGAGAGCTTGACAAGGAATGTACTCGGTCTGTGACCAACACTGAAACCGCCTTTGTCAGAAATCAGCATGTTCAGAATCTGGCTCTACTGAACAAGACTATATGTGTGTGATACAAAGGGGATGAGATGATAGCCATGAAATTGAGCCATAATCGGCCCAAAGGTAAAGTCAATGGACCCTGAGCCCACTTCCACGGACCTGGGATGGTCGAGCGGGCCATAAAGTGGTCTTGCCTGTGGCTGATCTCTTCATGTCAATGATGAAGTGCACAGGTTTCTGCTTTCGAAATCTTGGTACAGCCATGAGGAGAGCGCCCGGTGGCGCGACCGCGCGGCAGTGCTTAGTTGACAGCAGGACTATTGGGATCGACAAAAAGGGATTCATTCGTCTCTCAACATGAACTGCCGTCCTCACTTGCTCGCACAGCAGCCTGCAAGGATCACGATGTCGAACTGTAGTTGTCTGGCAGAAGCTCTACACCAAGCGAGCGAGTGTGGACGGATTGACTGGACAGCAAGGCTTCCGCGAGAAGACGAACGCGGACAACACACAAGATGACATGCACGAAGGCATCACAATGATGAGAACTGCCGACCAAGCCTTGACAGCCCAAGATGAAAGTGCTTCGTGCGGCACGTACTAGAAGTCGAGACAAATGTCATGACTCCAGTTGTCAGTCGATGGGAGGAACATGGAATCGAGCTGCGATAAGAGATAAGATAAGATGGTTGATTGTTGAGTCAGGCGCTAGTGGAAAGTCCAACCAGGCGAGTGTCATAACCCGCAAAATCGAGGTCAGCAATTCGAGTGCGACTTGACTGACCAAACCATTCACTTTGTCTGGCCAATTGACTGCCAGAACGTCGACAATGTTCGAACATGTGCCTCTGACGGTGCATGAGGCCTTTTCTGGTATCGCCGGGAGCATCTCCCTGGCCTGCTGGATCTTCCTGCTGGTAAGAAAAATCCCTTCGTTGCTGGCGCATACACCTGGGACTGATTCACACCTTAGGTGCCTCAATTGATCGAAAACTACCGCCAGTCGTCGGCAGACGGTATCTCTATCACTTTCCTGCTAGTATGGATGGCTGGCGACATCACCAACCTCGCCGGTGCCCTCTGGGCTGATCTCGTGCCCACCGTTATCGCCCTCGCTATCTACTTCTGCTTCGCCGACGCCGTCCTGCTGTCGCAATGCTTCTATTATAACACCCTCAATGCCCGTCGCGAACGTAAGCGCTCTATCGCTGCTGCCGAGAACGCCGTAACCGACGAGAACGCTCCTCTTCTTGCCGAGCAAGAGAACCTTGGACTGCCTGGTAGCAGAAGACGCAGTAGTGCTGCCAGTCGCAGACGTACCAGAAGCAGTGCTGAGCGCAGCAACAGCCTCACCAACATTCTCGAAGAGGGACAAGGCTCTACCGCCTGGTTGAAGAACACTCTCAGTGTCGCCATCATCCTTATCGCAGGAGCCGCCGGGTGGGCCATCGCTTGGAGAGCTGGCGCATGGAAACCGACTCCCGTAGATGTTTCCGACGGTGGCAGACACATGCCCGTCGGTGCCGAGGTGCTTGGTTATGCCAGTGCTGTGTGTTACTTAGGGTATGATTCCCACCATCGCCATGCAACGCAAGCCTGTACTGACATGCTGCAAGTGCCCGCATCCCTCAGATCATCAAGAACCACCGCGAGAGATCATGCGAAGGATTGTCTCTATTGTTCTTTTTGCTTTCGCTCATGGGCAATCTTACCTACGGCGCCGGAGTATGTTCTCTTGTACTTCTTCTGCTTCTTACCCTCACTGACAGTTCCAGATCCTTCTCCACTCCGTCGAGAAGCAGTACTTCCTCAAGAACCTTCCCTGGCTCATTGGATCCCTCGGAACGATCTTCGAAGACGCCGTCATCTTCATGCAGTTCCACATGTATGGCGAGAAGACATCAGCTATCGAGTAACAAACTCGGCCCATATCTAGATCCGCATGTACAACATATCGCCATAGATTGTAATCAGATGACATTGCTATCATACAACTCTCGAGTTGACCTGTATATCTATCGTTCTGCTCAAGGCGTTTTCGAACACCAGGGACCCTTTCCGACATCGGAAACAGGTGCAGACTCACCTTTGTGTTTGTCAGATACATCCACGTTCATTACAGTGATGAAGAAGTCCACGATCCTTTCGTTGTGCTCTAGTTTCCCAGGGAGATAAAATGTTCGACGCGCTCTCACTGAGATCCACTCTGGTTTGAAGATTGTCGTGAATCTCAATAGCTACACACGTGACATTCTTGAGCACACGGGAGGATGTGACGTGCCACGAGTTCACGCGATCGACCCGGATCGGATGTGAATGAGGGGAAACGGCAATAGTTAATCGCTTTCAACTTTCGACAACTTCTCGTCCTCGAAGCATTCATTTTGACAAGGATACAAAAGAGCAGATCAATAATTCGCAAAGTGAAATTCGTATTAAAATCATTGCACTCACAGCTCACCAAATTCATGATTCCAGCACCCCGGCACAAAGATAACTTCGCCGGGCAAGACAAGCGGGTAAAAGTATCAGGCCAAGCAGGACCGTTCCCAATGACGATTTGAGAAAAGCAAAAGTCAATGATTGGCTAAGTGAGTGCCCGCGGTCGTGTGCCTTCCTTACTCGGCCCAGCGATATGCATGAGCAGTGTTAGACTACCGCGCAGGAACTGTGAGTAATCTTCAGTGGTTATCCATTCGTTCCCTCATGTCGACCCGGTCCTGTCTGCGTCTGTCCTACATTATATACAGAATCTACTGAGCATTATTTTGCTATCACATTGTCACTATACATTCGTCCGCGCCTCACATCAAGACAGCATGAGTAGACCTGTGTCTCCACTTCACGATCTGCTGGCAAAGGCACCAAAGGCTAGCGAGGACTTCCAGATAGCTATGGACGAGACTTCGCCTTACCAAACATATGATGGCACTAAGCAGAACGAGTCACAATTTCTTGAGCCTCCACAGCATAGGGCTCCCCACAGGCCATTATCCCCAGACACTCTTTCCAACCTTTCTGCAGAAGAGTTTGACCAACTCGGCCCAAGAAACGACGAACCATCGGTCTGGTTAGATGGTGGACATCAAGCACTGAAACCATCATGGACGGCCAAATGGCAAGCCAAGCTCCGTGCTAGTTGGACACGCAATGCCGGTCTCTTCTACATGTTGCTTGCACAAGTCTTTGGTGTGATGATGAATGTCACGACAAGATTATTGGAGATCGAAGGAAACAAGGGCAAAGGGCTGCATCCATTCCAAGTGCGTATACGAAGGTCCCGTCCTCAACAACTACAGCAGATGTTCTGACTACCAAGATCTTATTCGCCCGCATGTCTATCACTGTTGTGCTTTCATCTCTGTATATGTGGTATACAAAGACGCCACACTTCCCTCTGGGTAACCGCGAAGTGAGATGGTTGCTAGTCGCGAGAGGCTTGGGTGGCTTCTGGGGCGTATTTGGAATGTATTGTGAGTAGAAAGTTCACAACGGCGCGCTGTATATGCTAACAGCCATCGCAGATTCTCTTATATACCTACCGCTCGCAGATGCCACGGTCATAACGTTCCTCGCGCCCAGTCTCACATGCTGGGTTTGTTCGTTTTTGCTTAAAGAACCATTCACAAAGATCGATAAGATTGGGAGTCTCATATCTCTGGTGGGCGTGGTTTTCATCGCCAGACCCACATCGTTGTTTTTCTCGTCAGCGGATGCTCCACCAGCCAGTGGAAACACCGACGTCGTGTCTGGGGCTAACAGCACAGTGACCATTCCGGACGCATCGAACTACGACAATGTTACGCCGGCTGAATGACTGGCGGCTGTAGGCATCGCTTTGGTGGGCGTTGGCGGTTCAGTCATCGCATATACAACGATTCGATGGATTGGAAAGCGAGCTCATCCACTGATCAGTGTGAACTACTTTGCTACATGGTGTACTATCGTCAGTATAGTAGCGCAGCTTACCCTTCCCGGCATCGGATTTCTTCTTCCTGCAGACGCGAAAGAGTGGGGATATTTGTTGTTTCTTGGGTAAGTGAGAGACTTTCGACACGCACAAGAGCATGGCTAACCACAGACAGAACATGCGGATTCATCATGGTAAGCACGAAGCCTCACCGTGTGCAGATTGTTGTCACCATCGCCCTTCTCCACCGATGTGTCTGGTAGCATCAAGGTTGTAGAGATGCAAGATGCTTTTGAGATGGATGCGACGCCTCAGAGAACCCCACCCGCGAGCTTCCACTGGGAACAAGTCCGATCCGAAAAGCATCGTGCATTTCTACAGGTAGCGTGACAGGCTGGCACACGAGGAAGAGAAAAGCACAACGAATTGACCGCAGGCTAACTTGAAACAGCAATTTCTTTTGGCAGCAGGATTGAGTTACGAAAAATCGTCGCGAGCCACCAACATGGCATACACATCAATGCTGTTCGCGCTAGGGTTTGACAGATTCATCTTTGGACAAACACCAGGAGCGACATCTATAATTGGGTCGACATTGATTCTTGGGTCGGCGATTTATATGGCAATGCAACGAGACAAGGGGGGTAGTGCTCGGGCAAATAATGAGACTAGGACAGGAGTGGGACAAAATAGAGATGAAGAGGAAGGTTTGATGAGAGGAGCAGATGAAGGAGATGAGGAAATTATTGACCGAGGACAAGAAAGCATCATTGAAATGGAGCCAATAGAGGCAAGACGGTGATGGAGGTTATGAATAATCATAGATATACGTAGAACGTACATAGTTAATGATGATTTGCAATCGACGGAAACGCGTGACAAAGACACGGCGGACGCAAAGGAGGAATAATAAAGCTAAGGTGGAAAAATGGAGCGAAAAGGGAAGGAAAAGACAAGTGAGGCGGCTGCGGCTTCGATGGGATCAGTCCTTATGACGAACACGAACGTCCAAGTCTGGCCGGTCTCTTGTCAGCGACTTCCCAACCAACAACGCCAGGCACTCTGAATTGCTACGGCGCCGCCTCAATATACGCGCGTGTTTGATTATCCTTTACGACAACAACTGCACCGGACGCGCCTTTGAGGAATATTGCATACCCGCGGCGATAATTGAAGGTAGACTCCAGTGCTGGTACTCGAGGTGGAGCACAGCCACTCGTAGCCTCATCCTCATCATCATCGCCGTCTCGCCCTCATAGCAAGGCCCCTCTTCGAGGCACGTGCAGAGGCAGACATACAGGCAGACAGTCTTTAGCAAAGACGCATCCAAGCCTGTTGGTGCACGGTTTGCGAGGTCCTGTTCGACTTGTATCCCCACGACTTGGACTTGTCGCCAAACAAGCGCCCGAAACATCATGGCCGACCTCCCGGCCCAGCCCAACCTGCGCGTGACTAGTGAGTACCTGCTGTCGCTCCGATACAGCGCGCTCTTCCGTACTGACATTATCCAGTCATCGCCGCCGACGGCCTTTACAAGAGAGATGTCTTCCGTGAGTGCCCCTCCTCCGCGCCCGCTCGTGCCGCCGACATGGACTGACGCTGCTCTGCAGGATTTCCCGATCCCTTCGCCGTAGCCACCATCAATGGCGAGCAAACAAAGACGACAGGCGTCATCAAGAAGACGCTCAACCCCTACTGGAATGAGAGCTTCGACATGTACGACTATCCCTCCCCCGGCTATGCCATTCCACTCCGTGTTTCCGGAACTGACGGGAGCCTGCAGGAGAGCCAACGAAGAGAGTATCCTCGCGGTTCAAATCTTTGACCAGAAGAAGTTCAAGAAGAAGGACCAGGGTTTCCTCGGTGTTGTCAACGTTCGTGTTGGCAGTGTCGTTGACCTGGACGCTGGTGGTGATGGTATGTCGACAAGTCTTGCACACACGTCTGGAGCTGACAAGACCCCTCGCAGAAATGCTTACCCGTGACCTTCGCAAGAGCAACGATAACCTTGTTGTTAACGGCAAGCTGATCCTCAATCTATCGACCAACCTTCGTCCCGCCGCAACTCCGGCCGCCGCCGCCGCTGCACCCGCAAGACCTAATGGCGCTGCCTCATCAACCACCCTAGATGCTCCTCCTCCAGCAAGCGCCCAACGCCAGGCCAGTACATCAGCCGATACGTCAGCTCCTCGCACCGCCGGATTCAGCGCCTTCGAGGATTCACAAGGTCGTCTACCTCCGGGATGGGAACGAAGAGAAGACAATCTTGGACGTACATACTACGTCGATCACAACTCCAGACAGACAACGTGGGTTCGTCCGACAGCGAACTTCAACGCTGGCGAACAGCGCCAGGCCAACGAAGCAGAGACACAAGCGCAGCGCGCGCGACACCAGAACCGTATGCTGCCTGATGATCGCACGGGCGCCAGCTCGCCAACACTCTCTGGCGGTCAAAACTCTCCACCCAACGGTCCTGCCGGAACTTCAAACCCTCAGGCAATGTCAATGATGGCCACTGGCACTACTACTGCTGGTACTGGGGAACTACCTGCTGGCTGGGAACAACGCCATACGCCTGAAGGTCGTGCTTACTTTGTCGACCACAACACGCGTACCACCACATGGGTCGACCCCAGGAGGCAACAATACATCCGCATGTATGGTCAAAACGCCGCCGCCGGGACCATCCAACAGCAACCTGTTTCGCAGCTTGGTCCTCTACCCAGTGGCTGGGAAATGCGTCTTACTAATACCGCCCGTGTCTACTTCGTTGACCACAACACCAAGACAACTACCTGGGACGATCCTCGCTTACCCTCATCACTCGACCAGAACGTACCGCAGTACAAGCGTGACTTCAGACGCAAGCTCATTTACTTCCGTTCTCAACCCGCCCTCCGTATCCTGTCTGGACAATGCCACGTCAAGGTCAGACGTTCTCATATTTTCGAAGATTCATATGCCGAGATCATGCGTCAAAGTCCCAATGATTTGAAGAAACGACTGATGATCAAGTTCGATGGTGAAGACGGTCTCGACTATGGTGGTCTCTCCAGAGAGTTCTTCTTCCTGTTGTCTCACGAGATGTTCAACCCCTTCTACTGTTTGTTCGAGTACTCGGCCATCGACAACTACACACTACAGATCAACCCTCACTCAGGAATCAACCCGGAGCATCTTGGCTACTTCAAGTTTATTGGACGTGTAGTAGGTCTTGCCATCTTCCACAGACGCTTCTTGGATGCCTTCTTCATTGGTGCCTTCTACAAGATGATTCTTCGCAAGAAGGTCAGTCTTGCCGATATGGAAGGTGTTGATGCCGACTTCTACCGCACCTTGAGCTGGACCCTGGACAACTCTGTCGAGAACGTCATTTTCGAACACTTCTGTGTTGAGGACGAGGTCTTTGGCGAGAAGGTCACTATTGACCTTAAGCCTGGTGGCAGAGATATTGAGGTCACCGATGACAACAAGAGAGAATACGTTGAGTAAGTTGCTCATGTTGCTGTATTAAATCACTCTGACTAACACACCACAGGCTTGTCACGGAATGGAGAATCCAGAAACGTGTTGAAGAACAGTTCAACGCCTTCATTCAAGGTTTCCACGAGCTCATCCCATCAGACCTTATTAATGTCTTCGATGAGCGTGAGCTTGAACTCCTCATTGGTGGTATTTCCGAGATCGACGTCGATGATTGGGCCAAGAACACCGACTACCGTGGTTACGACGAGAAGGATCCCGTCATTCAGAACTTCTGGAAGGTAAGTTCCTCCGTCATCCACTGCGTTATTCTAATAACACACATGCTGACCCTTTATCCGCAGTGTATCCGCACATGGGACTCTGAGCAAAAATCTCGTCTATTGCAATTCGCAACCGGTACCTCGCGTATTCCCGTCAACGGTTTCAAGGATCTTCAAGGAAGTGACGGCCCCCGCCGCTTCACGATCGAAAAGTCAGGCGAGGAAGGTCAACTCCCCAAATCGCATACTTGTTTCAACCGTCTGGATCTGCCGCCGTACAAGACCTACGAAGCACTCAACGCCAAGCTTCTATGGGCCGTCGAAGAGACCGTCGGATTCGGACAAGAGTAGAGAGAGAAAGGAAAGGCACGGGAAAGACAGTGCAGGGTTTTCATTATTCATTATTCAGTTGGCTAGGAACACGGTAGAGCTGAGCTGAGCTGAACAAAGACAGAAATGGGAGGAAGGTTTTTATCATGCATGCTCGATTGATTTTGTGTTTTCTCGTTAACGTTACAAGATTCAAGAGATTGCAAATGTGGAATATGTTGAATGCTTGTCTCATTCTCATCTTGGATCGTTGCTTCAGTAAGGGAAGGAAGGAAGTTGCATTTTTCCCTTTGCACAATCGCTAGCTCAAACTCGTTTCCTTTTTGGTAATTACCAGGCAGGGTGAGCTCTCAACAGCACAGTTTTCTGTATAAAGGTTTATTCTGATCTTGCTATTTCTTCCAATGCTCGCTCGATTATGAGAGCTTTCCATCATGTATAGCTTCATGTATTCAAGATTTTGTATACTCTGAAGAGGTGCACAATGTTCTGCTTTTCTATCTTCGAAAGTTCCCAAGTCGAAGGTGGGGATGGGGTGACCCTGTTCGAATGTTCTGCGGCATCAGGATTACGCTGCAGTGATTTGGTTCGAGGTCATTGCTTGCTGTGCGTGAACCAATAGTCCTAAGAAGTTCGACTACAGTGGTCTTGTTTAGCTTGCGATGATATCGGTTGTTGAAAGACAGAGCAAAAGCTCACAAGTAACCACAGAACCAAATCTTGACCATCGGGACCCATCAAACCTGTCCTGTTCCATTCCCAAATTTCGTTTTAGCTCATCTATATCCAATAGAATACACTCCAGTCCAGCTATGAGTCGTAATATCAACGCAGTAAATGATCCCGTTCTAAATTCCCACGGAAAAAACGTAAAAAGTCAGTCAAACGTTCTTGGTCCTCTCGACATGAACGGCATAATCGCCTTTGTTACCCTCGTCATCTAATACATTGGTAGCGTTCTTAAGTCCTTTTGCCCTTGAGTATCTCGGTATGGTGTCGTAAGTCGCTCCCTTGATGATGTTGCCTTCGAATAGAAGAGACATGGACTCGAGTGGGACGCCTTTGGTTTCGGGGACACTTTGCAGAATAGGTCAGTTCACAGCTGACGGGATGAGTAAGAGGGAAGGCTTACCAGAAGACCGTGTAGATTGCCATGATGATGCAGCAGACGCCGAAGATTAGGAACGTGCCGTAGGTGATGCTGTTGAGCATGACGGGTGTGATTCTGGCGATTACGCAGTTGAAGGCCCATTGGCACATCAATGCCGATGCCATGACAAGTGAGCGAACATGGTTAGGCTGAAGATCATTGTCAATAGGGCCGTGGCAATGATTGAGAAAGAGGAGATACGTACACTTGTCTCGGAGGCAAGAATGAAGGGAATAGGACCCCATCCCACACTGTAGAAGACCACAAATAGGTAGACGGAGATGATGGCGAAGATACTGTTTCCGTCCAATGGTGCTCCTTCGACAACTGGGTTGACGGCTTGGTTGATGCCGATGTAGAACATTGCAAAAGCCTGTCCCAAGGCTCCGATAATCAAGCTCCATTTTCTGCCTAGCCTGGAGGTGATGGATGTTAGCAAGAGACACATGAACCATTTATATCAATAGCAACATACTGCTCCGTCATGAATGCCAAAGCTAGCGCTGTTATCACGACTTTGACAACGCCATAGATACCTGTGGCAAAAAGTCCAGAAGACGAGCCGAGACCGATGGACTTGAAGATCCTAAAGGGATACACACATTAGCCGCTGAAAGTCTATAAGGCGTATAAAGACGTACTGGGGTGAGTAGTAGTTTATCGAATTGGTGCCTGTCCACTGTTGAAACATCATAAGAATGATGGCCATGGAAAATCTGTAAAAGTATTTCCTGTCTGAGCACACGACTTTGAGTTGTCCAAGCAGTGGAATCTTTTCACGACTTTGGAAGTCGGCTATGATCTCCCCAAGCTCTTTTCGAACAACCTCATCGTCCTGTGAGCGACCGCGTACATGTGCAAGCGCTCGAGCGGCATCATCGTGTCTATCCTTCTCCACGAGCCATCTTGGACTTTCATTTTGGAAGACGATTCCGATGAGAAGGAGTGCACCAGGTAGCATCTGCAGAGCGAATGGGATACGCCATTGGGCATCTTTGTCAGAAGAGATCGATCGAGTGACACCGTAGTTGACAAAGTAGGACAGCATTATTCCAGTGACGTTGAAGAGTTGCATCGTGCCTATGCAGCGACCTCTAATCTCCTTGTTGACATTCTCGCCTGCAGGAGACTGGGTCAGACATGCCTCCATCTGATTACGATAGAAGCAGACTCACCAATGTATGTGGGTACCACGGCAGAGATCAAGCCAACGCCAACTCCACCGATCACTCTGCCAATGTACAACAAAGTCAGTGAGTGGTTGCCGATAGCACTACAGGTCTGAAGCAAGCTGCCAATGATGAAGATAATGTCTGCATATATGAGAGCGGACTTTCGACCAAAAGTATCAGAGACCCAGAAGCTAGCAGCGGCACCGACGAAGCACCCGGCTTGAAGTACAGACACGATGTTGCCTGATAAGTCGGCATATGCTGCTGGAGTGTTGACGAGAGCGAACGAATTCTTGAAAGAGTCCATTGTCAGAACGCCACCAATCAAGCCCTATAACTCAATGTCAGTTCTGATCATCATTGTATCCATCGGAGGTCTTACGTACTGTGTCCCAGCCAAAGAGCATTCCTCCGAAACTCGCTACCGCTGTGAGGATGTATGCTCTTCGGTACTCTTTGATGTCGGTCCAAAGACCCGTCGTCTTGGTGCTAGAAACCATGATGGATCAGAGTGCTGTTGAGCACTGCACAACCCGATCGAGATGTCAGAGATAAACAAAGATCAAGCTTGGGATACTCGGATGAAACTTTGACTGCAACGATAGGCGGCGAAGTCTATCTTGATATAGATATTCAGAGTATAGGAAGGAAGCTACTCCGCACTTCCCCAAAGATGTGCGTTGGGGTTGGCTGCCAAGTGCGATCGTCGAGGGGTCGGCTTCTGGAGATAAACACCTTTTGAGATGAGGCTGTGTAACGGATTCAATGACTCGAGTGGAAAGATTGTGAGCAGACGTACTGTAGCTCTTATCTATGTTGTCAGAGGGAAGAACAACGTCTTTACGAGTTGGCTCATACTGTAGAAATGTAGTTATGACCACAGAAAGGTATACCATCGATCAACCTTTGGTGCTGATGACTTCGGTCAAACTTTGACGCGAGCGGCTAAAGTCGATTTGCCGAAGGCTTCAAAAAGCGACACCACATGGAGGTGCAATAAATAATCGAGTAAACATTTCATTCTTCGTTGAACCTATGTGCATAAAAAGTGTCTCATGTGAGCATCTACTTGGACTGCTCGGGTATCAAAGTCACCAACTCGCCCTTCTCAACAGCCGATCTCAGATTCTCGAGAACCAGCAGCTCCATGTCCTTTTGTGTCTCCCAAGTTGCTGTTCCGATGTGAGGCAGCAGAACAACGCGGTCATCACTGATCAGCTCGGGGTGAATCTTTGGTTCCTCCTCAAAGACGTCCAAGCCAGCTGAGAAGACCTTCTCGCTCTGAATGGCCTTGACCAAGGCAGCTTCGTCAATAATGGGACCTCTGGCTGTGTTGACAATGACGACACCATCCTTCATCATGTCGAATTGGGCAGTCGAGATGATGTGTTTTGTCGAGGGGTTCAAGGCCAGGTTGAGACTCAGTACGTCCGAAGTCTTGATCAAGTCGTCGAAGGAAACATATTTGGCGTTTCCAGCCTTGTCCGCAGGCAGCGGGTTGCGGTTGTGGTACTGAATCTTCATGCCGAAAGCGGCAGCTCTCTCGGCGACAGCTCTTCCAATGCCTCCCATTCCGAGGATACCCAGCACCTTGTTCTTCGGGTCATGACCAAGACCGAAGGCCTTGCCACGCCACTCGCCCTTTCTGACAGCGTTGAAGGGAACGGTGATGCGTCTAAGGGCTCCTAGCATGAGGAAGATGGCGATGTCGGCGGTAGCGTCGTTGACGGCGATAGGAGTGCTGGAGATGTGGATACCGCGAGCGGTACACGCCTTGACATCGATGTTGTCGTAGCCGGCGCCATTGTGGGTAATGTATTTGACGCTCGACGGGAGCAGATCAACCAACTCTTTGTCAAAAGGTCCTGTTACCCCGGTCGATTCGTTGCTGCGGTAAACGACAAAGGTATCGTCAAAGTCGCCTGACTTGAGCTTGGATAGGAACTCGTCTCTCGAGCCTGTCTTGTACTCCTGTACATGGCAGTCAGCATATTGGACAGCTGCTGTTGGCGCCGTGTTTTCCGACCTTCAATTCAAGCAGAGAGCTGAGATCGTCCCACTCCTTGCGAGCATGCGAGATGTTACCAATGAGAAGAGCAGAGCGTGCCATCTTGAACGTGTATAGTAGAGTCAAGCGTGTTAGGAAAGTGGGAGAAGATGAGATAAAAAGAAAGCCCCCGTCAACTGACGGAAGAGAGAGCGGCATATGTCATGCTCGGTTGCCGACCCCTCCTTGCCACAAACGCCGACGTGGGGTCTGTGGTCAACATTTATCCGCCTGTTCTCAATCCCACTGCCCACACGTTGCAGACAAGTCTGTTGAGAATCCACAGCACAACATCACTTTTGCTAACTTGATCTCGGAATCGAACTCGGCCGATGTCTGGTAGACTTGACGCTTCTTCATTATGCCGCTCTGATACCTGCTATGACTACATGCTGAACGTCCAATTATCCATCGATCCTAATCCACTGAGTGGTCCTAATGGTCCACTATCCGTAGGAAGGAACCCCGTCCACCACTCAGCGTCCGTAGACATGCCATCATTTCCGTTCACCGCGAAATTCCCGATCGCATCTAAATCTGTCCAGCTGAAATCACCCATTTGATCTGTCACCGCTGGCGACTCCAACGAAGCCGACGCTGCCGAGTTCGACGCCGGCGTGGCAGCACTTGTGCTGACTGGCCTGTAAGGATTCTCAAGCGTGGCAAGTGACCGTGAAGATCGTGGCCCCTTGTGAGACTTCCGATCTACTTTGTCCCAGAGCAGCTTTAATAGCTGCGAATATCTGCTTCCTGGATGGCTCTCTCCAACTCCGGATCTTTGGAGTACTGTGACTGTCTGCTGGATCATCCTTCTGACCGAGGATTCCTCTTCCGGTGCCATGACACCGACTGAACGCGCATGATACAGGAAGACACCAGCGTATACTGTGAAGAGGTAGAACCTGAGGGGCATGTACCGCAGCATTCTTGGTGAAGAAAGTTAGCAGATCTCTTTTGAAGCCGGATATTAAGACATACCTCTCTGCGTCAACAAAGTTGTTCATAGTGGTAAGCAGGCTCTTTGCAGCATCGAGGCCTTCGTAGATGAAACGCGCATCTCCCACCGCGCCAACGTTGTTGTAGAACACTCGACTGAATGACGGCTTTCCGTTCTCACCTTCGGGAAGCGCACGTCGTATGGTGGCATGGAATGCAAAGGCGTTTGTGTACAGTCGTAAATAGTCATAAGACATCAGGAGCATCGCTTTGAGATTGGGTGAGCCTAAATTCCATGTCAGCACAAGTTACTCTGATCAGAAGTCTCAACCGTACACGTCATGGTCCCGTACACAGCGTTCCATCCGTAATACGCGCTCCGGAAATCCTAATGAATCAGGATTAGCATGGACTCTAAGGAGAGACACGATAAGGTGACTTGCATCGACGATTTTGATGTAGTAGCCCCCAGTCAGATGGTTCCGCAGACTGTTTCCCGGGCTGCTATACAGAACGTCATGTACGTTGCTGAATAGTAACGTCAACTCCAGAGTGGCTTGGAACAGTTTCGGAAAGTCTTCGTCACCAGGATTCTGGGGCTGGTAAGGAAAGTCCTCTTTCCGGATGGCAAGACCAGGTCCAGGTCCTCGACTCCAGAACGCGCGACCGATGCGAATCGAGATCTGTCTGTCTGATATGTAGCAGCAAGTCCAGACCAGACGTTTCCGTTTCCATTCGGGGTCTTTGATGTCTCCTGCGACTGGAAACGAGTACTTGTCCAAGCTTAGGTAGTAACCAATACGCAGAGCTGTCCCGACGTGCATCCACGCCTCACGGTCCTCTTCACCTCGTCCGACATTGCCCGCTCGGCTTCTGGACGTGTATGGTGTCCACTCAGCCAGAAGCAACAACCCCTCAACTGCCTCAACCCCTCCCGGACCACCGGCAACCAACACAGATACCAGAGATTGCATGTATTCTGAACACGCTGTGAAGATATGTGGCTCTTCCAACAAATCTTTCGAGGCAATGACTAGCATGGCTGTCAACAAATGAGGTTCGTTCTTGGCGGTCTTTGTGAGGTTGTTGGTATCCAAAGTGCTGGGAGGAGCGATGGAAAAGTAGGGGTGGTAGTGTTGACGGTAGCGTTCAATCAGCTGGGTGATCTTGGCCGATGACAGAGCGCCTGTTCTGACAAGGTGATAGTCGAGGCTATCATGATTCCAATTGCTCGAGTATAACGAGTTTGCGCGAAGACTATGAGTAGATTGTTTTTCTTGCCAAGCAGGTTGGCGGCCGGGATGGTTGTCATTGCTCGCGATTTGAGCCAGTATGTCCAATGCGTCGGAAGGGTTTTGCAAATCATTGAAGGGCATGTTGTCAGAGCTCGACGAGCGAGCCGACTCTCGGGTGGCAGCTTCGTTTGATCTCAATCCACTCGACGTTGATGGCCCAAGAGTAGGATCGAGATCCATTGCAAGACTATGCGGGTCGAACAATTGACGTTGGGTTGCAAAGTCCAGATTACTGACACCAGTGTTGGTTACTGAAGGACTCGCAGCAGTCACGGTATGTTGTGGAGGGTCAGAGTACGGGTTGTTAGGTGCAGTACCCGGGTTCCTGTATCATGCATCTGGTAAGCCTAGCTCGCGGCAAATGAAGCTTCATCATCTCTGAGTCCCTCTGTACCTAGATAGACCCTACGTAGTGTGAGGCGTGTGACCTACCATGGAGTCCCGAGTACGGATTCATCGTTGGAGTCAGTCTTTTGGGCTTGAGGTCGAGCTTGCGCTTGTGGCTGTGTACTGGTCTGCGTCTGTTGCTGTGCTTGTTGCGAAGCTATCGTTGACCTTCTGACCCTTCTACCTCCACGGTTACTGCTGCCGATCACACATTGCTTGTTTTCTTTGCGACATCGCAAACATGGTGGCTGAGGTTCTCCATCTGTTGTGTCTCTGCAGAAGACTGTCAGAACAGTCCGTATGTACTGGTTGTCTGGAAGTGTTCTCCCAAAGTCTACAACCGACTGACGTCGACTTGGACTCTGAATGAGATGGACGAACGACTGACAATGTGCATTTGCTCTTCCTCGCACGGCAGACCAGGCCTGTAGGTGATTAGCGTAATCCACTGGAGATATAACAGGATCAGATGATGATGCATCGGAGACTGCGTCGTCGATAGTGCTATGATGTTCATGTTCCGCTGAAACGCCGCCCGGGACGGCTATCCAAAAGCAATTGCCTTGAAGCCGGCTCGCGATCATGTCTGCAATCTGGTATCACATACAGGCTTTGCTTGTTCGTTTCGGCTGCTTGCCTGGATCAGGCGAGCCTTGAGATTGTGTATCTGTGTTCATATCCGACATGATTTAATTGCGACAGCGGTTTGTGAGATTCTTGGGAGAATGGTGCAGATGTGGTGAAAGAAGAGTCAAACGCCGCCCTCACAAAAACCCAATGTAGGGATGTCGGCTATTGACGGTCGGCTTTGGCGAGTGCGCTTCGATGATGCCATTCTCGACCTATGCCAGAGCCCATTTGGAATTCCAAGTAAGTAGTTCGCATACAATGAAACGTAAGACAACCCCTGAAGACTTCAATAGTGTCTGGTACCATACTCTGTAGCTGCCCGTGCCTGGGTGGTAGGAGTCAGTACAAGATCAAGTCATTGCATTTGAGGAAGGAGTTCGAGGAGGGGTTCAAACGCCGACAGCCCTGAACCCCGCGTTGGAGAGGAAACTCAAATGGGCCGGGCCCAAAACTCTACGAGTACTCGAGTACCCGAGTACGACTACCTTGAGAATTCGCACTTCTGGTTCCAAAACATAGAGGTACACCTCGCAGCAGGTGCACATGTGAACAAGTTGAATCACTATGATCATCTGTGAGATGTTGGGCGATCGGCATCGTTGTTCCCATTGCTATAAAACTTCCGCCACCTCTAACCCATGAACGAAAGGACCATCATGATGCGACTCTGCTCAAGAGAGAGGGGTTCACGAAGAAGTACCCAAAAGATTATAATGCTGACTCGTAGCTTCGTGTATCTCGTCGTGGTTCTTGTTATCTATACACCGTGTCCAATCTCAAAATCTGTGACCGTGTTGCATCGCATATTGGCGTTTGACCATCATGATGATGGAATATCAGAACCATTTCGCTCTATCCACATTCGTTTGCCCGTTCTAACTTCGAAGTGGGAAGCAAGGCACGAATCGTTCTGACCGGAGGCTAGCATCGCACTCCATGTCTTGTCCCGGTAGGCATCCACTATGACATGATCAGTTCTCAGTTTCGCTTAACGCAAGGTATCTCACTCACGGGACTTCTGCATGAATATCGGTCTTTCGTTGAACGTCTTCGCTTGCCTCCAACTCATGCGATAGCCCAGCTCATTGAGCTCACGCTCCTTGCTTTCAAGATCCTTGGTTTCCAGAGGAATAGACAGTCCTGATCGTGAGCCGTCCATTAGAGGCACATGCACCATGTTGTCCCCGTCGTTGAAATTCGCGGAGCCATCTTCTCTCTCAACTTCGCCTGCTCTAACCAGCCCGTCCGAATACCTGGGGGAGGACGAAGGTGAACGCATTTGACGAGGGAAAAATTGGCGTGGAAATACGCTGTTCTTCTGAAGATGAAAGTCCGGCATCTCTTCCATTTTGATGTTGTCAAGCTCCACATGCACACGCACTCGGGTTCCACGTACGAGATCGTCGACCAAGATGAATTTTCGTTTTTTGCCTTCGGGCACGTTCTTGATGAGCGGCGGCTTCCTTTCATCTTCTTCCGACTTGATCCATCCATGGCTGTCTGAAGACGAGGAGTGGAACTCACTGGAGACGGATGACAAGAATGCAGGGCAATGGCTGTCCCGACGGCAAGCTTCAACAGGAGATTCGAGACCAAGACTACTTGGTGGGCTTTGACGACTCAAAAATGAATGTGCTTCATTGCTAACTATATGAAAGAAGAAAAGAAATTAGCCTAGAGACAATCATGAAAAGATGGGTATTGGTCTGAAAACAATCAAAAGCAACAAGTCCAACGCCCCAAAGGCACCACACTATATGATACATGCAACCCAATTCTCGCCATTCAAACATCCCTTAGCAAAGCAGGTGTAACATCGCAGCGCTTCGTTAATCACATGTGGAACATACCGCTCTCGCCTCCACTACCATCCGACGTCGAGTGGTGATGATGTAGCTGGCCAGCAGCTAGGTTGAGTGGGGGTGGTCTGGTTGAATCCATTGACATGACAGGTTGTACTCGTGACGCAAGGACTTCGGCAGGAGAAAGAGAAATCGGTCCATCCGGTTGGCGTAGTTGGGCCTTTCGGTTGTTGATCTTGGCTTGCCTTCTCACTCGTCTGCTGCGCAAGCGAGGATCTTGGTTGCTGTTGCGCCAACTATCTACAGCACGTTGAATGAGGCCACGCTTCTCCCTTAGTGCTGGATTGAGATGTGCTAGCGCCCAGCCGACAGCATTGCATTCGCTTTCGTAGTGAAGTCGGTTTCCCTTGTAGCCTTCCTTGCCGCTGTATGCACCCGGATACACACAATTCGCGGTCTTGAACTCAGGAGTTAATTCCTCGATGACCACGGACTCGACGTCGCATCGGATCTGATACTCCATCTTCACTCTGTCCCGAGAGTACTCGAATGCGATCCATTGCACACCATTCTGATCCTGGCGGACGACCAAAGGAGTCGTAGCAGGGATCGGCCCCGGGGCGGCGGTATTTGACCCTGGTCCGGCAGGTGGAGATGAAGTTGAAGATGGAGCTGCCGTAGACTGGGCCATCTCGATATTTGACATTGGCCTTTGCATGACGTTCTGCTCGACCTTCATGAATGGGTGTTCTAGTTTGAGGTGGGATGGCTCAATCTTGAGGCGAGGACTTCCAGAGACTCCATGGGACGGGGATGAATGGAGAGTCGAAGTTGGTTGTTGAGACATCAGAATCGCCGAGCCAGCTGGCGATACGGGAGGATACGTTTGCGAAGAAGGGTGAGTGGCATATGCTGAATGCGTCGGCAAGGCATACTGAGGATAGGCAAACATTTGCTGAGGAAATCCAAAGCCATGACCGTACATGCCACGAGCCTGAAGATCTTGATGTGAGGGATGCATCGATGTCGGTGATGGCGCATGAGAAGGGTGATAACCCCCCATGGAGGGGGGATACATCTGTCGATTTACTACTGGATGAACCGCCATTGCGTCTGGGCCTGTGATCAGGGTCAGATAATGCAAGCTTTGGAATGATGTCTGTAGCCTGAACTCACTGGAAAAGTTCTGGGTCCTTGCGTTATAAGGAGCAGAGTATAGAGCCGGTTGGTTCGTGAACACTTGTGGACCGGAAGGTGGTTGACTTGGAATCACAGATCCAGTTGATTGATTGGGGGGGACCGAATGTGCCGATGAGAGTGGAAGGTAGATTGGAGGAGGTAGTGATGAAGCCGGCTGTCTAGGAGAGTCTATGCGGTTGTGGTGAGAAGCCCCTCGGATATCGTACGACGCTGCTGTATGCAGTATGCCTGACGGGGTCGATTGTGTATAAGGCTGTAGTTGTTGATGTTAGAGAGTGATTGAACAAGATGATGGAGTTGATGTGCGGAGAATGTAGAAGCCTGGGGAGCAAATTGATGAGATGAAGAGGTATATCAGAAGATGTATTCTGGACAAGTGAACCAGGTTCGGACGACAACCTCCAACGATATCTGGACCGAACGCGGGAAAGACTCCGAAACAGTACAGAATGCACTGGTGTTGAGATGGAGTACAAGTACAAGAATGTGTTGAGGAGGTATGATCTCAAGCACATGTGGGTTCCGATCAGAGCTAAGAGGGCGGGGAGCGACCGGCCAAGCCAAGCCAAAGAGCTTCTGTGTAGATAACAGACGGAAAGAGAGAAGTGCAGAGGATATGAATGGAAGTATAGCCGAAGCGTTTGGCCCAGCCAGAGTGACAAGGATGAGTACAAGGATGAAGTGATATGTCTATGATGTGGAGGGGTAACAAAGGGCTGGGGCCTTACCATGTAGCGTATGAAAGTGCTTGGGATTGCCGGGGACAGGCAGCTTGTTCAATCCTGACCTGACACCTGCAGGAAATCCGGACCTCAACGGGCGTGCAGCAAAAGATACAAAGGAGTGGCGCGCGGCTGAGATGGGCGCCGTGGGAAGAGTTGTCGACAGGTACAGCAAAGTGATGCAGACGAGTTCGAAGCGAGTGCAGGAGTTATTGAATTGATGAGAGTGGAAACAAACCAAAGCCAGCAGCAGCAGCAAAAGAAGAGTGAAACGGGCACTACTTACGAGATCGCCCGCCACGACAGGACCCGGCTTGACCTTATACGCCTCCCCGCCGAGGATCAGAATTGTACATATGAGAGAGCATGATGAGGAAGAGACATGGAAAAGTCCGTGCGGAATGCAATGCACGTTGTAATCAATGCAGAGTGGTTCGTAATGATACCCGAACCAAGTCGCATTCTGATATAATGATGCGATGCTGTCCGCCAGAAACAGGCGGGTCCGAAGAACGACGAGTCGACGAATCAACGGACAAGTTCGTCGGTCAGAAAAAGAGTGGAAGCTTTTTCTTCGGCAGCTCCACGTGCAAACTGGCTAAGGCAAGGCATGACAAGGCACACACGAGGATGAAACGCGCCACCAGGCGCAAGCGATATTGCAAGCAAAGTGAACAGCCGCAGCGACCCTTTGATTTCTGGGAGTCATCATCATCAATCATCACAATCAACAGAATCATGACTGGTGGTCTAAGCGGCTCTTTCTCCGGCCTGTTCAACGGCTTGGTTAAGGTTGACATCCTTTGCAGCCATCTAAAGCCTCTCGCACGATCTCTGGCTGGCGACTCGTCTTTCGCTACTCGAGAGGCCACAGACTGCATGAGCCAAGAATAGCTGACTTTTCCTGTTGCAGACAAGCGCTGTTGCACATATGAATCTTTGTGCTCCTCTGCTCTTGCTTTCTCCAGGTGGACGCGTGTCCGAGTTTTCTTGAGGGCTGACGTTCAATCCATCTCACCAAACGCCTGCCAATTGCGCCAGCGGAGCGCGTCAACCGCCAACCTTCTTTTTCCAAACCATCTGCTAGTCTCAACGTTTCACCATGACTGACTAACGCTGTTGGTCCTGGCTTCCAACGTTCGGCTCCCACGCGTTCGGACCTCAATCCTTTTTCTCACGAGTGCTGATCAAGCCGCGTGCGAAATGTGACAGGGCAAATCTTCGTCGCCGGCTACGGAGGGTGTCGTTCTTTGATTGGTAACCTCACGGCCGACCAAGGATGAGCGATTCGAAGTGGCCACCCGTCTTGCTCCAACTTATCAATCTCTCCTTCAAGTGCGATCTGTGATCAGCTTTGTCTTCGGCACTTGTGCACCGGACTACCGAGATGGAGACATCGCAGCTGTGCGGTTCGTTTTCGCTTGTTGATCTGATCGCTAGCGGTCTGCTCGGATCGGAGTTCCCTACCGGTTTTGCCTTGCTGCCAGCCTCCTCATCGACCTCTCCCGGCTCCTGGGAAAGGTCACCACCACTAGGCTTTCAAGCCATAGCTTTAGCGGTTGCCAAGTCTCCCAGCTGACATCTGTCTGTCTGGGGACCTCCGATTGACGTTCGTCCAGCACGATGTGAACTTTGGAGAAGCGCAAATCCTAGAGTGCTGTCCATGATCGCTTCGATTGTTCTAACCACGCATGAAGTTTCGCTGATGATTTCGAGCGTCTTGAAACCCGAGCCTCATCAGCGACCTGATTTATATATCCACAAATCGCCAGTACTGGCACTGCGATACCTACTTGAGGAAGTGTTTCGATCGCGCGCATTCTGGCTATGCTCGCGTCAACCGGCATGCACTTTGTACAAACGTACGACGGCGCGATGCTCGACAGTTGTCATCCACGGCGATTGGCCGCCTCTTCCGTGTCGGATGCATATAGGGGTCGGTTCAGTAACTTACCAAATGGTAACTGACCAGTAAGTTCCCAGTAACTTACCTGGTAGTTACGGCCGAGGTATGGCCGCCCCGCAGAGAGGATCCGCTCGCCCGCCGTAGCCCTGTTTTTAGTCGATTTAGTAAGGGAAAAGGGCCGTGCGGAGGGTCGATTTAGGTCAGAAGATGGTGGATTCTTAGAAGTCATATCTGTTACGAAGAATTCATAAAATTGAACTGCGGCGCCGGTAGCAGCACTCCCCTATAAGCTATATACTCCTTCTGCTAAGCATGCTAAACATAGCCGCTTGTGTTATTATAACTTAGTTCTCTAAGGACCGGCCTCGCTAGCGGCCCTATCGAGCCTTAAGAGCTCTAAGAACCCTAAGTCTAAGTAGTCATCTCTAATACTCGTCGTTCCCTCTAAAGCTGCTCTAGAGTAACGTTTAGTGACGGTAATCCGTAATGATGTTAACTTAGGGTACTAGGGCGAGAGTACTAAGGTAAGGATAATCCCATTATTAAGAAGGTTTACTAAGTTAAAGGTAGATCTAGTAAAGGTGTTAAAGCGCGAGAAAGCTAAGATTATAGCCCTTGCTTCTTTAATGTCTGTTTCTTAGGTCTCTATGTTTAAGCGAGTAATGCCTTCTAAGCCGGTCGCTTAGTTAGATAGTTCTCGCTAGTCTAGAGATGCTAAAGAAACTACTAATAGGGCCTTATAACCTACGACGGCAGTAGTAATAAGAGGTTAAGATCTAAGCTTTAAAGTAACTAAGGAGTAGGAGGTAGCGGACTATAACGGGACAGGTTACCCTAGTCTTCTCTCTCTTTCGCTAAGCTAGCGTTTCCTATACGACACGCTAGCGTAGCATATAAGAAGAGTTCTATAGCTACCCTACGTAGAGCAACGAATAGCTTTAGCTATAGACAGACCTATTGTCTAAGAGTAATCCATACGTTGCTATATACCTTTATACCTTTATAATTCTATTCGTTCTACCTAGGTAGTAGCCTATAGATCCTCTATCGCTCCCCGCGGGCGTACCGATAGCGTCTCGCGACCCATTTAACGGACGTACTAATCTAGACTACGCGATACCTAGCCTTAAAGAACCTATAAGCGTAGGGGACATACTAGAGGCTATAGACGACGACGTAAGCGTCGACGAGGACGACCTCCGACGTATAATTACGAGGGAACGACTACGAGCCGAGTACTTAGCGCTCCGAGAACGTAATTGTATCGTATAGTAGCTAACGGTTAACGACCTCTACGTAGGCAACACCCCTAGCGGAATGCTAGGATTAAGAGAGACGAGCCCTACGTACTCGACTATTACTCCCTCCGAGGGCGAGGAATAGGCGTACTATACCTAGCACTTAGGCGGCTCGAAGTCGAGGAAATAACTAGACATCCCGCCTTTCTATAGAAAGGACCTCTACGACGTAAAGCTCTTCCTTTATCGTCTCGAGTTAGCCTTCTTAAATAATAAAGCCTCGTTTATCCGAGATAAGGATAAGATCGTCTACGCCCTCCTCTAGCTAAAAGGCGACGCCGAAGTAAAGGCGATGCGCGTATAGAACGTAGGCGCTATCGAAACCGGCATATAGCTAATGTTTAAGGAATTCATTATAAACACCGTAACCGACCTAGCTAATCGAGAACTAACGCTAATGCTCCGCTACGAATAAGCTACTTAAGGGGCTTAATAGAGCGTCTCCGCTTTCGCCTTATAGCTAGATAGCCTCGAGAAGGAGTTCGACGAGTTATATACGCCTACGTAGAGTAGGCGCTACCTCCTCGTAAAGCTAAGACCGGCCCTACGTAACGCTATCGTTTGCTAGGCGTATACCCCGAAGTTAAGAGAGGAACTTATATCCCTCGCCGAGAGAATCGAGAACTCTATAGTAGGCGACCGCGGCGCGTAACCGAAGCGCTACGCTTTAGAGACGTACGGGAACCGCGCTACGAAGAAGCCTTATACGGAAGATAACTCTCGGGATTCGGGTTAGAATCCGGCTANGATAAGCTAATCTACTACTACTAAGTAGGAGAGTTAAAATTAGTATAGTTATAGTAGATAAGCTACTAGCTATCTTTGCCCTTACTAGAGTATAGCTAAGATAGTCTATATATCTCTTAGTAGAAGGGAAAGCTTAACTTTATAGTTAGCTCTTAACCCCTATATAATTAAGTTAATTTAAGTTATAAGGAGTTACCTATTCGTTTAGGGGTTCTACTATAAGCCTCTTAATTTCTATAGTAAACCTTCTAGGTCTTCTACACTTCCTATTACTAGGGAAGAGTAGTTTATATAGATTTATACGAATTATTTTAACTCTAGTATCTATTATATAATATCTAGTAAGGACTATAATCTCTTCCTTCTTATTACTTAATAATAACTTATACTCTTTGTACGCTAACCTTCTACTCTTAGTAGTGTCCTTATTAAGGCTAGTATATAGCTATAAGTTAATGCTCTTAGTTAGGTACTCTCTATATATAATACCCTTAGCCTTAAGGTAGCATATCTTCTTTAATAACCTCTTATCTATTATTCTTATCTTTTCCTCTATAAACTAATACTTATACTTATAATCCTACGCCTTCTTAGCCCTTACTATCTCCCTCTAGATCTTTAGATTAGTAAGTTTCTTCTACTTCTTATTAATCTAGTTAGTCTCTACTCCTTAAAGGCGCTTTAAATGAGTAAGGGTCTTATAAGAAGATATTTCGCTAGGTTCGACATTATCTAGATTAAGCTAGTTTTAGTTTAAAGTAAGAGGCTATAGGACCTCCTTATTACAAAGGCGAGTAGTAAGGTTAGATCTCTACTTAGTAGTACGCTTAATATTAGCCTAGTTAGTAGTAGTAGTCTCCTTAATATTATCTTACTTCTACTTAAGATTATCGATATAGTCGATCTAGTTATTAATAGCTTAGTTTAAGGAACTATCTCCTACTTTCTCTTTACTACTAGTCTTAATAGTATACTTATAATAGCGCTTAGCCTTAATATTAGCTATCCTATGCTAATAAGAAATAGTAGTATACTTTATACCCTTATAAGCTTCCTAGAAATTAAGAGTAACGGTAATCTAGAACCTAGTCTTAGACATAGGATATTTATTAAAATAACGAACTAATAATTAAGTAAGTAGGGTCTTATCTTTCTTAGTTAAGTAAGTACCCTTACTACTACTACTTCTAGTAACCCTAAGATAGCTATAAGCACTATTAGTAAAGGGAGTTTAGGGTATAGGATAAGAGGTAAGCTCGAGGGTTAATTATTAAGTTAAGATAAGGTTATCATTAATAGTAAGGTTAATTTAAGTCCCTCTATAAGAAGAAGAAGAAGAAAGAGGTATACTTACTATAAGTAAGATAAAAGTAATAATAACTATAATATATAGCTTATAACTAACTACTTATTCCTCTTAGTACTAGTACTACTAGTCTCCTCTCCTTCTATTAATATAACTAATTATAAAATAATAAGTCTAATATATAGTATCTATAGTAATAACGTAAGTAATAGGTCTATATAGCTACACTACGACGATATAAGGTTTAGGCTACCTACGCTAAGTAGACGCTATACTACATTAAGTTAACTAAATATAGAGTAATGCCGCTTATACTAAGTATAAGCGCTACCTTATTACTCGAGCAATTTAATTACTAAGGGCTAGATTAAGCTAAATTTTTAAAGGCCAATATCGAGTATAAGCGCCTTTAGAACATGTCTAATAGCTATAAAGCCTACCTTTCTACTTCCCTTAGTTCTATCTTAGGTGTTTAGCCCTAAGTAGGGTCGAGATACAGCTATAACCTGCGCCTTCTTTATGCATTACTACCCTATATAGCCACCATCCTCGCTTCTTGCTAGAGATAGCTTACCTAAGCATCACGGGTTAGTAACTAGGAAGAGACGCATAATGAGAAATGTCGGAGAGTAATAGTAATCCGATCCGATTGGTCTAGAAAAGATAGATGCTTGCACGCATTAACTAGCTACAACAAATTGAAAATAAAACACTCGGTGTATCTCAAACGCTGTAAGAAAAAGAAGAAAGAAACAAAACTCCCACCACTAATCCCGCCGACGTGCAACAGCCCTCTGGATGCCTGACTTGCTCTCCCATATGTTCTTTACCCGTCCAAATAACAAACGTCACAGCCGTCTCCGCTCAATACCAGGCAACTCAACACATCTCACAACGCCATCTGGTGTAGCAAGCACAAGACAAAATGTGTGCGGCCCTCCGTCGCTCACCCAGCTGAACCCCATACTTGGTATCAACTTCATCTTTCCTGGGTAGTCCGCTGCTTTGCGCAGATTCTCCAACGAGATGCGGCTTTCGGATCTCTGAACGTCCGCACAGTATATCTCAGGCTTGCCTTTTTTCTTTTCCACAATGTATACAAATAGAGCTATTAGCGGGTTTCCAGGAGTCAAACTGGTGGCTGCAGCACACAGCACGTTCTTGTCGATTTTGCTGACATGGGTGATGCCATCAAAAAACTTGACAGTACCCGAAGGATAGTACATTGCGACATTGTCTTGGATTGGTATCATCAATGTTGGCATAATATCTCCACCAACATCAGGATGGGGCTATGGTATGTGTCAGCTGTTGCAACTACACGTGTGCTCAAGTTGCAAACATACCACCTTAGTTGGTGTGGACCAAGTGAGCGAGCTGCCAGGGATGTCGTAAGTGCACCATGTCTCCAGCTGTGGGTCCTCGATAGGTCGTGGGTTGTGACAGAGCATCAAGCAACGGCCATTGAGCGAAACAGATGGCTTGTGGGCTATATCGGAAGTGTTTTCCATCTTTTTGTAATACTCGGCATCGAGACTTTCAATGCTGCCCCCAAGTCAGCGCCAGTATCATTTGCCATATCAATTGCCTTACCTCGTGCGTGATGACCCGATCCTGACACAGTCGGAATACCATAGAATCACAGCTCCATCCATTCCTAGAAAGATATCGATAAGTCCCTCGGGGTCCTCAGGCTTGAAGATCCTCGGTTGTTGCGGTGGGCCGATCTGATTCTCGTTCGAAACGTCGTAGTATCTGATCTGGGAAGCAATCGTTAGCTCATAACGACTGTAATCATCGAGATGACCAACCTACTTCTGTACCGTCTGGGCTCTTTACACCAATTGCAACCTCGTCTTCGAACATTGTCACCAGTTCGATCTTGGTCGATGGTTGGGCCGAGACGTCGCAACGAAGGAGCACCTTCTTCGAGGCTGTAGAAAGCGAATGGACGACGAGTTGTCTTCTTGACCACAATGCTAGGTATTTAGCATCAGGGCTGAGCTTAGCACTCTTCATGTCTCTGGCCGATAGATCTGTACGAGCCCGACTTGGGCTAAGATGCATCGACGGAGGAGATTGCATAGACTGTGAGGATGTGGAAATGCTTCTATTCGAGCTTTTGGTTTCATTGCGTGCGATTGACGATCCATCATTACTCGGTCGTTGAGAGTGCTCACTAAACACTGATCTCTGCGATACACTTGGAGATGCAGAAGGTCCGGGTGTGTCAATACGAGGGACCTGGGACTGGGATCTTTGAGCGTTGCATATTAGTCGTAGGCGCTTTCGAATCTCCGAAGCTTTCGGTCTGGAAGACTGGACGATGGCGCCATGACTAGCTGGATCTTTATTGACTCCCAGTGTATCGAAGATAAGGTCGACGAATTGTGCAACCCAGCAATTTTCGCCAAACTGACCGCGTACTTGAAGGAGGTGACTGAAAACCGGTTCCTTCAGTCGGAAGTGGCCACGCTCCCGAAGTTCCTCGAAGAAGCTGTCGTCGCGATAGTCATTGGAGTTTCCTGGAAACCGCAGATTCTTGAAGGCAAGTACCTGGCCTGCGCCTCCAATGGAGTACATAAGAATCTCACTGAGAATGCATCCGAATGACCACATATCACAGTGACGACTACCACCGCTGGTGAGCTGGATACCCTCCTTCACGATCTCCGGGGCAGTATATCCACCGGGTGGACGTCGAGCAGTTGTGATCGACTGGTTGGTCCGACCGTCTGGTGAAAGGAACTGCCCCTCATGAACCGCCAACTTGACCTTAGACAGGCCAAAGTCGGCGATCTTGAAGACGCCTGTCAAACTCCTTGTGTCGTGGAACACCAGTATGTTTTCAGGCTTCAGATCATTGTGAGCAAGACGAAGAGGCCCTCGGTCGTCATCGTAAAGGTATTCATGGCAATGCGCAAGAGCCCAAGCAAGACATTCCGCTTGTTTGAGCAAGTCGGATTGGAAGTCATGCCTTTGATAACCTTGTCCGACACTGTTCGAGGTAAGGAACTGGCTCAAGTTGGACGAGGCTAGCTCGTAAAATATGTCGAGTTGATTTTTGTGTCTGCCCCGTCGGACCACCATACCGTAGCATTTCGTGATGCTTTCGTGCTGCAGCTTGCAATTCCTCAGTTGTTCTATCACTCCACGCTCGGTGTCAAAGGCTTCTTGAGCCTCTATGTGTTTACGAGCGACATTTTTGCCCTTGAAAGATTCATGTTAGTGATTGGAATCTCTGAGCCCGCGCGAGATACATGCCTTCTTGTTCCAAGCATCATCACCCAAAGCGATGCAGCCGGACGCCACGGTTTCTTCGAAGACCTCGCCGGAGGCTCCACCACCAATTCGTGTGGTTCCAATGACAGGAAGACGGTAATGCTCTGTGTATATAGCACAGATGGGGTCTGGTAGGCTTGTGGGACATTTGCCCTCGTTTACAACGGGCTGAGGGTCTCCAATCTTTATTGGAATGAACAGATATTGATGCTGGTAGAAGCTAGAGCCGAACGTGTCCATGAATCTCGCACTTCGAAGCTCGTCCAGTGATGTGAAAGGCAGGTCTTCATCACTACGGTGGTGCTTGTGCGCAAACTCCCAGGTAGAGCTTTTGCCCATGAATATATCCGGGAATATGGGCCATTTCGTCCACGAGATGTAGGTCAGGATGGAGATGGTTTTGAGGTAGTGCTCAATGACAGTAGCCGAGACTTGATCAAGATTGCGTTCCGGACAGTTGCAGCAGAGTCGCAGAAGTTGTTTGACTCGGGTCTCGGTCCATATCCTCTCGAGATCTGCCTCAACAACGAATCCGTCAGATAATGCGTGCTCTGGATTCTGCGTAGCTCGGTCTAACAGTCGCTTCGTCTCCTCAAGTAGTAGGCGCGCCTCTTTGACGGTACGGGTTGCTTTCGTTTTGGAGGACAGGAATGAGAACGGCGACATCTTGTCAGGTACCCGATGCGCACCGCACCGCCGTTTGTTCTCGAGGCATGAGCAAGTGGCGCCGCTGGAATTATTCCTATACGTTTGTGGCCTGGTATTTGCGGAACCGAATTCTATGTGCGATCGGACAAAGTGAGTGTTAAAGGACCGGAAATTATGGTGGACATGAGAATGGAAATGACGATGATGCCTTAATGCAGTCAGGGCAAGCGCACCTCCGCCGCTCGCCACTCGACGGCAGCTGCGAGGCTAATCGGCTGCATATCACACGCCCAATCACAACTGTCTGGGCGATTATATGCGTGATTACACGCGGCAGCTGAATATCCGGGTTATTTGATGCAAGACAAATCAAATAAATGATATTTGCCGCGGACTCGATACATTCCTTCAACCACCTCACCATGCTACCTAACCTCGAACTCCCCCGGTCTTGATAGTCTCCAACATTATTCCATGGATTGAATCATCGAAATTATGATCCTGCTTCCTCTGATTTTTGCTCTTTCGAACGCATATCCACCCAATTGCTAGTGTCACAGCCGTCAATGGCAGGGCCAGTGCAAAAAACAACCACAGATCATCGCTTCTCTGCAATCTTCTTGTATCTTCATCAAAGTTGAATAACTCCATCCCCAGCAGAGACTATACGGGTCAGTACGTTGTATCGTATTTCCCCTGTCTGGATGACTTACTGCTACAAAAGATGCCGGAAGATAGATCAAAGAAAATATGGTGATCAACTTCACAGTCGTGTTGTCATCAACAGACTCTCGAGTATATCCCAGCATCGTCCAGTTGAGCTTGTATACCTGCTCGTTCAACTGTTCAGCTATCTTTTGGTTTCTCAGTTCGATGGCCTGGTTTCTCAGTTCAAGCAGTGAAGACCACTGTCGGGATGTCAATAACGAGTATTCCCCAGAAAGCAAAGACTTACATTTCCAATAGTGGCTTTAATCCTTTTCTCCATAACTTCAACACTCTTTTTGTGGCCATTCATCGCTTTGAGATGGTTACAGAGTGTATGTTGCATTCCTCTAAAAGCCGGTTCGTCAACACTCCGGTCTTGGTGAAGGTTGCTGTTAAAGTCAAGTAGACATTCGATGATGTTGATGGCAGATTCCAGACCACCTAAAGCACGAAACACAATTTTATCCTCCAGAGTCCGAAGTGTTGCAAGAGTTTCTTCCCTGAGAATGGGATAATGCCCCTTGATGTCAACAGTAAGAACTTTCTCCCGCTGATTTTACTGTTAGTGACTAGTCACCACATCTGATATGATCGACTCACCAAGGACGTTAGCTCTACTGCAAGACTTTCGACATAGGACCCCCAATTAGGAAGATACGAGGAAATTATAGCGCAATGCAGATCGAGAGGATTTCTGGAGCTGCGCTTGCAAGACAAACGATTCAGATGCTGCTCAGCCTTACTATCCTGCATTGGATGCAGGCAGATAATCACTTCATTTTTCGATTTAGTATCGTAACGATGGAACACGCCTGTTTGTCGCCTGGAAACAGGGTCGCTGGGAGGAGGCTTCCCATTCGCTTCAACATAAGTCAAGCTGTAGCAGAGGCCTTGAGCTTGTCAGTCCGTGATGGCCCTGGAGTGTTTTCTAATCATACTGTAGCTTCCATCAGAGAATCTCCGGAAAGAGAGGTTGTTCGAGTTGTGCTGGAATACTGATGGCCGATATCCGAATTGGAACAGGATATCGAGGAAATCCGGCACAATTCGGTAATGGTGCAAGATACGCTTCATCCAGTAGAGGGTGATGTTGAGTGGTTCCAACGAATCATCCTGGCACAGCGATCTGTGATCGTATGTTAGAACAGAGATAAGTATAGGAGAAGTGGTACAGACATGATCCTGCGAGCCGGTCGGTTTCCTTGGAACAACTGAGTTTCGACTTTTTCTTCGGTATCTAAAGATCGGACAACGATATTTTCAGGGTCGCCTTGAGCTATGTTAGCGATAGTGGACTTTGAGCGATATCTCTGTTGAACGAGCTCACGACAAACGTCGATCAGATTAACCAGCACAGCGGACGGATCTTCTTGAAAGATATCTTCGGCGAGCTCATGGAGCCTCTGTGAGTAACCATCTTCGTCGAAATGTGTGAAGTCATAGTCGTCCCACTCAGTGAGGTACTCTTGCCATTGGTCCATAATTATCGATCTTTACTAAGAGGCTCTGAAAACGGAACTAAACATCGAGCGACATATATGTTGCCCTCAACCAAAAAAAGCAATCAGCAGGGCGCAGTACTGCATTGACCACTATTCTTTCTGCGCCTTCCGAGGCTTATGCACAAGGCTGTACATGCCTGAAAATCGGCCATGCATGATCGTTCCCCACACCGGTCGAATCAGTGCGACTTGTGACTTGTCATCCTTGGTCCCTTTTGCCAATGCTTGGAACTTTCAGCTCCGCGCCACCAAGGCTTTGGCCCCATGTCACTTCTGCTTCCTCAGCTTGGTCTGTTTGATCAATTCCCTGGATCGTTTTAGTAAGGCCAAACGGTTCCATACCCATGATCGCTCACTTGTACGCTTGCTCCTTCGTATCATCAGCATCAGATCTGTATAGGTCAAATATCGGACCGGACTTACTCCTGAGAAATCTTGGGGCGACCTGAACCTGTACATATCGTTCAGGCGCTGAGATTGAAATAGAGTCAGTACTGCAGAAGAGGTCACATGCAGTGATGCCTCACATGAATTTGAAATCGATTGTCATTTGACCCGGTCAAGTCAGGGAATTGATCCAAAGGGAACTTCTTCTCGAGATAATCCTCGAGTAGCTTTCTGTCGACATAGCCCGTCTGCTTTGAACCAATCTCCATCGGATACGGATAACCGGTAAATTCATTCTCGGAAGATTTTATAGAACCAGGCTGAACCGGTGGGTGTTTTTCGCGGCGAGGTGGACGTCTTTCGCGGCGAATGCTTATCGTTTGACCCATGTTATGATATGTAGCTCTAAGGCTGGAATGCGAATGAGGTGATTCTGTGCGATGCAGCCGACTATTGATGGCTTTATCTCTACGCTCAGCCTCAGCTGCGGCCAGCTGCCTCTTGCTTACTTTGCATCATGTGGCTTTCAGGCACCCATCCCCACCCTAGGTACTGTTTACAAGTGCAATAGCTATTGGTTCCCTCGCATTTCCTCCGATCTCTTCTTTTTCGCCCTCTATTCGCTGAGCAAAATTCCGCGATGAACGTGGGCAGAAACATGTTTCCTGTCCAGAATATGCCTGACTTGAGTGACGGGGACTCTCCTCGCCCTCAATTGGCGTAAGTCCGTTATCCACACAAGCCATGTGTTCTCCAAGCTAATTGCATTTCCATCCAGTCGGAGACTTTTGTGGTTCCAGAGTTTCGTACGAACTTCGAATAATTCTTCTCACAACGACCAGTCCTAACGATGATCCTAGATGATAGGCGCCAGTGCTACCATCGGATTGGGGATCTTCATTCGCATTGGTGAGGTGCTCTCCGTGTCTGGACCAGCCGGAACTATTCTAGCTTTTGGCCTGGTGGGCTTGGTGTCCATTGCAGTAATGGATGGTGTTGCCGAGATGATTGAGCTGTGGCCGGTTTCCAATCCATTTCTCGAATTTGTATCCGCCTTTGTGGACGAGGACCTTGGTAAAGTGGTTGGCTTTGCATACTGGTGAGGATTCACGAACTCTTCGACCCCTCTGCCTAGCTGAACGGGTGTACAGGTATACATATGCAATGGGTTTCCAATCCTTACTCAGCGCCGCTGGCGGTCTCATCACCCTCTGGATCAATGACAAGGCGACTCTACAACTCTATCAAAGGGTGATCTTTTACTTCGTCAGCCCTTTGGTACTGTTCTGTTTGAATTACATGGGAGTCTTTGTAAGTCAGCAGCTGCCGTATATGCTAATCAGTTTCAGATGGCTAACTCAGAGATGCAGTGGGTTGGCATGGTCGAGACAGTGTTTGGGGTTGCGAAAATCACGTTCCTCATAGCCGTCTTCTTCCTAACGCTTGCGGTCGACTATGGTCGAGTCGGTACCAATCCACAAACCACAGGAACAAGCTGCATTGACGACGGGTTTCGAGCAAATCCAATCATCGCTAACAGCCGGTTTGAAGCCTTTCTAGTTGCCGTCCCGACCGCGGCGTTCGCCTTCATCGGTGTCGAAACAGTCGCCATCACTGCATACGAAGCAAAGAGCAGGAAACACGTGAAGCCGCCTGCCCGGCTCATTGCGTGGTGTATGACAGGGCTATATTTGCTGAGCGTCTGTGGATCTGTTCTTAGTGTGAGCTGGCAAGACCCTCGTCTGCCTACCTTGTATCGTGGTCAAAAGCCCAATCCCCAGGAGAACATCCGATGTAGAGGTCCGAGAACACTGCCAGAGTTTCCGGAAAAAGAGCTCAACAAACCTCCGATTGTCATCGCCCTCATGAATGTGGGTTCCAGGGTTGGACGAGATGCACTTACTGGTTGTCTCATATTTGTCGTATTGAGTGCTGCTAACGCTGCCCTCTATGTCGCCTCACGTACCATGTTCGGACTCACTAAAGACATCGACAAAAACACCGGGTTAGTCTCGTGGGTACTGAGCTGGCTAGGCTTCGTCACCAAAGGTAGAGGTCATCATGGAGCGGCAGGAGCGACTTTCGGTCAGATACCCGCCGGAGCCTTGATCTTTTCGGTCCTCATCTTTTACTGGGCACCTTTCACTACGAATGGCCAGGTGTTAGATGTCTTGAGTGCGATGGGTACCGTGGGATGTCTCCTCGTCTGGGCATCTCAAGCGTTGGCATATATTAGGTTTGATCATCTGTGAGTATTCTCAGACAAGTATCCTCGCATCAGCTAAACAGAGTGTGACATACCAGGCGACGTAAGTACAATACCATACGACCTCATATCAGAGAGAAGAAATCGCCGGGTCAACCCTTCTATGCTTGGTTTGCTCTGATCAGCTGTTTGATCATCGTCCTTCTCCTGAATACAGCGAGTTGGTGGAACGGAAAACACATCTACCCAGCAAGGTGGCTCCAGGTGTACATAGGGGTAAGTCAGTTATCATTCAGATATACGTACATGACTGACATATATTTTCTCAAGCCACTTGTCTTATTAGTTTTGTACATCGTTCTGAAACTTTCTCGCTTGCGCAGCTCGAGGTTTCGAAACGGCGATAGCGAGAAGGAGCAGTTCTTTGCGGCCTTGCGTGATCTCGAGAGAAAGGCTAGAGAGACTGTTGATACTCGAGTGCCTATGCAGGACTTGCGTGTCAACGGAGATGAGAACCCGGGTCCCATACTGGATGACGGGATAATGCTGGGAGAAGATCGGGATAGGGACCCTATTCCTCATGAAGATTCAGATCATGAGTTAGTAGAAGAACCCAAGGGTGCGTTGCAGACTAATTTCCCGTCTGGAATCGAGGTCATGGACGAGCGAGACTCGTTCGAGCAAGCTATCAATCGTCTTCAGTAGAGTTGGAGCATTCGAATCATGTATCAACACCGTCATCACTCGAATCGCCTCAGTATGTTCTTCTGTTCCCTTTGGGCCGGATCTATTCATGCTCGTGATCTTCATCATCTGCATCGTCTTCTTCTCGTTTCTCTTCTTCTTCTCGCCCAATCTCGTCGGTGTGATTGGCCTCATTAATACCTTCGTTCGCCAATAAATTGTTCGCTTCCGAAGAACGCTCAGAGGTTGGGTATGCGGACATGAGAATCTACAGCGTTTGTTCCCCATTTACTAGACTATCACTATCAGAAGTAGGCGCGGACCCGTGTGAGGTCCGCTCTAGGAGCTGCTTCATTCCAGAAGTCGAAGCGGATGCCAGCGGCTTCCACGATATCTCTGAATATGGTTAGGTCCTCTCGAGAACATTCTTGAGTTCTCGCTCTGTATGTATCTCGACATTCGCTAGGTGGTCTTTCAAGCCCAATAGTGAGGTAACAGAGACTTGGAAAGTCTTTGATTGCATCGAGTCAATTTGAGAGCTGGGGCATGACGAGACTATTACAACAACGAAGGATGAGTTGTTCAAGCGCAGTAGGAAGCTGTTGCCGCAATTTTTGCTCCGAGTAGTGCACAAGATCTCGCATGGCGAAGAGCACATACATGTCGATCTCGAGATACCGTAGACTTTGCAGTGGATGCAAGTCGAAGGGAGTAGGTAGTTCGACTGAATGCTCGAAGCCGTATCCGTTTGGCATCAACAACGCCAGCCGCTCCAACGTCTCCGATCTGCTGTAGAGACTTGATAGAAGATCCTCACCTAGGTCCACTTCGACTTCGGTTGTGTCTGGGTTCTCGAATGCAATCTCCAATGATTGAAGTCCTTCACATGCCTCTAAAAGTGTCAAGATACTGTCTGAAGATAGCATACAGCGATCAAGTTCCAGATGGTGCAGATGGGCGAGTGATACTTTGAAATGATCGGCGCCGACTCGGTCTTCGAGTTGGATCCTAGCAAACGATTTGAGTGTGGGAAGAGTCAATAGACTGAGGCACTTCTCAAGCCTGAGTATATCTGTCCGGTGCGGGTGACCATCTGATCGTAGAATCAGGGACTGCAGATTCGACAATATTGGTGGCGACGAAGTATACTGGAATTCGAAATCTGCAAGGTCCCATTGGAAAACACCCAAGTTGGCCAAGTGAACATCTTGACGCGAATTCCAAAATGCTAGGAGGTTGTGGCAGGGGGTCTGAACATGGGATCCAAGGTTTCCGTAAGAGGATTGGAGGTCCAGAAAACGGAGATCAGGCACTAGGGTAAGCAAAAGTGCTACTTCAGCTCCTTCTCCCCCATTCTGGATGTGTTCTAGCCAGCTTGTCCATGGCCATTGCGAATCGGCATCCCGCAGTCCTCGGTCTTTAGGCTTAAGGACGGTGACTTTTCGTGTCGCAACTAGGAAAAGTTCTCCAAGTGCAGGATCGAAAGGCAGACGTTTGGTATTAGGAATGGTTTCAAGCTGTCCTTGGTCATTATTTGTAACCTCCTCGGGATCATCAATATCAAATACGCTATAGCTACATAATTTAAGTTCATCGTAGTAGTTCTGTAATCTGAGAGACTCTACTCTAGCGGCGAGATCTGGTCGTTTTACTAGAGTGCGGATAAAATTCTCGAGAGAAGTATGCGGTCTAAATACTAGTGGTTTACGATTGTTAGTATCTTCCTATCTGCCGTGCCTGTCGTTAGCTTGCTTATCTTATTTGTTATAAAGTTTGGAAACGAATGGGTATTCGCGCTTAGACACTAGCCAAGCATGTAGCCGTATACGTCTTATAAGACAGTGTAGAGACGAGTCTCTAGGCCCTTAGTTAGCCTATATCTAGAGTACTTTATAAGAGTGTACTACTAATCTATATTAGTTTGTTTTTTTAATAGTATAGAAGCTATACCTTTATCCTATAATAATAGAGGACATAAATGTAAAACTACTTATTTACGCTCATTTAGTAATAAGCTCCGCTCGCGTCTAAGTAGAACTACGCTAACGTCTCTATATATACACTTTATACGACTAGTTATAATTACTATAGATACGATACTACTAGCTAGGAAATCTCTAGTAGCGACGTCGTACTTTCTAACGTAGCTAAGCGTATAAACGTTAGTATTATAGGGATAGTTATATAGGCTCTTATATATATTAGCTAGCCTAAGCTTAGTAAGGTAGCTATCCGTTTAATGTTAAACGAATAGATCTAGTAAATCTAGTAGTCCTAATAGTAGAGGTCTCTTATCTTATAAGCGTAGACAAAAGTAGATAAGATAGCGTTAGTAATAGAAGATTATAAGGGGCTAAAGGTAAGAAGTTAACGCGCTAGGACTAGCTTTTCTTAGCAAGCTATAGAATATGTACTTATATATAGACATCCTATTAGGACTAGTTAGGGTAGTATAGTATAGGGTCTTAGTATTACCCTATACTACCCTAAATGTTTAGGGAATTACTAAGACCCTATACCATTAATTAGGGTAGGGTCTTAGTAATTCCCTAGAAGTCCTAAATAGTATATAGTATATATATATAGTTTTTTCTAGTTAAATAGGTAGAATAATAGCTTAGATAGCGTAGATAGAATAGTAGAAAGAGTTAAAAATAGTGTAGTCCTAGTATACTTATAGGAGTTATAACTCTATTATAATAAGGTAAGGTTCTATTATAGATAGGTCTATAATAGACTATAATAAGGGAAGGGATAATAAGGTTA